CTCTTGCTTGCTGGGCTCTGCGCTCCGGGGAAAGGACTGGACAATCCCGCAAAGTAGTAATTACGAAGGACTTGGTAAGTTCGTACTAGCTATCGGGCTGTATCCCGACAATACCGGTAGCACGGCAGAGGCACGAAGTCCTCGCGTCCTGGGCTCCTGGTAGACTCGGCAGACGCATGAGTACAGTACAGTGATACACAGTACAGAGGTACAGTACTGTACTGTACTGTACCGTACTGTACCTCCGGATGATCAGGGCCCCTCCCTACCTTACCCAGCGAGAAATTCTCCGTCTGGCCTGGCTGACGGCTTCCTGGGGAAAAGAAGAAAATGCTCGGCAAGCGTGCGTCGGTCAGTCAGCACGAGAGCAAATCTCAGGCTCAGGCGGCGGCGGCGGCGGCTGCGACCTGGTCCCGCTCCTGTCAATCTGCACACCGGTATGTGTCGTCGGGAGTCTGTGGTCTGTAGTCTGCAGTCCTGTCAACATCCGTACGACGGTGCTTCTTTTCTGTGCTTCGGTGCTTCGCGGAGTCGTCGACGATGGGATCTGATTGACCTGATGCTTGCCCGCTCCCGGGGGGCCATGCACGTGGCTTTGTGCGCCTTGGTACGGTGGTGGGGGTTAGCGTGGGCGTGGGCGAGCAGCACAGCTGGAACCCGCCCGAACAAGACAAACCGAGTCCACCTGGCAACCCAAGGAGAGTCAGCTTCACGCCTCCTATTTGCTCCCTCCCGCGATGTGTCGGCGTTTGAAGGCGTTGAGCGGAAAGCCCCAAGCGATGGAATGCGGCCCCTGGCCCTGTAGATTCCACCAACTGCAATCTCACCGCCCTTGGGTGGGGCATGGCATTGTGCGAGGGCAAACCAAACCGAGGAGAAAGGAGAGAATGGAATACTCCGTGAGGCCGCTTGTGGGTATGGGAGAACCTCAGTAATGGTTCGGGGCTCAGGGTCGCAGAGTCCCAGACACTGCTGAGAGCGGTTGATCCATCGACCAATCCAATACGAGTAATGGCCTCCTTACCTCCTACATACCTCCTTACCGCAAGTTTAAACGTTGAACTCGTTTATTTCTATAATCTACAGCTGCTACCATCCTTAGCCCACCGGATCGCAATTCACATAGGATCCGAGACGCAATTCATAGCGTAAGGCGTAAGGCGTGAGTCTCATAAAAAGTACTACGTAGTATTCAATAAATTAATGTCCTTAACAGGACTCAGCCGCAGCTGGCATTCCCGTGGTCGTCAATATGACTGGCTTTGGGTGCAACACCCTCGAAGAAGCAATTCGTCTTTGTGTAACATATTTATCCGCCCTTAGCTCCAAGTACCCGTACCGTACTACATCGTGAAGGAGTACTTCCATCAACTGCCGGAACTCTTCTCCGTTGCCATGCAGTTTGGTCATTTCCGGGTGCCTATTTCCGTCTTGTACCACCTTCCTGGTCGTCCATCGTAACATAGTAGTCACACCGTGACACCGTGGGGTAGGAGAAACGTTGAACGGTGGAAGGGGATAACCCTCGTCTGAGAGCGCGGGCCCTACCGCATGGCGCCTATATCACGATGTACAGTATTGGTATCACCCCTATGGTGAAACAACGATCCGGATTGGAAAAGGGCCGCTATCGTGCCCGCTCGAGGAAACGTGCAAGATCCGGAGTGGGCTTTGCACTCAAAGCAAGGTTTGGACGCCAAATGCCTCCTAGGTAATAGAATTCAGTGGGTGTACCAGCGCAGTGGATAGCCAATGCGTTTCCGCATGATTTAGATATCTTTGATTAGTGGATATGATTGCCGCTATGCATGAGACAGGACCTGATATTGCCGCGTGCGGAGTCTTACGGTCGTCGTCGGGACTCCAGACAACTAGGATTATTAGTCACGGGCAAGTTTGGTCGTAGGCCGGACTGTCTCGCAGTACCATTGCCGCGTTAGACGTGCTATGCTTGTATCCTCTTATACAATGTCGAAGATGCCAATAAGCCCGTACTCAGTGCCAAGATCCTTCCCCCTATCGTCGTTATGGTAGCCCTTTCCTACAAGAACGCTTCTATCCTTCAATATGCTCTATTGACTATATTCAGCAGATTAACAAAGCCATCTCGGTATTGTCCGGATTGAGACCAAACGAAGCGTTGAGAACGTCGATCCAAATGGCGGCGGTATCAGGAATAAATATTATCTTTGTTGGACCTTGATCATCCAATACCCCAATGCAAAATTTATAAATCCTCAATTGTGAACGTCTTGAAAATAGTGGATATGCGGTAGGCGAAATAAAAGTCTATATGATATAATTGAGTATATAGAGAGCTTGGATTCCATGTGATAAGCGCGACAACGGATATAATGGTCCCGAAATCTGGGGTCATGGGGCCGCTAGCTGAAACCAAATAATCGAGATATGGGCCCAAGCTACCGGGTCATATGGGAGAGAAATAATGGTTCTGAAGGGCCTAATTGTGCCAGTTGCGGTGAGGATATCTAGGTAGATGCCGAATACATAGCCAAAAGACACTGACGGTCACAGCCGATGGGAAATTGTTGTTCATGGAGTCAATCGATGGACTCTGCCTCTAGCGTTTAGTTTGCCCGAGGCTCTACTGCATCCATTTTCTCAGTCACCTGCTCAGCAGTAAACCTGTGCATGAGCTTTTGGGCTTTCGAGGAGAGTTCCGGACGCTCGTCAGGTGTTTTAGAACTGCTGACATGGATCTACATAGGTCAGTCAGCTAGCTGCAGATCAAGCGTACTAGTAGAACTGACCACTGGAGTATCAAACTCATACAAGTCTTTCCAACCATTAGCTCCGGGTTTCATGACATTGATCTCTTTGTAGTCAAAGGGGCGTTTGTCCCACACAGCTGACAGAGTCGATTTGGCATTGGTACACAGGGAGCAGTTTTCTCGGGTGAAGAGCGTGATTCGACAGGCGTGTTGAAGCAATCTTGAAGAGGGGCGCATCTTCTTGGTGGCCGTTGATTGAATCTGGAGAGTTGATGTCGATCGGTTCTCAGAGTACTTCGAGGAGGAGTAGTTGGACGAAACTAAGGCACCAAATGGGGAATGATCCGAAATCGCCAAGGGGGAACGAGAGTCTGGTTTTTGGCTTGATCTTGCAGCTTCTAGATCGTCGGTAGACCGGGGGCGGGCTGTCAGGCTCTATCCGAAGGCGGTGACGACGATACGCACACATATGGCAGAAAGCTTGATAGAGTATTCTAGAATAACAACCACAAGGACTGTCATCGTCCACACCCCAATCCCAAAATAAACGTTCCGAAGGTGATTATTAGTTGAAAATTAGCCCTTCGCTTTCATCCCTAAATTACAGGCTCAAAATGGCGCAAAAATGCGTGCACTCTGGTTGCGGCAAGCTGTATACGGATCCTGAGGAAGAATGTTTGTATCATTCCGGTCCGCCTATCTTCCACGAGGGGCAGAAAGGTAAGAATATATATGTTGAAGCACGGCAACTCCCCAATCGATAATTCACCTCACTCCCTGCTTCTCAAAACAAATCGATGTCGACTGACAATCCATTATGCAGGTTGGAAATGCTGCAAACCGCGTGTCCTGACCTTCGACGAGTTCCTAACTATCCCGCCCTGCACAACTGGCAAACACTCCACAACCGACCTTCCTCCACAAATCGAGAAGAAACAGGGCTCAGACGTCCCCGAGACCGTCAGCCAAATCTCACCCGCGACGACTCCCATTCCTGAAGCTTCACGAGCTCCAATCTCTGCCCCGCAGCCTACAGCTACCCCCCCACCTCCCCCACCAGAGTCGGAAGACGACGATCCCAGCCTAGAGATCCCCAAGGGTAAAATCTGTAGACGTAGGGCGTGCGGACACCAATACAATGGAGAGAGCAGAGATGGCGAGAAATGTGTATTCCATCCCGGGGCACCGATATTCCATGAGGGGAGCAAGGGCTATACATGTTGCAAAAGAAGGGTGCTCGAGTTTGACGAATTCATGAAAATAGAGGGATGCGAGACTAAGAATAGACATTTGTTTATTGGTAGCGGTAAAACGAAGGGTCAGAAGGCTGGAGGTGTGGAGATGTTGGAGACTGTTAGGTGAGTTGACATCACGTACTTGGTGGATATCGAATATTTTACTGATGGTGAATATATCATGTAGACACGACTTTTATCAGACGCCAACTACAGTAATCGCATCATTCTTCTTGAAGAAGATTGATAAGGAGAAGGCATCTGTCGACTTTGCTACCAACGAGCTTTCTCTTGATCTTCCTACCACTGATACTCCTCCGAAGCGCTACAAGAAAGTGGTGCCATTATTTGGCCCCATCGATACCGCTGCCTCCTCATTCAAGATTATGGGGACAAAATTGGAGGTAACTTTCGTTAAGGCCGATGGAAGCGCATGGCCAGTTCTGAGAAGTGATGAACAAAGAACGGGCGAGATTTTTCAGATAGGCCGAGCGGGAGCCTTGAAATGACGTGTTGCATCCAAGGCAGCTCTTAGAGATAGAAATGTGATATCACTCAAGGCCAATTCCTAACTATGTGTCATTTGATATAATATGACAATTACGGGCCTCTATGGTGAGCAGTGTATTATTATCGCCACTCTACAAGCTTAGGAAGCTGGCTGTTGCCATGCCCATGACGTTTTCGAATAGGTGTACCGCTAAACATTCGATGAAGTCAAATGTGCACCTGTTGGAGAGGAATACTTACCTCTTTCGATCATTGGGGAGGAGCTAAGGGAGTAGGAGTGCAGATCACAAATTCGTACGCTCGCTAGATCAGAACGGACTTCGGTTTTCCCCGTCTCGCCCTAAAGCCTAGCGTTCCCAACTTGCCGTACCACAATTCCACAAAATATGGTTGTGTTGAGATAAGCTATGCTATGATCGACGAGCAAGGCAGCAACGTCTGGGCCTTCCAATGTCAAGGATGTGTATTCTAGAAACGTGCGAGAATTTGACGTAAATTAATGTAAAGCAGCAGGTTTTTGGTATATCGAAGGGACAGATCCACTTAGTAGGAGTCTTCATGAGTACGTGTGTAACGGGGAGGATGTGGGCAATGTTTATGTCAGTTTCCGAACCTTGACTCTTACTATCGCAACCCGGTGAGGTAGGAAAATATTCGGTGTACATTGCTATATCTACTTCGGAGTTATTCTGACCCTTGTTTTGGGGTTTCTTGTCTGTGGCCTCTTGGGGGATCATAGTTCGGCCGCTAAACAACCTAGTAGCATTGGAATCGTACTGTATTTGTATGTTAAATAGAATACATGGCGTTTTATTAACACAGAGAGCTACATCTGACAAGAGCAGCAATCACTCCATTCCCTCCATTAACTCGGTGCGGTCAAGTACCATTCCTCTCACACCAATCCAATCGCGGATAAAGTCCCATTCTTTGCCTTCCTCTTCTCCTCGCCTCCATTGTTCCCGGAATCCCCAGGCACCCGCAACTTTGTCAAATGCAGCTCTTTCTTCTTCTCGAATCCACCGCTGCCTTAGCGGCAGCCCTGGTGCCCAAGTTACGCGGTCCATTTGATCATTTGCAGTTGTCAGGGCTACAATACCAATCGTAGCTGTGAATCCCACATAGGCAACCATACCGGCGAAGGCAACATTGGTGGCCATTCCAGTCTCCATAGTCGTCTGAAGAAGTGCTAGTTGTGATGCAAGGCCGTAAGCTGCAACAGGTGCGACTGTTAGACCGACGGAGGGAACGAGACCTAACCGTACAAATTTGGCTCGGCGAAAAGCTTTAGTGGCGTATGAGAAATCAATGATATCGATTGCAGCCGTTAAGTCTTTCGCGTCGACGGCAACTTGAAGTGCACGATCAGCAACAGCCTGAGGTATAGCATTTGCAACTTTGTCTGGGTTTTGCTTTGTGTATCGTATGGGTGACGAGCCTTCCACCGGTAAGGGCTTATTGGCATAAAGACGGAAGGCTTCGGGCAGCGTCTGAGGGTCTTTCAAAATTTCCTGGATCTTCACGTATAGATCAAGGACCTTTGGGGTTATAAAGACCGGAGGATGTGTAATAATGGAATACACGAGCTTCGATAAGTCTTGCTCCATGAGCTGGACTTCACGTCCTCGTCGTGTTTTGCTTCCACTCGGATCATCTAGGTCGAGGAGGGCGGATCCAGCACGGTCTTTCCTATCCGAAATGGGTTCTGTCGGTTCAACCATAATGAGGGTTGCGAGAGCTTCGCATTGTGCTAAAACCCGTGTTGTTTCCTCCTCAGAGGGTATTTTCTCCTGGGAGAGCAAGGCATTACATGACGCTTCCACATCTTGCATCCATTCCCCTCCTTCGTCCCGTGACAGATTTGCCACAGGTATGTGCGCCGTACGATTTGGCTTATAAGATTTATTTGAAGTGCGGATCGCAGCTGGTGAGAGGAAGTTTGTCCGGCTACTGGAGAAGAGGCGGGTCGTGTTGATAGACCGCTGGGTGCGGATTGGTGTCCTGCGTAATGTCCTTCGAGCTATGAGGAAATCACAGAGGTGGCAGACATCCGCCCGGGGGCGAAGGGCGCGTTTAGACATGTTGCGACGGATCTCGAAGTCGAATTGTCCCTGGGATCGAGGTCGTGATTGAGGTTGAGGTTGAGCTTCGCAGGTTTAGTACGGGAGGGAAGAGGCCGACCTGCCGACCCCCCNCCCCCCCCCTGCAAGCGGATTATTGTACTACCTAAGGTACGTACCGCACTACGTGCTCGTGCTGCTGGTCCAAATTGTGAGGCTGATCTGCGCCACGAGGTGACGACGATCACACCAGCACTTATGTACTCCAGGCGTCTCGGTCTCCTTCCATAAGAAGTCCCAAAGAACGGCTTTTTTATTCTCTAAAGCTTCTTTTGCTTAGCCGTTTAGTCAGTCTTTCCCATTGAGCCGCGCCCTGGCCTCCTCCCCGTTGAACTGCCTCCCATTGTTACCATCACCTCCAATCCCACCGACTTCAATAGCAACTGGCTCTTCGTCACATTAAAGATGCCACCCCCACCCCCACCACCTCCCCCGCCGATGATGGGAGGGCCACCACCTCCTCCTCCTCCGCCGGGGAATATGCCTTCGCGACCTCCTGCTGGCAACAGGGTAAAGCCCCCCGCAACCGTAGCTATGCCCACTCACGCTTTGGGCTTTACCATACGTTATGTCAGTTGCTAAATATTTGCATAGGGTGCTCTCCTCTCCGATATTACGAAGGGAAAACAACTTAAGAAAGCTGTCACAAACGATCGATCCGCGCCGATTGTTGCTAAACCCGCTGGAGGGTCTGGGCCGTCACCATTAGCAGGCGCTCCTGCAGTGCCAGGAATGGCGAAAGCTCCTGGAGGTCTGGCACCTCCAGTGCCTGGGAACCGAATGAGGAGTAACAGCGATCAGGGCAGTAGAGATGGAGGGGCCGCTCCTGTGATAGAACAGCCACCACAATTAGGGGGGCTCTTCGCCGGTGGAATGCCGAAACTTAAGAAGCGCGGTGGTGGTATTGATACGGGAGGTGAGTTACAAGCCTGGTTATAGAAGATCCATTGACTGACTTGGGTCTAGCAAACCGAGACTCGTCATATACTTCAGATCCAGAATCATCACGAAGTTCTGCGCCGAAACCACCCGCCATAGCTGCACCAAGGCCACCAACAGCTGCCCCTCCTAGACCTGGACCACAAAATGCAGCATCAGCATCAGCGTTATCTTTCATTCCTTCAGTCGCGAATTTACGGAAAACTGGTGCAGGCGGTGCTCCAAGACCAATGTCTTCCGCTTCTATGAAGGGTCCTCCTCCGCCCATAGGAAAGAAGCCTCCCGCTCCTCCAGGTATGCGGAAACCTTCAGCTCCTCCCCCTCCGCCATCCTCAGCACCTCCTCCTCCGTCTGCAGCACCACCCCCCCCATCCTCAGTTCCTCCTCCTCCTGGTGCTCCTCCTCCATCGGCGCCTCGGCCACCTATGGCCCCCCCACCGCGCACTCAAGCACCACCACCACCTCCGCCGCCAACTTCCCCTCCTCATACGAACGGAGCTGGTCAGAATCTTGCTATGCAAGCAGCCATCCGTGCAGCAAGTCAAGCATCCCCAGCTATAGCGCCACCTCCACCTCCTCCGCCTTCCAATGGCCCATCCTCTCATTCTTCATTCCGTGCCCCTTCACCTCCATCATCCGCCCCTCCTCCACCAAGCGGTAGAGCCCCAGCCCCGCAACCCATGAGATCAATGTTGGATCCAAGCTCGTATACCCTCTCTACGAATGGTGGGCAGCTGAAGAGTCCCAGCCCAATTCGGGATTCTCACCAGACGAGAATAGTTATAAGCGACCCAAGGTGGAAATTCCAGGATGAATCACTGCTACCTAAACCAAGAAATTTCATTGGAGGACCTAAGAAGTACCGAGCAGGTCGAGGAAGCAGTGTGCCATTAGATCTAAGCGTGTTTCAATGAGGTATCCCATGGGTCTAGTCCTGGTTATAGTTATGATACACAAAAATTGTAGCGTTATAGCATGAAGTTTAGAACGGATATCAGTATGATGATATGGGCGCGTCGGAGCATTCTGGGCGGCGATCGGGATATGGAATGCACGGGTTCTGCACGGGTTTTCGGGGTCAATTCCGTTGCATTTTCAGGCCGTACAAAGAAATTGATATGAACGCTTAGGTGTTAAACTAAACAATTTTAAGCTTAAAAGCAGGCCTAAACCCAAACCTGCCCCGCCTGTCGTGATGATATGTTTACAAATAGTACTGCTGTAGTGGATTCACTGATGGCGTCCGGGGTAACAGAGCTGGTAGTGCGACGAAAGAGTAAACCTGTTCGTCCCTTTATAAACATGCTGTAGAATAGCCGTGCGGTCATCATCCGCCTCCTGTGGTGAAAGAGACACGTTACCGAGTCCAGGTACATAAGCTTAGGACTTGACACCTCTGAACTTCCCTCACCAACCACATTCAAATTCACATTCCCGCACCACCACCCTCAACCCCTAACATCTTCAATCCGGCAGACCTCAGAACCGCACCTTGCGCAGCTTGATAACCTTTAAGTGATTTGGTGCGCTTGCTGCAGGACTGTGACGATGGCACAAATCCGCGGTACCGCAGGCTATAACCTGGGAGCCCAGAACACCTTTGGAGGCTCCGGCAGAGACGACGCAGGACGCGACCCAAGCCCGCTTGATGCGATTAGGGAACAGACAAGCAAGATTGAGGATTTCCTGGACACTCTGAGCGAACCTGTGAAGCCGTATGTATCCTCCCGCCGCCGTCTCGGCGTCCTATTGAACCCCGAAACACCCCGCCACCAAGGGAGCTCGACAACAATGCCACATCTATAATTTCACCTTTCTACTCATAGTGTACTCTGCTAACATCTACTCTCTACAGATATCTACCAGCGATTGGACGGTTCCTCATCGTTGTCACTTTCCTTGAAGATGCCTTGCGAATCATTACACAATGGAGTGACCAGCTATTATACCTTAACAATTGGCGCAAAAGTAGGAGCATACATGCCCTCATCACATCCAGACACAAAAGCTGATCAATAAATAAAATAGTTCCATCGGGCCTCACCCACCTCTTCCTGATCGTCAATGTCCTAGCCATGGTTACCTGTTCGACTCTGGTCATCACCCGGAAATACTCTGATTACGCAGTAGGCGGTCTGATTGGCGTTGTTGTCACCCAAGCTCTCGGGTACGGCCTCATCTTCGATCTGAATTTCTTCTTGCGCAATTTGTCCGTTATGGGTGGGTTGTTGATGGTCCTTTCGGACTCATGGGTACGCAAGAACAAAGCATTCGCTGGTCTCCCTTCGATCGATGAAAAGGATCGCAAGATGTACTTCCAGCTTGCTGGTCGTGTGCTCCTCATATTCCTCTTCGTTGGATTTGTCTTCAGCGGTAAATGGAATATCTGGAGGGTCATTGTTGCGCTTTTTGGCGCCGTGGCTTGTGTTATGGTGGTGGTTGGTTTCAAGGCCAAGTTCAGCGCTATCATGCTCGTCGTCATCCTCAGCGTCTTCAATCTATTGGTCAACAACTTCTGGACTGTAAGTATCCTTAGTGCCCGCCTTCTAGAGGCAAAATGAGCTTAGCTAACTTTCCAATTAGCTCCATGAACACCACCCCCAGAAGGATTTCGCCAAGTACGATTTCTTCCAGATCTTGTCTATTGTTGGTGGACTGTTACTGCTCGTGAACAGCGGGCCAGGCAAATACAGCATCGACGAGAAGAAGAAGGTGTACTAAGCGGGCGAAGGGAGAGGCCAGGCCAATTGAATAACGGGAGAAGTATTCTGGAAATTAGAGAAAAGTAGCACGCACGCACGCAGGTTGCCCACGCATTGGGCGGAGTTTATCGTGAGTTAAGGGAACGGGAAATGCAAGTTTTTATCTTATGCGGGAAAAAGATCTTGACAGGAGAAGATCCAGACGGCGATTTCTCCCAAGTTGTATAAGATCTTGAGAATTCAGAAAATTTGACATGAGAGAATTCGTTTTTCCTTGATTGAAATGAGCGAGCAGGCCATTATGAAACCCACATTTTAACCCCTCCTTTGTTCAGACCCCACTCCAGTTGGATATCTCGTCATCAGAAGGTTATGCACGTGCAGTAGTAAGGCGAAGTACTGATATTCTGGTAGTATATTTTTACACTAATTGTTTCAGGAACCCACAGGCAAGCACAGCAAATAAAGCAAGATAATCGCCGAACCGAACCCATTCTAGAACGCAAAAAGCACAGAAGCCCTCCCTAAAAGCATCCCGGACTCCAACTCCAAAGAACATTCCTTAGAAACGACAGGGGTATCTCATAAAGTCATACACTCATATCATCATACATCAAACTCATAAGCAACATCAAAAGGAAAGAAGCCTTAGCACACGTCATAAACACGCCTGTTCATGGGGACAAACCCCCTATTCCAAAATTCCGCTCATAGTCATTGGATATCCCTCTCCATCATAATATCCCTCTCCTCCTTCGGCATCCCACGATCCCACCATGGAAGTAGGATCAGCCCCATAGCCAATATAGCCCATATCGCCACTACGAGAACTCTTCATGCTCTTCTTGCTCTGCTTGCTTCTCTTGCTGCTCTCAGCCACCATCAAGGAGGTTTGTGACTGAATAAAGGGATCCTGCGGGAGGAACCCGTTCCCTCCCCGCCCAGGTGGAGAAGGAGAGGTGGAGGGTGGAACATCATAGCATTCTTCGTCCAGAATGAACCGCCGCAGTTGGTATGACATATTTGCGTTGAAGTAAAAGGTGTGGCGATGCTCGGCTTCGTTCAGCCCAACTGGAGGAACGAGAGGAAGGTAGTAGTTGGCGGTGTTGTCGGTGTTGTCAGTGACGTTAATGTTTGGCTCGGCGTTTTCTGGGCCTTCTGGGCAGGGCACCGAGCCGGACGAGGACGGGTAGGATAGAGGACTATAATGGTATCCTGGAGAAGGCGCTCCAGCGGCGTATCGTTGACGTTCAACTTGAGCCTCCTGGCCACCACCACCACCACCACCATCACCATCGCCGCCTCCGCCGTTGCCCATCATGGCGGCCTCGACACAGCCGCAGTTATCGCCGTTGACGACCGTGGGTCGAGAGGTAGACATATGGAAGCACCTTGGGCAGATAAACTGGGCGTCTTCACCATAGCCGAGGCGATTATTGTTGGTATAGTTGTGTTCAGACATGGTAATGTTACAAAGTACGACTCGCATAGATACTGAGAAACTACACACAGTAAGTGTAAGGGGGGAGCAACGCCAAATGGGGTGGTTCTTGGCTTACATAGGCCAGTGAAATGTGACGTTGGAAAGGGTAAAATAGTTGGTACAAGAGGGAAGAAGTATTGAGATGAGATGAGATGAGATAAAACGATACGACTGTCGCACTTTTTTCCTATAAATAAATAAAATTGGCAGAATCTAGTTGATGTGAAGAATAGCCCATGGGAAGCGGCCAGAAGGGAGGCCGGTTTCTTATACTTGAGGTTCTGAAGGGACTGCCCCTCATCTGGTACGCTGCTAGAGCTCTCCGGATGGCTTTCAAACAACTGGACGACAACGGCCTGCCACGCCATTGGGAGGCTGTGGTACCATCTGATCGTGCAGTTTGCATGTCGCAACTGCGAATATTCGGGAATCCCCAGCTCTGTCAAATCAGATTCGGGCCCTTGGGGCCATGTTGGAGATCTGCTTGAGACATAACTTGCGGCATCCTCCAATCCAGCCCAACCATATGCCATGGCACGGTCGCAGCTAGGCCGCCTCACTTTTTGGAGCTGGGCGAACTGCAGTTTGGGAGCGCTAGCTTGTTTTTTGGAAGCTTCCCCAGTTGCATCGAACTTCCGAGGCCCTGCATTGCGTGCTGGGCTTGCCCGGGGACGCGGATGGAGGCGTGGAATCAGAGAGCTGCATTGAAACTTGTGGGAGCAATTGAGGGGCTTGATAGGAGGCCGCAGAATCGACATGAATAACATTATTGACACGTCGTGCTGCCCCTGGGGTTCGAGCTGACGGCTTGAATCGGGCTTATGCGAGGGCACGAGCACTTTGTACGTGAGTCCTTCAGCACCGCACGAGAAGTCGGGCACAAGAGACAGACAAGGACGAAAGGGAAAACGCTCTGGTGACAACTCACCTTGCGTGTGTGTGTTCACCATTTCCCTTCAATGGAATAGACACGTTCTGCGACTAGGGGTGTGCCGCAATGGCTGGCCGAGTAGTACGTATACAGTCCGAGCAGTGGACAGCACCGCACCGCAGAACGAGGTGCCGTTGCTGATTGATCATTGATTGTTGATGGCCAGCACGCTTAGCTTTAGCTTTAGGTTCAGGTTTAGGTTCGGCTTAAGAGCTGGGGCTTGCTTCAAGCCATCCCAAATACGCTTCAATTCAGTCAATCATAAAGTTATAGATGGCGGGCGTGCATTTGATGCCTAATCAGTGCCGATTTCGCCCTCCTCGCCCTTTACTTATCAGAGAGTTCGGCGGGCGCCGATGCCCGCCCTCCCACATACTGGATTTCTAACAAGATCATGACGGTGAGTTCTGGGGCTTCACCGTGTTGCACAGCCCCCGTTCCTTCGGTTTCGTGTGACGAACGAGGTATTAGAAATGATATAAGATGCGGCTCTTGCTTGTGCTGCTGCTCGGGTGCCGATACCGGTGCATTCCTGGGTGCCCAAGATAATTAATTCCATTTCTCCCTTCCATCACAAGACCAGAAAGGGAAAGGGCGGGTCAAAGGAAAGGCGATGTAGAATCCAATCCACTAATGCAGTGCACTACGCTTCTGGCATTAATAATCGAGGAAACAAAGCGGGGAGACAAGGCTCTATCTCGCTCAGAATAGTGTCCGGATTCTTTTAAATTTTTGGCCCTTGTCTCTCTCTTACCACCGTTTGGACTCTGCCTACTGTTGGTCGTTCCCTTTCCCTCCGAGTTCAACCCCCTCCAACCTCTGTGTGTCTAGCTGAAGTTGCTGTAATTGCCCGAATGCTTGGACCACGCTCTTCCATCGAGACACTGGGAACAGAAGACCGCAATATAATATAGCCGTGTCCATCACATGCATTTTTTCGTATATCCCAAGATTAAACCAGTAGATCCCTTCAGCCTTACGGAACAATCTCTGGCTTCTTCCTTGCAAGGTGCATACTGCAGCGTTGCATCGTCAGTCCTCATGCCATGCATTGTACATAGCTAGGGTTGGTATCTGTCGTGGCATAGGCTCATGCCGAGTGAACTGTTTAGAAGGGGCAAGGATGTGCCAGCCCAATGTATATGTATAAGGGTCCAGGTCCTGGGGTACACAAACCCAAGTCCTTACGCCTATCATTTCGCACCGGCACTGTTAGCACGCCCCCGTTCGTTCGTCCTTTCCTTCCCATTAGCGGATTCGACAGCGCTGCCTCGTCTCCGCAAACCACCTGCCTTACGCCGTCTGACTATCTGATATCCACGATCGAGTTCCGTTTCCACAGCGCATCTGACCTTCAAAGCCCCAACGGCGGGCCAAACGCTTCTTTCCCCGCGCAAAATCCAATAGTGTAGACTAGCCTGTGTTGGAGTTTCGAGTAATCGAACGAAATCGCTTACCGAGATTTCGGGGACGAGCGTGACGGAGGCTGATGGTATGTGTTGGTCAACTAAGAAGCGTCTGATTGATAGGGGAAGGAGACCAAGACTATCGAGTTGCTGTAATCGGTGATGGATCTCCATGGTAAATAGCCTGATGAGTCCTCCGTTCAAGGAGGTTCGGTCTTGTCGATGGTAAACTGGTGACGGGCCATGCATATCGCTCTGCAGAAATGGAACCAGGTATGGTCGAGCTTGTGATACGATGAAATGATTGACGTTGAATAACTCCGCGATTCGAGTTAATGGCGAGTCTCGGTCGGTATAGGAAGCGTGGGTCCAAGGGCGAAATGTGGTATCCGTGGCGGCAGACCATGGCACGATGGCGCCAGAGATATCTTTACATCTCAATGTGACGGTACGGCCATAGAGTGATGGAGTCGAGGCATTGGATGCTACTGCCGCAGACCAAATTAACTAGGTAGGCGAGATTAGTTACGAGTTCCGCCATGAGGCAGTGATACGTACCACGTTCGGTGCTGTTAGATAATTTAGCAAATCAGGCACCCCGCTCTTTCCACTCGTTGCAACCGTGATATTAAGAACCCGTTTCGTCCTGTTATATGCCTCTTCAAACGTCATATCTCCAACATTAGCTCGAACACATTCCTCCAACACGTTCATATCCAAGAAGTAACCCTCGTTCCAGAATCTCCCAACTCTTCTCCTCAAAGTAGCCCACCAGCCGCTCCCCTGGACGCTGCTCTTACCGGCAAAAGCAGTGAGGTCGATACTCTCGCCGCTGAGGAATTTAGGCAGCTCATCTTCGGTATGTATACCCACTAGAGCCGCGATCAAAGCTCCTGTAGCCGTCCCAGTAATAATCCTCGGGAGAAGCCCTCGAGCAAATAGTGCCTTGACCACTCCTAGGTGGCACAATCCAAATATGGAGCCGCCCTGGAGAACAAGCGTACTCCTCCCAAAAGCCTGTCTTGTATCATGTAGTAGATCCAACTTCACCTGGCTGCTGAAGCCGGCGATTATCCCATTTCCATCAGCTCCTGGTGAGGTTGGTAGCCTAGCGACATCTGCGATAGCTTGCGCTACTTGCGTAATATAATCTTCGATCAGCAACTTCGTCCCCGCAAATGCCCTATTGAATAACCGCGGACTGCATATATTGCCCAAGTTCCGAACAAGACCAGATCGAAGTAGATTGACTAGCTGTAGGATATCTCCTTCTTCGCGCGCAATGATGATCGACTGGAGACGCTCGTAGATGAGTCGGTAATCGTAGTATTTCGACGTGGGGTTCTGTCGCCTACAAGACAACATGTCAGAGAAATGAGCAAACCTTACCCCTCACACCGTGTGATACATACCATAAGTCGTTTCCTAAGAGCACGTCGAGCTGGAATGCCGCTTCTTCCCATTCATCGTATGTCTTCGCATCTCGAAGGATATCGAACCACAGCCGGGTGGGCTTCTTCCGCGTCAACCAGTGGATGAATTTCTAGAAGTCGACTAATCAGTGGAGGAACAATCTGCGTCGCGCGAAATGCTCACCCGCTGCCAGAAGAATGCCACATCCACGATAATTACCCATATGGCTGTCAAGATCCCGATCATCTTTTGAAGGAAGACATAAATCATGGCTCCTCTGGTATAGCTAGACCCATGGCTCTACTTTATTTGGGAAGCTCAAGCTCAAACACGCAATACGCGCCGATGGTGTTTTTCAAGAGTGCGGGATGGAGGAGTGTAGTGCTCTGGCATGTGACACTGCTGTAGATTGCATTCTTTACCCCGGATTTCGGGATAACAGGGATAGATGGACAATAGCTTAAGACGGTTTCAGATATTGGGATAGTTAATACACTCTATATAACTACATGTACATTTAATTGCATGAGCATAGACATTCCCGGAACCACTCCAACTCAATTGCCATGATTAGATGGCACCCAAGGTTGTCGTAAACTGTGCGGCGACTGCACGTACTAATTTTATATCGACGGAATGCGGCCAATCAATCCATGTGCTTCTATAAGGGAGGCACACGTAACTGTTAACAACGTCTGCCATACCAGGTCTTAAAGATATGCTGATTTAGAACTTGAGCACGCTCCCTCACTCGTCCTCATCCTCATCGTCCTCAATTATGTTCCGCTTCCTACCTCTGCCTGACGGAGCTTCAGTGGCGGCTTGGGCTGAAGGCAACTCGTCGTCATCAAGATCAGCTTCCGCATCAGCGTCCGCATCGCTGGCCTCCTCCGCTTTTGAAGATTTCCGCTTCTTTGCTTTTGGCTCATCCCTTTCACTTTCATCGTCGAGTATTTCCTCTTCATCGTCATCATCTCCCCCAGCTTCCTCAAGTTCTTCGTCGCTAGAAGCCAGGAAATCATCCTCCTTGTCGTACTCATCCTCCCTGTATCTACCACGGGGTAGATCGTCATCTGAATCATATTCTGGGCGGCGTCTCGGTCGTTTAACACCAGCAGCTTTCCGAGCAGGCCCGGGAGCTCTTCTACCGCCCCGGCCCTCAAGGTCATCTACAGTCAAACCACCCGCGCGTCCCCTGCCCCCTAGTGTTGCTTTCTCGGCCGCTGCCTCACGCCGGCGTTGAGCTTTCATCCGTTCTTTTTCGGCCATCTCAGCCCTCTTTCTTTGAAGCTCGGGATCTTGTGTGGTGCTCATTAGTTCAGGCCCGGTCTTATCGCTGGCCTTGTGTCCTCTCTGAGCTGCGGCTGCTAGGTTCTTCTGGAGCTTCTCAAGGGCCTCGTTCTCGATGTCTTTGTTTGGCTTTACAGTATACTGGTTTGTCATATGCCCAAATAAAACCAACACCTGCGCAGCCATTGATGGCGATGCAACGTACGAGTGCGAATCTAGGACCTCCTGATATTGCTTGCCGTCCTTTGGCGGTGCTAAAGGTCTGGTTTGAAGCTCATAGTGTCGGTCACCCACGGAAATCGTCGTGCTTCCATCGCTCCATTTGTACACAACTGTATTACTCTCAAGCTTTCCTGTGGATGGATCTTTGCGATAGCGCATAGTGGTTGCAGCGGTTCCAGCGGCAGAGAAATCGGCAGATTTTCTATCCGAGTGATGATCGGTTACTGGAATCTTGAAGCTATCTGGCGTATAAGCACGAGGCTCGATACCAAGGAATTTGGGCAATCGTAGGGCATTGAACTATGGCCTCGTTAGCTTTGTCTACATTGCTATAGTAGAACTTACCTCGTTATCGACCGGCTTAGGAAGCGGATGCCTCCACACGGTTTGCTCTGAAATTCGCAACTCCTTTGATGGGCCTTCATCTATGTCACCGCTGCCTTCTTTGCGTTCTCTGTCGGCCCTGTCCTCGTCGTCTCCAGAATCAAGCTCTTCGTCACTCAATTCGCGTGGCTTGTCGACAGGTGCCTCCTCGTCCTCATCGCCAAACAGGTCATCATCGGCCTCCACCTCATTGTTCATTACCTCATCTTCTGAAGAAGACATGGCGCGTAGCGTTTTGCGCAGGAAATTTCGGTGGTGATTCGAGGCTGAGGTCTTGGAATGCAGCTGGCGACGCGACTAGATATGCTTGATTAGTTTAAAAAGTGAGGGAAAAAACAAAGGACATTCATAATCTGACCTAATATCCAGGTTTAAGCAGCTGCGCCCCAGAAGAAATGATCTGATGCCTTGGATTGTCTTGCGATAGTACTTCGTCGTGGCAATTGATAGGGATAACTTCTGCCAGACAGCAGAGGCTGAGGTTAGCTCGACTGTTAATAGCGGCGGCAATTGGTTTCTTCAAGCGGCGAACGGCATCCAAACAAACGTGGACTTCGTAGCAGCCTCACCAGAATCACCAACTCGCCGTCCTCACCGCCCTCGGCAGCGCTAACCCTACCCGCTCCGCCAAATACGGAACTAGCCTCTCTAGCCGGACTGAGTTTCTGTTTCGTGTTGGCTGGCCCAGTTCCCCTATTCAACGTCGACCTTGTATCTTCTGATATCGATACCAATCCCACGACCGAATATCAGGCACAGTCTACCTCGCCCCCTCCGCCTATCTACTCAGCATGTCAAACTTATTTTCTGGGATGTAGGTATATTTTACGCTCTGTGTTGCCTGCCCTTGGCTGGATGGGGATTGGGATGGGTTGGTGAGAGGCTATGTTCTGGAGTACTTCGATTCACCCTGCGCCGCGGCGTATCCCTTCACTTGATATGCGCCTTGAATACTATCTTTGGAATCATTGCTTTGCACTCCTTCGAGTTGGAGGTCCCTGAAGCACTTTGCCCCTCCAAGGCACGTGCCACTTTTCAAGATAGCATGGAGGATTCAATGGTGCGCTACAAGGCTATGGAATAGGGTCGTTGCTGCGTCAGGGGACTCGTCGAGGCTCGTGCCTGCTTATAACCTCTCAATAGTTTGAGCGGATGTCCTCTACGCCTTTTGATCTATATATGCATGATGGATTTGTTGATGAGCTATGAGGGGAGCTATGTGGGGAGCTATGAAGGCGTCATCAACACTCCTTCGCGCTCTTTGCTGCCTGAATTTTATCTCCACCATATATTTATTTTTGTGCGTTGTTTACTTTTTGAGCGCCTGCTGACGGGACTTATTTTACAGTAGTGGACGTTTTCGGGCTGGTGGTAAGAATGGCGGTGCCAAAAGTCCCGGAACGCCAAATGGAGCACAGCCAACATCACCTACAGGCAATCCGCAAGGCAATGCGTCGGCTACCAGCCTAGCTCCAAGAGTCCCTCCGCTCCCAAACTCTCCTTCGCTCTCTCAAACCCTCTCCATGGATGACTCAGCTTCAACCCACAGTCTTCCTAGCAATAGCAATGACCCTCTTGCATGTTACAACCTCCCTCGGCCCAAGCCCCTTTGGCTTAATGACATGTATTCAAAGCACATCGTCAAGGGCAACTTCATGACATTGTCAGCTCGGCCGAAGACAGTGGAGCAAGGTGAATGGATTGCTCATCAGGGTAAAAGTACCGTATCAAGCTATTGTTACTATTACTAAGATTTTCGAATAGTCGTGGAGCATTATCGCAACCTCTGGAACTTTGTTCGAGTAATCCACGAGAAGGATGAAGATGGGACATCAGCTTGTAATCCCCGGACATGTCCCCGCATGTCAGCTGGCGAGTAAGTTACAAACTCTAAGAAATATGTCCACGATCTCATAGGTTTCGAAATAGTAACCACTCATTCACCTGGTTGAATTCCCGCAAAGAGCCCGTTGAAGTCCCCGCCTCCGAGTACATATCTCTCATGCAACGGTGGATATCAGGGAAGATCGATAATACGGCCTTATTCCCAACTGACCCAGCCGGTGTTTCTTTTGCACAAAATCCCAGCGGGCCCGCCATTGCTAGTGTTACATATCCTTCTGGTAGCCTTGATACCCCAGGCTCAAGCACGCCCATACCAGCTGGCCCCACCTCCTTGAGCGCTTCTCTCTCCCAGCTTGCCGGCCCTGGCGATTGGGTCGGGAAAAGCAGTGGTTTTCCCGTTGAGTTTGTTGACGTGTGCCAGACAATCTTCCGCCAGATGTTCCGTGTCTATGCGCATCTCTACTGGGCACATTTCGTCGATCCATTCTATCACCTTAGCTTGGAGAAGCCTCTTAACAGCTGTTTCAGCCACTTTATCCTGACCGCCACCGAAATCGATATGTTGAAGCCTCATGAGCTGGAGCCAATGCAACCATTGATCGACCTTTGGGCAGCTAATGGTACTTTCGCCAAGGAGTCAAAGGCTTACGCATGTGCCAACCTCAAATCCGGAGAACGCCTACTTCATCTTGCTAATAATAGTGGATAACCCACGAAGCAATGTCTCTTGGGTGGTATTGCACCTGGGCTTTTGCAAAGGGATGGTCTATGATTTACGCTAGCATTGAGATGGGAGGGAAAACCGTAGAATTGTCTTGCGGGCTGAAGTCATTGAATGAATTAATCTGTTTGCATGGTTTGAAGCGTTATCGCATTTTTCTGCAAGCATGGCGTTTTTGATTTCCAATAAGGGACGCACACATCTTAGCTAGAGATGACTACAACGGTCGAAAATGATCAAGCATCTGGATCAACTAAATCATTTGAACCACCTTGTCTCGTATGAACATCTATAGAGTGACATCATGATGTTTGAAAAACTACGCCTCCACTCACATCTCTCATCCTCTCGAAACACCTAAGCCACAACCTCACTGATCTTATACTCAACAACAGTGGGTTTCCCAGCCTCGACAACAAACCGTCCAGTACCAACATAAATCTTTTCCCCCATAGCCCTCAATTCATCGCTGCCGGTCTCGAAAGTTACATGCGTGGCTACCAAGATTAGCCCCACTTCCCACCATTTTCAAAAGTTTTAGAGCTTACCAACTTGTCCGAATTCGGTGGTCTTTGCATCTGGTGCGCCTCCCAAAACGGCGCCTATCTCAGGAGTAAAAGCAACAACTCCGGTATACTTAAAGGTAATGGTCGCGCCGCTTTTGTCTTTTAGGACGCTACTAACATCGAGGCGCTGATTGTAGTTTTCTTGTTAGCTGGGAGGCCTTCACAAAATATATAAAGACAATGGCAACCGGCATACTCCAAGATCATCTTTTCAAATCGAGACATTGAGCGATGGCATGTAAAGAATCATATCATCTGTTCCTACTGTCCAAAGGTGGGATATGGGTGGCACTTACCAAATGCTTCCCAGACGGATCCTGTCGGATGAAATCAAAGCCATGGGTAAACACCGCATCGACTTGGAGAGGATAACCAGGCTCGGAACGCAAGAAGCCATTGGGCACAGAGAATGGAGCGATGGTGAGAGGAGCGCCGTTAGAAACCGATCCTATGGAGACAGCAGGGTCAAGGACGACCTATGTATTGTTAGGTCACCAATTCCATTCCTTCTATAGGTTTAAAATGAAGTTCAGAAATCCGAGGAACTTGTTGTCTTGTTTGATCCAGTGGTGATTAGCACGTGGGGTGGAACCTACGTTGGTAAGAAAAGCGGGGATTAGCTTTGACATCTTGTGGGCTCTGGGATTATGGCTGGGGTTAGGCTTTGGGAAGATCTGATATAGATATCGAAATGGGTTGCGTTGGATTGGAAGCGGAATGAGGTTGGAAAGGTTTACGAGGGAAGAAAGTTTAAGAACTTCGTGTTTGCCCCTCTTTCAGTCGGGACGCCATGTAGCCGACCACCCTGCATATCGACTTCCGTTATGCCGCGGATAGTTCATAGTTCAACCAAAACAACATGTGCGGACAATAATGCGATTACAAGAAAGGATGATCAACATATGTCTATGATGGACTAGTCAATCACCCACCTAATTCCACCTCAGTCTGTAGGTCAATCAGAGCATGTAATAAATAGCGTTAAGGATTTCAACAGTTGTTTGCATTGAAATGTTCCTGCCGACAACGCCTCTGCTATGAGTTACAAGCACAGGGTATCACATCCATAATCTGCAGGTTCCATCCGCTCCAGCACTAACACACCAAGGCTCCCTTGGATGCCAGTCGATATCCATGACTCCCAAAGCATTCTTTACTTTGTGTCCTTTCAGCACCTTCACTGGCACAATCGTCGCGTTTTCCATCAGGTCACTGACCACCTTGCCATGGAAGATCTGCAGACTGCCATCATCACTGGCATCTGCAAATAATGGAAACCCGCCCTTGTGGTACTTCACTGCACGGATGGCTTTCGAATGAAACCTCATTGTCTTATAGGGCCTCGTTGAAAGATCGAGGTCATGCCACAAGAGACGTCGATCATAAGATCCAACAATGAGATTGTCTCCACCAGGGTGGATATCGAATGAGGAGATCCAGCGGGCGCCAGGTTGGATAATCTTGACAAGCAGCTGCTTTTGCAAATCATAGCTTCGAATGGTGCGTTGTGTAGCAACGAAGAAAAGAGGCCGAGAGGGGTGGAATTGTACTGTTTGCGCGATACCTGGAAGACGGCGGAATGGGATTTGGGTAAGATGTTTTGACAAAGTATGAATTGCGACGGCGCTCTTTTGAGCGGTCGGAGCCACGGTTGCGAAGAAATCCCCGCGACGATGCCAGGTGATAACTTTGACAGTAGTTCGTAATGTGATCTTGATAAGCACTCCCTCATCCTCAAGACGTGACCCGGGGCGAGTCCACTTGGCAACGGGCTCCTTCCTGGCACCGTTCGCAGTAAGTTCTTGGACCGCATTTGTTGCATGGCCAAAGCCTTTATCCAGAATCTCCCGACTTGCGACGTCGGTTTCATTGTCGACGATCGGTGGCACAAGAAGATATACGTCATCTCCAGCAGCTGCAGAAAGAATAACTGCATCCCTCCCTGGCCGCCATCTGACAGTGTTGACAGCCTCCTCGTCGCCGATTTTTGCACTCCATATTTGTCTCCCCGTTAGTAGCTCCCAAACGCGGACAGTTCCATCATCGCCACCACTCGCCAACCAGGAACCTGATGGATCAATCGCCAAAGACCGTACGCGGCCCTCATGACCACGGAATAATGTCGAGCACACAGTTGGGAATGGTTTGAGTTCTTCTGGTCTCGGTAAGTTTGGTAGCAATGATGCTGGGTCAATATTAAGTCTGTTCTTGCGGACCCGGGGAGCGAGGTACAAATCCAGAGATCTCTCAAACCGCTCATTGATGATTTTGTCGTATGCTGGAACTTTCCGAAGGGAGTCATATGCTGTGGGTAAATACTCCTTTTCTCTGTCTTCTGGATCGACCGATTCCCAAGCCTGTTTCTCTGCCTTTGTAGGAAGGTACTCGGGAGGTGGATTGTAACTCAAGTCATACCCGGGAGGCGGCATTTTAGGTGCTGGGATATTCATGATATGGTCTGGCCGTGGTTGCTCATCCTGCCAAATGTCATAGTGCTTCTCTTCTTCCTCCTCCTCCTCACGCTCTTGGGGTGGCTTATATGGCAGGATTCTTCCTTCTCTTATGGCCCGAACAATCTTCATTACCCTCTTCGCTTCATGTTTTGATGGAAGGAATCGTCGTTTTGGTTCAGGAGCAGCACTCAAAGGCATGGTTTCTTCGATCCCAGTGAAATATTCAACGGTTGCCTGCGAGAGTCAGTATATAATCCTTGATTTGATTTACGACCTTCAACTTACAGGATAGGGGTCGTAGCCCTCCTCAGGCACCTCATTCGTTTGTATCCTCCGCAAAATTTCTAACTCTTCCTGGCTCAAATTGAGGGGCTTCCCTGTAGCCGGATCTGTAAGGCCAGTCCACCCTTTGGGAATGTCTATGCTGTCTAGTAGGGCATCTAAAGCCTCGCCCTTTGCCGGCCGCATAATCCTCTTGCCATTGATATCATATCCGATATGAGGATACGCATCATAGAAAGACAAGGGAATATCTCCAATAGTGTTCGTGGGGATTATTGCGTCGGAGTCGTCGGAGTCATAGACTGGGTCTATTTCGTCGTAAACGTATCTCTCTCCCCCATTTGCATCTTCGACAACCGTATAATTTGGCGTATCGTCTTCCTCATCCAGAAGCTGGTGTCTTATCGTGAGGCTTTTTGAGACCAGCGAGGAGCCATTGCCCTTGGTTAAATCTCCATTGGGCTGCTTCGTCTCAGGATCGCCATTCTCCGAGGGTATCTCATCACTATCAAGGGCTTCAAGCTCTTCGATATCATCGATTTCCTCTCCTTCGCTATCTTCCTCGTCGCCAGTATCTTCCTCAGAATCTTCGTCCTGGGAGAGGATACCCTCGAGCAGCCCATCTCCAAATTCGGCTTCCGAGTCCACATCCGATAATTCTAAAGCATCGCGGGTAACCGCTTTGCGCTTTCTGTCGAGCGTTGCGGGCGCCATAACGTAGACTGGGGATTTCACGGGTCCTGAAGATTTTCTGAAATCTTTTTATCGGCATTCTCGCTATCGCCAGGAGCCTTACCTAACCTTGAGCTTATCGCATCCGCTAGCGCGATTAATGCCACCGTGGGCCCGCCTTGGACTACTCCGTAGACTCCTGATCGACCTCAACGGAAGCCTACGTCAAAGCCAAAACCACAAGTTACCACCCGCAATACGCTGATGTCCGATTTCTTTAACCAGTTCTTAACATCTCTAGACCTTGATCCCGTGGCCTGCGGCGCTATAACCATGTCTTCGGCGTCGGCTCCAAAAGACACGAAGGTCAAGCATCGCGCCTGCGACGAGTGTAGTAAGCAGCACCATCCGCACATAAAGGCATCGCACTGATCAAATCACTAATCAACTCAACTCAGGAAATCGCAAGCTAGCTTGCTCAAAAGACCCAGATGGCTGTCAGCGTTGCAAGCGAGAGAACATCGTATGCCATTACTCCGAACAGAAGCCTATGGGACGACCTAGGAAACGGCAGTTTATCGAGACGACCAGAGACGACCCTATGCCCGATCCAACTCTACACTCACTCGATCTTGGACCACTACCATTCGTCGCCGATGATCTCGATTTTTATAATTATGATGGCGCAACAGCTGAGCCATACTATACGAACACACAGGCGGCTCGTGCGGTTCCCGCCGAACCTGCCAAGCCAGGAGTTGCTTCACAGATTGCGAATGAAAACGCTACATGGCACTTCAAAACTAGCAACATCCTCGGGACTGCTCCTATTGATTTTACAGATATGGATTTAGGTCCTACGGGTGGGGCGAATCCAATCTTCGATCAAGTGCCACCGCTAGCGTCAGCAGCCTCGAATGGCTCCACGCCTGAGAGCGGGGATTCTCCTATTGCAAGCACGGGATCGCCCTGCAGCTGTCTTGCCACTATGTATCTTTCATTATCCTCTCTTCAACAGTTTCCATCGGATGTTGTTTCAGCCCTGAACACTGTTCGCGGAGCAGCAAGAACAGCTTCAAATGCTATTTGGTGTGCCAAATGCGGGTCTTCCATGATGCAACAGCGCAAACCTGCTATTGACGCTTTTCAAAATACCATGTTGGTCGGAACGCTATTGCCGGTTATTGCTCATGGCTATCATAGATTGTTGAAAATGATCGATGAGGAAACAGATGCAGCAGTGGCTGCGGGTCAAACGAAAACATTTAGGTTTCACGATTATGGAGGGCTCTGTGCTTACCAAGATTCAATTATGGGGGAAATGGCCTGCATAGAGAAGGAATTGATGTTTAACGCCGTGGAGATGCCGCCCGTACAATGGCGACAGACCGTCCGGGCTTTGTTGCGTGTGGACATTTATGGGCATGAGCAGGGCAATTTCCAACATAAAGGTTTGAAAGATTTGGTTACACAAATAGAGAGTCGCCAGAAGCTTCGCCATGAATGGCTTGATGGTTTAGATGATAACGGCACGCCATTTGGCCCGAGACTCTGCATTGGAGAACAGACCCATGGCTGCATACAAATACTGGAGATGGCGAAACTTGCAATCAACAATTTGGTAATTGCCTAGATTCCGTTCCTTTGAATCGAGCTGGGCACTTCTTCAATTGCAAAAAGCTAGTCACATCCAGCTCTCTACGGTCGCGCCTGAAGGGTACGTTGGAACAATGAACATGCCCACTGCTCCTCCGTCTTATACTATGTCCTTCATTTCCCCGGCTGAGCATGCGATCCGGATAGGACTACCAATTTTGGAACATCTTGGTGGGGTAGGAATTCTGTTGTTGGACAACTGTACGAGGGTAGTCTTCACCGTTCAGCTCGGGGCATCATCGTTGAGCTATCGTCGATGTGCACCATAAAGTACCCTAGGATAACTAAACGAAAACTCTCTGTTCACAGCTTAGCTCTCAGCACGCAATAGACGGAGCTCGAAGAGAATAAGAGCCATACTCTGCTGCCGCCATATTTTTTAAGATGGAATTAGCACAGCCAAGGAAGCCAAACCTCGAGATAAATTGTGGCTTGGAGGTTAGGAAACGAGTGATGGCGGATGGGTATGCGATTTAGAAGGGTTTTCCGACAACCTGCTTGGATAAAGTCTTCGAGCTTCATAGTTCATATCCTGTGTACGAGGTATAAATGACTCCTAGTTAGTCTACCTTCCGTCCGGCAGTGGACTAAGCGTGTGGGAAGGGCCTCGTCCCAAAAGGAGAGCACCAACATGCAAGCAATCAGGGCTCCATTTGTTGGTTTGTCTAACCTGACCTGGCCCAGGTCCCGTTGCGGGATTTAAGGTTAAAAAATCTGACAATCATTGTCTCATCCTCCTTGGGTTCATGGAACCGGCAATCCCTACCGCTATGACTTAGTTCCAACGCTGCGCCATGCAATTGTGGTCTATAGGATGATAGGATCAGTCTCATTGCGAGCTCGCGTTAATGCTGTTTCAATTAGCAGGAACGCAAATTCCTTCTCGTGGAAGCGGCCATGAAGGATGTCGCGAGTTCACGACCATGCATGCCAAAGCTGTCCTTCCAAAAATAGTGCTTGGAGATCCTCAGAGAGAGGATCTATAGATCCTGGGGTGAGCGCAGAATCATAAGATGTTAATCGAAAATGCGCATCAGAAATACAGGACTCGCGGCGGTGACGTATTCTCAATTAGGCATCCGATTTTGGAATTACGCCTGTCACGGTCACTATCCCATTTTCCAACGGTTGCTGGGCCTATCTCGTGTTATCCTTGCAGGTTGTATCCCACTTAACGCAAGTTTGAGGCACGTTCATTCTTGCGGTGTACTCGCTCTCAAGGACCATGATTCTACTAGGAGACTAGGAGCACGCATCGGTACACGAGGCAACGGCCTTTATTTGGAGGAGACAAGTCAATTGATGGCAAATGTTGCAACACGTTTGAAAGGTATTCTTGCGTAGGCGGCGCAGATGGCGTTTGTACCTCGTTCTCCGCATAGTCGAGTTATTTCAGGAAGCTCGTCACGCAGGCCACATCACCACCACAGGTGAAACATATTTATAATGCAAACTGCAATGCATATCGTTATCGGTTGGTAACATAGCGCCGTCGATCTCGCTCAACTTCGGCTCAAGCAACCTAATAATCTTCCCAGGTCTCTTTAGACCCATGTATAGTACTCGGTAGTGTCAGCCTGTCGCGCCGCTCTAGTACGTATCCTTGCCCTGCCGAGTTCAGTACCAAGGTATTAATGCTATGAATTAGCTGTGTTTTCTCTAGTACACAGCCCACCCAGTTAACAGGAGCGAAACACAACGCCCTGGTTCAAAATTACTCTAGCACCTTGCATCAACTGCATAGAACCATTCAACACCAATACTCCGTAGTGATTTCCAAGAATCGCCAAGCCATTAAGCCTACTTGATTGGCGATCCCTTTCTGTCATTGGGACTTTACTGCGGAGCACAATTCTAGGATGCCGGTATGTCGTCCCGAATGGCCTTGGTTGGCTTCCACAGCATTTAATGGACACGAAATTCTTATATGCTACGTGTGTGCATCGATGGCCCAGTTGCGCCATCCCATGCTACACTGGAGGCTCCCTGAAGAGTTGACGAAGAAAGTGATTCAGTGATATTCTTCCTGGTTTCTGGTAGTCATCTGCCCATGTACGTGTGTACCGTCTATTCTATTATTGAACTTTCGTTATTCCCCAATCCCTTTTGATATTCCAGACGCCCTCGCTATGCCCTTCCTTGTTTGCCTAACTTCTACGTAGTACAAGATCCCTCAAAAACGTCCTCACCACTCTGGTAGAAGGGGGTCTCCTCTCTGTCGCCGCCAATCGTTTGCCCGATTGACCCAGTCCCGCCCCAGCAGCCACCCCCAACGCTCAAGAATGCCCTGTGAAAATTCCCAAGACATCTCATTGAGCGCATCATCTCCCCAGATGGTCAGCTGTTCCATACCCTCTCGTTCAGTCCCCGTGATACCAATCTCTGTAACGAAGCTTTGGGCGACATCCGGAGTGACCGTTAATAGCCTCTCTCGCAGGGAAGGCGATGCTATCATGTCGATACCCCAATAATGCGGTGTTTCCAGCTGTGCTTTGCTTGGTTTCAACGCACCTGGTAAACTGGAGCTCAAGGATCGTAAAACCGCAAGATGTCTTTCCGGATTTGAGGTGATAGACGGATCAGAGTACAAGGGCTGGAATATCTGATTGATCTCGGCTCGGGCAGTGTTTCGGTCGTGAGGAGCAATTACCAGACTGCTTTAGCGATGTCAGTAATGGCGAAAAGTAGGCCAGGCAAGCTTGCTACCATACTTTGGATGATCCCTGTGATGGCTTCGTGGCACTTGGGTTGATTGAGCCTCGGATATGTTCAAAGACTGAAAATGGGTTCCCATTGCAGGTCCAGAACTTCGAAACCCTGATGACTCAGGTGAGCTTTGTGAATTGTGACGGAGCCCGGATGGATGTACCATTGAATATGGCTGAGATGACATGGCTGAGTGGTCGGTGTATGCTGACATGCTTGGGACTAACATGGACGACGTTAGGGAAAGAGATGACAATGGCATCATATCTGAAGCCAAAGATGCTGGAGGGCTGGCGGTTCCCGGGAGCGAAGCCCCTGAGACCGAGGGAGAGAGCGAGTAAGCGCGACCTTCGCCTGATACATTGATCGGTGCAGCTAGCAGCGCGTGAGAGGGTGGCGCTGAATGACCATAGAGCTGCGTTCTGAGACCTTCATTTTCTCGGCGAAGTTCATCGTTTTGATATCTTAGGCGTTCAATCTCTTCTGATTGCACCGAGTTTTGCTCCCTCTGTGCCTGTTCAAGATTTTTAAGGTGGTCCTTTCTTCGGCGGCCTAGCAATATGGTTAGTGGGGGGGAACATATGGGTGTCTCTTGGGGGTGGGGGATATATCTTACGGAATTCGCGTTGAGCAAGTCGGTTGTACTGGGACTCTATGTTAGTCTCTTCGTATATACATCATGTATTCTCATCTGGATATATATACCTCGCGCTTGCGCTCCTCCTTATCTGCTGCTGAGTCCATACTTTGTTGCGGCCTTGTCTTTTAATAGGTTCCTCGTATCAGTATCGCCTTGAAGATCTGATAACCTTTCTTTTTCGCTTCTTCGCTTGATCATGGCGGGGCGGGAACGTCGCCTATTAAAGTATTCTGAGATATCTAGGAGAGCAGGAGGAAGGACGTGCTTGGAAGACGTTGATCCTACAAAGCACAAGATGGCGCCGATGGCAGATCAGCGCCCCTGCTCCTGCTCCTGACCCTGCCCCTTCCCACGCCTCGCTCAAGCGCGCTAGCGCCGCAAATTACTCGATCGGGCCAACTGTTAGCCCCCAGCCTCCAGACATATACTCCCTTCGAAGTAAGCATCGCTGTCACTATGTACCGGCTCGTGCGGTACCTACGGACGTTTTATTAAGCTACAGACCTTACGTGGGCTAGTTGGGGTGGACGCAATCTGGCATCTCCTGCAATGCAACCGCCATCTCCACACCAAAGCTTCCAAGCAGTCCACGCTTAACAGTAGTCAACCTGACGAACACACATCCATCGTCTGTGGGTGAGCTAGGCAGCCGGTCTGAGCCTCCCTGGAGCAGCAGGGGGCCCTCCCTATGGAGATATTCGGCATTCCATAGGGCTAGGGGCTCTGGGACTCGAGGGCGATCCTCTCGAGCCGGTTCCTTGCCCATCGTCAGCCACGCGAGGGGACATCAGAGGTCAGAATATGGTATTCCGGCCAACAGGAACCTTAAAATCTTGGGACCGGCATCCATGCTCGGGGCCTTGTGGGAGCTTGGTGCTTGGAGCTTGGAAGAGCCCTGAGGATGGGGATGAGGACGAGGCTATGGTCGAGGCGGCGAGGCCGCCCAGGCAAACCCGCCCAGACAAATGGAGCGCGAATCGCGAGTGGGTCCTTGTGTTCTGATAATAGATCGGGACAACGCCATGAAGAATTCAAATTGAACCTGTTATGGGAGGATGGCCTGAGGACCTGGAATCCTAGAGAGATACTTCGCAGGTCTATGAACTTTGCGCCTAGGTAAGCTCACGTTGCTAACACAGATCAGATAGTGACAGACGACCGCACTCCTGAAGCATGGTCATATCAAACGATCCTGCTATATCTGCTATGTCTGCTAATTTGGGTGATTGACCTCGACCAATCAAACGCCCGTCCTCGTGTCCTGGAACAACACATGAGAAATCCATGGTATGCAGATGCAGAGACAGCACGACGACAACTCTGTACGTAGAACTAGGCAGGCGTTTCTATTCCATCGCCATGGGATCTTGAATTAATGTCGGTGACGACGACGACGCACTCTATCGAACGCGACCCTGATCCAACGCACCCTGGAAACAACTGTGAAGCTCTGTGAATCACAGTGATGTTGGGGTATAACAGGGCGATGCGCATGATCTTGGGCCTCATTCACGCCACAGCATTAGCATCCGCAATCCCAAGAAGGAGTCGTCCGTGGCGTAGTAGGTATCAGTGTAGGTTTTGCTGGCTGCATCCCGACAATATTCTACCACCGGCCGGGAACCTCTCTGCAAAAGATCGTACGGAGCACGAGCACGAGCACTCTGCCGAGGTCCCCGAAAAGCTCGGCATGCGCTCCGAGGTGATGTGGATTGGTCAACGTTTACGAGTCTCCTGCGGTTAAGACTTAAGGTGTTCTGTTCCACAAGAAAAGAACGCATGGCCGGAGTATTGAGTACAGAGCAGTGCTGTGACACCCTCACACCTATGATCAACCTGCGGCTACTGCACCGAAGCTTCCATGGCACATGGCACATGGGCCCCTAGACCGGAATCGAGACACGAGTTGCCTAGTTTTGGTTCACAGCAACGGCCAGTTCGACCTCTAATAATAGGCAATGTTTTGGTCGTTCCACAACTTAAAAGCTTATTATATGTCTACTTAAACACCGCTCTTGAATTGTTCCTCTTCCTGAAGAAACGCTCTACGTCCGCCGGTGACTAACGAGGACGACCAGACTGAGCAAGAGCTGCCAAGAGTGGCTATCTAACGCCGTACTATCAAATACTAGCCTATTATCGATTTACAAGCCTATGAGCAAAAGGATCCAAACCAAAGGACGGGCGTAATAACGCCTTCCCCGGGCTACAGCCCTGTAGTGTGCGGCTCAGCAGGGCCAACACATGGCAAATGCCGCCACCACCCTGACCGTGACCGTCACCGAAACTCCAAGTCTTTTGCAGTCTCAGTTAGGTAGTTACACCGTTTCAAGTTACCGATATCCCTCAGACCCTGTGGAATCTCCATCTTGGGATGCCGGTGAGTTCAGACGTAACGCTCTTGGGAGCTTGCCAGGTGAGCATTGACTCGTGGACAGACCTGGGGCGCAGCGGGCCGTATAACTGCATCAGGCAATTGAGGCAAGGGGTTTGATGCTATGAAGCCAAGAGAACACTCTCTCGGTACAAAATTTTATTTATTATTTGGAATTGAACGATGAGCCCAACTTGAAACGCAGCCGCAGTTGTTTGACGCCCATGCGGGGATCGTCCGATTATCTGAAGATGGCTGACTGTGGCGGTCGAATCGCGTTTCAACTCTATCTTTAAAATCAGATGCCGAATTTAGTGCGAGATTGATCGAATCTCGTATTCTGTCCAATCCGACAATGCTCATGACCCTGACCAGATAATTGTCTTAAGAAATATGAAGCCAGTAATATAAAGCAATTGTCGGCTCTAGTGAACCCCCTATCGGCACGCCCTTCCGCCAGGGGATAACCGGGGGGGGACATATTCCCCGGCCAGTGGTTATTGGATTTTTGGCCGCGCAGGTGCAGATACCTTTCCTACCTAGGCACAGCTTGCGAATGGATGAATAGGGGCTCTTATGAAATTATATTGTAGAAACAAAGTGTTTCAATTACGTAATAGGCTTACGACCCCTATAAGATGATTCTACTGAACCATCATGGTTGTTAGTTAATAGGGCATTTATACATAATTTGAAGATCAATGCCCCACATACATTTCCATGCACTCGACGAGATTGTGACCTGGCATAGCCACTGCGGCAATGTTTTCAGGAATTGTCCCTTGCGTACTTCGTACGCAGCATTGGTATTTGATTTACTCATAGCGATTCGTAATGAAACCATAACCCTCCTGTGGGATAACGCAGGGTAGTGCTTATTTCTTTTTATGGCAGGTAAGTGGGGGGTGCGGTTCCATTAAGGTTAATTCTGAGGGTCTCTTACTTCGTATCACTAGAATGTCATGCCTATCCAGAATATGCTTTCGCAACCGTCACAATAAATTTTTAGAGGCAGCTATCCTGTACTATGATCGCTATACCATGCACTAGGCACCGTTGTTGAAAACCGAACGCCGCGGTTTTTTAACTCCCCAACGCTGTTCTATTCGTTTTCTGGCGTTGAGGCCGAGAACAATCATCAAAATCAAAATCAAATATGTATATCCCATCGCTATGTGCAAAACCTGCGTGAAGGCAGAAACGGTCATATACTTCGTCAATCGCTGAGAAGGAGGGCTATCCAGGTTCAAGATTCCTGAGCCCATCGTCGCTCTCTAAGAGGCATATCTCGCCCAGAAGCCGCTCGACTTCCATCACACTCTTCCCTCCATGCCCAGTATTCGCTCAGTCTGATCTCTGCATATGATGCATAGTCAAAGTCGATTTGCGAAATGGTGGCTTGGATGAGAGCCCAGATACCCCAATAGAACCCGGGGATCCCTCGGAAGACATCTACTTCCTCGAAAAGTCGATTGACCTCAGTTTCCTCATCATTATCGGCTTGGCCACTTTTCAAGTGGGTGAAGTAGCTTCGGATGTATTCACGTATGAAATCGCGCCTCTGGGACTTTGTTGGCAGTAGACTATAATCGCACTCGAATCCACCCCATTCCGCAAAGTGGTTAGCAATGTCAAATGCGGCAGGTGAGGGTGTTGCATATTCGTAATCGATGAAACTGACTGTCTCTGGCGCGTTCGGTTCTGCTGCTCCTGCTGGACGGGGCCGCACGATTACATTACCACTTAATAAGTCGCAGTGGGCAAATACAAGCTGGATCACGTTAGTGCAGGTTCTTAAGATACAATGAGTAGACCCCGGAGATCCAATTAGGCAGTCATTTGCGCCTGGGTAGGCAAATACAACGGCGAAGGAATTGCGCGTAATGTGTGGCAAGAAGAACTCACACTGTCTTTTCCTAGACCTGGCCGATTGCTAAACTCGCTAACCAGTTTAGTTAATTCCTTTTGGAGGTTTGCTTGTCGAGCTTTTTGTGCTTCTGTGGAGACTGGGAGTGCGTATATCCATTTCTGCATGACCGTCCAGACATTAGGAGCCGGCTTTCCCGGAGCAGCGTTATCAATGGCTGCCTGCAATGCAGGATCTTTTTTACTGGGTGTTGGTGCAGATATTCCAAGCTGCTCGCTCCCATTAATCTCGGTGGATAGGGCCTCCCTTGCTGATGCTATACATGGTACCACGGCATGCCATTCTGCCAGTCGTCTCGCTATAGCTCTCCAGATGTCCTGTGTTTGGAAATCTGCCGGACTTGTCACAGCTCCACGAATGAAACGGTATAACATCCCATTGTGGAATCGCGCTAGTAATTCTGGGGCAAGATTGTGTTGCATGAGCAATTCATGATTTTGAGTTTCCCGTTCACGATCAATGATCAGATCGGTGCCCTTCCCATACGCCCTCAGCAGAATTGCCTCATTGTCTATCTCCTCTGCGGAAAGCCCAGGCTTCTTATTCACAATTTTCAACAGTGTGTTCGTGATGCCATCGGTGAACCGTATGAACTCGATTTTCCCCCCATTATGTTCCCATTCGGGCCGGAGGGTAAGAATGAGGCGTAGAGCCGTGGTTTGCGATTCGACTTGGTTATAGCTGAGAGGTATAAATCGAACCTTGCCAGTACTCGCCCCTAGCTGAGATGGTCCCCCCATTGCTGCTGGTTGGCGTGTGTGCGTGGGCGCAAAAAAAGTCGGTGAAGGATGTTATAACAGAACCCTACAAAATATCAGTATTAAATGTGGAAAATACAGTTCTAAAAAACTCACTAATAACCTATCTGAAATATAGGCAGGACCAACCCACTAATTCTAGCAATATACTTTTCGTGGTCTTGTGCGCGCTTCGTGGGATAAACTATTAAGGGCGGGTTCAGGAAATGGACGCTCGAGAGCTTCGGTCACACAATCCTATTCCAACAGCGGGAGCCCAGATCTCCACCACAGCGCGATTTAAACAAGAAGTCTAGTACCTGTATACGCAGAAGTTGCAACAGAGTTGTGCAGTTGCAGTTGTTGACGAGTTGGGGTTTGAGAGAAGCGATGGTGGGGTCAAGTGGCAAAACACCATGCAGCCAATGGCGCCGGCATACAAGGATATTAATATGAATTTCCGGAACTAATCTTGGATATGCAGGACTGGACAATTCGGGTTGTTGATGCCGAAGAGTGTTGTTGCTTTTTCTTAGAACGGGCTGCACGAGCGAAAACAAGGGAAATTGTAGAGAGTTTAAAGGGGTCTCGTGCTTGCTTTCTTCTTGAAGTTGGACTTGAAGGGTTGAGCGGGGGGCTAGACCGTTTAGGCTTAGCTCAGGACTGGACGTTCTCAGGCACTCGTGCCCCCACACCATTACTTCGTATAAGTACGAAATACCTACGTATATCAAGTTAAAATCTCTCGCTGTCCCACAAGAGTATAAAGCACAGAACATCCACTACGTATTCCGTAGATGTGAGCCGGCTCCAGCCTGCAGGTATTCGGGATCTGGCAGGTGCTTGTATTTACAAGACTCTGGGGAAATCTTGGGCACTAAACCAAAAAGGAATACGTCGTAGTCATACGTGGGGGGCTGAGTCTCATAGGAGTGTTATTATCACACTCCAATGCCATGTACGCTAGGTACACTCCACTACCAAGTCTCGGTCAGGTGACCGTTCGCCCACCGCACTTTTCGCGTACCTCCAACTTCCATACAGAATTATATTGCAACTCCGCTCTATGTAAACGGCTCCTCGCCAAATCACAACTATAATAAGCGAAGCGAAGGAGAGGAAAAAAGTAGTATATGTTAAAAGGGCAGGTAAATAAGCAAAAATTATAATATACTATTACAGACTCCGGAAGCAAAAAAGTTCGGCCTGGTCGATTGCCTACATCTCTTGTCGATTTTTGTTGTTGTCGTGTTTTTGTCGTTTTTTGGGCCTATCGATCCTCTCCAGAAGACAATTTGACCTGAACCACTTAGCTAAGTGGCCGCCTGTTGTCTTCCTTAACCACCAAATCGCTTGTTTTAATTTATATAGACAGGTAGGTAGACCAGTGGAAACTTATAATCACGTGATCAATATCATTTATTACAGCTTCGATCGAATTGCCAAGTTCAAAACGGACGATAGAAAGCCCCCATATAATCCTCCTGAAACGGCGTTTGTGAACCTGTTCCTACCATATTCGAGCCGTGACTCGTCATCATAGCAACCACGCTCGTTCAATATCTCAAGCCTCTCATTCGCCATCTAGGAAGTATAATTATCAGAACCTCTTGGTAGATAGTCGATATTCCTCAGGATCTTGGGTTTAAATCAGTCGTTATTACAGTTGTACCAACTTTGTTTGTAGACCAGCCTCCAATTCGTAGGAACGCTATACTTGAAACTTGAGATTATCTCGGGGCATTGATTTATATTAGCATGTGTACTCGCTCCTTTCCTCCTGAACTATACCACTTCCATGATTCATTACCATCAATTGTACATCAAATACGACACGAAGCACCCGGTATCCATCGCAGACCCATAATAACCAAACCACAACCAAACTAGTCACGGCTAATCATAAGGTAGCCGATTTGCCACGAGGTTCAAAATGCAGCTAAATATACAAGCCAAGGTTAGCCTTGACACCCTATGCATGTTCAACATAGCCGATGCAAAGAACCCGCTGATCATAGTCTGAACAACGAAGTTTTGGCCCTCGGTTTGTGGATGCAGACATGTGACTAGGTAGCCCCACGAGCAATGGATCACAGCCAGAAACCACAATTATATAATTCCTATTTTGTAGCCAAGTGAATATGTGCTTAGAAATGGAACTAAGATGCTCTTCTGGTCAGGAGAGCACTGAGTTTCGGTGGCCGCTGGAACATTCAAGCTTCACTGACCAGCTAGCTTCTGTTACAAAGGCCGCCAAGCCATAAATATACACGATGGTATCAGTCTGCCTGGCAATCTCCTAGGCACGAGCTATAGCATATCTTAAGGATTTAGAGAATATTCCATAAGTAGCACTGTCCTAGCACTACCTGGCGAGCGTGGCTCTTCTTTGATGGTCACATAGCCATACTTCTCGTAAAGGCCTTTGGCAGCCGCATTATCAGAATCCACGACAATGCTTGCAACATATTCCTTATCAGATTTCGCGGCCTCGTCCAAGCCAAACTTTATACCCTTCTCTATGAGTGCTTTCGCAACCCCACGTCCTCGGACTTCCGGCGCTGTGAATATCCCATCTATGCGGGAATGCCAGTACCTAGGCTCCTCGCCGGCGAGGGAGTTCTTAGGGTAGGTTGCTGGAGGAGATCTTTGAGAATAGCATATTGTCAGAACAAAGTATTTTGCGTACATGTATATGAGTATCATCACGTAGCCCAAATTCCATGAAAAGACCTCACCAATGTCCACTGATGTTCGAAAATACTCACTCGTCAGGGCGAAACGGCAGAGGGCCAACGACAGTTAGGGTGCCCACAACACAATCCGCCTGGAGGGTGATGAAAGTGGTGGCTTGAGGATTGGCCAGACGACCATACCACATGTCATCGGTGAAGGCGGCCTCTCGCTCATACGTCGAGCCAAACATCTCTGGGGCTAGTTGGAGCGATAGAAGCCGGAAATTCTTGTAGCGTTCGACATAGGCTCTTATGCCCGCATCACTGCGCGGGACTTGGATGGTCTCGAACGCCATACTAACCAGCGCCACGGACGAGAACCAGAAACTCTGGCAAACAGAAGATCAGAAATAGATGTAAACAAGCGAGACACATAGATCATTGTTTCGACACGCGCCATGAGTGAGCTCGGCAGCCCGGGGGATACGGGGGGGCCCTGTATGTCTTGGGATCAGCCGCCCGTGAACCTCTCGCACAGTCGCGACCTCGCCAGCTGGCGGCGAGGCTGCAGGTTGGAGTATTACAAGGCGCTTGCAGACATGAGAAACGATTATTTCCCGCTGGACATGTATATCTGTTCATGCCCATGCCCAGCAAGTAGAATCGCTCTCCCCATCCCAATACTACCTATACCCATCGAACCGGAGCATCATGGATAGAGACGGCGTATTCGCAGACTTCGATGACGAGAAAGTATACAGCACGAGCCGAAAATATGCCCTGGATGGATCGACGAAGAACTTTGTCGTTGATTTTGGGAAGGACTCAGCTCAAGTCGCGTTCGACCTTCAGAAAATCGACTTTGAGATCCTGTTGAAGGCTGAAAGGCCTAAGCAGCGACCTATTCGATGGATGTATGTAAAGTAGTAGTTACCTGCCCGTCCAGTTTCAGCGCTAACTGCTGTGCGCTTCACAGCAATATATGGGGACCCGATACACAACGAGAAGAGGTGGCATATATAGGCCGGCAATATGGCTTCTCCCCGAGACTCCTCGCAATTATGGTCACAAAACCCGAACGGGAGGACACCGAGGGTATTACATCAGATAGACACGGCTTGAGACAGAGGATGCGCCATCGAGATGATGTAGAAGTTGGGACGGCCTCCGGAAACAATGGCCCCCCTCCTCTCGAACACTACGACGCGAGTCATTACTCTATCGTGAGGCAGATGGTCAACTATCATGCCGTTGATATCGGCGCAAAGTGTAAGCTTGAAGAATTTCGAATTCTGGCTGAAGCTAATTATGTACCAAGTCCTCTGTATAGGTGCGAACTGGATGCACCAAAAGAGGCGGAAATCGGAAAGCGAAGACGATGATCATCGGTTTGAAGACGAGGGGCAGCAGCGTCGTTTATATTCGTGGCTAATACTGTGTGATGATCGTACGAACTAGACACAACGTGCTGTCTTTAGCTATCAACTGACTGTGTCTAGATACTATCATATCTTTACATGAGAGCCAAGCACAGATAAACAATGCAGACGACCTGAAATTGGTCCGGGCCAATCTCTTCAGCGTCTTTAGCCAGGTATCTAAATGCCACGACCCGCCTAATAACCCCATATCAATGCAGACGGTTCGGGATGCCTTAGGGTCGAGTGATAGTTGGGGGATAGACGGCGCAAGCAATCTATTCTACTATCTTTTCGATGATTGGCGGGCGGTCTATTGTACTGTTGCAGTGTTTCAAAAAAAGCTCAGGGGCTTGGTATGTTTTCTCCCCAGTTCAAAGGAAGGGCATGTGTTAATTTCCACTAGCGAAAGGCAATACTCTTAACCACGGTAAGATATACCTCCAGTATTTGATTAGTGTTACTAACCCCATCAGAGTAAGAGCTCTGCAGGTCCAGCAGACGCCGATATTATTCCAAACCTGCACATGCTTGGTGGGCAAATCCGACAGATGCAACACGTATACGAAGGGTACAAAAATCTCATCCAACGCATCCTAGAACCAACTACAAAACAAGCCTCTGGTTACGGCGACACAACCCCTACTTCCCCTACTATAAATAGATTCTTGCAAATACGTGGCCGCCAAGGTCCACCGCTTGCCCGCTCAGCTATATCACGTTTTGAACGGCTCGGTGACCGGTTGGTACTACTAATCTTGAGCGAGACAAAAGAGTTTCTAGCGGAGAAGGACGCGCTCACAAGCACAGTGAGCATTCGCCGTTCTAGTTATAAAAATTCCCGCGGTGCTAATGAATCATAGTACTTCAATATCAATGCCCAGAAAGATTCCGAGGCAACAGCCCGCCTTACCCGCGCCGCGGCCTTGCTGGCAAAGCTCAGTGTATTGTTCCTGCCCGTCAGCTTGATGACTAGTTATTTCTCCGTCAACATCGAAGATCTAAATGGGGTGTATACCACGCAGGATTATTGGTACGCGTTTGCCGGGATCATGAGCATATCGTTCCTCTTCTTGTTCTTTTTGGGCAAGTTGCTGGTTGACATTACGGAGCTGTTAGATAGTTGGATGAAGAAGGCTAGTCGAGGATGTAGGAGATTTCTTGGGCAACGCTTGCCAAGAAATAGCAAGAATGCATAGGCCGGGGTTTCTAGGGCGCATTGTAGAATGTGTTTGCTTCATCGTGGCTATGGGATGGAATCGGCGTCACGGTTGAAAGGATTGTAGTATACCATTCTGTTATGGAGTATAAGTCAATATTTTAGGTATTCATAATTTGAGCTACTTAAACATTTCATCGTGATATAAGGTCATATTTTAATTTCTGCACTTTTAGCTGGCTACCATATTAGCTCAGTCCAAATCCCTCGTTTACTAAAGTCAAAAACACTATATGTCTGCTTGACACATCAGGCTTCAACAGCGTGCCCAACCTTCTCTCGAAGCAAAACATTAGTGAAGGGGGATTCGGAACCAATAACCTGGTCTCGGTTGAACCCTACCTAGTAGCTAACCGAACATTTTAATTAAAAAAAATGTGCCCAGAAGGAAACCCATCTGAAACCGTAGCCAACAAATGCAAAAAAGAATCGACGTTGACAGGACTCGAACCTGTGCCTCCGAAGAGAACAGCTTTCTAGGCTGTCGCGTTAACTGTGAAATTGTTAACATATTGAACGGCGGGTGTAATGTGATGGAGTAGCTTACCCACTCCGCCACAACGCCTGTGGTGATTTTGTTGAGGGAATTTGCTTATTTAAATCTAATAAGCTGAATTTATGTGGGGGGAGTGGGGTGACCTTTCGAGTTTCCGTGGGCTCGGTCCTGCGAGCATACAATATTTAAATAAGTCTTCTGGAGTGCGCAGTAAACCTCTCAAAACCATAGACTATGGACGTATTAAATGCTTTGGAGATAATTAGATTCATCTATCTGTACAATGGAGTTTGAATGTGCATTCAAGTATGGCATTGTTGGGTACCTATCCACGTTGCCAGTGCTCTCTCTCTCTCTGCCCCGATAGTCTTTCCGAACCCCACAAAGTGTCTCATTCCGGGATTCTTTTATGAGGCGTCATATGGCCACGAAATAACCGATATATCCTATTCATTAGATTAAGAACAGAGAACATGACCCCTTTCGTCGCTATGCACTGTGCTTCGATCAGCTGGGCGCTGACCCGTGGTCCAGTGATTGGACCATATGACTCGGGTTTCGATGACGATGATGACCCGGAGTGTGGCATTCCTAAGGTACCTAGTGTGCGTGACCTACTATAGTATGTTGAAGGCAACAACAGAATAAAAAGTATTGAGCAGCAAGTATAGGAAGCTATCAAAACCCTGGAATATCTACACTACACTTGTTGCTCGATGTTAATGTTCCAGAGATCTTTGTTTCTTCTCACCTCAAATCCAAGCATTGTTTGCAGGGAATCTCAGGCAGTGCCGAAGGGAACGCTCGGGGCTAGACCAGACCTCGAGATCTTTTGGAGTCGGCGTCATAGTCCTTCTATATTACCTACCTATCTATTATCTATATTATACCGGAACTCGCGTACTGTAGCAGCCGAACTCCCACAGGCCTGGCGCCTTGTTCACGGATAAGCTGTGCCTCCTAGAACATATGCCGTATGTTCAAAATGAAGTGTTTAGCATTCTTCTTAGCAGGTTGGCTGCTGGAGACTTCATCCGCCTCGCCCCCCGCCCAGCGAAAGGTGCTACAAGACCCACTGGAGGGCGTCAAAGTTGCCGATCCGCGGCAAGCATCACGACGATTGCATGGGAAATTCCTCCACATAACTGGTGCGTCGCGCCGAACCTGCCTTATCCTCCGTGCGCTGCGATACTAACCATGGCATCTTCCATCCTTAGATTTACACCCAGATCCGTGGTATAAAACCCATTCATCTGCCGATGACGACCATGCCTGTCATAGAGGGAAGGGTCCCGCAGGTGTCTATGGTATGCCAACATCGGATTGTGACTCTCCGTATGCCCTCGTGAACGCGACGTTTAAATGGATCGAGGAAAATATTCGGGATAGCATCGATTTCGTGATATGGACGGGCGATTCTGCAAGACACGATAGGGATGAACAAATCCCCCGAAGCCGGGACGAGGTTTTGAACACGAATAGATGGACTGTGGAGAGGTTCCTGGAGACTTTCAGCAAGGCCGACGACCCCAAAAACAATTTGATAATTCCTGTCATCCCTACCTTTGGCAACAATGACTTCCTTCCCCATAATATATTCCGAGCCGGCCCAAATAAGTGGTTGGATACATACACAGAAATTTGGAGCGAATTTATACCCGAGGAACAGCGACATGGCTTTAGAAATGGCGGCTGGTATTACGTTGAGGTAATTCCTGGCAAATTGGCTGTCTTCAGTCTCAATACCATGTACTTCTTCAGTAACAATGCCGCTGTGGATGGCTGCTCCCAGCACTCTGAGCCTGGGTTTCAACACTTTGAATGGCTTAGGATCCAGCTACAGTTCATGCGCGAACGTGGCATGAAAGCAATCCTCTCTGGACATGTGGCCCCTGCTAGGACGGAGGGCAAACAGATGTGGGACGAGAGTTGTTGGCAGAAATATGCTCTTTGGCTTCAACAATATCGGGATGTTGTGGTTGGGGGACTATACGGCCACATGAATATCGACCATTTCATGGTCCAAGATACCAAGGAGATATCTATTCTCGAGGAAGGCAAGACCTCTGCAAGCCTAGATATGCGGGCCACAATGGATGACGAACTCACCATCAACTCGGCAAGAAGCTATCTAGAGGAGCTACGCGACCATTGGTCTAACATACCGGATCCTAAACCAATCATAGATATGCAGTCCGATCTCGAAGACAGTGGAAAGAAGAAAAGGGGGAAGAAGGAAAGGGAAAGGAAAAAGTTGCTTAGAAAATTTGGTGGGCTATGGTGCGAAAGATTTCAGGTTACCAATGTTGGCCCCAGTGTAGTACCAAACTACTTTCCGACACTTCGTGTTATCGAGTACAATATTACAGAACTTGGTCAGGCCGCCGTTTGGTCTAAGGAGCAACAGATACCTATTGCTGAAGAGCAGATGGATTGGCTGGATGTTAATACAGATGCAGCTATCCCTGACCAAGTTGACGACCAAGACGATGATATATACTTTCCAGAGCTGGAAGGGGAAGACCAATCAATATTGAAGAAAAAGAAGAAGGGTAAAAAAGGCAAAAAAGGCAAGAAGAAACCCAAGACACCCGACTTTGATCTCCCTTCCCCACCTTCCAAGAGCTCACCCCCTGGTCCCGCCTACTCCCCTCAAACCCTGACTATGCTTGGCTATACTCAGTATTTCGCAAACCTGACTTACATCAACAACGAACCCCAAGCCAAGCAAACAAATGGCAAAAAATCTCATCCTCGGCCTTTTCAGTATGAGGTCGAATATGATACGTTTACCGATCCGGTATACAAGTTGAAAGACATGACTGTGGCGAGCTACCTGAAGTTCGCCCACAAAATCGGGCTATATGAGCCGGGAAAGAATGACCTGGTCGATGAATACGATGAGCCAGAGGCAGATGATTCCGAGGATTTTGACGATGATGACGATGAGGATGAGACCGATGACGAAGGAGTTGGCTCCGAGAAGAAGAAGAAGAAGAAGAAGAAGAAGAAGCATCGCAAACAGCGCCGCAATAAGGCCTGGTTGCAATTCGTTAAATATGCATTTGTAGGGACTTTAGATGAGGACAAGCTACAGTCTTTTGATCCAGGCTCGGACCAGGAATTTTGGAATGGGAACTCAACCACGATTGAGCTACATGATGGGGAATTATAGGTGTCTGGTTTGTGGCACTGTATGGCGTTGGCAGGTCTCTTGCATTGGTACCGGAGTGATGGCGCTTTTTTGGGGCTCATTGTAGCGGGGTGGGATTGCCTACCTACTTGTAAGCATGTATGTAATACATAGATGTATTTTAGCACATTTTTGCCAAACTTATACACAATTCATATATAAGCCTAAACTATCGGAGAGAATCTTGTCAGCCCGATTTGCTTCTGTGTTTCAAAATGTAAGTTTCCATACCGTGGCGTCTGAAAATTAGTACATGATGCCACTTCCTTTCTTCTCTGAGGCGTCCGAGTCAACCCAAGGTATGAGAAGCTCGCAGTGCTTCGAACTAGGAAAAACGTGACGGTGATCTCTGATAATCTCACGAACATACATGAGACGAAGTTAAAGGAATGTATGTGTTGGTAGATTTTATGTACGCCATATCCATGCAATATACCCAATCCCCATCGGAAGCCAGAGACCTGCTCTGTGTGTCTAATATCATAAAATGAGTGTTTTTCCCACCCTGTCCCCAAACTCCGAAAAACACAGCGATTCTTTTCCGAGCCCGAGATGAAGCGCCTTATTAATCTAGCCCTCACATAAAAACAGCAAATACAACACCAAGACCAACAACGGTGACCATACCCCCGCTCTGCGCCATCAGTGACTGGGCTCCGCCAGTTGTCACCTTGGGTAGTGATGATGAATTCGTACTTGATGCCCCGCTTTTTGAGGTACTAGAAGCGCCATTCGCTTTCCCGGTGGAAGAAGACTTTGTGGAGTTTGAGCCACTACTCTTTCCGGTGGAAGTGGAGGTGCTACTCTTCTTGCTAGTTTCGGTGGCACCGGTGGCCGTTGTTTTGGTACCGCCGTTGCCACTGTTCGTTGCCTTCGATGATGAAATGGCTGAGGATTCCTCCTTGGATATTGTTAGTTCGATGCTAAGGGGTTTGCAAGAGCGGTGTAGCATAGAGGGCTTACAGATCCAGACTGTGCTGAGACAACGCATGCTGCAAGAGCGACGAGGAGGAGGCTTGAGTATTGCATGGTGGTGGATGGTGATGGATTATAGACGAAGTGATGATTTGAAGATGTTTGAAGGCTGAGTGAATGATAATATTGTATCTTATAGAGATGAGGTTAAAGCTGATGGTTGGGTTGAAGTTGAAAGGATGGTCTCCAAGTTTATACTTATAACTCAACTTCCATCCCACCAGATTGATCTCAAACGACAAGAGCCGCGTGCTTTCAGGCTTCGGGGAGTCTAGGCCTGACGGCCAGACAGCAAATTATGTCGAAGATTGGGAATCTTCAAACCAGATCAACTCTCTGTAACTAAAAGAGCCGCCGATCATGTGCCAGCAAAGCTACTCGTTGACCTATGCACGCGATCTGCGACAGATTCGCCAATGCCTACGTGGTTCGCGGCAGAAAAATCATGCAAATAAGAAAGGGAAATTGTAACCGCGAAGAGAAGTATATGACATTATAGGTCATAATTAACATCACCTACAGTATTCATAGTCTCTTAGTATTTACCAACAGACTTCTGAGGGAAGAAAGGGGGTACGGGGAGTGGCTAAAAAGGCGAACTAGCGCACACAGCCTCGAGATGATTTCTCCGGATTTTGTGACGACTAATCAACATGGTCAATCTGAGGCTGCTGGGCAATAATAAATCTTGGTACTGCGAAACTGCTTTCGTTTCTTGAGTGAGGGGTGGAGAAAGCGAAGGTTGAAAAGAGAGAATAAGTCAGTCGCCAAATCGGCGAACTGTTTGTTTCGGACTCGCTTCAAAGTTCAAACACCATCAATGCAACAGTGCAAAACCGGGGCAACTGTGCCAAGTTCGCGGTTGTGGCGTCTAACTGGTTTCACATAGCAAAGCTTGGTACAGCTCGGTGTTGGAACCCATACCCTTGTTTGCTAACAAACATGATCATCACTTCAGAAATATGGAGAACATCGGACGCATCACGGACTCATAAATGCTGCGGAGAAGATCTTGTAACAACATAGTGAGCGCCGAGGGAAATATCCGCCCGATCAAACCTGTTGGCTTTCAGGTCCATAAGAGTTCTTTTTATAAGGCCGCAAAATGTTGAAAATCGTTTCATGCTAGGGTGCAGGTTCAGTCGCGTATGAGGCTCAAAATTGGATACGAAATATGGGCTACAGCATCCCCTACTTCACTAGAGCATTCTCAATCTAGATGTGTTCCTAGTTTACAGTGGCCGGAAATAACCCTGATCCGAAAAGCTCGGGAGCTAGTACCTGAAAATAAGCATAGTTGTGCTAGAAGCAAACGGTGTACCGGAATCTAGACTTATCAGACTGAGGTACCAGTGAGGATGCATTGCAGAGCGGTCCGAACATCGAAGGTTGAGGCATCCTTGTCATTTGGCCGAGGGAAATCATGCTCGAGAAACTGCCGTCCAACCTGTTCCGCATCTTCCAGCTCTCGTGCCTCTTCCTCGGGGATCTTAGCACATGCAGTAATCAGGTCTTCACCCCGGGCTGTCAAAAGGATGAGCTCATCTGCCCTTTCAATAATGGCCGGATCGATCCCATTGATCGTTGCACAGCATGTGCCGAAACTCGAAGTGCTGCGACCTGGCACAAAGTTGTACAAATACGTAATCTGGTCTTCTACCATTTCAGCATCTGCATCGACCCGTACCTCCATATGTGCGAATGATAACTCGGGCCTTTCCTCAAGAAAACCGGTTTCAAATATTTCGTGGAAATGGGTCGCCGCCAGGACCTTTGGCCGGCGCTCTCCAAGCTTGAGAAAATATTCTAGGACACCACAGAAAAGTCCTGCACCATCATGAGCATTAGTACCTTTGCCAAACTCATCAATGACAACAAGACTGCGGTGCGTTGCCAGTGTCATGGACAGAGCTATCTGCTGTAAATCAATCATGAAGGCACTTTGATTTCTTGAAACACTCTCTCGAGTGGCAATCCTCGTCAGGATCTTGTCCGTTAGCCCAATAGTTGCTCTCTCGGCTGGTACAAAGCTACCAATGTGGGCCATATACACAATTAGGGCAGCTTGCTTGAGATATATGGACTTCCCAGAGTAGTTTGGTCCGGTCATGATGAGCATGCTGGGATTTTCAACGCTTTGTTGCACACCAGACGGGCTCCGGAGAACCGGAGTTGTGCTGCTGCTTTGGTCCTCGTCTTCGCCAATTCCTCCTCTGATCGTGCAATCATTTGGAATAAAAGGGACAGTGAGCTCTTGCAGTGGGTGTCGCCCTCCTTCGATGTGGATCACATTGGCTGTAGTTATTCGGGGTGGGCTGAAATGATTTTTGTCGGCACCAAGAGCTAGGGCAACAAGGCTGTCGAGCTCTCCTAAGAGATCCGAAGCGGCAACGAGAGTTTTTTCGTGTTCTAGAATCTTGATCGCTAGGCCATGGATAATTTCGATTTCCTTGTCTATCCAGGGTCAGTCCTAGGAACCAATAACAGCAGTCCTTGAGTACTTACCACAAATCATGCCATATAAATCACCAAAGTGACTATCTAGTTCCCTCATACGCAGATTTTTATAATATCCCAAGTCCTTGCTCACAAACATCTTGTCCCAACTATCGTTTTCTGTGCCCTCCCCCTCATATTTTCCTCTACCAGTCTGGGGATCAAGATGGACGACTGTGAGGAAGCCAAGCTGGGGAAAGAAGATGCAGTTCTGAATATACTGAAATGCCCATTCAGGTTGGTCAGCCAAGAGTTGGTCATGGGCCTCAGTCAGAAGGCTCTCCATTCCATCATAAGTCCTTTTCATGCCATCTAATTCGGCATCTACTCCCTGTAATACTCCCGTTCGGTGCTGGTCTGCTGATTTTTGGAAGTCCACAACCTCGTTAATTGCCTGGCAGATATTCTGGAGCGTAACAGGTTGTATTTCAATGATAAGCTAGAAGATCTATTAGTCCTGCTGAGGCTAGGTATCCATTTACGCACCTTGTTTACAATATCAAGTGAACGACCGTCACTGAGCTCGGAGATGGCCCCTAGTATGGCTAGGGTGTGGACTGTGAACTGCTGAAGACTCGCCCAAACACCTCTATAGACATTTCTACCATTTCCAGCATCACTAATGCCTTTCTGTAAATGTATTGCCACTGTTCGTATATCCTTGATCATCCCGAGGCTTTTGCAGATGTCAGCCAACGCAGAAGAATTCTCAGGCCTCAGGAAGACACTGATAGTATTCAGCCGCTCCTCAATCACAGTCAAATCCAAGCTAGGCCGCAAAAATATTTGTCGGAGCTTCCGTTTGCCTTGTGGAGTGCGTGCCAAGTAGCAAAATAAACCATAGATAGTCAAGCTTTCTTTCGCTCCAGAAGAGTTGACTCCTTGCATATGAGAATTCGGATGATTTTCAGACTGCATAATCTGGAGAGAGGCCAAGGTATCTGCATTTATAAACATCTGATCTGAAAGAGTGAACATTTCTATAACGCGAATACGAAAAGCCACTAAAGCCGAAGTGTCATTGGGCAGGTATTCGATGTTCCTTCGTCTGGATATGTGGCTCAAGATAGCCCCAGCACAACCCACCTAATAGACAATCAATATGTTAATGTTGTTACTGATACATGGACATACCGTTAGAGTGCTACCAAGATCGATCCACCCAGCAAGCCTCAGGAGCCTTCCTTCACGTCCAGCACTGGAATGGCCAGCCTGTCCATATACCGCGTCTTGTGCCAGACGATCGCCACATGTTTTGAATATTATTTCTGGTGCTTCATCAGCGCATAGTTGAATATTAACCAGCTTATCTTTTGCTTGTTCATAGCCGAATTCGGAAGAGGGTCGAGTATCAAGGACATAGGAGCCAAGCACATCGTCTATCCCACAGTAATCAGCGGAGAGAAGGTATGCATGACAGTATAGGGAGGCTTACTGTCTTCGCCATCTCGATCGATCCCACGAGCTTCCTTGCTCAGGTGCTCTTCCAGCTTCTCTTCTGAGCGTGTGCTTATAACGATTGTGGCTGGCTGCGCATGAAGCTTCAAGGTATCGACTATATCTAGGCCACCAGACTTGATGTCTTGCATCAAGTACAACGTCTCATCCCTAGCAACATAATATGCACATCCAACGTTTCCAGCTTTCATGTCAATGGCCATAATGACTTCATTGATAGAATCTGATTCCTCCCGCAGTTGGACCTCAGCGTCTGTTTCCTCGACTCTGGCCTGAACAACATCTCCAGTTCGAGATGATGGGCTTTCAGGGACATAGGATGACAAGGGTCGTAGAGTAGCTTTGCTCTGCCGTTGGATTTTTGGCAGAGCTGGTGAACTAACCAGACTGCTTCGGGGAACTGGGCTAATTTGGGAGAATGAAGGCTGGGACAATGACGAGGCTCGGAGCGACGATGCAGAATCCAAACGCCGACGCTTGAAGGCCATTCTGGAAATCGTTGGCTGCTGGCAAGCCTAATGAATCGATGGATGAAGGAAAGAGGTGAGAGTTAAGCGAGTGTGAATGGGCCTGCCCCTGATACGAAGTAGGTAGACAAGGAGACCAGAAAGTAGAGCACAGAAGATGTCTATTCCACTAAAATCAGAACTTTCCTACTTAGTAGAGCGCTCTAAAACAAAATATGGTTTGATTATGGACGATCAGATGGAGTTTAGGAGACGTATGTCTCGAGCGCGAAATGCTCATTTAGGGAAGCATCTAGTCGGCGGCGAACTGGTAGATACGTCAGAGAGCCTAGCCCAGCAACAACACGAATCTGACATCCATTTCCATTCAATATCCCACCTAGCAATGTGTATTCAACTCTCCAGGGCCACTGAGATTCAAGGTCCGCCACCCTCTCGCACCCACTCTGCAAATTCCTTCCTCTGCTTCCGGATATCTACGAAGCCCGGCCTACTCTCCAACACCCGAAATGGATTGCCCACATAATCCTTGTCCACTTCGCCGTCACCATTCATGAAACCCTTTTCGCCCTCGCGCTCGATCTTGCCGGCCCAGACGCGCCATTGTATTGGTCGTAATTCGGGGGTCCCAAGGACGAGGCCGAGACAGATCGCAAGGATTGCCACAACGGTTTCGATTGAGATGTCGATTGGGAGTGTCGCAACAGCGGATGGGCTATGAGATGCGAGGGAGGATAAAGTCGCAGCGCTCGCAGATTGGAGAGCAGAATGCTCGTGAGCCGAATAGCAGCTGTTCCACACGTCAGTATCCCTTTCATCAATCCGCTATTCTTCGCGGCGCGCAGCGTATCCGACGACAACTTACGCGTGTGCTAAAAACAAAAAGCCCAGGCCCGTAATTGACTTCGATATCCAAGTCATCTTGTATTGTAAATACTACTCCGCAGTTTGGTTGAAGAGCACGATGGACTTCTAATAAGCTTGGGTGCTGGTAGGTGTTGTCCGCAAGTCTGCGCACCCTGGTGCTAGTAGAATAAGCGGGACCAAGAGGACTCTCCACCAACATGGGGCCACGCAGAATGGTGGAAGTTTATTTTACGTTGGTACCTGGAAACCCAGTAATTAAATTACAATGTGTACGGTTAGATGTCAACAACTACGAAGTAGACACAGGAGGATTGAATTTTGGGAATTTCATTTCTATGGCTAGCCATGACTATCATCAACTCGTGAAGCTTAATTCTCATATTCCTTGGAATAAGCTAAAAAAGACTGGACAACCGGGATATCGAATCATCCATGTCCATAGATGCAAGTGATGAAGAAATAACGACGGGACACACTCTAAAGCTTTTGCATAGCAACCTACGTGGCGATTAGTTATCAGGAGCAGACGGATATAGCGCCGAGGACAACTTACGATATCAGTAGACTGAACATAATCCTCGAACTCCTGGATCTCCTCTTGTAAATCGTCAAGGCTGACCTTCTCGTCCTCAATGACCAAGTTGATCTGGAGCTTCTTGATACCGAAACCAACGGCCACAAACTTGGAGGCACCCCAGAGGAGACCGTCCTTCTCAATACTACGGACAGATGCCTCTAGAGCCTTCATATCTGTCTCATCATCTGTATTACTTGTAAGTGTTTGTTCTAACAGTGAAAATTATAACGACTACTTACCCCAGGGCTTGACATCCATCGTGACAACGGACTTAGCAGCAGGCTTGACCTTGCCCTCCTTCTTCTTCTTGTACTCCGCCAACCGCTCATTTCTGATCTTCTCGGCCTCCGCATCTTCCTCTTCGTCGCTGCTGCCGAAGAGATCGACATCATCATCATCCTCCTCTGCAGCTGGGGCCTTTGCAGGGTTTAGGGTAGCAGCAGTGGCATCAGGGCCGTAGCTTGTGTATTCCTTGGACGCGTCACCAGGGAGAGTGGCAAACTCATCGCTATATGTTGCAATGTGCTTGTACCATCTTGCTGCGTGTGGGTATTTTGAAGAGTCTGGTGCTGATGAGATGGCCTTGAAAGTAGCGACATCAGCTTGGGAGGGAGAGTATCTGTTTTCGGTTAGCCTATGACTCGCATCCAGGAACCAGAATGAATGGCATCGAAATATTCCAACGCAATTAAATCAGAGGTGCACTTGAATGCTTTGGTGATCGTCATGTAACGGTTCTTGAGGCCGCTCAGTAACACGGACCAATGTTGCTCATCATGAAATTAGGGAAGGAAGGAAATTGTTCGAGAGGGGAGTAGAGCTGCGCGCGGAGAACGCAACAACGCTTCGGACGAGCGAAGGGGAACAGAAGATCTATTCGCCTGACAAGAAGAAATTTCAGAACGTACCCAACGATGTATGAACGAGTGGTCAAGAAGCTGTTGAGCACTGAGGCAAGTCAGTTTCTGTTCTGGTCCCAAGAGCCGCGACCGATGACCTGGCTAGGGGCAGAGGAAGCTTACTGGTGAGACCAGCATCGCTGACGAGATCGGTGAAACCCATGGTGATGGACCTTTTATAGACAGATATGGAAGGTTGTGTTGGGGGAGAGAAAAGGATTTAATGAGGTGGCGGGGTTGATGTGGTTATGTTTAATTTTCGAGGCTCGCTGGCGGGAAAGAAATCTGGGTGGTGGATTTCTATCTACGCTAGAGCCCAACCTGCTAATTGGCCGCCTAATTGGCGCAGGCCGCTAGCCCCGATGCGGAGCAGCGGCCTTCTGTCGGCATTTCCAGAACTTGCTGGAGCTCCAAGGGAAACTCTATAATAAACAGCTCACTTTGCCTCCGCAACAGCACATATAATAGATATGAATATAATTGATAAACTGCCCACCGACGGCACACCCTTTACCACTCCCGTTGAAAACTGAAAAATCAAAATGCTGTTGAGACCAACTCGAATTCATGCCAGGCGCATAGCCAGAGCAGCTAATGGCCCTCAACTACGATATCGATTCTCGTCGGCCACAGCAGCTGTACGCTGCCGGCCGTATCTCACACCGCGGGCGTTCGCCCCAATCCCAATTACTGCAGCTCGCACATATGCCAATGGACGGCCACACCCCCCGGGTGGCACCCATCGAATGGATTTAGGTGGAGGGGAGCAGAAGTCTGCCCTCGAGGAATTTGGAATTGACTTGACTGCTCGAGCCAAGGATGGAAAGCTTGACCCAGTTATAGGGAGGGATCCAGAGATTCACCGGACGATACAAGTTCTTTCCCGCCGTACGAAAAACAACCCTGTGCTTATTGGGAGCGCTGGCACTGGGAAAACTGCAATTCTCGAAGGGCTCGCCCAACGGATCGTCAAAGGAGAGGTACCGGAGAGTGTCAAGAACAAAAGGGTTATCGCACTTGATTTGGGGTCCTTGATAGCCGGAGCGAAGTTCCGCGGAGACTTTGAGGAACGGCTGAAGGGCGTGTTGAAGGAAGTGCAGGACGCCCAAGGCGGAGTTATACTTTTCATAGACGAATTGCACACGCTGCTGGGATTGGGAAAGGCCGAGGGTAGTATCGATGCTAGCAATCTCCTTAAACCAGCACTTTCAAGAGGAGAGTTGCAATGCTGCGGCGCTACGACGTTAAACGAATACCGACTAATTGAGAAGGATGTTGCCCTCGCAAGACGATTTCAACCTATCCAGGTCAACGAGCCCTCAGTTCAGGATACCATCAGCATATTGAGAGGCATCAAAGAGAGATATGAGGTACATCATGGTGTAAGAATTACGGATGGAGCCGTTGTTGCTGCTGCAACTTACAGCAACCGCTACATCACGGATCGCTTCTTACCTGACAAGGCCATTGATTTGATGGACGAGGCCGCGAGTGGCCTGAGACTACAGCAAGAAAGCAAGCCCGAGGATATTTTGGCGCTCGACCAAAGAATCATGACTATACAAATCGAGCTTGAGAGCTTACGCAAGGAGACCGATATTGCAAGCAAGGAGCGACGCGAGAAGCTTCAATCTGATCTAAAGGGATATCAAGAAGAAGCTGAGAAGCTGACAGACAAATGGGAGAAGGAGAGGGCCGCTATCGACGATGTCAAGAAAACGAAAGAGGATCTGGAGAAGGCTCGAATTGAGCTTGATCAAGCACAGGTAAGCACTGCTCTGTACTTCAACAATCCACTTGCAATCAACTTGAAAGCGAAACGTGCTAACATTTCGATAGCGTGAGAATAGCTTTGCTCGGGCCGGAGAGCTGCGATACTATGTCATCCCACAATTGGAAGCCAAACTTCCTAAGGAGGGGGAAAATCCTACCCAGGTCCATAGCGATGGCACTCTGGTTCACGATGCTGTCACCGCAGATGATATCGCGACCGTCGTGTCTCGGATGACGGGAATCCCTGTCACAAAACTCACATCAGGGCATGCTGAAAAACTGATCCACATGGAGGATACACTCCGTCAATCGGTCCGGGGCCAAGACGAGGCTCTCAAAGCTGTTGCAAATGCCGTCAGGCTGCAACGTGCTGGGTTAAACGGAGAGAATAGACCTCTTGCATCCTTCTTCTTCCTAGGACCGACTGGCGTTGGGAAGACGGAGCTGTGCAAGAAGATGGCCAATTTCTTGTTCGCAAGCGAGTCGGCCGTTGTCCGATTTGACATGAGCGAGTTCCAGGAAAAGCACACGATTTCTCGATTGATTGGTAGCCCAGCGGGCTACGTTGGATATGACGATGCGGGCCAACTCACCGAAGCCGTCCGAAGGAAACCTTATGCTGTTCTATTGTTTGACGAATTCGAGAAAGCACACCGTGATATATCGGCGCTCCTTCTGCAGGTCCTCGACGAAGGTTTCCTGACCGATGCTCAAGGGCATAAAATCGACTTCCGGAACACGTTGATCGTCTTCACATCTAATCTTGGCGCCGATATCCTTATTGGCGCCAACCCCATGCATCCTCAAGGAGGTGAACTACAGTTAGGGGAGATCCCACAAGAAGTGCGCAGTGCTGTCATGGATGTAGTCCACAGCAATTATGCCCCAGAATTTCTCAACCGCATCGACGAATTCATCATGTTCAAGCGCCTCTCCACAGAAGCTCTGCGCGATATCGTTGATATCCGCTTAATCGAATTACAGCAACGCCTCGATGATCGACGAATAGTGATCCAGGTTGATGAAGAGGTTCGAGGATGGCTAGCAGAGCGTGGATACGATCCCAGATTCGGAGCCAGACCTCTTAACCGCCTTATTTCGAGGGAGATTGGCAATGGACTGGCTGATAAGATTATTCGAGGTGAGGTGAAGACTGGTGATACTGCGATTGTGAAGATCAACAAGGATGGAGATGGGCTTGTTGTCGGGACTGAAGAATCCCATAATATTGTTTAATAATGTGGTATCGATGTATGAGTTGGACTGGAGTTGGATTTTAATGCCTTTTTTGGGACGGATCGGTGGCGTAACTCTACTCTGGAGAGTTAGAATGGATATTGGGGAACTGTGGAGGGGCATCGAGCCCATGACTCTCTTTATTTCCTATATATCTCATGTATAGCATTTGTATAGTGCATGTCACGATTTATGGCCACGCTACTTTAATTACCTAAAATAACATAAACTCGAACGAAATAATAAAAAACACCTTTTCGAGATTGCTCTGTCCTAAGTTGTCTCGTATCTAGTTTATCCACAGTATAACTTTCTCTACCCAACATAATTCATTGCTCACTATTGTTGGTGATTAGGAGGTTCTGGGTTTTTACCGCATAACGTATATTTTTTTTGAAACTAGATGTTCTAATAGCCCGAAATAGCTTGGGAGAAACCAGATAGAGTCAAACGAGGGTCGGATGATTGATTGGGTCATCCTGGGTTAATAGTATATGTATGTACCGATATATTGATAGGTCGTTTCTTCACATCTTGCTCCACTTCCCTCTTGTCGGAACACAACAGCGACTCATACAAAAGGCTCTACGCCCCCATAAATATACGCGAATGGGGTAAATCCTCTTTATATCTCTAAAGAACATTTATAAAAACATAAACATCATCTACTAAGATATCTCCCTCAAACATTTCCCCCTTTCTCTATTTATCCAGCAGCCCCAGGCGCAAGTTTCACCCCCTTAACACTCTTCCACTCCACAAAGCACCCAAAGATCGCAGCAAGACCTCCCACCGCAATAGCAATAATAAATGCTTGATTAAGCGCCATCATATACCCCTCCAACACCCCTGCTAAAGCCGCTGGATTCAACTTTTCGACCGTGACTCGGAGATACGCAGCTCCTGCTGCGACAATCAAGTCTACGGGAATATCCGGTGCGTATATGGGGATGTTTTTAAATAAGCCGTTGAAGAAGACGTTTTGTGCCATGGAGATGGATATAGCTCCACCTAGAGAGTTGAAGAATATAGCGATGGCGTTCCCAGTGGGCATGTCTTTGGTACTTAGCACGACTTGCACGGCAATGAATGGGATCTGCACTCCCGCTCCTGCGCCAACACCGCTGAGTATTTGGTAGCCAATCCAACGGCTGGCGTTGGAATCAACTTGAAGGAGATATATCATGCCTGCGCCAACGGTGAAGATGCATGCCCCGACGATCATGAACGGCTTGTAGACGCCGACAACGGTGATACCGCCACCGACGACTATGGAGCTTATGATGATTGAGACCAGGTAGGGGATCGTCCTGATGCCTGAGCCTTCGGCGGTGGTACCTTTTACAGCCTGGAAGTAGAAAGGTACGAAATAAATATGCACCTACTTCTACGTTAGTTGGTTCTTTAGAAACATGATGCCTAGATACATACATAGAGTCCCATAGACAGAAAGCAAGAATAAAGACTGGAGAACAAAACTGTCCTTTGGCCAAAAATTCTGGGCGGAATAGTAGCGCGGTCGCCACGACGAAATTGTTGGGCGATGAAGATTATGATCAGGAGACCGAAACCAAGAAGGCAGCCCCACACTTTCGAGTCTTTCCATGCATATGTTGTCCCGCCCCATTGAAGAGCTAGGAGCAGACATACAATAGCGCATATGAGGAACAGGGCTCCGACGAGATCAAGCTCCCAGATCTTTTGTTTGAGAGTTAATCCACTTTCCTTACGCTTGGGGGGTTTGAAGAAGAGCCATATGGCTGCGATGGCAACTGCGCCGAAAGGCAAGTTGATCTAGAGTTGTGAGTAAATATTATACCACCAACGGGGTTCACAACCTACCCAAAAACACCATCGCCAGGAGACTCTATCAGTAAAGGCACCGCCTAACAAGGGCCCAACGACTGAAGCGATCCCGAACATACTCGACAATGATGCAATGTACATTGGGCGCTTAATTAATGGAACGGTAAAGCCAATGATGATCATGCCACCAGAGAAGAGGGCGCTAGCTCCAGCACCGGCAACAGCACGTCCGATGATGAGTGTGACGGAGTTCTGAGCCACGGCACATATTATAGAACCTATTTCAAATAGGCAAAGGGCGAATATGTAGGTGAGTTTAACATCAAAAAAGGTGTAGATTCGCCCAAATGAGGGCTGTAGGGCGGTAGTTGTGAGGAGGTACTATAGGGCATAGAGTTAGTTTCCCTTTGTGCGAGGCCCCTTTAACGACAAATCATGACTCGGAGATGCTGAAACGTAAATTGGTGTACACCGGATAAGTCATAGAAAGCCGAACGGGAGCAGGATTCAACTTGGGTTGTTACCGTACTTACACTTGAGCCATACCATCCAACATCCTTGATGGAATTGGGGAAGACTGTGGTAATCTTTGGGATTGCGGTAGCAAGGATAGTGTTATCTATCTCATTTAGTTACAGTACAATCTGTGGAAGGCTGGAGATCGCCCGGATGTCATAAGATTCGGAGATGGGAGAAACGCCGAATAAACCAGTAATTTCCGGCTTTAGAAACAAAAGAGAGGAGGCCAATCACGTACCCAGAGCAACTGAGAGAGTAGCTATACAAAGACCGAATGTCAGGAGAGCGACCTGTAAACCTCCCGGATAAACCACTTCGTCGTCTTCGTCTTCCTCGACTTCCTCCCCAGCTGCGGCTGATTTTTCGGGATCTTTCTCGCCATTCTCGCTCTTCTCCCCTGGGTCAGAGGTGTCGGTCGTTACGGGAGTGACCTTTTCATGTATTTGTTGGGGAATCGGGTGGTGCTCGAAAGCGGCGGCAGCATCTTCAGCCTTCTCGTGGGGTTCGCCGACTAGACCACCACCACCTAAAACCGGTGCAACCTGAGGTACGGGCGAAGAGCCATGCCTTTCTTGATTGGGATGTAACTCTGAGGACGTCGAATTATGGTTATGGTTCTCCTTGCAGGTCGTTGGAGCCTCTGTCTCGGCCGCGACGGCACTTGCCGTGGGTGGTGTTTCTTTGGCTGCCGGGCCCGACATGTTGATCACAGACCCCTGGGCGGCGTAGGGCCCAATATCAAGACGATAATGAGTACCTAAATTCCGATTGCAATTCCACTTCCACTTCTAAAATCCGGGGAACAGAGCCAAATGGCGATATGACACTCTTCGACATCGGCAACAACACTAGCAACATCACAGAATAAAGGAGGCACCAGCGCGAGGCGCGATAGATGTACTGTCAGCCCCATGCTTATGGTCACGGCCAGTCTAATGGTGCGAGAGCCCAGAGAGGAGAGATTGGATCATTGGGGTGCACTTTCCGGGGATTTGAGCATCCGAGACAGCCCCCCTAGTGACAACAACATGGCAGGCCAATGAAATGAAAGGCGCGGTTCACCATAGGATTCCGGTTATGGAGATGTTTCCCGAAAGGCTTGTTAGCCAACAACTTGGCAGCGAGAGGGCTAATAAAGCTGCTATTCGAGTACTAGTCGGGGGTCATTTAGCAAGACTTGCTTGTTCTGACCACAATCTCTAGCAATCCTCTCGAAAAGGGGGTGGTTCTGGTGAGATACTCTCGCCTTGTGCAGGACGCACCCGCCCGGTGGCATAGAGTCCGAATAGCTATCCTATTCTTCAATCGTGATGCCGTACTCCGTACAACTTTGTCGAACAGTCTAGCCACGGACGAGCTATTGTTCCTGTTTTATTCCTGGATTATCCGCTGATATTGGACGGGCTGGGGGGGGGGGGGATGCATCGGTTGTAACACCTAGAACTTCGGTTACGGAACACTAAGAAACTGCAACGTGCCACCGGAAGGGATGCCTGTTCGAATACGAGTACGAATATGTCTCTGGTTTTGCTTCTTTGGCCTTTCTGGCTTTTTACTAAGTTAGATGGGGTAGGTAGTACAGATACTGTATTACACTGTTCGATTCATCACGGTCGGTTTTCAGCATCGTTCGTTCAAGATTTGGTAACACACAAAGTCCAAGACAAAGGACATCACATATCTCCTTTTCCCAGCCAAAGCAAACGAAGACCTTCATTTGTGTTATAGCAAAGCAGCAGCAAACCAATGCTGCTTACCAGCTGAACGTGCTGAAATGGAGCATAGAAGTCGTTGGGCCTCGACGTCGATTGGTTTGTGTTCATAAATCAGGTGAAGTGAGTTGTTATTGGCAGCGTGCAAGGCAGTATCAGGTTCTGAAGTATCGTCTAAAGTATCAGCGCCATACTGACGTCTCAGAATCCGAAGTGGCAGATTAAGGATATGATTACGCGACGCCCCAAGCTCAAGCCAACGTATCTAGGCATGTTCTAGTTGAATCTAGCATGTAGCAGGGAATCATTTCTCCCGCTCAAGGGAAAGTCCCTTGAAAATTGCTTGAATCGATGCCGTGAATCTTCATGATGGACTCTAATCATGCTGCTACTGGCTAGACAATCGATTAAAGGACATGGAATAGAATGGTGAGTTGTTTTACATTGCTCGAGGTGAATTACAGCCAAAGGTCTTAGGGTATAATTGCACTCGGAAACTGGTGGCTTATCAAGCCTGTGGTTCCGAATGGCCTCGCCCCTAGCCCGGTCTCTCACTGCAAAAGATAAGGTCGGAATTCGCTCTATCCCGAGACATGAGTCCCTGTTCCACCTCCGCTGTATATTTTGTGCGCCGATTGAAGTCTCCACCGAGACGAAACCCAGAAACCCGAATTACTAACTTAAACAACTCGTTTGACCTGTGGAAGTCAGTTAGCTATCGGTTCGAAGCCCAGAGCTGCCTGGTATTGCTCAAGCCTACCTCAAAGAATCTCTTCAACCACCAAATTTGGAAGATGCCTTGACCGATCAGCACTCCCATTTGGAAAATGCTCCACCACTTGACCCGGCCGTTCGTGCTCTCGGCGGTATTTCTGTGGGTTCGCTCACGGACCACGATATATGATTGTTCGTCTTTGACTTGGGCAAGCAGATCGGATAGTTGTCGAACTAGGGGATATGTTAGTATAATCAATATGCAGTCATAAGGGACACAATATACCTTCAGCTTCCAATGGATCCGACGGGATGTCTGATTCTGGGACATAGACTATGCCGTGCACATTGAAAGAAACATCCTTAGTATTTGCCGACCAGTGCTCATTGCTGAAGCAGTATATGAATTTTCCATCATGCATAGCAACGAAAGAATAATCTCCGTTTGAAATTGCGCGCTCATTTGTCTCGTATCCTCCGGTTGGGTTTTGGATCTGCCAGGTGTCAGGAGCTGCGCAAGGAGAGAGTAAAATGTGCACCAACCCAGAAATCGATATCCAAGTTCCCGGCGCTGCCAAATTCTCTGTCCCCTACTTGGAAAGTGACTGTCATTCGGTCATCTTTGTGTAGGCTTTCGTAGAAGCACTCCCGGCCGTGTGCTGCAAGCTGGATATTGTGGGCGACCGCGGTACACAGCAAGCTGCTGGCCGCCAGGAGAATTGACGTGGCTGAGAATCGCATCGTTGTCTCTGGATACTAAAAAAAATAGCAGATGTAGTCTAGGTACAATGGGACGCGTCGGCGAAGGGTGCACTGCGAATACAAATCGCGGATGTTGGCTCGTCACAAGCCAGATCGCAACTCGCAAGTCTGGTTCCCCTAATCAGTAGAAAGGGACAAGTTTAGGTTCGCGTTGGGGTTGTGCTCTGATAGGCTTAGCGCCAAATTCTTTCAAGAAAGCGCAAGCCTCTCGCACTGCTGAACATCGCTGTCCTTCTCACAACCATCTTACCGAACTATCTTCTTCGTGCTAATAACCTCGCAACTATCTCTCTCTGGTCATTGTTGACCTCCCAGTACTGTAAGTGGCTCCTCTGCACGCCTTTCTGTCCTGTGGTGGTCTCCCAGGGGTTAGTGGCGGTCAAATGCCCCAGCGCGTGTCCAGCTGGAGGCTCACGATGCGGGACCGCTATCTTACTCCATGGAAGCCTATTCCGCGGCCGAGTCATTCTGGCCCTGGTGGAAAGCCATCCATCTGTCCTTTAGTTACGTTAGGGTAGCATATATTATATTGCCGTTGCACCTACTGCTATCGCGCATCATCTTCGATTATCTTCGGGCCAAGCTGATCCCCTGTTTCCTGACAGATACCACTCCCACCCTGAGAGACCCAACACCACTTTCCCACAACACATCAATCCGCAATCATGGGTATCACATTTTCAAAGCTCTTCGATAAGCTCTGGGGGAAGAAGGAGATGAGAATTTTGATGGTTGGGTTGGATGCCGCTGGAAAGACCACAATCCTTTACAAGCTCAAGCTGGGCGAAATTGTCACAACTATCCCCACAATCGGTATGATCTTGCTCATCATCTTGAGACCATCCACACATCCTCTGGGAACCTGTTATTAACGCCCTTTAGGCTTCAACGTTGAGACTGTCGAGTACAAGAATATTCAATTCACTGTATGGGATGTCGGAGGACAAGACAAGATTCGACCTCTGTGGAGACATTACTTCCAAAACACACAGGGTATCATCTTCGTTGTTGACAGCAATGATCGTGATCGTGTTGTTGAGGCCCGAGAGGAGCTGCAACGCATGTTGAATGAGGATGAGCTTAGGGATGCTATTCTGTTGGTCTTTGCGAACAAACAGGATCTGCCTGTAAGTATCTGGAATATGGTTTATTAGATCCCTTGCTAAGTAAATATAGAATGCCATGAACGCCGCAGAGATCACAGACAAATTGGGCCTCCACAGCCTGAGACAACGTGCATGGGTAAGTACATTCTCCCCCAAATGGGCATTAGACATTCTTGCTCATCATTCATTAGTACATCCAATCTACTTGCGCTACTTCCGGAGATGGTCTTTATGAGGGTTTGGAATGGCTCGCAAGCTCGCTCCGAAAGGCTGGACACAACTAAACATTGGCGCGCTCATAAACTCCTCCCATGCCGTTGTTGTCTCCAGTCCCTCTCCCAGAACAAATCAATCCTCTATATCCACAAAGTTCTCCTCTACATCAACCATTGGTGCTCCATCAAGCATTCTTGTCTCCTCAAACTGTCCACTTTCTCATGAGCGGCGCAAGGATGGGATTTGTACGATGAAATTAAAGGCTCCTCCGGTTCCTCTGGCTTCTGCATTTGTCTCTTCGGCTGTGTGTGGAGGTTACTGGGGTTTCTTCTCTTTTATGCGTGTTCAGGCCCTGGCAATCTTATGTTTTCATGCATGGTATAAAAGCATGCGGTAGATGGAGGATCATGGTAGTCTAAACGAAATTGATCTCCCATTAGAAAATATATGTTCCTGCTTTTACTTTTGGAGTGCCCCCGTGGTTGTCAGTATAAATCGGAAACTTCTAGTCAGTAGGAAGCTGAAGATTGAAATTTGGTTACACAGGAAGTCCCTTGTTCCCTCATTTTCTCTAGCTGCTAATATTTCCGCCTAGAGACTTGCCGCGTGCTACGTGAGTTTTGCCAGGTACGTCGGCAAAAGACCTTACACTCCTTTCTACCCGGCCAGGCCAGTTGGGTTTGCGTACATCATAGGGATCTTAATCCTTCGAGTGCCTTACACGGTTACCTTGTTATATCTCGGACCCGTCCATCTCTTGGACATCTCCATCTCTCTTCCCGAAGCATAGCCATGAGATGCCCTAGGGTGCACAGCCATGATTGTGGTATGATGATCTATAGCTTGTCGAAGAAACAATAGGAAACAAATATGTTGTGATATGACGCTTAGAAACAAGTTGCTAATGGACCACATGACGGTGTTTTTATTCTAAGCTGATATATTTGGTATTAGGCACTTTACAAAGTTGTAACCTGCCTAGTAATATTAAGGGAGGGTGTCCAAGAGGCAACGTGTTTTTTTCTCGAAATGTATAGAAAGCTATCTACAGGACCGGAGCAATAAGCAGCTACTAGAGTACTTAATACCTCAACTTTAAGACATAGTCCCTGTTTGATTGTGTTCTAATAACATAATATCTCCGTCCAAGAGACAAGGAGTGGGGCTTATAGGCTCTTAATTGCATTACTTCTCATCGGCGAGCATATATTGTGACCTATCCTAAGTCAGTCGTACATCTTCTCCTACCGCACAACTTAATAGATATTTGTAAACAATGTTTAACTCTACCTTTATTTAGACATTTCCTGTCAACTATGGAACAATTGTCAGCTCTTAAGAGTTGTTATTTTTCGAGTAGTTGCCAAACGTATAAGCGTTGTCAACTGTTACCCTGTTGTTACTTAAGTAGGTGCCGTTAACATTCTCTTGGACCCTTAAATTCTTTAAGAGACGCTTTGTTCTATTAAGGGAAATGGACTATAAAGGTAATAAACACCAGCGCCGCCCCACCGCCATCCGCCTAGTAGTCATAAGGCTACCAATCTGTTTCCATATACCTCATCGAGTTCACCAGCATGGACGAATCAGCTATCCGTCTCCCTTATAGAAGTTTAGGAAGAGAGCGTTAAAACTATTCACAAAACGACCGCTTGTGATGTCGTGCTCCTAATATACACTTGAATAAACAATAGAGTTCGCTATGACTACATTATTATTTTGTCCCATATCATGGCACCCTATCTAGAAACAAGGCTAGTCCTCCTTTATTTATGGTGAACTATACTTATAGTTATACTGCTCCTTCGCCTTCTTCGCCAAATCCTTCAACTTCTCCTCAGACTCTCTAAATTCCGGCTCTTCTTGCAACCTCTTCAAATACCCTGCATTATGCATTTTACTGTCACTGGGCACAGTAATACCCTTCTGCACTGCCGGCCTTGCAACAATCCTCTCCCACCATATTTGTACATTGGGGAACTGGGTCAGGTCCACGCCGGCCAGATACGCATGGTTCACCCAACCGAAACTGGCAATATCGGCAACGGAGTACTTGCCGCGCCCTGGGCCCACTAGATAGTCCCGGTCTTTTAGTTGAGCGTTAAGGATCCCATAGAGACGCTCTGATTCACCCAGATAGCGTTGGGTAGGATAGGGGATGCGTTCTTTGCTGAAACGGTAGAAGTGGTTTGATTGGCCTTGCATTGGGCCCTTGCGTTGTAAAGTTAATAAGGAGAATAGTGACCAGAGATTCAGAGGAAGAACTTACGAGGCCGCCATGCTGCCATGCAACCCATTGCTCTGCACGGCTCACATCATCCGGGTCCGTAAAACTGAATTTATGCTCGGGGTCGTAGTGCCTTGTGAGATAGGCTAGAATGGCAGAACCTTCAAAGACAGGGAATTGGTTGCGGTCGTGGTCCACGATTGCCGGGATGCGGCCATTGGGAGAGAACTTCACAAACCATGGCTCCTTTTGGATGTTCTCCATGATGTTGATGGCCTGCACAGTGTATTGTTTTCCATAAGCTTCCTTGAGCTCTTCAAGAATGATCGTGGCCTTGTGGCCATTAGGAGTCCCGGCTGTCAAAAGCTCGATTCCTGAGTTGGCTATTAGACCGGTGGGTCTAGCAGATGAAGACATATTTTGTGTAGGTGTGGTTTGGATATGGATAAAGTGTTTGGAGGTTTGGACGAGCCTGAAAAGCGAAGACTTGGACATGAGATACGAATAGACGAGGAGAAGATAACGATGTGACTGAAATGGGAACTACTCTTATATAGCCTTCACCAAGTGACAGTGGCTATCCTGCATGGCCCGGAATGCTTTGAAATCAAACAAGGATGATGTCAGTGGGACTCCGCCATGCTTAATATAATTGGGAGATATACTTGTAATAGTAATACAGTAGCCGTCGAACTGTTGTTCGTCGTGGGAGGTGTAGCATGAAGTGAAGAAGTGAATGGCCATAGATTTTGTACGTGTTAATGTGTTACTTACCTTTCCTTGCGTTCTACTCCGTATGTCCATCAGCTCTTATTATTAGCTACCTACCTGGGTAAGGACGAATAGCGGATGCTTCTCGACGCCCCGCGAATACTAGCAGATACTCGAGTACTATATAGGTAGGTAGTCGTACGAGTAATCCAACACTTGTAGATAATTTCCGAAGGCGCTCATTGCTACAGCGAGTCGCTTCTGCCACTCTGGTGCGTTGTAGTCGCGACACTTGGGGCTTCAGACGCGCGGACGTCGGGAGCGGATGGTCGGGTTCTGGGGCCTTTCAGGTGAGCCCGAAGTCCGACTTGGGACGGAGAGTTGTCTATCGGGCGGGCGTGGAGCGGAACTTCGTATCTCCGCGGAATACGACGGTAACGCTGCCTGAGTACATGTACATGTACCGTACGTACCCAGATTCGTAGAAGTCACAGCCTGGTCGAGCCGTTCTTTTGCGGCACGGGGAAGTCAAGCCTAGAAGAGCAATACCACTTATATGCCTCACCCCCTCACTCGTTTATTGCCCTTTTCCTTCGCCCTCTCCTTGTTCCTTTCGTCTTATACGGAGTAATCCATGTTCTCGTTTTTCCGGGCGCTCTTCCATCGCCGACCAAAAGCTAGACTAAACGCTTCAATATCTCCAACAAAAGCCATGTCGACCGGAATGACTGCCGCAGCATTATATGCTTGCACCATGACGAGCCCCACGGCGCTGGGTGCTGTCCCCGAAGACTCGGCGGCCAAGGCGCATCATTTGAAGAATGGGAAGGGGTTTGCAAATCCCTGGGAATCGTGGAGGGAGATGTCTACCGGGCAGATTACAAGGGCTGTATTATGGTGAGTCCTGAAAAGTAATATATCTAGGAATCGACCTGCTGCCTGGGAATTGGTAGCTGAAGTCCAAGTCTGCCATCTGTCGTATTAGGTTGGCCCCGCGCGCATTCCCATTCCCGTTGGGGATAGTACTAAAATCAGACCTGAACCCTCCTACTGTACTCTAAGGATGGGACTAACACGTTATTTTCCTAGGCGTAACATAACAGGAGACTGGAAATGGCCAGATACAACACCTCCAACCGTAACTGTTCAAAAACCAACCTTCCTTCCCAGCCGGACAGCCTCCACAGTCCTGCGGGCAACATGGCTCGGCCACGCCTGTTACTACGTCGAGTTCCCTAGCGGCCTCCGCGTTCTCTTCGACCCCGTATTTGAAGAGCGTTGTAGCCCATTCTCATTCCTGGGCCCCAAACGCTACACCGAAAAGCCCTGCGATATCAAAGACCTTCCCGTCGTAGATCTGGTAGTAATAAGCCACAGCCACTACGACCACCTCTCGCACCCCACAATCCTCGAACTACACAAACACCATCCGAACGCACACTTCCTCGTCGGTCTCGGCCTGAGAAAATGGTTCGAACAAACGGGGATTAAAAATGTGCAGGAGATGGATTGGTGGACGGATGTAGACGTCACACTTTCGCCTACTAAAGCTGGAGATGAGAAACGTGTTTCTACTACTTCTTCGTCAGCGTCTCGTTCAGATATCCCATTGCCCAACTCAGACGGAGACATCGTAGCAAGGATATCCTGTCTCCCCTGCCAACACACATCCGCCCGCCACGCCTTTGACAAGAACACAACCCTCTGGTGCTCCTGGGCCGTTTCATCAGGAGGAAAATCGGTCTGGTTCGGCGGGGACACAGGCTACAGGGCTGTCCCAGAAGTCCCCAAAGGTGAAGACGATTATGGTGAGGCCTACGCCGATTTACCCCACTGCCCGGCCTTTAAGCAGATTGGAGAATTGAAGGGGCCGTTTGACTTGGGCTTGATTCCTATAGGCGCTTATGATCCAAGATATATTATGAGCTCTATGCATGCGAATCCATTTGATAGTGCGAACATTTTTGTGGATACCAAGTGTAAGAGGGCGATGGCTATCCATTGGGGCACTTGGGTTTTGACGACTGAGAAAATCTTGGAGCCACCAATGTTGCTGAAGAAGGCGATGGCGTGGAAGGGGTTGCCGGAGACAGGGGTTTTTGACGTCTGTGATATTGGCGAGAGTAGGGAGTTTTAACCTCGAATTCCTAGGGTGTTATGTAATTTACCGGTAGTGGGTTAGACTATCTCTGCTTGTATATCATAGAGTAATGTTCCTTTTGAGGATATAGTAATTCACAGTAGTAGGATGTCAGATTTACAGAATAATGCTCTTAGCCAGCTCAACCGCGCATAAAATTTTGGGTTTTGCTAATTGCATCAATTCCACGTACATCCCAGTCCTACAGAGTACACAGTGCTGCTTTAGGCTCGGTTTCCAAATGCGACCCTATGACCACTTGTTGTACATTCTGCGTTCCTCCAGAGCATACCCGAGATATTCGTTTTTTTGTAAAAGGAACAAGAAAATGGAAGTCAATACAAATAGTTGATCCGCATCACAATCATTCAGACTACATTCCAGAGTCCGCCATGCATTCCTTAGGTAAACCAGCTGCATTATCTTCAGTCATAACAAGAGGGGGGAGCACGTTTGATTCTCCAACGCCGAAATCTATTATTCGTGAGCGGGAAAATTCAATAACTATTACAGTCATAGTTTGATAGGAATTAATTACCAATAACGGCTGGGGGGATAATCATCTGCATAACCACGGCGCTCCCTTGGTGGATAATCCCTTGGTGGGCCTCGCTCATAGGGTGGCCTGCCATGGCCATTAACGTAAGGGTCTGGTGGATAGTCACGGCGGTAAGGATCATCAAATCGACCGCGAGGGGGCGGATAATCATCAACAGGGCCACGAGCTCTAGGTGGAGAACGGTAGCGGCCACGGTCATCGTCGTAGTAACCCCGTCGTGGGGGGCTCCTGTCACGGTAGGCATCACGACGAGGGCTGTATCCACGGGGTGGTCCACGTCGATCATAGTCATCAGGGTAAGGTCGGCGCGTGGGCGAGCGAGACCGGGCACGATCACGAGGGATGTCCGGTTGTGTCTATATAGGCTTTAGCAGATGGGAAGAAAAAAGAAAGGATGCGAAATACATACGTCGGCTACACAGGTCACACGAACGCCCTTGAACTCACGGCCATCAAGTTTATCTACTGCAGTCTTGAGATCCGCAGCAGTTTCAAACTCAACGAAGCTTCTATTTATTAGTAAGAATGGTTAGACAATCTGGAAAGGAAATGCTAACCCTTTGCCGTCTCGGTCACGGCCGGTCTCGGAATAGACGACGTCAAGGCTGGATTGGCGGGCAAAATCTTTGAGATCCTAAATCCAGATCCATGTAAGTGGTTATCCAGGAAGGCTGATGCAAAAATGCCAAGCCAATGGCAGTTGCTCCAAATAGCAGCCAGCAAAACAAGTCCCGAGTCAGAGCAACATGGTCCAAGGGTTGAGTTCCTTCCTGTGAAAAGTGACTGCTGTCCAGATACGCAAAGGGATAGCAATAGAGGGCAGCAGAAAGGGTCGACATAGGATAAGAAAGGCCGGATACATGGGTTAGATAGTCCTCCAAGTCCGAGGCTGCTCAGGCAAATGCACTAACACGCTGAATGGTTATGTGGACCAAAACAGGGCATGATACCGGCCTGGACTAAAGAAAAGTATGCCGACAGATGGTCTAAGCAGTGAAGGCGTCCAAATGTATGTTGCTCAGAGTCCAAATAGCAATACTGAGATCCAAGAGTCCGGATGAAGGAACGGGGGTAACAGTACCTGCCAGCTGGTTTCACCTGGAAGTCCAGATATCTGCATACGATGGGGGGTACGGCGAGGGCGAGGAGCAGTATGCTCATTATTGGCAAAAGAGTCGCGATTGCGAGTACCTCGTGCAAATTGCACGGTCAAGCGCTCGCCCATAAAGTCCGAGCCGTGGAAGGCTAAGGGATGTATAAGTTACTCGGAGCGTTTTCTGGAATATTATGAGGCCATACCAGGAACTACATCACGCGCGTCCATAGCATCTTTGTATTCGATGAATCCGAAGCCGTTCATCAGCTTGATCTCGGTGATTTCGCCAGTGCCATGGGTGTTGAAATGAGCTTCCACATCAGCCTTGGTAGCTATTTGATTCAATCAGCGTTGGTTGGCATTACAGATGGGGATTGCATATTTGCAAAGACTAAGAACATCCAGAGTTTGTCTGCTTACCATTTCGTGGAAGGTTACCCAGGTATAACCTGGTGGAAGAAACCTCTGTCATGATGGGCTTGTTGTTGCGATGCGATGTTCGCGCCAGCCGCAGTGGGAATGTTGCGCGAGAACGCTGGGGCGCAACAGTCCGTGAGGATAGTCAGTACCGATAGGCAACGGCGCAGATTCGATAAATGCTGCGTTGCGCGAAGGTTGACGAGTTTTATCTTAAAGGCTTAACCACCGCGGTGATGGAGGGGATAGAGGAAGTGAGGCGGAATGAGATGCAGGCTCGGGCGAAGTTCGCCTCGTTCCACATCTAGCAAATTAAGCGATATCTGAGGTCACGTGCACATGTCTCCTTCTTTGAACGACGATGGGGGGTCGGTCGAATAGAACTAATATAATTTCATAAAGAAGAGAATATTACGAAGTAGTATTGTGTGTTGTTGGTACATGGGTTATTGTTTGAAGCCACTAAAGGTAGGGCCTGGTATGCATCCCTATACTGCATGGGCCTTTAAGTACGGCCCGTGCAAAGAAGTCAAGTGCGGCATCCTTCTAACCATAATTTGGTGAAACGAATATTTATACAGCTGTCACTTTCTCTAACTAAAGTTGTAGGCAAGAGAAGAGCAGTAAAATAGGGGAGTAATGGCAATAATGGATCAAGTTACGGACTGGCTTTGGTTGATCATGTTATCTATAGGTACCTTAGCTTTACCGATACCTAAAGCATGCGTAGCCCGAACATAAAACTTGCGTCTCCGCTAATGCGAGACAAGAAAGACCAAATAGGGCGTATGGTACAGTATGTGCAGCAAAGAGGTCTCATTATTCATCATATACAAGCTATACCTTGACAAGGACCACCTTCCTACCCCCGGGTCCTTCATAAAACCTAATCCCAGCAACGCCTCGCCACTCAGCACAGTAGAAAACCAAGGCTGTACGCCTGGCAATTCACAAAAAGCAATCCAGAAATTCCCAAAGAAGCACCAACAGGATCCAGTTCTCCTATATCATATCAACATCTTGGGTATCGTTCATCGCATCACCGCCGCCTAGCTCTTGTTCCACCTCGTCAACGACGAAGCTTTCGTAATCCTCAAGATTCTTCTGGACGTGAACCTTGAATTTTATAATATCGTTCAGCATCTTTTCGATCTCCGTGTGCAATTCTTCCCGGAGGGCATTTGCTTTGAGCGTAAGTTGCTCGTACCTGTAAAACGTTAGATGTGTATTTCTCAGCCATGTAGGTGGATGACTTACTCGATGTTCGTGTTCATCTCCCGCTGTTCCATCAATTGGACAGATTCAGTGAGACCAGCTCTCATCTTGGCCAGTTCCTTCTCCATCTTCTCGATCTGAGTGTCGGAAGCTAGCTTTTGGGTGGTTGTCACCTATTGTGCATTAGTGTCTAGCCTCATTTCTAGGGAGTTTGGGACTGACCTCTTTCGTTTTTTCATATTCATCTTCGGCAGCCCTGACTCGATGCTCTAGCGCCTCGACTTCGCCCCGTTTATCTTCAATGGCTTCTTTGATACCATCGAGAAGATCATGGTGCTTCATCATCTCATCCATTGCAACCGTTCGTCGTTCAGAGATTTCTTTTCTCAGGTTCAAAAAGCTGCTTTTGACCTGGCCCCGAAGATCTAGGTTTAGGATATGGGCTGGTTGATACCCTGTGATAGGATCTTCTAATAGTCGATCACTATTTGCATTACCACCGCTATTTGAGGCGCCCATCTGCGACGATGAAAAGTTCGGGCCCTCATTGACCATGACTTGCAGCTCATAGTCCTTGCCCTTTGAATTTGGCGCAGTGGAGGGAATGAGGCCTATTTGGTAACCGAGGCTGTTGTGTTTGTCCACCGCTCGCTCTAATTCATCAAGTTTTCGACTTGCCTCAAATTCTTTCTCAGCCACCTTCTTTTTCACATCCTCTAGTCTTTGAGATGTTGACTCGATCCCTTTCTGCAAACGTTCCCTCTCTGATGTCATCCTATCGATATCTGTCATGCTGATGCCTAGATCGTCGACAGCCTTCTGTAAAGTAATTCGTTCCTCCTCGGCATCCTTGAGCTCTTCCATGACTTTATCAAGTTCTTCTTGTAAGAACTGGGTTCGAGTCTCATACTTCTCGGATTTTTGATTCATTCGCGCATCAAATTCTTCAAATTTGACTTTATCCGCCTCCATAATCTTGAAGTTCCGATCCAGTGTGGTAACATCGGCTCCGGACTTCTCCAGAATCTCAATCTCTTTCTCAAGGCGCTGATGCTCCGCTTCTAGGATCTGCAACTCGTCTAAGTATTTCGAATTAGACATATCAAATTCCCTCGCCATTATTGCAATATGCGGCGCAAAGACCCTGTCCTGCTCATCGTCCCCTGCATCGTCATCCATGAGTAACCAATCTCGATATGCTCGACTTAGAAAATCGAAGATAATCTTGTCACCGCTAACGTCCACGCCTGCCTCAGCACATGCATCGTCATATTGATTGACACTATATCTTTCCAGCATCTGAGCGAGCTGCATCATCCAATGCAGCAACCCAAGGAAAAGATGCCATGAGTTTGCTGATCCGACTGCGGCAAGTGAGCTCTTCGTGATACTCTTTTGGTATGGATATCGCATTTGAGATAAAATCGGCGGAACTTCTTGATCAATATTTCTCTGGAACCTGTAACTAGGATCAATCCGGTGGTACAGCCATTGAAACATGAACACAAAGTCTTTCTGGGTTGGGGATTTTATCGAATTCTGTGTAAGCATATGCTTCATTTCCATTTCAAAGTTGTTATTGGCCATATAGTCTAGCAGTTCTTGACCGATCCTTGCCTGATATGACCGGTCCTTCAACGGCCGGGAATCGCGAGGCACACCGGCCGGCTGTGGAGCCTGTTGAAAAAGGCTTTGGTGAGCCATCGGCCCGCTCGACGATGCTCTTGATCGAAATACACTGCTCCTCCGTTCTGAGCTTTCACCAGAGGTGCGACCCATATTTCCAGGTGCATAACTCTTTCGGCCACTGCTGTGTTGGAATGACGCCCGCTTCACGGAGGATAACCCTAGGTCTGCCAGATTTGTGCCCGAAGAAGACCGTTGGAATTGTGGTTGGTTCGGCCGAGGAGGCGCAAGGGAAGCGCGAGAGCTTGATATTGAGCGCACATGGCCCACCGTGAAAGGGGCATTGTGATTTGAGCCGGACATCGAATTCGAACGCTTCATCGCAGATGCTGGTTGGGGTATGCCAGAGTTATAGCTAATGCCGCCGAGGGTCTATATTGATGTAAGCTTCTGAATATGGGCATTGGTAGAACGGTATAAATATATAAAAATGTATTTCTGAGAGACAACGAAGAACATGAACTTACTTCTCTTGGCCGGCGCACTGAGAACAGACCGGTGTCTTGCGACATCGTCTCGAACCGCGTGCCTCAGGGTTAGTTGTGGCGGCGATACGCAGATAACTAAGAGTTTCCTTTTCAATTCGAATTAAATCGTGAATTGCTGCAGAATGCTGAATGTAGTATCGTTCAAACAATGGCGTTATGAAGTCGAGGCTGCGATATTGGTATGTCAACAGACCAGCGCAGCAACATTACCATCAATTTTGATTGGCGCGCGACCTGATTGTAAACAACACCTCGATTAGGTTTAGCGATCAAGCGTTCGGATTAATGTTTTCCCATATCATGTGCCCCCCGAACAGTCGGCAGCCGGGTTAGCGAGCTCGAAGCCTCGGCTCCCGCTATCCTCGAGACCTCATAACCCAGCCATCTTCTTGCTTTGCCAAACTTAATGCTGAGCATCCTCACTTTACAACTCACGAACTACGAAAAGCTCGTGCCTGATATTAGGTCCTGCTCGCGCGGATGAGCATAGCAGGCGTGCTTCAACATGGCTATCCGTGAAGATCTTGTCGCGTCAGCAGTACGTTCTCTTACTCCAAAACACCCCCTTTGAGACTTTGCTAAATAATAGTAGGTGACATGTGAGAACCCATCGCCAATCCCGCGATTGTCTGTTCTAATATCTCTACCTAGTTCTTCAAGACCCAAGTGTATCCGGATCGCCGATAGAAAACCGAGTCGCATTCTTACAATCCAAGAATTTGACGCAAGAGGAGGTTGATGCTGCACTTGCTCGAGCGAGTGGAGAATCCGCCCCTTCTGCTAACAACTCCAACTATGCGCCGCAACAACAAGTAGCTCGCCAGCCTCAAACTGGGTATGGAGGTTACCAACAATATCCGTGGCAGCAACCGCCACCACCGGAAGTACCGAAGCGGGATTGGAGGGACTGGTTTATAATGGCGACAGTGATGGGAGGGGTTGGGTATGGACTATATTTTGTTGCGAAGGTAACTAAGCTCAAATTTGGAATTTATGTCCCCATTGCTGATTCTTTTGCCAGCGATACGTCTACCCAATTATTGCGCCACCAACGGCGCCCCAGTTAGAACAGGATAAGCAAGCTATCGATGACCAGTTTGAGAAGGCCTTCGTGCTACTTGAACAGCTCTCCAAAGATACCGATACCCTCAAGGCTTCCGAACAGGCAAGAACAGAGAGATTAGATAACGCTCTGACCGAGGTCGAAACCGTTATTAGCGAGCTGAAGTCTGCTAGCCGGAGAAGGGAGGAAGAGTCTCGACGCATGGGCGAGGAGGTGCGAGGACTCAAGGACCTAATACCAAAGGCAATGGAGGGACAAAAGGAAACCACGGACACGAGGCTAAAGGAGCTCAACACAGAGTTGAAGTCCCTAAAGACTCTGATGGGGCAAAGGTTGAACCCTACCGCTTCAGCAAGCCCGAGTTCATTTGGACGGACTACATCCAGTCCCGCGCCAACCCCGAGCACTAACAATGTGAACGGTACCCCAGTTACCGAAGCATCTGTGCCAAAGCCAGCCTCGGTCACAGACGGGTCAGGGACGGAATCAGTGGCCTCCGTTCAGGGTCGAACCGCAAGCCCTTTCAATACCGGTCTCCCGGCAGGGAAAGCTGCCATTCCATCGTGGCAGTTGGCGGCCAAAAACAAGAGTTCTAGCTCTGATAACGCGGCTGGTACGGGGAGTGGAACACAGGAAGCTAGTGGGAGCGCATAATCCGAGGCTCACCTACCAGTAAAGAATGTATTGCATGAAATGGCGCATTTTGGGTGTATCAATCTTGGAGGTACTGGGCAGGACAACATCAAACCGGATAATTAAGTCTAAAATGATGAATTTTTTCCTTCTTATTCTGAGAGCACCGCCTGTTCTACTCTGCGGCTCGTGTAAAATACCTTGAATATAAGCTTTCCCATATTAGTGTTGGTGTTGTGGACAAGGCTGTGATTTGCCAAGCCTTAATGATTATACTTCTGTCCACAAGCCATCGCCACTCCACATTCAAATATCTGTGTTACTTCCCAACATAAAGCCAGTACCAGGGTTTCAACGCAAGAATCCATGGGTTTGGTACTTTTTACGAATCGCTGGTGCCGTGACTCGTTCACATATGCCATTGATTATAAATCCATCACAGCCTCGAGCTAGGGGAAATACCTCGGCACATGGTAGCCTCCTACCGGTAGAATTGTCAACTACTAGTAGGCCAACATGTAACGTCTAAGATTTCAGAAACTGTTCTTCAACAAGATAGATACAATATCCGACTTTCAAGGTAGACTGTCCTAGACATCTGATCAAAGTGGTTTCTCAGTTCCCAGTCTGAAAGAAATTCTTTGACGATCACTCCGCCCTTCCTTGACTTGACATCTTCGCCACTTGCTGTAATCGAAATGGATACCTCCTCTCCTATCCCGCTGATCAGAGCTATGCTCCCCAAGGTGCCACTGATGGGTAGAACCGCTCTAAGCCATACCTTAGGACTCTCAGAACAGTCCAATAAGTGGGATCTACGGACCGCGGTAACAATCAACGTCATACGGTCCTTCATCGTTGATTCCCCCCCTCAACCAATCTCCAAAGTCCAACACATGAGCAAGAAAGACCCGGGAATTAAGGGAAAGATATGGGTTAGCAAAGTGGAAATGCCTCAACCGGAAGAGGACGATATCATAAAAGCCTTGTGTACAGCTATAGAGGGATTAAAACAACCAGGAGAAGTAGAAGGAGGGTTTATAGTTCCAGATTTGCTCCCGGTTGAAGCAGAATGGACGGGATACCGATCACAAGCCAGCAAGCACTCTGTCCTACCCGAAATCTCTGAAGAACAAAAATATAAGGAAATGATGGAAGAAGTCACTGCTCCTACCACAATCCTCTATTTCCACGGCGGAGCATACTATCTCATGGACCCAGCTTCCCATCGATCAACATGCAAGAAACTTGCACGGCTGACGAAGGGCCGCTGCCTCAGTGTCCGCTATAGACTGGCACCTCAAAACCCCTTTCCAGCCGCTCTTCTCGACGCCTTAATATCTTACTTCACGCTCCTTTATCCTCCCGCTGGCTCTTTCCATGAGCCCCTCAAAGCAGAACATATAGTTTTCGCGGGCGACAGCGCAGGAGGCAACCTCGCCCTCGTCCTCCTCCAGACGCTCCTCGAGTTCCGGCGTCAGGGGCTTAAAATCCGTTGGAACGGTGAAGAACGAGAGGTTCCTCTTCCCGCGGGAGTAGCTACAAGCAGTGCATGGGCGGATATAACGCATTCGTCTCCGTCATGTGAGACAAACCAAGGATACGATTACCTTCCCTCAATAAGCTCGCAGTCTAAGGAGGGTAGGAAATACCCAAAGTGCGAAATCTGGCCAACAAGTCCACCAAGGAAGAACATCTACGCCGAGGATGGGCTGCTCTGCCATCCGCTCGTCTCTCCTATTACTGCTAATAGTTGGGAGGGTAGTTGCCCGCTTTATATTGCCACGGGGCAAGAACTCCTCTCAGACGAGGACAAATATCTTGCGATGAAAGCTGCAAACCAAAATGTGCAAGTGGTGTTCGAGGAGTATGAGGCGATGCCACATTGCTTTGCGATGATATTGGAGGGCTTACCGGGGAGTAGGAAGTTTTTTGATAACTGGGCCGGGTTTATTAGCGATGTTGTGGAGAGGGAGGGAAGTGTGGCGACAAAGGGAACGATGATTCGGGCGAAGAGTTTGGAGGAGGAAGTGGTGGATGTGAGGACGTTAAGTTCATTTACAGAGGAGGAGGTTAAGGGGAGGATGGTAGAGCGTGTAGGGAAGATGAGTATGAAGCAGCCGGATTCGATGGCAAAATTATGATACAATACAGCGACCTTAACCTAGAATAATAGAAATACTCCGTATAATACAGCGTATGTTGTTTTCACTAGGAATAGAACTTAGTTAACATGGCGCTAAGACTCGAAGTTTTGATTTCTTCTCGATACTATATGCAGGTTCTAGACGCCTTGTTCTTTATCGTATCTATTCATGCTTCATGCCAGAGCCCAAGCCCACAAAAAGAATGCACAGCAAAGAGAAACCCCCTCATTAAACTACGCTGTTGTCGACCCTATATCATGCGTCTCGCTGATGGTCTATAAAAATAAGAGCACTTTCTATGCGAAGAAGAATATACCCTGAACGCCATAAACGTGTTCATTTATGCCTTGACCTCGTACTTGCGGCGGAACATGTCGTCGACGCCGGTGAGGTAATATACACCCTTAGCAATGGTCTCAGAGCTGCCGTTGGGTGTATAGCTCTTTTGTAAATGAGCCTTCTTGCGTAAATCACACATCTACAATATATTGTCAGCCAAGTGATTGGAAAGATGTTAGACTTCTGTATCTTACCTCATCGTAGACCTCTGGTGCGACTGTTCGTCGCGCATCAAGTCTCCCCTGGAGGCTGAGGTTCTTCTGGATGACATCGGTAGGTCCACTAACTCTCAACGAAAACAGACTAGAGGCCAACCCGCTACCGTAACTGAAAACACCGATTCTCTTTCCTTGTAAGGCCTCGCTGTCAATGTTGCTCAACAAGCTCACCAGTCCACCATAGACGCTTGCACAGTACATGTTTCCACACATCGTGGGCACCTGGATGCTGGGCTGGACGCGCTCGTTGAAGCGCTTCTTGGTCAGCCCCATGAAAGTCTTCTCGACGACCTTGTCGGACAGCGATTGATTGTATTCCATGTCGCGAAGCTCGGCAGGAACGTCAGCGAAAGCTGGGGATGATGGATCCGCGAGGAAGTCATTGTAAAGCAGTCGTGCGTACGATTTGGCAACGAGCTTGCAAGTAGGAGCGTGGAAGGTCATGTAGTCGAATCGGTCAACGGAAGACTTCTCAGGGGAAGCACCATTTCCATTTGCATGACCGTTGGCGGCATGTCCATTCGCGGCCGATTTGAGTGTCGCCTCGCGCTTATTATATGCTTTATAGCAGGCATCAACGGCCTCGGTGTAGCATCTGAGGGAAAAGTGACCATCAACGATGGGATATTCGCTGGTCAGATCTGGCTTGTAGAAGTCATACGCATGCTGCATGTAGCTTCCGCGAAGCCCGGGCTCAATAACCATTGGGGCGTTAGGCCCGATCAGCATGGCAACGGCACCAGCGCCACCAGTTGGTCTAGCATTGCCTTTGGCATACAACGCAATATCGCCTGCCACGACGATCGCATCCCGACCATCCCAGCCAGAGGACTCCACCCAGTTCACGGCGTTGAATACCGCATTTGTGCCTCCGTAACAAGCATTAACGGTATCCACACCCTCAATGTTCGAGTTGCCTGGGAACAATTGCATGAGGACGGATTTGACAGATTTTGACTTGTCGAGGATGGTCTCCGTGCCAACCTCTAGGCGGCCGATCGAGTTCGGATCAATGTTGTATTTGCTCAGGAGGTTCGAGGTCACAGTGAGCGCAAAAGAGTAAATATCTAGAGAGACGTTTAGCGCAAAGCTCGAATGGCCTTCAATTGGAGCAGTCATCACCTTCTCTGTCATCGCAGAAGCTCATCTTGGTCTGGCCAAGCCCAATCGTGTATTTTCCCTGGCTCACGCCATCGAATTTCTCCAGCTCAGCTTGATCCACGCACTACCAGATGAGCGATATGTTAGCATATCTGCCAGAAAATATTCTGATATAATAAAGCAGATAGTGGGGTGATTTCATCGCGCACCTGGCTTGGGAAATAGATCTCCACGGCCTTAATGCCAATGTTCTCAGGTCGGGCAGACATCGTGTGGGGCGGGAAAGGACAAAGGTTCTGTGGTTTTTGAAAAGGGGGCGGTCAGGGAGTCTGGTGGCGGGGTTGCGAGTAAGGTGGATATGAGGATCTGTCTTGAGAAGAGGAATTAGAGATAGAGTTATTATACGAATCGCAAGCCCGAAGATGTGTTTCGATTCAGGGGAGGAAGTCTTGGTTCCCGAGCTCAGTAGAGAATAGGGAGGATGGATTCTCTCGCCCTAATCCCAACAAAGGCTCGCTCGCGGGGCGGTCAACAGCAGGAGAAGGCAATTTACGTACCAGCGACGACGGCGTGCAGGTCGGGGGGAAGGCGCAAAATCTCGGCCGAGATGCTGATGAGAGGATGGCAAACTTCAGCGATCGGCAACAGAAGAAATCCCCGGTATAGAGAAATCGAGACGAAAGCAGGAGTTTGATCAATCTCGTGCTCGAGGGGTCCCCGAGGTACCTTTATCGCAAAAAACAGTTGCTGCATCGTGGGGACCCCTGTGGCGGCATCCAGTCTAGCTGGATTGTGTGGAACGGTCCCGAGATCGCTGCACGCCAGCAATCGAGCAATCACGTCCCTCAGGGCACTTTAACAGCTGCAGCAGCGCAAATAACACGCGCCACCGCAAGCAACGGTGTAGAATGCTCGAAACAGTTTTGGAGAAGGTATGTTTATCTTTCGCTTCCCGCCTTGGACAAGCGGTGCTGTTTCGTTCCCCGAGACTATTATTGTCATATGTCTGTACAGCATGCCGGCCAAGCTGACAGCTGATGGTTTTTAGAAGCTGCTGTCACAATCCTCTGTGGTTCCACCGCGGCCCAAGATACACAGAATACTCCGTATACTCTGGAATATTGGAAAGGGATATGTGTGCGAATCCCGACGCCGCCACACTCCGGCTTAGCGGTTGGTGAGAACGACCTGGCCACGCTCTGTATCAGTATCAGACTGAATCCAGCCATGTCCTGCGAGGGGCACCAGTTGTGCTTCGTCCACCCCGCTATATAGGTACTTATCGTGTCAGACCGCCACTCCTGAGCGTCCTTGGGTACTCAAGTACGCGAGTGCTCGAGTGCCCCAAGCCTCCCCTGCCAACGTTGTTTTGCCAGGCATCATGAGGGGCCGTGTTGCAGTTGATCGAGCTCCTCTGTGTTTCTGCAGGTCAAGCCTCGTGTTTCTACCTCGAAACAAGAACGGTCTCCCAAAAGTGGCGCTCAACAAGTGTGTGGGTGACACCGCCAAGAACTTATTTGCACCTCTAAGGTGCACATCAATAACGCATTGCGTTCAGGGTATACAACCAGCCCTCTCGCTACAAGGAGATGGAGACGCTTTTCTACATCCTCATCAAAGTACTTTAAATTGCACACAAAACCACTTTCTAAAAAAAATTGGCTGGTTCATCTACGGAAGGAATTCCTTTCCTTCATGTCTTGTACCCCCTGACCGAGATATCAGCGCCCAGGAAGTTGGAATTCGACGTTAATGATCTATCACGTGCTCACGTCTCCATCAATTGGGGATAGAAGATGATAAGATCCCCATGAGTTCTTCATTTCGACCACCGAGATTGATCGGTCAATCGTGGTTGGTCCATAAAACCCCACCAGAGTACTTATTTACCAGCACCGCCTTTCCAATCGAAATCCATCAGTGAAATTGTCAGTATTCCTGCATTCAGGCTCGTTGAAGCCCAGTCGGTGCCTAACGTAATATGCTGCCAAGTCTCCGTCGAGAAGATATTGCATCAAGTCCAAAACAGGCTATTAGAGGTGCTGTCGGGATCCAGAGACATCAGGAGCCGCAAGAGCGAATGTCATGAAGAAATCATGTCATGCCACGGCAATTCCCCAACTTCAATAATACGGGATGGCGCACTTCCGATTGAGAGTTAGCTCCCACACTCAAGTTATTATTCTGAACCTCGGCGGAGGTTGGAAACGTTACTTCCATGAATCTAACGACAAAGATATATTTTCAACCTCGGCTTAAGTATGGACAAACGGGCTGTTCTAGCCTCTACCCTATATAGGGCAGCCAATAGGTGGATGCCTTCGAAGCTTAGCCAACGAGCAGTTACCTTGTGCAAACATCCAAGTGTGTCAAGCCTCAGTTATCGCATCACAGAGGTACCTTATTTTCATGTGACTTTACCGGCAGACTTCAACGGAAGTTTTCGTACAGAGTATTGGCCAGCGCGATTGGGTTCCCGGACAATACCCCACTGGTGGTTGCAAACCCACAAACCAGTGTCGGACAATCTATGGTTAAGTTTCAAGTAGTCAACACGACATTTTATTGTACTGATCTGTACCTGATCTGTACCTTGCATTAGAAAGCAAAAACGCCAAAGCTATCTCGGCGGCCTCTCCTGGCCGTGATCGCGTCGACTGAGATTCGATCGAGTATTCTAATGATAGCGTACATCACCAAATATCCAGTCATCTGCTTAGCACTTGTTGCAACTTGCAAAGCAAACTATCTACCTAGGTAGATCACCTCATCGATATAGAATCGTCGCTCGCTCGAAACTTGGCATGATCCATGGCAGAACCACGGTGCTCCTGGAGCCCAAACGAAAGAGCCTAAACTCAAAGCATGGTACAGCGCCGGAACAGAAACTACTACGACTCTAGCCGCTATGGGCAGGACGGGACAAGTCCCCAATGCCATGGATCCGAATAAGCCTTTTGTAGCCTTGAGAAAAACCCAATCCCAAAGCAAATCGGAACACCTACGGCCCTCTCCAGATGCTCTACGACCAGACCAGTCGCGAGTGTGAGTAGACTAGGAAGGTTTGGAATTTCGAGACTGCAGGACGTGGGGTATTGCTCATGTACTGTACATTTGCACGGGAATATCGCGGGTGGCTGATCATGGTTGAGGCTAAATGTAAGGTTGATGAAGATGCATATCGCGATCGATCACAACTCCCTCCCTCCCTGGCAACTTGCAATACCGGCCACTGGTGCAAGCTGCAGAGAGCTGTGGGGAGTTGAGTCGATTTATATCAATTTACATCGTCTCTATATCTCCGATGGATGGCCCGCCAGGGCGTAGTCGCATATCAGGAAACATGTCCGCTCCCACCTCGTCCAGGCACCGCAGAATATCCCTCTTTGCAATATGGAGCCCGGTCTTGCGATCTCCGTCCTATAAAGTAGCACAACGTACGGATTGGCTGGGTTGCACGGCTCAAGTCCATTCCATGGAGAGCGCCACGACGCAGCGTGATGTGATATGGTCTCATGCGCGGATGAGGGTCCGTCGGGAGAAAAGACGAGGGACACTCCGTTAAGGTAGAGCAACTCGAAGCACCAGCGTCCAGCGAGAAGAGTGTAATAAAGAATATGAGGGGAGGAAAGGGGAGGGGCGAGCGCATATTTGGGGGGCTAATCTGTGGCAAACGAACCGGTCCGAGTATCGTGTACGGTTCCTACCGTAGACACCTTGAGGTACTACACGGTATGCTGCCACACCCCAAATATTGATCAGTCAATTGATCGGAGCACACGATCAGCAGCCGTTCACGCAAAGTTAGAAGGTTCCGTAAAACCGGAGGAGACGGTATTGTAAGTATTGCGTTGTCTTGTAGGTATTGTACGCTATCGGCGTGCTTCGTGGCTCGCCCTCACATCACACCCTTTTAGCAGTTTAGCTTCCACTCGCCGGGTTCGTATTGAGGGATGATTACTGTGCGGAATACTCCACACGTACTCGTACTGTGTACATGTACCTAGGTACTCTGCATTTGTCCGTCAACAACTGCCAGTATACGTAGTACTGCTATCCTGCTATCCTGCTATACTACCATACTACTATACTATAGTGCTAGCACTGGTACTGACTGCACCCGTACTGCCGTGGGCTGCCCCCTACAGCGCTGTATGGGCTGTACACTGTACAGCACGTACATACAGTGGGTGGAGAGACACTGGACAAACACCGGATCGCACTGGATTCCCCCCCCCAGGGCCCCAGGACAGCCCCTGGGCCCCCTGGTCAAGCGAAGTGTCTCAGCGCGGATCGCGCCAAGCCAGGACGGCCAGCCACCGCCCTCCCCCAATGGCCTCCGATACACCACCACTTCTTCCATCCGTCTCCTCCCAAAAGGTGCCAACGGTACCGATACGCACTCCTTCGTTCACGATCAGCTCAACATTCCCATCGACAACACCACGGCCCTGCCTCGATCAACGCCAATTCCAACGGCGACGAGAGCACTACGAATCACAACGGTCATCTGCTAGGGGACCACGTCGACATCCGTCTCGATCCCAATCCTCACGACTGCCACAACAATTATCGAACTGGGTCATAACTACTATCACGACAAACGCCCCAAATCTCGCGCTCGCCCACTCCTCTTCTCTCCGGCAACACCACGCACGACATATTTGCGCATGAGCACCAAATTGATGTTGGATTCGATCCTCGCATCCTTCCCGCGGATTGAGAACGATACCGTCTTGGGATTGCGGAGGGACCATGGCTGGAACTGAATCTCGTGGATCGGCAGTACTTGACAGGAGGTTGTCGGTGCGGTTCTCGACGCAACTTGACCATGGCAATAGTGATCATGATCTGGACGTCGAAGCAATGGGGATTTCGGACGGCTTTAGGCCATCGGGTGCTGGAACTGGCCACGACAGAATAGTGTCACAAGTATCGGCGAGCAGGAACCCTCCACCACGACCTTCAGGTACGACGAACCCGCCGGCGCCCGACTCCTTTGCCCTACAACATGACGGTGCGACGGGAACGGAAATAAGGACGAATTCCACGATTTCGTCGTCCACGAATCCCCCTATGGCGAGGTCCTCGAGTGGTTCGACCGATATACCCTACGTTAGGTCTGAGAGTCCCTATCAAGGACCGGCACAACCCTCGCATCCATACCAAATGTATCCGCAGGAGTCACAGGTGACAAGGACTGCGAGTATGGCAACAACTTCTACGGTTCCAGTATCGGAAAGATCGTACACAGGGCCCAGTGGGCCAACCCATCCATATGGAATGTACGCGCAGAACATTACTCCTGAACGAGAGGCGGCAGAGAGCTCTCGACCTACTCCGCCCGTTGCTGTTGGGTTTCCCGGTCTAAACAACCATTATCAACGCCGGCTTGGCCCTGATGGCGAGGAGGTTGCCGATATAATCGGACCAGACGGCCACACCGAACAACTGCCACCATACACGCAGTATCCCGACGAGGCTCTGGCAAGGAAGACTCGCCCAAATGTAGCAGTGCCTCCTGCTCCTGTTCCGGGTGCGGGAGGGATTGGATTGGCAACGCGGAACCCGGAATTTGCATCGCAGGAGGACCTGAGCTCACCTCAATCCCGGCGCAGCATCATGTCGGACATGAGTAGTCATCAAGTCAATACAGCTGCGGCAGTTGTTTCAGAAAAGCCAGCGTTGAAGAACTGGCAAAAGGCCGCGCGGAGGAAAGTTTGCGGCATTGTTCCTGTCTGGGTGCTCGCCCTCGTGGCCCTCGTTTTCATCATGTTTGGGATCATTCTGGGGACTGTGCTTGCAATCCTCAAACCCAAGCGCCCTCCATCCTCAAAACATTATAGTTCTCGTCCGAATCCAGAATCGTAAGTTTACACGACACCCACGAGTGCCTGTCCCAGCTAACCCGAACAGTGAAAGCACCATCTATACCACAATGACCACAACATTTGATGCCACCCCGCTTACCGCGGTTCCGACGGGGATGCCACCGCTGCCAACCGGGACCTTCGCTGTGCCTATATCAGTCCCCGCCCTCAATCAAGCCAGCTGCATCCAAGACACCGCCCAGAGTAACGCTTGGGCTTGTGGGATCGCTTTTGCACCTGGACCTCTACAGATAACTGTCGCTGGCTCCACCCGCTCGTCTAATCCACTAGAAAACAATGAGGTCAACTTGAGTTACGGAAATAACTCGTTGAATTCATTTACATACGGTGCCCAAGCTCCGACATTGAGCGAGTCGCGACCGTTGAAACTTGTAACCGATGTTACTGATGCTGCAAGGGGTCCGGCATGGTGGTTCCAAATGCCGTACGACAAGTTGGTTGTTCTGCACGAAAACAACCTCGCGCCCCTTAACAAAAGACGAGAGGGAAAGTCCCATGAACCCTCAGACTGGGTCCGAAAAGGAGTCGCTGTCCCTGGGGACTCACCATGGTTCTGTTATTGGAATGGCACGATACTGGAAGCGTTCATCTATGTCAACCAAACAAGCTCGTGGGGCAGCAAGTCATCTCCGATACCTTCCGGCGCTCCAAGCTCAACAACTGGCTCTGAACAATCATCCACCTATAGCACAAGTGTTCCGACTTCATCAAATGCCCAAACAGACGGCCCCTCTTCTCGATATGGCCCTCCTACCCCCCCATACCCGAAGGTTGTAAAGATAGAAGAGCACAGAATGTCACGAGGGCCCCGAGTTTCGGCTCCCTACTGTGTCCAGCATAAAATAAACGCCGACAATTCCGCGACCCCAGTTCTGAATAGTACCGGCCAGCCTATCACAGTATATCTGAATGAGACGGAGTCTACTAACTTTGGAAGACGCTATGTCGATCTCAACGAAAAACGTGCTGACCTGAGCGAACGGGATTTCGCCAACAAGTGTGGTTGTGTCTGGTTATATTCATGAGGTTTACCACTTGGAGGTCCTTGAGCAGGATTTGAAACTCTACATGGGCAATCTTCTTGCTTTTACGTTATTGTGCTACATATATCTAGGGAAGTTGAATGGGAGTTAGGGTGCGGTTATTGGGATTGTGTGTATACATTGGTCGAAGGGGCATAGGCGTTTGGTCTAATAGGATATATGGCTGAATGGATGTCTGCACCATACTACTAGTAGGTGCTCGGGACTTTGGGATATGGAATACGGAATGTGGAATATGAAATATGAAGGATATAGGGACTAAAACACATTGGACGCTATGGGTCAGGAGCATTTTGAATTGAGAACCCTTCGTCGTTACTCTATTTGTTGCCATCTAGCATATCATAAATGAAACTATGAGCACTTGATTAGCGTTAGGTCATTAATTAGTATCAAGTTGCTATTTATAACGGAGTATAGAGGTCGGGATAGGCTGTAAAGTCTTTTACGCTGTTAGATTGCAAAAACCTAACAATTTTAACATTCTATTACCTTTATTATTAGTGATTTATTACTTGGCTCTTTTATATAATCCGCACATAGATTCTGATTCACTTAATAAACATTTCCTCGTTTTCTAGACTTTTGTCTGTTGTAAACGCCTCTTGCCTCCAATACGCATATCCCAGCTCTACGCTGAGAGGAGTGGATACCTAAACGCCATGCACAGCACCAGTCGCAGATCTAATTAATCATGTCACATCCGTCTTATCGAGATCAGTATTTAGGCCGTCCAAAAAGCTATCCGCTTGTTTCTTCGCCCTCTTCTCCCCAATAGCCCTCCTCCGCTCCTCGATTTCCCGCTTCCTCGCCTCTTTCTTCTCCTCCCTCTCCTTTCTAACCCTCTCAGTCTCCAACCTCTCCGCCTCTAACGCCTCCATCTCCTGCTTCCTCATACCCTCATCCTTACTAAAACTATAAAACCCCACGCCTTTAATCCTAAACTCCTTATCAGCCTCATAATGCCGCTGCTCAGGCGGCGTAAGACTACGATCCCTCTTCCGCGCAAGCTCCTCCATCTTCTCCACCGCCGGCTCATCCGGGTTAAACGCGAGGCTCTGTACAGTATCGCCATAGATGAGCTTCTCCGGCATCGCCGGCCGAGCAGATATGCGATCGAGCTCTTCCTGTCCTAGAGTTTTATTCTGTTTCTTGCGCTCCATCCTCTCGGCTTCGGCTTTTGTCCCGCGTCGCTGTCGTCCGTATTCATCCTCGTATTCCACTATCTCTCCTCCTCTATCATCCCAGCCATCAGAGTCAGAATCCTCCCCGGAGCTTCTTTCGCCTTCGGCCCATTTTCTGTCAAAATCCACTAACCCCTCGTTGTCCTCGCCTTCGCGCGCTACGTGTTCCCCTCTCTTCATCTCCTTGTATAGCTTCGCCTTAGATGCTAGTTTCCGCTTCGACCGGTGTAATACCGCTTCATCCACACCTCCGATATCTTGTCTCCTAGCACCCCGCCCGCGCTGCGTCTCATCCTCTGAATCATCTTCTAAATCGCGCGCTGCACGCTTCTTGGTATTCTTGTTGTGGGATGTGAAGATGTCGTCTTTGGAGTGTTTGGAGGGGCGCGGACGGCCTGATGTAGGTCGGGATGTGGTGGATGAGGAGGAGAGAAGACTTGTGAGTGTTGAGCTAAAAGCGAGGCTTGTGGAGGAGGATATTTCTTTAGAGGCGGTTTTGGGTTTGCGTATGCCGTAGAGGGAGGTGTTGGATGCCATATTTTGTATCCGTGAATGCTCAATTAGTGTGCCCCTTACATGTAATGTAGGAAGGATATACGGGGAGCTGCGGGAGAAGTATCTTTGATCCTAGAGTTGTAAAGTTGCTGGAGCTTGTAAGGGTGGCGGTAGGGGATGGTGCTCTGGGTCGCTTCATGCACACCTTACATGGAAACAAGGTTTTAACTAGGCTTCAATATCCCAATGCTAGAAGAACATTAGGGGCCATTTAAAACTCAGAATTCAGATTTCTAGGCAGGGCATATTATTTTGTGCTATTATAGAAACATCTCCAGATAGTTCATGGAGTATTTACTTCGTACACGCCCTACGTCTCCTACGCCCAAGCTTCGTAAGGCTGAGGCTATTTTGGAGCGAAGTGGGGGGCATTCAATTGCGACACCGGCACACCCCGCTTCACCATCTTTTCCTCATTGCCTGGCACTCAGACCTAGACTTATCATTCACAAAAGTCCCTCAATTCCGATATCCCTCTAGGTTCAACTGATTCAATATGGCTTCTAAGGAGATTTTCATTGCTGTCATTGGTACTTGCTCTCACGCCCTCCCCACTCTCAAATCGTACTACGTCTAACACAGCATAGGCGCCGGCGGTGTTGGCAAAGCCTTTCTATCACAGCTGGAGGGCCTCTCCAAACGACTATCGGCTAATGCGTCGTCCCCGAAGCTTTCCCTCATCCTCGTTTCCCGAAGCACGAAGACATTATACAGCCCTCAATATAAGGCCCTGCCTTTCTTGAACCTCGCCACGAGCCTCGCAGATTCCACCAACAAGCCTCTATCCTTGACTGAGATTATTGACTTCTTGGCTGCTGCGCCAGCAAAGGTCGTCCTTGTTGATAACACCAGCTCTCAAGATGTTGCAGACAGTTACCCGCAGGTTCTGTCCCGTGGGATAAGCATTGTCACGCCAAACAAGAAAGCCTTCTCCGGTTCTTATAAGCTCTGGCAAGATATTTTCTCATCAGCGGCCTCGTCGGGCGCGAAAGTCTACCACGAGAGTTCTGTAGGAGCCGGGCTCCCGGTCATTTCTACATTGAAGGACTTGGTGGAAACCGGCGACGAGGTGACAAGGATCGAAGGCGTCTTCAGCGGCACTATGTCTTTCCTATTCAATTCTTTCGCGCCGACGGAGGGCTCAGGCGGAAAGTGGTCTGCTGAGGTAAAGAAGGCGAAGGAATTGGGTTACACAGAGCCAGATCCAAGAGATGACTTGAATGGGCTGGATGTTGCACGGAAATTGACTATCCTAGCTAGGCTGGCAGGACTACAAGTCGAATCTCCCACTTCTTTCCCTGTCCAAAGCTTGATACCCAAGGCGTTGGAGAGCGTGGGAAGTGGTGAAGAGTTCATGCAACGGCTACCTGAATTTGACTCCGAAATGGAGGAGACAAAGGCTGCTGCAGAGAAAGAAGGGAAAGTTGTGAGGTTTGTTGGGAGTATCGATGTGGCAAAGAAGGAGGTCAAGGTTGGATTGGAGAAATTCGACCGATCACACCCAATCGCCGCTCTGAAGGGAAGCGACAACATCATCAGCTTCTACACGAAGCGGTATGGAGCAAATGCTTTAATCATACAAGGAGCTGGTGCAGGAGGCGATGTCACGGCGATGGGCGTAACTGCAGATTTGATCAAAGTCCTTGGACAGCTCTGAATGTTTCAATTAGACCCCAATAATATCTCGTGGAGTTGTAGACCATGTTGTCAATCGTCGTTCATCGCATTATCATAGCGCCTCTCGTGTTCCATTCGTTTCTTAACCCCGCTCCCAGTCTCTACCGCTTCCACCGCACCAGATACACCCGGAATTGTCAATGTCCGAGGTCTTCCACTGGGCCTCTCACTCAAACTTGGCGCCCTAGGTCGTGGCCTATTCCTCGCTCGTCCGCCTACGTAGGGGATTTCGTACGTCGCTGTGCGGAATATATAGAGTAACGCGTCGTAGATTATCAAAAGCAGCCAAGGGCCAATAGACAACAACCCCAAGAGTAGCTATTGTTTGCATTATTAGTACTTGGGTAAGGCACATATATAGAGCCAGCCGAAGGGCAAACTCACAAACATGCGAACCGCCCATGTTTCAATGAAAGAAAGGCTTTCGGGCAATATAGAGGACCAGGACATGGTTGGAAGCTCTCCTCAAGATGTCTAAGTCATGTACCGGTATACCGCGCGGGGAGAGGTCGATTTCTACTTCGCCAGAGCAAGGATACTGCAATTTGTAGGGCGGGGAATATATTCACGTGTCGAGGCTTTAGGTGGTGGGCACCCGAGGTTTATCGTGAGTTTTTAAAGTGGAGATCGCGTTTCTGATCGGAGGGAAAGAGAAATAGCGCAGCTGTGTCATATCGAGATAGGTTTGGGTCGGCGAAGTGGGTTGATTCCAACAAAGTCACTCTCGGCGCAGCAACAGAGCTCCAATTGTCGTGTTTTGGTTGACGGCGGGTGCAGGGACACCGCCGGATCGCCCTGATTGGCTACGGCGGTCTGCCGATATACTGAAAATATCAGCCTTGAATCAGAGCCTTGCGCCTCGATCAAACCCCTCCAAAACCTATAAACAGACTATCACAACAAGTATCCTCACTATGGGCGGGTCTAAAAACAAACGCCAGAAGAGGGTCGACTACAAAAGCTCCCGCGAAGGCGGTACCACGAACGAGCTTCCGAAGAAAAAATTCTACAGACAGAGGGCCCATGCTAATGTTTTCTCGGACCACAATCTGACATAGTGAGAGATCTTTGATGTATAAATTGGGGCATTGTACTAATTTTCAGCCCAATAAACCCCGAACACATGAACTGGGCCCCCTACTTTCCCGCCTTCGTCGAGCCCTTGAATACTGAAGGTGCGCCGGTAGCTGTGCGGGACGTAAATGGAGGGGATGATGCCCATGTGCCAGAGTCCAGAGCCAGTGGTCAAGATGAAAATGGAAACAATCGATATGCCATGAACGAGGATACTATTCAAAGGTTGACGAAAGATGTAGAGGTGGCAGATATAGGGTGTGGATTCGGGGGATTGCTTGTTGCGCTTGCTCCAAAGCTTCCGAACACGTTGTTGCTAGGTATAACCACTGTTTACAATCATGTTCCCAGGGCTAATAGACATTCAGGAATGGAGATTCGATCGCAAGTCGCCGAGTATGTCCAAGAGCGAGTACATGCCCTCCGAGTTCAGAAGGCTACTGAAGGACTATTTCAAAACGCCGCTTGCCTACGAGCAAATAGCATGAAATTCCTACCAAACTTCTTCAAGAAGCACCAGTTATCAAAGATCTTCTTGTGCTTTCCAGATCCGCATTTCAAAGCTCGAAAACATAAAGCTCGGATCGTCTCCACGGCATTGAACTCCGAGTATGCCTATGTTCTCCGGCCAGGCGGAATTGTATACACCATCACGGATGTGGAGGATTTACATTTGTGGATGGTGGAACATTTTGATAAGCACCCATCCTTTGAAAGAGTGCTAGAGGAGGAGCAGGAGGCAGATGAGTGTGTAGAGGTTATGAAGTCTGAGACAGAAGAGGGGATGAAGGTCACACGGAATAATGGACAGAAATTTGTGGCATTGTTCCGGCGGCTAGAGGATCCTCCATGGTAAACAAGATATACCCATTTAAACAGTAATAATATAAAAGAGTCAAGAAATGCAAAGGATGTTCTCCTTCGTCCCATCCATGTGATTTGCTAGACTCTATCAGAAGTCGAGATTACGCGAGATTTGGCATTGGCCCTCCATCAGTAGCTACGGTCGACACCTCCAGTCGACCACAAACCAATCATGCCGTCCGACCACGCTCCCTACAATCACATACTATGGCCCTCAGTCGATGGGATGTGATCGCCATAGGTGTTGGTAGCTTTATCGCGTGGGGTTATGCCGTTCACTGGGTGCCAGTGTTGCGCTGGGTCGGGTATACCTTTGTGGTAGGCTTCATTCTACCAGTCGTGGGGCTGATCGCATTGCTGGTAACTACCTCCAGAGGAAGAGAATATGGCGACAGGAATATCAAATGCCGTCCCAAAGGCCCAAAGTTCCTGGCTGCGACCGCGTGGGACAACGAAATCGCTGCACTCCGAAACCGTCAAGCGTACCACTGGAAACCGCTCTATCCCGAGTCCTTCCTCGTCTCCAACGCCCTCGACGAGCTCTTAGAATTTATTCTGAAGGATTTTGTCAACTCATGGTACTCCAATATTAGCAAGAACCCGGTGTTCATCAATGAGGTGGACAAGACCATTAGACTCGCGCTGGCTAGTCTGCTCGACATCGTGCTCGAGCTAGACATTACGGAGATTGTTATTACAAGATTCGTCCCGATCCTGACGGCACATTTCAAGGATTTCTATGAGGCAGAGAGGGCTATACGAGGGAAACATCTAAATCGCCATGTTACGGAATCCGACGAGTTGGACTTGGCGATAGCTGCGAAATATAGGGAAGGAAAGCTACATCCAGCGGCATCTTTGGCATACTCAGATATAAAAGCGGTTAAGCAGAACTACCTGCGAGACCTAACGAAGGACTTGTTACCTAAGTTGTTACCCCAACGAGTTATTGCTAGTCGAGCTGTATCGGTTCTTGTTCAGGAGCTGGTGGCTTGTGCTGTGCTTTCGCCCGTTATGCAGCTGCTGTCAGACCCGGATACATGGAATCAGGTTATGGAGGGCTATGTACGTCGCGTTCAAACTCAAGCAACTTATGTATAAACTAATATGGGGTTGATAGGGACGAACAATGCTTCAAGATCGCTCGACAGTTCGGAAATTGCGCGCCGCCCTCGACGAGCACGCCTCACCGGTTCCACGACAGAGGCATACAACATCATTTCCCCGGATATCACCCGGAGACCATGAACGCCGATTTGAGAAGTTTATACGTGCTATTCGGAAAACCAATAATCTCTCAGATGCCCGTAGATTTCGAAGTGAGATCTCGAGCCAGCTGAAAAGAGATAGTCTGAAAGAAGGACAAGATCCCGTGTACCTGCGACGGCTAGAAATAGGGAAGAAGATATTGGACCAGCGTGTTAATCAACTTGCGGCGGGCGGGGAAAGAGTTCCACCAGTCCCACGGGTTTCTTCGGATCTTAATGGAATGCAAGTCTCACAAATGGAGAATGCCTCTCTAGTAGATCTACTGCATGATCCCTCAGGGCTCTCTTATTTCATGGAATACATGGATAGACAGCATCTTATGCCTCTAGTCCAATTTTGGATTGTTGTTGATGGATTCCGAAATCCGTTGGAGGATGAATTTGCGGAGGACGACGAGATTCCAGCAACCCTCGCTCCATGGACAGATGCTGATAGAGCCGATCTTGCCCAGATCAACGAAGCTTACCTATCGAAACCTGAGCTCAACGTTTCTGAGACATCGAAGCAACTTGTACGCAATTTCCTAAAGGCGGGCAACGATGCAAAACCACTTGAATACTTCCTCGCGCGAAGAGCCATTCTACGAGCTCAGACAGCTGCTCTTGAATTTATGCAGGAAAAGAACTTCCAAAATTTCAAGAAGTCGGACTTATTCTACAAATGCTTAACATCTCAAGAAGCGTCGAAAAGCATAGCGCCGCCACCTCAGTCACCGGGCCTGTCGATGATAGACGGGACATCAGGCAACCCACATCCGGTGCCAACTCGAGCAACTGTATCTCAGGCAGTGCTAACCAAGTCGAACCCCCTTTCACGGGTATCAGCAAAATTAGTGCCTAGAAGGGGCGAGTTGCGCCGAGCCCCAGCGTCTTCGAATGATTTGGTCTCTGCAAAATCCAGTGCGTCAGATTCCTTGGCTGAATCCCGACGTTCTTTAGACGACGAAACCCATTCGCCTCTATTTGACGATGAAGATTTTGATAGCGAGGCCATGAATAACTCGGTATACAGCCTTGATCAGGAGCCGCAACCAATCATTCCGGACAATAATGTAGTTGAAGCCATGGAAGCGGCCTTGAACAACATTATGGAAGATAAGCCAAACGCCGAAGACCTTCGGAAGTCGCTTTTCGGTGAAGATGACAACCTGGAATCGTCCAACCATAGTATTTCATCGCCCAATGGTAATGATTCGCCGCGGAGTTCTATGGATCAGAGGCGAGGAGATTTCTTTGGTGAAAAGACCGAAAAGCCAAGTATCGCTTCGCTTGGCCTTGTCAATACATCATCCAGAATCGGAGTTTTCACAGACGACGATTTATTTGGTGACGAGCAGAAATTTCTAGCTGACGAACATGACGACCCCGAGGAAAGCAAGACCCAGGATGATGAAGATGAGGTCCATGAAGCTGCGCCAGGCGATCTCGGACTCGCGGAAGCCATTGCGGCTCTTAGTACAGATATCGATAGGCTGGTCGCCCAGGATGCGGTCGTGGACTCCTTAACGAGGAAAGCAGAACTCACCAACAATAACGCTGAGTTACGCATATTGCGCAAGTCAAAGGCAAGCTTACTGAGGGAAATCAGGCGCAAGGAACTTCAGCGCCAGCAATATGTGGTCCAAGAGGGCGATAATAGTCTTTACGGTCGTTCAACTATCAAGATCAAATCTATGATGGTAGGAAAAGAGGATGACGGCCGAGAATATGCTGTATATGTTATTGAAGTCCATCGAAAAGCGGGAGAGCAGATGCCAGCAGCAACCTGGGCCATCACTCGCCGTTACAGCCAGTTCCATGAACTTCACCAGCGCCTACGAATGAAATATCCTTCAGTCCGGAATCTCGATTTCCCAAGACGACGAATGGTCATGAAGCTACAGAGCGATTTCCTCCATAAACGACGATTGGCTTTGGAAAAGTACCTCAGCGAAATTCTTCTACTGCCTGACGTCTGCCGTAGTCGAGAATTGCGCGCTTTCTTGTCACAGAGCGCTATTGCGCCCGGCGCTGAAACTCACTACGATTCTGAAGACAAGAAGGATATCATGACTCGGTTTTATAACTCGGTCACAGATGGCATGGAAGATTTACTCGGCAATATACCTGTTCTCGATCAACTTTCTGTCGCGGGCCAGAACTTGTTATCCGCTGCAACAAACCAGCTCATAACGATGCCGACTACCATAAGTGAAGATCCCCTCACTGCTGCAGAAGCTGAGGCAGAACTCAACGCCTTTGAGAACCGCGAACTTGAGCCATTTGTCAAGCCCATCTGTGATATCTTCCTAGAAGTTTTTGAGCTCAACCGCGGCAATAATTGGTTGCGAGGTAGGGCTGTGGTGGTTGTCCTGCACCAACTTCTTGGAGGTACCATCGAAAGGAAAGTCCGGGATAGTGTCAACGGTCTCGTTTCCGAGGAGTCCACAATCAAGTATGTGAATTTGCTCAAGGATTCTATGTGGCCTGGCGGCAAGCTCAAACGAGATGGCAAACCTCGATCTACTGCGGAAAAAACCAAAAGCCGAACGGAAGCGAGCTTAATGCTTGCGACTCTTGTACCAGACTTAGCTGCAAGTGTGGTGGGACGTGTAAATGCCCAGGCTGCAAGCCGAAGGATATTTGCTACCTTCAACAACCCTCGACTTAAGTAAGTAATTCTTCCCCTGCCTTATCTGATCGGTGCTGATCTTTATAGCACGCACCTCGCGTTTACGTTGTTAGATGAAGTAATCGATGTATTATTTGGAGCTATTCGTACTTGAAGCATTTGTCTTTTAGCGTTGGTCTGTATCATCGGCGTTTAGCATAGGCGTTGGAGGCAAGCATGGAATGCTAGGACACATCCATGGAGTTCGATATATAGGATTCTTAATACCAGTACATAAAGATAATACTCTATTTCCGATAAACATGCCGTGTACTTATGAAATTGTTATTACAAGCTTCTGCGTACTACTTAACCATCTTGTTTTACTTGTATAGTAACGTAACTTTTCAATTATAAATACATATAACGAGTTCCAGTATAATATAGATGTCCACTGCACACTTGTGTTATAGATTGCGAGAAGTTGAACATAGGATATCGCCGCTCTCTCGGGTTGGGTGAGTAATTTGTATCTAAGTAGGTAGTAGAAGCGACATAGCTAGAGGCTGGACAATCCTGGATGAATGGGACAAGTTTGCCAGTTGGTTTCAAAGTGCTATTATATCTTATATAAGACCCGGCACATTGTAGGAGATAAACCTGGAATACCTCCCAGCCCACCCCTATTCCCACGTGATATGGTAGAATGCAATATTTTGTTGCACATCGCACCTCAGCATATGCCGAACCAACACCCGTAATTCAGCAGAGTGGATTTGTACGGAGCACCATATGCCCCCTTTACAGACGGTGATTGGTAGTTCTCAAATCTTGCCGAGTCTGTTTAGCTGTGATGGGCAGATTCAAGGTAGAAAGTGGTCTGAGTAGCCAGGCGGGAGTTATTGACTTTCTATGGCGGAGTAGAAGCCATGAGCCGTTTTATGGGCTCATCACATAGCTTGAAATGGGGGTTGTACCATTTTGTCTCAGGCCTTATCTTCCATAAACATAGGAATTCTTCAGGATTTTCGTTGGTTGTCTCGCCTGAATGATTTTCAGCACCAGTGCGTGAATAAGAGATGTGAACTAAGAGAGTCCTTGAGGGTGTTTCACAGAATCATCGAAATTCGCATCCCAAAACAAATCCTTACAGACAGTCCACCAAATGGTACTGAATCTGTAGCCTCTCTAGAGACTGGCGTTTCATCTATATCGAAAAAAAGCTGAATTCGCAAGCAGCAGGGACAAGTTATTAATGGAAACCCGACGCGCGTTGCGCATTGCGCCTTTCAAGCCACATGATAAGGGTAAGACACTTATTTCTAAAATTACCTAGAGATTATTTTAATAGCTAAAGCGGCTTATAAAACGGTAATCTAATTTGCCCGGGTAGAGCACGGTAACAATAATGCTTCATACTTAGATTATAGTCTCTGTATAAACTCTGCGCCTGCTAGACCGTGGTCCTTTATATACTAATAATAAAACAACAGCAAAACACTTTTATTAATACATCGTTCATATTAAGTATCCCCACTATATACTAGCCTCCATTTTGATGTTTTCGGTATACGATACCTTTATTAATATATTAGTCTTATCCTTAGAGTTATATCCAAGTCACCCTAACAAAGCTTATCGCTGACGACCCCGCCATTTTGCGCCCCACCTCCTCGCAACGTCCCTGAGCTTCACATCTCTTGAATATTTCACCAAAATCAGAAATCATGTCAACAAACTTACCATTACCTACTAGCGTTCCACCCGCCGACCCAGCAACCTCGACCATACCGACCTTCAAATTCCCCCGTGACTACCACTTCCCACCCTTCTTCACGCGCCAACCAACCCTCCAAACGCACCACGCGCAACTCCAAAAATGGTCGTCCCTAATCCTCTCTTACTGCCGCTCACACCGCATCTTCAAGCTCTCCCTCATTGACGCCCTGGATACCGATTTATTCTGGAATAAACGTATTGGGAAACGTATGAGTCTTGCGGACGTGAAGGAGGTTGTGGAGTATATGCGGAAGGAGGACAGGGCGGAGTGGGTTGGGGGGAAGGGAGCTGGCGGAGAGGGAGGGAATGAGGTCTGGGTTTGGTGGAGGACGCCTGAGGAGTGGGCTACTGCTGTTTATGAATGGGTGAGTCTTGTGATCGCCAACAATGGGAGAGGGTGGAGGGGGAAGAAATGCCATGGTATGGGAGCTAATATTACGCAAATAGGTTGATGAGACGGCGCAGAAGAATACGGTTTTGACGCTGTACGAGTTGACTCAGAGTGAGGCTACCTTATCGAAAGGTTTGCGGTCTTGAAATTTACTCCCCCGTGTCTTGTTGGCTAATTCGCCCTTAGAGTTCCACGGTATGGATTCGGATCTCCTGCAGAAGGCACTGAATATTCTTGTGAAGAGAGGAAAGGCGCAAGTTTTCGGGCAGGAAGATCAACAAGGTGTCAAGTTCTTCTAGACTTTGCTTGTTAGCCGGAGTTAATCTGATTCCTCGGCGTTTATTCGCATTGCAAGGAGTTTAAACGAAGGCGTATCGTCTCATTGTCGAGTATAACTCTAGTTTAACGCTAATATACAGAGTTCCAACGCCTGTGACTCCCTCCCCATCCCCAACTCCATAAATGGGTATTCATGACCTCGTCGTTATCTGTCTCCAAGTAGCTGATCAAACCACTAGTAATTAGCGTCGAACATATTTATCATTGGCCTTCAGCCAGATAGCTATCGTCCCACTTTTGCTGTTGAGCCATCGCAACATCCAAGATCCAGTCCGTGGTTACAATCCGTGGTAACATATTTCCATCCCTCGCCATTGCCGCAAAGGAGGGCCAAAGTTTCCGCTCGGTTGGCTTCTGGCCGGTGATCAAATATACAGGTTCCGGGCCAATTTCATCTTCTGCCGGATTTGTTTTCTTAATGGTAGGCTTGCCATTATATATGGCGAAGATGCCCCCATTTGCTTTGACGATATCCTCGTAGGTTTCAGGTCCATTGGGAATGTCCTGTGTACAATATATCGGAACGCGTTTGAGCAAAGACCGTTTATTAGCCTTTGCTCGACGCCCAACGTCTTTTAGTTTTAATTTGAATTTTTTCTCGTTGTCCGAGTCTTTGAGATTGAAGTCCTCAGCATCCGGAACTTCCCCAGTCTTTATACATGCATCGATAAAGTCTGACCTGACAATGGTAGGTCCCATTGCCAAGGCACATAGGAACTTTTTCGTCCGAACCATCGCTGGGGCGGCGAGATGGGTACACTTTTTAGGATCTTGCACTATCTGAATGCCAAGTTCTCGTAATTTTTTCTGCAGATATGATCAGTGGAAAAGGATCAAATCGAGTTTCATGTAAGGCTTGGCTTACCTTGTCCATGTCCTCCTTTGTAGGATTATTTACCCACGCTTGGTAACCAGTGACGAGAAGTTTTATGCTGATCGGTGGAAGGCTAATTCGCTGACGTTTTGGTGTCCGAGTTTCCTCGTCCGAATATCCGTCCTCTTCCTTCTGTGCTGGGCTTGAACTACGCTCAAGGGACCTCTGCTTATCGATTTGATTTGCGGCGCGTTCGCCACCCCAAATTGGCCCCTTTCTCTTCTTCTCTTTTTCATAAAGAGCGATATCACCTGCCATCCCACTAATGTATAAAACTGCTTGCTGTTTTGCACTTCTACTCGAGGAGGGCGTGCTGTTTCCCCTACCCGTACTAATGCGGCGCTTTGCCGATGGAGTGCTGACATTCGCGGCCGTGGTAGCTCTTGATTTGGGAAGACTAGCATGCCCCTTCTTCTCAGCTTTACCAGTATGTTCGTCCTCTTGGTCATTATTTTCGTCCTGACTTCCCATGGCAGTGTCGTCGTCAGACTTCCTCGGGCTTGATAAGTTCGAATCTTTCTCCTGCATCACTGGGCGGCTCAACGGCTTAGGATCGTCCGGACCAGGGGTAGGATCTTTGGGGAAGTAGGCAGCCTTGAGAACCTTCGGATCAAACTGTGTTTGACCTATCACCTCGCCTAGATTCGTTCTTGGCGGGAAATGCGTGTATCGAGGGTCGGTCAACTCTTGCATCTTGCAACGAGCATAGCTTTCCTCTATCCAGAGGTGGTTCACCATGTTGATGTTCCACTCATCTGCGGCATTGCATTTCTCACTCGACTTTCGCGCTGTGATCAGGTGGGTGTTATCTACTTTCATGCTCTTCGTGAATTCTGCACCGGCAGCAAGGACGAGGTTTTCCAGATATGTGCGCGCTTCGCCGCCGTAGTTCGAAAGTGTGATGCGAAATTCTTCGAAGCCAGGTATTCCACCCCGAGGAAGAGGATAATGTAATAGTCTCCTAAGGGGTGAAGTCCACTCATTATGGGTAATCAAGTGATATAACCATGCAAGGTTCCCCACGTCTATACCAGCACAGGAAGCGAAAACATAATCTCTTCCGTCACGCCATTGACAAATAAACATGTCCGCACTGTGAACAGAATGAGTGATAGCTCCACCTCCGTCAATGACCAGGTCCTCAAGTACTTTGCGAAGTCGGCTGCCAATTTCAAGGTCCCCCGACATCATAACAGTCTTGCTTTGGAAAACATCGAGATGTCGGGGGGAGTCCGTAGGAAGGGGTAAAGATTCTGGTCGCGGAGATGAAGCTCCCTGAATGTTGGTGGATTCAGTTGGTAGTGGGACAGCATCGTCGGGGTTCACTCGGAGAATCTCTGGATTAGGGAGCAAGTATGGCCTCTCGTCTATCTTCTTGCCAAGCTTCAGGCAATCGTCGAACCTAGCTATTGTTAGTCTCATGATGCGGTTTTTGAGCGGTGGACTTACCAGTGAGGCAAGACTATCTGGCATTTTAAATTTCTCTCCACAGCTTGCTGGCATTTCGGATGATCCATTGTAAGAGCACAAATATGCGTCGTCAACTTCGTCAAACTACTCGACTCCATCCCGCCCAAAGCTACGACAGCACCAGCAACAGCGGCTTTGTCGCCCGAAGGGATGTCGGCGCAAGTAATGACGAGTGTAGAGAAAAAAAGATTCGGATCCGGGGAGTGAGGCCGTGTCTGAGCTGGCTTGCGTTTCAAGAGCGATTCTGTGACCCAACTTGGCCTCACAATACATATCATATTTTGACGCGCCTCTAAGTATTGCGGAAAGTCGCTCGTCGCTGCGATTATGTGGGTGACATTGTCGAGATCAATCTTTCCATTTCGTTTGATAGCAAGTACTTCTCCCTTATGATCTTCTATAGTTCCTTGCAACTGGACCGACTGTTAGTATGGTATGCACAGCATGCTGGGGGAAAAGAGGATTGCCATACCCCTACAATCTGCGCCTCTATGAGATCTCTGCTTGGGACGATTGAGAAAACCAGATGCTCAAAGAGTGGAGCACCTTTTTCTGCGGCCATGGCCATTTTGTGAGCACAAATAATTGGGCTAGCTAGTAGGCAAGTGCATCAAATGGAAGCTACAGTGTTGACGGAAGAATCGCGATATCCACCACGCGGCTTGCTTCGCGATTGACGCGAAAACCCCACGCGATAACGCCCAAGTCACGTGTATTATTATATTGACCTGCACGTGATCGAGATCCCGTCCCACCTCGCATCCCACATTCAAAGTCCCGTGCTTTGTATTGGACCGTTTTGAGCCTCGGCTTGTGGCTTCCATAGCCGCGAGATATGCTCCTCGTCAAGTGCACAATATAGGTACTCAACCCTTACTGTATATAAATATTTCATACCCCGCATTCTTTTATATTTCATGATATATTCTCAAGTACCTTGCTCGTTCTACTCATAGATTCTATCTCACCAAACCTCTCTTCACGTGATGTCTTCTCCCATCTTTGAGATAAAGGAACACGCCTTAGAATGTCAGCATATTCGAGAATATGCCAGAGCAACAGCGAATTCACAGGAAGATGTGTTACGGCTAGCCATCAAGCAATATATTCCCCTAGATAACCGAGAGCCCCAAGCTGGTGATGTCACAATCATTGGAACTACTGCAAATGGCTTTCCCAAGGTACGTCCCCTAAAAAGGCTGTGTGAACCATTCTAATTTGCTTTAGGAACTGTATGAACCCCTTTGGGAAGACCTACACGCACGTTCAAAAATCAATGGTTTCCGGATACGCAGTATCTGGATAGCGGACGTATCCAACCAAGGAGCCAGCGGAGTACTCAATGAGCAACTCCTCGGGAACGATCGTGAGGACATTTCCCCATCAAATATCAGGACGAAGAGCAACATCTAACATATCTTAGCTTCATGGACGGATCACGCCCGAGATCTCCTCCACATGATCAACCACTTCCGCTCAGAAATGCCACTTCCCATTGTAGGGGTAGGGCACTCATTCGGCGCCAATATTCTGTGTAACCTTGCATTCATGCATCCGCGATTGCTCTCTACATTAGTTCTCCTGGACCCGGTAATCCAACAACACGCTTCCACGCCCACGGGACCCAGCCCAGTCCAGCAATCAACCTTCCGACGTGATATATGGCCCTCCCGCGCCGAAGCGGTAGCCGCCTTCCGCAAGCAGAAGTTTTACCAGACCTGGGACGAAAGGGTCTTCGACCGATGGTGTAAATATGGCATTCGAGACACGCCAACTAATGCCTACCCAAATGAGAACGGGAATGTGACTCTGGCTACAACCAAGCATCAGGAGTGCTTCACTTTTATGAGACCTAGCTGGGATGCCGTGAGTCCCGACGGCTCTAAAATATTACGGCGCGATCTCGTTCCCGATTTATCTTTAGGGCACAAGGTGATATATCCTCTTTACCGGCCCGAGCCATTTACTGCAGTTTCTCGGATAGGTGAATTAAGACCGAGTGTACTTTATATATTTGGCGGAGATAGTGCAATGTCGTTACCTGGCGCAAGGAAAGAAAAGATGGAAATTACAGGAGCCGGACCGGGAGGTAGCGGCGGCGCGAAAGAAGGGAGAGTCAAGGAAGTGGTTCTAGAAAAGATTGGTCATCTCGTTGCAATGGAGGCGACAGAACTTTGTGCCGAAGCTGCATCGCAGTGGTTAGGTCAGGAGGTGAAACGGGCTGAGAGTGCCAGGAAAGAGTATTTGGAATGGACGAAGCAAAGCTTATCCGAGAAGCAAACTATGTCGGAGGAATGGAAGAAAATGGTAGGGGGCCCGCCCACAAGGCCAGGCAAGAGCAAAATATAAATAAATCATTGTGATGTTAAATTAAATCCTGATCATCAATCCATCACGGAGGTATATTGTAATTCTATCATACCTGCAAACTCCACATGTCCATCGCTCTGCCACTAGTAAACCTCCAATGCCTACAAATCCTCGTCAGGAGGAACCCACACAAGTATTCCTTCCTTGTCGACTTTCATCCCTTCAGTTGGTGAGATCTTCAACACCTTCTGGAAATATCTGTCTTTAATCACACATTGAATAGGCCCAATCCAGTCCCCTCTTATGCTTGGAAGTAGCCTAAATCTCATTGTCTGACGAGATAACGGGACAAGCTGTAAAGTTGATTGTTTGACGCCGGAGAAGGCGAATTTCTCACTAGGCTCCATGGTAACCCCGAATGTGAGAAAATGGTTAGAGGGGTTCTCAATCGTGACATCAAAATGAATCATAAATGGGATTCTGGATGAGTAAGAGACCGTGGCTAACACTCGTGGCTCGCTGCTTGAAACAAGCAGGCGTGGAACTGCTAGAGTGGATGTGGTTACCGGTGCGCCTTCGGCATTGCGGCGCCATTTTATTGCCAGAGCCACGTCAAGAGTAGCCGTTCCCCTGTCATCTAAAGACCTTTTTTGAGTGCAGATGTCGAATTGAGCCTCTTCGAGACTACGAGGGCCAACCTTTAGACCACCCGCTGGCACTTCCATTGGTTTTGTGGTGGAGCAGACAATTCCGCCATGCACACCGATAACTTCCACGGCAACATCCTCAACTATTAATTCCTCCGTGGCGAATGATGCGTACCTCGCCGTCAAGCACCATTTTTGTCCTAACCCGTACGCGTCGTGGTCGGATCCGTAGTTTCCTGGCTCATCATGGGTAAAAAGGCTCGGCCACGGATCTAGATGCATCCGGGGAGAAAAGTCGTAGTTGGCTTCGAAAGGGTTTATAACCTCTAGTTGCATGGACATCGAGCGGGATATTGGGGTTTCCATGTCAGAAACTAGGCTGTACGATGCTTTTATTGCAACTTCATAAACTGTTGGTAAATCAAGTGGAGGAATAAGAATCTCAACGGTGTTCGAGGTTGCACTTGCGATTCTACCAAGTGGAGTGCTTGGTAGTGAAGTGCTCGCCAGTAAATTACTCTTTTCGTCCTCTTCAGATGCAGCACTAGGGCCTTTAGCCACCTTCAAGGTGAGAGCCGGTACTCCTTCTCCACGTAAACGAGCATCCAGGCTCGCAATGGCATCGACTTCTTCCTCATTAAGAACTTCAAGCCGTAAAGTTATGGGCTCGTTCGTGTAGTACTGCCCTTCGAGCCCGACAAAGCGAAGCTCCATTTTCGGTGGCTTTGGGAGCACAGCTAGGGCTGATGCATTTGCGCGAGCAATCCTCTTCTTCATTCCCTGCTGGCCCCACCATATGTCAGGGCATGTAGTCCGTTCAAATATGTGGACATATTCGAAGTCGAATCGGTCCGAGATAATGGAGAATGACGTTGATATAGCGTTGACATCTCCATCCTCCCTCAAGGGACTATTGAATTCGAAAATCCTTCTCTGGCCGGGCCTAAACGTTAAGTCTGCCTCGCCAGTTTGTGAATGCCGACCTTCTCGAACAGCGTCAACCAAACACACTTCGTTGAATACGACAGGGCCTTGGCTCTGGACTTCGCCCCCCGTACTATGTCGCACAACAATAGGCTTCATACTACCCTCAAACTCAATCCTTAATTCACTTATCGTTACTGGAGCTGACGTAGATATGGCAGATGAGGAAACAGTCAGTTGTGATGGGCAAGCTTCTCCAACTTTCCCCTCGGCATGCTCGAAGGCAAACGACGCAGACAGAAAGGAGTGGACCTCGCTCTCATGGAGAACCACTACGGGTTTAGTCTTCATATTCGTGATGCTGTCCAATGACTTGGTAATATCATAATGCCACTTGGGATGATGGGTAAAGCCTAATTGGCGTTAATATAGGACATATGTTATCGGAGGATGAAATACTGACACTTATTCATAAGCTCCCAGTCAACGGCAACAACGGAGCCACCATCACCAAAGCGTATTGCAGCATTTCTCAACGCCCATCCAACCTCTTCGACGATATCCCACCACCCCTCTTTCCGATAAGTCATATTCTGCCACAGGGGACGGAGAATCCGCAAAGCGTCCTTCCAAGATTCTTGTTTCATGCTTTCCTTCGCTGAAAGAAGTTGTAGTTCTTGAATAAGGCGAGATTGGCCCCTCAACTCAAACTCGGCAATAGCCTTATTTAGAGAGTCTATGATGAGAGCACAGTGGTCAACGCCTTCGTATCCAGGCAGCGGATTCTCTTCATGTGGCTCCGGGCAGAGGTATATATCGTACGTATACGCTTTACTTGCAATTGCCGAAGCAGGAGATGACCCTGGAGGTGATCGGTCTTCTTCAGGTATGGCTAATGCCAGATTACGGCGAGTAATAAGGTGTTTTGACGCAGAGTAGAACCAGTATCCAGGGTGGTGGAGAAGCTCCCATGCCTGCGTTCGCTCCCCAATTGCAATGGATTTCTCGGGCGACAAATATATCGCACTAGTGTTAGAGCGGAACTCATTTATCGACACTTTTTTGATCATCTCGCCCATTACAGTAGCCCACCTAGCCTCCCAAGCTTCCCACCCGTATGTGGAAGATCCCTTGCCTCTTCGGTCAACGAAATCTCGAATTTTGTCTCGATGCAACTGCCACCTACGGACTGCCGCAGTTGAGTTCCCGTTCCAGAGTAAGCAGCGCAGTATGCGTATTGCGAAAATATCGGCAAGTAAACGTGCTTCGTTCCATCGAGGATTCCAGCTTGCAATTACTTCCAGAACATCGGGTCCTAGCAGGCCTTCATAGCCACTTTCATAAGAACGAACAGCGGCATCCATCTCCTGTCGGAATTCGGCAAATACTCCGAGCTTAAAATCGTAACGTACGTTCCACCCTTGGCTAGATAGTGTCTGTGAGGTACCTGAGGTTGGAGGCGCCGTTGGAGGGGGTATGACGCCCCTGCTGCGCTTCCTTCGGGCATGCTTGCTTAAATCGCGATAATATTCGATACATAGTGGGTATATAGTAGTGGTGATCGTTTCGACAAATGCTTGAAGCTCAACTGCCGAAGACTGCGGAGGCAAGAAGAATAGGGACGTCTTGGAGTCAAGACCCGTGTGTTTACGGATATTGGCAAGCCTTTCTTCTACATCAGGAGACTGAACAACCGATTCCTCACTCAACAATGCAACTACAAGCCGAGTTTTATAACCAGATTGGCTCAAGGTGTCTTTGATGTTGTTTATATCTGACTTCAATTGATTATCAAGTTTAGTTGACAGGTTTTGATCGGCCGTAAAGGTATAGAAAGCGATGTACGTGCTCGGAACACGATCCTGGTGTTTCTCAATCCATGTCGAGGTAATAAGGCCGTCCGGAAATAGGGGGCCTTCCGGGCTCAATGGTGAGAGCGGTGAATGTAGAACGGGTCTTGTCGTTGGGCTCGTAGGTTGCAGAGACGCAGGGAGCTGGGCAGCGCGGCCTGGTAAAACATAATCCTATTCCATGTTCAGTTCATGTACTGATAGAAGGGTCATGAGCTTGGCTGAACTACTCTTCCGATAATCTTGACTCTGAATTTATTCCTTCCGCTATGCTCACGCCCATTCCATGCGAGGTTTCCAGCATCACTATCTCGGAAGTGCCGCAGGAGGGCTTCCGCATCCCCTGACTCCACTGGGGGGATCTCTGAGGTTATTCGGATCCCGCCATCAGTGCGCTCTGGTTCACCGTCGGATCGGTCGAGCCCTGATACAACCAAGAGAGGAATATTATGGGCCACATAGGCTGGCGGATATCCGTCCATTGCAATGTCGTCCTAAAACCTCCATAAGCGACAACAATTGGGCGTGTCTTGTTTATGTCGATTTCGAACCCGGAGCTGTCGATTTTTGGCGTGAACCCGCCTTGTATGCGCCGCGGATGAGTGCTGTCAGCTCACAGAAGATTCATTCTGGCGCAGGACAGCGTTCATGGGTAACTAGCAGCTTATGCTCGACTTGGATCCCAAATTCAAAGCCTTGTGCTGAACTGAAGCCGCACCGTGTATGTTCGAGAGTACAAGTCACGATGTACGAAGTACATCTGGATGGTGCACGGACGGACAAATCTAGCGCGGTACCGATCGCCAGCCTTGCTTCAGCCACAACATTGGCCTGGTCCATCCACTCACTCCCCTCCTGCATGTCTTCGTTTTACCCTTCAAGCTGTCAAGATCCGTGGCGCGATGTGACCAACGACTCCGGAAACATTCAACTAACCAAAATACTATTATTATTCAACCTATCCGGCTCTTATATCTTTATCCTCCTCTCCGGCATACGATCTCAGTGGCCTTCAAGCCTCCAAGCAGCCGGCCCGCTGCATACGGACGCGAACTTCTGACTCTTCTAACATCTTCGAGGTGTCCCCTCCGCACTTTGTGGACTGCCGCCCTCTTCATACGACTACGGAGCTTCCTCATACGCTTTGGCATATCGCCATGGCTTCTCAGGCTATTATCTTCGCCGAGACGATCGCGGGCATGAAAAGGGCCGTCAAGAGGAAATCCTATGGCAAGATGCAAATTTCGTTGCCTCTCACCCCGATTGATTGCTGACTGTGCTCTGGAATATAGATTCGGATTCTGATAGTTCGATTGAGCAACTGACGAATCGAGGAAACAAGTTGAGGAGGAGGGCAAGATTCGTTCATGAGGGCCAATTGGCGCCACCTACCGGCCCACAGGTCTACAAGAGGGTACGCTGCTACTACAAACCGCACCCACGTGTTACATTTGGGGCATGACTGATAAGATATAAAGCGGATCGAGCATGCAGGATACCATAGAGAAATAATAAGTCGAAATCCACCACTCATTGACGACGATGGTTACGAGGTCGATACCGAAGACGACGACGATGTCGACAGCGCCCAGGCAAGAATTGCAGCCGCGGCGGCGGAATTTGACCCCTATGCGGAAGTGAAGATTGAACGTAAGGAGTCTATTTCATATTCCGAGCACTTACTGACGGTGCTTATCCAGATCTTCTCATGCCGCTAACAGCCGCCGCTGATCTCCCCGACCATCCTACACTATCGAAACCCTTCCTCTCGAAAACAATTCCAGAGCTTACTCGCCACGCTGGTGATATGGTGAAAAAGGAAAGAGGCTCTCTTTGGAGAATCAAACATCTTTTGACAAGATTGAGCGGCGACAGCACATGGATACCTTGTGAAATCGTGGAGGCCGAAAATGATATCGCCCTGTTCTTCGATGAGCATGACAAGTTCCGCGCGAGTTTAATAGGAAAATCGAACTCCAAGGATGATGCAGATCAAACATCTACAGCGACGCTAACATCGGATGATGTACAACGAACTCCTAGTGCTCTTACTCCGTCGACAAAACCTGCTATAGACACTGCTGACCAGACTACTGGGAACACGGCTGCAGATGAAGAGCCGCCGGCAATATCTGTAAATGCCTCTGCAGAAGGCATACATGGACACAAGGACGAACCATACCCCCCTACCAACACTGTCGAGTCCACAGAACATGACGAGCATGAAACCAAGAAGAGCGGTACAGACACTGTACTAAGGAAAGACGCATCGGAGGGTGCAGAGAAAGCTATAGATAGCGAGGCCGGCAAAGGAATTGCCGATGCAGCAGCGGTTGATCAGGTGCAACCTAGTGACGAGGGTGTAGAAATGGAAACCGAAGGAGGCTTAGAAGGGCAAGAAGATATTCCCGCTCCACATCGGATGAGGACCCGAGCTCAGGCCCAAGCAGCATCAGATAACACCGCATCGAGCAGGACAAGGTCAATAACCCCTGACGATACGTTCATACATCCCTTCTTTTTGGCGCCTAAATCGTCTTATCCAGACCGTGACGTGGGCCTACCTCCACACGAAGCCGAGGAAACTAGAAGGCTACTTCAACTATATATACAAAAGCAGGAAGAAGTTTGTCGTGGCGCTCAGAGAATATACGAAGGGTTACTCAGAGCTGATCGATACCGCAAGTTAGTAATGAAATGGGCCAAGGCTGAAGGCCACGTCGGCGAGAATCGCGACATGTCTGATGGCGAGGACTGGTATGACAAAGAAGAATGGGGTCTGGATGGGGACCTTAAGAAAGGGCAGGATGAGGAAGAAGAGGATGCTGCGACTACAGCGAAGAAAACGAGAACGAGGCGACAGTAGGGAAGTATAAGTATACGAACAAGGTTTCAACGGCGCACTAGGGGAGCGGTAAACTGCAGGGCTAAATGTGGTCTTGGGAAGATATCCAGGCTTATCAGACCGGCGTTGTAATTATCATCATACAATTGTTCATAGATTGAGCAGCCATTTCTATTGCCAAATACAAATTTATGCTATAAGGACTTTATGTGTGCTTTGTCTTGAGCTTTGGTTTAATTGCTCCAGTGTTTCGCTTCGACGTCATGGTGTAAATCGCTCATGATTCGCCAAATTTAGCCATTTCCTCCTTGTTGTACCTGTCACTTTCAAGCTTGTATTTAGCCCCACCCAAAAACATCCGAACAACAAGCAGCCAATTCATACTTCCATACAAATATATCGCCCAACAAGAACTCTTTCTCCAGCTTTCTAATCCCCAAGCAATCAAAATGGCGAATATTATGGGACAGAACAAAGGACTGATAGACTTCGACCAGAAGAGTCTAGCTAGTAAGTCGACAGGTCCAGGCTATCGTGGGCAAGGCTCACTGTACCCCCTCAGTTGCGGCGGCATCAATCGCATTTAACCCCATATTCTGGAAGTAAGCTCTATCTCTACAAAGCCATGATTGAAACTGCGAGAAAGGTTCTAACGCCCTTTCCAGCACCGTTGCTCGCCAAGGTACAAAATATTCTGCTCGCTTCAATCCCAAACCTAACTTACTTCTCAGAATACCACAACAAGGTTCTCACGAAGCTTGCCGGTGGCAACTCACGATATGCTTGCTATGGCCTCGCAGTTGCCATCTTCTCCCTGGGAATATTCCGCGACTTACTCTACGAACGTGCCCTCCGCGACCAACCTTCACATCCAGCCTTCGAAACCCCACTTTCAAACTACGTCGCATACGCTCTGTTAGCATCTGGAAACGTCCTTGTATTGTCCTCTATGTGGGCTCTGGGCGTTACCGGTACATACTTGGGTGATTACTTTGGCATATTGATGGATCATATGGTCACAGGGTTCCCGTTCAATATCTGCAGTGCGCCCATGTATTATGGCTCTACGATGAGCTTCCTCGGCACGGCAATCTTGTTTGGCAAGCCTGCCGGAATACTGTTGACTGTTGAGGTTCTGATAGTCTATTTGATCGCATTGAGGTTTGAAGACCCTTTCACTGCTGGCATTTATGCAAAGAGGGCCAAGGCGCAGAAGAAGGCGGGAAAGAAAGAGCTATAGATTTGCTCCATGGGATTGGCCATCAATGAATCGTGAAATGGGGTGAGGTGTAAATAGATGATGCCAATTTTTTCAGAGCAGAGCGTGGATAAACAGACGTGGATTCAACAAACTAGCAAGAGTTGCCTAGGTATCAACTACTATGCATTGCGGGAGTTGGGAAAGATAAAAAAGGGGCTCATATTACGGTTGGAATTTGGAATTCCAAGCACTTCAGTAGTTCAAACAGTCCCAAAAGCACCATACATTAGTCATTGTTTCGTTGGAGCCAAGATAACTAACAATCATACCTCCGGGTATACGTCCCTGTACCAGCGAGTTAATGCTACTCTCCAACCAAAGCAAATCAATGGGACTTACGTTCTCCTTAACAACGGCATCTCTTTTTTAATCTTCTCTCTGTAGTCCAAATCGATATCTATAATTCCAGTCTTGGGCTCCGAAACTTCCCCTCCCAGATCTAAAAGCACCTTCCCCCAAGGATCAACCACCATCGAATGGCCGTAACTCGTACGCTTAGTATTGTGTGATCCAGATTGGGCAGCAGCAATGACATAGGCTTGGGTCTCAATAGCTCTAGACCTCAGCAATGCTTCCCAATGTGCCTTGCCCGTCGGCAGTGTAAACGCAGATGGATATGTGATTATCTGGGCGTTCTGACGTTTGAGGGCCAAGCTAATCTCCGGGAAACGAAGCTATTTATACAGAATAAATATAAATTTTCTCTAGAACCAAAACAGAAGAGTGTGCGAAAACGGAATTAACTCACATCAAAGCAAATCGTCAAGCCCACCCTACCAACAACAGTCTCCACAGGGGTAACAATACTGTTCCCACCTTCCACAACATTGCTCTCCTTCAAAGCCCCATAATCAAACAAATGAAGCTTGTCATAGTAGGACTCAATGTCCCCCTTCTCATTAATCCAACAACTTCGATTGTAAATCTTGTTGTCAGGAGCCGGGACATGGATGCCAACGTTAATAGCTAGAACGGATTCCTTTGCAGCTTTCTGTAGACCAAGTAAGAAGGGGCTTGAGTTCATAGGCCGGGCTAGGGCGAGCGATTCTGTGGGGCTTGAGGCGATATAATCGGTGGCTTCTGGTAAAAACAATGCCTTTGCGTTTTGTGAGTTAGAGAAATATGGTAAGAGATCGACGTACTTTAGCCCCTGCTTCAGCAGCCGTTTTGATAAGAGTTTGGCAGAGGGAGAGGTTATGGGTCATGGATGAGGTCGAACATAATTGACCGACAGCCTATTTGGTATTTCAGAATGGATATCTTTTAATGGACTTGAGAACTTGCAGCTAGAACCATTGATATGGCTTGCGTTTGCAGAAAGAACCAAGGTAAATACTATTTTGGTAATAAGTTCAATATGCTAGATCAATGTCTGATATGCAAAAGTCGAATAAAATTAAATAAGTTCTTCGATAATTCGAATCGCTCTGATCTCTGGTCAGACAAACATAAGTTATCTTATGGGGAGTTTGATATCAGCGGTAACAGGATTTAGGTTGTTTCCATTGGAGTGAGTGACCGCGGGGTGGATGTGGGGCAAGAGTGGGGGCAAATGGGGGTAGTACGTACGTCCCTATAGGTAAGGTACCAAAGTAAGTATAAGATGGTGTCAAGTTTGCATACTTTGGCTTCTGACTATTTGCACTCGAGCTTAAAGATGATTGGCAGGGTGAGGGTGAATACCACAATTACGTTCTCAAATGTCACAATAGTTGTACAATATCGTTTCGATACCATTCAGAAAGTCAACTATCAAACAGAGAGACATGCCATTAATAAGTAGATAATCTAGTCTACCCTATGTTCAAAGATGCTTCGATTGTCTACCTATTCTTAAACGCCTATATCTGTTTCAGAGCTCTTTCTCGTCCACGCCACACCCTGGCTCGTCATCATCGGCAGTAAACCTGCCAAACACGAAAGTTTTACTTTCGCCTGTAGTCACTATATTAGTCTTGTAACGTCCGTATCGTAGTCTATTATAAAACTATGGATTATTTTACTTTGATGAATATATGCGACCCCTGATGCAATATTGGTTGGCTGGCAAGGCAAGAAAGAAGGGTAGCGGTATTGCCAACCAAGAAGACGATTGTGATCAGAAGTATAGATATTAACCTACTTCTAACAAGTTAGAAAATATAACTGCCGTCTGCTGCAGCTTGATATACGCATATTATTGGTATGCAGGTGGGAGACTTGACGCTATGGCTCGACCGTATGAACTCTCTGCTCTGGAGCGTAGGAAGTAAATATCATAGCTATCTGTATACTCCTGACCAATCTGATGCCCCATAGTGCCCTGTCTAATATTGGGACATAGGTAATAGCCGAGAAGGGGACGGATTTGAATGGTAGATAAGCCATAAGTGCTAGCCAGGTTACCAAACCAGCCGTCAATGGATGAGGGCATTTCGACAAGTGGCTTTATCCTAAAAGTGTTCTTCAGATTAGTTCGAGATAGGAGCACACATAAGAGTCCTACTAAAGAAGAAGTCACAAGAGTGCAATTGCTATTTATCAATGCATGAGGGAGAGCAAAGTGGTCGTGATCCATGTTGATTGATGATACTGCCAAAGAGCCGTCAACTCTAGATAATTGGTAAAAGGTCCCATATCTCTGGCATTGAGTTATATTGGGTCGCCCCTTACAAAATGGTGTATCGATGTCTCTCACTGAGCGCAAATATATTGAAGGGGGCAACCATGGCTGTGGCAATAGTACGTTCTCACCTACACGAAGTGTTGGGAGGAATTAACGCGCTAAATGTGTATTTAATTAGCAATAAACTGTGGTTCTAGTAAGGCTGATACATACTTGTTCCCGTTCATCGCCAGAGATTTAGGTGATAAAACCGCAAGGAGTTGCGTTGACCGTTATTACATCGCCGATAATTACCTTTGCAAACCACTAGCTCCTGCCACTGATCGTTTCTTAGTTCTACTTCACCTAAGGTATTGGCATCGCTATTGACATAGATTTGGGTCGCCCGGCCCACCACGCCCCTCCGGTCTTCAGTGTTGGCTCCTGTAGCTCATTTTCTGGCCTCGTATGTTACAACCCTGAAGCAAAATGGAGAGGGAATGAGATCCGTCTTCTGAAGGCGCGGAGAATTGCCCTCTTCTGGTGGGATGTAAAACACATGAATAGTATGGCTGGCTTCATCGATGCTGAATCCTCCTTGGTGCCAGCCATAACGCACTCCAAGCTAATACGAGGATCGTTCAGCTTCAGTCGTCGTAGAGCACCATATAGTTGTTTTCGAATTTTCCTGTCGAAATCCGCTTGCAATTTACCATCGACTTCCATCGCAGGGGCAACATAACAATCTTTTGAGAGGCACTGGAACGTGACGACTTGCACTTCTGTTTCTCCCAAAAGAATTTGTTCTCCAGGTTGAGGATATACATATTGAGGGCCGTCTGCTGCAGGAGTTGCTGCCCGATTACCTGGCTGGTGGCCTAAGTGATGTCGTTCGGCCCCCAACAATTGAGGAACGATAGTATGCATTTCATATGTTGACGACCCATTTCCATCATAAATAGGGATTTCATCCTGAAGTGCGTTTTAGAGACTGTGAGGGTATCCGGAACTTTTAGGCTGAAATATTACAGTAGGTGGTTCATAGTTGGCGGCATGTGGTACCTCACCGATTCCTAGGGCGGATTGAGGACGTGGATCGGCTGCTTGGTGGTATATTGAGATGGGGTTCGGAGTCTGTGCGGCTGCATTCTGGTGTGTGTTATGAGGACTCTTTGATTTCGATAGTTTCAAACTGCGCAGAGCCTGATGAACAGTCGTCTCATCTGCAGCTTCTGTTCCACTTTCCACGGCATGGGAAACCGGACGATTCCTCGCCCGCGCTTCTGCCTTTGCTACCTTCGAGTTCCTTTGGGCTGTGATGGAGTCGTTTCTCCCGTGAAGAAGGGTTTTGAGAGACCCGAAAGGCATGGCCCATCTTCTTCCAAGTGAGTACTACCATGCTCGCTGGCCGTCAATGACATCAAAACAGGAGTTCTACGAGGTTTCCTTGGTACTTAAGTAGGGAAACGGAATAGGGTTAATTAAAAATTTGGCTATTGCTGGTGGGGTTGGACCCATCCATCAATCACCAGCGGTCGCGACAACTTTATGCACCGAGCCTCACTCAGCGCACCTGGCCCAGGGGTCGCACAAGGCGGCGGGTTTGATCGACGGACCGAAGTTGTGTGAAGGCTGCTTCATCTGGCTTCTCGCAAGGCATTCAACGGAAATCTCTTTTAACTGAATCTCTAAAGGGCCCTATCCACCAGATAGCTTCAATGTAGGTTCGCTTGTTCCCTAGAATAGCTATACTTTGGTGGTAACGAAAGCTTCCCACCCGACACTTGCTAGCTAGATAGGAATGGTTAGAGGAACTGTGCCTGGGGGGCTTCCCCGGTATACCTTCCACTAACCTCGAACAAGATATCACAGTAACCTGCATCCCGACAAATCTGGAATGATGATCCAACCCGCTAAATATGCATAGGCCAGCAGTTTCCGGGTCTCAAACTCTCGAATCTATGGAAAATAACAACTGATACTCGGGAACGACTTTCATTGCTGATCGTTTGCGTTTGGGAGGCATGAGTGTCGACTGACTGTGCAATCTAAATGAACACTTGTTATTTGATTGAGTAGTTAAAGATTCAAGATATACATATTGAAATGCTGGTTGTTTGATCACAAAGGGCTTTATTCCCACTCAGACCTAAGGATATAGATAAACATGGTCTTAAAATGATAACCTGCTCATCTAGATCGATCAACGGCGTTGATTTCTCTGCTGCAAGAGACTGACATGTCTTTGTTGATAAGGTGTTCGAAGATCATCGTGCTACTCGAGTAATGTGAACAAGGTTCGGATCGTTGGGTGGACGACCAGCATTTGGGATGCCTCGGTCCTGGTTCGCCAGAGTTGTACTGTACCTTGTTTGGCGTGCCTGAGGTCGTCCAGGGTGTGAGCAATGACGTTTTGATCACAAATCGTGAACATCTCTAAGTGACTTCCAACAACCACGAAAAATTCAACCTACAAGCAGCTAGGAGCATCGGACTCAGCTGAAATTTGGGGGACCTCTTAATTCTTTTCTGCACAATGATTTTATAAGAGACGGCCGAAATGTCGAATGGCCGCCATGCTGGGAAATCCTCGACTGGTAAGCCGGGCTTTTTTCCCAACACCTTCATAATAGCACCAGCTAAATCCACATAGCTTTTCACTTCGCAGCTGGACTAGGATCAGGTGTGCTTTCAGCCGTTCTCCTACAACCAGCCGACCTCTTAAAAACCCGAGTCCAGCAGTCTGGACACAGCTCCCTCCTCGTAACCATCCGCGAAATCTCGAAATCTTCAACCTCGGTCCTGTCCTTCTGGCGTGGCACTCTCCCCTCAGCATTGCGAACGGGGTTTGGATCTGCAATATATTTCACGACGCTGAATACGCTCCGTCAACATGTTGCGAAATCCAATCTCCTCGTCTCGATGGGCGCACTCGATAAGAATGGGCGACCTAGTCACTCCTCCGCCCTTCCGAAGCTCTCGAACCTCGCGAACCTCACAACAGGCGCGATAGCGCGAGCAGGAGCAGGATTCATACTGATGCCAATGACGGTCCTCAAAGTGCGGTACGAGTCGAATCTTTTTGCGTACAAGTCCATGGCAGGGGCCACCAAGGACATCCTGCGAACAGAAGGGTTAAAAGGGTTCTTCGTGGGGTTTGGGGCAACTGCTATACGAGATGCCCCGTACGCAGGTTTATACGTGTTGTTTTACGAGCAGCTGAAAAAACGTCTCAGCTTGCTAACGCAGAAGGTCCCAATACCAGGAGAATCATCTCATGGCATGAAAGGCTCGACGTCGGCATCCATAAATTTTGGTTCAGGTATACTAGCTGCTGCTCTCGCCACGGCTATCACCAACCCCTTTGACGCTATCAAGACAAGACTCCAGCTGGAGCCAAGGAAATATATAAATACTTTGCAGGCGGGTAAGTTGATGATTCGGAATGATGGGTTGAAGTCGCTTTTTGATGGGTTGGGGTTGAGGATGAGTCGCAAGGCTATGAGCTCCGCGTTGGCGTGGACTTTGTATGAAGAACTTATTCGGAGGGCGGAGCTGGCTTGGGTGGAAAAGGCGGAAGCTTAGGTTTTGAGAGGTGTTGTAAAATCACTTCTGTTTTTGTACGGATATGGTCGGACGATTATAGATACCACTCAATTATTAACCGGGGGATAAAAAGTTAGGAGTTACCCTTCATTGGGGGGTTTGGGGGGGGGGGGATAAGAAAGTCTCAATAGAAATATAATTTTCTCACGATTTTTGGTATTGCTGCTAGTTATTGCAATGTATTTTGAACCGTCTGCCAAGGAGTTGTACCGTCCACGTTTACTTGCTTTATTAGAGCTGGGAACACGAGGAGAGGCAATTTATTTATTTACTATAACGATATTGAATCATCCAAGCGTCTGCAAGACTTGCACATTTCGCATGGCACGCGCTGTCTGACTCTTCATAACTCAGTTGACACATATTGGAGTGGGTATTTCAAGTTATTATAGGAAAAGTATGCAAAAAATGCCATCCATCATAAAGTCGTTAACTCCATTACCACCCCTTGCTTGCTAATCCCAAAACCTCAAATCGTTTCTAGCGCAAGTTCATTCCCTTTGCATGGCCCCAAAATCACCGCCTGCTGCTGCCGCCAGCCAAGAAAGTCAACAAGGGAGATGGCGATGGTCTCCTCTTATGCTCCTTCTTCCGCACAAGCTCAAATTCGGTCTCGCCATGGTGGTGTTTCTTTGCTTCAATTGCGAGAACGGTTCGTCTTCGCTCCCTGATCTCCCTCGTGTGTGACCAGAGGAAGTCTTGCTCATATTCTGGGACCCATCGTTTGATAAGAATATAATCAGGATCCTATTTAATGTTAGTGGCGATCAAAAATTTGTCTGGATTGGTATTTACCGAATCGAATTCGTAGCTAATCCTATGTGCGTTAAGAGTTTCGATTGAGAGATGTCGGCGAGACATTCTTGTATAGGTGGGCTGCTTCGGGTCGACGGGATGCTCTTTCTTGGTGATGACGGATATCTGCCTCTCGTCTATGCCCGACTTGCGCAGGTCCTCCTCAAGCCTCCTTTGGTATTCGTGCTCTCGTTCTTCGTTCTCTTTCTTCTCCTTAGCGGCTCGCTCTGCTTCCTTCTGTTTAAATTCCTCTACCGCCCTTTTAGCTTCTTCCTCCACCCGCTTCTTTTCTTCCTCCTTCTTCCGCTCATCTCGAAGCCGCTTGAACTCCATCTCCTCCTTTATGCGCTTCTCTTCCTTCTCCCTCTCCTCTCGCAGCTTGAATGCCTCCAGTTGTCGGCGGGTCTTCTCAAGCTCTGTCTCCTTTTGCGATCTATCTGCGCGAGCTTTCTCGAGATCCTGCTCCTTGCGGAACCTATCGCGTGCTTTTTCTCTTTCGTACTCCTTGCGCTCGGCTTCGCGTGCCATTTCTAGCTCGACCTCTCGACGGGCAGTCTCGCGTGCCTTCTCAAGCTCATAGCCTTTGTTGTCCTTCTCGCGCAGCATCCTCTCGAGCTCATAGCTTTTGTGGTCCTTGTCGCGCAGCATTTGCTCGAGCTCATAGCTTTTGTGGTGATCCTTCTCGCGCAACAGTTCTAGTTCGACATCGCGGCGTGCCTTCTCGCGAGCCCTCGCCCTCTCCATCTCATATTCCTCCCGGGACGAATGAGACGAGACTCGGGAGTGGGATCGGGAATGGGACCGGGAGTGGGATCGTGACGGAGACCGGTGAGGGCGCAGTGCAAACGGATTGTGGCCATGATCTTCCTCATCAAAATCGTTATAGATGCGGTTGTTGATGATGACGGGAGCTGGCGGGGGACTGGCTCGGTGGCCGGTGGACCGCGAGCGACGACGGCCACCGCTCACCGCGGGGACAAGAAAGCTGCTCGCATGGGGACTCTCGTAGTGCGCACGCGGGGCGGTCCGGTAGCGATGGTCCGGGTAGACCATGGGGATCGGCGGCGTATGCCCATGGCGCACTCGAATATCGATCTCCTCGTCGTCGTCGACGAAGTAACCACTCATCTTGGTAGAGAGATAACTAATGTTTCGGAAGCTGGATTTGCTAGATTTGCTGGAAAGGGGGACAAAAAATGGGAAGTGGAAGCTGCAGTTCTAGTTGCAGTTGTTGTGGTGCTTCGTAGGGCTAGTGCTTATACGACCCCGCGCTATCGGTGCTTGCCGATCAGGACCTTTCGGTAGGGGGAGGCTTGGGATAGAATGCGATGGCAGGTGTAGCACGATCGTTGTTGTTTGCGATGGAAGAGCAGAAGGAAGTCCTGTACGAGTAACAGGCAATGGCCACAGTAATAACAGAAGACCAAGAGGCGCGTGGTGTGCGGGTGCGAGTGTGAGTGAGAGTGCGAGTGAGAGGGAAAGTCAAAAGTCGGTGTCAGCTGGAGGGGGGGGCATGGGAGGATTTTAAAGTGTTTGGGCGGCGGGCCAGGAAGAGGTAATCAGACTTCCGCCAGCTCCAGACAACGTTATTCCTGCTCTGCACTCTGCACTTGACCCACGTCGTGACCCAGCCTCAAGGGGGTTGGGGACTTGGGGACTTGGGGGTTGGGATTGGGATTGGGATTGGGATTGGGCCTGTATTCCGTACCAAGTGCTGTTCTTGCTGTGCCATTCCCGTTCCCATTCCCACCCTTGAAGCTTCAAGCAGCGTTAACGCTGCAGCCCTAAGGATATTGGGCCTGTTTCGGGTTTCCTGCTTTGCGCTTCCCACTCTGCAGCAAGCCCAATATCCCGAGAGCGTACGAAGTACGTACCGTACATGTACAGTGCCAGAGTGTCTGTGTGCATTGTGTCAGGAGTGTGTGTGCTCCCACGAGAAAGCACATGTACGGAGTAACATGATTAATGCCACTGGTAAGCCGGCAATGCACTGCAAGAATAGTTGGCTCTCCAACAATATCCAGTATAGCTATACTTCGCACGTACTGTAATACTACTACTCCCATAAGTCAAAGAGTATGTTGATTTTGCCAAGTTCAAATTCAAAACACAGAATACTGGCTGCCATTGGGCCTCACTTTCGCTGAAGCGCTTGGCTAGAGCGCCTACTGCCAGGAGAAAGCTAACACTCTTCCGCGGCTACTCGTTCCTACCAACGGCTTCGGCGGATGCGCCGTCTAATACCTAGGTGTCTATATACGACAGATGTAAACAATGCCTGTGGAGATGGGGAATATGTTTCGCCTGGTCGCTTATTAGTAAGGGGCAACCAACTTGGTCAATCTGGAGAATATCAAACATACTCTTGGGGTACCTTAGTTAAACATTATTACAGTTGATATCGGCCTAGTGATAAAGGTACGAAATATTCCGAATAAACTGGAGACGATAGCAGCTAAGTCAGTAAAATAGCCATAAATCAACTTCTAAGCAGCCACCGAGCCGAGATCAAAACCGAATTGCGTGCACTTGTCGGAGGCGGGTTCCGGTCAGGATCCTAGGTTAGGGGGTTGCGGTTAATCTGATCAACGGTGACGATGGCTGCCACGATCGCTTTCGACTACTTCCTTCCACCTTCATTTTAATCGGCAATAATGCTTTCATACCCTCTCTATGGATAGAATACGGAGGAGCCTGTTCTTAGCTAGGCGGGCTGCAGGCCGCATGAAATGCTGTGTCGCTGCTTTATGAGTGCGCCGATGGCGAATCTCCATCATGCGTTTGCTCCACAAGGTCGTTCAGCTGGCCAGGGTGTTGGTTATCTGCTTCATCGTGGCCCCCAACCAGCGCCAACCGTGACACCTCAGAAGCTGTGTCTCATGGCCGGACGAATGTTGGTTTTTCAGTGGTCACAAATGGCCGCACATCACCCGGAGCTCTCGCAAATTCTAGATCGTGAATATATTCTGGAGTTTTTGCTACTTCGTGTCTTTCAAGTCTCAGGAAGCGCCCTTTCCAAACGCTGTTGATAATTTTTGGCCCCCAAGTCTCGTATCAACTACTTCCAGTGCCGCGCTCGGTTTGCATGCGATGGAACAACCCCCCGGCATTTCTAATTCGGGATGCTCTTCTCATCATGTCCCAAAGATCGATCTCAAGACCTGGTCCGTACGTACGACCCGATCGTCAACGCCTCCTCGCCACCACGAACCCCTAAATCCTGCGGTACCTAGGTGGTGTCTTCATGCTTTTCCGCCGCTCTTGAAGATCTGATCAATGTGCTCGCGACTATTCTTGTGCGTAGTCTCTAGATACAGAAGCTTCTTCCCCAAGTTTTCAACATCCGCCTTCAGCTCCGATGTTTCGGTCGTCAACCTCTTCTCGACATCCGGAATAGGGTTGAAGACAAACCTGCCCAATTGTGAGCGAATGTTATAGTCTCGTGATTAAGTTGGCCGTGGCACGTGTAACCACAAATATGATTTGGCGTCCAGGAGAAACAGGATATGGGCACCTTACATTTTGCCAACACCCTCGTAGACCGGTGTATCAGCTGGCAAGGTAGACACCTCGCTCGAGGTCAGTTGGAGCATGCGAATTTCGCGTTGCTTGAGGGCTATCTGTGATTTGACAGTACTGATTTGTTGCTGGGCTTGAATGGCCTGGATTTCAATCTCCTGGACGAGCTACGTTTTGGGGATAAGTCAGCCTGATATACTTATTTTCTAGGGGGGTACATGGATGAGATGGATGGTCGGCTGTTAGGAGCCAGGCCGACTCACCCTTTGCAAGGCCTCGTTTGGGATAGACATAGTGCCCTCTTATATAGATTCGGGAGATTGTGGCTGCTTGCTCGCGTGGATATAAGGCCGGTTGGAAGGGTTGCCCTATGTTGAAGTTGAGGCGCAAGAACGGTGGTGGGCGCACCCTTTTCGACCTTATCGCGAGTCCCCGATGTCTGAGGGGTGCGGACGCGAGATCACGTGGACCTAGCAGATGGCATGACCACTTCGTGATCGTGATTGATTTCACGTGCACGCGGCCCAAAATCGGCATCCTTGAATTGGCGATTACGAGTCCTCGATTGATTATTGGAGACAATCCCCGACGTACCCGTTGTACTACGACGTTGTACTATGTAAAAGATATGGCATGACGTCCACCGGAAACTGCGGCCGCGTTGGCAGACGCCCCTCGTGGGATTTGACACTGACAGCCTCCCTTCCGGGTTCATAATAACAATAGTCCACAAGGTTTGTCTTTCCCTTCTATCCACATCGAGCGCTACTTGAAGCTACTCAAAGCTACTCAAAGCTACTCAAAGTTACTTGCGGCTACTTGGGACCCATCAGCTGTCAGCCAGTTTGCTATACCGCCCTTGCTCCCTGGAATGCATGCCAGGAGCTTGTTCATGCCAGTTGCGAGACATTTTTTATCCCGCCCTTCCGGAGTGTCTGCTCCGTAACATTTGGATTATTATTCTCACCAAGTACTCGAGTAACTTGTCTTTGCACTCTACAGAATAGTGTTTGCCAAAAGATATCCCATCGTTCGTGTAGGCTGAAGGTTATCGATGCTCCTCAAACGTAGCATTTTATTACATCATTCTTGACAATGGCCTTCGGCCTGCCACATTTCCCATACCCCCCCGCGCGCCCCAACGAGGGATATTGGGCGCCGGTTACTTCCACGATAAACTGGTGCGAGGGTATGTGTCCTTATAAATGGCGATTGAATAGCTGTTTGCTAATGAGCGAATAGAGGATTACTATGCCACGTTATACTCCGCCGAGATTGTCAATACCCTCACGAACCTACTATTTATAGCTTTGGGAATCAAGGGAATTCGGAACTGTCTGAAATACGATCATGACAGCGTTTTCTTCGTGGCATTCATTGGATGTAAGGCTTCGTATATGGGCTTGGGAGAACATTTGCTTATTTGCTAGATCTGCTCGTCGGAAGTGGCAGCTTTGCATTCCACAGCACCCTGACGTGTGAGTTTCTCTACCAGACCCCGTATTCTTGTATTGGGATACTGACCGATCTACAGACCCAATGCAGCTCGTAGATGAGCTATCCATGATATATACAGCGTGCCTTATGTGCTATGCGACATTCTCATTCTCGCAATCGCGTCTGAGGCGCCAGTTGTTGGCAACAGGTTTGGTGTCATTGGCTGTCTTCATTACTGTATGTAGCTCCAACCTCCTCCCTATGTCGATTGCTACAGAATTCTAATATATGTGGACAGCTCTATTACCATTATCTCCAAGACCCGGTCTTCCACCAAAATGCCTTCGCGCTCATCACGGCGATTATCCTTTTCCGAAGTATGTACGTTATGGAGTTTACCATTCGTCCATCCCTCAAATCGAAATATGGCACAACATCACAGAAGGCTATCGATTTTGGCTTGTCAAAATCAGAGCGGTTCGGGAATACACGCGCAGACACAAGGATACTCAGGGAAATGTGGATAATGGTGGCTTTCGGTTTAACAATATTCTTGGGCGGCTTCGGCATCTGGGCCCTGGATATCAAGTATTGTTCAACTATCAAACGTTGGAGGCACAATGTTGGTTTACCCTGGGGAATCTTGCTTGAAGGACATGGGTGGTGGTAAGTTCCTATGATTGTTTTGGGATATGACTTACTGAATGGTTATAGGCATTTAATGACTGGCGTGGGATCCTATTTTTACATTGTCTGGGCTATATGGCTACGGCACTGCCTTAACGGGAGACAGGATGAGTTTATACTTAACTGGCCGAGTATATTCTTCTCGCTCCCTGAGGTTGTTCTACTTCCGGGGGCACAAAGCCGTCCCAATGGGGCAAAGCATACTAATGGCATTACCAATGGACATGCCTTCCCAACCGAGCGAAAATCGGTATAGAACACTGTATTTCTGAGGTGCCGTCGTACCGGTTTACGCCCGCGTCACTGACGGATATGGAAGACAGCTTTGATAGATTGGGGCTGGGGTAAAAGAATAGAATGGAGGATGTTACCTGCTATTTTGAATTTTTAGATAAAGAATCTATAGCTTGTGAGCAGCAGTAGAGACATTATCACTGGTTTCAGATTGGAAAGTCTTGCGCCGCTAGGTCTTGGATCCAATCACACATCTCGGTTGCATCGCTTTTTAAATGCCTAAATGCCGGTTCTATCAAGGTATGATGGAATTCTTAGCCAGAATCCGAGCCCTATGCAATATATACTGTCGATCATTTGTGATACCCACGGTTATAAATAAACGGCAGAGATATATTTTGATAGAGAAACATAAGTTGTTAGGCAGCCCTGCTAGTCCTGCCCCACAGCCTTGTGGAGGGCCTGTTTTTCTGCAGGGCTCGGCAGCTCCCGCCCTTGGAGTACATACATGGGATACGAGGACATGTCGTGGCATTTCGAGGAACACTGACATCCAACAATCCTACCAACCATTTTTATGCCGAACTACCCAGAGATTCCCACAGTCTCGCATCGTGTCCTCCATGATCGGATATAATCCGCACATATGTATGCGTCTCTGAAATGATCTGATACGAAGACCACGCCCAATCTGGACTGGTACTGTGGGATTCAACGAGGCAGCGAGGAATTGCGCCGATGGCTGCTCCCTCGAAGCAGTCTTCCCGATGGGGATCATTTCTGCAGCAGGCTGTCGCGGGGGTAGAGTCAAGGCTGGATAATATCCTGGCCGAACAGGACGAAAATGCCCCTCCAGCTAAGAATCCGGCCTCGACCAAACCTGCGGCTGCTGCTGCAACAAAGTCTGAAGGTACTAAGCTCTAACCCCCCCTCATTGGAAATGTTCCATACTGACTGCATCGATCCAGGCCCTTCGCGATCAGCTTCAGCAAGCAATAGAACCAACGATCGATTACAAGAACGTTTAGCAAGAGCAATTGCTGCGAAAAATACAGCGGCACAGAAAGCAGAGAAGGGAGATGCTTCAGCTCCGCCATCAGCTACTCCTTCACGGACGGGAAGCCCTGCCACAATCGCTGATAGCCCCAGAGCGAGCACAGATACCGAGCCTGTCACTGATACGAATGATGGCAACGATGTATCTATTGCGAAACCTCAATCTGACGAGACCCAAACTCTACAAGTTCCCTCCATAGAAGGCCTATCCGCTGCGGCACTGCCCGAACCGACGGTCGTTGAGCAGCCAAAAGGGGACAATCAAGATATGAATGGACTTGCGCCCAAACCTGAGGGAGAAGCATCCCCACGCCCGTCTGCAGAGTCGACACGGTCGAGTATGCCTCGAGCATCTACAGATTCTACAAGACACACCTCTGGTGCTCGGTCGTCCTCAGACATACAAACCAACGATCCTTCTGGCATAACTCTGCAGTTGAAGAACTCTGAGGATTATGATGTCCTTAAACAACTACAGTCCGATTTCGAAAAATCGGAATTACAACGGCAGGAGGAGGTGCACGGGTATATCGAGCGCATTGATGCACTACAGTCTAAATTGCAGTATCTGGCGAAAGAGAGTACGGATGCAGCTCGGAATGCAAGCGGCGCAGCACCCGCGGGTAGCTTAGAGAAGAGATTAGCGGATAAAGAGGAGCAGATTGGATTGTTGATGGAGGAGGGCCAAAAGTTGTCGAAAAAGGAGCTCAATCACTTAGCCACGATTAAGAAGCTGCGGGCAAAGGTACAAGAAGATGGCAAGGAGCTTGCTGAGGCTACTAAAAAACAAGAGAAAGCTGTAGCGGATGCTACCTTGGCTATGGACCGTTTGAAGCGGGCCCAGAATAAAGAAAAGCGACTCGTCGAGAAGGAGAAGCAGGTTGCTCAATTACAGCAAGATATTGATTCCCTGAAGTCCGATAGAGACGCGAAGGACTCCACTATAACTGAACTCAAACGCCAGCTAGATGAGGCCGCCACCCAGGAGAAGGAGGCCGAAGCCAAGCTCGTCCATGAGTCATTGGAGGCTGAAAAAAAACGGGTTTCAGACCTTGAGGAGGAGCTGTCGAATCTTAAAATCGAAAAGGATCTCGTATCTGACAGGGCTCAGGCGCAGCTAAAACAATTGCGGGAGAAAATGGAGAAGGATTCCGAGCATACACGAATGGCAGAGTTAGAAATGAAGACGGAACAACAGATGCTAGAAAGCAAGTTGGAAGTCATGAGAGCAAGAGCGGAAGAGGTCTCATCAGGGACGGGGGGTGATGCTCAGGCGAAATTATTACGCCAGATTGAGACTCTACAAACCCAGTATGCGGTAGCAAGTGATAATTGGCAAGGTATTGAGGCCTCCCTGATAGCACGGGCGACGAATCTTGAGAAAGAAAGGGATGAAGCTGCGCGGAGAGAGGCTGATATCCGGAAGAAAGCTCGCGCAGTGGTATGTTATTTCCTACTAATACATAATCCATTTCTGACAAAGACAGACCTTAAAAGCCAAACTCAACGAGGACGAGCTTGAAGCATCGAAATCCACGATGCCTATTCTCCAGCAAGAGCTTGTTGACCACAAGTCTAAACTTGATACTTTGCAACAGCGGGTGGCTGTAGCTGAATCAACTTTGGCCGAAGCCCGAGCTACATTTGAGCGCGAAAAGCAATCGTGGCAAGCAGAGTTGTTGCGGCGCGTTGAAGAGGAAAGGGCTAAGTGGCAAGAGGAGGCGGGGTCCCCTGGCCATCTCCGTGCAGAGTCCCCTGTGACATCGACAAGGAGGGGTCTCACGACTGAATTCTTAGGACTCCAAAATCTGCAACTACGGCGAGCCTCCGCACGTTCTGTAAATAGTGACGCACCCGCTGTGGAAGGCATCTTAGCTCGCCGTCTTTCATCTCAACCTCCTGGTCCAATTTCAGGCCATGGAACACCAACAAGACAAGATTCCACTCAATCCTTCAAAGGAAACGGGGAGGTACCTGACGCACCGTCTATCTTTACAGACCAAGATGATTTCTTCGAGAACAATGTGTCTGTCGCCTCTCCGCATCAAACCATTAACGACATGGTTTCTGTTTCCACCGCTGGAGCTGGCCCATCTGTCCAGCTTATGGAAAGAATGAGCTCGGCTGTCCGGCGGCTTGAAAGCGAAAAAGCCGCCACTAAGGACGACATCACAAGACTCTCTGCCCAGCGTGATGAGGCGAGGGCTGAGATAGTATCTCTTATGCGAGAACTGCAGGTTAAAAGGGATGCAGATAAGAGAGTTGCTGAACTTGAGGACCAAGTGAAGGATATCAACTCGAGATACGAAACAACTCTGGAAATGTTAGGGGAGAAGAGTGAGCTTGTGGACGAGCTTAAGAGCGATATCGATGATATTAAGGCTATGTATAGAGAGTTGGTTGAGAGGACTATTAAATGAGACTCGAGTCCAACATCTTGAGGGTTGGAGCGAAATGAGGAGAATGGTCTTCCTAAGGGGAACAGGCTAGTAAGGTGGTAGCTGCAATCAAGCCATGGCTTAGAGGCAGGAAATGCAGGAGGCTTCAGAGGCCGGCATATTTGACGTTTCACTTGTAAATCTTTGTAAAGCTATTGGGGTTACCCCGGGATGTTTACATATTGCGCTGGCTATAAAACTATACCCTCACGCTCCGCAGCTTGCAATATGAATTTCTTCACCTAAAACAAATTAGAGCCCGTACTGTTGAAATAATGGAAGCGGCTTACATTAGAATCTGGCGCAAGATCCATAGCCACAAATCCATCTACATCTTTCTTGTCGGTCTCCGCGCCAGCTTTAAGTAGCGCCACAGCAGCATCACCTGAAGGGGTTATAATTTAGTCTTTTATAACAAAATCAAACAACTAGTAGAATGACAACTTACCATGGCCTTCAGCAATAGCATGGTGCAATGGGGTCTGTCCAGCAACATCCGTTGCATTCAACGGGCTTTTATTTTTCACGAACAGCTCAACCATAGGCACGGATCCTACTGCCGCCGCACGATGGATGGGATACTGACCTCGTTTGTCCCGGACTCGGACGGATGCTGGTGGCTTGGCGTCTAGAAGTTTCCGGGCGAGATCGAGGTTGTTTTTTGAAGCTATGAAGTGGAGTGCTGACTGTCACTACTCTTAGAAAACAGGTCGTGGATGGGCAATGAAGGGGAGCGGATTATTACCTGGCCAGTGAAATCTGCAGAATATTTGAGAATTTTGTTTAAAGAATGTGGCAAGAGATGTGGGACTTACTTGTGGCATTGATGTCTGCTCCTTTGCGCAGGAGGAGGTCAACCAGAGCATCGCCTTCCTTCAGACTTACTGCGATCATCAAAGGGGTCCATCCTGAACCGTCCTGGTTGAATGAGCTATTTGCGACTAGTCCAGGGGAAGAGGAGAGGAGGATGAAATGGGCTTTGGGATAAACCTCGGGCATACCTGGACATCAGGATCGAAATTCTTCCCCGCAGATAGAAGAACTGCAATATCTAGATGGCCGTTTGAGATCGCCCAATGAATCGGCAAACGCTCATCCTCATCTTTTAGATCTGCAAGCTTGGGATTTGCCTATGATATATTTAGTATCTAGTACTGTAATAAAATGAAGTTTAAAAATGAGATCTTACATTCAATAACGATTCAACGACAATTGCTATTCAAAAATCAAGTCAGTCTCGTCGGCGTTCTGGTCATGTGGGGTCTGTCCAGGGAAACCTGGTAGGGAAAGGATCATGCTATTCGTACTTCTTCCTTCTCTGGCTGCCTCATGAATGGCATACTTTGATGGTGCTTCTTCCATTTTCTGTGATAACCCTTTAGGTCTTGGATTTCTTTACTTTGGTGAGGTTGATGTATTAATGGGATGGGGCGACTATTTCGTAAGCCCTTCTCGGCATCCAGCCTGATTTATGTTTGGCCTTATATCTGAGGCAACAAGACTTGCAGAATTGAAGGCGACGCGAGGCTGCGAAAATGATCTTAAAGTCGCTGCAGCATCAACACCTACATCAATTCCCTGCGATTTATGTACTGAAGACATGTCCGCCGCAGTCGCCCCAGCTGGAGACGCCCAGGTCGACCATCTCAAGTCACTCATACAACAGAACGCGAAGAGATCAAGAGCGCTCTTTGCAGAGAGCCAAAACAAGCAAGATGATTCGAATATCACAGAAGCCGCAGAACGACTCGCGATAGCATCACGTATCCACGCCGAATATGACAGTGTGAAGGAGCTACCGCCTGCTCTCGCAGCTAAAATGGCAAGCGCGTCAGGCCCGCGAAAGAAGCCAAAGACCGCCCGGGCAGAGGAGGTTGCCACCGATACGAAAACGATGAAGCTTATAGAAGGGGTAGTCTCGAGGGACAGCGACGCTGGCAGTTCATCAACGGCATTGACGGTTCGAGGGAGGCCTGCTGCAGGAAATTTACCGCCGAATGCCAATGGACCTACGCTACAAAAGGATCTGCCATCTTCGAGCATGGTTCGCAAACAGACGGTTGTTCACGTTAAACCCGAATGGCACGCTCCTTGGAAGCTTATGCGCGTTATTTCAGGGCATCTAGGGTGGGTTAGAAGTTTGGCTGTTGAACCAGAGAATAAATGGTTTGCAAGCGGGGCTGGGGATCGCACGATTAAGATTTGGGATCTTGCGACGGGGTCACTGAAATTGACCTTGACGGGGCATATATCGACTGTGAGAGGCCTGGCAGTTTCACCACGGCACCCATATCTCTTTTCTTGCGGAGAGGATAAAATGGTGAAGTGCTGGGACTTGGAAACGAATAAGGTTATCCGTCATTACCACGGCCACCTAAGTGGTGTCTATACGCTGGCCCTCCACCCGACTCTAGATGTTCTGGTTACCGGTGGCCGTGATGGCGTGGCAAGAGTTTGGGATATGAGGACGAGGAGTAACATTCACGTCCTCGGTGGGCATAAGGGTACGGTTGCCGATCTCAAGTGTCAAGAGGCAGACCCTCAGGTCATCACCGCATCCCTCGACTCTACAGTGCGGTTGTGGGATCTGGCAGCAGGCAAGACGATGGGTGTTCTTACCCATCACAAGAAGGGCGTAAGAGCTTTAGCAGTCCATCCGAAAGAGTTTACTTTCGCAAGCGGAAGTACTGGGAGTATCAAACAGTGGAAGTGTCCTGAAGGAGCGTTCATGCAAAATTTCGAGGGCCAAAATTCGATTATTAATACGCTGGCCGTTAATGAGGATAATGTTCTATTTTCTGGTGGTAAGTACAACCGATTTATCTCTTCCTTTTCTTCGCTGACAAATCACGCAGGTGATAATGGATCAATGAGCTTTTGGGATTGGAAATCGGGTCACAGATACCAATCCCTGGACACTACAGCACAGCCAGGTTCGCTCAATGCCGAAGCGGGAATTATGAGCTCGACATATGACCGGACCGGTCTTCGTTTGATTTGCGGAGAAGCAGATAAGACTAGTAAGTACCTTTCCCAAAAACGCTCAACATTGGAAGCTAATACCCTGTAGTCAAAGTATGGAAACAAGATGAAACGGCGACTCCGGAGACGCATCCGCTGGAATGGAAACCAACTTTAGGCAGGCAAAAGTTTTGATGTATCATTGAAGGAAAGAAAGGGTTATTTATATAAATGCACTGCACGGCGAAACGGTGTTAATGTAGGATAAAGGGTCACTCATCAGAGTGCTTGTGCTTTGATAATTTTATATCTGGCTTATGCCGAAAATCCAAGAGATTTGACCTCAGGATCATCCTTGAAGGCAAGCTTCAAATCCTCTTCGCCAATACTTAACCGGATCTTCCCAGTGCGGTCTGCTTTTCGGGTCTCTAGGCCTATGATTCCGGCCTCCATCAGGTCAACCGCAGATAATCCCATCGCAAGCACGCGAAAAGTCTTGCCCGATTGCTTAGAGCCAGCAGGCAAGCTCTTTCGTTTCAGTGAAACTAAGTCCTCCTTGAGAAGGAATTGCTCGGTATTACCCCCAGTATCCATCTTTGCCATCCGTCGTGCTTCGTCAAGGACATCTCCAAGGATACTCTCAGCAATTCCTGTCCTTCTCATCCTCGCTAGCAAAGCTGCCAAAAGTATCTTAGCCGAAAGTGGCAGACCTCGTAAATATTGCTGCAATGGACTCGTCGTAGCCTCATTAATAGCTCTTTTTATAGTAGCGATGGTGACTCTTCCGCTAGATTTTGACGCCTTTTCACCCCTTCCACTCTTACTGGGTGTGCTTGGCGTTGCAAAGAGGCTTTCTGCTTCCGCGAGTTCGACGGCTCGTCGACAGATGTCGAGGGCACGGCGGGCGTCGCCACTGACGGCCGCGACTTTTCTACTTGCGAATTGGACGGCGTCTGGATCGACAATATCTCCTGGAACTCCTTCGAGGCGAGATTGGATGATTTTCATCAGTTGCTCGTGGGTGTACCCAGGGAAGGTGATTCTTGTCAGACCTGCAGTTTGTGTTAGACATTGGAAATGATTAAATCAAGGGGTAGATTTTTAGTTCTTACCAAGTCTACTGCTGATCTTGTTGCTCAACGTTCTCTCGGGAAGATCCATAGTATTTGCCACAGCAAGCACGATCAATTTACTGTGCCTAAGGCCAGGCCAGTTAAAGAAGTTATACATGACACTTTGGTTCTTAGTAACCAATTGATCCAGTTCGTCCATGAGTACCACGCAGGGAACTCGTCGAGGACTTGGATGGTTGAATTCACGCTCTAGCAGATCTAGGGCATGAGAGGGACTCACACGGTCCCCCTTCAATGCTTCCCACAGTAGAGAATATGATTGATGAGGATCAGTGACTTTCATGCCATTAATCTCAACGAATATGAAATCATCAAGCTCGTCTGCCATGACAGATGTATTGAGTTGGGCGACAACTTCGCGAACTGTGGCTGTTTTTCCTGTCCCAGGAGTTCCAGAAATATAGATACATGCGCCGGTACCTTCATAAATGGCGGCTTCCAGATGGGAATATACAGATGCGAACTCATCTTCTCGGCATGGGAGAGTCGTCGGAACAGCTGCGACATGTAGCTTTGACCGTGCAGTCTGGAATGGTGATGAGTAGACGTGGTCTGGATCTAGAAGGCGGGTTCCAAGTGGTGTAAATTCCAGGGGCTTTTTGACAATTACCCTGTATGATGTTAGTATGTCGACGACCCAGTTTCGACGTGATGTTTACCTTTTGTGGCTTGGTGTTAACAATTTAGAAGGTGTCCGAGGCTTTTTTGGTGTCGATATTAGAGAAGTCTTCTGCTTCTTTCGAGGAGTTCCAAATCCCTCATCAGCTGCCAATTCATCATCGACGAATGAGCCTTCTCTGGTGCGCTTCGGGCCTCTTTTCTTTCTCCTAGGCTTCGTCTCAGATTCCAACCTCTCGGTCAACTGGAGGACTTCCTCATGTGTACCATGAGCAATATCATCCCAGCTAAATTCGTCCGTGTATGTTGTAGTCCCCGTATGGCAACCCCGTCGGCATAAATAAGTGTTTCCAAAGTCTCTCGATTTGCGTGGGATCTTGCCACTGGGGAATCGAGCCATAAAAGCCTTCTCCGACAAAATTGTAGCTTCTCCGATAATTGAGTCAAGAGGGCTTTCGTCCATCCCTGGTGTGATATACAACTCATGCTAGGTAGGTCAGCAAGTGAAGCTTAGGTTGAGATATACCATGGGAAGCTCACCGGAAGAAAATCGGTTCTCTTCTTCTGCTTATTATATATTTCTTTCTCATCAGAGAACCCTAGTTCATGTTAGTATCTCGACCGAACAAGCTGTAGGCCGGACAGTTCTTACACATAAATTCGGCACATTCATCCCCATCTTCATCACGGCCGACAAATGATATCAGCATTCCCACCCAAGGAACCTTGCTTCCCGGTGCGTTCAACAGAACACTGTCTCCAATTCTGCATTCAAGCCCGTCTGCCCTCCTCCGCACTCCAATTTTGCTACCCCGCTGGCACTTTACAGCATCTCGAACTTGTTGCCGTCTACATGGAGTCTCAGGCGCCTTTTCCTTCTCCAGTTCAGCCCCACCCGAATATATCCATTCCCAAGGCTCGTCATCATCGGCATCGGACTTGTCGCTATCTGACACATCTGTTTCCGACACGTCTGTATCCGACTCATTTTGTCCATCACTGTTGAGCGCAGCGTTAAGAACTTTTCTTACCCGCTCTGCCTTTTCAGTACGCTCTTGCTGAGGGGTCAGTGTGGTTGTTGGGCGAGGCATGTTGGTTGTCAATTATTATCATCTTTGTGGCTTGGTATTGTTAAAGTGGTTGCATTTACGGAGTACACAGCGAGACGCGTCGCGTCAAGCTGGGTACACGGGGGCACGGGATGGAAGACGGAAGTCTCCGATTGGCGGTAATTGGTGTTCCCACTACCCAAAATCGGTATTTCCACAAGCCGATTGGCCACGATATTCTTATTCAGATAATGTCCTATTTAGGACATTATTATTCCTGACCGACTATCTGTCATATCCGTAGGGTTAAATGATCAATAATCCTATGAAAAACAGATGACGAGGATTTAGACAATAAATGAGTGCCTGGAGGAATTCTGAATAGGCAATCGAGACATCACGATGTCCCATATGCTCCTTGCCAAGTAATGCACCGAATAGTACATAAACTGAATAGCTTTACTTACCTTAGCTCGCAACCATTGTTGGCCGCCAAATAGGCCAGGATGAAACTGAAAGTTAGAGAAATACGATAGTAGGTTGTCTCAAGCTTTGAAATAGTAAAATAAATATGTCATGGAAAATCCGTGAATGTTCTGAACCCGCAGGAAAAAAGAAACGCCGATCCACGTGACCCTAATAACATCACTTTGGTTTAAGCTGCTGCTGCTTAACTCCAAGCAAGTCAAGAACAACCACGCGCTTCAACCATAAACCCCCCATCGCCCACTAAAGCTGCGAAAATGGCTTCCCAAAAAGGCCAAGGTGGTAGGTTCCATTGTCTTACCTTGGACCGCTATATTAAAGCTAATCTATCTGAACAGTTGACATAACCAGCCTTTCGCCTCAACAATTAAGCCAGGTGAAGAAACAATTCGAAGAAGAGCTTACCCATCTATCGAACTCTTTCACCCAGTTGCGGGCCGCACAAGCGAAGTTCCGGGAATGTCTAAAGTCTATAGCAGGAGGTGTGACGGCGAAAGTTAAAGGTAGATGAATTGTGATAACATAGTTGTTGGAAGGACTGGTGGGCTGATTTGTGAAAGGGAATCCGATCTTGGTGCCACTAACTGCATCGCTATATGTACCCGGCACATTGGCAGATGCGGAGAATGTCATTGTGGACGTTGGAACTGGGTTTTATGTTGAAAAGGTATGCGACGTAGTATATATTGCGGGGTAATTCTATTTTCTAACTGTTGTTGTAGAGCACGAAAGATGCCAATAAATTTTACGAAGGCAAGGTTGAGGAGCTTGGTGGCAATCTGAAAGCGCTGGAGAAAATATTACAAGAGAAGACGGATGGCCTACGGCTTATTGAAGATGGTAAGTATCAAAGTCACTAGACTGGTGGTCATCATTTGATAATCCCGTGTTATTATAGTGCTAAGGCAAAAGGTCCTCAACGCCAATTCCACTTCTTGATACCCGTCTGCGAAAGGAGAGATGCCTGGACATTGGAGAATGATCTGGAATAGTTGGCTATTCAGAGTTTATGGCTTTCATGAATGCCAACAGAGAGGTCCCCAAACCGCGCGATGGAAGTACCATATTATGCGCTCTAAACGAAGCGATGAATATGAAAACTGCTGGTTGTGGGGGAAGCGTTGCGTACCGTTGAATATCTTGAGGAACTCTTGAAATACTCGCAAAAGCTGGGAATGATTATGGGCTTACCAAGGACTCAAAGAACTCGCGAGATGCATCACTGAGATAGCCTCGAATCGTTTCAACTTGGCCGACAAAGCCTTGGACTCCATGAGTGCTCTCCGTGCCATTATTGAACAGTTGCCTGAGTTGCGCATCCCAATTCCGCATCCTTGTTGTATTCTCAAGAGATTCCATCTCGACGTCCCAATCTGGATGAAACATGGAAACACTGGCCTGGACATCTGGCTCGGTAGCAGTGTCACGGCCGCACCACTCTCGGTATATGGCGATTTCGACAATATAACCGGAGTCCCGCATTCTAAAACGTATGGTGCTTCTTACCACCACTGTGTCGACAGCAATATCCCAACCTCCCTGCAAGGAAACTCCTGGGTATGGCAGGCCTAGAGAATCTGTACGCTCAGGCGAGTCGGGGGATATAGCGCTTCCAACAAGTGTTTGCCATGGTGCGTCCAAGTCTTGAATGCTATTATCGGTGATTACCTCCAGGGCGCTATCGACTTTCCTACAAGTTTTGTGGTTAGTGCTTGTTAAGACTTTCTAGATTTTTCGTTTCATACCTTTCAATGTCGATTGTTATAATCTCGATGTGCTTGTTTCTACGATTGTTTCGGAATGCTTTTGTTGCCCCAATCTGATAATCCCCATCCATGTTCCTATCGATATCTGCCTCAACCCTAATGGGAATACCCTGCGAGGTGTTGAAGAAGAGACAAACTATATCCTGAAAGCCGACGCCTTCTAACAGAAAGGTGGGGCCCTCTGTAGGACAGAACTGACTCGGCATACTAAGAATTTGTGCTTTGAGTGTCAAGGCCGCAATAGGATCCGGTAGCCTGTCAGATATTTCCTGTTAGTACTAGAACCCATTCCGGGAAAAGATAAGACTAGCAGTCTCTACTCACTTTTTATCGAATTTCGCAGCAGCTTGTACTCGCGGATTCTCCAAGATCTCCAAAAATTTCTCAAAGGAGCATTGGGACTGACCGAAAGCTTTTGGATATTGAGTTAGGTTGAGATGTCCGAAGTGGACCCGCATACGCATCCAACCTTTCAGAGGTGCGAGAGCTAGAAGATGCTTTGCAAGATGGTTATGAACCTTAGTATAGTTTTCCTCTTCTCTTGCTTCTCTTGTCGACTCCCAATTCAGCAAATCCCAGCCTGATAGCTTGTCCCCAGCCAATTCAATAATTGTGAGCCCTTCGCGGTACCTGGTTGGTCGAACTATCTGTCGCATGGTTTCTCTAGCTGGTGAAACCACAATGAAAAGTGGCGTAACTGAGAGACTCCTTGCCTTAACGTTTTGGTATGCTTGTCTAATACCTTTGATTGCCTCGGAAACGTTATATTTGGCATTCGGCTGACGTTCAGAACTGATAATCACAGACCGCGAGTCGGCGTCCCATTGAATATACAAGTTGAACTCTTTTCTGATGTGGTCTAGATCTTCCATCCTCAAACCAAGAAGTTGCATTGGAGTTTGAGATTTATCTGGCCAGAGATAACAGCCCTGCGGCGCGTCAGCAGCTGACGCAGTGGGTGGTGTGAGTTACTTACTGTTGCTACAATATAAGCATCCTCCGCCGGATCCACCAAATATCTCCCTTCTGTTGCTTTCTGCTCCGCATTGATTTGCTTGGTCAATGTCTTCCTGGTGGTTTCCAATGCTGATGACTTGGGAAACCGCTGCTGCTTTTCGACATTATGACGAGCGGGTGGCGCAGATCGACTACCTGGACCAAAGGGGTGCTGATTTCTCTGAAACGAGGGATGTTGGTTGCCTGGTCTTGGGAATTGTTGGCCTAGAGGGACCTGCTTGTTAGGGAAGGAGGAAGGAGTGACCACGGTGTGCTGAACAGCCGTCTGCTGGCTTTCCGACCGATCTGTTGTAGGATCTACTGCAGGATCTGCTACGGGGTCGTCCGCATTAGACTCCTCATCCCATCCTACACATCTATCAGCAAACCAGCCCATGGCCAAGTCGTTAGGTACTTACGTCGAGCATTGGCGCGTTCGAAGCTGAGAGGGTTAGCTTGAAGCGTGAAGGGGATGGAACACTTACTTTCTGAGGGAAGCCATATTGCCCGGCTGAAATAAAGTTGATCTAGTGAAGGTGACGGTAGGCTGCACCAGCAATTGGATAGTTGTGGCTGGACTGATGACGCGGAGGTGTTCCTCCTAAGTTTGCTCAAACAGATTGAAAATGGCTGGCCAGTACGTTAAGCAAACGGAGCGGGAAGCCGATCACGTGCGGTAACCTCCTCGGGCCGGACCGCGTCTAGTCAGGCTTCACCCGTAGCATCTACGGGCTTGTTGTTCTATTAGCGATGATATGTCTTTTTGGGGGAAGCCACTATCGTTACTGGTGTGGTGGGCCAAGTCGCGTCTGTGGCTTACAAGGCTAGGCTTTCTGATACTAGCCAACCTTGGATAACCCAAGGAACACCGACAGGAGCGAAAGAGTTATTAGTAGGTTCGACCTAACATTACCTATTTTAACTACTCTATCTAATACTCGACTTTCATATTTGTGCTTTGACAACTGATTCTTTGAAGCAGTATAGGTGCTTTCGTCCCCGGTTAGGGGGATTTCCAGCGAGATACTGGTGCTTTACAAATGAACAGATGGAATTTCATAACGCTTTGTCTTCGAGACGGCATTATGAGCCTTCATTTAGAGAGTTCTCACCTTGTAGCGAGATGTTTAGGATGTCAGCTTCTAGGTATAATCGTGGCAGTAAATGGTGGAGCCAGCAGTACCAGAGTCTAACCAAATGCAGGGTTATACCATGGTCGTTCGAAAGGTCTGCTAGTATCAACAAGAGCGGGACAGGTATTTCTTTTCTGACCCAAGCCAGGCAGAGGAATTTTCGAAGAAATATACAAAAATGTCTAGTGAGGTAACGGACGAGATGCGCGCGAATAAATTCAAGGTTTTGCCGAACTCTAAGGAACTGGTGGTCAGCTACAAGCGCCGGTCCGTCCCAGATGTCATACAGGAATAATGTCCTTACTACCGCAGCAGATTTGGAGCTTGTAGGCTTCAATGTTATCATCCGCGAACGTAGGCGGTGCCAAGTGACCGACGGGTCTCAACTCAAACTATGTTGCGAACTAGTCACTCATGTTCACGTTTCCCTTGTTTTTGTGAGATGTGTAACTAGATCCCTGTGGTACGGGAAATTACACACCACTATGGAATCTCTTGTCAGTGCAAAAGGCCACCCCCGGCAAACCAGTTCACCCTGGCGGTGATTTTGGACAGCTGCTCAGAACTTATTGCGATCTTGGGGATTTGTTTCTGAGTTTTGACACATCAATAGCATCGGGAAGTTGGCTGTTAAACGAATACGTCTTTCCCTAGAGAAAATAGAAAGCAGACTGCAACGTGCATCCATATATCTTCAGAGCCTGGCTGACCCTGGCTAAAATGGAATATTTTATGTTCAGAGACGCTAGGAGCTACTTGTTGGGTTAATGTCTAATTTTGAAATATTTCTCTGTCTTGCAGATTTAGTTGTCAAACATCGTCCACTTTGTTTGTTATATTATTTTAGGGCCGGTTACCCATGTATTATCAAATTTTGACCTGTCCTTAAAACATCTTCTATCAAAGACAGTAATTTAGAAGTTCATTCTATCACTATTTTCTACAATACTCCTTGATTCCCCAGCATACTTTCTTTGTCTATGCAGTGTACTGGATAAAGAAGATACTTGCCATGATGAAGTTTCTTGAATGGACAGTTATAGGTATTAGTGACAGTAACATACACCTTAGCAATATTCATGTGATTGGCAGCAATCACTTTAGAACCCAAGCATAGAGAGTCCCCACAACAACCAGGCTAGTTGCAGATGGATGGCATGCAGGTTTATTTTGGACAGGAGCTGATTGCAGCAGAGAACTCAGGCCAGGCTCTATCTGGGTTAGGAGAGGGTGTGATGACACACTCTGGAACTGAGCAAGAATATTTGTCTGATAATCAAGGCGGCTAAAATGATACAATCTGAATTTTCTGCGATGCGAAAAGAGCCAATAGACACCCAGAAATTTAGCCTCCTTGAAAGTTCAACTGTTCTCCTAAAGTCGAGACATTTAGGTAGCCTACAATTGGGGATTGATCACGTGTTCATGAATGAATAAATCCATGTTCGGCCGAAAAGCAGATATACTGCTCTAGGGTACAGCTTTCGAGGTCTCTACGATGGATATGAAGTACAATTCCATCAATTCTACCAATTCGATTCTTAAAAGAGAGAAGAAGAGCTTTGGTAAAGTAATGACCTCTAAGCAACTATGTTTGAAAATGTGGAACGAGTTAGATTAGGGGCCTAGACTTGTAAAGCCAATTTCATAATCAAAACAAATACCAAAGCCAGTATCCATATCGAACTACCTATGTAATCCTATTCAAACCATACGGAGTACTGTTATTACTACTGAGCTCTGTTCAGCAAACACGCCCGACTGCAGTAACTGTTCTGGCCGCGGGGCTTGGAGGCGTCTGCCCCTGAAGATCTGTTGCGGGAAGCGATAAGATTAGATTGCAGACCCGGACCGAAGTTCAGCCGGCCACGGTTGTAGCAGCTGCAGGGCCTGGAAAGCTGGAAGGGGTCTCGAAAGGGTCCTTTGCGAAACACTCCCTTTTATGTTAGCTCAATATATACGAAGCGTATAGTTTATAAATGGATATTGATAATTTGATAATTGATACCGGAGAAGTAATAGCTGACAACTAATAATTGGGACGGATCTCGGCACGGAATTGTATATCGATAAACTTGATGGTGTTGATATTCGTCCTGTTGGTACTGGGGGGGTGCAGAGGGGCGGCTACGTACATGTGTACATACGAAGTACGTACAGTAACCCCCCAGGGAATAATAATGAGAAGCGTATATGTGGCGTGGTGTTGATGTGCCTGTTAGCTTATTAGCTTACCAGAGTTACTACCGTGTATTACTATTATTACTCGAGGCTGCTAGTGGGAGGTTCCCACCTTTTGGGCTCTTTGACGGCGAGGCTTGTCTATCCCAGTCGCCAACCAATGAAAACCTGCTCGTTCAACATCAACACAACAACCCTTTGCTTTCACACCGTTCACACTATTCACACTTGTTAGGGCAGAGTAGTGTTTACGCTGTTGATTCACTACGACTCTCGATCTTTAGCCAGCCAGTCGCTAGTTGAACCACCACCTGAAATTGCAATTGCGCTCAGGACGCTGCTTACTTAGGATCTGCACTATCGCGACCTTACCTTCAAGGCTCAACCTCACCGTCAACCTGACCTTCACCCTGGACCTCTCCCACCGCCCTCCCCCCCTCCCCCTCGAACCCAGAAAAGCAATTCAACGCAACGCCTACCAGGTTCGCGCGCTCTGTTGCAACTTGCCGGTTGGATGTGTCTGTCGGCCAGGCCGTTCACCAACCACAGGAGCTGTTGAAGCTGGAAGCGTGGGAGTGAGCCTGCGAGGCCTCCGTTGCTGATATCCCCCCTCCGCTAGCTCCGACGCCCTCCCCGACAGTCGCATCCCACCTCCTCGGGGTAACCACCAACTTGAACCAAGTGACTAAAGACAGGAACTCGTTACGGAGGGCTTCGTACAGTAATCACTTTCTGCAAAGTCCTTCCCCCAATATTAAACCAGCTCAAATCTTCTCTCTCTTGCCGGCCCCCTTCCTCATCCAAACCCCATCGCTGCTGCTAGGTCCATGGCTAAAGGACCAAACGACTGAAACCCAGTCCCCTCGCCCCAATCGAGTTCCTACGATCACCCTCCGGCATCCCCAAAGGAGACGGATCCAAGAACTGTGCTGCGCTGCGTTGCCCTGCCCGCGCGTTTCCAGTGCAGTTCGACACCCATCTGACGCGCATCGCACCATTCCTTCGGTTTTTCAGCCGGCGCCGGATGTATCTGGTGATCCCGAACCACAAAAGCACAACTAGACTCTGGCACGCGGCGACAAGGTTCCAGGGCGCGCCGGCGACGGTGAGGTTATTTCGACGACCTCCAACTTGGTGAGGCAAGCTTGCTGCGGCCCGCCGAACGGGAGCAACTAAGCAACCACTGAGCTTCCTTGTCGCGGCAACTGCCCGATTCTTGCGCAAGATGCCTCTTATCAATGGAATGAAGATGGCCTGGTACGTTAGTTCCACATGGCGGGGCGCATGGCAGCCGCGGGGCGTGTAGTCGATCTAGGCTTGAGCCTCGTACGATCACCATAAAACTCCCTCCTACGCCCCGCGCTTTCTATCAGGGCCGCTATCTGCTTTTTTGTTCAACCGCTGATCTTATATTTCTAGCGAGCCATGTATACGAGGCCATCGATCAACGAAATGCACGCATGCCAACGAGCGGCTTATGGTTCCGGTGAGAAAGCCTGGCAGACCTCTCAGCCAGTGTCCGCACCCGGGAGGACAATCATGTGGGTGTGGAAGTGTCACGGCCGCGATTCCGAGGAAACAGACATGTCATTGTGGAGGAGATGGGTCCAGGCCAGCACAAGCACAAACACAAGCACCGGTACCAGCGCCGCAAATCGTCCCCCGTTCTTCGAGTCAAGGGGCCTCAGATGCTTCATCACCCACCAAACCCACATTCAAAGTTCAAAAGGCGTCAAGACCACCATCGGCAAGCAGGAAACAGTCATTTGACCCTTCGAATTTCGGAAGGATCGATATGAATAGCGTCAATATTGTTCCCTTCAAACCGCGATCTCAAAGTATACCAATTCCGGTCACTCCTGTAGAGGGATATACGATGGCTGGCCCACCGCAGACCTATGGATACAACACCCAGTATGCGAATATACAGCCACAACTCAGTCATGCCACAATGCAGCCGCCCCCAAGCCCTTACGATGGAGAAGACCCGCTTATGAGGGCTAATGGGTTCACTAATGGGTTCACTAATGGGGTGCTTCATCATGAGAAGCCTTATGTGGTTGAAAGTCCGCTCGCTACGCCATCAATATATGGGAATGGAAACTCCAGCATTGCGATGAATGGGGGATCATGTTGCACCCCACCAACGCCATTAAACCACACCAATGGAGAATCAAAGGCATATAAGAATGGCAGCTCCTGCTGCGCGCCAAAACAAAACGGCCACAACCGCACTTCTTCTCTTAGTAGCGTCATTCCGGAGCAGCAGGAGCCTAGACAGGGAAGCTGTTGTTCGTCAAAGCCACCACATACGCTGAAACAAGAGCCCGCATCTAACAATGGCACACCAATACCCACGCATGTTCCAAGCTCGCCCCAGATGCTAGCACAAGGCAATATGCCATTCAGCCCGGCCCTATACCAGCAACTAGTTTCTAGCCAACCCACAGTCTTTACGTACCCACCTACATATGGCTCGTTCCAAAACCCTCTGCAGCCATCAGCCTGGCGGCAAAGCATACAAGACAACATGTACTCTCAACCTCAACCTCAGGCTCAGATCCCGCCACCATCTGCGCAATTGCCATTTGATGCACCACTTGTCCCAGAAACCATGAATACTATTCATACATGCAGCTGTGGTGATGGTTGCCAATGCATTGGTTGCGCCGCACATCCGTATAACAATGCAACACAGGACTACGTTCGTTCAGCATGGGCTATGTCCGCAGAGCAATATACGGCAGAGATGTATAGTAATGGGCAGCCAACATCAGCACCGGAGCCACACGGGAATGCAAATGGGAACGGCTCGGTTCCACCTCAAGGTGCCGACCCCATGGCGTCGCCGACCCCTCTTACACCATCCAGCACATCATCTGGAAATGGGGAAGAGCAAAGCCTGTCTGCCGCCGATTTCTTCTTCGTCAACTATCCATTCTCATCGGAGGGTTGTGGTGGGGATACGCTCAGCTGCCCCTGCGGCGATGACTGTCAATGTCTAGGCTGTACGATACACCGGCAGCCTGCCATACCCTGTGGTGGGGAGAGGGAGAGCTGCCCCTGCGGCGATAATTGCGAGTGTATAGGTTGCTCGATACATAATGGTGGTGTAACGACATGAAATTTCGATGGTGGGTTGTCAGATAATTTGGAGTTTGGGCGTCTTGAGCGAATCACCCGGGATACACACATGTGTATAGGAGATACCACAGGCTGGATTGATACAAAGGAAAGGTGATGAACTGCATATACTGGTGGAACTTGCATCAAAGCGATTTCGGGGTTGGGATATGGATATGGATATGATACCCCGCTCCCATTAGTACTTTTCTCCTCCCTACATGTAACGGAGACAAACCTAGTACTGAGAACAAGATTCGTTATTAGTGAATATTGACAGACATTTGAATATCAAATTCTCTGACAAAACTGATATTTTCTGTCATGGACGACTTTTTGATGTTTGCGAATGTGTCGCGTATTCTCACACAAGACCCAAATCCGCAGCTCTACGGTCGAGTTCGGTGGCCAAAGGAAGAGCCATGAAGTATAAACCCCACACCCATCTTGGCTCTTTGGTCATGATTCGATTACTTTCCTGCCGATGGAGTGGTCATTATTAACAAAGCAGCTTGCCAAGCTTATATTGCTAAATCCCCGTCCACTGCATCATCATCAATAGCGTCCCCCCTTGTAATTTCGTTTCCAACTGTACTGTACATGTACAGGTGTCTATATGGAGTAGATAGCGCGACGAAGGACAAGGCGTATAGGGAAAACTGGTACCCTAAATGCTCTTGGATCCTTGGCGAGAATAGATTCCAAGCCTAACAAGCCAACTAAAACAACGACGGAGTGGTCACGCTAATCCATCACTTCTGGATATCGGGCCGTAATCCCAGGTTCAATGTTGATGGCGTTATGTTTGGAGTCCCGTCAAAGCAGATTGTTTTGGTAGTAATGGGAATTAGCAATGTGTTTTATATGATTTAATAAACTGTCCCTTGTGTCCATCAGGCTTTCTGCAGAGGATCCATGTTCCGCACAACGTGGCAGGACTCCATTCCGCCTGATGGTTAATATATGTTTAAAAATGTAACCCTCGGTGGTGATGTAGGTACCTTACCTTAGGCAGGCTGGAATATGGCTGCCTGAGGTTGACGACTATGCGTCTCGTGGTGTAACTGGTCGAGCTCGCTGAGCTTGCGATTGAACTTCTCCCGTACTCGGACTTCTACATGAGAGCTTGCCGTCATGCTCAAGACGATTATACGTCCTCCGAGTTCAACATTGACATGCTCGCAACCGATACGCCGCTCCTATCTATCCATACCTCCCAAAAATCCAATATATCGGGCTCTACCTGCGTCCGACGTATTGGTGAGCTATCTCGCCGATGTTGATATCGACGAGTTTCGCCAACGAGCCTTCGTCCCACAAAAACCTATTCTTATAACGACGAGATCGCCGACTATACCAGACTCTGCAACCTCGCAGACTGCAAGATTGCTCGGTTTAGGGATTCCTGCAGCGCAGAAATGGTTCTGCCCACGGCGTCAAGATGGCTCTAATGGAGACGGAGCGGGAGCGCCTTGTGCGGTCGTCCCATCGCGAACGTACCTCGAACCATTTCAGGAAGCCGTTCTTCCCTATGAGCTTATCGTCAACACTAAGGACGAATATATACCTGACACAGGATGGCCGCCCCTAGGAGATGGAGTACGCCCTGTGACAGCACCAGTTATCGACCGCTCGTTAGGTACGAAGTTCCACCGGTTTAGAGCCCCATTACAGCTCTTCTTGGAAACTTGCGGATGGACCCTACCCCCCAAACAGCTCTACATCGCGCAAGCACAGATCGCCGATCTCCCAAAGCAGCTACAAGATGATCTCCCAACGCCGAGAATCGTCACGGAGGCGAAGTTGGGAGATGTATATGATGCGAATATCTGGATGGGCATTCCGCCGACGTATACTCCTCTACACAAAGACCCGAATCCGAATCTATTTGTGCAGTTGGCGAGCACGAAGCTTGTACGGTTGGTTCCGCCTAGTATCGGGGGCCAGTTGTTTAGGGAGGTGCAGGAGAAAACCGGGCAGCGGGGTCCGTCGAGTTTGCGCGGAGACGAGATGATGGATGGACCTGAGAGGGACGCTTTGGATGAGGCTGTCTGGGGGACGGACGTGACAGAAGATGGGGTTGGGACTGGGATTGAGGTTATTGTGCGACCTGGAGAGGCGCTGTTTATACCGAACGGGTGGTGGCATAGTATCAAGAGTGTTGGGACGGATGTTACAGCATCTGTCAATTGGTGGTTCCGTTGACCAGGCGTTACCTTGACATGCCTTGGGATGTTAGTGGCACTGCTCCAGTTGAGAAATTGGATTCAAGTGAATGTACTTTTAGCAGCGTGAGTAATCTTCCAGCACATCTTAGACCTATATGGCGATCTAGCTGCACATTCAGAGATGGATATATTCGAAATAATATCCTATAAAGCTATGAATGATAAACTCGACGCTCACGCGAGAGATTTCATACACCTGTCCCTAAGTTATCATCAAAGGAAGCAGCCTTCTCACTTTTATGTCGCACAGCCACAACAACTATAAAGACCACCCTAACCCCTCTTCTTAAACAGAGTCAAATCTAAAGGAATCCTATCCCCCATCCACGTCGCCCTCTGCGTATGATCCCTCTCCTGCTCATCATGCTCGCCCGTCTTAGGGTTCACCGTATTAGGATGAACTAGGGCGCTCAACGGGCCGCGATTGATTATCAGCCACGGGATGAAGGCGCCGAATTGAGCGGGTGTGAAGAGGTTAACTTCGAACATTGCTACCGGACTACGGCGAAGAGGGGTTAGCGAAGTGAAATTTGAGCAAGATTTTATATGACTCCGAAAAATGTCAAGCAGTAGGACGAAAGCTACTTGTCGAGGCCCATCATTGGACGAATCCCCAGATAGTAGGGTGCGTGACATGCTGAAGAAATTATATACTTACTGAGGACCAATTGGCTCCTCCCAGAATTTATATATGCGGAGTTCTGGGACTAGGTATATAATCAGCAAACTGTAAACCTGCATCGTGGAAAAAGAGGAGCGAAATTTACATTCTCGACGAATCCGCTCCCATAGCTCGCGAGCATATTTAAGCTGTGTTGGGTTCTTTTGAAAGTAATAGATATGGATATCACTGTTTTATTTACTTTAGCTAATTTGCTCCTCGTAAGCCCACAGCTGAAGTGTTAGAGATAAGACTAGGAGGAGGTAAAACTGACAAAGCACCTCTCACACCATTATCCAGCGGCTCCGTAAATCGCTCATAGCTTTTGCTCAAAACGCCCGTTGGGGGGTTGGCATAGCTCTTCCCATCCTCGGCCTTCTCGTCGGGTAGCGGCGGGGCGTTCTCGTAGCCCTGGAGGGGTGACGGGTAGGTGTATGCTGAGGCGTCGGCCATGTTATATTATATTAGGTGCTTTATGCTCCGGGTTTTCTATTGCGGAATCTGGATTTGGATGGGGAAAGGAGTTGGATGGGATAATATATCAATTAAAGGATTATCAATCCATACTGGCTTTGGTAACGGCTGACGGTTCGGTGTGGTTGTTACGTGATGCGGGCACTGTACCACCCCGCCGCTTAATAAGCTTCATGTTGCTATCGACGTTTTGCTTGGCGGGCTACTCGTCTGAGTTCGTTCTTTGGAATGTTCAATGTACCAACGAAGGAACTTCAATTTTTAATGTTTAGATTGGGAAGTTTATGTGTCAAATTAATAAATGGCATTTACCAGTCACCTTGACTTGGGGGTATGGCGTAATCCAGCCTGCATATACCTCATAAATGAGCGTTGAAGGATATATGAAAGTGAATTATGCTATTTTTAGCATAATATCATGGCAACCTCGGCTTGCTACTCTAGAAAGTCTAAGTAAAATACCTAGCTGTTTCATCAACTTTGCGCTTGAGCGACTAGATCATTGTAAATGTAAGCCTGTATACTTTATGTCTTCTCTTCGAGTCTATTGTCGTACCTTTGGCATATTTTCGGTATTAGCCCTCGTCCTGACGTCACCGTCTAATATATATTTGTGTAGTTTGATGCCCATGAATGATTTCTAGACGCCGACTACCAGTATGAACGGTTACTTCGACGCGATGGGGTTCTCGATGCTTGCATGTCAGAGCTGGCACACACTCATGTAAGCAGTCCCTGGTCATACACCACTCAGTCTCGATCGTTTCGTATATTGTGGACTCCAAAACGTGAGCGACGTTCACCGCCAGAATGTCTTAGATGAGAAGGTGGAAGTAGTGTGGGCGAATCCTTCCAAGAGAACGAACTTCGCAGCTAAACTCAGCGCGGTGCTTGACAGAAAATCAGTTCGTCCGGCCCACATCCACCTTGATCTTGATGTTCAAGATGAATGACTCGGGAGGGTTAATCATGAATGTCCGTCGCCTGGAGGTTTTTATAAATTTAAAACCAATAGCTGCATGAGCCTCGTGCCTGCAAAGCTTACCCCTATATCGCTCACAGTTTGCTCGTGAAATCCTAACTTAGAAGGTGATACTAAGATCTAAGATTGCAGTTGGGGCGATTAGTCTCTTTGAAACATCATTGCTAAAAACCGATGTACTTTCTAAAGAATGAATTTGAGGATTGACGCCCTCTTAATGCCACGGTAAATATCTAGTAACTCACTTTACAGTTGGGAGAGGAACGAGGGCTAACATGTTCCTAATACTCCCGTACTTACTCTGCGTCTCCTCTCCTCCTCTACGAAGTATGCACATGATAATCACTCACGACCTGACCTTAACCCCGATTTATTATGTCAGCACCGCTGACCAACGAATCAGACTCCACCCCGTTCATGACTCGAGTTCGTCCTACGCGTCACGGCCTTTCCTTTTGCTTGCTTGCCCCGTGGTTGGAGGCCCACTAGAATATTTATAATTTTTTCTTGTCAAAACCTGGCGGTAGTTCTAAATCCCGATTATAGTCCGACTTTGGGACACCAGTCGGATCGGACCTCGCCACCAGCACCACGAAATACAGTGATTTCGCCAGAACAGGGGTTCTATCCTGAATGGGAATTTTGGAAGCTTTTAGCTGGAAAACTTTCCAACAAGACTGGAGTTCTAGCAGGTATCTAGATGTTGCCTGCCATCGTTTAATCTGTGGAACCACTAATATTTAGGAGAGTTTCACGAGGCACTAACTCCGAAAAGTTACAAATACGTTTCAATCGGTTTCTTACAAATCAACTACCTGACTAGGTACCTAGGTAATATTCGCCTTAACTAAGAGTATCTTTTAGATACTCCGCTAACTGTAGACCAGTATATAATGTAAGGGTCTCTAACCCAATTCGCAACTGTCAATCCATCCGTTCAGTCCATTCATTTATTTAATTATTATCATTTATTATACTACTTCGATTAGCAACATATTAAACAGCAACGAAATAAGCAACCATGACGAACTGGCCAGATGTCCATGTTAAGGCCGCCGAGGGAATCTCCTACTTCACTCCCGCCCAGCAACCCACCGCTGGCACGGCTCGCGACCCTCAGACGAGCGGAAAGGTCATTCCTAAACTTTTCAAACCCCTAACGATTAGGGGACAGACGTTCCAAAACCGCCTGGGAGTAAGTGATTCCTCTCACGTGTATCCCGGTCATCATTAACCATCTCTCCAGCTGGCGCCCATGTGTCAATATAGTGCCGATGATGGCCACATGACTCCCTGGCACGTAGCCCACTACGGCGGTATTGCCCAGCGTGGACCTGGAATGATGATAATCGAGGCAACCGGAGTTCTTCCCGAGGGCCGTATTACTCCCGGTTGTGTCGGATTGTGGAAGGATTCTCAGATTGCACCGACAAAGCAAGTCATCGAGTTTGCCCACAGTCAGGGTCAAAAGATCGGTATTCAGCTGGCGCACGCTGGTCGCAAGGCCTCGACAGTTCCCCCTTGGCTTGGCGGAGTCACTGCAACTAATGCCGTTGGCGGTTGGGTGGATGGTGTAAAGGCACCCAGCGCTGTCCCATTCGCACCGGGAGACATCATCCCCAAGGCCATGACCAAGGAAGATATCCAGGAAGTCAAGGAAGCCTGGGTTGCTGCAACGAAGCGCGCTGTAGCGGCTGGAGTAGATTTCATTGAGATTCATAACGCCCACGGATACTTACTCTCGTCATTCCTGAGTCCCTCGTCGAACAAACGCACGGATGAATACGGTGGCAGCTTTGAGAATCGCATCAAACTCTCCCTGGAAGTTGCCCAATTAACCCGCGAAACTGTCGGTCCAAACATGCCTATTTTCCTCCGCGTTTCTGCCTCCGACTGGTTAGAGACCAACGGATCAGAAGACAAGGGTTGGAAGCTCGAAGATACAGTGGAATTTGCCCGGGCTCTCGCTGCTCAGGGATGTGTTGATTTGATTGATATCAGCAGTGGCGGTGTCCACAGTGCTCAAAAAATAAAGGCTGGACCGGCTTTCCAGGCTCCTTTTGCGGCAGCAGTGAAAAAGGCAGTTGGAGATAAAATGCTCGTCGCCGCTGTGGGAATGATCAACAACGGCGTTTTGGCTGACAATATCTTGAACGAGAGTGATTTAGATGTCATCCTTGTCGGACGTGCCTTCCAGCGTGATACGGGATTGGCCTGGCAGTTTGCTAAGGACTTGGACGTTGAGATTGCAATGGCCGGGCAGATTCGATGGGGATTCACTAGTTTCCGGAACGCCTCGGAGTATATCCAACCTAATTCTATGAAAGCGTCGATTTTTGATTAGATACCTTACGAACGGATCGGGCGTTTATAGAATGGTTATGGCATTGTCCCAAGCTTATTATACAATTAAAATATACCACCTACAAGACTCTACCAGTAGACAAACCTAATAATTGTTAAGAGGATATATCTCCTTAACATGACCATAAGATAATTTTTTTCTGTTAAGATAGTCCTATTTAGTTAAGGCTACGGGATTATCCCGATATTGGTCCTGTCGAGAGTAGGCTGTCTCTTTAGACAAATACGAATGACGGTATAAAAATAATAATGCTATTGCTTTTGATAGACTTAGTGGTTACTTTTAGCTGTTTTTAATTTTTCTTCTCTTTTACTAAATGAAAGGTCCGTTTAGAATAAATCGTCTATTACTTAATCCAAACCGTAAATAATGCTTCTGAACCCTGCAATGTACTTGGTACCTCCAATGCAAACGCACTGCGGAGGCGCGGCAAACGTCAGCCTTACCAGGACAGCCAAGGGCCATGTGGCTGGCTGGACGGCCGGGATCATTAACCTCAGCATCAGTGACCAGACTGCAGACTGGTCGAAACCCGAACCCGGCGCTTCGAGCCTGAGCGTTGCATCGCGGATAAAGTTGTTCGTTTCCGTGCAACCATCCGGACCGACTCAGGCACCAATGTATTGCACAGATACTGAGATCGAGAGAGGCTTGATAGGCACCTACTTGGGAAAGGATGTAGCATTCCCGAATCCCGATCCTGAATCCCAAATTTCAACCTCCTCCCACCAAAGCTTACCTCCGCATGATTGCAGTCGCTTGGTCAGCACTAACTGACGAAGGGGACTTCCCGGTACAACCGATACAACCGGTACAACTGGCAGTTGGAAATGAATAGTCGACGCGGTACGAAGTACCGAGGTGGGCAATGCACACATGCGCCTGGCGACTTTACACGGCTTGAATGGCTTGACTCTTGAGGTTAAATGTGGAAGTGTAGGTACGAGTATAGTACATACCTACGCACATGAAAACATTGAAAAGGCCTCGAACCGAATAAGAACATAAAGTTGGGGAGAGAGTTTTGAGACACCAAAGGATTAATGAGTAAGTCTATGCTACCTATTACGTACGGAGGGTAGTACTGGCATGTACCTGAGGTAGCTCTACAAGAGGTACCTAGGTAGGTAGGTACTTGGCAGGTTGCTGAGCTATCTAGGAGTAAGCAAGGCACGTGATCCGGAGGCGCTTGGGGTCGCCTCGTAATCTCGGCCAATCATCGTCTTAGGCCCCTCGTTTAGCGAGTCGGGGACCTAGGAAAAGGGGACGGACTTGGCACAGGCGTCCAAAGAGGAAAATACGAGAATCAAGCTATCAGATCATCAAATCACCAAAGGAATCATCCCCTCAAACTCTCAAACTCTGCTGCCTATCATTATGACCGCTCGAAGTACGGCGCAGAAATTTTGCAAGCATACCATGTACTCGTACACCCGGCTTTGCCGCCTCGTCCAGCGCTGAAAGTAAATGGCCAACTGTACAGAATAGGATATTGACCGGGATCATTCATTTCAGCTCAATGCTCGCAGTACTTTATTACTCTTGACACTACTTTCAGGAGCTGTACGGGGTATTTCAGTCCTGGCATCCTGGAGAATCGGAGATGCTGCTGCACAGAGGAGACAGACGAATGGCGGCGTCAGCTGCATAACAATACCCTTGGGGCGGCCGTCCCCAAACCAAACAGTCAGCAACCAGGGCCTTGGGAGCGTCATGATACGTGCCACGGCACATGATGGCGATGGCGTGGCACTCTGCGCACTGATGATAGGGACCACAGGGCTGGTTCAACATTGCAGCCGGGCAGGTCATTGTCCATGGAACCTTCTTTCCAGTCTGACGAGTTCCCCCTTAGCCACACTCCCACGTCCACGTCCCCCTCCGGCAGCTCGGCCACCATCCTCAGCACCATGAGCGCCCCACGAACCATGCCTTGCTTGCAAGCCATGCCTTGTACTGGTCGTCCTTTGGAGCCTGCTGCTTGGGTGGTGCAGGTACAGGCGCCGCTGCTCCACCACATTGTCGCTCTCCTGCAACCTGGTGTTTGAGAAGTTGAAGCACCAGAGTGGGTGCTCATCACTGCCGCCCTTTTGATCCTAGCCATGTCCTAAATCCTATCTCCAGGCTTGCCGGTTCTACTCCTCGCTCCTGGCTCGTGGGGTACTATTAGGTTAAGACGAGATATCGCCAGGTCTTCCTTCTCGAGACCGATCCAAGGGATTCTCGCTAGGCCCATATAAACTCGTGTGGCGCTCAACCGTCACATTATATTAATCAAGCAAACCCTCCAGCCGCAACGACCTTAGATAAACTCAAAACTATCTATCAATTGTATCCATACTCCTCTGTGAACTAATCCCCGGTTGTGTTTTCGTCCGATCAAATAGACCACTCACTATCCCTGGCTTATCCTGCTTACTCCGAAGCTGTATGACCTCCGTTGATGCTCCCAACGAAATAGAACAATGGGGTCGCATGGAAAATCAGATTCTGATTTCCTACATCCAAACAGAGATTTCCCGACCGAGTTATACCGCCACCCATCTCTTGAACGCAAGGGGAGACCCGACAAAAGGGGGAGGGCAAGTAAGCCTAAGGTCAAATCGGGTTGCATCACTTGCAAGGTAAGCTCGCTCTTCCTCTCGACTCGATTATCATCCAAGAATGGGTATAGCCCATGATACTGATACAATATAAAGACCCGGCGAGTAAAATGTGATGAGACGAAGCCCGAGTGCCTTCGCTGTCAAAGGTTTGGTCGTCCTTGCGACGGCTACGCTCCTGATGCTTCTCGATCACGAAGTGTGAGCCACATACGCCCTCGCTCGTCTTCTACAAGCCTATACTCCCCAACCATATCTATTCATGGTGCCGACGAAGAGAGCCGTTACTTCCAAGTGTTTGCGGAACGCACCGTCTATGAAATCCCTGGTTTCTTTGATGGTACTCCTTCTAGCACTTTTTGGAGCCAGCTCGTTCTACAGGAAAGCCACCATGTGAGCGCTATTCGACACGCTGCTATATCCCTTGGGGCTCTTAGCAAGGGGTTGGAGGATGCCCCTCCGCCGCATCTGAAATCTAATGTCTTCCAGAATATCAGTGGGAAGCATCACGAATATGCTGTTCTCCAACATATCAAGGCGATCAAAGCCCTAAATCAATACATATCATCATCACCCTCTCCACAGCTGAGGAGTGCACTTATTACATGTGTGCTATTCATTTGTTTTGAAGCTTCCCAAGAGAGCAAAGCGTCGTGTATCCAGCAGACTCAAGCCGGCCTCAAGATGCTCAGGAGCTATTACACTCGAAAACCACAATCGAGATCTACGACACCGACGCAGGCTGTACAAAGCCAATGGGATGTGTCTATGTTGTCAGGACAGTCCCGTCAACACAGGCAAACCCAGATGGCTGATGATAACATGGGAGAAAGAGCTGTGGCGACACATATCGATGACTACCGTGAGGCCGAGCTAACAGTCCAACTAGATGTCGGATTCGAATCCCGCAGAACTTCATCCGAAATAAGATCTAGCTCCCTGACCCTCGGTCTAATGGGGGAATATATGAACCCTCAAAGCCCGACAATAGGAATCGATACCAACAGTGAAGGACAAAATATGGGTCCGGTATATTCACCTCGTAATTATCTGAACGCTTTGCCTAGCAACGCCTCAGATCTTAGTTGGGAAGCGGTCTCCGAATATAGCCCATCCTCTTTCGCCGTTGGAGATCTCGCCCCCAAATTTTCCATCTCAGCCGCCTCATCCCCACTCACAGAAGCACCTCCATCCCGTCCACTCTCAGTCCCTTTACCAACGACTCCACTACCATCCCCAACACAAAGAAGGTCGCTCCTGTTGCGCGCCCCGACCCCGCCTCTCCTCCAAAGCGATATTGCCATTGAGGATATCGTGGTTCAAACTTTTATAAGGGCAAATGGGCAAGGGTTCTTCTACAATACGATGTCTTGTACTCCTCCTTTGGCCTGGGATTTGAATAACGTTCACCGCATACCGATACCCAACATATTCCCGAATTTCCATGCTGCCCACCTCTGCTGGGATTTCTTGATGGATCGGGCGTTGCAATTTGTCACCCTGACCAGATATAACCGATTATACGTCCCGAGCGCTAACGAACCTCCCGAAATAATCTCGCACCAACTCCTGTCCTTGCAGAATGAGCTTTCGGCTTTCGAGACAGCATTCCGTCCGATTCTTGACAAAGCCATCCTACCCGATGGCACAGTTGCTAACCCGGCTGCGCTCACTATCTCCTTATACCAGAAATGCACCGCCATAGCAATAACAGTTATGCCCGACGACTCTGAAATGTTATATGACTATTGCCTCCCACATTTCATATATATCGTTCGAACTTGCCGGATTCTGGCTGGTTTGCATGATACCGCACGACTGCCGCGTATGCCACGCTTTAGCTTCGACGTCGGAATCGTCCCTCCCCTCCATTTCACCGCGACAAAATGCCGAGACCCCATCATTAGGCGCGAGGCTGTCGATTTGCTCTTCTCTTATCCTAGACACGAAGGAATATGGGATGGAATTCTCAGTGCGCGATTGGGTCGTTGGATTATTGCCTGTGAAGAAGAGGGACTTGATTTATCAGGACTTCCGGTACGGGTTTCTAAAATGCCTGGCCTGTGGGAACGACAACACCCGGAAGAGGAATACCATTATCCAATTCCACAGCCTATCAGTGGTACTTCAGATCCTGAGTGCCCACGGGATTGTGGGCAAGCTATATCCGAGACCATTGACAAGATGACTGCAGTCGGAATAAAGGAGTATGAGCTGATTCGCGATGGAGGTGGTTTAGTCAATAATTCTGGGATACCGCCACATTCCGGGTTCGAGAGTTCGGTACATAACAGAAAGGGAAAAGAGCGCATGAGTCAGGATAACTTGTCGTTCGCCCCGGAAGAGAGTAGGGTACGGGTCGGAGGGGTGGACTACCATATAGCAGATCGGTATATTAAAGTTTGCTGTCAGAGGGTGATGCCGAGAGCTGACGATACGATAAAGGCGAGGGAAACGGTCCTGGCTTGGTGATAGAGCGGTTTAACCGTTGGAGAAAGGGGAGAATGACCGGTATGATGTACAGGCATCTGAGGGTGGGCAAGCATATCCTAGGTTTTCATCGGACGCATTGGTTATAATTCAGGGCATGGAAACAAGATTTGTAGACTTATGTAAACCGATATAACGTGTAAATGAGCCATAATAGTGTAATGATATATCATTCAAGTAATGCTGCCCCCTTAAATATAGTTCGTAGTTCGAATGTGATTTCAGGGGGCTGTTGAGCGGGACGATCACGTGCGAGTGAATGAAGATCGCAAATTCGCTCAGCATCCAATCGGAAAGCCTGTTGAGAGAACCAACGATCTTCGAGTGTGGGCTGCCAACGAGGCTTTGCTTCTGTGATTTGCGCCGCTTCTTCATCACCTATCAACATATCCATACATGTGTGATTTCTTCTAACCTTAATCGCGAGTATATCGACCTTCGAAGCCCGTAGAACCCTCCACGTCTCCTCCTCCGCCTTCATTCCCGGGCCGCTACCTTCACATCGCACGCAACCCTCCTCACAACCGACTAGATACCAGGCGCCGCGTTCAACCCCTCACTAAGTCGCACTCGAAAACTCGCGACATTATATATCGCTACTACGAGGCCCCTTCGATCGACACACTTCCGATAAGTTGGGGCGCGGCTGTTGCGCAACGTCTTGGGAAATTGAGCTCAAAAGTGGGAATATCACATTCCTCGGCCAACCCGCGCGCTGGTGCGCTTATCTGGGGCTGTCTGAACGTTGCCTTCAGCCTCCAAATTCCCCACGATGTCTTCCTCGTCGGGTACACCGGAGTCATGGATCTCATCTTTCTGTTCGTTGTTGGGGCACGAGTACTTTGCGGAGATATCGGAGGATTTCATAGAGGATGATTTCAATTTGACCGGTCTGCAGACCCAGGTTGCGATGTACAAGGAGGCATTGGAGGTATGTTTTCTACAAGCAAGGTGTTAGTGTCTTGACTAATACGCATATTAGATGATTCTGGATGTTGAGCCAGAGGAGGAAGATGACGACGAAGAGGAGGAGGAGGATGAGGGCGACGAGTCAATCGAAGGGGAGGGCCGCACAATTCGGAGAGCCGCCATAGAACGAAGACACAACCGTATGGACTCCAACCTATCAATTATCGAATCCTCCGCGGAAATGCTTTACGGCCTTATCCATCAACGATTCATCTGCTCGCGCGCCGGCATCCAACAAATGTCGGAAAAGTACGAACTAGGCCATTTTGGCGTTTGTCCTCGAACATTCTGCGATGGCGTCCGCACATTGCCCGTTGGCCTGTCCGACGTACCAGGTGAAGACACGGTCAAGTTGTTTTGCCCCTCTTGCTTGGATGTCTACGTTCCGCCAAATTCCCGCTTCCAAACCGTTGACGGCGCTTTCTTCGGCCGAACATTCGGTGCTCTCTTTCTCCTCACATTTCCCGACTACGATATAAGCAAGAAAGGCCCAGATTCCCTAGGTGCCCATGGATCCCGGAACGCAATAACAAGCGCTAGCGATGCCGATGACAAGGAGAAGATTAACGGCTTCAACGTAAATAACTTAGCGCCTGGACTAGGAAGGGGGAAAGTGTACGAGCCGAAGATATATGGCTTCAAAGTATCGGAACGTGCGCGAAGCGGACCGAGAATGAAATGGCTGAGGGATCGGCCTGTCGATCTGATAGAGTTGGACGAGGCTACTATATTCGGGGCCGTGGAGGAAAGCGAGGACGATGCTGGAAACCTGAATGGAGCACGGACGCAACCACGGCAAACACTAGGTGCCTCGAAGAAGGGTCGAAAACCCAATGGCGGGAGTCCTATGTCTATTGACGCTAATGAGCAACAATTCGCTGGGTGAACGTTGAAGCAAGAGGTGGCGGTTGTCATGGAAGGCGTTCCGGGGTGAGGGTTTATATGGGTGGGGTGTCTTAGAGGGGTGTTCGCTATTACTTACTGATGAAAGCGAGATGCATATTTATGATGGTTGATACGATGCGGCATATAGTGCGCTACTCACTAGTAGTGGGGGTGCGAAAAATTATACGTGGTATTGATGAAGGCTGATACCGTTACGTCTCGTCTTAGTCTTTGATTCTTTATACTAGTCAAGAGTCAAAAGTCGTTTGATAGGCCGGACCGGCATATTTTATGTCGTAGATAAAATTATCCTTGGGGATCGCTTCCTCGAAATTACCATCGTCAATGCTACCGATCTCGTTCCCTCCAACTTCCTGGCTTTGTTGCACTCCTTTTTGCCTCGGGCAAGTCGATCAAATGCATAACGTGAGACCCACCTATCCCCGTTTCTTTTAATATTGCACCACCTACCACAAATTCCTACTCTTCGAGCCCTGCGATTAAAATCTATTTTCGAAGAAATTGCAAAGCTCTCCCATATGTTTAAGGAAGTTCTTAATGCCCCTACAATATTTCACCTCATCCCCTTCGAATCTCACCCACATGATGCACCATATATAAGAGAGTTGTCCCCGCGAGCACTTGACAGTAATTGGAGCCACAAGTGATGACACTGAATCGGACTTGTCCACATCACGAGCTCATACGAGGTATGTCAGCGAACAGGTCCCAAACGGACCAGCTGCGACATCCTCCCGATAGCAGAATTCGGACCTTGGAGCATGGTAGAAATGGACTTTCTCGGGCCAATCGACCCACTAACACCTAGCCTTTACGGAGATACTGAGGACAAGTATGTACTTATCGTCGTCGACTACTTCTCCAAGATTGTTTCCGCAAAATCGTTCCCGAAGGTCGACGCGGCGGCAGCAGCCCAGATGTGGGACGATCACCTAGTATCTATCTTCGGTTTTACCAGGGTAGTCTACACCGATAACGGCTCACATTTCACAGGATTCGAAACAGTAACACTGTTCGAATCTCATGGGACGACGGTGATCGCGACTCCTATCTGCCGCCCTGAATCAGTTCGGCTGATCGAAAGAATGGTACAGATGGTTGCCGCCCAGCTTCGGAAATGGGCAATCGCGCCGCGATATACAGTTTAAGAGACAAGAAAAATGTCTCAGCGTTTATGAGTCATATACTCAGGTTGTTGTTACTATTAGATTTACCGCTTTTGCGGATAGTAATATTGAGCCTGGTTAAATATACTCTTTATACTACACTGATTAAGGGTCCATGGGCCGTTTGATGATTGTCAAGTACTGTACACCATCCTCCCCACTCCTCCAAGGACGACTTATTGTCGAGATGCAATAGGACTTTGTGAAAGCTCTGTTTGCCAATCCCTTGGCAAATCCAGCTCTAAGACTCGTGTTGTCAGCTCGATCAACTGAGTGAAAGACATTGAAAACAAAATCCTCCATCGCTTCCGGAAGACTGGTGCTTACGAGAAGCATAATGTTCACAATGCTGCTGCGGGGGGATGCTTGACAGAAGGTGGGGTGCAGGCGTATACCAGGCGCGTGAAAGGGACGTTGCCCCGAGAGATGGATATCCTCGTGCGTGGTCAAGGCAGCACCAGATGTGGAAAACGTAGCCCTGTCAACAGCATACCTAGCCAAGTTTGGCCATACTGTCGGGATGGTCCTAGAGAAGGAGGACAGATTTCAGTTCGAAGATGTCTTGTCCTGGCAATTTGTTGGACTGAATGATCCTCCAGGAGAACTTCTGCAAGTATAGAAGAGTTGCAGGTCGGATATCACAAGGAAGATCATCGTGTATGAAATGAACAAAGGGCTAAGTAACTAACATCAACTCTAATACTGAACCAAAATCGATATTTAAGGTCTTTGTAGCCTTTGTCAAAACTCCCTGCTGGCTTGATTGGGATGCAATAGGGCAGATTGTGACAAATACATAACTGCGTCCTATTGATAAGGTCTCTGTCCTCGAATCCGCTTATAATTACCTTGGATAATATAAGGAGGACTAGCCAAAATAAATCTAATCTAATGAACCCGAGGAATTATAGTAGGATGTTAGATAAAGGGGTAAGCAATAAATCTCTTTAGAGATTTCACTAACCTGCCGAGAGTCCAACTCACAAGCGGTGACAGCTCAAGCCCAAAAGCGGAAACGGCCTTTGGTGAGGAAGCTTTTCGTGTGAGACTTCACGGGTAGGGTAGTCTTATGAGCATAAGTATATAACACATCAACCGCCCGAATATACGAAATGCGTCAAATTGTAACCAGGTTCTTGAAAACTCTCCAATGGCCAAATACCAAATATCCAGAATAAATATATCCTCGCTGTAGCTACCTATTGGTAATACTGATCCTGACGCTCTTCCCTTCGCCGCTTGGCAATTCTAGGTGCACCCACAACACCATTCTTACTATCCACTACCAGTGCCTACAACAGCAATAGCGGGGGAATTTCTGTTTCATAATATCTTTTTTAAAACCACCTGATATGTACTTGGTACCTGCACCCTGTACCCCACTTGCCTCAGGTATTCTACCGTGAGTAGCTTAGCTTTCTCTCTTTAGACCTCTTCCACCCTTCCATAGCCTGCCCAGCTACCTATTCTTGTGTCCTATTGCTTCGTAGAGACATACACAAAGAAAGGAAGTGGAAGACTGCGTGCCCAAAAAAATAATATTAAAACAAGCTTGGCTGAGCGGACTTAGGCGGTTGTGTAACCACATTTCATAGTAGCATTGCCAAAGAAATGCCAACTATACGTATATTGATATATTGTCAAAGAAATGCACTGTTGCCAATCATACTCACATTACCACTGCTAGTAAAATGACTATATTACTACCATTTATAATCGAAAGTAATATGATTATAATATAATATAATATATCCCCGGCAGGAGCACGAAAAAAAAAAGAAAAAAAAAAATTTACACGTAAGTGTGTTTCCATCTTCGGCTTTCCCTTTGCTCTGTGTTTGTGTTTGGTCCTGTCCCCGGTGAAAACGGAAAGGAGAAAGCAATGGAGACGGATATCTACTATTTAAAGCGCAGCCGAGCTTTATTCTATACTAATAGAGTGGAGTGTGCCGGATCGAGTTTCTGGTTCGATAGATAGGACGGTTTGATTGTGGTTTTATGCTTTTTCAGGAGTAGAATTAAACAGAACTTTTGTAGATAATAAAATATGTGACAAGGGAAGGCATTGCTTTTAAAGAGGAGATACATTCATTAAGTAGAGAACGGGAGGGGGCGTGAGACGAGAATGGGTTGCTGCAGTTGACTGACCTATATAAAATCGTTGAAGTGGTGAATGAGGTTTTGGGTAGGTAAAGCACGTCTTGAGGATTTAAATTCTTGGACTGAGCAATAGCTCTGGAAGAAACGCTGGTAACAGGATGTATGGATGATTACAGGACGTTGAATATCATGCAGTACATATGCTTGCAGCAAGGCTACGCAATGCAATGTGCTGATCACCCTCGAGCTCCGGTAGAATGCGGCTTAAATTAATGACTCTTTCACGTCACCTGCAGAGTCAGACTCCCACCAGGGAGATAACGAGGTCAGAGGATAGGTGAAGATTGTGATAAGGAAAATGCTGCTTACATTTTCCGTTATCTAGCTGGCAATGTGGAAAGTCTTTTCTTCTCCCCACCGCCTTGATGGATCTTACGGTCATGCACGCACCCCAGATGATGCGCGAGCTTCGAGGCGGTCGAGACTTTCCCGGTGTGCTGGGTAAATCCACCCTCGGTTGAAGGGGCCTGCATGTCAGACTCAGTCGACGTGGGACGAATTGGCTCACAGGATCGCATGTTAGGGTGGTCCTTGATATAATACTTGGAAGGTGAGAGGCGTTGGAAGCTAGGGAACGCTTCCGCAGTCCACCTGTTAGTTTGTTCGTTAGTTTGGCGGGGAAAATGATATCTGTGTTTCGCTTTGTTCAAGGAAGCACTGGTTCTCTTCCGACCTGCCTAATAATGGCGACAGATCTTCGAGCCCTCGAACAATAGGTGGAGCCTTGGGCGTAGGCCCCACGAGCTTTGTACGTGTAATACCATATTGTACTGGTACTACCTACTAGTACCGGGACAGGCAGCGGCAGAGACAGAGTGGCGGGAGTTGCTGTTAGAGGTGGGTTGGAGCCATCTCTTCAAGTAAAAACATTCAGGTCAGGGCCGCTGCCGATACAGCCTCCAAGGCCGAGAACGAGCACGAGGAACCGCGAGGATGAGGGCGGTGAGCAAAGAATTTGTTTTTGGCCGTTCATTCGATTTATTACTGATCATTAATTGGTGTAGATACTATGCAGGTGAGATGCAGATGCTGATGCGGAAACGCACTACCCCGTAGCCTTATGCATGTCGTTTTTGACTGCTCGACAGCCATGCACCTGTTTGCTGCCCAGAGCGTGGGCGGCGGAATGTCAGGCTGCGAGATCTCGGAGGATCTTTTTGTTTTCCTGGACCGCCGGAAACCCTAGATTAGATCGGCTTGAGAGTTAGAGCAGTGTCTCAAGCGTCGGAGTGAAGTGGCATGTTAATGATTCTTGAAGGCTGGGCATACGGCGTGGACGGCCGATCATTAACCTACACCAGCTGGCGGGGGCACCCACGCCAAACCACGAGGCGTGGACTTTCTAATAAACCTTATGTCATTGATTAGCTTCGAAGGGAAGTCGAGTTGGTCTTGTTTGTTTAGAGAACCCTTTCCCCGCATGAATCATGGCGCATTTTAGTCTGCGACAAGTGCACATTGTTTGAATCTCCGAGGCGTGCAGGGAGAATCCAAACAGAAGCCGCGGGGGGAGGCTGCAGCCCCGGCGGCGTAGTGCAACCGTAACGAGAGAAGGCTACTGTGCTTTTTCGACGGGCGCGTAGGAGGATTGGGATATTTCGGGGTGTTTGTTTGTTGTTGGTCGCAGAGTCGTAGACGGTCTGCCAGCTAACGGCGTTTTGTTGACAAGTTTGATGGGAGAGCAGATGTACGAGCAAGGATCAGGGTAAGGGTAAGGGTATGGCGTCGTACGGTGGTACTCCGTATGCTAGGGCAAGATCCAAGGGCTTTTCTCGTGCGATGGGACCAGGAGGGAGCCGCGCCAACCTCGGGAAAAAGATCGAGAGCTTGGATTGAAGGTTTGTGCTTCTCCCTGGTATAGGTCGGCATTGTGTACGCATGTGTATGTGCATTTATTGTGTGCATGTGCCTCGTTGCTCGATATGGGTTTCTCGCCCGCAGACCGCTTTATCGCATTTCTCGATCTATATATTTTTTGACGGCAGAATATGGCCGGCGGCGAGACATGGCGGTGTGGCAGGCCACCCTAAACCCTATGGAGCCCGGTGCATGGTACATGGATGATACATGGATGATACTTCCTTCTGGTATGGAGGGCAGCCCGTGCTACGACGTTGCAAAAGGTACCCGCTGGGTACCTTAAACGTGACTGACAGAAAAGGGTTTTCGGGATGATGCTGGCCGGCAGGATGATTTGATGGATGGATCCCATGGATTCATGGATTCATGGATTCTGGATACCGAGGATGCGTCGTGTCGTACTGTGGCAAAACACCAGTCAGGTATCGCTGTTGCAGCTCGGCCCCTTCAGCTTCCCCTGGGCTTTTCATTCGAAACACCACTGGCAGCACGAAGTATTGCCGTGGCCTCATCGTCACGATCCGCGGCATATCATCTCATCATCTCATCAACACAGATCAACACAGATCATCACACTCTCACACATCACATCACATCGCATCTCGTACTCGGGCAGTTGCACAGGCAACCAACGGACAACGCCCAAGTAAACAGGAATGCGACTGCAACCCAATCGCCAGCGGCTGCATTACTTGCGCCGGCGGCATTGCGCATTCTCGATGCAGAAGCATCCCGACAAGTGAGGGAATAGCGGTGTTGATTGATTGCTTGAGCATCCTCCTTCAACCCCCTTACCTCTAAGTCACTGCGTATCAGACCGTGCTCGCCCGATGCGATGCAGAGCAAGAGCCCGCCCAACCTCGTTGCCAACCTACCACCCAATAGGTGAACGGAGGGCACACCTATAACTAGGGGACATAAAAGTGTAGGACTCCGGAACTCCGGAATCATGGAAATAAAAGAGAGCTACCGTCAATGAACAAAATAATGGATCCGCAAATAATAATGACCAAGGAAAAAGGGACGAAGAAAGAAAAAAAAAAGACCTGCTCAACCCAACCCAACCCCGGCCAGCTCGGTAATAGAGCAGACGGTAATGGAGGAAGAAGTCGGTGGCGCGCCGCTCGGTGGCCCGTGCGGCGGGTGCCACTGAATCATCGCTACGAAAGCTCTCGCTCGAATTAGAAGCAAGGAGGGAGGGAGGAGTAAGGAGTTCGACCAGAGTAAACAACAAAGTAAATAAAGGGCAGCAGAGTTGGAAATAGGCAGCATAAGCACCCAGCCAAGCAAAGCAAGCAAGTAAAGGGTATATACCCAAAGGACACCTCCACACACAGCTGCCGGCAGAGTGCTTCGTATTATTATTTATCTGCCTTTTCCAAACAAGACGTCCGGCCTACTTTACTACCTCAGTCAGTTGCCTACCCGCCTAGTGCAAATAAATGGCAGCGCCACCAGGCCACTAGCAGCAATACGCACGCTAAACAGAGCCTTGCAGCGCTGGAGCTGCCCACCAGCTGCCCACTGGCTGCCCACTGCAACACTGCAACAGCCCTCTGCCCACTCGCTGGGAACTGGAACTGGAACCTGCACTGCTCCAAGACTCTCCAACGCGGCACCGCCAATTAATGCTGCCCCCGTCTCCCCGTCAGATCATCGTGCAGCCCCCAGGAACAACAGTCCTCGCCCACTCAATCACTCACTCGCTCATCCATCCATACTCCATATTCACTCACTCACTCACTCACTCACTCACTCACTCACTCACTCAACCTCGCATCTCAACCATCTCCTCCTCCTCCTCCGCCTTGTCACCACGGGCAATCTCAAGTCAGTCCCAGAGGCGACCATCCGACACCATCATTCGCGAACTTTCCTCCCGTCGCCATCTCGTCCTCATCTCCCCCCATCCGCCCCCCCCCCTTTCTCGTCCCTAAACATCCCGCATCACCGCATCACCGCATATCCCAATAATCATGCCATACAACACTCGTCGCAAATCGCTGTCGCTGCCATCCCTGGGCATCCATCTCCCCGTCACACATGCTTCACGCGCAGCCGCACGACTTTCGCCGCCTTCGACCGTCCCATCCTCAACCCCATCCTCAAACTCGGATGATCCTCCGGCCAAAAAAATAAAACGATCGCATGACGATTCGGACTCGCCCTCGCGATCGATGTCGACCCAACGCGCGCCCGTCAAGGTCAAGTACGAGCATACTCCGCCCCCATCGCCAGAAGCCGAGGCCCCGGAGCTGGATGAAGAAAGCTCGCATCAGCCTGTCGAGATCGACTTGGAAGGGATCAATGACGAAATAGTCGAGGCGGTTATCGTGCAGCTGCAAAAGTCGGCGAATAGGCCCCATTTAGTCAAGGAACTCGCGGCTATCTTGTCGCAAAATGTCAAAATCGTGGAGCAGTAAGTAATGGCAGTTTTTAATTTTCCGCGCTCTGGTTTGGGAGGGTAAACTAATCGAAATGACGTTATAGATCCGCGAACCCGTCCGCCATCATCTCGTCGCGACTTTCCTCCTACTTGAAGCGATCGTGGACAGCGTTGGCGCCTTGTCCGGTGGCAAAGGAACTAGAGACCGTACATCCACGACGCACATATTTCTACCTAACGACGTATCGGCATCAACCGATTCCAGATCCCTCGACCGTACAGTTTCCCCAGCGCGCGATAATATCTCCAGCGCTGTCAAGCATTGCCTCGAGATCCGACGAGGCCGACGCCGAACGAAGACGAGAGCTGTCGCCCTCGCCCGAGGTCGACCTGTCATCGCCGGAATTCGAAGGCGACGATGCCATGACGCCACCCACCCCGACCGGGTCATTTTCTGGCCGCCTAGAACCAGTCATACGAAATAACCGCGCGTCATCACCCCCCCTAGAAAAGGACGAGAAGGAGTTTACACAGACCGCGAGGGGAATGCAAAAGCGAAAGTTAACTAGAGATATACAAATGAGTGGCGTCCCCTCGGACATGGAAGATCATCCGATGAAGAGCCCGGATTCCGACGCGTTGTTTGGGGATGGAAAGCATCTTAATCCCGCCCATACCGGTATATTCGTCAGCAGTCCTGCCATGAAACCCAGTTTTACCATAGGCGGGTTGAAAAGGGGATTTGAGGACTCGAGTAATTTGTGGGTGCGCATCGAAGGTGTTATGGAATGGGACATGCGGAGTCCTGAAAACGTTGAGCTCGATGAGCTGGATTGCATGTTCGACGATTTCTGAGCTGCAGAGGGGACTGTCACGATTTTCGATTCGGTGTAATTCCTTATCTCTACTCCTTTTACTTTTGCTCTATCTCTTCTCATCTGTGGACAGATTTTTGGTTGAGCTTAATAAGTTATCTGGATTTTGCACACCTGTGTCTAGCTGTCGTTGTTATCTATCCATCTATCATGGAGGGGGCTGCTGTTAGCTGAGCTGTACGATCTAGACCGGAAGACGCTAAAAGGGAAAGACAAAAGGGAAGAACAAAAGTCAGCAATGTGGACGGAGAATGGTAGACAAAGACCGATGGCGGTTTCTATTGCATATTTACTGGCGCGGATTTTGCTTATAGGCGTTGTTGAGCAAGCGATTGGGGCATATCTTGTACGCATATATTATTTGGGCAGCATTGCTTATCATGGATCTTGTACACTTCGAGTGTTACGCAAGATCAAAAGAACTAAAGAATTCTCCATTCAATGCAGCTTGTTGAATCTCATGTGCATGAAAATCTGGTGGTGGATAAAGTGGTGGATGCCGGCCATACCTTGCATTTTTATTTGCGATTATATTAATTGCTCAGGGGTCAAACATCAATAGTTCGGAGAAAATGTATGCGGGGGTTTATTTTATTAATCGATCCCTGGCGATATGAAGTTGGATGTACTGTAAAGGGCACCCAGCCTCGTGCTGTGAAGCATAGCCTTGCATGCTTGAGCAAACGGACATCAAACACATGCAGCGACGCTAAATTTCCACTCCTCGACTACGTCCCCCTCGAACCTTACTCACTCCTCTCCACAGCATACTTTTCCGGAGAAAGCAACATACCCGGCCTCATGTATTCCACTTGGCCACTAATATAATCGGAGTTTTGAAGTTTCCATTTCTGCGGATTCGCTAAAAGAGAGCAATTGGGTTCCGCGAGTCTGGGCGAAGAGCGTCGTTGGAGAAACGAAGACTGGTCAATATGGAAACCACAACTCGAAGAGTATTTTATACGGCTTTCTTCAATGTCAATAAGAGTCTCCAGTGTCTGCGGACGCCCATGGGCGGCGGTACGAGGTTTGCTACAAGGGCGATGAGCACGACGCGCTGTCTCCGAGCCAAACCGCCGCCGGCAAAGAAAGCGCAAAAGAAGCCACTGGACTATAAGTACGTCCTAAGATATCCTATCGTCAATTACCAACGCTGAACATGAATGCTAACGATGTTGCACCTAGGCCATCAAGCAGAAGGCCCCCGCCGCGCCCCTCAGCACCACCCCCAATTCCGCCCAAACCACACACCAATCCCCTCCGCTACCGAACCATCCCAATTGTATTCGGCGGCATCACGCTCTTCTCCCTCTCAGCCTACATCGCGTACCTCTGCATATCCCTATCCAAAACCCCCTCTCATCCCGTTCCCACCGACCCAGCGCAGCAATCCGATGTCTCGCACCGCTACGACGATATCGCCAAGACATTCGATGCCTCTGTTGACTGGACGGAGTCGCTTATGGGTCTGGTGAAGCTGAGAAAACGGCTTGCGAAAGAGGCGAAGGGGGATGTGCTGGAGGTTAGTGTTGGGACAGGGAGAAATTTGGAGTTTTACAACTTCGATGGAAGTGCTAGCGTGAAAGGAAAGGAAGGTGGTGGGGGAAAGGTGGAGAGCTTTACTGCTGTGGATAAGAGTGCTGAAATGGTCGAAGTGGCCCGTGAGAAATTTGGAAAATTGCGTCCTGATTCCAAGCCAGGAGGTGTTAAGGTGAGGTGGGTAGTCGGTGATGCCTCTTCACCCGCTCAAATCCCCCCAGCGCCCAACCAAAAAGATGGAAAATACGACACTGTCCTGCAAACGATGGGCCTTTGTTCCGTCACTGATCCTATCGCCTTCCTGAAGCATCTAGGCGAGATCGTCAAACCTGGCGAAGGCAGGATTTTATTGCTGGAGCATGGGCGGGGGAAATGGAGTTGGCTGAATGATATCCTGGATAAGTTTGCCGAGGGGCATGCGAGGGAGTTTGGGTGCTGGTGGAATCGGGATTTGGAGGGTATTGTGAAGGAGTCGGGATTGGAGGTTGTGCGGTTTGAGACGTGGCATGGGGGGACGACGGCTTGGGTGGAGTTGAGGAAGGGGAAATGTGACGGAGGAAATGTGAAAGAGGCGGGGAAGGAGAAGAAGTCTGACGGGGGAAAGAAGGGGTGGTGGTGATGGCTTCGTCGATCACGTCAGCTCACGAATCACCTTCACAACAGAACCGCGATTGAAGCGTATATGAAACATATCGCCACTCGGCATATATCCTGCGATTGAAATCGAAGACTCTAGGTAGTCACCGCAACATGTCGGCTACCAAGGCTGATCGACGGACAGACAATGCATTCGCGACCGCTCTTTGTCCAAAATGTTACGTATCCCAGGGAAAATGCGAGACCAAATTGCCGCAGAATGGCGAAGCAAAGGACGATTCTAGAACGTGCAACAACAAGCCTATATGTCGAATCATATCTTGGGGTAGTCCACTCTAGGCATGTTGTCAATTCCACCGCACCATTTTGTCTGTTATTCAACTGCTCACTTCCTTTTCACTCTACGTCGTTCCCCGTCTGCTTGTTTTATGCTGAGTCACAAAACTGAAGATGCTAGTCTCAAATCCACGTTAGTGCATTGTTCGGAAATATACTTACCGCCCGCTTGTCTAATTTCATAACTTTTAACAAAGATGTGGACAATTCTGGTTTAGTGCCTGCCGTTTCTTTGTTAAACCTACCTCCTCCCTTCTTCCCTCTAGTGTTTAACAATATTATTGTTTCAAGCAAACAAGTCTCTCCTATTAAGAAAGATGAGAGAGAGCTCGTTGCTGTTCAGAAGGAAAGAATAGTTTAATTATTCATAGCTATAAATGCTACACGTAGCGGATGGCAATTCTGCCGTTCTATTTCTTTTACCTTTCCCTGAAATCCACGTCACGGGATCACAGAGAGCCCAACAAGAACCCTCAGTCACGATTTCGGGATACAGGCCCCATTGCCAACACCATCATTCCCAATAAGTTCAACCTCTGCTTTTATCATGGCTTACCAGGATATATTTGGGGAAGCCGGAAGTGAACCATTAACTGAGGACGACTACACATCCCTGACATCGGGGGGAATGCTGACGGACAACGTTCTGAGATTGGCAGTTCTCTACCTGTCTCCCGCAGTGCAGCCGACCAATTGCGTGGCTTTAGACCCGAGCTTTCTAAACCAATTTGAGCACCGTCTCGTACAATACCGTCAAGAATTCGCTGATTCTGCACCTCCTGGGGGAGACAACCAAAAAGATTGCTACGTTCTGATGCCGTATCTTATCTATAATGGCAGTTCGCTCCACGGGCATTGGGTATTGGTCATTGCTCAGCCCGCCCCCAACACCTGGACAATCTTGGACTCCTTGAACATGGTGTATTATTACAGGAACAAGCGGCGCTTAATCGCAGAACTGGTGGTCAGCGTGCTCGATATGTGGTGGCCTCGTACGCTTGACAATCCTGCCTGGATATTCGAGGCAAGCGACTGCACCCACCAAGGCGTGACTCTAAACTGTGGAATCCACACAGTGGAGAACATGTTTTCCCTGATGAGTGGCTATGATCCACGTACCACGTACGTTGATGGAACTGCTAGGCGGCAGGAATACCTAGAATTCTTTTCCGCGCTGGACGGGAGGACCACCACGGGGGTTAGGACCAGCCAACCAAAGGCGTCGTTTCCGAATTGGGGCCCGGAAGTTCAGATGACGACGCCGCCCGATGATAGGAACTCCTGGAAACCGAACGTCCCTCAGCAACCCAAAGTACTTTCCCCTTCCCCTTCTCCTGGATTGGTTCCCACTTGGCTAAAACCTGAGCAACCCAAAACACTTTCTCATTCTGCTAGATGGGCTCCATATTGGAAACCTGAGCAACCCAAAACACATCCTCCCTTTTCTAAACGGGTTCCACCTATACAAGCGTTGTCACCTATACAAGCGGTGCCACCTATACAAGCAGGGTCACCTATACAAGTGACGCTACCTCTACTAGCGAAGCCACCTTTTCGAGCGGCGCCATCTATACTGGCGAAGCCACCTATACAAATATGCCCACATAAACAAGCGGAGCCGCCTAAGCCAGCTGCTGCGTGGCTCAGTCCCTCGCAGAGCATCAAAGCCAACGACGGATCTCAACCAACTGAAGAAACCGAAACTTCAAAGTTTGTTGCTGAAATGTGGCGGTATTTGGAGGAAAATAACCTCGGGCTTCCATCCCAAGCGTCTAAATTTTCTAGTCTCGGGCAGAACACAAACCCCGAGTGGGGATTCCAACCGCCTGCAAGTTCCGAGAATCCCAACCCAGCTTTGGCGCATGGCTGCCCCGTATGTGATGCGCTAGCCCCACCTATTCCATGGGAGTTGGGTGTGCATAGTGCGAAATGTCTCCTTCGACGATCCTAGTTATATGGAGTTAGTTAGAGTTTCATACCACTTTGCTACAGTCTCCTCTCCTATTATTCTCCTTTTTGCCCTTTGCTTAATTGCTTTGGGCGTATATTGGTTCGATTTTAAATATTGAGCGAGATTCGGGCGGTAAGCTTTTCATTAAATAGTATTAATATACTCGGGTACGCAAGGCGTGTATCAAGTTTCAAGGTAGAATATTATATCAGTTATGTGACTAACCTAGACACAAGTAGTCTTGGGCCTTTCACACCTCCGCGTTTATTTAACTTGCGTTGCACAATTAGCAATTCGTCCTTTGCAATATCGATCAATATCACCTCCATTATTCCATCTACGGCGCTCTTTTGCCACCCGTACTCCGTACCTGAAGCAATAGTTTGTGGAGGGCTAATTCACGTATCAACGTTATCCCAGCTATGAATTCTACAAAATGCGGACTAACCCCTTCGTAGGGAGTAAAACTCGTCGTAGTACGGCGCCGCACTGCCATACAGAATGAAACTAAACAGGATCCAAGTGGGAGCGAAAAGAAGCACACTTGCAATTTCAATCACGTCGTCCTCTTGTATTTGTTTCACAATTTAGCGATGTTTTTAACTGTGGCGAGTCAAGTGAACACTTGCACAGCAATTACTACCCATCAGCCTTAATATACAAAGAGTCATAACAATAAATAAATATTACAATGCTCATATTCCTGCTCATGCTGTAATAGACCTCTCATGATCCTCCTCTAATGCAGTCCGGCTAGTTGCAATGACTAATATTGTAGCACCTCTTAGTCTTAGTCTACTGGTGGTTTTCCGTGTCCCTAATTTATGACACCAAACAAAAGATTTGGTGCTCAATTCTAATCAATAATCGTACCGCGGGAATCGTTTGGATTGATATCTTTAGTACTTTTACTTTGCAAGTCAAGATCTTGGGCGAATTTGGTGTAAAACTCTTTCCGCTAGAAATATCAGGCACCTGCGGCCATTACCCAGATATAAATCCGATATCGCGCGAATATCTGATTGAAATTGAGATATTCAAGTCCCGTAGATATCTCAATTCCGGTGAGATATTCACACGACTTGAATATCTCAATTTCGGTCAGATATAGAGAATACTGTGGGCGGGCAAAGGCTTAGTGGAGGTCTAGGAATAGCTCTACTTTGCGGCTGGCCGGATATTCGAATAATAGAGCATAGCACTATACGCCGACTATCTAGATTATATAGAAATAGTATAGAATCTCGATCTTAGAGACGTATATATAGGTAATGGCTATAGGTGCCTAATATTTCTAGCGAAAAGAGTTGTACACTAAATTCGCCTAATCATACGCTATATCAGGGGCGTTTATCGTGTACTCTTTAAATTCTGGTAGGTGCCTATGTGTCGTAGCCTGAAATTGCAGGCGCTCATACTAAGCGAGAAGGAAAAATAGGGGTAGGGGTTTGGAGGATCAACGATGCGAAATAATTTGGGCAAGTCATCGATTTGAAACTATAAATAACTTTCGACCCCAATATTTAGATAGTTAGAACTATTTATATGACGTTAAAAGTAGGAGGCGAAGTTGGAAACTTCAAACCCCATTTTGAAATGAGTTCAATGCTTCACAACCGCTATACGTAATGATAGTACGAAAACAATTATATAAACGGATTCATTAGAGGCATAAAAAACCCAAATAAGATGGTAACGGAAGTTTCCTGTAGCTTTTTGTATCAAGTGACAAGTGAGAGCGAGGCGGGGTTGCTAGCTTACTCTTCTTGGCATTTCTTACGATCTGACGCCTCTGAGCGGCTTATGAATGTTTCGGCACCCACGGTATGTTTTAAGTTCGAAGAGATTACCACCAACTCCCGAATCACTTAGGATGTTATTCATGCTGAGTCCGGATCTGCAGTGTTAACCTGATTGGGGCTGTACTTCGTGCGTGGCTGGTTTGTGGTACTTACGCCGTCCGCGTGGTTACGGCGCCTCGTGTGTAACATCAGTAGCCATCGCTACCTTTTGTAAGCAAGCCACATATGCTGTGAATCAACGAATATCCCCTGGATTTCTGTCAGCTCGGGGTCTTTGATACGCTATTCGGAATATATTAATTCTTATTCGTTTTATTGTTTTCTGCAAGTATCCAACTAGCATTCCTGCACTGGTTCAGTTCAGTTGGTCATAAGAACAAGCCGTTTTTGCCATGGATTATTTTCATCTCATACATTCATAAACAATAGGCTGAGAGTCCAGAGCCATCATCTGCCACGTCAGGATTATGGTCAGCCTCCTCGGATAGCCGGAGCAGGTGAGGAATTCCAATACCCTGGGGAGATCTTCAACTGGCTGACCCGGCAGGTCGGGGCTACATTTAATCAACGACCTCGTGGGTATTAATTGCAATGATTTACATGCCTTGCATATACCCCTACTTACGATGGGGAGAATCCCGCTGGTTAAGGCCTCTGCCACAATGCAATAACCGATTTTGAAACGTAGGCGGCGGTGGCTCAAGTCTCCGGAGATGCACCGGGGAGACCGGGTTACTACGTCGACCTGCTTTGAGCTCTCCCTCCTCAATCTCCACATACGAGAGTCTCTTAGTATTACTGTACCTGTACTATCATGGTCATTAACTTACCAACGCGAGGACGCAGCATCAGAATTTTGCAAGTGTATGAACTTGAATTGTTTTGAAAAGTTAACTTCTATAGGCAAGCTAATCTTGAATATTCTTCAAAAATATTGTCGGATTTATTTGCAGAAGAGTTTTTCAGCTGGTCTTAACTCATAAAATGCGACTTCACCATCGTTTAACTATTCTTACGCCACCAATGATACGAAAATGGACTTACGAGCTTCTTCGAGTGTCCCATGAACCTTTCATAGTCAGCCTTACGAAGTGATTGTGTAACATAGCTAGAGGTCTTCCTGCGGCCGTTATGCACACTGCCTCTTCTAATGCTTTCTCAGGTAAGACATGACTTTGGGACTATCCCCTGACTTCTCAGAGATCCTCTCACAGTCGCTAAAAGCTCCTCAGGTGGTATAGAAGACCGTCAGATATAACTCGAAGTTTGGTAACTGCCCATGAACGCTACCAATACAACATCAAGTGGCTCTAGCTCTTAGTAGACAGATGACCTACCAGTCACTACGTGGAAATACGCTAGGGGGATTGCCTCTACTGAGTCGTGGCTATTTCATGAATCATGATTGGATTTCATCCATGTCGAACAGCATTGAGAACTGAGATAGAAACGCCCCGAAGCTATGAAACTCGCTTTACGCAGCCTGGAGATCTGGGTAGACTTTTGATTTAGGGGTAACCAATACAGACTAAATTTTGGTATCGACATAGCGGAATCTATCTCCATGCAATGGAGGGTTCATATTCCTAAGGGCGGGGTTACCATTCATCTACTGGTGCCTATGGAACATCCATGTTTCAACTCCATGGTTTTAATGGTTTCCTCCTTGATCCAAGTTCTGAGGGATGTGTAAGAGCTTCCAAACTCTTCCTCTAGCCCAGGTGGTGTGCCACAAGGCTGCCTCACAGCCCGTCTCTCGCCAGCTATAAAGATCCCCCCATTCTCCTCCAATTTTTCTCATCATCAATCATCAATCAACACTCTCACCACTCACAGCAATCGCAACACACTCAGCTCCAAACCCAATCCACACTTTCAATTCAATAACTCTCCAAGTCAAATTTAACAACCCACCAAAAACACCTTCAAAATGCAATTCACCACCTTCATCTACACCGCCATCATGGCTGCCACCAGCATCAGCGCACTTCCCAACATCGAAGCCCGTCAAGCAGATGTTATTGGAAGGGCCGACGTCTACCCACGCACTGGCTGCCAACCACGTTTTAACCCCTCTGTGCCCCAACTTGGTCTTACTGCTGGGGGCATCTGCAACCAGTTCCCAGCCCCCTCTGTTGCCGTCAACGTCACAGCTCTCAACAACGGCTGCACCCGTAAGCTTCCTTCCCCTCATTCATTCAAGCCCCAGAGTCGAAGCTAGCACTATTAGCAAAAGAAAGGCCAAAAGGCTAACTAGAGGGGTGTAATATAGTCCTGCTATTCACAGACTCTGGTTGCGCCAGCAGCTCGTAAGTGATTTCCGAGCCCAAGAATCTCATAGTTTGGAAACTATAGACATCTCCCGAGTGTGTTTACTCTTGGGAGTAAATCTGTAACTACTCGGGAGGCATTATCTTAATTCCCTGCTACCTAATTAGACAATTACTGACTCCACATTTTCCTAGTGTCATCACGCTTCCCACCCCAGGGACACCGGCGGGTGGTCTCAATCAGTGCGAGGAAGGCGCCCCCGGTATTCACTCCTACAAGGCGACTTGCGCATAAATGGAACAGATGTGGCGTGGTATGGAGTAGACAGACAAGCAGTCGGATCCGTGGTGATATGGGTGCTGGATATGATCTATTCAACATAGATATTTTGGGCACTCGGCTTGGTGATTCAAGTTTTCCTGTATTTTCGAAGACTTTCTTTTCAATTTGACTATTTTGAGCGAAATATATCTACTGGAGGACGTGACGCTATGCTTATAATTCTCTGTGAGACCTGTAAATTTTGCGGCTATAACCTCTTGCAGTTAATTCATTGCCGACTCCTTGTTTGTTTCTTGACCTCGCTTGATTTGGCAGTTTCCTTGGATTAATAATTGATTCTAGCAACACTTAGGACTTATTTTCTATAGGAAATTAGGATATTTTATTTTCTCGCTCGGCCCAGCAGTGGGTCCCCGAACTCAGTCATACCATTGAATTTTGGCCAGCACACTATATAGTGGTTTGGACTGTGTCAGCTTATTGTTCTACTACATGGATAAGAGAACAGAAAATTTTGGCATTTATATATTCCACGCTAGCATAAACCATGAAATATCCTGAATTATGAACTTTATGCTTTCGAAAGAGCGAATAATTCTTCGTGTTTTAAGTTTGGCGGATAGCCAATTGCCCACTCACTTGGTATACAAGTGTAGCTCTTCGGGCCCCACTTTGGGCTATGTGCCTGTCTAATATCTAATATCTAATATGATACTGAAAAACGTTACTTAGTTCTGCTGAAGTTGTGCCCTTAAATGCACGGGTCAGGTGACGTTAGAGGCTGTGTATATACCTAGGTAGTGTATTCTTGGGCGACTTTGGTGTAAAACGCTTTTCGCTAGTATTATAAGGCCTAACGGCTATTACCTAGATATAAATCTGATATCGTATAAATATCTTACTAGAATTGAGGTATTCAAGTTATATGAATATCTTACTAGAATTGAGGTATTCAACTCGTATAAATATCTAACCGAAATTAAGATATTTACGCTATCTATTATTATCCTTCTAAATCTCGTGCCGTTTGATAGAACCTAGACAAGTAGCCCCATTATCCTATATGACCACTCTGCTGAGCCCTCCATTCGAGAAATGCTTGCAGAGTTGGGGGAGAAGGAAATTGCCCTTTACCACAAACGCATGGCCTCCTCCTTCAATACCAGAAAGCTGACCGTCAGGCGCAAAGAGATCGCTGGCGAACATCTGGAGGATGCCCTCTTGGAGATGGATATGTGCTTGCGGTGTGTGAATGACTTTGCGGTTCATCCTTCCCTAATTTGTATCCGGTGCCCCTCTAGCACGGACGAAAAGTGTTTCGAGTGCGTTGGGAAGTCGAAATCTTGTGATAAGGTAGGTTTTTCTATTTTCTCTGGATAAACGCCGGCTAACTTGGTTTTAGATCCCCTTTGAACTTCGTGAGGAGGCCCAGCTCATGCAGAGAATGGCCCGGCGATTCTTGAACGGCAAGATTAACTCAATTGTACTGTGGAACACCTAGTACTCTTTTGACCTCGCTAGACAGAGGCTGGATGCTAAGTACAAGAAGGAATTTGCTCAGGCATTAAAACATCCCTATCTCCCTATTGTTCGTGCACTAGATTAGATCCGGAATGATAATAACAACAATAGAATCTCTCTTGAAGCCCGTCTCGTTCGCCAAGCGGAAATCACCAACAACCTACTGCCTGTCGTCTAGACTATGGCCAGCAGTTTGGAGCGCTTAACTAATCACTTCCTCAACATTGTTTTGCCGCCTTGCGACCCCTCACTTCGCCAGCTTCCATCCGGATAAGCCATCTGCCAAGCCGTCTACCGACTGTGAAGGTACTTAAAAGGGAACGTATCGTTTATAAAACAATTATAGTCAAACTTCTACCAAAGAATAATTCCGGGAGGAGAAAAAATATTCCTGTAAGAGAGGTACTTCTATAAAAGAAAACACGTAATAAGCTTACTAAAGCCGAGGTTAGTAAAATTTAGATGTTTCAAACTCCGTAATAGAATAATTACCTTCTAGTTACAAAACTTCTTCTACGATAGTACAGTATTACCAAATAAATGTATTGTAAATTTTCATTAATAAGAAGGTGCCTAAGTTTATATAGAAATATAGCGCCATGCAGTGGTATCAGGTCAATATCTATACCACCCAAGGTACGGCATATTTAATTATCTAGCAATTGGGCGTGATTGGCTGATTACGGACATAATAAGCACAGTATTGGTAATTCCCCGTGTTAAAGAACCAACTATATCAATAATCAACTCTAAGTAGCTTCCTAATTTGGCCAGGATGAAAACTTCTGGCTATCTACTTCATACTGGCTAAACGACTATACATGTTCTTTACGAGGAAACCACTAGAAGGGAAGCAGCTGATCGATGTTGTTGGAATGATTTGAAGATCAACGTTAAGAAATTGTGGCTAATGTCCGGCATGAACCGTCTGACCTGCGTGACGCCATGAGCCACAGGATGCAAGGTTTCCCCACCGAACTTCCGCAGTTGGCTAATACTTTAATTAGCCGTAGGTATTTGAACGTTTCTTATGGATACTTCATTGGTTTAATATCTTTATATATCAAAATTCAATCTCCATCTTCCGGCTCTTGCGATATTGACTCCGGAAGCCGGAAGCCCTTGGCAATTTATTTCAGGTTACACAAATGGAACGGGTGGTTATAAAACACCTTCATGATCCGGGCAAAATTAATCCGTACTAAGTGTGGCACCTCTCCTCCCAATTCGTCCACAATGAAACCTCAAGTCATTACTTCTATCATTTGTTTGGTTACGACGGCGGTAGGTCATGGGGGTGTATGCTCTTATACTATCGACGGCGTCCAATATAAGGGGTAATACCAATCGTTTACCTTGACTTTTAAAATAACTACTTAACAATGCTAGAAACCTATGGCATATTGAAGGCCTGACTGGCGAACCCCTGCCTGACCCTCCTGCTATTCCAAGCATCCAAAGGCGTTGGGATTACATGCCAATCCTGGACCCAACCAGCTCAAACATGACCTGCAACTACGATGGAACCGCCACACCATCCTCTCTCCACGCTCCTATCGAAGCAGGTAGCAACATCACAGCACATTGGGACAACTTCATGCCAAACGTCTGGCCCGATGGCTGGCACCACGCTGATGGGCCACTATTTGCGTATATGGCTGCATGCCCAGGTGACTCCTGTGAAGGTTTTGATGGCAGCGGCGCTGTATGGTTTAAGATCAACCAGTTGGGTTTAAAACCTGATGCCCAGGATCTTCGCGGCCCGTGGATACAGGGGGATCTTCTCCTATCCGGCAATCGGGTTCCTCCTGGATATACTGTCACGATCCCCAAGAACCTTAAGCCAGGGAAGTATCTGATTAGACATGAAATCATCATGGTGGCGAGCATACCAGCACAGATCTACCCCGACTGTGCGCAGTTGACCGTCACCGGGGAGGGGACAATGTTTCCAGATCATGACTATCTAGTCAGCTTTCCAGGAGCGTATTCCGCTACAGGTAAGGTGGATTCACTCTTAATACACGTCTGGTATAGAGACTGATAACTTACCTGAAAATAGATCCAGGAATCGCCATGGCAGATTGGGTGGTATGTATACACTCTGAACATATTATTTCTTGACCCAAACGTTTGGCTTTTCTCGGTGGAATATAACTAACCTCGACAAATCATAGATGACGGGTGGTGGTAGCCCTATAAAACCTGAGTGGAAAACCACGGTTAGTCCTCGAAATTTCTCAACGTATCTATAACATGCTGACCAGAAAGGACTATCCATTTCCGGGACCTGCTGTATGGACTGGAGAATAGGAATTTTCATGATTATCTCTAATTTGAGCAGGTTATGACCTTTACTATTACATATGCTACTTATTGGTATAAGGGTGTCTATTATTTTTGAAGAATCAATGATCAGGATCGTATGCTGTAGACTCATCGTTGGAAAGAAATGGATCGTTTGTGCCGTTGCAAGTCTCTTGGGCAATAAGCACTTAAAACCTTGACCGCACGGTCTACCTGACCTTTCCTGATTTTTTGGCTGTACCTTTAGTTCAAAATGCTGCAAACATATACACATTCACTTTATTATTAGTAGAGTATTTGAAGGCTTTGGGCTACTTGATATAATGTGCACACGACAAGGATCGGGACATGAATGACGGGGTAGAGTCGGAAATTGAGAAGTTCCGAGCTTAATGGTACGGCTAAATTTAGTAGATTTTAAGACTGACAATATGTGATATCCACCTGCTACCCGAAAAAAAAGGCTCTTGAGATAGAAGTGTGTGCTGGAAATTCTGGGCCATGTTATGGATTATCGAGTCCTTATCGAGTCCTGACCGAGTTTGGGAATTATCTGCTCGCTATTATTGTCAAAGAGTTCTATCCAGATGTGACCTAGAAGGCATACCGCCTAGTAAGTAGCAAGTAATAATGGAGAATAGTGTAATAAGTGACATCAGTACTAACTTCAAGTTAGTAGTGCCATTTAAGAGTGATGGAGGGAGACCATCTGAGTACTCCTGCAATACGAATACGAACGCAGTGTGATACGAATACGATATACATTACAATTTAACTAGTCATGTGACCGACCAGCTAATCATCTGGCTGCTTTAGGCCGTGAGATATTTTACCCCTGAGATAACCGAACCTCCCCAAAAACTCCCCTTGGAGAAACCTCCCTCCACCTTGCTCCGTCAGACGTGACATCAACCTTCAATGGCTATTGCGCTTGCACTCTTCAAGCGCAAGAGCGTCGGCTCGCCGTGGTTTCCGTCCGGTATTTCAAGAAAAAGCTCGGGGGACTAGTATTTTACCCGTTCACCCGCTTATTTTACCCCATTGCTATATTGGCTCTTCGGCTTCAACCCGCCAATGACCTAGACCGGGGACAACCTCTCCGTCTTGGAGCGAGTAATAAAATAATATCCAGCAGCCACATGACCGGTGATAGACTGATCGGGATGACGGCCACGTTTTCGAATCGAAACAAGCTTTGGGATGCGGGAATCGAAGGGCCGCGTGTATATTGCGATCTCAAAAAGGGAAGGACATATTCTCTGAAGCCCATGGGCCGGTCATACGGCTGGTACTATAAGCATCTTTATAATGACCATCTGCCACCTACCTTGTCATAGGCACTTGCGATAACTCTGCATTTTGAACATTCAACTTCCTCCGCTTTAAAGTCACCATGATGAAATCTGCTCTTCTATCTGTTGTTGTAGCACTCGCAGCTCAGCAAGTTTCTGGTCATGCCACATTCCAACAGCTCTGGGTTGATGGTGTGGATCAGATATGTAGCCTACTTCAACTATTTTAACGCGTTGGCTAACTCTAGACTTACCAGTCAACCTGTGTGCGCCTGCCTTCTTCAAACTCACCGGTGACCGATGTATCGGGCACCGCTGTTCGATGTAACGGGCGAGGTGGTGTGCCAGGCAAGTGCCCTGTGGTGGCGGGGCAGACGGTGACAGTAGAAATGCATCAGGTACAATTCAAACTCCCGTGCTGATAGGTGAACATAAGATCCTGACAAAATTGTAGCAAAATGGTGATCGATCATGCGGCAGCGAAGCCATCGGTGGTGCCCACTACGGACCTTTAATGGTGTACTTATCTAAAGTCTCGGATGCCTCAACGGCAGATGGCTCCTCCGGCTGGTTCAAGATATTCCAAGATTCATGGTCGCCGGTATGGAGTCACGGAATGAATTCCTTTATCGGATTTTGCTAACTTCTCTGTCTAATAGAAATCGGGTGCAGGTTCTGGAGATGATGACAACTGGGGTACTAAAGATTTAAACACTTGCTGTGGGAGGATGAATGTAAAGATACCTTCAGATGTTGCAGCTGGAGACTATCTCCTCAGAGCCGAGGTCATTGCTTTGCATACCGCCGCTTCAAGCGGAGGAGCTCAGTTTTACATGAGCTGCTGTATGTCTGACTCCTTTCACCTGGCGCTGTCTACTTGCCGCTATCTCACTCCTGCTAATCATTCTCTGGCTAGATCAACTCACGATAACCGGAGGCGGTTCAGCTAGCCCAGCTTTGGTTCAATTTCCAGGTGCATATAAAGCATCGGATCCCGGAATCATGGTCAATATTCACGCGGCTCTCAACACATACGTCGCGCCTGGCCCAACAGTTGTCGCAGGAGGAACCACCAAATCCGCTGGAGCTGCCTGCGTTGGGGTTGAAGCTGGAAAGTCAACAGGGCCTGCTGTCACTCAGACTGCGACGGCATCCCCACCGACCAACACAGGTGGTGGCTCCACCCCAGGAGATGGGGGGTGCACAGCTGTGAAATATCAACAATGTGGTGGTGACACGTACACAGGTTGTACCACTTGTGAGGTAGGTTCTTCCCGCCCCCGCTCTGTATTCCTTCGCTATTTTTTTAAAAATCTATTACTTCCTCCCCGGTGAGGGCGAATATGCTCGAAATATTGTATGCCTTAACGGCCAAAATACTCCCCTGTAGCCTCCATTAGTTAAGACGAATTGGAAAACCTACTAACGAGAATCCTAAATAGTCGGGCACCAAATGTTCTCCAGTTTCCCCACCCTACTACTCGCAATGTGTCTGAACTGGGGCCTCGGGCCAGACGAAGAAATTTAATTGAAAAGTATATGTCCAAATTGTTCATCAAATCGCGAATCCGATTTGGATGTATTTGGGCGATGGATCTCGTAGCTAATTAGGTAGCACACCATGTATATATGAACGCTCACTTATCAAATTTGATATAGTTACCTGTAGCATTTGCTTTCAACGAAGGTTGTATGACAAATCGAGAAGTTTCTCTGCATTCTTCATGGTATCCACAGCGCTGCTAATCAAGGGGTACTGGCGAAACTGAAACTAAAACGGTCGCGGCACCAAAAGCCTTGCTACACTATTGCGGTTTAACTCATGCTATTACAGCTTCTACTTTGGATTCACGCCACAAAGTGACAGGCGAAGGCTGCGAGGTATAATCATAACGTCGTTACTTTAAATATTTATACAATTGGATTCAAATACAGGTGGTAAATTTCAAACCAGTTGATTCAATCACCCAATTTTAAGTTTTTGTCAATACTCCAAACCCAAGATCGCCCAATCACATGTTACCTTGTGTCTTTCCCAATCTAAATTCATACCCAAGAAAGAATTGACCGCTCATGAATGCCTGCGCCTAGAGATTTTGCTTTGCGAGAAAGGCGTTTATGCCGCGGCGGCCTTTGCTCCCTTCTTGCCTTTCTTTCCAGTAGCGGCGGTCTGTGAGTTTGGTTAGCTGCGTGTTGTGCTGGATGGGATTAGGTAACTTACGGCTGCGGCGGCATTGGCGCCGGCAACTGCGGTCTAGAGGCTAAGTTAGCATATGTAGAGAACCTGCGGAGGTTGGCACTTACTCCTGCCGCGGCAGCGTCGACAGCAGATTGTGCTTCAGCGGCGGCCTTTTCACCGTTAGTTACAGTTACTGTTCTGAGCTATAGGGGTACAAACAGCAATTCCCTTAGCTCCATTTGATGCAGCTGGGTTGACACCCTATTTTGGTCATTAGCTAGCTATTTTCGAGTACTATATGCTGACGAAAACTTACCTCCGCAGGAGCCTGAGTAGCGGCAGCGGCAGCAGCAGCAGCGGATTTAGCGCCCTTCTTTCCCTTCTTTGCCTGCCATACGTTTTCAGTCTCGAGATCTATCATGTTGCTTCGTGGAACTTACAGCAGTTGCAGCAGTTGCAGCAGCAGCATCTGCGGAAGCAGCAGCAGCGGCCTTTTTGCCCTTCTTGGCCTGTCATGTTTTTAGTCTCGAGATCTATCATGTTGCTTCGTGGGACTTACAGCAGTTGCAGCAGCAGCATCTGCGGAAGCAGCAGCAGCGGCCTTTTTGCCCTTCTTGGCCTGTCATGTTTTTAGTCGAGTTCCATCATGTTTCTCTCCATGAAACTTACGGCGGTCGCAGCGTCGGCGCCAGTTGCAGCAGCAGCGGCCTTAGCCTTCTTGGCCTTTTTAGCCTTCTTGGCCTGCCATATGTTTTCAGCCTCGAGATCTATCATGTTGCTTCGTGGAACTTACAGCAGTTGCAGCAGCAGCACCATCTGCAGCACCGGCCGCGGCAGCCTTCTTCTGTTTGCGGACCTTAAGAAGTTGGGGAACATCGCGGCGAAGGTTTCCAATCTTGAGGCCTGTCAGTTGCTCAATAACGTTACTTATGTCAGCGGCTCCATTGTTTGAGGCACCGTTGTTGGATGCACCGTTGTTGGATGCACCGTTGTTGGATGCAGCGTTGTTGGCTGCTGCACCATTTGCATTACCATTGGCAGCCTCTCCCTAGTTCTTGTTAATAATAATTGCTCCATTTTAGATCTCTCAAACCCTTACCTTGTTCTTCTTGCCGGCGGCACCATTCCCATTACCAGCAGCGTTTGCAGTCCCGTTGGCTGCGGCTGCGTTTTCAGCACCCTGTTATTAGTCAGTGGTTGTTCGCGATTCGTAAAGTCTGGCTAAGGATCAGCCGACCTTGGCTTTGCCCTTCCCCTTCTTGCCAGCCGCGGCGGCAGTTCCATTTGCAGCGGCTGCCCCTTCGGCTACGGCAGTTTGGTTTGCGGCTGCTGCATTGGCACCTTTTTTACCCTGAATCCTGTCAACATCGCCCCTAATCTAATATGTTTCTGTTCAACTGACCTTGCCCTTCTTTCCATTAGCGGCGGCAGTTCCATTTGCAGCGGCTGCCCCTTCGGCTACGGCAGTTTGGTTTGCGGCTGCTGCATTGGCAGCTGCTTGCCCCTGAAATACGGTCAACACCACGTTAGCAACTTAGGCCAAGCAACTCACCTTGTTCTTCTTCCCCTTCTTTGCTGCATTTGCGTCAGCAGCATTTGCATCGGCCGCATTGGCATTAGCAGCATTTGCATTAGCCTCATTTGCATTAGCCTCATTTGCATTTGCTGCATTGGCAGCTGCCTGCCCCTGAAGTACAGTCAACACCACGCTAGCAACTTAGGCCATTTTAACTCACCTTGTTCTTCTTTCCATTCTGTGCTTCATTTGCATCAGCTACATTTTGAGCGGATGCAACTTGAGCTCCCCGGTTTTGGCCGGCTCCACCGAGTTGGATCACTTCGATAGCTGGGTTTGGTGCTCGAGCTGTGAGGTCATCTATCCTTGTAGGAAGGGCAAGGCCGGAGACCGAACTGGTCGAAATGGCGAGTAAAGAGAGAATGGATGCGAGGTTCTTCATGATGAAAATGTGTAAAAAGATAAACAATGAGCGTCAAGCTGCTGAAATATATGGAAGCGAAAGAATACAACTATGAGCACAGCTAAGTCATGTTAGTCAAATCGTGTATATGTGTTTCTCGGATCAACTTACCTCAGTTTAGAATAGAAATAAGAATGACCTGCAAACAGATAAGCAGAAGGGGATGGAGATCGGAAATGGATTATGCGGCCTTGGCCCAGATCTTATATCCAGGCCAGACATGGTCTGTTCTGATCACCTGATCCGCAGCATCGGTGATAGACAGGAGAAGGTGATGAAACGATGGGATTCTGGAACCTCGTGCTTAACCCGTCTGATCTCCATGTCAGAGCAGATGTTGTTTTCTTCTCGAAGAGGGAAAGGCAGCCACCAATAGAGAGGAGAGGAGAGGGCACGCATGAAGGGTGTGCAGCGCATGGCGCTACACCCGCCGAGAATAACAATCGAGAATGAAAATCTAGACTACAACCGCTGGAACGGAGATACTAGGGACGAGCGAGGCGACAGTGACATGCTTGTACGCATCCCAAGGGTCCCGGCGGCGATGAAGCTTTGAGGCAGGCAAGAAGATGCGCGGGATGTTACAGAACAAGCGGCTCTTCGAAACAAAGCACTACTGGGCGTGGTGTAGTTGGGAGAGAGCGAGTTTGCTTCTAGAGACAGAAAGGGTTAGAGGCAGGCGGGAAGTGGGTGTTTCCGGTCTCTCGGGCCCTTCGGATGGCGGCTTGACCGGGCCTCTCGACCCTGGCTTCAAACCTTGGCGAAACGTCGCTCATACACTTCATAGACTCCCTCCGCAAAATACAAAACAAACGCTCCCACAGAGACCGACGATCATAGGCCTAGAGCATCGCTGACAACAGATGGGTCGAGTTGACCTCACATATGCTCCACCGGGCAGTGGCCAGCCTGCTTACACCAGCCTCCTGCGATTTTGGGCCAATTCCGGTGCCAGGCCCTCCCTCCCAGAGTCCCAGCTTCGGAGAATCGCGTTCCACTTGCGAATTGGGCGTTTCTTTAGACTCCGAGTCTCTCTCCCTCGGGTTTTCCACATGTCTTCGTTGCTGAGGGCGCCTGCCGGGGATCTTGGCTTTGAGAGCTATCGGGGAGTAGTATTTGGTTTTCGGAAGTGCAGCGTCAAGATTACAGCTATGTATGGCGCATTCGGACAACAATTTGCTGCATCTCCCTTGGTTGTCGTCCCTCATGTACCAATCCTATGAATCCCTTCAATATTATGGTTTTACTACATCCATTTTACAATCTAGCCCACAGGATACAGCATGTCACTGCCAAGCCGGTCCTCCCCCATTCTGCGGCATTGGGATCTTTAGATGGGGACAACTTTATTTCTTGGTGGGTAAAAGTGCAAGATCTACCTGCCAAGTCCCAGGAGCCTGCTATTCAGAAGGGTGCCCAGGACGTTAGGACCTGATGTCTTTTGGTAGGGCTAGATCTGCGCTAGAAGGCGCAGCACCGAAACTTCCCAGAAGCTGAGGCATTTCTTGTAAAACCGGATGCCAAGCATTTGCTGGGGGAGAAAATCAAACCGCTAAACCAGGCCGACTTGCAGGCATTTCTACCTGGTATTGGGTTGTGAATCATACTTGGCACTCTTTGCAGGCGGGTAACGGATTTCCCCAGAGAAGGCTTAGTCGGGGAATCTCCAAGTTTGATCGGCGAACCGCCAAGCGCATACTTGCACTATTCTTGCTCGCCTCGACCAGCTGTAACACGGAGACTATGCCGAAGCGCTCTGTTATGTGAGCTTCTCATGGCGTGATGGGAAGTTTGGAAGACGAAGGGATCACTCGCTTTCATTTCCTCAACTGGTTGCTTCCGCCGGGCAATCGGCTGTATTGTTGCGAAGAAAACGATTTATATTTAGACAAGCACCACGGAACTATCATGGCAATAGCTTGGAGCAAAGCAAAAGTTGCCAAAGCCCACATTTCTCCGACTTCAGAACCTCAGGGTGTCTCCTTTAGTAGCAGCCAGACATAGCTTCTGGAGCGAGTTACTCCTGTTGCACAGAAGCGCATGGGAAAGTGGGAAGTGGGAAGTGTCGATCCTCCAAGTGCGATGGGCAGAAATCCAGATATTGAGCAAAATGCGGGTTGAACAGAGACATGTAAATGCAGAACTTCAAGGTTCTTAACAGCCTTAAAGTGCACTGTAGGTAACCGTTCTACTCGAATAATAAGTTCTGGGCATACCTAGCGGCTGTGTTTCTCATACTACACTTCGGGGTGCCAATTACCAAGAAGTGAGCTAGAGCTTCATCGCTTGTATTTGGTCAAGAACATACTGTACAGCGGGAGCGCTCCAGTCTATTGTCATCGTAAAGCTTCTCCTTTGCCCCGGGGGTCCGTCGTCCCGGTGAGTTGGATGAATTCGATAGCTGACTCGGAAAGTGGTCTGTTTATACCTAGAGGGTAATGTGCAACGTTTCGATAGATAGTACAATGTGCAACTGTGACCCTACAGTAAGGTTACTGGATCATAATACAATACCGGTAGAAGCGGTATGTACTGTACATGTACATGTACTGTACTGTACGTCGCGCAAGACACGAGAACGTCGTGGAGAAGCGTCGGATGTCAAACCGGCCGAGTTCGGCGCCGCCCGAGTTGTTTATGCATAAGCACAAATATTATCGTATTATTTGTTTGGTGTTGTTGAGGTTTTATACGGGTTTATGTTGAGAATACTTGGGTACGAGTCCGTAAAGCCGAGGTTGGAAGGCGGAGGACGAGAACGGTTGTCGCTTAGAATCGGTCGAGCGCTGGTTGGTCACTGCAGTGCTGGCAAGCCGTTGCCCAACTTACGCCATCGCGTTCTGCGGTCATCGGTCATTGTGCATTTTCCGGTGCCGGACAAGAAACTCAGCACTCAGCGCGACCTCAAATTGTGCTTCCCGTCGATCCCCCAAGATAATGCGGTGTCTACAACCTCCAAGATGGTGTCTTCCAGGTCTGCAATTACATGTCTACAGCACACTCTGGTGAGACGTCACCCCGCCAGAGTGCTGCCGTCCTCGCAACAGCTGCACCGGTGCTTCCAGGGTTCGACGAGCTCGCTCCGACCCCGCGCAAACCTTCCAAGTACCAGAACTCTTGGTCAACAGCGCCTTTTTTCCGTATCTGCGCGTCGGAGGTTTGCAGATCCTAGCGAGACGTTTGACCCAAACTCAATTGACCGAGAGAGCGATGAGGTCGATGTATGCATAATAGGAGGAGGTAGGCGTGGAACCCCGGGGAAAAAGTTACTTCACAGCAAGCATGTCTAATATATGCAGGCCCTGCTGGACTCAGCGCTGCGATTCGGTTAAAACAACTCGCCAACGAAGCTGGCAATGAAGATTTCCGAGTCCTTCTACTGGAGAAAGCCGGCGAAATCGGGGCGCATATTCTTTCGGGGGCCGTCATCGAGCCCAGAGCTATCAACGAGCTAATACCGGACTGGCTGTCCGAAGACAACGAGAACAGATTTGAGGATGTCACACCCGTCAAAGCGGATAAGATGCGGTTTCTAACCAAGTCGAGCACCATCCCCATCCCTGCCCCGCCGCAGATGCACAACGATGGCAATTACATCATCAGCTTGAACCAATTTACGAAGTGGCTGGGAGAGCGCGCAGAGGAGATTGGCGTCGAAGTCTACCCAGGATTTGCCGCCTCGGAAGTTCTATATAAGCCAGACGGGTCGGTGAAGGGCGTGGCAACCAATGATCTAGGCATCTCCAGGAAAGGGACACGAAAGGATAGCTTCGAGAGGGGCATGGAATTCCACGCCAGAATTACGCTATTTGCAGAGGGTTGCCATGGAAGTCTTACCAAGCAAGTTATAAAAAAGTTCGACCTTCGGAGGGACAGCCAGCCCCAAACTTATGGTCTTGGATTGAAGGAGGTCTGGGAGGTACAGCCGGAAAAGTTCAACAAGGGACAGGTAGTCCATTCCCTGGGCTACCCATTACCTGCGGACACATATGGTGGTGGTTGGATGTATCATTTTGGTGAAAATTTTGTCAGTATCGGCTTAGTCGTTGGGCTCGACTATCCCAATCCTTGGCTCTCACCGTATGACGAATTCCAAAAGATGAAGCACCATCCTCTCTACAAGACTGTCCTCGAGGGAGGCAAATGTATCTCATATGGTGCGCGAGCCTTAAATGAGGGAGGCTTTCAATCGATACCAAAGGTATCATTCCCGGGTGGTGCCCTCATCGGCGACACCGCAGGATTCCTCAACGTACCAAAAATCAAAGGCACTCACACCGCCATGAAATCCGGAATGCTCGCCGCGGAAGCAACATGGACGGCACTTGGCAACGCGGATCAAGGAACCGTCTTCCTATACGACTACGAAGATAAACTCCGCAAATCATTCATCTGGAAAGAGCTCAAAGAAGTCCGCAACATGCGACCCTCCTTCCACAGCCCTCTGAAGCTCTACGGCGGTATCATGTACTCTGGGCTCGAAGCATTTGTCCTGAAAGGCAAAGTTCCCTGGACCCTCAAGCATAAAGAGCCCGACTACGCCGCTACGAAGACCGCAGACCAGTGCAAAAAGATTGTGTACGAGAAGCCTGATGGAAAAATTAGCTTTGATATCCTAACCAGCGTCAGCCGCACTGGCACGAACCACGAGGAGGACCAGCCTGTCCATTTGAAGGTCAAGGATTGGGATAAGCATGCCCAGGAGGAGTGGCCTTTGTACAAGGGTATTGAGAATCGCTTCTGTCCCGCCGGGGTATATGAATATGTTGAGGATGAGACGAAGGATATTGGTGTCAGATTCCAGATTAATGCACAGAAGTAAGTTATTTCTGCCCCTGTAGATATTTATGGGCTGCGGCTGACGAGTGGAAAGTTGCATCCATTGCAAGACGTGCGACATTAAGGTTCCCAATCAAGGTACGTTCTTCAATTGCAACAGGTCTTGGGATATGCTAATGAGTAACAGGAATCAATTGGACCACACCTCAAGGTGGAGAGGGACCAAAATATTTCATGACATAGTAAAGTCTGCGGAGGCCATATGTTGTAATTTTAACTCAAAAAATAGAATAGCAGATATAAATACCCTACATTAGAATGGAGCAATCACCAAAACCGGCCCCGGACCTTTCTGAATAGGAGGCCACCACAAACTCTTCTATAATATATTTTAACTCCTAACCTGCACTAAAAGCAAGGAAGGCCCCTGGAGACCTACTTTATATTTTCTCCCCTGCTATGTCCTTCCCCAAATATGCAGGAGACGCTTCGTTCAGCATAAATCCCCGCCCTTGCAGACAACTGCACATCAATATATATGCTGGCACATTAGTTGCCGTCAACCGGACCTGTTGATAATAGGGACTTGTAATACCGAGAGCGCTTGTGTTCAGGTACGTTGAAACGTATCCCAGCTCCGGTTCCGCAATCGGGCTGAAATACGGCCATGTGAAGACCGTCTGCTTTTGGATAACATCCACATGAATTCGACAGGTTGGATTCCTTGGAAATTTAGAGCTATATGTAAGTGCTCGTTCTCGCTCGATTTCACTTATAAAAAGTGGAGCCTGCACATCAACCTCATTCGCATATGGTGTTACTACGGTGCTACTTACCAGGAGCTTGGAACTTGTTGGACTGTGGAGCAATTGAGAGGAGAAATTAATTGTTGAATTACCCAATCATAAAAGGTAATAGTCAACATTATATATTCTATTATTGAATTCCTGTTTGCGGCCCAGGACATATGTACTGTCGGCGAGCCGGACAAAATATACGCGTCCAGGACGCTAGGCACGATGTCTTCAACATAGTTTAGATGGGTGGTCCAGCGACCTTGAAAGGATGGGCCTCGGTGTTAAAGACGAATTGGTTGACACCATTATGCTCAACTTGCCAGACGTTATCCTATTTAGCTCTATTAGTAAGTTGACATGGAGCGAGGCGTTGGAGATGAGCCTTACCGGAGAATGAATCAAGTAGCTATACTTCAGCACCTCAGCAAACAGGAAACTATCCTGGAAATCATTAAACCCCCCGCCTTTGGGAGCGTTAACATTTTTCAGCTCTGCAAAGCCACTTCCCGTGCGTGCAGTGGAATTAATCGCAACAAAGGCATTCCACGCCCAATCTCTGTACTTCTGATCACCGGTTGCTCGGTAGGCATAATAGAAGCTCTCTATCACCTCGGGGCGAAGCACGTAAGATGAATCGGTGATGAAGAAACCAGATTTTGCGAAAAAGTCGGCTTGATCCGCGGGGGGTTGTGGGTTGCGCGAATCTTTGGGGTCGGTGTCTTTAGTCACCCAGCGAAAGCTTTCGGGGCCGATACCTGTCACGGTGCTGCTGTAAGTGTCTTCGCACCCATCAACTAGCGCGATACCAAAATCGATGTACTTTTGTTCCTTCAGTACCAGGCCTCCGAGAATAAAGCTTCCGCCATCAAAGCACGCCACTGTTCGAACGTAAGTATGCAGCTGCGGGAATAGGGCTGGTGTGCTTACGATGCTGAGATTGATAGATGAGCTTTTTGCCATCGTACATGGCCATGAATGTCAGTTCTGGTCGAGAAGATGGATGACTGGCAAGCTGAGCGATGCTCGAGTCCGCTGCAGCAACCCAACGGTCCTTGTATGACTCAAATCTAGTCGTATCGTAGACGTACATCTTGATTAGATACTCGTAAAAGCTATCAGCTCCGCCGACCCATCCTCCAAACGCATCTTCAAACTGGCCGGTTTTAATATTGATGTTCATGCCTACAAGTCCTGGCCAAGGTTCCGAGCTGGCTGGTTTTGGTGCTAGGAGATAAGATTCGCCTTTCTGCGATAGTTTAGAGAAAGTCTTGTTGCCCGTCAGGTCTCCAAGGCGAGTCCACTCAAGTACAAGCGTTCCAGTAGTTGCGAGGCCGTTTGTAGTTCCGCCGCCGGTTCTTGATGGGTTAAAGTAGAGGCTATTGGTAGGAACGCCCGACTCCGTGTCGAAAGCGAACGCCAAATTACTACCAAGCCGTTCTGCTTGGGCGAGAATTGCTTCAACAGCAGTGGCATTTGAGGCAAGGTTTGACAATGGCCCCTTCAGTAAATCGTACCCTGCTAAATTTAGTACTGGAATGGCTTAGGAGCTAACCAAAATACCTGAAAGAAGCCCTCCTAAATATCTAATAGTGGTCTCAAAAAGCGAGATCTCGTCGGCAGTCTCATCAAAATTGATAGTTGGGATGTACTCTAGAATAGTGTCTACTATCTCTGGGATTTGCATTACAAGCGCTGTACTGAAAGCATCTACCGCGCTCGCGCCCCAGCCATTCCTAGCCATATATTAGTTTCGAATAAAGTTTTGGCACATGGTTGAAAGCACCTCGAATCACCGTAACCGTTGGACACTGGATGCAACTCATCATGGCCCATGGCATATTTGTGATACCCATCCCAAGCAAACGTAAATGCTTCCTTGACTGCATCTGCTCTCTCGCGGTTCAGTGTATGATTATCTGGGCGGCTCTGAGTATCTCTGCGATGAGGAATAGCAACAACATTGGATGCAAGAAGGGCCAGCACGGGCACAGCAAGAATTGATTGCGAGAAATACATGGCGACCTCAAAACTTAAAATTATGCTCTAAAATGAGGAGTGCTGTGCTGTATGTTCAGCTATCTGTCCGGCCTGGTATTGAGAACAGGTAGACGAGAGACTGGCCAGCCGACCAGTCCAGTCTCATGGGGCAGTTTAGGATGACTATATACTCGGCCTCATGCCCATGCCTTGTCTCTACTTCTCCCATGCTTGCATTGATCTTGATCACACCGGACTCCAATAGTAGTACTCACTCTGGATGGTTCGGTCCGGATTATTATTACCGACGATGGGCATCCCCGGCGCCGGAGACCTACCCTGAGCCTGAGTCTGGGCAATACATTTCAACTGCTTCCCTGGCGGCGACGGAGGGAGGGAGGGGGAGGCATATGAGGTGCATGCATGCCAGCCATTATGGATTCCTCGGCGGTTTTCTGGCAGGACCTAAGCGGGGTGAGAGGGAGGGTTTCTAGGGTTTGGTTTTGTTCCATGAAGTGTTGTGTTGTGATCACCAGGGGCGATCATCATTGAACTTCCCCATGTGTAAAGTCCGTGACCAGGGCGGAGGAGGCGGGCCATGGTCGAGAGAGGCAGGTCCAGCCAGCCAGGTAACGTTGTAGATGCGATGCATCGCGACTCCACGAGGGGCTATATTATACACAGTCAAGCTTGCAGTGTCGAGTTCTTTTTCGCGCCTTTGTTGGAATTGTTGTTGCGAGTCCATGTACATGTGCGGAGTATAGTAGTTGCGGACAACTGGAGAACTGGCTGCGTCCGTGGCACCAGCCACCTATTTAGCCTCTTCGCTTGATGATCCCCTAATCCCATTGCAGCTTAGCGTATCCCTGAAATGTCAATGTTCCGGAGTCGGGCATGGTCACGTGTTATTGCCCAGTACCACGACAAGTTCTTTGTCCGATCCGATCCGATCAATCACCAGTGAACCTCCCACCTCCCACCTCTAACCTCTACTAGCCAACCTTCAACTTCAATTTTAACTTCAAGCCCCCCATAGGCTGGCGTTCCCATTGCCTCTTCGTTTCGCCCGCCATCGTCAGCGCTTGTTAACTCCCCAACACGCGGCCAAGTTGCTCCAGGATTCGGACAGAGAACTCGTGCATTGCACATGGGATACCCGGCGCGTTGCCTGCAATCGTCAAGGGGTAAATGCCACCAGATATCCGAGACAGCACTTTTATATAGCGTTTCTTGCGCCGTGTGCCGCAGAATTGGCTGGAGAGGCTTCTGCACATGTCATTCGCCGTGCTGGCGATGGCCTGAAGGCATGTTTCGTTGTGCATCTGCGTCATCTTCGTGCTATAATGTCCCGAGGAAGCCATACCCTAGCTTGGCCATGTGCAGCTGGAGCAGCTGGTTAATGCGAATGGGCCCCCACCTATAGTTGGTAAAATGGATTAAATCCGAAGATAAAAGAAATACTGTACGGATCCTAAGGTTTGTGTTAGGGATTAAGGTGTTCAAGTGTCTGAAAATGGGTGGCTGGGTATATGTATCTGGGGGTTTGGCGTGCACTGATATGGAAACCCTCTTCTTCGGCTCGTTGTTTCGTTAGCCAGAAGGCTCAAATGATAATTGTAGTCGTTGAAACTAAAGTCTTAGTAAACTACTTAAACACCCCGCATAAAAGCTCTACCCCACAGTATAGGGTTAATCTATATCGATGGCGCCACCGATCTACTATTACTCTGTGAATAATACAGGTCTCGAAACTAGTTTTATAGTATAAATAGAGGGTCGTATAGTACAGCTCTATTCACTCACTGTAGTACTTTATCTTTGGCCTACTCTAGGGGCAAGAACTTGCACTTTTGAGCACCCTGTTGGGTGACTATTGCTAAGCACGGAATATTACACCACTAAGCGTACCCTAAGAGGCTCCTTCCCAGGGCGTGGGAACTATGCCGCTCACGATCAGGCCAAAAAAGCACTTCATGCCTGTATACCTACCTTGGTGTAGGCGTACAGAGTATCCCTCCATAGGGGTGGATGGTATCATGACCATAGTAGTCAGGTCACGGGTACAATCGCATGTTCTAAATGCCATAACCTGTGATCCTACCCCCTGCAGCAACCGCTTTATACGCCGAAGCAGCATTGAGTATCAGGTCGCAACAATGCGAGTTTGCCATTTGACTTGCGTGCCCTGCAAATGAGTGTTTATGTTCACGGCCAACACCGCATTGTCTACAACAAGAGCTAGTGGTGTTAGTCCTCCACAGTCCTGTATGTAAAGCCAAAGGGGAACACGGAGGTTGGAGAGGAGGAACGAGCCGCTTGAGACGTCTGTAAAGAAATCATTTATAGGTCTGGCATTGTAGGTCAATATCTAGCTATATCTGCTCGTTCTGTATTCAGTTGACATATCGGCAGACTTTTGCAGATCAAAAATCTCAATCTTAATGAGACAATTTTACAATGCCTCCTTCCGCGAGTATGGCGCCTTATATGGGATGAGTTAAACGAGTGTGGTTTTGAAACCCCCCTTTCTCTCGATCAGATGGGATGTCCTCTGTAGTCCGAAACTACATCTGATATATGCATGCTCCAAGAATTCTAAATGCAAACGCCAATTAGAGATCGCTACAAAAATGCAAGAGGAGAAAATCAGAAACAATGAAGGCTATAAATATCAAGGGACCTTTTTTTTAGACCTTTTCATGCATTTCGATCCGATGAACTCAAGTGGGCCTCTGATAACCACTCGATACAAAATAGACAGAAATACCACATATCTCGCTGAAAGCACAATGCAAAAATGAGTGGGTATAAAACAATGCAACTGCTGAAAGAAATTCACACTCGCTCAAGAGCTACAGTGATGTCGCGAATAAAAGTATCTTGCACAAATGGCTTCATCTTCAGAGATGCCTGAGAGGATCCTTCCGAGGAATCATAACCTCCACTTCTCGCCAATACCGTGACTCGAGCCGGCATGACCTTCTTGATCGGGGTTTGCTGTACAGCAGATGGGGCGAACAAAGTCGAGGCTCTACTCCCACTCGTACGATACGCTCCGCTTCCCGCGCCATCAAACAGACTCCTAATACCAGGTGACATTAGGGTCGTTGCTCCCAATGAGCTCACCATCATGCTCGATGTTTGTACTGAGCTTGCAGGAGCTCGGCGTTCAATCGCGGAATTAGGCCCGAGAGACGCAGTTCCCCAGACGTTGCTGGGTATTTGCAATTCAGGGTTTGCTGGCCGACGCTCTGGCTTTTTCTGTTTTGGCGCTCTGAGCAGATCATATCGTGCCTTTCCAATCCAAAGCATTTGCTCGTGCTCGCGAAGATACCTTTCCCCCCCAAATGACTTCTGGACGATCTCCCTGCTTCTCATTCCAAGAGCTCTTCTTTGTTCGGTCTTCTCGTACATCCGTTGAGTAATTTTGGCAACGTCATCTGCGGTAGGCTGGTCGGGAATGGTCGGAGCGACAAACCCCTCAGGGTCTTCTGCGTACGGTGCCCACTCGTCAAGCAAGGCTAGGAAATTGACTTGTGCTCGCGCTAGGTTACGTGCATCGTTCGGCGCTACAACAGCGCTGTAGCAGGCCCCCGTATCTGGATCAGTAAGGACGCGTAGGGAGGCCCCCACGTCCGTACATACAACTGGGGCACCAGTGAGAGCTGCTTCCCCAAGAGCCAGAGGAAGGCCTTCGGATATCGATGAATTGAGGAATACCCATGTCTTTTCGAGAACGGTTGTAGGGTTTGCTTCTCCACACATCGTAACAAATCGAGGTAGAGATTTAGATGCTATAATCTCAAAACAATCCGTTGAGTACGAAGGGGCTTTATCAATTGCGCCGTAGATGTCAAGTCGATAGTCAGTAAAGCCCCATTCATTAACGATAATATCTGCAGCCAGAATAGCTGTTTTAATATCTTTTGCGTACCAAACATGAGACAGCATGGTAACAGTTGGCAATTTTGATTTGATCTCCTTAATGGGGGCAAATTTAGTCATGTCTGGGATGCCGTTGACGACAGGGTCAATTTTTCTCCGGAAGGTGTTTCGATGCTCAAGACGACCCTGGCTGCTGCCAATTTCTACTTCCCACCCAGGGTTAAAGAAGTCGGCGCAAGGAAGAATAGTATCTGCATGGTGGAGGATCAACTGGCTCGTGATCCGCATAAGGCCCAACAAAGCGTTCCGTACGAAGGGCGCCATGGCACAGAGATCCGAAGAAAGATATAGATTGGTTTCCCGCCAACTTATGGCATGATCCCAAATTTGTAGTGTGCACCCGCGCTTGATTTTGCACACAATACCGTAGGAGGCACTAACACTATGGTGGGAGGACTGGAATATCGCCGGTACACGGTCCGGTATCGGTATCGAGAATATAAACAGATACCGGTACCACAAGTCCAGGGCAGCATCAAGCTGAGCTACTGTCGGTATTTCCGTCCGGAACCATGATTCAGAAGGGGTTGGGCTGACCAAATCCTGGCTAATCCACAGACTGCGCCACGCATCTTTTACCGTATCACTCGTCCAAATTGCTCCCCAGTGCTTAGATTCCGAAAAGTACGTATTGAGGTTCACCAATGCTCGAGTAGTTTGTTGGATGTCGGCCATGGTGAAATTACTAGATCTTGCGCCTTTCACTAGAGCCGTGAGAATCGGCAAGAAATTTCGCTTGACATCCATCTTCGTTGCATCCCTGGGAACATGTTCGACTTCTGTGTCTAATCGATCCTTGAAGAGCCCATGGGTAGGTGTGAGGAAGTCTAGGCCCCAAAGAGGAATAACTTTGAGGCTACGAACATTCATTTCGGTCTGGAAAATGTATTAGCATACCTAAGCTTAAAACCCTTCATTGATTGCTTACCTGGTGCTTTGGAAGTCCAAAGTCATTGGCGGACTCCGCAATCATATGCCAGTTGACAGAACGAAGGTTGTTAATCATATCTCTTCGGCAGGCCGACACACCTCCACCTTCATTTGGCCAAGTACCAGAATCTACCGCAAGGACTTGTAGCCCATCGTTGTCGAAGTCAGGATCTTTTGATCTTGTTCTGCTATTCGCATCACCGCCCTGTCCAAAACTATACAGATCCGCAATTTTCATTGCTAGCGGCGCCCAGCCAGAGATGGAGTTATCCAAGTCGACGGTTGCCACAATGCCATCTGCATTTTCGTTGAGAAACGTTTCCGCCGATGCAAGATTTCCACGGTCTCGTCTCCGCCAGTACGGTCGCAGCAAAGGCTCCTTCCTCAATAATATCTCATCCAACCATCTTACCATGACCCCATCAAAGCCAGGTGTGTTCTTCCATGCATTCCATAATCTTGATCGAGCGCGGGACGTGGAGACCGGGTTACGATGTGTATTGAGGCCCAGCCATCTAGGCAGCGCATGAGAACTGAGGGACTTGAAATTTATAAGAGGGTCATCATGATGAAAACTAGATTTAGACGGCTTTTTTAGGACACCGAGATGATCCCACTGAATAATCGACGGGGTTTCAATGGGCTCGCCATTGAGGGTTGTGTGAATCGTGGGATGGAATTTATGATCATAGCTCCAGTGAGATTCGTAGACATCAGCTTCGAGGACGAAGGTTGCCTCTGTGACCTGGGAGTGCGGTATCCATTTGTCCAGCTTTTCCGGGTGAGTGGCAGGCGGTGCCGACCAAGAAACTGTGCAAGTTAGGTGAGGTAGCACGAACTCAGCTCTCAGAAGTTCATCCTCGAAGTCACTCCCTTGCCGATAATGGGAGCTAAAGCGGATTAAACTCCCATGGAGGATATATGAACCACTTTGGATAAGGCCTCGGAAATTAAAGTTAACCTCTTCGCTTTGGTCCTTCCCTTCAATGCATCGTCGTGAAATCGGATATCGTGGGTTGCGGACCTTTGAAAGTCGTTTCCGGCCTGTTATCGGACGTTCGGTGGGGTACTCATATGTATACACGTTACCCCTGACACCATTCCAATATTCTTCTCTTCGCAGTAGCAGCATAGCTTTGTTGTAGGTGCTGATTCGCTGAAGCTTCCCGGTGCTCTCGGGTTCCTTGTCGAGTTTCCCAGCATATTGATGGACCTTGAAGGTTCCTGCTCTGCCATACGGCGCTCGAATGAATGCAGTCGATGATCCTTCGGTGTTATCAATAGCAATCCTTTGGCGCTTAAGCGATATGGTAGACCCCCCAATGAGGCTCCAAAGTGTGCTAATATCCTTTCGGCCGTGGAACAAGAATATTGGCATTACCAGATCTTGGATAAACTTGGTGTACTTCCAAATACCTGTCGCAATGAACATGACTACAGAGCGGACTACCTTGTTGCTTGAATGTAAAGCATAACTCAGCTCGCGCTGAAACTCAGGTTCGGCGACGAAAGCAATAGCCAAGAGCTTAAGGCAAACCCCTAAATTATGATAAATAAAACTGAATGGCACTTTTGATCGTCTAATAAACTCTCGTGTCGTGGAATTTGAAGATGGTGGCTTGACGCGGAGGAAGTTGAGAGACTCTAAAGAATCTTCGTGGTATAATTTCTCATCGGAAACTTCGTTTCTTGCCCCAAGGGCGTATTTTCGGCTTGACATGGCGATATAAGCTCCATAATTGCACCGCGTAAGGAAAGTCTTGACTTGGATTCCGTGCGCTTGATTGAAGATAAGCCATTCGTTTTGTATTTGGGTTAAGGCTTCCTCCTGGCCAACGCATCTTCTAATCGCCAATTCTCGAATTTCACGAGGGAGGCGATCCCACTGAGTTTCCGGATCTAGTTGTAGTGCCAAGTATTTGAGAGTCTGGCCGTCGAGAAATCGTGCCAAATCCCTTGCCCGAGTTGATGATGACTTCGAAAGGGCTAAGTAGTCTTTTACCCGGCTTGGCACCGGTGAAGGCTGGGCCTGTCCAGTAGTAGGTGCTGAAACCAACAAAGACTCTGCAAGGCAGGCATCCTCGTTGTTCATCTCCATGAACGTTTCCGCAACAGCATGAACAAGAATTTCCGCCGTACTAAAGGTACTGTTAGTACAGTGTCCTCGAAATGGTTCTTGGAGAAAAGGTCACTTGCCTTTTACAGAAATTAGTAATACTGGATTGTTCCTGCTCCTGTTGCATCATCTCGCAGCCCACTACAATACGAAGATGGCCTTCAGCAAAATGACTGACGGCTTTCACATCCGGAAAAGCGTCCGTCATGGCAGCCATAGAAACGCAGTCGACAATAACAGTGCCACGCTCAAAAGCAAATGTGGTAAGTTCCAAAAGCTCCTCTGCCTCGGGGAAAGCCTCAAGGGCAAACTTTAATAATGCTGTACGAGGGTCCCGCAAGCTACCAAGGGCATGCAATAGGACGGACTTGATCTCCAAGCCAGGATGAGTTTGTGGATCGATCTGATAACGCTCTTCATCGCGCATGGCGCGAAGATTGTGGAAGATGATCCGTAACTCGTCCTGTGACAATAATGGGTCCTTCCCTGGGTTAGTAAAGCTGTTATATACACCGCCAGGCGCCAGCTTGCTATAACCGTGATCCGAAGCGGCGGAGTGGCCTTCCTTGTGGATAGATTTCATCTTTATCCGAGCGTAGTAAAGTGACAAAAATGCCGCAGTCCAGGTAGCGGTACCAAGCGTAACTGTGTCGCAATACATGAAACCTGGGAACTTTTTCCTCAGAATCTGTCCTAATGGTAGACCAATAGCAACAGCAACAAGCAGGGGTTTGAGACTTCGTGGGCCAGTGAAGATCTTCGTATACTATGCATAGAATTAGTTCCTTAATGGTGCTTTTATATTCGAGTGAGCCAAATTTTACCTGATACCAAAGCAAACCTAGAAGTAGGATTAGCCTGTATATAATAAACATTTTTGAGAGCTGCACATACCTGTATAAGCCACAACATAACCGATGAATAATGTTGTTGAGTCTCTTGAGCCATCAAATACCCAAAGTAAAGTGGAAGCCACCGCCAAACTCCACACATGGAAAAGAAGGTAGCGGCCAAGCATAGTCCAGTAGAGATTGCGTCTGGCGCGAACTTCTCTTCTTACGGCTTCTGGAATGGATGATAAATTTCCGATAAGCATATTCTGCCCTTTGGCAGTCATTTTATGAAGTTTATTCGCGTTGAAGTCTAACAGAACCGCTCCAATCAAATAGTACGCAAGTGCAAATCCAACTGGCATGCGGTAGTTGAGATTTTGAGCTGACAATCCTAATAGTTGACCGCCATCGAGGAGCGAGGACCATTTGTCAAGGAGAGCGACAATGAAATAAAGAAGACTACATCCAACCTAAAGTATTAAAAATTAGCAATGCAGAGCGAAATAATAGGGAAATTGAAAATACCTCGTCTCCGGCCTGGCGCCAATGTATGAATGCGTTGTGAAGACGAATGCCAGTCTGTAGCTGTTGAAGTGTCTGTAAGGCCACCTTTGTTTGCATGTTCCAAGTCGAGGAATACGGCATTGGCAGTGGAGTTCCAGAGTAACCACTATACCACTCCAGCAGGAAGACAGTCGCATCATAACTTTTGGCTAGTGACCCCACCAGAGGATCGTGGGGTTTTCTTCTAAATCGTCTTCGGGCCTCTGTCACTTCTCGTAGGATTGCAGCTCTTGCCAACTTGAGTACCGCAGGATCCGTCATACCAGTTAGCGCTTTTTCATTGCCATCCTCCTGGGTTTCAATGTACCACTCGCGTAGGCGTTGATCAGTAAGCTTTTCGATATTCAAGTACCAAGTTGTCCAGCGAGAACCAGTGTATCGGACGCCAATCACGAGCAGGAGAAGGAAGACGTAGAGAACTGAAAGGTAGACGTAAATGTCATGGTCGATCCAAATCGTAATGATGGGAGAAATGAATAAAAACGGGACCACCATAATGATTACCGGCCGGCCCTATCAAAAGTTAATTTTAATTATTCAAGAAGTATTTTGTAAACTTACTGATTGGAACGCAGAGCCAGGGTATTGAAAGTTTGCTAAGGTTGCAAGCAGGCAGAGGTAGGACGTTAAGGCAACGAGATAAAGAAAGAATATTATTCCCGCTATTATGCCATTCGTAGCCCCAACAATTGCAAAACCGATCGTAGCAACTGCGAGGGTAAAAGCAAGGCCACCAACCAGCCTAGTTAACACAAACATGTTCATAGCTGAGAAAGCCATGGATATGAGGTAGTAAGATCCGCCACATGTGATCCAAGTACCAACTGCACCAGATATGAGCAGGGATATCATTAACGCCAAAGTAGCCGAATGTTGCTCATCGTAGCTCATGCGCCCGCTCAAGTACAACCCTCTACCAGTTGTGGTGAGTAAGATGATATCTAACAACGCGGGAATGGCGAATACACTTAGGAAAGTGAATCTTTGGTGAGCAGCCATCGATGATTTTTTAGAGTCCGGATCGACATCGATTTTGGCTGCCGCATATGCTGACGGAGTGGTAGGATCGAGATCTGACCAGATAGGGGGCTCATGGCCAACCTTGTGATGATATGCTCGATATCGATCGGAAAGCAGTTTGCCAAATGCGCTTGGAGTGAGGTCGAAATATGCCTCGCATCGTGCGCCAGTGGCAAAAAGCTCTGCAAATGCCGCAGCTTGGTCACTCTGATCGTTAAAGAGAGTATTGCGGTCCGTCACTTCCATATATGCTTCATCGAAAGCGTGCTTTCTCATGGCACAGAATATAGAGAACGCAATAAGATCAACGCGCGAATCAATCTTGTCCCCATCCAAAACAGTCGCCAAACTATCGGTAATTCTTCGAAGGTCGGCAATATTTCTCTCCTTGAGCATTCTTGTGATCGTGATGTGGACCTGGCGAAAATTATCTAGAGCTATTGTCTCGCTGGAATGTTGACACCTGTTTTGCCGATACCACCAAATGCGGGAGTTAATAAGCTCATGTGGGGAGGCACGCCCGCTAAGATAGCCAGTCGTGCTTATTTCCTTGAGTTGGGTGAAGTCTGTTGAGTCTAGCAGTTGTGCCTCGCAAGCCGTACGGATCAAACTAATCAAAGAGACGTCGCCAGTGGCCGGGGATAGGTTGAGACGCTGAAGAAACTTGAGTAGCTCGGTTGGGGATAGGAGACTAAGGTCGTGTCGAAGCCTCGGGGGTAGACTGGAGTGCACATCAAGACTCTTTGACCATTCAGAGAATAACATTTCGGCCTGAAAGCATTCGTACCTCGGGCAGCCCCGACTTGAAAGGAAGGTATGCACAATCGCCCCTGCAATGTCCTGTGCGTTTCTGGATAAAAATATATCCAAGGTCAAGTCATCGTCGAGGGAATAAACTCCCCAAAAGCGAAATCCTGGTTGAATCTGGAACCCTTGGTCAAGCCCTATATATGCTCGGACTGAATTGGGGCGCTCGGGAGCCGCGGTGCACAGTTGTTGGGCCAACTCTTGTATTGCTTCAAGCCAATCAAACACATGGGCTGCATCCTGCCCGACCACCGCATTACAAAAGCTCTGCAAAGTCTTCCCTATCTCATGCAACGCCGGTGGCTGTATTTCATCTAGTAGCTTCATCTCCTTGAATCGCCGTTGTGATTGGACAACATCAACAAACGCCTTCTTCGTTACATCAAATCCGAGAGAGAAACAGCCCAAATAGTCATACGAGGAGCCTTTCGGGGAAGCCGATATCGCATGGCGAGCTTTCGTATCCACGAGAGAGAGCCAGCTCAGGGAGCCAAGGGAGACGGAGGTTCGATTGAATGTGCCACCAGGAGTTGATGATTCACTAGGCGCAATCGACCTCATGGTATTAGAAGACCAACAATTTACACTTTGTGTGTCCACAATGCTTGCTGAACTGATGCTAGAGCGCTCTGTAAAATTTAGAGATCTCACCACCTCGCTAGACGGATCAGCGTAAGTAGAAAGGAGCTGATGCAGTTGATTTATAGAATCTGCATGCTGTGGAAGATAATTCGGAGCGACCTGGGAGTCGTTAGCCAGGGGAATCAAGACCAATTCCAATGGAAAACCTTCATCCGTAACTCAATTATTTGCGATGTGTCTAAGAAAATATGTTTCGGTGGAGGGAGCTTACTGTTTGATTTGACCGCCATTTATCATGGAGCTTCATGACCCGTAGCTCTTTTAGCCAGTCAAAGGCACCTAAGGGTTCCCTCTGGTCAAGAGATAAGTCGGCTGATATGAGAGCAGATTTTGAACCAATCCATGGTAGCGCGCTGTAGAATCTCGACCACTGATAGCTTCTCTTGACAACCGCATTTAAGGGTGTCACATCATTTTCAAGTGTTTCCCAAAGCAGAACAACAAAACTACGCAGACAAGCTTGGGATACAAAGGCTTTAATCGTTGGTCTCATCTCGGCCATCTGAAATGCATCCCGTTCTTCGCCATTTTCCGAAATGGTTCCATTGCGTATCACTATTCCTCTAACTTCGCTGAGTTCTGCTAACTTGGGATCTGAGAGGAATTTTGGAGCAGAAGCTTCAAGGTAGGCCGAAAGGCCAAGTGAAGTAGCAAGGTATATAAACTCTTTTAAAAGGGGGGCCGTAAAGTGGCCTTCCCAGTTGCTGATGAGAATGCCGGTAACAACATTTTGGTGATTTGATATTACTTTGCAAGCCCCCATCAAGTTTGTAAGCCATTCTAGGACCGAGACGATCGGCTTCTTCGATATGTCGCCAGCTACAAACTCTACATCAAGCCGAGCGAGCCCTTGCGGTGGTAGCCGGTACTCTCCAGACAACATAGCTTTGACAATGCCATGTTGCAATGGATCGAATATGAGCAGATCCCATTGTGCCAGTAGCTTAATTTGGGTTTCGTTCGGAGGATAGTCAAATTCACCGAGATAAATCCCATAGCTTGTAGGTTTGACTTCTACCGGCTCAATCCGACAATTGGAGAGGTTCTGGGCGGCATTCGAGATATATTTCTTTACGGAGGAAGAAATGGTCCTGGCACTTGACCTGCGTTTCTGTTTGCTGTTAGTGGTCAATTTGAGGCAGCTGAATGCTAGCAGAGTGCATAGGAAGGCATTATTCATTGATTAAATGGTGGGTTTATGGGATTGAATAATAAAAGAGTCTTACTCTCCAGCGTCTATAAAAGTGCGAAGACACAATAAATAGAAGGTATACCGAGCCCACTGCCACAGAGAAGAGGATGAAGGCAATTAGAACCTAGTAAACATCAGCAATAACATTCTGCTAGGTGTAGGATGATTCCATTACAAACTGCCACCAGTCGTCGAACAGATTGGTGGAGTCACCAGCAGTAACACCAGTGATGTTAGCCATTGCAACACAGAGTGGCTTCGATAAGAAGCAAAATTGGCTACCACCATATAAGTCGAACGGGGGAACAGATAACGAACGGCAGGTCCTCCCTCATGTAAACATAGCGGGGCCAAGAGGAAGAACGTCAGCATAGGGTGCAGTGCGTGGCCCCACGTGGACGAGAGACAAGGAGAGATGGAAAGGAGAAAAACTTCAATAATCTCATGGCCAAAAGAGACACGAGGAAAACGAGGCAGGTACGAAGGTACATGTTTACAAAAGACGGCATCCGCTCAGGCGGAACCTAAGCTGTTGCCAGGTCTTACCCGACCCCAGATTGATGAGGGGCGTATAGGCAGGATCCGAGAATGGCGTCGAATCCTCCAACATCGGGCCGCCTTCCAAGCTCGCACCCGCCACCTAGGTATGGAGCGTAGGAGGGGAAGTGGGGGCTTTAGATCTGCGTCAGGACGACCCTTGAAGGAGACTTGGCCGAGGCAGCTCGCCCTCCCCCTTCAGCAGCAGGCTATGGGCCATGGAACGGGCGGCATAAGGAAATTCGAAGGGCCAAAGGCGAAAGGAAGAAGAATTTTCGAGAATATTGTCGGTAAAGGGGTCCGGCTGGAACACGTGGTTCGCCGCCCACAGCTGCAAATGATATAGTATATACTCGGCTGCACTATGAAGGAGAGGTACAGCGAGGAGTAGCGAGGAGTGCAGACGCATCGCGTCGCAAGCAGAGCGGGCATGGTACGATCTCTCTGCGCCCGGGTATATTATATTATATTGCCCTAGCAGCAATTGGTAAGAATCACCGAACGGGGCTATTGCCGTCTTCAAGTTTTTGCAGCTCGCGACCCATCTTGTAAAGGGTCTTGGAGAGCAGGGAGTAGAACAACAAGTGAATTGCAACGCTTGGTGACAGCACCTATGAACATAACTGGCATAATGGAGAGGCTGTTAATATTTTGTCGGGCCCATCTGCGATATTGAGGTGCAAGGGACCAAGGACAGTTGCGGTGTGGTTCTGTAGTTGTTTAGTTGTGTAGTTGCGTCACTGGTTTGGTGTGTGGTGTACAGTGTGGATGGAGTTGGGAGTTTGGAGTTGGGAGTCTGGCGTCAGGGGTAAATCGCCTAAAAGGGTGGCGGCGGAGCAAGGGTAAATCCGCCCGTCCGCCCTAGCGGCCGCGCTACAAACCTTGTTAGGGGCGGCTACAAACAGCAGGAGAGCAGGACAACAACAACACTACGACTCTACGACACTACAGCTCTACAGCACTACGAAGCACGAAGTACAGCAAATACAGGCGTCGTATAGGTCATGCTCGGCGCCATTGCTATTAAGCCACCAATAACGCATGGACCTGATACTTAGTTTTTAGTCTTTTAGACTCACAATGCAATTACCTACTCGCCCAGCCGGCCACGAATTGCCGTAGCTTTTCCCTGTGAGAGGTAGAGTGCTTTGCTCAGGTACTCACCGGTACGGGCTCGTCTACTCTTTACAGCATAGCACCGCTAGGTACCGGTACCGATGCCTCGCACGCCAGGGGTGAGGTTATATGCGAAGTACTTGTACCGGTACCTCGCTCAGCGCTTGGTGCCTAAGGCGTCCAGCACCAACATCCTGTTGCACATCTCTGCGGGAGTTGTCGATCATCAACGGTCAACCCCAGCCAATGCACCACCAACCATGGGCAGTTTGGCACCATATTGGCCTACGGAGTCTTGGGGATACTCGAGTATGCGGGATAGCACAGCGCAGTATTGCACAAATTCACAGCTGAAATATTGCAGTATGGCTTTCGGCAAGTCTGCCAACCGTCTGTGTCGAGTAAAGAGGGTTGGCTTGCCCACCTCTCCACCTCTCCACCTCTCCATCAACTATAACCCACCGTGACTACGACCATAACCACGGCCTTGATGCCTCTCTAGGCCCGATTCCATTTATCACAGGACAGGGAGGCGACAGGAATTTCTGTCCGAGTCGCTCTGCCGGTCGAAGACGTTACGCGTACGGCGAATTGATATTTCAGCCAGATCATCACTATCACCGTCACCAGCACATCCAATCCACACCTGCCTTGCTTCCACCTCGATCTCTCCGCCGTATATTAATCGATCGCGGTGTATATTGCCATGTGTGGATGGCCAGCTCGTCTGCACCGCCCTGCCCTGTAGGATGCATGCAGGCTTAACAGCAATACTGCTAGGAACAAAATATCCAAAGTATGTGCTCCAACCCCAGATTATAAGGGCCCATTGGCCACCGCCAAGAACGCGCCTCTTGTGCCAGGGCTCTGTGGACTTGGAGGCTCGAGACAGTAGCATGAGGCGTTTCCATAATGCCTGTCCGGAATTCATCCATGATGACCCATCACGGCTATTCTAGTGAACTCCCACACACCTGTACTCAGCGGTGCAGAATATTGTGCGCACACCACTGAAAAGGATTGCGTAGTAGCAGTGCATCAGCCACGGCACTTTTATCGTGCTCTCCGATCCTTCTCTGTGATGCTTCTGGACGTCTTCTGATCGTGGACGGCTTCTAGACCAGCCTATTCGAAATCGCTCATATTCGCTTAACCTCCTGTTTCTCTTCCTCTCCTTTGATTTTCACATCATTTATTCGCCGCCTCCAAGGCCATCTCTATAATGGCAGTGATAGTTGGCATTGTGGGGGTGAAACCTGGGGAATAGGGAAAGCATGGGGTTATAGAGTTGTTATAGTATCTGGGTGTCTCATTCAAAGGCTCTGGTCCGAGTAACGTTGGATTCACATGGTGATGCCGGCAACCATTAATATCAAATAGTTGGAAGCGGACCATTATGTGACATCGGAACGCGCATACTTCACAACAATCAGATCGTTACTCTTATTACTGATGTCTTCAATGAGCTCTGACACGTCAGCTTTGGACAGATTTCCTATCCCATTCTTTTATATATTTCACGCAGCCAGCACATGTTTCACCGTCTACTGAGTGCTTCCCCACCTACGTAGCATTCCTCGGAACATAACCATGCTGACACTGCAACTGAGAGCCTGCTTGGCTTTAGCCCTATACCTACCCTCGGTCCACGGATGCAATGACAACTGGCTCAGCAAAAGGGCCACCGGTGATGGCGCAGTCGTCAATGACCAATCCATCGTCCCCAAGGTTATCGATATAGCTCCTTTGGTGGAAGTGCAATTAGGTCAGCTGACGATTAGTGCGAACACTTCGGATGCCGCATCACCTCTTCCTATCGATGCGGCAGCTGCTGCTGCCGCCGGGACGGTCAATGGGACAGTGTTGGTGATCGCCCGGGACAAAACGGTTGCATATTCGGCATATTCAGGACTGAACGACCATGGTATACCCTATCAACTCTTGATCGTTCCCGCCGAAGGGGCAGCACTCCCAAGATTGAATGACTCAGCGACCCAAGGCAATTACGGGCTCGTCGTTGTCCTATCAGAAATCAGCTACATCAACAACAGTACTGGACAGTATCATAGTGCTCTTACTGATGCACAATGGAACGCTCTCTACAATTACCAGCTTGCCTTCGGTGTCCGAATGGTGCGACTCGATGTCGCGCCGTCAATCGCCACCGGAACCGCCTCACTCGGGACCTGCTGCAGCAAGGGAAACCAGACGGTATCCATATCCAACGACAAAGAGTTTACCACTGCTGGCCTCAAGACGTAAGTATTTTATGTCGTGCAAAAGGCTAGTATGGGCTAATATACTCCATTTAGTGGTGCAGGTGTTAGCACTGCCGGCCTATGGCATTATCCCGCTAACATCACTGATGCCTCTATTGCTACTGAGTTCGCACAGTTTTCTGCAGCAGCCGCTGATGGATTTAAAACGAAGTCTACCGCAGGTGTGATTAACAGGATCAATGGAAGGGAACAGGTATATCTCATCTCCAATAATATGAATGCTGTGCTAATCTTGTCAGATGGTTTTCTTTATAGGATTTTCAACCGGGTGGAGTTTGACGTCGAACTTGTTGCAGCATGCATGGATTAATTGGGGTACCAGAGGACTTTGTGAGTATCATTCTTTCGAGATTAGCCACATGGGCCCACTAACATTTACAGACGCTGGTTATCGCCGAGCAATGATGTCGCCACAAAGTATGTACCCTCCTTCCTTGTGGTATATTCATTGTTGAAAGTCCAATTGAGCTTCTGCATACCATAGAGGAAAAGTGTATCCTTTTGTTCTCTTGTCACATGCTTCTTGGCACCTCTTGGGCCCCAGCTGACTGAACTTAGTTGACGATATGTTTCTGTATGAAGTCAAGTTGAATATCCTACCCACTTAACTAATTTACTTAATAGTGAAACCCCGATTTTCGACAACCCCACGGAAAATTTTAGACTTACCGCTGAGGATATGGAGGGCCATCTCGAGTGGCTCCCCACACTGACGAAAAAACTCAACGCTGGCAGCGACTGGTTCCTGGAGGTTGGCCACAATGGCAACGGGAATATTGAGGTTAGTATATAGCTGAGCCTACGTTGTAACCTCTCCCAACTAATTATATATGGGCAAATAGTCTGTTAATGCCACTGACACGACTAATACTCTATGTAACCCTGGACCGAGTGAGTATTTGACGAACAAACTCTGGTCTATCCTATCTATATCACGTGACAATCCGAGACTTTGCCCGCTGGTGCAGCGCGAGGTATCTCTGGATAAATGCTCAAGACTAACTGTATATAGTCGAATATCCCGACCAAATTGATACACCGCTTGAGTTCACAAAGCCTCTTGGTTCCGGTACCAATCTATACCCCGCCACCCCAACCGCTTATCCGAAGTACTCAAGGGACTGCACTGATAGCGACGACTTGCTTTGGTGGTGGGAGGATACTACCAACCTCAATGCCTTTGCGCATCTTTCCCACACCTTCACCCATCAGGACGAGAACAATGCTACCTACTCAGATGTCTACAAGGAAATTACCTGGAATAAAGCTTGGCTTGATTCTGTAGGTATATCAGCAGCCGAGAAATTTAGCGCCAGTGGCATCATCCCACCAGCTATTACTGGTATGCATAACGGAGATGCGGTAAGAGCTTGGGCGGATAGTGGAATAAAACACGTTGTGGGTGATAATACCCGCCCGGTGTTGATGAATCAGGTACACTCCCGCTGGCTTTCTTTCTCAAATTTCCTCGATTAACATATTTCTAAAGGAAAATGAGCATTGGCCCCTTATATCGACAGTCGAATCGAACGGCTACGCAGGAATCCAGATCACCCCACGATGGGCTAGCAACATCTACTACAATGTGGGTAATTTCCGTTCGCCTCTATGGTCCCAAATTGACGTTTTCCTCTAGTGTGACTTGCCGGCATGCACGACAGCGGAATGGGAACAGTTTTCCGCCGGAAAGGGCAATTATGCAGACCTTCTTGTGTTAGAGAGAGACAACAATGTGCGACATCTATTAGGCTTGCATCATGATCCCCACATGTTTCATCAAGCCAATCTGCGGTGGGCAGATGTTGAAGAGTCTACCGTTAACGGCCGCAACGGTCAATACTCTCTGTTGATGGCGTGGACTGAAACGGTGGTGGTTGAATTTGTTCGACTGTGAGCCTTCCCAAAGCGTATCATGACACTGTCAAATGCTAACATTGTCGAAGTGTAAAATGGCCCTTGGTCTCGCAAAAGCATGACGATGTGAGCATGACTCGATAATCCTGCATATCCATTTGTCATACATACTTACTTGCAACTAGCTCGCAGCCACATTCATGTCTCGAATGAACAGAGACGCCTGCCGGCCGAATTTCAGTTGGACAGTTGATTCCAAGTCGCAGACCATCACTGGAGTCACAGTTGGGGCCATCGGCAACAGATGCAAAGAAAAGATTCCCCTCACCCTCCCCGGGCCAGTAACTTCCCTTCAGGGTGCGACGAAGGAGCAACGCGGGTCTGATCCTTTGACGCTCTGGGTCACATTGTCCGGCAAGCCTGTAACATTCACACTCGCCACACCGATACCATTGTCCGCAAAGTAAGCAAGTATAATATCGGAAGGATTGCATGTGCGAGAACGGGTACTAGAGCATATCAATCTATCCCATCACCAGCATCTCTTTTCGCTTGTAGCTCTATCGATCTGCATTTGGCATATCTTTGAAAAGTTTCCTTATAATAATAGCATAATAGATTGGACATGTTCCCCTTTAAGACGCCTACGAGCCGCCTTTGTATAGCCCCTACAAGCTGAACAACCACTCCCAAATACTTTATATCAAATCCTTCCAATTTCCTCCGCCACACTGGGCAAACTCAAAATTCCAACCTCCGACCCTCACTGGTCCAAGCTTCTCAGCCCATCCCGCAAGCGCCGGCTAAATTCTCCGTGGCGTCCGTAGGGCCCGCTAGGAAGGAACCCAAATGCAAAACCTCCTGCATATTAGTCCGCGCCCGGGCTCGATTAGCCCATACGGCTACATCACTTCATCGATCATCTCTGAAACTAGAGCTAATTGAGTAGCAGCCCATCATTCAACTTACTGTCCAAATTGTTATAATCGACGCCCTTCTGCCGTGCTGTAGGGACCTCAGCAGCGCCTAACATTTCCGTCCTATCTCTATAGAACAAGTAAGATTACGGAGACGAACTGGCTTGGTTCGAAGGGGTCTTTCTACTCAAGGGGAGAGGAGAAGAGTATATTAGCCCCTGTTAAATGGGGTATTCTACACTACCCCGAAGATCTCAGCCTTTTTTGTCTTGGCATTTTAGCCTGATGGTGTGCGAGCCGATTAACGATGTCAACCCTGGTGATGATCATACTGCAGGCTGTTATTGCATATGCCGAGAAACCTCAAGGATATGCTTTAAGGTGTTTAAAACCTGGTCCGGGCCCGATACCTGCCCAGAAATAAAAGGTTTGGCCTTGTTCAGGTTGAGCCCCACGAAGCCTGGGTGTACGTACCTCTGTGGGGGGAGACATGAGAAAACGAGGCCTGATAAATTTGGGATATTCATCAGAACGTGCGGCTATGTCTTCTTCTGCATCCGGAAACATGTCAACGGAAAAAAAGATTTCCAGCACTTGGGGTACCTTGCTTGAAGTCGGGAAACTCTACCGGTTCCTGTTCCTGGCGGAAGAGAGTATCCGAGTGACAAACTCCCATGAACGAGCTTTTATGACTGTTGACACTTTTTACTGGCTTAGGGGCCAGATGACAAGAGCAATTACGCGTCCTTTCTCCCGAGGCTATTACTTGCAAATTGACCTGTGGGGAAGCCAATCTCAGCCTCATGGTCCCCAAGATGTTGTCACACGGGGTTCTGAGTGAGTGCTGGGAGGGAGCACGCCCATAGCATAAAGCGAAGGGTTCCTGGTTGATCAGCAGCTCAGGTGTCAGAACGGCAGTCGTTAGCAGCCCACCATGTCCTCTGGAGGGATCTTCCAACACGACCAACACGACCAACAGCAATATACACCAACTCCTGAACCCTCCAATCCTTTTTGGAGCTTTCGCTTCAAGCTCATGGCAATAACTACTGTTGTAATTATGGCGCTGGTAGTAGTAGGCGTGGTTATCCTTTCCCGAGAGATGCGAGCTTCTCATGCTGGGCAGCGAAGCACCCCACAATAAGCACATAGTCATTCAACAGCGCGATATATCTCTCTTGCTCAAGATGGGTACACGAATACTTGGCAACATGGACCACTATACGCATTCAACGGGACAAGTTACTGCCGCGTATGTCGATACACGAAACCGGCATGTTCCTCTGATGAACAAAGATGCTTCTGCAGCAGCATTGTTAGCCTACCGTACCGCGTCAGGATCGGAAAAAAGTTTCCCTCCAGTAATTTGCCGATGCGGGCCGTTGGAACCCATATTTAGACATGCTGTGTCTGGTTTTGGAGAATGCCACGCAAGCAATGGGTTGAAATACGAAGAAGCTCTCAAATATTCTAGAAGCAACTCAACAAACGCCTCGATCTCGTGTCCAGGCCTCGGCTTTCGTGGCCCGATCTAGATCGTGTTGTTACATCGATGGTGGCGGCGGTGGCTGCATGTCATCCAGAAGAGCGATGTCGTGCTGGTTGAGTCTATATCTAGACAACAGCTCGCACTGCAACTCTGTCAGGGGCTAGAATTTGGATCTGGCGGACATCGTGGGTGGCGTTGATGGCTGAGTGTAGCGTAGAGCTTATAGAAAGTCGGGAAGATCTAGCCAAGTTAGTGTGGTCGGAAGCGGATGCCATAATTACTTAGAAGCGAATCTTTTTGCTTCATTCTTCTCTGCCAACGACCCAACTCCAGCCACAGTCGGCCGAGTTAGAACATGTGATTGCACGTAAGAGCTAAGGCACTATCACCAATTTTTTTTTTACATCAATAGGTCTGGAGGATTCCCTCAATCCATCAAGGTGGTAGGCCTCGTATAATTAACTGATGGGGTGGATTATCTTTCTTGCCGTCAAACACAATCAACTAATTCAGCCTATAACGGCGCATATAGCCTGCGTCCTCCTCATAGGCGAGAGATGGCGATTCAGAATACCATGAGGAACGCCATCACAGCTTGATTCGATGCTCTCAGGTGTACGGCAGCTTCAAAATGCACTTCGTATGTTTGGATTCCACATGCATGTGGCGAGATGATGTTGAGAATATTGACACCACCTGATCATTGAGCCCGGTTTGTTGCGATGAGCAGAGCAGCGAACCTACAGAAGGTTCTATTCAGCCAAAATACCGAATCTGACGAAGATTCAGGGACTTTGCGATGTGTACGTCACCCCAGGAAAAATTTCTTTCCTGAAATTCGAAGACAAATACTTTCCCAGAGAGCCGTAAGGTCAAAATGGTTGCCGCCCTCGACTGTAAATATATGCATCAACAAACGCAATACATAGGTTCGCATATGCGCCAAGGCGCATCATATGCAAGCCATATAAGTGAAACCCTCCCTTCCTCCCGGATGTAACAGTGAAAATTCCCTGCGGAAAGAATTTTTCTGTTGTGTGGGCTCTGACTGTGAGTTTTCGAGTCGCTGTGCACCACTATATCGATTTACAGGTTCTTCCCTGACCAAGTTCTCGGAAACTTCTTGCCGCCACGCGTCCTCCAGCTGGGGGGTTGAGACGCCGGCCATCCTTGTTATTGTGGGGTATTATCCAGTCGTCCACAGCGTTCAGAAGCACTGATTTGGCCAACATTTTCTTCGGCTTCAGCAACCAGAGGCCGAACAAAGCTCGGCGTCGCCACCACCTCTGAGGGACCTGGTAAAATATAGATTGAAGAAGGTTTAATTCACAGCCTTCAGAATGCACCATGTCGTTCCACTCATGACCATCCTCAGACGTCGTCTTCTCGTGCGGGACGGGTGCGAGGGCCGATAGGCAGAGAATGGCCGCCACATATGTGTGGGAACGGATATTGGGACGAGCCCGGTGGCTTCGGAAACGTGCCATGCACCATCCGAACGATATCAATCGAAGACGGCTGAGGATCCAATATTCTGAATATACGAAGAAGGGTACGATCGACCAGGCGAAATCGAGCATCTTCCAAGATCCCCCACTTTGTTTTGTCAACATATCAGATCTGCGACTGCACTAGCCCACCAGAGATCGATATCGCACAAATAAATCCAGGGAAGCGGCTGAGAGCAGGAGGACCCGTCCAATAAACACTCTATTTCTCCCTGGTAAAGGCCGATCGATGAGCCACACAGTGCCCTAAAGCAGTTTAGCCTTAATTCGAGTATTGTTTGTTTGCAGCAGAACGATCGCCCATTGTCAGATCTCGTGGGATGCTGACTCAATACTTCGTACAGCCTCTTGAGATATGGGGGTGACTCGACGGAGAATTTTGACCATTCAGCCCATCGCTTGGATAATTTTGCCCCCGCGGTCTTGTCCGACGATTCCCCGCAAAATTCCCGGTGTTCTTTTGCTGCGTATGTCATACCGGCATATGTGATTGTTGACAAAACTAGGAAGGAGAATGTCCGATCCAAGGTGCCTGCGTCGATCTGCTTTCAATATGAAATAACTTTGCGCCCGAAATCCAGGACAACCAAGATTTCTTTATACCACGGGATTCAGGGCGGCTATATCTCCCGCGAGACGCCTGCGAAAGGAATAGGCACACTTACCGAGGAAAATGAATCTCTAGGTTGGACCCAGAACCCCACCAATGGTCGACTTCTGGAAGCAAAGTCAGAGCTCTTTGGGGTGCACTCCACATATTCATTGACTAAGATGGCTACCAAGCTATGGGCCATTATTTAGTACTGTGCCTGGGAAATGGGATTCGGCCTTGAGGCGGGTAGTCTAAGTGCCTAATTGGCTTCGGATCAAAGGCATTGGGCGAACAAGAAAATAACATTGAGACCTTGAGACTCCGGCGCACAATTTTGACCATCTGCGGTAGCATAATAGTCGAAGGCGAAATGTGATGGAACATAGCAAGGGCCTGCCCTTCAGTAGATTCTATCCAGCTGATGCTCCGGTAAGTCCTCAGAGGCCTTAAGTCGCAGCCATAGTCATGAGCTCCCCCCATGGAGACGATGGGAAGCCATTTTCAGTCACCTTCCGTTCTGCTCCATTGTGGTAATATTTTGCGTAAAACGCGCGGCTTCAACGGTCCTGAGCGAGTCCTATTACGAGAGGCAATAATCTTAGCCACGGGACGGTCGCTCTGGCAGATATTGCTTAAACTCAGTAGCTAGGCACCACTCCTAAGTCCCAAAATGGCAATGCGTGGGTTGGAGCGCATAGAGCAAAGTAACAAGGCAACATGCCCGATTCTTCGCAAAATTTCCGTGCGTGCATTTCAGGGGCTTCTAGAAACAGCCTTCCAATATATCATGCCTTCGTGCAATATACCGCGAAAATTTCCACGGCTGAGCGGCAATGGGAACCTAGAGTAGAGCCATATTGGCTTCACCCGGTACCCAAGTTTATCACGCGAGAGAAACACGTTCTTGCGAGGCTTCCGTAAGACGCAGAACGCCTCCCACGTAAAGTTCAATGCAGGAGTATAAAGACATGTTAGGTTGAAACCGATAAGAAATTTTCCAGCGTATCTTCAAATCATTTCTGTGCAGGGATAAATCCAACCATGCCTTGCAGCACCACATCTTCTGGCGCCTCAACCCCAGGAGGGTTTTCGTCTGGATCAGATAGCGGGTTTGTTGATACCCCATTCACCGAGAGATCAATCCTGTTCGACGATCATGATATTCATGTTGCGGTCCAACAGTCGACGAGTGACCAACACATACTTGTTGTCGGAGGTTGTGGATTCATCGGGTCGCACACAGCGTGGGAATTGGCGAAAGCTGGATATAACGTAGCTATTTGCCCATCACCCTCATCATCAGAATGAAACTAAACGTCATAAATGCAGGTAATAATCATCGACAACTTGAGCAATGCCTTCAATTCTGTTTTCCACAGGTTGGAGGCCATGGTTGCCCACCACTATGATACTGTCAAAGTCGGGAGTCGGCGGCCATCGCTGAAACTATATGAAGCCGATTTCAGAGATACACAGACGCTAACGACAATACTCGAGGCGTACGAAGTTCCACTTGGATTCGGCGAATACCCAGAAAACCGTCGCCGGTCGAACATCTCCGGGGTCATCCATTTTGCAGCGTTCAAAGCTGTGAGCGAAAGTATCAAACATCCCCTCAAATACTACGCAAACAATGTTGGTGGCCTGATCGACTTCTGCAGCTTGCTAGGTGACTTCGGCATCAAGAACTTCGTGTTCAGTTCTTCAGCGACTGTGTACGGGACTGTGGCAGACATAGGGATACCGCTGCGAGAAGAGTACTGCAGCCAAACAAAAACCGTGTTCCATGATGACGATGGCTTGAAGAAGGTGGTAGAATCTGGGTCCACAGGCTTGACGAATCCATATGGTCGAACAAAGTGGATGTGCGAAGCCATCTTGAACGACTTAGCACACGCAGACCCCGAATGGACCATCACAGCGTTGCGTTACTTCAACCCCATCGGTTGCGACGAGTCCGGCTTGCTAGGTGAAGATCCCCGCGCCGCGGCCACAAACCTCATGCCGGTCGTCTTGCGAGTAATCACCGGTGAATCACCAGTGCTGAACATCTATGGTGACGATTATGACACCCATGATGGAACTGCGGTCCGCGACTACATCCACGTCACCGATCTGGCATTGGGACACCTTGCAGCGCTGAAATCTCGTGCTGCCCAGGGCTTCCGGGTGTACAACCTTGGAACCGGACAAGGGTACTCTGTCCTAGACGTCGTCGCGGCCATGGAGCAGGTGTCGCAACGAAAGATCCCCACCAAGCTCGTGGGCCGGCGAGAAGGAGACGTTGGGATGTGTGTTGCTAAAGCAGGCCGTGCCCGGGAGGAGCTGGGCTGGCGGACAGAAAAAAGTCTAGAGATGTGCTGCCGCGACATCTGGCGCTTCCTGGAGCGTGCAGCGACTGAGTCGAATGCGGTTTTATAGATTTTGGCATATGCGTATGATCATTTGGCGTCGATGGCAGGAAAATGAGTTCACCCCGTGAGACCAAGAGCGAGATTTGGCCTCCTGTGTCTTAATGTTTTGGAATTGGCTGCTGTTTGGTGGTGCTGTTGACGTTGTTGCTGCACTCTCGTTTTTTCTCTCGTTTGTCATCGCATTTTGAGGTTTTGGAATGGAAGTCGAGGTTGAGGGGACATCGGAGGGATATAAGGTGGAAGCATTGAGGGAAAGGGCGTTGGTTTGTATGTGTATTGTGTTAGGAGTACTACTACCTACCGGTATATATCGTATCTTGATCCCATGACAGACGAAGCCATCACAAAGGGCTTCTTGGCAACTGCTTGCCGCTTTCGGCAAAGCGGCACGGTCACGTGGTAGTTTCAATTCCATAATGTTGTTACACTGGGCAGGCAGCAAAATCAACTTCATTATATATACCTAATTATATCGTTCTTTGGCGTATTGGGTTGTTCAGGTCGTGTAAAATGCATATAAGGCAGAGTGGGACTTAGTCGTAACGTTGCATAGATGGCTTATATTATACGAGTTTCTCTATCATCTGACCAGGGTATCACTTCTCTCCTGCCCAAAATGGTAAGTTCTCAAACTCTATGGTATGTTGACAAACGAAAACAGAGCTGTATTCTGTTGATATTTACAAGTAGCCAAATCATCAATATCTGAACTCGACTCTGGAGAATCCTCTGGTAACAAGCCAGTTTTTCGGGCTCGCGGGGATTTCCATTGATGGCCGCCACATTTCGGTGCTCTCGATCGTCTTTACGCCATCTGGCTGTCCCTTCTTACGATCCCAGGGAGTGGTATGCGGGTTGGAGAAGAGTGCCGGTGAGGAGTTGATAGGCGACGTACGAGATTCCCACATGCTGTTAACCCCCTGTTCTACCGGCGCAACAGATACGGGCTTGGCCCATGTTTGTCCTTGGATGGCCGTTATGGGCGATGTGATTGGAAGATTGGATGCTTCAGGCAATTTGCAGGTGGTATGGAGCCAATGAGTGCTTTCGGGTTGCGAGTCAAGTGCGAGCCCGAAAAGTTGGTTAGAGATCAAGTTTGGCAAAGCGGGCGCTCGCAGACCAGCAGATTTCTTTGCATATTCAGCCTCCACGTGAGCGAACATATCAGGATGTTCACATTGGATCGTAACTACTGAATCCGGGGCCGACCACATCTTGTGGCTGTTATTTCCCTTGGTAACAGGCGATATGACGCGTGGAGTCCAGGTCTTGGCCTTGGCCTTGCTGGCAGCCGCCAACCAATTGCGTTGCAAGGCGACAGTTTGACTTGGGGCCCAAAGAGATGATGACTGCAACATTGGTAGGTCGAGGGACATAGTGATTGGAGCATTTCTACTTGGTTCGAGATTAAACCCTGGGGTATTTGGGTTGAATGCCGGCTTGGATACTGTTCCCTTCGACCAAAGGGCTGCCGCTTTTATAGTCATGGTATTTATAGGTGGGCTCCACATGTAGACTTGAGACGATGTCGTACTTGTTACGTATCCCAGAGCGGCTGGGTGAATATCTGCTGACTTTGAAATAAGCTTTTGGGTGAAGAAGACTGGATGGCGGGAACTCGGGTCATAATTTGAAGTGATCGAGGATGAAGTGACGCTTTTTGCCATGGCTTCATTGAGAGCTTCATCCCACATCTTGGGGGAAGCGTTTTGTCGCACTAGAAGTGGTTGGGACTTCACGATTGCAGAATTCAAAGCAGTAGTCCAATCGGCCTCCGTTACTCTGGAACGAGTCAATGCCTTCTTGGGCGTGCTGGCAATTATTGCTTCAGCAAGCGCTTCGTCCCAGTTAGCACGGAACGCAATAGTAGGCGTGTACTGGTGGCGGAGCGGCCTGTGGATTGGCGAAACCGATTGTTGAGCAATTACTGTTCGGCGGAATTTCTTGGCTGGAGTGCTATCGAGGGTTGGAACCTTGATAGCCGAATTACTTCGAGATACTAGCACCATTGATTCCCTGAGGGGTTCCAGTGGTTTAACAGGCGCCGGAATTTTGGAGGCCATCGTTGGCTTTACCGAGGGTTGCACACTTTTGGTCGGTAATTGACGAACGGGGATGTTTGAGGGTTGCTTGGAACTATCCTTGGGTGGTTGGGAGGGTGCCAACTTTTTAGACTTAGGGCTCCACCATGGCACTGCCGAACTCGCAGTGGAACTAATGGACCCCCATAGAGACGAAGCTTTGCTGCTAGTAGACTTGACCGATGATGCATCGGATGCCGGTGAAGACTCACCAGATGATGGGTTGGAGCATAATGAAGGGCTATTTGGGCTTATAGATGATTCGGATATCCAATGGTGCTCAGGTTCTACTGGTTTGAAACCATTCCAAAGTTCGTCTGATTCCAACCCACTTAATGGTGCGCTGATTGTTCGAGGGTTGCGGGCCATGCCGATTGCTGCTGGGGCCAAAGCGGTGGTCCGTTGACTAGGCGGCGAGCTAGAAACTGAGAATAGCTCATGGACAGTGACCCCAAGCTCTATCACAGGCTTGGCCGGTGTCCACATCGCTTGGGATGATGCAACACGGGAAGACTTTTGACGTCTTGAATACTCAGAGATCCAGTCAATTTCCTCCACGAGACTATGATTAGCGGACCATAAATTTCGAGATGCAAGACTAGCGAGGGTGCCATTAGTTGGACGGGTGGGCCTGACCACCTCACTTGCAGCTGGACTTGCTTGTGTGGTGCGGACCACAGATTTATCGTTGGAGAAATTAAATAAGCCAGTGCTATTATTGCGATCCTCCTGTTTGGGCTGCGATCGCCACAGAAGCGCCTTTTCAGACTTTGGTGATGAATTATGAGACTGCGTAACGGCATCTCTACTCTCCCACATTAAAGTATTGGAGGGGGAGGGAGATCTTTGTGGCTCGGAAATAGCCCACAGCTCACACGAAGCGATGACTGGTAGGATCTCAGACGTGTGCGGTTTGGATCTGATAGCACCCTCGGTCGAAGCAACAAGAGATTTCCAGATGGTTTCTTCTGGTTGGGGTAAACCTGTAGCGGCCGCTGAAAAAACAACATCGCTACTAGCGGTCCAGAGTTGAGAGCGGGTTGCCAACACGAGTGGTCTAATCGGTGTTCTTGAATTGGCCAAGTCTTCCCCTGTAGAGTCTTCCGTGTCACTTTCATCGTCATAGTCCTCAATGATTTCGCTGATCGGTATCAGCTTTGGGGGTTGCGGGACCAAACTGTTTTCGGAGGGGGTACTGGTAGATTCCAATAAGCTTGCAATCTCCCACAGAGTGGTTTCGTCAAAGTCATCGTCGCTCTCAGGGTCAATATAATCATCATCATCATGCTCCTCATCATAATCATCAAAGAACGAAGATGAGTATCCATTCGATTCGGGTTCAAGTTGGCGAGACCTTGCCTGGAGGCTAGCGTTCAATATAGGGGCACCTAAAAGACCAGGGTTGAAAGCAGGCTGGTAAACGGCCGAGTCCGATTGTTCTCCCCATGGAAACTGAAATATTCCGAGGGTGTCTCTCTTGTTAGGGAGTGGAGTGGGACTTTCAACTGATAATGGATTAGCTAGGATCTTGTGCATTTTCGGAGAACTAGCCTAGTACATACTAATGTCAGGTAAAAACGTGATACGTTTTGACTTCCGGAGGGGCCGTCGGGTTACGCGACTTCGTGGGCGCACAGCGGTTGAGCCCCAAAGACCAGCCACTGCACGACTTTGATCGGACGAGCGGGGCTTTGACCACAAGGCAGAGCTTGTTATTTCAAGGCTACCTGCAGTCTGACGCAGGATAGGTCGAATGTCCTTAGCTGGTGGTTCACGAGAAGCCATATATACCGCTGATACCTCGTATGGAGGGTTCCATAGACGACCAGAAGCAGCGTTGGGTGACGGCGCAGATGACTCCCACAGTGATGCTAATTGCTTGGGCATAGACTTAGAGTTTTGTGAAGTGACCATGGTAAAGCCATCAAGTTCTAATTCTGTCTCATAGTCGGAGTCCGAGTCTACGCTATCAGGTGGTGTCGGGCTTCCAAGCTGATGATGTCTTGGTGCGGAGAGAAAGTTCAAACTTTTCTCTCGGAGAGGAGGGGGTGCCTTCTCTAGATATTCCACTTGAGCCTCCGCAAGACGTTGCTGCCAGATGCTTGCCCTTGAATTATCCGAGCTAAGAGTTGATACAGTTGATGTTGAATCCTCTCCCCCGGACCGTGTCATACTACTCCTGATTCGAGCTCGACGAGAAAGGACGAGAGAGGGCGTCCGGGAAGGTACCTGAGAAGACTCTTGGTGCAAATCATGCTCCGAGGGCGCTGCTTCCTGAGGCGTCATAACAACAGATATGGAATCTCTATCGAGGTTGTCTTGCATGTGCTGCCACTGGGTTTCTTGCTCTCCCATTTCTTTCTCAAGATTTTCAAGCAATTGAAGTCGGGAATCCTCATCATCTTGAGCACTTCCAAGATCTGTTGAATGAGGCAAGTGGCGCATAATAGAGCCTACTGAGCCACGGCTAGGTTCTTCAAACCGTTTTAGTTGGGCTTGAATTTCCTGAATTGCACGCTCTGGTGGGGAAATTGGAGACGGTTCAGAAGCGTGTATCATCGCTGTAGTTTGTCTACCACTGCTGTTCAACAACAAAGGGGTTGGTGGTGGCATTTTGCGCGCTCTGCTATTTGACCTCCTTTCGGAGAACGTTGGGAGCTCGTCACCAATCCGATGGTGCCAAGCTACTGCATTTGGAGGTTGGTAGACTTTGTCTTCTAGTGATGTTTGATCGGCATCGAGAAAGAAAGATGTTCTGCCTCCGGTTGGCTGGGGGGGGATGGGCAGGGGGATATCTCCCGGGTCCATCATAACGGTCATAACTGTCTCTTCATCATGGCTCGCTAGGGAGGGAACAGGTGGAATGGAAACAGCATCGCTGCTGCCATTTCGGCACGGTATGAAGGTTGATCGCGCAGTCTGTCTTTCTTTCGAGAGGTCAATAGCTGACAACTCGGAATGTACAGATCCCCAGTAAGTGACCGAATCTTCATGAGAGCTTGCGTCGCTAGAAGTTGTAACAGAAAAGGAAGACTTTCTAGTTTCCATTACCGAGTCACTTTCCGGGGGGGGTTGGACCGAGTTACGGATGTCAACTTCACTAGCAGGAATACCAGGAATCCAAGTCTCCCCGACTTGGTCAGCAATATTTTGGTATGTATTAGCGCTGAAGCGGTAGGCTTGGCGCTGCTCGGATCTCTTTAGCTCTCTATTTGGCGAAGTTGGTTGGTCATTGAGATCTAACGGGCCAAACAATCCTATTGTTGTCCTTTTCGACGCTACGCTATAATGCTTGTCCTCCACGGGGTTGTTGGTTCCTGCTATGTTGGATAGGAGCATTGACGGGAACGGTGGGAGAGATGGCACTGACGACCTCCGGCTCGGTATTGTTGGGACACCGGGTGGAGCTGGGAATAGTAATTCCATCTTCTCGTCGAAGGTCATGCTTTTTGTGTCATTTGGCAGTAATCGCCTCAATTTCATCGCACTGGTTGGTGGTGGGGGAAGTGGAGGGAGTTTTGTAGGGCTTCCCGGCTGTGAAGCGAGGAGGGACTTCCTCACTCCCATATAAGTAGCGGACTTGCTCCGTCTATGGTTCGGTGACGGCTCACTAGGAAACAGAATGCGGTCCATGTCGGAGTCTCGTTTAATAGGTCTAGGTCGATGTATGACAGAGTTTGATGAGTGTGGTGTACGAGTCAAGGGGTTATCCAGAACTTTTCCGGCGGTTTTCGGACGTTTTGCGGAAGCGTACATATCCGGGGCAGCATCAATGATGGTCTTCACCACGGCAGGATTGTCGTAGACAATGTCATTTACAAACAGCACCGTTTGCTCCTTGCCCAAGCCAGTCTGGCCAGCCGTTGCCATTCGCTGCGATCTAGGATTCATGGGTAGCCCGGTTGTTGCTTTCCTCGAGAACGAGGGCTTTGAGACTAGCTTCTCATCGGTCCACTTTTCAAAGTTGTCCGTATTACGTGGCGACCGTCGACGGACTTCTTCCCGATTAGGGGAGAGTGACACGGAAGTAGTGTTACCATTCATGCCATTGACAGAAAGGTTAGAAGAATTGGAACCAGCTATCGTAGGCATAGGCTGAGCTGGGTGGCTTGGAGGCACTTTCCGCTTAAGACTAATGCTCTTACGCAGTCCCTCCTGGGCTGGAGGAAGGGATGGTGGTTCTGGGGCAGGCCGGTTGGCGACAAGACGGGACCTGGCGTTGACACCCTCACGGCGTTCTCGCTCATTGATCGCGGCAGTAGCAAGGTCGATAGTTGGCATTCTCGTAAATGTCTGGACAACGTCATCCTCGCTATTTTCCATGACCGGCTTCGATATAACCAAGTTCCGAATTGGTGTTTTCGCAGGTGCCTTTGACCAATTGAAGAGGGATCTTTTCTGTTGCGCTGCAGCAGACATGGGTATATTCCGCATCCTCTCTGGAGCGGCCTTCACATTTGGAGGCATCGCGAGCTGATTTCCAGCTTGCAACGGTGTCGCCAACAGGGCCGAGAAGAACGCGCCACTGGAGCCCCGATCATGCCCATTACTTGACTCAGGCTCGCCAAATCTATCGCCTCCAAGAGCTCGTACTCTAACTTCGTCACCGAGTTTTGTAAATCCTTTTGTATCCCCTTGATGATTCCCCTGGAATCTGGTCGTCGGAGAATCACGTGGTGTTGCCGAAGGATTGACAACGAACAACATCCCGTTTTTGGTGTAATTACGGCCAGAAACTGGAGAGCCATCTCCAATGCCACCTATGAATAGCTCTCGAGATGGTGGTGTGGGCGCAGTGAACGGCGATCGAGCCTCGGGTGTAATTCCTTCCTCCTCTTTTGGCGATAGCAAAACGCCGGAGAAAATTGTAACCATGCCTATCATTTATTAGATGTGCGTCCTACCAGACCATGGAGACCATCATTACTCACCAACAAGTATAATCAATCCATTTGTGGGCACCACAGTTCTAACAATCAAGATAACAGTTGAAAGTCCCAAGGTCATCGGAACGCTGGTCTAGAGCGAGATAATGAGTAATTTCTCAGCCACTCGATAAAAAGTCACTTACAGCAGTCCACACGACAACCCCCGCAATGCTCAATATAAAGGCCTTGCTTTGCTCTCCTTGAATGCTTTGACTCTCATTACGCATAGTATGGAACATCCCGGATGAGAAAGCTCGGATTATCAATACTCCTATGATAATTAGGTCGAGGGCGAGGACGGTAATGTTGACTGGCATCGCTGAAGTACGGGCGACACAGACAGGCGCAAAATCAGGTCGTGTAAACCCCACCAGGATGCCGCCTGCGACCAGTCTGATTCCCAGAATACCCTGAAGAACCAATTGCTGGGCCGTCACCTTGGTTCCCTGACTCAATGTCCATAGCAAGAACTGCTCCATCACCACTCTCGCCCCTTGGTCGAATATCGTCGTAAATACCAGCAACGTCTGGCAGGCAGTAGGCGAGGTTGGTCCGACCATCAGATTGACAAAGCCAACTTGGGCCCATAACGCAGCAAATAACAGAAACAGCATGAGGACCAGCCTCCGGCCGTCCTGAAATATCTTAGTCCCATGCCCTTTGAAATAAAGAAATAAAGCGGCCGACGCGGCCTGAACTAGAATGCCACTGCAAGATATTAGTCTGTGAAAAGGCTGGTGTATAGGTATAGGACTAACAATGAGAACGCCGCCGACAAAGTCTGGATGGCATCTGGAATGGCCATGGCGGCGACGGATTACAATTGAAAAAAATTATACAGATAAAGCCCAATCTATGGGTAAACTCTCAAGAAAAGAATCGCACGATGCATGGTGGAGAACGACAGTTAACAGAGGGCCATGGTCAACGACGGCGACAACAAGCAACGCAACCGTCGAGTCCAGCCAGTGGGTATCGAACAGAGGGAAGAGACAGAGTAGAGTGTGAAGGTACGTAGTAGGCAGAGTAGAGTCACATGGGGTCTGAAGCAGCGGCTGGGACTTTGTCTGTATCTGCGTGTGCGTCTGCGTCGCGCACGCGGTAGGAGCGCCGGGGCAGCACTTGACAGCACTTGACAGCAGTATCAAACAGCGTGGTAATATGCGTGGAAGAGAGAATTGACACGGTCACGGCATCCTTCCTTCCTACTCCGTAGAGCCTCGAACATCCACAGAGCTGGAACAAGATCTCTAACAGTGACAGGCGGTGGCATTGCGCGGAATGCAGTTTTGAGAATTCTCCGTGCCCCGTGGATCGGTTGGCAGAGGCAGTTTGGAATAGCTCCGTAGCTTGATAGGTTCATAGGGGCTGGAGAGGCTGATGGTTTGGATATCCAGTTGCGTCGAGTGGAGAGGGCCTTGCACCAGGCGTTTCAATTGAAACCATGCAGGTTTCGTACCACCACGCCCTCGCTCTTGGCCTACGCATTTGATTGCAGAAAACCCGGCCCACGGACTCGAATCAACAGAAGAACAAATCGTTTCTCAAGTAATAAGATCTGCAATTGTACAGTGAAATGCATATGCACAAATCTTTTTTAGGGGCGCGGCCACAGCTGGGGGTTGTGCTCTATCGAGGTCTACATAGTCGAGGGAAGAAGCCAGCAACAGGACGACGAGACGCGAGGCATCCTGTCTACTTCGCAGGCTCGCTTTCTGCACGGCATCTGTCAGTTGCCGCCGTCTTGGCTTGTCTCGCATGTGTATACGAAGTTCGGTAGGTACTGTACGGCGTAGGAGCAGGAGCAGGATTACTGGAATAGCCAGTTTCGGTCCTGGATTTGAGCCTTTGAGTGTCAAGCTCTGGTCGGAAGAGAAGATGCCAATTTCATACTCATACTTCGTACGAACAGCCTCAATTCTCCGAGAGGCTCGGGCAGTGCAGCCGTAATTGTAGCCTGTGTTGCACTCGCGCGTCGCAACAAGATGAGATGAGATTACTTCGTAGAGCACCGTAGAGTACCACAACAAATGAGCTCAGGATCTGATCCGAGACCTAGAGGAATACTACATTATCCGCAGCAGGCCATGGTATGACCGGGCAGAGGCTTGGTGGGCAGATGTACGTAGTCCAGTACCGTGGGTTCAAGGCTTTTCGATGCCAGAGTTGAGTGAGCGGAGGATGATGAGCTGGAACGTGGACCACGAAAGTTGAAGCTTATAAAAGTATCAGCACGTGGGTTGGCGCCTGTCGGCTCAGCTTGCTGTTGATATGAGTAGGATGTTGTTTGCTTGTACTCTGTACAGTACCTACTAGGTAGGTATATCCCTTACAAAGTAAACAAGCTTCTTCTCTTGAGTAACTACATGTAGCCAAGAACTATTGTTCATCGATGTTATTGCGCTCTCCAGTTGGAACTTGGAAACTCGTGTCTCGGGGCGTAAGGTCCAGGAGAGCGAGACACTTACTCAGCATACCAAGGTACCTAGGTACCTAGTCTAGACTCTACTCGTATACAATACCTCCGTCCGTCGTTGAAATAGGCCAATCATTACTCCGTATTGACGGCTCTTGTAGACTTGTACCTACAGTACTTCTTCCATAACCCGCAGAGTGCGAGTAGGTTCAGACACTCTCGAGCCGCTCTATGGCACTGTAGTTTTGGCTCCTAGAGTCTTATTATACCTTTGTAGAGTCTTCTCCGTAGAGTCCTGGACAAGCTGATGGGAGCGCGCGGCATGGCCGTTATCTGATTTCCGCATAAAGTACTTGCTACGTACTTCGCAAATAGCGCTGGCGTGATTTCGCGCATTTGCATGCCGAAAAGTAACCTCCATCGTACGATGCGCTCCACCGACATCGTACCGCATCGCACCACAAACTCTGCCAGACTCCATCGCCCCAAATGCAAAGTCAACCTCAACCACAACAGCACCCGCAAAGGCAAATGCAGATGCAGATGCATCCTCGTCACAGATACTCTCTTTTGCCGTGTGATTGAACTGCATCCCCCCTCACGCCATCCTGCTCTTATCGGCCACATTAGCATCCGCATCCACATCAGCATCAGCAACAACAGCCCAGAATCCCAGATTGACAGTTGGCAACCTATTCCACTGCCGCCCCCCCCCTCTGCCCTCCCTCACCATGGCCTCCAAGACATGCGTCGATCCCTCCACACTTTCGGGCATCTCTACGGGCTTCGACTCACTGAACGACTCCCTCAAGGACTCTCTACAGGACTCTCCGAACGACTTTGACGACGCCCCCGTGGCTTTTACCGACACGCTGGACGACAACCCTCTGTTCGCTGCTGATTGGGAGCAGCAGGAAACTCCTCCCTACGAAGGCAACCTATACTCGACTCCCTTGAGTTGGGATCCGCCTGAGCCACCAAAGTTCGAGCCAATTCCTCCCGCGCAAACTTACATGACGATGGATACCCTTACGCCGGCCCAGCAAGAAAAACTACGCAACATCGCCATGCCGCAACACCTCCGCTACCAAGGGGCCAGCAGCCACAGCCCGGAATCGACTCCAAGCTACAAAAGCCCCTCAATATCCTCCCCTGAGACGAACGACAACAGCCGCAAACGCAAATCCTCCGTGTCGGCAGATGATGAAGACGAAGATGGGGCTGCGAAGCACCCTCCAGTCAAGAAAACAGCGCATAATATGATCGAGAAACGTTACCGAACAAACCTAAATGACAAGATTGCTGCGTTGCGCGACAGTGTACCAAGTCTCCGGATCATGACCAAGAGTGCCCGAGGGGAAGATACGGCCGATGACAGGGAAGAGCTACAAGGCTTAACTCCTGCCCATAAGCTGAATAAGGCCACTGTAAGTCACTTCTTCGTACTATATGTGTTCACGTATTGTGTTCGACGCTTAGGACGCTTGTCCCAACTGCTCCCTATCCGCAAATTATTTGGATTGTGTGCTTGCTCGTATTTTTCAGACCAGAGAATATCATTTCCCGGCGACTAGTCACTAGCACTATCGTCTCATCTACATATTCCACTTTCCTATGTGGCCAAGCGCCCACTATATTCTGTTATTAGCGTCTATACCACATCGGATGAGCTATGCTGATATATGGCTTCCAGGTCCTAAGTAAAGCGACTGAATACATTAACCATCTAGAGAAGCGCAACAAGCGACTTCAGGAAGAGAATATGGTGCAGAAGGCCCGTCTCGCTGCGTTTGAAACGCTATTTCGCTCTGGCTCAATGGGGTTCACACCTGCACCCCCGATAACAAACCCCTTTCAGTATCCGCGCGACTACCAAACTCCAGGCCGTTCCGGAGCCGTCGATCCTCAAGGAATGATCCGAGTGCCGGAATCTATGCGACGACTTCACGGTCAATCAAGTCAACAAACGTACCCAGTCGCTCAAGAACAATTCCAGCAACAACGCCAGCCCGTTGGTCCCAATGGATGGCAGAACGGAGGCGGCTACTTTGGCAGGTTGATGGTTGGATCGTTGGCTGGGTTAATGATTATGGAAGGTTTCAGCGAGACGGAGCAAAGCGCCGATACCCCATCTGGCCGTGGTCTCTTTAGTCTGCCAGTCCAAATGCTCCGGAGTCTATCCCAAGCCGCGCATTCCTCGTTCGACATCAGCGTCTTGGGTTACCATGTTCCCGCAGCCCAAACGCTAACATATATCAAGCTATTTCTAGCTTTGGGCGCTCTGCTCTATGTGTTCTTACCTTCATTATTTGCACCAACCCCCAAACCAAAGGACAATAAGGCCCAGGGCACATCCTTAGCTGCAGTCCCATCCCTAGCGTCGTCCATTCAGGTCCGCAGACGGGCTTGGCTTACCGCGGTCCAAACTGTCTGGGTTCCTCGTCACAACTTCTTTCTGGAGGCAGCAGCGCTCTGCCTGAAGATAGCCAAATTGGGCATGCGCAACGTAATCGGGCCCAGTAGCTATACCTATCTTACAGGGATAACCCCACAGCAAGAAGCTGCGCGAGTCAAAGCATGGGAGATTGCGCTTGATGCTCAATTAGCTGGTGGAGATGTTGATGTGAGTAAGAGTCGACTAACATTGACATTACTTGCCTCTGGCACATTACCAGATACGCCAGCTCGTCTCATGCTAAAGGCTTTGCACATCCGTGTCCTTCTCTGGGAAGTTGGCAAGGCCGGGTTCAATGGGTTTTCTATGTTCCATGAAGTTGCAGCAAAGCTGGCTCGATGGAAATGGAACGAAGCGAAGCAGCTGAAGCAGTTGATGGCCCACACCAGAGATAAGCAAGAGATTGAGTTTCCAGAGTATCTAGCAGCTCTCCTGGAGGAAGAATGCGATGATGTCCTGACGGATGGCATCGTTCAACGTGCATACAACCTTGCATGGCACCTGCCAACGGTACGCAATGTTCAGGGGCCGAGAGACGGTATGGATGGTGTTATAGATGACTTTGCGATTCGCAGCCCTCTTGACGGTCTCGCGGCATGGTACTCGAGTATGGTTCTACAACGAATTCTTACTAGGAGCCTCGACACCAAAGACGATGCTGAGAGCCAAAATTCTATTGTGTCCGATATTGCGCTAGCCATTAAGGTGGCACCTACTGGATCACGAGCTCAAATTCGAGCACTGGTAGCTCGTGCCGTCTTGGTTAAGGAAAAGCGTGGCGCCAATATTGCATCTGCTCTCCAAGCCCTTGGTCCTTTTGAACCCGAAGACGAAAATGAGACGTCGCCAACACTTATCAACACGAGTACCTGTACTACCAATCTTCCTGATGTCAATATGTCGCTCCGTTGTGCTATGGCCATTGCACACCTTGACCGCTTTCCCTCGCCACAAAACCCTGTCGCGGCACACCGCATCATTCAGAGCGTCGTGCCTACAAATCTAACTCTACTCGGCTTCACTGCCGCGTTCAACCTTATGGAGAGAATCCATAAGCATGAACAGGTGGCTTTGAGCTGTAGTAGCCAACTTGAGAAACTGGCAGGCAACCTTCGGATTTGGATTGGAGGCCCGGATAGTGAGGAGAGCGGCCTAGACAAGGAGTCCAAGCGAAAGATGGTCGCGCGGTGCTTAAGTATCACCAAACACATTATCGGCATGGGGGAAGATGCCGGCTACGAGAGCATGAGCGAGGAAGATATAAGTGATGGTTGTTGATTTTTGACGGCCGCTTCATTGTTCTCAACAGAGAAAAATAACTAGGACGATTCCCTAGCTGTCGTACTTCTAAAAATGTCGGCAATAGCTGTCTCTCGGGTCTTTTGTGGATGTTTCATGACAAGGCGTTTGTTGGATGGCAGGAGGTGGCTCTATCATGGGCTGGTGCAGACTCTGCAGGCGTTTTTGGGAAGCATCATCTCTATACCTATCCTGAGTTTCCACCTTTTGCATTTCGTATTTCCTGTATTAAAATTTTCCGTTAGCGGGTGTTCAATGGGTGCTGCACTTCTGGGCCGGGTAAAGCTCCACACACTTGCAGTTAGAAGAGGAAACCCTTCAAAGAATTTGCTTTATCTACTATTTTTTAAGCACAGATTACAATTATAAACTTGAAATATCATACATACCTTGCCTAAGATACTTGCTCAAGTCTTCAGAACAGCGTCTGATCCAAGCAAGGGAAAAGTTATAAGACCCTTGCCCGATTTCACCCTTATCACGACTTTTCCGCTAAATACCCGCTCCGGGATATTTTCGGGCGCTTCCGCTCATCAGCCTCCCTATCAGCGAATGATATTACCGCATTCCTTATCGCGCCCCAAGATATCATGAACCAGCCAGCGTCGGAGAGAGATTGCACTCCCACTTTGTATAGAATTCCTCCCTCGGAGATTGTCGAACATCAACCGTGAAATGGCCGGAGATCCAGACATGAATCGTCCCACGCATAGATTAGGAAACATGCTCGCTCTATCTGGATGATAAGGCCACGGCGCGGTGGGACGCCAGTTGAGTTATCATCGACATGGACTTCCGAGGATTTAGTCGTACGGACGGTGTAGTTCTTCGTCTGTTATTGGGGTATGTAGATAGGCAGAATCTCTGTTTAGTAAACTTCTACGGATCATTGGTTATTTCCTCTCCAGACTTCTCCCTCTCTCATTTCTTCGCTTTCTCTCAGTTTCCTCATTTCTCATCCATACTTCCCATTCAAGATTCTTGGAGTTGATGAAAGCCTTCATTACTAGACGGGTACTAGAGCGTCCTCTCTACAGCTTTCACCATGGGTAGCTGGCAACCTCAAGATATCATACCTAGTCCTTTGACTAATGGCACCAACGGAGTGGAAGCCTCTGAGTACGAGAGCCATGGAGGGCCAAAAAAGAAGATTGTCGTCGTTGGTCTAGGGATGGTTGGAATTAGCTTCATGTAAGGATCAATCTCTCCTTATGGGGGTACTTCTCAGCGTTCCAAGGAATGGAAGGAGTACTAATACTTGTGCGCCAATTAGAGAGAAATTAATGAAACTGGATGCAAAGCGGCGAGAATACGATATCGTCGTCATCGGCGAAGAAGCACATATAGCGTACAACCGCGTAGGGTTGACAAGTTTCTTCCAGCATCGAAAAGTTGAGAATTTATATCTCAATCCAAAAGAATGGGTATGTACTTCTCTCTCTCTATAGGATGCAATAACTAATGCATAAACTACAGTACACGAATTGCCCAAAAGGCTCATTAAACTACCACCTCAACACACGAGTCACCGAGATTCACACAGAACAAAAGGCCGTCTCCTGCTCTTCGGGGGAGATCGTTCCTTACGATATCCTCGTCCTTGCCACGGGTTCCGACGCCCTCCTTCCACGCAACACGCCCGGCCATGACGCCAAGGGCGTCTTCGTATACCGCACAATTGAAGATCTAGAAAAACTCATCGAATCTTCAGCCCTAAAAAAAGGCACTCATGGTGTTGTGGTGGGCGGCGGTTTACTCGGCCTTGAAGCCGCCAAAGCGATGATGGACTTGGAAAATTTCTCAAAAGTTAAATTGATCGAGAGAAATAAATGGGTATTAAGTCGGCAGCTAGATGGAGATGCTGGTGCCATTGTCCTCGAGCAAGTGAGAAAATTGGGGTTGGATGTTCTGCTGAGCACGAGAGTGCGCAACATTGAAGTCACGGAAGATAACACAGTAAAAGGGGTGGTGTTCGAGGATGGTGAGAGCATAGCTTGCTCTACAATCTGTTTCGCCATTGGCATCAAAGCTCGCGATGAACTTGCGCGGAAATCGGGCATCAAGTGTGCGGAACCAGGGGGTGGCATTGCCGTTGATGAATGGTTGAAGACCAGCGTGGAAGATATCTACGCCATTGGTGAATGTGCGAGTTGGGAGAATCAGACGTTTGGACTTATTGCTCCGGGAATTGAAATGGCTGATGTTCTGTCATTCAACCTTACGCAAGCAAAAGTGCACTCGTACAGGAAGTTTAAGAGGCCGGATTTGAGCACCAAATTGAAATTGTTGGGTGTGGAGGTTGCTAGTTTTGGAGATTTCTTCGCGGACAGAGATGGGCCTAAGCACCTCCCAGTGAGGGCCGGCAGGAAGGAGGGAAATGCAAATGGATTACGACGACGTACCGACGGTCCACCTCCTCCCGCGGTCACGGCTTTGACATACAAGGACCCTTTCCAGGCGGTCTACAAGAAGTACCTATTCACCGCAGACGGGAAATATCTCCTTGGAGGGATGATGATTGGGGATACGCGAGATTATGTGAAGTTGGTGCCCATGGTGAAGAACCAAAAGCCGTTGGATGTTCCGCCTAGTCAATTCATCCTGGGGGCGAGCAAAGAGGGGGATGAAGGTGGCGCCGATCTCGACGACGATACACAAATCTGCTCTTGCCACAATGTAACGAAGGGCGATGTATGCAATGTCGTCAAAGACGGCACCTGCAATAGCATCGGCGATGTGAAGTCCTGTACCAAAGCCGGAACGGGGTGTGGTGGCTGTATGCCCCTTGTGACTAGCATCTTCAACGAACAGATGAAAGCAATGGGCAACGAAGTTAAGAACCACATCTGTCCCCATTTCAACTATTCCCGGGCGGATCTCTACAACATCATTTCCGTCAAGAAACTGAAGACTTTACGAGAAGTCATGAACGAAGTGGGAAATGATCCTGAGAGCCAAGGGTGTGAAGCATGCAAACCTAGCATCGGTTCGATTTTCGCGTCATTATATAACAAACATGTCATGGATAAACCTGTTCATGGTCTCCAGGAGACGAATGATCGATACCTGGGCAACATCCAGAGAAACGGAACGTACTCGGTTGTTCCCCGTGTGAGTGCCGGAGAGATTACACCAGATAAATTGATCGTTATTGGGAATGTGGCAAAGAAGTATAACCTCTATACTAAGATTACTGGGGGACAGAGAATCGATATGTTCGGTGCGAAAAAACAAGATCTCCTTCCAATTTGGAAGGAGTTGATCCAGGGGGGGATGGAGAGTGGACATGCCTACGCCAAGTCTTTGCGGACGGTCAAGAGTTGCGTTGGTACGACATGGTGCCGATATGGTATTGGGGATAGTGTTGGCATGGCAGTGAGGTTAGAGGAGAGGTACAAAAGTGTTCGAAGCCCTCATAAGATGAAGGGGGGTGTTAGCGGCTGTGTACGTGAGTGTGCAGAGGCTCAAAACAAGGAGTAAGTCGGAATATCAAACGACATGGTGAAATGCAACTAACATAGTCTCAGCTTCGGCCTCATAGCCACAGAAAAAGGATTCAACATATTCGTCGGAGGCAACGGTGGTGCTTCGCCGAAGCATTGCGAACTCCTAGCTAAAGACGTGCCGCCTGATGATGTGGTTCCCATCCTGGATCGCTATCTCATGTTCTACATCCGCACCGCAGACAAACTACAACGAACAGCCCGCTGGCTCGAAGCCCTTCCAGGCGGAATCAAATACCTGCGCGAAGTAGTTCTCGAGGACAAACTCGGCATCTGCGCCTCCCTCGAGGCACAAATGGAAGAACTGGTCGGCACTTTCTTCGATGAGTGGGCCGAAGCAATCAACGACCCCTCGCGGAGCAAGAAATTCCAACAATTCGATAACACGACGGAGACCATGGAAAACATGGAGACGGAAGAAGATCGTGGACAAATGAGACCGGTATACTGGCCTAAGGAGAGCGCCAAGGAGGATTTCAAGAATACGAAGTGGACATCCCTGACCTGGCAACCCATGATAGAAGCGAGCTATTTCGCAGGCGCGGACGATACCCCCAATGGCATATCCGCAAATGTTAAGAGGAGCGATACGCAACTTGCTATTTTTAGGGTGAAGGGGAAATGGCTTGCTAGTCAGCAGATGTGTCCCCATAAGCGGGCATTCGTCCTCTCAGATGGCCTAATCGGTGACTCGAAGGATAAACTCTGGGTTTCCTGTCCTTATCACAAACGCAATTTCGAGTTGACCGGCGAGCAAGCGGGGCGCTGTATGAATGATGAAGAGGTTAGCATTGCAACGTTTCCGGTAGAGGAGCGGGAGGACGGCATGGTGTATTTGAAGTTGCCGCCTGTGCATGAATTGGACGGAGTGTTGGGGACTAAGAAGTGGATGGTGAAGAAGGGGGAGAGTGGCGTGGGGGCGTTTGAGAAACTTGACAAGAAGATTGGGAGGAATGGGATGAGGGTGAAGGGACGGAAGCCGTTTGAGGCGACAAGACTACTTGAGACTGTTGGAGGGCCAGGAGAGGGGAATATTGATTGGTAGATGGCCTGAGGGGGGAATATGTGATGTGACAATGACCGATATTATGAATGTAAAAGAACGTTAACGTATAAGTACTTCCCTAACAGTCTAGTCTGTGCTTCCTTAGCAAAGAAGATATAATTAATCTCTTGTTTTGAGTGCCTTTGCGCTTTCTTCTATTTCTTTTTGAGTTAATTTCTACTATGTGCCTACTTAACAGGAAATTCTCATGTTTCAAGATCAACATTCCAAAGCTATTCTATGAGCATAGGAGTTGCAATTACAGGAGTTATGCTTTGATAACAGTACCATATCAAGAGTAATCATTCATTTAGCTAACAAATACTACAGAATCCTCTCTCGATATAAATGGCTAGGGTTGGGTGCAGGAGATAGTGGCGAGTATCTTAGGCAATGCAACAGGCACAGATAGAGCGGCCTTATAGAAGGGTGATGATGAGTTGATGTTGCACTTCAAAATGCCGGATGGTCCGGATAGCATAATGCTCCATTTTCCTACTACGTGGTCCTACTACACAATACGGTCGACTTCCTGTTGTCAGTTACAATTAGGAAAGCCCCTTTGATAAGGCCGAGTACAGGTGTAGGATACCTATTCCTTTCAGATGGCTTTCTATCTTTGAGTTTCCACATCGTGTTTAACTCTAATTTATAATACCGCTCAACTCAGGCCCACATTATCTTTCTGTTGATGATATTGAAGCCGCTTCAGACTAGCATTAAAACAGTCCTTTGCGCGTTTGTTGAATCTTTTTCGTATCTAATTTGCCAACCCCTAGCTCCAGAATATCTTCAAGTAGATGTTACCTAGCGGTTGGGCGACGCTTGAAAATATATACACTGCTTCCGGATATTATTGTTCATCTTCATCCTCGCTCCCCCTTAGCGTTTCCTCTTCCTCAGCTTGTCGCTGCTCCTCAGCTCGGTCATCATGAGTTTTGTGGTTGACGAACACGACCAGCACACCCAAATCATAAGTAACTTTTAACGAACCTGCTGCGATAAATGCAACCCAGAGCAGTTGATGACCCGCTAATATACCAGTTATAAACGGAGCAAGGCTCTGAGCGAACGTCTTAACAACGTTTATAATACCCATTACGGCTGTCCGCTCGTGTGGCAGAACAACAGCCGCCAAGAAAGCAGCTCTGGGTGCTACATCCATTTGTTGCGTAGAAGATCGCAGGATGAGGAAGAGCATTGCAATCGGAAGGGAGCTTGGTACCGGAATGAGGGCGAGTAAAACAGCAGACGGCAGGTGAGTAAATACCATGGTCTGCAAGATTATTAGAAGTGCTTTGAAACAACGGCAAACAGGACAAACCTTGATATTTCCTAACCTCTTTGCAATTGAGGAAGCTAGGATCATCGAAATGGCTGTAATTATGCTGGTCGTGAAAAATAAAGATCCTAGTTTCCCTACCTCAAGATTAAACTTATCGTGGAAGAAGAAAGTCAACCAAGAACTAGTTCGTTCAGTATCAGATGGTCTCTATAGGTGGATTGGAGAACTTACAGTGGCGCTAGGCCTGATGCGAAGGAATCCAGCCCAAAAAGAAAACACAAATTTATCAAAATAACTACACTCTCCTTGCTGATATTTGGTAGTATCGATCGAATAGTAGATTTCTTTGGCCCCACCTCCTCGGCGCCGTTGCCAAGAAGTGCCGTAGTCTCGGAAGCCTCCACAGGAGCAAGTTGCTTGGCCTCAAGCTCAACAGCCTGGCTGAGAGCCAAGGCCAGGACTAGTTTAACAGCTCCCACGACTGCATAGGCCCAGAATACGGCCCGATATGCTCTTAAGTCGTCCCAATCCAACTGATCCTTCATGTACTGGAGCAGCCATCCGGATGTGATAAATCCGACAGCCGTCCCCAAACTGCCACTCAATGAATACCAGGCATATACATCGCCACGGTTTGCAGCAGGTATAAGGTGTGCGAGGGTCGATTCTTCAATTGCTCGAAAGGGGCCAATCTCATTTCCACTACCAAAAGTATCAGCGTATTCCCCCCCAACAAATCATACTCATCGAGACTCGAGGGAAAGGCACCTTGGACTAATAACGCCCACAATAGCCGCAACAAGCAGAACCCAATAATTCCCAGATAACGCAAACACGACCCCACTGCCAATCATCAACGCTGCCCCCAACGAAAGAATGAATTTCCGACCAAGTCCATCTGCGAAAATTGTCAAGATGAAACTGATGACCGTATCTCCAACAAGGGTCAAGGTCATAAAGAGACCGATCTTCGCTTTGGGAATTCCCAGAAGAATCAAATACTGGACGAGTATAAGATTTGTCCCCCCATAAGCAAAGAGTCGGACGAATCGCTGGATGCAGAGCAATTTCGTGTCGATTGTTGAATTCCAGAGAGAGACGAGCCCCAGCTCTTCAAAAACCTTAACCACGGATCTATTAGCCATTGCGTGCGCGCTCTACTACTCTACAAGATGTTACAGAGCAAAATAAGCAAGTTATCTGAAAGTGGGGGTTGGAGCGATTGAAGTTTTACAAAACAACAGTCTGACGACCGTTTTGTCGATGCTGCTTTAGTTCCGCCGGTCGGTCGTCGCGTACAACACGCGTCGAGCTTGATCAAGGAGGGCGAAAGGCGACATAACACAGAGATTGTACGTCATGACTCGCCTCCCACTTGCAGTTTTTGATTTTATTGCTTATTAATCACTCGATACTACAAAGTAGAACGTGTTTCGTAGCTCATCATTTCATGGTACATGTACGTTGCAAAGTACCCTGGTCCCTTATGACGGTATTGAGCTAGCCTCTCGAAACTAGTAGTCGTAATTGCCCGCTCTAATCCTAGAGAGCAAGCAACAAACCAAGAATATCGCATTAAAACAAAACATACAACAGCAGGTATTCGCTCGAAGGTAGAACTACTACTCGCATTACACACCAGCAGGAAAGACCAATCTCGTCATTGAAGGTTGCCTCTTTCTTGAGCGGGTAGCTGTGTCATTGACTTAACCTCTGTTGAAGTTTGCCGCAAAGCTCAGTACTCGTAGAGCACTTACTCGAGTAAAGCCTCTGCGCCGTTGGCCAAAATTTACAACATTCCTACCCAAACATCCAACAAACTTACTAGCTCGCTCGCAAATATTACGCTTGATAACTGGTTATAAGACTGGATTTGGAAGTGAGGAAGATCAGTGGTAAGATCGGGGGGTAGGTTATGCCGGGTTACCTTGTCCGTTAAGTGAGGTAAGGCTGGAATTGTCGATCTTCAGCTCGTTGCAGTTGTTGTGGCTTCCCGGCTACCCACTGTAAGGCACAATCGAGCCTACCCCTTGCCCCTATTTTGCGAAATAAGGTATAACAGACAGCCATTTCGCTCACGATGCGAGTTTCCAAACTTCATTGTTGACAAGAACTGCATCCTACGAGGACTTTACCAAGATCCCAGCCATGCATCCATCCACGACCACCGATGCGACAACGGGTGTCTCCCCAGAACAAGATGTTGAGAAGAACTCTAGTCTGGCACCTCTCCTAACCTCCTATTCCGCCTCCGTCGCCATGGACCCAGATCCAAGCAATACTCCTCCACCGACGGCAGGGCTCACCGATGGAAAGGCAAAAAATGGAAAGCCAACGGGCGTCCAGCGTGTTTACGCCCGGAAGGGTGGGTTCCTCCTCGGCCAGTGGTTTTTTACCTTTTGGGTGCTAGGCGCAACAGCCCAATCTCTCAGGCTTGCGAGTGAACTGCGCTTTGCTGTCCCTATGCTTGCATATACTGTGGTTTGTGTAAGTGCTAGCTCCTCCAACATAGGTCACTACATGTATTCCCGTTCATGAGGCTGGGCGGGCATCTTTACAGCCCCCGGGGCTAACACAAAATCTCTAGGCCTCTATCCACGTCGTCCCAATGTACTACTTCGCTATGTCTAACAAACCTGTCTCGCCTACGAATTCGCGGCCGCCCCAGTGGTACCTAGTCACCTACGCCATTTCCTCCGTCGCATGGTTCGCCGCTATGGCCTGCGTGGTCCTTGTGCTGGTCGACACCTTGCCGTTCGACGGTGACGAGGATATCGCCAAGGGGCTGCAAAAGTGCGGCAAGCACAAAACCTATAAATGCTACCATGCCACAAAGAACGCTCAGATAAATACCCTCGCTAAGATGAACACTGCAACCGCTGGTTTCATAACGTGAGTTCGGCCTAAAGACCCCCAAGTGCCCTTCCCTTAAGGCCTAAGGCGCATCCTCTATACTAATTCGCAGCTGAACGCTTACAGTCTGTTCATTATTGGCCACTGGTATCAGATATCCAAGCTCTGGTGGTGCACATTTACGGCAGACGAGATCAGGGAGGCTTATGAATTTAATCCAAGTAAAAAGTAGATGGGTCTTGTGATATATCTTCGTCCAGACCTCTTGTTTCAAGTCGTAGAAAGTGGCCTTCTGGTCTGGCGGCGCAACGACTACCTATCCTCGGATCACGCTGACTCTATTTCGTGTTGCCCATGCACAACATGGCCTCCAGTAAGTTGATCACTTTGGTTGGACTCCCTTATCCGGCCCAAAAACAATGCCCGTATGTACATGTACAGTCTGCCTTTTCAGTAATTACTTTTAAGTCTGTATTACGCAGCTTAAGCTGTCTATTACAATGCTAATTCTAGAAGCTAGGTTAATATAAGTCGTGGCGTGAGCTAACCGCCCTAATAGGGACTTATAGAGTCTTATTTTAGTCACTTAATTCTCTTGATTTGCACCTGATAGAGAATACCTTCAACTATCTAAGGGATTAAGTAGGTAGCTATATGCTTAAGAGCGGAAGTGGGATTCAAAAAGCCCGAGCGAGATCGTAGCTGCAAGTATAGCGGATGGGGAAAATAGACAGTAAGGTGAGCAAGCCATGCCCTTCATGAAAGGACAAGCTAGAACAGTTCATTAGGGCAGAGGGTGGAAATAATTTTAGAGGGTAATAGTACTTTGCCTATATACTGCTATATAATACTATCTAATTGTACCTTTACATTTTGTAGATGTTATAGCTATCAGTAGTTTTGGTTATGACACTGTCCCGCCAAGCCTGTACATATGTACTAGACTTTTGGGCCTCACACTTCACGACAACACGATATATAATCGTCTTGCTAGACCAAACAAAGCTTCTCGCTCTTGTGGCGACTAAATTTGATTCACCACGCTCCGCAAATGAAATAGGTCTTATCTCTGCGGAAGTCTTAGACAGCGCTGGTTTAGAACAGGGTTTCGTCCGGGATTTCCTCATATCAGTTCGTCGACCAAAGGCGAACATCAAATACGTAGCGCCAGGTCTCCGTCTCCCTACGGAAGTGGGCTTCTTGCCACACCCGCTTCAGAATCTCGAGATTCCTTCCCTATTCGAAAATGACATTCTCCCAATTCCCTTGTTTGTCTCAGACACTAAGTCAACCACTCCTATTTTTGAGAACTACCCTTTCCAAGACATCTCCAATCTACCGCACGGCCTATGGACAACCTACGTCGACAAAGATGGCGAGCACGAGTTTGAAGGCGGTTGCAAACTCTGCCTCCAATTTGAGACTGGTGCAAACGGATTTTCGCGACTAACAGAAGATTCGTTTATTAGAGAGCAACTTGATAGTCGGGGCGTGGCAAAGTATAGTGGTCGGAGGACTGAATTGTACCAAGCGGGGTATAATCATTATGTCCTCGCGCATGCGCCGCAGTTGGGATATATTTAAGTCTGTGGCAGACCCTTGTGGGAGCGGGAAAGTGGGAAGTAGGTGACGAGGGCGTGTTGGGTGGGATTGAGAAGTTCAAAGAGGCGGATATGGAGGATCATTATTTTTAAGTATCAACTTAAAGTTAAATGATATATTGGCTGGCTGTTCTTATGGAGGGTGGTTTGCAATATTGATCGAGACTCGCCCTGTCTCCAGGGGATAATAAGGAGTGAGAGTTTCCTTCCTCTTCATCCTCACCATAACGCTTTCACGATTTGTTTTAATATGTTACTGGATATCCACTGCTTTAGCACTGGCGCAGTGATATAGCTCTAGTTGAATTCTGAGCTTTCGATTCCAATAGATATAACCTCGAGTGTAGAAATAAGAAATGCGAAATTCCGTTGCATTTTGACCATTCACTGGAATGGTTTTGTTATACTAGGCATAGTGGTGGATGTGCTACTTAGCTTATGTATAATGCCATATCTAAATAGTTGTAATACTAAGATGCAAGAGACCAAGGCATTTCGATATCCCAGATGGGTATGCGAGTTTAACAAGTGGAATGCAAACCCTACAGCTAGAAAATCATACTATCGAAGAGAATATAATAAATCCTTCATAGAGACATAGCCAGGAATTCTTCAAGGCCGTAGAATAATAAAATATCCTCTTTTGTTTTACGGATGCACCTATAGATTTATATCACCGTATCTTCCGCCAGTATGGCTCGTATTTGTGCGCTCAGATTCCTTCCGGACTCAAATAGGATTATGCGATTGCGCTTGATCGACTTCTGACTTGGTATGCAAATTGGCCCGCTAGGTACCCGATACGCGTTCTCCGTGGCGATACTTGTCAACGCATAAAAGATCATGGCCAAGAGTGAAATTAAGGAAGAGAAAGAGGGGAATGGGGAAGACCTTCGGCGTCAGCACTTCTGCTTTGCACGTTCTCGCTTGATGGGATCCGTCGGTGGTCATACATCTATTAACCACTATCTTCACGAGGTAGGTTTCAGGTATAAAGGTAGGGTAATGATAACATGGTAGAAGGCGGGCTAGAACTCTTGTCCGACTTTAAGCGTACATCTAGACTTTGAAGGATGAGGGGTTGATATTGACCTGCCACTAAAGTCCTAGGTACCCATACTTATGGTAACCAAATCGAAGAAAAATTGCATATACGAGACACACTTGGTGAGATTTCCCCCGCTGCTGGGCATATTATAGATTAACTTAGCTCTTATAGCTGTGGCCCAAGACATCATGCCCCTGATAAGCTAACCAAAACAAATAAACCCTCATGTAATAGTCATACCCCTCTTACTGTACGAAATCGCCACTTGGGGGAGGATGATCGGTAACCCCCACGCACAGCCCCTCTTAAAAGGAGAGGACCAAGGAAAAGCTCCGCTCATGCCTTCCCCACAAACCTGCTAGCTGCATTGGGGCTGAAGATCACAGAGCTATGCCACCCTTGACAGATGCATACGGAGTACCTATTAGTGCCACGATCGGATAATTGTGCCCCTACCAAAGCGTACCGATCTGAAGCGCTGAAATAGGGATAGCAGCGCCTTACGTCACAGCTGGTGTCCCAAAGACGGGTAGCCTATGTTTATGCAAGTCAGTTTTAAACCCAATGTTTTGTCGATAGTCCTGATAGAATCCGATCTAGTTTCAACTCCTTGGAGATTGGTCGGATTTAACCCGGGTTTTGCTGGGTTACGGAGTATTAAACGCTTATTCATAGAATGATGGCCGGAATCCCGCGGGGTGATCCCTAGCCAGCTCTAGAGCTCCAATAATGTGGGGCGCCTAGGCAAACTTTCGATTAAATGTAACAAAGGTGCCAAAGCTAGTGGGAAGCAATATAATTTCCAACCCAGCATCGTAAAAATGTGTCAGAGCCTGACTTGCCTACGGAGTATGCCTCAATAGGTAATGGTACTCCGTCGACAGGAGAAAGTTTAAATCGAGTAAGAGGACGCAAATGCGGGGAAAGCCGGGGGAAATGGATCCAGGTGAGCACTCTAAACGCCGAAGACCTGGGTAGGAGGCTGGCCACTGGTTGAACAGGGCAGATGAGAGTGCTCGCGCTGCCTCGCTGTCTCAGAGGTTCCCAACGCTCCTTTGATATGTATTGGTGATCTAAATAGGACTGGACCGCATGCGGAGGCGGGATCTCCCGCAGCAGGTGATCCGTTTGCTGGACGGCACAGGGGCTATTGGGCGTCGTCGGCTCAACCCAAAAGCACCAAATACCGTTGAAACTCGAATGAAGCTGGTGTGGAGTAGCTTGCCGAGACACACACACGTGGACGGTTTTTGATCCTGAAATACTACTGGGGAACACTCGTTGGCACGGAGGAGCATCGGCGTGCCTCGGGCTGGCTGGCAGAGTTGCATGCGTGGTCGAAAGCCGGCGAGGCCACCTTACTCAGTAGGTACCAAAAGGCCATAGAAAACTAACTCTGGACGAGGGCTGGCGGGACCCCTCAACAACATAGGCTTCGGGAATCGAGGACAGCATGATCTTGCATGAAGAGTCGGCAGGATCGGCTGATGAGGAGCATGTTCTGCGGCGAGACTGCATTACATTACCGGTCGACCACGTCAATTGCAACGGGTACTTGTCAAGTTGTCAGGCCGTTCGAGGCCAAGCACGCATGGTCCGAAATGGTATGCTGGGTACGACCACTACTTCGTACAGAACGGCCAACCACGCCTTGACCATCCCCATGCCGACTCTTGCGTTTCTTCCGCGGAATTCCATTCGTAGCTGTGTTTGAAGCCTGCCTTCAAGGCTCTTCTGTTATCTGAAGTGTTTCTGCATCGGGTAAATTTCTAAGATGGATGACCTTCGTACATCAGCACACTGGCCAATATTCAAGGACCAAAGGACATTGTGGGCGCCGTGGATGGGGAAATGAGGGGAAATGCATTGACTTGCAGAAAATGGTTAGGAGACCCAAATCACTGAGCTGAGCAGCGCTGGAAAAGCCCACCATCTCGTGACAGATCCAATCTTAGCTGCAGTTGCCGTTGGACTTGTTCAACCTTGCCGGGCTTCAGATGAGTGCTACTAAGTACTAGGTTGTAAAACTGGTAGCCCAAGAATCCGTGCCAGCAAGTGCTCAAAACTTCCCGGGTAGTTATTGCCGGAGAACGTCTGCGTTTCTGCCGATCTTCTGACTCCTTCCGGTGGGCACTCCTGCCGATGGCGATTATGTCGCTCGGATAGTCGTGAGGACTGCTCGGAGGTGCTCAACAATGCCTCAAAAGCCTCGACGAGGAGCCCCTTGCTGGGGGCGAGAGCGCGGCAGACCTTGCCCAGCATGTCGATGGGGGGCAACTTGTAACTGGCAAGGCCCAAGGCCCAAGACCCGCTTCCAAGAATACACGCCGCCCCCACGCCCGCTGTGACCACGGCGTCAAGGAAGCTGTCAGCCAGAGTCAGCCAGACGTTCCCAGGAGCCATGATCCTGGATATCCTAGGTTGCTTGGGGCGTGGTCAGCAGCTCCCTTCTCCAGTCGAGGAGCTGGCGCGACCAGGAGCCTGGAGGGAAGGTCAAGGAGCGCGCTCTTGTTGCGGAAACTCCAAGACCAAGAGAAGTAATACTATCCCGCAGAGCAGAAGGAGAGCAAGCCAGGCAGGCAAGGGCGGAGACATTGGCAACGCCGCTGTCATTGCCGCTGCCATGGCACTAGATCCGTGAAGCTTTGCAGCGGTCCGTCGAGAAAAAAAAACCAAGTGCGAATAGGAGCAGCGGGCCAGGAACGAGACGAACGAGGTCGGCGATGGGTTGAGTGGTTGTGCGGTTGAGTGGTTGAAGGTTTGGAGGTTGCTCTGGTGGTGATTAGCGACTTGTCAAGCTGCCAAAGCTGCCGACCAAGGACCGACCGACCTCCAGCTCCACAACCCCGCGAACACGATGACATCCACGGCTGCAGCGTAGACATCACCCGACTTCGCGCCTTCAACCACCTGCAACATAGCGCCGACGACAAGACGACAAAACGAGAAGACTGCAGACAGTGCGAGTGCGTAGTACGGAGGCGCTCAATTCAACGGCATGCCGATAGCCTAGCTTCACACCGAGCCCAGCCCAGCCCAGGCCAATGCGATCAAAGCCTCTAGCTCGTTTCCGCCTCCCTCCCTCGAGCGCTGGCCTCGCTGGCACCCCGAGGGTCCATCACGCAGCTTTGTACGAGCACTCTTGCTGCTACGCCCACGCGTCTGCAGCTGCATATGCTGCGATGGTATGATATGAGCCCGAGCCTGAGCCTCCTCCATTGCTTTTGTAAGCATGGATATGGGCCATGCTTGTTGCTGCCAGGCCTCCAACTCCCGTCTCGTTCCAGCTGCTTGGGAAATGGGAATAAGCAAACAAAGTGTGCCCATCGAAGAGATTACTCCGCACGATGTACGTAGTACTACATCCGAAGAGGGAAAAGACAGCAGGGCTGGCCGGGTGGACTGCTGCGGCGAGTAGTCCACAGGATGAGGAACTAGAAGGGGGAAAGCGCCGCCACTGGACAACCTCTTTAGCTGGGCGAGAGTTGGTAATATCATTGGAGATCTTCGACGACATATCACCTCGAACAGGCACGCCGCCCGACGTACGACTTACCCCATAGTAGGGCCCATATACAGGACCCCGGTACCGAGTATATCGGGGAGAATATGCTTTGCTTTGCTCGATTGGTGCTATCTAAACAGGATCTACCGGTATTTGATACTCAAGACATGCAATTATTAGACACATCATATGTGATAAATCTCTCGACTGTGCAATGTTACTAATCTGCTATTGCCAATGACTACTCACCAAGACTAACTAACCTACCTTACCTGCGGCAGTTGGACGAAGCCGGCAATATCGGTCCTTCTAACTCAGAATATCTAGTACGAGAAGTTGCCCGAACGCCCGTTTGGAGGCAAGAAAGCCGACGAAGACAGGAGTCAAGAGTCAGCAAGCACCGCATGCTGCCATGCCGAGCCATGACGAGCCATGAGGCACGAGGCCAAACCTGCAAACGGTCCCACCCCCACACTACTGTCAAGCCACATCGCCAGGGTAACGAGTACTTGGTACCGTCGGGGGATTGGAGAACATGGGCTCCCAAGGACACGAGGGAACAAGGGACTGTCCTCAAGCAAACCAGCAACTCTTATTCGGTGCAAGGCGCCCGAAAAGCACTTTGGACTTTATTGCCCGGGGCATTGCCCAAAGCCCGGCGCCGTCTATAGCAAATCATGAGCCGGTTCTCGGAGGCTTCTCCTACGCCACCCAGGAACAACGAAACACTACTTAACCCAGGGAGATGCCAGCGTCGATACTCCATATCCAGGAGAACAAGATCTACTGTACCTTTTAAAGTATCTTAAAACAGACATCCCACCTCCTACCCTCAACCCCGCCCCCTTTTACCTCGATCTCCACTTTCACGTTGACCCCTCCACCTTGAACCTGATCTCCACCTGTCTCCCTCGACTACTATCCCCCACCTCTAGCCGCGGTTTATTTCTCTCTGTTAATTACAAATTCAAATAAACCAGAAAAATAAGCTGTTTCCTAGCGGCAACTAGTGGGGACTGTCGACGCTTCCTCCTGTTTCGACAAGTTGCTCTGGCTGTGTACTTATTCTCACATTCTCCCGCACCGTGATTGTTATCATGGCTCCTCACAACGATGCACCTTCTCCTGCTGGCAGTTTCACTCAAGGTTTCCACGGTCTCGCCTTCCGTCAAATAGGCAACTCCAATCTGCGAAACTCCGACAGTACTCCCAACAGCATATATTCAGACCCAGCATTAAACGATTCTCAGTACAGTTCCTCCCACAGCAGCACCTCCATGGATGCAGAAGATCACATCTCTCGCCCATTGGAGGCGGGGGTCTACGTTCCCACGATCTGTTTCTTCGATCCCGTCACGGAAGACCTCGATACCGCAACCATTGCTAGTCATGCCGTCCGTTTAGCCAAAGCTGGCGTCACCGGCCTCACAACCCAAGGTTCCAATGGTGAAGCTGTCCACCTCACCCATGCCGAGCGCCAAACTGTCACGGCAACGACGCGGTCAGCACTCACCTCGGCCGGCTTCTCACATATGCCCGTCCTCGTCGGCTGCGGTGCTCAATCCGTTCGAGAAACAGTTCAATATTGCCGCGAGGCTTACGCCGCAGGAGGCGATTATGCTCTTGTCTTGCCACCCTCGTACTACGCACCTCTGTTCTCTCCATCATCAGCGAGCGTTCTGGAATTCTTTCGCTCGGTTGCAGACCAGTCGCCGATTCCCCTAGTGATATACAACTATCCGGGAGCGGTCTCTGGAATGGACTTGTCCTCCGATATCATCATCCAACTCTCTGCACACCCCAACATCGTAGGCGTCAAACTCACTTGCGGCAATACAGGAAAGCTCAACAGGATCGTTGCGGCTACCAAATCCGGGAAGACTCAATCGCCCAACACTCCAGCTTTCTTAGTACTAGGAGGAAGCGCAGATTTCACCTTGCAGAGCCTAGTGGGTGGAGGCCATGGGATTCTTGCTGGGTTGGCGAATATTGCACCAAAGTCCTGTATCGAACTTATCCGTTTATACAAGGCAAACAAGTTCGCTGAGGCGCAGAAGATTCAGGAGGTTGTTGCGAGAGGTGATTGGGCTGCTATCCAGGGAGGCATTGTCAGCACGAAGGCCGGTATGGAGAGCTGGCTTGGCTATGGAGGATATGCTCGCAGTCCATTGCCACGTCCGACCACTGATGAGAGTGCAAGGTGGAAGGAAGGATTCAGAGAGTTGGTAACCTTGGAGAAATGCCTATAACTGAGTCGTGGGCGATATCTTCCAATTCGAGTTATCATGGGCGTGGTGTTGTAATGGGTTGAGTGTTATGTTGCATTGATGTCGTCCGTTTGCATTTGACGGGACGACCCGTCTCGCTCTCGTTTTGCAGTTATTAAAAGCGTCACGGCCTTACCTTCATTTACGGCCAAGGCATCTAAGTTTCTTTGACGGACGATACATGGTTTGGCTGGTGGTGGCATGGCGTCTGGAACGACCCGTCATTCACCAGACATCATGCATAGCGAGTCTTCCTTTTCGGCAGTCAATCTGTATTACTCCTGGTTCTGCGTTGCTATCCTCTTATCCCCCGCCTCGTCCTATCCTTTGCGCTGCTCTCTAATATCTCCCCAAGCGGTTACACACGACACAAACCCCCAAAATTTGACACAAAAGTCTCGACCTAGACAAGAATTTGTTGCCTCAAGATACTCCAAAAACAAGCCGAGCGGACAAAAGCCGAAAAAAGATGCCAAAATTTCTCGAAAATGGAGGAATTGGTGGTGTCTTTAGATAATTAGATAAAGAAATGAAAGCTTCGCAGCTCCGTCACATCCTTTTTGTGCATTGATTCCTCTCAGCCCCCTAAACGTCCAACTATTGAGCCCCTAACTCCTTTTTTATCGAGCTTATCTTTGAAATTCGTTATCTGCGTGCATAACCAGCGGCCGCACCAGCATTTCAGTTTTTTTGGCTCAGGGGAGAGGTTCGGTAAAAAAGCAAAAGCCAGCCCCTAAAAAGGAAATTCCAATGCAACCCGTTCCTTTTCAATAGTTAGCCGGTCGGCAAAGTCTCATATCGCGGAACCACATCCGGTTTTACATTTTCCCGTCGTCTCCAAGTTTTTGCTTTTTCTGGTCCTCGGAAACCTTTTGACCAAGGTTTCTCCAGAGTCCAAACACGAGAAGAACCCTTGTGAAGGAAGGCAAGGGGTGCCATGTTTCTCCTACCTATCTTATGATATCGCGTTCTATTATATAGCCATGAGGTGATATTTTTAGAGCTACAGTAAATGCCTCGAGCTCTCTCGCGCGAGCTAACCCCACGAGTACGACTCTGCAACGTGACACCAACCCCGAGAGATCTGTACCACAGGGGAGCCCGGCACCTGGAGAGACCACACTTGCCGACAATCAGGTCAAAGGGTTCCAAGTCGCCGAGTAGGCGGCGAAGCAAATTATAAATATGGCAAATAGTAAGTAAGTCCTTAAGTTGATTACCCTACATCTTTATAAAATAATCACGCTGCGTCTAAATCAGTCACCTTTCGAATTTAGAATTAACTTTGCTACTGCTCCGTACGTAGGTATTAAATTTGATAATTCCAGGTAATAAAGGTAATTGCATGTCGATTATTAAGTATATTCACATATCCATCTCTCCTTTTCAGGGACCAAAATGTCTAAATTTCTTTGCTTTAGCTATTCTAGAAAGATTTAACTATAGATCACGCCCTTTGGCATGGATGCTACCCGTAGGAACAGGGCGAGAAGATTTGAAGTATATCCAACCTTGTTCATTATCTGGATGTTTCAAAGGCACAGAACACACAGCAGTTTTCTAGTTTGTTCAAAAGCCGGGTTTAGGAATTGAAACATTGAAGTTTTGCGAAATGGGATAAATCTCTTTATGCTATGCACATAGAAGTCTAATATCAAATCTTTGAGTGGAAAAGGGGGGAATGGTCACGTGGACCCACGGTTCTGCCCCTGGGCCCAGAGGTCGGAAATCGAGATTATCCCCTCATCTGGCAGCCACTGCCTACGCTAGCAGGGAATATTCCTGGGTATTTGATAGGAGAAATCATGTTATTACTTAGTTAAATTTGACATATATCTTATAATACTTGTAAAACGCAGGGGCCAGTAGGGGTGGTGGATTAAGCGCGGCGCCTGCCAGCGTACGCAGTGGCTGCCAGACGAGGGGATACATGTTTAAGCTGATTTAAGAGTAAATTGGGTAGATGGAGAGGAAAAGAATATTTAACCAATTGAGAGATGAAGTATGTCGAGATATGCCAGGGGTCATCTATTAGCGAATCAAGTGCGGAAAGTCTGTAAATGGTGTATAAAATTCCAAAGTCCCGCTCCAGCCTCTATGATTTATATCATATATGAAGGCGCTAAGAAAATACCAGAAATATCAAACGCTATCTTACCTACTATTCTAAAGGCCGAAATAAATCAAAGGTACCCCCAATTTTTTTTGAAATACCAGTATCCCGAATCATGGGATGTTCAATACCCCTCATTAACACCAGGAACGCTGTAGCGTGAGGAAGGGGCAAGGTATGTTTCATAGCCAACTTGACTGCCTCCACTAGAGCTGATGCTTGTAGTAGGACTGGCGAGACCACTTCGTATACCAAGCCCTCCATCACCTCCATCGTCTCGACCTGGGCCCAACTCACCATAACTGCCCACACTTCCGTCGCCTCTTGGAGGACCGATGCTAAACCCTCCTGGCGCACTATTTCCAAAGGATCCGAAATTAAATCCTTCCACTACATTCCTACTCCTACCCGCACCGAGAATTTCGCCTTCGCTACCAGCACGACTGAGAGCCGGCTTTTCGGGGAGAGCTTTCAGTAACCCTGTTGAAGTATCCAGCATCTCCATTGCGAACTCTGTTAACCTGTGGTTTCCGTCCCCGGAACCGCCCTTGCAGCTGACTCCTAAGGTCCAACGATACTCTGCTAATCGCCTCCGATACCATTCTGCCTCTTCCTTCCCTGGTGAGGTCGCCCAAAGCAGAGAACCAAAGGTGCCAATCAATGCAAAGTTCGTTTTGGAGGCGAAGTACCAGAATGCTCGTAAGTGCGATGAAGTGAGTCGGTTTACAAAGTCCATTGCGGAGATGAGGCGTGTTTTTGCGGCCGAGCGGCAGATATGTAGAATGTAGGGGTCTAGCGTGGGTTTCGTATCCGGAGGGGAAGCGTCTGGAGATGAGAGTGAGCGAATGATACGGCGATGGAGAGTGATCTCTGTTGCGAAATATGCGAGGTGAAGGAAGCCTATCGAGGAGAGTTTGCTTCCATTCGATGAATCCATACGCAAACAAGCGGGCAAACCTGCAAACCAGTCCTTCAGTTTTAACTGCACAGGTTTGGCAAGCTGCAACACCAGATGCGTCCCTTGGGGTCCGGCTGCGTTAACGGTCGCTATTGCCTGAAGGGTATAGAATGTATCTAGTACTTCAGCTGCAATCTGGGACAAATTTATCATTTGAATGAAGAGGAGGCGTCCACGTTCGTATTCGGCACTTTCGACGGTATCACTTTCGTCAAACTCAACATCGGGGAAGTCGTTTTCAGATAAGGGTGTCACGGCCCAGTTGGATGCGAAGATGTGGGAGGGTCGTCCGTGAACTAATGATCCCCACTTGTCCTGCATATATAAGCCCCAGGCCAGACGCTTCCGAAGACCACGCTCCCACGGCGGAATTTTCCAGGCAGAGCAGTCAAGATGAAGCCCCAGCTCTTGACCGATGGCTACAAATTGCGCTGTTGGTGCCCACTGATCTCCTTCTGGACGTTGCGAGAGCAGTAACCCAGCTTGTACAGTGGACAACTTTGGCCTATACATTGCCTCTGCTAGGGTTATGCGAGCAAGCCGTTCAAGCTCTCGGAGATTAGGTCGGGGTATATTTGCAAGCTCATTGCTATGATCCCACCAATTGATAGCAAGAATGTACACTGCCGCAAGAAGAGGGGGAGAAAACTCCCGATATGAACGATTATACTTCTCGAAGAAGACTGTCTTCTGAAGTATAGGAAAGTTGGGATGTATGATGCGGAAATATAAATCCAGCAATGCCGGCCCATGAGGGGAAACAATATTTTCAATGGCATCAACATCTTCAATCACATGCTCGTGACCTGGCGTGGTATGATCAGGTAACATCAGAAATGTATCTGTCTCGCTGACCTTTCGCAGAGTGCCCCTGGATAACAAACTCTCATCATGAGGATCGAACTCCGACAAATCAATCAGAGATGGCTCGAAGTCCGTCGTCGGGCCAATGTACTGACTGTATCGATCATTCTGTAGCCCAAGGGTTCGTTTAAGTAGTATTGGCCCGCCAATATTGGCCATGTCTTCAATTAATGAATTGGTAGCACCAGTGCTCGAGATACTAGACCTGGCAAGTCGTTGTCGTTCCCCGTCGGTTCTATCTGGCGACCTACGAACACGTGGATTGTCAGCGTTAGTCAGAATTTATCAGAATACGGTAATGTGCGGGTTAAAAAGGTCATCCTCGAGCAAATAAAGCATACCTCCTTTTGGAAACTGATTCCTCCTTACCCTCCGTATTTAATTTTCTCTTTCTTGGCTGTGGGCTCTGGACAAAAGTACACTCTTGTGAATGGAACTGGCACATCACACAACTAGTCTGGTCCTCAGTAACCACGCATCTGTTTTTCCTCCTCCTGCACGCGTCACAGGGTCTATCCTTCCGACTTCTGAGATTGGATCTTGAATCCCCCGACGTTGAACTGCTTATGCTTGGGGAAAGCTCACCCCTGCCGTTAGAGTTGCCGTTTGGCATCTCGACGGAGGGCTCGATGTTACGAGGTTTGCGAGCAGCTATAGTAATTGGCGCCGTGCGGGCGACCGCCGTGGGGGAATACATGGCTTATGAGGCTCGATTGGAGTGCCGAGTCAGCACCAGGTACCCGAAGGATGTGGTGAGCAGGTAGCCTGCAAATATGGTGCAGCTTGACTTCGAGAGGGAACGAGATCTCTTTTCAGACTGGATAATCAGGTCGTCCGTTGGATAGGTGAAGTTGATTGTGGGGCCGGAATCGTGTGCCTTACACTTGATAAAATGTGATAACCCGGATTTTAGTGGGGAAATTGATGTAATGATCGAGGTCGAACCGCCGGTCTCAAAACAGCCACTCCAGCCACTCGAGCAAGTTCAGTAAGGCTAAAGCAACTCGATGGTGTTGCTACTGGTTCAATGAGAACAGGGAATGCGCCTATCTCGCCTCCCCACCCTCTCTATCGTACAGAAATCGGGGATTAGCACCGGGTACGATGCTTATCAGGTCGTGGGGAAAGGCCAGATAGAGTTTGGATGAGAACGGGGGACCTGCAGCGTGGGCTGTCTGTTGTTTTCTTTTGGATATACCGTAGATATATCAGAGATAACAGATAAGCAGGCCTAGTCAAGCACCGGGGAACCACAACCCAGGAAGCTGCCGATTCGGATGTTTTGCGGAGAGATCTCTGGGTCAACGGCTCTCGCTGCTGCACGATCCCGCTAGCGATTGAAGGAGGATGAGGTAGCTGATGGTTTTCGGCGTCATTGAAACTGCGGTGGGGGATGCGAATCGGTTCGAGCCCGGAGGGTATGACGGTGATCTACACCCGCGCCGTATCAAAATATAGTAGCGAGCTGGCCACGGTTCTAGGAAGAACTGGGGACCAAAAGAGTTCAGGTTGAGAGGTTAGGAATGAGGACAGGAACAGAAACGGCAACAGGAATGGGAAATAGGAACAGCAATTTAGAATATGGATGCGTCGCGGACGTGGGACTACTTTTTTTCAACCTGGGGCAGAAATCAGCATGCAGGATGAGTAGTCTGTAGGTAATAGTTTGGTGGTTGGTGGGTGCAAGCACAAACGTCGAGCAGCGGGAGAGAACGGGATTAATAATTAGCCTCGTACCTCGCAGCAGGGTGGTGATAAGTGAGATACGCCCAGTCTCGCCAGTTCGGGGCCAGGACAGACGAGTTTCCGCATCCGCGAGTCGCGAGATAAAGTCAGGTTTCGATTGTCAATCAATGACACCAGCAAACCCTCCATATAGCATCGCCGTACGTAATCCCTATGGCCTGACTGGCTGGCGAGCTGGCTGGCCTGGATGAAGTCGGTTCCACGCTGGCCGTCTTGCTCAACAGAGCCCATCACCGACTGCCTGACTGACTGACTTGAACTGGCGGACCGGCAGGCATTGCACAACGATCCTCCGCAACGCTCACCACTGAGACGCAGCGATTTCCTTATCGCAGAGATTAAATGCAGTATGATGCTGTGCTCCAGAGGGGGCCCGTAACCTTGCGTTGCCTGGCGTCCTTTACTCCGTACATAGCGCACTGCTAGCAGCACGAAGCACGAAGTAGCCTGTACGCAGTCGCACGTACATATCTGCGGTACTACCTTATTACTCTGTACAGGAAGTACGGAGCACGGTAGTCATCACTACTCCAGTAGCTACTATTATAGCACTGGAGCACAGTAGCACCGTGGCCCAGTAGCTACAAGAGCCTAGCACTGTCCCAGTGAGCGGTCAGCGCCAACCGGTCTCCAAGTCGCGCGGCACGGCGCCCTTCTCCCGATTATTATCGTGATGGCGATCGCCAACCCCACAGCTAGCGACGTATGTGGAGGCTGTGTTGCTCAAAGAATCGTTATCGCTGCCTGCTATTGGGTCCGGTTGCAACAAGAGCGCGGTCTGCCGTCGCAGTGTGCATTGATGCTGCCAGGGGCTCGAGATGCGTGTTAGGTAATGAGAGCGATATGCCGCAGATTCGTCGGTTTGGTTTTTTTCTCCAATTCTTTTGTGTCACTCTTTGAGTCTCTGGAGAGAGGGAGAGATACGACGTACCACGGTACGAAAGTACCGCTCCCGCACGTGATCTTGCCACGTGACACCACCCCAGGCCCGTCCCACAATTTGATAATAAGAAAAGCTCGCCCTCGATCCACTGACCTGGCTCCTGGATTACGCCGTAGAATCATTGTGGCGGGAAGTGGGACTATGAAATAAGTACCGAGACTTTGCTAAGAGGCTGTCAGGCCGCTACGTATTTGTCACCGCCAGAACCACGGTAATTGGCATCGATATGGCCATTTCAGAAGGAATGAAAAGAATAAGGGGTCTGTGACCATGACAACAAGTTTAGTAATAGAGGTGCTTGGCGTGAACCTGTCTTAAATATCTCGAGGTCCCGGTTCCCCCGACGTGGTTGGGGGACTTTCCAAGTTAATCGAATCATCAACCACCTGCCCCTCGTCATGTAGGTCGCCCAAGACCTCTTCCAAGTCCTTGGCCAGTATTGAAAGTTGCTCATCGAACCCAGCGCCTGCCAGGATAGTCACGCCAAATGGCAATGTTGTCTTTCTAACTCCAGTAGCTGCGGTGTCATCGGTGTCATAGGTTCCACATGGAATGGCGACACCAACCAGATCGAGGACATTGGCAAACTGAGCAAATGCTCCCAGCTTTACGTTGAGTCCAATCGGATCGTCTTCAACCTCTGCGATGGTGGGATGGAAGGGTGCGGTTGGAACCACCACGGCCATGAAGATATCTTCATCTGCGGGTGCATCATGGTCACAAGCTAACATTTCCTCCACGGCCCTCTTACATTCGGCTTGCTTGTGCAGATCACGAAAGAGATCTACTGCCGAACTATTCCGTGTTAAGGCGCCTTCAAGGACTTGCTTGGTGACTGGATGTAGTAACTGCTTATTTTCTTCGAACCAACCGCCAGGCAGAATTGTGAGCCGTTCAAGGACGAAGGAGCTGCTGTACAATAAGTCATTCGCAGAGGAAAAAGGCGCCCAGTCGATGGTCACGGGCTCTCCAGCTCTCGCCTTGAGGATTTCAACGACCTGCGCAAATTTCCTGCGGTACTCGGGACTGCATTGTTCAAGAGCTGCATTAGGCGGGACACCGAAACGGACACCGAAGTGGGCAGATGACACTTTTCCAGAATGACATTGTGGATATGATAGGGACGGTCGCTTGGAGAAGACGTCGCGTTTATCAAAGCCCCTGCAAACTTTCCAAACGGTTTCCGCATCATGGATATTGGCGGCCAAAAAGGAGACGGAGTCTTGATGTCGAGAAGCTGGGTAGACACCTGAAGTAGAAACCGTGCCCTTCGTAGGCTTGAAACCAACAACTCCATTGTATAACGCTGGCAACCGAATGGACCCGGCCGTGTCACTGCCCAGAGAGAATGACACTAGTCCACCGCTCACAGTAACAGCACTACCGCTGCTGGACCCACCAACAATATGGCTGTCGCTGAAGGTTGAATGGAGAGTTCCATACGGACTTCGACAGCCCGTCATTCCTGTAGCAAGTTGTTCCATATTTGTCTTGCCAATGAAGAGGCCACCGGCATCGATACAGCGTTGATAGACGGGCGCAGAGGAAGTAGGTGTGAAAGCGAGAGCTGGACAGCCAACCGTCGTAGGTATACCGGCAACATCTATGTTATCCTTGACACTGAAAGGGATCCCCCAAAGCGGCGGCCGGTTCGTGGGATTTGGCCAGCGGGTATAGAGCCCATGTGCAGCCTTCATGACCTCGCCTATAGGGTGGAGGTAGATCCATACGGACGACTGAACTTCATTGTACGCATCAATGCGGTCATAGACAGCTTGAACTACATGCTGAGGCTTGATACCAATTTCATAATCCGTCGTAAGGCTTGAGATATTGAGACTTGAGTCCCAGCGATCCATCCCTGACATTTGATCGTCATCCCACGAGCGTAACATGCATAATTCCTCATAGACTTTTGGGCCCTCCTCTACTATTGCTCCTGGTAGGGTCATGGAAAACCCATCAAGTGCGACGAAACCGAGCTTTCGGTACAAAGGTAAAGCAGTAGTCGTACTCTCAAGATATATCGGGATATTGTCCCGCTTGGACCTTGAAAGACCCCATTCGGTCAACAGGCTTGCGGCGCCCCGTCCTTGAAAGGCAGGATCGGTGCCGATGAAGGTGAGTCCTGTGTGCATAGTAATAAGCATAATGTCTCTATGTGGTGTATAGTAGCGAAGAAACGGGTAGCAGTTAAGCTGGCCATTGCCATTGCACCCCTACCACAGCGTGAGTCAAGGAAACTTCAACTTAATGCGGGGTTCCAGGCCGTACAATAAGAGTCAAGGCTCGGTTTTATTGAAAAAAATTGGAAATAGGAAGGAAGCTTACGATAGCATGCCGCATCCCCGATCACTCTGTCTTTAGCAGCTCCAGCTAAACCAAGGTAATCTTCAAGATATTCCTGCCTCACATCCTCGTGCCAAAGAACGTGTGACTTGGGGTCCTGCAGAACGCCAGGCAAATCCCATTTCGCAAAGCTTATGATTTGGCCATTGGCCTCTGAGTCTCTTACCACCAACACAGCCTTTCTGGCGGTCTCAGTGGTTTCAATGGCGTGTAGCATCTCTTGAATTAGAACAGATCGCAATGACGCGAGACTTGGGACGGTTGGGAACTGAGCATGGAGGAGAATATTGGAGCTGAAAGCTGCAAGGTGGATGTCGGCAATCCGGTCGACATCAACAAGACTTGCATTGGAAAGTTCGAGGACCATTTTGGATATAAGTTGGCAGAGTATCAGTCAACACTTAGTGAACGCTTTGATTTTAAAGGGTCATGAACATGTGCGGCATCCACAGCTGAAGACGAGGCGCAAGTAGCAAGCGATGGGGATTTGGATTTCAGGATAGAGTGCCGCGAGATACCTAGTTAGTGCTGAAGCCAATGGCCCGGCTTCGTACAAGAATTGTATCGCTGATCGATGTTGGGTTCTGGTTTGGTTCCTTTAACTGTCGCGATGAGAGAGTCGGGATTGTTAGGTCTGCCTAACAGGGGAACCACCACCCTTGGATCGACTTGGCACTTTCCCCTTATCGACGTGCATATTGTTACCTGTCCGGCGAAAATTACTAACGGCGCCAACTTGGCAGCGACACAAGCATTACTGCCTAGCAGGGCTAATATAAGTTCCATATACGTACCTAGGTACCTAGAACATGCTGTCCCTACGAAAAGCCGCAAGTCGATCTAGGTGTCGCTGATAATCAGCCGATATTCTCCCGCAAGCGAAATACGGTGCTCAATACTCGAGAGCGAGAGGGAGAGAGAGACTCTCCCTCCTGAGACACAAGCCTCCGAACGCCCTTTGTCGTGTGCAACATGACCGATTTGTTTACTTCGTATACCTGTCGGCTTCTACATACCCACCCTGCAGCGCAATTTCTCTTATTACGATGCCCGCGACAAAGAAATATACCTATTTTTATTTATCTTCGATAAGGCTGTGCAGTTTGTGCTTCCAGAAGCCTGATTGATCCCATCATCGTGGAAGCACATACGAGGTATCCTCATGACCGTCACCGACGCCGCCAACACGGAGTATCCCCACCTATCGTACCACTCAAAGTACAAGTACTACCCAGCGAACAAAGACGCAGTGAATCCAACCCAGCCAGTGACCGAAACGAACCCAGGGCGCCGGCCACGGCAATCGACGGCAGTATCATGTTGCATCCCTCGCTGGCTACCGGCATGAATCGTAAGGTCTGCCCTGGATTTTTGGAAGATTGAAGCCCGTCTCCTAAGATCAAGGGGGACGGGCACAATCTTGAGACCACCCACTCAAATCGCACGATGGTAGCCTCTAAGGCTGTTCATTGCAGCCATGGCTGTACTTTGCTGAGTATATGTGGGCAGCTGTGGCGTCGGTCCACTCCGGTCGCGACGTGCTTTGAGCTGCTGGAATGTGTTCTAGTCCCAGCAGACTTGAAAGGAACAACTATCATCACGCGATCTATAGGGTCTCAAGACTCCAACATATAAAATGAAAGAAACTCGTGCGCGAGGACAGTAGGTGGTAATAATCTCCCTAGGATCTCGGCCTGGCCAGTCTCTCTCGTCTTAATTCATAATTCATAACAGCTCATTTTTAATAAAACCTCGACCGTCGGCGATGATGTCAAACTATATTGGTAATGAACCTCTTCCTTGCCAAAAAAAAAAAGTCGAGTGCAGATTAAGCTAAGTTGAGATATGCAAAGATAATCCTTAAAGGCTGACTCGTTTCCTGAAAAGGTCATAATTTGGAGGTAGCGGTTCCTGTCCCGGCCGCCTACAGCCGCAACATATCCTATGATTCTTTGTAAGGGACAGTCCATGCCCCTGCTGCTCCGGCAGATACGGGCTGGATGAGCAAGCTGAAACATGACACGATCGACTATGATGTGGCCAAAGTTGATATTATCAAGGATGGCGGGGGCCGGAGCCCCGGGAGGAGGCAAATTTCCGTCCTGATGTTGATTCGGGGTTCGCGGTTGTACATCAGGGGCCTGGCCATCGCAATGATGATTGTCTCGCTCTCCCTTGTTTTGGGGGCTGTCATAAAGTTCGAACACGCCCGGAAAGCCCCTGGACGCCCCTTGGACTCTGTTCCACAACCAACCCCAATCACCGACTATCCTTGCCGCGTGTTTACTGGCATCGCGTCAATGAATCTTGGTCTTAGCATTACTATCTTTAGCCTTTCGTGCATCTCCAGCAAGGTACGTGCCCAGTAAGCACGTGTATCGCAACGGTATACTAATGATTGGACTAGGTTAGAAAAACTGACAACGTTATTAACGATATATTTGCAATACTTAGTGCGATTGGGTTTGTAAGTTCCATGGGCGCGTGTTTCTTCCTCAGCAAACGAAATGCGCTTCAGGTCGATCTATGGTTCGTTGATCAACGTCAGCCAATCTTAGAATACAGTTAACAATTTTAGGCAATGGGCGTGCGACAACCACAGAAACGCTGTCTCGAGTTCAGCTCTAGACTTCAAACTAATCTGCGAAGTGGTCGACTACGGGTGGAAGTTCGGTCTTGTCCAGGCCTCCCTCGAATTGCTAACTTTTATCGTCTCCATTGCAGCGTTTTGCATCTTGAAATATTCTTTATTCGCTCGATTCGGAGCTGTTGGGAAAATATTTTAAATATTACATGTATTAATACTAAGCTTCATTACCTAACCCCAGCATTTTGTCCGTTTTGATTCTTTTCTGCTGAATTGTGCGACTATATTGCTTTTTTCTTCTTCTAGTCATTTTATCTACCCCTGACTGACGCGAAGCGGTGTGTTGTGGCTTCACTGGCGCAGCGATCTGCATGCTGATAGACGTCGTACTCGGCGCCGGGCGCTTGCACCCCTAGTTACTAGGGAATGTCTGAGATCCTAAGTATCCTTCATATCCAAAGAGTTACACGGCGTAGCCAGTTGTGGGATTGGGTTCGGGACGCTACGCTCCTGTACAACCACAAAAATTCGAAGTTGATCACAAAAGCATGGACTTACGGATCTCCACAACTGTACGACACATTATGCGCGGGTACGAAGGACCGAATGCAAGCTCTAGCTATGGCCGCCACCACTTCCTCAGTTCTATTACATCACACGTAAATAGTTCTATTTTTACCAATTATTTCTTGGTACTATTCTAGCGTGAGCTCGTATTTCTTGCTCTTGGACATTTATTCTTTTGCAGGCAATCGGATACGGCGTTGGAATTGACACATGTCACCTAGAACTTGTGGCCAAGGAAAGCAGATTTTTCAGTCAGTCTTTAACGTATGACTACTTCGTATTTATTGGCGATTCATGTTCCTAGTTCAAGACATCAAATCACAATATCCGCGGACCGTTTAGATCTGCAGCCATGCGCTCGGACATTTTCTGGAGGGGTTCTTTCGATTGGTAATGTTGAGGAGGTGGCTTTTATTCTATTGTTATCACACTTGATAGTCATATACTGACTCTGATCCCGCTCTTGACCCTTTGTTCCCATCCCACATATCGGCGTTCTTGGACAAGCCACGCAGTTCAAGATGCTCTTTCGATACCTCAGTTCCTTATGGCTCTTTTCTTGGGCGTTTTTCATCCGTGTTGCTATCACTGCTGATGTTCCCGTTGGCGTACCTGGAGGACCGCAGTACTACCCCGTTACTGGGAGCAACAGTGGTGTCACTTCCCAATCAGGATCAAGACCATTTAGACGGAACATTCTTGACCTTCAGAAAGATGTTCCCGCATGGTGAGTGAGACAAGCAAAAATGCAATGGTAATTACAGCTGGCTAACAACATATCGATTTCCAGGTCGTTGTACGTGCAAGCGCTAGCTTCGATGCAGAAAGCTAACGAAAGCTCTCAACTGTCGTACTTTCAAGTTGCCGGTTAGTACTCCTTCGCTCATAGGTAAATAGATGGCTCTGATTATATTAGGCATTCATGGTAGACCCTACATAACCTGGAATAATGTCAATGAGGTCCCGGGTTCCAGCTGGAGAGGTTATTGTACCCATAGTGAGATTTTATTTCCCTTCCTGGGCAAGACTTTATCTAAAAATGAGCAGGCTCTGTTCTATTTTTGAACTGGCACAGACCCTATCTAGCACTCTTTGAGGTAACATCTCCCTCTCTCTTGTGTCCAGATATATGGCTTACATGATCCAAGCAAATCCTCGGTGGTTATGCACAAGATATTGCCAAGCAGTATCCGGCCTCGGTCTCATCAGTCTATCAAGATGCTGCAGACAACCTCCGAATGCCATATTGGGATTGGGCCTCCACGCCGGAGATGCCGGATATTATCAATCATGCAACTATTCAGATCGACACTCCAACTGGGACCCAATCTGTATCGAATCCGCTATTACAGTATACTTTTCAAAAATTCCCGTTCGACCCGTCTTATTTTCCAAGCAACACAGTTTTTGCAAATGATCGATACACCAAGAGATCTCCAGATACTGCGACCTCGGAATCTAACCCTGCCACGGCTAATTACTGGTTGGCAAATAACAAAATTATGGAAAGAACAGTGAGTAACTGCTTGTTATTGGACCGAAATATACCCGCCTGGATGGATCCTCAATAATTAAATTTGAATAGTGGTCCGCGTTGGTCAAGTCAAAAGACTTCAATTCATTTTCAACTACGGCGGTGTCTGGTCCGTCCCTCGAGGCCATTCATAATGATATTCATGGGGATGTTGGAGGCTCATATGGGCATATGATGGCTTTGGAGTATTCAGCTTTTGATCCGATCTTTTGGCTTCATCACACAAACGTCGATCGCCTATTCGCCATGTGGCAAGCTATCAACCCAAATTCTTCGATGACTCCATTGTCAGAGCCTGGCACGTATGCCATACTCCGTAACAGCATAGACACAGTCGATACTCCCCTCCCACCATTTACCTACAATACCCAGGGGAATACCTACACGTCCGCTTCGTCATCGAACACCAGAACCTTCGGCTACACCTATCCTGAGGTTGAAGATTGGAGCCAATCGCCCGAGCAGCTCAAGGCCAATGTCTCGGCACAAATCAACCGGATGTACGATCCTAATGGCATGTTTCACAAGAAATCTCGATCAATTACACCTCGTCCCTCACTCCAAGACCGAAGCGCCCTTATTCCTGGATCAACGATTCGAGAGTGGTCTATTGCTATCGAAGTCTCGAAATTCGCTCTCGACGGTGATAACTTTGCCGTGAGATTCTTCCTTGGAGACGTTCCTTCAGACCCAAAAGACTGGCCGCGGAGTCCGAGTTGTGCTGGCTCGGTCCTCATCATGCCACCACCTCATATTGGCGATCAACCCATGCGAGAGGTCATTCTTCATGACGAAATCAGTTTAGAGAAAGCTGTGGCAAAATCCAGCCACGACTCTAACAGTGTGGGTGATGTGGTGCCATATTTGAAGGGTATCTTGAATTGGAGAGTTCAAAAGGTAAGTTGGTTTCCAATTACTAATAGATGCAACGCTGATATAAAGCTAGTTGGATGGTACGGTCGTCAGTAACGACCAAATCCCAAGTCTAAAAGTCACTGTATTTGACGAGATGGTCACCTTGCCCAAGGATATCACTGAACTTCCACAATACGGAAGCAAGACTGTGCATGAGGAAATTACAAATTCGAAGGCAGGTGGCTACGGGCGCACTACCGCTAATTAGTGAAATATAATGTGTAATGATAGGTCAGCTCGGGGTGCTTGGATAATCTGGTAGGGAATACACTATTGTTCAAATAAATACTTGTAATAGTGAGCAGTCATGGCAGCACACGTGTGTAAAATAGCCATGATGCCATTAATGAAAATAAATACTTTATAGACAGCTATACGAAGTCCCCTGTATCATATTTTTGACATCTATTTGGTCCTCTACAGCTCAGACGAGAACAACATCTCGTCTGTCGAAAATGGAATGGTTGAGCTTTTTGACACGCAGGCACTTGGTTAAATTTAAAGGTAGAAATTATTATGCCTATCAGTCCTACACATTAACTTATGAGCTTAGCTTCGGGGACAATTTATTATGATTTGGTTGGCGAATAGAAGAGGCAAAATCAATCAACCACAATGTGGTTTGTATTCAAAATCTTGTAACAGCTGCCAGTTATGGTAATTTCTCGCGTTGATGGGTACGGAGCCTTTTCGGATATCGGCATCCACTGGGATTGTGGAGTCTGGAATAAACCGACAACCTAGCTTGGCGGACAGCATTGTTTCCCGTAACGATTGTTGCTTGTCACAATTATCGAAATCAAGCAATGTCCGCCATGTCATATATATTTTTGGTACCCATGAATATAGCAGGATAACTGGGACTAATCCATCCTCTTATATGGGTTTATGGCTTTTTCAAATCATGAAGCTCTCCTTGCCTCAGTTCGGAGCTCTCGCTCTATCCCTCCAGGCCGTCCAAAGCTACTCTTTCAGCGATGAGGCATTTGACATCCGCGAGGCTACTATTGATGGGGTTCACGATGCCCTACATTCAAGGATTGCTTCATGTAGGGACATCGTGTCCTCATTCATCGCTCGGATTGAAGCTTTTAACCCCACTGTTAACGCCCTTATTTCCCTCAATCCCAATGCTTTGACGATTGCAGATGAGATGGATGGGAAGATCGCATCTGGAAACTTTACGGGCGCTATTTTCTGTATCCCGGTATTACTAAAGGATAGTTACGATACTGCTGAGATGAATACCACGGGAGGTTGTCTGGCCTTGGCTGGCAATCAGCCTTCTGTTGATGCACCCTCGGTCGCCGCATTGAAAAATGCTGGGGCAATTATACTGGGAAAGGCAAATTTGCATGAATTGGCACTTGAAGGCCTCTCAGTTTCATCCTTAGGTGGTCAAACGATCAACCCATATGACCATACTAGGTCACCCGGAGGAAGGTAAGTTGGGAGGAGTTTATTTCTGCTTTAGCTAAATCTCATGGTTATAAGGGCCAATTAGAGTGTAAGGCTTTGAAAACGTGTCAAACGCTGATACTTTTTTCTTCTATAGCTCTGGGGGTACAGGAGCAGCAATTGCTACAAACTTTGCGGTGTTTGGAACAGGTTAGTTATATCAATATTGTGGTCAGGAACAGCTATTGACCACTCTTAGGGACTGATACAGTAAACTCATTGCGCAGTCCCGCTTCAGCAAATAGCCTCTTCAGCGTAAGACCAACACGAGGTCTAATATCTCGAGCTGGGGTTATTCCGGTATCCTACACTCAGGATGCCCTCGGTCCAATTGCTAGAAATGTGAGAGACCTAGCAAAGGCACTGACCATCATGGCGAGTGTGGGGTATGACCCTAATGACAACACCACTGCACTAATTCCGCCTTCCTCTATTGGCGTTGACTACTCGGCGAGTCTCTATGGAGGGAGCTTGAATGGATTGCGGTTTGGTTTGCTTCAGGGATTTTTCAACTATACATCCAGTGACGAAACAACACCAGTCAACACCGTCATGGATGGTATGGTATCCACGTTAAAGGCCGCTGGAGCCGCCGTGATTTCAATCAACGAGACGGTATACAACGCCACGGCTATTGCTGCTTTGGACGTACAGTCCTCAGAGTTCCGCCAACAAATGGACATCTACCTCAGCCAGTCCTCCGGAACCATTCCGTCGAGCTTGAATCAACTGTATAGCAGTGGCAAGTCCCTGGTAATCCCCAGCCAGTATAACCACGTGGACACAGCTCTCCGATCATCAACTAGCAACTCCAGCTACGCACCCACCAAATTAGCAATCGAGGAGCTATCCAAAGTTCTCAGGGCCACCTTCACCACCAACAACCTAGACGCTATAATCTACCCCGAGCAAAAGAACCTTGTCGTTAAAATAGGCTCGCCCTCGCAATCTGGACGCAATGGCATCCTGGCCGCTCTCACAGGCTCTCCTGTCGTTACTATTCCGGCAGGATTCTCTCCCCGGACTGCCAACGCACCTGTTGGAGTTCCTATTGGAATGGAGATTCTGGGACTTCCTTGGACGGAAGGCAAACTACTCAATATCGCTTTACATATATCAGATCTCACAAATGTGAGGCGCATGCCTTCGTTTGCGAACCGGTCCGTTGAGGCTACCTCATATAGCGCCGTTCCGACAATCACTCCCCTGGCTAATATACCGAGTGTATATCCCATTGGTATCTATTGAAGCGTGAAGCTGGTGTGCTTTGGGGTTAAACTTAGCAAAAGTCCCGCAGGTAGATCTATATATAAACATCCTCACAATTAGAATTGTCAAAGGCTTTTGCAGACCATTAGATAGAAATCGAAAATATGACTTTCTCTTTTTCTCTCGTTCGCCAATTCTTTAAGAACTACCAAAATGGCTTCTTCGCAAAATCCTCATCTTATGTTCTTTATTTGCAGCGAGTATCCGTGGAGAACGCTTGTAATGTGGATGGGGACATAATAGGATACATTGTTTGTGATGATTTTATAGCCCAATAAGCCAGTTCATAATTCTCCCTAAAAGGTAGCTACTAAAGTTGATAGTTTTGGAAAATTTCGTAGCGGTGTTCGGCAAGCTCTTACGAACTCAGGAGCGCGCTATAAAGGAGAAGGAATATAGGACCAAACAAGGGATTTCCACGTAGAGAACTACTCCAAAAACACGCCTGGGCAAGTCGAGAGTTAAAATATGCGGTGGATACTCTTTTCAGCCTTGATCCCGAGGACGCTGAAAAGATAGGGACAAATAACGAAAGGGAATATCTCGCAAAAGGTGCGTCGTATATCAACTAGTCATTCAAGGTGCAATTATGAGCATTCATTTAGTACAACAGTTTAGATTGTCCACAACATCCCCAGCGCTTCTTAGACAGCCAACCCTAATCAACTCCACCAAGATTATGCCCAATCCTATCAATACATGGAATATAGTTTACAAGCGGAAGCTCATCGCCGCGTATAGCCCGTGAGAGGAAGCCCGCGGTTCTCCAGTTCCTCCTCAATGAGCTTCCACCTGCCGACAGTCTTCTCTTTATCAATAGCGGTAATTCTTTTGGCATGCACCTTAACATTAGGAAGGTTGAGGAATTCTTCCTTCTGCTCGAGAGCTTCGATAAGCTTTCGAGGCTTTGGGGGAGTCACTAGGTGTGAGAGTAGGGACTTTGCGGTTGTGATTGATCGGATGGATGTGTCTGAGATTCGTACTCCGGTTAGTTGTAGAGAGCGTTTGATAACCTGGATGTATCGTCAGCAAAGTCATGGGTAAGGAGGGAGAGAAAGAAGCCTCACAGCGAATTTGATCTCAGGATCATCGAGAGATACTTGAAGCCACGAGGGGTCCCACGATGCCACAAGTTCTGCATATGCGATGGTCGGTGCCTGGTGCTCCAGGGGATCTTCTTCAGATCGGTCCGCCGCAACATCTTCTTCAGATTCCGTGGGTTGAGGTTCGTGGGCGGGCGGTTCGACGGTTTCTTCAACTTTTTCGGGATGTAACAAGTCCTCCGTTGATCTATCGGCTTCAATATCTTGTTCGGACTCAGTCGCATGATTCTCCTCGATAACCTCCTCAACCTGGGGAGCTAAAGACAGAACGATATCCTCAAGGGTGGCATTCTCAGAGAAGACCAAAGAAGCTCCAGCATCCGAAGCGATGACTTGAACATCGTGTGTCAAATCCGCACCAGGTGTCGCCTTCGAAATACCATCCAGAGGTTCACCAGCTTGTTTCAGGGCGAAAACCTCAACAAGCGCCCTATGCAGCGCTGCAGTCACCTCCTCAGGATCCGTCATAATCCGGGGAGGGAGAAACCCCATAAATGGATGCCGGGGATCCCAATTCTCCTTCCACCAATTGCCATATCCTCCAACCCGCTCCAAGCCCTCCCAAGTAGTTGCCGGTTCATAGTCTTCTGGTACTGTAGCTGATATAGCTGATGTAGCCGGGGGCTTTTGCTCCGCGAGCTTTTTCGCTTTGTTTTGGGCCTTCACCTGATCAAGTATACCGGGGCCGCCATATGGGTCTTCCTGTCCTGGAGGCTGGTCCGTACCCCATATCCGTCGTCGAACTCTCTCTGAGAGAGGGACTTTTCCGGTTTCTGGGTAGCTCTGCACCGTCGATGTCGAGAAGGAGGTGGCTTGGACTCTGCAGACGTGGCAGAGGAAGGGACGAGGCGCCTGGGCACCGCATATGGCTCCTACGGAGTCAATTGACCGGGCGACTCTTCGAGTTCGATGCATTTTGCTTTGATGCGATGAAAGAAACACGAGAGTTCTGACATTTGACGAGCGAGGCTGAACCTAAATTAACTGTTGGCCTAAGGCATTAAATTACGACCACCCCCTTCACGTCAACCTAACAGCATCATCTCCCTGATACAAGACTACGTACAATGGTCAAGTCGAATACGCTCTAATATCTAGTCAAAGGCAGATCCAAATTATTGGCATTATTTTTATTCATCACTTGCCACCGCAACGATAACTCTTAGAATCCCAACTAAGTACTCCTAAGCTATGGCCCGACTCACCATACTCCTCGCCCTCTGCGCGCTCATAATATCAGCATTAGCAGCCTGTACGTCTCCTTCTACACCTCTCCCCCAGTTCAAAAAACCCAGCTGACTTCCCTTAAGCACCACCCTCATTCTGCAAATGCACCTGCTTCACCAACAGCACCATAATCCCGCTCTCCTCAAACACACAGTCGCTCACGCGCTTCTCCCTGGAAGAACCCCGAGCGCCCGCAGCATCATGCTCGATGTGCAACCGGGCATTCTGCCTATCCCAGCGGCTACCGATATGTAAGGATGCGGAAGAGAAAGACGTGTTTACGACGTGTTTTCAGAGAGATAGTAGGAAGGACCAGATTGTCGTGCTGACCTTTATTATTTTGACTGGGGGCCTGCTTGGGTGGGCCGCTGTGAGGAAGGTTTTGGAGAAGAGGAAGTTGAGTGGTATGCGGGTTGGAGAGACTCAGCAGGGCTATACGGCTGTTGGGGGGAGATGAGTGTTGAATGCTTTGAAAAAAAGCTTTCCACGTCAATATGTGTGGGACAGCATGGTGTGGACTTGGCCCACTTCGCCGGATCCATCTGCGATGATATTCTTGGGAACCTTTGATGGCTGGCTGATGCTCTACCCTACGATATTGGCTAGTTCAGCATGCGCCGATTAGAAACTCTTGTGATTTCTATCTAATGCCGCAATATCGGTCGACTAGCGGGCAGTATACCCACGTCTCGTGCTCTGCACACGCAACGGCCTAACCATGGAGGCTATTCCGTGGTTCTGAAGAGTACACACTGCGGAGACTGTCTCCTACCTATCCACTGCCTTCAGAAAGACCCCTGAGACAAAGGGCAACAGTTGTGGATGCGAAACCCGGCTCGACGGACCGAACATGTGGTGGCGTGGTGCTAAAGGGAATATGTCGAGGAAATGGCCTGGCTCGGCATTATGTCACTAGTAGTTTATGGGCAAGTTGCTAAATACAAACCTTTGGCGTATGTAAGAAACGGTATCGATTTGCTAGAAGCTATTGGCACCTATATATTGAATCAATCTAAGAACCAGTTCTTCATAATATTCAATTGATAGTTTATCACTCGCGAACTGCAATAACGAGGTTTGAGAAACTAGCTAAAATTGCGAAAAGATACTCTGTTGTAAACCGTTCTTTGGAGTATGATCTATTAGGTACCTAGGTGCCTAAGGTATGCTTACCATGCAATTCCCAACCACAAGTTCCTAAGTGGCGGAGCTATACCTCTATAGCGATCGAATATAGAGAAGCGATCATTCAGCCACCCGTTGCGCCTAGATGCCCAGTGCCTACCCCTTATAAACATGCCTCTTTAATCCAGCGCAGCGTACAGAAAAGAAAACCAGGAAACGCCAGATGCCCATTTATCATGCAGGGAAAAAAGCAGCGAAGCAGAGCTCCTCCGAAATACATCATGCAATCATTTCTCGTCGTAAACCACGGTTTGGATATATGCAATTTTTACTGCGTTATCCCTTCGGCGATCCTTTCACCCCAGCCCTCGCCAAGTTGCTTGTCATTCGAATCCCCGGAACCGACAGCGGCAGGTGTTTCTGCGGTAACCAATACTTCGGGCGTGCTTAATTGCGACTGGAGCAAGGTTGTCTCTCTAGTATCGTCGTTCGCACTGCTTCCACTATGCATAGAACTGTTGACCTTAAGAGTAGCAACGCTATCTTCTAGACCCGAATTTTGGTTCTGCTCCTGTGGCTTTGTGTCTGAGCTTTCCCCGCGCTGAAGGTGCATGCGGTCGGTAGCGGCCACTTTCTCATCTCCAATCATAGCCACTAAACTTTGGAAATTGAACATTGGTTCCGATGCCGCATTTCCGCTGCTATCTTCGCCATCAGGGGTCTCATCAGAATGCCTTGCAATATGAGCACCCGATGCGCTAGGCGAGTCTAGAGTCGATGAAGATCCATGGCCCGCGAAGCCGTTCCGCAAACTTCCAGGAGCAGACTCGACAAAGGAAGAAGACGGACTTGATGCGTTGCTCATCTGGCGGAGGTGAGATGGCTTATCTGGTGCTGTCGGGGACGGTGATGGTGGATGGGCATCGCTACCGGATGTAGAGGTAGTTGTATCCAAACGTCGACCACCTGGGATTCCGAGACCTAAAGTGTTTTCACCATGAGAGACATCCACTGGCGCGGAGGGACCAGCTGCATTGTGAACACCGCGGTCTACCCCTTTTCCCTTGAAATTCGACATGTCGACCTCTTCAGGAGTGACCTCTCTCCCTAAATTACTCGCACCACTGTTACCCCTTCTTCTCCCCAAGCCTGGCAATGATAGGCTTAGTGCACTGCCGCTGGCTGAGCTCGCCCCACTCCCATACACTTTCCTCTCCTTCTTCTCCCTCTTCTTTTCTTCCTTGGCTCTTTTCTTTGCGTCTTTGAAGGCTTCCTTTTCGCCCTTTCGTTTCCGCTCCTCTTCCGCCGCCAGGCTCAGCCTTATAGCCTCCATCATCATCATTTCCTCTAGGTCCTCCATTCTATCCCGTCGTCGAGAGCTGCTTTCCTCAGCCTGCCTACGTACGGCGGCCATCTGTTCAGATACTGTCCGCGGTGGGCGAGTTTCGTCCGGATTTGGTGAAGGGGTCGCCGCCCCGCTCGTCCCGGGGCTATTATCCCCTCTGTGCCTGCCAAATCGGCTTCGGCTGCTGAAACCGAAACCTCTACTATCTGGGTTAGCATTTCCCATCAAATATGCTGCGGTGTGCAGAGCAGTAGCCGCTGCTGATCGCCGAGCGAGATGAGATCGTGCATTTGCAAGTTTTGTCGCCCAGTCTGGCCGGATTTTATCCGTCGTAATGACGGTTGGGGCGTTCGCGGAAATCGACTCGTGGCGTCGTCTATGAGTAGGTGGAGTTGGGTTACTGTTTGAAACTACCGAGGAAGATGATGACATGGCCGATGAAAAGATATTCGAGGCGGGTGTCGAGTTTGCATATGCAAGACCACGTCGGAACGGGGGAGGGTCGTAAATAACTCCGAATTCTGGCTGCTGACAATACGGACAAGTCGATGGCTCGGAGACGAGAGTATCTGCCTCCGGCGCCGGCTTAGATGGTGCTGCATCGGCGTCCGACGGGTCATGATGTTCATGTTCCGGTGGGTGAGGATCTGGTCTCTTTATTTGGACGAAGCATTCCGAGCATATCGGTTGATCGCAGCACCGAGTGTTATTGAGATGTGGGGGGTAGTACATGAAGCAAATGGGGCATTCCGTAGCATCTTTATACAGGTATACTTCGATACGTTGCCCATTTACAAAGGGATCTTTCGGAAGCTTTATCTCGCGTGGGGTCATTTCTGTAGATGGTGGGGTTTTGGAAGAAGAGGTCAGCGAGGCCAAGGTCTTGGATCGCGGCCGGAAAGGGGACGATGATTGTAAAGGGGGAGAGGCTTCCTGCGATGTTGGAGAGGGCAGTGAGAATGCTGGATTCGATGGTGACAAGGTTGTAGAGGCGTCGGAAACAGGCGAAGGGGATCTATCCGGGACGGGAACCATGAGGTTCTGTAGGTTTTGACTCGATGTATGTGGAGATCCCGGCGATGGCGTTCCAAATATATCTTGAGGAATCTCATCCGCAGCAGGAATGGGAAGGCCTTTACCAGCAGCAACCAGTTGATGTTCCGTCCACTCCGGTTTGAAGTCATTGAGGCCCCGCCAGAACGGTGCAATTCGCCGTTCAATCTACCATGAATTAGTCATGTTTCCGCAGCGGTGAGGGATGTGCATATACCATCAATTGCCTTACGATGGGCTTGCTGAAGTCCTCATGGCCAGTATATACCCCCATGGTGACCAAGTAGCCACCATCAACATGCTCTTCCTTTATACTCCGCGCCCTCTCCTTGATTCTGGCCAGCCTCTCCTTCTCCAACTTCCTGGCCTCTCTCTCCTGCTTGGTCTCGCGGCGTTCGGTCACATCGGTGCTCGAACTCCCAATCCCTAGGATCGAGGATAAATCTGGCCTGCCTCGGCGCCCACCCCGTGAATCATGGGGATGGCGAGAATGGTTTCCGTCGGTAGGAGAAGCTGGCCCGCTGCTGCCCACACCCGCGTCCGCGTGTCGATGGGAGCTAGAATATATCGAGTCCGGGCCTCGCGATTCTTTCGCACTGGTATTGCCCATCGTAGATACAGATGATCCGCATCTGCCGGATCAGCCAGTCATCGAGAGCAGGAGGTAGCCGTTTGTGGTGAAGGCGATCTTCTCCGCCGGTAGGAAGGATAGGGTTGATGATTTTGGAGGGGCCAACACGGAGTCGGCGTTGGAGCTGGCAGGAGTTGGCAAGATTTTGGCCGCTCGAGGTGATGAAGATGGGGACGGGGGTTGGGAATAATGAAGGTGGAGGCGGAGGTGCAGTGGAGAAGACGATGGAGATGGGCCAGCAAGTGCGACAGACAGTTGGTTCAGTAGTAATGGTACCTGGGCAGTAGTGGAGGACGAAATGGCGTCGCCACGGACTTCTAGTGAGCGACCAAGTGACCCAAGGCGATCGAATCGAGGGCGATCCCTTGTCTAGCTGTGCAGTTGTCTCGTTGGCACTCGAGTAGTCGGTCGACTTGTCGTCGGAGCAGTCGTGCTGGACTGGACGACACGAGCGGATTCAGATCAAGGCGGACCGGGGCCGGGCAGGGGGGGAGAGAGGAATGTCCTCGGTCGTCAGGGAGCGCGATAAGGACGAGGAAGAAGCATCTGGCGGCGGGCGGTGCTACATGCGGCGCTTTCGTACAGCACGTCTGTAGTAGATACGGGAGAGTATAGTATGGTGAGTGCAAGCAAAAACTATTCTTGGGCAACGAAATGGGGATTGGATTGGGCAACAAAGAAGTACTGTGCGGGATGGGTAGGGTAGGGTAGGCGATAGAATGGGATAGTAGGTGATCGTATGAAGACTACGGATGCGATACTATGGACACTAGCCGTCCGGATGCGGGTACGAGGCTTTACATTCACATTCACATTCACAGAACCAGACCCCGAACCAGAAACATCGATATGTAATCCGGATGCAGCAGACGGCGGGTGGGGTGGGTTGAGGGAATGGATCATGGATGGATGGACTCGATGTAGGGACCATTATCAAAACCACCAGTACTTGCTGTGCACCGCGCACTACGTCGATCGAATTATACGAAATAATACCAGTTGACGTGATGAAAAGGGCTTGACGAGAGGCGAGACGTGCGTAGCGGCGTACCTACCTAGGATGTACTCTGTACACTACCTGTACATGTACAGTACATGTACATGTACATGTGCACCACTCCTCCATGTGCTTTTCGCGCCTGTACGAACAATGACGAGCCCGGCAATTGGTGTGTCCTGTGGCTCGTGTGGCTCGTCTGGCTGGAAGCGCTTCGGGAATCGGGATCTCGGCCGTGCAGCAGCAAATATACAGTAAGTCCCTGCGACGGCGTAATAAGTTCTCACTAATGACTTCCTCTACACGTAACCCCCTCCCAACAAACAACCCTCGAATGCTGGAATTGCTGGAATTGCTCAATGCTTGCCCCGGATCATTCCGCGGGCTCCAGTAAGTACTGTACCTAGGTAAGATAAACCAAGCACATGCCTGCCTGCGTGTAAGTCCTTGTTTTCGTAGGTTTCGTCTGATTAACGGCTGTCATCATCTTTGTGGCGGGACGGTTTATCCCCGGTAAAGCTTCTCTACCGGCAGTACGGGGTCCCTCCATGGCGAGCGTTTTCTCAAGGACCATTCATCCAGCCTTATATTATTTATTATAATTCGATCTACAAAACTACAGATAGATCATTACATTCTATCCAGCCTGCGCTTCTGTTTCTCCTCTGCCCTGCTCTGCTCTATATCTGCACCTGGGTCGGCATCTGCATCTGCATCTGTTTTGGCGCCGCAAGAACCTCGGCTTCGGCCCACACAGCCTGAATATAATGGCATGATATGCACTCTGTACGGTACATGCCACCGAGTGCCGTTGCTGCCATCTGCTTATGCCTGGATCCATCAAGCCTTGGGGATGGTGCGGCGAGAAAGAAACAAACCGGTCTCTATAGGTAGCGTCCCCCGAGTGAGTGTGGGATTGCCTGTCGAGTGGCCCAAAACGTCCCATTGTGCTTCCGTGTGCGGTAATTTATTATCGCACCTGATATATCATGCTCAAGGCTAGGGGATAACCATGTTAGGCGGAAGTTTCAAACTGCCCTCATTTCTCTTCGTTGTTGGCTGTTGCACCGTCTGCACTGGTATCATTTCTTTCTAGCGCCAAAGGAGCTGTTTAAGGTTTCTTTGACATATGCCGTATAACCAACTGATATGGATCCCTTCCTACAGAAAAACACAATCACGAGGTTTAATGTAATCACCAATCAAGGATAAAGTGCACCCGAACCCCCACAGTATGTTTTGCATTTGCATTGCAGGACCTTTCAGGCTGCGCCCGAGTCTCTAGAGGAACGAGTAAGGCCACTGTCACATAACACGAATTTCACGGCTCGACAGAACAGAACGGGGAAACCGGAGGCTAGGCAAACCAAGAAGCTACCCACCCTACAGGCTACAGAGGGATAGCCTGGGAGTATCTATGTAGGAACAAGACTACCAAGACGACAAGTTCTTCGTGGTATATACGGCAATCACGTGCCCCAACCTACGGAGTTACGCTCTCGCTACTCCCCCTTACTATGTAGGTACCTTTACCTTACGGAGTACAACGTACTTCACAGAATCAACCGTCCACCAAGCCAAGTCCACCACCAAGTCCACCCAGTGTCCAAAAGTGCTTGTTACTTGGTGCTTGGATTCTTGGTTCCGCAGTTGAACTTGATCAAATGTCGCCATCTCACCGCCACGACGCCACCATCGGCCCGCCGGCATCCATCTGCAAGTCGTGCAACCGTGCAAGGGCAAGGGCCGATCAACAGGGTCCTGGAGTCTGGACTTTGGTGAGGAAGGGAGAGTACTTTCGTTCTGTATCTGCAGTACTTATTATTGTTGTTAGGGTACCTTGCCTGCTACAGTACAGTGTGCTACTACTCAGTCTTCACGACAGTGGGATCCCCTCCCCCCCTGTCTCTTATACACATCTAGATGTGTATAAGAGACAGCCACTACTTCGTGCTAAGGTACAAGTACTCAGTGGTAACATAAGCACCCCATCAACGTCCCCATTTCCTCATGTCTACCTCCCCAACATAGCTAGCCATCTGCGACCGAGATAGGTGTTGCAATGAGCATCATCTCTACGCCTTGCCAGCCAAAGTTAAGTTAAGCCTCCATCTCCGGGACTTGTATCGCGCAATAGCCTACAGGCGTGGGAGTGCCACCTCCGGCCACTTCCCCCCCGCGCATCCGTGTTCTCCACCACAATCAGATCCTTATTTTCCTCGAATTTCTTCATGTTGCGATCCTGTTTTGGGTTATCCCCCAGCCTTACCGTTTGCCCATGCCAGTGCAGGAAGAAGAAAAAACTCATAAAATAATATAATATACAGAATCCATAGCGTGGGTTTCTATTCATAGCCAACGGGCTGGCTGCAAACAGACAAAAATACCACCCCTCCTGAAAGCAAAAAAAAAAAGGAAACGACTAAATGGCGCCCACCCAACCGCCGCTCTCAGCCATCCTCCCCCCTCTGATCTGCGGGACCGGAACCTTCAACTCCCAATACAACGCAGACGCCTTCGCGGTGCCCGCAAACCAGATCGTCCAGCGCTCCTTCGAGCTCGGCGTCCGCGCCTTCGACACCTCGCCCTACTACGGCCCCTCGGAAGCCATCTTGGGAGCCGCCCTCAACACCCCCCACGTCCTTAGCCACTACCCGCGCTCCTCCTACTACATCGTCACAAAAGTCGGCCGAATCGCAGCCTCCGAGTTCGACTACTCGCCAGAATGGATACGGCGCTCCATCAAGCGCTCCCTCCAGCGCCTGCACACTTCATACCTCGACGTGGTGTACTGCCATGATGTGGAGTTTGTGACGCCCGCGGAGGTGCTGGTCGCAGTGCAAGAACTCCGACGGATCCGCGATGTCGAAGGGACGATAAAATATATAGGCATATCAGGGTACCCCGTCCCGCTACTCTGCGAACTTGCGGAACTGGTGTTGAGGGAGACGGGGGAGCCGTTGGATGCTGTGATGAGCTATGCGAACCTCACGCTGCAGAACTCAACGCTTGCGAGTCAAGGCGTGGAGAGGTTAAAGCGCGCTGGCGTGAGCGTGGTCCCGAGTGCGAGTCCGCTGGGCATGGGCTTGCTGAGGAATAAGGGCGTGCCGGTTGGGGGGATGGGGGATTTCCATCCTGCGCCGAGGGAATTGAGGTGTAAGGTGCTTGAAGCTGCGAGATTCGTAGGGCAGAGGGGCGAGAAGTTGGAGGCTGTTGCGCTGAGCTGGGCGTTGGACCGCTGGGTAACTGAGGGCGCTGCTTTGGGGACTGATGCCGGGCTGGGGGTTTCTGTTATGGGGCCTAGCGATGTGAGGGAATTGGAGGAGATCGTGAGAGAATGGAATGGTGTATTGGATGGGCTTGATATCGCGGGGAGAGAGGTTGGCGATGATCAGCGGCGTAGGAGCTTGGAAAGGCGGAAAATTATCGCGGTGTTGGCGACCGGCATTTGGGATATTCTAGGGGAGTGGAGGGGTTATACTTGGGCAAGCCCAGACAAAGATTATGTCAACGTGAGGGTGAAGGAGATCATTGATCTAGGCATCCCCGTGCCCGAAGTCAAGGGCCACGTACGGGCGGACAGCAGGTTATGAGCATCATCTCGAGCGAATTTAAGTATAGGTGCTGGCATCAGCTAGGAGTCATAGATATCTCGTGGATTATATATTGCTGATCACTCGATACAGCATATGAACGACTTCTATCTTCTTTCCGTCTAGATCTGCTTTTTGAGAAAGGAATGAACCTGTCATATGCGTCCCGCATCTTGCACGCACATGGTCTTTGCCAGGTATCTCTACAGCATCACCGCTCGAATACCCAAAGCTTGGACTAAACCTTTCTGCAGAGTCCAACTCCGTAAAAGAAGTTTCCTGAACGCCTAGCGAAAACTCACGATATCCCTAGCTCTTCGCATTTGCAAAGCTTTTTTCTTACTTTGCTGGCCGTTAGTTGGCAGCGAGCTTGCGGCGTTCTCGAACTGCTGCAGCCAAATCCTCGAGCACGTCGACTGTGGATTCCCAGTCGATACATGCATCAGTGATACTGACACCCTTCTTAAGTCCTGATGGTCCTTCTGCCGGGACCTTCTGGTTGCCTTCATTGATGTTCGACTCAATCATAACGCCAATGATTGACTTCTCGCCGGCACGGAGCTGGTCCCCAACGACCTTGGCTACCTTGGGTTGATTTCGGTGGTCCTTATTCGAGTTTCCTATTACTATTAGTAGCGTTTCACGAAACTCTGCTCGCCACGAATGGCTTACCATGGGAGCAGTCGATCATAATTGCCTGCTTTTGATTCTTCTTTGTCAATGTCTCCTTTACCGTCTTGACATTCTCAGCATCGTAGTTTGTGCCCCTGGTACCACCTCGGAGGATGACAAAGCCGTGTTCATTTCCACTGGTTCTTGTGATTGCGGCAAGCCCTTGCTTTGTGACACCCATAAAGTGGTGCTTGGAGGCAGCAGCTCCAATGGCATCGATTGCAACAGTCAAGCTCCCGTCTGTGCCATTCTTGAAGCCAACCGGGAACGAGACACCAGATGCAAGCTCCCGATGCAATTGTGACTCGGTTGTTCGCGCGCCAATGGCACCCAGGGAGATCAGATCGGCCAAAAACTGAGGGGAGATTGTATCCAGCAATTCGGTCGCAATTGGCATGCCAGCTTTGGTGAGGTCGCAGAAGAGTTGGCGACTGATCCGGAGCCCCTTATTGATCTTGAAGGACTCGTCAATGTCCGGGTCGTTAATCAGTCCCTTCCAGCCGACGGTCGTACGGGGCTTCTCTAAGTAGGCTCGCATAATGACGCACACATCGTCGGAAAGTCTATCAGAGAGTTTCTTAAGGCGTGCGCAGTACTCGAGGGCTGTCGCGGGGTCGTGGAGGGAGCATGGACCGCAGATGATCAGAAGGCGGTCAGACTTGCCCATGATGATATCGACAGCATCTTGACGGCCTTGGAGAACTGTCTTGAGAGACTCATTGGTGATGGGAATTTCGGAGACGAGTAATTGAGGTGGGATCAAGGGATCTTGTCCGAGGACTGTGTACAAAATATAAGTTATTCTTCGCTCAACTGAGTCACAACAGAGAACGCGGGGTCATACTGCGTGTGTCGTCGGTGACGAGTTTCACGTCGAGGCCAGGCATGGCTATTGCGAATCGAGGGGGGATCTGATAGATAAAATAAAGGTATTGTTTTGTGAGTTGCCAAGGTGGTGAGTCAAGGAGTTATTTGTTGTGAGTTGGCAGAATCAAATTAATAAAAGGAATTTTCGAGTCAATACTCGAGTCGTGCCTATCAGAAGATAAAGTAGGTATTTCTCGCTTCCTTGCCCATACTCGGTGTACCGTACTTCGTAATCAGGTCATTTTGCCTGGTGCCCCTCTATCTACACGTGACTTGCCAGGCCTCACCGTCGATCCCGCCGCTGGTACCAAGTGGGCACAGTAGGCTCTTATGAGGAAATAACACACCAGCCGTGTTAGTTCAGTAGTGGAATATTATGTTTCGCCCATATAGTTATAGAGTTTAGGTTCTCCAAGGTTAACAATCGAGAGTTTATTTTTATTTTATGCGTCTTAGAGAATACCCAATGTGTCTTCTGAGCCGGGTAAGTAGTGGTAAATCATCGACAGCTAAGATACGAGACAACGCACTTGTAAGAATAGTCGGCAACTAATCAGGCTGGCTAACATGCTAGTGATAGGCTATCGGCAATTAGGCAAGCGCGCTTCGATTTATCTCTCTAAATCCATTGAGATACTTCGTCCTTGCATCATACAACATAAAGTCCGTCGAAGCCATATGGGCCTCACAACCCAGCCGTCATTGCAATTGCACTACATATCATTGCTATCAATACTGTATTCTGATTCTAAACTGCGAAAAGAAGGGCAAACTTTAATTGTCGATCTCTCCATCTCGTCCTCTTAACGAAGAAACCTGGCAGCCTTGTACAGTCCGTGCATAGATTGCCTATGGCCTGGGCAGCAACAGGGGCTTAGCGTCCACTGTCTCGAGCTTTGTGGTTACCCCGGATCATTGACTTCCAAAACAACTACAAAGCGCCTGAAGCAACTCTGAAACCGACCGTCTACCTCACCGTTCCTTGCGTGGCGGTATACAATGATCCCAAGGCGGTCTGCCTCGGATTTAGATATAATACCGTAGCGAGCTACTTTTGACGTTGCGCTCAACGAACCCGAAGACTTATCGCATACACGTTGGAGCCTATTCTACCAGCTGCACTTGGGCCGGCTGATACCGCCGGTCTCTTCGCACCACTTGACTCCAGACGGGCACGATACACCAGAGATCTGGATTAGAGTAATCTTATCCAGCAAAGGGAAAACAATGTTTGCGCAACAGTGGAGCACCCGCAAGCGTGGAAGGGAGGATGAGGAGAATGGCGTCGCAGGCTTCAGCGAGCACCGCAGCGTAAGAAGGGCCTCTGAGCCTGCTTCCATGCACGATCTAACATTCCTCAGAAACGTCGAATCGCTTCTCTTCCGCATCGAACGTCTCCCAACCTTACTCGTCATGTATCTCCGCCCATCGTATTCTGTACAAACTACACCACTGACCCCACGCCTCCGACGATAACCCCATCCGACTCTGACTCCGAAGATAAGACTGCCATCGAGGAACCACGATCGGTATTCTCGCCTTATTCCTCTTCTCCAGCATATCCGCACACCCAGAGTTTTCCGTCCACCCCCCGCAGCCCTCAGAAGAGCCAGCTATCAGATGCGGCCATGTACTCTGACGATTTTGAGATGACGGATACTGCGCACCTTTCGCCGGGACCCCTTCACAAAGATTCGCCGACTGGTGTAACCGCGCGCATTCCGACGCCAATCCACAGCTCATTCTCTCCTTTCATCCGATCCGAAAAAGCTTCGATTCATCATGATGTTGATTTCGCCGATGACGAGGGGATTGTTGAGCGATTCAGGAGAGGTCGACGACTACCAAGCCCGATTAGTGAGACCGAGATAAGCCCAGCCGTGATTGTTGACGGCATGGGAGATATGCAAATGGAGGTTGATACTTCCTCCCAACTGGAGAAGGAGACACCAACGAAGAAAGGTCATACGCGCTCAAAGCATAGCTTAAGGCAGTGGACGGGCTTCGGTGGGGAGATGGGCGGCAATAGCGGGATGAAGAAGAGCTTCAGCATGGGATACAGAGCTGATTGCGAGAAATGCAGACTGAAGGTTCCAGGCCACTTCAGTCATATCATCACATATTAATAGGTCTAGCGAAAGGATCTCTACAGTGGCAAGATCAAGTTGTGCACACATTTAGCAAGCAAGGCGTTAGGGATCTGGTAGCATCGTCATGTCGCTCTTTTATATAATGAATCTTACATGTACCTAGCTTAGCTAGCTACCCAGGTAATCACCAACCATCAAATGAACATTCTATTTATTTTGTACAGTGATTGACTATTCTCTTACAAATAATCCCGCCATACCCATACCTGTACCAATGCACATGCTCACAACACCAGTTTGTAGCCCCTGCCTCTCCAACTCTGGCAACAGTCCCGCCAACATTCTCGCACCTGTTGCTCCAAGTGGATGACCCAACGCAATAGCACCGCCCTTAGGATTCACCCTCCCTTCCTCTAGCTGTTTCTCCAGACCCAACTGCCTCACGCAATAGATAGATTGACTTGCAAACGCCTCATTGATTTCCCAAATCCCAACATCTTCCGTCTTTAGGCCGGTGTATTCGAGCAATTTCGGAATCGCAATAGCAGGTCCAATACCCATCTCATCCGGCCTGCAGCCAGCAACCTGTGTCCCCGCCCACTTCCCGATAATCGACGATGATAAGCCCAGCTCCGTCGCCGTGCTTCGTCTCATCAGCAGCGTTGCTGCCGCTCCGTCGGAAATCTGCGAGGAATTCCCTGCGGTTGAAGTGCCATTCTCTTTGAAAGCAGGTTTCAATTTCTGCATTCCCTCAAACGACGCATTTGCTCGTATGCCGTCATCCTTGGTAACCGTGATCATTGTCTCGTCTCCCACTTTATCTCCCTTTTTATTGATCTCTTGGTACCTTGTATGCACCGGGATAATCTCCTTATCGAACAATCCTTCCTCTTGCGCCTTGAGGGCCCGCTGATGGGACATGACTGCAAATGCATCCTGATCCGCACGACTGACTCCGTATCGCTCTGCCACATTCTCGCTCGTAAGCCCCATAGGCATAATACAATCCCTCGCATCCTTAACTGGACTGTCTTTCAACTCGGGCCACAGGTCTACTGGTATCGCTCTTGACCCGTAGTTCCTCGTCATGCTCTCCATACCGCCTCCAATGCCGATGTCCATCATGCCCGTAGAAATTTGCTGTGCCACATTGGTGATGGCACTGAGTCCTGAGCTGCAGGCTCGGTTTACGGTATAGAAAGAAGTGGTGGTGGGGATGCCAGCATGGTTCATAGCCATGCGACCTGCTTTTGAACCCCCGAGCTCTGAGAGCACGACGCCGATGCCAACGTCGCTAACTAAGGCAGGATCGAGATTGGGGTTTGCTGCGATAGTGGCGCGCAGCACCGCGGCTAGGAGTTCTTCGGGATAGGCATCTTTGAGATGTCCTTTGTAGGAGCGCGTTATGGGTGTGCGGAGTGATGATAAGATTACGATATCATTCGGTGATTTCTGGAGGATATTTGCCAGGCCTTTACGAATTGGTCCCGACATTGTGAGGGGATTCGTGGATGTCCCACTATGGGACCTGGAGAAGGTGGAGGAGCTGTTGTATTGTGCTATAAATCGCGAATGGTCGACTTTTAGGCAACGAATGCAACGGAGGGTAGACTGAGTAGGAACGTATACAAGATACAGGAGGCGGCCTAGGTCTAGAGAAAGAAAGGGAGAAAGAAGGGGAGAAAGAATCGGATCAACAAGCTTTGAACATACTTACTACTTGATTGCCGTGGTGATTCAATACACTTACTACTGCAATATCTGCCCCTCTCGGACCCTTGTATCGGCTACGATCTCGGGCCAGGCGTGCGGGAGTGGTGCACGGAGGGCGAATGAACCATCAGCGCTTAAAGATTCTCCCGCCAGTGCCGGGGCCACTTGGGGATTTTGTTGCATGTCGCAGTTCTGCCCTCTTCTGGAGCTGGGGTGCAGCTCCAAGCGCCACGTGGGTTGGTGGCTTCTTGGTAGGGGAGAGGAGAGTGGTTGGTCTGTTCTTCATTGCTGCGGTTCACAAGAATCTACCTACATTAAGTACCTGTATTTACCTAGGTACTTACCTAGGTTGGTACGCACGTATGAAAGAAAGCCTCAACATTTGCATGGATATCGTATTGAGCCGAACTATCTTGTTTTTTGATGCATATCGCACTCTTGCGCGACAAACACACTGGCCAGCTTTGCGGGCAACTGGCCTCGCCGACAGGCATATCCGGGAGTACCGTTTGGCCGTCGTGGTCTTCAAGTTGGCAGCCGCTGGTAGGTTGGTAGCACAGAATGCCCGGCTATGTACGTATACCTAAGGTGTATACTACAAGCACAGACACATACAAAACCTCGGGGGTGTTCTTCCATCCCTCTGTTCTTATGTACCTTAGATATGCTACCTAGGTACCTAGGTACTATACCGTGGGTGATGTCCCCTATGCGAATGCAAATGCAAAACATGCCCCGTTGGAGAAAATAAGACCGTCGCCGTTGCTCAGCTACCTACCACTTTGTGCCTCGGTCCGCATGCGCACCACAACGTCTTTAACTTTCCCATCCAAGCCTCAAGAATCCCGATACTCATCCACCGGTAAATTAATCCATCTTCCCCGTAGTAGTTCTGCATCATGGCTACTGCCGAGCGCCAGATGTAGACCATGGAACTGGCTCGGAACGTGATCCTCCACTAGGTCCCCCACGCCGTAAACTTGGCTCCGGAATACCATATGCAGGCATCAACTATAAGTCCACGAATAATATCTTCAAGAACTTAGTATCAGTGACCCAGAGGCTGAAATGAGCACGCATATACGCAATCAGTAACAAGCATTGCCGTGTCGGTGTGAAATATGCCTGGGTCCAGTGATTTAACCATGTTTATCAAAGCTTCGGCATGTTTCGAAATTCGTATTCGGCGACCTGGAGAGTCGCCGAACCGCGTTATGAAACAGTTCCGTCAACATCAATTAAGGTGAATAGCCAGATAACTCACGCAATAAGCTGACAATGTGCAGCCTCGGAGCCATAGTAGCTTCCCCATACAGTGATTTGCTGGCTCCGAATATTGTATGCAGCCAAATTCCGCAGGACGGCGTAGTATTCCGCAGTATAACAAAACATTTCCCAATATAGAACCTGCGCCTCAATATTAAGAGGTCTGATACCGGCGCCCCCAATATCTCCATCAATCACGCTTCAAAGATTCCCCCGCTGAGATATGATGGATTAGGAAGTAATGGAGAGTGTTTCCCCGTGCGATGTGCAACAAAATTCTCCATCTACTTGCGTCTACCAAGCGGGCATTCAGTCACTACATAGGTCCTCCAAAAAAGCGAGCATCTTCCTCTGAAGCTTCACTAGCTCAATCTCGTCTATCAGACCTTTCTCTTTGTCTTTCGAATCATCTCCTCCATGCACTCTATCTTTAACAGCTGGCCTAACAAGCTCAGTTTGGGTGCCAAAGAACGGAACGCCGAGGTTTCTGAGTTTAGCACTCATCTCTCTCGTCATTTGCATTTGGGCTTTATAGACCTTCATATCGAAGGTCTCAAGCTCCCTAGCCAATTCGGCAGGCCCATTGTTAGCCGGGGCTGTCGAAATAGCCCCACCAACAGCTCTTCTGAAATACTATTAATACCGCAGTTCAGATTTGCAGTGAGGATGTTGCACTTACAGCACCTCCTCTAATTTCTTCTGTCCCTCCTTTCTAGCCTCTTGCCTCTCAATCAACGCCTCACGGCCCTTCCACCATTGCTCCTCGTGCTCATGCTGCACCTTGATCATCTGAACAACGGTAAGCAAAATGCAAATGCTTTAAGGCCACAAAAGTAGCATACCCGGCGTATATCATTCAGCATATTCTCATGCTTGGCAACGGTTTTCATTACACATCGCAGTCCAGCCGACCATTCGATGATAGTAGCAGGATCAACACTCTTTGGAGGTGTATTTGCCGCGGGAACTGATTGCAGAGGGCCCTGGGATGCACGGTTTAATTGCTCTTGCCAAATTTGCTGAAATTGATGTTCGTCATTTGAGGGCGGCACTGGAGGGTGGATTTGAGCTTGAACTTGAGGTTGAGTTTGGGCCTGCGCTGGAGTCTGAATCTGACCCTGTTCTTGAGGAGCAAGACTGGCCAACGTATTGAGAATTGACGCCAAATTAGGCGCTTGATAGTTATAGGAAGACATATTGAAACCTTTCTTTCATGAATGTCAAGTCTTAAAATCTGACTTCAGATGTTGGCATCCGTGGCCTCAGTCCTCAGTCTAGGATGTGGTAGAAAAACTGAGAATAGTGTCTGTTTGTGTGCTGGTGTTTGCGACACTACCTTCCCAAATAGTGGAAATTGATGATCAGAGTTGATGGTTGTTGCTCTGTGGTGGGAGCTGTAGGGAACCCCGGGTATTTCCGCCGCTAAAAAGTTCGCGGGCCATGGACCTCCAAAAATTCGGAAATCGCATGACATTGCAAATGCTCCCTGAATGTAACTATTTACATTAGCCAACCATTCAACCTCTCTCTACCCAGCGCAACCCTCATATCCTACACGATGCCACGATCAGCGATAGATGCCACGCGTTTCACGTCAACAACACCACATGCAACCGCACCTGGCTCGACGCTCCCCCTAAAGGCTCGCCCAACTAAGCAACCTGGCCCAAAGGGCGAGACGCCCCAAGAGAAGGTTCGACGATTAAGAGCAGCAGCGGATAGAGCTCGAGATGCCAATATCTCGACGTTTGATAAACTCATTATCAGGGGGCGGGTATGGGCGGACAGAGCGCACAGGTTTACGGCGCTGAGTTTGATCGGTGCTACTTGTATGCCACTCTCCACTTCTTTATTCCGCTCATAAATTGGACCGTATACTATGGCGGCAGGCATGGAATAGAAGCTAATTGGCATTTGACAGTCATTTGTGGTGGAGTAACAGTCTATGCGTTAGGAGACATGATGGCCTACAATCGCCGGAAACGAGCGGAATTCTACGCGGAACAGAAGGCAGTATATGCGGCGGGTATACACGATGCACGAGAGGCAGTCAAATCTGGAACAGCGACCGAGGAACAAATCAGTCTAATCACGAAGGATAATGAGATTGCGGCAATCCAAGCTGCCAAGTTACAGAAGAAGGGCGTTTTCAAAAAGGGAAAAGAATGGCTTTTTGCTGGTCTGAAGAAAGCGGAGGAAGGTGATGATGTAGGGACCAGTGAGAGGAGATTGGGTTATGAAGGCTCGAATGAGGAGGATGATGGGTTGGGAGCACACGAGAGTGATATCATACGCGCAATTGAGGTGAAGAAGATGGAGCTTACGGCGAAGGCTAAACAAGCCTTTGAAAATGAGAAGGAGAGGCAAAGGACTGGTGGGCCGCTGGATCAATTAGGGACTGAGGCAAGTAAGACTGGTGGTCCTGAGCAGCAGTCAAAATCTCGGGGGTGGATGTCTTATATAACAGGGCGATGATGACAAGTTACGGTGTATTTCTTAAGTGTACAACTGTATCATATGGGAAGATGCTGCCTGCATGGGATGGGCGTTTGATAAGTCATAATATCTCCAGCGAAATTGGGAGACTATCTCAAATCTCAATTCACTCATCTCCTGCTGTCATATCTCCCTCGGAATTCTTTTATTCCAGATTTACCCATTTTAGCACCTCGCATTATAAATATATAAAGCTCTTTAGCCAGGCCATCTTCTATATTAGCAAATGACAGGGCAGTCACCTATCCCATCGTCGCCCTTGAGCATGACGCCCGGGCCAAACCTTGGCAATGATGCGCCTATCAACACAGACCATTGAAGTGATTCAAGAGAAAGAGAAAGTTCAATGTACAGCCACTGGTTACAGATATATACACTATAAATATACTTTCTACAACTACTAACACTTGCGAATATTTATTAATCGATGGTCGAATTTCTAGCATTCTATTTAATAGGTCTCTTCGGAAGGCACTCAGAAGAACATTTTCGCTTCGGGCTTCACCAATTGGCACACAAATGCCACTACACACGAGCAAAGCTAGGGGTACTTTTGTATCGTTTTGCCGACCGTAATACGTCCGTACGGGTGACTGAACTCTACGAGAGATGTAGGCACATGAGGCTCTAAGTGGGTCTATTGCCCAAGTTAATGGGGCTCAAGCTTGAGCTTTGGATATTGAGCTTGGAGTAAAGGTTGAATCAATCGATCCTGGGGTCAATATATGATGCCTACTCACTAACAGGGGAGTGTCGGAATAGGACTGGTATTGTTATATGCTGTGTGATCGCTGGAATAAAAAGGCTAGATCAAGCCTACCAATAATGCAGTCCTATGATGGCTTGCATGTGGAATATTTTCAAAGTACTGAACATGTGCTACATTGGATTGGACTTTTGGCTAGGCATTATTATTCATGGCTGCCTATCATCTCACCCCTTTATCAACGATGCTTGACAAGAAAATTGCAAAATAGAAAATTATTAAATAAGTCATTGAAATAGAAGCCAAAGCCATGTCGGCAAGCTCTGGAAGAGGTTCAGATAGTTGCCATTGGTGTGGCCATCCATTGGAAGTTCACGCCAAACCCAAGCATACGAAATGCCAAAAGTGCAGGAAGATATTTGAGGTCTGTCAGGCTGGAGCTCATGGGTATGGAGAGAACCAAGATGGATGGAGGATCTGCTATGTACGTTGCTCATGTGGCGAAAAGCACTACCCATTGGGGCTCCGTAAATGTCACCAGCTCGCAGGCCACGAGTATCGTGCAGACCACGTGTTGTACAGATCCCCGTCACCTGAGCCCAACGAGACAACCACAGAGCCAAGTTTAAGCTCTCAAGGGTGGGAGTCTAGCCATGGCGGCAGGGACGAGCGAGCAGAGTCCCGGGGCTCCAGGGATGAATTGAGTCCGACTTTTAAAGAGCACTCTGAGCCTATGGACAGACTTGTGAGGTCGTTCGGCAACATTCATATTGGAGACTCTGGGCCATCCAACTCTAGTGGTGGCAGACATACCCGAATTGGACCTGGGGGCAATGCAGATGAACTCTCGTGGGATCAGCAGAATTTTGAGCAGCGTACTCTAGCATGGGGTGAATGGGAATGGCAAGGAGAGTTTAGTCGCTACTATCGAACTCGTCAAAAGGAATCTGGAGATTGGGAGTATGACTATGACTATGAGACTTCTAGGCCTGTAACATTTTCAAAGTCGACAGATGGAGTGAAAAGTACGAAGAGGGAAGGAAAGGGGAAGGGAGCAGGAAAAGGGGAAGGAAAAGAGACGGAGAGCGAAAAGGGGGCAGGGAAAGGGAAAGGAAAGGGAAAAGGAAAGGGGAAAGGAGAAAAAAAAGGAGCATGAGCGTCGGATGGATAGAAATGTGTGGTCTGGGGCATTTCGAGTATTTCAAGTATCCCATGAGGGTTAAAAGCTTCCTAGCTCAAATACCGCGTACATCTTTGAGCCACTGATGTTTCCTAACCTCTGAGATTCCCATAGCGTCAATAGTCCGGTCTCCCGAGGCCTCAAACGACCCTAAGCACAAGACGCGGAAAGTTGCTTCTTTCGAGGGCTCTAACTTGAGAAATTCGCGTGGGATAATTATAGTAGTACAATCAGGGTAGGGTGATTCATAGACAGGATATAGGCAATGGGCAAGCCCCAATCTAACGCTTGACCCCGGTATCGGTCGTTAATATAACCTCTTTCTACCACCCTTTTGTTGTTTAACCACCAGACCCAGTGGATATACCTTCGAGGTTGAGATACGCATTGTAGTCTTGGCCAAAGCTCGGGTTCGATCTGCTCCTTCTTTACCGTCCCAAACGGCTGCCAGCCAAAATCAAGAAGATCCGAATCTGAGATACGAGCACTAAAGCGATGCCGTAAAAGCTCGGCTCTTGAGACTAGTTTATGATGATATTCGTAAATACCAGAGGCCTCGTCTAAGAACGACTGTTTTGAGCCAGTCCACATAGCCATGTCGGGATCAGGATGGCCCAAAGAACAAGAGTATGTGTGCTCGTTTAGAGTTGTCAAATAGCTTGTAATCATCTCGATGAACTGGCTACAGCCACATGCAAAGATGCCAAGCCAGAGTGGTGCAAGCTTGGGGCGGCGAAACGCAAACACCTTTGCTAATAATTCCATGTTTGCAGCCCCTAGAATTGGTTGAAGCACCTGATGTGTCGAGCCAAGCCACGCACTAACAGCATTGCACTGGATACCTGGCTCCCAGAAAATACTCCAGATCGCAGAACCAAGGAGGCGTGGGGATACGCTAAGGGTCATGTAATATCGAAGGTCGTCCATGTATCCTCAGATATAGACTGGAGATCCATGTGATGGCTTTGTATAACGAGGAATTCGTGGCATAGGCAGTCGAGGTTGCAAGCCTTGTGCATTGTGAAATGGTAACAGGAGAGCTGCTAAAAACGCTATAGAAGGCTGAAAGCCGAAATCGTAAAGCTCACAGAACTCTACAAGTAAATCGGCGGCTTCTGCTGATGAGGGGGGGCTCTCCTGGATAATGTCCTCGGCCAAATAATCGGTCCCAATAAAAAATTCAACATCCTGGGAATAATGTGCAGCCCAAGGTGGGACACTGCCCTCCGCGAACCACCCTGCCCCAGGTGCTAGAATCGCACAGAGCCACCTCACAAGTTTCTTTGACGAATAACCAAGATACACAATAACACCCTTTTGCTGTTGTCTATCCGGTCCTGTGGCCGTTGGTGTCTTGATAAGAGAGTATTGCATGCGCCTATGCTGAAGTTCTAGGGGCCGTACAGAGAAAATGTATGACCAGCAGAGTGTAAGAATCGCAAGACCATTAGGACTTGATGATTGACAATCACTAAACGTATAACCGAAGTCGGATTGTGCCGATATTGTGCATATTGTGTGCTTTGGTATCCGGAGGTGAAAGGTCTTCCTAACACCTGCGACGCGCTCTGGGTCCCAAGGCTCGTCATCATTCTCCAGGGTACTACAACGAGGTATAGGGAGCTCGGGGCTTGGGACGCTCCACAAGGCGTTTCCGGTAATGTCGCGCTTCCCACAAAGCTCTTTAGGAAGCGGTGGTACGTGTTCTAACATAACAGCAGGATCCAAGCTACACGGTGGCAGGCAGCCTGACAGCTGCCTAGCACTAGCAACACATGCATTCCATATTATATGGCCTTTGGCAAAAGTAGAATTGATTTGTTCTGTAGAGGGGATGAGAATGTCGTCTTCGCAGCCAATAAGTAAGGACTCGGAGTTTTGTGTAGATGCTTCAGTTGAACAAGTGCGCTCTGTACCGCACCGAAAGTGCGTGTGCTCATCGAATGGTCGATTGAACGCGCCGTCTGTTTTGTTCAAAGTCGTAGAACCCGCCGCTTTGCGGTCACGGTAACTCTGGCCAAAGACATGATCCCCAGTACGAATTCAGTGACAGATCCGCTCGTTTCGGTCATTGTTACTCATATCGAGATATGTGGAAGGAGGTGAGATAAACACCAAGACAGGCCCTGAGACCCTGGCCCAGGATTGCGTGGGGTTGTTAGGATTATGAGTCAGGGAATAGGTCGAACAAAATGCGAAGGTCTTGGGCGGGGATTATAAACAAAGGGCATAAGGTAGAATAAATGCGTTCCTGAAACTAAAGAGAGACGAGAGAGTGAAAGGGGATCCCTCTGTTATGTACACGTTCTGCTCCGGGAGGCCGCATAAGGCCCTAACATCAATGGTAGCAAGTGGTATATGGTGTCGGTAAGAGGGAATAACAGCGTTGTTGTTGATGATGGATTTGCAGACCGTGAGGCATCTTTTGTGAAGGGAGGGAACGGCGGTATTATCAACGTGGTGGGCATGCCGCGGCGTTCTGAAGCAAGAAATACTGCCGTGAGATAAATGGTGTCTATAGTCCGCCGTAGCAGCTGGATTTAGACGCGGATTTGGCCTATATATATATATATATATATATACACAATACAGCTGCAACTCTACATCGAAATTCGCCCACAAGCTCACGATCTCTCTTCGCACAGCACAGTTCAGCTGGAGGCCCAACCCTCAAAGAATGGATATTCCCTGCAAAAACTTCCATCCTTGCTAGCAGGCAAGTCAAGACTGACTTTTCACATACACTCCTAAGGGCTTCGAGCTGCTTTTGTCCTGTTCTTTTTTTTTCCTCTGCCTTCAAGGTGTTAAGCTTATAACCTAAACAAGAATGATCGCTGTGCACTACAGATCCTTCGCATTTGAGTGGTGAATAGGCTTGAGAGCATTAGGTTCTCCTCTCATTTCTCTCATTCCTCTCATTCTCCTCTTCCCAGCCTAGCCTCAGAGGCCGCTCTCAAGATAACTTGCCTTTGCAAATATGTTCAGCGCCTTACGCTAGTTTGTCGAACAGTGCCAACTGCAAGCAGAATATTGGCGAGCTGCTTGTGCGAGACGTTAGATGATTTCAGGCAGCCACCTCATCATCGTTACTGACGCCCTAGAAGAGGGCATAAATGTGTTATCTATTTCGACAAACCACGCAACCTAAAATCATTTATCCAAAGGAGAGGAGAGTTAGACAAGAAAACCCAACCTTCGCCATTATGCTTGCCAGCGATGATATCTCTAGGAAGCATTGGACGAGGAAATGCTTCGAGTTTATCAAAATGACGCCAGGTTGATGCGAAGATATCGAGGATGGATTCTGAGTTGAATCTACTGAGTATGGGACTAAAAAGCTACTTTGAATCCATACTAACTCAAAATTTCAGGGAACTCTTAACTGCTGAGTCTGGTAGCACATCCCTAATATTTCTGTCTCGCTTTGGAAGAGTTCTTTCATCGACAGCAGGAAAGATCCGGGTATAATAAAGGGAAGGACATTTCCTTAGTGTTATACGAAGAAGATAGACAACGCATCGGACGGATTTGGACACAACTGAAGTATATTTGATTATTCTCAAACGTGTTTGAATTATGCGCCTTTGTTAGTGACCCCACCACTTCAAGTTGACCGAATTCCTTTGCCATCCCCTAGCACACCCCTTTTTTTATATCCTCCCCCTTACACCTGCCGCATCCCACGTCCACGCCGCTAGGCAACTCACCAACCTACAATGCAAGAGCTCCATCTACAGCTCAAACATACTTTATGTAAACTAATGTGACGAAGAAACGAAAAAGAAATTCCCAGCACCACCTCCTTATATTTATGGCTGAGAATCCAAGATCTTTAAATTATTGAATCCGAGGTAATCGCATAAATCCCCTTCGGGATTTGACGGGGCAACTACTAAAAACCAGCTTATTACGTAGAGGTCCTCTGGCCTAGTAGATCGACTGACCTTGGCAGCTAGACAGAATCTGGAAAGAACTTATGTATGTCGTGAGTCTTCTGGAACCTGCAGCAGGACCTATGTCACAAATTGTATAATCTAGTAGCGAAAGGTAGGAGTTCTTTTAAGATAAAGGAATTATCGATATTATTATTACTGTTATTAAATCTATTATCTCGAGCCCTAACCGCCTTCTCCTCTAGTGTCTTCTTCGTCAAGCCCATCTTGCGTTTGTTCTTGAACAGCAAATAGGAAGCTCTAGGGCAGCGAATATAAAGGAGAGAACGAGCTGGGCAAGGAAGCTCTCCAACAAGAGTAGAAACCTAGGGTAACTGCACGTAATACTGATATATAAAGCTGTAAAGACATGATAGAAATTGTAGCGCTAAAGTAAGAAGGTGTTTGGGAATATAGAACTTGAGAAGAAGATAAACAAAGAAGAGAGATTGAGGAAGAAAGTTTAAGAGATAAGAATTGTAATAACTGAATAAAGTATATATTGAAAGACTAAATTTCAGTTTTAGTTAAACTTAGAAGAAGTAGAATGTTAAGTTATTCTGGTAATCTACGCCGATTTTTAATTTACGTCGCTTCTAATATAAATAGTTAGTATTATTACTTTATTTAAATACTATTCACTTTTATTTCACTTTCTACTCAAAATATTTAATTATATTCTTATTTTCTTTTCTAATAACTAATTATAATGTATTTATTATTTAGTTTTATTATATAAAAGTTATTAATTTTATATAACTATATTCAGAGAAACTAAATTAACTTTTAAAGAACTTCAATAAAATTTCTCTAAAAATATTTTTTTAATTTCTTAATAAATTATTTCGTAATATTTCTTTAATTTTTATTCTTTTAAATACTTTCTTTTATTAGATTCTTCGTTTATTAGACTTTTCTTCTATTAAACTTTTCTTTATTTATTTCTCTGAATATATATATATATTATTAAATTTTATTTTAATATACTATTTATTATTTTCTATAATTATTTTTATTATTTATTTATATTATATTATCTCTTATAATAACTATTCTTTTTAAATAAAAATAAATAAACTAAAAAACTCTAAGAATTTTATTAATAGAATTTAATAAAAAGAGTTTAAAAAGAATCTTTATATAATATATATATCTTTCTTTTTCGTTTTAATCTGAAGTTTCAAATTAGTAGTTTTAGCTAACATTTTATCTTTCTTATAGAACTTAGTGAAACTTTCCAAAGATTATAGAATATAGAACAGTGGGAGTTCTGTGGCTGTGCAAGGCAGACTCAACTATTTTCGAGCGCCACCATGCACCGACGTCAGGCGCCTTTCGATCATGAAAACTACAGATCTGGAACGCAGCCTTATCCTTCTTTTGTCCTCTATCATCAAGTTATCGGTTTCAACCAACTTGTTGAAACACTTATCGCCAATCTGCTCATTCGAACCTCGATGCGAGGTCGCTTCTAGACGTAAGAATTATGGACCCTCTCACGGCTCTGGGTTTAGCCAGCAACCTCGTTCAATTCGTCGACTTCTCTTTCAAGCTGTTCCAGGGAGCGAAGTCGATATACAAGTCAGCGACAGGATCGAGTGAGGAAAGCGCAAGCGTACATCTGATTGTAGCAGATGTTCGACGCCTGAGCAAGGGCATCGAGGCTTCGGAGGGCCACCCGGAGCAGCTGCGCCGTCTGGCGATTGAGATCAAACGATTGAGCGAGGAGCTCCTAGATGCTCTGGAGGAGTTGACAATCAAGGAGAAGAAGACGAAATGGAAGAGCTTCCTTTTAGCGATGAAGGAGGTGTGGAATAAGGAGAAGATAGCAGGGATGTCCGATAGACTCTCAAGGCTACAAACCCAGTTGAATACGCACATTCAGCTACAGATCAGGTAAGATTCACAACTGTTTCTATATCTTTGGGATTTGCTTATATGGTGGTTTGATAGGGATGAAGTTTCAAGGCTTTCCAAAGGCCTTGCAGACATTGAGTTGAATGACAGGAAATTTGAACTGAGGAGGGACATCGAAATTTCCTCCATGAAGGCTAATCAAGCCATAATTCGAGATGTGTGGAGCAAGGAGACTGTTGGACTCGCCGCCGCCTCAGGGTTTCAGTCTGATACCCCAACAGCAGTCACGAGTGAAAACGGGGGGCAAGCGCAGCATGCCCACTGGTTATGTGGAATACAAGAGCGGCTCGAGAAACTGATGGGGAGCATGAAGGAGATGGAGAAGGACCAAGAGCTATTGCTTAGTCTATGGTTCGAAAGCATTTCCATCAGACACGAAACCCTGGCGCAGGCTCACCTGGATACTTTCTCTTGGATCTTCAGAGGATCTACCCCAGATCATACCCAGCAAATACGTTTTGTTGAGTGGCTCAGGGGTAGCCATAGTATCTACTGGATTCAGGGCAAAGCAGGCTCTGGGAAATCGACTCTAATGAAATTCCTTGCCCAACATCCTGAGACTTTAAAGCATCTAGGCTTCTGGGCTGGACACCAGGAGGTGATAACGGCTCGCTTCTACTTTTGGAACTCGGGTTCTAGTCTTCAGAAGTCTCAGCTTGGCCTGCTCCGGTCTCTGCTTTTCGAAATCCTGCGACAATGTCCAAAACTCTTGGCACAGGTGCGGGAACAAATCTCATCCAGGAAGGAGGGCAGCTGGATGTGGGGAGGCGACAAAACTGCCACTTGGCAATATGAGGAGCTCCTCCGAGTCTACCAGTTTGTCGTAGAGCAGAACGCAGACAGTAAATTTTGTTTCTTCATCGATGGCTTGGACGAGTACAAGACAGAAATGGACAAAGACCATCGCCACTTGGTAAAAACATTGAAGCTTTTGCCTTCTTCGCCTTCGATTAAACTCTGCTTGTCAAGCCGGCCCTGGATAGTCTTTTTAGATGCATTTGGCGCTTCCTCAGAATGGATGATCAAGTTGGAAGACCTGACAAATCAGGACATATACCGATATGTTGCAGACAAGCTCCAGGAACATGACCAGTATCATAGGCTCGTGAAAGCAGACGAGAGCTACTCGAAGCTTGTCGAGGAGGTGGTGCGGAAGGCCCAGGGAGTTTTCCTCTGGGTATTTCTTGTCGTTCGCGACCTGCTCGAGGGCCTCACGTACAATGATACAATGAGAACAATGTATCTTCGACTATCACAGTTTCCGGAAGACTTGGGAAGCTACTTCCAGCGCATGATCGACTCGATCCCCAAATTTTACCGCCGCGAGACTGCCCAGACTTTCCGCATCGCGCTTGCCAAGGAGGAACCCTCGCTACTTGTTACGTACGCCTTCTTTGACGATCTTACGGAAAATCCAATGCTGAGATTGGAAGGCTCACGAGCATGTGCGCCCGCTCCCTCAGAGTTAGCGGCTATTATCCAGGCCAAACACGACACCATGCGGCGACGTCTCGATGGCCGCTGCAAGGGCCTGATCGAGATTGTCACATTTAGGAATGTTGATAACCCGATCGAGCGTTTAAGAGTTGATTTTCTCCACCGAACGGTCCGAGATTATCTTCAAGGAAGTCAGGATATACTCGACTTCATATATGACGAGGGGGGTTCGGATGCCTCACTTTGGACTAGTCTTTGCCGCGCAATATTTCTTACAATGAGGGAACTGAGACAGTGCGGTGGCAGCCCTAATGTCGACTTATTCAGCTCTCTCTGGGAAGACTTGCTTACCTTCGTCTACAAGGCCATACGAGAATCTTCGAATCCAACTATTGCCAACTGTATCTTGGACCAAGCACTGAAGCTCGGCGGCGGCAGGATGCATCATACTCGACTTCTCGAGCGAGCTTGCGAATACGGGTTACTCCAGTACGTGCAGCACAATCTCTGCAGTCTTCCGCCAATTGCGAAGACACAACTCGCCGAAGAGATTTTTCTACACGCGCTAATCCCGAACCCGATTTCTGCAGAATTTTCCCCAGACCTTGTTGCATATCTGCTAGCGCTCGGCGTTGACCCGAACAAGTCAACCGCAAGCAAGACAGATCCTGAATTAGTGAAGGCCATCGCAACACCTAGCTCAACACGGCCACTATCAGTAGTCTCAGATGAGCCATCACCCTCTTACGATATGGAGCCTGCGTCGAAACCATTACCATGCACTCTGATATCTAGCTTCAAGGAGAAGTTAAATGAAGGACAACTATCATTCAGTCAGAAAGGACTCTCAGAGGTTGTGTGTCTCCTGAACGCAAAAGGGGCCGGTCTTACTCTACCCATTAGCACGCCAACGCGGCCGCAAATTCCTCGGAGCGGGACTTTCAGAGGTCTTCCAACAGGGTGTGATTCTCGGAGAAGACCAACGGAGATTAGTAAATACTCCCGGCTTTGCTTCAGCCGGGAACGGGAGCGAAAGATAACTTATGAAGAAGAGGACGAGAATGAGCACTACCCGTTTGATACCAAGAGACCAAGACGAGAAGGTTTCTGAGGGCATCGTGGCCTAGTTGATTTAAATATGGCCGCGAGTTGGGACACGCAAAGGAAGATACTAGCTGTGTAGCAGTTGCGATCTGTTTGTTAGAGAAGACTTCGACGTTTGAGGATATTGGAGGAACAAGCGGCAACGATGCTTTGCATTCTGCTTACTGAAGTTTTGGACGTTCTCCAGATACCCGCATGATACTTTTTGTACGTACAAACTCTCTATGCAAGTTAAGCGTCTAGGGAGCAATCTTGACGTAATTACCTTCCCCGAAAGCTTGCTCAAATTATTTCTATCGCAAGAGCCTGAATCAGTCCTCATCACGCCCCCTTGCTTTCTTTCTATTCTTACTTCTCGACCACCAGAATCGGAGCCTTTCCGCCAAATCTGACCTTGTCTTCCTCCAGTAAATCCTTGATGCTGTCAAGATAGTCCTCCGGCAAGTAATTATTCGCGAACGTAAACACGGGACCTCTGGCTCTTCCTATAGTGCCTCCATGGTCAAAATCGCGATTACGGTCAAGATAGAGTTTAAGCTATTGTGGTGTGCATTCGACTCGAAATTACTTATAAACAAGATTGCACTCGGCTGTATTATCATCAAAGAATTATTAATGAAAAGCCATCGGATACCGTATAACGCTTTCCTCGGTCGCGATTTACGTGTCTATCGTGTTGTTCAGCACGTGTTGCGTTTATATTGAAGGGGTTAATAGAGCGGGGGATTGAATCGCGTGCTTTGGCAGCGTGGATTTTCGGTCGATATGGCTCAGATTTCACTAGATCATAGATTCGAATGAAGGTATATGGTTGGTTGTATAATGCACTGCCGCCGAGAAAAACGATGTTGAAGATGATGATGCGAAATGGTAAAATATTTCCGCACAGGCCCAAAAATCACGACAGGGCGCTCAGGCCATTTAGTCGAGGTCCACATGTGACTTGCTTTAGTTCACCCGCAGTAACTGTATTAGGAATAGTCCTCGACCTGTGGCCGTAGTGCCTGAGGGAACCTATTCGCAAGAAGGGTAGCTGTAGAAGTCACGTGCCCAGTTATACAGGGTGGCGCGGGTTTGGGATATCAAGTAGTTATTCCTCCTTCTTTGTCGATCTCCCCGAATAGACGAAGAAGATTTCTTCCTCGCAAGCAGATAACAAAGGAAGCTTCAGATTTGACGCTACTACTATACAGCCACACCGATCGAGAACCGAGCCGAGTAGGAACGGTGGAAGAAGTAGCCATGATCGTGGCTTGGCTAGCTGGGGAAGAAAGCAGATGGGTCACCGGGCAGTCGATAAGTGCTAGTGGGGGTTGGGCTATGTATTGATTTGCTGGGCAATGAAGCAGCATGTGTGTGCCAATAGATCATTTCATGATTTTGCGCACCACATTCACCCATCAATCTAGATGCGGCTGTACCACCAACTTCTTCCCACTCACCTTCCCTTCCCTCAGCCGATCCAACCCAGACTGGACACTTCCCAAGCCCCCAATAACCTCCACATTTCCCAGCTTCAAAGTCCCCTCCACCAATCCCCTCTCCAAATACTCACCAAATGTCCACTTCGTAAACTCCTCGTTCTCTTTCTTCAAATAGTCATCCAAATACTGAACAAAATATCCCTCTACTCCTTCTGGAAGCTTAACGCCAGGTCTGACTCCCATGGTAGCCAGAAACTTTCCTCCGCCTTGAGCAGCTAGAACATCGCCTATAACGATCTGGTCTGCCGCAGTATCCGCTGCGGCGTACACAGCTTTATAGGGTCCGTGTTTAATCAGATCTTCCCGTATAGTTCGGGATCGATAATCGAAACTTTCGGCTGCACGGAAGTATTTGACGTATTCTGAGTTCTTAGACGACGCCGTTGTTATGACCTGGTATCCAGCCTTAACTTATGTTAGCTTCATGAAACATGAGGGCTATGTCGGGGACGGACCTGCGACGCAATCTGAATCGCGTAAGCTCCGACTGATGAGGACCCACCCCAAACGAGGACGTTCTCGTTCTTCGGTGCTGCATCTTTCGATGGCTTGTCGAGCCCGAGATGAATCACCATCGCAGACATTGCAGCGTATACGCTTGCAGCCGAGGTAGCTTCGGCGAAGCCGACGTCTCCAATCTATGATGTTGTTCAGTCCAGGCAAATGTGGAGAACGCTATTGACGATTACATGACATGTCAAAGCTTCGGATGTCAAAGTGAATCGTTGATGAGCGCCATATTTGGGTTTGTCGTGTAAGACAAAAGCGCTGATAGAGAGAACTTTGTCGCCCTTCTTGAATCGAGTTACGCCAGGTCCCACTTCATGGACAAGGCCTGCAATAGACACTTGGGACTTGTTAGTCTCCGTCTTAACATGATTCTTTGTACGGCTATTGAGGAAGGTGACCTACTGCCAAGGACCGTGGGTAGCGTCAACGGAATCGGCAGAATGCCTTTCTGTAGCTTCCAGTCTGCAGGATGGAGGGGAACAGCGCGGTTCTGGAAAGTTTAAATTGGCCAAAGATAATGTAGTAGGACTGAAACTCAGCCTACCTCGATCACAATTTCACCCTCACCAGGGTGTGGAATTTCTGCAGGGCCAATCTTGAGGCCTTCGCCCTTGGCGAGAAACCATGCCGCTTGATTCTCCATGCTCGAAGAGTCGAACTAGTGGCAGTAGGCAGCTATGCAAAAATCTATGACTCAAGGGCTTTTGGGCTACGAAGAAGGAGCCTTATGCTGAAAGATTTCACGCTGTAGAGATCGTGATGGAGAAAGGAAGCCAAATGGACGGACCGATGCTATAACCGATTTCCCGCTTAAAATCTAACCCCGCTCCCGCCCAAAATCCCATGATTTTAAATCTTCCGTGACTTCTAATTGGCTTCTCCCAAAAACCTTGACGGCCATCCACGGGGTTAAAAGCTGGCGACGTCGACTATATTGCAAAAGTATTAACGAAAAATTGCATGAAGCCTTGGGTTGCTATATAGCTACGTACATAGCATAGTCTATCTCCTGCCTTTGTATTCTCGCTTTTAAAACTTCTTTATTAAGTAATTAATTGCGCGACAGATAATTTGTTTCCTTTCCGGCAGTTAGAGATCATGCACTTCGCAGAAATATTATTCGAGGATCCACGGCGCTCGATACAGTGGGAGAAAATCCGGGGCATTGCAGCGGAGTGGCGCAGAATATTCCCAAAGCTTCGAGGAATGCCGTGTCCAACGGATGTCTACTCTTCGTATATGCAGGAAGATGAATTGAACGAAGAATCAGGAGACAGGGCTAGTGTGGATACCGATGAAGAGATGTCAGGTTTGAACGAAGAATCAGAAGGAGATAGTGTGAGTGCTGATGATGAGATGTCACTAAGTGAGCCCGGGCTTGACTTTAACGACTACGAGTCTACTTCTGATGGCCGTTTCCGAACTAGACGTGTACTCCTCAACCGCTAAATGCTACCGGTAACTGGAAGCGTAGCTTACTTAGACGAAAACTCCAGCCGAATTTAGTTGCAAGCCCGCGGAATATTAAACTATAGAAGTTAGTACTTCTAGCAGCAGTCTGCGACTATCTCAAGATCTACAAGTAGAATTCTAATAATTATAAAAGACTTTATCAAACTTTTAATTTATTTAAATAATTATACATAATTCAATTAATAGAAGTTTAAATTAATTTTAATAGAAACTAATAAATTTAATAAAAGAACGAAAATAGATATTTAGATTAATAAATATTAGTAAGATTTATATTTAGATAATATAGAAACTATAACCGATTTACGAAAGAGTTAGAAGAAGATCTCCTGAGTATAATCCAGCTGACATATTAGTATGCTCAGAACTCAGGGCTCAGCTCAGGCTAGAGTAGCGACTGCTTAAGTCCAAAGACGGAAACGGGCTTTAGTGAAGTCAAGATTCGGTGCAGATTATAGAAGTAACAAGGAGCTCATTCTAATCACCAGGGACGCGTTCTGGCTCCCTCCGATCCCGCTCGCCAGAAGTTGATGTTCTCAACAGCACTACCGGGATGGGACCCATCCTTAAGGTATACAGAAGGTGGCTAGGAGTTTCAAGCTGCTAGGAGGTGGTGGAGGTTGCGCTGTGCAGGGTGTCCTAGGCAAGGTGTGTACGGGTGTTAAGCAATAGTGGGCGGGCAGCAGAGTCAGCCTGAGCGTGCACTACTTCATAAGGGGCCAATTTGGCGCCCAAGGGACGCTCCCGAGGCCTGGTTACATGCCTTGAATAAGTCATCTTGGATATCGCGAAACAGGGCTAGTTGCTTCCCTAGGCTAGCAAAGAAGGATACAACCTTAGTAGGAAGCTTGGAAAAAGTCACGGAGAGCTGAAGGGATAACCTCCCTATTCCCATCTTGTTTGGATCAAGAAGGTCCTTAATAACAAGCTGTAAGCCGTGAGATTCGCAAGGGACTGAGTAGACGTGTTGAAGCTCTGGAGTCGCGTGTATACGGGCCCAAAGTGAGCGTTTGAGTATCGCAGATATCCGTAGCAAAAGAAGACCACTTTACTACCTTGTTTTTAGTTAATTCCTTGACGGCATTGTGGATGTGGCGGAGAGTCCATTGTGCTGATACTGTGGTGCCTCCAATCTCACTAGTTTTCTATATTGAAAAATACTAGGATGGACTATATATGAAGGGGTTAGTAAAGGAGCAAAAAAAGAACTATAGGATTTACAGCATCAATAGACCTAGTCTCCGATCTACTGCCGTGACGTCAAAGGCTCCAATATCTTGTGACATAGCTTGCCGAAAGATATGCACCCTCGAACATACATAGATATGCATGTATATATCAAGTCGGCATGCTCCATGGAGGCTGATACGAATTGAAAATGACCAAGTCTAACTTTAGCCAAACCTTCAGTAAAGCGGTCAAAGTTATCCGCTCTCACTTCTCCAAACTCTTCAGAAAATCCGCAACTTGAGCGTAAGCTTCCCGACCAGCCTCCATCTGATTTTCACGCTTCTTGTTCTTGTCGAAGGCGTGATCACAATCCTCCATCCGCCGTACAACTACATGTCTGCCGCTTGCATAGCCTTCTGTCTTGATTCTCTCAGCCAGCGCCTCCATATCCGTGGCAGAAACGTCATGGTCCGCAGTAAATATTAGCATTTCCTGCGGAAAGTTGGTCGTATCGGCAAAAGCTGGCGAGATTCGAGGGTCTCGGGCATCTTTTCCACGTATATAAGCCTCACGGAAGACCTTCGTCCAGAACGACGGTCGATCTCTGCCTGGCACCGGGGCCTTCCGCTCTCCCGGATCTCCGGCCATGCTGGGGGACGGATAGAATCCGATGAGGGACTGAAAGGTACCGTGGGGAAACAGGGTCGATGTAACAAGTGCAAGAGTGCCGCCGGACGAGAATCCGCACAAGGAGACGTGCGACGTCTGGTACTCGTCCGGGTGGCCAAACACATATTTCACGGCGTCGTTGGCGTCGTTGACCGCCGCGGGGAAAGGGTTCTCTGGTGCCACACGGTACTGGACGTCGAGAACTACGTGGCTGGTGTGCTTGGCAACGAACCGGCAGAAACGGTCGTCAGCACCATGATATTGGAGAGCAAACCCACTGCCATAGAAACTAATGAGCACAGGATGCGGCTCCCCTCTAGCGCTTCCCGCCTCCCCCCCCGGGTTGTAGACATGAATCTTGATAGTCCGCCCCTTGTCGCGAGATGGAATCCTCAAAATTGAGTCTGGCTTGGGTGTTGGCAACGGAGCAAGGAGTCTCATAAGGAGGCGAAGAGACGAGATGAGGAATTTGAGGCGCAGATAGCGCAGGAAGTCGAACAGACCCATCGTTAAGGTAATGATCGTGTTTCGGCTGCCAACGCGTACTAAGCAGTGGGCTATCTGTATACGCTGGACGCGTTCTATAGTAAGTGGGTGAGAAGTTGGCTCACTGAACGATCATGGGATCTGTGCAAACGCGGGTCCTATCTTTAAGCTATGCAGAAGGTGATGAGGAGTTTCAAGCTGCTACAGGGTGGTGGATAGAGGTTAGGTAAGGTGGTGGAGGCTACGCTGTGCAAGGTGTAAGGTGATTAAGGTGATAAAGGCGATGCTACGGAGGGTGAGCGGCGAGGGGTCACGTGTGCCGTGGCTTGGCGAGCACGCAGAACGAGGTACTAAGGTACGGACCTGGAAGCTTATTTGTACGCGCTATGAACAAGGGTTGCGCCCCATATGTCGGCTTCCTCTCCCAAACCTCCCCATCTCAAGACCTCTACCGAGTTGCCTCCGCACAGGGGCAACGTCCGGTTTACAGGGGCCGTATGATGATGTCAGGCTCTCAATATCCTGATCTTGAATACGAAGTACAGAAATACTCGCGGTCGCTGCCCTGGATCTAGCATCGAGATCAAGTGACAAGCCGCTCATTATTCCTAGACTTTGCGACTCTTGCGTTTCTGTAGTCTGCTCCACCTATTCCACGGAAAACCCCCGTCGACTACTATGATTATGGTTATGATTACAATCTATTGAGTCGATATATGCCTCGTTGCGCAGTTTTATATTATCGTTTCCTGCATTATCATTGCCTTCCAGTGCCATTTCCAGCTTTTCCATACAATGACGACGTTCACACACGAACCAACACGTGGCAGAACCGGTGTACCCAGTTTCAGCTCTCAAAAGTCTTCTGATCAGTTGCACGAGTGCAACAGGAACCCCCCGACATCCGCCCCCAAATCTGTTAAGACCCAGAGACGATCACTCTTCAGAGAAGAGGGGCTTGATGATTTGGACAACACTATTCACCCCTCTTCGCGTTCTTTCACCAAAACATCAACATGGGCGGCGGGAATAGACAATGCCAGAGATACCAATTCACAGGCGGACAAAAGTATAGATATAGGTGGTAAGAAACAATGTCCCAAGTCCTCAAGTAGCGACGACGGTTATGAACGGTATTCGAGGGTTGTAAAGCCAACTCAGACTGTCAACTCCGCCGCTGCCATGCCCGCAAGCTCGCTCGCAACAATTCCGCGAGCTGCATTAGTTGTAATCCTAATCGCTTTGTTCGTACCAACCTTTCGATCCAAAATCGGAGTGGAAGTCAACATAAACGGTGCAGACGCAGGCGTAATCAGGACGGCAGAATTGGTCGAGAATGGAAGCTCTATTGAAGGACGAGCGAATAGCCCTGCCAATGTATGTACGAGATGGGCTCATCAAGGTACTTTCATTCCTCAAGTCAAATAATTCCATCAATGATGAAACTAACAGTTTAAAGCGGCAAGCGTGAATGGGACTGTGTATATTTATGGTGGAAATGCCAAATTAAAGAGCGGCCAGACATCAGATACCTGGAGTAAGTTAGACGTCCCATGATTTACTGGTAATTGTTTATAGCCTTCTAGACAACAATTTGTTGACCCTTGATCTCACCAAATCATGGAAAATCTCATCGCCCTCGATATCAGGGCTCCCTCAGCCGTCCGGGCCACCCGCCGTGGCGATGGGCTTCCTATGGAATTCATACGAGTCACTCTGGCTTTACGGTGGATATTTCTCCGATGACCCTATAACATCTCCTCTTCGCATGTCAACATGGGAGTACAACATCAAATCATCCAAGTGGATAGACCATGCGGATCCGACAACATCGGCAGGAAACCATTCCGAGGGAAATAGCCAACCAGTCCAGAGGGCTGCGGAAGGGGCTGGATTAAGCGTTCCTGAGTTGGGAAGAAGTTGGTTTTTTGGTGGCTATCTGGACATGTATACGACTCAGGGATGGTCCAACCAAGTTGCAAGGGTGTACCTCAAGAGTTTGCTGGAGTTCACACATCCCGGATATGCGAATACAGGCGTTTCCTCCCTCGGCAGCACACATGCAGCCGGGTCTGATGGCGCCTATAGAAATATCACCCAGGGAGGTTTACAAGAAGAAGCAGGGTTTACCGAACGGGCAGACGGTGTCTTGGTTTATGTGCCTGGATGGGGAGATCAAGGCATCTTGCTTGGTTTGGCAGGCGGAACAAATGAAACTTTTGTAAGCCCGCAACCGCCACACTCCCACACCTTCGAGGCTAACAGTTATTAGACGGAGATGAACATCATCGACGTCTATGACATCGCAAACAGCACTTGGTACAAGCAATCAACGCACGGGAAGAGTCCTCCGATCCGGGTCAATCCTTGTGCCGTCGTGGCTGCAGCATCAGATGGGTCAAGTTTCAACATCTATCTCTATGGTGGCCAAAACCTGATCCCCTTCGGAAGCCAAATCCAGTACTCAGACATGTGGATTCTCACAATTCCCTCATTCATGTGGATCCAGGTTGACCTAGAAGGGCAATCACAACCACCTGCACGTGCTGGTCATACATGTACTATGCGGGACGGTCAAATGGTGGTAGTTGGCGGTTATGTAGGGAAAGATATCTCCTGTGATAGCCCTGGGGTTTATGTCTTCAATTGTTCTTCCCTTGAATGGACCGATGGTTTTATGGCGCTGGCTTATTCGCCAGAATCGCCTTCGTCACCCTCAGGCCTAGGTTCAGCTTCAAGCGACAAGCAAGACTCTTTCATTTATCGAGGTTCATACGGCTATCAGGTTCCTGCACCTGTTCAATCGATCATCGGAGGCTCATCGTTTGGAGGTGCTACAGCTAGCACACCCGCTGCAGGATCAGCAACAGCTGGACCGATCGCAACAGGACGACCACCCACACTTACAATAACCCAATCTGGTTCAACGATAATTCAAACAGCAGGTCCTACGTCAACAGCTAGCTCCATTTCATCCAACACACCATCACCACACTCAAGTTCTAGCGCAAACGTTGGAACTGTTGTAGCAGGGGTTATTGCCGCTGCATTGGCCATTCTCGCCGGCTACCTAGCATTTTGTGCTTGGTTATACAGAAAACAATTGAATATATACAAGAACCATGTCTCGATAGCACAAAGAAGGTCTCTCAGTCCGATTGGATGGGGCGCCGGACGACTGGGAGAAAAAGCACCTGGCCCTGGCGTAATGCTCGGTCCATTTGGCACAGAAATTGGCGGGAGCGGGAGTACTGGCCGGCCATCCAGTTCTTGCCATGGCATAGGGTCGACGCCATCCACTGACCATACGACAAGCCAGAATTATACTAGCAGGCCTGAGAGCATCCAACCCAGCCATGCTAGAACGGTCCCAATGCCCACATATATCGGACACGGATATGGAAGACTCGGTGAGGAACAAGATGACCATCTTGACCCAGCCACTGCAGGTAGCTATGGAGATTATGGGAGGAATAGTCGAAGTACAGCGCACAGTTCGATGGAGGATCTGCTTGGTGGGCAGGAACCTAGTTTCTTTAACGTGGTGTGGAATCCGAGGAGGACTTTGAGGGTAGTTAATAGCGATTAAGGGCGCTTATTATATTGGATTTCAACTGTGGATAGGATCGTTTGATTCACGGAGTGAGATAGTGTTTTCTTGATATAAATCTTGTAGTATAGCGATACCCTCTGGCGATATTTGATGGTTCTTAGATTTTGTTGATTTTCAATACTGTCATAGGAGCCAGCTTCTTAAGGGTGGGCGGCTGGCTACAAAAGGCCTCTCATGAGGTGTGTGTCTTTAGCTACCTATATCAAATAGCAGCCATAGAGTATAAAATAGGTTTAAAGGCCGATCACTGAGCAGTCCGCTAGTGATCCGCTGGCAGTCCGTAAAACTGCGATGTGCAACAAAACTATATTGTTCCGCAATGTTAGCGTGGGGACGGCGGCCAATATAGAGTAGTGAAAATCAATAACGGAGGATTGTAAGGTAAACGAACTGTTGAGGAACAGCAAACTATCTTTGTGTAAATAAACATAATGTTCGAACACTAAGCTTTAATAGATCCTTGATTACAGCATATTGTTTACCTTTCTATAAAATGGCGTTCATTCCCTACTTGAAAATCAATAGATCGCTAATATATGTGCAGCAATGTATTTCAAGCCCATTAAACCATTTCAAAAATGCTATTACACCCTCTCTCGCCTGGGGATACCGTTGGACTGTTTTCATGGTGTTTCACGGTTTAGACAAACAAGGGAAAGCAAATGATATCCGCAAAACCATGAAATAAGTGATCGTCGGGGTTCCTCCGCAACGCTTTTTTCCTACGGAGGTTTAACTGCTTTATAAAACTGTTTTACTAGGACTCCGAGTCACATTGCTCACAGCACCAAGATAGTTATGAACAACGAAGTATATTTTAAAATAAAAAAGTCATATACTAGTATAACACAAAGCCCTTGGAGCTTATCCGTCTACAGTTCCCCTTCCTCCCCTTCATAACCAACAAGGATTAGCTATATAGTACATTACGTACAAAACGGCAAGACCGGCAATAACTTTCCAAACAACCAAAAAGGTGCAGTTTAGATGCTGAGCTCAGACCATTCTCCTATTGTAATGGATATTAATAATCTATGGGTTGGGAGCTTGGCAAACGAGAGCTTGTCCGAGCTAGTTTAGGTGTCAGTCCACTGCTGAGATTGGATATGGGAAAGGATAGCTCCATACAATAGGGAGGACGCAGCACATGTTAATTTTGCCATCGGCAGCGCAGATGTCATTGAAGCTCTGGAGATCGGTTGGTTGAGAAGCGGCTGCAGATAACAGAGTTAGCTACTTATACTTCGTTTGAATGCTGGGGAAGGCCGGTAGTGCTATAAGGGACGCACGGGGTGCACAGTCAAGGTCCGCAACACCTAGGACGTCAACATCGCAGCAAAGCGGGGTGGCGAGGGCCGATGAGCAGAGTCCTGCTTGGCGGCTGTTAAGTCTGGTGGCAGGCATGGCAAGGATGCTGGCGACGAGGCCGAAGAGAGTCATAAATGAGGTCTTCATATTTGTGGCTGGTGATAGCTGGAATTGATTAAAACTTGGAGTGTTGGATTTGATCGATGGGAAGTTGATTTTGATGGAGGATTGAGTAATTATGATGGAGAATGATGTGATTGAGGTGGATGTTGATGAGCTTCTTATAGATTTCTCAACGCTTTAATTTCTTTTGATATCATGGTGCCTAAACTGATGGGCATCCATCCTCCAGCACGCCTGGGGTACCGATGATGTCGACCGAGACCCAACTTTTGAATATTTCAGGGAAATGCAGGATTTTCAGCATATAATCTCCTCACCGACATCATCTATCCGGAGGTACCCTACAAGTTTAAAGGATATAGGATAGATACATGGTGTTGTCTGGTCCACGGAGTACCTGCACCGAGCGATTCAGGGTTCTGTATTGAACGAGACGGAGCAAAGCGATGCTCTCGCAACGCGATGGGACCCGACATCCAGGATGCTCACCTATCAGCAGCCTTTGTGAGCCTTGCAATTGCACGTGCTTAGGGTTGTAACGGTTATCATTCTAGGTTAGAGAAGTATAGGGAAGGGGAAGATCAGCGTCATCGCTCTGTCGCTTGGACAGTAATGCAGGGACGATCAGATAGAGTCGCACAGCTTGAGCGGGGGAGTTTGCCGCTCGGCAGTAACTGCAAGTCTACTGCTCTTAAGCCCATTAAATTGTAAGGACAAATGGAGGTTAAGTCTTGGTTGAAAAGTTACCAAGTATTGTCCTAAGTTCGCCCGAGCATGTTCAAATTATTGTACGAAGTCTTTTTGCACATGGACCCGAAAGGCGAAATCCTCCAAATCCAAAAATTGGGTTGGATTTGAAGCCTATCGAGATCTAAACACAATTCTAGATACCATTAATTAGTCTTCAGGGGGATAATGGGGTGAGATTGAGATTAGCAAAACAGGAGCCACAACGGTGGCGTCCGAGCCCCTGAGGTGGCGACGGGTCACTGCCGCTTTCAGGCTTCCGCCTCAATCTGTCGGCATATCGATATGTTATAAAGTGTGGTAATAGGTCGGGAAACCTATTAGGTTCGAGGTCCGAGGTTGGGAAGTTAAAGGGGTGGCGAAACGTCGCTTCCTCAAGTCACTCAGGGGTTGTTGTGTAACCGAGAACCTGATTTTAACGTAGCGATCGTCCAAACAGGAACCAAGATCATGGCTGGACTTTTGAAGATGTATAGACACCGATATCATAAGGTTACACTGAAATATGAGCGGACGCCGTTTCGTCGTCGGCACTGAGCCGACTGGGCATCAGGTACCCAGGATTAACATTCACCCTAGCCCGCTGACGTCTGTCGAGAATCAACACTTGTACAACATCAGTGCTACTTGTACCTTGTGTGTACTGTGGGCCGCTAGGTAGTTGTCCGTGGCTCTTGATTGCTATCAAATCTCAGTACGAACGGAATATCAAACGGGTTTCTCGAAACTATCCTTGATGATTCAAATGTATGGGCCAGTTGAGTTGAAAGTTTACCCGCTGTTAGGCCGCCCGCTCTCACCCTAACACCCACCTGAGCGGCAGCTCGTTCACGCATATTCCGCTTGTTTGTTTTTCTATACTTCGGGCAAACCAGATTGCCACCCCCCGCCCCCAATTAGTGTGAATTGGACCACTTGCCCAAAATGAACCCATCACATCCTCAAAAATGCACCAAAGTCCCTAAGCAATCTAATCTCTTAAATGCCATTTAATTCCCCCAGGATCACATCTCTGATTCGATTAAAAAAATAGCCGAGAGTCAAGACCTTTACATACATCTTTTAATTTCTTAAGCGTTACTAAACCATCCAGCCAGTCAAGGTGCAAGATGCTACCAAACCAGCGGCAAGGCTTCCATCCGGACACATACCTGCCGCCATCTCTAACTTTCGGCCTGACGGCCAAGTCCCAGTTTTAAACGAGAAGCATTTCGATGGTCGTCAGTGTCGCATCTTCAAGGCACACTTTCCGGGTGGGGATAGTTGGGCTGTACACATCCCGCTCCATCTACAGATTGATTCCCAAGACACCATTATAGCCATTTTGAAAGGCGAGATTAATGTGCTTCGAGAGCTTGAGGAGAGCGGTTTCACGTGGTCACCCAAATACCAGGGATCCAGCTTCACATTCGAGAACCTGGTCGGATACCCGTTCGTCATGTTGACGTGGGCTCCGGGTAAACACCTTTCATGGTCTGTAGGCTACCCACCACGACCTCTTCGAGATAAAATACTTCGTCAAGTTGCTTTGATACAAGAGTCACTCATTGAATGTACTAAAGAAAACAGTAGGCTAGACCTTCTAGGCTGAAAGGGTACTAATTATCGTAGTGGGCACCGCTGCAGTGTATTTCGAGAGAATGACAGATAACAAGCTCCATCGAGCCCGCAATGGCCTCCTTATTGATATAATGGAGCAGGACTGTTTCGACCAGAAAAGTATCCTCTCCCAGGTACTCTACCCCAAACTAGACAAGGCGCCGGTCGCCATAGATCATGGCAATCTATCGCCGCAGAACATAATTGTTGACTCCGAACTTAACATTACCGGGTAAGTGGACATTAACACTTGGTAGCCTTATGTTGCTAAAATATTCAAGTATTATTGATTGGGGGTTTGCTGCGAAGGTCCTGATCCAAATGGCCTGTGGCTTTCCTCTCTTCCTTCGCCTCAAGCCACCGTCCTGCCACCAAACCCAACCCTTCAGGAAGATCGAAAGTCTTTTATTGCATCCGTCAAGTTTCTCTCTTCGCAAGCAGTATCCTGGGTGTTACTTACCCAATCCTCTAAACATGTTGATTTCCGGCTTTTCTTTCTTGAGTCGATAAGAAGCAAAGGCATGCACCGTTGGCTGGCACTTCAGGGATGGAAACTTCCCTATTGCGAGCTACCGGGTAGAGTTAAAGGAGTCGATAAGCACAAGGAGGGTGACTCGATCCTATTGGTCGGCGCAAACGACGGCTTAGAAGCCCAGGATGTCAACTTAGTAGGCAACTGAGTCCTCGAATAACCTTTCTTTACTAGAAAATGCTCAAAGGTGTTTTCCATTATGTCAGGTGAAAACTATTGGCGAGAAGCCCTAGAATGGTTCACATGAAGGAGTCTCTAATCATGATGTAATGTAGTTGAGGATTCGATAAAACATCAAGGTAGGAACTAGCTAATAGCTACCCGTCCTCTAATGGAACTTCCGGTAAGGTAATTCTCATCACATTCTCTTCAACACCAACGAAAGGTAATTATTATTTCTCCCTCGTCTTCAGTTATCGCATTCAAAATGCCTCTCCTACGGCGGTCCACCGCATTTTCGCATCCCATGCGATATGCTGGGCCTTCTGCCATCCGGCAGCCTTCTACCATCCGAAACGTTTCGTCAACATCCTCTAGATTTGCGCAAGGCTACGGTAATGGTGAAGGGCATCCGCTAGGAGAAAACCCCCAACAGCAAGGCAGCTCCAACGAAACGAAGGAGAACCTTGAGCACCCGGGGCCCCCGCCTCCAGCTGAAGGGCAAGGCAAGGGCGCTGGTCCAACTAAAGGAGCCTCCAAAGCGAAAACACAATCCCCAGGCGAGGCATCAGCAAGTTCAGGAGGGTCAAAGTCTAAGGAAGCAAAGGAAACTAGATCTAGCCTGACAGCTGGCGAAGTAGGAAAGAGTGGAGGCAAGCATAGCAGCCAACAGGATAAGAAGGAAGGAAGGAAAAAACCGCCTATCGAGGGGAATCTTGGCCCAGAAGCCAATAGCTTGGACAGTGCTGAAGTTGCCAAGCATAACAAGGAGTTTGCGGAGGGTTATGATAGAGCCCCGAAGGCTCCGGGTACCAGGGAAGTGGATTCCAAAGGTCGTTCAATGGGTAAGTTTTGTCTCCTGATACATGTGTGTATAGGGAGCCACTAACCGCGTCCTCAGATTAAACCAAGGCCGGTCTCGAAGTGTGATGCATAGAGTATATACTAGATACTACAACAAAATGAACTGGCCAAGGTATCGTAATTATTATACTGCCACGGCCGTTACTCAAAAGGAATGAGGTGATAGGTGTTGGCATATAGAATAAGACTCGGCAAAGTACTCTTGCCGGTATCATTCATTCCTTTTATTTCCCTAATTTAGACTGACTGAATATCACAATTATGGTCAATGTTAGAAATTGGAAAAGCTAAGTGTGAATATACTTATGTGCCTTGTACTATTTTATTTTCAACTGATACGAGTGCGGGTATTCATATTACGATAATTGAAGGGAAGCTGAAGATTTCTTCCTAACGAGTGTTGGAAAACTCGAAATGTAACTGGACACTGTTAAATACTCTACCAACCTAATAATAACCTCCCAGGGCAGAGATATGATTTGCTCTATTTATGAATTGAATGCTTTACTACTTGTGCCGCATCACAATTCCATGACGTCCATCAACAAGCACTCAGCTAGCCCTGGAGGGTACTAGTGCGCTGTGGCTGCAAGCTGTCTAACCCGGGCATGACATCATCCTCATGCCCCGCGGTAACCAGTAAACAAAGCTATGATTTGGCAGGGACAATCAAATCAGCAACTAACCGCTTAATTTGGCGATTTAAATGCTTATTATGGGAAAGATCGAATGGTCATCTGCTTCTAGACGATGCCCATTTGGCCAAAGGGATTTCGTGATTGGATGATAACAATTAATAATTTTGAATTTCACCTGTGCGCAACCCAAGGAACGCCGCAGAACGCGGCGACGTCACAGCTTTTGTTCCAGATCCAAACTCAGGGAACGCAATTCTGCCTGCTTCTACGCAATATCAACGTCCTGCCCTTTGATTCCTGTTCTCTCTCTTAAACCTCGAAATTTACTGCACCCAAATATTTTCGCATCGGCAACCCCATATATCCTCTTCTAGGCAGAATACATTACCGTCAACTCAGGCCTGAGAGTTCTGATAGTATCGTCATCAACATGAAGCTCTTTTCCCAGCTATTAGTCCTGGGTCTTGCAGCGGAGGCCACTGTTGCAAGCTCCTGGTTCGGAAAATCTGGTATGGCTTGATCACTTTTAATCCCCTAGCTCCACATCGTTAGAACTCATTGATACTTTGCTGGAGGAGCTGTTTTGTTTGCCACGGAGCTCTCATCAACTTGAAGACATTAATCCTTTCCCATCATAAAGCTCCCAACACAGCCTGGAAATAATTAGACTGCATGCTAACTTTTCTGGATTAGCCTATGATAAATGGCATGAAACCGAGCTCGAGAGATGGCTGTCAGATCACGATGTCCCCTACCCTACACGTTCCGACCGAAAACATCTTGAGGGTCTTGTCAAAGACAACTGGCAAACTAAGGTTGCACAGCCCTACCATGACTGGGACACCGAGCAGCTCAGTTCATACTTGAAAGACAGGGGTATAGAGGCAAAAGACTATGCAGCCGCCAACAAGAACGGCCTAATTGCGCAAGTCAAGAGTTATTGGTTCGATACGGAAGATAAAGCTGAAGATGCTTGGTCAAGTGTTAAGGACTGGATTTTTGATAGGTAAGTTAGCAGCATAGATTAATGTATTCGGGGCATTTGCTAATTTATTTATAGTTGGTCCGGTAAATTAAAGCAAAAGTCTATAGATGTTTCTACTCGCACTTGCTGACTTGCACTTCTCTAGATTCACAACTTAAGGCTCTCGCTGACAAGCACGGTATTCCTGTTCCTCAACCGCGCAAGCGTGACACTATTATCCAAACTCTCCGGTCCAACTACGAGACCATTTCCAAGAAGGCCGGAGAGGGTGCCCACTATCCTGGAAATTGGTTGTATGAGACTTGGTCCGAGTCTGGTAAGCTACCTGGCTACGTCGCTATTACTTATCTGACATCAATTAGACTTAAAGGAATGGCTTGACACTCATGGTATCCCTGCTCCACAGCCAACTACCCGCGACAAGCTTATTGCTAGCGTCCGTCGTAATTCGCGCATTGCTAGTTTGAAGTTGGCTGAGGCTCAATCCGATGCGTCGAAGTCTGCGGCCGATGCCACAGAAGCTCTCAGTGACAAGCTTCTGGAATCTTGGTCTGATTCACGTAAGACATATCCGAAAAGCAATTGTGAGTCATGCTAACTCGAACTGCAAACAGAAATTAAAGAATGGGCGGATAAAAATGGAATCAACGTACCACAGGGAAGCAGGAGAAATGAACTGCTGGCCATTGCTAGAAAGTATCGAGCCCAGCTCACTGGTGATAAAGCTTCATATAAGGCCAAATCTCTCTATGGCGCTGCCACTTCCAGTGCTGGTAACGAGTACGCTCGAGCTACCGAGGACGCTTCCCTGAAGGCCGAAGAAGCCTTTAACTCAGCCATTGCTAAGTGGAGTGAGGTAAGAAGATGAGCTCGCCCTATGAAATCATATAATGACCTCCTCTAGTCCCGCCTGAAGGCTTATCTTGATGCTCGAGGTGTTCCAGTCCCACAATCAGGAAAGAAGGATGAGCTTTTGGCCGCTGTGCGTTTGAATAGGCATAAGGCTGCTACTGGCTGGTCTGCCTGGACTTTCGACACCTGGACCGCTGATAACCTTAAGTAAGTTTCATGTCCACTTTACGTGATACTACTGACAATATTTACAGGAAATACCTCGCACAATCTGGCGATAAGGCTGCAGAGCGGGTGAGCAAGAAAGCAGGAGCTACTCGCGAACAATTAATTGCAGCTGCCCAGGCTGCCTATAACTCTGCTTCCAAATCTGGAGGCAGCGCGTATGCCACGGTTACTTCTTATCTAGCCAAGCAAACCGATGCCGCCAAAGATTCAGTCTTTGATACGTGGTCCGAGTCCGGTACGTTCGTTGAGATTTACTGTTGAAACTCAAGGCTAACATGGAAATAGAACTGAAAAATTATCTGGACTCCTACGGCTTCAAAGTGCCACAAGGATCGACAAAGAACGAACTAATTGCATGGGCTCGTAACCAGAGAAACTTATTCCAATACGGCACCACGACTCCTCGGGGTACCTTGTGGGCGAAACTGTAAGTACCCAATACCGATGGTGTTTTCTCTCCTTGCTAATAAACACTCGCAGCAAACAAAGTGGCGAATGGGTTCTCGACCAACTTAACATCGGTGCAGCTGCTGGCCGCAAGGAGGCCGAGAAGGTTGCAGATGCTGCCAAAGAGCAGGCCACATATTCGAAGCACCGTGCAGAGGAAGCCCGTCAGAGAGCATTTGACAAGATCAAGGAGGAATTGTAGTTTACTCTCCTATAGATACTACAATGGTTTTGACAGAAGAACTTCTTGAGAAGATCGGATATGCACACTGAGTGCTGGACTTTGTTTCCTTTTGGCGCGAGATTAGGTTTCCATTAGGGGTTTAGCATGAGTTTTAGGGTGATGGATTAAGATGGAATTTCTTGCCTTGCAATATGAGATTGTACCTTTGGTTGCAGTTGTGGAGTGCACTTCGGAATGACTTCCATAGAGATAGGGATGATGTATGATAAACATGATATAAAAGCGCTACCCTACTTATCCTCCCAGTTCCCACTTGGGCAAGGAGCAAGCTAGAATGCAAGTTGATGGCTTGAAGATGAAATTATCACCCTTTGAGAAAATATGACATTTGGACTACTTGGCTTTCAGACTTTTACCAATAAACGCCCCCCAGAATCTGATATTTGGGTATCCAAACAGAAACCATTCCACATCACAACTTCTGCAACAAAATCGCTGCCCCCTTATTTCCCACCTCCCTCTCCTTGCCCCCCTTTGCTTTCTTCGCCTTCTTCGCCTTCAATTTACCCTCACCCCCCTCCAGTGCCTTCTGCGCCGCTTCCCTCCTCGATTTCTGCTCATCCGTTTCCTCCTTTGCTGACTTCTCCAACTTCTTCTTACTAGCTTTCAAAACCTTCAACAGTTCATCCTTCTTCGAGAAATTATCAGATTCAGTAAGCGCAACAACTACGAAGGAAGACGGGCCAGTCGCCCAATCAATGATATGATCTTTGATGTGTGGGTATAGGATATCAGCGAAGTTAAGCGCTGGGATGGTAGGGATGATAGTTTTGGTTTTGCTGTCGAAGCGGCCGCCTGCAATCAGGGACTTAAGCATTCTTCCGCCGGACGCGGTGGCAGATACGTGAGATGCAGGTGGTTCGGCATCCGAGGCTTCTTGTCCTTCTTGTTCCTCTTGTTCTTCTGGTGGAGGTTGAATGAATGTCGGGTCTCCGCTGGCTGTTTCTGCGATGGCTTGCAAGGCAGCGGATTTCTCGCCTTCGGCGCCGAGTAAGACAGCGGTGATGAATTGGCAGCCAAAGGGTGACGCTACTAGATCTGCTGCTGCTGTTTCGATGGGCTTGAGGAGATATGGAGAGATTGCTTTCACTAGTTCGGAGCGTCGGATTTCCGGATCCTTTTTGCTGGTGGTTTTGCGAATTGTGTCGAGTTCCGATAATATCTCAAGATCTGCCGAGTGACTAGGTGGGAATAGTGCCCTAGATCGGCCTTCGAAGAGGTAGAGCAATGGTAGGCGAGCGTTAAGATCATTTGCGGCGAGAGAGATATTCTCGATTTGTTGGTCGGCATCCTTGGATAAGAGCTCTGGGAATACGGACTTCGAGGTTAAGACGGTATCATCGATAACATCGTACACTGTCAGGATGATGATATGACCATTGGCGTCGCCAGCCATCATCTGCATGGTGTCCTTATAGGTCTTGAGGATATGCTTTCGATCCTTTGCTGTCCCATGTGCCAAAACCAGAGAGACTAGCCGTGATCCAGATCTCGTGAAAGCCAAGTTCTTCAATAAATCGCCCTCTTCGTCTCCTTTGATCAGCTCAATATAGTCGGTGACTTCCTCAGTTCCGGGTTTGGCGTTTAAAAAGTATTGCAGCATTGCATCGTGCAGTAGAGTAAACCCTGTTAACTTCTTCTGAACTAGATGATTGATTAGCTCAAATAATGAGCTCATTATGGGAGCACGTTTGCCCGGATCCACAGCCAGGATTTCAGAAAGCTCTGCAGTCTCGGGCTTATCCTCCTTGAAGAGAGCAAACTCAGCTCCATACCATTCCCGTAGTATAACCGCCTTTTGCTGTTTGGTAGCTACCCCACGGTAGATATCGTCCAGGATCCAAGAAGCTTCCGGGTGTCTGATAAGACGACGCACATGTCCAAAGAATTCCGGCACGATCAAGTCTCTGATCTCTGCATCTCCTTGAACCAATAATTTCCCGATCAAGAACTTGGCATATTTGCTCTCGGCTAGTTGGCGATATGTCCCTGCGAGCTCGTTTGCGATCATTCTCTTCTGTGCTGGAGTGGAGTATTTTAGTGCAGTTTGCACCACTCGGACACTATCATGTTTCAAGACGAAATCCTTGATCCTTCCTGTGATAATATCGAACAATTCAGCGACTAGCTTCTTTCTCTCCTCTGCTGGGACGTGAGACTTCCGGCGTAATCGTTCCCAAAGTTGTTTTGTTCGAGCCAGTTCATCGGCCATTGGCTTCGCCGCTTTCCTTTGGTTGACCAACAGCTTTTGCTTTTGATGAGCTTCTTTTGACGATTGGCCTAGATTACCGTTAGTAAATGAATACCTAATAGAAGAAGGATAATTTACTGTTTGTGGCAGCGGCTTTCGCTCTTTCGGGGTGTAGGCCCTCAATAGCATTAGGACTGTCATCTAAATCGCTACCTTCCTCGTCGCCATCGGTTTGATTGCTCTCTAGAGGCGCTCCTCCCTCCGACTCCGAGTCATCGGAATCAGAAACGCTCAATTCCTTGACCTTTACCACCGGTTTGGCGGTTGACTTCCTCTTATCCTGCTTCAAAGCGGACTTGGAATTGGACCCGACCTTGGCTTTCTTGCTATCTTTCACATAAACATCCTTGGATGGAGCCAGCTTCCTCTTAGTGCCGGCCATCGCAGTCTTGGTAGTAGCAGCGGGCATTTTCGTGGTTGAAATTGGTGTAGAGAGGCCCAGAAACTTTTTTTGAAAGTTTCGAGTTTATCGGAGCTTTTCACTTTTCTGCCCGCAATCAATCGGCGCTAGACCAGGATAAGACAACCCCACGACCAACTCGGAATCTTGGTTTCCAGCCAGCACGTCGACATCATCGCATCATGGGAAGAGAAGAGCAAGTTGAGGAGCGGGAAGTCCTCGATAGTATCTTTCCGGAGGAGATCCAAGGTGCGTGGTTGGAAAGGGTGCCCTTTGAGCATCTCTACGCCAGGAGCTACCCGTTTTATGGCCTACAGAACTGATACTTTCAACAGATATATCTGAGACCGAATTCCGGATATCGATTCTCCTAGACGTCATAAATGACCCAGGCGAAGACAGCGAGTCCCCAACTGTACTGTTGCAAGTCAAGTATCCGGAGGCCTACCCAGAGGAGGCACCTATCCTCGACCTTCTCGCCCCTCAAAATGCGCCGCAAAACCAGTTCTTCAGCGTCGGCGACGATCGGCAAAGCCTTCTAGATGGACTAGCGGACACGATTGAGGAAAATATGGGGATGGCGATGATATTTACACTAGTTTCTACGTTGAAAGACAATGCTGAGCAGTTGATTGTGGAGCGTCAAGTAGCGGCCCGGCAACAAGACGAGCAGAAGCTATTAGCCGTGGAACGGGAAGAGAACAAGAAGTTTCATGGAACACCGGTGACACCGGAAACCTTTGCTACCTGGAGGGAAACATTTAGGGAAGAGATGGAGGACCAAAGGACCACGGAGGAAGAAGCTGAAGAAGCGGCGGAGAAGAAGCGGAATAAAGGCAAGGACGCAGTGGTGCAGCTGACGGGAAAGCAGCTCTGGGAGAGGGGCTTGGTTGGTAAGGTTGACGAGGATGAAGAGGGTACCATTGAGGATCCATATCCAGCCTGTAAAGGCGCTTAAGAAGCTTAAGCTTAAGACATGATATGATATAGGAAGCAGTGACGCAACAAAACTTTGTAGATGGAGTTGCATTGCTGGCGTTCTGCTTTGGGAGGAATCGACACTTGTTTCAAGACCTATCGCCATATATGCGCTTTAGGAGAAACAAGATCCAGATTATGGGGCATACACATGCGCAACATGGTATTGACTCAGCTCAGGAGCCCACACGGGCATCTAAGATATTGTTTGAAGGCCAAAGTTGCTGTAGCCACGGCCGTTCATGTTTGGATATCTATCAAAAACTCAGATAATATTAGGCTCCACCCATTTCCTCATCACCGCCACTACTCTCGTCGTCCTCCCAATCATCTCCGTCCTCTTCCTCTTCCTCTTCATTGGCTTCTCCGCCTAATTCGGCATTGAGGCTCGCGAGAAGCTCTCCGGCGTGCTGTCCAAGGCGGTCATCCTCATAGTCTTGTTGTTCAAATAGACGAAGACTGTGATTCAGCCACTGCCGGCTCGATATCCATGAGACCTTCCAGCTTTCCCCATCGCCATTCTCTGCCTTAGCTTCGCCATTTTTCTGTTTCTCGCCCATGATGTAGAGCCCCCATCCTCCCAAATACCAAACCTCGACACTGCTGTCGTCCTCGCCCACTAACCGCTCTAATACCTCAATGGCATCAGCATCCATATCCGCCTCCATTAATAGCCTAGCTAAGCTGACTCTCGTAGGAAAATCTGGTACTCGGGGGTCCTCTGGTGGCATATCTTTCCACAGGTCTAGACTCCTCTTCAGGGCCGCTTTTGCATCCTCTAATCTTGACTGCGATATCCTGACATTTGCCAATGTCTGCCATGGCTCTGCAAAAGTCGGCGCAACCATGGTGGCCTCTGTAACCAAAGCCTCACATTTCTGTTCTGCATCCTCCTCCCACGAAAGATCCGTCATGTAGACTTCTACAACTCCACACAGCGCTACTGCAAGTTTCCTCCGCTTCTCCTCTAGCACGGCCTCCGTATCTGCATCTGATTTCTTTTGATCTAGCAATGCTTGAATCTGCGTCCTTAAACTCGTGGCGCCCTTCTCAAACCACCGAACGCTATCGTTCCCACCCTCCTCACTTAACTGCGCCAGCCAAAGGAATTTCTCCGGTCCGCCACCTAGTTGCTCTGCAATTATGCCATCTGGATCAATCGCTGCCGCGCGTAGAAAGTACTCTCGTGCAGCATCGATTTCTCCCAATTCGACATGTATTTCACCCAGCAGATTCAGAGCTGGTAATGAGGTTTCCGAGCTAGAGTCAAGGAGGCTTGCAGCTCGTTTTGCTAATTGGGCAGAACCGGCTATGTCTCCTTGTTGGAGTGTGGCAGTTGCCTGTGCGAGGAGGTCTTCTGGAGAGACTGGTGGTGAAGAGGGTTTTGAGAGACTTGGTGCGACGCGGTTGAGAGCGGATTTCTCGCGCTTTTTGGACTTCTTAGTGTTTGGTTTCGTTTTGGCCATTTCGGAGAAGGTGGTCCTTTTTTGTTTTTTGAAAGGATGGGTCCTAGGTATTGTGGAAGGACCTCAACTGGTAACGGCGGTGTTGATGTCAAAAAGCCGATGGCAGAATCGAATAATTTTCTTGGGCGTCGCGATTGGCGATTGGCGATGACGCTACTCTCGGCACACCCCTTGAAGCCGCTCCACGCCGTAATAATAAGGCGTGCGAAGGTCAGGTTGGGTGGCAAAAAGTGCTTGTCTTTGTTGGCATTGCTGAATGCCAGGCTCTGGGCGGGACCTTCTATCAACTTTAGTTCCTCCAAGGTCTAGAATTGGACATATTGAGGATTGTTGAGGCTCTAACACCACCATGAAGATGTCCGTCTCAAAGCCTAGCGCCTGACCTTATTTCACCCGATAAGCCCCTCCGACCCCACATTGATAGGGACGCGCAGAACCCTGATCATGCGAGGAACGAAAGTTAATTGTTTCCCTTAGTGACAACTTTCTCTTTATGTTTGTAAGTATGAGTGTAGGCCGTAGCTTAAAATATACATATGTACATTATAATTATAATGCATCATTTGTAACCGTCATCGCCCAAAAGGCTGTAGCGATAGTTACCTCAGGTGCGATGGCATGTACTGATGCAAGCCCCAAACCCCAACCTCAACGCCGGAAACCCAGACCATGACGACGCATGTATTGAATATACTCTTAATGGACTCCCGGGACTTCCTTCGAGGACCCAGCCGTGCCAGGCCGTTGGATAGTTCCCAGCTCTTCGCCCCCTCCACTTTGCCCTCGCTTTCTACCGGTGATATGGAACCTAGAGGTTGTCGAGGACTGGGAGTCCGTGTCACCAAATTTAGAAAAAAATCCTTTCTTTTTGGTCTGCTTAGCTTGGTCGTCGTTCAGACCAACATCCTCGAACCCTTCCTCTGCCGTCGGTGGTTGTCTCTCGAATCTGCGCTCGCTCAGTGCGGATCGGGGGAGGCGGGGTAGCGTCGCGGAATCAAGGCTTTGGCGCCCAATGTCATGGGGAACGACTGGCAATCTAGCTGATATATCCTGCGCAAAAGTCAGACACAAGCTCTACAGTATTTTATATAGGGCTACCGACAAATGATCTCCTGTATGAGTCGAATGATTCTCGGGATATTGGAAAATGTTCGAATTCCGAGTCGCTAGCATTCGTTGAAGTCCGTGAAGGATGTGACCGACGAGGCCAGAAGCCCTTCTTTTCAGTAGGCGGTGACGGCTATCCAACGATGAGTATAAGTTCGATGATTCAGAATGTCGGTACGCTCACAGGAAGATACACCCCGCTATCATTAACCACTGTTTGGTCCAATCAGCCGTTTGTTCAAGGATTTGCTACCCCTACGGGGATTGTCGCATACCGCTCATTTTGTACTCGACAGGTTCCTGACTTCTTTTGCTGCTTATGCTCAATGCAGAAGAAGACTTCGAACCCACTGTATCGACTCTCTCGAACGAAGGAGGCTCATGCGACTCGGGTCGGACATTCTCGTCGTATGGCTGCAGACCACCCGTCTGCACCTCGGCGCGCTTTGTGAATGGATTGCGAATTATTGGCATGGCTGTAGGATGAAATGCAAGATCTAGGAAGCTGCGCTGGCAGGAAGCATCAAAGCAATTGCGACGAAATCATAGACGTTACCACAGGCAAGAATTGTACTTGTCTAGCAGTTGTATTCCGGCCTCGGTGTTGGGCTGTCGTGGGTGGATAAAAGCTCTCTCTAGAGAACTCAAATACTGGGTCCGGACCAACCGGATGCTTCGCATCCGCCTTTACAAAGTATAAGTTGTGTTGATCACTTGATCGGCCCCGTCAACTGCAAATGCTCTTGCCTTGTATTTTTGCGAGTCTCCGAGCAGACCAGTCTTTGCAATACTGTAATGGTTTTGCGGAGAGTTTGTGGGCGATCGAAGTACATGTACCTTAGTATAGGTACACAGCCACACCCGTCGACGGCGTTATTCCCGGACTACCCCAACTCAACGCACATCTCCTAGGAATCCAATAAAAATGTACAAAATGTGCATGGTTTTAAAGCAGGAAAATATCAAGGACGAACAAACGCAATCGATTCAAGTCTCTATCTCTAGATGGAGACGCCTACAGTGAAAATTGGTCAAGGAAAGCCTCGATTATGAAGCGATCCACAATTTATTATCGGTCCCTATTACCGGTAGTTTGGGCGCCAATTCCCTATCAGGAATTTGGAATCTCTATGCTTCCGCCGGTCCAAAGAATCAAAACGGCGCTTTCCACTCCCCGCTCCAAGATACAATTCTATGCAAGACGGCAATGTGTCCGTAGAACTTATTGAGGGGTTATGAGGTGCAAGCTGAGTGAAGTTACTCATAGCTCCCTCGAATTTTAAATAACTACGACAACTAGTTCTTATCTCTCCGCCCAACGTGTTTCTTTCTCGAACTCTACTCTCTCGAGGCCTTCCATATCTCCAGACCCACCTTTCTCAGATTAGAAACGACCCCAAGAGCATCAACATATGTCTCATCATGTTTCCAACCATATCTCTTCACAAGGCACTCGATGCTGTCGAAAAGTCTTTGACTTCGTTTCATCCCCCCGCATCTTGCAGATGGCACTTCAGCTCACCTTGAGTAAAATGGATCGGGCAACTGCTTTCAATACCTAATTCTTTCTGGTGTCTAAGACAGATTAGACATCGCTGGCTTAGACTTTACGGCGATCAAGTACCTTTCAACATTGATAAGTATCTCTCAAAATGACACAATTTCATCATCCCAAGTATTGCCAGTGAATTCCACAGGCAACCGCCTTATTTTACCGTAATCTAACAGGAACGATTCTATCAGGGTGGATTTCGTTTCTCAGCCCGAAATAGATAGAGTTAAATAAGCGTCGATTTAGAAATCTGATGTTTGATCTGAGCTTTACGCTCATCATCGAGGTCGTCAAAGTTATCCGAACGCTGTAATAGTATACTGCGTTGGTATTCCACAAGCTGAGATGGCTGGGCTTGGAAGAAAACGGGGCTAGCCCATACACCTTGCCCATCGATAAATAAGGTCGAAGGATAAAGTTCCGTGTGCTGATATATCCCCAGCCAGCAGTACTCCACCCGTAGACCTAAGGAGTAGGAATTTGAAGCACGGATTGAGCCTAACAGCCGCATTAGCCTGTCCTTGCATTATAAAACGCCCGTGTATAGCCAACTCACAAGTCCCATCGAAGCTACCTCTGAGGTAGCTGTGTAGTATGGAGGTCCGGCGTTCGGATTTGGAATACGTGACATGACAGCTTTGGCCGCGATATTTTGAAGTTCAGAGAGATTGAAGATCACATATCTTACGCGAAGCTGATGAGCTTCGTTCCAAACCCAGCGCCCACAAGTATGGTAAGAAGTTTTTTATATTTAGATTGAGACATGGCCTCGGCTTCCTGGCGCCGTTTTGGTATGTTTCGTGTTAACTACAGTTGGGATTCCGCATTAACCAACCATGCACGGCACGAGGCAGCCTTGCAAGCTGCAACCTACATAAACGACAGTCAGATATCGAGGCCGACTTTTGAGAGCAAGCGAGGCTGGCGCAGCTACTGTAGGTTCATGGAGTTCGAGGTGGCGGTTTGCTATAAGTACTGTCTCTGTTTCCGACTCGTCGAGGTACAGTAGATCGGTTGGGATTCGAGCACAGACATCAGAGACACGCACACTTCAACATGTCACTGTCCGTGAACAATGACTCGCAGGTGGGCGCGCAGTGCATGGTCAGCTGAAACTGGCGCAATGAGCACGAATACTTCATACTTGGGACTTGGTACACGCCTCTTTGCTTGGGCGTGGCTGGAACTTGGAAGTGACACCATGGGGCGGCCTAAGGCCAAGGGGTGATGCGAAGGATCTGTTGGACGTGCATGATGGTGAGAAGTGCTACTGTACTCGATTGCTATTTTTGGCCGGCATCAACATATACCGTACTCCGTATACTAATAGGTAATATTGGTGCGAGGTTCGGAGACTCTTTGCTTTTAGTTTTAAAACTAACTCGTTTGTGCTGTCTACGTCGGTAGGTTAGGTTCCTTGGTATGTCTCACACGTGGAAGCGCCTTGTTACATATCCGGGAGTTGTTATGCCCAGGGATTCAAACCCGCAGATACGAAAATTTGGCCGGGTTCTTAACACTCGTCATATGCATCCTCACGCAAGGTGTGCCTGACCTTCCGCGATGCCAATGCTGATAGGTCTTCTCTCGTCCTGCACCTGCAACTAGGATGTGGGTCATAGGGCGCCGAGTTGGATGGTTCGATGATCGCGGGCATATATACCTATACGAGGAAGTATTCTCGTGTACCGCATCTTCACCTCTCCGTTTACAGACGAGATCTGTTGTCTTTTCCACCCCTCTCTGAAGTAAAATATCTTCGTCCGCTCGTTATCTATACAGTTATTTCCCTTTGGCCTTGCCTCTCCCCAATATTTCTTGCGTTGTACAGGTGCAGCCATATTCTCGTGGAGATCACCTGTTCGACACTTGAATATCGAGGCGTCACAGTCACAATCTGCAGGTATCCGGGACAGCAATTCCGTCATATGAGCTTGCACGTTCGGGGGGAATGGTCAGCAACTGAGGTTGTAATCTGCCCAACGTAGGTGGTCGGTGACCGCGAATAACGACCTTGAACGGCTTAAGGCCCGTCACTTTATTCCAACATTTCTACCGCAGATCCAGGTTTTCCTTCTCAAGGACTTTTCCATCTCGTTCGCCCTTTGGTAGCGACATAGCGGCAAAATATCAACTCCAAACCTCGGATCGTTCGTCCTCGCGGCCCCTACTAAATTTCGAAATCCCAGCGCTTTGAAGCACACCAGACACCACACTTACCGCCTAGGTATTTTGGCGGTGACATTTGGGAAGAACGGCTCTTCTTCCGACCAACCAGCTTAATATACAGCGCCTCGCAGCCTGAGTCCCCAAGATGGTGGCACCATTCTTCTCCTCCTGGGATCTATGGGAGCAGATGACCTTCGTGAGTGTTTTACTCCTGCCGAACGTTACTCGAGTTTTAACAATGTGAAGGTATTGGGAGTTGCAATCTTCGGAGTTTTCTGCGTTGGATATGGCAAGTTAATTTGGAGGAACAAGCTAGTCAAGAAGCAGGAAGTGGCCGATGAGGAGAAGAGGATAAGAATACAGGAACTGAGAACCAGTGGGCAGATTATCGAGTCGCGAAAGAGCCACGATATCCCATTCGGAGTCAGGGCCATTCAGAGTGGCATACAGGTCGAGGGTATTTGGATATCGACCACAAGTATTCCAATACCAAGCGAAATCAACTTGGAGAACGGATCTGGAACCTCTGGTACAACTGCAACTTCGGGTTCAAGCATGAGTGGGCAGGCTGGGAAAACTTCACAGCAAGGAGGAAGGTCAAACTTGAAGGGTAAGGGTTCGGCGCGGTCATCCATCGATCGAACATTTGAAGATGCCACTGGTTCTGACGCGACGGGCGCTCGGCAATCGTATAAGCCTCTGAGGGAATCTCATCTCCGGTACAGTAGTTATGGAGACTCTCAATTCAACGAAGAAACTCTCGAACAGTTGGGGGGAAATTCCACACCAAAGAAGAAAATATATACTCATCGCCCCCGAGGTTCCCGCAATGTGGATCGCGAGGCAGATTCATCATCAGTTGCAGATAACGAGCATTCGTCTGGGACCTCGTCGGACTCGGATGCTACTCTCTCGGGCAATCGTATCTTGGTAGGCAACAAGCAATACCAGTCTTCGGCTGCTCGAGACATGTCCCATGGTGAGGAGGCCACTGTTCTGACAAAGATCCCCTCTGGTAAACCAATCGGAGAATACTTCCCATTCCGAGGCTCGAAAGGACAGTACTCCTCTGTTCCGATTGATCCTCCTACACTGGGGGGAGCAGACCCCTATTCAGACCCCTCCCGAACCTCCATGGATTGCAATCAACCTAGGTCTCATGATACATGGGCTGGTGAGGAATCAAGGGTGTCGCAGGAAACTCAGCCTGCTCGCCAGTCACGAGATCCATCTCCCCCTCCATTCGTCCCCGGAGAACTTCATATCAATAAGTCGGTGCGAAAAGTTAACTCGGGTTTCCAGGTTTTACCGGCTGGAACATTTGGCGTCCCTGCAGAACTGCAAAATGTGGACCTTGAAGGCCGGTACAATCCCGAGTATGACTCGACTGATAGGCGACAATCTAAACTTCAGAAGAAGAGACGTTCATCAATAATAGGGAGACGAATCTCAGGCACCTAAATCAAAACGGAGAAGTTACGAAAATCGGTTTGATCGACTGAGCAAGATTTGGCATCGTCATCAGAACTAGAGTCACGTTCGGCACCAATCCCTATCAGGATTCATATAGTGTCGCCTTCTGCAAAATGACAGTAGATGTGGCTAGAACATGGAAAAATGTATGCCATGATTAATGATTGGAATGAAACGCGTGTATAACTATGGAGAGGCTTATCCTCGTTGAAATGTTCTATGATGGTCATTATATATATAGACTTATTGGACTAATCTGTTGGAGTAATGTCCACAAAATAAATCCAAAAATAAACCCATACGAGAGGTATCTCAGAGCTTTGTTCAAAAGATTTCTGACTAACGACGTCGAGGTTTACAGACTTGTGATGAAAACGAAGAGACTTGAAAGCGGGTTAAGTAAATAAGGGATACTACTAGTATACTCTGCAGATAGATAATCTATAATGGCCTAGAAGGCAGAATGCAAAGTCTAGATCTATTTTAAGCTATCCTGAAAATCTAGGTAAAGATTTTGGGATTGGGAAGAAACCTTAGGGGACTGGACGGCTGATCACGTGGTCGCGCGTGGCCCGCCTTCCATTTCGCGACGCGTAAACTCAGGCATCGTCACAACAACCCATCCACGCCAGCATTTTCAGTCGTTTCTTGCGAGGTTTTCCCTACACAATCTGTAGCAAAGCATCGAATTCAAAATGACTACTGAGGAGGTCGAAGCTTCCCAGTCTGGTATTGAAGATGGCGTGGGGGGACCTGGCGCGCCTACGCCATTGAGTGCGCTCGAGGTAGGATCTTTGACTCATTCTGACATGCTTTATATCTAAAACGTATTGCAATAGGGTGTTGCCGGCCTTACGAAGAGAGATATCGCATTGATAGTTGAGGGTGGGTTCAACACAGTTGAGTCAGTCGCATATACTCCGCGAAGAGTCCTAGAGCAAATCAAGGGTATTTCTGAGCAGAAGGCAACCAAGATCTTGACCGAGGGTGCGTTATGCAAGCCTAACATAAAGCGCACCGCTAATGTATTGATAGCATCAAAACTGGTTCCTATGGGATTTACAACTGCAACAGAGATGCATCAACGAAGGAGCGAATTGATATCCATTACAACAGGTTCGAAGCAACTGGATACGTTATTAGCTGGAGGAATCGAGACAGGCTCTGTCACAGAGATCTTCGGCGAGTTTCGGACAGGGAAAAGTCAGATATGCCATACTCTTGCTGTTACTTGCCAGCTGCCCTTTGACATGGGAGGAGGCGAGGGGAAATGCCTGTACATCGACACCGAAGGAACCTTCCGACCTGTTCGGCTCCTGGCAGTGGCAAATCGATATGGCCTTTCCGGTGAAGAGGTACTTGACAATATCGCGTATGCCCGCGCCTATAATTCCGATCATCAACTGCAACTGCTCAATCAGGCTGCTTCTATGATGTGTGAGACGAGGTTCTCACTCCTCATTGTTGACAGTGCTACATCCCTTTATCGGACCGACTTTGTTGGGCGGGGAGAGCTTTCTTCAAGACAAACCCATTTGGCAAAGTTCATGAGGACTCTTCAACGCCTTGCGGATGAATTCGGCATCGCAGTTGTTATTACAAATCAGGTGGTTGCTCAGGTGGACGGCGGCCCCAGTGCAATGTTTAATCCAGATCCAAAGAAGCCTATCGGGGGAAACATCATCGCCCATGCTAGTACCACTCGGTTGAGCCTGAAGAAGGGTCGAGGAGAGACGAGAATATGCAAGATCTATGATAGTCCTTGCCTGCCGGAGAGTGACTGTCTTTTTGCGATCAATGAGGATGGTATTGGTGATCCAAGTCCCAAGGACTTAGAGAAAGACTAGTATGTTGTTTGGGATGAATTTTCTGGTACTGGCCAGTATATGGGACGAATTACATGAGTGGCATGGAACTTTTCTCTTAATATTTGTCTATCAGCATGGTGCACGGGATTGCATGGAAATGGCGCTTAGGCAGGGTTATCTTATGAATTGCGTATTAGTAGAACCTGACATTATTGCGTATAACTTTCAAATAAACCACAATTGAGCAGAAATAAGAATCAAGACTGACCCTTATGAAGTCGTTGGCTTTCGTTTGGTAGGCATGCGGCGTTATTAGTGGTGAGGTGTGGTGCTCGAGCAAACAGTGATGCCGAAGAGAGGCGGCCTTGCTACGCGAGGCCGACCTCTAGAAAAGTGACCTCGCGATTGTTGCTAAACGCGTTCAACCTACTTCGTACAATGCGATGCGCTGAGAAACTTTCAACCAACGCCAACCCCGACGTTTAATGGGGACAAGATGGAGAGTCGGAGTCCAGTCTATGCCCACAAGGAGACACGATTAGATTTGGATTCGTCCACACAAGGCTCTACTGTTGCGATTCGTATTCCATCGCATGGAACATCAACATGGCCGTCCAGAACAGCCCAGAAAAGATCCCACGTCGTCGAAATACCAATCGCAGAAGATGAGGAGATATTCAGACAACGGCATCTCGCTACAGCTGCTTCAGTATATCACCGCGCCTATCACAGATCGCCCAGAAGCTTTCTCTGGAGGATCTTGGAAGGTGGGAAGGTTCTCTCCATACGAGCAGTCGATGTGTCGAAACAGAGCAACGCCCCGGACGCAAACCTGACATTGCGATTATCCTTCCCGAGCCCGATAGTGCCAGCATGCGTAGCATTTTCCGATTCCAGGGAGCATGATGTTCTGAGCGCATTCGTCTTGACGGAATCAAACCACCTGTTTACACTCACACTTCGGCCCGACTTCTTTCGGCGAGCTTTGAGCACAGAGGGAAACGTTGGAGACTGGTGCAAATCATACCTATCTTCGGCTTTTAGCTTTAAGCATCCGTATAGATTGGTTGCTTTAACAGCGGACGAGTTACTGGTTTCGCTGATTGATGGTGGTCTACTGAAACTAAGTAGAAAATCAGGCGGAGATGGTAAGCTTAGCTGTATCCAATGCTCTACCATATCTTGCTAATATCACATAGGTGCGGAGTGGAAAGAGATATTTTACAATGAAGGTGGCTGGAGCAACAGTCTCCGCAGTTTGATCCCATTTCATGGAAGCAACACCGTCCGCTATGGCAAGCACAACATCGAGCTATCAGCAGTCACATCGATAGCGTCGCCGGTTAGCCATATCGATGGCATGCCATATGCCTTTACGATCTCGCTAGACCATCGGCTTCGGATATGGAATTTGATGACAGGAAAGGTTGCTTACATGGGAGATATGTTAGGCCAGGAACTGGATCCACAAGAAACTGTGAAGAAGGCTATCGATCCGTCCCTCTCCCGGCTGATAAAGGTATCTAGCTACGGTGAGGGTGCTTTGTGTGTAACATACTCACCTCTGGGAACTGGCGAATTCAAGTTTTGGACGGCTCTCCCGCGAGACGACGGCACCCTTGAACTTACGGACCTTTTCCCAAGACATGAACTTAAACCTCGAACTCCAACGCCTGATCTCTGGACTTTAGCCGACTTCTCCGTCGTTCTAGACCGGACGAACATCGAAAGCTTTTCCATATGGACCTTGTGGAAAAATAACACCACCTATCGAGTCCAAAACTTGAAATTTGAGCGCGGATCCACGACGCGAGTTAACGACGCATGGGCCAGCGAATGGACAGCTATGGCGACCGAGGCACTCCACGAGACTCCGAACCCAGTTGTATACTCAGGCGACCCCTTGGATATAACTGACAAATGGTTGGAATTTATTATGTCTCCAGGCAGGTTCTCTACTGCAACTATCGAAACGGGTCTTGCACTCTGTGAAAACCTCTCAAAGTCGAAGAATGCGGCCCGAAAGTCTGAAAGCTTGCCAGAAAGAATGTGCTCTATTGTAGCTTCGTCTGATAGCTTGAAGCCGAAATCTGATGGCAATATGGACTATGAAACACTCCAAGGGGATGTTCAAAACCATTGGCTTCGATTTTATCGTCTTCTTATTGAGTTGGATAAGCTACGTGGCGAGGCCCAATCATTGGTCATCGACCCTCATGGAGACATGCCATGGGTAATCCTAGCGGATGGTCTTACAGCAATTCGATACTGCAGTAAAGTGGAAGAAATATGGCACAACACAGACATTCCCCGATCTGGAACTGAGCATGTTGCTGGCCCACTCGTCGCCGCGGCTGAGTTTCGTGGCTCGTTTTCAGAGCAGTTGCTATATAGTTGCAAAACTATGCTGTTCGGCGAGTTATTCGAGGAACAATCGCTCACTTCCCCGGCAATGATGCTAGAGTTCTACGACAAATGTGACTTCTACAACCGAATCCGAGCTGACGATATTACTCGACTGGAGGAGGGCCTAGGTGGCGGATACAAAAACGTCACTCCTGAGGTTTACGAACAGATGCTTGGGAACCTCGTAGCTGCCTTGGAAGATTCCGATAAACGGCCACAGGTGCTTCCGCTTGCTGAATTTGGGAACAAGTTAATTATCAAAGGGGTCCAGGAAATTGTTGAACTGCATAGTGCTATCTGTCTTGATCAGATAGTGCTCCTAGTCTATATTGAAGCCGAGATCAACCATGACGAGAAGGGCATACAATTTGACACTGCAGCAATCTTTCACCAGTTCCTAACCATGCTCAAGAGGCTCGAACTGGTCAAATGGCTGGTAACCACGCGGATCTCCTTGCCACTAGCAAAAGCCGAGCGCTCAAACTCCATAGTTGAAAACACCGCAAAGAAACAGGTGGCCAGCATGGAGAATATAACTGTGCTAGAAGGAGTTCTTCGTCATCTTTTCGGGCTAGATTTACGGCCTAAAGAGTCTATGTCTTCAGCATTAACAGAAATAATCCTTCAAATCTGCGCGCCTAATAGCGAGTATGAACTGTCGCCCTCCGTTATCCAATGCTTCCTACTCAGACACGATCGAGCTGATCTAGCCATGGAATTCAGCCGCTTTACAGCTCATGATCCTTTCTCTACCTACATCAAGGGCAGGGCGTGCCTGGCGTCTAATGATCCTCAGACAGCTGCTTTGCTCTTTAAAAAGGCTGCGTTTGGCATATGTAAGTAGACCCAACCATGAATGAATAATGGCAAAGCTGACGAGTTAACAGCTGCCCCAAACCCGAAGCAACGTAGCGCTCTTCGAAGCGCCGGATACTTAGACGACACAGAGCGCAACTCACTAAATGCTGGCCTTCCAGAGTATTATGCTCACATTGTTTACCTTTACGACAAGGATAAAATATTCTCTTTTGCCATCGACTTTGCTCGATTGGCACTACAGTTTCTGAAACCTGAAAGCGACGACTTCGATCGAAGAGAATTGCGAACGGAAATGCACAGTCGTCTCTTCAACTCTGCTATCCAGACCGCCCGCTTTGAACTGGCTCATTCCACCCTTTCGCTACTCACAGATCACGCTCTCCAACAATCATCTCTGCGCATACTCGTTACCAAAATGTGCGAGACCTCGTACGCTTCTGAACTCGTTGAGTTTCCGTTCATTGGTCTTCAAGATGCGGTGGATGAGATCCTAGCTCAGAAATGCCATAGTATAGTTGATGTCACCGTTGGCGTACCATATCACAAGATCCTCTATGCATGGCGAATCAGACGTAGTGACTTCCGTGGCGCGGCGACAATCTCCCTTGAGCGTTTACAGAAGTTACAGCAATCTGGTGAGGGAGATAGAGCTCTTGGGGAAGACAGCCTCGAGACACCTGTGACAAAGCAATACGTCGCACTCATCAATGCATTGAGTTGCGTTGATCCAAAACAAGCGTGGATTCTGAGCGAAGAGATCCCACGACGAGGCGTGGGGTCAAAAAACGGGGCGACGCCAAAAAGGTCGGTTGTCACATTGGACGATATTAGGAAAGAGTATCAAGGCGAACTGGATCGGATTGCAGCCATCGAGAACAACCAGTTCGCGCTCGCTGGGGGGGATGAGATGGATGTTTTATGATTGTGAATCAAACTCAGAGTGGGCAAAGAAGGCGCAATGTGGAGTTCGAGTTCTTGTATACTAGATATTAGCAAGAAAAAGGAAAAGGGGCAGTGATATCCATGAACTAATATTGTATCTGGGTTCATTGCTTTCAATTTTACCCATAATATGGTGCTAAAGTCTATGGTACAGTAGGTAAATGCCACGCTCGCTTTCATTAAATACTCATGCTTGTGGTGCTTGTGGTGCCTGCAGTGCTTGTGGCGATTGTGGTGCTTGTACTCGCTCTGGGGGAGGAGCACCTGTAATTTGCGTTTGCTGGCCGGCGTTTGCTGCAATTTCTGGGGCCTGGCGGTATAGTACGATCTCCGATTGTTTGAAATATCTTCGAGCATCTAGACGGAGTTAGGTTGGAAGTTCCCCGTGTTTAAAGAGGAGCAGGAATGGCGGGGGCTTGCCTTCATCGATGAGTACAAGGCTCAAGTAATATCTGGTTGAGTACTTCTTGTTGACTTCCCGGAATGTAGGAGTCAAGTCAAATCCACCAAGGAATAGTCTGATAGGTATGGTCTCTCCTCTCGATGGCGAGCCATCCATGATCTAGAAGGAAATTAGCACAGCTAAAGGAATTATTGCAGGGGTTATGACCGACCTCGAACCGCACAAGCGTCTCACTCTCATTATACTGATTAGGAGCCGCACCCGTAGTCTCCCTCCTTATAATAGACAACTCCATATGTTTGATCTTCAGCCTGACCAAGAGGAAGTATATACGTCCGACAATAACATCCTTCAAATGATATTTCGACTTCGAGTATTCGAATTCTATGTGCAAACAGTCCTCAATGCCGACATCCATCTTGATCGAGCTATTCATCTCGGGCGGTATCCGGTACGAGTAGACCCATATATCTTTCTCTCTGATCACATCTGCCATTCGCCGGGACACGGTGACGCGGACAAAGTAACGGAGTCTGACGTTGATGCCGCTATAGGACTCGTATTGTTTCTCGACATTCTTGAAATTGAAGTCGAACGTTTGGGGATGCTGGAGATCGCCTGGCGCTGCCAGTTCTTGCCCGAGGGATAGGAATTCGTAATGGTTGCCTCTATCGAAGAACATCTCTATTCCAACTGATCAGTTCCTGGTCCGAGGAACATATACCGATGGATGGAGTTATCCCCCGGAAACCTACCAATTGTGCCAATGAACTGGACCTTGATACCCGTATGTTCTAACCGTTTCCCATCCTTTGGACGTATTGTGACACCGCCCTTGACCGACTCTCCATCTTTGTACAGCGGCGCCTTCTCACGACGACCCTTCTCCGTCTTCATATCCACCATCTGCCTGTCAGCTCCATCGTCCAGTACAATGTCGATATCGACCGGTGTGGAGAAAAAGTAGGACATCCTTGTCGAATTAATATATTGCCTATCGCCTTCGTCGTATAATTGCTGCTCAAGGCGCAAGTCGAGGTTGAGGTTGTTGATGGAGCTCCAAAGGCGTCGCAAGCGCGGTTCGCTTCACGAGGCTGGAGCCTTTGGGGAGCTCGCTCGGGCCCACCATCAACCTCTAAATTCCTGCTACGACACAATACTTATTGGAGCTTGCGACGCACCAGAAACCCAATCTACAAGCATCAAATCGAATAATTGACGGATATACATATACACGGTGTCGGTATTCTGGAATCTTGACGCACTTCTCCACGCCGCGCCCTGTCGGCCGCGTGTATAAAGCAACTGCGATATTGATATGTCTCTCCAGGGCTATGTCAACAGTGAGATTCCTATTCCTTTCTTTCACATGCGCCTGCTGCCGTTGCAAAGCTTACAACCTATTCTGACAGCTGGATAGAGAAGGTCCTGGTGCTGACCAGTGACTCGCGGACGCTGGTGGGGTCGTTGTTATCGTGCGATCAAATGACGAACTTGGTAAGTGCAAGCAGGAAAGGAAACCCCGCCGGAAGAGAGCAAGAGATCTAATCATTTTGTAGGTATTGTCAAATACAATAGAGCGCATTATCAGACCCCCAGATGATCCAGAGAAATCAAGCGAAATTGCACATGGGCTTTACCTGATCCGTGGGGATAATGTCGTGGTAGTAGGCTTGGTAACTGAGGACTTGGATGATAGCATAAACTGGGTAGAGGTTTGCGGAGCCGTTATTGGAGGAGTCAAGCATTCGTGATAAGGGAAAATTGCCCGGGGCGGGCTGAGCCTTTATCATGAGAAGGAATGACTATCAGTGAAGGGTCTCTGGTTGGAGAGGAAAACTGGGCTGCTGCATGTACGGCGTTATGGAAGGGATAAATGTTTTAGGTATCCTAAGCTCTACGGACACATCTCTAGATGTCAAGCATGCAATTTGACATTGGGCAGGCAGGGAAGATGTGGGATGAGAATGTAGGGCAGGTTATGTGCATGTGCTGAGTTTGAAGCACTCACGCTTTTAATAAGCAAAAACTCAACTACATTTCCTCTGCATTCCAAACGTTCCATGTCCATATTCGGGACCGCTTTTGCACTATTATGATAACGACTACTTTCTATCTCTAAGTCATGATGCCAAGATTTGCCCAATTTATGCAATGCGGACGTTTCAGCCCCTCACTAAATAAACTATTCTACCTAACCAAACACGCGCTCAAGGAGGTACGGCCCGAAAACATCTTCACCAGGCGTACCAACAATCCTGTTGATCCTATTGCCCCTGTTGACGCTGAGCCAACCGCCGCTGTCACCTGGAGCGTCACCAATGAGTATCATACTCTCCATTGGATTTGCAATGTCAACAGCCCCGGGGCTCTTGACTTGTTTCGGTGCACTGACTGCATCTCCCTTCTTCCGGTTACGTCGGTCTATGACATGCATTCCTCGCGTCCATTGGCCTGCCGTTTCAACTCGAATATCTTCAGGGGCTTTGGGTGCGAGCATCCAATTAGGGGCAGACCGTGTCAACATGTACCAGATAGTCAATGGGTCATGCAACTCTAGACCCGGGTTTGCTTGCTTTCTGGTGAGAGATTCAATTTTCTCGTACGTCTTTTGGATAAACGCAGATGTCCACTCCGCCAAGGGACTTCCAGCTTCAATTAGAGGGTCTAATTTGGCATGGACATGTTCCTTGTGGAGGAGATGCGAACTGGTGATGTCAAGCGGAAACATTGTAAGATTTAGCGTTCTTGAAAGCTTGGGTGGATAGGCAGGCAGATTTGATAGCGTTGGAGGGATTGGTGGCATTGTGGAGGCTGGGTTCGGAGACGTCAACGCAAAGACGCGTGCAGTGGCCACGGCATCAGCGTAGGTATTGAATTCAGCGACAGGTGTAATGTTCCCTTCCACGTCAATTGCTCCTCCCATGACAACGACTTCCTTGACTTTTAGGAATGTCTCTGGGTCCTCTGCTGCAGCTAATGCTAAGTTCGTGAGAGGCCCAACAGCAACAATAGTGATACTGTCACGAGGGTTCTCGGCAAGTAGGCGCAATATCTCTTTATGAGCAGGAAGTTGGGATGGGCGGAATGCTTTGGAAGGAAGGGCCAGTTCCCGAGCCGCGGCGACCTCTTCAGGACTTGCATTTTCTGGCGGGGGCTCAAATAACGTTTTCCAAGTATCGGAGGGAGAAAGATGGGGATGCTACACTTGTCAGCGTAGATCACCGGTTGTTATGAAATTGAACCGGCGAAGTAAGCCAATACTAGCCAGGTAAGAGGAGAATATCCTGGCACAAGGTGAGACAGATTAATGATAGCGTTTCCCAGCGAACTTCTAAGAGAATAGATAGCTAGAAGCTTAACGTCTGCTCCTAATAAAGTCTTTCCCACAGACTTCTGGGGTGGAAATGTTGAGGACCTTATTATGCAAGTGGCCCTCGCCGAAAGGAGGACGAAGAAGAGCGAATCTCAATGAACGTTGTCATTTTTTTTAACAAAAAGTGATAACCTACTGATTCATGAACACCCGCAAGGCCGTCAACGCCATCTATTAGCAAGTTAGCCTTTCGCTCTGATATAATCGAGTCGAAATTCTCACGGAAATAATCAGCCATGAGCAGCTCATCCTCCAACGGATGTTCAGCACCAACTGCAACTAGCGGCTTCGAGCTCAGCATAGCTCCAAAGCCTTCGAGTTGCCCGCGAGCTCTACGCCACTCCAGCTCTTTCTCAATGACATGAAATAGAGCAACCACATTTCTCAAGCAGCTTCAACCAATAAGAAGTCAGCAAGCGTTTTCATTAATATCGGAGTATTATAGTACCTGCGGACTTCAACATTCCCGTAGGTCACAGAAAGAAGGAGGATCTCAATTTCCTCGGGCTTGCCCGCCAATGCCAACAGCATGGCAAGGACATCATCCACCCCTAGATGTAACTTAGCAACGGCGATGCCAAGGCAAAACACACGATCGTACCTGGATCCGTATCAATGATAATACGGTTAAGGGGAGCCATTTTCAGAATAGACGGATCAGGCTACTTAGCACCCCGGTCCAGTCAACAAATCGTCTTGTAAAGTCGGTAAAATCGTAGAGCTCTCTCGCTTGACGGCTGGTCTTGTAAATCGACGGACAGGCTGTATACGTAGTACGTAGCACAGAGCAGATAGTTGCAGCCACCGCCAGGAATACAGGATATTCTCAGCCAGGTTTGTCTGCTCGTGATATTGTGTGTGTTGTCTATGACCAATAGCCTCGTCGGAACACCGTGCACAATAGGTAATGACGAAGAGAGGGGCACGTTACTTATCAGTATTTATCCAAACTCTCTGTCCATCGGTGGAGAGCGATAGCCTTAGTGGGATTAGGAAGGCGGTCTGCCTAGCATCTGGTTAGCAGCAATGCCCGGGTGGCTGCGACCGCCGTCGCCGTCGCCCCGATCAGGCATGTCCGATCGATCGGGGTTGCCGCCCAGCTCGCCGCCCAGCTCAGAGACAGATTACATTACGAGTTCCCGCTTCAGCAAGTCAAGCCAAGCTCCGAAAGCGAACACGTCTCCAATACCACTACCGTATTGCAATGGCCCCGTCTTAAGATCAGGAGCCAGGACCCGTACTCCGTAACACACAATTCATCGTCTCGGCCTGCCTCCTTTCATCTCCCTCTTATTTATCTCCCTCGCTGTCCTCTCCCTTTCTTCTTTTCTACCTGTGCGTGTTGCGACTTTGTGAGTTTATCTTCGAGCCTCATCCATTCCATCCACCTCGCCTACCTCACCTCTCCTCCTCCTCCTCCTCCCCCGTTCACCTCACCTCACCTCACCTCGCCCCACCCATCCCCAAACAATTCCAATTGCCCCTTCGAGCACGAAAGGGAACCTGCTAATCCCGGCGCCTCGAAGGCAAGTCAGTCTGCCCTTATCACTGCGGCACGATGGCCACACTCAGTACTCTCAGCGGCTGGGCTGTGATCGTTTTGGTTATTGGCGGATACTGGTATTTCTACACAAATAGACCCAATAGAAACCGGCGGGTACAGGCCTTCAAGCCGCCCCTCAAGTCAATTGACCCTCGAAGCGAGAAAGAGCCTAAGGGCAAGAAGGCCCGGAAAGATAGTACTCTCAGCAACAGTGACCAGGCTGAAAAGAAGAAGTCCCAACAACCCCCTAAGGCCAATCGTGAGGAGCAGAGTCATGCGAGCAGCCGAGCCACAGGCGTTGCCGACCGCGAAGATAAGGATGAGATGGACAACCGGGAGTTTGCCCGACAACTCTCCAACATCAAGGCAGGCACGGTGATTGCCAACAAATCGCAAACTGCTGCTCCCAAACAGAAATCTGTCAAGCAATCCAAGGCCCAGGAGAAGCCCCCTGTGGAGGCCAGCTCGGACAACGCTACAGCTCCATCTTCTGCCACTGGAGGGGATGCCGACGATGATGAATCCCCACTGAACTCCCCCGAACTTGGTGCAACTAGAATGGCATCGTCAGTTACGGTATGTAACCCCATTACTCAATTCACTTCGGTCGATTTCCTGCCCACCGTCGTTTGTGGTGGTAATAGGAGGTCATTCGTTATCCATACATTTCTCAACACTCATTTCAAACTGGGGGCTAACGGTTGAATAGAATGGTGGCATCTCGGACATGTTGGAGAAACCTGCTGCCGGACCGTCTATCTTGAAGATTACAGAGCCGCTGAACCCCTCCCGCCCAAACAAGCCCAAGCCTCAATCCTTCGAAGCAGTTGAATCGAAGAAACAGCGACAAAACCGCAAGAAAACTGAAGCTAAGAAGCAGGCTCGAGAGGAGGACGAGAAGGAGCGAAAGGTCCTGATGGAGAAGCAGCGTCGAACTGCTCGCGAGGCAGAAGGTAGAGCTGCCAAAGACGGAAGCACTTTCATGGCGGCTAAACCAGCTAGCTCTGTTTGGACTCCTGGCGCAGCCAAAAAGAACGATAAGCCAGGGAAATCCAACGTGGAACTTCTCGACACCTACGAGCCGTCAAAGGCTAGGAAGTCTGGGGCCGCGACTATTCCGGCGGAGGCTCTTTACTCAGAGGGTGAGCTAGTCGGAAGTGATTGGCAGAACCACTTCTCCTCCCTTCCTTCTGAAGAGGAGCAGACTCGTATTGCCATGGAGGAATCTGACAACTGGAAGACTGTGAAGGCGAAGGAGAGGCGCAAGCGGGAGAATAAACCGAAGTCGTCAGAGGACAGACAGAGCTCGGCTGATGAACAGAATGAATATGCTGCCCCCCCAGTCATCGCCCCTACCGCCCCAGGAAAGAAATGGGCGGCAACTCTGGTTCATGTTGAGATAAATGGGGATGCCGCCGAGCAGGAAAAGGACCTACAGGATTCAGAATGGGAAGTTGCGTAGTTGCAGTTACTACGAACTGGAACGGTTGAGTGTGTCGCTGACTCGACATTACCTCCCATTAGCAGGCTGGGCAAAAGTACAATTTCCTCACACCTGGGCAGCTTTCCCCGCCCCCGGTTTCTTTTCAGCTGTACAATCACATCACCAACAATTGCATTTTTCTTTTGGCATCGCGGGCCTGATGGCTTCCGGCTTCTACATATTGGCACTTGGGAGGACTGGAGCGTGTATGGATGTACGAGCCCGCTATCTTTGTATTCAAACTATTCTGCTTTTCCAGGGGCAAGGCGTCCAAGGCCCCTTTCTCCAACTTTAGGTGCAATAACGGGTCAAAACATGCTTGGATTTGGGCTGCTTTCTTCCGAAGGTCATCTGCCGTCACCCACCTCGCATTTACGAGGTGCTACTGTTACTATGTGTTGAGCACCGCTCAGTTTAGGTAGCCTATTAGAAAAACCAATACCACAATACCAATCCGTCCGGTGACCTATGAATGAAATTGTGTAGTCTAACCGCAGTGTTTATGACTTGAATGTGTTGATGGGGAATTGCTGCAAGAAACGATGGATATCACCCCCATCGACCCATCGCTACGTAAATTCAAATTCGTAGATTCCCGTGGGCGCTGTAGAGTCGTATTATTAACCCCCACGTGGACCGCGCGCTCGGTGGCTCGGGGCTTGCACATAGGGGGCGGATTGCTGGGGATCCAATACCCGTGGGCCAACGGGGACCCCAAAATACCAAGTCAGCCAGGCCATTTCCAGGTAGGAGGGGCCAATCATGCGGTCCGGCGTCCGCTGCTGAAACTGAATCCTTCCGTCTCCACGTTTCCCTCGACGATGTACACCGTAGGCTTCATTCATGATCACTTTCCAACAGTGCAACGCGGACGAGTTCAATGTCCCAGGCCAACTATGGAATCACATGGGCTCGATCGATAGTGGAATATGAATGTGGATGTAAATCTATATGCGCAATCATCAGATCCAAAAACCCTATCGGTTTCATCACTCCTTGCGCGACATTCTCCGGCGAGGGGGTTGGAATTGTGTGAAAGGGAGGGGCTGCACATCTACCAACAACACAACCGCTAAAGGCCTATTTCTCCATATTCGACCGATACGAATAAGGACAATTGGCTCCCAAGTACGGAGTAGGGCGTTAACCCGAAGGCTCATTCAATTGAAGTCGGGAGGAGGCGGCACGACCAAACAGACCCGAGACATACTTTCCATAGCCGGGCGGTGGAACACTACCTTCAAACCGAACCACCCAAGACCATTGATGGATACATCATTTCGCAGTTAAATCGGCTCTCCAGTCAAATATATACGTGCGCGACTTGGAAGAACTGCTAAGGACTAGACCCCCTTTTGCGTCCTCCCCACCCAGTTGCGACAACTGCGTATATCGAACACGACTTCCCGAACCCCGGAGTCTCTCCCCGCTGCCTCATATCGAATCAGACTTACCTCTACGGATACAATGTCTCTCGATGTCGCCCTGCAGTCCGTCGCATTCTACGTGCTTTCATGTAGCACATGTGCTAAGATCAGCCATCGTCGAAAAGCGAAGGTCCAAGCAAAGCGCGAGAGAGCAGAGAAGCAGGACTTGGAGACAGAGCAACCAGGCTTGTATAGGCATCCATCGCCATTTTCGACAAACCCGTTTTGGACCGAGGAGATCATGATGGGTCCTGGGCCGCCTAAGCAGAAGGCTGACAAGAGCTCAAGCAAGAATACAAGTCAGAGGGCGCTCAATACTGCTGGGCAGGGGAGCAGTTATGCGGGAAGCACTGGGATGAGTACTGAGGCGCCTAGTAGCCCTACGACTGCTACGGAGGCTTCAAGGTTATCTGGCGATGGCTGGAATCGGAAGCGATACCAGCGCGAGGATGAGGCGCTTTGGGGCGTTGATCTCCAGGGTTCTGGACAGAAAATAAAAGATGCGTTTGCAAAGGCAGGTTCATCCGCCGGCCGTCTCCTAGAGGGCCGTTTGAGCAAGAGTGGCCCGATAAATGAGGAAAATCCAGGACCTTATTACCTATCTGCAAGAAACCCACCCGTCAATGATTTGCACCCGCCTGTGGTTAGCACGCAACCTTCTAGTCGGGATGAGACTAGGTGGATGCTTCAGCCACCACCGCCGGCCAAAATTATGGAGGGGAAAGTGAGGGTGAATAGGAGTCGTGCTGGCAGCAGTGGCAGCAGCATGAAGCATACCTTAAGTCGGCAAACAACTGATAGGGCCTTTGACGCAAAGCTACAGAGAGCCGAAACGCCTTCACGGCAAGAATCAAGATCGCGCACGTCTCGATCAACTCGGCGAAAAGCGCATCGACATGGAAGTAACAGGGGTACGTCACCCGACTCATCTGATGATGATTCGAATGGAGTTGTCTGGAGACGACCCAGGCCTCCCCCCTTGTCGAGTCCGAGTCCGAACACCAGAGGCAGTTCTCCGGATATAATAGAACGTATCCCGGGCCCCCAAAGTCTTCCAAGATCTTCTACAATAACTGAAATGAGGGAAACATCCTCGAGACCTCTCTTAACAACTATTGTCAGCTCTTCAGCTGGCGTTCCAAAGGCTTCGTCGACTGAGGGTACTCCCTCCCAGTTACCCTTACGGGAAATCCCTCCACGATCGACGGACAGTGCGTTGAACTCCAAAGCATCAGCGCCAGTTTTGAAATTGCCCAACACTGAGAATCCAGCGTCAGCGCCAATTCCAAGTTCAAAGTCACAACCCCCCGATGTACAAAGCAAGTCACAGAACGGACGTGCATAGAATTTTGATACTATACACCAAATGCTATAAAATCATGGACACAGCAAACGAAGATGTTTGAGTCACTATCTTTTATCTTACTTTCATTAGTCCTTTCAATAACACTCGTTTCGGTAAGTTTCGGTCATAGCATTGGCGTTAGCATGGTATTCGGCATGGGAGAATGCATACATGGTATCTGGCGTCTGGTTTTTTGGTTCCCAGGCCATACAATTGGCGCACTCGTCGTGCATTTCTCATGATATTTAGGATAGGGAACAAAAGGTGTCTGGGAATGGAAGGGCTTCACATCTAAGTTCCAATGCTAGCTACCGGTATAGTTGAGTGTAGTATGAATGTAAAGCAACTTTTATTATAGCCATTTTCCGTGTCCTTGGTATCAAACGCCAACAATGCATGGGTCATTCAACCACAATCAATCCTAGTCTAGATAGAGTGATACTAGGTTTATAAATGTATGCCACCTTCGTCCTCCTCTGCCAGCACTCGCATTCTCTCTTCCATTGCCCTCATCAAAGTTTCATCATCTAGCCTTCCACCAGTACCATTTGTAGTCGCGTTTCCAGACCCATTCGTAGCTCTATTACCTGGCGGTGCCTCATCCATCTGCACTTCCCCATTAACGATCCTCCCCGTCTGAAAAGTGCCATCCCTCCAAGCCTCACTTAGCCCGCCTTGCGTCGCATCCCTATCTCCTTCTTCTTCGTGCCCCTCTCCAGTCCCATTAACCGTCCTCTCTCCACTCTCTGTCCTGCCCTCCGCCTCACGCTGCGCATCTCGAATCTCCTCCGCACTCCTAAATTCGTCCCAGCTGCTCCCCCTCCCCTCAACCTCCGCCCTTAACAACTGTAACCGTTCCTGCATCCTCGCAATAACAATCTCGTTCTCCCTGATCGCATCCACGCAGTCCTGGTCGGGAACACCGTTTGCGCTTGTCTCGGTGCCTTCCGCGAAGGGCTTGAGTTGCTCATTCGAGTAGTCCAGGTGGGCTATGTTGTTGCGGATCTCGGCAGCTTTGAGGTGGAGGGTACTGAGGGGGAGATCTTTGAGAGCTTCTGCGAAGCGTCCGGGTGAGATGGGGTTGGTTTCTGACGACATGATCGTTGGTTTGTGTGAGTTACTTCGTGCAGGCGCTTCGAAGAAGATTGTTGCAATGATGGGTTTCTGTGCCTGGCTATATCGTTGAGCATATCTTTTAGGGTAGGGTGACAGCAGACATTTACATACTAGGATTAGACAACAGGATATATTCGTAAGTCTCGCTACCTAGTAGAGATCAAGCTCGTCGTTTGTAGAGCGGTAGAGGGGTCGCACGCGCGGATCATGGTACGTCCCTACAAGGTGCCTGCGGGTAAAGTTCGGAATCCCTTGAGCAACTGAACTTCTTCAAACAAATGTCCGAGGCTCAATGCCAACAACGCCATCGACGCCCAGTTTAGCTATTCTCGCAGCAGCTCAAGCGATGCGAATGTGATTGGAATTGCCACCCTTAATATGTCATGATAGACGACGCGAAAAATGAACAGCCTTTGGCCTTCCCTCCCACGAGTATCGTGTCTGGATACTCGAACGATTCTCAGGACATGCTGCAAAGTCGATAGTCTGGCCGCAAGACTTGCACAGCGAAATGCTCAATCATATTCGAGTTCATCGGCACCATATCTGCGGAAAACTACAAGATGTCAGGAGAGCGGCGGGTTGAAAAGGATACCTGGAGGGGCAATTCTAGGCTTCGCGCTTCGAACCGGCGCCAGGACTTATGCGTCGAAGCCTCTAGTCACTCGATATCAGAAATTACCCAAGGGTTACACTCCAAACCTTGGCCTCCCATTCAGATCGAAACCGCTATCAGCAAATGAGGTTAAAGATATTTTTGGAGCGGGTATTGACGCACATACGGCGAACCGGTTGATGATGATGATGCATGGCCAGAGAGTGGCCGGAACGTTAGAGGATCCCAATGGCCAAACAATATTTACACCATACGAAGACCGAGCAAGGCAGATTGCATTGGCATGGCTGAGAGAGAATGTGCCAGTGGATGAGGTGGGCAATGCTGGTCTGAAGGCCGAACAAGAACTGCGTGAAATGGAAGCAGAAATTGTTGCCGATAGTCGGAGGATTGGCCTCTACAAGCCCAACTCCAGCGAAAATGCAGAGAGCCCCTATGGGAAAAGTGTACTCGATGAGGTTCGAGCAGCCAAGGAGAAGGCGTGGGAGGAGAAGAAAAAATCACAAGAAGCCACGAGCCAAGCCGATGAGATTCGACAAAATACTGGCCCCTTAGCAACCGTGGGGCCGAAAGCACGAGCAGAGTTGCGGAAAGTTAAGGAGAATCAAAAGTTTGAGGAGTACATGAAAAAAGCCAAAGCCTTGAAAGCACCCCCGGAGATGACCAAATTTCAACGTCTGTGGCCGTCTGCGCTCGTTGTTCTGGGTACCATACTGGCCAGCTATGTCTTTACCCAAGTTTATACACCTCCTAAACAGTCAGTAAGGTTATTTCCGGATATCCCCCCTGCAGCTGCCACAGTTATGGGGATTATACTTGCCAACACAGTCATTTTTGCTGCATGGAGACTACCTGTATTCTATCGGTTTTTGAACATGAATTTCATTACTGTTCCCGGATACCCATACGCTTTCAGTATACTTGGCAACATCTTCTCCCACCAGGCTTTGGGCCACTTCGCTATGAACATGGCCTTCATCTGGGTCATAGGCACCCGCCTTCATGAAGAGATTGGCCGGGCCAACTTTCTAGCAGTCTATTTTTCCACTGGCGTAGTCGGAAGCTTCGCCTCTCTCAGCCACTTTGTGTTGCGGGGTAGTTTTGTATCTTCCTCTCTAGGAGCATCAGGCGCAATCTGTGGCATCGTCGCGACATACCTCTGGCTAAATGGAAGCGAGAAAATGCAACTCTTTGGTGTTTTCCCCCCGACAGATTGGCCATCCTTCACAGGAAAAGCTCTACTTGCAACTCTCATAGGTCTAGAATTGATCGGCCTGTGGAGGGGGAATGGAGTGAGGGTCGTGGATCATTTTGCTCATTTGGGAGGCTACGGGGCTGGAATAGCGGCTGCTGCATTCCTAAATGCGTCGCGGAGACGGAGAGAAGCGGCGGAGAGAGAGCGAAATAGGAAACTGGGATATATGCAAAGGATCAAAGAGGGGAAGAGCTTATGGTAGAATATTAGTTGTGTTATGAGAAGCCCCCTGTATACTACTCATATGTCTATCAGATTGGCAGGTGCCATTGTACAACACTCAGCTCTAACCATCATAATAATCTCAGAGACTGATACATTTGACAGTCCCGAAAAACATGGCGACTAAGTTCATATGAAGTATTGATATCCACTAGCAAGCTGCAGCTTCTGTTACTAGATAGCAGTTGAGTTAAAGCATCTGCAAATCCAAACAGAAAGTCCGCCATAATTACTCTGGATATTTCATAGCCTCAACCATCTAAATAATATTAGCAGGCAGCCTCCCATGCTTTTATCACCAAGGCATTAAAATAGAACAAGCCGCGGCGAAGCTAGAGGATGGGGAGAGAAACACCCACAAATGAGAGAGCTTAGAGAAGGCGATGGAGGATAATAGTGCAGGTTGGCTTCGTAACGAAACCGTGTACAGTATCCGACCTCAAAAATATCAACATGAGCACTTTCCATTTCCGTCCTCCTACCTAAACGGCATTGCAGCCCCATCAGCACTCGCGTATCGGGCATAGATCGAAAAAGGCCAACATTATCTTCGGCAGGCATCAACGAATATCTTCCAAATATTATTGTTGTTGATATTCGCGGTAAACCCTACAACCTTCCACCGAAATCCACACCACCTTCAACACCACCTTCAACACCACCTTCAACAACACGATTTTGCCAGGATCGGTGTCCTGGGCGCTCACACACAGTTCGCTCAGATTCTCTCGCGGTGCTCTCGCAATGGAAACCCACCTCAATCAATCGTGGTCCGAGGTCGTTCGTCTACCTAACGACGTGGTTGTCGCAGGCAACTCTTCTACCTCCGCAATCCTCCAAATCCTCGACTTCTACCGCAATCTCTTCACAGCCATCAACTTCTATCTCCTCATCATCAAATCATGTGTCCAAATTGCAATTGACCTGTTCGTCAAGCTGTTCTCGCTGTTGCTCGGCATGGGTGATGGTCAATTCCCGTCTGTGGTTTCGGTTGTGCTGCTGTCGATCTCACTCCACACTTTGCTGTATGTCCATCTCCGTCTAACTGAGATCAACAACCACCACGAGCGTCAAATGGCCGCACTCGGGGCCGTGCACCATGAGAACATGACCAGGATCAAGCTTAAGCTCCCGCTCAGAAGGAACCAGGAGGCTAGACAGTAAGAGACCTCCTCGGTATCTACATACAAGCACGATTAGATGCTAACCTCATTAGCATGTTAGTGCGTATCTAACGCTTCACATCCCAAGTAAGCAGCAAACGCGGAATAGAGAGAAGTCTTGCAACTAACTTTTCCAAGACACTTGATCGTCGGTTTACGAATTGGGTGTGTGCAAAAGGGGCTCGGATGGTTGCTCAAGTTTCATGGCATGGAGTTTATTGGGGTGTTCGGTGGCAGAGTTGACGATCTGGCGGCTTGCATTGCAGTATAATACATCACTGGGTAGCAGTAGGGCGCTAGAGTCTCAAATCACGAATCATGATTCCGTCAACAATTCCATTGATGCTGTGTTTGTCCTTGATTCGTGGACGCGCCAAAGGCTACCTACCTACCGACCTTGGTAAGCTGAAGCAGCGCGGTATCACGTGGATACACCTTGCGCAAGACCTTGGGACTTGGGACTTGGGACTTGCGCCTTGAGGCTAAAAAGCACTCGGGCAGGGATTGCGATCGCCATGAGCTCATTAAATAATCCAAGCGCAGGGGGAGCTCCCCCCCTGATCGCTGAGCTCTTCCTTGGCCCGCTGACTCTGCTTGGCTGCTGACCAGGGCAGCAGGACTCGAGGACGGACTCGAGTGCCAGGTACGAGGGAGGTACTACGAAGTACGTACAGACCACAAACTACAGAGTGTACCAGTACACTTCGCACACCTGATTTCGCCCTCCTTCCTCCCATTCTGTTTCTATTTTACAAAGTTGGAAGCATCCTCTCAGCGCGTCCTTCTTGCTTCTTCTCCATCGTGTTATATTGGCGTGCATCCAGCGATCGGTCGAGTCCGCGTTCCAGTCTTAAAACGTTGTATTGCACACTGTCGCGAGCGCGCGACCCGGAGCGCAAGTCCAGCTTCAGACGCCCAACTGCAAATTGATCCACGCCATGGCTTCCCATTATACAGACAATATCATACACGGTGGCGATCACGAAGCTACCCATGCCTCACAATCGAAATGGCGCCATGAAGAGTCGTCGGCTTTCCGCCGCCATGCTGCTACCGCACCGCGCCATGCCGACGAAAGGAGTGATAGTAACGATCTCGCACATTTCTTGAATGCCACTAGAATCGATCCTCACGAATCGGGCGGCCCACCCGCTTCTACTGGGAAACACAAGCCTCTCCCAGTTCCTGGGAATGCGACATCTGCCGGTCATTACGCCGTTGGTCCCGGTCATCCTACCACAGGAGACGTCGCGAACGCCCTGGAAGTCAAATGCGGTCCGCTGCTAAATTACAGGCGTATGGAAAATGAGACTTGGTTTGGGAGCGTGCTGGTGGTTACCAATGGAGGCGGGCTTGCTGAAAGTCCTGTCGCCCCCGAATTAACAGTGAGGATAGTTCAACAGGTGGATAACCGGACCACGCGCGCAAATGAGGGGCTCCCGGTCATTGCCTTCCAGTCACTAGACCAAGATTTATACGCGGACCCGTCCATGGATACAGGAGAAAGGCCTTCTTGGGAAGCCAAGGTGACGGGCGTCAGACTGTACTCTGACCCGGCGAATACTTTCTGGCGGTTCTCCTTGGAGGTGCCTATGCAGCAATCAGAGATCCAATGCGAATATACCATCAGCAACTTACACTTTTCAGAAGGCAAAAAGACTGACAAGCAAAACTTCTTTATTCCAGCAATTTCCGAATCAATGAGGATAATGTTTCATTCTTGCAATGGTTTTAGTGTCGGAACAGACGAAGCTGCTTGGAGTGGTCCTGCTCTCTGGAACGATGTTGCCCGAGCGCATAAGAAGACACCATTCCATGTCATGTAGGGAATTTCCCCCCGGATCCTCGTCCTGCTTCTTTCTAACATGACATAGGCTCGGAGGCGGTGACCAAATCTACAGTAAGCTTCTCTACGGACGAAGTGCTTTCGTCCGTCCCAATTGTTGCTATTCAAACAGATTTCAACAGTTGTGCTCGTCGTTCACAACACAGATTGTCTAACGCATAGCTCTAGATGACGGCATTCGGGTCCATGGGCCTCTAAAAGAGTGGACAGCGATATCAAATCCAAAGAAACGGAAAGATTATCCTTTCCCAGAAGCGCTGAGAAAGGCGTGCGATGAATACTATGCCAACAATTATATCCAGTGGTGAGTTTCAGTCGATCTGATGCAACAATATAGGGTTCTCAAACAGGATTAACCAATGAATACAGGTACTCGAAGGAACCATTTGCCAGTGCCAATGGGCAGATTGCGCAATTGAACTTATGGGATGATCATGATGCCCGTAACTCCTCGACGACGCTAAGGATCTTGCTAACTGTCGTATAGATCATTGATGGCTTTGGTTCATATGTTGATGAGTTTATGAGATGTGCTGTCTTTAGGGGCATCGGAGGAACGGCAAACAAGTACTATCTTCTTTTCCAACATCACCTTGCGCCACCATTGTCCACGTTCACAACAGGTAAGTTACCCGCAAAAACGTTACATCAGGGTGTTGACTCCGCCAAGATGCCCCCAATACAGAATCACTGCAGGGCGCTGGTTCCGACCCTAGGCAGCGGGAAAATACATACATTCTCGAAGAGAAGACTATTGATTCAAGCTATATTGTCGGGAGTAAACCTGGTGTAAGTCGTTCGGCCACTTAGTCTCTAGTTACTAACGTCTTTCTAGCCTTATGTAGCCGAGTATTCCCGCAGTATTTATGCTAGACTTGGCGCTAGGATTGCCTTTTTTGGTATCGATGCTCGGACAGAGGTAAGGGAAACTTGCCCGTAAATTGCATCTGCTAATTTGGCCAGCGAACTCGGCATCAAGTGAATTATCCCGAAACATATGACATAATCGTCAAACGGCTTCGGGATGAGCTTACTGCTGCAAGGTCTTCTTCAAGCCCGATTAAGCATCTTGTTGTTCTCCTCGGCATTCCAATTGCTTACCCAGTAAGTCTTAATGTCATCTGAGCTATTTATGATTCTAAATATAGACTAGCGTTTGACTTGGTTGGAGAATATATTCTCCAGTCCACTAATTGCCCCTATTAAGTTTCTCAACAAGAGATTTGGGTTCGGTGAGTCGTTTCCTTCTCGACAGCGGTGATGAGGTCTGACCCTAGTATGCTTAGGTGGCGGCTTTTTCAATCACTTCGATGGCAATATCGACTTGTTGGACGATCTCGATGATCATTACACGGCACGCACGCATAAGAAAGAACGTCTCATGCTTGTGCATCGGCTTCAGGAGCTTGCGTCGGAGTTCTCCGTTCGTGTCAGCATTCTTGGTGGTGATGTCCACCTCGCCGCGGTCGGCCGGTTTTACTCGAATCCTAAGCTAAATATTCCTGTCGTCAATGACCATCGTTACATGGTCAACATCATATCCTCTGCCATAGTCAACAAGCCTCCTCCCCAAGCAGTTGCAAATCTACTTGCAAGAAGAAATAAGATACATCACTTGGATCACGACACCGACGAAACCCTTATGAAATTGTTCGATAAAGACCCGGGCAACTCAACCAAGAAGGCAAGCTGGAACAAAGTGACTATGCCAAGTCGGAACTGGGCGATGATCACTGAGAACTATAATGGAGCGACGCAGACCCCCAACGCCTATGGGACAACTGAAAATGCCGTCAACGGTAGTTCAGATGCAGCTAGGCCATCGTCCGAGCCACTTCCAACGGCCAAAGATGGGCACTCAGTCCTCCACGAGGGCGAGTTCGATGCAGGAACCAAGCACAAAGCTGCTGACTACGAGAAACACGGCAAAGACAGCGATTCAAGCCTTGACGTCTGTATTAGGGTTGAAATAGACCAGCATGACCCGGAGGGCACGACGCAACCATACGGCTTGACTATACCACTGCTAGTCTATGAAGATACAGCAGAACATAAAAGGAGAAAGAGGGATTCGATTCGTGGAATCATACATCACAAGGTTCCAGACGAAGTGTAAGATGAAGTCTAGTTTGATTAGTTGCGCGAAGCAAACCAGAAGGTAATAATCACAAATCAGTCGGGAATACCCTGAACATTGTACATGGTAGTCATGATCGGCTTAGGCAGATTAAAGAGTGTAGAGTTAGCTAACTGTCCCGGTGCATTTTGCATTTAAATACTACGCGTGAAGGAAATGCCCTGACTGTAAGAAGTCCCTAGTGACCAATCCCCTTAGCCCAGGAAATAAGCCCCGTAAGCGCTTATTTTAGACAATAATGCTTGTATGCTCCCCGACGATATCAGAGGTACGCAGGTACCTTTCCTCACCATTTGATATCATCACGTGATATACACGCCCTGCGCTTGCACCAGCTGCCCCGATGCTCCGGTAGACGACATCTTCCTAGTCGAGGTTCCAGAATCCGAGGACTTCCCCTTCGTAAAGCGGCATCAACAGACGGGGCTCCCACGACGGATGTTCCGTGCTCTGATATCGCATCGCATCGCATCGCATCCCAAATATGGAGACCGAATCCGTCCTTCACCAGCAGCTCCCAAATGCATATCGATCGCTCCCTCTCCAGCCGGAAGCCGCGCAGGTAATTCAGCATGGTCAAGCCCACCTCGCCCATCATGCTCTCCCACCACAGGCTGGCCTCGATCTCACCGGCCTCGACGATAACGACCCCGTCTTCCACCAGGACCTTCGAATGCAAGATCCGAACAGCCATGCATATCAGAGCCCGAATCCGTTTGAACGCAATCATGGACACCGCCCTCTCCACGTCCAGAATGCCGAAAGCCCTCATACCCCGCAGCAGCACGGTAATGGCGGGCAGTTTGGTATCCTAACCACGAACCCCATCCAACACAACTCAATTGGTCGATTACAGCAAGAAGATGATTTATTCGGTGCACCAGAAGGCGTCGATCAGAAGAGCAATAGTCACCACCTCAGTACCAGAATTGTCGTAGATCCGCCGGATCTTGGCGAATGGCGCCAGAAGCTATTCGATGTTAATGAGATGATTACCTTGAGTGAGGAAGAGTAGGTTATCCCAGACCCGCATGATGCATTCGCTAACATGGCTTGAGCAGGTTCGAAACATATTTTCCACACGTCGATAATGTGTACTCGCATCGTTCGACCCAGCGCTACAAGCGCAAACCTTTTGTGTCTCATTATTGGGACTGTCGACTGAAGGGACGGCCCCCAGGGACACCGAAATCCGATGACCCGAATAAGAAGAAGCGCAAACGCACTGCTAGGGAACGGGATCTTTGCGATGTCAAGATCAAGATCACAGAGTACTTCCCAGGGGCTATGTTGCGCGCAGGTTTCGAGCCAGATGATGGCCCTGTTCAAGATCCAGCCCAAGGAAATAATTTCTTCGCGCCAGGTCAACCAGGAAGTCAACAACAGCAGCAATTTGGTATGTCGCTAGTTAATCCTACGTTGCCTCCAAACCATCCAGGCGCAACTGGTCAGCGATATTACACAATTCAACGAGTCAATGGAAATGGGGGAAATGGTAAAGGCGATGGCGTTCCGGGGCCCCATAAACACGGTTTGGTGGAGAGCGACCGAGTTAAAAAGAACAGTGTCCAGCGATATCTTCTGAAGAGAGATAAAGAAGACAAAAAAACGCAGGTATTGCTCTCGAAATTTCACAATTCCTACATTAGTCTTGTTTTCATCTTTCGATACGACGTACTCCTCACTAGAATGATTGGCGAGGAGGTGGTGGTCACAACAACGCTCGGGTCTCAATTGTCGTCATTGGCTATCGGACCCTTTGCTTTGACGATCGACATAACTCCGCGCCAATTTCGTCACAATACATCTACTCCCTACCTACCCTAATCTCCTTAGACCTCATCAATTAGTACCTTCATCTTCTTTCCTCCGCATTTCTCAGACCGAATATCAACGCTCACAAAGATGACTGACAATTCCGCACAGAAGACTTACCACAAGAAGGCCAGCGGCAATGCCCTGGCAACTGTAAGGAAACACTCAAAAGAGCATGAATTAAAACTTTTTGGAAGCTGTTTTTGGTGAGTCTCACCCCATGAATTACTTTCTATTGGGCAAGTAAAGTTAGCTTTATCAGTTGTCTGACCCTTCGTAGTCCATTTGTTCAGCGCGTTTGGATCGCATTTGAAGCAAAAGGACTCCAGTACCAATATATTGAGGTTGATCCCTACAAAAAGCCGCAGGCTCTATTAGATGTCAACCCTCGAGGCTTGGTACCTGGCATTCGCCATGGAGATTGGGGCTGCGGTGAGAGTACGGTTTTGATGGAATATGTAAGTCAGACTTATCTCAAACACCTCTATGTACTAATACAATTCAAAGTTGGAAGATCTGAATGCAGGTCCGCCGTTCCTTCCCCAAGGAAACCCTCAACTTAGAGCTACATGTAGGCTATGGAGTGACCATGTGAGGCTTCCCGCGTGCCATTTGCCATACAAGTCACTAACTTTGAATAGATAAACAGGAATATCATTCCGGCATTCTACCAGGTCCTCCAAGCTCAGGACTTTGCCAAGCAAACCGAGAGTACGAAAAAGCTCCAAGAAGAGATACAGAAAATCGTCGAGGTTTCAGACCAACAAGGCCCCTTCTTCCTAGGCCCACAGCTCTCCTATGTTGACATACAATTTGCACCATGGATGATCCGCCTTTCGCGAGTCATGAAACACTATCGAGGCTGGCCAGATCCAACTCCAGGGAGCAGATGGGGATGTTGGATGGAGGCCGTGGAAAATAATGAACATGTCAAAAATACCACGAGCTTGGATGAGCTATACATCGACAGCTATGAACGATATGCGCAGAACCGGCCTAATACATCGCAGCTTGCGGATGCTATTAACGGAGGATACAATTTACCATGAGTAATCATTCCTTGTAGGAGTTTGGGGGGCGCAATGGGGTATCAGGATTGCATTTCACGCCTATGATGAAACACATGTTTATGAAATTCTTGGAAATTGGCAGTTTCCTTCCAAGCGATGAGTTGTTTGTGTATTCAGCAGCACGAAGGGCCCTAGATCGCTATAATAGTGGATTGGATAATAAACGTTTATCTCATACTATCTATTGACATCCAATGACGACGACTTGTTCGTTCCGAAGGCACTTAGTCGGCGTTAAGCCTACCCACTCCCTTTGAGGCTTCCATCGACAAACCTCGGACAGACCTTGAGCATAGGAGAGATCTTCAAAATTACGGTAATAACATAGCCATGGATGCGGCATCTATTGATTGTCATGCAAGCAACCAATATCAAAAACGAACAAACCCCCCATGTTCTCACGACCCGGCTGTCCCATTAAAAAGCGTGTCATCCATAGCACAATGTCTCGCCATCTCAACCTGCTCATCGGTTTGACACACCAGCGTCCTATGTCTCGCACCATCCTTCCCAACATCCTGGACCACATCCTCGATCTTCATCGAGTTCTTCTTTTCGTCAACGGCAAACCCCAAACAGGCAATATCCTCCGTCACCCTACGTCTCAACAAATCGCTCTTCTCCCCTATGCCGCCAGCAAAGACTAGCGCGTCGACATTTCCCCTCAGCGTCACGTAGTAACTTCCCACGAAGCCACAGACCCGGTCGACGAAGATGTCGAAAGCGAGTTTCATCGTCGGATCATCTTGGGAGGAGGCGATGGTTCCGAAGTCGGTGGTTCCTGTTAGGGATTTCCAGCCTGATTGCTTATTGAGAATTTCTTCCGCACGGGAGATGTGGAGGGATTCCGTGGAATTCGGGGAGAGTTTGCCGACGTCGCTAGCATAATGGAATACTAGGCTATGGGGGAGAGTTGGTTAGCCCTTGACATTTTCTCAGAGGGGTTTTGGGGGAGGACTAAGGATGGAGGGATTACCTAGGGTCTACACTTCCACTCCTCGTTGCTCCTGGAAGGCCAGCCAGGGGCGTCAACCCCATCGATGTATCCCAACTCTTCCCATTCCTAATCGCGCAGGCACTTGCCCCGGAACCAAGATGCAACAGAATCAAATTCGTCTCGCTCTCCTTCTTCCCCAGAAACCGTGCCGCGCTACGCGTAATAAACGAGTAGCTAATCCCATGAAACCCATACTTGCGCAGCTTATTCGACTTCGCTATCTCCTGGTTGATGGGATACGTACGGATATGCGCCGGAATTGTCTGGTGGAACTGGCTGTCGAACGCTGCTACATTCCGCGTCTGCGGCAACTCCTTGATGCAGAACTTGACGATTTCCAGCGCGGGGGCGTTGTGAAGGGGTGCGAGGTCGCTCAGCGCTTGGATGTAGTTGTAGGTCTCGTCGTTGATTATCTTAGGGCAATCGTAATCCCCCCCGTGCACAACGCGGTGGCATGCAACATTGATATCCTCCTTCTTGTTGATAGCTTGGAAGGACTTATCATTGATCAATTCGTCTAGGATTCGTTCCAGGGCATCTTTCTGAGAGTTTACCTCCCCCGAGAGCTCTTTGTCTTTGCATATTGTTTCTGGGCCGCGGATGTATTTGAGTCGTGGCGGTGGTGCGGTGAGCCCGCTGATTTGTATCTCTGCGATTGGTTCTGGCTCTTGACGGAAGGAGGAGAGGTAGATGGAAACTTTAACAGAGCTGGATCCTGCGTTGATTGAGAGGATTATTTTGGATTTAGCCATAGTCGATTGGGATTGGAAATAGGACCGGGACCAGGCGATGATGTAATGGAAGCTTTTCAATGAGCTTGGTTTTAGAGAAAGTATTGGTTTTGACTGACGGAGAACTCTAGAAAGAGTGGGAGGTCGTGTCGATTTTATAATTCGTTTGGTTTATTATCCCAAGTGCGAGGAAGGAATTTGTTGTAGCTTCTGTATAGTTGGCAATAAAGTCAGGCGTTTCTTGCAGCTCTATTCTAAGGCCCCGCCATGACCCCGCGGGCGGCGGGACCGGCTACTTATCACGTATCATAAGCGAGACATCAAGCATCATCTCGGTGGTAACACCCTTTAAATCAGGCCACGGGCCACGGAGCGCAAACAAGATTGTGCCTTTTTTGTTGGCTACACCATGTAAGCTTCGTTATATTATTTGCCAACCAGGGCCGAAAGGTCTATTGCCATTGAGCCATTGTGTTTAAAGAGGCTCAAGCTTGATCAGATCAAGGCTCAGCCTGGACCAGTGACTTCAGCCTACTATGACGTTGCCGCTTTTTTCGGAATCCACAACTCGCATGCAAGAACCCCTAATCGTCATGGGGAGCAGGGAAACGGCCAATGATATATTATATCACCACTCTGCTTACCCCGTAAGGCTGTGGATCGGCTCCTATCCCTAGGGCTGTGACGTCTTGTCAGAGAAGTAGGGTATCATCAGGTTTACAATTCTGCGGCGAGAAGTATTTACCACAATACAATAGACCATATGATTCATTTTCATCCTCCTTGAATTTCCTCTCTGTTTATATCCTCTAAATCTCGTCTCCTACTCCCCGCAAATATCTCTTTTCACCTAGTATCCTGATTGCAGCAGTTTCAAGATGCCCGGCGAAGTGATTGACAGGGCGAATCCACCGGCGTTGGACTCTCACATTCCAGATTCAGTGCTTGACTTAGCTGTCCAGCTTGAGAAGGCGGACCTTAGCGATGGGGATCTTAAAAGCCTTGAGGATTTTCGAAGGGCTAGCAATTATATTGCAGCTGGTACGGTCTCGCTCTAATTTCTTATTAGAACCTTTCAACCCGATCCTTATAGCTGATTAGGATAGCGATGATATTTTTGTGCAACAACACACAAGTTGAGAGGGACCTTACATTTGACGACATTAAACCTAGGTATGTTATTCACAAGATAGTATTTGGAATGGTCAATATCAAGTACTGACAACCGAACCCAGGTTGCTCGGTCACTGGGGAACATGTCCAGGGCTTACTCTGATCTACGCACATCTCAACTATCTCTCCCGCAAGAACGATCTCGACCTCATATTTGTTGTTGGGCCCGGTCATGGTGCACCATCAATTTTAGCCTCCCTCTGGCTGGAAGGAAGCTTGGAACGATTCTACCCACAATATTCTCAAACCAGACAAGGTCTCCATAACCTGATTGCTACATTTAGCACACCAAGCGGTTTCCCAAGTCATATCAATGCCGAGACGCCTGGTGCAATCCACGAAGGTGGTGAGCTCGGATATGCACTTGCAGTTGCTTACGGCGCTGTTATGGATAAGCCGGATTCAATTGTTGCTTGTGTTATTGGTGACGGGGAAGCAGAAAGTGGCCCAACTGCCACGTCCTGGCATGCTGCCAAGTATATCGACCCAGCTGAATCGGGAGCTGTTCTCCCTATTCTCCACCTAAACGGTTTCAAGATCTCAGAGCGGACAATTTTTGGGTGTATGGATAAGAAGGAGATTACCGCACTGTTTACTGGCTATGGATACCAGCCCCGTTTTGTTGAGGATCTTGGAGATATTGTGAGTTGGCTAATGCAGCAGTGAAGCTCGATGCTAACTCTTGATAGGATCGAGATCTTGCAGCAAGCATGCAGTGGGCTCTAGATGAGATCCATAAGATCCAAAAGGCGGCAAGGTCTGGCAAACCCATTCTAAAGCCTCAGGTACCACACTTTGATCCCTATTTGACGAAATAAATACTGAAATTTTATTATTCAGTGGCCGGTATTGATCTTGTGTACTCCAAAAGGGTGGAGCGGGCCAAAAAAGGTCGACGGCGAGTTCGTAGAGGGCTCCTTCCATGCCCATCAAGTTCCACTATCGGCGGCCAAAAAGGACCAACACCAGCTCGAACAACTGCAGAAGTGGCTGCACTCGTATGGGCCAGCCGATCTCTTCACCGATAGCGGCGCTCCAATTGAATCGATCAAAAAGATTATACCAATTGACAACGAGAAGAGACTTGGCCAGAGAGTAGAGACGTACAAGCACCATGAAAAGCTGCGCGTCCCCGATTGGCAGAACTTTGGCGTGGAGAAAGGAGGTCAGGAATCATGCATGAAGGCCATTGGCAACTTCATGGACCAAGTAATTGTCGAGAACCCGAAGTCTTTTCGGATTTTCTCCCCTGATGAACTTGTTAGCAACAAGCTAGATGGAATATTCAAGCATACCGGCCGTAATTTCCAATGGGATCAGTTCTCAAACGGCCGAGGTGGCCGGGTTATCGAAATTCTCAGTGAACATGTATGCCAGGGTTTTCTACAAGGCTATACACTTACCGGCCGTACGGGCGTCTTCCCTAGCTATGAGAGTTTCTTGGGCATCATCCATACCATGATGGTGCAGTATAGCAAGTTCACTAAGATGGCATTTGAGACCACGTGGAGGGGTGATATCTCGAGTCTCAATTATATTGAGACGAGCACTTGGACGAGGCAAGAGCATAATGGCTTCTCGCATCAGAACCCGTCATTCATCGGTGCCGTCCTCAATTTGAAGCCTAGCGCGGCGAGAGTTTATCTCCCCCCTGATGCTGTGAGTATCAATTGCATAAGAAAATGAGACTTATATCTATATTGACCTCTATATGCAGAACACCTTCCTCTCCACCATCGCCCACTGCCTCCGGTCCAAGAATTACATTAACCTTATGGTCGGCTCCAAACAGCCACAACCCGTCTTCCTCTCCATCGAAGAGGCGGACAGACACTGTCAAGCGGGCGCCTCAGTCTGGAAATTCGCCTCGATCGACAACGGGCTTGACCCAGACGTCGTACTCGTCGGCATTGGCTCAGAACTAACGTTTGAAGTCGTGGTGGCGGCGTCGGTCCTCCGGCGTATATGCCCCTCGATGCGTGTCCGAGTCATCAACGTGACGGACCTAATGATCCTCGAGGCTGAATCATTGCATCCACACGCCCTCGCCCACCAGGATTTCAACGCATTGTTCACGGCCGATAAGCCGATCCACTTCAACTACCACGGCTACGCGAACGAGCTTCGCGGCCTGCTCTTCGGACATCCGAATATGGAAAGGGTTGGTATCTCCTCCTATAAGGAAGAGGGCAGCACGACGACGCCATTTGATATGATGTTGCGGAATGGTGTTAGTCGATTCCATGTGATGGAGGCGGCGATTAGGGGCGCAGCGAAGTCCAATCCGGAGGTCGCACTTGACATGACGAATACGCTTGGGTGGATTAGACATCAGATTAGTAAGATTGGGGAGTACATCCTAGAGACTGGGAAGGATCCAGCTGGCACTTATGATATCCCGAAGTTTGAGGGGACGGCTTTTGAGAAGGGGTCTGTGTGGAGGGGGAACGAGAGGGAACACTCGAAGGAAGATGGGTTTTTTGTTAACTGAGATGGGAGAAATGGTGTCGGTTGATAGGGGTTGGGATGAAGCTTTGGTGGGCGAAAGATAGAGGGGGATAAAGCTTGGCCAGCGGGGCAATATCAACGAGTCAGGCTCTATTTGAGGGTATCCCATCTCGCAACCAATCGAGCCAGAATAAACCCATAAACCTGATTTCTAGGAGAGCTAGACTTCTCGGAGAGTTCCTCCGAACCGGTAATTATCTATCTACCGCAAATAATAGAGCCCGGGTGCCAACGATGTATGAAACGATAAGGACATGCGTAAACCAGCCAAACACAAAGCATACCAAACACTGCACCACCTCGGAGCCATGTCAGCCTTAAAAACCTACTTGGTTTCCTGCGTCCGCGCAAGCATAGCTACAAATGGGCGATTGTCCGTTCTGAAGATAAGCCCTAAGCAGATAAGAGAGCTAGTGACCTTCAGAGCCATTTGGCACGTCCCAACCCACGGACACCTTTCTGACCTGACCCGCCCGTCCGCTGCTCCGCAAATAACATTGACTTTGTTGAAGGGGACTTGACTCTCGAGTCAGTGCGGGTGTGCACCGTCGCGGTTTAGCGTGGTTGGCAAAAACAGGATAGAGATACTCCGTTCGCATATCGAGGGAGGGTTGAGGGAGTTTTTGAGTCCCTCGAGTAAGCTGCATGTACCGTAAACCTACAGAGCACGCAGTAGGTACCTGTAGCAGGTAAGATTGGCGCCCACAGCAATGGACGGAAAAGCGATCTACAAAGTAATGGGGCCACTATTGGGCGATCATGGGGCGACAATTCAGGGCTAGATCTAGATGCGGATTCTGGTTAGTTTAGTTTGTTAATAGGTAGGTAATAAGTACCTGACCTGTGTTGGTATTTGGACAGGATTTGGATGGATTTGCGTTGAGACGGAATATTCCGCAGATGTACACGATAGTGTAGTACTTACAGAGCGTAGAGAGCGACAGGCACCGCGATGGGGGGCTTTTACTTTACGGAGTAGGTACCAGGTACTTCGCTTGACTTACTTGGCCCCGGCACACCGGCACCCTGGCTGGAGGACCAGACGAACGGTGGGGAGGGGGCGCTTGAGCTACCCTTTGGGCTTTCTGGCGACTCCCCTTTCGCTCGAGGCTGCTTCGAAGCGACTGGGAGTGTTCTGCGTGTGTGGCAGTGGGTGTGGCAGCGTGTGGCGGGTGTGTTGTTCCCTATCGAGATCGCGATGGGGAGCCGGGGGGCGCAGGGGAGGTGGGCAGGGGTGGTCGACCGCCCTTGTATGTCGGATGGGTCATTGCTGCGTGGATGACGTCACGACTCTGGTGTACCTAGGTACTGCGAGGTACCTGGGTACCCTCTTTTGGGTGCTACCACGGCCAATTCTGGCCTCGAGGTGACTGACGGAATTTGGCAGCTCTGTGGAGATGCCGGGGAGGGTATCCCGGCGTCCCCGGTGGCCCTCGCTACGGCCGTCTGGACCCTTCTTTCGTCCTCCCCTTATGTAAGGGGCCTATTCGGCCCCAGAAATATGTGTATAACTATCCCGTTGCAGGTTTTTCGATGTACTATACAAGTACTAATGTACCGCGGAGGATTGTTTATATCTCCACCAGTCTTGGCTCTTCTTGGCTGTTCGCTTGGCTTGCAGCTCGTGCGGAGACACTCAGAGCTCCCCCCCGGTCCATTTCATCATCGCGCGGCGCGGGGAGACTTCGGGGACTTGAGAGGCGCCTCTTCCCTTGTCCCCGGTCCCCTGCCACCCGGTCGCCGTGCAGGCCCTCTGTCCTCCGGATGCAGGGAATCCCTGCCGAACCCTTCCGTCCTGCGTCCTACGTAACTACTGAAAAAAGCCCTGAATTGGAAAAAAAGGGCCCTGGCCAGCTGCGGACGATCGATTGCGGACAGCAACATCTAGTCCGGATGAGGCAAAGCGAAGCTGCTTTGGAAAAGTGGGGATGGGGGCGGGGAGGGCTAGATTGGATGCACGATAGTCCGTATTATTATTGTCTGGAGCTGAGGATGATTACTGATGGTTGATGGCGGAAAGAAATTAGATGGAGAAGAAGCAAGAAAGCAGCAACGCCAGCCCGCAACCACGCGGGACCCCCGACGATGGCTCGTGTGGGAATCTTCAGCGGCTGTCCTGGATAATGGGGTTTTGGCTGCTGCCTGTATCATAAGCAGGGTCTGGAGAGGCGAGAAATGAGAACTGAGATTTTCGACGTCGGTCTGCAGCCGCGCACCAAAAGGGAAAAAAGGGGGTGGGGTGAATGGGATGTGCAAGAGGCCGGATGGGGTCTATGATAGACTGCTACGTACCGTGTCTGGAGGGTAGTACTTTGGGAGACGGTACCGATCAGGACAGTGGTACAGAGAGTGGAAGTACTCCTTGCTGGAACTGGGACTGGGACTGGGACATGTACGAAGTACTTGGTGAACACCAAGACTAAAATAAGGTGGCAGCTGGAGAAGTGTAGGCTATTACTACTAATAATAATAAGGCATGTGGTACTTGGTACTACTGCACTACTGTAATGAACGGTAGACCTCACGTTCAAGTATGGGGTAGCAGCAGTACAGTACCGAATAAGGTACCTACACCTAGCTGTAGTTGTAGCTGTAGCTGTCATCCCCTTGGGGGGGGGGCGGTCTACAGCACCTACCAGCCTACCAGCAGCAGCACCACCACCATCGAGATCTCCAGCACTACTGTACGTAGGTAGCTGCACCGTACAGGACGGGGCCTCTGGAGCGTTTCCACCACTGTCTCCACCTCCACCACCACCACCACCACCACCACCACCACTACGAGGTACCACTACCGTCAGTCACCACTACCGTACCACTAACTGCCACCACCAACATCACCACTAACCACTACCACTACCGCCCACCACTAATCACCACCCACCACCCCTCTCTACCTACAGAGTACTACTACTGTACCCTCTGGACCTCTTCCCTCCCCCCTCTGCACCCGGCGACCGCGACCAAACGCCCAGGCCCAGGCCACCATCCAGGCCAAGCCACAATTAACCACCCATACACCCATACACCCATTCCCGCCCTCCTCCACCACCATCACCATCACCCACCCACATCTAACACCATCCAACGCCCAAACGCCACCACGCCGGCGCCGCTGATGGTGCAAATGCCATGGTGGGGACAATGGCCAACTGCGGGAGAACCCAAGAATCCCATGTCCACCCAATCCCTGGCACATACGGTAGATTGGCAGCTCTGCGCTGCGCTGCACACGGTAACCATGTTTACTCCAACTCTGGACACTAGAGCGTACACTGCACTCTGTACACTACACTACGCTACACTGCTCAGTGCTCACTGTACCCTTTCCTCCCTCCCTCGCCCCCCTCTAAACTCCTCCCTCCATCTACCTATCTATATACCTTACCTTCCTATCTACCTCCCTCCCATATATATCCCTCTCCCCTCCTTCACCACGACCACCCCTTCTCAATCTCTTTCCCTCTCCCTCCCTCTCTCCCTACCTCCCTCCCTCCCTCTACGACTTTAATTCCGTCTACTCGCAATCAATCTCAATATCAATCTCAATCTACTCACTCCTAAATACATTGTCTCTCCCTGCTACATATTAACCTCAATCGCCTTGTCATCATCATCATCATCATCTCACCTTTTTTCCCGTCCAAACTCAATTACTCCACTGCACTCGAATTGACCAACTGGCCGGATCCCCCTTTCGCCCTTTCCGAGTAACTCTCCGTCATTCGATTCGTACCCGACTAAACGACCCGGACGGCCTCTCGGTCTCGTGTCCACGCATCCGACCTCTCTCCTACCGCGGTTGGGCCAAACCAAAACCCAAACCCAAAAAACCCAGATATGAACTTTCTTTCCCAGGCGGCGCGGCCCAGCAGCATGCATACCAAAGACGCGTCCGGCAAGAGGGTTTCGCTGCTGAATGACGAGCCGGCCCAACCCCGATACTATGAGCATTCCCCGTCGTCGTCCTACTCCTCCACCTCCACCTCCGCCTCCTCGTCGTCGTCCTCGATATACGCATGTCATGCTTCCAAGAAGCGGCGATCCATGTCCAGTCATTCCAACCCGAGCAGTGCATCTGCGTCCCCGACCACCCCGGCCCTGATGCGCGCCGACTCCTACGACTCGCAGAACACGGCGTCGAACGATACCCTCACGCCCTTGACCCCGATCTCCATGGTCGAGTTTGGCGGGCGGCGGTCCTCGTTCATGAGCGTGGGAGCGTACGACGAGAGGGAGCGCGCGGAATATGGCTATTGCAGCAGCGACCGCATGCAGCCCTTCGACGAGTTCTCCGACCCGTCTTACTCCATGGCATCGCGGCGGTCGTCGTACGCAGAGGGGCGAGTTCCAGCTCCAGTGGGTGCAGCGTATCCGCAGCCACGCCCTGGCGACGCAGAGACGCAGCGGCGTGGGAGCAGCGTCTCGATCTCCGTGTCCGTCTCGGAGCGCGGGCCCAAGAGGTACAGCTGTCGCTATCGAGACACGCTCGGGTGCGAGAAGACCTTCACGACCTCCGGCCATGCATCACGCCACTCCAAGATCCATACCGCGGAAAAGGCGGTGCCCTGCACCTTCAAGGGCTGCCATAAGAAGTTCACACGCAATGACAACATGAAGCAGCATCTCGAGACGCACTACAAGGACCGCGCGCGCTCGCGGTCATCGGCTGCCGCTGGCAAGGCCGGCACGAAGCCGTCCTCCTCCACGGCCACGGCCACGGCCACCAACGCCGAAGCTCCGGCGCTGAAGAAGAGTCGGCGCAGCAGCCATCACTCCTCCCACTCCCACTCGCACTCCCACTCGCACTCCCTCTCCCACTCCCGCGCCGCCCACGATATGCCTCTACCTCTACCTCTCCCTCTACCGCTGAGCCTAAGCCCTACTGCCACTGCCACTGCCACTGCCACTGCTGGCGATGTGGTCGTCGACCCCGCACTACTGGCATCGCCCACGAGCCTGTCGAGATACTCGGGACACCATGCCGCGCCCCCTCCCACTGCCGCCAATCCCAGCAGCAACAACAACCCGCTCGGCCTCCAGCTTACGCTCCCCTCCCGGCCGATGGCCAGCCTCGAGCCCCTGAGGGCGCCCAGGCTCAGCACCTCCAACGCCCATCCCAACAACGTCCATGCCGGCCTCGACGTCCTGGCAATGGCAGTGGATTGGCAGGCCCACGGCCAAGCATAAGCCCTATGTTTACCCCTTGTAGGGCCGGCGACCCTGGCCCCGGGGTTGCGAGCTGTCAGTTATGTCAGTTACTAGTTACACGACCGGTCGAATTGTTGGGTGACGTCGTCGAAGTGGAGTGGAGTAGTCAGCATTCAACAGCCCATTATTATCACGTATTGCGTCTTGGAACAAAAGGCATTTCAACCGCATCCAAGGGGGGGAGATGCCCCTTGTTCGTGGGCGTCGAATCGCCTCGCCTCGCCCCGCATCTTCCGAGGCGGGTGCGCCACCAGCAGCCCAGTGGGTTCCCGCACATTGCTGGCCCCTTCTCGTGGTGGTGGATGTTTTCAGCAGCTCGTGCGCGCAGACGAGAATACTATACTTCGTGGTCTCGTAGCCATGTTGTCCCCCTCGCGGACAACTACACCTGCAAAAGCGTGTGCGAGGCTTCCATTCTCCCCCCTCTTTCTTCTCTGACCGCGGTACGGAGTAACTTGGTCCTACGTGCTACTTTGCGTGATGGGCGACGCGAAATGTCCTGGTTGCACACGGCGGTGCTGTACATAGGCTGGTGTTCATAATTAATTGGCGCGAGATGGCAGCATTCTTTCAACGGTTCATTGGCGCACATTATTCTACAGCGGGCTTCGGTTCCAAATTTGGCACATGCGCGGTATTATAGGATACATGGTCTTCCTGCCTTGGAATTCCCGGTGCTTGGCTTCTCTCCTTATTTTTCACATGCATAGGGGTCCCAAAGCGGGTTGGGCGGCGAGTCTTTGGGGGGGGGAGGGGATGAAAAATCAGGGTCGATAATACGTTGGTGGATGATACCCAGGTTTGGAAGTACAGAACACAGAACACAGAACACAGAACACAGAATGGATGGACGGGCCCCACCGCGTACATCTTCAAGGGGGGCGGATGGCATGGTTTCGCGGGGATAGCGACAGTGACAGGTGTGGCAGCATACGATACCCACTCCCACTACGAAATGAAATACAAAAGCAAACTTCTTTGCGAGATATACTCTACCTTGATACTTGATACTTGGTACATAATGAGAATGTGCAACAACTTCATCCAGAGCCTCGTACGTCGGTACTACGTCCCCCGATTCCCACCTCCCCAATCCCGATGTGCTCATTGCTCCCCATCCATGTGAAACCGCCCTCCGATCAAAGCAATAAACCTAATAATACCAGGATGGTCGGTGCTATAGTCCCGTAGATCTTGCATGTCTGCCGATCCGAACTACTTTTCCGGATCCGCCAGAAAGTCAATCCCTCGACCTTGCCCGCCCGTTCCCCGGGCGTTTCCCCGGGCCTAGCGGGTAGCACGCAGTGAGTTGTAGGCTGTAGGCTGTAGCATATTGCAGTGTACGTGAAAAAGGGCCTAGAATTAACATCAACGGCGGTAAAAAACAAGGAACCAACCCCCGCCAGGTCTTAAATCGACTTTTGCAGTCCCAGCTCCCGGGATAAACCCTACCTAGGGGATCGCTGCACGGCCGAGCTGGTGGCTCCATTATCCATACCTTGACTCTCCGGACAGGGCAAGCAGGCGGGAGTATCATCGCAACGGCAACCTCCTCGCAGCCAGTGAGCGGCGGCATCCCTGTCCCAGACACCCGGCTTGGGGGTTTCGTCTCTTATTCTCTACCGCCGTATCTGCACCTGTCTTAATAACATAGCACTGTACAACGCAACGCAACGCCGAAAACGAACGCAATCAAAAACATCCCTTGATGAAACGGCGGGAAAAAACAAGCCACCTCGCACGCATAAGCACACGCACAGGCAGACGCATACACACAGACAGAACAACGATCTATGATTCTGTTTTGTCTTTCTTTCCTCTCCCCCCCCCCCCCCCCCCCTCCCCCGCCGCTGGGACTTGGCGTATGAAGCGTGGCTTACTTTGACTTGTAGTGTAGTTTAGTTGTACTCGGAATATTCCGTAGCTGTCATCCCAACAAACGACTAGTAAGTAGGTACAAGTATAGTACAAGTCCGTCGTTGATGGGGAACCCATCTCCATCTAATCTAACATCCGTCCTGGGATCACCGCTGTTCCGGAACCGTTTGCCTCACTTCCCGCAAGCTACCTAAGGTAGGTAGCTAGGTAAGGTAGGTAACTAAGCTGACGGACAGCATACATGTACCAACCAACGCTACGATGATACCGGCCCCTCCACGAGCGCAAACTACCCAAAACAAAACACTCTCTAGATATATCCCAGTATCAAACTCCGCCGGGATGAACCCAAACCCGCTTGCGCTCGCAAGTTTGCAACCCTTCGCCTCGCTCCCTCGAAACGTCAAATCCTCCTCGTTACCTGTTCCGCGGGTAAGGGCCGTCCGGTCGTCCGAGAAGCTTCTCTCCGCAGCTGTCTCAGTGGAAGCGGTGATGGGGGAGGGACAATTGATCACCATGAAGGACGTGTTTGTTTCAGTGAACGGATGATGGGTCAAAAACAATGCTCATATTTTGCACCTGAAACTCTGCTGCTGCGGAGTTAGCTACCCGCGTTGTGCAATTGCCGGTAGATGGTAGATACCTACCTAGTAGGTAGGTAGGTACGTAGATGGCAGGTAAACATAGCCACTCTCCGAAGTAGGTAGTTACCTACCCCGCAGGGTCTCTTTTGGCGCTGCGCGGAGCTACAGCTTCTCACAGGTGGGCACAAGCCGTGCTGGAAAGCTATCGATTCCGAGTAGTGGGAGGAGACATACGAAGTGGCAGCAACGCCTCCTCTCAGGGACCGTGACAGTACTCGCGTAAGTAGGCAGTTTGATCCTCGCCGGGATGAAAAGTAGCAGCGAGGAGGGGATAGAGGGGTTAGAGGGGGGAATTGGTGGAATTGGGCGCTTGGTACACACAGGTCACACAGAGGTCACACAGGTCACCAGCTGGGCGTGCTCCCATTCGCGCGCTGGGTTCTTCCCTAGCTGGCAGTAGGCGAAACTCTAAATCCGCTGACTGCTGACGGCGCCCTGGTCCATGAACTTCTAGATTTGGTGGATTTGGGTTTGTAGAGTAGTGTTTTGAGCACAGCCGATAATACCCTGAAATAAATCGATCCCCTCCGCCCACCGGCGCCGCGCCCGTTCGCCGGTTGCACTCGGTCCCTATCCCACATGCGTGGCTGCGGGCACTTGATAGGTCGATGCAGGCTGACGCTTGACGACGGACGGTAAGGGCAAAGGGGGCTAGTTGATTGATGATTGATTGATTGATAATGAACAAGAGAGGGATGGAGACGCAAGCTGAGAGAGGGTCGAGTGGCAAATTGAGGCACCTTTCTTAGGGGGAAAGTTTGATAGAGGGTTTTTCCCTTGTTGCCACTGGCATGAGGTGCTCACTGGGCCTTTTTGTGGGGGGGGATTTCGATATGAGCGGGGTAGGAAATAATAAGAGCTGTTGTTTTGGAGGGTGATGCTTGTTATGTTATGACGTGCTGTGGCAAGCTGAGATGTGGACGGAGATGGAGACGGAGATGGAGACGGAGATGGATGGATAGATGGGAACCGGCGAGGACCGATCAGAGGCGGATGTAGCGGGGACGGGAATAGAGCAGGGAATCGGCTAGACCGAAGAATGTGATATAAACGGGAGGAGAGGGGAATGGGTAGCTCAGCGGTAGATGGATAGGTGAGAGGGGGAATAGATAGCGAGGCGCCTGGACCGACCAGAACAGGAGAGGAGAAGGAGGGATTTGTTTGGGATGAAGGGATGACGGCGAGGAAATTGGACATGACGAAAACAGGAATGGTAATTGCAATTGGAAATGCAGACGGCAAAAACAAGCTTCAAATGATGTATAATGTTGCCCTGAGCAAGCCAGATCTAATACAATTGAAAAACCCCGCCATTGAGCCTCTCCCTTGAATGCCTAAAGCAACGCCCTTGCGATGTATGTCCTAAACTCCCCCATTAACCCATTCAATCTTACAATACATGCGCCATCATAAAACGAAAACCGGACAGATGAACAATAAAGCGATTCACTTCTTCGCCGGCAAAGGAGGAGGGGCCATCTTCCCAGACCCAGTATCAACCCTCTTACTCGGTGGCAAAGATGGCGGTCCCATGGAACCATTCGTACTTCCTCCACCAACTTGAGTGAAGGTTCCCCCTTTGAACCATCGGTCCTCTTCAGCTTTCCGTTTGCGATTCATCTCCGTCACCATCTTAGGATCGACGAGCTCGAGGCCCTGGACGGGCGTGAAAGCTACTGATGATGCCGTTCCAGCACCGGCGCCAGTCGTGCCCACGCCAGAGGCTCGTAATCCCTTGCCCCTTAAATCAATGCCTGCCCCAGCACCCTGGCCAAAGCCGCGCAATGTAGACGCAGAGCCGCTGATAGGCGTAGCACCACCCCAGCCCTTATTCTTCGCACTGAGTTTGGCTTTGGTTCTCTGGTCGACTTGCAGATTACGGATACGGCCCTCATTGGCTTGTCCAATCATACCGAGACCTTTCGTTCCTTCGCCGGTGCCGTATCCAACCTCTTTCTCCTCCTTGCCAAATACCATCCTGTTTTGCGCCTTGCGAAGTTCCGTCATAGCCGTTGCTTCCTTGGCTTTGCGTGCTCGTCGGCCACCTCGTTTCCGGGCTGGTTTATCATCGGGAGCAGGGAGTGCGCGTTGACCCTTGTTTGGAGGAGGTTCAGTCAATTTTTCCAGGCGTTCTAGGCATGAGGCTTTGAGCTCTTCTCCCGTCGAGCCGTCAGCACTACTGTGGACGCGGTCCACGCGAGCCGCAAGCACAACTTTGGCCGAAACTATGCGCATGGCCTGTCGCTTTAGGTCGTTTGGAATACCACGGATGATGGGCGAATGATACAAGAAACCTTGTTGTCTAACTCCCACATTGGTGGCAAACCCAGTGCCAGACTGCTTCTTCGATCCTAAGGGTGGTAAGTTGCAGGCCGGGGTTTTTGCCAGGCCTGTCAGTCCTCCCGCGAAGTTGAGTAGTTGCGCTGCCGTAAGGGATCCGATGAGCGCCGTCAAATTAGGAGCGAACAAATTCATCCGGGATTGTACATAATCCGTTAAAGTCTTCTTTGCCCGGTCTAGTGCTAGAGTCATATCGCAAGCACGCATCACCCTCTCAAGCTCATCTGTTGACATATCCCGGCCTTTGGTGGTGGTTGCTTCAACAGTAACAATCATCACTGAAGGGCCATCTAGGACGGATCGTAGTGTAGCTCCTAACCGGTTGTCTTTAGATGTTTGAAGTGCCTTGATACTGTCTCCATCCATAGGTCCATTTCCAATGATAGTGACCACTTTGGCATAGTCTATGGGATTCGTGACCAGCGTCTCGAGTTCGGGAAAGCGTATCGAGTAGTGATCGCGTATGTATTTATGAACGATCATTATTTCCGTATCTATCGATGTTGCAAGCGTATTCGACTGCGTCAGGAGGTGGTACTCGGGGTTATCTTCCACTGAGCCAACAAAGGTAGTTTGCTTCTCGGGTGGTAACGATTGATAATATGCGATTTTCTATACGTCGCGAGGCTGTCAGGGCTAACACACAAATGGGCAATGTAAACATGCATCATCAGAATATAGGAGGGGCAAAAGAAATATGTACTGACCTCTAGGACTGGTTCCAACGTCTTCATCAGCTTCGCGACACTTCTCACATCGTCGACGCCTCCCAGTTTCATCTTCTCGACCTTAGCTTTCGTCTCTTCTTCGCTTTCAACATCGATCCCCGAGTCGTCGACGCCTCCCATTTCCTCATCCTCTACGACATCCTCCTCATCTCCATCTAGCTCCATTCCTTCTTCATTCGCCTTTGATACTGTCGCTTTGTTGGCGTTCAGCCCATCATCATTCGGGAAGAGGCCCTCATTTTGTTGCTCCTCGCCCTCAGAGCCCGAGTCCTCGAAGTCTTGCAGCAGTTCATCTGCGAGAGTAGACATCGTTTCGCAAAAAGAATGGTTGGGGTCGGATAGCGCGTAGTTGTAGAATTTAGGCAAGGTTGTGTGAGGTTATTTACTTAACATTTCGATATGACGCTAGCGGCCGCATCCCAGCTTTGATTTTAGCGCGCTTTCGAAAACATTCGCGACTGAATCAATACTCCATACCTTCGTCCCATATCTCAGAAGGTATCACGCCCCGCTCGGCTTTGAATTACGGAGCCGTGCCATCAGGTACACCGCGCTTAAATCCTTAAAACTTGGACTTTTGAAATTTATTAGGCAAGCTAGCCTGCGACAACAAACTCTCCCAGGGCCTCGCAAACGTCGCCAACATGGAGGCAGCTCGTGGACCCCCCAGGGTCAAGAACAAGGCGCCCAGCGCCATCCAAATATCAGCGGAACAGCTTCTGAGAGAAGCTGTCGATCGCCAGGAGCCAGGGCTGCAGGCGCCAACACAGCGATTCGCCGATCTCGAAGAGCTTCATGAGTTCCAAGGCAGAAAGCGGAAGGAGTTCGAGGACTATGTGCGGAGGAACAGGATTAATATGAACAATTGGATGAGATATGCACAATGGGAACTTGAGCAGAAGGAATACAAGCGAGCGAGATCCATTTTTGAGCGAGCTCTCGATGTTGATGCTACTTCTGTCACATTATGGATTCGATATATCGAGGCGGAAATGAAATCTAGGAATATCAACCATGCCCGAAACCTGTTGGACCGCGCAGTTACAATTCTACCCAGAATCGATAAATTGTGGTACAAATACGCCTATATGGAGGAGATGCTGGGGAACATTCCCGGAACGCGGCAAGTTTTCGAGAGATGGATGACCTGGGAGCCGGACGAGGCAGCGTGGAGCAGTTATATAAAGCTGGAGAAGCGATATGGCGAGTTTCAAAGAGCCCGAGAGATCTTCCAGCGATTCACGATAGTTCATCCAGAGCCGAGGAACTGGATCAAATGGGCTAGATTTGAAGAAGAATTTGGGACCAGTGATCTTGTCAGGGAGGTGTTTGGCACCGCTGTTGAGGCATTAGGTGATGAATTTATGGATGAACGGTTATTCATTGCATATGCAAGGTACGAGGCGAAGCTGAAAGAGTACGAGCGTGCGAGATCAATCTACAAGTACGCCTTAGATCGTCTGGCAAGATCCAAATCACTTGCTCTCCACAAGGCCTACACCACTTTTGAGAAGCAATTTGGTGATAGAGAGGGTGTAGAGGATGTGATCCTGTCAAAGCGACGGGTCCAATATGAGGAACAAGTCAAAGCGAACCCCAAAAACTACGACGCGTGGTTTGACTATGCCCGGTTAGAGGAAGTATCTGGAGATGTCGACCGAGTCCGCGATGTCTATGAGAGGGCGATTGCTCAAATACCACCTACGCAGGAGAAGCGACATTGGAGACGATATATCTATTTATGGGTTTTCTACGCTATCTGGGAGGAGATGGAAACCAAGGACACGGAGCGTGCGAGGCAGATTTACCAGGAATGCCTGAAACTTATCCCCCATAAGAAATTTACGTTCGCCAAAATCTGGCTCATGAAGGCACAGTTTGAAATTCGGCAACAGCAACTATCTCCCGCAAGAAAGACCCTCGGCCAGGCTATCGGGATGTGTCCTAAAGACAAGTTATTCAAAGGATACATCGAACTCGAAATGAAATTGTTCGAGTTTACTCGATGCCGAACTCTCTATGAGAAGCACATCGAGTGGAATCCCGCAAATTGCCAAGCCTGGATCAAGTTCGCTGAATTAGAACGAGGTCTCGATGACTTAGAGCGTACCCGTGCCATCTTTGAACTCGCTATCACCCAAACCCAACTAGACATGCCAGAGTTGCTATGGAAAGCATATATTGATTTCGAGGAGGAGGAAGGCGAGTATGAGCGAACTCGCCAACTCTACGAACGGCTGCTCGAGAAGACCGACCACGTTAAGGTCTGGATTAGCTATGCCCATTTTGAGATCAACGTCCCAGATGAGGAAGAAGAGGAGGAAGAGGAGAAACCTATTAGCGAGGTCGCCAAGACGCGCGCGAGGAAGGTGTTTGAGCGTGCTCTTAAGAGCATGAAGGATAAGGAGTTGAAAGAAGAGGTACGATCACTCCCCCATGATTTTGTCTCTTGGAATATGCTTCTAACTGCTAAACAGCGAGTCTCTCTACTCAACGCATGGCTTTCCTTCGAGCGAACACACGGCTCGGCAGAGGATATCGAAGAGGTCCAGAAACAGATGCCTCGGAAGACCAAACGTCGTCGCAAGTTGGACGACGACAGCTACGAGGAGTATATCGATTACGTATTCCCTGCCGACGACAGACAGACCGAGAAACTTTCCAACTTCCTCGCTATGGCCCAATCTTGGAAACAGGCTGGTGGAACTATCACTGGAGATGCTGCGGATGGCGAGTAAGACCAATCAGGGCATGCATGCAGACCTTTGTTATCATTCTGTATACTATCTACTAAACTGGTGCATTTATACCAAATTCACCCCAATAAATGACAAATGTTTCCGAATATAATATGGTATCCTTTAAAATCGACGTATGCATGCAAAATGCAGTTGATGGTATTATGCTTCAAGATCGTAACAGTCCCAACTCCTTATTAAAGCCAAATGCTCAAATGACGCGCTCAAATCAACCAGACGTTTTTATATTCTCGCTCGCGACTCAACCAATATAAATCGGCATCCTACTTCCCTTCATATCGGCGGGAACAACTCTAACATCAGATTTATCAAAATCGTGCAGGAGGAGCCAACACAGCATTCGAAAGATCAGCGAGATCCATATCGTATCCCGCTGTTCCTTTTCTTCCTTAGATAGCGGGTTTCCCAGCGTATCCAGGTTCCCAATGACGGCTGGTCGGATATGGGAGAAGTAATAACTTAGCAGAGTATCCTCCTTATTGGCTAGCACGATATTGTTTAGGGGTGAATTTTGGTCTTGAAGGACCTCGAGAACTTTTGATAGGTGCGCTACGACAACGCTGAGAACGACCGTTTGCTTGAGGGAGAGCAAATAAGTTGTCCTCTCGTCCAGCGCATCGTGGATCGCTTCACGAACTTCGAGGGGTAACTCTTTTTCGTCTTTGTAGCCCATCTCAGAGATTGCCTTCCAGCTTTGAGATATGGAATGAACTGGGTGGCCTTCCTCGAGACCCTCTGTGTCTATGAGCCCAGCCACCTTCTCTTGGAAGACTTCCATCAAGCGCGTGATTTTCCACGCGGCTCTTTGGCCGTTCTCCTTGAGCCATGAGTCGGGTGTGGGATTAGGAATCATTCTAAAATTACTTCCCCGGATTCGAATGACCCGTCCAAGCATGCCGATAATTTCGAAGGAGACTAGAAGTAGGTTAGCTACAGTTGACAATGGGCGGAACGGAAAGACCTACTCGAAAATATGTGCTTGCGATCTTGCTCATACCGTTCACACATTGCTGCGCTGCAGCCGAGGGATTCCAGAGTTGATCTAACTTCTTCGCTATTTCCGAACACGAGTTCAAGACTCTGGGCCTCCTTCTCCCGCAGTAGATATTCGTTATCTTCAAAGATGTTGGGTACCGTGCCAAACGCTAGTTCTTTCACCTCGTTGCAAGGAATAACCCGTTTGGTAGTGAACTGTGATTTTCCAGTGACAGCAAATACAACCATAACACCAAGGCCATGGACAGTGGTTGAGGTCAAGATGAACCCGTTCCCTTCCGCTCTTAAATTCCATAAAATCTGATCAAAAACTTTCCAGTATATTCCCATCATTGCCATAATCTCCACTAGATGGCAGATTGCCGTGGTGGCGTATGGTTTGGTGATAGAAGATGGGATAAAGTCCCAGGACCGGGTCTTGCTCTGTAGGCCAACAGCAATTTGGTGCTTAGGTGTTGGCAGGTCTCGAATGGTTCTGGGAGGGCCATATTTCGTCCGCGTCTCGTTGTCCCATACTCGAGAATCGTTTTCGGCTCGCTGGAGCATCGAGAGGAGGGTCAGCCATGATGCTCGTTCGTCATCAGCTGTATGTACTCGGGTCCCAGCTTCCTGATCCGCCTTCTTCTGGGCTATTGGTTTGAGGACGCGGGTATTCGTATATGACTCGTCACTGCCATCAATGTAATGTATCTTTCGATTGGGGATGGGGCCGAATTGGTTTGTTGGAGGGGCCACGAAGATCACAGGCGTTTCGAAAACGACTTCTACTCTGAATTCCCTTGCAACAAGCTTCCGATGTGTCCCTTTTGACCAATCGCCCATCACTGATACCGCACATCTTCGATATCCTTCAGCGCTCGAGAAATACTGCTGGAGAACTTGGAGAACCGTGGTGATCAAAGCCACAAGTGAGACGACCAGTGCTGTGAATCCGAAGACATTCTGGTTGATACTGTCGAAAGAGGACATCCCGACACCCTGAGAAAAGAGGGGATGAGTAGGATCGACTCAATCAGTGCTCTGGAGCGTTCTGCTAGAGAGAAGAGGAGATATGCGCAATCTATAACCCCATACTGCGAAATTACCAACAAGATGAGATAGGATGGGTGATATCCGAGGCCTACAGGAGAATATTGATGTTTCGTCCAGCTGCAACCTCAGCCCCTAGCAGTCACTTCTAGGCCAAGCATCTGCCCTGCTAGCGCACAGCATCAGCCACCTCGAAAAACGACAGCTGAAACAATTCTCGAAGCCATTGGCAAGATGGACAATGAAGAGAGACATGATGGCGGCCACGCCGTCGAGTTAGGGGAGGATTAAACGCGACACGATGACGAGGAATGGGCGGCAACGATTTGTATTTGATTGTTTGCTAGCGGCCGTCGGGAACGGGAAGCATATTTAATGCGTTAAGTTCTCCGCCACGAGTATCCCTGGGCTCCGTTTGAGCTTAGAAGCTTGTTTAAAGTAGCGCGCAACCCTTCGTTTCCCTTCTTCATAGTCGATGCTTTCCGCGATCAGTTGAATTTCTCCCTCGTTTGTTCTGTGGTACGAAGTATGGGGCAGGACGAGATCCAAGTTTGCGAGGAGGAGCTATTCTGTGAATAGAACCGAGTCAACCGAGCCTACTTGAGTTGGAGTTAAACATGACATCTCGGCCAGTGCCAAGCCGTTTGATATTATAGATGCGTCCACAGTTGATAGATAATGTTTGGGGGGGCTTTCGAGAATGTAGAAGGCTCAAGTGGCCTTGATCCACGCACATTTCCCTCAAGTCACATACTTTCTTCAAACCCAGTCACCGACTTTTTACAATTCCTTCGATAATTTTCAAGTTTCAGCGTACAGGTATCGATCTCAAAAGTCACTTTTATAACAATTGGATACTTGGTAGCTCCAAAGACAGCTGGAGCTGCTCAGCGAATGGGGTTTGGAATGACATGCAGTCCCATAGCTTCCAGGTTTCGCAATGGGGCCTCTGCAATGACCGCAGAAGACGTGGTGCTTTCCCTTGGCCATGACCAGAGTTTCGGAATCGCTTGATATGGGTAATGTGGACTGGCTGGCATATGTCCTGAAGGTACCCGAGCAAAGCAATTGCCTCCACTGTGGTGATTCCACGACAGCTGTGTTCTGACGAGCCACTTACGCGCCGGCCTTCGTTGAGACCTGGGGTTTTGGGGATACGGGAGCTGGTTGAAACATTAGGAACCATCTGCTAGGCTTGGCCGAGCTACAACAAACTGAGCTTCTAAAAGGGTGATGGATGGCCAGCAACCCAACTAGGATGATAATTTCAAGGATTAGGAGAGATCGCCAACATGCTCTCCAGCTCCTGATCGATGGATTGATCAGGGGAAGCTGCGCGGTTCATCTTTATTGAGTAGTGGGGCTGTATTACTTGATTGTAGTTACCCCACTAGTATTATCTAAACAGCTGGGAAGTTCCCAGTGTGGATACCTCGACAATGATGAGTTGTCCATATGGTTGTCCAGTCAGATCAAGTTTATAATCATTCCACTATCTACCTCAGATATTAGCATTGTCCTTTAAAAATCGCTCGAGGCTCGTCGCCTTCGCTCCTGGATATTTATCGTTGTCTAGTTTCCCCAAGTTCCAGATTCCCTTTACCGTGAACAGCTGGAAAAACAAACGGTGGTACTCCCAAAACTTGGCCCTGCCCCATTTCTCCCTACCTGCAATAGCCTTCTTCTCCAGCTCTTCTACAGACCCCTTTTCCGTGATGTCAACTTTCGCTTCGGGGTGGACCTTCTGGTAAATCTCAGCAACCTCGCGCAGGGAGTGCACCCATGAGACTAAGTTTACAAAACCACCCTTCTCTGCATCTGGACCCGTCACGACTTCGATGCTGAACGCGCCGGCATCGGCTTCTGAAGTGAAGTACCAAGGCTCGTTACCGGTTCCGTAGACGTCCATTGCTCTCACTCTGGAATTTGGCCCGGTGGTAGCAGAGCCTTGGGGTTCCGGGTCCCAGACGCCATCATCGGCAGGTGTGAAGCCGCGCTCTTTGTGCGAGCCAAAGAAGACTTCGGCCAAGATGCCGGTGAGAATGTGAAGGGTCTTGATACTGCTGGAGATGGTGGCGTGAGCGTGGAAGGCTATGTAGGGGTCGTAGACTTCTTCGTCTTGGAATGAAATACGGCGCCAGTCGTAGTTCCAGGATGCAGCCAAGTAGCGCTGCAGTCACAGATCAACGTATTAGCCAATCGACTGTGCCTAGCAAGAGGCTGGTCACCAACCTTGATTCCGGCCCGCTCCGCGGCACGCAGGAGTAAGAGCTGGCCATCAAGCGCCAACTCTGGAAGTCCTCCATACGCGCAGATCACAGCATCGACACCATGGACCGCTTGCTCTAACGCGGAGATATCATAGTAATTCTTCGACTCCACAAACGATTCGAGTCCCGAGCGAATTGCGGCATCGAGCTTCGTCGGAGAACGGCCCAACCCTCGAATTTGGTGGTCTCGCTCCAAACCAGCTCGGGCAGCTTGCTGCCCAACATTACCCGTAATCCCAGCGATCAGAATGAGCATTGTAGACGTGTGAAATGAGATGATTAGAGAGATGGTAAATAGTGAAGGGAAAGAAGACGGTCTGCCCTGAGAGCTCACCTTCCTCTATATACTGTACAATAAAACACCTTCAGTGTACGCCTTGGAGGGGCCGCTGTCAACACGATTTACTATGGAGGACTTGGCGAATGATAGATGATACATGTATATAGGAGGTAGGCCCGAAGGCGGGGTCAAGTAAGGGATTTCCATGATCTCATAGGCTGGGCTGCGATGAGTTAAAATGACTCATCACACCTCACCACATAGCTCAGGCTGCTATTCGCCCTTATTTGTACAACACTTATCCACCCATGTAATTGTTCCTTAGAGGAAAGATATGCTCTTCTAACACAACACAACGTAGAATCCTCAGCTTGAAAGCAGAAAGTCACTAATTATCAGGCGGGTATGTAGTCCTAAACCCCCTAAAAATTGGCCGACACATATCCAGCAAGCTCCAATCTTGCTAGTGGTCGCCGTAGGGGTCCTCCCTGACCTCGGGTTTGGCCATTATAAGGTGAGAATGATCGAAGAGTTTTGTTGCACTTCGCACGTTTGCTAAATGTCTCAAGTTGTCAGCCTTCTTCTTGAAGGGTTCTGTTGCACGTCGTACTTTTTCTTAATGTCTCAATTTCTTAACCCTCTCGTTCCAAAATTTTGTTGCATGTCGCACTTTTGCCTAAGTTGCTCTTTTATTCGACATCTTCAATCTCCCCTTAAAAGCGAGTTAGGCATCCCCTAAATAACGTTTTGTTGCACATCGCACTTTGCTAATCTCTCAGGTTCTTGCTCCGTAACCCTCTTCTTGTTAGGTTTTGTTGCATGTCGCACTTTCGTCCAAGTTGCACTTTTATTCGACATCTCAAATGCCGCCTTAAAAGCGAGTTAAGCCTGCCCCTAATAAAATTTTGTTGCACATCGCACTTTTGGCTAAGTTGGTTTTTTGTTCAACATCCCACATTCCCCCTTAAGAGAGAGCTAGGCCACCTCCTAATAAAGCGGATATGTCAATTCTGGCGATGACCAGATAGGACAAGGTCAGGTCCCTAGATAGAGTGGCAAAGTGATTTGTAGTTCTGCTTAAGTCTCCTAACCACCAAGGCTCTACTTCGTAAGGCTCCGGTATCATTGTGGGTGACCTTGCCCAATTACTAGTATATAATCCTTATATAACCCTTAGGACCCGTACAATGTAAATTCTCTTCCCCTGACAGGCTTCTCCTAGCTAGACTCAATACCATCGCATATTTGACGCTATAGGCACTATTTGTTGTCAAGGAAGGTATACAATACTTTGTAGAAAAGCCCTCTGCTGTACTCGAGTTTGCACGTGACAAGACATGACATCATCGCCGCAGCTCTGAGTTGCCCCTCCATCAATGGGGTAGAGAGTGCGTGATTACTGTGAGTGGGCACTTAAGTAAGGGGGATTATAGCTATTGCGGGTATGAATTCGTTTGTTAATCGGGGCTTAAGTGCATGATAATGTGTGTCAGTACTAGTTTCAGTCTCTCCCCTCCAGGTCGTCTCGTGGTTGTGGCCGCGGTCGTGGCCGTGGTTGTCAGCCCACGTCACCAGAGAGAGTCTTGTGAGCAGAGCAGAGTAGAGCGCACTGCACAGCCACAGGCCCTGATTGTACAACGTTGGTCCTCGGGGCAGGCCGGGCTCCTTCGTCATTCCCCGTGCCCTGAACTGAGGTAGCTGTGTGTCTTGTTAGACCCTGAATATCTGTCAAAAGGGTAGTTCCAACTCTGAGGTGACCTGGGGGCGTGTCAGCCTAATATTGCATTGTCTAGGGTGCAGGTACTACCCACAGTACTTTCGTAATAAGGTACACCGAGTACCAATCACCAACCTCCCAACGCCCAACCTCCCAACCTGCCAACTTGATTCTGTGCCAAGTCAAAATCAGGGATCTCCTGCTTGCTGCGCATGCTGTCTCACCGTACATGTACCATGGTCATTGCCACTGCCACGCTCTCCCCACCACCCACTTCCCCTCTTCAGCCTATTTTGTCCGCATCTTCATCGTCATTTCCATCCCCATCGCTCTTGTTATTGTTATCGACCTCATTATCGGAGACGCTACCCCGTCAAACCTCAAGTTGGTCGGTTTTTACCTTCAAGATGCCATGTACTGTTAACGTTGAACTAACCAGACGGCATCAGTTAAATAGGAACAGGGCGCTGACCCAATATCACAACTTTTTACACCTCCATCATGTCAGGCGATTACGACTACGACAGATACGACGACCCTCGGCGACATAGATCCCATCGCCATCGGGATGATCGCGAACCGCGCTACGTCGACACACAAGAAACCTACGTGCGAGGCTCACCTTATGTGTCCCAACACACTGATATAATCCGCCGCCCAACTCGCGAGGACAGCGATCTGTCAATAGAAGAAGTTCGGCGGGATTTCCCGCCGCCAGGCGCTGACCCATATCTTCGGCGCTCGATGGTTCAAGACAATCGGTACGGCCCGCCCGTCCGGTCTCGTTCCGCCGAACGGGGCTATGGACCATATCTTGACGAGCGTCGAGGCCACAAGAGCGCCATGTACGTCGACGAAGAGAGAGAAATAAAGCCTCGTCGCCGCTCTCTTTCCCGGAATCAGAAGATCTTGGCTGCGGTTGGGGGAGCAGCTATCGCTGTGGGAACAAAGGAAGTATGGGATCGAAAGCAGGCAGATGGCCGGCCAGTCACTCGAAATCCGTTATCATCGGCTGCAGTTGGCGCGGCGGGTGCGTTTGCCGCATATGAAGGCGCCGAGTTCTATGCTAAGCATAGCAATAAGGAGAAGGAGCACATAAAGACGCACGTGTCCCGTCGCGGCCGGGATGGAGAACTCAAAGAATATTACTCCTCTGACGAAGAGACTGTTGAGCCAAAGAAAAGCCGTCGAAAATCCCTCGTTGAAGACGCTCTTGGGTTCGTGGGCTTAGGGGCAGCAGCGAAAGCTCTCACAGGTAAAGACGGGAAAAGCCATAGTCGACGCGGAAGCGGTGATAGCCACCTCTCTACAAAAAGCCGCCGCTCCACCAGAAGCCGATCGCATGGTCGAGGCAAGTCCCCGGAAGGTGCTGCCAGGTTCCAACAAGCGGCAAAGGCTGCTCTTCTCGCCGGCGCCACTGAAGCATTCAGAGTACGAAAGGAACCCGGAGGATGGGACGGGGCCAAAGGCAAGCGCATTCTCACTGCTGCTATTGGAGCCGGCGGTATCGATGCTGCGGCAGATAAGGATCCTGATAAACACAGCAAACGCCATATTCTCGAGGCCGTGGTTGGCGGCCTTGCCGGGAACCGACTTATCAATGGTTCAAGGAAAGATGTGCAGGACGATGATCGATCGACGAGATCTGGGAGGTCACGATCGCGATCCAAAGGCCCAGGGGGGAGTGGCCAAGGTGCAGGTCTTGCTGCCCTTGCTACAGCAGGCTTGGGTGCACTGGCTGGAAAGAAACTTATGGATCGGTCCCGATCACGTTCCCGAGGCTCCCGTTCGCGGTCTCGAGCTGGTGATCGTCGACGGAGACACAGCCCGGATTCCTATGACAGCCGTAGCCCCTCTCCACGACGTGGTGACCAAAAGGACCGCCATAAGCGAAGCAAAAGTGTTACGGATTACGCCAGAAAAGGACTCGCTGCCCTCGGGATAGGAGAAGTTGCCAAGTCAGCTAGCCGTGATCGAGGTGATCGAGATGTGCGAGAGATTGACGAAACGCATGTTAGTCACAGATCACGACGCCATGGATCTGATGACGATTACGAACCCAGACGCTCTCGCCATGGCCACTCGTCCCGAGATGACGATTATGCTTCAAGCAGAGGTGAGCCATATGGCGATCCCCGCTATGCCGACTCACGTTCAAACTACGGCACGTCGAGGGATGACGATGACCGTCGTTCAAGCACAAAGAAGAAGGATAGCAAGAACAGGCGTGTTGCCGAAGGAAAAGAATCCGCATATGACTCAAGTAGTGACTTGGGATCCTCAGGGGATGATGAAAAGCGTGCCAGGAAGATGAAAGGTAAGCAATTTCTTACTGCTGGTTTGGCCACGGTTGCCACGATACATGCGGCGCACAACGTCTATCAGAGCATGGAAAAGCGGGATGCCCGAAGGAAGGCGGTTGCAGAGGGCGAGATGTCACCTGAAGAAGCCCGAAAGCTCAAGGCAAAGGCAACACTGCAAGATGCAGCATCTATCGGTATCGCAGCCCTCGGGATCAAGGGTGCCATTTCGGAGCTCAAAGAAGTCAACCATATCCGAAACGAATGCAAAGAGTTTGGGCAGAAAAAGGAAGAGCGACATCAAAGACGTCTTGAGCGACAAAGGGCCATCAATGGGGGTACTAGAAGCCGGTCCAACGGCTATGCCCCTGTGCAGAATAGTTTCCGCGACGATTATGGGCCTCGTTACATTGATGACAACCCGTATTCCGCAGCGCTTCCTGCACCTCCTGTCGGGTACGATAGAAGATAACTGTCCTGGCCGAGCACGCCGTACTCCGTCTCGAATAGCAAAGCATGACCAGTATCATGCAACCACTTGAGTGTCATCTTCTTCGTTGATGAGATGACCATAACTCTTGGTGTTGCATACGATTTACGATTTACGATATACACGAATTGAAAGGGCACGCATTTCCCAGAGTCCTTCTCCACTGCTCTGATGATGATGTTGAAATGATGCCCATGATATGTCCTTTTCCTTGGTTCTGCTTCTACCAATAGAGTTCAAGTTCAAGTTCAAATCATAAAGAATAATAAACTAATTTTTCTCCTCTGTGTACAGCTCACCGCCACTAAGCACAAGCTAAATGCAAGGTGATCAACGTCGCCGCAAGACTGTATTCGAAACGAGCCCGCATGCGATCAAAGCGGAAAATACCACGGACAGCATGAGTGGTAAGCACGCAGGGATTTATAATGGGTTGGTGTTGACTTGGCGGTTGGGTAGGTAGTGTTTGGGGGCTATTTTAGAATAGGGAATAGGGTGGAATCTTGAAAAGCCCGCAGTTCGTCGCAATGGGATATTATCAGGTTTAGGAAAGGGGCAATCGATAGCATGAATATTACGAATTTCCTTTCGTTGATTGGGTTTTAACAGTTGTTTCGTTGGTATTTGCTAGGCTATTAGGCAATCATGACGCGTTCAATCGAAACAATAGCAAAATGGCGGTGACAACCCCCCTTTACTCCCACAACAGGTTTGGTGATTATTTATTTGTAATGGATAGCTGCCGTTGGCCCGTTTTTAGGACCCCGTATTCTACCAATCCCTAACCGCGAGAAGCGGCACATAAGGTCTAGACTAGTCCAATATGCGCAGAAGTTTGAGGTTTACAATGAATTTGCTGTCCGTGGGAGGCGGACGTTGGACCCTGGATTTTTACGTGCTTCGTACCTGGGTATTAATATAGGTACATACCGTGTGTTACGGAGTACAATGATGAGCATAGCCGTTGAACCTCGGGATTGGGATATTGAGGGTTTGTAGGTGAGGGGCTACGTGGACATGCACGATGCGGTCAGCGTGCGTCCTTGATTCTACTCCAATTACCTATCAGTTTTCTCTAGCAGTCCCAGAATATCCCAGTTTGGCAAGGGCGTTTGGCGTTTGGCTATTGAGTATTTCTATTTCATTTAATAGACTGCGTTGATAGATTAGTTATTATATTAACTATAGGGTAGTTTGTCTTAGGGAAAGCTGGGTGGCACAACGAGAAGGGGATCATGTTGGTATGCAGGTTGGCTTGGCAGGGTCTTTTGGCATCTTGCTCGGGATGGAGGAGGGAGAAGTTCCTAGGTGAGAGGGGAAGTAAGTTGTGTCCTGGCGCTGCTTCTAGGTCAGAGTTAGTTCGCAGTGGGAGGTGGGTTTTCAATTGAGTAGCTCAAATTTCTTGCAATTGCGAGGAATGTTGAGTTGCAAATTCAAGGCAGGGTAGAAAAAGTAGGCGTTGTGTCCATTTCCTGGGTATCATCTGAACTACCTAGGTACCTAATAAAACACCAGACGCCCCTACCCATCCACCCATCCACCATTAAACATCAGACATTAGACGATTATTAGAAGCCAGACCCATTTGCTACAATACGGCGAAATAATCACCAATGTTTACATACAAGAATGATCTCCTGGAAATGCATCAATATACTCCATGTCTCCTTCCGCTTCATACCCTCCTGCAACGCAATCATCTCCAAGGCCTCCGTGCCATTGAAGTACTTGCTGCAGAACTTAAACCAGCAATCCCTGATCTTCGGGTCGGTAAAGCGTTTACCATAGGCGGCGATGTAGAGGGATTCTTCGTGGTTGACTTTATGCGGATCTTTGATGATGTACGGGGAGAGGTTCTTAAGGTGCGGAGCAGGGTTGTGTGAAGGATGATCTGTTGCGACCGGGACCGGCATCTTCGCGAATTCGGCGGCGAATTCGGCAGCATCTTCAGCAGCCTTCTTAGCAAGTCGTTCAAGGCGGGCCTGTTCAGCTGCTTGTTCTGTTGTCAAGGGTGCGTTTGGATCGATGGGTTTCTTCTCGGCGCCGGATTCGTCGGTTGACTCGGCTGAGGCGGTGGATGCCTGTCCTGAAGCTGGTTTATTCTTCGCCTTTTCAATAGCCCCAGCCTTGAGCTGGTATTGAACTTCATATAAGATTTCTGGCCATACGAGGATCCAGGCAAAAGTGCACAATTGAGTGACCCAGCCGCCACGCATTGCCCATGCTAACATCTCCAAATAGGTGGGCCGATGGTTCTTGCTAGGCGAAAACGTCTTGTACGGACGGGGAGCTGCCGATAGAGCGGCGAGGTAGCTAGGAAGGGATGGTGCAAGCGGGAATGCTTTTTTCCATGCAAAATTGGCTGCTGGGAGCTTTCGACTATCGCAATTCGGCGACACGATATACATCTCGCGGGCGTGGAGCGGCCGAATTGCGACGGCTCTACGCCAATAAACCAGATGTTGAGCAAGAATTAATAAGCTGCTGAGTTCTATATTGTGCGTTTGGGCAACCTGGAGAAATGACAGCGTTGGGCTGCAAAGTCGAATACACTCGATGAGTGGTGGGGAGAGCTCGGTGTTGTCCGCTTGGATCTCGGCTATAATCTTCTCCTCGTTGTCGAGAAGTAGAAGAGCAAAATGCCTATTGAGATAGGATGGGTCTTCGTTGCCCTCTTCATCAATGGTGGCGTTGGAAGAGGTTAGTAGGAGCCCTAGCATTGCCCGGTCATCTGACCTTGGAAAACTGGTAAGATAAGGCGGAACGGGGATTTGCAAAGATAGGTCTACTGGGGGTGTGGTAGCCAGATGTAGAGTAGCTATTTTGTTGTTGGAGATCGCGTTGAAGACATCCCGAATCGCTCCGGCCAAAGTTGACTTCAGCAAGATTTCGGTCCACAGCCAACTCATAGGGCGCCCTACAAATTGATTAATATAATACCGACCAAAAGGCTCGAGGAAACGTACGCTCTTCGCGGGCCTTTTCTTTCATCGCAATAATCACCTCCGATTCCCTCCAAACATAGTTGTTCGAAGCCTGAGCATGATTCAGAGCCTTGTTAAACTTCCTGATGACATGCTCGTAAATCTCAAGGATTCGTTCATCTTCCTCATCCTTGGGGAGATTAAGAATAAATGCCACATTAAACATAAGCATTCCACCGGAATCGTCCCCATCCTCCGACGTATTACCCGCTTTTTGATCTTTCTTTTCCTTAGACTTAGCCTCTCCCGATTCCGGTCCCGGTTCTGGATCATCTGTTTCCTTTGTCGCCCTTCTCGACTTCTTAGTCTTCTTTTTCTTCCAGAGACCGTCTTCGCGGATATGCATTGGGTATGCAACAAAGTGAAGGGGGTCGAGGGAAAGCTCGAACTTCTTCTTGTGAAATGCCCTGGATGGTGTAAGGATGCTTTCTAGGTCGGCTGTTGGAAACTCGAATAAATGTTCCCAAGGGACCACATGTTCTCCCTTCTTGTCGTTATAGTGGTCGTCACCGTCTGGCGTGCCCACGTGACGTTTTTGCTTCGGGAGCTGTTGTTGCTGTTTCTGCATTTTTTCATTCAGATCGAGCTTGCCCAACGCAGGCATATCCAAATAGCTGCTCTCTTCCAATTCGGACTCATCACTATCATAGTCATCTTGCTCCTGATCATCTGCCTCAGCGGGCTCGGTATCCAATTCTGTGCCAAAGCGGAGTTCGCGCTCGGTGGGCTTGGTTGAAGGGTGCGGAGGATAATGGAAAACGAATCTAGGGCCATCACGGGATCGGATGGCAAGCGCTATGGCACATAGGCCAGGATTGAGTGTGTCTTTCGCATTTGCCATGTTCCGCAGCAGCTTTGTTGGATGTTGAAGGTGCCCCTAAAGGGCGACTTTGAGTTGTTGCAAGATCGAGCGGCTTCTGACCTTACTGGTGCTTGAAGCGAGCTCGGTAGGAACTGACCACTGTGTGACATGACGCCCCTTTTTTACTCAGTTCCCCCTTTTTGAAAAGCAAGTTGTGGGCAAAGTAAGAAATGAAAAACAATGTTCAAATCGGTGGGAAAGAGTTATTTTGTGTTGAACGGGTGTAAACAACCGGTCTAAACAACCGGTCTAAACAACCGGTCCTGCTCAGACTTCAGCGACCGGACAAATAATGTACACAACAATCAAAATATTATATTCTACAAGCAACAGCGTCATATTTCGGGTAGGGGCATTGGAGGGGTCTTTACCTGAATCACTTACTACTAACTTTGGGCAGTGTTGGTTGCTTTCAATATAAACCGATTTATAAACATTATTTTCTCTTATATCTCGATGGGCGAATATACATTGCACACTTTACAGGTGGCATGCTTTACGGATTGATAGAGCCAGATTTGAGCTAACTCGGGAGGGAGGTAGCTGAGATCTTTTCCCTAAATTAGTATTAAATCTGAAGGCTTGAATTTCTTTATTTATTGTATCCTAAATGCGTTATATATTGGAGTTTATGCACTCTACCGCATTGTGCATGCTGCCGTGCCTATCGTCGATACAGCTAGGCATGGCTACTAGCAAACGGCAGTATCAATAGCCTTCCCAATCGATCAAATACAACTTGGTTCCATAAATATTTAAATATTATACTTTAAATAGAGTCTAAATCCTCCACCTAATGCAGTTGCTCCAGCGCTTGTGACATAGACATATGCCCACCTTCTTTCCGTCGTTGTCCTATATAAATCAAAATAAGTGATTTTGTGTTTAAGGAAGACAAAGGCGGCCACTTGGCTAAGTGGTTCAGGTCAAATTGTCTTCTAGAGAGGATCGATAGGGACAACAGCGACAAAATAAAACGACAAGAACAACAAACCGGCAAGAGATGTAGGCAATCGACCGGGCCAAACTCTTTTGCTTCCGGAGTATATAATGATAATATTTTTACTATAGTACTTTTGCCTCTTTTTCTAGTCTTTGTAACGGATGTTTAAATTTCCCCCCTTACTTCGTCTATCTATCGTGGGTCGTCGCGAGTTAGCGAGAGAGCCTACGTGCTAGATTTGGCTACCTTCTTCTATGGTTACCCCGCTTTTGCCTTTCCTATTGCCTTTACTTCATGGCCTTCGCCTCACATATCTCCTACACGGGAAAACTGGCGCGGGAGGCCTGTGAGTGATGATGATCTAACTGCATTTCTCCCCTCCTCCTCTCCAATACCCCTCCATGGTAGGTTCTCTTCAGTGAGGTAGCCGCCCCTGCACATGGTGCTTCCAACAATCTTACTTTGAAATTCAGAAGAATGCATGGAATATAGACCGAAGATGCATAATGATTTGGTCAAATAGCAGAGAGGATGGCAATTTTCGGCAGTATAAAGTTGCTATCCAAGGCTTGGACGAGTCCAGCGAAACCTTTCGAAGACCGAGCTCTTTGGCCGAGATAATGGCCGTTGGACTGTCAGGATTGCTCGTAAGGGTACGATATACTGAACAATATGTTGACGAATCGGATCCGGGCCAAGTTATAGGTAGTTCCCGCAAAGGCAGTCGAATTCATCTTTAGAATAGAGCGTAGAATCAACGTTGAATGAACCTCATTCGTACTCCAAAGCAATTCGAATTTGAGAAGAGTACCCCCGTTTACGATATAGCCTCCATCCAAACGCCCATAATATGCCACACCCGAACCCGTATATTCATTTTCCTCACTCCCTACCATCTCAACTCATTCTTCTTCCCTTCGTCCGCCCCAACCTTTGTTCCCTCGGGAGTACCAGGCTTATCCTCACCGAACCCCAAATTCTTGAACTCATCCTTCGCCATCAGATTCCTATACCGCATCATAAGTTCTGCCATTTGCTGTCGCCAATTGGGTTGGAGAACACACCTATCCATGCGACATGATAAATACGATTTCGCCAGATTCCTACATTCCGCTTCGTTGGTTCCCTTGACCTTCTTTATGCAAGACAGGTAATTCATCATAACATCTTTGCACTCCCCTATATATCACACATGGATCGTATCAGCACATAAGCTAGAATCCGAGTCGCTAGTGGAGCTTGCGTAGAGGTAGTGATCGTACCATCATGATCGAGGGGAAAGCTGCCGCGCTCTGGTCTGCATCGCCACGCATTAGTATTATGTCCGAATTGGTTATACAAGTTCTGGCCACTTACGGCGTGGGCTTTGACTGAATCTGTCGTCCTCCAGGACTGCCAAATGTGCTCATTGTTTGTGTTGTTGGTCGATGAGGAATCGCCAATGATTTCCGGAGGTCTGGGCCAGAAGTACTCGGGTGCCGCTAGCAAGGATGCCTTGTTAAAAATAAACTCAGTTGAACGATTTACTTATCCGTTCTTACACCATAAAACAAACAGATTACCTCCTTCATTAAGTTAAAGAAACTGCTAAACTACTCAATTAAGCCGAGTAAAGCAGCTGAGAAGGGGTCTTGTCAGCGCTGATACCTAGTATGGTCTGCACGGAGTACCTCGGGGCCCAAAGCTCCGTTAAGCAAGCTCCCCTGGATCGTGCCCAAAGGAATTCGGATGATAGCCTGTGAGCCTGACTACCAAGTCACCAGGGGATATATACTACAGTACGTGCTCTCTGTCGAATTGAAAATCCTAGAGAGGGTGGAGGGAGGGGACAGGTGGGCAGATTGCCCACAACCTATAAAATGAACGCAACGCCCTTCTTTTATTTTGGCGGCGTAAATTATTTATTTGCTTAGGACATCTATGTGTCTATAAAAGTTGTTCACCACAGATAAGAAAGAGATGGAAGAAACTCAAAAAGAGGAAACGCCTCGACGGGGAGACCGCCGCCAGCGCGGCTATCTATCTCCCTTGGATCCTACGCTTCGTGTACAACATCGTCGTCCTACGCTTGTACAACACCTACGCATGGCAGTGTCCCACTCGCTCCTCGCTCATTCCGCTCTTTAGCCAGAACATCTCACGTCCAAAATGTCGGCTGCTCGACATTGGCGTGGGAACGGGCTTCCACCTAGAGCACGCTCCTCTACGCTCCGATGCGCGTGTGCTGCTCGTTGACCTGAACGCCGACTGCCTCGAGGTCGCTAGACGTTGCAGGCGGATATCCTAACGTCGGGGGGCGTGGATGTCGGTGTTCGTGATGGGACATTCGATGCCGTGTCGGTTATGTTTCTCTTGCATTGTCTTCCTGGACCACCAGCGAGGAAGGCGGTGTTGCTGGTAGGTCTGTAAGGCGTGTGTTCATTAGAGCGTTGGAAGAGGCCTTTGGAGTGGCTGAATGGAAAGTTGTAGGGACCGTTCTCCTGTTTGAGGCGAGGCGGCCGTGTGGCAGAACATTTTAGTAAAATGAAGCATTTTGTAAACTTGTAACTCTGTACCCAACATGGTTCTGTGAGAAGCTGCATTAAGAAGAAAGTCGACGTGTCAGGAGTAAAGGGACTAAAACTTATTTTGCTTCCAATATGCGATTGCTATCAGATTTATACAGACATCTAAACACATAAATAATACAATACATGGTTGTTTCAAGTTTTGGTTGTAAACAGAAGCGTTTCCCGAGGGAGAGGGGGGGGGGGTTATTGGCACATCCACCTCCCCCCTAGGAATAGGGTCGTATGCGACGATCCAGAAAATGGTTATAAAGCCATAATAATCGTGACTTGCCCCTATCATCTATATATACTAAAATCTATTGTGCGAAACCGCATGCTACTTGCGAGCAAAGCTTCAAAGCTCCAAATTGAGAACCGTACACTTGCAAAGCTTGTCTCCTATCAGATTCCCCATCCTCCAAGGGTTGTCCTTTGTAGTATCTCATTGCAAAAAAACGACCCAAAACAAATCGAGGATGCTGCGACTTTGTAGCAAGGATAGCCTCTCAACCAAGATCGAGTAATGCATTCAAAATAATTACATGAAGGCAATAGAGCATTCACAAGTTCTGAGCCTCATGGGTGATTTACTAGCGGTACCCATAGATAGGAGCTCGTCGCGAGAGCAACATCATAAAAAAAGAAACGTGCCACGTTAAGACGACGGCCTTAGTACAGCGGCCCACACTCATGGTCATTGTGGTGATGCGGAGGTAGGTCGGGTCGCTGAAGAGATCTACCTAGAAGAACTCGATCATACGAACGATCGCGACAACGATTCCCCTATAAAATGACTTAGCTTCGCTATGAAATGTGCGCCATAGAGCGGCCCCGCTAACTTACAGGCCAGCCGTGAGGAATGTAAGGAAGATGCCAGCTTTCTTCGTACGGCTGATTTGCAGTGTCCAGTACGTTGGAATGGGCAAAACCAAGGTTGCAAAACCGGTGAAAATATCCGGGATGCTGATGTACCTGTACACTCTCATTTGATCGCCACATGTTCCTCCCGGGATAGCTTTGTCATATTTTTTATGCAATTGGCTTGCATATCATGAGGCCTATCATGAGCCTCCAAAAGAAATATAGAATGAGAGTCACAACAAAGGCCCAAGTTAACATGACAAAAACGACCAACTGAACGACAAGGAACGCAATACTACTATGGAGTAGTCTATGACTTATATCCTCAGCGAGGAATTTTGGTGGCAGCTACTGCAGCTGCATATCTGCTCTTTTATAAGTGTTGCTATGTTCGACGTTCGTTCGTAGGATGGTCGATTCAGTGAGGAGAGGAAGGGATTACTTCGTAGAGCAAGCAAAGAGTGATGCTGGCCATGAGAGCTAGCAGTCCTAGAAACGTAGAGATATTGCTCACGTTGATAATCCCTCTCTACGAGTAAATTAGGCTTTAGGGTCAGGTCAGTTGCAGCTACAGATCATCATGCCGCTTAGTTATGGCCATCCTTCCGGATTCTGTCACCGCACAGAACGTCGCTACTAAGACCTTACTACACCGTAGTAAGAATAGATAGGGAGACCGTGGCGGCGTGGCGTCGGCAGGCGTAGCGCCTTAATGCCTGCACGGCCAATCGCTTGGGGAATGGATCGAGATACTATAGAGCACCACCTGCGGTAGGCGCCGCAGGTAGTGTGTGTCTACCTAGGTGGACAAGTAAGCCTGAGACCCCTACTCTCGAAGGCAGTGCTGAGATGCTGAGTGCTGAGTAGTGCTGAAGATCTGAAGTGCACCCCGCTCTACTAGTAGTAGTGCCGCCCCTGCGGAGGAGAGTCCGTGGTGTCCACCGGGATATAACCTATAATTAAAGTAACAGCACTAGCATGAGAGATCCCTTGGCGAACATCCCATTACATATCTCGAAGATGGATGGCTGAGTTAAATGCATCTCTACGACCGTAATTTGATTTGTCCATTCGTGTCATTACTCCGCAAGTTTGGTGTGGCAGTCGATTACGGAGTATGATAATGCTCGAAGAATGTCCAGGATAAGGTCCTAAACTCGATCCAAACTGATATCATCCTATGTACAGTGCCTCGTACTGACATGGCTCGCCCATTCGCCATACAACTGTGATTGCCCTAAATCCTTGAGATGGGTCTTGTCAAGGCTTTGCTGAATATTCCCGGTTCGCGTGCTGAGAAATCGTGGTGGTAGCTGAAGCTTGTCACTTCGCCCTTATCATTGCTATTGAAAGTAATAATGCGCGCTTGCGGTAGCAACAATGGCCACACGCCTTGTCGATAGATTTCTTGGCTATGGTTTGGTGGCCAGTAAAAACTGTTGCCACTATAAGGCTCCAGCATATATTTTGTCAATGGGCGACCTAGACAGGAGAGTTCTAGCTTCTCGTTTTTAACCTTGACGATAAAATGACCCGCTGTGGTTGTAATAATATCCTTCATAGCTCCTCAAAGGGAATTCAGGCGGAGTATTGTCCTTCCCCATATTTAGAAAAGCGCTTATCTTGTCGTAGATTGCCACATTGACCTGCTTTGCGGAATGAGCTAGAGAAAGATAGTCTGGTAATCGGTCCTCGCTGAGAAGAGCACCAAGAGCGAGTTGGCCAATACAGGGTTATTTAGGGTTATGATGGGGTCATACCAACATTATATCTGTCAGCATATGGACTAGCGTTGTTGGTTCAGGATTAGCATGACTGGTCCTTATTTAAGGCGCAGGATTGCTAGTAGAGCCTCTTCCGCTGCATGGATTAGATTGACGTTGCCGGTAGCACAGTGAAAAATGACACAGAAAATACGCAAGACATCTCCGCTGAATTCAAAGAAGCCGCAACACTTGAAGTGGCAGTGGTCATAGTTGCCGAAGCGCCGAAGAACAAAGTGTGTAGGATGCTAGGGTTGGACAGCGATGAGAGAACTACCCAAGACCGCATATATTTGTTCGGTATCGACTCACTTGTCGCCCTCGAACTCAGAAATTGGCTAGCAAGAGATCTGCGAACTGATGTGGCTATACATGAAATTTTAGGAGATACAGAGTGGTAGACATCATTATGACCGCAGCGAGGACGAGTCAGCTCTAGCTAGTAGCTGCTTGGGGTTAGCACTTACCTATTTGCCTAGGTATGATTTCGATATCGTTGTCCTATAGTGATTTCAATACAATCTAGATAGCTTGCGCTCCCTGCTGTAACTGTTATTCGAATATCCGGTCACCAAGTAAGGCTATTAGCAACTCGTCGTACAAACGTACCTTCGCCCTATCTAGGTACCCATGCTCTCTGTCAGCATGTGGTACTGTACCTACCTACAGGTAGGTACATATTTCGTTAGGGAAGCTCCACGTGCTTGCCATTACTCGATCGAGCACGACTATACTCGGAATTCGACGCGTACCCCGTGAGTCGGTTAGCCTATGCATGAGAATTGCTGCTTGTCTATGCTCCCGACAAGCCTCTGTTACGGTGTTTTGTACGGGAAGTGCTTGTCTTGGTCATAAAGTCGAAATGCGACATGTGCTGTACAAGTATTCCTGGCCAGGAGCGTGTAGCATGTTAGGAAACGTTTCTGGCTAGCGTCTGATTTATAAGATAAGGCTAGGACAATCGTCATAAAGCAGCGACTAACCCCGCTGACTTCAACACGTTATAACATCGATATCGAAACCACAATCCTAACTCATACAAGGTTCCCTAAAACGAACAATACTCAAGAGTTGTTAAAAGGGGCAGTATCCACGTGTTGTTCCAAAATGCCTATGTAAGTACACTATTAGGTTTACCTATGTCTAGCGAAATGCCGTAGCTAATAGTGGTGACGTAGGACGCTCGAGGGAAGCTGCCAATGCGGCGGGGTAGAATTTACACTCCAGTCAAGCACGCCTGTTCCATATCAATTGTGTGCCTGTAGCATCTGTCGCAAATGCGGAGGATATAGCGGGAGCGTTAACCTTGGTGGTATAAACTCAACCCTCAAAATCACTAAGGGAAAGGAACTCGTGAAGTAAGAACTCTACGCCTGAGTGCTTCCTGCCTTGCTACAAGGGACCCAGTCTCTTACTTTGAAATAGGAAATATAACGCAATCAAAGACCGCGGCAAGCCCAGCGAGCAAAAATGCACCTCCGAGCGTAACTTCTGCAGCAACTGCTCAACCATGCTCTGGCTTTGGGATAAGACTTGGCCTGAACTCATTCATCCTTTTGCTTCGGCTATCGATACTGAGTTGCCTGTGCCGGATGAAATGGTATGTGTTAAAGGGGACAGTAAGCCGGACTGGGTGAGGTGGCCTGAGGGTAAGAAGAGCGTCCATAAGGGTTACGGAAATGATAGTATCGAGGGATGGCATAAGAAGCACGGCCATTTTGTGGAGTAAATTTACTGTAGAAGAATAAGGAATGGAAACAAAACTAGTAGCCTCACCCTCAACTCAGACTTACTATAGCCTTGCTGCCCCCTCAAAGATATACGCGACCATAGGTGAACCAGAACTAAACGTCAATGTATAAGAAGACATAATAGCGTCTCAATGGATTGAAACTCAACACCGACACAGATCGCATAGACTTCATAACGAAGAAGATATGGCTCGATAAATCGCAGGCCATTAACAGAAGGACCGCTCATATCATATAACGCCGCATAACACAGTCCCTCCATACCCACTAAACACCTTTTCAGAATCCAATATATCATATCCATCCCTATTTTCCTTCCTTTTGCTCAATATATAATCTGCCCCGCAATACCCAACCCCACACCAGCAACCACGCCCGCCCTCGCCATACACCCAGGCGTCTGTCTCGCTCTAGCCGCACCGTTCTTCCCCGTCGCATCGACAACGAAACTGCCTCCAGAGCCCCCCGTGCCAAACTGCGCACAATTTGTGCTCTGGATATTATAACACGCCACCTGGCTTAGAGAGTTACAAATGCTCGTTGCGGAGGCAGGGCCCACATTCAGAATTGTAGCAGGGGCAACGGTCACTCCTCCTTCAGGCGCAACGATCGTGACGCCGAAGCCAGAACCAGCACCCCCTTGGAGGTCGGCGGTGCAGGCTGCGAAGTTCTTTTGGCAGGCTTCGTAGGCGGAGTTGCAGGCCACGCTGTTGGGATAGGTTGTTGCTATGTAGGGAAATGGGAAGAAGGAGTTCGGGACGACGGAGGGGGCTGCGGTGGGAGCTATTGTTGATTGTCCTGTTGCGCTGGAGGACCTCCCCGATGTTGGTGTTGCCGTTAGTCCTGGCCCTGTCGTACTACCCCCTATTATTGCTCCTCCTGTTGTAGATACCTCTGCTGATGTAGTTCCTGTCGGCCGCGCGATTGTCCCCGTACATGCTGCTCCGACGGGACAGCATGCTATGTTGCGGGCATGGTCCGTTGTGCATACTGAGCCTGGAGTACAACACGCTCCCCCATATGCGGCCGAGAGAGTCGAGCAGGAATTGTAGTTTGCTGGACAGTTGCCATCTCGTTTGAGAAGTTCGCGCGTATCGAGTTGTAATGTTTCGTTGGAGATGAGGAGGGATTCGCTATGTGGCTCCAAGAAGGGTGCGAATATTGAAGGGATTTGGAGCGCAGATATTGATATTGAGATGGGCAGGAGGAAGAAGGACGCTGCCAGCGTGCTCGATAACATTGTTGAGGATATTGATGCCAATGCCGATCCTTCTTATCTGGGCGAGCAATCCGGGTTGCTTTATTGACTTTCGGTGGATCCTCGTGGAGACTTGAATATATGTATATACCCTGACAACTTTGTGAGCCAACAATAATTAGAGACTTTGATGGAGAGGAAACTGTCCCTGAATTGGAATTCAAATTTGTTAACTAGAGACGTTTTCAATTGGTTCGAGGCAAAGTTGAACGAGTGAGCTGGCAGTGGGGTGGGAGCTGATGCATGTGCGCCGCTCTGCATGTTGGTGGAGCAACGCCACTGATCCTGGTCTGGGCGCCCAGACTACAAGGAGAGTGACCATAGTTAACAAGAACATTCGCAAAATGACATAATAGGGGAACCGACAATTAGGGAGTATGGCATTAATTATAATTATAAATCGTGGATAAGTATAACATTTTTATTTTGAATAGGATGGGCGACCGATTTTTCCTTGGGAGATTAACTTAAATGATATAGGATAATGGTGCCGCATAGGAGTGTGCGAGTCAAACATAGACTATCAGGACGAGATCACATTCATAGTTCAGCAGGAGTGGTTATTCTGTGTTGTATTTGCAATATGAAGAGCAAACGTTGCCGAATAACTCTGTTAGCAGAGCCGACTGAATGCACAAACCCATGGACTTAGGTCCCCTTAATGACGTTAATGACTTTGAAAACTGCAACCGCCAAAGCTAAACTCCGCAATTCATGAACACCTGTTCGCCGATAAGTATGAAATACTTACTCGGACGAAGAAGGACTCATAGGACGGATGTTCTCCTTCCAATTCTTCGAATCAGAGGGACGCCGAGGAGTCGACGGACCAGCCCACTCGCCAGCTGCAGATCCTGTGCCAGCATAGTCGGTCTTGCTCAGTGCATCAGCTTGAATCTTCCAGAGCGGCTGGCCCATCTCAATAAGACGCGGACCAAACTCTTCCAACACCTTCAAAACCTCACTCTCTGGCGTATCCTCCGCTACTTCACCAGTACCACCCGGACCGCCGAAAGTTGCCTTCCACCAGTCCTGCTTCCAGTCCTCAATCGCAGTTAGAGCAGCTTCACTATCGGCTTGGACATCCTTGGCGATCATATAGAAGGATGAACGTGTACCGTGCTTCTTCACAGGCTTGAAGACTTCAACTTTGGCGAACTTGCTGAAGACATACAGGATCTGAGTCGAGGGCCAAGCGTCGATCTTGTGCAGAAGCATGATAATGGTACCTCCGCTAACGACTCTCTTCAGAGAAAGGAGCAGCTGCGAGCATGACAGGCGCTTGGCCTCATTCTCCTCACGCCAGGATGGTCGATTCTGGGTCCGCAGAACCATGCCATCGCAGAAGACCAGGTCAAATTGATCATGCTTGAAAGGCCGGAGACCAATGAAAGATGATGGGCTCGGATGCGTAGCCGGGATCTGTCTGTCATCCCAAAACTCGTTCTTTAGCATAGTGACGTCTGCGAATCGAAGGCCAGCCAGAAGCTTGGTATGCATCCTGATGATATGGCCGCCATCCTTGGGGTGAAGTGTAATGGCATAGCATTTAGCCATCTTGTGCTTCTTGAGAACTGCGCGTGTGTATCCTCCAGGGGCCATGCAGATATCCAGGACCTTGATACCTTCTTCGTCGTGGGCAGTCAGATCGAAAGCTCCAGTCATCTCATGCATTTCATCCGCGATCTGCAGCATCATGTTGTAGAATTTGTTCTCGCCCTCTTCATCCGCGGTATCGGCTCTCTCGCGCTGCCGCTTGAAGAAAGCATCTCCCATGGCCTTGTTCTCAACCCATCCCTACCAGATCTATTAGTCCTTATATCTTTAACGTGCTTCAATGAATTAGAAATGACTCCTTACCCGAACTCGAAATTCCATCAGCCGTCCAAATTCAGGTTCATTCTTGAGCATGTATGCCTTGACAAGGGTGGTAGAAGAATCTGTCTTCATGCCCTCTGGGTGGTCATAAAGGGAGCCCTTCTCCAACATATCAGCCAGCTCGTCGATAGTAACCATGGTCGGCTTTCCCTTGGTAGCCTCTCCTGGTGGGAACGCATCTCTTGGTGGGGGCGCATCTCCGCCAGCTTGGGCTGCGGAAATGGAGGGGTCCATCGTGCTATCGAGGATTGATGATCACGGATTGCGAGGTCTTGGAATGAGATGGGAAGGATGGGATCTTGTGTGGGAAATGGGAGTGATGAGGTTTTGGATGGGAAATGGGAAGGTTGCGTCGACGATGGAGTCAGGTCTTGAACTGGGAGCGACAAAAATAAACACATGTTGCATCTATCGCTGTCTCGCCCATCCGGCCAGTCGCCCAACCGGCCAGACGCCCACTCACTGAAAGACGTGGAAAGAGTCAGATAACAAACAGAATAGTAGTTAAGAAACGTAAAAAAATACACGTTTAAACATCCTAGGCACGAAGCCGGTGTCTCACTCAAGTATATAATAAAGGAAATATAAGGAGCCACTAGGTGCGTAGTCCCATTAAGCCAAAACCAATATCAAACTTCACTCAGGGTACTGTTGTTTGTGAAATGTTTGCTGTGCATTCCTGTTTATGATTTGCTATGATACAATTCAGCAAAATTTTGTTTTCTTCTATGTTATTTAGCCGTCGTTCATTGAACGGCATGTGGGGAAAAGGCAGAACGCATGCAGAAGTCAAATTTTTGGAAACCCATCAATCCGAGCATGCATGCAGGCCATTATCAGAAGTGCATTACGCCTGATGAGCAGAACCTGCCCTGGACTTTTTGGAGAGAGATCTGGGCCGAAGGCTATGCCAGAATATGAACACATACAAAGACGAGAAAGTATAGCGAAAGCTATGATGCTCCTGCTCGATAATTGGAGAGATGGTCTTCGATGAGAAGATGCCGCGGATATTCTCCAATCTCTGCGAGCTCCTATCAAACGCCGTGAATACCACAAACAAAACTCGTAGATACAATCAATGTGGGGTGTCCAGCACACAGTATCTGCCTGATAGCAGGTTCCATATGAGAGGACTGACTCTGGCCAAGAGATCGAGCGGCTATGCCTTCGTCTAAGGAATGGCCGAGATAAATGAAGATAAATCGGGGAGATAGTTAGAAGTGGAGTTCAAGGACAGCACAATCGACCAGTCGAGAAATCCAGCTGTTCTAATTTCGCCCCTAAGCAACAACTTCGGTGGTTTTCGGCTTCGGTGGAAGTTCGAGTTCCTCCCTTAATTTCGGGTCAACAAAGTTGTCGATCTTCTTTCTGCTCTTCATATCAAGAGCACCATTTCGCCATGCGGCCCTAAGTCGTTCGAAAGCTGGGCGGTCGTTCTGATCCTCGCCCTTGACCAGCTCAACGTAGTGGCGCGCAAGGGTCTCAGGAATCACTTTCTTCTTGCTGTTGAGAACCTCATCGTAATAGGAGATCAAGTTCTTCATGCCGCTGGTGGCCTTGGATTCAGCATCCTCAAAGGCATACTTTCGGAACTCGGAATACATCGTCAAATTGAAATTGCGGCAAAGGAAATGCGACCAGAACTCGTAAAGAAGCTTCATCTCGGTATGAGTCTCTCCGGAAGTAGAAGCTTCGCGGTTCTTCAGTGCTCTAGCACGGAAGGAAGTGTAAGGCTCCTCATGATTGTGCTCTTCAACCGGAGCTTGTTGCCGCTTGCCCTTAGCCCACATTACTGGAGGGCCATTGCTGGAATCCGGCTTGGTGGGTGACAATGGACTGAAAGGGCTCCGTGAGCGCCGGAGAGCATCAGGAGAGCTATAGCAAAATTAATCAGCAAAAGGGAAATAAATATGGGGAGTGTTAGAACTTACGTTTCAGGCGCATGTGACCCATTGGTGAGAGTCCGACCTTGGCGATTATCATCATGAATCTCCTCAGCCATTGATCTGGTGTCGATCGAACCATTAGAGAATGTTCTTGACGATGCGTTATGGTAAGGCGCCTTAGGCTTCGAGTCATCCGCGCCCTTTGGGGCAGCGAAGACGAGGGTTAGATTTGCAACCTCCTCATCACTGAAAGTCGTCTCGGCCTCGAGAGGATCGGTAGCACCATTCGCAGCAAGCATGCCGGGGGCAAAGTCAGGCACAGCAGCAGACAGCGGAGTCTCAGGATGGTAATGGGTGCCATTGCCATTTACAACCGGGGGAGCCGACGTTGTGTGACCAAATGATCGAAAAGTAGACTCAGTACCATTCGGAGAGAAAGCTGGGGGTGACATCGAGTGGTTGCCAGACATTCCCATGGGGCCCATGTGGAGGGATCTCGCATATTGAGGTCGCTGATGATAAGCAGGTCCTGCATTTCGGACAGACTCGTCTCTCTCTTCCATTGAAAGCACCCACTTCTCGCCGCCCTCCTTTCTCCGCAATCGGTCAATGCCATCCTCGCCTCTGATGAGATCGAGGAGTTCTGACTCCTGGCACGCAAATCGGAGCATCTCAAAGTCTTGAGTAAGAGCCTGAATTCGTTTGAACCCGGCAATGAATGACAGGAAAACAAAACCCTGAGAGTCCATGTGCTTTCTCAGGAAGACATCCTTGCATAGATTGTCGATGGAGAAGTAATATTCCAGCTGCATTGTAACCATACCAAGCACAGAAATCTGGTCAACGTACGGGTTGTATGGAACAGCGCTCATTGAGTGCTGCATATGCGGATAATCGTACATCGCATTTGTTTGCAAAGGCGGCATGTGCTGAGCGACAGGACCCGCACTGTGAGGGTAACGACCATACACAGCGCCACCAGGTATCGACTGCGATCGCGAGCCACCACGACCTCCCCGTGAAGAGGGGATCGGATAGTGGTTGTTGAACGGTGGTTGCTGGAGAGGGGGACTGTATGGAGCAGAGCCCTGGCGGACAGGGTATCCATTCGATGGCTGAGAAACATGTCCGTTGGTGAAGATATGCGGAGGATGTTGCTGGCTGTTTTGAAAGTTATGATTGCCTCGACCTCTGAAACCGCCGCGACCCCGTTCAGGTCGGCCGCCGTCTGCTCGTTCACGAGGGTCTTTGCCGAAATTAGCGCCTTCCTTAGCCTGATCAAACCCTCTCAGATTTGGATCACTTCTCCTATCGGCAGCGGCTCTTGCTTGGACGTGGGACTCCTGCGATGCGCCTTGCACGTTGTCCGACTTAAAGCTCTTTCCTTGTTCTGCACGAGGATATTGGTCAGGGTTAACTTCCTCACCCACCCCATTGTCGTTCAACTCGCCCTTGCTTGCGCCACCTTTTTGCTTCTCAGCAGATGCTGCCATTGAAGGCTTTCCTTGATCTCGCGTACCAGAGGCGTCGGCTGCTTGCCGCTTCGATGAGTTTGGAGGAAGCGAAGCCGCTCTAGGAGCATCACCTCTATTCATGCGCTTATCCGACTCGGATGGCGAAGGAGCAAGAGTGGTAGAGGCACTTGCTAGTTTCTCCCCAGTGGATCCAGCATTAGCTGCATGCGTTGAACGACCACCAGCCTCTGTCCGACCACCTCGAGCTCCTCCTCGACCTCTTCCGCCTCGTGGAGGCAGTGGAGTGTTGAATGCAACGGATGGCACGTATGGTACCGGAACCCACTTCTCCTTCTGGCGTGGCTTATTCGAGGCGATGTCATCCTTCTCCTCTTTCTCGAACTTGTCCTGAGCCTTCCGCTTCTCTTCCTCGAGTGCAGTCTCTGGAGTTGGCCAAGACATCGCATCTTCAACAGGCGGCGGCAGTTGACCAGCGGACGATTTCTCATCTTTCTCGCCCACTCTACTACCCCGCGGGCCTCTACTCTTCGGAGATTGATCATCCTTGGCCTTGCCTCCTTCACTGCTCTTCCTCTGTTTAGAAGCTGGGTCTTTGACTCCACCATTTTGTGCGACGCCAACAGGCTTGTCGTTCTCGTCAATGCCCGTGGGCTTCCCTCGTCTCTTCATATGGGGGCTTCTGGAGTTGTCGTTGGAGCTCTGTGGGCCTGAAGTTGCTTGGGTTGGAGCCGCAGCCGAAGCTGGTTTAGACTTTGCTGCTTCCTCCTTTCGCAGCTGCCAGAAGTTGAAAGTCGGCAATGGAGCAGGAACAAGAATTTCGGGTTGTTTCACCTCATCTTTCTCCTTGTCTGCAGCCTCCTTCTCGGCATTCTTTTGCTTCTTTCCTTTCTTGCTTTTTCTTCCTTCGGGAGTCTCGGCACCCTTCTCGGCCGAGTTTCCATTATGTGAATTCCGGTCTCGTGTAGAATCCGGTGTACTACCGCCAACTAATGTAAACTCCTCCTTGTCCTCGATTGGGAGCGTGGAGGTCGAGGCCGTGAGAGCGCTTGGAGAAGCAGGTCGCGAAATGGATTTTGTCGAAGCTGCTGTCCTCGATCCGGCAGTCGAGGCATTCCCGGACTGTTCGGCCCTATGCGGAACATCACTGCCTCCGTTCACACTCTGGTCGCCCCTCTCAGAGCCACCGAGAGGTGTATCAACCGTAGAGTGAGGATCCCTTGCAGGCGTGCTGACCCCTGATGTGGCCTGATTTGAGGTGGCACTGGAAGGTGCTGTTGCAGCAGCACGACCCTTCGCGGCCTGGGCGTAGGAGAACATTGGGGGATTTGCGGCCAAGTCGCCCGTAGATCTGGATGTAGTGGAACTCATTCTGATATGCTGAAGAAGAAGTTCGGGTAAAGGGGGGGGGGGGTGAGAGAAGATACTTCTGCGAAGCAGATGCGCTGTCTGGGTTTAACCAGATCAAACCAGACTGGATGGTGATGCTATATCACCTCCAGTTCAGGATGTCCGGAGAGGTGTGCTCAACCTCCCCGCACGGGTGCCCACTGCGCCAACCAAAGAGCTCTTGTTGGGACACTTGGATAATGTTCCAGCGACCCAAGTTTGTGAAATTGAGAAGTCGGAGGGACGGGGGGAGTTGGGGTTGTTTGCAGATCCAGCCGGCGGTTGGGTGTGGAGAATGTGGGCGTGTGCTCTAGCAGTGCGATCTTCGGATGGCTCGAGACAGAGCAAGATCTTGCGGGTTATGAAGGACGGAGCAAGTACCGGCGGTTGATACTTGAGGTGTTGTAGATAGACTCGCGTAGATCGAAACGACGTGGTACTGTACGTTTGATGACACGAACGGCGCTGGCAACAAACCGAAGCTCGATCTGGAATGGGCACGCGCAAAGTCCTGGATGCGAGAGAAAACGTCAGCGGGATGATGGCAGCGGAGGACGACGAGGTGGTGCGCGGATGCTCTCTGCGTGCGAGCAACTTGGAAAAGATGCCGAGAGTCAAAAAGTTTTATGGGGCGCGCGATATTATGCACGGCAGCGACATTAAAGTGCGAATGGAGGCGGAGGGGGGATGCACAGCGGCAAACGAACCTTAGAGCACCGGAGGCTTAGCAAGGCCGTGGTACAAGAATCAATCCTCTTGGTGAGGCGGTTCTCCTCAAGAGCTCAGCCCGCAGGCACCAACAGTTGGACGTGAGGTGCAACAGGTTTGATGTACGTTGGGGTCAAGAGTGAGGTCGGCAAGCGGATTAGAGCAGAGGGCACTGCACGCTCGAGTCCGCGGGGGGGGGGACGGAGAGCAGAGGCTGATGCGGCAGAGCGAGAAGAAGAAGAGGAACGGGAACAGCGGGGAAGAAGAGCAGAGGTGGAAGAAGTGGCGTCGTCGTAAAGACCGTTGACGTCGAGGAGTTGGAAGAGATCAACGACGGCGGAGGAAGTTGAAACTCGAGGTCGAGGTTGAAGGTCCGGTCGTTAGGGCTGGAGGTAAAAGGCGGAAAGGTGAGTGGTGAATTGAGAATATTGTGCTCTCGCTTTAAAAAATTTAGCTTGGGAGGAAAAGGCATCCGCTCTGGAGAAAGGCTAGAAAGGCTCTGGTGCCGTACCGAGAACAGCGACTCGTTACGATTACATCGTTTCTGAGGGTACGAGTAGTGGAAAGCACCTGGGAAGTGGAGAGTGGAGTGGCCGTGGGCTAATGGCAATGGGTTGGGTTTCTTTTTTTGCTCTTTTATTACTGCAATCACACCTCGCAAACAGGACAAGCCAGACAATAATAAATAATGATCATTCCTCCCAGGGACGCCGTACACCAACTACACGGCTTCGTACACCAGGACGTGGTGTAGTAGCCGTGCAGTTATTAGGTTCAGAAGCTCCTTACTCCGTAGAGGCTGAATAGGAGGAAATGGCTGATTGCTGGACAGCCATCCATCCCCCACCAGAGAGATCCAAGCTGCTTCTATTTACAGTACCGTACGGTACAGTACTCGAGTACAGTGCTGGACAGGATTCCATTCCGATCCAGACGCAACGCTCTTGTGACACCGAGAAAAAGAGCAGTGCACACCAACATACAGCACCGTACCAACTACACCAGTGCAAACCCTGCCAGTGCCAGTGCCAGTGCCGGCTGCTTACTAGTCCTGTAACATTTATTGTTATATTTATTTGCCAGTGCCTGTGCCTTGTGCAATCATGATCACACTCGTACTCTGTATCCCCTCGACGGGAAATCACGGGCTTTTCCCTCTGCATCGGGTCGCGGGTGCGTAGCACGTAGTAACACAAGAGTACGATGGGCGTACTGGTAATTTGTTCCGCCTCGAATCTGCACAGCAGATCTCGACGAAAGCTCAGACCCAGAGGCCAAGTCCCCTACTAAATGTCTTGAGGGGTTTGCCAGCTGTGCGCTCACTGGCTCTTGGCCGCAACTAACGGGACTCTCGTACGGAGGGAAATGGTGCGGAGATAAATTGCAAATTCTGTTGTTTTACCCAGACTTGTTTTCTTCGCCGTTAACGTGCCATTGAACCGGGACCTCGGCATCGCGTCCACCACAGAGAGAGATTGGCGCTGCTGCTGCTGCGATGCAAAGGTTGAATCCTTCCTATGATGTACGGTAGATAAATTGAAACATTAGATTGAGCTGCTGAAACTGAATTGGTAGCTATATTGCCGTTTCTCTGTTTTGTATTTCCTACTGAATTTGGTGATTGTGGACGACCCGCTCTTCATCCATCGTGCTCAATATCAACCAACTCTCCGCCAACAAACGCCAACGTCCCATACTCCTCCATACAGGGGAATAATACCATGCTACGGAAGTAATTACATTCTAGTTAATATTACGCTAGAGAGCTAAAATCTAAAAATGACCTATTATTACTCTGCTCACTCCAATTTCATGTTCTGGGCACCTCGTACGAGATATGGATCCAGGCAATTCCGGAGATCCTCGCTCACGCCTAAAAGGATCCCTTCGCGAGCCCGGAATGCTCCGTATAAGCTATAGGATAATATTTTCCATTTACAACACAGGAGATGGAGCTATGAAGAGTCTGTAATAGATATTCAGTGCAAGTGCAAATAAATACCTGCTACCACTTACAGTAACCAAATCCCTAAGCGCCAAGACTAGTCATAAATTATTCATTCCTCCCTTCGCTGTGCAATATTCGAAGATACGGCAATCTCGCCTTCGATCATCGTAATATTCTACCCATCCAAACAACCGCCACCTCCAGAGACCAGCGTTCTATTTACTACTGTATGTGCTCTCCTACGTCATCAAATACCATCCTTTTCCTTCTACAAAACGATCAGTGCGCATAAAACCTTGGCATTTATTGTTTGCGGTGGTGGCAAGGCAACCTATTCCTTGGCATTGCTAGGAGAGTTGGGGATTATAGTCAGACGCGAAGCGGTTGTATATAACACTGTCTCTCTTATATGCACATCTAGAGGTGGCTATTCACATGACTTCAAGCTCCAAAATTACGGCGGGGAACAGTTGAAAGGGGATATCAACATTTACATTCTAGTCATATTGGGTAGATTATATCTTAGTAAGGAGGTGAGTTCATCATGATCATCCAGTCATCCAGCTATGAGACAATCAGCATTTCCCTCAGTAGCGACGAGGGTGTCGAGTATGGACTTACGCGGTAGCTCGCTGAGCGCCAAAGCTCGTGGCCATGCGGAGGCCACTGGAGCCCATAGGAAAATAGCTGATCAAGTACCAAACCAAGCAAGCTATTTGCACGAGAGCTGCGATCAAGGTTAGAAGCGTTGAACGCAGCTATGATTACAACGTTCCAGTCAGTAAGATGCACTTCTTGTATCCGGAATGCGCAGCACTCACCCCAAGGCTAAAGTACAGCGTGAGAGTGATGGATCCAAAATATGCCGCGGTAAATGGAAGGCGTGGTGTCGATATCAGGTGCTGGACATATGTCATAGGTCCCATCATGACCGCCCATGATGCCAGGAATAAGGCTGAACCAAGCGACCATCTAGTGTGTCACATGCCCATGTCAGCCTTCGAATGTTCTCGCATTATGATTCATAATGGTTTTGAATAGACAATGAAAATGATTACTGGCTGCTAGGTCCGACGCCGATTTTCATATGGTGGAGGCTTGTTTCGAATAATGCAAACGGGGGGGGGGGATGAAAAGGAGGGTGAGACTCTGCATCGACGACGGTTACCTGCAGCGTCCGCGCTTGCCGAGGGGTTAAACTGTCTCAACAAGCTGTATCGAGTGACCCCGCGATGATGCGATAGGGGGAAAAAAAGACTACTCACAATATTGCGAATTTCGTGGGCTTCGCCATCATAATGGGCCACAGCGCAAAGATGATAACGAAGCATGCGAGGGCGCAGAGATTGCAACCACCAAAAATGAGAAGTCGGTCCCATCTACTCACTATCCACGGCGTCAGTAAGTCAGCCTCTCTATCTCTGTTCCGAGCCATACGAATAGTGTTCAGCCACCACGGCTGCATCTCCCACATGGCCGGCGAGAATGGTGGCGGCTGCAGGCACCGTGGAACGGGGAGAAGTGGAAAAAATAGGCGTTGACTCACAAGCAAACCAACCCTCCTCCTCCTCACGTCGATTCCTCGTAGGGAGCGGTGCCCCAGGACCCTCGGTCGTTGGAAGTCTAACATAGCCACCGTCACCGAAGGGATTCAGCGACTTGATCGACGATAACAGGCCGGTCTGCTGATTCGTGTTGACGGGCAGATCCGGGTCGCGGCGTGACCACCCCAGGGAGTTCATCGAATCTCTGAAGGACGAGGATGCCATCGCAGGTTGCGGTAGCTGTCGCTTTTAGCGCGGAACCGCCGGTAGATGATAATTAAGGTTGTCACAACCCTGGCCGGCCCCAGCAGCGGGCTCTTTCCTGCTTGATGCAGATGCAGGCAGCTTCAGAGATCGTCCAGAGTAGTGGATTTGGGCAAAAGGCGGTCGGACGAAGCACAGGAAAACGGTGAGCGGGGTTGCCAAGTACGTGTAGTGTACGTGCTGGATGCCGGTCGAGGACGCGGTGGTAGTTGCGAGTACGCAGGACAAAGAGAGCGAGAGTCTGCAAGTATGTCGTGCGTTGATCGACCGTGATGGAAAGAAAGCGACTGGTGTGAAGCTCCAGGCAGGTCGAGTGTGTCCAATGACCTCCTGAGGGCGGCCGGGGTTTGCAGCTGGACAGGCTGTTTCTGTTTCTAACTTGATAGACTGCCGCGTGATCAGGTTGAGGGTCCCTAGGTACCTTAGGGGAACTGAAGCTGTTCAAGCTGCTGCTGCTAGGTCTTTGCGCTGAAGGGGGTGTGTGAGCCGTGAAGCCGTTCTGATTGGCAACGACGCAGAGGCAAGTGGGTGGGTGGGTGGTGGTGGTGGTGGTGGTAGTTGAACGAGGCAGCGGAGGGCACAAATATTGGCAGTGGTTACAAACACGGCGACTTGCGACGCCTGTTGCGGACGATGGTGTGTGGTGGTGCTGCTGGTGCTGGTGCTGGTTTGTGTAGGTAGGTTGACGGCCGCCAAGTCAGGTCAAATTTCTGATGACGGCGAGCGATGCTCTGTGCTTTTGGATGTTTCGGCGTTGGGTTGTCCTGTTGTGCTGTTGCTGGTTTACGCGTCTGCCAGAGGTGTGGTTGAGGTTGACGTCTCGTCTCACCCTCTCTTTGGCTTGGGCGCTGCGCTGCGAACCCCGTTTTAGTGCGGAGTGGTCAATGCGACGCCAGCCATACTCGCAATGCCTGCCCCAGAGTCCCCAGAGTCCCATCCAGCAGGGTTGGAGGCGTAAACCTGGACTTGGACTTGGACTTGGACTTGGACTTGGAGCAATTCGCAGGCGCCACACACACCACCAGACGGCGATCACAAAGGCAACGGTTCGGGCCTTTGGGCGACCGACGCGACGCGACTTTCTCTCAGAGAGGGAACCAGAGGGTGACGTACGTAGTACGTACAGCACGAACAAGAGCAACTGAGGTACACCTGGCCTCGTCGTACAGTCAGAACTATCCGACTGCTACGTACATGTACAGCCATCCGGAGCACCCTCCTCCCAGGAATGGCGACATGAGACAAGACGGATGACTACCTACGAAGTACGTCTTCCATCGCCCCGCGGCGGCCGGTGGACGTGCAGTTCCTATGAAGCTTCTGCTGAAGATCTGCCCGCCCGGGGAAATCTCCGCATCGCATCGCATCGCATTCGAAAATAATACGGGGTGGAGCTCTCAAGGCGCCCTAGCAAAAGCCGCCTAGCAGAATAGGCCAAGATGGCTTCCTGGCTGGCTGGCCATAGGTAGCTGCTAAGTGGCAGCATACGCAGTAGTAGCATGCTCGAGAATATCGACGCCATGTAGACGACGAGAATAGCCTAGGAGAGCTCGGAGTAGAGTGAGCCCGGATGCTGGAAGGCAGACAAGACACAGCCAGACTACCTACTGCTACATACAAGCTACATACATACGGTCTATAGACTCATATCTGGTCTTCAGACGACCCCTTTGGCCCTTCCCCTTCCCCTTCCCCTTGGCCCTACCCCTTCCCTCCCCCCTCTACGATACGGACCGTGGCAGTGTGGCTCGTCCCATTCTCGGTTTCTCAATGACCTACACACACACACTACTCACCCACCCCCCTCCATCCCAAGAAATCCATCCCTCCATTACCTCCCTCCTACATGCCACATTTCTCGTCCTAGACAGTCCAAGTGAGACCTGACAACCGGTTCGGACGCTGAAGTACGAGAGACTGGGTCAAGAGCAGCAATCAGGAGGTCCAGTGGCTGAATGGTGTATGCAAGATCAGATCCGGAGGACATATAAGCTATCCTCGCGCAACTCGAGCCTGGGATCCTAATCCTTCGCCCTTTACCAGAATCCCTTCTCTCTCATCGCCCTCTCAGATTCACGGCTGCTGTGTTCCCACACCCAGCCAAGTCACGTTATTTCCACTCTATCACTCCTGACTACCATTGCCAATACCATTTACCACCCCGTCTACCACAACCACTTATCCCTCCCATTTTCGCATCTTATCTTATCATATCAGAACCATATCATCTATCTCGGGCTGCGGCCGCGGCAACACCACCACTATACTATACCTTACTGTCATACCGTCATACCATCCTGCCATCCTACCATCTACCATCTATCATCCTATCGCCCTCTTGCCCCAACGGCCACACAGGTATCCACCTACTGCATTTGGACGGTACCAGCGAGCGCCGATAGATGCGATCTAGACGTAACTTAACGACACACAGTCAGCTTGATATACAGCATTGCGACCTCCCTAATATATCGGCCTGTTTGCTATATTGCGAACCTGCGGGGCCATCGAACACTCGAGCAGCTCCGACACCCAGGGCGACTCAACAGGGCAAGCCGCGAAGGAGCAAATCAAGGCAGCCAGCACTCAGGCCGTGGAAGCCGCCGCCTAAAGCCAGAAGCCGCCGAAGAATTGTCAGAGAGGCGTTGTTTCCCCGGGGCGTTAAACGCGGCGCAACGATCTATTATTGATTACGGGGACACCTGAACCCCGTCCTGACGTTTTCTCGAGGCCCTGGCGCCGCTTCTCCGCATTGGAGGCGTTCAAATTAATTTGACCCCGCCATTCCATTCCATTCCATTCAATTCAAGATCGCGCGGGTTCTCGAAATAACTTCGCGGGGCAGCCAATCCGCTTGCCGTCGCGGTCCTGCACGATAGAAGGGAAACGGGCGATCATTATCGTATAGGCGGGGGAGAGCCTCTGGAAGCTGGCGAGATCGGGAAGAGATCGGGATCGTGAAGGCGTGAAGCATAACATACCAGGTGGATAGCTCAAGCTGCAGCTAGGGGCTATTGCCATTTACCGTTAACGCGGCGAACAGACGTCGAGAGGGTAGCGAACCTCTTGGCTGGGCGTTTTGCAGTTGGAGCATCCGCGAAAGGGTTTTCTTTTTTGGCCCAACGTTCGGCTACGTCGGAGAACACTGCACCGTTCACCGTCCACCGTCGAACTACTTCCAAAGCTACCTTGGGTAGGCGGTTACTTCCATCGCTAAAGTCGACGATAGCAGACTCGGCGGGAAACAGGGCTTGACAGCGATTGGAACCTCGAACTGCAACTTGCAAACCACCACGGCCAGCTACCACCACCACCACCAAGTGCATCTGCAAATCTGCAACGGCGCCGGACTGGGCTGGACTGGACTGGACTGGATCGCGACTGGATTGATTGCAATCACGACACTGCGACTTCAACAAGGCGTGGCTCCGCAGCCTCGGCGCATATATCGATAGTGATATCAAATCAGAACCGCACCCATTCGCATTCGTAATCCGCGACACTGTTAGCGAGGCGATCGCCAGTAGTGTTGCGTAGTGCCTGAGGCGGAACGGGCCCTGAAGACCGGGATCTCCAGTTGCTTGCGATTATTCTTATTATTCCTCTTCTTCTGCTTCTCCTTGCGCTTCCGCCACTTGTTGGAACACGACAGGATACAGTACAAATCGACAATCGACAATCTACAATCTACAATCTAAAATCCACATCGAATTAACATACAGTACACACGTACGTACACATATACCTCGGGATTCATTCCCCACACCGGCGCCAGGAAATACAAATACAAACTTCTAGCCACCCCTACCGCCAACCATCCACCAAGCTGCAATAATCTGCATCTGCATYTGCATCTTCACCAACCCCGATCGTGCCTTGTCGTCGCCAACAACCAACAACCAACAACCTCGTCGTCCTCCACCGCCAGTGCTGCGACCCCGGGCAACGCTCCGAGCAAAAGTCTCCTTCGCCTTCTCTCCACCACCCGGCAGACGGTAGATCAGAGTCGCAACCCCCCCCCCCCCCCCCCCCCCCCCCGTCGAGCTTCGTACACCTTACACCTTGCACCTTACCTGCTTGCACCTTGCACCTCACACCGTACTTACACCTTACACCTTACACCTTACACCTTACATCTTCCAAGTTCCGAGTTCCAAGTTCCACCTTGCTCCTGACTCCTTACTTACTTACCTCGCTCCTTACTCCAACTCTAATTCCAACTCCCATCCATATACATTTTCTTCCCACTCACACTCGCACTCGCACTTGCACTCGCTGTCCGACCATCGACCATCAACCATCGATCATCGCCCACCGCTTCCTCCGCCCGGCCCCAAATCCACATCCACATCCGCATCCCCATCCCCATCCCCGAACCAACACCTACCTCATCCCATCAATCCTCCATCCATCCTCCATCCTTCGTCCTCCCTCTTCCCTCTCCCCCTCGCCCCGCAATCTATCATTGTCGTGCAACCCTCGGCGCGCCCAAGCCGAGCCAATCCCCCCCGGTCGACTGCTCCAGCAATCCTCTTCCGTTACTCGACAGCCTATCTAAGGCTGCAGCAACTTTCTCCGTCGTGGGTTAAAGGTCACCACCGCCGTCTAAATACCTAAATAATCCCTTCCCATCTCGACGACGACCCTACCTTGTCTGGCGCATTCCTAGAAAGGGAATTCACTCCCGCTCCGCGCCTCCCACCAACTCATATCTCCGAGACCCCCATTCCGGTACCCGCCTTCCCGCCCCACAAGACAATCGAGAGAATCCGCTTCGTACACCGATACCACAACAACATCGTTGCGGCGTCGATCCTTTCCCTCAATCATCGGAATTTTCGCAGATACTCGAGCGTTTGTGCCTCAGCAGCTGAACAATATTTGCCAGTGTGCCGTTTCGGACAACCCCTCGCCGCTGTAAGTACCCCCCCGCCCCCCCCCACTACCTGTGCGAAGCGCATCTCCTTCGAAGCCCTACAAAGAAAAAGAAGGCTATATTTGCGTCGTTCGAGCAGCAGCCTCCTAGAACGCTGCTACTTGAATACGATTTTTAGCCCCTGCTGCTTATGGCTTGGAGATGACGAATTTCCCCATTTGCATCTTCTCGTTTATTACTCTTTAAGCTCTTCAAGCGGCTAACATTTGCTCCACACAGGTAGCGACACTTGTTCCTACAGAGAAATACTGCAGCAGACTGCGAAGTCTGATACTTGGTCGACACATAATCTTATAACCAGGGCCTGGCCAAGGAACGATAATGGCTGGCACGGGTGCGTCCAGCCCATTTATCAAGGACGAACCTGAAGATCAGTTCTTTTCGTCCCACAACCAAAGATACATAGGAGGCAATCAGCAAGGCTTCGGCGTCTCCCAGCAGAATTTCAACCAACTCGGTTCCCACGGAGGGAGCATCAACCCTAGCGATCTTGCCATGGCAAGCAACGGCGTCGCCATCCCCAATGGTGGCTACGGAGCCTCATATCAGAATAACTTCACCTCTCAGGCGCCAAACTCCGGCCGGAACTTCTCGAAAGGTATATCCACGTTCGATGACGACGAGCTACTTGACACGATTGCGCCGATGAATGACTCACATTCAAATCAAGCCGGCATGCAGGGTAATGGGCAAGAATTTGGCATGGAGTTCGACTTCGCCCAAAACATGTACCCTGGCCATAGTGGTACCAGCGCACTATCCGTGGATCCGAATCACATCAATGGCTACTCGAACACCCCGGACGGTGACCCAATTCAAAGTCCCTTTGTGCATAACTTCAACCACGCCCAGTTCCGCCACATGCAGACGCAGAACAACTTTGGCAACGCGCTCCATTCTCCCGCTTCATATACGGGATCGCCGCTCACTGGATCAGATATGCACAATGGATCATCGGATGCTTCCAGACAGCGACCGAGGCTGTCCCAAATGCAAGGCAGGAAGAGTTCTAACACCAGAAGCCCGCTGACCCCGAAAACCCCTGGTATCGGCATCTCTTCTCTAAACATCGGTTCGGCTGAAAATTCGAGCTTCCCAAGCCCGATACGCACTTCGTCCCATCGGCATCAGAAATCCTTGTCTGGTCAGTGGGACCAGACACCAAGCAGCCTCACTTCATTTCCTGGTTCGGAATTCTCCTCGCCAATCCAAGGTGTTCATCCAAATCCACAAATCTCCGATATACTTAAAGGAGCATCTATGCCAACGAAACTGAATAACGGTCATCAATCAGCTAACAGTCCCGCCTTACAATCCCAAGAGATGAAGAGGCGGAGACGGCGAGAATCACACAACCTTGTAGAGCGTCGAAGGAGAGACAACATCAACGAACGAATTCAAGAATTAAGTCATCTTGTCCCTCTCCATCGGCTCGAGGATGAGAAAGTGCGCAAGGCTCTGCAAAATAACTCTCCGTTATCACCCACTCTCGCAGGTTTACCACAACCCCCAACTGGCATGAGCCCTCCTCAAGCCACGTCGGGTTTGGCTGGGCCTGGTGCGCGAAGGGCTACTGCGGGAAATATTACGACCGGGATCCCAATCGAAGAGAAGGATAAGGGACCGAACAAAGGCGACATCCTTAACGGTGCAGTGAGCTGGACTCGCGACCTTATGTGGATGCTTCATACCAAGCTTCAACAGCAGGAAGAACTCGCTCAAACGATCTCAGACCTCGGTGGAACGTTCCCGTTTCAGGAAACAGAGGACGAAAGACGAATGCACACCGAGCTTATGGACGCTATGGCGAAGAACGATGCGGCAAAATTCCACTATTCGCGTGCTCCAGGTAGCGGCCTCCGGGTTCCAAAGCATACGGACGTAAAGGGTGAGACCCTTGGGAGCTCTAATGCCGATACATCACTCAGCCCAGATAATCACAGCAGTGGTGATGCTGGTCAGGCCGGTATGGGCGGGCCGGGTCAGTATTGGAGTGGTAACAACAGCGGGGGAAGTGGACCTGGCTCTATCAGCTTCAAGGAGGAGGACGAGTATGGCATGGATCTCACTCATTGAGTCTCCGACGAAAGATACCTAGGAATAATACATCCAACAGCTGGGCATGTTTCAAGCTTATGTATGAGGTTTCTGTCTAACAATGAGGCAAGATGGTGTTAAGAGGTAGCGGGATATGGCTGTGGCTTTCCTTGTACTTTTCTTTTCTGGTCTCTTATACTTATCATTTAACTACGCGCGGGTGTACTTTGCATTTGGAGGTAGTCTTGGTGTTTTTCCAACTAGGACGGGGACTCGGCGTTTTTTTGCAATAACATCGCAGAAGGCGGGGTCGACTTTAGCATGGGCTGGGCAGGAATATCATGGGTCGGGATTTCATTTGGTTCGTCGGCTTGGGCAGTCTTCGACTCCCTAGTCGTTGGTAACGCTCGCTATTTATGGTGTTTATGGGGAATTCATACCAGTCTCATTTCTGCATTGGATTTATCGGGGGTTGGTTTCGTTGCATAATATTTGGTTCGCTTATTATTTTACTTATTATTGGGCTTGCCCCCCTCGCGGATTCTTATGATACCTACCTTTGCATGCATTTTTTGCTCTCTCCCTTTTTACCATGCCGCTGGGGAATGAATATGCGATAGGGTGGCCATCTGTCTTACTGTGCTTCGACAATCACGTACTAGCTAAGGTAGATAGCTAAACCTTAACCCCCTCCCCATCTATCGCTCTGCAGCGTCTGCTATCGCGGATATCTAACTGCTGGTTGCACGATGAAATATACCCAATTTGAATCTCTTGATGGTGTTGTCCAACTACCTCTAGCACATGTGACATGTTACTTTTATACTGTATGTTGTATGTGATGATGTCTCGCATTCCAAGTAGAACTTACCGACTTCCGCCTCTGCACAAGATGACTGGAGTGCTGCGTGTAATTCGAAACATGTTAGGGTGCGGCAAATATATTGTTAGCTCCAGCCTACTTATCGTCAACTACAAGTTGGATACTCGTGGCAATAGTTTGATACTACAGTGTTATGGGTCGTACTATTTGTCTTCACGCTCCAGCACGACTGCACTAAAACTGAAGATATAAGCTATAGATAATATTTTTTATTTCACAGAGTGTAGGAGGGCCATTTTGTGAGGATGTAGGACCCATCCAATGTTTGACTTCTAATAATGCATGTATTTTAGTTTCGTTCATCCCTCACATTCGGCCGTCTAGTCTAACATTATATATATATGTGTGTGTGTTCTTTCTCGGGACATCTTCCCATTTTGGTTCAAAAATGGGATCTTGAGGTTGTTAGTAGCGTATATAGTGTTCGTGAAGTCGTCAGGTTGTATTTGCTACAACATGTTGGAAGATCCCGTCTGTTCGAGCGGATGCTCCAGCGGGCACTGCGATGTGGGAATGCCCCGTGAAGAGATCTTGGTAGCTGGCAGCAAACCTGTCGAGGCCGCGTGTGTGCTAGGCTGAGCGTCGTTTCTGAGTCAGAGCCGTCGTCCAAGTTTCGCATGCGCATGCCTCGTATCCCGCCTAGGATTAGACACGCTGCCACGACCACAGCCCCTTCGCAGCCTGCAGCGTGCTCACTCTACTAACGTGTCTTTCAAGCCCATCTCCTCCATCTCTCGGTACTGCATCATCATCCCTAATCTCCCGCTCCCTGGCCTCTTTATTGGCCGCCAGCCCCTCAAGCTCACGAACCTTCCAGGCTCGTAAGAACCAAGCACATACCGCAGCACCAATGTACATAAACCCGGTAAATATCTGGGCATGCAGGTAGATACTGCCGGTAGTGGTGCGCAGTTCCAGCGCGATGGGCTCGGAAAATGTGCAGGGCAAGGCTAGGGCGAGCCACATTATTGAGAGAGCAGAGGGGAGGAGTCGTATTCCTACCACCTCGGCGCCGACGGGCCCGATGGTTGCCCAGAATCTAGTTGAGTGAGCGGAGTAATCTTGATAAGTCGAAGGAGGTTGTCGTTGACTTACGTTCCTGATACTGTACCGACCAGCAGCGCGAAGAAGACCAATACTCCATAGCTTTTAGCGAAGATCCACTGTTGTAGTTAGCTTCTTTGTTCTAAGTGGGACTTGGATGAGGATCACAAGTAATACTCCGGAGGGGTGCAGTGGCGCTTTATCGCCCTAGTTTGGACCCCAGGCAAGGAAAGTGGAGGTAGAGGGAGAGCGGGGAAGGAGCGAGCGTGGAAGACTGGCACTTACAATGACAAGGCAGAACAATCCCGCGAGGAATGTACATGAACCGGCCATATTAATGCGACCAAATGCATCACTAAAGTATCCAACAAATGGGCGTCCAAGTCCTAAGCATATAGTTAGCGCCAAATCGAATGTTTCACCCGGATTGGAAGCAATTAATCACCTTGCCCAAGGTTCAGCACAGCTCCAACGACCGAGCCCTGCTTCGCAGAAAGACCAACACTTCTAGCATAATTAGGCAACGAAAAGAGAAGCACTATATAGCCAAGCATGCTGAAGAAGCCCCAGCCAAGCAGCAATAGGAACTCTACGCGTTTAAACAGTCGCACATCAAAAGCAATGTGTATTGAGCCCACAGCTTTGTTGCGCTAGATGAAGTTAGTAATCACGTGACTGGTTGAAGTATTCATTCTCAATTATGGCTAGCAAGCCCATCAGAGAATAGATCGAAGAAATTTCCAACTAGGAAAATGTTACATATATGCAGTATTCCCTGGTTGTGAAAAGGAAAGGCCGTGAAAGTAGACAGAAGAGACGGGGATAACTTACATCTCGGACGATAATTGTACAGATAGTATTGACGACGAACGTGACGATCGCGAGAACTCGGAAGGCCCAATCCAAGCCAATAGATTTGATCATAGCACCAGTAGCCAAAGAATACATCAGCCCTCCGATTCCACTCCCAGCCGCCGCAATACTGTTTGCGAATGACTGGTGCTTGGAGAACCACTGGGGAACAATACCGACACTCGCTACAAAGAGGAATCCCATACCCAAGCCAAAGCCTACGCCTTGAGACAGAAACAAATGCCATGTCTGGGTTGCCCACGAGGCGCCGAGCAATCCCGCCGTTTGAAGAAGTATCCCAATGGATAAGGTTGGTCTTGTCCCATACTTCCTTACACATATTGTTGCCACCGGGGCGAGAATCAATGCCATTGAGATGGAGAGACCGCCTACGAAAGCATAGTCGAGGGGAGTTGCGCCGGGGAACATACTATCCTCCAAATAATGGGAAAGAAATACGCCATATGACTGGTAATTATCAGCTAGGGTTCCCGAGAAACGGCCATGGAATGAGCGCCTGGAGATGACTTACACTGTTGACGCCCCATGTGTGGCCGTTTATAATAGCCACCGCTGCAACACAAACCCAACCATAACCTCCGTCTGGCGGGACGTCCACGTCTGCCGCGTTGGTTACGTCCTCCTGTCTCGGTTCTGGATCATGGTTGTGGCCTGTCTTAGACTCGGTCGACATCGTTCGCTCTGTTCCGGGGCCCTGTCGATCAGGCTTGCCCAGTTTTGGTACCTTCATAATTGGTGGCGATCAGAGTGCTGCTTGCGATATGGTGAGCTTGCTAAGAGAGTCAAGAGTCTGGATGCCCAAGATCAGGGGCGCGCAGAGGGCTGCAATAATATAGAGAAAGAGCTAGCTGTGCCATTGGCAGCAATAGCAGCTTTAGCAGCGCGGAATAGGGCAGCACGAGTGACAAACGGAATGATGGAAATGTGCATCAAGTAGTTTGGTATTGAGTAAGACGCATCGTTTTGTTTGCTCAAGACCGCCTTGGCCTCGATGCTCAAGCTTTGCTTACCCCGCGAGGTGCAACAGCTGTCGACCTGCTTTAGCTAGTCACTTGCCGTGTACCCGCTTTGCCGGGGCTTGTTAAATACCAAGACTCCTCGGAAATAAGAATTACAATAGAAAGGAATCTGGGCCTGGAAGGATCCTAGCATCATTGGTAGCGGACAAGGGGAACATCGTTTCAGAGTAGAAACAAAGCAAACGCAAGGAAATAGAAGCGGTCTGGAGTGATGAAGATGGGAAGATGGGAAGAAAAGAACGGAGATATATTAAATTTGATATGTGAGCTGCGGCCTCTGTCCGAAGCCGACGGCTACAAGATCCAAAATACGCGACGGTCCGCGGGGTTTTGGCCGAGGCTGAGCGGAACTACGCGAAAGCTGGGGACCGGATCGGGGAATAGATATCCGCTTGCCTTAGGTTGTGGTGGCACATGATATATCATCACGTGTTAAGCACCGATCCGAGACTGTAGGGAAGAAGCGGAAAATGGACAAACGCCGTTAAAATAACCTACTGAGGACCCGTTTCTAACTTAGTTCTAAGCCATACTATGGCTTTAATATATACGGACAGGGAAGATTACGTGGCAAAGGGTCCGGGGTGTGAGCAGTCGGTTTCCAGTGCGAAACCCGTGTGTAAGTGCCGGTTGCTTAGCCAACCAAGTGGGTTTATTGATTTCTTTTTCGCCGGCCCAGACTACAAACGCACAACAGCACATCGCGATACTGACTCACCTCTCGTTGCTCTGTTTACATATCGAAAGTTATTATCATTTCTATATAACTACGTCCATTTGATGATAAACATCTATTCGGCTCTCCCAATTCATTTCACTTTCTGTAACTCGAATTGTTGCCGCCCCAAAACACCAAACAGACCCACAGTCTACTAGTCCATTCCCGTAACCACCATCATCACATCCAGCACCAGAGCCCCCAACCTACAACATAAGAGCTAAAGTGTATACAAATCCATAAGCATGCTGCTCCGAGGCAGGTCCAAAGATAGGACGCGCAAAGTGACACCTCCCGGGCCAGTGTCCATGTCAAATGAGCAATTTGGTATGTTATGTGGCATTCCTTTCCACACGGTTGCTAGGACTACTATCCGGCCCAAAACCAAGACACAGTTCCATAGTTTAATACTCTATGAATGAATGGCTACTGACTATGATTAGCCAACTACCTCTCCGACTTGAGAAACAACCGTGTATCGCGACCAAATGGCGCAAGACCTTTGCCTGGCAGCAGCCGCCGCGAGACAGAGCGGGCACCTTCTACAACTCCAATGGCCCCGCCAGCAAATGACAATCCTGACACCCCGAAGGCCGAGTTCCCCCGTTCCGCAAGTGCCATGTCCCACAACCGCAGACAGTCTTCGCTTTCAAACTATTCGTCCATAACTTCAAGATCTGGCCGGCAACTCGTGCAACCTCCAGTCCCAGAACCAATTGCGCCCTTGAAGCCTTCCGAGGTCGTTCCAAGTGCTACATATATTGAACGAGGTCTTAGATGGATGGAGAAGGAGGAGGCCGTCTCCTTACGCGAAGCGATGGAGGACATGGATCTCAAGAAGCAAGAAGAGGAGGAATCTCGAATTCACGCGGCAGCACAAGCTGAGGCATCAGAGTTGGTTTACCAACATCAAACCCCTGACGCCGTTAAGCCAGATGCTCCTTATCGATACAACGATCATCTTAGGAAAAATAGCTATGCCCATGCCAGAACAGCCAGTGTCGGGCGTCACAGTGGCACGTTTATCGCTACGGGTTTGGCCAGAGACATCGCTCCACGTTCTGTTTCTGGTAGCTCGAGCGGTAGTGGGGAGATTCTCTCATCACGAAGCCGGGTCTCGAGTGGTTCCTCTGACGGGTACCAATACGATCGAACAATTACCCCTGACATTAGCGTTCGACACTCGCTAGATTCTTCAAGAGATACAACTGTTCCAAACAGAAGCAAAAAGCCTTATGGAAGCATCTCAGGCAGGTTCCGAAGCAGTTCCCGCAGAAGAAGCAGCGCAAAGAGGAATATCAGTGGAGAAGTTAGCAGTACCTTCACAGGCTCGCAGATATGGGAAGAGCCGGAGGAAAGTACACCTCGGGGACGCAGCCAAGAAGATGCAGAAATACCAGCCCCTCTGCGTATCAAGCCTCGCAATCCCCTAAGCCGTGTACAATTTGTGCAAGATGCCGGACTACGTTCAAACAGCACTCCGCCGGAACCAACCAAGCATCTCCACAGAACCGAGATTTATCGCAATCCACCTACTCAATCCAGAAATCCACTCTATACCGCCAATTCCCATCCCGTGATGGAAGCGCCGAAGCCAGCCCAAACTGACCATCCTATCTCAGAAGTTAATCTCAAAGACGGCCTTGAAATCCGAAGCGATGATATTCGACAAGCAACTAGTATGCGCTTGAAAGACCGCAGCCCCAGGCTGCCGACGCCTACGGCTGTCAGTGACAAGCCAGGCCGTCCGATTGTAAGCTTTGATGTCAATTGGAAGCCGGCAGAGGCTGATGTGAAGCCAGAAGTGCGAAGAAGATCACCTTTCGACCGTCGAGCCGCTGAAAGGCAAAGCATACCTACTCGCTCAGATTCGACGGATGTCGCAACCCCTATCCCAGCCGTTCGCGTTCCTAATACACCCTCAATCCAAATAAAGAGGGCCCCGGCCACCACTGTGCCGACCATAAACCTCCCAGATTCTCGGCCGTCGATCCCAATAATCAATACACCCGACTCAAAGCCCACTATCCCAAGCATAAATTTACCAAATCCTCAACCATCTATTCCCACAATCAATCTACCAGATTCAAAACCATCTGTCCCCACCATTAATCTTCCAGATGCACCTTCAATTTCAGTTTCAGCACCCGGCATCCCGATAATCAATGTCCAATCTAACACACCTACGTCTAATGGTCAACGACCCCTGCCTGATCCGAAAACTGCTGCCGGTCGGTCTCGGCCAAACGGCCATGCAATAGCATCGGCTTCCAGAGGACATTGGTCCCCAGCCCCTGCTGGTAAGAGAGCGACGGCGACCTGTCACCAATGCACATTACCTATCGAAGGACGGGTTGTGGCTCTTCACGGGAAACCAGAACATTTCCACCCGGAGTGCTTTATTTGCTTCACCTGTGGGACCGGCCTCGAATCTCTAGAGATTCGATTCGAACCGCAAGCCAAACGGGCTGAGCGGATTGACAGAATCCAGCGCCGAGCCCGCGGGGAGAACATTCCTGAGATAGAGGGACAAACAATAGGAGAAGATGGAGATGAGAGGCTCCGCTTTTACTGTCATCTTGACTGGCATGATAATTATGCTCCCAAGTGCAAGCACTGCAAGACAGCCATCATTGGAGAGCATACCATCGCGCTTGGCGAGCACTGGCACTATGGGCATTTCTTCTGCGCCGAATGCGGGGACCCTTTCGAGGCTGGCCAAACCCACATTGAGAAGGATGGATATGCCTGGTGCTTGGGCTGCCAAACAAAGCGTACAGAGAGGCGAGCTCCCAAATGCAAGAAATGTAAGAAGCCTGTTATCGGTCAATATGTTCAGGCATTGGGTGGTGAATGGCATGATGAATGCTTCCGCTGCCATGAGTGCAAGAATGGATTTGACGATGGCTGTTTCTATCCCAAGGAAGTTGGCGACGAGACCCATGTTTTGTGTATCCGGTGTTTGGAGGTGAAATTGAAGGCCTGATATAGGCAGGATTTATGACACACGGCCTTACGCATCTGCCAGCACTTTTGCTTTTCGTCCTTTTATGCCTAGCGTTCCTTGACTGCAACGAGACTCAGAGATCACGATATAATGCCAATCATTTGACTACTCTCCTAAGTTTGCTAGCATTTTGGCCGGGTTTGAGGGTTTATTGCGGGAGTTATGTAAATGTTTTAGCTCTAATACATATACGTATGTAGTCCAGTTAAGGTAAATTGTCATTATCCATTATATTACTTGTTCTGCTTCCATCTTCCATATCAACCAACCTGTCGACCTCCTAAACCCAGGTCCCAGCCCTTCTCTCGCCAAAAACCTACTTCATAGCGTCTCACTTATCATAAGGTTCCATCAACTTATTACCCTCCACCCCTTCCGGAAAATCCTTCCCCCCAAGGTGCGTAGAATGCGCCCAAGGCTTCAGACTAATCTCCTTCCTAAGGGTCTTCGCAAAACAAGCACTCCACCCCTTCCTCGGATATGCGGCCACAACACTCTCAATCGTTCCTTTACTCACGAGCTGGGCTTGGCCACCGATGTTATCGAATATGGTAGCGAGTTGGGCGAGTGCGCCGATACGCGTGATGGTTCCGGTGGAACCTAGGTCCTGGTGTCGAATTATGGCTTCGGTTACGTTTTCTGCTTGAGGGAGGGGTGCAGAGAGGCTGGTTAGGACGGAGTGGGCGATGGCGCCGCCGTAGAATTCTGAGGTGGGAAGGGTTAGTGCTGAAGATTGATGTTACGGGGAGGGAACATACCAAATGACATGAGGGTTGCAGATATGTTCTTGTCCGTTGTGCCAATGTCATGGAGGAGACATGTCAGGAAATACGTCTCGTCGAATGAGGCAGTGGACCAAGAGGGGAAGGCATGCGCGAGTATTGCTTTGCCTGTTTGTTTATATGTGGGTTAGCCAGCTTCCATATATTTATATTACAAGAGCCCCAAGAAGCAAAAAAATAGTCATACCATAGTAAAACACCCTCATGCTATGATTGAACGTCTCAATAGCCAACTCCTGCTGCGCATATTGCAACACCGCCTTCGCAACCGCCGATTCAGGCAGAGTGATGGAGGATGCGGAAATATCTGGTGCGACGCCAGAGGCCGACGATTGCTGCTGGAGGAGCGTTTCTATATCGCGGGGTACGGCGGTCCATCCGTACTTTTCGATTGCTGGGTTGGGGGTGCTGTTTGCCATTTTCTCGTGTATGTGTATGTACCTACCTTAGGTAGTAAAATGGGAGATGGATAGGCAGTTGCTTATTAGATCTGAGTATAGAAATGGTCTTATATGAAGCTTGGGTGGCTATGAGTTCTCAACGCTGGCTGAAGCTCAATGATCAATAATGGTACGAGGAAATCAATTTATATAATGTCCGTTTCGGCAATTGCTTGGGATTATTAATCTTACTACATGTCGGGTACACAATATGATTCATTTGTGTACGCGTAACCTCGAAGCTAAGCTACTAAGCAAAGAGGTCGTATCAATAATCTGAGCCCATAGGCGGGGCCTAGAGAGGGGGTGGTTCTGTTCTCCCTGGAATTAGTAATCATACGTCATCCCGCTGTTGCCTTTGACTTTCCCCTGTAGTCCGGCCTGCCGCCAGAAAGGGCGTCGACAAGTCACTCAGTGAGTGTAGATTTATTAAGTTACTGACTTACTCACATGGGTACTAACAGCAAATGGGTAGATACGTAGCACTATCACTAATTAGTGAGTATAAGAGCTAAGAGTAGCAGAAGCGGCTATAGTATAGTAGATGGGTATTTTGCATGGCTATCCAATTCTCAGCAGAAAGTAAGTCGTTATTCAACGCTTTCTCCATGTAATAGAAACACCTAACAAGCCCCGACTTCATATGCTTATTGCCCTTAGGATCTTTTCTTCCCCTTCCTTTCCAACATTCAAAAATTTCCACATTTTCTCTTGCTCTTCGGCAGATGTTAAATACTCCCTGGGTAGTCCGTAATTACCAATGCGCCAAATTCCCGAAGTAGGCGATTCGCCCACCGATTTCAATATTTAAAGTTTATACCTAGGCCGTTTATACCTAGGCCTTCCAGCTAAAACATCTACCCCAATATGGACATAGATCAAAGACCATTATCGGCACACGTGAAGACACCCCCAACAGACCCCTCAGTGTCGGTAATGATGCTCTGCACACTAGTATAAGTGCCAGCACCTAGAAAGAAGAGGCCTATCAGGATGATGACGATATTAAGCGCCAACATCGAGTATCCATATAGCGACTGTTCCTTTAACCAAGTCACGCCCCCGTCCACTCTTCTCATACGAATATAAGCAAGACCCCAGAAGATGAAACCGAAGAAGGAATCGAAGAGTGACGACATCAATGACAACAAATCGGAGAAAAAAGGGATAACTTCTGCAATGATGAAGGCCAGACTGTGAAAAGTTAGCACCAAATATGTTAGGGTGTCAGATTGTTATCTTACACCCAAGTAGCAGCCAAAATGCCTGCCCATGCAGACCAACCAGCAACAGTGTGGCTAGACTTATGTCTTGTCCCTTCAAAAATTCTGAAGAAGATGAACCTCGCTGAGACTGATGCGTAGAGAACGCCGAGGAAAATCAAAGTCGGAATCATGAAGGAGAATGATACTTTCTTGTAAATATCATTGCCCAAAGAGCCGAAGGCCGGTGCTGTGTTGTATTGGTTGCCAGTGTATGCGTACACAACAGCACCCACGATGCCGAAGATGAAGACCTCGGCGATGGTTACTGCCCACAAAGCCTTGGGGAAATCCTTTGGGTTGCGCATTTCAGCAATGAAGCTGGGGAGAGTAATTTGACCGATAAACGTATAGCTGATATTCAAGAAAGCGTTCATCCCTGCAACAAATGTCGTACCCTTGACAGGAAGCGCGGTGACAATCGGCTCCCCGCCAGGAAGTCCCGTTTTCGGATTAACATAATTTGGGTCAGGATTGTATCCAGCCGGGTGCGCCTCGATCGCCGCGAAAATCGCTGCAAGCAAGACCGAGAGGAAGGTGAAGAATGCAGAGAAAGTTGCTAGCTTGGCCAGGGCTGAGAAAGTCCTGGGGAGTGAGAAGAAGAAGCAAATTACTGTGCCGATAACTGCGAACACGATAGTGCATTGACTGTGACTCGTGATGGTGTTAAGGTACTTCGCCGTGACAAGCACGTGCAGGGCCTTCTATTATCAGTAATGGAAATAAGACAGAGTCAAACAGAACATACCTGAATGAAGGTATTGTTCAAGACGAACATGACTGCAGTGGCATACCATGCCCAGGTTTTACCCCAAAAGAGCATTTGGCCGATGTCACACACATCTCGTACTTCTGGATGCCTCAAACAGAACTCCCTTGAAAGGGGTTAGCAGTGCGCTAAAATTACAGATCAGAGAACGTACCAAACGACGAGCGACGTGTACAAGACAAGTCCAGCTATGACCACTGTCAAGATCAAACCGGGAACAAGGCCCAAAACCGAATAGCTGTATGGAAATGACATAATAGCCAAACAGATATATTCGGAGAAGAGCAAGGCGGCAGTCTGATGAAACCCAGTTAGCGCATGCCCTTAAATTCTTAAATTCTAGGGTGGCTTTTCTCCATGATATTTGCCAGTCGATAAATTAAAAGTGCATTAGGCATACATTGCCTACGTCGCAAAGAAATTCCACTTGCCTTGGGCCAACTGCAAGTTCGGTACTGAATGTCATTGCCGGCCTCCAATTCAATTTGCTTCCCTAGGATATCTGTGCTGTCGGTGTCGCTGCCAAAGTCGTATCCTCTCAGATGAGACAGGACGGGAGCAATTCTACCACCGGGATGCTTATCGCTGTTCCCGAACCCGAACCTGCTTCTTGTGCCATTCTCGGTGTCCAAGGCTTCATCACTGGGATTGCGCTCTTCCAATTTTGAGTCGGGAAGAGCGTCTTTACTTGAGTTTTCATAGTCAGTCGGTAGACGCCTTCCTTCTAACGCCATTTTCGAGACGGGAAATGGACAATGGGCGAGACGTGGACAGGGTGGGAGGCGAGAGGATTAGCAGGCTGCATCAAATTGCACCAAGAGGCTCGATTGCGAAGAGGCGCTGGGAGGATGATTCTCGCTCGACTCGTAGGGAGCAGGGCGAACTGTTGCTATTCGACCACAAGGGTTGAATTAAGATGGATGTTGGTTGGTTCGACGGCTATGGTTGCGACACGCAGCTTGTTGAAAACGGGCCAGGTGAAATAGAAGAGATAAATAACGGGGCAGAAGCAGGATATGATAAGGAGAGTTGTTGGACTAAATAACATCTTACCCTGTATCTTTTCCAGTAGGAATGAGCCCCCATTCTGCACTAGCTGCGAAGGCCTAGGATGCCTCCGGGCACGCCGTCTGTAGCAGGTACCCAATAAAAACATGGAGATGGGCGAAAAGCACTTACGCTCCGTATCGAAATTGTGGGGGGCAAGCACGCAAGATGCGGCGGCGGCGCAGTTCAGCCCAATCTAAGACGACTTAAAGGGCAGCGAGTTGAGCTTTCGACGACTACGCAAATGGCCGAGGGATCGGGGCGATCGACGCGCGCTCTAGCCAATCCGATCCATAGGCGAATGCCATTGTTTTGGTGGGTGTCGGGGCTCCGAAAACTCTGAATTGAGATTGAGGGCAAGGCAAGGCTGGGCAGGGAGAACCTGGCATTACTCGAGTAGGGGGACGGGGACTGGGACTGCGTCAGCGGCGACAACTTGAAGCCGTGAGACAGCCAAACGACGGGCAGCGAAGGGTAGTGTACGAAGTACCGTCTGGCTGCTGCGTACAGGCCAAGTCCCAAGTCCCAAGCCGGGAGTAGGGTCCAGTGCAGCAAGGAAGTTGCTGGCGATCCCAGGCCCAGTTGGACTCCAAGGCCAATGGCGACGGCTCCAGCGCCACCCGTGTACCTGGAATGCTGCCCCGTCGCGCGAGAGAAGTGTGGATGGGCTCTGCAAACTGCATGGTTTGGGTCCTCCAGGCGGATCGATTGAGGCGGTCTCGTCCACCACAGCCATAATACTCTGCAAACAGCAAACGACAATGTTGAGATGTCGATGGATAATTATGGATAGGCGACACGTCCCAGTGGTACAGTACAGGCATATATCAGAGAACTTGAGAAGAACGGAGGTGCGAGTGACGTCGGCTCGAAGCTTTGTGGATGGGCTGGGCGAAGCTTATTTAGCGCTGGTTGCTGGCGGGCGTGGCAGGAGGCTGCTGATGCGCCTTGGCACGTGGAACGCGTGCTTTGACTGCCGTGTTATTAAGGCTAACCTCCTTCACAGCCGTCCCCAAGCCCGAAGATGGCCCATCCGCAAATCTCACTTGCCCTCAAGCCCAAGGTCGCCTCCACCAGAACTCCACCTCCCGTGACATACATACTGTACAACAGTAACTCTCAGACTCTCCCTCCTGCTAGGCACCTACAACTTTACAAATCGCATCGCATCCTTGCCACGGACCTTGCTTGTGTCACAGCTACGTAGCAGCATCGAGGTACACCAAGTATAACGGCATGGCATGGCATGATTATACATGTATCAGTCTATGCTCTGTCTCGTCTAATCTACTTTATGCTAAGGATTTGGCTTATGGGAAACAGGTGTTCATCTCATGCAAATATAAAACAAGAAAACCACTGGTGCATATGTATATACGAAGCAAAAAGGGGCGGCACCTTCCCTCACCCCTTATTCGCCAACTCCAGTACCTTCGCCGCAGCCTCCTCGAAGTCGTCGAAGGCAAACAGCGGCAGCCCAGATTCAGCAATCTAGTCCCATTGTTAGCTACCATATCAGCAGGAACAGGATAGACATCACTCACAATCTTCTGTCCCTCCTTTTCGTTCGTCCCGCGAATTCTAACCACCACCGGCAACCGCATATCAAGTTCTTTGAAAGCCATCAGAATGCCATTTGCAATCATGTCGCCGAGCGTCAGGCCTCCGAAGATGTTTACAAAAATCACCTTGACTCGCGAGTCTTGTAAGATAAGTTGAAAACTCTTCTTCACTGTCTCGCTCGTTGCCTTGCCCCCAGTATCCAAGAAATTGGCAGCTTTGCCGCCAGCATCCGCCAATGCATCCACCGTATTCATGGCAAGTCCTGCACCGTTGACAAGAGTGCCGATATTTCCATCCCCGGCGAGCTTTATATAGACGATTCCATCTCTTTCTGCCTCAATTTCTTGAGGATCTTCATCTTCCAAGCGCCGAAGCGCATGGATGTCCGCTTGGCGTTTGGAACTCCGAAATGCGGCATCGTCGAAGCCAAAATTTGCGCCTATAACCTTCAGCCCACCCAGTTGTTCAACGAAGACCGTTTCGAGCAAGAAAGCCTCTTTCTTGATGTACATGTCCACCAAAGTGTCGAGTAATTTGGGCAAAGCATTCAGCGCTCCATTTTTCAGCTGTAGGTGCTCGGCAATTGCTCCGATATGGCTGCCCTCCAAGCCTTTCCTGTAATCGAATGGGAATTTCTTTGCTTCGACTTCTAGGTTCTCTGGATCAGTCATTGGTGAGGCAATGATGCATGGTGATCGATTCGCCCGGTCTACAGCTACAGCAAGCATGCGTTTTCGGCCTTCCCCTCCTGTTTTGGCGGCATCAATGCCATTTTCCCGAAGAAGATCAAGAGCAAATTCCTCCCTGATGTGAAGGTTACGCTTCTGCGTAATATTTGCTAGATGTGAGGTTGGAGCTCTTAATGCGGGTCTTGTTCTTCTCATAGTATGCATGCTTCTCCGTTGCGAGGCTCCTGTGGTAGCGAAACCACTGCTGGCCCGCCCAGACCTTCCAAGTAAGATCTTCATGGCATCTCCGAACTTCTCTGGGTGATTAACAATAGTGGCACCTGCTTCTTCAAGGCGCTTGATCTTGGTCAATGCATCGGGCTCTCCTGGCAGAGTGAACGCTCCCGCGTGACCCATAACGCGGCCAGGAGCAGCGTGAATTCCCCCAATAATAGCTGCGATTGGTCTATAGGGTTGATATCAGTATTCAAATTCTTCAGACACAAGACTGAAAATGATGCTTACTTAGGGTTGGGCGAGCGTCGCCGATAGTCGGCAATCCAATCAGCAGCATCCATTTCTGCCTCTCCACCAATCTCCCCGATTAACACGATGCCCTCCGTGTCATTGTCGTGCTCAAAAATATTCAAGGCATCAACAAAGTTTGTGCCAGGGATAACGTCACCTCCCACGGCTATACATAAGCTTTGCCCGAGTCCAGCCCTTGTTGTAGAGGCCACGGCTGCTTGGCTATTAATAAATGAATAGGCATCGGGAATAAATGCTTGCCTTCGTAGCTAAGAGTCCCAGATTTAGCAACAATACCAACGCGTCCTGGCGAGAAGCACGGAAGTGGTTGAAATCCAATTCTGCATTTTCCAATGGCAGATATAATACCTGGAGCATTAGCGCCGATCAATCGTGACTTTGATTGTGATTTTAGCATCGAATGTATCTGTCTGTATTAGCATCGAAAATATAATTCCTTGGAATCAGGACTTACTCTAAGGATGTCATGAATTGGAATATGCTCTGCGACCGCGACGATAAGAGGAACTTCTGCCTCGATAGCTTCTTCAATGGCCGCAGTGGCTTGGTGAGCCGCAACATAAATCCCAGTTGCATCTGGCTTCAGTTTCTCCATTGCCTAGAAACCGATAATATTCAGCAGGGGGGGTCTGAAAAGCACGTGAAGATATTTCTTACCTCTCGAACAGTAGGCAAGACAGGCAATCCAAGATGCTCCCCATTCTTTCCCGGCGTAACACCGCCCACTATATTGGTGCCCCATTCTATAGACTCCCTCGCATTTGCAGTAGCCTACGCCTCATCATCAACACAAACCTCCACGTTGAAAGCACCTAAAAGCAGCTAAAAACTCACCTGTCTCCCTAAACATACGCATCAGTCACAAAAGTCGGCAGAAAATAAAATAAGATAGAAATACCAGTAAATCCCTGAAAAATAACCCTCGTATCCTTCCCAATCTTTAGATTCGAAATCGTATCCTCATATGACCGTCGTCCCAGCGACGTGCTGAAGAATGCCTGTCTCCCAATGCTCCGGGGTCGGGTCCGCAGTAATACATGGCGCGGAGACATCATTTTTGTCGTTCGTTGCCAAATGCATCTACAACTGCCTTATCAATGCACATATAATCATGAGCGATCTAAGAATTCGTGAGAAGTACAAAATGTAGCAACAATCCAAGGGATATAACGAAAAGTTTCAAGAGCAGAAAGCCGAAGAGTTAGTATATACACCGATGGCGGAGATGTCTGAACCAGTCTGATCAGATGATAAATCACAGGGGCCGGGAAGATAGCCCTTATGTGTCTAATAACTCGGTCTGGGCATTTCGTACTGTGGTTCTCGTCCGGACGAGGTCGGCAGGAGTCCAGCTTGTGTGTTTGGCCACTGGGAAACTGGTGGGGGATTCTGGTGGGGCGGTGTCGGATGTGCCATAACGGCTATATGACACTCGGGCTGTCCGGGGGAAAACGGCTTCAGGAGGAGGATGGGTGTCAGTAGCTATGTTGTTCGGATAGGTTTAGATCAGTAAACACGCCTATCTTTTCATTTAAGCTTCCCCATAATTTCGTTTCATGGCTCGGTCCGGGTTTGAGGATTCTCGGAGTTTAGCGGTGGATGTTGGGGTTTCTTCGTCCACCCACCACGGTTAACGATACCCGGGTGCTATTTGGTAATCAAAGGTTATAAGACTCTAGATCTAAGATACTTATATATCTGAAGGTAAATATCTTGCAAGTGGTCAATAGAGAATACTGCTCGCACAGCTTTTGTGGTCCTAGATCTAAGTCAAGTATGGAAATATTCCCAATATCGGACACAACGGAAAATCGAAACACGACCAAGCTCCCTCCATCATCGTCTCAGTCCATAAATAAGGGCGCGATCTCCATCATGTATGGACATACCAATCCTCCAACGCCCAGATCCGATGCCATGCTATATACACATAACTCCTGATAGCCCATATTATGCCGTCGCCGTTTATACAAAGGTTTTCCATCCTAGTCGTCCCAAACAGCAGCCTTGGCCTTCTCAGCATCCTCCTTCGCCCTAACCGCAGCCTCCTTTTCCTCTTTCCTTCTCTTGATCTCCTTCTCCTTGACAGCCCGCTCATAGGCCCTCTGCTCCTCTGTCTTCTTCGGAGCCTTGACCCCCAGCGCCCCAGCAATCATCCTCTTCGCAACAGCATCGGTTTTCTCTGGTCTCGTACTCCGCTCACTCTTCACATCACTCGAGCCGTTCATGTCATATCCGTATGGGTTGGCAAAGGTTTCGGCGTTCATGAAATGTGTCGGGGAGCTAGGTGTGGGAGGCGGAGCGGAGGGGTAGTCTGCAGATTTCTGGGGTGACAATGGTCGGTCTGTTTCGTCTCCAGAGTCGGATTCGAAGTCTTCATCTTCCCAAGATTCTGCCACTGCTTTCTTCTTCGTGCCTGATGATCCTGGTGCTCTTGTGGCTTGGGGATTTATTGATAATTTGGTGAGCGTGGACTCGAGTGCTTTTGGAAGTCAGTATGATTGCTTGCTTTGGAAACCGTAGGTGTACATACCTCTGGATTCTGCCATGTTGTTGTTCCTAGAAACCCGGTCAGCCATGCCTCTTGTCGAGCGCAATGCTAAAATGCATGTACCTACTAGTACTAGGTAGGTAGGTAGTTGCTTTTCTTGCTCTCAGAACTCGCTCAAACACAGAACTCGCAATTTCGCCGGCGCTTATATGTATATATATCAGTGATTTACATGGGATTGACGCCGTGGCAGGTTCCACCAGGGAATTATTGGAAGGTGTACAGATCCTAGGGGCATGTGTATTGCGTGTCGTTACGGTACATGTGAACACACGCCAAAATACAAATAGCGGAGCAGCCAGCCAGTGCGGGGATCTCTATGGCTAAATTACTCGATTGGGCAGCCGTTAGTGATGCAGTACCTACCACAACCTCCCCCCGATCAGTGACCCCAGCTGGCGATAGCTGTTCTGGCTGCCTAGAAGGAAGTTTGAGAATTACAATCGGCCCTTATATATGAATACTTACAAGTACATTGGACGTCACCGGATTAATCCCAAAACTGGTAATGTTTTTTGCGGGCTAAAACTTTCACGCCGACAGAGTGGGCCGAGATATCGCCACAGGGCAGCATGCGTTATCCATGAGGCCCCCTGGAGATCGCATGATTGTGAGAGGTAGACTAGGCTCTTGAATACAAGAAATGCTCTCCCCATCCTTAGTTCCTTCCTGGAGGCAAAATCGTGCTATGAATGACGCCCTGCACGCCTTTACCAAACTAATCAAATCCGCCGCAAACAAACCGTCCCATATCCCCATATGCAATCATGAAGTCTCAATCGTCCCCAGCCATCCGCGGTTCTAAATCTTATCGAACACCATGTTTTCGCATTTCGTAGCCGGAGATCCGTTCACATCGCGCCACCAATCTGCTCTTGATGAACCTCCAGGGTGTCTCCGTCTTGCATGTCCAACTATTGCAAAGAATAACATCAGCTTCTGATCTGGATTGAAGCGCAAGAGCGCCAGCCAGTATGGGCCAGTTGGCATGAACCACAAAAGGAGATGGAATCCTTACCGTATCCGGGCTATCTGTGGGCTGAACGCGACTTCCATCGAAGAGGAAGCGAACAGATGTAGGTGCCTTGCCTTGTCTCTCGCAGAAGGCATCCATCAACTTCTTCAGGGCGGTGGTACGCTTGATCTTGAAGAAGACCTCGTTATTATTGTCGGTGACCTTGATGTTAAGATGCTCGCTCTGGCCACCCTCGGGCTTCTCTTGGGCACCAGGGCTTCCGTTCTCGTCGGCAGACATATTGGGTGGTAGTGTGAGAAAGTGACAAACGAGGCTTTATCAACCTAGGCTATCGCACGCGTCAGTGGGCGTTCTGGCAATTTGCAGGTGGTTATGTTCCAGCTTACCAAGGTATAAGTCGCTACAGTGTAACGAGGGACGCGTCGATCGGCGCTTGAGCTCAGGGTGAGATGTGGGTTGAAGTGTGATGTTTTGGAGAGTGGTTGATGGTGGGGTTGGAGGATGAGATATGGCGCTAGCGTAAAGCGAGGGTTCTGGAAGGCTGCAAAAGCACAGGAGCAATGGGGGAGGAATATCTGTGACCACCCAAGACTCTGGGTGGCAATTAAATATCACTTGGTACCTGTGCCTTATTAGTTGACTTTCCCCAACGACAAAGCAAACTTCCTCTTGCTGCACTACTACAGCCTGGAGATGTAAATAGCCTTCAAGATCACGCATCTTCCCGTGAGGTACCGTTCAAATTTGTGAAAATGGTATTTGAATTCACCCCTCAAGGCAACCGTTTCCCCAGGACTATTGTAGCTGATCGATATTCTGGTAGGCTGAAACGGCTCCGGATCCTCCATGTCACACTCAAGCGGTATGTTCACTTTGCGGTAATTTTTTTCTATTTCTATCACTACGAGTGCTAACTGATCCTCCAGTGTGCAATTCAAAGTTAGGCTTCTGAATACCGTCCTCTGCCCCGTCAAGCTAACAACCCCGTTCCTCAGGCTGCATAGTGAAGAACTCCTACGACGAGGCCAAATGCCAGAGACAGATTGATGCTCTGTACGAATGCTGCAATTCGTTCTACAAACAGCATGGGGATGACGCGCAATCGGTATGCTGTCCACAAGCCAGTCTTCTGAGATTGAAAATGAAGCAGAGGGCGGAGGCCTCGACCAAAAGAAAGTAGACCTTCACCAGGTCTGAAACAACGGAGGATTAAATGTATATAATCGAGCCTGGCAAGCGTGAGGCCCAAGATCTATAAAGATGATGAGATAGATTTGCAGTTTCTCCTTGGAAATATGAATTGTAACCCTCCAAGTTTACTGCCCGCCGTCAACCCAAGAGGTCAGGGAACGTGAACAGGAAGAGTCGGTATTTCTCTAGGCGATCATGAGCGCGCAAAGAGATCCTAAGGATCTGAATAGGCAATGATGGGCTTATTCCGAGACTCTAAGTAGATGGCCGTTTAGACATTGTATCGAGAAAAGGAGATTTTCAAAGAAGCTGCGAGATTTTATGCCTCCAAAGCGCGCTAACAACCCTCGCTAAAGCTCACCGACGCGGTGCGAGTATTCCGCGCTCCTGACTCCGTACCTTAACCTGCCTGCGTTTATTTACAGCTTCACCACCAAGCTCAAGGATTTGCGACCAATACACAGCAATCTACGAGGGGCGCAAAACGGCACTGACGCCAAATAGCAGCGCCTGTAGCTATGGCGCCCATTACACGGAGCAGTGCTGGGGATCTATCCCGTCAACTAGAGACGCTTCAGCCTCCAGGATCGTTTGAGGTAAGGCGCTCACATCAACATCAACGTAGGTGCTAACTATTCGCCTTTTAGAACCATCGTGATGCCAGCTGGCAATTTGTACCAGTATGTCTTGAAAGCCCATCTCTACCATCGTTGACACCCTACTAACACGTAATTGAAGGAGTTAAAGGCGCCATCAGAGCGAGAGCTTTCCGCTGAGCCAGCTTCATCATACGAGGAGGATGCAGACATGATGTCGGACGAAGGAGACGACGAGGGTATTTCGTTTCCCCCTTTTACGGCGACCTTAGTTTGGATTCGGGCTAATCGGACGTGATCAGGGTACGGGAGACAACTGCAATTGGAGGGCCCGGAAGACCACGAGGATATCCTTCATCCCCTTCGCGAGGCTGCAAATCGAGTTGGGCGTGAGGTTGAGAAGTTTGCTGAAGTGCTTGACGGGTATAATCCTCTAAGGACTAGTGCGCCAGATGAGAAGTTCGAAATGACTCTGGAGCTGATCGAATTATATCATGGCATCGCAGCAGAGACGCTTGATCGTTTATGGGAGCAGCATCATACCGAGCGCAGGAAGAAGGATGGCTTGCGATGGAGGACGAAAATGCGAGGCTTCAAGATCACACAGGATGCTGACGAGTTTGAGCCCGAGGACGACGACGTAGCAGAGTCCGGTGCCTTTCCAGAACTGCACACGACCTTGGAGGATCTAGAGCGCTGGGAACAGGAAGCTCATACCTGGGATTTATTACGGCGGCTTGTGCACCTTCGTCACCCTCCATCAGGTTCAGATGCCAAAAATGAGGAGGCTGTATCGCTCAACCCGTATTCCTCGGCACAAGATATCTGGGAAGGCTTTTTCAAGACTGATGACCTTGCTCGCGAGCGCAATACTGTACTTCAATGGCTTAAGGACACAGCGGAGGGATCCGGCGAAGACATCGATGTGCTTGTGCAAGATCTTCAGCAGAATGCCGAACGTGGAGATATTATAGCCCATGGGTGGCTTCACACCAAGGCGGCTATCAAAAATACGAAGCGGGTAAGCGACTTGTCGAAGCCTCTTGACCCGGCGTCGCCGGATGTGAGGAAAATACACATGAACTCTTCGAAGACGGAAGCATTAGTAACTCAGCTTGACCCTGATGCCCCGACAAGGCAGAGTCGGATACTGCAGGTGCAGGACCAATATTTTGAGAGAGCTATTTGTCTGGGTTGTTACGAAATGCTGCGCCGCGGAAAACGGCCAGACGAGATCAGAGAGTGGTGCATGGAGCGCACCGAAACCTGGAGAGCTGTGAGCATGTCTGGTCTTCCCGACCCGGAAGATACGGAGCCCGCGGATCCTGCATCTTGGTTTCTGTGGAGACGAATGTGCTTCTCTCTGGCCCATAACGGAGGCGGGGATGAATACGAGCGTGCAGTTTATGGAATTCTCAGTGGAGACATATCGAGCGTTGAACCCGTCTGTAGAACATGGGATGATTTCGTTTTCGCCCACTACAACGCTTTATTACGAACACAATTCGACTCATATCTGCAGAAGATCTATCCCCAGATCTCCGTTCCCACCAGCCTTGCGAATTTCGGAGTGTTTGACGCAGTTCAATTCCATGGCGACCCCAAAACTGCCGGAATGAGACTTGTTGGAACACTTGAAAATGACCCTCGCACAAGGAAAGAAACATTGCAGCCGATGAAGATGCTTCAAGGTGTTTTGGTCGCAGACCAATTCCAAAATTTCATATATCAGCAAGGCCTAGCACTCTCTAAATTTGCCAATGCTGAGAGCCCGTCAAATCTTATTCCAGCCGAAAAGAACCAACCCACAGATCTTGAAAGATATGTTACTCTGGATGACCATGACAGTCTGAGGGTCCTCACACACGTTCTATTAGTGTATATGAGTTTGGGAGTGGATCTTGGCGGTGTCTGGACCCAGACAGCCGTGGAGAACGTCATTGTCTCCTATATCAGCTTCTTACGACTTGCTGGCAAGGAGGAGCTAATACCCTTATATTGCTCTCAACTCACTGGCCCTAGGAGGTACGCTATTCTCAGTAGAAACCTCATCGATATCACAGACAATGAGCAGCGAATTACACAGATCAGACTCATGCGGGAACTTGGTCTCGATGTGCAAGAGTTTGTCAGGATGCAATCGAGGTATCTGTTTCACGATTATCCTGATACCGTAGATGGCTACCCCGCTTCTGGAAACTTCAAACTCCTCGACAACGTGCCAAATACCAACCGCCCAGGGCGTAAGGTCAAAGCAGACTTCTTTGGAGATGATGATGGCGAAATCGAAAGGGTTGATATGCTACTTATCAGGAGCCTCGAGTGGTATTTACTCGTAGACGGCCTCTGGAGCGAGACTTTTATTATCGGCACTATGCTATACTTACGGTTCTTCAGTCAGTGACACTCCAATCAATCCTTATTAAAAGCTAACGTTGATAGAACACATGCATCTTAGCGCTGCTCGTATGTTGGCTTCGAGGGTCTGCAGCTCAGATATTGCGCTCAACAAAACGCGCGCAATACTCGGTGAAAGCGTCGACTTTAATGGGCTAGAGAACGAAGGCGATGAAGATATGACCGAGGTCCTAGATGGTTCAGCGGAACGCAAAAGACTTTTGAAGAAGCACCTTCTTGCTGAGGCGAAGAATTTCAGAGAATTTGAAGCTTTGGTTGAAGCGTTAGACATGATTGAAACAATTAGCAGTCTTGAGAAGCTCCTGAATGAGTAAGCGAAACAAAAGGATTCACAACTTCGCTCATCGCTAATCGCATTACTCTAGGAAACCGGATGCCAAAATGGAAAAAGAGATGAAGTCTCAACTTGGAAAGACTCTTATGTCCACTCGCGGCTCAATACCCCCTCTCTTGAATGGCTGGCTTCTCACATTTCCCAATGGTATGCCACCTCCTACTTGCATTATGTACGACCTCACTAACTTGTTTCTCCTTACAGAAGATGCCGAGGCTGAATTCCTGCTTTTGCGAGAAGCATACCTCCCTGAAACCATTCTCGCCTACATCAGCACGCTGGAATTTGCAGGTGGCGCATTGACTCGAGATTTCCTCATGGAGTGCATGGATCTAGCTGCCACAATCGCCGAGGAAGATTCCGATTTATTGCCACTATTCCAGAAAACTGGCAGGATGCCAGAGCTAGCTGAAGGGTTCGCCTCTGCAAGCAAAACCTTGCTTCTCATTACCTCAGCAAAGAGGAGCACTGGAAGAAGTAAGAAAATGAAGGCCAACGGATGGACACATGACCTATGGAGTGTGAAGTCATGAGTATATCGTATGTGATTTAGCTGTACGATAGATGGTGATAGTTTAGGCGTCATTGCGCCGCAGGATATTGTGGCACATGCAGTCAATTATGCATGGCAGATGTCTTCCCAATGCAGGGAATAAATAGACTACGTTATACTTATTTAATCCCCGTCAGCTTGTACATATCTCCGTGATTCTGAATAGTTGTCGTGCATTTTATGATGTAGTTTTGAGTGAGCACGAGTACAACTCAATTAAGCCTTATTCATAGAACCCCCTGAGTGGAGGGCAAGGCGGCTTGTGCTACTACATGCTCCGCGCTGCTCAGATCGGTCCGCCTATTCGCGCCGCTTAGCCACGCCACATCCAAGAGACAACATATCTACCAAAGATGGCGACGCCTACGATATCACGTCGACGATGGCAGCAGTCGCAATAGGGGTGCGCAGCCCTGGTGACGGTCACGGTCGTTCTTTGGCTTGATCTGTCACACCCAATTACAGTAGTCGACGCGCCCCTACCCTCGAGCTCGAGCTTGACTTGACTCCATCCAAACGCGATATCCGGCGCTCAGCAGGCGTATGCTGCCCTCCAGCCCGTATTTCAATAGAGATAGAGATGGCGCAGAATCCTCGGCCCTCCGTGGGGCAGAATCAGATTCCGGATCGTCATTCCGCGGCACCTGTACGGACTACTTTGCATCTGCCAGCTCACGACAAGCCCGCTTCCTCCCCAGTTGGAACCGCCAATGGCGACCTCCTCGACCTCACCTCATCGAACCCACTTATCGAGGCAGTGTTAGGTCCTAACAAGGATGGACGAGTGAGAAATCCCGTGCCAAGCAAACTCAAGGGCAAAACGGATGATAGGCAAGGCAATTTTGGCGTTATGCACATGGGAATGGGTGTAGGAGGCAAGAAGAACGAGACACAAGGGAAGGACGCTGCCGCAGAGCGAGATGCTGCTGCGAGAAGAACGAGCGAGAATACAGCGAATCGAGCGAAGGCAGCCCAGCAGGACAAGTACGTAGCACCAAAGAAGAGAGGGGTTGTTGAGGCGACTATGAACGAAGCAGCTCGGGTTGCCAGCCGCGGGTCCCCTTTCCCTAGAGATGACAAACGACAATCAAGACCATTAGCTCCAGATGAGACGAAATTCGAACAGGCTCGACTCCTAACGTTGTTGAGGAGTATCAATCCCATTACCGTTATTGACCAAATATGCAAAGCCGTGGCCTATTTTGGTGGGATACCTGGAGCTCCTCCCCCCGAAGACGGGATATTCCCGGAAAGCGCCAATACAAGAGAGACGGGTGCATTGTTTATAGGTTGGCTTGCGGAAATCTTCCCGGATGTCTCGACTCGCGGTCCAGAGCCTCCAGTACCTCCAGGGGTTTCCGGGGCCTTAGAAGGAGGAGTAAAGGTCCGGCCATCCAAATATCAGGTTGCCCTTTCCGGTGCTGGACCCCCAAATTCGAGCAATGGATACGGATATGGACCAGCAGTCTCTGCGCCGGCTTGGGGACTCCCAAACAATCTAGCTGAGGTGAATCCCCAGGCTCCTAATGTTCCTGAGGCCGGACTACAGAGGGATGCTGGGGTCGAGCAACGCAAGCAGCCGGAACATCAACCACAGCAGCCACAGAAGCCTGAACAACAACCACAGCAGCAACCACCACCGCCGCCGCAGCCGCCACAGCAGCAACAACAATTACCACAACCACCCCCTTCAACTCCTGCTAAACCTCCACAAGATCCTTCAACCGCGACCTCATCTACAAATACCAGTAAACGGGGAAGGGGAAGGCCAAAGGGGTCTACAAATAAGAAATCGAAAGCTGACATCCAGCAAGTTGTTGATAATACTGCCAGTTCCAACTATGTTGGCTCCCAGGGCCAAAATCAGACCACAGCAGTACAGCCAACACAGCAACCAAATGAAGGAGCCAGAGCTACAGATAATACATTACGGCAAGATCAAAATCAATCTAACGCCCAACCGGCATTGAATAATAAGCCACCTGCACCTCAACAAGTGCAGCAACCCTTGTATGCTGGTCAAACATTGCAAAACAGTTCCCAGACCAATCTGCCCAAGCAAACGCCGGTAATAATTGCAGACGAACTTAGCCCTGAAGAGCGTGCTGTTCTTGAAGCCTTCCGAAATCATGGTGCCGAGGGGCTAAGCGCTCTACCTTCGCCCGTGGTATCAGCTATAAAAGGCACAAAATCCTTGTCGGAAGCTGGGCAAAAGCGCAAACGAGCTCCACCGAAGCCTAAGCCAAACCAGTCGGTTCCTGTAAACCCTTCAATTAATAATTTTCAGGTTGAAACTCCCCAGTCTGTTCAAAACCGCCAACAGGTGCAACCCCATCAACAATTACAGACCCATCAGCATGTGCAAACCCATCAACAAGCACAACCGCCTAAGCAAGTGCAAAACCATCAACAGGCACCGTCCCCTAAACAAGGGCAAATACACCAACAAGTGCCACCGGTTGCGCAGAAGAGCACCCCCTTATCTGCTGTTGATAACGACATAGTGATGAGTATTGCTAAAGAAGCTATCCAATGGGCTCCCGCGGACGCTTCTACTCCTACTGGACCACCTTCTAAACGCGCTCGCCAGCGTAAACCTAAGGTACTAAATGCGAATGCAAGTGATCCTTCATCTCGAAATCGAACTGCCTCCGTAATGAGTAGTGCCACTCCTCCAACTCAAGCCAGCACGATTCCAGATTCCACCGCTGCATCTTCACAACAAAGTATTCCTGTAACTCGGCCTCCAGCAGAAGGGCTTGAAGCTCATTATGAGAGGTTTGCGAGCTTTTCGCAACAGCAGAACTTGTCACAGCAACAGAACGGTCGCAGCAACACTCCCGCTGTAGCTCCCCAACATGTAAGGCAGCAGTCGAAACCGTCATCGGCTTCCCAACAAGCCGCTCCAAAAATACCGCAACAGATGCAACACCAGAAGTCTCAGCAGGCTAGTCAGAAGAATATTCAGCGTGAGGACCAGAACGTGATACAAGGAACAGAGGCCAGGCCACAATCAAACTTCTATAACCAACGCAGCCAAAGCACTTCCGCATATAACCAACAGTATCCTTCACATCAGCCGTCACAACTGTATGGCTCTCACTCGGCCTCACCCCAGATGAACAATACCTATAGGGCGTCTGCTGCACATAGTATGGCCCAAAATACGCTGGCTCAAAATACAATGGCTCAGTCATCGCCTCAGTTTTCGCAGGTGGAAAATTCATATAGAACAGCGAGTCCACACGCCATGTCACAGACATCTCCGTCCTTATCACAAGCGGATACTGCCTTCAGGAGTAACAGTGCGCATACAATAGCTCAACCATCACCCTCGTTCTCCCAAGCGGAAAGCACATATAGAACGCCTAGCACACATTCCATGACACAGCCCACCCAGTCATATTCCACTGCCAGATCACATGCTCAACAGCGACAAACGCCCTCAACCCACCAGAACCAATACAGTCAATTTTCCGAGTCTTCTTTCCTCGACCTCCCAACCCTCGAGTCACTAGGCCACAGTGGCAGTGGCGGGAATAGCAGTCTGGGCGGTTTCGGGCAAGGTATGAGCGTTGGGCTAGGTGGAACTTCAAATTCATCAACCTCTCATCGCGCTTCTGGAAGCAATACCAATCTCTATGGTGGCGTTGCGACTAGCTCTGCTCTAAGTAACGCTTTTGATGCCACGGTTGCGAGTGATCTACTGCGGGTTTCCAGGGGCTCAGGGGGCAGTCCTGCACATACGCACCCTCATACTCATGCAACGTACGCAGGAGGAGCGAGTTTTGATACCAGTGAACAGGAGATGCGAGAGCGATTGCTTAGGGGTCTTGGTCGGTGATGGCAAACACGATCAGAACATCAGAACCGTATAATCCATGCCAGTTTTTGTTTTAAACAATGTTAGCGAGCGAGCGAATGCATATACAGCACACTATTACGTTGCTAAACGGGATATCTCGTCGGGCCCAGGAAAAGGGCGGCGCGGCGTTTCATGTGATATCTCTCGGTTGAGTATCATGAGTCTTTTTGATGGATGGATGGATGGATGGATGGATGGGTATAGCGAGTAAATTAAACAGGATGCATAATGAAGAATGGCTTAAACTACTTGTTGTATACGTAACTGTGGCGTCCTACATACATGCTTCGTTACCTACTTAGGGACTTGGGGGCATATAATGAAATAGGGAGTTTTGAGTGGATAAATGAAAATTCAAAATAATACTCATTACAGAGATATCAAGCAAAGAAGGGATGGTTGATACCAATTTCCATATTAACAAGATCCGTAAGTACTGAGCAATTCCAGGATTCGCTATGGCAACTCAACCTCCCAAGAACGATTTCACCGAGCCACATAACGCTTTGCTGTCTCTTTTACATTGGCAATCTTCCCTTCTGGTTTTTTCTGTTATTTTTTTACTTTGAGCTAGTTATCCGTATCATTATTCCTACCCTAGATACGCAAAGCAGAAGGATTTTTGCGAATACCCATCTGTCATGAATTGAAGTGTCTATTAAGTAGAATATCGTTGTAAAAACCGGATTCTCTAATAGTAAGTGGTAATAGCCCTTTTCTTCTTGTATTAGTAGGTGTGAAAAGGCTAGCAAGACTTTGTAGGCTAAGATACACACATATAACACTTTATATAACACTATAAGACCTAAGGAATATATGATAAAATATTTATAAATACTTCCCCTGCCTCTTAAGATTGGAACCCATATTTCCATCTCAATATATAGAAGTAGACGTAGTGAGGTAATAATAGGAACAAATATGATCCAGCACCACCAATGAACTGGCCCGCATAATACTGACATGGCGGAGATTCACTAGCGGAAAAACCTATGGGAAGTATGGAGATAGCACCCCGGATGAGGCGGGTGACGAGGAGGAAGGGGTTATGTAAACACCGTGCTTGGCCGCGTGGCTTATACAAGGTGACATTCATAGAAATTAGCTTGTAATAATGGGAAGCGATGAAGGACTAATGATGTATTAAGTATGACCTATCTCCGAGCTAGGGATGGGCAAGGGAAAATAAGTTGTTGCGCAAGGGAAACATGAAGATGGGTGAGAGAGAGAGTACGGAGAAAACGAATGCAAGAGTAAGTATTAAGCGCTATTGGTAAGGTAGTATATGAGTATGGGTCCTCGCATACAGGAACTTTTAAAAATATTTTTCTATATTTTTTATAAATGTCTATAAGCTTATCAAAAAGCGGTTTCCAAAAGGACACAGTTGTGTTCCTCTCATCGCTTCGTGCTGCCGAGGCAAAACCAAGATATCACCAAAACCTCACCACCAGCCACTATAGCAATGCTCGGACAGCAATACAGTAGTGGCAATCTATACTATCAGAAGCAAAATCACAATATAAAACACTCCGAAGACATAGAGAGGCGATGCCGAATGCCGGAGGCCGAATGCCGGATACTGCTCACGTTTTCTACACACCTCATATGGTGGATGCAACTCTACGGAGCACAAAAAGAGGCAGGTTTGGCACCCCGCATCAACAAGCGCATTTCCCGTGTGGGGGAAATGAGAAGTGCCGATGGAATTACTGCCAACCCCCCTATGATAATCTAATATGCTTAGATTCTACCGCATATGCGTGTAACCATGAAACACGCAAACCGCCCTGCAGCACGAGGGAGAGATATTGCGCACTTAAGATTCTTAGTTCATGAGGGATTTGAAGATATGTGGTGGTCATGGTGGTGATGGTGGGGCTTGGCGTGAAAATGGATTGGGCTCGGTTTTCTTGATACGAGAGAGTTATTTCGCCGTGGATGGTGTTTTGATGCAATGCTCTTCGTATCCATCAAAGCTTTTTCCTCCCTAAGTGTACTTTTCATTAAGAGGCAAGTGAGACGCTTCCCCGGGGTACCACTCGGCCTCGTGCATATGCTTGATGGACAAGGACATGATATTTAGGCAAAACAGCCTCCGTATACTTTGTGATGCGTGACTATGAGGGGTCACCTCTCGATATTCGGCAGCAACCGTGTGGGGGTGGTACAGGTCTGGATTTGAATGGCGCCACGCGCAGCGGTGCAGTTATAACATTTCCATCTATCATATATCCTGGATGTGGTCTGGTAGCCCGCTCGAGGCATCGTGCCATAATGAAGAAAGCCGCTGCCAGTTGCAAGGTCTGGGGGCAGTACTGATTCCACGCTCTATGTTGACGCTTGGCTAGTTGTGTTGTGTTTTCTGCAAAGAGCCGTCGGGGATTCCGCAATGATGCGACATATCAAAGACGCAATTCCAAACGGACGAGCTTCCTCCGCACGCTGGAACTTCGGCGAAATAGGCAGACGCTTAGTATGATTGCGATACCCACAGATTTGTATCACGGGGGACAAACGATGCCCATAGTTCCGCGTATCCTCTGGAGGCCCCCCCTTTTATCTGGCTCGCGTTTCTTTAGACCTTAGGAGGCATGGGTCTGGGGGAGCTTGTTAAATCGATGACACTGGTCTCAGAACTTCCATATATCATATCTTGTGGCTGCCGAAAGAGGAGAAAGGCCGAGATTTCAACGCTACCTCCTATCGCCACCCTCCGACACGTCCTTCATCCCACCTCTCCTTGCGCTCCCTCCGGGAATAGTAGACCTTCTTTGCTTCCCGGTATCTCCTGACCCACTCGACGACTTCTCGCTCCGTAGCAACACCGCCGTCACCTTCTAGAAAACTCTCCTCGTGAGCACGACAAATCATCTCCTGCTCTTGGACAGCTTGACTGAGCCTCTGATAGAGGGATGATGGCGAAAAGGGCGCTAGAGCGCGGTCCATATCAGATTGCTTCTGACGCCATTGCCGCTCTAGCGCATGGGCTGAGAGGAGCTGGGCCTGTGTGGAGGATCTTAAATGCGTGAGACGTGCTTCAAGCTCGTTTAGGTGTGAAGCCAGGGCTATGTTCTCCGTCAAAGCTGCCTGTAAGGGTTCCCGGGCGGCGGTGATCGAAGGGTGGGCAGTTGAGCTTGAATGAGCCAGAGCGGCCAGGAGATCTGGCTTTGTGAAGACATCGGTAAGATCTTGCTTGCTAGAATGATATTGTAAGTTCATCTGTTAGTGGCGGTGGGACAACGTTACCGACGATTTACCCTCCAGCATCTTGGGGAGCCATTGCTCGCCAGGATCTTGAATCTGCTGTGCCGAGGTCACCTCATGGAATCGGGCCTGCTGTGCGGACTGAAGATCTTCAGACCCACGCCCATACATGCCGGCGGCATCTGGTTGCGGTGGAGGGGGAGGAGGTAAGGGTTGGGAGCCAGCAGGCGTGCTACGACGACTGAGACTGATCTCTTGACTGCCGGGCTTTGGCGGCGGTGCCGGCGGAGTATTTGGGTCAAAAGACTGAGAATGGCGATGTGTTTGGTACGGCGGATAAGCCGGTGATGGAGAGGAGGACATGCTGCTCTGGGCGAGTGTGTATGGTATGTATGGTACGGGGTGAGGCCAGGGGAGTCTGGGGACTGAGGGGTACCTCAAGCAAGCAAGATGTCCGTCCTTCGTGCTTCGCAGATGGCAGATGGCAGATAGAAAGGACCAGGATCAGAGCACCACGGGGTTTCACTGGGCAGCTGCAGTGGGAAATGGCCGTTAGGAACCAGAGTCACTATCTGTCCATGTACGGAATCTACTGCACATCGACGTTGGCTATACTCCCGAGGTATGATATGATCGCGAGAGTTGGTTGTTGACTTGTTTGGGGTTGACTTGGGTGACGAGCAAAGCCCCCGCTAGCCTAGAAGAGATAGGTAGCCGTAGCCGTGGCCCTGCCCAAGTCTTAATTCGCTTACATCAGCTACACATTTAAGGGGACGGCGCCTTCCTCTATCCATGGATCCTTATCTACTCGATATGGACTAGCCACACCTTGCCAATGCCACCATGCCGTAAGTGTCCACGCTAGATTTGCGCCGAGGCTATCCCGGCGCCCGGACCGAGCAGCACGGAGAGTCGGAGACTCTGAGGCGAAGGCGAAGGGACGGAAAAACTACGGCGTATTCCATATTCGCACTTCGTACCTACTGTAGGTAATAAGTTCGTACTTCGCCTGACTCCGTGCTCCGGAGTAATCCCGATGGTCAAAGTTCGTCAACCACGACACCCATCACCATTCTCACCTCACCTCACATCGCATCGCAACGTGGAGATGACTCGCTGGGTCGCTGCTGTGGCACGCAGGACAGTGTACGGAGTTTGCTTTGCTAAACGGGTGCGCCACCAACCGGCCTAGCCGCCGTTGATATGATGCTGTGCTAGCTGTGGTGATCGGTCAGTCAGAAGTCTACCTCAAACAGACGCTGTGCCCTTGAACTTCGTCCTGTCCTGTCACCTGTGGGATTGTTTCAGGTGCGAGATTGGGCGATGCTGACTCATGCCACAGCCGTGGAGTCTCGACCACTCAGCGCCCGGAGTCGCTAGACATGATTAATTATTCTATTATAATGGTATAATTATTATTCTTGCCTGGTTGTGGAATGTGGAGGGCTGGATGGGAGGAGGATGTGGAGAGGATTGTGCCATTATGGTGGATGGGGATAGGGATATGAATATGGATGTGGATGGCTGGATGTGGATGCGCAAGCCTCCATACCTCCATCCTCCATCCCTCCATACTCCATACTCCATATTATTCATGACGATAAAACCCGACATAAGGCCCTGACGCCGCTAAAAAGCCCCAACTCTCGAAAAGGCCGAGAAAGCGCCCGGGTCATGCGTTTTCTCGGTCGTTTGGGGACTCGCCGCCGCCGCCGCCGATCGCTCTAGCGGAAACTTGTCCCAACGGGGCAACAAGACGACGACCAAGTTCCAACATCCCTTTGTCTCGCGCAGACAGAGCCACTGGAGCTGGAAGTCTGGAACAAAACAAATAAGCCCTAAAAATAACTCCGCCTGCTGCACAGCACCGTACAGTACAGCACCTTCTGAAGTTTGAGCCTTTCACGCGCGGAAAGACGGGCAAGTATCCCGAGACCGCTTCTCAGAGCCTCTTCTGGCCAATTATGGGCCAAACCGCCGCTTGGAGTCGGGTCGGAAAGACGACGATGGGGATGGTTCAATAATGGGCGTCGGAGCTCGAGATATTGCATGGAGGTACTAAAAATGATATACGTACGCCGTACGGTACAGTACACACCAGAGTCGAGTGTCGGAGGCGGTAGGAGTTCGCACCGTACGCCATGGCGGGCAGTGAGACACCGGTACAGGCACAGGAACCGGCCAGCAAACGGTGCCGTAGGTATATATTACCCAGGACTCATGGAGTTCATGCAGCACAGCAGATGATAATGTATTCTGGACAGGAGGCGAACGTTGTGGTGTCACTGGGTACAACTGCCACACACACACCAACATACACCCGGGCTGGTACAGTATATGATCGATAGTTACAACGTGCCAGGCACCATTACCACTTCCTGACTCTGTGCCTCGAGCCTCGAGCCTCTCCGTAGGTACTAGGTACCAGGTACTTAGTCCCAAGAGCAGACGGAGTACTGAGCAATGATGCGAGTAGCATCCCCCGATTCGGCCATTGCTTCTCCAGACTTTGGCCGCACTGATCTCCACCATGTCATCGGCCGTCTAGCAGATAGGTGGAGAATGGAGACCGAGCCCTGACATCACAATGGCAATGGCAAGGCAAGACAATGGCAATAATGGCAATCAGTGGCTACGGTCGCTCCGCTTGAAGCAATCGTCGCATCCGAAATCAACAGGACAAGGACAAATATAGCCCACGCGTGCGCTCGGCAGTTCGATCGTTGGCCGTGGATGGATAGGCAACCTTCTGGAACCTCATGCGGCTATCTGCTCTGGGGGGGTGGAAGGAGGGCGATGTGCGTGTTGACGGTGTTGTGCGGTGCTTCTCACATCGTCTCGTCTCATCGTATCCGAGTCATCATCCCCATCCGCATCCCCATCGCTCATCCTGGGGTGGCCGGTCGCAGCGAAATTGTCGAAATTGGATTTGCTGTAGGAAGATCTAAACAAGGAACTCGGCCTCATTATTAAAGGGCGCGCCAGTCTGGAGATCCACTCAGGGGGGTGGTGGGGGGGAGTGGAGGAAGCCGCGGGGGCATTTATCCAGCAGCCGGGTCGGTTCTGCCAGATTGGAAAAAGGCATTATTTGGCCGGCTGCTCCTGACTGGGCCTGGCACGCTCAAGCTTCCTACCTCAGTTCCCATCCGTGGACTGGTGGAGGCGTGGACGGGCGTGGGTTGCCCCCTTTGGATGGCCGTACGAGTACGGGGCACTCGTGGACCACGGCGGTGCTGTCGGAGGTTTTATTTTTCTGTGGTCACATCAGGGCCAAGCACTCAACAGTGTCAGTAGTGTATTATCTGTACTCTCCGTACAGAGAGTCGTGGAGGTAGTAGTAGTAGTCGAGTAGTCAGCGAGACCAGCAGTTCAGTTACAGACTGTACAGCACGGTACTTCCGTTTGCCACTCACTGTACTGCGCGGTGCTCTGCTGGAACTGTACTATTGAGCTCGGCGAGTTGCCACGGCGGTGCTGCACTCGCCCACCGATAGGGACTATCTCGGAGGGTTGAGACTCTGAGAGAGAGAGTTTGTCCCTGGGGCCCGGTGGAGTTGATCATGATCGTGGTATGATTGCGCCATTTGCGGAGCGGTGATACAGTACTTTGTAGGCAGGTATTAATTACTGAGGAGTGTATTTGGCCGCCGTGCGCAGAGCCTCTTGTGATATAAGAGGTGTGAGTGAGTCGTGCGTCAGTGAGTGAGTGAGTGAGTGAGTTCTGGTACCCAATACTGTTACTTGTACCTCGCCGTGCTGTAGGCACTGTCCAGCGCGGCGTAGGGTGTATGATGCCGTGTAGTTAGTTTATCTGCAGTGTCGTGGTAGTGGAGCGGTAGTGGCCGCCGTGTCGGTGATACTCGTGTGGTACGGATAACTGGGCCCGGGTGCTCTGCGGGAGCTTTACGGGCACTACGAGGGTTGCTATCTCCAGCACCGCACCGCACAGTGAGTGCTCCGTAGCAGTGGTGACCAGGCGAGTGGTGACTATTCCTGCTGTTACTATGGTTGTTACTGTTACCGTTACCGTTACCGTTACCGTTACCGTTACCGTTACCGTTACCACCTACCATGGTGGTTAACTGGTTACTGGCAACTACTACTACTAACTTGTGGGCGCGGCGGGTGGTGATGCTGCTGCTGATGGGGCCCCCCCGACTCCAGTCTCCAGAGTAGGGCCGAGGCGGTACATTACTACATCTACCTGCTCCGTACACACGTACTGTACACATCCACAGTGCAGTGCAGTACACAGTGCAGTGCAGCGCAGCGCAGTACAGTTGCAGTGCGTGGTACTTCGTCCATGTACTCTACTTGCGCTGCAGAACTCCGTCCATAATAATACCGGGACACTCCAGCAGCTGCTACGCCCACTACCACGCCCACTACCACCTGCGACTACGTGCTCGACTCGGGCCTATCGATCGCCTATCCTACCAACAAACCCCCCCCCCCATACATACGCTCCCCATCACCCATCACCCGTCACCCATCACCCATCCGCCATCCGCATCCGCATCTGCCATCCCATCCTATCCCATCCCATCCTACCCGTACTCTATCCCTCCTCCGTCTCCCAATCTTCATCTTCATCTTCACTTATCCTCATTTTCCATTCCAAATCCCTTCGTTCCTCAACAGCTCTCCTCTCTCCCTCGTCCGCGCCATCGAACGCTTTCTCCCCAAAAACCCGCAGGCGCCACCCAGCTCCTCCAGAACCCGCGTCCTCCGAATATCTACGCCACGCCTCGATTCATCGCCCGCTCGCCTTTCGCTTTGCCTCTGTCAATCCCATCCCTTCTGGGAACTCTCGCCCGGTCCCATTCCGGAACCACGCTCTCTTTGCTATCTCCACCATTACCACCCTGAAACCCTTCTCGCTCTCCTCCATTCCATTCCCATTCCTCGACCTCGTCAACATCCCCATCTCGTCGTTGCGACAACTCCGTCGATATCACCGCCGCCCCGTCCCCCCCACCGTCGCCCGCCAATTCGCGATGCTTGCCTGAGCTTCCATCGTGCGACCGACTTGTTGAAATATATATCTCTCACTCTCTCACACACACTCTCTCTCTTTGCGGGCCTCACGATCGTGGACGGCCTTGCGAAGAGCGCCCGGCTCCTGGACCCTGATATGCTGGATGAAGCACACCTCTCTTCCTTTCTGCGACCGGGTGGCATAGAGGCCAAGCGCAGAACAATATGGATCCTCTTCACATCACCGAATTCGCCTCGGAGCGATACTTCGATAAATTAAAGCAATTAAATCGGAATGCAGAGCAGCCCGCCGCAGCAGGTCCGGCAACACAGAATGCTCCTGAACAACTCCCCGCGCCATTACAGGCGTCGACCTTCATCCTCCCCCTAGGCCGACAACGACAGATTAATAGCGAACATGCTCTCGCCCTCAGACCCAGTGAGCAGAAGAAGCGATCGCTCGGCCATGATCTCACGGCTCTGCGGACGCAGCGTCGTCCGAGCTTTGTGGGGGGCTTTGGGAGTTTGCGCTCGAAGGTCACCACAGTTCATAAGATCCCGTCAGTCCTCGAACAGCAAGAAGAAATTCTGGCTGAAGATCCAACGGCAGCTTTGAAGTATGTCGAGTCTCCATCCCGAGAATGTATACCCCCCTTCCCACGCTGACACTGTTTCCACAGCTTCACCCTGAGCGACCTCTTCCTATCCCTCCCAAGCGAACTCCAAGCGCAGATTATCGCGCCCCTTCCGATACACGATGTACTCAACCTGCGATTAGTGTCCAAGACGTTCCACACTTTAGTCGCTCTCAATGAATCGCCAATTGCGCGCTATCATATTGCGCATAGCCTTCCTGCATACACATTACGATTATATCCGGTACCAGAGCCGCAAAACATCAATCTCCATTACGTGTGTGGCATATGGCATCGGCTTCATGTTGCGCTGAAGCTGTCGACTATGATATCTTCCCAAGCAACGAAAGAAATATTCCTACGGACGACGGAAGTCCAGCGACTCGAGTTCGAGCCACAGCATCAGCGTATGCGTCAACGACTGATGCCCCTTGTTTTTACCCTTTTCCATTTCTTCGAAACGTACCGGGAACTCCACGTCCGCCACCTAACATATGGCGGAACCCCACTTCGACTTCAACCATATACTTTAAACCCCATCGAGTGCGAAGTGATGGCAATGTATGATGACCAGACCCTTCTCAGGGCTCACCAAGTATTTCCTTTAGTAATGTCTTCTTTCTCCCGACGGTTACGGCCACCATCGTATGCTGGACGAATCGAACGATCTTTCAAAGGTTACCTCAAGGATCGACCTGCAGATGAGGTGTACGCAACTATTATACAGGTTGGAGGACTACGCCAGGCACAGAGATTCTGGGAGACGAAGGGTTATAACATCCGACGTGCGGCGGTGGATACGTGGTATGGCTTCGTCACACGGAGCCCTGTCGAAGCGCCACCAAAGTCGAAGTTGTCCATGATAGCCTCGCTCGGACGGAAAAAGCCTACGCCGGCAGTCGACGTAGCGAGCGCGGAGGGAGGTGGAGGACACGCAGCAGAGAGCTGTCGCGAATGGTTCTGCGTGAAACCAGCCTGCCTAGCAGCTCGACGGCGGCACTCGACCGATAACCTGGTCTTCCACAGCAGTCTCGCCGCGGGACCGCCTATGAGTCCTTTGACACGAGAGCAACTTCGAGTGTTCTTGCCGGACCTGCAACATCTGTCCAATATCTGGATGCAAACGGCAGAGGCGCTTATATTGGAAAGGAAGATCGTCCCGGCGGCTCGGGACATCAAGAGAAACCACGTAGTTCTGTTGGAGCTTATCCGCGAACGGGAAGGTGGTGCGGACGGGATGGAGGACTGGGCATCACGCAACACGCCTCCAGCCCCAACGCCAAATCTTAATATAGGGCAGCAGGAGGGCATGGGCTCTTCAGGCGGCGTATCAGACTAGCGAGCATGGCACGAACTGCAGCATTTTCCCGGCGTTACAACAAGATCGGTCTTGTTCCCTTCCATCATCTTGGAAGTTCTTTAATTTTCTCATGTACGAGGTGCTTTTTGCGCGAGAAGAATTATTTTGGAAATCAGGGTTTATATACAGGGGCGTTCCGTGATAAGGAGGTTGCATTTGCCCAAACCGGTGGTTTGTTTGGGTTGGCTTGAAACTACTTCTTGCACAATAGATATTCTCTTATGTTATTTAGCTACCTGGCTGAACTGATATATCTTATGAGATGGAGTTGGGAGGGGTTTTTGGTGTTCCGCATAGGCGGGACAACCGCATGATTGAGACGGGCATATATAGGCCAAGCAACCACCAGGCAAGCTAGGCATAAAAGAAACATCATTATCAACAATATTTTTGCATCATTTCCCGCTAGTGAGTATGATGTGGTAAAAGGTAGGTGTAGAGGTTTATATTATATCTTTACTAGTGCTTACATTTCAGGTCGGTGGAATAAAATGGAGCTCTCTATTCGCATAATCCATTATCATATCTCTCCTTCACTTAGCCCAACCATCGCCTTCCTATTATTCTATTTCTTCCCTAATATACCTTACCACACACACCACTGTCTAATTTCCCAGCAGGACCAAATTGACCCAACATGGAGCCTTCCCCTCAGCCCTTGTGCAACCATAAGCGTCACTCACGCCTGCATGTCTCAACTTCTTTCTATTATTAGGATTCTGTACATAGAGAAAGTTATATTGCGGTCTCATATTTGTGTATTGTTGTGCGTATGATGTATCTACCTAGTATCTAGGGGCGGAATCATGCCACGTGTATTTGTTTTGCCTCCTCTCGCTCGCGAAGCAGGCGGTAGGAACGAGGCACTTCACCCTCTTGCTCTATATAACTAAATTTAAGCAGTTTTCACTTAACAACCGGCAACCTGGCTCAAACGGGAGACCAGCTCGAACGCCAAATACGGACGAATTCCCAAACACCACTTTCTGATCGCAGCTAATGATCCCCGCTTGGGAGAAGCTAAAATCGCAGCTGTTACATTAACCACCGGGTAGTGCAGATTGGACAGGGGAAACGGCCCTAGACACGACTATGTCCTGTCTAGGGGGGGACGTAGAGTAATCCTGGGTGCTCAGGTATCTCGAACCCTTTTTGCCATTTGATTCTCTATTTTTTATATACTTTTATATCACGTTTTGGAGGTACGTAGGCGAGCGCTGGAGAGTGCCCCACTTATCCCTCGGTTAAGCGAGACCAAGGGGGGAGGGAAGGGGGGAAGTTGCCTTTCCTTCCACGTCTGCGTTCTACCCTTTTACTCACCTTCCAACTGTGCCGTTGCAAACGTCCTTTCTCCAATCGCGCAACATTTTAGAACCTCTCTGGTTAGTATTTAGCATCTAACATCGAGACCGTGCTATATATACCTATACATATGCTAATACCGCTTGAAGGTATTCAAGATGCCTTATAAGCCCACTACTCTCGAGATCGGGAGGGATCTCTACGCAGACATTGGGGGTAAAACGGGGCGCAACGGGCAAAGCTATATGTGCGGCTTGGAGGAAGGTAGGTAGGCTTGTATACTAGGCCTTTGTCGAATAACGATTAAGTTTAGCTTTATTTCTTGAGAAACATCCGGATAAGGCCAAGGGTAAAGGGAGCAGTAAGGACACGACTGATGAATTCCGAAGAACACACGAGGTATTCCAAGCGATTGGAAAAAAGGAAGATAGGGATGAGTATGACAAGCTTAGAGGCACACCATTGGTAGATGTGAGGTACTAAACTCCCCGGTGGATGGACTAGTCGGCCGATAGGTGGCCTTGGTACTTACAGATATGGCGAGTTTGGGGGTATCTGAGTGGTCGCTTTGCCGCTTTGAGATGGGTAGGAGATGGATTCGTCTGAAATCTCGACAGTATGGAAACTGTATTAGCCAGATATGGACGAGTTTGAGTAGCAAGGAAGCCAATGGAGCCCACGATCTCCAAATACCGTGTGATATCTTTCTTGGTGGCCTGACCTTCGTAAGGCTCAAGCCCTGTAGCCTCCATTGGGAGTGGCCACGGCTGACGCGTTCTCACCAGTTGATTCGGATGCAGTGTCGGAGGATATATCGGATGCCACCTCAAGAGCTTCCAACTCCACCACTGGCGTCCCTGCTCTATATTCAAGCTTTGTGCTACTCCCCACCATTGAAGAGAGGGGTGGTGTTCTCACTAGGATCCCGAATCAGTTCAAGTTCCCCGAGGAAGACGAGCAGGAGCTCAGTGCAACTCGTGGTAGGGGCCGCCCCAAAGGCTCTAAGCACAAGACCCGTTTGTTGGCAGACACTTCGCTTGGGATCAAATAGGGCAGGGTGCATCTCTCTGCCTTAATTGGCAGCATCTCCTCAACCAATATAATTTCTACAATTAACCATAGGCAACATGGTACGGATCTTATACATTGTGATATCAACGTAAGTGAATTCCCCACGTTGGATGCTGAATACTGACTAGAGGGGTTTTGAGATCTTGGGCGATTGAACAAGTAATATAGTTACCTTTTGACCATCTAACCCAACCGTCTAAAATAAACATCTCCTCTCCCCTTTGCCCTACCTAGAGGCGCCCCATGAAGTACGTTAGAGTGAAGCTGATGAATAAGCTCCCAAACAACATATTCCAGCTTTGTAATTCTGCCCTGCAAGACACCCTCGGTAGCATCTTGGGCGACATCAGGTAAACAAGGTTGACTATCATCCAGGACATTTGTGGAAGCTTGGGGGATGGCCCAAGTTAGATCCCTCCTCAATCTCCACTGTGGCGTTCCCTCCTGGCTTCTTTACTAGCAGCTGCTGTACCATCGCGTAGCATGGTTCTAGCTACAATATAGGTAACGGAAGCCACTTGATCGAAGTCATATCGACGTGTAAGGCTTCTACCAGAAACGTCTATAGAAATATCGGCATATGTAGGTAGTTGGGTGGAGTGTAGAGCCCACTTCCCTTGACATTCTCCTATGTGGTCTCGCTTTTTAACTCAACACTCGTAAGAATTTACTTGTATCTTTCTCAGGTCGATATCATGGCCTTCTCTTTGGACCCTTCAACCCCTTCCACGCTGTTTCGCCATAGTGGGCTTCGATTTGGGCATCCAAACCACCGCCAACATGTATTGCTTGTTTGCATGCTCGGGCCTTTGCAACGACCAGAATATGTCTCATAAAAGTTGAAGCACGTTCATCATCCCAGTCGTCCACAAGGCTAGAAAGTATCTCATAACAGGTCATTGTATCGGGGTTCTCGGCCGTTCCTACCACCCTAACCTCGCTGGATATATACATCTTGATCTCTGCGCCCGAACTCTTGTCCTCGTGGTCTTTATGCCTCCATTCACAACTGCCTCCAGCTTGATGCACGAACTCAGCGCTCGGGGTGATATAATGCAGCTCCTTCCATCTCTCCCCCCATCAGACACTAAATATCCATACGATGCTCCATTGTCCCAAATAATCCGGAATTCCAAACCGTGATAGCAATCTTCAACAGTCAGCCAATCAAGTTACGATTCTGGGAATAATATGATCATAGTATCAAACCTGCGCGGTACTGGCTCATCTAGTCCCTTGGTGCTACCAGGAAATGGATACCCTTCTTTCTATGCGGGTGTAGTAGAGTTCTGAGAGGTTGGTTTCTTTGTAAATAGCGGAGTATGTTTGTAACAAGCGGTGTGTGTTGAGTTTGGATTGATGCAACCGTGCTTGACTGTGATGGAACTAAACTATTCTTTGGAAATAATATATTGGGCCGCCACTAAAATGATGCGATGAGCTAGGAAAATAGTGTACAGGCATTCATTTTGACCGAATCTCTATGGACCAGGCGTCTGCGAGGGTTTTGTTGGATTTGGCTCTCTGAAGATGGAGGAGAAAGGCATTTGTAAAGGGGATATGATTTTCTAGCAGGAGTGGTTGGTGTTTTCTGCATAAGATTGGAGGATGACTAGAGATTGGGTGTTCAGATTCATCCCCTACGCAATTCGTCCAAGGAAGCACCGGGTTTTGGAGGTCTGGTAGCCCTTTAATCAGCCCTCAGTAAAGAAAGGAGTCGGCACTTAGGTACTTTACTCATTTGACTGTTTGGAAGATGGCCATTGGTGGAGTTGGGAGGGGCTGGGGTAAGAGGGGTGGCTCTTATGGTTTGATAAAATTTGATGGGAAAGGGTTGAAATCGACCTTGGTCATGCTTGCATACTATGTACGAAATAGATATCGCCGGGCCTTTTGCGGTCCACCTCCACCTACGGCCATTTGCAGATACGGCAATGTAACTTGAATTTACTGCATGGCAAATATAGTTTGAAGTTGTCTTTATTGTCTTGACTCTTGAGGTGCTTGCCATGAGGAGTTCAAGATATATATTTCAAGATATAAGTTGGCACAATGCCCACCGCACTTCTATCGTATCCGTTTTCGGGTCACTGCCGGCGGCCGGGAGGACTTCGCTACTAATCGAATAAGTATATATATCTAAATAAGAAAAGAGCACTTAACGACAACCTAGCTCTTTAAGACACTCCCCACAAGTGTCACACGACACTCATATCGAAGAGAAATATAACTAGGTCTAGCGACAACTACGAAACGGCAGAGATTAATTGGCTGTGGGCAATGAACTCTTTTGCCATTTTTGTTTTAATTTTGTTTTATTGCAGCCTTTCTTTTCTGCTAGTGTTTGTGTTCGGTTTCCCTTTTGCTTATTCTGAGAGTTGTCGCGCTCGCTAGGATGTGTGGGGGTTTCAATGTGCTGTACCACGTACGGGGTGCATCGATCTTAAACGTAGGAAGTGCGGCCGCTAGCGTAAATATGCAAAGTGGATCGGCTCGTTATGTTCTAATGTCTTTGGCCTATTCAAAACAGTAGCCCTTATGAACCAACTAGCATTTTCAGCGGAGAGTTTGGCCCCACTGGTACCTATATATGCCATTGTATAACGAATGCTTACCGGAAACAGATTTAGAGGTGTATCCTTCTTAGTCTCTTAGTCAACAGGTGTTGTGCACAGATCCTTCTTGGCATAATTCTAAATTAGTCTGTTGTAAGCACTTCGGGGCTGCTCAAACAACGGAAGTGATCTATTAATCTCATTCGCGTAAGCAAATATTCGTCAGATGTCCCGTCAAGGCATCGCGGCCTGGGTACTTGTTCAGCTTCTGCAGGCATCCGCACGAGTTCCCCCCAAAAATCTCTTTCACAAACCCCAATCAGCCTGGCAGATCAAAGTCTCTGGGGCTTTACGGAGTGTACATTATTGGAGCAAAAGTATGCAGCCGCCTGAGGCGCCTTAACAACACTGCTACATGAGGAGGCTGAAAAGCCACAGGTCTTGTTGGCTTCATATGAAATCTCTGAAAGCCGCACCCAAACTAAATAAAAGCCGTAGCTTCTACAAGCCTAACGGCCGGGTGTTTAATGTAGAAGGAAATATTCGTTGACGGACGCCTCGAGCATGAGATGGAAATAAGGTTAGCGAGGAGATGAATAATGGGGGGAAGTGGAGCAAAGGAGAGGATATGGGTCTGATATGAACTCCGTGGGCTCGGTTCACTAGAAGCCTTTCCACCCTCATTCTGCTCGCTATTAGTCCTATTTCCTTCTAGGACCACAATTAAGTCTCCTCCGTACAATTTCCCTCCGAGCTTCTATTGGCCATGTGTTTTCCACGTGCCGTCGCCGATCCTTTACACGCGAGTTCAAGCATGACACACAAGCCGTCCGAGGCGTCCAACCAAGCTTTAAGTATATTAGAATGAATGCCGGGAACAGAAAAGCGGCGCTGCAAATCTGGTGGAGAATAGGCATCCTCTTAAAAATATTAGTCTAGTGCCTACGTACCTAGGGTAGTTCTGTTCAATCGCTGGTTTAGGATACTGGAGGCATTTAGCTAAAACCGGCATTTTGGAAGCTCGCCTTTTACCTTGTAGCAAAGGAATGCCCCACTACGTAGCAAACCTAGGATGTTATTGGGGGAATTAGTCTTGGTGAGGTCGGAGTGCCGTTTTGCTCCGTTTTTGATCGTCCAAGGCGAGAGTGGCGGGCTTTTGAAACGCCACGCCATGGACACCACAGGGTTGAATCTATTCTTAGCACCAGCCAATGCCCGAAATCCCCATGGTTCCGGAATGATTGTTCAAAGGGCCCATTATTATTCAGGCCTTACATTACCACCCACATCCATTGCCAATGCTCTGGCCCTTTTGCATTCGTGATGTTCAGCCGCTGCTCTTCCTTCCCTTTTCCTCCCTCCCTCTCACGCCCACCATCACCCTGCGCCACAATATATATATGCACATGTACAAGTACAACGAATATACCCGCGATCACCTTGAGAGCCGCCTGCAATCCTCCTGCCGTTGCATCGCCAACAGGCTAACGCCCTACCGAGATTCCGAGCAGCCTGAATAGCAACTGCGAATTCGGTTCCACCCTCGCGCAGCTTCACCTTGCTCAGTCCAGACGCAAACATCGGCAGCCCGACCCCGCATGGACTGACGGCCCCTCGAACACTCAGAAGTTTGGAAGGTGCATCGAGAGCTTACTATGGCTCTCCCTTCTCCCTCAAGAGAGCATTTCGAGCCCGACCAGCTGTCGGCGACTGCTACGACAGCGGTTGACCAGGCACCCGCGCTTTCGTCATCCAGTGCTTTGGCTCGATTCGAATTCGAAGCCGGCCGAGGCAATGAGGGGACAAAGATCATCATGGTAGAGTGGGAGGACGAGAATGAAGGCGGGGAGGCAAATACAGGTGATTGGGAGGTCTCATGGGAGGGTAAGAGTACAGTGCTGTCCGCAAGGGAAGGAGCCGAAGGCAAACTACACCGGATATATTTTCTGCTGGCACCAGGAGTAACCGTGCCACGGATAGTTAAGCTGGCACAAAGAGGAGGGAAATCCATGCAGACCAATCCGTTGCCAGCTATCTTCCCCGCCGAGTTGGGCGTCAGTGCGACGACGGCGGGGAAGAAGGGGGTGCTTCATACAGTTTACGCCAAAAAGCGATTGTCCGTCCTGCAAAAAGAAATTGAAGCCGAGATGAAGAATGGAGAGGGTGTGGGGCTGGAAATGGCGATGCAAGAGAAACAATGGATTGAAGAAAACTTTGGAGTTGGAACGAAGGTTATCCCTGATTTGCAATATACCACATCGCCTACGAGTCCTAAATCTCCTGGAGGCGGCCGTTTAGCAGAGAAATTAAAGGGTTTGAAGTTAGGTACCAGCGCCTCCGAATTGAGCTCTCCATCAATAGGTATGTATGTTTCCTCTTATGCTTGGATACTAGCTGAACAGAAGATAGACGGATCGTCCGGATTAGAGCATCGTTCTTCCCATCCTCTTTCCCCAGAGATGGGCGATGTTGCCGTGTCCTCCTTTGCGCTTTTCCACAGCGCGACAGCCCCCCGTCCGTCACGGGTCGTTGCGCAAAATCCTCCAGAACACCTATTAGCGAGACAAGGCGACGCATGGAATAGCAATCGGATCAACTCGCTAGATGCCGTTGCTGGTGGGCATATCCCACCAAAGGACGATAATACAACGGAAGATGACCTCTTCGCTGTCAGGATGAGCCCTCGAAGCCCTGAGATGACTAAGAGCCCATTCAGTTTCGCCGCGAAAGATACGGCGCCTTGGCTGAAAAGTAACGAATGAATTGATGGTTTAAGGAATGAGTTATATGGAGTTTGGCTTGGGCTAGGGGTTGAGTATTGATGACTGCTCAGATAATGGCTTTGCATTGGGCGGTAGATTTTATTATATCACGCTCGCTCTCTTATGTCCCTCTTAGAGGTATCTTACGATTTCTCAGGAAGATCCTGTCCTGTATATCAATCAGATACCCTGCACATTGATTGGGTCTGGCCATTTGCGGAGAAATGTTGTCGCTTGGGTCATGCTGGCTATATATTAGCATCCGACAGAGCCTAGGAAAAGACGAGCTCTTGATATATCTTTGACGAAGTTCGTTGGTCTACCTCCGAGATTTTGCTACTTTACGTAATTCCATTTCGTGATGGCAGAAGGGCGCAACCAGGCATCCTTGGAAACACTTCCCACCTTACAAGTAGTTGCCGGGCCTTTACAGATACTGTATCTGCATAATTTCCCTTCTATTGTAGTCCAATAACAAGCATTAAGTAGTCGCTGGTTACAGTTCCATTATCGTCATGTATAGGCCTGATCGATAGCTACGGTCCGGCCCGCTGCTTCAATACCCTTCCCTGCATGAGAACGTAGAGACTAGAAGCACTAAAAAAGTGGAAATAGCCCCTAAAAATGGACTAAGGGGTTATTATACTTTCATGTCCCTTTCTCACAGAAATCCGATTTTGCAAGGCTGTTTCGTTACCTAACCCCCCCTTGACCGTCACAAGTCTATATGCTTTGAGTTGCTTAAGGTTTAAACATCGTTTACACTACTTGTAAATCTTATACGATACGAGCAATTTAGTAAAAATATATATTTCATTTATCATCCCTTAATTGCTAGTAGGAAACCGCCGATATCAACGCCATGTCCATAACCCCTCCTATGTCGCTATGCTTCATTCGTGGCATCCATCAATTATAATGCCATCATTCCAGGTATCAGTCATAAGTCAAATCCGCCACGCTCCTCATTGCGGGTATCCTCAGTATTGTAATGTAATGCCGTTGCGTCTTGTGCAGATTTGCCCTCTGCTGATATTCGTACTCATACAAAAGGAAAACCCAAGTAATCAAATAAACCACCGCCAAAAAACTGTTTGATAGTATCGTACCCCTTCGCCGATTTGCTTTGAATGCACGGTCAATTGGGCTGGGAAGGTGTCTGGTCAGGGCTCGACGATCCATGGCTCAAGGTCGAGATCGCTAAAATCCGTTCCTTCTTCTTTCTCGTACTTGCGGCCTGCCAGGGAATAAATTAGTTCCAGGGGTCCAAGGCGTGTAATGTGATGGACAGGGAGACTGCAGGATCTAGGGGGTTAAATGTGAAGGAAGTAATTGGTACTTACTGCTACGCTTGGATTTCTTCTTATTAAGGGTTTTCTTAGCCTCGCGCACTTGCATCGGCTCAGGCTCCGGCTCTGGCAATAGTTTATTGTATTCGTCCTCTCCAGCCAAAGCCACAACGAGGGTTTTAAGTAAGTCCTCATGCACCTTCTTTTTAGGCACGGTAGGGCTACTCATATATTGCGCAACGGCTCTCTCATACATTACCAATTCGTGATGGGTTGGGCTTGATGGACGAATGGGACGAGCTAATTTAAGTGGGCGGGATACCTCTCGAGAAGGTAGAGTTATTGATTTTGGTTTGGGAATTTCTTTGGGTTCCATCTTGAGTTCGTCCTTGGGCGCTTCCCTGGGCTGAGTAGGGATAATAGGTGATCGGCGTCTGGCCTTGGTTCGTTGCATTGCCGGCGCTATGGGGCGGCCATTAGCTGCTTGAGTTTGCTCGTATGCGGCGTTTGCCCGGCGGGCCATTTCGGCTTGGTAGGCTGAAGTAGACGGGTTGCGAGAGGGACCGTAAACATTCCTAGCTGGCTTTACCTGAGCAGGGTCTGTAGGTGATTGCTGGGCGTTGCTTCGCTCCACTGCTGCTGCCGCTTTGTGAGCCTTAGCTGCTTCGGCCTTCTCGAACGCGGCATTTGCTTCGTTGGCCATTTTGGTTCGATACCATTCTGTCGTTGCTGCAGAGGAAATACGATTAGCAACATGTCCCATCTTGATACATGAGACGGCGTACCATTGATCGCTTGTTTTCCACTCGTATTCTTTCTTCCGATTGCAGGTTTAGCTGGCGCAGCATGTCGAGAGGGCGGGGCTAATATCGTTAGCGGGATCCCAAGAGACATCAAGCTTGCGTATTACCCTTTGTTAGCATAATTGAGGTGTTGATGGGCTCTGTCTGAAATGTAACTCGGCGAACAGCCTCTTTCTGGACCGGCACATTGTTCGCAGTATCTCTCTGAACCGGCACATCGTTGACAGCATGGCTCTGGACATGGATGTTGTTAATGATATCTTCCTGGGCCGGGATGTCGTGGACGGCAACTCCCTGGGCTGCTGTTTTGTTACTGGATGCTCTAGCAGCTCGTCTCTTAAGGACCCTGGCCCGAGTACCGGCGTACCATACCGCAATGGCCTCATCATCAGCATGTCTTAGTTCATGCAGTCTACCCATATTAGGTTTGAGGGCTGTCTTGTCAGCTAACCCATTCTTTTTAACCCACCGAGCTACAGTGTCTTTGGGGTCCATAGACGTGACGTGATATTGAGGTCCATCCCAAATTTGGGAGAACTGTGGGAAGCTGACATATGATGAGACGTTGGAGGTGTCTGATGGGCATAGTTTGAATTCAGCAGTGATATCTCGGCGTGCCATGAGAGGTAGCCCGAGCTCCTGTAGTCCCTCTGCAAAGTTCAATTTCGGTACGGCCTTGGTTGTATGGGTTTGTTCGATTTGCTTCACCTTCGTCTCGTGGCTGATCATAGGGCGTCCATTTCGAGTGAGGACAACCTGGGGTGGTGAGCTAACCGAAGATGCTGGGCGCTGATTCTCAGGGATGGAACATGGACGATTCGGATGATGATTGTTGGGCATTGTCGGAAGTTCCGAAGAAGCGTCGAGACCAGATAAGTCCTGATGAGCTGCTTGAGTTGTCAAAGACATATTGTGTGGGACTGGACTATTGACTTGATGAGCCACCACGGCAGTGTCATGAGGAACTGAAGTCGACGAGTTGACGCTGGAGTTTGAGCTGTCGCTTCTGCCGCCAAAGCGTGACGATATGGAGGGGGTAGCACTGCCAATCGATGAGGTTGAAGTTTGTGGAGAGTGTCTGTATCTAAACTTGATGCCGAAGACTGGTTCCTTCCACGGCTGAATAAGACTGCGGGGAGGCTCTCTCTCACCAACAATATCGCCACCGACTCTGTCAGCCCAGGTTTGGTTATCGTGATCTGGCTCATTAGTTGATGTAGAGTCTGGCAAGCTTTGAAGAAGCGTCAAGGTGCGCTTTCGCTCAAACATGTAGATCGCCCTTCTCCCCACACAGAGACAAACAAGTGTGTCCAAAGTTGGATAGCACGCATACCAGGAAGGAGATCTCCAAGAGAGCCATGACTGCTTCGTATATTCCATTTTGCGATGTACTTCGCGATCAGAGGCTGCATGAGCGCGTCCAAATAAGCCGGGAATTGGCATCTTGAGAGCTGAAGTGTATCAACCAGCCATTGAGGTTGGCAATAGGGGGCGAAGGGAGATGAATAAGTGCAAAGGGTAGAGGGAATTGTAAATCAGGATTGTTGTGGATTGTTCGCTGTTATATAGCAAGAACGTTGTTGTGCTGTTGTAAAGTCAAGACGCGTTGTTTTATCTTGAAAGGTGAAGTCGACTGCGGAAGCAAATGTGAATGCTATAGCAACAAAAGCAGTGACGAAGCGAGCGTCGCGCTCTGGCTTGTGATTGTTGCAATTCACTCGCGTAGCCTTTTCTCAGTGCCATCTAGTATTCAAGTGAACATAAATTTCCTATTTAGGGTAGTGAGAGCTGCACAACGGCATTGTCCAACTCAAAGCGCACACGACACATAACTTTGCAATACTTTATAACACACGTTCACAATTCAGGATCAGTTCGAATAAACAGATCAATGGAGAACAATGCTTGAAATAACTGGTGCAATCATAGGTCATTATAGATATGTGAAAACTTTTCTAATGTTCAACCCTGGTGTTTTCTGCGATCCACTTCAAAACAGCAACTAAACAATTAACGAGCTCGAACAATAACGCAATTTAATAAAGAGCTGAGATCAATGAGAAAGACAAAGGAATGTCTTTTGAAGCTTGAAGGTGCAGGAGTGGACAGTTGATAGTGGGGCTCTCTGACTTAACGTTACTTTTGGAGACTGATGGCTTCAACAGTATGAGTTCGATAAGAATGATCACACATCACGGCTGTTATAGGCATCACTAGACATCTTATGGTGTTCCAAAGCTACGAGTATCTCAAAGAACTTAGAGTGATAGAGCCACGACAATGGAGTGCAAAAACCATCATGCTGTCCAATCTATCTCGAAAGGGGCAATCTGACTAGCGGACTCCACGCCAATCGAAATCGACTAGGATTATGGTGCAGAAACCAAAAGCTGCCAGCGCTTCGAAGAGTATACCTGGGTAGTTACGCAGGATCATAATTGTCGAGGGAATTGATGATTTAAGACTCAAGGATGGTTTGAGGGGGCGGCGGAAGACATGGGCCACACATATATTAAATAGATGGTCGGGTACAGTTCCATGGGTTCTGATGGAGATTCACGGTCTTGAGAATGTTGATGAAAGATGTCAAGTTTCATTGTTCTTGTTCTTGCTGTAGAATACTAGAATACCTAGGTAGGAGGTGAAAGAAGGCTTGACGTTGACGTTGACGCTTACTAATCGCCGATTGCGCACGTGCAGGGGAGTTATCCACCTTGGAGCTTGAGCTCCTCCCGACTCTCGTAGCAAAGGAATATCTGAAATATATAGGTGCCAGCTTAGGTGCGGCACGCCGTTGATTTCAATACTCGCACAAGGCAAGGCAACTCCATCCACAGCCATGTCGGCCCCGCCGAAATACATACTGGTTTCCCTGCCGACCTCGATTTCCCCAACGAACGATAAAGAGGAAGCTCTCACAGCCTTACGATACGCCGTATCCCCAGACAATGGCCCTGTTGCCCCCTTCAGAATACCCGAATTCAAAATTGGGACGCTGGATGCTCTGGTGCAGCAAGCAGATGACCTAACAAAGCTCGAGAGTGCATGTCAAGGTGTCGTAGCTAAGGTTGGCGATTCGCTGCGGATATTATTAGAAGGCGATGAGGCGAAGATAACCCAGCAGAAGACGGTTAATGATAGTAGGTCTACGTGTGGACGATCTGACGGAGGACTGCGACTGATGAAATATACAGAGCCTGCCGACCAATATCTGCGGACCTTTTCCTGGAATAAGGTCAAATACCGTGCCGATAAGCCTCTTGCGGAGCTTATTGATTCGCTGCAGAAGGTTTGTCAAGCTCCAGTATCGTCTGGATCCGACTAACCCCTTGCTTCAGGAACTCGCGAGCATCGATAATGATGTCAAAGCGAAATACAACCAGTATAACCAAGTCAAGACCAATCTCACAGCGCTCAAGCGGAAACAAACGTTAGTACATCAAAGCAAATAAAGAACTCGACATTTATTTGACAATGTTAAACAGTGGAAACCTCTCTACAAAATCTCTTACACCAGTTGTTGATCCTTCGATATTAATACAGGACTCCGAATATCTCGAAACACATCTCATTGTTGTCCCGACAAATTCCAAGAAAGACTTCCTCAAAAGTTACGAGACGATTTCGCCAATGGTGGTGCCACGATCGTCAGTAGAGGTTACTCATGACGACGAATTTACTTTATTTGCGGTTACAACATTCAAGAAGCACAGCGCAGAATTCCAACACAAATGTAGGGAGATGAAGTGGACGCCAAGAGATTACAAGTATGTGGAGGGCGGGAAGGAGGCGGAACAGAAGGAGGTAGAGAGGGTGGGAAGAGATGAGCGAAAAATTTGGGGCGAGGCGCTGAGGTTGGGGAGGACTGGGTGGAGTGAAGCTGTTATGATATGGATCCATGTCCTCACACTGCGAGTATTCGTCGAGACCGTCTTGCGATATGGACTGCCCTTGGACTTTGTTTGCGGTTTGGTCAAGGTATGTGGACTGTTATGGAGGCGGTAGTAGAATGAACTAACACCGTGAAGACTACCCCTAAATTGGCTAAGCGGGTTAAGGCGAATTTGGACGCTAAATATTCATACTTAGGAGGAAATGCATTTGGGCGGGACACCAAGGGTAGAGTTCAAAAGGACGATTCTGCATTGTCATCGGAAATGGCAGCAGCAGGTGTAGGGGCCCACGGAGGAGAAGGCAGCGAGTACACTGCCTATGTGTATTACGAGTTCGAGGTCGTATAGATATCATGAGTGATGAAAACTTTTGATTTGGCGCATTGGGTGGAAGCATTGCAGTAGTGAATGAAAGGATCAGGAATCTCAGCCGGCACCAAAAACCCAACCTATCCCATCATCATATCATGAATTGATCTACTCTAGGCCCCCTGTTCCTATGCCTTAACGGCAGGAACCAGCTTCTTCTCCAACAAGAACTCCATAATCTTCTTTACCGAGTCCTCCACACTCAACTCATGGCTCTTGATATGAATCTCCGGCGACTCAGGAGCCTCATACGGGGCACTAATACCCGTGAAATTAGGGATCTCGCCAGCACGTGCCTTCTTGTACAAGCCTTTAGGGTCTCTCTTCTCCGCCTCTTCGACAGGGATATCGACGAAGACCTCAATGAATGGTAGGGCCTCGTCATTGCCCTGGGCAGCAGCGGCGTGCAGTTCCCGCGCGATTTTGCGGTCTGCGAGATAGGGGGAAATGAATGATGTTATGGCGATAGTGGAGGAGTCAGCGAAGAGTTTCGCTACCTGGACCTTTGGTATTAGCCCTGCCTTTGCACCTATACAAAACCACAACTCTCCCGTTCTACTCGCTAGATCCTAACATGTAGGAAACAAGTAGGGCTCACCTCCGCAATCCTCCTAATATTCTCATTGCGATCCTTCTCCGAAAACCCCAAATCCTTATTCAATCCAAATCGCACATTATCCCCGTCTAATCTATACGCGGCCAGGCCGAGGTGCAGGAGATGCTGCTCGAGCGCGGTTGCGATGGTGGATTTTCCCGAGGCGGAGAGGCCGGTGAACCAGATTGTGAAGCCGCGCTGTTTGCGCAATGTATTGCGCTCGTGGCGCAAGAGGCCTTCGTGCCATGTTATGTTGCTGTTGAGGTATTAGTATCGGCGTTGTAATAAGAGGAAGTAGGAGGTGAGGTTGGCTATGGTGGGGTTTGGCGGGGTAGGGGAACGGAAAGAAACGCTTGGACATACGTGGCCATTGTATTGTACTTTGGTAATATGTGCTGAGAGAGAGCTGATTATGGACAGAAATGAGCGATATGAGAAGGTCTATTATTTTAATCTTCTTGTGGCCAGAAAACTGTTTTACTTGATGCTAAATGCTGAATCGCTCCCAAGACAAATGGGGACAAAAACCTCAGACCCGCTTCGATGTCGCAATTCCACGTTCAGGGGTATTGAAAACTCCCCAGAACTTTAAACTGACACACGACGTCACGTGCATCTTGCATTTGAAATACAACCTTGGAAGGGTTCTGATATTTGGAATCTAGCAGGGTAAAAGGTCGGGTTAATTGTAAAGTGCTTTTATGTTTGTAAACTCTAAAGGCTAGCACGGAATTGGAAGCCTAGAAGCGGATATTTATGAATCGGGTTATTATAGGGTAGTTTATGTATACTACATCTTCAGACCTTCTACAAACAGAACTCGGAGTGACTATACCGTTCTATTCCAAATCGGTGGTTATTGTACAAAATCCAGGCCCTCTATCAACCTCGTTTATGGTAGTCTTCTATGAACTCCCATCTAGAAGATAGATGCTGCCATCAAGTCGGAATCTCTATATGCATGGAAATCTAGGGTGCGACGATCCCGGGCTGTGCCTATGTTTAATTTTCGAACCGGTTATAAATTCATTTATTGGACTGGGTATATTCTTGCCATGTTCTTGCCTGGTGGTCAGCGTATCGGTCACATACTTCTTAGTCAGGATCGAACTCACGGCAGCTTGTCTTGGTTCGATGAAAAGCGCAGATGCTTCAACCAACACAGTAGGTTTCTCTCCCTCTCCCACAAGCGTTTCAATATGGCCTTCAACCCATGCCTTCCTTCCCTCGACCTTTGTAGTCTTCGCTCTCAGAACAACAAAAGTGCCCGCCGGCGCAGGGGCCCGATAATTGATATTGAGATTGGCCGTCATCCCAACCTTATTCGGCAGAGCGCCAAAGCAGCACCTCGCCAGCCCCTCATCCAGTAGTGTAGCAAGCAAGCCACCATGTACAATCCCCGGATGTCCACATAGCTCATCGCCCAGATAGGTTATTGAAACAAGGCTCTTCCCGCCCTTCTCACTCCAGACAAAAGGCGGGACACCAAGTCTTCCAGGTCCCATCAGCGTCCCGGCAGTGAGATTATGTGATTTGAAGGATTCCGGAACCTTTAAATGAGGTCTTGATTCCGAGAACTCTGGCCGTAATCGGAGTTCTGCCGCTACTGGATGGGTTTTTATGAACTCGTCGATTTCATGCGCTCGCTCATCCTCAGGTATGTACATGAGAAGGGTCTCCTCGTCTGTTGGCGGATTCATAATGCCATTTGCGGCTTTGAATGCTGGCACTGCTGCCATTGCGAAACCCGAGGCTGTGAAAAAGAAGGCGATTGCAAGGAAGCCAAAAGTTCGTCGAACGCGGGATTTGGGTGGTTGTATAGGGAGTGCGGCTAATGCGAAGAAGTCTAGTTAGTATTTTGGTTTCTATTTGAGAGAGAAAATACTATACCGTCTGCAGATTGTAGGCGTGTTCTTGTTGAGAATGTCCTGGGAAATATGCCAAAATTTTGATGAGAAACTGTCCCCGAGATTCCCGTAATACCTCCCCTGCCAAAGGTGTGGAAGCCGGCACCGCTCGACCGCGGCACTACTCGGCTTAGCAAGAATAACATCGTAAAGTTATGTTTTAAGGCGAATGGGCGGTGACACGCTGGATTGCGTGGGTGGTGGGCCTCGAATCTAGGGGCAAAGACGCGGAAAATGATCGGTACGACAAGGTAACGTTATCGGTGCTGGTGCTGGTGCTGGGTTTGATAGCCTCGGCGCGGTGTATACAATGTCCGATCGCTTTTGGTTTCCGGGCACGTGCGAGGCACCTTACGGAGTACTCCGTTGGTACGAAGTACAGTATCTGCATTTGGGTTATTGTTTTATTATAAGTCAAGGATGTTGTTGATTGGGTGGCAGAACAAAGGCGGTGACAAACGCAGGGACGTATTGTACCTAGGTACCTTAGGGAGCTATCTCAACACACTCACCGTCTACTCCTATGACGTGCGCTCCAAGAATAGCCCATTCAAAACCTATTGTGCTTTGTCTCTGCTTTGACAAAGGTTATCTACTGATCCCTCGACTGCAGGGTGCTTAGCCGTTTCTATTCGTTCCGGTCTACAAATGATAACCATATGGTTCACTATAGACGTTTTTGATCCTGACAAGGCTCATCCGACTACGAGTGGTTTTCCCAAGTGAGATGAGATGTCTGCGGATGGTAGCTTGGTGAAAGTAACTTGCAGCCGTGAGTGATATTGTAGATAAAGGGCAACTACAAGGAGAAAAGGCGAAGTCAAGGTGATATTTTGGAGGGCTGAGGGAGACCATCCAAGCGACCCCTTAACATTACCTTATGGCAGGCACAGACAGGCATGAGCACAGGCAAACGACGCAATACAGGTTAGGGGTCATGGTGGTCGACGTCATATGGCAAACGAAACGTATCCAGGGCCCAGATGCATCCTGTCATTTTTAGACATGGACATGCCTCACCTACTGGCTCTTGAAACGTCGGGTGACTGCGCCATTGAGCAGCAATGTTAGAGATCATGCCATGACGGTCCCTTATTCCAGGTTGTAGTAGTTTAATTATGGTACTTACGGACGTGGGGACAATTGGTGTAGGTACTAAGTAGGTATATTTCAAGGCTGAGCTGTGTTACGACGTTGCTATTTGTCTTCCCCGCATCAGGGAATAAATATCTTGATCTCGTCCTCAATTATTAATCCCAACCTAAACTCAGAGAGACACAACACATAAACCCATTAACGCACATCTAAAGCATCGTCATCACAGCCTCATCTACAATTCCCGAGAACCTCTCCAGTCATGGCCACCGCAGAAACCGTCGAAATAGGCCTGGCTCATCCTCCAATGTATTTATCCCCGTAACCGCCTCAGTAAAGCTCGCAACTAATCTCGAAGCGCCATAGGGAGGACTCACTCAAGGCTTTCAGTGAAATCGAAGTAGATCTCAAGAAAACCCTCCAGCATCTGCGCCACTCCACAGACAGCAAGCAGCCCCCTTCTATCCCTGCTATCTCTCGACTTTCATCTAACTAAGAAATTCCAGAACACGAGCCTGAATACTTCCAGGCAGTGTCCAACCTCTCCGACCACCAACTGACTAATTTCTCTCGTTGGTCTCCCTCCCCCTTCCTCACCTACAACTAATCCCCCAAATCCCTTTACTGACAAAGCAATACAGCGAGCGATTTGAAGGAAGTCCGCCTCGCAACCTCCGCCTACGGCAAGCACCTCTTCGGCAAAGTCCTCCTGCCCGATTCCCAGAACGCGTACTTCATGTTCCGAGCATTCATCCCAGGTGATGCTGATACAGCCCGATTGCATTGTATCCATCTGGAGGAGATCGAGAAACCTGATGGAGATAAGGTGTTCAAGGCTATTTTCGGGAAGGATGATAAACTAGAGTGGTTTGATGTTTAGGTTGGGCTTGAACCTAGCCTGGGCTTGGGAATTTATGATTTCTTAGGCTAGGATCGGATATAGGACAGGCGTACGATTCTTATGGTGGGATGGGGTAATGCGGCATCGGAGGTCACATAACTTTTTATGACTATGAATGGAGCTTTTGATTGTGCTATTTCTGCCCTCTTGTTGGAAGCTTCCTGCACAACATGCATTACTAGGCTATCAGTGTATGGCCCTACACATCCTCATCGTCGTCATTGTCCAACATCTCAGCATAATCCTCCATCGACGCAAACGTAGGCAGGCTCTTAAGTTTGCGTCTCTTCTTCCTGCTGCTTTCCTTTGTATCTTCGTCCTTCTCAGGCTGAGCAGTCTGCAACTCCTTCGAAAACAAGGCATCCTCATCCTCATCGTCGGACGCTGCATCTGCTTCACTGCCAGAGACGAATGCTTCGCTAGCATCCGAACCAGCCATATCAGAAATATCCTCATCTTCATCCACATCCATAAGCTGCACACCGCCATCATCAGACTCGATATCCACATCAGAAACTTCTTCTGCATCCGAATCGTCCAGATCCAGCATCTCCATATCAGAATCGTCACTATCGCCTTCCACCTCTGGTCTTGACTCGACCAAGGCTTTCCAAATCTCATCCTCATCTTCAGACCCTTCCTCCCCATCGTCCCTTTCTTTAGCAACCTTCTGCTTTCCAGCCTGTTTCCCTTTACCAATCTGGCTAAAGTATTTGTGGAAGAAAACCTCATCCACAGCAACATCCTCGGCTTTCTTGCGCCAGAATGCCTCGGTGTTGACTGGCTGAAGCGAAGCCTGTGCAGATTTATTGGATAGTAATATGCCTTTGTTGTCGCTGCCAGATAGTGGTTGCATGATAGAACTTCCCCGAGGCTTTTCCGCGACTGATTTCGCATTTCGGTAGACAAAACGGTCAAGGAAGGCTGAGAGGGTATGAGAGGTTAAATCTGGCTTGGGTGGCATTGTCTCGTTGTTCACGAGGCGGGATGCAAATAAAGAGACCGACGGATGAAAGTGCACCAAAAACGGAATCTATGTGTGTTAGAAATTTCAATGGGATTCGGATGTGTGTTATCTTACAGATTCCCATAAACAGCTCTTATCAGCATTGCTATGTTCAGGATCTCGCTTTCGGCCATCATAAGCCTCAACTGGCTTCGATTCTATATTTTGTTCCTGTTCGGGAACATTAAGATCTTCATCTTCGGGAACATCACGGAAAACTTCTTCATCGTCTTCATCGTCCGCTTCCGGATCGGTGAGTAGGGTCTTGAGACCTGGGAAAGTGGTTTCGAGCTCTCTCAAGAGGTAAATGATACCACAAATAAATGGTGGCTGATGTAAGGTTACGATTTGTAGTAACCTCTTGGCAAATGCCTTGACGCGCTTTATACTCAGATCTGCCCTCAGGGCCCTAAACAAGAGATTCAGATACAAGGCATGCTTTGACGAGGTTACCAGTCGCGGGTCGAGGAGCGATTCGTATAGAGTTCTATAAAATCTGTCCACCGAGAGTTGCTTGGAGGTGGCTAGTTGCTCTATCAGCATCAATGCCTGAATACTGGTGTTGAAGTTCGAAGAATGGGTGATCCGGAAAAGCGTGCCCATATGCTTCTCAAGACTATTTTAAAGTTAGAAAGGATACCTACAGTTGCTGGGTAAGGGACTTACGAGACATCATCGGCTTTCGAAAATGGAAAGGCTCGATTGACACCGGTCAAAACTGCTGAAATCATCTTCTCCGTCGTCTCTTGGCTAGCCGACTTTGCCTCTTCCTCTTTAGCAGCCTTGTCTTTTGCTTTTTTGCCCATGGGAGCACCACCACCCTGTACCTGCCCCTTCCGATTTACCACGGGACCGGCCTGTAGGGCTTTAGGATCTGGCTTTTTTAATAGCGAAACGAAAAGTTCAAAGTAGATATCTAGTAGCTTTTTCGCAACCTCATCCTCTGTAGCACGTAGTATCGTCTGATTCAGGGTGTTGATGGCATAGTATTTCGCGTGTGAGCTTTGCCCTGGTCGTAGGAGAAGTTCAGTCTCGATGGATGCAATGATGATTGGTTTCATTAACGGGTGGGAAACCTGCAATTGAAGAAGCAGATAAGATGTACGGGATGCAATCTTCTTGTCCGGATCTCCTAGTTTGTTGACTAGCAGCCGAAGCAAATTTGCCTCTTGTTCCGGCTTGTCTTTCAGAAGCTCGTAAACGTAAGTCACAGCTCTTGATCGAGCATATAACACCTCATCATTGCACCAACCCTCGAGAACCTTCAGCATATCGAAGTACGCCTCCTTTAACCAATCCTCAAAGGCCCATGAGATCAGAAGTGACTTGGTAAGGTTTCCTGGAAGTCGCTGCCCTAGTTTCCAACTAGCCACTGAGTTTTCTTGCAATGTACCTAGAAGGCCAGGTTGGCTCGCAAATGATCGAAGGCGCCTGTCAGAGGGTAAAACAACCCCGCTGCCCAGTAAATCCTTCAGAGCTCCTAAAGCGTTAACAGCCTGGGCGCGACTGCGTTTCTTAGCCAACACCAGCAGGTTTTCAAACGACTGCGTAGTATGAACGGGGGACTCTTGGATAACCAGAGTTAACGCCGAAACCTTGTCGGATAGTGTTCCGGAAGACATGATTGTTGAGAGGAATCGGTGTGAAGATGAAGAAGAAAGGTGCTTTGAAGCATAAAGATTGCTGTCTTTTTCAAGGAGGGAGACAGCATATTGCTTCAAGCTTTCAATGGCCCCATCATACTTCGCCGAGCCGCTGGTACTGGCCGCCGGGAGGTTAGGGAGAGAGGCAGCATGCCAATCGGGTCGTGCTTCAAAGATCTAGCTGGAATCAGTCAGTCCAATCATTCATATGGTTGGAATACTTACAAGTCGGTTTGGGTCATTCGATGAGGGGACATCCACAGGAACAGTGGCTCCTTTCTTTTGTTCAGAAATAGCCTCTAGAGTGGAATCAGACGGATCATGATCGGAATCAGATGCCTCCTCCCAGTCATCCCCTCCTTCTTCATCGCCTTGCTCGTTCTCTTCTTCAGAGTCAACTGTATCCGCGCCTAGTTGGCCTTCGATACCCAATCCGGCGACGAATTTCGCCAGCTCTTTCTGCAAAGACTTGTCGGGTGCTGCGCTGGCACCTGTATCGTGATCTTCATCTTCCGACGCTACATCCGCCACAAGGTCCAAGTCTTCCTCATTGCCCCCCAAGGCTAGAATCTCCTGTAGCAAAGCAGCTTTATCGTCGTTGACTTGCACACCCTTTCGATTCTTTTGTATTTTCTGGGCTTTCGATTCGCTGTTTACTTTTGTGTTTCCGTTCGCATCTCGCTTTGTCCCTCTCGTAGTCTCTGGCTTCGAGGTAGGCTTCGATTCCGTAGCGGTGGAGGCATTGTGCATTTCCTTTTTCTTCTGCTTCGGATTGGGCGCATCTGCTGCTTTTGGAGGGGCTTTTCCCTTTCCAAAGCCTTGCTCAATCTTGGAGGTCAGCGCCGACAGTGCGTTCTCGTCGAAAGATGGAAGGGTTTCGCCATCCACAGCTGCGGCCACCTTTGCTCCTTTCACGGCTTTGCTGTTCCGTCGCGCCATATTTTTTCAAAGGAGACTGCGCGTCTTGGAGCATCCAAGAATGTTGGAAAGCTCGTTGCGGAAAGGAAATTTTTACTGCGATAAGATAAACAATTTTACCCGTATTCACCGTCGCCAAGCGGCTCGCTTAAGGAACGCCTGGCCGACTGCATACTCAAACCTCCAATGCGCCAGCGCTCTCTTATGTTCATCATAGCCTCAGGGGATATGTCTCTTCCAGCAATATTATGATGTCTTTCCAGAAACGGCAGACTATAAGATCTGGGGGATTATAAATAAATCCAAACCACGCACTCGATCACGATGAGGCCTTCTTTTGTTACATCCTTTTGGACAGGTGGACTGGGGATACACCGGGCCCAACTCTCATTACTGCGAATAAACATAGAGGCAAAGAACGGTTTTCGGGCTCGCCACTCTCTTTCATCCCCGCGGGAATCTCTAGTAGTATGCTTCATCCTGAAATCGTCCCTATCGCGTGAAAGACTTTCTAATCATATATGCATAAAGGTCGACGGCAGAGCTCGATTGTCAGGATTATGGGCTCCGACTGGAGGAATCACAGCGTCAGAGAATGGTCGGTGAGATGTTCCTCGAAATATTATTTTGTCTGACCTCCTTACAGATTCTCATTCTCAACTCATTCGTGCCGGGTTCCTCCGTCAGGTTGTGCACTGAGCCCCATCAATTTGTCTAAAATTAATTGTTGTAATATAGGCTCACTCTGGCATTTTCCATATGCTTCCTCTGGGTCGAAGGGTGCAAGATAAGTTAGAGGCTCTTATAGATAAGTATATGTCGAAGCTCGGTTAGAAATACTGTCATCTTTATCAGTTACTTTGAACTAATAGAACTAGGTGCATCTAAGCTCGATCTATCCTCGATATCTTCCGAAAGTTTATGGGAAAGAAGCGGGCGTTTAGGATCTATCGGCTCTGAGGTGAGACCCTTCCTGGATACATTCACTAATATGCTGACGTTTTTCAGCTTTTCCGCTTCAAGGATAGGAAAGAAGCCGGTTATCTCTTATCCCCAACACACGAGGAGGAGGTTACTACTTTGGTATCCGGTGCGGTACATTCGTACAAAGAGCTCCCACTCCGCGTATACCAGATATGTAAGTAGGGTGTCCATTAACTGATATTGATATGCTGATGTGAGTTAGCACGAAAATATCGTGACGAGTTGAGACCTAGACATGGGCTTTTGCGCTCCCGGGAATTCGTAATGAAAGACCTTTATACTTTTGACTCGAGTGTTTCGCTAGCTCTCTCGACCTATAATGAAGTAAGAGAAATATATTCTCGGCTTTTTGATGAGCTGAAGATACCTTATTTGGTAGCCGAAGCGGATTCTGGTGATATGGGTGGCAATTTGAGCCACGAATTCCATTTTTCGACATCGAAAGGCGAGGATCATGTTATTAGCTGTAATAAATGCGACTACGTGGCTAACGAGGAATTGGCCAAGAGCCCAATATTGCCACATGGACAATCAAAGGGTATCGATTGTTCAACCGGAACAGCACCACCTACTACGACAGAATCTCAATCGGAGGATTCCATGGGACTATGGCAGGGTATATCCCGCGATAGATCCGTGCTAGTCAACGTATGGCATATGTCTCCTTCGTTGTCTACGCTCGGTAACAACCCGTCAATAAAAGCCCAAGTCAACATTCATGCAATCAAAGCTGTTTTCCCCGATCTTGACAGTTCCATCGAAGATCCGGTTCCTCTCTGGCATGGAAACAAGCTAGTGGCCACATTTAATCTAGTAGGGGAACCATCACCGGCTCAATCACTGCGGATTTTGAACCTGGTAGACGGTAGAGTACCTGGGTCCATCACACAAAATCTCGAACCGATGCAAAATGCCAGCCCCATCGGCGGAGGTTCAGAACTTCCTACGGAAGAATTTATCTATCGAGATCCAACAACTGGGAAGGCTCTGAATCTTATGCGTATTCAAAATGGGGATACCTGCCCACGCTGTTCTAACGGCACACTGAAAGTCCAGAAAGCAATTGAACTGGGCCACACTTTCCATCTTGGAACAAGGTATAGCAAACCACTTGGGGCGAACGTTATGGTCCCAAGTGAATTTAAACCGGGGCTAGATGCCGGTTTTGAATTTGCTGCGGAAGCCAACGAGGCGGGAAGTCGAATGGTGGCGATGCAAATGGGATGCCACGGCATTGGAGTAACCCGAGTAATTGGTGCAGTGGCAGATACCCTTGCGGACGAGAAAGGTCTCAACTGGCCCCGTGTTATGGCGCCATTCGAGCTGGTTATTGTTCCTACACATGCAAAGGGACATGACGAGGCTGCATTAGAGGTCTATGATACACTTTCGACATATTCTCAGACCACTACCGATTCGTCGATAGATCTTGTGCTGGACGACCGCAAAGTAGAATTCGCTTGGAAAATGAAGGATGCGGAACTAGTTGGATATCCCATCACTGTTGTTGTAGGCAAGAGATGGAAGGAGAGGATGTGCGAAGTGCAGTGTAGGAGATTGAAGGTCCGGGAAGATGTGGCTCTGGACAGGCTGTCTGATTATGTCAAGTCTTTACTCTCGCAACTGTAGAAACCTGTAGAAACCTGTACTATTATTGTAATTATAACAGCTACAATAAATAAGACCCATTGGCTCCTGTAATATACCCTGGGAATGTTTAGTTCTTAGTATGGAACAAGTTTGCTGTCGCGACGCATGCCTTTTCTTTCCAATACCAGAAAATGTGGAATATTCCGTAGTAGGTCCAAGGGGCACACTAATGCGCTAACCCAACGCTATATCTTATAGTATCTTATAATCAAATAAGCATTTGGTCGACATCAAAAAGGACCTATGGCTTCATAGGATCCAAACATGGGGGTGTAACTCAGTGGTAGAGTGCCTGCTTTGCAAAAGCGTGTTTACATGTGAATTAAAATGCATGAAGCCCGGGGTTCGATCCCCCGCTCCTCCATCCTTTTTGCCTCCTTGAGTTAAGGATCAAACCCTTTTTTATTCCTGTTATATTAGTCTGATTATCCTACCTGTTTACTGTCAACGTTCTGTCATTTTTTTCTATCGATAAAGTTTTAACCGAGTTGTGAAGCTAAGCGAGGGCGTGTACTTGGGGCCGTCGGAGTGCGGACCTGTTGCGGCCTTACTCAGCTGCCGCTCGCGTCTTCAAGCCTTTCCCGCCTTGCCTGGCACAAGGCTGTTGAAGCACCTCCACAAAAGCCTCATATCACGATGATACTGAGACGGAACCGAGCGCTGCCTTTATGGCTTCTCTTTTTGAATATATTTGCTTTGCAAGTTTTTGCCTCCGTTGGCGACCAGCTGCCAGAATTCATTGAATGCGTTGAGGTACAGCATTTATGCTTCCTTTCGCGTGTATGCCGCTGATCTGGTTATAGGTCTGCAAGCAGGAGAACTGTGCCAATGGCCGTTCTCTTACAGAAATACGTATGGCTTCGCTCAGGTCCCAAGATCCTATCCCTAACCACTATTAGCCCTCCTCCATAGACTTCTGTTCTGGGATTGCCCTGCCGAATGCGATTATACCTGCCAGCACATCATCACCGATCGACGCGTCGCAGCATCCGAAGAGATAGTCCAATTTCATGGGAAATGGCCGTTCTATCGTTTCTTAGGCATGCAGGAACCGGCCTCCGTCTTCTTCTCCTTCTTGAACTTTCTCGCGCACTACACTGGCTACTCCAAGATCAAAGCCCAGGTTCCCGCGTCGTACCCATTGCGCAAATACTATGTCACTTTTGCATGCTTTGGGATGGCGAGTTGGATCTTCAGCATTATATTCCATACGCGGGACTTCATGCTCACTGAAGAGCTGGACTACTTTGCTGCCGGCGCAAGTGTTCTTTATGGCTTTTACTACACCCCGATTCGAATTTTCCATATGGACCGAGGAGGGAAGAAGGCAGAATCGCTTCTACGAGCATGGACTATACTGTGTCTTATGATGTATGCGGGACATGTTGCATATCTGAAGTTGGGCAGTTGGGATTACACATATAACATGGCAGCCAACGTGGTACTTGGGCTCGCGCAAAATATGCTGTGGACCTGGTTTAGTATCAGGAATTACCGAAGTACCGGGCGTCTTTGGACTACATGGCCAGGATTGGTAGTTGGATGGATTCTATTGGCAATGAGTTTCGAGCTTCAGGATTTCCCACCCCTGTGGGGTTGCGTGGATGCCCATAGTCTGTGGCATCTGGGCACAGTAGGTCCCTTGGTGTTATGGTACAAGTAAGTGAAAGCAGGTGAAATTCTGTGTACTATGCTGATGAGGCTTAGTTTCCTACTTAGGGATGCCAAAGACGATAGGACGGGACAACGGATCAAGGCTTAAAGCAGAACAAGCTGAATAAATTGAATAGGATTCTTAAATAGTAATTTTAATTATAGTATACGTGTTGCACGAGATACGACAAAGTTATCAAGCATTCGCTTCCTATCTCCACATCCTAACTGTTAAATGAACTCTATATATATAGCGCCTGAAGAAGTAGCGAAAAGTTCGTCGTCAAATGAGCTTATATTCACGTCCACCAACTATTCCTCAATTTGGGAACTCTCCTATTCTAGCTTTCCATAACTCCATAATGAAGACTGTTCTCAGAAAAGCTGAATCCTGCTTCGAAGCCACTTCAAATACCAGTACGTTTCCAACCATCAAAACTCTTTATACGTACAAACAGCAGGAGACTTTCACTTTGCAAGCAGAAAGCCAATACTACTCGGCCAATTTAGGCGTATGTGTATTGTGCTTCGTAGCCGGGGATATAATTGTCTGGACATGGCACAGCAGGCAGATAGCTATCTACTGTGATATTCTGCATCGCGAAGTAATGCTGTCGTATGATGCTTATTTTGGAGTTGACGGATGCTGAGTTATTTGAATTGCCGTATTGGAGTGTGAAGCCATCTGAATGGTCAACAAATTTCTATGTAACGAGAGTTAATGTGTTAGTCTCGCATTATACGTGGTTTTGATCTAGGTTTTATGTTGCATGCTTAGGTACAATGCCTGTATCTAAGTATACAGTGCCATAATAGAAAGGGCTGTGGACTGGTGTATGAATGGGATGAAAATGGGGAAAACTAACCTCGCAATTCGGAACATCATGCCCGAAAAGACTCCAAAATACACTACCAGCGGCTACCACGCCCTCTCTCTTCTGAATGATATTATAAAAGCTGGCTAAAGAATCTCCCTTACCCTCATCTTTCCAACCAATTTCACCTACTAAGTACACGCGGTTTGCTTTCTCAATTGCGGCGATGTCTGCGGAAAGAATGGTATTATTAAGAGGGTAGTAGTGGTTGGAGAAAATATCAACTTCAGGGACAGCAAAGTGTGTGGAGTTAACACCGTAAGTTCCGTCGATGCAGAGCTTATTGGGGCCTACGGTCTGATTAGATATCTGCTATATAGGGTCTTTCTTGGGCCGAGAGAGTGAGGAGATTACCGAGCTTCTTAATGAGTTGGCAGATCTCGCTGGTCCACCCATTGGGCACATCCTGATCTGCCCACTTTATGCCGTTCAACTCGTTCCCTGTCTCATAGCCGATGATAGTGGGATCTTCCGCATATGTCAGGCCAGTTAGAGGGTTAACATGGGTCATAAGATGTTCGATATAGTCCTTAAAGTCTTGGATTATAGTCTTGTTGGTGTAGAATTGCATTGTATCCGTAGGAAGTGGCGAGTCGCTGCCAGAGATGTTGAAGCCGCGCCAGCGAAGAAAGTTAAACTTCCCGCCATGGTAGTAGTCCTATTTGCTGCGGTTAGCCTCTCTGTATACGATCAGGGATAAGGAAAATAAGGGTTGTACATAGTCATCTGTGAGCGGAGGTAAAATCCGAAGTCCATGCTGTCGCGCTTGGAAAACGGCCCAGTCCATCGGTTCAAAAGCAGCATCATTATACACCCCTAAGCTTGGCATCAAACTCAGAGGATTCCCAACGCTAACACCTAGTGTTTGACTTCTGATGAGGCTAGCTCCCATCATCACCAAAGTATTCATGACCTCGGTTGTCCGGCCAGGTGTAGGATAGCTCGCGTTCAATGGAGCATAGAATGGTTCTCCTGCTGGAGGTATTACGTTCTCGTCCAGTCCAAGCCAATATACATTTGCTCCATTGGCAGTCCATATGTCGCCTTGAAGGCGCAACGTTGTTCCATCCCTGTAGACGTAGGAATTTCGAGCCTGGAGAACTTCAATGGGCTCAAGGAATGTTTGTAGAATTTGCGGCGTTAATTTTGCACCACCGGAAAATATTGAGTTGATTGCTGGGGCTAAGGATTGCACTTTTGAGTTTACTGCAGAGGCATGGCTGAGATCTGCAAGCATGAGTGCTGCCGATGACAACACTGAAAGAGATATTATCGCCATGATGAATTACTGAGCTGAAATGGAAAGTAAGAAACGAACAGAATGAAAGAAGGTTCAAAATTGGGGCATGGGAAATATGTCTTATACTTCACGGCATACTTTGCCATCTTAGATGAAGTCATTTACCCTCGCAACAGTAAAGATAGTTAGATTGAATATCAGATGGAACTAATAATGGAAAAGGCCCGGCTCAATAATTTTCCTTGCAATAGGATGGGTTTCCATGATAGCCGATTAATTGTTTGCACTCACAAGGCTGGGTTCTAATCAGAACAAAGCCTCTGGTACTGGAAAAGCTCGGAGGCATAGCCTCCGGGCTATAGGCTGAGAGAATAAGGAAATAAATGCTTGGGTATTGCAAACCAGCTAGCGAATCAAAGGGCGGAGATAATATGACCACTACTTCAGGGGAAATGGAACCTATAAGTAGAAGTGCGATAGCTGCTCCGCATCTGGAGTGCTGCTAGCAATGGAACCGCGACATTTTATGTACAGATCCATAGAGGTGGTGATCGCCAAATACCCACCGAGGTCAACCAAAATGGTATATTTTGTTTGAAAACTGCATTTCGGCAGGAGAGTCCGGGATATATCAATAACCGTATCCGGTTAGCGCGCTATTGCCCGATTATGATAGCCTTGGTGGGGGTGACTGTGCTCCTTAGAAACGCGAGATCGGTAACGGTTCATCCTACGGTCCATCATGTTTACAGGAATAGTTGAGATAATAGGAGGTTTGTGTCTTCATGACTATGACTATGTGCTAGCTAATAAATTGCAGTTGTCTCCCAGCTCAATCATCAATCCGAAGATGGCGGCACAACGCTCACGATCTCCAATGCCTCCGAAATACTGTCCGACTGCCATCTCGGTGATAGCATCAGCGTAAACGGCACCTGCTTAACCGTGACATTCTTCGATGAATCCTCATTCAAAGTAGGCGTTGCGCCCGAAACCTTGAGGCGGACGAACCTCGGCTCTCTCAAAGAGAATAGCAAGGTCAACTTAGAGCGTGCCGTGTCTGCGACTACGCGGATGGGCGGGCACTTTGTGCAAGGCCATGTCGATACCGTTGCTACGATATTAAAGAAGGAGCCTGATGGAAATGCCTTGACATTCCGATTCCAACCTCGGGATAAGGCTGTGCTCAGATATGTGGTCGAGAAGGGTTATGTGACACTTGATGGGGCGAGCTTGACTGTGACGCAAGTCGATGATGAGGAAGGATGGTGGGAGGTCATGTTGATTTCCTACACGCAGGAGAAGGTGGTTACGGCAAGCAAAAGCCCAGGTGATGAGGTCAATGTCGAAGTCGATCAAATTGGGAAATATGTCGAGAAGGCTGTTGAGGGCTATTTCTCGAAGGGGAGCAGCGGAGAACCAGCCATTTTGCAGAAAATGGTGGAGAGGATTGTTGATGCACGGTTATTACAAGCAAAGCAATGAAGTTACGTTGTTTATGCCCCGGGATTGCGACACTGCTACTTTGAGTCTACCGGGAAGTCTACGTGAATAGCACTCTACGGCGTTTGCATCTATGAGATGCTGTAGCTACAGGAACTCTCGATTGGCCTATGGTAATATTGCCTGTACTTGATTTTTCGCTATTTTTATTTCTTGATGCTCAAGACACGGCGCATTGACTAAGCTTTGGAGGCTATATATAATTTCCTCGTATGGGTCACTCACTCTCAAAACTTAGTTCAAATCATTCTGGCCAGGCCCTCAGATCGCTTTCCCTCGCTAAGTCTTCCATTCCATATTACTGTCACATCTGGCTGGGACGTATGGCAAATGCGTCGGATAAAAGATTTGGTTCATTTCATGGTTGGCTGCGGAGTATTCGTTGGTACCTGTAGCCCTCCATTTCTCCTCGCAGCCTCTTCCTGTATTCTTTCCTGAACGTAAGGCATAGCAACCTTTTTCGCCCGCCGTCCAACAAAGCTGACCGCACTCTCAAGATCTGGAGGGACTCCTTGCTCTCGAAGTCTGCCGACAATTTGCATGCAATTGAAAGCATGTTGGCGAGGATCATCTAAGTCCTCATCCGGGACGTTGCTGTTCGACACTTCTGAGATGAGAAGCTCAATCATCGCTTTACGGAAAACACTCAAACCCCGAGAGCGAAGTAGCTGGTTTAGCTCCTCCCTCATTCTCTCTGCACCCTTCGAGTCTCCGTTTTTGAATATGTCCATAGCCTTTAACATGTTAGAAGCTGTTGTTTGATATCTGTTGAAGCACTTACACGAAGGCACTGCTCGGAGAAAAATACAAAATCATTTGGTTCCGGAAGATGGCATCTTCGTTTAGTGGCCGGAGCCGTTGCCGCTCTGTGCCGACTCAGGTTCTTTACGTGCCTCCGGCTGGCAGCCATTTCGAAGATTGAAGGATTGCGAATTGAACTTGAGGGGACCAAGTTGAATTGTATAAAAGGGAAATGAAAGATAATGGGCCGTTAACCCATCTTTGAATTGGGAGCGAAAGGTAGAAGTTGGTTCTTGCTAGACGAGGTGGGCGTCAGGGGTTCTTATCTTCTGGCCACTGTCAGGCCATCCCCTGATTTAATAACTGGCATGTTGGAATCTCACTCAGATAACGCCATTAATACGATATATACTCAAACTGCTACCAGGCCTAGATTCGCGGATCGTGAGGCAAGTTATCCAAGTCTCTCCAACGCATATATATTAACTTAATAGTTTGTCCTCCTTGAATCTCTTCCAGGGGCCATCGCAAATTGAATGAAACCGTCGATCGTCGGTTATCGGACTACCTGGTTGATTGCTGTTGATTTATTTGGAATGCGCCCACATAGCCAGTATATCACGCCACACCTCATACGAATATTTTGCCCTCAGCCCACAACCCCTCCTCGCTTCAGGCGCAGCTGTGCATCTACTTACAGCAGATATTCTAGACCATCATATCATTTCACGTCATAGTCTCTGGCCACTCTATCGCCCCGGTGGTTTATCTGTGTTCTCCGACTTCAATAAGCTTTCGTCAGGGTCAGTAATAGACAGAGGAATTCGGTTAGGTCAAACAAGAGCCTAGACCCCCGGACCCTTCGTCCTGGCTAATAAAATGACCAGAATAGCTCCTTTAGCCATAGCTATTTAAAGTATGTTGATACTATGAGCTTTTATCAGCATCGAAGATTGCGGGATGCAGAATTCCAAGTGGTGAACGTTTAACTAGCTATCTGTAATGGGCAAGGTTGGATAAGCTCCAGCCTCTTTCAATCATATGCTAGAAACAACCCAAGAAAGATGCGAGATTGGTGAAAGTGAGGAATATACGGGGTGCACAAAAGGGAAATATTGTTGCTACTGCCCTTCAAAAACCCCTGTTTCTCGTTTGTCTGGTGCTTCAAGTTCCTAAGCTGAGACACTGGATATTTCCCATTCCTTTTCTGTGAGACTGGGGGTTTTATATGCCATGGAATGCGGAGAGAGTGATAGCTACTAGGCATAACCGTGTCCACGATCGAGTTGGAGTCGCCGTGGTGTACTGTGCATGCGTAGTCAGCAAGGGGATGATGATGATTAACGGAGTCTGCCGGGGGGGATCCGGGGGAATCCGGGGAAGGTGGGGGGTCCAGCAGGGTCCCGTGGGGGGCTGATCACATGCCGACGCGGGGTTGCGCCTCGAACGCGGGAGAACGTGGGCTGATGGCTGAAGCTGGCGTTGACGTTCCAGTGCCCCGGCTGTCTCCCACATAAGTCGTGGTCACAGTCGAGAGTCAGCAAAAACAACGTCCCCTATCAACACCTCGCTACCTACCTACCTTACATAGGTACAGTACTCTACCACGGCTGGCTCTCTTCCCCTTCTCTACCGCCGGATCATCGAAGGAACCCCAAATGCTATGTCGAGTTCCCTTTACTCACAACCGCTCGTTTCCCAGTTCAACGCCCTTCCTCGACGTTCAGCGGTAATTCACGCTGCATCATAGCGCTTCAAAATGCCGATCTCGCAGCCCGCCGTTGCACGGGTAGCTCAGGTCTGGCCAAAATGGCTCCCCATAGCAGTTTCCCAGGCAATTGAGGCCCCTTCCCTCGCTGGAAAGCCCCTCTCATCTGCCTACTTCTCGAGTCCTCAGCGCCAGACATACCCCGTAGATTCTGCTGCGGCGAGCAGGGCATCTAACCCACTATCACAAAAGCTACCCAATTCTCCTCAACAAATCCGCAACATTTCGACCTCCTCGCGTCGAGTACGCCAAATCACGAGCCAAAACATATCTTCTCTGAAGCCACCACAACAAGTCTGCGACTTGACGTCTCCCTCCTCATCGGAGCAATGGACCCCCCCTCCCGATGTCTCCAAAATGCCCGTTGCAATTATCGGAGCAGGAGTTCTTGGACGTCGGTTAGCGATGATCTGGGCTTCGACGGGGAGGCCAGTGAACGTCTACGATGTGTCCCAATCAGCAATAGACTCAGCAACTATATACATTGCGGACCATCTTACTGACTACTGTACGAAATACAAAACCCATCCGGGCCGTGTACGCTTTACCACGGATTTGGAAGACGCGGCGGCGAATGCATGGATGGCCATTGAAGCCGTACCTGAAGATCCAGAACTAAAGATAAGTATTTTGAATAACTTGGATCAAGTCACCCTCAAGAGTTGTATCATTGCGACGAATTCGATCAGCTTCACTAGCCGGGAATTGTCCTCAGAGGTGTCGAGAAGATACCGGTTACTGAACACGCTATATTATATCCCGCCGGAGAACCGCTGCGTGGAATTGATGTCTTGCGGATATACCTCTCCAGAGATCTTCAAATTTTTAAGCCAACAGATGAAAGAGATTCGCTTGAGACCAATGGTCGCGGTCGACGACGCCAGAGGCATGATTTTCCCGCGTATATGGGGAGCTATACAAAGAGAGACGCTTTCTATGCTTCAAAAAGGTGTTGCCGCACCTGAAGATATCGATGGCTTGTTTAGGGACTTCTTTGGCGCGGAGAAAGGCCCGTGTGAAAAGATGGATGACGTCGGGCTGGATACTACGACTGCAGCTGAGCGGCATTACCTAGCTAAGATGGAAAACAAGGGGTTTGGTAAAGGTCATCTAAAGTGGCTTGAAGATGAATATGTCGGGAAGGGTAAGCTAGGACAGAAGAGCGGGGAGGGCCTGGTTAGCAAAACGGATGAAAATGGCAAAACCATTCGTCGCGAAAGCCCAGCACAAGAAGTATGGAAAGAGCATTCGATAGATGTGTCTGGTTTGTGATTTTGCTTCTTGGAAGTTGGGTATTGGCGTCTGGTACTAGGGATAAATGAAGCTATCGCTCCGCTCAAAAAGCAGCAGGAAGAGTAGGCAAAGTCCCAGCATGTTTAAAATGTTAATTTTATGTCTAACAGTTTGAATATCAAAACATTATAATAGTTTGAAAATTATGGTGCTACTTGGAACGCTGTTGAATGTCTAGGTGTTGCTAAATGGGGCAGCATTGAAGCTGCAATGACGTAATCCTGATCATCCGCCAAACTTAGATATGCAATGCACTTAGAAGGGCGTGAGAGGGGAACCCAGCTAGGAGTTATCGAAACCATCTCTGCGATGTTTCCCTACATTTTCAGATCGAGACATCAAACGTTTGACATACATCTCTCGTCTTAGCATCCTATCCTCTAGCTGCTAAGTCGACAGGTGAAATAGCGGACAATAGAGCGTGAATCAACTTCTCTTAATCCAAGCTCAAGAATGGCGTTGGGTAAGCCCAAGACAATCACTGGCGGCTGTCTTTGCGAAGGAGTACGGTTCCGGATCGATTTCTCGGAAGATCATGATTGGAAACGCGGGGTGAGTTCGATTTGTCCTTTCTCTCTAGGTGACTGCGATATGAAGTCTCTAAATCTACAGAATATTCACGTACCAATTAACACCGCTAGCCTCATACGTGCCAATGCACCCAATGTCGCAAAAACTGCGGAAGTCTGATCTACAACTTCCACTCCGTCACCAGCACTGAGTTAACATGGCTCTCCAAAGCCACATACGCGGAGTACAATTCCTCCCCAGGCTGCTACCGAGCATTCTGCAAGACCTGCGGTTCCACCCTATCATGGTCTAATCATTCTGACAATGATGAAATTGAACTCGCTGTTGGTACTTTCGACGAGGAATACTTGGTGGGTGGAAGGGATGAAGAGGATCAACCTAAGGGGACTTATGGAGTGGCTTTGGCGAATCTGGCTGGTGATCATTTTTATGTTAGAAATGATATTAAGGGTGTCACTGATTGGATTTCTAAGGAGGGGACGAGATTTTGGACGGGAAGTGAAGGAGGGCCGGTTGGGGAGGGAAAATGATCATCTTATATCTGGGGTTATGCTCGGGATTGGGTATTACTATTGAGAGAGGATAGGAGAAACTGATAGCGCAAGACTATTTCATAAAAGAGTCAAAAAGATTGGGTTGTTTTAATGGCAAGACTTTAAGAGCGCTATACATATCCACTCAGGGCGTATAAGCTATACTACGATACATAAGGTGCAACAAACTAGCCCTTAGGCTGCAATGTGTGACAAATTTAAGGATAAGACTTTGCCCCGCGCTGCATGGATAATTTGAGAGTAAAAAGTAGAGCAAATTATATTTCTAGGAAGCCCATAGGTTAAAGTAGTTCTACTAGTTCATTTGTACTGATTCAGGCAAGATGGTGGAGGCAAGAGGAAATCATTAACTAGCAGAAAAATGGGATACCCCAAACATTCAACAATGGAGATTGATAAAACCGTTGCATACTTGAAATGCTTCTAATTTAGTGATCAGGGAGTACACCCTTTTGCCAACCGTTATAATCCAAGAAGTGCAGATTTGCAACCTACTCATTTGATATTGAGGGTATTGACTTGGATGTGTTTGGATTGATGGTGTAGTAATGCCAATATGAATACAAGGCTTGCCAACTGCGGAAGCTAAGGGTACCATGATTAGATCTCACATTCAACAAGGAGGGCCTCATTAACGAGTACATAATAAACAATATGCCAAGGCCTATCCGCTCAGCAAAATATCAGGCCCTGCAACTAAGCATTTAGAACACCTTGTTCGCCCATGATTGGCAAGCCATGGTGTTCTTGTATCCTCTCCCCGTGATCGTCATACATTACATGACTAAAGGCGTTAAAATCATTGTTATCAACTAACCACTCCATATCATCCTCGTCTGGCCCCAATTTCGCCATTAGTCCATTTCCTGGTTTAGGATAAGGTGGACTGGCTGGTGTACTCTCTCTGCTATCCCCATCTTGGGCATTTGCCACTAGAAGTGCAGACGCGGGGTGCGCGGAATCCTGCTGGGAGGACGAGAACGGTGGTGTTGTTTCACCTGGTATTTTGCGTATGAAGTTGATTGTTGCGTTGGGGTTTGATTCGGCGCGAGTGAAAAGCCCAGCGGTCGAAGTACCGGGGAAATGCTGTTGGGAGGGGCTATTTGTACGACGGTCTGAGGATCCCGCGGGCTGTGCTTGCTTTGATGGTGGATTATAATCCCGGGGAAAGAGCGGAATGTTCGGGTGAAGTACTGTAGCTTGCATGAGAAGGGATACGAGCTGTTGGTGTGGAAGGGAGTTGAAGTACGAGCGTTTCTGTTTATGTTAGTGGTGAAAAAGAACTCGGGGAGAAACCTGCTTGCCTCCTCTGTACTGTGTCCTTGCCAGCCGACCCATTGAAAGTCAGAGTTTCCTGACTTCATGCCTTTCTTACGGTTGCAATCTACACAATACCATGGCGCGGCCTCATCTTTTACCGTCTCCTCCGATATTGGAGGATCGTGGCACATTTGATGCCAACCAAGATTACACCCATCGCAAAACACTATCATGTTGCTCTGTGGGCTGTGTCCTCGCCCACATCTTCTACATAGCGCGTTTTCCTGTGTTCTCTTCGAAGGTGCTCGTCGTCTCGTATGGCTTTCTGCCGCTGCCGGAACAAATGGTGCGGGCTTCACAACTTGTCGGCCAGACTGCGTTATCTTGGGCAAATCAGTGACACTTTCGGCGTCATCTGAATCCGAGTCCCCTCCGAGTTTTGACATGGCTTCTGATTCCTCAGAGCTGAGACTTTCAGACTTCCTCCTCTTCCTCTTCATCCCCGCTCTTGCCCCTCTTGACCTCGGAGTCTTCCTCTTCCCGCCGCTTCCCGAGCCTCCCCCGCCGTTTGAGGGTGTAGAGGAAGGTCGCGGGGCAATCGCCCTGCCTCCCGAAGAAGCTCTCCCAGCAGCACCGCCTCTCCCTCTGTTGCTTGGAGGGGTACTTGGAATTTCCATATTCAACGTAGTCTTCATACCCATAAGCACATTCCGCCTCATATCCTCATATCCTGGAGGTGTGCCCGTAATGCCAATCGAAGAGAGGTTCGAGGTACTACCAACAGCACCTGATTGGATACGTTTGAGGATCATTTCTGTCGCAGCAGAGAATTGGGGTATGTATTTGGGAGGTGATCCGCTCGTTGGGTTGTCTGCGCTGCTCGAGGCAGTTGGGGATTTGGGAGGCCCGTCAGATGCCATCTTGCAACTGAGAGATGCGCCGGAGGCTGTAAACACAGTCGCATTAACTAAATATAATTGCTTCGTAGCTATAATAGGATAACAATGTGCGGAGTATTGGCGCCAGCTAGACCGAGTTCAATTGGATGTTCTCAATGTTGACAGCAACGGTCGAGTCAGGCGCCTTAAACGCGATATTTAGGAGGTGGATGCTCAACGACGTGCCATTGAAGACCCAAACGTTGGATTTCGAGTTCTCGCGAAACTGCGATCCGCTATTCTGATGGCTCTGCGATATTTGGAGATGTCCTGTTCCTGTACGTGAGGTACAATCTGGTCAGGCGACGAGGATATTTTGGTCGCAACTCTTCACGTGATTTTGTCATGTGACCATAACGAACCCCCTTTCGAGTTCGATTGATTGAGTTAAGCAAGCTGTTTTGGATCTACAGTATCAGACAACGCAAAACGGATTCTCTGGGTGGGCGATCCATAGTTGCCTACTTGTAGGTTTTAAGCTTAGATGTTCATTCTGTAGTATATACACTGCGCCATGGGTATATTGTTGTTTAGATATCTAGCGATTTACGGCACCTTCAGCCTTCAAAGACTCTATATCACTCTCACCCATTCCTAAAATATCCCTCAAAATTTCGTCAGTGTGCTGCCCCAACATCGGCGGCACAGTTCGAATACTGGGTTTACTCTCACTATATTTTATCGGTGTGTTAACCATCTTGATATTGCCACACCAATCATGCTCCATCTCCTTTACCATATCCCTAGCTAGAACATGGGAATGGTTCAGTGTTGCCTGGACGTCATTCACAGCTGCGTAGGGCAATCCGGAGCCTTCAAAAACCTCCAACCATTCATCTGTTGTTCTGGTTTTGGTGACCTCTTCTATTGCATTGTCTAGCTCTGCTCGGTTTGCAACCCGTTGGGCATTAACCTCGAATTTTGGGTTCGTTTTCCATTCCGGGCGTCCAAGGCCATCGCATATGAGCCCAAAGAGTCGATCGTTTCCTCCTCCAAAGAGTATATCCCCATCGAAAGTTTTATAAGAGCGATATGGGACAATTGAAGCTACAAGCGTGTGAGTAACATTTCAGAAAATCATGCAGTTGACTTACGGTGTGCTGTCCCCCATCTTCCCTGATCTTTCTCCCCACTAATTAGACAGCTGCTTGCAATATTGGCCAGAGTAGCAACCTGGCAATCGCTCAAGGCGGCGTCGATGTGTTGCCCTCTTCCCGTTCTTGATCTTGCAATTATGGCAGCCATAATGGAATTAGACAGGTATAGGCCAGTGGTCAAATCCGTCACAGCTACCCCAACTTTCACTGGAGGCCCATCTCGAGCTCCGGTGATATGCATTAATCCCATTTCCGCCTCGACCATAACGTCGTAACCAGCTCGACTTGAATATGGCCCCGTCTGACCGTAACCTGTAATTGAGGCATAAATTAAACGTGGATTGAGCTTTCGGAGCGTCTCATAGTCTAAATGGTATTTCTTCAATGTGCCAGGCAAGTAATTCTCGACGAGAATATCGCTTTCTGCGGCTAGCTTGTGAAGCACTTCGACGCCTGATTTGTGCTGAAATGATAGCCCGAGTGACTTCTTATTGCGATTCACCTACTATACTGGTCAACTGGTGTATTAAGACAGTAATTCTCGTCCGTCGGTTGTAAGACTCGAGGTAGCGGTAAGTGGCCCTTACAGCTAAGAAGTAGGCACTTTCTCCAACACCCTCTTTACCCGAGTCGGGCTTATATTTGGCATATGGTGGGCCCCAGTGCCGTGTATCATCTCCTCGTGTAGGATGCTCGACTTTTATGACTTCTGCACTGATTCTCGTGAGCTTCCGCACACAGCGGTTGAGTTGTGGCTGGATCGTACCCCAAATCTCCCAGTATCTGTGTACAATATGGCTACATCACATTGTTAGTGGAATTCAGACATGGAATCAAAGTACGAATTCTTACACCGGCAAGCACTCTCGTCATATCTAAGACCTTGAATCCTTTTAGGGGGAGTGCCATGTCGTCTGTAGCTGTATTCGCGAAGCCCCTGCTCCGGACAGCATAGCGCGTCAAATGCAAGACATTGGGGTATGTAATTGCACGCGAAGCTCCAAAGAAATGGCGTATAGGTAATGAGGCCATTGTGATATTAGAGAAGTGATCTGGTGAAGTGGAGGCTTGGGGAATCCTCGAGTGGGGGTTTTGTATTTTGATGCCCCGCTACCAACGAGCTACCCTTCCCCCTACGGAGCAAGCTTTCGGCTACATGCGCCTCCGAGCTAGGGTGCTCGTAGAGTGCCGAGGCATGGTTGATAAGGCCTAAACCCCACTACGGGGTACAGACACTTTCGTGTAGTTCAAACTTAAGCCGTTAAGGGATCCTTTCCGCCTCTAATGTAACTATCAAAATACCTACCTCCCGTGGATTCATTTAAATTTGGTTCATTCGCAGGCGGGGTACGATCGATTTATAGATTTATAGTCCGATAACACATCTAAACAAATTAATGATCTAACGCAACACCTAACCTTCCTCCCTATCCATCTCATCCCGCCCCTTTTTCCCTCCTTTCTCCGGTCGTCTGCCCTTAAACGTTGATCCCCTTTTGCCCCTATCCTCGTGTAAGTTCTTCATCTCGTTTCTGGAGTGCCGTTGCGCCTCCTCAACTCTCGCCTTGAATACCATCACCTCCTCCTTTTCTGTCTCGTACTCTTTCTGCTTTTTGCCCAAGGCCGCTTCTATCCTTAACCAGATCTCAAGATCATATTGCGTCACAATACTGATTGCATGCCCGGACTTTCCTGCTCGCGCTGTTCGACCAACTCGGTGGATGTAAGTCTTGCTATCGGGAGGTAGGTCATAGTTCAACACGACATCAACGGACGGGATATCGAGACCACGTGATGCTACGTCGGTTGCTACTAGGATTTCTCGTGAACCGGCCCGGAATTTGTTGAGTGCGCCCAAACGAGCAGACTGAGACAGCTGACCGTGTAGAGGAATCGCCCCAAAGCCGAGTGCTCGAAGCAGGATGGCCAGTCTTTGTGTTTCGTTCACAGTTCTTGTAAACACAATAGCTGACTGTCCAGCAAATTCGTTTAGGAGATAAACAAGATATGTATCCTTATGTGGGTGAGGGATGAAGATATAACTTTGGAGCAAAGTTGACACGGTTTGGTATTTGTTGCTACTGATGCTCACCCGTAGGGGATCCTTCAAGCTAGCTCTTTGCAGACTTTCGACTTTCGAGCTTATGGTCGCCGAGAATAGGTATGTCCGGCGTTCTCGTGGCAGGACCTTTAGGATCTTATCGAGAATAGGTCCGAAATCAAGGTCAAGGAGTCGATCGGCTTCATCCATGACCAGATACTTCAGCGACCGTAGCGAAAATCCCTTGGTATTTTCGAGATGATCGAGTAATCGCCCGGGAGTAGCCACGACAACGTGAGGCTTCTTGCCTAACGCGATAGCTTGCGGGACCATATCCATCCCTCCAACTATAACGGCACATCTCACTGATATGAGAGAGCCAAGGGCTTCGAAAGCTTGGGATATTTGATATGCTAATTCACGAGTAGGAGCAAGGACAAGGCCAAATAGGGGCTGCGGTTTGTCGAGCAAAGCTTGAAGTATCGGTAAAGCAAATGCAGCAGTTTTCCCACTGCCTGTCTCTGCTAAGCCTATTAAATCTCGGCCCTGAAGAGCAAGTGGTATGGACTCGGTTTGAATTGGTGTTGGAGCTTTGTATCCTAAAGCCGCACAGGCGTCGCAGAGCGAATCAACAATCCCCTAACGGATAGTGTTAGCTACGGTATACCTAAATTAGAAGAAAGCAGTATCAGACCACCTACCAAATCTTTAAATGACTTCGTTGGTTCTTCATCGTCCGCTTCTAGTTCTGATCCAGCCATCGTGATGCTTTCTGGTGGTTCTGATCCAGCCAATGTGATACTTTCTCGTGAAGATTCCGGCGAAGCTAGCCTTGACGCACGTTTTTTTGGTCCTGCACCATTCTTCTCTGTGGACAGCCCCGAAGGGACATTATCCGCGATCTTTCTTCTCTTCGTCGAAGACATGGTTCTGTAATGCGATAATGCAATGAGTGCGAGGAGTTGCGCTGGAGACCTTGTGGGTAGAAGTGTGACGTTCGCGGAGAAAATAAAATCTCTATCGGGCTTATCGAGACCTAGTCTCTGATTGGCTGCAAAATTCCTTGCCTCCAAAAGAATTCCATTCCTCCAATCTTTGATTTCGCACAAGCTCCAGCAATCGACAGAAAATGGCACGAACGAAGTCTAAGAAGCAAACGCATCTAGGTGCCAGCAATGGCCCTGGGAAGAAAGCTACTCCGGCAAACTCTGGTTCCAGAGCGCCGAAAAGCATGGTCATCCGAATTGGAGCTGGAGAGGTGGGACCGAGTGTGAGCCAGCTAGTGAAAGATGTACGATCAATGATGGCGCCTGATACAGCAGCGAGGTTAAAGGAGAGAAAGGCGAATAGGCTGAGGGATTATCTCACCATGTCTGGTCCTCTGGGGGTGACCCACCTTATGCTGTTCTCGAGGTCCGAATCTGGGAATACAAACATGAGGCTTGCGATTACTCCGCGCGGACCAACACTACATTTTCAGGTGGAGAAATACTCTCTGTGCAAGGATGTGAGGAAGGCTTTGAAACATCCAAAAGGTGGTGGAAAGGAATACATCACCCCGCCGTTGGTATGGTCCATATTCACCGTCCTTAGATAACTTGCTAATGCCCGCAGCTTGTTATGAACAACTTCACTTCTCCCACCGACTCAGAATCCGAAAACAAAATACCGAAACACCTTGAATCTCTCACCACTACCGTCTTCCAGTCCCTTTTCCCGCCAATCTCCCCACAAACCACACCACTTACTTCAATTCGACGGGTCATGTTACTAAATCGTGAACTTCCCAAAGATGGTGACGACGGTTCATATGTTATAAATCTCAGACACTATGCCATCACAACGAAAGCCACTGGTTTGTCAAAACCGCTTCGAAGATTAAACGCTGCCGAGAAGCTTTTACATTCACAGAAGGCTAAAGGCAAAAAAGGTGGACTGCCAAATCTTGGAAAACTGGAGGATATCGCCGATTATATGGTAGGAGGGGCGGATGGCTCGGGATACATGACGGATGCCACTAGTGGAAGCGAGGTTGACACTGACGCGGAAGTGGAGGTTGTAGAAACTAGAGCAAAGAAACTCCTATCAAAAAGGCAAAAAGACCGGGAAGATGGCAAGGGCAAAAACACAGGTAACAACGTCGAAAAGCGGGCCGTTAAGCTTGTGGAATTAGGTCCTAGAATGAGATTGCGGATGACGAAAGTCGAGGAGGGCGTGTGCAGTGGGAAGATTATGTGGCATGAATATATCCACAAGACGAAAGAAGAGATCAAGGATATGGAGAAGATGTGGGAGAAGAGACGACAAGAAAAGGAAGTCAGGAAGCGGATTCAGAGGGAAAATGTTGAGAAGAAGCGGAAGGCTAAGGGTCTTGGTGCAAAGAAGGACGAGGGTGACGATGAAGATGAAATGGACGTTGATGAGTGGGATAGTGAAGGTCTCGAAGGAGACGGCGAGATGGAGCTGAATGAGGATATGGATGAAAGAGGCGAGTGGGAGGATGAAGAGGAAGAGATTGCTGCTGGGTGAGCTCAATATAATCTAAATTGAGATAGAATTACTGGATCACTTGCATCAGCGCTTGAATCCAAGTGCTATTAAGCTTGGATGATATTGGTGCGCGATTGCGATATTGCTTTCCGCTTTCTCATCCATCCTATCATTTTCAATAAGACACCCCTAGCAAATGGAGCACTTGGTTTCGTGTTCCGTGAGTTCAGGTCTGAGTGTCTCTTGTATAAGCTCAGGGCAAGAGCTCTCCGCATTCATAAAGTAATCTTTAGTAGATTCGTCTTGAGCAATCTTATTTTCATCTAGGTTCTTGGCTTCAACACGCTCGTTATCCACGCGGGCCTGGAAATGGTGTCGTTGTTCACAAAGTTCAAATTCAGAGTACGCGGGAGATGGGTCAGCACGTAGGATATACCAAACTCTCGCCACTCCTATACGACCACCGCAGGGGTATCCATCAAGAGTCTTCAGAATCAGACTTGCCGAAGTGCCATGGCACCTGGGACATTCATGTTGAAGCTCGACGCGTCTGACGGACAGTTGCTTCTGGCATTCTGGGTTGATCGACGGCAACCCAAACCTGTTGTAGTGCCCGCACTTGTAGAAGAATTGCTCAACTCGGCTTCGACACATGGTTTGCGACTTTAGGTTACCCTATACGATAAAAGTATGATAGCGGTAAAAGTAGCCTCTCAAATGATAATGGTCTCCCGAACAGCTTAATGTAGCTATTTGCAGAGGTGAGCCAGACTTCTCATATGAATAAATAAAATATTCAACTTTGATTAAGAACAGCAATTCTGGTTTTATGTTCAGAGATTTTGAGGGCAAGACCATTGTTAATTCATAAAGGAAATGCATCCCAGTTGGGTTGACTTTCTCTGGAAGTTCTTTATTCCAGTGACACTAAACAATTCTGTTCTTTATCCCGATCTCTAAAAGGAATGAACTATCATCCTGTTCCATACCATTGTTCGGTCCAAAGTATATAAATAAGGTGTACCTGCTAATACTCTCATTTCCTTTCTTCCCAAGTGCCCCCTCTGCTCGTGCTACTAACATCACCCATAGCCCACACCTTGCCTCACTATTGAGTTCGTAGGTCCTGCTAACGATTGACAGGTAGCTTCTATAAGTGAAGCCCCGATTGTGATGCCCGCTTATGATTGTATGCTTTCTTATGTCTCATTGATGCAATTTAAACGGTAAGAGTGACTATTGAAGACTTAAACTTTCAAGTATATGCAGTTTTTATATATAAATAACAAACATAATGTAACTTGGGGTTTTTTGTCGCATCTCATGTAGTCATGTTCTCACTCGGGAATTTTATACTACCGCTCCTGCAATCCGTCTCGAGCATAGCAGTAGCATCGAAACATATAAGTCATAGCCAAGCGATAATCGGGATTCGGAAGAGGAAGCTACAAGCACCAACAAGATTATGAAGCACTTTTGACGATGCTAATTAAATCCATCCATTGACACCTTCTAACTCCACGGGAGAATTCTGGTTCTGTCATTATTAGAAATGCAATATCCCCCTAATTTTAAAACTATCGATAGAGGAATTTGCCTTCATGAGATAATTTGTATCGTGTTGCCATATCATGATGTACTAGAGACGAGTTACAACTATAATCTTTCATCCACGTTACTAGGATAATAGCCAACTGACTATTAGAATAACCAATAAATGGTTAATGAACTATTGTTGCTATGCCTCGACGAGGGAAGTAAAACAAACATAGGAAGTGGGACAAAGAAGGAAGAATGGTCATGAATTAACAATAGATTAATGCTTAAAGTAAACACAATGATGAACAAGCTTAGAAAGGCTGGATATCAATGCTATTCTTCCAAGGCAGTGAAAGGGGAAAGTAAATAAGGCGCCTAAGGTGCTTTGGTATAGTTGTCTCATCCCGTCACTATCTCCCTCACAAATCCTCGCCTCTTTCTATACTGACTAAAAACCGAGATTCCTAACAGATACTCGCATTTACAACGACATCATGAGTCATAATGGCCAATTAGAAAACAGCTACCCCCAGAGACCTATATCAGTGTTGGTCGGGGGTCCAGAGGAGCACAAGACGGATGAAGTACCACGATTTTGGATGGTAGGCTGGCAAGTAGATAGAGTTATATCGGCTCTCACACTAAATGCTCGTGGTGATGCTGTTGCTGAACAGGATTACGGTTACGGTGGGGACAAAATCGCACTAAAGAATGTCGACGTGAATGTCTTCCGTCCGCTCATGCACTGTGTATCGGTGTTCCATGGGACAGGGTCCCCTATGGATCGCGTGGAACACAACTTGGTGCCATTTGCTGAGCTTTGGCTGTTAGGCGAGGGGGTGTTACTCCCGGAATTCCTGGACCTTGCAATGAAACAACTTTTGGGTATGGTTATGAAGGCGGATGTGTCAGATATGAAGCAGCTTGTCAATCTGGTATTTGATCCTTCACTCGTGCGTAATAATAGACTTGATAGGCTAGAGGACATTCTCGTAGAAAAGTTTTCTTTGTACGTGCCAATTAAGGAGCTATTCAACTATGCTTCAGAGCTCCCACATAAACTCCTAGTCTCAGTGATCAGCTACACTAGGGATATGGTAGGTGAAGACCCAGAGAATGATTTACCTCCAGCGCTTGAGTTGGAGCCTAAAGATGGTGCATCCGAAAATCCAGACTTGCATGTAGTCGTCGATGTTGCAAATCATCAAGCTGAAGTTACACCTTGAGGACTCTGGACCAAGCACACCAGGCTGAGAGCGTCAAAGGGCCAAACGAGAGCTCCACATATTTTGACTGATGCGTATGAGAGAATTCAGGGCCGTATTTATTTTTATACACGGATTATTCAATTATTCAACTTAGTTATTGGATTGATAACGAGAGGTGAGTTTCTTACTCAAGGAACATATTGTAGCAAATAAAGATATTTTCAGATAAGATTATTGTATAATAGAAAGACCCTAGAGTAATGATATGACAGAACAGCACCAGTAGCTTACAATGACACATACTTCCCGAGGCATGCCGTAGAGTAACTGTCAAGGACTTGTTGACAACCAATACAGGTTTGCCGCTAAGCATAAAAGTATTGAAGTTCGCCTGACCTGAATAAATCAAAGAATGGGTTTCTTTGCCTTAGCTGGGTACGCAGCAAATGAAGGGACAGCAGTAACAGACATCTTACGAACAGCTTTAAAAGACGAGGTATATATTTCTCGACTCCCGTTCCTCAACCCCCGTTCCTCAACCCCCGCTCCTCAACTCCCTGCTTACCATCGATTTCAGAGTACTGACGCAAGGTAAACTATCCTGACCAAAAACTCAATTTGGCGCAGTAGTCATGGGACCACCAGTGGATTTTGTAGTGACGGATGACATGGCTACTTTTATCGTGGGCCCGGAATCCCAAGTATTTCGCATCGACAGAAATCAAGTCATGCTGGCTTCCCCTTTGTTTCATGCCTTCTTTACGGGCGAATGGGCCGGACCGGACAAGATATATACGCTGAAGCAAGAAGACCCGACCCTATTCCATTCGTTCCTACAATGGATAGTGTCAGACGTAGCTCCTGAGACTGAAGAGACAGTAGAGCAGCAGATGGTAACGAATGCGAAACTATGGGCCCTAGGCGACCGTTTCCTCGTCCCTAGATTCCAGAACCGCGTCATGAACAGGTACGTAGACATGGTTATGGAAGCAACAGTGAGCCAGCTCAAGGACTTGGCTTACTCGTTATATGAAATAGGGATCGACGGCGAATCCCGGATCCCCAAGAATGTTCTTCAATGGCGCCTCTCGGAGGAAGACCAGGAGGCGCTATGGGAGTCTGGTATCATGTCGGCAGGATTGGCACTCGACCAAGCGGAATTTCGGCATAGTGATTGGCAAAAGTCCGACATTCACGTTCATGAGATTTGATAGTTTAGTCCAGTCCCTGCATTCATAGTCAAGTGTTAACGTTACCCTCGTAGAATGACTCCACTTCCGAGTCGGTGGGATTTTAGATAGGCCCGACTCAGGAGAGTCACTCTCAGGTGCCCTTGCTTTGGGGTTCTGGAAATAATACATGTATACGATGACGTTGGGGGTTACGGTCGATAAAGTGTGAGAAGAAGACGTGAAGATACGAAAGTGAATGCTGACTAAACAAGAGTACGGAGCAACTCGGTTCTTGGCCCAGGGGCGTGCGTAATAAACTAATTGCATAAGTTCTATGCTACGAAGTGCTGATTCGACTAAATTTATGCACGAACATACGTCTCAACCTCGCACTGTCGCCAACCTGGCGCTTCAACAACAATGGATCCCCCAACCAAAGAGCCGAAGACGACTCCGCAAAGACACTCGAGACATGGTTCATCCGGTAGAGGTCAGTCTTCAATTAAATTTTTATCCCTTTAAACTTGCCTGTCTCGTCGTTAAACTGAGTCGTTCTCCTTATCATTTCTCCTGAGGCGCGTTGTGTGTGACAGTGTAATGCTGAAGATAGCTCTTGATGCTCTGAGTATTCGGAGTCATTTATAAATCTTGACCCAAGTGGGCGAAAACTGCAAGAAGACTGCTTGACATGGCTTATTTGGTGTTGATTTTAACAACCAGCTGTTGGCATTGATTGCTTAACCTATCTATTGTGCTACTTAGAGCGCCTAGTTTCTTTTACCCAAAGTCCAAAATGCCGATTTAGGCGGTCAGGAACTAAGACTGTGATGCATGCAAATGATTTTATCTTCTAAATTTGACATATACGTAGTATGGCTTAATAATTTCATCTCAGTGGATGAAATCAGTCTCGCCATTTTTGGGAATCACGCCCGGGAAATGTTCAAGGGAACTATACTTACAAGTTTTGTAGCACCTATACCACGACGGCCAACTCGTGGGCCACTAGATATTTCAGAGTATGTCTCCCTCCACTTGCCGCAGAACCACGCATCTAACTAACCGCTTATAGCCCTGCCGCCAACCCGCTCTCCCCAACGAATCTATTACATCAATCCTCTTCACAGATTCTCTCCCCTCCTACACGTTATCACACTCCAAGACTGCCATCCCCGACCCCCGGATCAAATCTTTCAACACTATCATCAGTTCCGTCCTTCAAAACCGCCCACTCAACTCTTCAAAGTACTCAAAAGGATTTCTCGTATCTTCTCCGGCCCGAGATCTACCACCCTTTAGCTCTCATTGATGTCCCGCCACCATTCCGCAGCCCTTCGGTACAGCCAGATCCCTCTACTCCGATACCAGAACTCATCTCTGCAGGGCATTGGAGAAGCGCCGCCATTAGAGCCGCCCAGCAACTCACCGCACCAACCCTGTCTCCTTCAGACCACACAGCTATCTTTGCTCTCATATACACGCGTCTTTCATGCCTAACGCTATGCAACCAAACGCCCCTCGCAGCTCAGGAAGTAAAATGTTTAGAGGACTTAAATTCCTCCTATTACCGCGACGACATCTCCGGCTTACCTCTAGTCCCATGGCACTTACGTGTTCTAGCCGTAAGGTTACAAGGTATGGGATATGCAGATGCACGAAGGGGTGTCATGGGATACTACGATCTTGCTCGTGAAGCCCGACTTACTCTCACGTCTTTGAAAAAAAGACTCAGCGAGCACAACGCCAAGGAACTGGAGACGAAAGGGGCAATCGAGAATGAGATCATAATTTGGAAGGAGCGTCTTCATGACTTAGGGATCCGCGTTGCGAGTGCATTGGTTGAGATGGAGGATTTAGAAGGTGCTGCGCGCTTCCTTAAAACGCTTCGACCTTCGACTTCGTCAGACGGAGCGTTGCGGTTGGAGGCTCAAAAGGCACTCCTGTATCTTTGTCTAGGCGACGTGGATGCAGCGCGATTGTGTATCTCTCCTTCCGGTCCGACCCCCGGAGACCCTGCCACTGGGAACGAAGAGGAAAGAAAGAAAGAGCAAAATATTATCCTCGCATTATCCCACATTGCAGACGGGAACTACGATGCTTCAGCTGCTATTTGGGAGGAATTTATTTCATCTGGAGCCGAAACTGCCGTGTACAAACAAAACCTCGCAGTTTGTCACTTATATCTGGGGCGCATGGATGATGTACGTATCCCACTCCTACCTGAGCTTTTTATTTCTGTTATATTCGTCTCAACACCCCTCCAGCCTCACGTTCTTTTATCGACACATTTCTCCTGCAAAAACCACAAGACTGACAATAGCCCCTCACTCACCTAGGCACGAACAACCCTAGAATCACTCCTCACCACTCCAGAAGGCCCCAACACTTTCCACGCCTTAACCTTCAATCTAAGCACGATCTATGAGTTATGCACGGAGCGGAGTCGGGCTCTGAAGATCGGGCTGGCGGAGAAGGTTGCCGGTATTTTATCGAAGGAAAGGACCTCTGGGATATCGGGGCAAGGGAGTGAGAAAGTGAACGGGGATTTTAAACTGTAGTTCTTATATGAATCATTCTTGGGAATTAACTGCCGTCTTGTTTTTTGAATTGGATGATCAAGAAATTGTGCTGGCCAGAATATCTTTAACATGCCACCAAATTCACACACTGCAAGGCACCAAAAGAAATTTTGCGTCGATGCTATACTAATAAAGAGCCCCAAAATGAAATATATTTTACCTTAATATCGATTTTGAATGTCTCAACCTGGTCTAATAATTAAGATGCACCAGTGTAGGGCATTACTTAAGGTGAGCTTAGTTAGCGTGAAGATGTTTAGGAAAGGCCCTTATACTTCCACTACTCAGGTTTTCTATTTTGAACCGATTTCCATTTCATGATGCTTATATCTGGTTCCTTGTGCTGTACACCTAAACAGTGTCGAAATATTGCTCTTATGAGTGTTGTAGGTCGTGGGGCGCTCTATACGACTCCCTGACCCCCAAGGACAAAAACAGCACTTCCACTCCCAGGCTTACTAACTACAACCGCCGACTCCTTCTGTTCGGGGCTTAAGACCATTTTACTATAGTACTCCTTGTCCCATGCCTCCTTCACAGCCTGGACCTTATCCGCGGGCACAAGATGCACACTGCACCCGCCCCATCCTGCACCAGTCAACCGCGAGCCATAGCTTCCTGCCCTGCGCGCAATGTCGCAGAGCTGGTCGATTTCGGGACAGCTACATTCGTAAAGCTCCCTGCAGCTATCCTGGGTCTCGTTCATTAGGTCGCCTAACCGTCGGTTCAACGACTCAGTGTTGGCGCTAGTGTCGCCGCTGAGATGGGACGCCGGATTTTCAAGAATTGTCATGAACTGTAAGACTCGCAGGGCTTCTGAGAATACGTGTAGGGCACGCTGGCGTAATTTGAAATGTTCTGCTCGCACAGGGAAGGTGAATGTGAAGCGTTCATTGAGTTCGTCCACAGACATGCCGATGACAGAGGCGATCTCTGCACGGGTGTAGCCATCATCTTTGGTTAAAGTTGTCTTTGTCAATTCAATGAGTTCCTTAAGTTGGTCTTCAACCCTTTTATCCGAGATTCTGAAGTATTGTTGGTGGAATCCGTTAAGAGAGATCTTCAGAGGGCCAGAGTCTTCCGGTAGTGGCTTGTTAGATTTACCAAGTTTCGCATGTAGATAGGCGGCTGCAAGACTGCACTCCACAACGCGGAGATTGTAACAGACAGGGCCGGTAACGTGTTTGTCGGCGCTGACGAAAGACTGTGCAATGACGAAGGAGAGTTCAGGTGAGGTCTTGGGGAACTTGACGGGTTTCGCCGTGAGAGTTGGGACGAAGGAAACGAAGAGCGCAGAACCTCGAAGAGAGAGGACCGAGGCCGCTTGGTCCATTCCTCCCGAGTTGACGCCCACGGCTCGCTCACTGACAATGGCCAGCTCGGTCAACTCTCGCTTATCAACTGCCTTCTCCCCGTTGGCATACATCACTGCCAGCGCCGATGAGCTCACGAAAGCTGCTGAGCTGCTGAGTCCTCCTCCGGCTGGAACCGTGCCATCCACCAGGATTTCTACGCTGACGGGCTTGTTGTAACTTCCACGCTTCCTCCGCAACAGCTCCAACGCCCCTCGCAGACCAGATTTGAAGTAATTGGTCCATTCGTGGACCTTAGCATCGATCTCGACGGAGTCAAAGGGGATTGTGAACTCGTGAGATGGGAATTTGTCAGGCTGGACATTAGAGATTTTGATCGTGTAGAAATCCGACGGCTTTTCCTCGTCAATCACGGATACGGCGAGCAGAACATCCGCTGTAATGGCCATCGGCAGCACCGAGTACAGAGAGTAGTCAATGTGCTCGCCGATGATATTGACCCGACCCGGCGATCTTGATACGAACTGGGGGCTGTGGCCATAGTTGGTCTTGAACTGCTCTACAAGGTGCTGCCATCTTTTTGTCTGGCCGGGAAGGGCGTCATCCGTGTAGATGTCGTTCAACGACTTTGCCAACGGCACCGAACCAGGCTCCTCCATCATATGCAATTCTTCGGATTCCTACTGGGCGGCTCGTGCAACCGTTGCGCAGGAAAGAGACCCGGGATAACGGCAGAGAATAGCGGGACGGCTGGGGTTTTGGGGTAGAGGGGTAGTTGTGTCTTGTTCAGTTCGGTTTCAGGAGATCGCAGGATGCCAGCCAGATCGAGAAGAGGTTTTGAGAAGAATAGCAAGAAATAGTACCAGACTGTAGGAACTGCAAATTCAGCATCACGCGGCGTCGAGGTGGACTGCCCGACTACCAGACCACCAAGCTGGCCGACTAGCAAAGTACTGCCCCTCCAAAACTGCCTCGAACCCCGCCGAAGACCCGCCGTCAGAGGGCCAGGGTGCGTTTAGCATGTTGATGGACAAACAAGAGCGGTGATTGGGTGCTTAGCGACGATGAGATGGAAGGCTCTTTAACAGGTCGCATGTTACTTCGTACATGAGTAGTTGAATAGCGGCGTGGAAGGCGGATAAATACTTTATATATGTACGCTACACCACGTCAAGCCACCCCGTCAGTGGCCTGGACTCCGCAGTGCCTTTGCCTTTGCTTTTTGCTTTTGCCCTGAAGGAAGGGGGCTTGGCAGGACAACAAGGGTTTTCGGGTATCACAGCGGAGTCAGCAAGCACGTGACGGCAGGGTTTTCCCCGGCGGCGAGGGGATGATCATCTGCAGACCTTTCGGCCTTGATCGGGCCCAGGAGCGGTGGATTGGGATTAGGAGGCTTTAATATATATCTCTGCTGGATGTTTTGGGGCCCGAGACTCGGGAGACTCCCTCGGACTGAAGACGCTCATTGTCTTTGGAGTTGGCATTTCCCGGAGGACTTTCGAGGAGGCTTGCTGTGCACCGGTTGATTGGTGTGGTTGAGCAACCAGTCATTAAAAAGCCCCGATACTACCTATGCTCCAGTACCGGAGTTAGAATCAATCGACCAGATATAATTTTGGTGGCGAAGCTGGAATGGCTATCATAAGTCCCTACTCCGTGAAAACCTTGGGACCTTGGGGAGAGTCAGTCAGAAAAGCCTTTGAAATCGGCACCTTGTGTTTGGCTACCTAAGGTGAGGTAGGTAAGGTAGGTAGGTAGGTATTCGGAAAGATATGAAGGAAACAGGAAACAGGAAAACAGGAATTGGGCATGGCAGGTGTAACGCAGCATCACGGCTGATAAATAGAAAGCCCCCGGACTTTATATCAGGACCAAGTGCTTGCTTGCTTCGTATAAGTACAGAGTAAATAATAGAAATCAAGAATATCAACAGAGCACGCACAAGCACGAGCCGTGATCGCCCTTTTTTACACGCTTGGCTGGGCGGTCTGGCCGTAGCGAGAGCCCGGGAGGCAAAAGACTCTCCCCACATTGGCGGTCCCAAGTTCCGACCTCGCTTTCAGAACTTTTGTAGCGGGAAGTGATTGTGATTCACCCGAGATCCCTCCCTCGGACCTGACTTCTTCCTCCTCCTCCTCTTCCTGCTGCCATCCCCACCGCCCCCCAAGAGCAAACATCTCCATAGAGACACCGCGAGACTCTGCGCATCGCTGTGCATCACCATCGCACTGGCTTAAAGAGTCCCCTTGGGCCCTCACCGGCTTCCCTTCTCTTTGGTGTCGTTTTCGACTTCGATTCCCGCTCGCTTCTTATCGCCCCCCTCCAATCCCCGAACCTTCAAGATGCTCCGGTCACAATCCGCCCGCGGCGCTGTCCGCGCTTTAAGACGACAGACAAGTTGTAATATACAGTCCTTCTCCTCTTCACCCGCCTCCGCAGGAATTGCTTTGGCGAGGAAGGGACCAGCAGCAATTCGGACACAGGCCACGGCTGCAACAGCCACCTCGGTATCAAGGTAAGCTTCCTCCCTTCACTTGGTGAGTCATGTCCACTGACAACTGATAACTTGTAGCCAAGAAAGAGAGCGTCCTAGTCCCGCCTTCAATGCCTCAACGCCTAAAGATGAGAACCCTTTACAGCATGCTAAACGACCGGAAATGGACGAGTCGTGCGTCTCCGCCCCTCGCTGCCGCTTCAAGACGTACTCTTCCATGCTAACCAAGTAATATAGCTTTATTGGGAAGACAGGAGGAGAGATATTCCATGAGATGATGCTTAGACAGGGGGTCAAACATATTTGTAAGTATCCCAGCTAAGTCGATTGTTCTTGCTAACAATCGTAGTTGGCTATCCCGGTGGCGCGATCCTTCCCGTATTCGATGCCATCTACAACTCCAAACACTTCGAATTCATCCTCCCCAAGCATGAACAAGGCGCTGGCCATATGGCAGAGGGTTATGCGAGGGTATCTGGCAAACCAGGAGTTGTCCTGGTAACCTCAGGCCCCGGTGCGACTAATGTTATCACGCCAATGCAGGATGCTTTCTCCGATGGAACTCCAATGGTTGTTTTCTGCGGTCAGGTAGTAACAACGGCAATTGGCAGCGATGCTTTCCAAGAAGCCGATGTCATCGGCATCTCAAGAGCCTGCACGAAATGGAACGTGATGGTCAAAAATGTGGCCGAGCTGCCCAGACGTATCGCGGAGGCTTTTGAGATCGCCACCTCCGGACGACCTGGACCTGTTTTGGTGGATCTGCCAAAGGATGTGACAGCAGCGATCTGCAGAAAGGCCATTCCCATAAGTAGCAGCCTTCCTGCTCTCCCCAGTCAAGCCTCAAAAGTAGCACTCGAGCATAGCCGAAAACAGCTTGCCGTCTCCATCCAACGTGTGGCTAAGTTGGTCAATATGGCCAAGAAGCCCGTTATATATGCTGGCCAAGGTGTTATTGCACACCCCGAAGGCCCTAGGCTCCTCAAAGAGTTAACTGATAAGGCGTCCATCCCTGTCACGACAACCCTCATGGGTCTGGGCGGGTTCGATGAGCTGGATGAGAAGGCTCTCCACATGCTTGGTATGCACGGCTCAGCCTATGCCAACCTAGCCATGCAAGAGGCAGACCTCATCATCGCTCTTGGGGCTCGTTTTGATGATCGTGTAACTGGATCTATACCAAAATTCGCACCAGCGGCGAAGGCCGCCGCGGCGGAAGGGCGAGGTGGTATTGTCCATTTCGAGATCATGCCAAAGAATATCAACAAGGTTATTCAAGCTACTGAGGCTGTCGAAGGCGATGTTGCGGCGAATCTTGGTATTCTCCTACCTCAGGTTGAGAAGAGAAGCATGGAAGACCGCAAAGAATGGTTCGATCAAATCAAATACTGGAAAAAGAAGTTTCCTCTCTCACACTACGAAAAGGCCGATCGAACTGGTCTGATCAAGCCCCAAACTCTCATTGAAGAGCTTTCAAATCTTACCGCCCATCGAAAACAAGACACCATTATTGCAACTGGTGTCGGTCAACATCAAATGTGGACGGCGCAGCATTTCCGCTGGCGTGCTCCAAGAACCATGGTTACTTCTGGCGGCCTTGGAACAATGGGTTATGGCCTCCCAGCAGCCATTGGTGCTAAGGTTGCTCGGCCTGATGCCCTTGTTATCGACATCGACGGTGATGCTTCCTTCAACATGACTCTGACCGAGTTATCGACTGCCAAACAGTTCAATATCGGTGTGAAGGTCATTGTCCTAAACAACGAAGAACAAGGCATGGTTACTCAATGGCAAAACATCTTCTACGAAGATCGATATGCCCACACCCACTCCGAAAACCCAAACTTCATGAAGTTAGCAGATGCGATGGGTATCCAAGCCAGGAGATGTACCAAGCCAGATGATGTCCGGGATGCCCTGAAATGGTTAATCGAGAGCGATGGGCCTGCATTCTTAGAGGTAGTTACCGACAAAAAGGTGCCGGTGTTGCCTATGGTGCCAGGTGGGAGTGCTTTGCATGAGTTCTTGTTTTGGGACGGAGGTATGTCAACAATTGCCCCTTTTACACCCCTATTTTCTAACAATTGCCACAGTCAAAGACAAGGAACGCCGAAAAATCATGCAGGAGAGAACAGGTGGTAAGCACGGTAAATAAGCCCGAAACCTTCCTCCTTCGGTAGAATCATTTGGACGGCGATATCCATGGTGTGCTTTTGCTTCTCGTATCTCTTTCTATTGCAGCAATTCAACTGGAAACGGTGTTAGGAAAAGTTATTTTGGTGCGTTGCATTTGATTGCGGCATTTTCGACGATTCATGGGCTTCATGAACAGCTGCTAGGGCTCGTAAGATACTTGTGGGATGTGGTGTAGATTCCAGAGACCGAAGTGGCTCGGACGATTGTATATATTTACACATGGCTAATGACGAAGACGTTTCCCGAGATAAGGCGTCGATGGAACCCTTATTTTGTGAACTTTTGCAAAGACAGCTCACCTTGACCTCTAGAATCAAAGAATCTTCCAACCGTAGGTTGTTTGATAAGTGCAATGCCGACTTCCAGATATAGAAGCCTTTCATGTTCGAAAATTGTAAAAAAAAGTGAAACATTCAAGGGTATCCCGTACCTGTCAGGTTTGAGATATTTGGTCATTGTATAGCTTAAAAGGCTATCCATGAGCCCTCTACCTATATATGCCTTCCCGCCTAAGCGCCAGTAGAGAATAAGTCTATAGATGATCTTATTATCGCGCGATTCCACCCAAGAACCCAACAACTCTCTCGACCAAGTCCTCCAACGACTCCGCATTACCAGAAACATTATGGTTAGCACCCTTTATGACCGCTGAATTAAGCTCATCCACCTTGCCGTTGCCTCTATTAACAATATCAATCCACCTCTCAACTAAAGCCTCCTTGTCAATTGTCTCCGCTACATACTCATCGCTTCCCGAGTACAGGATACACAGCGGACTCGACCTCGGCAAGCTCCCAAACGTTTTCATGAGTTGCTCATCAGTCAGGTCCGAGCTGAAATAATCATCATCCCCGTCGTGGTTAGGGCTTGCTAAGGATAGCCACCTTCTCGCCGTCACCGGTGCTGGTGATGGACTGAAACATGCTGGTAATATGGCTTCCCCGTTCCCGGATTCTATCATTGCCGTTGCGGTTTCACAGCCTTTCTTATAAACGTCAGGTCCCACCATTACAACCAAGGATTCGCGGTCACTGGCGGGGGCTTGGATAATTGCTCCGTCGATAGGGGAACGAGTCTCATGCCCGGGGCCGGTTAAGTATTCCATAGCGTCTTGACATCCGGTGGAGTGGCCCATCAATACTATTTTGCCGTCCTTGATGGTGCGGAAGTAGGCAACGCATTTTGAGAGTTCCTCTACGTCCTGTTGCAAAGAGGAGGTTCCCCAGCCGTCGTAGGAGGAGGAGAGGATGACTTGGGCGATAGTCCATGAGGGTGAAAGGTTCGAGGCGATGTCGGATGTGTATGGGACGGTATGTAGACCATCGGAGAGGCCCCCAACGAAGATTAAGAGATTCTCAGGTCGCCGTTCGTGCGTGGTTGGAGTGTGCTCAAATGCAAATAGACGGGGTGACTATTGAGAGTTAGAAATCTAATTCGACGTGACGGCATAAAAATTTTTGGAGAGGTTGGTTGGGATCTAGTAAAACGAGAAGTATGATTGAGATGCCTTGGAAGGATATACTTTGTGCAGGGAAATGATTAGGATTCATTCGGAGGACAATACAGAACAGAATGCTGGATTATTTATTAAAAAAAAATTAGAGAGATGTTTTCTAATACATGTAAACTATTACAGATATGAGAGTATGAGCGAGTGAGGTTTGAGATGCGAACTGTACTCACATATTGATGTGATACACCCCTTCTCGCAATGCCTTTGAACGTTTCCTCTGCCATTTTTGGGCGTGTAATGGAACTCAGTTGATTGTCTAAGCCCGCACAATTTGAATTTGAATTGGCTGTAGCGAAAATATGAAGTATAAACTACAGAATTGAATTATGTGCGTAGTGTCTCAGAATATAAAGTACGAAGTATATGGTAGATTTAGAGTGGGGAATTGCGGTGATGGTGTTCATCCCTCCCTCTACAAAAGTCACGAGACATGCTCCCCCTGGGCCATTCGCGAGGGTCTTGAAATTTATCTCGAGCTTCAACGAGCAACCAGAAACAGCCATCCAAAACACCACCCACCGATCCTCATAATGGCGGTCAAGATGCCATCTCACACCTCCATAACGCGCCTCCTCTCCCCGCTCGTCAATTCCTTTCGCACAGTCTCCCTCAACCCTTCAGCCTCCCTCGCCAAACCCTCGACCATCCGATCATTCAGCACATCATCCACACATCTTGCACCCCCGAACAAAAATGCAAAACAAGCCGATCCCCGCATATCCCTTATTAGATACCACATGCAGCATCCAAAGACGCCGCGGCCCCTGAAGCTGAGTCGGATGCGCGCGCTGAGGCATTGGACGATTCATCGGGCTTGGATGCTGGCGAGGAGGAAGAGGAAGGAGGCGGAGGAGAATGAACTGCAGAGGTACGAAGACTTCTCTTTGTTACCTTCTTTTGATTTTGGGGTTGTTTCAGTCTCTTAGGGTACCTTTTGGGCGAGTAATTGTGCTCTAGAAGGTGGAGGTTTGAACGGAAAAGCAAAAGGTTTAGACGAGAGTATTGGCTAATCGGTGATGGGATGTAGGATGTACCAATCTATGCATTCTGCTTGCGAGGAGTTACGGTTGATGGATCCGCCTGGGTCGAAGGATGCGGGGAGGCTCTACAGGATTGCTATGGAGAAGAAGGGTATCTTCGGGCATGGGGGAGTGCCGATTGAGTATGCGAGGGCCCAAACCGATACGCCAGCGAAAGAGCCGTGGAACCATGAATGGACGAGATAGACTTTACTGAAAAGTAGGAATATGGAGCTAGAAGAACGTGTACAATACCTGCGGGATAGGGAAGGGAAGGTGTCGATATTCAGGAATAAGGGCAGCCAATGTTCATGATGCTTGCCAATATGTATTTTATGTACAAGGAGTCTCCCATTAAACCAACGCTATTGTTCGCAAGCAATGCAGTAATTTCCATCCCTCCGCATGCTCGATGTGTGAGGCTATAGAATCCAATGGAGAAAAAGAGAGTAAAGACCAAGCCGTGATCAATCGTCACTGCTCTATCTGGCATTCCAGACGAGCCACATATACCACAGGCAGACAGGTTTGAAACTTTTGGGTTTGCATGGTTCCGTATGCAAGATATCCTGATGTCCCCATAACATTATGCTTTCTGCAGTAAAAGCGAGTATAGACATCCGCTATGCGGAAAAGCAAGCCGGTATTGCGGGTGTAGGAAGCGAAGGCGTATTCCGGTCGTGTGTTCGTGTTCGTGCATTAGAAAGCTTAGTTTCGAATTATTGTTTGTTCCCAAAGTTATCCCGCAGTACCATCCGTCTATTTTCATCAAGCAACTCCAATCCGTATTCTTATAGTATGACACAGCATCCTCCCCGCTCGCCCTTCTCAAAGGTGAGTAGGGCTGCTCTCGTGGCCGCCTCGAAGACGTCGTCAACTCCCTCACCGGACAAGGACGAGCATTCGAGGTACTTGCGTGCCCCAATCTCGCGTGCAATCTCGCTCGCTTCCCTACTGTTAACAAAGTGTTGTGACTTCTTGCGGATTTCTTCTATGGCCACTGGATCTTCTCGGAGATCTTTCTTCAAGCCGACAAGAATGATTGGGACGCCGGGACATCGCTCGGTCGCTTCTTCGGCCCACTGATAGATAAGGATCAGCATATGAAAAGCCTCGTAACAGTGAAACTCAATATTTACATACCTTGTGTTTGACGTTATCCAAGGAGTCTGGGGTATCGATCGAGAACCCTATTAGGATGACATGGGCTTTTGAATATGCTAAAGGCCGTAGCCTTTTATAATCTTCCTGCCCTGCTGTATCCCATAAGGCTAATTGCACACTCTTTCCATCTACCCGGCAATCTGTAACGTAGTTCTCGAAAACGGTCGGTACCTATAAATAACACTGTCAGTTCTTGGACACGGCGATCATTCCGTAGTAGTCGACCGGACTCACATAATGCTGGGGAATTTCTTGTCAGCATTGTACATTTCAACATTGCGTCACGGATGAGCTTACGGTGGGGAAATAGCCAAGTGTGAACACACTGAGCAGTGAGGTTTTACCGCAGGCACCATCTCCAATTATGACCAATTTCCTGTAGACCCATTAGCGGGTGTTCGATTTAGACTCCCGTATAATCTTCTTGTAAATCGCTATCCCAATTCCAAAATCTAACCGCTAGGGCACACATGCGGCACCACACAGTCTTCCAATCCTGATCTCCTTCCCAACACGCATGGATATGCTCCATCGCTCCATGGAATATACCGGACTGATAAGCCCAAAGGCTATTTTGGGCGCTTCTGGTTGAACGTACCTTCGCATGACATTTTGGGCTTGTTCTTGGGCCATATTCAATCGACGTTATGAGGATTGTTCTTGTTCCGAAGACTTTTGAGGACCCGGATTAGAGAAAGACCATGTACCGGTCGAGGTAAGGGGCGCCGGCCAAGGGGTTCGGCGGCTTATGGAGTTGTGGAAACTGAGACGATGTGAGCGATACGAAGTCGGCGGTCGTCCGCGCGTGGATAACGGGGGTATCGGACAGGCCGCTGAGACTGGGAAGCAGAGGATGGCAGATACTATATCGTGAGGCGTGCTAATATCCTCCAGAAGTTCCGCTGGAAATTGCAGAGTCCTCGTACGACTTTGACTTTTTCTTTCTTGCAGTTAAAGCAGGAGTGTTGGGAGTTGGAGAGGGCTTGTGAATATTAATGGGGGGACAACTGGGCTGAGCCACCAAACCGTGCACCCTGGCCCTGAAGCTCTCGAAGGGGCTTAGATTGTGCTGGGCTGATACTGCTGGTGCTGATGCTGCTCGCCTGCGCGGAGCTCCAGGAGGGTTACAGGCGGATTCAGCTGCTGGATTCGGTATTATTCGTTGCTGTTGCTTGTGTGTTGCTTGTTGCTGTTGGGGTGGAGAAAGGGGACTGCAGGATATAGGATGCTGCCAATAGAGGAGCCGGATACGGTAAGCTCTGCGTGAGAAGGGAATAAAGGCGATGAGAAGAGAGGAATACAAAAAGAGAAGCAACAAGACGAGAACAGCTCTATACCTGTTCTTGGAATGAATTGAAGGCGCAATTGCTGAGGTGGTGTACTGATTGTTAAGTGTATTTTGGTACCTTTGGGTTCTGGTGGTGACGAGACCGACTACGAAGGATAACCTGTGCAGTGGGTGCCTGGTGCCTAAGGCGTCCACCGCAGTTCTTGACGAAGCAACTTCATCCACATCCACAAGGTAGGAGGACGCTGGACTCGCTCATCAACACCACCACCTAATCCTCCCCGGTCTCCAAACCTGCCCTCGCCCTGACCTCGACGCAACCGCACGCCCTCGACGACCGGCTCGCGCTACCATCTCCCTTCCACGCCTCCTGTCCTTTCTCAAAGTCCCCCGGCGACCGTCGTGCCTCTGCCAGAAGGAGACACCTTGGTGGGGCAGTCGCTATTCACCTTTGTTGTGAGTCTCCAGATTCACTCCAGCGTTCTCTCTGATCCTCCTCGGTGAAAATGAGATGGAACCCTTTGGCCGCCTCTAATTTCTGTGTTACCAAACAGGCGCCCCCCAGTCCACGAAGTCCATCCACGACCCATCCTCCCTACCTCACCTCATCGGAATGCCGGCGAACCGACGCCAGCAGACCGCACAATCTCCAGCATCTCCCACCTGCAAAGCCACTGCGAAGTATACTAACAAGGATGGTTCGAAGTTCATAACTGTCCCCAAATCGTACAACACCAGCGACTCATCTGAGACATCCCCAACCATGGCTCAGACGACCACGAAGCCAAACGGCCAAATGCCCGCACCTCCTACAGATGCCAGCAATGCTGCACCCACGGTCAACAGAAAGAAGCAGAAGCGGAGGCAGAAACAGGCCGCTAAACTTGCTGCTGAGCAACCTGCAATGACCAGTGCAAACGGTGCGCAAACGGCTGGCGACGTTAAGAGACAGATCCAAGAACTAGAGGCACGTTTCCGAGAGCACGGCTTGGATGAACAATTCGAGGGAAATGGTCATGGCCAGTTTGACCCTGCCGAAGGCGACCAGTACTACAGTGATGAGGGTGACGAGTATTCTGGCTCTTATGGTCATGAGGGTTCCTCCGCAAACGGTTATGCGATGCCTCCATCTAATCCCTCAGATAAAAAGTCCAAGAGGAAAAAGAAGCCAAAGGGGCACTTATCCGGAAATTCAAACCATCCCCATCCTCCGCACGCAACGAATGGATTATCACATGATCACGTACCCCTGCCACTCCCCCCTCTTGGAGCCACGAACATGCCCCGAGGCCCAGGAATTTCGAAGGAGAAGATCTGGAATACTTCTTCACAGGAAGAGCGCGAGCGAATAAAGGAATTCTGGTTATCCCTCGGCGAAGATGAGCGCAAGTCACTTGTCAAGGTCGAAAAGGATGCTGTATTAAAGAAGATGAAGGAGCAACAGAAGCACTCGTGTAGCTGTACGGTCTGTGGACGTAAACGCACTGCCATCGAAGAAGAACTTGAAGTTCTCTACGATGCATATTATGAAGAGCTAGAGCAGTATGCAAATCATCAAGGGGATGGCGGTCCTCCACCAATGATGCCCCCGCCCCGTCGATTTGGTGCCATGAGTGGCCTGCAACCACCCCATCGCCTGCCACCAGCATTTAATGGACAGCAACCATCTAGGGGTAGGATAGTAGAGCAGCTTGGCGACGACGAAGATGAGGAAGGCGATGAAGAGTATAGCGAAGACGAGGGAGACGAAGATGACTATAGCGATGAAGAGCCCGAAGAGATTCCTCGGAGCAATCATGCTGCAGACTTCTTCAGTTTTGGGAATAGTCTAACGGTCCAAGGTGGTATACTTACAGTAGCGGACGACCTCCTCAAGAACGATGGTAAAAAGTTTATCGAGATGATGGAGCAGCTTGCTGAGCGTCGAATGGCACGAGAAGAAGACGCCAGGGAGCAGCAATACTCAAATCCAAACTACGGACATCCTCCAAATGGTGCTATGCATTCTCACTCACACGCCCATAATCACCCACCCTTGCCAGATGACGAGGAGTATGATGAGGAAGATGAGGAGGAGGATGAGTATGATAGTCAGGATGAGGACTATGATGAAGAGGAGATGGTAGGTGAAGGCGAGTGCGGTTGCGCGGCATGTTCTAATTTTATGCAGGACACCATGACGGAGGAGCAGCGGATGGAGGAAGGACGCAGGATGTTCCAGATATTCGCTGCCAGAATGTTCGAGCAACGAGTATTGACTGCCTACAAAGAAAAGGTTGCCAAGGAACGTCAACAAAAACTACTCGAAGAACTTGAAGAGGAAAGTCGGGCAGATTCAGAAAAGAAAGCGAAGAAGGCCAAAGATGCCCAAAAGAAGAAAGACAGATTAGCTCAAAAGAAGCAAGCCCTTGGCCAGGAGAAAGCAAGGCGGGAGGCCGAGAAGGCTGCTGAGGAAGCCGCTCGCCTTGCGGCCGAGGAGAAAAAGGCCGAAGAACAACGGTTGAAAGCCGAGGAGAAACGCAAGAAGAAGGAAGCCCAAAAGAAGGCCGAAGAAGAGGAGCGGCTAAAGAAGGAGGCCGAAAAGCAGCGGCGAATACAGGAGCAACGAGAGCGGCAGGCCGAGCTTGAACGCAAGCAGAGAGAAGCCAAAGAAAAGGAGCGAAAAGACAAAGAGGAATTGAGGCGGAAGGAAAGAGAGGCCAAGGACGCGAAGGAGCGGGAAGCTAAGGAGCGAAAGGAGAAGCTAGAGAAAGAGAAGCTGGAAAAGGAGGCAAAGGCGAAAGCTGAGAAGGACGCCAGGGAGAAACAAAAGCGGGAGGAGTTGGCAGCCCAACAAGCCGCCGTTCAAGCATCTCAAGCTGCCACACAGATCTTGAAGCGACCGCAACCTCCCGTACCTATTCCTGCGAATCTCCAACCCACTACTACATCTATTGCTTCTCCGCATATCCCAGTTGCGACCCCCGCTATCCCAAAGGCACCAACTCCTATTAAACTGCGGACATCTTCTCAGCAAGAATCAAGTGGATCCATCCCCCAGACACCGCAGAGTAGCGGTTTAAGCCAGAATGTTTCCCCTGCTCCATCGGCTTCTCAACAAGGCAGCCCGGGTCCCATTGGCCCTCCCGGAAAGAACCAGACCCAGCATCCCTTTCTACATCACCCGCAGGCCACCTCTCCAATACATGCAGCGCTCAAGAGTCCTCCTGGGATGCAACCACCGCCGTTCGGGAATATGCAGCCCATGGGTATGGGTTTCCAACCTGGTATGCCTATGATGGCGCCAGGTTTTGGTGGCCGTATGCCCCACGAGCCCATATATCCACATCAACAACCCATGGGTGCACCATTCAGACCTCTTGCTGGCCCGAATGGTATGCCGCTGCATCCAGGACTAAATATGCATCAGATTCCACAAGGAAGAGGCTTTCCTCTACCCCATGCACCACCAGGCTTCCCCCAGGTGCCAAATGGTCTAGGTGGCATTGGCCAGCCGTTTGCCCAGAAAGATGGTCCCTCCCCCCAAACACATTCACGGCAACAGTCAGCTTCCTATGAAAAGCCTTTCGAACCGTCGACGTCAGTCCCACAGGCTCAGCCTATTGCAAGGCCAGCTCCAATTGGTCGCCCATCCAGTGTTGTACATGGCCATCGTCAAGGTGGCGGAAACAGTGATGTCGATGATCTGAGCAATCACCTTGGCAGCAGCGCTTTACTTGATGACTCCGATGAGCCACTTAATCCTGGAGGCAATGGGCGACGCTCAAGCGCCGTGCATAATATCAATACCCGTCCAAACTTTGCACCACCCTTTGGAATGGAACCTCCGGCATTCGCGAGTCCGATGAGCTCATATAATACATGGGGTGGGCCTCCAAATCCATTTGGACCTTCATCTCTTCCAAGCTCAAATTTGGGGGGGGGCTGGGGATCAGCCAACTCCTCGTTTGGGGCAGTTGGAGGTGCTCCGCTTAGCCGTCCTTTGCAGCCACGCTCCGTAGCTATCCGATTAATGATATGCCGCGCTTGCAAGAGTATGGAAGGGTCCACACCTGACCGCTACAGCGATATCAATCGTATCAAGGAACATATCGATCATTTCAACCCTCCGAACGAGCCAGTTTCGGAGAAGGAGATCCTTGATATATGTGAGACTGAGGGTAGCCCGATGAACGGCGGCGGCTCATTCGATATCCGCCAGGAAGGTAATGGCTACTTCATCCGCTACGAGGATGCAACGCCGATTCATCGTCCAATCGGCGCTCCTGGTGAGATCGGCAGTCCAATTGTAGGTGGTGGTGGAATTCGATTTTCCGGACCTCCTCCCGGCTTCTAAGCCAATTATCCATGTTTCCTTTGGGAATGTACTGTCTTGTTTGTATCATTTGCATCATCCCACGGTCAATACGGCCGATACGATGTGGCGCTATTGCTTCTGGTCATCTGCCTGCTTTAACTTGATGGAGGGTGGGTGGGCTATTATCCTGCCGAGCTTTTTGCACGCAGTACGGTCCAGTGTAATTGCCAGCGTAGCTGCTTAACGCTGCTTCTTCAGTAGCGAAGCGAGAATTCTAAACAAAATTCAATATCTAGGTAGCCTTTGCTGTGGTGGTGATCTCACCGTCGAAACTGTCTAATGCCTTCCGGACCTCGTCCCCTTAACCTACCCGCCCTCCAACCCTTTATCATACGATATTATGGAACAGTAATACCGTACATCATAGCTTAATTGTGTACTTCTTGCCCCCGTCTAGCTATTCCAGAGTATTTCTGCTTAGGAATGGAATTCCAGCACTTAAACGCGGCACCTCTTGCCAAGGGAGAAGAATTATTAATACCATGTCATAAATTAACCACTAGTGGATGTGAGGAGCATTTGACAGCATTTGACTTGCTGTTTGCACAGCTTTTTAAGTAATACTTTTAGCAGAGTTGATTTGGTCTCAGAATACCTATGATGCATATGAGAAATAGCGCAACAAAAACTACATCAAATGAGTAGTATCAAGGAGCCTACAACCCAGATTCTCTAGTTATATTAAACGACTATTACGGATACTTGAAACCTTTTGAGACGATGTCCAAGCCTGCTGCTAGTGCCGCTATGCTTTTATCCATAGGTAGATAGTCTAGGAAAGGTGATGTTTTGTTTATCGGCCCCCTATCGAGACATTTACGAATAGCTTCACCGCCCACTCAAATAACGCACGAATAACTCCACCGCCTACTCCCTAGGTGATAAGGTTGCTATCGAGACAGATCTCTATTTGTTTACTTTTAGGTGAAAGGAGACTACAGATACAACCATCACCCACGCGCTCTCTAGACGGTCCCTCAACACACTCTCGTCCCTTCTTGTCCTACTACAATCTAGACATTGTCCATCGTCTTCTTTGAGCAAAATCGCTCTGTGACACTTCCAGTTACTGATTTTGATAAAACGAGACGCGTGAAACTGGACCATCACACGAAAACAAACCCCCTTTCAGCCAAGAGGTAGGTTGTCTGTTCTCGATCTGAGACCAAACATCCAACTAACGTATTCACGTAGCAAGTCATAGTGACAATGAAGGTCCAACATTTTCAACAGCTTCTTGACGCTCAAGAAACCATGTTGAAGGCTATCCTTGGGGAAACTGACGGCATCACCGAGGAGGCTCTTAACAGGATCTTGAAGGGTCACTCCAAGAGATTCAATGAACTGTTGGACGAAGCACTTTCTCGTCTCCATCCAAATATTGTTGATACCGATGACCAGTCAGTCATGAGAGCATCAAGCTCTACCACCAGACACCCATCCAACACTCTCGCTACAGCTAGACGTCCATCCAACATTCCCAATACCATGGCGCTCAAGAGCATGACAACAGGCAACATAGTTGCTCAAGTTTCTACTATTCCTCGCACCGCTACCCCTTTCAATACTCCAAAGAAGCGCCCCCCCATTAGTATCGCTATTCCAAAGAAGAGGCCCCGAGAAAGCAGCTCGCGCCCTTGCGACCCTCTTGGGAACGTCTTCAATCCTAAGCCTGCCCAAAAGAAACAGGCCCCAACTCCTAAAAATCCCCAACCTGCTATTGGTGCTGCAAGAAAGGCCAACGAAATCATGCAATCAGCAAGTGACGATCGACAAAGCTCCCGTGTCCTCTTTCCTAATGTCACTCCATTGAAGAGTCAGTCAGCCGATAAGGAAATTGAGGAAAGCAAGCTTGTGAAGAGATCTGCTTCTCCAGAGCATAGTCCCATGGAGCGGGGTGGAGTGGCCATTACTGACACCGATATCTTGTTTAAGGAAGCGGAGAATGAGCTAGCGAGAAAACCCAAGAGACGATTCTGGTAAGTCAACCACTCTGTTTCATGCAGCCAACACTAACGCCATCACAGATCTGCGTTGCTACACTGTCTGAAAATAGCCTGATGGACTTGTTGGTTGGGGCGTTAGGGGGGCTGACAATGAAATGATGTTGCTGCATGACTTGCCTGTTTTTAATGAAATACCAACGAGCCGGATACAGTCAAATACCAAATGAAACTGTAGTTCAAAACCACTAACTTGAGTGTATCCAATATTCCTGCTCCATTACCACCTTTTGATGTGTTTTGGAAATGATCGCTCTGCTTTGGCTCTATGAGGTCACTAATACCTCGTCCACAAAGTGCAAGTGAGTTCTCTCACCATATACAACAGCCATCATGGAGATCAACACATAGCGGGTATAACTACAACTTCTCCGCCAGGGATGGATCTCCTTGTTATGGAGTCCCCAGTCTCATTGCTGCTTTCCATTCATATCAGGCAAAACCTCGGAGTATACACCAGCATCGTAAACTCGAGACTCTGAGCATCCATTCTAAGCAACGAAATTTGACTCTTGGGCACCGAGCAAGGCTGATTAGTGAGAACGAAGAGGCCGTTTGAGCTTTGATGCAGGTCCTGAAATTTCCGGTGATTGAATTTAGAAAGGAAAACGTCTGCCTAGTGGCCCTATACCCTTCCCTTTCAGCCAAGTAGCTTTGAGCGCTGAGAGCTTTTGCGGTTTTGTCGTGAATGTTATGGCTGGTATGTTATACTTGGCCGTCCCGTGAGGATGTGATACTTGTTGTTTATAGTGACTGTAGAGAAGCTGGCTGGTCATGTTGAGGTATGAAGTCAAGTTAAGGTACAAGTAAAGTAGAGGGTAGCCTGTGCTGGGCCACCTCGCATGTGCTACGGAGTACTCCATGCGGAGTTTGCTCATGGGATACATTCTTAGTGCTCCGTACCTATATGCAATACCTAAGGTAGGTAGGTAGCTGTGGTCACTTGCGACCTCTTTCCATCTTCTATCCCAGCCTCAGATCCACACAAGGAGAGTATGACCTTGCGTGCTGGAAAAATCATTCGGGGAGCATCAGGAACTTATAAGCTGCTGGACGCCTTGAAATCTCTCACCATCTACAAAGCTCAAGTGCTGTCGGGTCCTCGTATGAATGCGAGATGGTATGTCTCTATCACCATGCTGGAATTGCCAATGTCTTACTCCAACCAAAGGGCTGTCGTAAAAACAGCTGTAGCTGAACTCGAAAATGCCGCCTTGAAGCGTGAATACAACAATTATAAGATCCCCGACATTGCCTCGAGTCCCTACATCCGAACCCTCTACAACGCTCTTGGTTCCTTTGAAGAAGACGTACGCCAGTGTGATGCCGCTGCGGAAGACCCGTTATGTCTGGTATTCGAATGTCTGGAAACTGATCTGCAATCGTTATCATCCCACCAATATCGACGCGATTCACGATTGCCCAAGATCATTTCTAAATCGGTCCTGTCAGCCCTTGATATTTTCAAGAGATATAAATGCTACTCATACAGGTAGGTATTCTACTGCTAGCAGTGTTGTCCATATGGGACTAAAGCGATTAGATGTTAACCCAAACAATGTTTTCCTGTCGAGGATCGATGGGCCTTCACCGATAATTAAATTAGGAGATTTAGGACTGAGTACGTACTCCTCTGCCCCATACCCTTCACCAACACTTACATGATAGTGGTTAAGGAGGGTTATAACAGCCAGCGGCTTCACTGTCTTCCATGTCGGGCTCCGGTGGTGTGGCAAGGCATAGGCTGTTTTCACTCCTCAGATGTATGGTCCGTCGGTGTTACGGTTAGTTGCATCCACACCCTCTTATGATTTAGACTAATAGAGAAGTTGGGACATTGACTCCACGGGAGAGCTATTTTGGTGCAAGTGACAAGATCGTCGAGGATCATACCGAAGCGTGGTGCATTGCAAAACTCCAGAGTCTCGTTGGGTCACTCGGGATCTGTATTGATTATCAGCCGTACAAGAGCGAATTTGAGCTTGCTGAACAATTGACATCGATGGAAATTGGACCGGGTCTCGGCAAGCTAATCAAAGTAGGTACCTTGCGCCAGGAACTACAATCTCTCTCAGATCCATCGGTGTCGACTCGGCTACTGGACTTTATCGACTATTTACTCGTCATCGATATGGCAAAGAGACCAACGGCTCGGGAAGCCCTGCAAAATCCATACCTTCAGTATGTCTAATGACGGAAAATCACCGATCGTATGGCGTGTATTGGAGACAAGTTGGGCGCTTAAGACAGGCGGAAAGGGCCCAACATGTACTATTCGGGTTCGCGCAATCTTGCCACGGTGAAATTCGCAGCTCCTGGTCTGTTTCAATAGGGCTCTGGTGCCACGTTGCACATTGTTCTTAAGCTTAGAAATGGTAGGCAAGGCACGCCCTTCATAGAGTTGTTGGGCTATTTGTAGATGAAAGAACGGAGAGGAGTGAATTGGGAAGTCGCGCAAGCTTTATACCCCGGGAAGGCGGCGGCTGACCCGTGCGTAGTTTTCCCAGCTTACCTACCGTCTGGTCGTTGTATACTAGTAGCAAAGTTATAGAAAACATCCAAAGTTTTATAGAGTGTCCTAAGTACACCGAGTACACTAGGTGTACTAGGTACAGTAGTAGGTTTATTATAGAGTATACCCAGTAGCAGAGTACTAGGGCATCACCACGTGATTGGAGGCAACCTGGCCAAGTCAAGAGTTATTATCTGTAGCATTATATGTTCAAGAGTACCTAGGTACCTAGGTATCTTTCTGCCCTCTTCCAGTTCTGATGAGCTTACGGCTTAAAATTTGGGCATATAACATCACGTGATATGCAACTTTCCCTTTTCGGCTAGGCAAGGGATAACTACGAGAAGGAATTAGGAGCTCCAACCCTGACCTCGGGGTTATTAATTGGTTACATGCCTGGTGATTTGATTATATCGACCTCAAAGGGGCCTTGCACCAAACACAGTGGCACTCACTACCCTGGATCAATTGCAGTCTTGGCACAAGAAGAGAAATCTTTATCCGCCCATCGGATATCTTCGGCATTCCTGCGATGTGCAACAAAGTTATTGCTTTTCGTCCATGTTCATGTGCTAAGAGGAGCGGCAAAGCAAACATGAGGTTTTGGTGGCGTGATAGCGTGATGGCGGGTATTTATTTATGAGCGGGAGAATTTCCGAAGTGGGTATGTGACACGTGATATATGGGTTCCATTTTTGTGGCCTACGCCTATAGAGTGCCTTCTAAGCGGTTTAATTATCTTCAGAAAATGTACCAATTTGTTTACAAGAGGAATCTAGGTGTATTTAACCATAGTACTTTGTACTTACTCTATTATTCTAATATCTAGCCAGCAAAGTGAACCTATTCCTAGGTCTCTGGTGAGCCTTTGTCCGCCCACCGTATCCTCTATACCTGGCCGGAATTGAGGTATTCAAGCTATACGAATGTCTAACTGAAATTGAGGGATTCAAGCTGCACGAATATCTGACTGAATTTGAGATATTCAAGCTGCACGAATGACTGACCAGATTTGAGATATTCAAGCTGTACGAATGTCTGGCCGAATTTGAGGTATTCGAGTCGTGTGAATATCTCAATTTCGGTCAGATATAGAGGCCTAGTATATAATATCTTTAGGTTCTTGTAATATCAAGTACATTAGATGTTCTAGACTATGGATGCCGGTATATATAAAATTGAAACGTTAGATGAGATTGGGTGTGGAAACCCACTGGACTTCAATGCCTTCACCTCTCCCGGAAACGCCGAAAATCGATATTCTGCTTGTCGCGGAAGCCCCCAGGGCCCTTCGCAGACACGTCCCAGATCTCCATCACAACATCCGGGAAATCAACAGAGTTGAATCTTATTGATCTTCATCCGAAATGCCGACCTATGACTGACCTGGCCAAACATCATTCGCAATACTTCTCACTAGAGCAAGTTTGTTCTTCATATCCTCCCAGCCAAGTAAGTTGCCCTCCTCATGACTAGCGAAGCCGCACTGTGGGCTAACTCCCATTCTCTCTAGAGCTTGCTCTCTAGTTTGCCCAGCTCCTTTGGCAATAACGTCGGCAGCTGCGATCAGTCGTTCCTTCATTTTCTCCTTGTCCTCAAGCTCGGGGAATTTGGATGTAATTACACCCAGGATGACATTCTTGTGTGCTGGGAGATGAAGCAGAGGCTCGAATCCGCCGGCCCTGGGAGTATCGTACTCAAGGTAGTAAGTTGCTACATTCAGGTCTTGGAAGAGTTTGGTGGCGATACGATCATACCCTCCCTCTGAGAAATGGCGAGAGCCCATGAAGTTTCCTAGACGTCAACGTTAGAGGAGATTTGAAGAGCGTAGGAAATTAGTACCTCTGCAGATGTGAAGGCCAAAGTGGATCTTATCAGTATGGTTCGCGATGCTGTCGTTATAGCACTTGATGTATGAATCTAATAATTCATCTGGAGTCTTTGTATTCGACTTGTCCTCTGCCCACCCTTGGATCATTTTCTCGGAACAGAAGTCTATAACTTAGCATAATTTGCAAAAATAACGGAATGCTGCTGACTTACAAGCAAAGTTCGGGTCATCAAATTGGACATTTCGTACTCCAGCGGCGTAGAGGATATCTAACTCAGCCCTGACTGCTTGGGCAATATCCCAGAAATATTCATCGTCGTTGGCATAGACGTCTTTTGGGTATGCTTGCCCGTCCTTATAACGGAGATGGTACCAGGGAGGTGCAATCATGGTCAATTTAATCTCACCCCAGCGCTCTTCTGGAATCAGTGTCTTCATGTATTCGAATTGATCGACCAAAGTGCTCTTCCCCTTATGGCGGATTTTTCCTGTGCACACACATGATTGGCCCGGCTTGTGACCTTTCTCAATGAAACCAGCAATATCAGGAACATAAGGGCGGAAAATATCCATGGATGGGTTTCTGATTTCTGTCATGCCTTCCAACTCCTCGAAGAAGGTGCCCCAAAAGACAGCGCGGCTAAATGAATATTAGCACAACCAATATGAAGTGCCAAAACCACCGACTACTTCAAACCCACCGATATTCTCCGTCAGTTACACCATGGAATCCAGCGTCGGTTTGAACTTTGACGACCTTGGTGATGGCTTCATTTTCGGCTAGTGTGAGTTCCTCTTGACTCAATTGCTTGCTCTCGAAAGCAGCCCTCTTTTGGAGAAATTCCTTGGGTCTGAGTAAGGAGCCCAAATGCTCGGCTCGGAAAGGCGGATTGCGGTGGATTTTGGCCATTTTTGAACTGCCGTAAACACTGCGATGTAATGCTTTCTCTTGGTTTTATGATGATAAATTTTGAAATGTGTCTTTTGCAAGACACTGAGAGGGTGGGAGTGAGGTGGGTTTTATTCTGCTGACCTTGGGCCCCGCGGGGGCCGTTCGCAAGTGCCCCGCATCCGCCCCTCCCCCCACCTCGTCCCTGAAATATCCAAATACCCATAGCTGCGCCACTACTTCAAATCCGCGGGGAATATATTGTGGAAGCAATTTCAGGATATGACCAGCTTCATCAGTTTGTGGAAATAATCGTGTGTATCTTATTACTTATTCTACGTCCCAGGGAGAGTAGAATAAGGACGAGGGCCAAGCGAAAGTAGAAGTCCCTTGCGTCGTTGTACGAATGATGTGAAAGTATCTCCTCAGGCGCTAAACTACCTAGTGGAAGCGGTACTATAGTAGCACCCGAGTTATAGGGAGTATTGCTGGTCATGTGTTAGTTACATGGAGCGAGTCCAAGCACACAGTGTATGGTATGGGGGTATAACTTCAAACCTCGGTATATACAATTGTTTCAAGGCTGAAGTTGATAAAAACATATATAAGGTTCAAGATCCATTCGGGCCTAGGACTCGTACTGTGCTGCAATAGTGAAAGAGCAATAACCGATACTGATTGTTGTACTTGGCTACTCCGTAAGAGGAGTATAATATGAGATCGTCCGCCTTAACAGCCAAAATTCAATATATACCACCCTCTTCCCGAGGGAGGCTTCCGGCCAAGTTCCCTAAAACTTGCTTATCGACCGTGGTTCCCTGCCGTCCATTGTCCCATGCGTGAGGCGCAGAGAAGCATTGGCTGGACCAAACCATCTATATGCGACTTCCTAGATTAACCCGACCGTTCCGGCGGCCCAGGGCGTAGGCCAGATTGGCGAGGGCAAAGCGAGATAACCAGGCCAGGCTACCTGCAGTGGTCTCACTTGAGCCCTGTTGGAAGAAGGGAATTATGAGGGGTGGCGAGGAAATTAAAAGAGATAGAGCGCAATGAGGAGAGTTCATTCAGTATACAGAAGGTTGAGACTTTCTACAATCTTCTCAACGCTAGAGTACCTTGTAGATCTCCGCAATTCCGCCTCGAGAATCCCAACAATATATCCTCATGGCCCAGTAACTGTACTTTCTTATGGCTCCGGGAGCTGCCGCCGCTTTGCCGGAGTAGCGTACAGTGGTTGGCAAGGACCAAGATACCTAGGTCTTGAATGGACCTGAGCGTCTTTGGGGTTGCGCCAGCCATAAATACCAAGATGCGAGGGTTTGTACCTAGGTACCTATGTACCACACTGTACTGTACAAGGGGCTGTTACAACAATGTCCAACCGACCCTCAATTTCTCAAATCATATGGAGCATAGGCGCATGTTCGCAGGTGAAGAAGTATGTAGGGTAGGAATGAAACCACCACAAAATCAGGTTGCGAATATCCTGAATCACATTAGCATGATATGTATGGCTGGTGGGCGATAGGTTCCTGGGTTGCTGACAGACTATCTTTCAGATGACGACGAAGATATCCTCCTGCATCAATCACGGCGTCCCCTGGCCTATGATATCGAGGCCATTGCCACAATTCATCTCTAACTATTGCGCTTGATATCCCACGATCTTTAAAGTGTTGTACTTGATTGTCCTTATTCAGGCTATCGGATCAGCCTTTTTCAAGTTACGTAGGTCCCCGTGTTGGGATTTCATACGCAACCAGCATTAAGGCCCGCTATGGGCTTCCAGTGATATACCACTGTTCTACTGGAACTTCGAGGAATTGCCGTCATCAAGTGGTGTTGACTAGGGAACTGCTGGCTATCGGATTACCTTCAAAACAAAACAAAAAAGGCCGCGAAAGGAGAATGATATGACATGGGCTCTTTTATAAGCCAGGCGGCAAGGAAGGTACCAAGGCCCTACAGCTTGAGCATAACTATAGTTAGCAGCTTCAACCAGCAGTTCAAAAAAGGATGCAGCCAAAAACAACAAGGAGAAGTCCGAGATGCCCTGTACAACTCTTGTCATTAAAATCGCACAAGATGTTCCATGTAACATCTTCCATTCCATGTGTCCATGAATCCGTGATCATCAGTATAGTACACAATATGAAGATGGTCCCAAATCTATACCCTTTATACAGTCGCTATAACGCCAATACGCCATGCGGCCTATGCCAAAGCCCAACATTACACTCGGTATATAGCGCAGTGTTTCCTATATGGCCGACACGGACGAATTTTGGCCAGCAGGTGCCGCAGAGGCCGGGTTGCTGGTTCCAACACGCCAGTTCAACACCATAACTGTATCTTTCTCTCCTTCGCCGCCCTCGTTAAAATATACCTGTCGGACAACATCTTTCTTCTTGCCGCGAGTGGGATCGCTATCGATGTACATGCTATCTAGCAGCTTGTATCCCATTTTCACATCGTCTGGAAGTTTGCCTCGCAGCGGTGCAAGGGAATGCTGGACGTCCATTTCGTCCCCTCCCAGCGATTGTGGACTCCATGTTTGTTCCATTTCGTTGAAATTGATTTTATCAACGCTGCTCGTATCTAAAACGCCTGCCGGTTTCTTTCCAGAAGCATTTCCTTTCGGATAATGCGCTATCGAGAAGCCGTTGGTGAGTACCATTTCGTTCGAAAACTGCCAGCGCTGTAAAAAGCAGGAGTCACAAATATCGGCTACCAGGTGCATCTTTTCCATTTCAAATGCCGCACCCCAGCCCCCGTTCCAATGGTGTAGGGACAGCATTTCCCTCCCTGACTCGTAGAAACCGGACACATCGCCGCCCATATCTAGCTGATGTAAGCCTGGGATATGCGTGAGCTTTGTCGTCGAATATTTGTATATGCAATCCATGATACTGATATCGCCCGATGTTGTCCGCAAGTGCTTTATACAATCGTCATTATGGTCGTGCACTACCTTTGCAAGAGGTGAGGAAAGCAATATCCCAGCCCCGCCAAAGGCCATCAGTCCGTAATGGTTCACTGACCACCAGTCCTCACTTAGACTGCCTAGGTATTGTTCTTTCGACAAGTCATGTGCGGAAAGCATTGCCTGCAGGTCATACATGCTAGGGAAGAAGGTATCCTCATCTATACAAATAACCCACTCTGTCTTGTTGTCTCGCGCTTGGTACATAACGTCAACGAGAGAGAAGGATCTCTGTGGGAGACTGTGGTCTGGGTGGACTGGGTGTATAATCGACACATTCATGCCTTTGTCGTGGAACTCCTTCTCCAGGGCAGCCATTTGTTGGTCGTTGGCAGGTGTTTCCTCATCCTTGACTAGGTCTATGACAATTGCAAAGAGTCGAGCATTCGTGTTCGGGAGCCAGCGCGCCAGGTGCTTGGCTGTGTCATTAAGACGTTGAATCGTCGTCTGCAGCCCAAAAATCATGTTCGATGCGTCGACTGCGGGCATCGCAACATGCGGCACCTCGAGGATCAAGGGAGGAAGACATTTTTCGCTTTTCAGGGTCTTCGATTGCGAGAGATCGGCCGTCTCGAGGTCGAGGAAGAGCGGCTCGTCCAATATCGTTAGAGATGGCCGATCTGAACCTGGGCGTGAGCTTACGGGCTTGGTGATGATGTCGCGCGAGACATATCGTATGGGATTTGTAAAATTATAAATGTCGAGCCAGTCCAATTGGTCCTCGCATGCTGCTGGCATTGGCGCTTTCTCCTTCACAAACCCAGGGCGTATCCAGCTTTCGATCTCCTGAAGTGGAGTCCCTTGCGACCCATATCGCACAACAAAAACGATTCCTGCAACGATGGTGAGAAAGGCGACAAGAGAAAGAGGCTTGTGCGGATGCATGATCAGGCTACATGAGGTCTCGCGATCAATGCATTGCGCGCAAAGTAACGAGCGTGATAAGATGGAAGCAGCAGAGGTGCGTATGAAAATGTATACTTCGTACAAACAGTTACGTCTGAAGAAGGTACCTAGGTACGGTAGGCACGGTAGTACCTTCGTACTCCGTACAAGAGCTACAAGAAGACCGAGACAAGGAGGGCACGGACAATGATAAATCTGAGATCCGCCGCCCGATTAGCAAGCAAGCAAGGCTCGAGCTTGGATATCTCAATCCTCTAAAGAAGATTAAAGAAAAAGGACTGGTTGGGTTTGGTGGCCGGCTCGCCTTGGACGTACTCTGTAAATAATTACCACTACGGAGTGTAGAGCAAAGGCCCTTGTTAAACTGATCTCTCTTTAACTTCGTTAAGCAATCTGTCTGTTTCGACTACCTAGGTACTTGGTGCCTACGGAGGTAGGAATGTAAGAACTGAGAAGCACATTACTTAATTGAGTTGAGAGAAGTACCTAGGTAGTTTTAAGGGTCCTTTGCTAGCGCTCTATACAAATCTCATAGCCTCTCTCCATCCGTCCACTATTATACGTCAGGGGTGGACGGAGCAGGCCACAAGGCTGGAACGTCACCTTCGTGCAATCGTCCCAGCTCCCCGGCTCAGTTAACAACAAAACAATAACATTTCTAAACAAACTACGGAAGTGACCTCCGCCATCAAGCATTGCGAATATATAATGCCTGCAATGATATGATACAGCCAACATCATCACCCATAGCTTAACGCCCATCCACGCATTACGACCACCCGAAACTATTGTCGCAATGGCCTCTTTGCCTCCTTCAGAGCAGAATTCCGGCCGGCGTGGCGATGGGAGGCAGGCAAATCCCCAACCGTCCACACCAACCACTATCCCTGGTTCTTCGCGGCCAGATCAATCATTAGGCACAGAAACCGTCCTCTTGAATGATCCCCGCGCGGGCGTATCGTCCCTCGACAATCCACCGCCCGGTGCACAACTAGATATCCGAAGATGCTGGATATGCCAGGGGGATGAGACAGAGGAGGCTCCCGGAACGTCTATATGGAGGAAGCCGTGTCCTTGCTCGCTTGTGGCTCATGATGAATGTCTCCTCGAGTGGATTGCCGATGCAGAGGCTCCCAAACCGGGCGAGCTCGCATCTCCACATCAAATAGTATGTCCGCAGTGTAAAGCGGAGATCAAGATCGAGCGCCCTCAAGACCTGGTTGTCACCATGTTCGATCGGGCCCAGACCCTTGCTACGGCTTGTATACTCCCCACTGCTCTTAGCGGCATAGTAGGCTGTTGTTATTCGGGGTTGGTTGTCTATGGCTTCAATATAATACACATTGTCTTCGGGCCAGAGGATGCGTCGAGGCTCCTAGCATCTATGCGGGGAACTCAGTATACCCACCGCACCTCACTTATGCAGTGGTTGGACACCTTGATCTCAAATACGGATCCTTTCTTGCCTGGATTGGGTGCCATTTCGAATTGGAAGGCATGGCTCACTTTACCACTAATTGGGCCTGGTCTCGTGCTTCTACGGACAAAGATGGCCGATTATACGTTTCCTCTACTTATGCCTCTGGTAAGTGTCTTTGGCCTCGTCCTACGTGTGTTGCCCATGCTAACCCGTGTTGTAAAAGTACTTCCTAAATCACTCGCATCAAAACATATACGATTGGCCTCCATCCCCAGGTCTCACATTTGCAACGATCCCCTACCTCCGAACTGCATATAGTGAACTCTACCGTTACGCCTTCGCTGATCTAGAAAAGAAGTGGGATATGGCTGTACAGCGCAAACCACGAGAAGGGGAAACTGCCGAGCAAATCGCTCGAAACGCAGACAATGAAGAGGGTCGTGCCATTTTTGAGCTAGAAATTGTGCAAGAAATTGAGGAGGAGCGCTTTCCACCAGCAAGAGTGGCCGGTAATGATGCCAGGAATGAGGGCCAAGCTGCAGGTATTGAACAAGGACAAGCGGGGAATGCACATGAAGATGTGGCTGCTGAGGGGCCACAAGGCGGACAAGCTCGTAACAACGAAGGTTGGGAGTTCCGCCAGGACATATCGACAGCTCACATAGCAACTACAGTTATGGGCGCGTTGTTCTTCCCCGCTATTTCTTCACTAATGGGCGATTTGTTATATCGCTTATTACCTGCCAAATCAGTTGGTCGAGGGATTGGAGTACGACTTGCTGGGAGAGGGTTGTTAAAAGAGAAGTGGGGAAGAACTGTGATTGGCGGGTGCCTGTTCGTGGTGTTGAAGGATGTCGTCACGCTCTACTGCAAATGGAAGAAGGCGAGAGATTTTGGTAAGAGGAGAGTACTGGATTATGTGGGACCGCCGAGAATAAGATGAGCGCCAGTATCGACTACGCTTCGAATGATTCAAAATCGATTGATTAGCGGTCGTTGAGGCTAGCGAATCTGCATATACGAAAGCTCGTCCCTGAGGAAAGGAGAGTTGTACATGCCTCTAATGAGCTACAAGACAGCCTGATGAATAATGGGAAAATGTATAGATACTCTACAACAACCAATACAGGACAACGAAATACATGAAACCATACTCCAAATCCTATTAAATCTTGCTAATCATCTGATGTCTAGATCAGATCCTCCAACCGTAGAGTGTGTATCATAGCAAAAAGCTGCGGTCCCCTCCATTGCTGAGTATGGGGTAAGGGCCAACTTGTGGTTGTCACTCAACCTTGTCACCAACTTACTTGGGCTTGTTACTCGGTTTAGAAGTTATTAGTGCTTGAGTAAACGCCAACATAGAGCTGTTAATCTAATGAACGGTGAAAACAGGGCCTAACAGTTCTGGAATCGATGGAACTCGGGGACTCCTCCAGGGGACAATATCTGGAATGTGCACATTCACCATATGGATATACAATATTTGGTGAGACAATTAGGTACTAGGTAACTAATTGTGACCGACTCAGCAGCTCATTTGCTCTAGCATTGTCATAGCATGCATCGGATGCTAGGCTACGGCACAGATATGGAACCACATGCTATGTATACCACTCCCTTGGGATGTTTGTGTTTGCGGCCTAAAAATATGTGGTATCAAGCCTCCTACAAGATAACTGTATGCGCCTTTGAGGTAATTTTCATGCACCTCTCCTTTTGCTCATCTGTTAGGTACTTAATTTTAATGGGGACAATGATTTCAGGCTTGCTTCAAACTTCAGCGTTTTGTTGCTTTGCAACTGCATTTCGCTCGTCCTTCTGCGTCCCCGACGACCCTGCCTGGAGCTTGTCAGGATTTCCCGTTCCCATGGCGCTCGAATCCTCTCTCCTCTCGTCTGCCCTATTATCCGAGTGCTTTCTACTTATATTTCTTGTTTGGCTTCGCTCGCCTTCCTTATTCATCGCCATATCACCACCATCAGCTGAAGTGTTCCTATTCCTCGCTTGCTCTGCCTGCTGGCCACTCTGCGGCCTCAAAGCATCCCCTTTCTCCTCATTAACACCGACTAGATAACTCTTGTCTCTACTACCAATCACTCCCTTGGCCAGTTTAGGCAACCCTTCAACACACCTCACCATCTCAGTCGTGAAATCCACCACCATAGCCTTAGGGAAATCGGGCACCCAGTCGGCGACAGCTATTCCCTTAGCAATGTATCTCAATACTGAATCTACCGCCAACTGCTTTAGCTGCCTCTTCCGATCCCCACGTTGAACCTCATCCCTCCCTATCACTATGCTCTCGGAATACGCCAAATCGCAAAATGTCTTCAACTTGCTCATTCGAAAGTCTCCTAATCCTTCAAGGTTCCCGAAAATAAGATCGTGGTGAGAGAGGAGATAAATGAGAGGAAGAATGGCCGTATTCTGCAGGCTGGGAATCAGATATGTCGATCCGAAAATCCAGAGCTCAGTTAATTCCAGGGGATCTGGAAGCTGATCCGGCGGAGTGGGGGGTGGGAGTTCTTGAAAGTAGAGCCAATTTGTGAAGAGACCGAAGACAGAGGCAGAGACGGTTGGGAGGTGGATTGCCTCCATGGTAATCTGAGTTGTGGAGAGGGTGATTGGGGTGGAAAGGATTGTGCTCGAATTTCGGCTTGGAATAGAACCTGGGTCTGCAGTAGCTGCTTTTGGAGCTTGGCTCGTGGCCAGAATCCGGGTTGTGGTTGCAGCATTGGCAACGTTTGTTGGATTTGAAGGGAGGGCGGAGGAGAGTATTTTGGCAAAGACTGGTGAGTAATGCGTTATAGCACTTTTGTGTAGGACAAACACTTGGGTATTAGGCAAAGCGCCGGCGTAGACGGTTACAAATGTGGGGTTTGGTGTTCTGTGAGGGTCGGTTCAGGACCTTTGGTTAGTTAAATGATAATTCATTGGACTTGTTGAATAGGGAATTAGCCCTCAGGATAGGTGGTCCCGGGTAAGAACTTGGAATCAGAGCACAATAAGTGGTGCTCTAGCTAAAATGGACGAAGACCCCGAACCATAAATAAATCCCAATGTGACAACGGACTTACGAGAAATTTAACGGGCTTCTTTTCTGGTGACCTTGCGGGATCAGTGATGGTGGGATTGGAGGTGTAGATGCGGCTTTCGCAGCTAAAGACTTCACCCTGGTGGGTTTCGGAGTTTTGGCATCCTTTTGAGCTGGGGCTTTTGCCTTCTGTTGTCGTTTGGGCTTAGGCTCCTGAACGTCGGCGTTTGCGGCCGCGGGTGTACGCTTGGTTTTGGGTGGCATGATGGACTTCGAACTTTATAAGATGCCAATTTCTCTAGTAAGTATTGAGTTGAGGGGAATCATAAAATGGCCATGCTGTATTGTGATTATGGAATTGCAAAGTGACCTAGTGGGGATAACTGATTCAGCTCTCCATCTTGCGAGCAGCGACTTTGAAGGGGAAAGTGAGTTATGGTAATGATCGGCGTGGAAAATGAAGAAGCATACCAAGTACTGCGCTGGATTATATCGGGCGCTATTGTAGATAGAGTGGATAGCTAGATACTTGGTGGAACGCCGTGAAATGTTCACGTTGTTGCGCAGTAGACCTCAAGGTGCACTCTACCTTTGCGTCAAATTTTAGATATGAGCTCTTTAGCTATATCTCCTCCGCTTCTCCTAGGTCCTTATATCATTCAAGCCAGAATGCAGTTCGGCTATAGATTGGATCTAGTCGATGAAGAAACTTAATCAGGGCTTATGAGATAGGCGAGCGAATAAGAACTAAAAATCTCCCAAGATGGTTGCTTTGAGATCTGCCATGATAGATATCCGGCTCCATGCACCTAGTCTGACACGCCCGCCAAAATATGTGTTTGCAATTGGGATTAAAGCAAATATTGTTGTACAGCTACGGAGAGGTGAAAGCAGAAACCAATATCCGGCATTGCTGATACCGCTAGTACTCGGTGGGGAGACAGGGAGATAATATCGTAATAACAGCTGTTCCGACCTGCCAAAATTTAACGGGAGTATACCATACCAACCAAGATAACAGACTGTATCTCCCGCCTTCCCTCAGCTACCTGTTAGCTCTGTTCCCGCCGGTAGGAACACTTTTGTGCCATAGGCCCAATATCAAAACCTGCATGGGTTCTCTCAAGCCATCTTATTTCCCGCTTCGGAGCTGATATCGAACTTTTGCACCTGCAATCGGGGTGTTTGTGAAATTCTGGGCTGACGTGAAGTTGAAATTTAGTTCGCTAAGAAAATAGGGGCTTCATGTAGATTATTTAGCCGGCGGGGGACCCTTGAAAGCTTGAAGGCAGGACACTGTTCAGCTACATATTGACGCGACATACGAAGTACACTCCTTTGTCAATTGATAGCTGTCGGATTTAATAATATGTACTATACTTCGTTTCTTCCGCCCCTTCATGGAACTTCTCTCGACATGGCACCCATCTCGAAAGATAAATACTCCATCCATCATCCTCTCAACCTAGAAGGCTACAATGAACGTCGCAATTCCCCCATAATCACCTCCTGGCCAGTCGCCAGTATTTGCTTTGTGTTTACATTGCCCCTTTCCCAAAAAAGACCATAATTGGCGCGATCTAAAGTCTTGTTTGTGCATAGAGCTTGGCTCTCCGAATCTAGATCGCCTGCCTTGACTGAGGTTTATTTCACCTTTGCAATACTGCTTTGAGTCTCACTTGCCTTTTTTAATGTTGTTTTCCTCGCCCCTCACGTCTATTAACTCTCCTAACCCAACCCCGTTCGCTGGAAGTATATAGGACTAGATCTCAATGTTGGATCTGATTACTGGTTTTCAGGAGGATAAAAACGAGCAACTAAGATGCGAGTAGCAAACCGAGGTAGCTGTGTATTTATACAGGTGGCATGGGGAAGTGCTCACAGTCGCGGGAAACCAGCACACAGATCACTTACCCTCTTCAATACAAGTGCTATTATTATTTTGGCAGATTAAACCTTATGGCATCTCAGTATTTTGCAGTGCAGTTGTCACAAGTTGCAGGCTCAACATAAAATATCATAATGAAACGTATCTCAATGCTTATCCTTAACATGCTTGACAAACCTGTTCAAGTTTCAATGACTTAAAAACCAATAGGGTTAATTAAAGGGAAATAAAAGTTGATCCAGCTTTAATTCTCATCTAACTCGGTAACTCTAGGTCCGACGTTTTCTTTCCGCTTTTACTTGCACCTCAAAGCTTCCCCATTGGTATTAAACACTGTCCTCCCACCACAGAGACACCCTCAAGTATGACTGTCAATATTGATTGTGTTCATATCCCTACGCTTTCGAGTTTCGTGCTTGTTATTTAACAACTGCCCTGGTTTTTGAGATCTCCCCACCTGCCCTGGCAGGTGATACCATCACCATCACCATGCTTCCAACTGTTCCCAACCATCAGGTATGCGTTATATTTTATTCTCGAAATCGTCCATTATTAGAGCTTGGATATGTGGAACTGCTAATGTAGCTGGGGCAAGAGCTAACTGGTCTGCTGTAAAAAACTCTTGGAAAGCCTTCAAAAATGCCATGATGTAGATACCTCTAAGATGTCTAGCGAGACACATTTCCAGAGCAAAGCATTCGCTCTCTATCATTCTGTCATATACCTCACATTCGATATTTTGAGCCTGATATGCGCATTCTCTAGCTTGGTCCATAATCTCATCCGCATACACCAATGGCGAGAGGTGTTCCGACTCCAAGTAGACTGTCACTGCGCATATAAGAAGCGTGCCGACGAACCAGACGACAAGATTCCTAATAATACGTCGGAGCATGATATGGGCCCGTGGATCACTGTGATGCCGATACATCCACCATGGCGTTATGTAAATGCAAATGTAGGTGGGCAGCAGTAGGGTCCAGATTGGCAACCGCAAAGATTTGACGGTGCCCCAAAGGACGGCAGCGTTCGGGGAGGACATTTTTCTATGCTAGATGCCAGCACAATAAGCTAATGGGCCCGCATTCTATACTAGGACTTCTAACAAAGAAACATACTAGTTAACAAACCAACCTGCAATATTGGAACTTGTAGCGATATCCCGCATCCGGGCATCCTTTATTCTCATATAAAATTTCGCCCTTTGATGAGCATTCGAATACTTTATCTCATTCCTAATTCAGCCACATTCTTTGTCGTGCGTCACGTATCCAAATTTATCCCGTTCTTCCAGTGTCTCTTTTCCTTCCAGAAAAATTACCTCTTTAGCTGATTGCGTCTTTCTATCTATTCCAGCGGGGCCTTGGTCATTGACACTTAAGACAAAACTTCCCCTTGAATTCAGCTCGTTCTCTCCTTTTTCAAAAACAAACAACTAGTGTCTATTTTCTTCTTCTCTTGACACACCATTTGATCCCCAAAAGAATTCCAAAATGGATAGCCCTCTACCGCCGTTACCTCCCTCGCCGCTACTAGTTAGTGAGCACAATCATAATAATGGCCTTCAAAAAGGCAATGAGGATCATCTTCTGATAAATCACTCTAAGAAAGATCCAACTATTGACGACAATACTGCGAATTATAGCGCTGACGGCAACGATATCGGAGATGAACATGAGCAAGAGCGCAACCTTCAGATTCAAGAAATGTTCAACAATGTTTTTCAGGTATCGCAAAATTTGATATCTATCGACCGAATACTGGAGAATATTCATACCAATGCGTTACTTTCTGTCGTCGCAACAATTCGTGGGATAGCAGAAGAGTCGAACCAGATTCTAGTCAAGAACAACCAACTATTAGGGGGGATCCTCACCGAAGGGCAGAGTCAGAGTCAGGCAGTTGAAGAGGATCCTAATAGAAGGCCAATTGATGACAGCAAATATTCAGCAACTTGTGACTGCAACCACGGGTATACTCCCCAGCGTGGTGACTACAGCTCCGTGTACCCCTGCAATAGCTACGCTAATGGCAGCTGAAATCCCAAAATCCGTTACTGCCTGTAGCTGCCTGTAGCTGCACTCGTATTGCAACGGATAGGATTGAGTTACTGTTAGACAGGATTGATAAATATTTGCAGAGCTCTCAGCAAAGGATTCGGGTCGAGCCATAGAAGCACCCTTCGACAAGGGGTGGCCAACCTGCGAAAGGCTCTGGACAAACTCCCTCCGCGCCTGGTTTGCTTGCATACTTTCGATAACCCTTTTCCACCCGAGAGTTTACGCGTAATCTCAATCGTTTACGTGTAGAGACTCTCCGTTGGGTCAGTAACTTCTGCCAAACCTTCGTGTCCGTCGCCATACAGGCCAAGGATATCATATCTGACAAGAAGTACACTATTTCCTGGTTCATTTTGAGCACCTTGCTTTTATCGGCCATAATTTCATGGATGGTACCGTTACCCATCCCCCACTATTACGCAAATGCTACAAGCTCGGGTATCTATGTCTATTTCCCAGCTTCGTCAGTACATATCATGCCGACCGCCAATCCTATGACGGTTTCATTATCTACAACAGCATCGTTCACCTCGAGCACCGAGACTCGGCATGCTGGGCGAGAAATTTGGAACGCCCTTCTTAAACACAGACCGGGATGGACTACTTTGTTGTCAGACCACCCCAGAATCGACTAATCTATGATGGAATATATTATGTGGTTATTGGCGGTATTTTTGCTTTAATATTTGACGTCCATAATTTACTTCCGTGTCCAAATAAACCTTGGTCCAGCCCCGTGAAGACACATATTTCCTACATGTTCCTCCCCCCAGTAACCATGATAACTTGTCCAGTGATATAACTGGAAAGCGGGCTAGCAAGTGCTAGAATAGCGCTTGCAGCTTCGGTCGCGGTACCAGCCCTTCTAAGAGGAATATCAAGGTTGGCATCCTTAGATTGTGAGCCCTGCCCCGTGGGTATCCCCAGCGCGATCTTCTCTCCATCTGGAGTTGTAACGAAAGCGCCATCCTCCTTTGCAGCCGTCAATCGGGTTAAAATATGGCCAAAAGCAATTGAATTGCACCGGACGCCAAACTTCGGGCCCCATTCCTTTGCAATTACTTTCGTCAAACCGTTGATTCCAGCTTTAGCCAGACCGTAGTTAGCTTGTCCTGCGTTGCCGTGGACACCAGAGGTTGAGGATATGTTGATTATACAGCGGGGTTGGCCGTCTGTGACTCGGAAATAGGGGGCGGCTTCACGGACGAGTTTAAAAGGGGCGGTGTTATGCAGTGCTATGATGTTATCCCATTGTTTATCCGTCATCTGACACCGAAGGAATTAGTATCTCCGAATTGTAAATCTAGGTCGGGTATTTCTCAGGCTCGTGATAAAAAGACAGTTCCAAAATTGCGTATTGGAAGTTATTCACCTTATGGATTACACCATCCCAAGTATAACTATGAGCCAATGTCAGTTAAAGGCAGGATACAATCTAGAAGACGACTAGCTAACTAACCCTGCGTTGTTCACTATGATATTGATAGTGTTTCCAAACTCGACGGTCTTCTTGACGAGTGTTTTCAAGTATTTATCATCCAGCATATCTCCTGGTACGGCAATAGCCGTCCCGCCAGATTTACTGATGCTTTCAGCCACGGCATTTGCCTTTGCTACGCAGTTTTAGCACTGGCAATGGTCTACTATCAATTTCATTTCAGGATTCCGAACCTGCATCAATGTCTGATACCACAACTTTGGCACCCTCATTCGCAAAGAGGCGTGCAGCTTCGGCACCGATCCCTTGACCTGAACCAGTGATGATGGCTACTTGGCCGGCGAGGAGACCTTGAGGGTAGTTTAGATGGCCCGCGATCTGGGCTGCGCGTTGAGATGACATTGTAAAAACCAAATGATTTCTATCTAGGTACGAAGTATAAAAAGAGATGAACGAGTTATAAGCATTATATTTAGAGGCTGGGCATGGTATTTAAGGCGTGGGTGTGGACTGTGGGGTAGTAGGGAGCCGCCTGGATTGCGGAGGCGTCCCGGAGCCGAGGTATAACAACCTTGCTATAGCCTCGTCTCCTGGTGGGTATGGGAGTATGTCCGACAAATCGAATATATTTTGGACAGGAAGATGTATACAATCTCTTAGTTTGATATTGCTCAGCAGGGTTTTCTTCTATGCCCCAGAGAACTATCGGTATAGTGCTCCAGGCTTGCAGCGAGCGTTTTCAAATTACTGGGACAAGCTTTTCGACATGCAATCTTAAGGTACTTATTAGTGGACACCCGACTATCTACCTCGAGGGCCCTTTGCCGGAGATACCTAGGCAGGTAGGTAGTCGTATATTAGATACATTGATATCGGAGCGCCCGTGATATACTCCCGAATAACACCCTGCCAAAAGCAGTTGATATGCAACTAATATGTCTAGCTTTATGGCTGATGGTGGAATATGAATAGTTCAAACCTCACAGGGGAGGGTAGGTCTATATGCACTGGTATCACTCTCATGCATTCCTAATTCTTCTCGAGACGGTATATCTGCCAAGGGCTGTCCTGGTTGTCATCGCGAATTCCATGAACGCCATATTCTCCGGGGTTTGACCATTCAACCATTGGACACATAACTGCTCTAGATAAACTCCTCTCATGCTAAGCATTTATTTCTTGCCGCTCTTCTTAATACCTTGAGATCCGGTATTAAGGGGCCCTTTGCTGCCCTTTGCTTTGGCGGCCAACTCGGACTTGGCTTTGGCATCTGTCGAACTGATCAGTTATGCATAAATCAATGAGGAACAAATGTGACCGACCGGCTCTCTGCTTCTCCAAGAACGCCTTGTCCTCATCATCCAACTCCTTCTTCTCCTTCTTTGGCTGCTTCAATGGCTTTGCCTTGCCGCCTGTTGGTGTAGTTTTGTCAGCTCACTGAATCAGGCTGAAATTGGGGTGGGGTGTCTAGACTTACCTGCTCTGTCAGCGCCTCCCATGGTGAATTTGGATCTTCCGAGATAACTTGGTATGGAGGAGATGCACAGGAAAGCACGGCTTTGGCGGTGCTATGAATGTGGAGGAAGCTGGAGGTACGAGGCGGGATGTGTTTTGTCGAGCTTGGAGGGGGCGAGGGGCATTTTTATGAACGAGGCTTTCCGCGTTTAAGACTTCACACAAGCCGCATGTCTGCGCCACAGCCGCTAGGCAGCATTAGGCAAGCCAAAAGATTTCGATAGCCGTATCTGATCTGCACGTCCACATCACGACCATCGACCATCGACTATCGTCAACCCATACCGATTGTCACCTAACCACTCTCAACCAAACTGCGCCTCATTTGACTCCAACATCGGACACCTACATCCAAATTCGAAGATAAAATTCGAAGATAAAGATAATGTGCTGAAATACCTGAAGGCAGACGATAGATTCCCGGTTGGGCTCTTCTCACACTGAGATCAGATATTGTGGTCCTTGGCTAACACAGCTTTGTCCAACACAAAGGCAGGGGTCTACCGTCTGATTGTTTGCTGCTGTCCAGATGGCGTCCTCGGCCAGCTCAGATGAGGGGGAGATTCGAGATCGGGATAGCAGTGTAGAGAAGGCAACTACGTCGCTGCCGAATTTCAATGGCACTTCCGTTGACCCTCAAGACAGAAACCGATCTAGCAAGTCCACTTCGATGTCGCCTGAACATGGCTACACCCCAAGGGGCAGGAGATCCCTCGAAGGAAGCAAATCCCCATACTCTGACCGTCCATCTCGAGGATCCAAAAGATCTCGAGACGATGATTACTCTGATAGACCACGCGATCCACGCCGATTCAGGGTTCATTATGAGGACAACGCTACCTCCGAATATAAACGCCACCCTCGCGCACCCTACGAAGACCTAGATAGAGGATCTACCGCAGCTTCAGATCTGCGATATGACGATCATGATAGATACCTTGAGAAACGTCATCGGACGCGGAGTAGATCGCCATATCGGCGGCGTCGCGGCGCGGAGGAATATAGTCGTAATGGCCAGCCACGAAGGGATGCAGACCGCTTTAATGGTTATAGAGTCCGGGGGGGTCATGGCTCTAATAGCTATCGGGATGTGAACAACCGGGAGTTTGTGGACCAGTCAGTGAGCAAACGGGGACAAAGCCCGCTGCCTGCTGTGAATTCGAGACATGAGGCTAAAACTACGAAAGGGAATGCACAGCAGTATACTGATCAGTCTTCAAATAATATTGAACTAGAAAAGTAAGTGCGCTCACTGGCATGCAGCGTCTATTTCGCTAACTAGTTGAAAGGAAACGTATCACCGCTGAGTCGTCTAGATCTGAGGCACCCGAAGAACCTCTTGATGAAGCAACCTTGATCGAGCAAAGACGTAAGCGTCGTGAGGCAATCAAAGCTAAGTATAGAGGTTCTGCAACACCTTTGCTGGTACAAGCCTTGCAACTGGGAGATAAGACAGGAGAATCCACCCCTTCTCGTCAGGATGACACCACCTCTTCAGCTCAGTCAGGTAAGCAGCTACAATTCCAGCCAGTCGCCTATACTAATCACTCAATCGCAGCATCGCCAGCCATTTCCACTCCTTCGACTCCAACCGAGTCCCAAGATCCGGCATCACCTACTGCCTTCGCAATATCCAATGATCAAGACCTTGCAAATACCAAAGGAGCCGCAATCGTCGGTGGTGATGATGGGCCGTCTGCGGCAGACTATGATCCAACCGAGGACATGAGAGAGGACAAAGAACGAGATGTCCAACGACATCACGAAGAAGAAGTTTCCTCCGGAGCATATGATGAAGTCAAGCAAACCACTGAACAAGATGTGCTACTTCCTCTTGAACATGCTCCAACTGACGAAGCCCCGCAAAAGTCCGCTGATGACTTTGATATGTTTGCCGAAGACGATGATGATATGTTCGCTGAGGAATCTACACAAGCCGAAAACGCGTCTCAGAAAGTATCTAATGATGTAGCTGAAGCGGTGCGAATCCCCCAAGCCAAAGAGCTGGATGTCGGGATGCTTGACAATTGGGATGATATCGAAGGATATTACAAGGTCATCTTGGGAGAACTGCTGAATGGTAGGTACCATGTACAGGCCAACCTTGGCAAGGGCATGTTCTCAAGCGTCGTTCGGGCCACGGATGTGACGACGAGAAAGCTGGTTGCAATCAAACTTATCAGAAACAACGAGACCATGTAAGTTACTATAGCTAGGAACTGGAAGATTTTACTGACCATATATAGGAGGAAAGCTGGGATGAAGGAGATTGAAATTCTTCAGAACCTCAACGAAGCCGACCCGGATGACAAGAAGCACTTGATTCGTTTAGAACGGCATTTCGAGCACAAAGGACATTTATGCATGGTCTTCGAGAATCTCAGCATCAATCTGCGTGAAGTATTGAAGAAATTTGGTCGAGATGTGGGCATCAATCTGAGGGCTGTTCGAGCCTATGCTCAGCAAATGTTCCTTGGGCTAGGTTTGATGCGTAAATGCAACATTCTACATGCAGATTTGAAGCCCGACAACATCCTTGTAAGCGTCACCACAACGTATTGCTCGATATTGCTAACTATGAATAGGTCAACGAGTCGCGTAACATGCTCAAGATTTGCGATCTTGGGTCCGCGTCTGACTCATCTGAGAACGACATAACACCATATCTCGTGAGTCGGTTTTATCGTGCCCCCGAGATCATTCTGGGTATGCCGTATGATTTTGCCATCGATGTTTGGTCTGTTGGTTGCACCCTCTACGAACTTTACACGGGTAAGATTCTATTCACGGGTCGAACCAATAATCAGATGCTTCGGTCGATCATGGAATGTCGGGGTAAATTCACAACCAAGATGCTGAAACGGTCTCAATTTGCTCACGTCCATTTTGACGAGATGGCCAATTTTAGAAGTGTTGAGCAAGACAAGCTTACTGGCAAGGTATGTTTATTTTCGTTCCCCCACTGTCCAGAGAGCTGAACCGTGTGATGTGTGGACCAACCCACTATCGCCCGCGTTGCTGCCCCGCACTCCCAAAATAGCATAACCAACATCACTAACCCAAATTCTCCGATCAGGACACCGTTAAAACGCTCTCCTTCACCAAGCCATCGCGCGATTTGCGGACACGCCTCATGTCTGCATCCAAGGGGCTCACCGAAGCGGAAACAAAAGAGTTGACACTATTTGCTGACCTCTTGGATCGCTGCCTCGCGCTTAATCCCGAAAAGCGGTGTACTCCCACCGAAGCCTTGAAGCATCCGTTTATTCTTAGGAGTGCTAAATGAATGGGATGGGGGGGAAGTGGGGTGAGGATAAAAGAAATTGGAGTTTTAGAGTAATACCCAAGAAAGGTTAGACGGGTGGATCCAGACGTATATTCGCATGCTCAAACGCAAGTGTGGGGCTGGAGGGTACATATGCCATTACTATGGGATCTCTGGTACATCAAGTGCTTATTCATTCGTAGAAATGATACATAATATATGCATAAACGCTATCTCACGAACACCCTATATCCGTGTTACTTGTGGTTACCCAAAACATCCGATGGTTGATAGTGGAACTTCTAAGTTCTAGTACTATAGCAGCTAGTTCCTGACATCCTTCCTGCGCAGCAACTCGTAAGGAGGCATATTCCGAACTCTAGCAAGACCTTGACAAATAACATAGATCAACTATCATGGCAACCTGCCATTCAAACCCTAGCCATCGTATATTACTTAGAATTTAGGTTATCTCATAACCGCCACTACACACTCCCTAAAGTCTTGCCAACTACGCGTATATATATCCAGGAGTGGTTAGCCATTGTTGGTTTGGATAGGGTACGATAAAACGAAGGTGGTGGTGTCGGAATAGCTACGCAGAGGAGCGGGTGTCGAAGTAAATAATAGGGTTGTTTAATTTTTAATTTTTACCTTTATTATAAATAGTACGGGTGAAAGGGCATGTCACGATAACTTGTGCTTTGGGAATATATATAGATATATTAGGAATAAACGAGGTTTGTATGAGTAGTACTATAGGTAATATTGTGTTACGTAGAATAAATAAATACGCAGTATGATAGAGGTAGTGAGTGAGGCGTATTGATTTCTTATAGTATAATTTAGAATTTAAATCAAGGAAAATGGGAGGCTCGGGAGGGGGGCTAGATTTCTGGTTTCGTCTGGTTTTATGGAATTGAAATGGGAAAGGGAGGAAAGTGATATTATAATGGTGAATAGGTACAGGGAAGAGACATATACATAATATATTCTTTGCCTTTGATACCAAGAGAGATGAGAGCTCACCACATAACGAAGAAACCTTTTTTCCTATTTTCTCAACACTCATCTTATTCAAGACATGGAATATTTTTTTTACTCCCTAACATCTCACTACAACATGTCATTCATTCATCCACAGTTTCCTGTGCGGCCCCTCACTCCACTACGCCCTAAAAGAAATAGCATACAAATAAATATTCACAGAAACACCCGCTTTTGCCCCGCCTTAAACTCCGCAGTCTCGTCCAGCTAGTATAAACAGTCAAGTTACAGGATATAGAACGCATACTGATTATTCCAACTACTCCACCCCTGGTCCCATCCTTCGCGCTCCCTGTCCCTCGCCCTCACACCTTCATCGTCGCTCGAACAATCAAAGCCTGGTTCAGCTGGAGCTGTCCAGAAACACGAGCCGCACCAGAAGGAGTCCCTTGAGTGTTTACGTGGGCGGCTACTCGTCGATCCTTGGGTTTTCCGGGAGAGGTTGGTGTATAAGGAGGAGGAGGAGTATGAGCGCGTGGGCGCAAGTGGTGATAATGGCGATATTGGGATTGGGGATGTGGGTGCTTGTTGGCGGGCTGTGTATGAGGGTGGAGGGTGATTAGGAGATGGCGGGGATGATGTTATTGAGCGATGTGAGGATAACGGATGATAGCTTGGTGGAGGGGATGTGATATAGCTTTCAGCCGTTGGCGGGAGATTTAGAGGAGATGGCGGAGGTTCATTTCGTCTTGGTGATGCATCTGGGCTTAAGCTCAAGTCTTGAGTTGTATTTGAGTTGGAACTTGAATCCGGAGGCGCGGCGAGGACCGGATGAGATGAGAGTGAGGTCTCGTATGATGGCTTATAAGGGGGTGGCCGAAGTCGAGTCGAAGCATAACTCGGCGGAGCGTGACTCTCAGAGCGGTAATCTACGAAGCCCTCCTCCATATCGTCGTGCGCTCTTCTCGAATCCATCCCTGCCTACCGTTCTCTCAAATCGAAGCAACAAAAAAACTAATATCCCAGCAACCAGAAATACCCAAGAAGCGGAAAAGCTCGACAAGGATAAAAATACAAGAAATAACCCGAGGGGAAGAAAGATAATGTCACATCCTGTACACCCCTTATGGGCAGGATACAAAACCAAGACAAACAGCACCCAAAAGGCAAAAAGGCGTTGGGGTTTTGACCGAGCGTTGTCCCGATAGGTGATCGGAGGTAACACAAGATCTCGAGTGCCGGCGTCGGCAATGCGGGCAATCAGGGCCACGGCATGGTGGTTTTTGCGATGTGTTGGCCTGACACAGAGCCTGAAAGGGGAAATGTAGCGTAATGCAATGCCGTTGGCGATGTTGCTTCTCACGTCAGAAAGTTTGTTGGGCGTCAGCACTGTGGTTTGATTTTTGGTCTATTGAGCGAGTTCATTGGGCCCGATGCGGCGGGATGCAATGTTGTACCCGAAATTAAAATGCTTGTTCTGAGGGTTTGTATGGAATTTATGTGTGACTAGTGGGTTTTGTGAGCTGGAGTTAGGGACACGAAGCAAGCTCCATTTATTTTTTAAAAATCGATCTATTGAATGCTGGGCGGGAGTTTGAGAATTGGATTGCTACCTAATAACGTACGGCTTCCCGACGGAGTTCTAACAAGGAGCTCAGCCGCATGCTCGGGCCAGGATAAGAAACCTTAATACTACGTATAAGAGCGGTATAGATATTTTGGACAACAGATTTAAATGGAGTGAGTTTGAAGGAATGAAACGTGGACAGCGCGATGGATCATGCAGCCTCACCGTCAGCCTTCCCTAAGACACTAACTTGACACGACTTGACCGCCAAGTGAGGCGTGGGGATTTCCGAAGGATGATCTCGACTCCGTTGGACAAATAAAAGGTGGACAACAAGACGGAATCATGCAGCATCGAGGCGGCTCTCGTCAGCCTTCTCTAAGCGGCTACTGAGCACGAGTTGATGGCATGGCGAGCCCGTTGCGATGCAGCCTGAAATAAAGCCCTACTAAATCCGCCTTAGATCTATCCCCTTTGGAGGATTTCGAGGCGCGGTTGGGTCGTCGAAATGTCGTCCGCGCTTGCAAGGACCTGAGGGAGTAAAAAATGGACGTAAAAATCCCTTCATGCATTCGGGCTTGAGAAGGATATATTTTCTTCTGAGTGGTTAAAGGTCCGAAGAAAAGAGGCCGCCATGAAAGTTCGACCAAAAATAGACGGCGAGCGAAGTTCGACTGTGTCCAAAATAGACACAGCCCGAAGCCAATTCCTCGTTCTAGAGAGGAATCGTAGATAGGTAGCTGGACAATGTTCCAGGATAAGAAACTCATCAACTTCGACAAAAAAACTACTCACTATTCGGGTAAGGTTTATGACATGGTATTGAACATATTATTCTAGAAAAACGCAAAATAGCCAGACGCCCAGCTCCATTTTTAGAAGCGGATACGTCGTCTTCCGAGCATCACACTTTAAACATTTGATATCGGTAAAAAGACAGACATAGCAAAAGCGGGAATTTCATATCTTGGAAGATCTGGTGCATCCATGAACATACATGAGTAACCCCAGTAGCACTTAAGGGTGTTTCGTGAGGCGCCGACTAAGCAACCGTCATAACCAGCCGCCGCCCCAAGGAGGAAGGGAGGCACAACATATTGTTTCCAGGATGCGCACCGGAAACGCACTTGAATTGAGCTCATGGTGTTGAGAGCCATAGGATCTTGTCGCTGGAGCAAAAAGGCTATTTCCATCTCGAGGGCAATATTCGGGGGGTATAGGTGCATTCCCCCGCAATATGTGCTCTTGGACCCCATACAGTATGCTCCATATGGACTTGGTCTGTCTCGAGAGCAATGCTTGGGCCCAATGCCATAGGATCGACGGGATGGATGGGACGTTTCGACGCGGCGACGAGCCGTTCAAAATAGCTTCAACTCACCTCGCGGACCTATGTTCCTACTCTTCCGTCTGCAAGCTGATGGAGCACGGCACAGCACGGCGGGGGCGGTAAACACGTGCATTCTGATGTGCTGCTGCTCGTCTTGCGCATCCAATCGTCTCGGTGCATTGTTGCTTACCTGTGGTGGACGAGCCGATATCCCAACCCTACGCTATCCATCCGCATTCCTATCGGGGTGCGTTGGTGGTGCGGATAGGCTTGCTTTTTGATGCTATCCCCATCACATCCCCCGCCATCCGGCTCAGCTTGCCCATGGAGTTGAAATGCGTAACCCGCTAACCACCGCCATTTCCCAGCCCCCCGGGACGTTTGGGCCGTTTGGAAGCCCTCTCACTGCACTCCACTTCCACCGTCGGCACGCACAGAGTCTCTTTCCTTGATGTGTCGCTTCTTGCGAGGCCGCACACACCCTAAATTGGCACCTCGAGGGACTCCATCTCGAAGCTGAAATAGAAGTGCCCACGCAGATGCACGACCTGGGGTTGATTGTTTCGGCTTAAGTCGATCCCGTGCGGCTGGCAGTACTGCACTGCTGTGCGACGGTTTCCATGTTTATGCGCGGGGCACGGACGGGGTTGTTGAGATGAGGCGCTTGAAGAGAAGATGCTATTGTATGGTATGTGGTGCTATTGAAGAAGGCGGCCATGGATCTTTTGCTATCTAGGTACGTCGTATGCAGAGGATGAAATGTAGGTTCGAAATAGGCATATAAAAAAGTAAATAACATTTCGTATATTCGTGCATTTTGTACACTTGTACATACATACATCTGCACAGGACTTTCAGCGCTAATGTGCGGAGCACGGTAATGTACATCGTAAATGAAAAACGGCCTAGGCGCCGTTGTGATACCATCCAACGTGCGTCGCGATTTGTTTGCTCAATGTGATATGTCTGAATCATGTGACGAATGAGCTGTCCTCTGCACCTTGACTTTCCCTATCAGATATCTCGTCACTTCTCAAGTCCTCCAGTTTGCCCAAGGGGACATGTATGTTACCGTCCAGTGCCTGACAACTTACAAGCGACTGGCTGAACTCGGTGCAAGTCAGCGTTCAACGCATGTATGGAGGCATGTACATGTACAGTTCCTACGCACGAAGAGCAGTCAGCCGGCTATTGGCATGTACCGACGCATCCGGAATCCGGAGTACTTGATGCAGTCAGCCCAGTAGGATACCTACCGACTCAACAGAGCTGTACCTCTGGGTGCATATTGAGGTCTCACGATACACGTGACTTGACGCTTGAATGCATTGGATTCAGGAGGATGAAGTCTTTAACGAAGGCTGCTGCTGCAATAATGCACGCCAACGGCCACCCCTCCTCGCCCTGTATGAAACCAAACTAAACAAATAAACGGCTTCCTGCTGATGTGCTTTTTCGGAAGGCCGGCAGGATCTACGCACTTATCCTACATTGCCGCCGTCGGTCAGTCAGTCAGTCAGTCAGTCAGTCTGGAACAAAATCCTCCGGAAGGAGCGATATCCCATCAGCCACCCAACCACATCTCCGGTTGCGAAGTACTGGTGTACCTCCAACATATGGGAGATCTGCTTTCCCATCCATCCTGCATACCACTGCATATATTATTGCATATCGGTGTGGCACCAATATCGGACTAGTACGGGCTTCGTATGTAGCAGACGAGGCCAAACGAAACGGATTACTCGTTCGTTGGGCGCTGGGCACTGGGCACAAGCACAAGGCGTCTCGCCTTTCCATTAAAACTGGAGCAATAACAATATACTATTTTTTGTTTTGTTTTGCATCCATCCGAAAAAGCCAAATTGGTAATATCTGCTTGGTTTCTGGGTTGGGCGGGCTTGCATAAGAATGCCGCAGGTGGAACAAAAGTTAATACCAGGCAATCATTTTAGGGTTGATTTCAGACTGGCGGTGAGTTTCAAAGCCTTACGATTGGGTGGCCATTGGGGGGGGATTGGGAATGGGCATAGCGGAGGTCGGCGGTCGGCGTTTTGGTTTTTTTTTTTGGGTTGGGGAACGAAACTTAGGGCGGGAACGGGAGCGAGTACGAGACTACGAGTCTTGAGAGTCATGGAGGATGATTGGATGGACGGCTTTGGGTTTCTATTTCGAAGGTGTTGTTCTCTTCCCCTGGGCGATCTCCCTGATCGGCAGATTCTAGATTCCAGGTGCGGGTCACGAGACCGCCGACGGAAGCGGCGGCCACCGGAGTGCCGGACAGCTTGGGATGGTAAAGCCGCGTGTTTCCACATTGCGATGATCACACATTGGCAAACTGTGAGAGGCTGGGCGTGGGCTTGGGCTGGGCTGGGCTGGGCTTGGAGGCGGTGGACACTGCCAAAGTATGTCTCTGTACTCCGTAGGGTGGTCGTGATTAAATTATGCAAGGGTTATGCAGGGCTGCAGCTTGTGCACTGTGCAGCGAGGCTGTAGGTAGCACCGTAGCACCGTAGCAGCTAGTGTAGCGAGGACACAATACTCCGTGCTCCGTCAATCATAATAAGAATTGTCACCATACTGGCACGTCGTTGGTCGGAGGCCAGGTGGCGAGCAGGGCGCTGCCTATCGAAAAGAATAAGCCATGACGCAGTCACACCCGCACCAGACCTCTCGACTTCTTCAACTCTCGAGCCAGTACCCTCGTACTGACCGTACTAGCACGAGGTGAGCCACTCATGGCTTGCGCATGTTTTCCTGCAGCGGGCCGGGATCCACGCCACTCCTACGTATACCTGCACTCTAAATTGATAGGGCACTGGGAACGGGGCGACGGCGGCGCCCGACAGCAAACCACCCTCCCCCCCCTACGAGGCTGTGAACCAATGGTCCTCGACACCGCAGCCTCACTTTGGGGCGCGCGGGCGCGGTGATTGGCGGCGTGTGGGAAAAAGGGACGACGGGGCATTCGCGAATGACACGCAATGCAAGTGTGGCTGACCCTGGGCCAGCACGTATGCAGACTAGGCTCCTGCAGAACTAATTGTGGTTGCAGCTGCTCGTGCTAGTCTGGTTGCTCTACTGGCAATAATAGCGCAGGGCTGTCGGACGCTCGGGCACCTGGAGCCCCCCCCCCACCCGTGGACGCCGTTTGGCGGGCGGTGATTGGGCGGGCGGTGACGCCCTGGGTTCTGGAAGCAGAGGAATTTGCAGTTCGGGCGGAGATTAGCTGGGCCACGGAGTGCCACTGCGCGCCGCCAAGGGGGGCACCAAGGCCGTTTCTGGCGTGGCTCCGGGCGGGCAGGGCGCTGGTGACTGGTCTGACACGAGGCACGTACCATGCCGTACCACTGGCCGCACCCTGGTCCCCTTTGTTTGCCCTGGCCACGGAGTACGTACTTACTACGGAGGAGGACTACGACGTACTTACAGTACAGTACATGGCGTAGATAGCGTACTACTAGCACCTACAGTACTGGAGTCATGGACACCTCCACCACGAACGGGCCACATCATGATGCAGCGGCGCTATTTGCTGCTGCTGCTGCTCCTCGTCCAGAGTCACATACTGGACTGTGCTTTGTGCTGTAGTGGTGTCTGCGGTGGCACGTACTGGACCGACTCGAACCGCAGAAACTTGACTTCGTACTGCAACTCAACAGACTCCAGACCTCCAGCGAGCCCCGTCTGGGATCGGCAAGGCGTTGGTGGCAAAAGCCGATACTGTACTCGTACGGACGGGCATGACAAAGAATGGGTTCCAGCGGCCGTTGGTGGGCATTCAATCACCCATCCAGCCAACCAGGTCGCGGGGATGCCACTCCGAGGACAAACTTTCGTCGTCTCACGTTGATCCGCTGGGCGTAGATCTGACGAGACTCTTCCCTTGTGCGTACCAAGTACTCGTGCTGCGTAGGGTCCTCCTCCCTTCTCGATCTGCCGTCTCAGCAGACTCTCCGTCTCCGAGCGTCTGACGTGCAAAACGATTCATGCGATCGATGTGAGATGTGAATGCCTGGGCGGCACAGGGCGAGCGGTGGCTTGCGGTTGCAGTAACAAAGTAACAGCAGGCTGGGGCAGATGCATATGGATCTGGATTATGGATTATGGATGATGGATATGGCTGGGCCACTCGCCTGCGGAAACACCAGGCAGGGACCATCTCACACACGTTTTGTATACAGATTGATTGTACGGTAGTATCAAAGTAGGGAGCCAACCAAGTATCGATCATACCTTATCCCATATCCATATCCATATCCATACTGTACAGTGCATCCATCCATACTCGTCAGGTTATGCATTCTCCATGGTGCAGATCCATATCATTCCGATCGGCTGGCTTGTCTCGGATTGGCGCAGGATGGGAGCAGCGCAGAGCAGAGCAGGATGAGCCAGCAGGAAGCAGGACGCAGGAAGCGGTGGCCTGTCCTCCTCCTACAGAGCCTCGAGGTTGGAACTTGGGCATCGGACTGGCCTGGACGGGGGGTTGGGCTGGTGCATGCTGTACTGTACAATACTTGCGTGGGACTAACTGCTGTAGGCTTGTATACACGGCTACGGCTACAGCGGTTGGAGGGCGTTGTGGTGCGAGGGCAGCGAGTGGCTGGTGTGCGCCGTGTAGGTTTGTGTAGGTGGTGCAGGTGCAGCGGTAGCGTCTGACTCCGGCGTAGCTCCAGAAGGTCTGCTCTGCACAACGGGGCGCAGAGAGAGCGAGAGAGCCAGAACCCACCAGACGACGCCTGAGGGATCCCAGCAAATCGAGTAGCGTCTTCCCAGCGACGAGAGACTAGAGACTAGAGTTCCCAGCAGCTGTGGTAGTGTCCTCGTACTGCACAGTAGCAGCAGCAGCAGCAGCACCACCACCGCCACCGCCATAGCGCAGCCAGAAACCTGACCCAGTGAGCCCATCCCATCCCGCCCGCGCCTCGAGAGTCAGCGAGGCGAAATAGCTGCTGCCCCTACAGTCGAACATTGACCATTTGGGCTTGTGACTGCCGCCTGGGCCAATCAATGGCATAGTCGCCCGCCCGCTGAAGAGAGGCTGGAGGGGAAGTTGGAAACAAAGCGAGACGGCGATGGTGATGGTGATACCTCGCACCGGGCAGAGCCCTCCCTAGGTACGAGTGCAGTACAGAGCCAGTACGGGGGACGGGGCGCTGGTTTTCGAACACCGTCACCCTACCTAGCACGGTACCGTAGTGACACCTGAATCAAATACGGTAGCGTCCTCCGTGCTCACTACTGCCCTGTCTTGGCCTCCCTTGGCCTTGTCTTGTTCCTGCTGGGGGTCTTGGTTCCTCGAAGGTTCTCTCTGCTGCTGGTCGCTGCTGGTCTCTGCTGCTCTCCACAGTCAGTCCCAAGTTCGACTAGGGGGCCCTATTATTATTCTTCTTTCTTTCCCTGTAGCCCTCCTCCCCTGCCCACCCACCAAACACACCCTCCTCCCTCCTCCCTCCTCCCCCCCCCGGCCCATCCGATCTGGCGCCAAGCTCCGCGTACATTTTACATTTATTAATATTGATCATCGACGGCCCAATCTCCCCTCCTTGTCGTGCTCGCCTTCGTTCCACCACCCTAACCACCCTACCACCTACCCACTATAAGCTCCCTCCTCTATCCTCTTATCAACAACCTCCTCCTCCTCCACCGCTCCGCCCCTCCACCGTCCCTCTCCCTCAACCTTTCAACGAACTTCTTTGCTTGAACATCCTCGCGCTCTCTCTCTCTCTACCATCAACGACTCCTCTTACCTCTTCTCAACGCTCCTTCCGCCGCATAACGAATATCCCGCCACCCGAACTTCTCTCTACTCTCTTCTCTCCGCCCCAAAGGACATATCCCGGATCCAGACCCCCCCCAGGAATCCCCCGTACTCTAGATATTGCTCTCTCTCTCCCAAGGCCACATATTTTCATTCTGTTCTTTGCGAACTAGTACCCAATTTTTGGATTGAATATCTCTGCCGAGAGAACTTGTTACCCGTCCCATTTGGATTTCTGTTTCTGCCATGCATAATGCGACAGTAGCTCCGTTATCACCACCACCCTCTCCACCGGCCTCCGAGTCGTCGCATTTCCCAGCTCCCTTTGCTGCTGCTGCTGCTGCTCCTCCGTTCAAGGCGCCGCCAACTCCGCCCCAATCCCCCTTCGAGGGACGAAAGCCGCGCTCGACCCCACGGAACCACCACCACCACCACCACTCCTCGCAGCGGAAGCTCCCACCTACCCCAGAATCAAGGATAGGTATATTCCTGGGCAAATCGCTCCAGTTGAAGACCATCTTGGGCACCGGTGCCTATGGCGTGGTTTACTCGGCCTTCGACTATAGCTCCTGCACCTGGTACGCCGTCAAGGCCCTAAGCAAGACCAACCCAGACGGAGAGCCACTGGACAGGAGACAGCGGGAGTTCCAGTCCCGCGAGATCCAGCTGCACTATGCCGCCTCGGCCCACCCCAACATCGTTTCCATGCTCAAGATTGTGGATGATCCAGACTGTACCTATGTGATTCTGGAGTATTGCCCCGAGGGAGATCTGTTCTTGAACATCACCGAGAGAGGCATATACGTGAGTAATGATGCGCTCGTCCAGAGGGCCTTCCTCCAGGTCCTGGATGCCGTGGAGCACTGCCATCAGCTGGGGATCTACCACCGGGACCTGAAGCCGGAGAACATCTTGGTGTCCAACTCGGGCCGCGATGTCCTGCTCGCCGATTTTGGCCTGGCCACCACGGATGCTCAGTCCGAGGACCACGGCTGCGGTTCCACCTTCTATATGAGTCCAGGTAGGCCGATTTCTCGCTCCTCAAAAAACTCAACTCACCCAACCCCCCTTTCATCCACTAACGTATCTCTCTTTTTGTAGAATGTCTGGATCAATCGTCAAGAAAATCTTCCTACCGATGTGCTCCCAATGATGTCTGGTCCTTAGGAGTCATCCTAGTCAACCTGACTTGCGGCCGCAATCCATGGAAGCAAGCCTCCGAGGAAGATTCCACATACCGGGCATTTCGAAAGGACCGGGACTTCTTGAAGACCATCTTGCCTCTGTCAGATGAGCTCAACGACATCTTGTGCATGATCTTTGACCCCAACCCGGCCACCCGGATTACCGTGAGCCAGCTCAAGCAGCTCATCTACCATTGCCCCAGCTTCACCGCACCGCCGGCACCACAGCCGCAGCAATACCAGCTCCCAGCTCAGCAATCACCACCTTCACCCCACTTCAACGTTTCAAATAATTCCTCAGCTGTTTCCGTGGGCTCGGACCTCTCCTATGAATCAGATGAAGGATCCATGATCTCCTCTGGATCGACAGTTTCCGATGACTCGGACTACTCGAGCCCTTCCAGGAATAATTCGGCCAATGCCATGGACCTTGGCCCGGAGCCAGCAATTCAAAACGAGGTCGCCGCAGCACCACCTCCATCTGGCGCCGCCCAGCGAAGATCACCACTGGCCCCGGTACCAAACCAGCAATATGGCATCCCGCAGGAATTCCATGGAAACTATCTGGCCAAGCCCGCCTCGTGTTTCCAGAACTGGGCGTATGAGCATCAGTATGACCAGTTTCATTCGATGCCTCATGTGCAACCTGCTATCTTCCAGCCCACACACCATAATCTCTACTCTCCTTACCAGTTTGCCTAGAGCGAATGCGTTGCCTTGACGCGGATGGTAATGACATGCCTGGTCTTATCACTTTAGCGTGTCCTACCTTCCGCCCAAGGGTCCAGGACGCCAGTGGTAAACATAGCATGCTTGTTTTGTTTAGACCTCTCTGACCACTGGAATCCCGAGGATTCCAAGGACACTTTTCCATGGAAGGGACTTTCCGAGCCGGGATCTCGAGTCCATTCGCCCCAAAAGTCTCCAGCAAAAAATCAACCCGACGAAAGAAAAGCGACCTTTTCATCAATTCCCTTTTTTACATCAAATCATGTCGATATAATCTCCACACTGTACAAATTTTTTCTTGTCAATCTCGAATGAATACCAAGCATGGCGCAAACCGGATCTACAAAGAAAAGGGCGGGGTTCAAACATATTTTTCGAAAAGATTGGATTGACATCTATCTTATATACATAATTTTTATTACTTGCGCGAGGCGTTTATCTGAGCTGGCATGCTCTTCCGGTGCTTGGGCGGAGGAAATGAAATCGTTTTTGGAGGAGCATATTGCAGCGGAGAAGACGCTTGCATTGGAGTTCTTACTTTTTTTGGGTTACACAACTTTTAGACGTCTTTGCTTGTTGAGGACCTCAAACTGATTGACGATTATACTGTTGTGTTGGTTTTTTGAATTCTTTGTTGTTTGAGGGAGATACCCCTGGTTGGATGATGACGCCTGTAGTAGACAGATGGATGACGATACCTCGCCTTTTGTGCGATGAGGATCGATTATTATATATTATATATATACGTTAATGCACAAGCTCCGCCCATTCCCTTCAAAGGGCTGGGGGAGTTGGGCATTCTTTTCATGATTCAAAAAAAGATGGGGGAATGATCACTTGTATATCTTAACCACCTTTTTTAACGTACAACCACGTCTCATGGATATTTTTAACAATATGAGAAAAAGAGCAAAAAATATAATTATTATCATCACAAGGATTTGGGAGTTGCATGTAACAACGCCGATATCGCATCGCGAATATAGATTAACTCGGTGAAAAATAAACTTCGCAATATAAGCTCGATAGAGTGCTTTGCTTATCATCCGGGTAACCATCATCTCAAAACTCCGCCCCCCGTAAAACATGGGTACCTCTGGTGGTGTGTGCGTGGTGGGTTGTGTTGCGTTGGTAGGCTGGCGGGCAAACACATTTCCATAGCAGCAGCGCGCGCTACGCTCTCCTGGTGATGATGCACGAACGGTACATACATACAGTACCTACCTATAGGTACCTAGGTAATGCACGCATGCACTACAAAAACCTGCATGCTTACATCGCCCACCGTCATTTCCCACCACCTCCCTCGTATCGTCAGTATTTATCCGGGATGCCGAATATCTATGACTTTCGGTGTGGTTGGGTGTGTGGTTGGTGTATGTATGTATGGCCGTTTTGATTATTGATGATTGATCAGATTTAATTCTCCATACATCGTTCCAGGCCCTGGTTTTTTGGCACTACCGGCCGAGTACGATGGCTAGTACACTTCGTAGTGGATGGGCCAGTTACGGGGTCAGCTGGGTGGATGGGGAGGCTGGCTGGCTGGGCCGGTGGGATGGTTTATTGGGCTTGCTTTGGTGGTTGGGTGTTGCTTGGATGGCTATTGTGGGTGTGGTTGTGTAGACTTGTAAAAAAGGGAATGAATGAATGACCGTGTACAGCCACGATAGCGCGCAAGTTCCGCCCCTCTTTTCTTTGTGTAGGGAGTTTGTTGAGGGAGACCGAGGATGGGTTTGTTTATTGTAAGGGGGTTTACGGATATGGTGTGTATTGTGCTGGGCTTTTTACAGTACCAGTTACTGATATAGAGGTAAAGAAATAATTTATACTTTCCTCATGGCAGATCAAAGGGGCTTAATAGCTATGTGCTTACTATTCTACGCAAGGTAATAAGCTCTTTCTGCATATAATATACTACGTATATATAATTATTTACCTTTTTTACCTTTGTCTATCCATCTGCCTCGGTACTTACGTACACCTGCCTGTTCCTGATCATCACCCATGAGCTCATTTCAGAAAAAAAAAGTATATTGTACTGTATTACGGCATGATATATCGGGCTATCTATTCTACCGTCTACGCGTCACACCAGCCGCCAGCGGTGGGGAAGCTGAAGGGATCCTACCTTACCTTACATACAGGTACTATACGACTAAAAAAGCCAACCAGTCAGCCCAGCCAACCAACTTTAACATTTCCCATTTTCTTCGCGATTCTGGAATCTCGGATATCTCGCCGCGCGCGGAGAGGTAGGAAAAGCCTGGCAGCTAGTTTATTAAGTGTACCTCTCTGGTCAACTGTGCATGGGCACGAAACAATCGTGTATGATAGGATAGGTGATGACATGACATGTTGCCAGCCCAGGCCAGCCAATCCAATCCAACATCCAACGGCGAGCTTTATCGATAGTGCTCACGCCCCACAGGAGAGTTGAACGAAACGTCAAAAGCCCTCATTCCGGCTGTTTATCCTAGCGAGAACTGGCGGGATTGGTTCAGTGCGGGCCAGTGCCGTTGAAGGGGTAAGGGGGAGCTTAGAGGCTTATCGATCGAGGCTAGTATCTGCCGCGGCGGGGTTATTAGATTGTGTTGTTTGTTTCCTTTTAGTAAGGTAAAGAAAGGGCAGCTGGAGGCGAGGAAAGTGGGAATAATGCGGACATGTATGATAGATTGCGAAGAAGGGATATAAATTCCAGGATTTTGTACTTCGTAGCGGTGCTTGAATCCTGATTATGGGGGGCTTACGTTGCTGCTTACTGATTGTCTGTTGGTATTCAGAGCTGATCCTCGATCACGAATACCCAGCCCAACCAACAAAAGCCTCTTTCCGGCCCAGCCAACAGGTTTTAGCCAACCAGATAGCGTTGCATACACAAACGCTACCAAAACGTGGCAGGTTGGTCACGGTGCTGTAAAGAGACGGCACATCCAAAATAAAAACAAGGCAGGAAATACAATAACTGGTTAAGGAGACTACTGGCTGGTTGGCATATGAAGTGCTTCGGATCGAGGCGTAATATGCAGTGTACCTTAGGTAGGATTCCGTGTGCCACAATATGCGTAGGGTTGGGTGAAGCGGAATGTGGGAACGGCGGAGGCTGATAGATAGATAGGCAGAGAGCGAGGAGTAGAAAGTTGGAAAGCGCTAGCTGGCTGGCTTTCCACTATCAGGTAATGAAAGGAACGAGGCTTGATGTGAGCTATCATCTTGTGATTCCGTAGACGGTGTGAGTTGTAAAACGTCCCGCGGCTGCGTTATCAAGGGTGCCGGCTGAGGGTGCTGGGGAGTTCTGTTGGCTGCGTGGCTGCGGCTTGGGGTATTTGGATCATGAAACAGAGCGACTCGGAATACAAAGACGGGAAGGATGCGGATTTCCAGGTTCGAAATGCTGATGGCGTTGCGTGAGCTGGAGCGGGAGCTGAAGCTGATGCTGATGCTGCGAGATGCCGACTGGACGAGGTGATGTGGATGGATGATTGAAGTGCTATGCGCCAGGTGTGTCTTTACACAGCAGCCACTCATAACGCACTGAACAGCTCTCCGAAGCGATGATAGTACCAGACCGGCTTCGTTACCTCGACACCTCACATCCATTCTATCACCATACTCTGTTCGTATATTGTGGCAATAAGGCTTTAATCAATAGCTACAATCGTGATTAAGCCTGGTATTGATGTTCTATAGCTATACTGATCAAAGTGAACTGAAGCCATGTAGAAATTGATGAATGTCGTTGAAATAAAAGCCAACCCTTCTGACAACGGCTGGCGGTCCCAAGGCTTTGGATCTGGGCAGATCTACGAAGGGAGGCTGTATTTAGTTCCGCCCGTGAGCTATACTCTCGGATTTCTAGCCCGAGGGAGTGAGCGAGGAATTCCCAAGTTGACTGTGCTCTCAAACCCCCAAGACCTTGATTTTCGCTTTCTATTATTCACCTGGATGGGAAATTCTCCACAGGAACATGGGTTTCGTGATAGAGGAGTATTCTCGCTTCAAGAGCCTCAGGGGAAGTTTCGATTTCCCCCTCTCACATCTCGCTCGACTCCTGGCAAAGTCCTTAAAAAGCCCGAGAAAAACACAATCGTTTCCCACAACTCCGGACGAGTTTTCGTTCTCTTTCTCACAAAAATACTTACCATTCTGCGTCATCACCAGGCTGTCTTCGAGAAACGCCGTAGCACCTTAGGAAACTCTGACTCTTGAGCCGGCGAAGGAATTATAAAAGCAGCATATCTACCCAAATACACGGGCACCGGAACCACCTACCAATACCGACGACAGAGAAAACCCGAGGCCATAGACTTGGTAATTCCCAAGACGCATCTGTTGCCCGTCTGCGTGAGCACTTGTTCACCACTGGTCAGGGTTGCCCGATGGAAAATGGTAAACGCTTCTTTAGAATGGCGTCGAAGATTCTGCCATATCCAGAGGACGAAGAGGAATATGTCAGAGCTACTGACTTCGTATAATTCAAGTCGCCGCCGTTGGATATAAAACTAAGAAAGGAGGAGGAAAAGTATATGACTTGCGGCTTAACGCCGAGCGTTCAATGTTGTAAGTAAAGTAAATAAAGCCGTTCACCAATTGTGTGAGATTGAAATCTGGTCAACTACAGTTGCGAGCAGGATGGGCTTGTGATATTGGAGCACCCGGTTTCGATTTGATGTAGTCCGGAAAGGAGGCATGATATCTATCTATAATTTCATCGCGTTTACAGCAAGCCACCATTAAGACCCGTTTGCCGTCTTTATTAAAAGCGTACAACACGGCTAAATGGGACAATGTAAAGCCTACAATTCAGTTATGGATGGCCAGTTTCGTAAGCTATATCGAACATCTGGTGGTGACCAAAGCTGAGAGTGTATAAAACCAATTCGCGTCCGCATCGAAACTTCCCAATATGCCACACAACTTGCCACGTTTTCACAATGAATTGGGACAGACGGGTACATGCACGCTCGATGTGGCGGGTATCGTTCAGGTCGAGAGGGAGACGCGCCAGCTTTCCTTGCCACGATCTCGAACTTCACTACGAAGTGTCGCTAACGGTTTGAGGCATCGAAGCATGTATGAAAGGATTTTGCTCATGGGGAGATTTAGAAGGAGCCTCCGTGTGCCATTCACCAAGACCACGAGTGACGCTCTAGCCCTTGGCGAGTTAACTTCCTCGATGGGAGCGTCCGTGAGGTGCTTTCTATGGCATGGTTCATATCATATGGAATTTTGGTAGGGGCGGCACATAGGAGATGGAATATCTTGGTGGGATATTGAGCGATGATGCTCAAACACCCAGCACCATGCACTGGAGGTTTAACCCCAAAGCAAGCCGACAGGTCCGAGTATATGGAAGAGTCATACACAATGGGCATTGCCTTCGAATGGAGACAAGAGTGGTAGCACAGACGGCACCCGGCCATGGTCCATCGTATACGGGACTAGAGGTCTGTCCTGGAAACCCTTCGTTGGCGATTAGTATGGGATTTAGCAGATGAGCTGGGAAAATAACAAACCAAGATTCCAGTATATCATCAAAAGATATGCTTGCATTTAATATCAATGCCTCAATTATTCCCTCAAGCTCACCGGGTCTTGGGTTTTCGGATGATAACCGTGGCACCGTCCAACTGCCAACCGACGCCGCAATCCTTGGTTAAGGAAGGCCAGGGGGAATTAGCAATTGCTTCCAAAGATGGCAGATCAATACTGAGATAGCTCCGTCCAAGACATTTCAATGTCTGCCTTCTCATACCGTCCTCTGCAAATTCCATCAGCTTTGCCTTGTGGCCATCCACGTTCCTCTTAGCCTGCCAGAACAAGAAATAATTGTCATGGGTCAGGGCATGTAAAACAACATCCACCTTTGAATCTTTCAATCCCCACTTATGCTTGACGGCATATGCTCCAGCGAGATCATTCTGGCGACAAGCAAGGTCCAACACAAGGTAGCCCACGAACTCGTGAAGCTCGGTCTTGGTAAGAGGTTGTACCGCATGCATCCTCTTCAGCAAATGGAGAATCGCTGGATGATATGATTCCATTTCCTTCAGCAATATGGACAACCTGATGCAGAATATGTATGCTTGAATCGAGAAATCATCAACCCTTTTTGAAGCCACAATTCCCTCGCGTAGCTTCCTCATAGCCATCATCAACATGGAAAGATCCTTCTGCCCCGCAGGCCCAATTTCGCTGGGAATAGTCTTGATAGAGAGATCTGCGGTGTTGGGGACCGCTGTCTGCGGCGTTTCGTTCCTGCTATCGTCACGAGATATATCCATACGTGCGAGCCGTCGAAGAAGCTCATCGCTGCGACCCGCGTCGGAACAGAAGGACATGTATCTGTCGATAATTTTGGTATAGTAACGCTCCTGGGCTTTATGGTCGAGGAGCCTGTTTGTTTTACATGATCAACATCAACTATCGTACCACCGGGTGGGTCGGGTACCTCTTATCTCCTTTGGATGGGAGGCCGATTGCTTCCAGAGGGTCGAGATTTGCGGGTTTTAACCGGCTCCATGCTCCTGAGGTCGCACGGCCTCTAGGGCTATGGGTCGACATCAGAGAAGATAGATGACAGAAGATCCTAAGGCTGGCGGAGACAAGTGTGGTGGAACTGACAGAGTGACGGCAGGCTGGAGCTGTGGCTGGAACTAGGAGATGACGAGGCTGAGGAACTGGAAGCTTGTCTCATGCCTCAACATAAAATATTTACAGCAGGAACCTCGGCAAGATTTGTCCCAACAAGGAACGCGCAACACCGCCTCGTGTCCTCCAACCTTTTCAGAAAACGATGTTATGAGATAGAAGTATTTTAGTTTTCATTTTCCTTGTAAATATTTCCCTACGTCCTTGGAACAGTCTATTGAATCCATATATTTCTTGTTTCTTTTCCTGAAATTCTGGGCAATATTTCCTGATCTCCCCAACTCTTGAACCCCGCTGTTCAATTGACATGGCTGTCCGCCACCGGCGATCTTCGACAATCGAAGTCATTGCAGATGCAGCGAAGAATATTGAGAAAAACATAGAGAATCGGTTATCATTGACGGTGCCTTGGGATGATTTACCTTCATGGCAGCAGGACAACCATTACATCCTTTCTGGATATCGAGTCGCCTCGAATTCGTTCAGAAAGTCCTTCGCCAGCCTCGGCTACCTCCACAATGAGACTGTTAATCTTTATTCACACTTCCTAGGAGCCATCGCCTTCTCTATTACTGGTGCTATACTTTATTCCGCGATCGAATCCCGATATGAGACCGCAACACGGTCAGATATCACCGCATTTGGATGTTTCTTCCTCGGTGCAGCAATTTGCCTGGGCATGTCTGGGACGTTCCATACGATTTCCAATCATTCTCCAATGGTTGCCAGGTTTGGTAACAAGCTGGATTATGTTGGTATTGTGTTCCTTATCACTGGGAGTTTCATTCCCAGCGTTTTCTATGGCTTCTATTGCCATCCGCACTTGCAGGAATTCTATTGGACAATGGTCAGTCTCCCCTGGCGACTACCCTATTAAAAACATATGCTTATACCAGTCGTAGATATGTTCCTTGGGGTTAGGCTGCGCCATGGTATCTATTTTTGATAAATTTAGGACTCCAGAATGGCGGCCCTACCGAGCCGGCAGTAAGTATAGCTTTTTTGTAAATTTTTAGCTTTCCTTTGTGGTTTCTCTCAATTATTTTATCTACTTCATGACTCGAAACGTGCTTCTTTACGCCCTAATACATCCACCGTCGAGTATCACTGGAATAAGAGATGCTAACTCTCCAATCATCTAGTGTTTGTTGGTATGGGCATGTCTGCAGTCTTCCCTGTTCTACATGGACTAGAACTATACGGGGCTGAAGAGATGCAACAGCGGATAGGCTTGACATGGATGGTAACACAAGGCGTCCTATACATTCTAGGAGCCGGAATTTATGCAGTGAGCATTAATCAACTTCCGTTACGTCGTCATAACTGACGCCTTACACTAGGCTCGCTGGCCCGAACGCCAATGGCCGGGATCGTTCGACATATGGGGAAGCTCCCACCAGATATTTCATATTCTTGTTCTGATGGCAGCTGGTGCCCACCTGTGCGGCCTTTTGAAGGCATTTGATTATCATCATCGAACGCTCGGTCTCCAGTGTTGACACGATGAGTGGATCTAAGGATGGCATAGTAGGCTTTTGTGGTGGAGTTTATGAGAAATTTAGATGTGTTTTTAAAATAGATGATTTCCGATTCGCTCTCACTCACCCTGTTTAATCTTTCAGCCCGAGGTATTACTTGCCCAACTGATTTGTCACTATTCTTAGATACTCTTACTTGCACTCATTCCTCTATAATTTAAGTGCCCCGTCGTTCTCTAGACCAGTCCCAACTCATGCCACCGATGCTTCACAAAAGCCGACTTACATGGTATCTGAATACGCATCTAAACATCAGGATACATCGCATCACAATCTCGATTTTGGCCAACCCCGCACTTTCATGGCTACGGCTGCAGCCAAACCCACCCTTCTAGTCTAATATTCATACCAATCCACCTCCATACCCAGCTCGCAGATATTTTCATTCAACTCCGCTACTGCGAATTCACCAACATCAGCTCCTTCACTGTCGACCCTGTCGATGACTAGACCCTGATCTTTGTACAAAATCGCAGGCTCTCGATCGATATCAGCGACCACGAACTGGGAGGCCTGAGTCGGAGAAGCATTATTGGCCCAAGCAAGATTTATACGACCCCGCCCGGCAAATCTGGATGATCTAAGAGGCCTCCTCTTACATAAAGGCATTATATCTCTTAGAGACGCTGATACCATTGGCGGCTTTTTTGCTAAGCTAGGTGCACTCCTTTAATAACAGACCATCCATGTGAAACCAAGGATGACTTAGCATCTCTCTGGCACTTAAGCGCTTTTGTGGATCGTATACAAATATTTTGGATAAGAGGTCGTAGAGCAAGGCTGCCTCGTTCTCCGAAATCTTTGGCATCGCCTCTAGAAGTGCATCCGTCTCATCATCGTAACCATATAAGTAGGTATTATCAATCTCCGTAGCCGTAGGCTTCCAAACAGTATCCGAGAAACACTGAGGGTATGGCTTATTTTCGTCTTCTCCCCACACTTGATGCTCTGGTCGAACGCTGCCAGTATCGACGACACTATTCTCAGGTTGGTCCCGTATCTTGAAGACCAGATCCTTGATTGGCCGTTTACCTTCCCACTTCTCAAGTGGTTCGCCTTTGGTAGGCTCTTTTGTCGGCTGTCCATCGTAATCAAATAATATATCCTCCCACGAGCTAGGCATGTCACCGAGAGTCTGGATAATAATCTTCATCAAATCCGCCGGCGAGGTAACTTCATACCCCGAGAAGGGGCTTTCTCCCGATCTAAGTCGGAAGATGGAGCAACCGAGAGCCCAAACGTCGCTTCGGGGACTAGCTTTTAGGCCTACCGCGACCTCTGGTGCTAGAAACTCAACTGGAGTACCTAGCATACGCTCTGGGGGTGACGAAACCGGAAACGACTGGTCAAAGTCAATTAGTCTGACGTCTTTGCTGATTATGCTCTCTTTGGAGGAAAGAAAATCGAGTGGCTTCACGATATAACTTGGGGCACCGGGACCTGGCCGCTCTCCAGAGTAAGTTTCAAGCAATGTCATCTCAGGTTTGCCAAATAAGCGGTAGATATCGCTCTCCGTATAGCGATCGAAATCCAATAGACCGAAGAGGATATTAGCCGTTGTTACATCTAGATATGTTAGTAGAGGATTAAGATAGCTCGACAGCCGTTCAAGTATAAGGGTGACTTACCTCCATGGCATAAACCTTGCGTATGCATTTTAGCTAAGGCCCTCGTAGCTTGGTAGCTAGCCCTACGAGATAGCCACGGTCTGATCCTAGAAGAAAAGCCAGCAGATAACTGAGACGTAGATGGGCCTAAAACAGGCAAGACAAGGCATAGATGGCGACCATTTGGCCCATCGAGGGTGAAGTGTGGATGTTCAACGACGAATTCTTCATCACCGGCGCACTGTAAGGCAGCATGGCGGCTCAACTGGCTCTTGGAATAAACAGATGTCGAATGCTCGGCGATGACAATTTTCAGAGCCACCCACCTGTGCTCTGTCCCGTCACACGCCAGCCAGACAGTGGAGAAGCCGCCGGCGCCGAGCTTGTGAACAACTCTATAGCGTTCATCGCCGTAGACGTCGCCTAGGTGAACCGGGTGGAAGCCCCTTGGTCCATATCTCTCGAAGTCTTCAGTGTCGCCGAGGTCGACGAGGTCGACGAGGACGAACCGAGGCCAGGGTGAATCGTCGTCTTCATGTTGGCGAGGCGACATCGTCGATGGATGCAAGCGAATGTTGTACACGTGCGGACGAGAGTTGAGGGCGTGATGGTAGTAGGAATGGTACGAACACTAAGTGTAGTGAGTAAGAGAGACTGTGTAGAATGAACGTTGCAACTGGTGGGGTTTGCGACAATATTTCATCCTTTGATGGTTGCTGTTAGTTGGAGGTTGTTCGTTGGATGAGACGATACCCATGCTCAACGCCTATCTATTAGTCGACGGATCTCGGTGATAGGCCGATTCTTTGGTGTTCTAAAGCAAGTTCTGGAAACTCGCGCGATTTCATGTCTCAGTAGTTTGACATTGTATGGTTTGTTCCTATGTTCCGATCATGAAGCCGGAACATTAGCTAAATAGCTACGAAAAGCCTATATATAAAAGTAATAGTCTTATAATGCTAGCCCCCCCCCCCCCAACTAAACGCTAGTGTTTAGCTGAGTACTTACTTAAATTTGAATTTAGTCTTATTTCACCATTTGTAGATATATATAAGTACCTAGGTATGGTTTATACTATAAGGCTAGTCACGTGGCTGTCTCCTTTCCGCTCTGCCTGCCTCCAGTATATAATTTAAAATAAGAAATTTGGGTTTTTAAGGAAGACAACAGGCGGCTACTTGGCTAAGTGGTTCAGGTCAAATTGTCTTCTGGAGAGGATTGATAGGGATAAAAGCGACAAAATCAACAACAGCAACAAAACAACAAAATCGGCAAGAGATGTAGGCATACGACACCGGGCTCAACTCTTTTGCTTCCCGGGTATGTGATAATATATTAAATATTTTTTGCCTCTATTTCTAGCCTTTGTGCTCCTGTGACTGATCTTGAGAATTTTTTTGACTTCGCCTATTGTAGTGTGTTGCGAATTGGCGAGCGAGCTTGCTCACTCGACTTGTCATTCTGCCGGCTTTTGTCTTGAGTCGCCCTTGAAGGGTTCTCTCTTCCCCGAGCTTCCAGGGCGTGATAATTCCCATTGAGGTAGTTGTTCCTTCTCCACAAGGTCTGAAGGCTTAATCATCCCAGAACAAAAGGCCTACAGTATAAACCGTTGAAATTATAGAATCCTATAACGGATCTCACTTCTGTAACATGACGACAAGTGCTTCACTCGGCGGTTCTACGACCGTTTTTAGAGTCGACCGGAATATCATCTGCTCCAACAGTTAGGAACTTGACTGGGCAGGGGTATTTGCCATAGAGACCGTACCTACCAGCACATCAACAAACCAACCGTTGAAGCTATATATACCAGGGGATAGTCTTTTTAGCCACACTCTGTCGTTCCCTCCCAAAACAATACCTATGCAGGCTTTTCGGTATCTGCCTTCCCTTCATCATGCGTCTTTTCTTCACCAGCCCGCTTCCTCTTATTCGCCATTAACTCCATCATTCCGCTACCCCTCGTCAACTGTCTCTCCAAACCAATCTCTCCAGCTCGCCTCCAATTGCTTTCGACAAACTCCCTCGTAGCACCAAGATTGTAGAAACCCTCGCTATCGGTCTGGGCTGCCAGGGGTGAGGCGCCATCAAATAGTTCGCCATCCAAGAGAACGGCCTTTAGCGTTCGGATTGCGGCACCCCGCAATGCAGGATCTATATGATCAACAGGGACAGATCCTTTGATTGTCTCCCTCCAAATTTCGTCTCTCTGTCTTGCCAACCTCCACTCCCTCAGTCGAGTCTCATACTGCTCTTTGACACCAAACTTTTCGAATGCCTGGTCTCGAATCTGTTCTCGAGTTACTTTCGCTTCCCAGTGTTCGCCAGATTCCTTTAATTTGGGGATAAAATCTTCAATCCATGCTCTGAATATTGGGCGTTTAGCCATACGTTGTCGATCATTGTGCTTGAGCTGTTTCTTCCCCACTTCACCACCTATCTGTCCCCCAGCACTGTTTATTGCAACTTCACCAACCACATCGCCCTCGGCCCCTTTTTCACCTGGCTCTTTGATCCAGAACATCCGGCAGGTGGTAGCAAAGAGAAACATCTCCTCTTGGTCTTTGAACTGCTTCCACCATTTCCCTTCCTCCAAACCAAGAAGTTCCAACACTTCCTTGGGCTCTGATGTAAGGAATACCATGCTCTTCTTCCTATCGAGGAGTTCGATTTCCGCGATTCGGAGATATAGGCCACGATCATTACACGTGAGTCCAAATGGCCGGATGGTCGTACCAAGGATATTCCATAGGTCTCCATGTGCGCTGTGGAAGAGCTCCCAGCGAAAGCGCTCGGGGGTGGGTAGGTGGTGGACATCTATCTGTACGAATCTATTCTCTGCGCTTTCTTCTTCCGGAGCATGTATGCCTAAGTCTTCAACGACTTCAGTCTTCGAACACCCCGAAGCTGTGTTTGACGGCCAAGGGATAGCGAGATTCATGGTTGGATTCCCCTTCTCTGCGACCCATGCCGCAGCACCAAATAGTTCTGATAGGCGCTTTGCTACCTCACTCCGGGGCGTCTCAGATGGATCAAACTCTTTTCTGAGCGGCCCTTGGACCAGAATGTCCACATCGCCGAAGGTAGTTTTGCACGGTGCTTCGATTGGACTCTCGACTAGGGAGTAATGCTGGTGGAGCTTGGAAAGTGTTTGTTCCAAGACTTGGTTATAGACCTCTGGTGGCATTCGCGGGGTGGCAAGAGGAGGGGAACGATTAGAGAAAGCATGGCCGCCCATGATGGACAAAATAGTAAAGTTATATTTGGTTGTAGTTGTGGTTGACTGATCAAATCGAGGCAATCATAGGGAAGGCTACTACGCAGGATTCATTCCAGGCGACAAAAGGCCAACGCAAAACGCTTGATTCATTGGGGACCCGGATAAGAGAGATCGCATTAGCTGGGTAAGTATAGGATCTTTTATGTATACCGTATGGATACTGAGCGGGATCAAATCCGCCTTAGGACGACTACTTTTATGACTCAGTAAAAGCTCGAGTCACGTGCATTTTATTGCGTGGTTTCTAGACCTCGGACCTGGGAGGTCGGGATTCGCCGCCACACTGCGCAGTCATAAATGAAGCTTATGCAGGCGTCTTAGTGTGACAAACAAATGAAGTTAAGGCGGCGGCCCCAACTGTTGGGAGTTTGTAACTTGTCGCACGAGGAACCCGTCGTTTCTTTCGGTGATACACCAGGAGAATATCCAGGTCGTTGAGGAACCGCGATGTGTAGTGTGGAGATAGATCCTCTCAAGGAATATGTTGTGGTGACGGTTCGAGCGAACACAAAGTCCTTGTTGATGTTGTTGTCGTCGTCGTCGTCGTCGTCGTTGTCGAAGCTTGCCATTCAGCTGCGGGTTTTGACGTCAAACCTCAGCCCTACTGCGCCAGTGCTCGATACAGCACTTCGTCCATATGGTCGCAGAGCAGACAAAGCGTCACACAGAACGAGGAAGCTAGGTACCTAGGTACCTATCAGTATATCAATATCAATATCAATGAAAACATCAGTCGCATTTGCTTTCGCATTCGTATTGGCTGCAAACGTTGAGGATTATTCCTAAATCTTCTGTTTTACCTCTTTGTACTTAAGGCAGTCAACACGTTACGTAGTGTACCTCGCCCCCCACAAAGTGATTGTTTACGGAGTAAGTACCTTTAGTAGGTACTAGCAATAAGGTAGCCAGGGGCAAAGCCACCGCTGTGGCTGAGGCAGGTCGTAGTCCGGCTGCGCCCCAAGGATCAAGAGCTATTAGCAAACTCCCGACAGTAGTAGCATTCCAGCAGCACTGCCCCTCCTTTTTGTCGCGACGGCCACCTGGAAAAGGCAGAGCTTGGCTGGTGTAGTGCGAAGTACAGGCCTGCTTACGGTGTATTTTGCCTGGCGTCTTACGGTTCGGTTCAAGTGTCCGCCCTAACGTAAGAAGTACAAGATCGAGTTCATCGCGCAGAGAACTCCTACCTCCTCTTCCGTGATTACTCCCCCATTTCATTTCATTTCTGAACACTGCACGACTGCACTGCACTGATAATGGCTTACCAACAACCCCCCTACGGCGGATACGGAGCACCTCCTCCAGGGCGTAAGTTCAAGAAACCCCCATTGAGGGATGAGTTACGCTGACCTCGAGGGCTAGAATATCCTCCGCCTCAACAACCGTATCCTCCCCAGGGTTACCAGCAGCAGCCGCCTTACGGCGCTCCCCAAGCGGCACCCTACCCACCACAGCAGTACGGGTCGTCCGCACCCCCGCCTGGTCGTGAGTACATGGAATTCGAAAGGGTGAAGCACATATGTTGACGACCTGATATCAGAATATCCCCCTCCCCAGCAGCCCTACCCTCCGCAAGGCGGCTACCAGCAACAACAACAGCCTTACGGCGCTCCTCCTCCCGGTCCTCCTGCTCCCGGATACGGCGCCCCTCCACCCCAGCAATATCAACAGCCTTATGGCGCTCCCCCTCCAGCTCCGGCCCCTTACGGCGCTCCTCCTCCCCAGCAGTACGCCCCACCACAACCCGCATACGTTCAACCCACTCCGCCGTCTCTTGGATATGGACCGGCGCAGCAGATAGGCTGGGATGGAGTCGCGGATGCTGAGACACTCCGAAAGGCCATGAAGGGCTTTGGCACAGATGAGAAAGCTCTCATACGTGTATTGGCAAGCAAAGATCCACTGCAAGCCAATGTCCTGCGGCAAACCTTCAACTACCGCTTTAGCCGAGATCTTATTAAAGATATCAAGAGCGAAACATCTGATTGGTTTGAAGAGGGCCTTTGTGCACTCGCTCGTGGACCATTGCAACAAGATGTTTATTTATTGCACGAAGCCATGTCTGGTCCTGGTACCAACGAAATGCTACTTAATGATGTGTTACTGGGGAGATCAAATGCCGACATACGGGCGATCAAGGAGGCGTATTCTAAGACATACCGCAGCAATCTAGAATCAGATGTCAGGGGAGACTTGAGCATGAAGACCGAAAGACATTTCATGATGGTTTTGGCGGCCAACAGGAACGAAGAGAGTGCGCCAGTTATCCCACAACAGATTGATGCGGATGTGATGGAACTATACAAAGCAACCGAGGGCAAGACGGGAACAGACGAATTGCTGGTGTGCAATATCCTTACTCAGAGAAGCGATGCTCAAATTAGAGCCATTGCGCATACATATCAGGAGAAGTTTAGGAGAGATCTGGAGACTGTCATCAAAAAGGTAAGTCCGCCAAACATTCTGCGCTCTTGAACTCGGAAGATGGTATAGACTCTAACTCAACCGACAGGAATTCTCCGGCCATATGGAGGACGCTCTCTTGCACCAGCTTCGAACCGGCACCGATAAAGCGATGCGCGACGCCGTCAGCCTTGAAGACGCGATGGCGGGTATGGGGACCAAGGATATGCTCCTCACGAATAGAGTCATCAGGGCGCACTGGGACAGAAACCATATGCAACAAGTCAAGGGAGCATTTCAGCATAGATTCAGGACGAGTCTTGCGAACAGGATCCGGGGTGAGACAAGTGGCGATTACGAAGACTTGCTTGTTGCTTGTTTGGGCGGATAAACCCCTGGAAAACCACGAGATTATAGCTGGTGATAGAAGGTAGTAAGAATTAGTGGCCTCGCGGTCCTCGAGGTGGCTAGTCATTGGGCATCCTGGAGGGGAATTGGTTTGGTTTGTATGGATATGGTTATTCGAGGACCAGCAAATCGTACGCCACTGCGTTTGATGCCAACGATATCACTGTTGCATTTTATTTTCCTTGAATTAACTTCCCGCGGCAGCCAGCGCACTGAGGCGGAGAAAGTTCTAGCTTTGTGTGGCACGGCAGTCACCCTTCCTTTCCATTGGCAAGAAGGCTTCAGCACCACCAACCGCGGTAACTCTTGAAACTTACAGCAATCATGGATGATCTTCACTATAGACATCATGGATGGGTAATATTCCGCGGCATGCAAACTGCAAACTACAAAGTTCTATTTTTCTCCTTATCTGCTTTAACTAGTCCCCAGCTCTATCGGAGTATTATTCCCTGCCAAACCTCTGTATATTAATGCCCCCGAGATAAGGGATAGGTTGCAGAATCTGAGTTTCGTGGTTCATTTATTAGTTTAAATTATAAGTTTATGAATCTGGGTTCCTGTCGCATTCGGTGTTTTATAACGCAACTCATAATTATTTCCCGATATTACTTCCATTCCTCGTACACCTATAACGGAAATGTCTGTGAAGCAGCATATAACAAAGGGAAAATCCGATTCACTACTTAGGTCCTAGTCTACCTGGATCGTATCACCTCTCGACGATCGGTTTACAGTGATTAGATTCTTCACTCTTGACACTTAGCCGCTTTGACAACCCCCTCGAAAGCGCTAGTTCTTTTGAGAACCTCACTTCTCGAATTACTACCACTAAATCTCAGCCTTTCGACTGGTTTACTTTGAAGTATTTATCTTACGCCAGGTGCTGAAGCCAGTAGCAATCATCGGCTATAAGAGTGAGGCCATCTCGCCTTAATTTTGTCTCCTTTTCCGACAACCACCACAATCAACATCCATAGCTTAACTTCTCAAAGGGCTGGCTATTCCTCTATCTCCCTCTACCAGCAACTGCCAATATCGATATCTCAGCCCCCAAGCCTTCAAGTCGTATTCACTTGACTGCTTGCTTCAACCGCAGTTCGCGTCGTCACGAGGTAAGTGACTTCTATTGCAAAGTCAACATCATTTTCGCTTTAGGTTTCTCTTTTTTTGTCAACGTCCACCAAAACCCCACACCTCAACTTCTACTCTTTGAGTAAGTGATCTGCTAAGCCTTTGATCAACACCCAACTTGCTAAAGTGCGGGCCATCGAATATACAAAGAGGGCCTTTTAGCTTCGATCGTCTCTTCGTTCAGCAAAATCCACGACACCCCATGGCCATATTTCAAACCTGAACTATACCCCCAGTCCCCGTATCTCGACCTAGATAACAATTTCACCTAGGCACCTTGCCTACTCGTTCATACTGAGCTTGAGCGACCACTTACATTTATCCTACGATTACAGCGTCAGCAACTACATAATTGCAGGATTATTATACGTCGGGCTCCCTTATTCAAAATTAATTCGCGACTTCGCGACCCGGAATTTGCGGATACTTATGCTATGATTTAGCATCAACATTAATGCCAAACTGCGTTGAAGCATATGCAGTAGTAGATACCTACAGTACCTAACTGAGGTGCCTTAGATATCTACCGAGTGTATCCGCGAAGGGCCCCCTACTGCCGAACAGCGCCAAATTAGAATATAAGTTAAAAGCCTGGGGCTCCTACCTTGTGCTTCTAGGTCCGACCAGGGTTGGTGAGCAGCTGCTATGTCAGCGTCCAGCATGCTAGATTGCGCCGAGGGGACAGGGCAGGACGCAACTCAAGCGAAAGTTAGACCCCAACGCAGATAGATCTAGATGCAGACAACCAACCGACAGAAGCGGCAGGTCGTCAAGCGGCGACCCTTGGAATAGCAGATATAGTTGCTTCTTGCGGGGGCTTCCTGGCACTACGGTGTTACATGGCTGTGACTCGGTTGAATTTCTTCTTCGGCGCGTAATATTACAATGCTAAGCGAGCGCAGTTACTTTATACGGTTTGGTGTTGTGTCGCAAGCGCAGCCTCCTTCACTTAAAGCGGCCGAATATCTCATCCTAAGGAGGAATAGATCTATTATTAGTGCATTAAACTGTCCTAACGAAGCTAGCGTGGTTTGACTTTTATAAGCCAGTGTCATTAACAATCTATAAATCCCTGTGCCCCCTTCCTTTTCCTTTATTAAACCGCTTCCGAGACCTAATTGCGAACCGCGTCTTATTCGCCAAGATGCAACAACTAATCACTTAATACTAGGCTAGCGAGTATGCAATAAGTTGGTTTTCCGTTTACTTCGCAATGCAATATATATCCATCATGGCCACTCTGGACAGGTTTCACTTGTCATTACGCATTAATATTAACTTGGGTTTTATATCGTCCGGCGCTAACCAGAGGGTTTAATAGGCATGCGCCCAGACGATACCCTATTTCAGAAGAGAGATTTTTACTGCTTTCGTGGTATCTTTCATTTTCGTCCGAACTTCTTCGCGGCGCATCAGTCTGTGACCTTTGCGCCATAGACAGGCCAAGCGTGGCAGTTGCAAATCGCGATGTCCATTGCAGAGTCGCGACCCGCTGATGGTGATGTGTCGATGAGCGACGCGCATGTGGTCGCGCAAGAGGATGTCTCACGGCGCAACCCTCCACACGTGACCAAGGATGGCGATCATCACGTGAACGTCAATTCTGGGTCTGGAAACCCAGTAAAGTCACCCTCTCAGGATCAAAGTCAACAGCTATCGTCGATATCACCACCTGGCGAAACCGGCGCGGCTCAGGAGGATGCCGGGCAAGACAAGATTGGCTGTGCCAGCGAGGATAGCGGCAAGGACGAGAAGAACCGGGTGACTGAGAATGGAAGGAACGACCATAATGATAAGCCCCAAGAGAACATCGAGAAGGAGAAGCACAGTAATAATGGCTATATTGGAATTAATGGTAATACTGCCGACACTGGCAACCCAAAGCGAACGGAGTCACCAAGGGAGCTTGCTCCTAACAACCATCCGCCGTCCCCTCTCCCAGCATACGAACCCTCCCATACTACCCCTCCACCTGTTAGGACCACCTCGGAATCGATCAAGAGCGACAAGGAGAAAGCCCGTTTGCAGGAGGCGCTGTCACAAACTTCACCTTCGATAGCGCAGCGAGTCTTCCGAGACCAGTGGAGGGTCCTACTGTTCGCTGGCTACGACGAGAACCATATCTCTTTTCTCTTAAGGTGTTTGCTAAAGAACTCTACTCACCCGATTTTAGACCGCATCAGAAGGGATGATAGTCTATTTAAGGGACCTCTTCTCGAAACTGCTGTTACCAAGCAGCCAGTGTTCTCGAAAGTTCTAAACAACGCAACTCCTGCTCAGCTTCAAGAGTATGTACCGCAGCATGTTCTCGATGCAGCCTTTGAGCGTCGATTAGAGAGTATTGATGGGAGGACACTTCTGAATTGGCTCGCGGCGCACCGTCGACTCGGTTATGAGCAGAAAGACATCATTGACAGATACGACGAGTCGGTTGTTCCAGTTCTTTCTCCGGTGGCCCCCAGCCAAGGGGATTTACATATGAGAGATGCCCCTCGTTTGGACCCTTCGCCATTTACAATGGTGCATTTCGGCGGCCCACCTGTTCCTAGCCAGCCTGTTGTTGATCAATATGTTGGCCAGCCCAGACCGCCACCCCAATCGCAACCACAACCACAATCGCAGTCGCAACCACGGCCACCGCCACCTCAACAGCCACAGCCACAATTACAACCACAACCGCAACCACGGCCGCAACCCCCAGGTGCCATGATTTGCCCCTATTGCCAAAGACACTTCAAGGACCGATCAGGTTATAACTATCATGTCCATAAGAAGGTTTGCGAAAAAGAAGCTCCTGATGGGAGCTGGAAGTGGATGTGCACCATGTGTGCTCAAGGATTTACTACGAAGCAGGGAAGAGACTATCATGAGCTTAAAGGAGTCTGTAGAGATTGTGATATTGCACCTGCTACAGCTCGTCCCGCGAAGACAACCGGGATGTCTAGATCACCAATGCCCTCCCAGACCTCTTTTAGTGCTGCACCTATCGCACGACCTCCGTTTACCAACCAGCCTGTTGAGAGCAACCCAGCCCCTATCCCACAAGTAGGACAAGGGCAACAAGCCCAGCATCCCTCGACATCTCAGAACACACCTCAATCCAAGTTTGTACCACTTGCCCAGCAGCCCCCACCGCCCCAATCTTCAGGGCCAGGACAGTCAGCACAGCAATCCCGTACTCCAGGAGCACCATCGATTCCACGGCCCCCCTTATATACACCATTAGGCCGTTCAAAGAAAGAAGTACCTCAAGATATTAGACAATCACCGTCTCAACTGCCACCAGATGTATTAGCAGCTTTGAACCGAGAAATCTTGGAAGAAGACCGGAGATATGAGAAAGCCGTGGCTGAGGCCGACAAAATGAAGGACCCAAAGGCTCGGGACCAAAGGCTTACATCTCTCAAGAACGGGAATGCCTCCAAGAAAAGCCAAATTCGAAAGCGGTACGGTGTCAGTCTTCGACTCCGAGAGAGAGACAAGCAGGCGATGAGGCCGTCTGTTCATAAGAACCGAATTGAAGGATTTAGGGCTGTAGAACCCCCAAGATCCTCGAATCCACAGGTGGTTGTTCCAACAACAGGGTTTTCACCGATCAATGCGTCTCGGCGGCCTGGTCCTAGCCCAATCAACGTGCCTCAACGGTCTGGCGCAGTAAACGGCTACGGCTCACCTTATGGAGCTCCCCCACCTCGTTCTTCTTCACGAGCACAGATGTCTCCTTACAATCCAACTTCCTCATCGCAACCGGAAACTTCACCATACCAGCAGAATGCTCATCGCGATGGCTCTCGGGCGGCTATCCCTCCAATTACAGCTTCTGGTGCTGCAGTACCGAGGAATCATCGGTATATGTCGCAAGACCAGGTGCCTACGGCAGCATTTGGGAAGCGCCGCCGAGAAGATGATGATGGTGGCCATGATCCCCGGCCTCCAGCTCAACCACCCACATTTGATGCCATTCTATACCAAGGGCCTCCGCCTAAACGGCCTGCTACCTCTACATCCCCCAAGTTATCTTCAACACCACAGCAGCACACCCATACTGAAAACACACCGGGAATGGCCAGCCCTGCATCGTCGAAGATGGAGACAATGCAGACCAATAAAAGTACGAGTGCGTCCCCTAGAGCGGGCGCTCGTGTCAGTGACAGCAGATCAATGGCTGCAAACGCAAGCGACCCTCCAGGTCAGGACACCGAAATGAATGATGCCAATCCTGTCCAGGTGTCTGTTTCGGATTCTGCCCCCGTTTCGGAAGCAACCAATCATCGTGAGACCAAGGCGAAGACGGCCGATAGTGCGAAGAAGGACACTAGCTTTAGGGTTGAAGACGGAATCACGGTTATCTCTAGCGATAGCGATTGAGACGGTAGCTGAAGTATTAATGATGCAAGAGATTATTAGCCACCTTTGAGTGCTGCAGCTCTTTTCTCTTTAATCACCGCGGTGAATATAGGCCCGGGGGAGCTTGAATTAACGTGAGCATGTTTAATGAATTTGTAATGGTGCATACCTAAGTTTGTAAGAGATACACAAGGTAATAAGCTGCGAATGCACCTAGGCGATATCTATCACTAGTTCTCGGGATATTTGCTGGCTAATGGCCAAGTACGCAAAGTATATTGTATATAAATACTATACTTGACGCTAGAGAGCGTCAAGTGACTATAAGGGTAGGCGGCAGCCAAATACCTATTTAGCTAGCTGCTCGCCAAGTACGCCACTTTAGGTGACTCTAAATAACGGGAACTCTGCTATGGCGACAAAACGACAGAGGCGCACATTCCTCACACAGTCAAGCTACAACCATTCTATGAAACCCTGATCCGTTCGTAAGGTATTAGATCTATCGTTTGATACACCTTTTCTTTGTATATGATTACAAAATAGCACCGAATCCTGCAAAGTCGCAATATGACCTAATTAGTAATATAGATTCTAGTAAAGTTGTTTACCAATTCTAGTTCTAATAGGCTGGTAGCAAGTTGTTAATACTAAAGATGCGGGGAAGTTTTAATTATTAGTAGGTATACTCGACCGTTGGTTAAAGACTTAAGGTACTGTTTAGCAATACCTAACCTTTCTGCTTTCTGCTTTCTACTTTTACATGCTTGTATACTTGTACTATATTTGTAGTCTAGCAAGGGAATATCATGCCTGGTAGAATAAGAATCTCCAAACTAGCACGTATGCTCAGCTACGTCGTCTTGTCATGTTTGTCGTGCTGTTTCTCTTCTCGTTGCCCTTCTGCATATGATTTCTCCAACGCCAGAGCCACTCCACGGCTCTGTTCCATAAAAGTTTCGATGTACTGCTCCATCCCATCAACCGCACGCTGGGCTGCCTGTCTCGCTCGATGGGCGCATTCAGGCAGTTGGGCCATCCATTCCCGCATCAACCTGACCTCCTGCTGCGACTGCTCAATGTAGCGAGTCAAATACTCCATCCTCTTTTTGAGGTCGAATCCTAGGGCCTCGACACCTCTACCAACAGCGAAAGATCTCCCTGGACAGAGACGCTCAGCATCTAGACGGCTGGCCTCATGCGCCTTCTGATAAACTGCCACTTGCTTCTCTGCATGACGAAGCCTAATTTGAATTCCTGGCACCCCGTCTCGCTCACCAGCCTGCACTTGCTTAGCCTCCCGCTGTATTGCTTTCAGACTGCGCTGTTTCGACCAGGAGTCCTCGCGCAGCTGCCTCTCTTCCCACAGCAGCAGCTCTTCGGGCTTCTGGCATAGTCCATCCGGACAGGCATGGTCGCTCGCTTCTTCTGCCTGCCGGAGTTCCTTCAGAGTGCATCGATTGCTTTGCTCCGCCTGCCACAATTCCCAACGCGCGAGCCACTGTTCGTCGTCCGTTTTAGCTCCCGCCAGTCTATCTCTCAGCTGCCGCATGGCTGGATGGTCTTCATCTTTCAGCCATCCCTTGAATTTTTGCACTTCTCGTATCGGTTCCTCTGAGACCCACTTGGCTAACTTAGCGGCTGTTGCACGAGCCTGGTCTACTAGGAAAGCATCGCCGTCAAAATTCGCATTGGGCCAGCCATGTTTGCGGTACAAAGGTTTGACGATTTCTGCATCCCACTCTCCCCCAGAGACCTCACCGCCCCCCGGGGTCTCAATAAGTTCGTGGTACCACTGGACGATGTCGTGGAGGACATCACCAGCCGGCCGGCTATCCATATCATCGTAGAGTCCTTCACCCCCTTCACTATCTTCCTCGTCGTCGTCGTCGTCGTCGTCGTCCTCCTCCTCCTCCTCACATGCCTCCTCACTCATCACTTCCTCGCGCACCTCTTCCTCACTTACCTCTTTCTTACCCTCACTTGTCTCTTGCATAGCAACCGTGGGTGCCCCACGTAGGTTGTGATCAGTGCTTCCGCAGGACTCTTGATCAATAATTCCTATGCAATGCCTCCGAGCATCGTAGATGATAACGCTGTGGTGATTGCCTAGCATCGATAGAGGCGTCATCCACGGGCGCATAGCCTCTTCTTCGCAGTCGGCATAGAACGGATCACGGCCTTGTTCCACATCCTCCTCCCGGCGGAAGTCTGCAAATTGACCGCCTTGGAAAAAGTCCACTCCCTCTGCCCCAGCCGTATCTATATAAGGCAGGATACTGTAGAGGTAGATTACGGAGGCATCTAAGCCACATGAATGATACTTTGGGAGAACATCATCAATATTGTGAGGGCCCTCATAGATCCATGAAGGGTCGAGGTATCGCATACGTGCGAGGGTGCGGTAGATTTCGAGCATGAGATCAGCAACCTCGTGCAGCTGCGCTTTCTGAGACGGTGTGAGGTCATCCATGATTGTCGAATCCAAGATGGAGTGATTGGAGGAGGATGGGATTGAGAGATGCAAACCTGACACTAATTTCTTTATTCGAATTATCTTCTAAGGTAAGTCTTTATATGCCGTGACCTAGCAGTAGGTAAGCTATGCTGTTAACAGCATCGCTCTGCTTCCTTCGCCCAAAGAGGCGCAGCAATATTCTTTATTCCTCAGGCTGTAGTAGGATAATCACGTCGATGCTTCTTCATTTTTAATAATAATAATAAAGCTCATAGCGTCAGGTGCCTCGTTCTGGGTGGCTGACGAGCCTGAGGCCAGGGGATCGCGGGGTGATCACGTGTCTTCTCTTTCCCTCACCGCTCACGGCAAAATTAATTGTTGATTGCTTGATTCGAAAATCAAACCCCCGCCCCCACCAACTGGAAGAATAGGTACTTCGATGTTTATGTCCCCTTCCTCCTATCCGCGACCTCCTTCAAGCATTCTGCACACACTGCGTACTCGAATGACCGCACGGCGGCATCAAATTCAACATGGCTACTTCGACTGCATCCGACAAACTCGCGCTGATCAAAGAGAATCTCTCTGAGGTGCTTAATGTAGAGATTATTGAGTCTGTGTTGGCCGAGGGTCGGCCCCTCAAAGTTTATTGGGGTAAGTTTTCAATCTTCACTCGCCTTTTGGGGAATATGTCTCTGGGTAATTTATGCTGATGGCACAATGGTTATTAGGAACCGCTCCAACGGGTCAAATCCACTGTGGATACTTCGTGCCCATGATTAAGATCGCGCAACTCCTCGCCGCGGGCTGCGAAATACAGTGTCTACTCGCCGACATCCACGGGTTTCTAGACAACCTCAAAGCTCCTCTCGATCTCGTACAGCAACGTGCTGAATATTATCGACTCACAATCTCGGCCATGCTTGAATCAATAGGCGTACCGACCGAAAAACTGCGTTTTGTTCTCGGAAGCTCCTACCAAAAGAATCCCGAATATATTATGGATGTATACAAGCTCAGCTCCTTGATCACAGAGCATGACGCACGCAAGGCAGGCGCAGAAATCGTGAAGCAGTCGAGTAACGCACCATTGAGTGGCCTTCTGTATCCCATCCTCCAAGTCTTGGATGAACAATATTTGGACGTTGATGTTCAGTTCGGAGGCAAGACGATTGATCCAGTTTCCATATACTCACCATGGCGTGTCTAACTTCAACAAGGTATGGATCAGAGGAAATTGTTCATAGCTGCCAAAGAGTGGCTTCCTAAGCTGGGGTACCGCGAAGTATGCAACAAGTTCTTCCCCCTCCCAAAGGTTGAAGCTAACGGTATAATAGCGTGCACATTTACTCTCCTTCATGGTACCGGGAATTAATGGAGGCAAAATGAGTTCGAGTGACCCAGGTACTTTCCCTTATACTTTGACGAGGCCCAACTAAGCATTACCAGATAGCAAAATCGATATTTTGGATTCCGCCGAGGTGGTTGCCAAGAAGATACGAAAATCTCTCGCCGTCCCTCGAATCGTCGAAGAAAATGGACTTCTGGCCTTTGTTGAATTCGTTCTACTCCCGGCCGCAGCTCTAAAAGGACGTCGAGAATTTGTGGTTGACCGCAGTCGGGATGGTCTGGAGCCGCTGGTGTACTCTAACATCGAAGAAGTACAGAATGATTACAGGAATGACGTGGTATGGCTATCAATCTCCTCCAGTGTAGAGGGAATACTAAAACCTACTAGCTGAACCCTCAACTACTAAAGCCAGCGATTACCCAGGCTCTCCTCGCCATTCTTGCCCCTATACAAGCCAAGTACCAGGAATCAAAGGAATGGCAGGAAATCACTTTAAAAGCATACCCCCCGGTTGAAAAGCCGAAGAAAGAAAAGAAGGCGAAGAAGGTGGGCACCGGTCATCCTGGGCGCCCGAAAACGCAGATACCTGAACACATAAAAGCCGCAAAAGCCGAGGTGTAATGTGTATATAACTTCGTAGCAACAGCCGGTACAGCGGGCTTCAATGCTGATTTGTGATCCATACCACCATTCCCATAGCAGTGGACGAGTAGCTCTGCAGGTATTTACATGACGGTTTAGAGGCTTGGGGCTTACAGTGGAAATAATATTCCTGCAGCGGATGTGTCGTGCTCCGTAAGGCTGGGCCAAAAAGAAAGGCGGCCAAAGGGGGGTTCTTTTGGGATCCTGGTATAAAGTTTTGCCAACCTGCTTAATTATGACCCAACCACATTCCGAAACGAGGCCCCTCCGGGTTTATATCAGAATTAAATCACAATTAATTAATACTGGACCCTGGTGACAATAGTTGAATATCTCTAAAACTTCTACACCCTTAAGAATCTTTATTGTAATCAATATACCAAGTGCTTGTATAGACAGTGAATAGACAAAAATTGGGCTAATACAGATTGTTGTTGTCCTGATACCTTATACATAATCAGAAAACCCGATTTTGCTGTTCTCGTCAATCTCTCGCCACGCCAAGCCATATCAAGCAATTTTTAACATTATTTGCTCACCAACTCTCGACCTTGTCTCCGCCCCTCAACATGGCTTCCTCTAGCCCCTATCCAATCTAGCTGCATCTAAAGATGGACAATCCTCCTAACAAGAGCTTTCGAGATGCCCAACATCAAAGAGGACGGCGGAGATGCCCCATCCCTGCCCGCGTCCCTAGACATCAAGTGCATCCCGCCCCCAACACGTGAATAAACAGAGCTAACCATTTCAAAGCCCGCTCAAACTCTTCGATATTGCAAAATCTGAAGGACGGCCACTGTTTGCTGCGGCACCGATGGTGCGGTATGGCAAGGTACTGTTGTGCTTTCTCCTCGATTTGATGGAAGAGCCAAGTTCTAAAAACCCTGCAGCTGGCATTCCGAGAAACCGTAGCACAATATGGTGTTGATTTATGCTGGACGCCGATGGTGAGTTCTCTGTTCTTTCCTGCAAGATATTTATTAATCGGCTCATATAATGATAGATCCTGGCAAAAGAGTTCAATCGCTCTCTGCTCGCAAGGCAAAGTGGTAAGCACGTGGCCCTATTCGTCCCCCTTTTACAAGCAGCTCGGGCTGTCATATCTTGACCCTTCTCCGTCACGTTCAATATAATTCTTATATACAGCACTAACTAAGCCATCAGATTTCACAATATCGCCGGAATCACCCCCAACAATTTGTCAGTTCGGAGCCAACTCGCCCCTGGAGCTCTCCCGTGCCACATCCCTTATTGCGCCCTACGTAAACGGGATCGATATAAATTGCGGATGCCCACAATCCTGGGCGTGTGCCGAAAGTCTCGGGGCAGCATTAATGAACAAGCGAGAACTTGTTGCATCTATGGTTAAGGCTGCAAAAAACGCTCTTGGTAATGCTTTCTCTCTTCTCTACCCCTCACTCCCAGCCCCAAATCAACTTTGAGGGCAATAAGCATGTTATCAAAAATTAAAATTAACACCATTCCCAAGAATCCCAAGGCTACGACTCCCAAAAAACCATCTCAGTCAAAATCCGCGTCCACTCGGACCTCCGCCATACCATAGATTTCATCCGCACCGTTACCGACGCGGGCGCTTCATTTATAACTATCCACGGCCGGACTCGCAGCACACCGTCCTCCAATCCCGTCAATCTTGACGCAATCAAGCTCCTGCGTTCCCACACGCCTCTCCCTGTTCTGTCGAACGGCGATGTGTTCACTCTCTCCGATGCTTTGCGCCATGCCGAAGATACGGGCGTAGATGGCGTTATGGCAGCTCGAGGGCTTTTGCTGAATCCGGCGCTGTTCGACAGGTCACGTGGAGCTGGGTATGAGCTTGGGGAGCGAGAAGGAGAAGGATGTACCTGGGATGTCGTGGAAACCTTCATGAATAAAGTGAGCAGAGAGCCTATTCCATTTAAATTAGTGGTACACCATTTGGGTGAGATGTGCGGAAGCGACAGGGGGCAGAGGGGAAAAGGGGCATTATTGAACAAAGAGGAGAGGGCAAGGTTAGTGGGGTGTAATTCATTTTTGGAGGTGATGGATTTACTAGATGAAGTTAGGGAGGATCAGGGAGGTTTAAGGAGGTTGTGAGAGAGAAAGACAGCGATTACACAGATAGGTGAGGAATAAAAGCCATGTAAAAGGCCAATTTAATTTACGCTTCAGAAAAGCCCACCGCATTTCTACAAACCTCTGAAGGCCACGTCCCACCCGTATTATTTTCGTCCAGCGAATGAGAATAAAGTCCCAGCTTAGGCGCTCTCCTCCGGCCACACATCATACCCAAACGTATCCTTCATATTCACAAATCTCGTCTTCCGGTGATCGGCCACCATATTTATAGCCTCAAAATCCTCATCACTTAGAGAAACTAACTGGGCATTACTCCGGATACGTTCCGGATTCGAGCTCTTCGGCAGGACAGCATAACCTCTCCTCAATCCCCAGGCAATCAACACCTGTGCCAAAGTGGCATGGTTTTTCGCCGCTACAGCAAGGAGTTCTTTATTCGTAGACACTTTCTCATTTGTGCCGGGGACTTGGTTTTGTGATCCCAGAGGTGAGTATGCAACGGGAATAATGGATTTGGAGAAGCAATAATCGATGAGCTCCTGTTGGGGGAGGAATGGATGGATCTCGACTTGGTTGACGGCGGGTTTGACCTTGGCGAAGGAAAGGAGGGATTCAAGTCCTTTCTCTGTCCAGTTGGATACACCAATTGATTTTGCGAGGCCTTGCTCATAGAGGGATTCCATTGCTCGCCATGTTGGTTCCGGATTTTCAGTTAAGGCCTTGTTGATGACGTACTATTTATTTTCGATGTTAGAAACCGATTTCACAATTGTAGATAGGGGGCATCTCTAATACCTTTCCATCAGGCCCAATCTTCACCGTCTTGTCTGGATTGGGCTCTGATGCAATTGGCCAGTGGATCAAGAATTGATCCACATAGGGAGTCTGCAGATTTTTGAGGGAATCCTTCAAACTCCATTCAACATCCTTCGGCGCATGTAGATGATTCCATACTTTGGTGGTAATGAAAATATCTGATCTCTTGATGCTGGGGTTACTAGCTAAGAATTCCCGTGTTCCTGATCCAACTTCATCTTCGTTGAGGTAGAACCAGGCGCAGTCCAGGTGTCGGTATCCTGCCTCCAGCGCCGTGAGGACGGCTCTATGTGTTTCGCCTTTGTTCCCCTCACTGGCGAATGTGCCAAATCCTAGCGCGGGCATGGAGAGGCCATTGCTGAGCTTGAGGAGCCCTCCGGTGACTGCTTTTGCGGCCATGTTTTAGGTATTCAGTATGGGGATATTCAGATTGGCTTGGAGATGGCACAGAATAGAAGATTTACTGGTTAGAGGAGACTCTCTGCTATTGAAGGGAGAAAGCACGACTAACGGCATTTCCCTTGCCATGTAAGCCAGGGATAATATTGGTTGGTGCTGTGTCAACAGAACGCTGTGCCCGCCTCCGACCCCGCCTCCTTCGTGGGGCCGTGGGCATCGCAGAATCGCTGCCTCTCAACGGAATGTACTCGTAGTAATTTCGTACGTTCACTACGTAGTACTCTAGTACTCGTATGACGTCGCGGGTTTACGGAGTAGGGGCCGTAAGGCGTTGCGTAGCGCAGTTAAAGCGGTTAGAATGGCGAGAAACTGTGAGGATACCGGGAATGGAGCTTTTGTGCCAAGTGGATGTTACCCGCTTTAGGTCATTTTGGTCATTTCCTTCGAAGCCAATCAACCGTCGGGGTTGAAACCGAGCTCTGAAAAACAGAACTATATTGCATCATGAGTGGGCCGACGGGTAAAACTCGTTAAAAAGTCGTTTTAAAATATCGACGCGTTTGATATCACTTTACGGCAAATGTCCACTCGCTAGCGTAGCGCCTCGGCGTCAGCCCTTAAACCTTCGCCTATTGCAGACTCCAAACTTCACACTTCCACCGCTTCGGTCCTACTTCATGCTTTAGAATGGAAAAAGATCCATATTGCCCGTCATCTCAAACGCTGGAGATTTGATTTCGCAGCCCAAGTGGGCACTAAGTGGACGAGTTCTTCATGCTCTCGAGTCAGATTTCCAGCAGTCTCGGCTTGGGGGTCCAGTCCTTGAAGTCCATCTTCATATCGGCAGCGACGGGTGGAAATGGATCTGTACGTCATGCTGGGTATCTTTCTATGTCTTTTTCCCAGCCCTGTCCTTGGCGTGTTGAATGATATGATTTGCTGATTCCATGTGATTCCACTTTCTTGATATATCTCTCTGACACCCCCCACGGGGAACGTTAACTCATGTTCATCTCGTCTCAAAGCATTCCACTCTCCTTGAACACTTTATTTGCTCGGTACCAGATATCATTACCATAAACACTGAAATTATCACATACGATATTACACCCTTCCTCATTTATCTTACACCATGTCTCTCTTCGGCGACTACGAGATCCGTGACGATGCTGCAAAAAGTCCCAAACCTGGCTCAGCAGGTCATTTGCCCAAGAGATCCACGGACTATGGATCTTCTAAATATAACCACTCTATCCCGATCCCCGAATCCCATACCTCTGGAGCCATTGAGATTCCAGCCACAAGATCACCGATGGCGGAGTCTGAAAATCTTATGCACTCTCTGAGTTTGACGGGCCGGCGAGGTTCCCGGAATAGTTTTGGAGCCTCACTACCAATCCCACGGCTAAAGCGTCCATCACGACTATCCTCGGTGACGATGCCGACGGATGAGCAACAAGCACGACCTGGCATGCCTCCCATCCAGCCTACGAGGGAGATTCTATCATCCCAGGTACAGGACATGTCATCTGTCAAGACTGCGGCCGCCAAGAATATGGCATTCGCTTTTGACATCGACGGTGTCCTTGTTCACGGCGACCGCCTGATTCCCCAAGGAAAGCGAGCCCTTGAGATTTTGAACGGTGACAACGAACTCGGCATCAAGATTCCTCACATCTTCCTCACCAACGGGTCAGGGAAGAAGGAAGCTGAACGATGTCAGCAGCTTTCTGGAATCCTAGGATCACCAATTTCAACAGACCAATTCATTCAGTCACATACCCCAATGTCGGCATTGGCTGGGTACTATAACACTGTGCTCGTCGTGGGTGGAGAGGGCTATAAGTGCCGCGAGGTGGCCCAGGAGTATGGGTTCAAAGACGTTATTGTTCCCAACGACATCTATGCAGCAGATCCCACAATCTCCCCATTAAGGGAGCACTTCACTCCTGAGCAACGCGCGACATCCAACCCAAAGGACTTCAGCAAAGTCAAAATCAACGCGATTTTGGTCTTCTCCGATTCTCGTGATTATGCCACGGACCTCCAAATCATCATGGATCTCCTCCAATCTGAGGATGGTGTGCTTGGGACCCGGGCAAAGGACCCCGTGTCACAACGTATTCCTATCTACTTCTCCCAGGGTGACCTCTTGTGCCCCACTGAGCACCCCACACCCCGACTATCGCAAGGCACATTCCGCATAGCTTTGGAAACTATTTACAAATCCATCACGGGAGTTGAGCTCGAGCGAGTTGTCTACGGCAAACCCGAGCTCGCCACGTATAAGTATGCGGATGAAGTAATGACTTCATGGATGGAGACAATCCACAACGAGGTGCACCTTCCCAAAAATATTTATATGATTGGCGACAACCCAGCATCAGATATCGTCGGCGGAAATATGTACGGCTGGAATACATGTTTGGTACGCACTGGTGTGTACCAAGGCGAAGGCAATGACAAGCAGAACCCTGCCAGCTTTGGCGTTTTTAACAACGTTTTGGACGCCGTAATGGCGGCTCTGAAGAAGGAGCTCGGCCATGATTTCCAGTTTAGCTGGAGCGATTCAATGAATCCGGTTACCGGTAACAAATCCGCCCCGGCCATTGAATAGATGGATAGTGAGCAATGGTGGATGTTGGCATTTCTTTTTTTTCATTGGAATAGATGGACCGGCGTTAGATACCCTCCCTCCTTAAGAAGTGGTTAATTACAGCTGCATTTGCACTAGTTTTAAACAAAGTCATCATTGCTTCGTGGTCCTCTCTGTATGGGTTGCTTGTGTGTATGAGTTGCTCGAGTGAGCTACATTATTTTATGAGTAGGCTCTCTTGTGTTTCCTAATACTGTGCTAAAACCCCGCCTCATGGAGTTCACATTTCCCTTTGTTTCTGCTCTTTTTCACTGTAATATTCTTGCTACTTTCCCATAGACAAGGTCTGTGCTAATATCCTACATGCGCTGCTGGATTTAACCCATTGAATCCTACCACGTATTAGGTATTCTCAATTTTCATTTACTCCTCGTCTTGTATACTTTTGCAATTCCTCTACCCTAGCCACGATGTTTGTTTCATTTTATATCTACTGGCAGCAAGTGCATAACGTCTGTGCCAAGATGACACTATATTACATACTTCTTGAAATAAATTCACAACATGTTCCTCAGCCTGTTTAAATAGCTTGGAGCTTTATAATCTGGGCATGTCACTATATATGCTTTATTCTACTTCTGTGCGTGATAAGTCTCCAAAATTGCCTTCGGTAACTATTCACCTCTAGAGTTAGAAGGCGGTCTGATAAGTGAGTGTACTTACTTCATTATCTTGACCGCCTTGTATTGCCTAAGGTAAACAGATATTTCCTTCCGCATTTATCGACTTAACTTTGAGATCTACAACTTTCATGACAACAACCGTCAAGCGTCAATCACAGAACTTGCTCCATTGCTGAGCTATCACAACAAGCCTGATATTAAGTATATCTTTCTATTCGCATCTTATGATAGCCATGTTTCTCATACTTTCCTAGAACCAAGCTGCTAGCGACCGATCTGTGGAAGACAATGTCTGATCCACCAGGCACCCCTCCGCACCCTACGCGTGCCCGGCGCTGGTCTATAGGACCAATGTTCCCCTTTAAGTGGTCTGAAACCGACTCGGATACACAGACTATTATGTCCTGTAAGCAATGTCTTTATTTGTTCTCTCACGGCGATTCGGTGAGAGGTGAACTCCTTCCCACCATCGCCAGTCGCTATCAGCCAGACTTATAAACAAACAAACATTCTAATACGCCTTTGAAGCTGAGATGGCTTTTGAAGCTGAGCCCGCCGAAGAATTCGCTCTCAAGACCAACCCATTTCTCCCACCCCTTCCACCACCACTCGAGAGCTTAGGCCATAGATCTGGCGCGAACATCCTCAGATTCCCCAACACTTCCACCAACTTCCAGGACGTTGAACTTCCTCTTGACAGCGGCTACGCTTCGATCTTCCCCTTTCATCTATCATCTTACGGCTCTAGAGCTCAATACGCTCTCAATCTAGACGATCCACAAGCTTTCCTAACATACATTGTAGACAAGGCCTCTCTTATACAAGCCGTCGACGCTAACCCTCAACGTATCTTCGACGCGATCATCGCCATGGGATCAGAACGCGAGGATCTACGAAAGCAGCGCGATGCCCTCCTCGATGAACGAGACAGGCTCATGACCGAGCAGGGCGAGCTCCTTGCTGAGCGGGGCGAGCTCCTTGCCAAAGAGGATGGGCTCTTCGTCCGACTGGATAGAGTCCGCGGCGAACTATATGAAGCCCGCAACGAACTGAAGGGCATCAAGCTGAGTTATGAAGCCTCAAAGATGGATTGGGAAGCCCAGAAAAAATCTTTTGAGGAGATCGTGCTTGTGAAGAACAACCAGCAGCTGGTATTCCTTCGGTCTATTGAGCGGCTGAGGCTCGTCATCTCCAGGGGCGGCCTCGATCCAAATTCGTGCAACCACGTCCCCTCTAAGATCATTCCTCCCCCTGAGCTTGGTCTCGGTCCAGGCGTAGATATGAGAAATGCACAGGGTGCGGTCTCGGGTCTGTCTTACACCGGTGCTCAGACTAAGTTGGATCCCAGCGCCGTAAGTATCCCCTTCCTTCTTCCACCTAATCCGATCTTTTACTTTTTACTTCCTCAGCACATTTCAGAAGTACTCTTTCCTCTTGCTCTGCAAATACTGACTAGCATCACCAACAGCAAACCTTCACCCCCGTCCGCGCCAACGACTCACTTGCATCGAGCTCGGCAGGACCAGTTCAGTCGCCCATCTCTCTCAACTCCGTCCCCGACTACATGCTACAGCATATCATCTCAACACTTCCAGCTGGCTTTAAAGGTCTCTGCCCCATCTCAATGTCCTCCCACACGCCATGTGCCGTTTCAGGCTGCCAGCTGGTCAAGCTCTGCCCGGCCTACAATGATGAGATGACTAATACTGGATGCACTGACGATGAGTGTCAACTTGCCCACAAATACCGCACATGTGAGGCAGAACTTGATGGTGCGAGATCCGTTTGTACTTTCTTCGAAGCCTATCGTGGAGGTCGGAATGGCCCGGCAGTGGTTAAGAGCGAGTTAAAGAAGAGACTTGACCACGTCCGCAAGAGAGTTCATCAGGGAAATTGTGATGCGGATGAGTGGAAGAGCCGTGAGGTTTTGGCGGGTTTGAGAGATGTTCATTTGGAGGGTAGATTGCTGGGCTAGTTCTGTGCTAGTGCTGCGGTGGGAAATGGGGGAAGGGCGTTGCTACACTTATGATTGACTGGATTCACAGACTCTTTTCTTTTTTTACTGGATGGATGACGGCGGGCTTTGGGAGTTTTGCGGATGGATGGTTGCCTTATGCCTATTTTACATGAGTGGTACTCAAATGAATTGTGATTTACCTTGTTCGGAACACTTGGTGACTTGGCCTATGAAGATGAATATTTCAATAATAAACGGTCAGCGAAGGGCTACTTGAGGGTTGAAACCAACAGCCATTCAGTCCTCATCTAAATTACCACCCCCTAGGGACTAGCGAAAATTCAAAAGCTTCCAGATTTCACCTTTTTATCGACTACCCTTCTATTCAAGCCAATAATAACAAGCAGGATCCAACCCACCTAGCCCAAATCATCTTCCAGTTTAGAGCCATCATCGAGCTCAAAACAATTTCCATATCCAACATCCCCAAACCACGGTTAGGACAAGGATAAGCCGCTCTAAGCCGAGTTTAACGAAGAGAAATTTCCCTAGAGTGGATAAACACTGTTGCAGTGTCGATCAACTAGGTGGCGAAATACTGTACTTCGTTAAAGCGTCCCTGCAGTAAAGTAATATTTGCCACCCATCCATAAATAGCATCGGTTAAACCGGGTCGCCTCCTTTTATCGCGAGAGGCAAGAGTAGTCCACTCGTAGACCAAAATAAAGAAACCTCTTTTTCCTTTGGACATAGTAATTCGGATTGGGAATACGTCGTACCTCTCGGCAACTCTGCGCTACATGTACCGGGAGCTAATGTAGGTAGTTGTGAGAAGATTCTGACGGCCAGGGGCCGCAAAGCGAAAATTCGAAAAATAGCAACCGGTTCGAATTCACATCTTACCATCCAATCCTATAAAATCCTGTAGGATGTCGAAACACGTAGTTAATTTCGTTAATTTATCATCATAGGTCTATATCCCACCCTGACCTCCCCAAACCCATGTAATATATGCTCCTTTCCCTTTCCGAACGAAACGCGATAACTAAATCCAACCAGCGTTCCATATCAAGATACTCCGTAAAAGACCAGCCGTTATAAGAGCAATATGCAATATGCCATAGCCGTAAGGCATTATTTTGTATTTAAACAAGCAGAAAACGAATATGTGATTGCGAATCCAAAAATTAAAATTACCCAAAAGCGCCAGTGCTATGCAAAACCAATATGCTCTATCATCGAAGTTGATGCTGAAAATGTTATGCCAGGTATCCAAGGCTTTTTGCAGGCCAGATAATATGTGCCGATGAACGAATCGGATGAAAGGAGGAAAGATAGCGACTATCCAAACCTCCTAAAGCCCTCCACACTTAATGTCGGGACCTCAACCCATCTCAGCGAAGGTACGCCCTCGGCCCTACGCCTCTCAACAAAATTATTGCACTCTGCAACCACAAGGGCCCACTCGGCCAGCGCCCTACCCGTGTATTTTGAACTCGGAACTATGGTCCCTCTTCTACTTCCGCTCTGAGAGTCCCCAGTGGCGTTGGCATCTCTTGGCATCGCTTCACGATTAAGGCCTGGTAACCTAGCACCTAGCCAAGCTTGTGCGGCCGCCGGGAGCCTGGGTGGAGAAAGGCGCCTTTCGGCTCCCATGTTGAATCCTACACCACCTCTGATTCCCCCACCCGCGTTGGGCTGTCCCTGAAGTCTCTCAAAATGCTGGCTCCATTCTAGGCTGAATTTAAAACTAAATGCACGATGCGTGCTTGTCGCGGGCGGCGTTTCGCTATCTGTGCTCGACTGCTTAGAGTGAGTTGGTCTTGCACGGGCGAGGGCCGTCTCGCGCCTTGCTTCTTCCAGCGTTTGGGATTTTGTGGGCGAGGAGCCTGGACCATCTGTTGGCGAAGGAGTTGAACCAGGCGTGGAAAATGTAGCTGGAATCATTTTGCCTACGAAGCTCCAACGTTTCTTGTTGGATGGTGCCTGAGGTAAATCGGTCGTCAGTTTGGGGTTCGTAGAATCAGTAGTGTCAAGTTTGCTAAGGTTGGCGAGAGATGAGTGCCGTTTATAAGCTGTGGGTTGGGCAGCCCCTGGGGAGGGCATGATTCCGTCGAAGCTGAGGAATAAACTTGGGGGTGGTGTTTGGTTATCATTACGAATGATGAGGAGCCGCCTTCCTGGAGCTGGATGGCATGGCGCGGTGGATGGAGGGAGGATGTGGGACTTTTCAGCCGTTTGTACCAAATGGAGATAATGTACCCAGGAGGTCTTTATGCGTGATAGGACGACGGAGAAAATTTTGCTATTGCTTCTCAGTGACCAATTACTGAAAGAAGGGGGGAGGGAATACATACGCATCGAGGTCCGAGGATTCTCCATCATCCCGGCAGATCCGCCAGCACAGAAGTCGCATATAGTACGCTCTGACCATGGGGCACCAGTGATTGAAAAACCTATTAAAAGTCTCCTCAGTCAATAGCCACTCCAGGCACATGATCTCTTTTCGACGCTCATCGCCAGAAACCACGCTCCAAGTAGTGAAGAGGAAGGCAAAGAGGCGAATCTCAGACATGCTATTTTCACTCTCGAGCATCTTCTTACAGACGTCCAGCCAAAAATGCCAATCAATAAAATCAGATTCCAACGCATGTGCATAGTGAAATCGAACAAAAATTGTTAGCGCTTGTTCCATAAAATCAGATAGAACAAAACAGGCATTATGGTCGAAAAGCGAAGTTCTTCGAGCTGTGGCTTGCATCATCTTACTAAAAGCCTCCGCGAATGTAGCGCTAGCCAGTTCGTCATCCGAAGGTCGTTCGGAGATGAAGTCACGAAGCAGCATTATTAGACGGTTTTCAGCCATCCGCCTTGCAGAATTGTTCGATGGAAGTGGGAGAGCTGCAGCATTAGCATCCGCCCCGGAAAGAACATCATCAAAGGTGATAGAAATCGGATCCGGTGCGGGTTGCCGGTGTATGGTGGCATCTAAGGCTGTCAAAAGCTGTGCCTGGACGAGGATAAAACCTGGGAGGATGAGTTAGCTGGTTGCTGAGCCATACTAAGCAAATGTGGATATACCTGGAGCGCGAGCTTTTCCGGCAAGAGAAAGTCCCGGAGGCATGAATTCCTCAGCCAGAATATGATAATGCTTTGCAAATACATAGAATAGATCGCTATCTCGGCCACACCACCTTCCCACCCACGGGCCGTACCATGGGATCTTTGCAACCATAATTGGCAGAGTGGGGTCCTGTCGTAGTTGAGCAGCCATTGATTTGACCGATGTCCAACCTAGACTTTGAATATGCGCTGGGAAAGCGGCCACAAGCTCATCCATATCGAGCTTATTCACACGCCTAGGCATCCCAAGCTCATCTGCAGCCCTCCGAAGGACGTCAGCCGGCAATTTCCAGACACGGGCCAGGATTTCCGCAACTCCAGGCACGAAGAAGAAGGCGTACGCAACTGCTTTCCCGCAGAAAGTCACGAGGCTTGCTGGCGCATGTCTCAGGGACATCTTGTCGACTACGAAGCGCATCTGGGAAAGGAGATTCTGAATGAATAGGTTCCGAGTATTGTGATAGACAGATTCGGTCATGAATTGGGTGACAGAGGAGTTTAGAGAGTTGGATGATGATTTGGACCTTGGAAGGCGGTCAGGTAACCGATTTACAGACCGTTCCGATAAAGGTGCAAAGTGTGATGGCGGTAATCTCCATTCTGGCCTTGTCATAATCGCATAGCATGCATCGAGCAAGATTGGGCGATCCACGCCACTAACAGTCTGGTTCTGCCTTCCATCAAGAACCTCCAGAAGTCCGGTCCACCACTTGTTTAATATATTAACTCGTCGTTCAAGATCTTCGGGACGGAGGTTCTTATTGGAAGTATGTGACGCGTGATTTCGTAGAAATGGCAGAAGGGATGCCCTGACTACATTCGTCTTCAATGACCAGGTCTTGGCTTGGAATTTGGAAAAGTCGTTCTCTATCGAACGGAAGGCTGACCAGAGCTCGTCCCGTCGCTTAGGAGCCTCGATACCTAGACTCTGAAGCTTTTCGGTGGAGGGGGCTGCCGGAAGAGGGGGGATCTTATCAGTCGATGTCCGCGGAGTTGATCGGTTGTCCATAGAGCTGCTCGGGAGGCTGCTCGCGGAAGAGTTTGTGGAGTTGAAGTTTGTGAGATTCATGAGCACGCTCTGTGGTCTCTGCTTCATCTTCATCAATGTGGAACTTGTTCTCGAGGAAGGTTTTGGAAGGTTCTCATCGGTTCTGGAGTGTCGGGCCTTTTCCAGCTTCGGGGTCAGTCCTACCGACCGGCAATGGGTGGGTGTTGTACTGCCTGCCGTCTTCGATTCATCCACCGCCTGACCATTGTTGGCCATCTCTTTTCCAGCGGCTCGACTTGGGGATGGTGATCTTGACGAGGCCATCCATGACTTCCGGGCGAATGTTGCAAACGACTCTGACACAGTCTTGGTTTTATTCTCGCGGGATGCTTTGGGGACTGAGGGAACTGGAGGAGCACCTGTGGGGGTTGTGAAGGACGGCTCCGGTGAATTCTGCCGCTCTGGAGAGCCCTTAACTCTTTGTATCCAAGATTTGGGTCGTGCAACCAGAGACTTCCTCCTCCCCAATCTCTCTAGCTTCGGGCGTTCTTCCTGTTTATCCTTCGACGGTCGTTGGCCGGCATCCGAATTTCGTTTCTTCAGAGTCAGGTCCTCATGGTCAGAATATGGTGGGGCATCTGCGGATATTATCCTCTGGAGATCGGCCTCCGGCTGGAATGGGGGCTCCAGATCTGGCAGGCAGGTGAAACTCGCCGATCGTGGGAGGTCATCGTCATGCCGTGCCGAGGGTTGCTTGTAATCTCCAGTGACCAGGTCCGGTAGGCTTGGAGAAGAAAACGAACGGGGGAAGGGGGAGTCCGTATCGAAGGCCGCCGGCATCGTCAACGTGGGACCACTCATGGGAGCTCGACCTGCTCAGAGAGAGCGAGGTCTAGATAGTCATAGTCTAGGTTACTGTCTATGTTAATGTCTGCAGATATGGGTGAATGAGCAGTCGTGGCCAGGACGAGGATGTCTGGCCCGGCCAGCAGGGCAGTTTTGAGATGAGGCTGGGGTACCCGCGCCAATTCGTCGAGGTGAGGTGGATAAGGAGGGTTTCTAACTCTTAAGTGGTGAAACGACAGCACAGCACAGCAGAGCAGAGCAACCAGTTCAATGCTCTGCAACTCGTCGCTCGTGGTTGTGCCTATCCTATCTGTATCTGTGCCTGTGTCGAGAGACTGGGGAGGGCGGAAGAGGCGCGAATTGCGAAATTGCGAATCGATATGATACGACACGATACAGGGCGGATTGTGGGAAGGTTGCTGTCGCAGGTTGATTGATCCAAAAATGCAATCGGGGATTCAAACGAATGTAAGGGAGCGTATAATGCGCACGCAACGGCCAAAGAGGGGAATGATAGTATCACTTGGTACGACGAGGATGGAGGAGAGAAGAGGGGAGGTTGCGGTTGACAAGACAAGAACAACGAATGTCGTCCTCGCTCCCTCACTAGGAGAGCTGGCGACCAATGCACGGTCGATCCGTACAGGATTGTGTGGCTCCCTATGAGGCGATGACAGGACGGACGGGCAGGGCAGGGCAAAGACGCCGACAGGGCAGACAAGGATGATCGATGATCCATCATAATTGCCAATTGCCAATTCCCAATTGCCATGGCGTACTCGTACGCAGACTACGTAGCCACTCTCCGTGAACTCTGCATGAAATACCTTGTCAAAGAGCCCAAGTAAAAGCAGCACCCAGGAGCAAGTTGTAAGCTACCTACCTAAAGATACCTGCTAACCAGCACTTGGGGCACTTGCTGCTTGAGTCTGTCAACCGAGGCTGAGCTATTCTCAAGATACCACGCTCCAAAACACAGGATCGGAGGTTTATGTTTATTATGCGAGTAGCCTGTTCGCGACCCGCGGTACTGTGGTTTTCCGAAGCGATTATTGCACGGCTACGAAGATAGGAGACAGACACATGGCTCTAACGCCATAGGCTTAAGTGTGTACACAGCGTAACCGGGTAAAGGCGAGCCTTTGCGCAGTCCTTAAGCTTACGGTTGTGGGTTGTGGGTAACACCTCATGGACGGTCCGGTTGTAGTTCCGAAAGTATGCTCTCTGTACCACTCTGGTACACACCTGCCACTCCGGAGAAGGTATCTTATTATATATGCCTAGGGGGAAGTTAATAGTACACGCAGGCTCAATCACGCACCGAGGCAAAGAGCCGCCATGCTTCTAGGGAACCTCGGCAGGTCTCAGACGTGCTTTTATCTCTTATGCCCTCAGCCTGTTGTCGAGGCTGTCTTATGTGTGCTCATGCAGCCATGACCAGCGACTCGGTCGCCGTTGCTCCCTGCCGACATGAGACTGTCACCACCGGTGCCTCGTGCCTCGTGCCCGTAGCATCGGAATGCATTGCTTTCCGAAAATATCGAGCGTTTGCGACAGAGCCAATTGCAAAGCCGCCATGATTCAAGATCTGAGAAGGCCTCAGAATCGATAAATTGATGGAGACTTGCTAAGCGCAACCCCCCCTGCGATGATCTCGGTAGTTGGAAACAAGTACCTTGTGGGCCCCTGGGCAATATGTAAGCCTTTAATATTTGATTTCGCGGGATGCGAATCCGGTTTTTGGACCCATCCCACGGCATATACGGCGAACTGTATGATTAAGGGGGAGCACCATGCATTTCAACGCCCTTATCAATCTTAGCTGTGGCTTGCGCTCGCTTGCGTTCTGTTCCTATCAAGCAGGTTGGAGTTTGAACGAGTAATAAACAGAAACATGATTAATTAATAATAAGTTGCGTAGACTGTACTACATGAACCTGCATGTACAGTACATATTAACAAGGTCATGCCGCCATTTCCGTGCAATCACTATGACATACATAGTGCTAGGCTCGTGAGAGTCTATTATAATCGACGAGGGTCCCCCTCAGGAACCGCCAAAAGCAGCTTCACTAAAAAAGGGTTCCTTATTGACGGCTACGAGCAGTTATAATATTTATATGTCCCATCTCACCTTCACCACGTCGTAATGTTTGAAGGTATTGCTTATTGCTACTGCTCCCACCTCTACGCAAGATACTAGCTTAGTAATCCGTAAACACACTTGCAGCTGGTGGGATACCGCCGCTCTAAGAACCAAAAGTTGATCAAAATTTAAAAGGTACCTAAAATTAGACGCAAATATATAGATGTGTGTATAATTCGTATGTGTACATGAATCTTATGAATTGAATAAAATGCATTTGGGAAGCTACCGTGGTACCTTACAACTATGATCAGCAGGGTAGACGTGCATTATTGGTGGATCTACCGGAGCTGCGAGATCTCGTATCGGCAACCGCACTTCATCCCCACAGCCTTGTGGTCCCTCAATCGCAGCTATCGACAGCCTCAAGCTCATCGTTCTCTCAGCCTCCGCCGCTCTTCTTCTTCTCATGTATACGCCTCTACAATACACAATACACTATGGATTTGCTCCCTGCCGAGATCCTCGGGCTCATCCTCCTCTGGGATGTCCGGATGTGCCGCCTTGATAAGAACATCATCCTCCCTTTGCGCCTCGTCTGCAAAGCCTTCGATGTCGCCCTCCGACCTTATATCTTCAAGACTATCCAGCTCGAGTTCTCGCGCTTTCTACGAAGCGCCGTGCCTAATACTGGAAGCTTGACCAGAGTGGGACATTTGTGCGAGGCTATCTACCTGGATATGATGATGATTAGGGATGAAGGTAGGCTGGTCCTCTTTTGTTATATACGGGCCTTTGGAATTATCGCACTGGAGAGTTTTGGGATGAGGTTTAGCTTTGCTCTAGATACTACTCAATCAATTGGTTGAGCTGCTGAGATGTTTCTAGAAGGTCCCTATTATATGAACGGATGCTAATTACCCCTTCACAGAGGAGATAACTCGTCTTACCGATATATTTCAAGGACTGGTATCCAAGGTTCCCGAAATGGTTCCTCTTCTGGCCTCACTGCGGAAATACTGTATGAATGAAACTACTTTTGACGAAGTCGATTTCCATCATATGTTAGAGGTATTTACATGCATATAACATCACCGATACTCTGCTAATTCCTCCTAGAATGTCCTTACATTTGTCCCTGGCATGCGTCGTTTGAAGATGAACCTCCCTTTCCAAGTCGTTGGAACTCAAAGCTCCCCAGCCACCCTCCTCCTAGCAACCACATTAGCATGCCTTGCGAAGCGCGACGAAGAACATCACCAGCTCGAAACCCTCGTGGTAGATCATGTCAGCGACACCTCGGTGAACAACATCTGTCATAATCCAATTGATCTTAGAAACTCCATCATTGTGTTCAAGGGATTAAAGAATCTGGTATTATCCATCAAGAGACAGGAGACTCGGACCCCGACTTTTAATAAGAATTTATGGTTCCTGGTACGGAAAGCTACCAAGCTTGAGAGCCTATGTTTGATTGGATGGAATATGAAAAGAGATATCACGACCAGGAGACACCGACATAGGGTCCCATTACACGAATGGAGGATGCGCTCTTTGCCATACCCACTAGAAGCCACGCAACCATTCGACGGCCTGCGCTTTTTAGAACTTAAACGTGTCGACATTGATCCTCATGAATTCGTCCAACTGGTCAAGGACTGCTCGGGGAGCTTGGAGGAGCTTTACATCATTGAGGTGTATATCAAGGTTTATGGTGCTTCAGGTCTTGGAAACGTATCATTATGGATCGGCCATCCCGATGTCCAGAGATCAGAGTCGGTTTGCTGGGTTGCTCAGGATCTTCGCAAAATGAAGACTTTGAAGCTGTCTATCCTGCGTGCTACGGGTATTGGGTACGATGACTTTGACACAACTTGGACGTCGTCGGATCCCTATTTCGACCTCGAGGATCCGAGCGGTCTTTACAAATCATTTGATCAACGATTTCTAGAGGCAGTCATGCAACCCAATAAATCAAGCGCTGGTAACAGCCCAATAGGATCTACCACTAGTGTTCTACCTACTACATTAAATTCAGAAGAGGGTGACAATCTTGCCGAAAACGCGATGGATCATCAGCTTCCAGATGGCACTGATGCTGCCATGAATGCCATGGCTTCAAACTCAGTAGCCCAGCCGAACCCGCCAGCTACATCCAACCTAGGATCTAGTCCTCCTGGACCCACCGACCCACAAATACCTCAATCATTACCACCCCTAACACCAGCGACTAATCCTCCTCCGCATCTCGATGGGGGAGTTGGCCACTACGACGCCGAAACATTCCAACGATATCACAATACCACATCAAATTACAAGAGTAGCATTGATGGGTATTTTTATAACCACAACGAGGGAGCATTGAGAGAACTTCAGAGTTTGATAAATGTCGCGGATAGGGGAATGGCCCTTATTTCGGCCGAGATTGAGAGGTTTAGAACTGTCGAGGTCGATACCAATACCGGGGCCCTTGTTAATCCTCAGCCAGCACCTCCACCTCCTCCGCCGCCACAAGTAGGTTAGGAGGCTAAATGCAATGCGGGAAAGAGGCGAGTGAGGATCCCACGCTCTATCTTGGGTCGACTCTCTCCGACCGATAAACCCTATTCGAGTTTAGTTATGCGTATGCATAGGTTTTCGGGATGCGTGAGGGGACAAGATTGAATCATGTAGCACGATAGTGCTCAAGGCAAGATTTGAGTATTTGATTATTGCGCAGCGTAGCGTGTACAATTACATCGGCCTTGCAATACCCGGGGCACCTTAGGTGCTTCTTATGAACAACAGTATGTGCCACCTATCCCACCACTACTTTATCACCGTTATATTCTCTGTGTGGATGCTGGGTTGCAGGTAGACCGACTTCCTGAAGATGGTCAGAATGTTTAATTCTTAAGAACATTTGAGACAATCAAACTGCCTGAGTGCATAAAACACGGTATCTTGCACTTATTTTTTGCTCTTAGACCGATCCTTTCAAATGCTGTCTTATTCACGTATGACCCCTTCACCTTTTTATAAATCAAATCACATCTCTTCCTCCTTGCCCCAACTTGCCATTTTCAGCTTCGTTCTCCATACTCCTGGTGCCATCATCCTCCCCGTAGTGAGGCGGTGAAGAAGATTAGATGTGGAAGGTCCATCAAGATGTGGGAGATCATGCAGATGGCCAAGGTATCGATAGGCCAGAGGAAGATGCAGGTATTGAACACGACTGCCGCGAAATCGTCAAGTTCCCCCGCGGTTCCGAAGGCAAAAACCAAAAAGTTGATCCAGGCGACGACCATGAGCGACATGTTGTCAAACTGCATAGCTGCGGTTAAGGAGAGCGGTATATAGCTGGCGGACTGAGGATTTATGAGTTGAGGTTGAGAGATGGTACAAATGGAACAGATCGGGAAGGTGACTTGTGGAATGGCGAGATCGTGTGATGTTGGGAGGGTCTGCTACCTCTTGTCTCACGATGGTGATAAAGTGGAAATAAAAAGATTCACGCCGATAGCCTTATCGGCACTCCAAACTCAACATATTCGTGGAAAGCAAGACTACCTTCAAGGTACCTAGAGAAAGAGCACAATAACCGAGGCGGACATTGTGAAATTCAAGTATTACAGCGCCAGCAAGGTTTCCCATACCGCACGCAACACAAAACACCAGAACGGGAAAAGCCAAACGTACATGAACATGAGTAGATATTATTACTAAATTATCTTCCCAGAGATGCCAACAAATATATCTCCTACGTAGACTCAGGGTATCTTGCAGATCATTAAAATATGCGAATCTCGTTTTAAAACAGATTCTCGACCGACAACGGCCTCCACCTGCCCCTCTCCGAATGCCGCCACCTGTCCTTCTCCTTCTTCCCGGCACTGGCGCTTCCCCCTTGGATGCCTAAATCCAAATTCCAGCTCCCAGTACATCCATCCCTAACATTGGTCTCCTCGCCCCCATCAAGTAGTGCCTCGACTCCCATAAGCGATTCGTCTGACCCATCCAGATCTGGCTTCAGGATATAAGATATCTTGCTTTGGATGGATCCCAGAAACCCGCCTAAGGCATGCCGTTCTATAAATTGCCCATTCTCATCCCAGATGATGATATGGAACTGGGGTTTCGTCGTAGCGGCGTCGATGCGCTGTTGGGCCATTCGTCGCGCTAGAGCAAGACTCATGCCTTTACCGGAAATGTTTGGTTCGCTAGATTGAGACACGGGTCGGTCCATATTGAGGGAGAATGCTGATCGAGTTGGTGATTTGATGAAGCTTGAACCAACGGAACCTGTATGGCTGTGGGTCCCTGAGAAAGTTGACCGAGTGGGAGATGGTAATGAGGGCATGCTCTGCGAAATAGGAATCCCATTGTGGCTTACGTCACTCAAATTCCTGTATTTGTCTGCGGACAGCTCAATTCGGTCTTTTGGTTTGCAGAGCTTTTGCAATGAGCCTTCGAAGTCCGTTGGCGCCCGAATCGATTTCAGGGATGGGAAGCCGTTGCATGATATTGATTTTGAAAGGATCTCAGTGGCTTTGTCGTCTTCTCTATTCATGAATTCCCAGTGCATGTGCTCGAGGGTAGATGATGCTAGATATGGGTGGAGGAATATTTCAACTCCGCTTGGCGACGACGTTTGTGATAAGGTGAAATTAGTGAGGTATTGGAGGTGAGAGAATAGCCGTGCCAGCACAGGGAGCGATACTAGTGATAGTGAGATTAGAGCTAGTGACTTCAGCCTTTTCGTTCTCGCAAAGGAAGCAAAGTTCGATAGGCCGTGATCGGTTATCCCTGGGAGGTTCTCTAAGCGTAGGCAATTGAGAGATGGTAATGATAAGAGTGTGGTATCATCGAACGAGTACGCTGGAAATGACGAGATATGTAGGTTCTCCAGTGAAGGCAAACTGTCAAAAATATCGGTAAATAATGGAGAATTCATTGTCCCGTCTGGGCTGCAATGCATGACCAGGGTTTGGAGATTAGACCAGTTATAATGGAATGTCAGAAAGTCGATACATTGCTCTGGGGGCAGGAGCCCCTGGGTGGGAGAACCCGAATTCGCCAACTGCTTCTGTTGATATTGGCGTTGACGTGGACTTCCTGATATAATCCATACATGTTCCCGAAGCCTAGTTCTCGTGGACATGGCGTGCACAAACCGAGAGAACTCGTGATTATATGCAGGATAAAACCCAGAGAGACGTTCTAAATTTGGACATGCCATTATCACAGAAGCAACTAGGTCCATATACTCGTCCTTCTCCTTTTGATTTTTGGCCACCTCTGGCAGTGCTGGAACTTTCAATGACTTGATATATTGGGCGAGATCGGGTCGAGCTTGTAAGGTCCTCCGGAGTAGTTTTAGTCTGGTCCCATATTTGATCTTGTACCGTTTCTTGGTGTGCAGAACTGAGTCGTTGCCAATGAGCTGAATATCCTCGTAGAGTACGCTTCTCGCAGCACCCCGCCATTTCTTGCAGCTCCCCCCTACAGCAACTACATCTCGCATCCAGCAGGTCGAACAGCTTAAACTTCCCACGTTCAGGTGTAGTTTTTTCAGTTCGGCTAAGCAATTAAGCAATATTTCCTCTGGCAGTTTCTTGAAGCCTTCTCCAAGCCGTCCGGGGGCGTATTTCGTCCCAAATGTCTGGTTTGTTGGACTTTGGGGGTTTTTCGATAGCCGTTGTGGAACCAAGAGTTTCTGCTGTCTACCCCCTACACCAGCTCCATACCGCGCCAATGCAGGGCCATTTAGCTCTCTAGGAGCTTGCGTGCCCTCTACAAACCGATTTGGAGAGGTCGGAGAATGAAAATCATCTGCGAAGCTGGATCGTGAACTCGCTAGTGAAGTGCGGGTGCTGGTACTCGATTCACTGTCAACTGAGGAGCTTATACTCAAGGGACTTTTGTGTCTCGACTCGAAACTTGATCTAGTAGTGCTACTACCAGAAGACCCGGGGCGAGGCGAAATTCGAGGTTCCATGGTATGGGCAACTCCCCACGGTAGGAAGGGGGGTGTAGAAGAGAAACCGGAGTTGGCGGCAAGGGCGCTGGGGAAATAAATAGGATACGAGGCACTTGACTTTTTGTGCTTGTTTGAGGAGGGGAATTGGAGAGCGGCGCGTGTTGAGCGAGTTTTGATATCTTGGTCACTGAGTCTTCGAGAGGTTGTAGCGGCCGTCACTCTCTGCTGTTCCTCAGTCCCCGGATTTGACGGTTTGTCCAAACGGTCGAGGGACCAGAAATCATTGGGCAAGGAAGGAGTTGGACAATACCGCGGTAGATTCGAAACCGGTAGGGGGATTCTGGTATTGGCCTTGAAGTTGATGTTGTTGCTGTTGCTGTGTAGATTCGGGCCATCTCTGGTCAGTGATCAGTGATGCGCCAACATAGTGGCATCCATCCACTTAATGAGCAATCATACAGTCCGTCGGGCTAACACAGGAGCCGCAACGATACGCAGGGACACGGAGAAGAAGCAGGAACATGGCACTCTGACTGGCTCTGCGAGGGAGAAAGTCTTAGCATTCCCCTCACTGGCAGGCCCCTACTAGGGATCTACGCCTACATTTGGAAGGGCGCCCCTTGGCCCCTTGGCCCACGCAGCCGCAAACGCCCTTAAACGGTCGGTGCGGGCCTCATTGCAACTAGAGGCGGAGATGGAAATGAGGGAAACAAAGATAGGGGGAAACATGCAAGCGCTTGGGCTACAAAGGGGGTCGCATGCACGCCACCAGGGAGACAAATGGCTGGGCAACCGCAACAAACATTACGCCGTATTGGGGTCTAAGCACCACTAATAATAACCCTGCAGCAAAATGGACACCTCGGAGTGCTCAAGTACACATGTACTGTACTTCATACAAAGAGAAACACAGAGAGCCAGACAGGCAGGGAGAAAAGAGCATGTCGGAAGTAGAAACATGAAGCTTATATGAACTAAAAACACCAGCAGAACCTCACAAACCCGCACCAAGAGGAGACCACACAAGTCGCGTACCTGGATATCTCCTGGGACACTGAGCCACGCTCTCCACCTCTACTTCTCATATTGGAGCCGGGGCGGTTCTCTAGGGCGCCTACCGGCGACAGGAAGTCTTGGGATACGACTGGCGGTCGACTCATTGTTGGCTGATTCTCGATTCTATTCTCGTCGTAGGAATAGTTGTTCCCTTTTCTATTTCGCTTCCTCAGGAATAACTGGTTGATTTGGGACGTGTCAACTCAGGCGCATTGCATTTTTCGAGCCGGGGGGACCAGATGGTTTTGCGAACAGCATCCGAGATATTTCAGGTGCAAGTGCACAGCTATTCGACTGCTAGACTCCCCGTCGGGGGAAGTGGTTTCTGCTTCTATATAATATTGCAATCCTTTTAGGGCTTCGGCTGTCATCCATTCCCATACCCAGAATCCCAGATACAGCACCACCAGTCGGGCATTCTTCCCAATATATGCGACCCAGCTTCAGGGCGGGGCCGTTGACGTGGAAAGGGCATCAATTATTCGTTGCTTCATGCGCCGCGGCTGTGGTCTGCATAGATCGGTATCTCAGCCCTTTGATCCTGCAGGGCATCGTTCCCCATCGACCCTTCCAGCTCCTGCCACGAGGCCTCGGCCTCCACGCAATCTGAACCCACGCTGAGTGAGGATCGGCGATTGATGAGGGCCTATGAATACATTATTGCATTCATTCACCCCATTGTGATGTAAGACAACAGAGCCACAAATCATCACCCCTCCAATAACCCTCTGGACTTCCCAAGGCTATCGGAGGGCCGGTCAACAATCAGTAGCTGATGGACACAATCATGCGATTGAACCCCAAGATAGCACGGCATGCATGTTGACACCGATAGCACACGTACATGTACATGCAGTAATGCAGAAGCCACCACTATGACACCGCAGCCCGGGATCCGATCATGCGCTGATCAAGGAGAAGCGAGGGCGACCTACTTCTCTCATGCCTTGCTCCCTCATTGCCTTACCTTGATCGAACTATTTGGGAGCGGGGTTTCAAGCTGAAGACAGAGAAGGCTACCACTGCTCTTAACTTAGCGTCCAGACATCGAGGTTAGCTATTATCTGATACCTGTCTAGCTTCCGACATTCCTTATTCAAGACAGTCCTATACTTCATAATACACCAAACAACAAGGTATATCCATACATATATGTGAGATTAACCACCGTAAGATCGGCCACACCTAGATAGGCGACTCCTTTGGACTGGATCCGGCCCATGTCTGCATATTCGGATGAATTGATAACTGTTGCCCGCTGATCATAACATAAACCATATCATATAGGATAACACTCCTTCTATACCCATTCTTAAGCACTAAAGCAATGCGATTATGGCATTTTTGATCAACTATCTTCTTCCATTGACACAGAGAAGGAAATGCGGAAATATGATTTGCAGCCACCAGTTTATACCCAGTTCATAATAGAATCATCGCTTTGGAATTGCGATGTGCAACAAACACTTTGCTGGATACCGAAGGAGGAGATCGAGCACACCGGGACGCCCCCCGAAGAATATCGGTCTATTTAGGTATACGCTACCTCATTATAGGTAGGCAGCGGTGTTGCGGGGCTAGTTATCAGCCTCAAGTTCGGTGGGTCGGATACTCCATACACTGGAATGATGCTATTCGGAATTTTCTTTTGATTTTGCAATAGTTTGCCTCTGCTGTTATAACTTAACCCTAACATTTAAGCCTAGGCTCTGGAAGCTTGCTATCTCTACAAATAGTCGTAATAGGGATACTCATCCATACCCATAAAAACACAACTTGGTATACCCTGTCCAAATACCCCGTCCATGAGTAGTATGTGTTGTAACCGTAACGCCACGCTAAATGATCAAAAACTTAGACAAGCTTCCGTTAAGGCGATGATTATTCCTCCAACTCGCCCTCTTCATTCTCCTCTCCAGCGATTTTCGCCTCGGCGTTGTCAGGGACTTCCCCACCAACAGGGCTTGGTTTTGATCTCTTCGCTGCTGGATCCTCCGGAGCTTCAAAGTCTTTGCGCTTCTGGTTCTGACTCGAAGGTTCTGTAGAACTGTTAGCAACGAATAGGAGCATGCTGTGCAATGCCGACGTACCAGTTGCAGTATGGGTAGCAGGGTCATTTGCAGCTTCTTTAAGAGCAGCGTCCGAGCCACCTGTATCTTCTTCGGCTTCACGAACAGCTAGCCCGTGCTCTTTTGATACATCAACATTCGGTTTCGGCGATGTTGGCTTTCCATTAAGCACGTCCGAAGTGTTCGTAGGGCCCTTAGTTTTTGCAACTTGTGAATTATCTGCTGTAGTATTGGCCGCAGTACCGTTGCTTTCCGCTTGGCTCTGTTGTCGACTCATGCCCTGAGCAAGCTGGGATTTCCGTCCAGGACTTGGCGTATCCTCGCTGCTCCCCACATCGGCTCTCCTCCGACTTCTATGCAAATCTTCTTCATTGCTCAAGGATGATGGAGATTGTTCGTATGGAATTTCGCTTTTCCTCAACGGATTTTCAGTCCAAAACTCGCTCAGAATTTGAACTCCCTTCACAATCTTGTTCGGCCTTCCGCCTAGTCCCTCCCACCAAGGATTTCCATGCTCATCATCCGGAATGGTGTCTCCCACAAATTGCGCTCCGAAATAGATCGAAGCAATGGCAATATCTTTTGCAGGCATCGATAGACAGATGGTTGTATGACAAGAATCATTTAAGAAAGCCCATGCAGTGTTTCGTATCCGCTTATTATCGTCAATGTGAAGCTTCCGTAGGAATTCGTGCAGAAGATTATGCGGTGATTGTAAGACGAGGTCGAAAGTGAGATATTCCAACATCAGCTCCTCATAGAGGAGCAGGTTGTCCCGCCATCGCCAATATTCCTTCGATTGCTCGTCGATCATAAGATTTGTATTCTTTTGTGCAACTTTGGCACACGCGATGACGATCTCCTTCGTCTTTCGGCAGGTCTCCTCAGTTTTGCTGGCAAGGAAGAGCGCTGTTCCGGCAATAGTCTAGTATACAGATTAGTGACTGTGTACTCGCAGGTTGGAGGTAATTGAGTGCAAAAGGTCGGAGCTGGGAAGCTTCCAGTGATGGGTGAAGAGTTCAAGGCCAAACGTTTTTGGGGGTTGCCGCAGCTACATACATAATGGTGGAAGCCGCCCTTTGACTGTTCAAAGCTCGCTCGCATAAAGAACCTATGGAAGAACACACTGGCGGTTGCAATGGTCAATTGCGGAAGCTTGAGAAGAATGGCGGCTTGAAGGATGAAGTTGCTGCCCTTTGCCCTCAAGCAGCGCTCCATCTCTGGCGTCATGCCATGGACAATGGACGGGGCGCTCGCAATCTCCGCATCCGTGAAGATCCACTGGCTTGAATCGTCGGAAGCCATCTTGAAATTAGGGGACGGAGTAATAACCGCCTCAAGAAGTGGTTTGGTTGGGGGAGAGTCTCTTGAAAGTCGTGGTGGTGACGGTACCGCGGGAGGAACGTTCGTTCTGGCTAGGGTTGTGGAGGGAGGATGGGATCGTCCAGCATTTGAAGGCGCATCTGAAGTGAAAAGATGCGGTGGCCGATATCGCTCGACAGTTGTCATGGATGAGGATGGATGGGTGTATTGCGGTAGTGAATTGTATATAGCAGCAAAGTTTGCTCTGTCTACTAATAAGAGAATGGGCGCGGTCGTCACTTCATCATCCTCACTTTGGTTGTGATTACTAAGCGAGATCTGCGGGTGCACTGGTGGGTCCTGGTGATGTGTTGCATCGTTGGTGTCACCGTCTCCGGTTACACCACTGAACAGCTCGACCCTTATCAGTAACTCCCTATGACATCTTTAGACCTTTAGTGAAGTAGAGTATTTCTGCTCGCAGAGGCATGATCCTTGGGCTCTATATCTGCATAAGGTAGGTAAGAACCAATTCCTTTGGTTTCCAGTTGATGATTTGTATCACCCAACTTAATATCCATGTCCCGATCGAGGAGTTATACCAGGCGTATTGACTTCTGAAAGTATACTGAAATAAAGAGATGCACGCCGATGAAGTTCTGCATTATCACAAAATTCTATAGTTCTAATCTAAATTTTCCATCCCAGAGTCGCCTTTTTAGAGTAGCATCAAACTCGTTAATGGTATGCCCAATCCCCCTTTTAAATACCACTCACGCAACCAAGCCAGGCACAACCACAGATCCCTCCACAACAACGCCCTCTTTCACCATCCTATCCCTCACCAATCGATCCCCTGCCATCCGTCCAGCAAGCCAGGAGTCAAACGCAATTGTTTCACCTTGCTCCCCAATATTGCTCCTCGATCCCCACCACGTTATCTTTGTATGTCTCAATGCTTCGACCTCGAGCAGCACTTTCGTCCATTCCCATTCCCGCCATCTTGCCTCTGCTTCCTTCCTCAACATCTTACTCGTCTCATCTTCTTCTGCTGGTTTTTGAAAACCTAGCTGCGCCAAGGTCGCATTCCAAGGAGTAGATCCATCTGTAGCCCAGACCGTGAGATCCAAATCCTTCAAGCCCGTCAACTCGCTCTTCAAATAATCACATAGCCGCAGCCATTTATCACTCACGCCCTTCGTTACCGTCCCTTGCCAGTCCTCGTCTAAGCCTATCGAAGGGATCTCAGTGGCAATCCTAACATTTTTCACACATGCCCTGGCAGTTTTTGACCTATCCGCCATGAAAGCTATCAACGCTTCGGCATGAGTTCCGAAGTCAAAGACTGTCTCTTTGTTTCCATAGAGGGCCGGTTCACTCTCATAATAAATTTTCTTGCAGGTCCGCAAAATCCCCGGGTAGATGGAAGGAGTGCAGGCAGGAGACCGAAAGTTGGGAGGAAGAATTTTATAAGTCGCTGGCTTTCCATCAGATGGAGGGCTCCGGCCAAATGGGTAGAACGATTGGGCCGCATGGGCGGGAACGGTTGTGGTATTATAGTAGTAGCCATCACAAGGTATCTGCGTAATTATGGTGTGGGTTCTAGGCGGGAGAAGGTATCCATAGATCTTCAGTCGAAGTTCAATTGGGAGATCGAGGAATCGAAAGTGCTCTGGTTGTAGTTGTTGGTGGGCACGTGGTATGATATTCATGTTTTTCATGATAACGCCAAGGCCCTCAAGTTCCTGGTGCGTAGATTCGGTGATGCTACATCAGGCTGTTATGTTATTAATGAGAGCTTGTTCGTGCACTTCCTTAGTGGGGCAGGGAGTTGAATTTGAATCAAATGTCGGGGAAGGAGAAATAGAAATAGTTCCGGGGAGCGACGGATATAATAAAGTTACTTCTATGCTCCGACAATTGCTCGGCGTCAGGGTAAAGCATGGTTGTTGATATAAAATATTTACGTTTATCCCAGTACTCAGGGACCTTGATCTGGATCCACATGACGTTTTGCGATTCCTGGCACTCCAACTGGTGCTTTGCCCCGGTATCCCGCACACCAGCATTTGCCACTCACTATTTTGCTTAAGACCGAAATATATTTTCATATTTAGTGATCCTGGATGGCTGAAGAGCCTCCTGGAGGTGGGGCTTCTACAGATCAATGAATTCACCAGCATTACGGGATTCGGGAATGCAAGCCAGACTCACCGCTTCCACCACGGCTTTCAAGCATTTGTTGCCCCTTTTTGTTTTCATGTTCCGGGAGGCAATAGTCTCTTCCCCTTCCTTTAGCGCATGTCATCGTCTCGGTTCCCGGCTGGTTGGATTCCAATATGCTCCAGCTAATGAAATGCATGATGTGCCTTTACCCGTGGAACAGAGCCTTTTAAGGATTTGGGCGGTTTCGGGGTTTAGCCGTTGCTTGCTGAAGTCCGACTTTGTATGTTCTGGAACACTTACTAATCCAAAAATATTTTCGGTGACAAAATTAACCAAACCACTATAAGTATAGGTAGGTAATTTAGGATACAAATAATGTCCATGTACAACTAACTACAAATGAAAGCAGGTAGCGCTTCGAGTTCTCTTCCGTCTTTTTCGTAAGTAGAACGTCTATGCAGACGATATGCAGGTAAAATAACAACCACCAATGAAAACTGCACCATAGAGCAGCTATATAACCAATACCCTCAACTCCAATGCTACTGGGTTCCCAAACGCCTAGTAGAATGCAATGCCATTTCCCGCGCTCTAGAGTCACAGAGCGCAAAATATACAAGCCTCGTTCACCGCCTCCTACACGTAACTAGCCTACCTATTGCCAACAAGCCTGGAGCTGGCTTGCTTGATAATATTGGCCACTTTCTCGACCTGTGCCTTGGCTAAGGTCCAGTCCCCGGCTTCGACGGCGTCGCGAATAGAAGGGAAGAACGCTTCATCGTAGCCGGACCACAATTGAGGTCCAAAAACAACATGCTTGAATTGGGTGCGGTTGGGAATCTGAACAGAGTTAATATTGCGTCAAACCTTCGTAGGTATTGGAAGCACGACTTACACCGCCACCTTCCTCCAAATCCAATAAGTTGGTTTCAAAATTCGCCATTCGTGTGTTATGGCTTTGTCTATGCGCCGCCAAAACGGAAGTTTCGAAGCCACCACCTCCAAGGATGATAGCATCCCATTCCAACTCCCACTGCTCAAACTTTCTAGCATCGTTTGCAAATTGGAGTACAGCTTCTCGAAGGGGTTCGATACTCCACTTCGTGTTCCCTGCTTGGTTCGCGCCCTTGTTTTCTGCCCAGTTCCCAAGATCCATTGACCAAGCAGTTAGAGATGCTGAATAGGCCGAAATATCAAAAGGCATGACGAGCCGGTCGGCATAGTCAAGAATGAGTAGCGCCCAGATTTGGGCTAGTACTTTGTGGTATTGGAATCCTGGATCCACAGCTGTCGCCATCCATTCGAAATTGTCATGGGCAGAATGATAGGGGTATGGGGGGCCATCAAAGCCAAAGTCAAGGCTCGATGTGCCAGCGATATCTTGGAAAGCCACATAATCGCTGCCAGCGCCTAGGCCCTCGAGGTGACTGCCGTGCGTATCCCACAATTCGCGCAATGTAGCGTTTTTAAAGGGGTCGCTTATCCGTTCAAGCACTCTCAAAAGCGATTTCTGGAATACGGGACTCCCTGCTGCCCGGAACTCTGGGCCCACAACACCAACGTCCACGTTCAGATACGCAAAACCATCCTTTCGTAACTGGTCGATATTGCTCTCGACATACTCGGTTGAACCAATGAGGTTGTATTCTTCACCATCCCATGAGGCAAATTCGATAGTCCGAAGAGGTCTCCATCCGCGACGTACCAGATCCCCGAAGATATGGGCCACTTCGAGCATGACTGCTGTTCCGGATCCAGGGTCCGAGGCACCATAAACCCAAGCGTCCCGGTGATTGCCCACAATGATGGATTTCTCATTTTGTTCAACGCCGGTTATCTTGCCCATCACATTCCAAATCGGCTGCTCCTCCACCTCATCTTGATCATTAAGAAGGTGGACTTTCGGGCCTGAGAGATCCCCGGTCCAGTATTCCACTTTAGGAATCCCCCCTTTCCATTCATCTGGGCAAGCTTGTCCAATGCCTTTGATTGCCTCCAGTAGGTGCTGTGCATCCCCCCAGGATAACGGTACACTGGGAATATTCACTAGTCTGGGATTGTTGTCTTTTGATATCCTCTTCGCTCCTTTCGTACTCCCCCAGCCAGGAGTAAGAACATCACCTACTACCCAGCTCATCAAACTGACCGCACCCCTTTGAGCCCCATTTTCAGGCATGTACCGTCCATTTGGAGCAACATCGCCTTTCACGAACCCATCATCAGCAGGGTCGCTGTATATTATACACCCCGCAAACCCCGCCATCTCTGCCGCCTTAACCTTCAAGGCCCTATCTCCCTGGCTCCCGTAATATCGTACTAATGCAATGGCTCCTTTCGTTTCAATCCCAGAATCGTACAATCGCTTGAAATCCTCCCTCGAGCCGTAGTTCGCGTATATTATCGGCCCAGTAACATCACCACTCCTCGAATGGCCATGGAAGACCGGCGTCTGCTGCCTAGGAGGATCCGTATACACTGGGTCCTCGTCGATTTTGGCGGACCAAGAGACGCTCCCGTCCTTCCCCAAAATTTCGACCTTCCTTCCCCCCTCCTTAGGATAATTGAGATATACTTGATATTCGTCCTTCCTCACATCCTCCAGGCCGCTCGATATGAAGACCCCCTCCACATACTTCGCAAGCACATAGTCACCCTTCGTCCCAGCTAGATGATCCTCCTGCGTAATCACTCGCAGATGACTCTCGATCCTACCTGCATCAGCCATCGCCTGGACATGCATCCTCACATTCTCAGGATCAAACACTTGGCCCATCCGTTGCGCGGCACCAGTAAATATGTCACTCATGAATAGAAAGTACACGACTATCATAATGAGAATGATAGCAAAGCACCTCCCGATCAGAATGCAGGCATCCGCTGTGATCTGTGGCCACTTGATTCTTTCCCTCAACCCTCCTGGCATATGTAGATTGATCTTCCATTTCCACCTCCATCGAAAAGGCAGATGTATACTGGAGAGTGACTGCGATATACTCGATATCCGCTTCCCCCATGCTGACTGGGGCGTGCGATGGGCTTCCTCTTCGATATCCATCTCCTCCATCTCCTGGCGTACCCGGTCCTCTTCATCGCCCTCGCTACCCCGTGGTTCCTCATGTTGATTTAAGAACGTATCGTGCTGCTCAAGGCTCTCGCGTGCATCTTCTACGGAAGGCGGAGGCCGGTATCCTTGGCGGCGAGTGGGCACAGGAAGTCGTCCTCCTGCGTCGGCACCCAGCAAACCTTCCAACTCGGCTGGAATACCGTCTTCATCGGGTGTGTGATTCGGAGTGGATGTACGAGATGAGGACCCGGTGGCTTCTTCGTATGAAGGGATTGGTAGCGCTTCGTACTTGGATTTCTCGTCCGGCATGGTGAGGACAGGAGGGGCCGAATGGCCCTGCGATGCTAATGGAACGAGATCAGAATCGCAAATGGGAAGTTGATGGTTCAATGTTCTATAAGAGCTGCTCGTCAGGCCAGCTGGTGTTCGAGCCGCATGGTGGGATTAATGAGTGTGGTGGTGGTGGTGATGTTCGTGGATGGGAGTTGGGGTCTCCTGGAACGTTTCCGGCTCCATGTAATGATTCGCGTCCGAGGTCTCGGCTGAGGCTTGGAAATCTGGGCAAGAATATGTATCAAGTTCACGTAAGAGCTTGGAGCTTTGCTCGGAGACCACCACCTAAATGAAATAACCGCTCCGTCCACTAGAGACTATCAGGATTCCTGGGACATTCGAATTGTCAATCTGAGAAAGCAAAGAGTTTTATTTAATCCCGCTAACCCAGCCCTTCCGATATAGACGGACCATCCTAGTTACCTCTACAAACAATAGAAGAAAGAAGTAAGTATCCATATCTTATCATCCTTATAGAGCTAAATTAATAAGTGTTTAGAGGGGGGATGTTTTTTTTTCCAGGTATGCGAGTTTTGGTTAGGGTCATCTTAAGGGGTGTCACGAGAAGAGCCCCAAGCTCATACAATATCCCGTACCTGGGAAAGCATCTAATATATGGAATAGGAATTACAGTATATCTACAATCTGAACACTACTTAGATCCGCTGTTTAAAGTTTTGCATTCCATTTATTATTGAATAACAGGATATTGAGCTTAAATCCGAGGTAATGATAGAGCACGCCTCTCCCGGATATCCCCCAATCGCTTGAACCATCTTACGCAATGAGGTCCACGGATCTCTTGGCTCCGGCGCATGTTGTTATCAAATATACAGTCCCAGCATTGTAAAAGTTGCCAACCCTCCACCCCTAAAAGCCTTACAACAGAACCGGGATTTAGACCCCTCTCAGAACAGTCCCTAGGCATCATTCCCTACTTCGGAGCGGTTGTAATGACACCCTCATATTCCCTAGATGCAATCAGATCTATTGTGCGTTGGAAATGGCGTTTTGGGTGATCCATGGTGGCAGATTCTTGGTTTGTTTGCAGGTTTGAGTGGATGAGTTCAATGAGACCGTTAAGGTATTTTGTAGTGATCTGCCATTCATTAGTATCCCATTAAAAGTAGATGTCAGTGAACTCACAGCCTCATTTTGCTGGTCAAAGTAGTAGACATAGCGATTTAGAATCTCAACAAAGAGCTCAACCGATACCGCGGTATCCATGCATGTATCTGCGACACGAAGAGCGCGCTGAAGGCATTCGAGGACCCTCTTGCCATCGCGATAAAGCTAAAGCTATTAGCATTATCTAGATTAAAAAAAACATGAATTCTTACATTCTTCTCATCGTCCGCCTCGCCTTTAGCAGCAATCGGAACAGCCCACCACAAATGGCTCGCCAGATATACAGCCCTGCATTGGTCCGGCTTCTTCAGTAGCTTGCTACCATGTTGAGCGCATTTTGTAATTAAGGCATCATAGTTCTCTCTCGAAAAGTTTCGACTCTCGTGCAAAGCTCCGGCAATGATACAGACTGCTTGGAACTGTGCTCTCGAATCGCTAATTTGCTCCTCATAAATCGTGAATGCTTGGACAAAGAACTCATAGCTGACGGACTCGGGGCCGGTTTGATCAGCGATCTGACCACAAGCAACGAATAGGCGGATACATAACTCTGCAGCAGTTGGGACCCGAGTGCTCAGAGTAGAAAGGGACGCATGCATGAACTTGTAGAGTGCGGATAATTGAGATTCCCAATTGTCATCATAGTGCTCTCTTGACTTGTATCGCCGCGCGAGCTTCATTGCAGAGGTGATTAAAGCTGGTGTGGTAAATTTGATTCGTTCATTACCTTCCGCATATGCCTTTCTCGTCATTTGTAAAAGCTTGAATTGGGTGTCGTTGTTATCGCTCTGAATGAGATGTACTATCCGAGCAAGCCATCCTTGCTCTTCAATTGTCTCGTCGGTCTCGAGTGCCTTTCTTTGTGAGACTCCAGGATAACCAGCAGGTTGCTGAGTACCCTCCTTGATTAGAACTTTTAGGATCTCAAGTACGCCTTCTAGTTGTGACTGCGAGGATATCTTGGTTAGATTACGCTGTAGACCACGGCCGACCTCACCAGCCACTGCTCTTCGCGTTGGATATGTTTGTGAATGGAGTAATGGAATGTATGTTGGAAGCGAAAGAGCTGTGAAAATGGAGGCGTAAGATTTCATGGGCGCCAGCAAGAGACTAAGTAAATTCTCTTGTGCCTCTTTCGAATGAAGATCCACACTATTTGCATGCTGTTGGACTTTTTGATTGGCATAATCAAGAATTTGGTCAACGTAGTCGAGACGGTCCGGGTAAATATTGAGTGCGAGGTTGGCTAATGACACCAAGAGAGCTGTCGTGTCTTGGATTGGAAGATGTTGGGCATTTACCAGATTCATAACTTGCTCGAAGAATATCTCATAGAGCTTGATGCTCTCTGGAATGCCTCTGTGTTTGGTGGCAGTGGTGTCTTTCTCATCCATCGCATCTTCCTCACCTGTCCCATTCGCAGGTTCTGGCTCAGAGCTGGCAGGGGCTTCTGTGTCTGTACTTTTGTCTGTGCTTTCAGTTTGCTCTGACGCCTGCTCTTCAACTACCTCTTCGGCAGCTCCATTTGGCTCAGATTCGGTTTGTTCCCCGTTCGATTCTGTTGGTGGAGGTTGTTCCGCTTCCTTTTCCTTGTTGAGTTTTATCGTCTCCATAAGTTTTGCGACTGCCTCTTCCTCCTGCTTCTGGCGATCTTCTGAGGGCTGAGCCTCGGATTCGCGTGCTGCATATGACGATAGCCTGTCCATTAAAGCGATAACGATAACTTTGATATTAACATGAGGATTTAGGCGAGAGACCGCAGCCAAAAACTGATCGAGCGTGTGTAAGTGATATTCGTCCGGGAAAACCTGTGTAATGACCTCCAAAAGGTATTCTTGCGCCAACACATCTCGACACTGCACGACCTGTTCCAATAGAGGCTGTAATATGGCACTTTTATATGTCTCCAGATCCACGAGGTTTCCAAGTCGAACAAGGTTGGTGCCCACAAGCAACTGGAGCTCTTTGCGCTCTTGTGTCCTCAAATCCCGTTCTCTCGAATGACCTTGATGTTGTAGCCGGACCCAAAGCTTGTTCATCTCAACAAAATTGGTCAAGGTGAAGCTAATAGAGTCTTGGAGGTTGCCCTCGGGGCCATCGCTATTGGTCGTAGGTAGATTCTCACGGGCTTGGCCAGAGAGGTAAAACCGTAGGAATAGCCCTCGTACAGGATGCTGAACGCCCCTGCTCATCTCCATCATATCCTTCATGATCTCTTTGACTGGCGCATCTGGAATTGACATGTATACCGTGCCGACGGTTATCATCAGGTACAGTCGAGGTATGATATTGCCGGCATACTGAACAAGTTCGTATAAGTCGGCTAGATGATTGACCGGATGCGAATCTTTAAGGTAGGCAGATAGATGTTGGAGAGCGTCAAATACTCCCATGTAGAGCTCGTAGTATTGTTTGGGCCCAAGACTACTCGTTCGGAGCTCAGAAACAAGGGTGGAGCTATATATTCGATTGTTCATCAGCGTAAGATCGGAAGTTATAGGCCATACAGCGCATGTGTCGGGAGGCAGCAGGGCAAACAATGCTGCAATAATTGACCTACCTGCATTTCAATGCGTCCATAAGCTTTCCGGGCGTCTCGAGGCACTTGCGCATCAGGTGCGTCTGCTGCCTTACAACTGTCAGGGCATCTTCCAGCAGCCTGGCTTGATCTTCAACTGCTGGAGGACTGGCCATGGCGATGATCCGGTTAAAATATGTGCGCGATGGCTCGTTGAGCTCAAGCAACACTCATCGATACCGTGTGGGACGTGGATGGGCGAGGGACGAGGGACGAGGGACGAGGTAAGGATATACTAACGGGGAGGCCCCAAGATACTCGTACATAAGGGACCCATGCTGCTCGCTTCGCCCGCCTGTTGTCGTCAGCTCCAAGCAAGGCTGTAGCTTTGTGCACTTTCACAAGCTTCAGCCTCACATGGTAAAGTAAGGTAAGTTCGTAGACATAAATTGAGAAATGAACTACAGAGGAGTGAGTCTAGGTACAATAAAGGTGTTGCGGGTTTGGAATTATTAAATTAATTTCTATTCCATCTACTAATATTTCATGACATTAAAACATCTCTTCGTCCCAATTTGTCCAACGCCAATGCAATGCCGCGCTCTCCAGCTCTTGGGGCGCTTATCTGTACCATGCTCCTTCCATACATTATTATTACAAGCAAAAACGACTACATAAAAATGGATCTGATTATGTTCCAAGGAGACTTGGATTTCGAGACAATGCTCTCCCCAGTTCCACGTTTATATCCAGGCTTTAGCAACCCCGCGATAGGTTGACTGAGAGCTCTTGACTCTATAGTCTCGTCATGTCGGACACCCTCAGAACTTGCCCCAGTTGTTGGAATTTCAGGGGCCTTGGCTGCAAGCGCCGTCGAGGTGCCCGTCGAATTCGACCAGGCAGGGTAACTTGTATGCCATTGACCGTTATCGTGAGGTTTCGCGGATGCAGATGCGGCAGCCGCGGAGGCGCTTGTGGAAAGGGTAGAACCAGGGGTGGAGATCGTTTCCGAAGAAGGTTGGGTCGGAGATGGTTTGGTAGGAGATGGTTGGGTAGGAGACGGTTTGGTAGGAGACGGTTTGGTAGGAGACGGTTGGGTTGAAGACGGTTGGGTTGAAGAGAGTTCAGTTGCGGGGAGCTCAGGGGCGTCTTCTGAAGCCGAATCTGACCCCGAGGCCGACGATGGGGATGGGCTGGAAGCTGGTGCGGTGACTTCAGCGGGATTGGCAGCGGAATTAACATTAATTATCGAGTATCCTGTCGCAGTGACAGTGACTTTTGCCGGTGTCGGAATGACTGTGACCCGGTCGGTCTGTGTAATAGGAGGCAGTGTAACTTTGTCGGTCTTAACAACCGTCGTCGGTTCCGCGGTTTTCGTTTGCACGATGGTTGAGATTATCGTGGATGGAACAGCTTCAGGAGATGATCCATCACCTCCTTCTCGCGCTCCAGGTCCGCCGTCGACTGCGACAACAGAGTACTTGGCTCTTCGGACCAGAGGCTCCACAAAGACAGGCTTAGGTGGAGATAATGGCAATGATGCGCTCAAGCAGTAAAGACATGACAGCGAAAAGAGCACCGCGTTTGATGAATTGAGCCGCATGTTGATAGCGTTACTCGAGTACGGTGTACAGGTGACGGCACGAAGAAAGAGTGATACTTGCAAGAGGTTGTGATCTGAGGACAAGCTGAGTATAGAGAAAAAACCTACCTGGGATTAAGAACCTGTTGTGATATATGCGACTTCAAGTTGCTTTCGTGAGAGGTTGGGAGTGGGGATGTGTTCGAAAGGCTGGTGTTTTACTTTAAAATGCGTGGCTGGGAGATGCCGCATGCGACCGCGCCAAAATTCTCCGCGCTCCTTAGCAAAGACATGTGCGATCGCGCAATAGTATGCGACACATAGATGATGATAAACCAACCGGTTTTATTTTATCTAGGGCTTGACATGATCGATATTCTATTGATCATGAAGCAGGGCGGATCAGAATGCTCGAGCTATGTCGCATCGAAATACCCCAGGATACCTGCCGTTGGCTGGGAAACCAACATCCCCGCCTCAAACTAACCCCCATCCTGTACCACGAGCCTCCAAGTTTATTCACTTAATACGACAATGGCACAGAACGGGATTATAGAGTAAAACGAAGCGCTATGCTATCAACTTATCCTTGCGCGCTATATAACCTTCCAGTACACTTTAATAGCCTGGAGAGGGGTAATGCCTTATCTCTGTCGGGTACTCATATCAGATCGTACTTCGTACAACATATTACACGAAAACCCTCTCTACTTCCAGAGAGGATGATGAAGAAAAGCACCGTGTCTATCTCATCTCATCTCTCATAAAAAGAAACCGATCCGCTATTAAACGGTGAGACACAGGTCAACCCGTGACCCTCCTCACCCATAGCCCAGTTGGCTCATATGTTGCCTCTTTGTCTTTCCGCTTCCATGCCCGATGCAGCCGCAGCCCAATTTCATGTTCCTGCCGCCGCACATCAGCCTCCTCCTCCCTCAGGCCCTCAACTTTCCTCTTCTCCTCTTCCCGTTTTGTCCTAACCTCAGCTGTCAGGGTGACACTATCTGTTGGCATTAACTCCGTCATTTGGCGGATACTCATCGATATATTTTTCCTCCTATGAGTAAGGTCATCGAGTTGAGCTTGTAGCGATGTGATAAGATCGTGAGATTCTTGTTCAGCCGGAGTGACGGGGAGCGTCTTGCCGACATTCGAGGCACGTTTAGAGGCATTGCTATTGGATATACTAACAACTACTGGCGACGATGTATTCAATGGCTTGCGTGAAACTCCTTCCCTTGGACCGCGGCCAACCTTTGGTCGGGTACGATCGAGAAGAGAAGATGGTGGAGTAGGCATTGGGGGTGGCGGCTCTAATGGTGGGTCGAAGGTATCAGTCGATGGACGAGGGGTGGTGCGTGCTTCAGAGGGCGCAGCAGTCGATACGCTGAAGCGCGACGGTGGTTGAACGTAAGGCTCAGGAGGGGCGTTTATGAAATTCTGAACCTTGTATTGTTCACGGAACCTTTTTTCCTCCGGACTAATTGTCTCGACTCGTTGCTGAGTGTCGGTTGGCACATTTCTATGGGGTTGGGTTCCAGTGTGCGGTGCACTTGAAGGGCTATCTGAACGTACGGGCCTGATGATAGGGTCTACGCGCGCTGAGGGGATACTATCACTCCGTGGAGGTGGAGTCGGTTGGGTACTCTTTGGGGGCATGCTTAAAGGTGGGAGGTCCAATCGATCCTCTGCAGGGGGAACTAACGTCACACGGCCACTTGCCCCCCTCCACTGTGGTTTCTCTTCTGGTGGATTACCCGACCTCAATTTTCGAACCCGATCACCAAAAGATGCGTTCTTCATCGGAGTGGCGCTGACGTGTGCTTCGTTTCCCAAAAAAGATGGGTCCTGCGCCGAACGAAGAGAGGGGGGGCCGAATTCGCCTGGCTTCGTGGATTGCTTCTTTCCCTTCCCGCTAGTTGTCGGTTCCCCTGAATAAGGGTCCCAACTCGGATCCTTGGTTGGCCTACTTGTCAGCCCTGACTGCTTTCGAGGTACCAAGTTTGACACAGCCGCTACAGCTTGGTTGCGTCGCTTTTCTCTTCGAAGAACAGGAATGTTGCTTGATGTTGGCTTGGGATTCGAACTTGGTTGGCTAGGGGGTCGGCCTACTCCAAGCCGTGAAATATCTGGCATTTCGTCGATTGGAGACACTTCCTCGTCAACCGGCTGGTTTTGGCTTCTGTTTCTCTATCAGCTTGTGACATTTTAGAATAAGAGGGCCGGACATGAGAAGATAGAGCGGAAATGCTGGATGCTGTTGGCTAAGAACTCGAAGGTCTATAGACGTATATATGGCTTGGTTTGGTTTGTAGATGGGTTTTGAATGTGCTCGAGGTTCGTAGAGCAGCTCAAGAGCGTGCTCCCGGTATATCCTTAAAAGACTGGACATACCTATGTATTACACCAAAATCTGGTGAGCTTGGGGGAGAGACCTCATCTGTATATGCTGTTGACGTAGTTACGTATGACGTTCCTGGGAAACGTGTGACGATTGGATTTGGGGACGGTTGCGAATAGATTGAGGAGGCTGGTCTAAATTTTGAATTTCGATGCTCAGGAGGAGATGGAGGGGCAAGCTCGCTATAGTTAGGTTAGCTATCTTCTTGGGTATGTATCAATAGGCGGTAGATTAGGTCTGTGACGAAGCTGGAGCGGCGGCTGAAGGTAGGACGCTTCATATTTGTTTATCGCGCAGTGCAAGCTGTCGGGAACAACACTTGTCCGAGGGCCTTCCAGGGGAATATTCACTTACAATGGTAGCTGGGGAAGGTTCTTTGGCGACATCTCGCCTCTCGTTTCGCGCGGAGGTGGCATATTTCCGTGGAGAGGAGACTCTGGAGAATGCACCTCGACTCCTAGTCCATATGGTGGACTATATGGTTGTTCATCGATCTTCGGCTGAGGGTGGGACGGTTGCCGTGCGCCCTTGGGATTGTTCAGCTTCTTCCACATTGTGTGAGCTTATTATATCCTTTCTCAAGCCCTGGGCGTGTGATATTCCCCAGGGTGCGACTTGAGACGAGACCAATGCAAATCTCGAACCCGGGTGAACGAGTCTCAATACTCTACAGCGCCAGAAAAGGGCACAAGACGGATCGGATCGGAGATGTCGGAGGATTGAAGTGTCCTCGTTGAGGTCGGTCGCAAGTACGTAGATGGTGTTAGGAAGGGTTGTTGAAGGTGCCCGAATAAGGAGGCTGTGCCGGTAGGATTAAGATTGTTATTGCCCATGCGGCGAGCTGATACTAGCAGCCAAATAAAAAGGGCAGTAATCAATTTTAAGCCCGGGGACAAGGCCAGAGCATGCACACACAGAGGCTTTGGGTTATGTAGGTGCCTGCTTGGACAGCCGCAGTCGTGGTGTTGACACTGGAGAACCAATGAAATGGTGACGACGGGCTACGTCAACGTCGCTGGTGTTTCTGCTTTGTCAAGTAATAATAGAACTTCCTGCAGCCCTTCCACGAAGGCTGCGACAACACTTGAGTACTATTTGGAGTCGACGCGCCTCATTCACGCGGCATGGGCGGGGCGTGGGCATCATTGATTGAAGGACGACGTTTGGTTTCACCTTGAACCCCTTGAAAGCCACCCTTGGGTCATGGATATGGACGATAAATAGCCAGAACGAGGTACCCGGGTACCACGACTGCACGAAGGATCGACAAGCAGCACGCTCATCATGTAGCCGGGAGGAAATATTCAAACTTTATTGATATTCTTTTGGGTACAAGCACGAGCTCCCTCCATATAAGTACGAAGGACGTAGTACTCTGCACCGGTATGCAAGCCAGACATGTGGGACCCCTGGGGATTTTGAACCGTTCGCCAACGCTTCCATGTCTCAGATCTGTTTATCGTCCCAAACTCCCCACCCAGAATGGGTTATCCGGAGCCGAGGCTTCGAACGGAGTAATACGGATTAATTAGTGCTCAAGTAATGGAGTAAGTCCGCTATATAGTAGAAGTAGATCTCTGCAGTATATGCATTCCATTCTACAGTATGATCTTTCTGCCTACGGACCAGGTCAAATCAAGGGAATCTAATCTAAAATGCCACCGGGAAAGCCCCTCCAAAAAGGAGCGCCGCCAACAATCAAAGCGCATTTTGAATCAACGCCGGCGTTTTCGAGGCTCTTTTCTGATCCCACCCTCGAGGCCTTGGGTGATTTAGGTTATGACCCGCCATCAACACACAATACATTCATCGGCAAGACTTTATCTACAGACGATACTATTATCGCCTCGCAATCATTCCGGAATCGGCCACAACCCGGCACCAACGAACACTTCGAGGTGGTTACTGTGCTTTCCATAGGAAGTGGAGTAAACGGCCACTCCGACGTATGTCATGGAGGATTTGTGTCCGTATTGCTAGATGAGGCACTTGGGGCCGCGGCCGAGCAGGAACACCCACCTGATAAGTCGGCAATGACTGCCTACTTGAACGTTAATTACAAGAAGCCTGTGATGACGCCAAGTAACGTTCTATGTCGAGGGATCGTCAAGAAGACAGATGGCAGGAAGATGTGGCTGGAGGGGTTAATAGAGGACGACAAGGGCGTTATATTAGCATCTGCGGAAGCCCTATTCATCATTATTGAAAAGACTAAAGCTTTGGAGAAACTATGATATGGACGTGGACATGGCTGTGGAATTGGGCCGTAAAGAGCTTACAAATAGACATTAGAATTTTAAACAGCGTAATTAGACTAACACTCAATAAAAAATATAAGATGTTGATATTATATCTTAATCTACGTATCAAGAGAGGAAATACTAGATACCTTACGTATCATATCTACGAGCAGCTAGGTGTCGGAAGGAACTAGTCATAGGTGGCTTTAGGATAATATATATCACGTGATATTCCCGCGTCGTTTTAGTTAATGTTCCGTCATCATAGAAGTTTGCAGTGCTACTTCCTTCGGTATTATATATAACATACCTGCAGTTATGTATAATCGTTGGAGCACATTGCTAGAACTAAGTGTAAATTCAACAGGAACTACCTAAGGTACCTAGTTAGGCACCTAGGTAGACTCGACATCAAAACTCAAAGCGTTTAGTCACGTGAAATTGTCTTATCGGGGCTCGGGTTTCAACTGCATCCACCAATTCCGTCACTGCCGGAGCTCTCAAGAACTCCCTCGAACTACTTGGTATAGCCACTTCGTCCACCTCATCCATCGCAACTACCAATCCTCATCCTGCATAATGGACTACGTCGAGAATCGGATGGCTCAAGAAGCTGCAAAACCCACACCTTCTCCGGAAGTGTACGCAGCTCTCCTCCGCTAACTCCAATCCCAAGCAACTTGAATTCTAACATATTCTCACATAGACAAACCATCGCAACACCATTAAACCTGGTCCTTCTTTCCCTCTTCCTCTACATCCTCTACCGCTCATTCCGACCCTCTCCTGCTCCCAAGCTCGCGCCTCCTCCCCCGGCCATCGTCTTCAGAACCTTTACACCACCTGACCTTCTCCCGTTCAATGGCATGAACAACCAACCTGTATACCTAGCCGTGCGCGGGAAAGTCTTTGATGTTTCTGCGGGCCGCAATTTCTACGGCCCCGGCGGCCCCTACGAGAACTTTGCCGGCAGAGATGCCACAAGGGGTTTGGCATGCGGGAGTTTCGATGAGGATATGCTGACAAAGGACTTGCAAGGCCCATTGGACAAACTAGAGGGATTGGGAGATGAGGAGTTGGAGGCCTTGAGAGGGTGGGAGGAGAGGTTTGAGGAGAAGTATTTGGTCGTGGGGCGGTTGGTTGCTGTCGGCGATGAGGACAAGGAGGTAGAGAAGTGAGAGAAGAAACGGGGTGATGTGACGTAAAATCACATATGTTCTAGTATCAAGTGATGGAGTTTGTGGTGTATTGCTAGAGCAAATCAGCGATGGGATGATTACGAAAATTTTAGGGTTTCACATGGGTTTAATGGCTCGAGAATACGGGGGATCAGGCCATCCTGCCAGCGATCAATTCGATTCCTGTTAGCTCAAAGCTAGAGGAATAAACATTTTGCGTCTATCTCCGCTCCCTCAAATATAAGTCTATGTGATATGTGCGAAAATAGGACTGCTGTGTCTAGAATTTACCCTAGATAGCCCTGTGCTATTTTTATGCTCTCGATCCTGTCGTTTATTGCTTCCCGTTCTGTCACTCGCGTTTCTGTGCCATTCCTATCGATCGTGGTTTAATACCGCCAATAATTCCGAAAGTCCAGGCAACTGCATGCTGTTCGCCGGCCGCAATATAATGAGTTCAACATACCGCACCGGTGGGAGGCACAGCGTTGGGATGTCCCACATGCAGTAAGATATTCGGGGTCTTTGAGAGCAGCATAGCCAACCTAATCTCTAACCAAAAGAACCTGACTATCCTAGCTTCTCGTAATAATTCAATCCTTCGAATCAATGGATCATAGCGAACATACATCGTAGAAAAGTTCGATGCAGGTACGATCTAGTTCATAAAGGTAGATAGGAAAGCTATATCGATTGCTTGTCGGCGCCCGTCGCTAGTAAATACGGGCGCAGTACTCGAACCAGCAGTATCTATTGATCTCCAAACCTAGAAAGCTAGGACAGGGGTTCACTAATATGCAGACTAGATACATGCTGCTCAAGGCATCCAGTTATCTCGAACTCAACCTGGTACACGATTAGACTTCCAATACAATCTATGGCTGCCTCGATTATAAGCGATATATTTTAAGCCAATGGTGAGGAGAGATACAATTATAAATAGAATTTTCTTTCTGAGAAAGCGGCGTAATAGCGCTGCCTCCACTTGATAATGTGCGCATTTGATTCAGTTGGCGGCGGCGAAGAAGCACGAAGCCCTTGGCACATTCCGATGTGACGCTGGTTGGTGTTTGATATTACACACTCGTACGAGGTAGTATCCATTCCACTAGAAATGAGTCGTGAAGTTAAATTATTGACGATATTTTGCGACCAGAATAATGAAAAGCTCAATGAAAATAACAGCTTGAACTGCGTAGAGGCTTCTCTCCACAGTTGTGTCCTAGTAATTAAAACCCTCCAAAAAACCTAAGTAAGATCCGTTTAGAGCAAATTAGAGTAGAAGGGCCAGAGATTGGAACCAAATCGATTAAACTGGTAAGGTGGAAGTCTCCGTAAAGCCTAAATGTCAACTCCCTGTATTTCTTCCCCTCGGGTTGCATATCTAGCACTGGCTCAATGCAAGCTTCAACCTTCTCGGTCGCAAACAAGGGATCTTCGTTGAGTTTTATTTCTAGGAAGGTATTGCTAAGATTGACTCTTTCAACCGAAGCAGTACGCAAGGTGGGTGTGTCCTTAGCCTAACTAGATTACCAAAGCACCTCTACAGACACTCTAGTGACTAGGTTGGCTATGTTAAGCACACGCCTTAAAATTATATCTAGTATTTTATCTGTGTGTATGCTTGTTGTCTATTATAGAGCTGAGACGTAAGTCAAAGATGCAATATTGTAAACGGAAGGTTCCTTATTAGTACCTAGGGTACCTAGGTACATGTACATGGCGAATCTTGTTGTGGGTGTTAACGGAAGATGTTGTTTGCTTGTATGTTTCCCACAAGTAATTAAATAGCAAATCTTATAAGAATAACTAGTGGCCTGGTGGCCTAATGGTAAGGCGTTGCTTTCCGGTTTAAGGAAGTTGGCAAAGACTGCGGGTTCGAGTCCCGTCTGGGTCGTTTATTTTTTGCCTTTTCTTTTGGGTTGATTTACTTTTTCTTTTTATTGTACATGTTCAGGCGTTAAACATTGGCTTTGACGGAGAGGAGGTTTTTTTTGCTACTGGCTATGTGCGATGAGGGTCCATCCAGTATGGAGCCCCTTTCGTTAGCCGAGACATAGGTCAGTAACACCACTCGCTACCGAGTACCGAGACAACCTACTGGTAGCTACAGTATGTAGGTACCTTACCTTATCGAGACTTCTACCATTCCATGATTAGTACGAGCAATAGATACGTAACTACGACAGATAATAAAAAGCACTTACGTTAAAACATGGACCCAGTTTGGAAGCTACTGGTCTCTACTCTCTCCTTCGAACACGCATTCCAAATTCTCGGCGTTTGAACCTTATCCTTAAGGTTGAGGAAGGTTGATCGTTGCCGACCTGCTGTGCATCGTTCACCAAACGTCCAAGCCGAATCCCACCTTTGGCCTGGTGATCCGCGCGAGGCTCAACTTGGTCAAAGGTTCCAGCACACGTCGCAACGTGCAATTCAAATTCTGTCGATGTTACTGGCTTGCAACGTTGCATATCTATCCAAAGCCACACCCCCGCATAGCAACGCGCAACCCGCAAGGCTGAAGCTGAAGTGGGACCAGGCTGCCGACGACCTATAAGGATATTAATCCCAATCCGACTTCCTATTGTCTCTTGATTCTTGAATATTAAAATTCAGAATCTTTGACATTGACAATAATTCCAAGAATAAACAATATGGCACCCCACGCAGATGATTCAACTGACGCCGACGTTGAGCGTATCCCGGCTCCATCCCGTCCTTCGATGTCAGCAAACCCTCCTCGCATCCTCATCATAGGAGCCGGCTCTCGTGGCAATGCATATGCTCAAGCTACCGGCACGTCGACCAACGGAATTGTTGTTGCTGTAGCCGAACCAGTGCCATATAAAAGGCAAAGATTCGGCGAGACGTACATATGGGGCAAGACTGGCCCTTCTGAGGGACAAGCATTCGGGGATTGGAAACAATTCTTAGCATGGGAACAAGAGAGACGTGCAAAAGCTGCAAATGGCGAGAATGTACCGGAAGGCGTTGATGCTGCATTCATATGTGTGCTAGATGAAATGCACAAAGAGGTCATCGTTGGATTGGCACCCCTTGGTCTCCACATTATGTGCGAGAAGCCCTTGGCTACCAACTTGGACGATTGCATATCGATATACAAATCTCTCCTTCCAAGCCTACCTAACACGACGCCCTCTAAAATATTCTCAATTGGTCATGTTTTGAGATACAGCCCGCATAACATGCTCCTTCGGAAATTGCTACTAGAAGACAAAGTCATTGGAGAGATCATGTCCGTCAATCATACAGAACCCGTTGGTTGGTGGCACTTCACCCATAGCTACGTCCGGTATGTCCTCCAGACCAAGTTCCGATGAGAAGACTAACCTTTGTAGCGGAAATTGGCGGAAAGAGTCAACTACCGCCCCGTCACTCCTTACCAAATCGTGCCACGATATCGACGTTTTACTTTGGCTACTTTGTTCACCCCCTCCAAATACACTCCAGCCAGCTCATGTACCAAGCACTGTCAGCTCAGTAGGAGCCCTTCAATATTTCAACAAATCACGGAAGCCAACAGCTGCTGGTAATGCTACCAATTGCCTATCTTGTCCAATCGAAGAGTCTTGCAAATATTCTGCCAAGAAAATCTACCTTGGTCCCAAGCATAAAGGCCTTGCATCAGGCAATACCGATTGGCCTGTTGATATAGTGGTTCCTGAGATCGAGGAGTGCATTGCCAATAGTGGGCTTGCTGGAGGCGAGGCTGCTGTCATGGCGAAGCTGTCTGAAAACTACACCAGCGAAACCCCCGCCTCCGAGGTGGCATCTAAGAATTGGTTTGGTCGATGCGTTTGGGAATCCGATAACGACGTCTGTGACGACCAACTTGTGACCATGACATGGGATAATGACCCGTTTCCCAAGGCTAATCAAGACAACGAGAAAGCCCTCATTAACCGGGGAGCAAAAACTGCGGTCCTCCATATGGTAGCTCATACGAAGAAGATCTGTGAGCGCTTCACCCATATTTACGGCTCGGATGGAGAGATCTATGCAGATAGCGAGAATATCACTGTGGAAGATTTCAACACCGGAACGAAGAAGATATACAAACCTTTTCTTGCGGGAGGTGGCCATGGTGGCGGAGACGCTGGACTTGCAAGGCAGTTCATACTTGCTGTTGATGCTGTGAAGAATCAAGGTGTGGCGGTAGAAGAGGCTCAGAGGGAACATGTTGGATGTAGTCTTGAGGAAGTTGTTAGGAGTCATGCAATGGTTTTCGCAGCGGAGCAGGCTAGAAAAGGGAGACAAGTTGTCGATTTCCCTTCGTGGTGGAAACAAGAAGTTGAGAGTGTAATTGCGAGAGCCTAGAATTGCAAGCAAGCTATGTAGTGCTTTGCTTTGCAAAATTGCCAAATAATTTTATATGCATACTGGTTAGTAATTACAAGCTTTTTTAACTAATAAGAGTTAAAGACTAATAGTTGAATTTGTCGACGAAAAAATCTGTGTAGGTCTCTTCAACTAGTCTCCCACTGCCCAAGCTTGTAATATCATGATTGATTTCTAGAACTTTGTAGATATAAAAGTGACATAATTTACCACTAAGCATTTCTTCTAGCGCGTTAAGCTAGAAGTTTGAAAGTCGAACCGCCATATGGATGTGTGGCTTCCCTTACATCGACGCAAGAAGTCTTATAATATTATTCAGCTTAGCTCTTTCGTCCACTAGTGAGTGCTAGAGTGCTAGAGTTCATAACATTTGAATTTTAATACACCCTTTGTTTCGACCAAATTGCAACATCTAGTTATAAATTATAAAACAAGTTTATAAGAGTATAAAATCAATTATAGATAAAATTTTTGTCTCTTTGAGTTTTTCTTTTGTGTTGTGTTATAAAATTGCTGGTGGGAAGTAGATTTTGCTGTTCCACGAATTCCGCCCCTGGTGATGCCAGGGTATTATACCAAAGCTGCAATTTAAAGCCCTGTAATTTTAACGGTATACAACGGATGCTAGTACCCGCAAGTAGCCCAGACTTGTTAGGTTAAGACATAATAAACCTACCAGAAGGACAATCTGCACAGACAAAGCATAATCAGAAGTGGAAAACTGTCTCTAGATTACTACCTTCCACACTGGCCGCTGATCTATATAGCAACGCTTGCCTAATCAGGAAGCTTGCTCGGAATTCAATCGCTCGCTAGCCAACGCCGTCCCCAGTATTTCAGTCCACCCTTCTATTAACACAAGTCCATAACAAGAAGCTTTAGTTTGGCCATATTTCAGCGCCTAGGCTGACGAGCTCTCCGCCTGGTCACTGCCGTTCAGTATAGTGTCCAAATCCCTAGTAGGTTTAGGTGCAGGTTCGGCCTGCACTTTCAACTTCCTCATAGCCCTCCTCATACCCTCCAATGTCGCTCGTTCCTTAATCAACATCTCCCTCGCTAGATCTCTAAGGGCTTTCTTTCCCATCTTCTCATGCAAATCTTGCCAGCCCGCAAGCTCCGACGCAACAACTTGCTGCGTATATCTCAACTCTCTTCCTAGTTCTTGTTCTTCCTCTCTTGTCCTCCTGACTCTTTCTTCTTTTTCTTCGTTCAGACGTTGACGGGTCTCGTCGAGGAGGCCTAAGGGCCAGCGGGTAGAGCGTGATAGCGAGTTATATGACTTCTCAATAGCTTTTCTCGACGTGTTGATTGACGATATTAAGGAAGTTGGTCGTGAAAGGGCGAGTAACATGGCAATAACGGTGCTGTGGATGGACAATATTTTCGAATGGAAGTTAGAGTATGGTGACGATGAGGTGGGAGCGAGTGTTTGTACACAGGCTTCAAGAGCAGAGATGTGAGACGGCGGGAGAAATTCGAGCGTTGAAAATGCACGACACGCTAGGCTGGCAGCGTCATAAAAGTCTAGATACATTAGTTCGGTTCATATCAGGGCATCGGGTACCATGGAATATACCTGTACAGCCAGTTCGTAACATATTGGCTCGACGGGCAACGCTTTTCGTAGAGTTATTAACACTACGGACCATATCCCTTGCATGATCAACAAACTGCTCGACATCTCGTATATCCTCGATAGGCTCATATTCTTCTCGCACTTTTTCGACCCTTGTCTCAGCTTTCAGTTTGCTTCGTTGTTCCATCATATCCAGCTGGATATCGGGCACGAGGAAGAACTCCCATAGCATTTCGTGGGTAGAAAATGTTGAGTGGGATAGAAGAATCTTCAAGAATGCATCGAGCCGAACTTGGATATCTCGTAATACCGCCCGTGATGGCTTGGAAGGGAACTGGAAAGGGGACCGCATTCCAGATATCGACGGCAGCCATGACGCTGGATTTTCCAGCGCCAGTAACCTTGCAAGATGTTCAAAATCAGCAAGGGATCTTCGGCAAGTCGTGACCGTAAAGCTCTGTTGACTGGATGGAGCGCCTGACTTGACGACAAGACGAATGGTAGCATCTTCAACGAAGAATGACCTAACCACAGCTGTGATACGCCCATCGGCTGCAGGCTGTCCTGAAAATAAAATCAAGTCATCAATGCGGTTCCTCACGTCGTCATCCTTGGCAAGCTCGACAGCAGTGAGGCCTCGTAACTCTTTTGCGAAGAGATCTACTCTAGGATCACCAAATAGCACTCTGACCATTTCTAATCTGCCATATTTGCTTGCAACCATCAATGCTGTAAACCTCTTGTCATTGGTGGCATTTACATTGGAATCGCAATGCAATAAAATGCGATGAGCAATTTGGGGGTCGTTTACAATATGCAACAGCGTGTTGCCTTTCGAGTCGATATGATCATCAAGATGCAATGGTTGACCATCTCCTTGATAGCTTGTTGCCGCAGTAAGCCCATTCTCAACCATTTGCCGATAGTCAGCATGATCATATGAGCGACAAAGAGCAAATAGCGGTGTTTGACCGTTTTTGTCCTTTTGCCGCCAGGGTAACAAGCGACCCACTCGAGGTATTAAAAAGGGGGCGTTGAACAAGTAGTGAGCAGCACTTCTACCTCTAACATCCTGTCGGGCAAGATATTCCACAACCATTGACTCAGGTCCAGACCGGTATATGAAGTCTAGAAGGATGTCGATAAGCTCGGCGTGTCCTACCTGAACAGCTGCACTGAGGAGAGTTGTTCCCTCATTGTTCGAATCCTGCAGGACAATGTAGGATGGGTAATATTCATGGATAGAAAGCAAATATCTCAATGACTCCGGTTGTTTGTTCTGAATAGCCATCATCAGAACAGATTCGCCAAATGCATCCTCTGTCTGAGAAAGACGCTCGATTGAGGTATCGCCCTCAATACCACTGGTCATAGAGTCGATGGTAGTTGCTCTGGAGCGGAAAGATATCTCTGAGCTGCTTGACATACTTCGGGTATCCATGGTGACGGTCTTTGGTCTTTGAAAGGGTGGTAATCGCTCCTCCACCACCTGCTCGCCACGCGGAATTTGGAACGGGAATACGTGGTTGAGCGTTGATGCTTGTGATAACCTGCCAAGACTACTCCTCGACGACTGCCTGGAGTGCCCATTCACAGTATTCCAGGGAGCATTTTCGTCAATTATGTCTTCAACAACAGGCTCATCGTCTCCATCATCCTCATCTGATGACTGTTCTAGGTCTGGTTCCATTATCTTTCTCACTTCCTTAATCCGACCTTTCTTTGTCGCCTCCCATAATTTGTGATTCCTCCTGCTAGCTTTTCGTAGGCCACCAGAGTCTCTTGCAAGATAAGATAGGACAGCTTCCAGGGTACTGAGGGCATATCCCATCTCACCACTCTCAACATCGTCGATAAATATGAAGTGGCGCATGTACAGCAAACGTGCTTGAAGATAGCGAACTTGGGATCTGATTACGACAACCAGGAGCAAGGAGACCAATGTGTCGGCGTTGATCGTTAGAACAGTACTGGCTTTCTCGGAAGAGCACTCCCCATTCGGACCAGTTTTCGGTGTGGGGCTTAGTTGGGTAACAGTCTTCAAGGTCGAGAGCAGAATATCCATCATATGCTGAGGACTTCCAGCCGCACCAAGCTTTCGGAATTCTTCGACAGCTCGACCGAGTCGCAATGTCAATTCATGCTTTCCTCGGTGGCCGTCTTGTATTGAAATCCCAACTTGTGAGATATCCACAAATTCCATTTGTCTGATCTTTGACTCTAACTCTTGGTCCTCAGCTCGTTTCATAGCACATAGTCTCGGGTATAAAATTGTATCATGTACTTGCTCCGTCACGTAGCGCTCGATTAGCCGCTCCACAACCGGCCCAGTCAAATCAGTAGTAGCTCCTAGAAGAGACAATTGTTGTTTATCGACCATTTGAAAGAGATCAATAGCCGCTGTTACGGCTGTTTCTAGTGCGCCGCGCATGATTTCTTCATCATCCTCCGCGAAAAGATTATCCATGGTACCCCGTTCAGCATGGCCATTTGATCGGAGGCCGGGGGCCGCACTTGTACTATTAGACCTTACTTTCTTCATCGCTGTTGCGATCGGGCCATCTGGTATTGGATCTGGGATGACAGCTGCTGAGGGCGGTGGCGGCAATGGCTTCTCGAAGACGGCATTAAATTCCTTGAATAGACGCTCAAGTCCTGGCTGCATCTGTTTTGCAATCATCGGAAAATTATTAAGGAGGTCATTGAAAGTCTTGATATCCTTCTTTCTGGGCAATGGACTAGTAGCATCCCCCTCTGCATCTATATTGGTAGGTAGATATGGATTGCCATTCGCCCCAGGGGCGGGTAAGATGGCAGGAATGATCTTGATATCCTCGAATGTGCCCACTAAAGGTCTCGATATGTAGTATACCAGCCATTGCCGTGGCTCTAGGGAATCAGGGTACCATACAGTATCGCTCAGCAATTGGGCCTGGTTGAGAGTTTTAAATCCTATCAGAGTAATCAGCATGCGCTCCTATCTTGATCTGCCATAACCAACCCTTATTGCTATATACCAAAGCATCTTTAACTACTACCGTTCTGCCGTTGATAGTTGTATATTGCTTTGCCTTTCCTCGATTTTCGCGCATGTTTGGCGCATCCTTCCCTCCCGCCGTGGCAGCATGATTTGTCGGGATACGCAAGACATGGCTTCCTAGAAACTCCTCGGAGCCTGCCAAATCCGAGTATAAAGCGCCAGAATCGCGGTCGCGGGAGGTAAGGAGGGCTTCAGTAGTAGGTACTAGTAGAATCTGAATTTTCGGTCAGTGTTGAGCGCAACGTTGGGCGCGGCGCACGCAGGTCATGTCCGTAAGGCTTACATGGTGATGAACCGGCGTACACTGCGAAGGAAGCGCGCTCTTGAAGAAGGCACTCAGAAAGGGATTTAGAGGTTGCATTCATTCGGCATTCGCGCGGCGGAGAAGGACCACACCGCAGGGCGTCAGTCCTGCAACGCCGGAGTACGAGTCCAAAATTCTGGCAGATGCGAGGTTCCGACGACGTAGGATGTTAGAAGTTGAGTGAAAGCGACGTCGATCGTCCGGGGGAGGTGGAGCTCAATGCTGGTCGAGTATGAAGCTAAACGGGCTAGCTTCAGCTTTGGATACAAGGAGTCAAGGAGTCAAGGACGGCTGCACCAGTATTGCGAGGGGATCGGTTGGGGCTGGGACCAAATATGCTGGCTTAAGGAGGTTTGATGTTGATATCGGGCTTCAATCGCGAATTGTCGACTGTCGCCTACAGTGTAGTACGGGTGGTACGTAAGGTGCTCCGTACCTTGTACCTTGTACCTTGATGTTATCGCAGGCGGTGGACGCCCCTGCAAATTAGTGTGGAAGCATGTGATTTCGACTAAGGAGGCGACATAAAGGTACAGTATCCTCCGTAGATCCTCTTGATATGATTTGCTGCCAACGTATCAAAACATTGCTGATCTATCTATGTAGAGATCTTACGATTTACAAGTCACTGCAAACAGGAGAACAGTCATGAAACTCATACATTGGCGTATAAAGCCGCGTTTTGAATTTTACAAAGGACTACAAACATTACTATACATCGTATCATTCAGACTGTTGTCTGAAGGATATAACCCAAAGAGTGGCGTGACGGCTTGCCCTACTTGAAAGTAGATCGAGTGGCCATATTGAAAATGTAAACATCGAGGCAACGCCCATTCTGCCTAGAAAGAGCCCTCGCTGGAGGAACGCCGCAAACGCCTACCGTGTACAAGATGTGATATACAGGAACCTTCCTATTGGGCAGCGCAAATATCCTATGCCGTCCCCAATTTCAACGCTATGCGGAATTTCAACGGAAAGTGTATAACAGAGATCCAGTAATGAAAGATTGAGGAGACGAGAAGACCGTGAAGATAGATCAGATATAGTCTCGCCCAGACTTTTGGAGCTCAATCAATCTCCATCCCCTCGTATCGGGATTATTAACATCCTCCGCAGTTCTCGTTACGCCAATGGCATACGTAACTTGTTGCACTTTATCCTCCATGCCCGCAGCAAGGTCGTTGGTCTTCGCATTCCGGTAAACATGGACTTCCTGGGTGCGGCACGTAACGATGAACACGGGGATGTCGCCCGGTTCTAGGATTCGCGCTGAGAGGATCTCGACGTTCCTAATGTCGAGGATTCGGCCATCCGACTTCAATCCTGCAGTTGTGTATTGCTTCGATAAGGCTTCGTAGACTTGGAATTGAGCGGCACTCAGCCAGAGGCGGAGGGTCTCGATGTCGCCCTTGACGTATGCGTCCAGCACTTCAGGGAGAATGTATTCGCGCATCTCGCGTAGGAAGGGTTCCATTTGGAAAGTCGGGTCCATTTCCCTGAACTTCTTGATCACCATTGCTGTCTCATTTTCGGCAAAGAACCCAGCAAAACGGTCGGTGATGCTCCGTGCAGTGGAGACGAGAGGATTCTCAGATTCGTTAAAGGTTGATTTCAGGGAGAAGACAGATTGCATTAGCCTGCTTGTATCTCGGAACTCGCGCCACGATTCTTTCCAAGCTGCATCTTTGTGGAGAGTTACGTTTGTGCCGGCGCTGGAATTGTTAGCATGCAAACAAGGACATCGGAAATAGCGAGTGACTTACTTTGGATCTTCTATTGGAACCTCCACCCGCCCGCCCGACATACCCATCTTCTGCGCCTCTTGTTGCTCCCTCACCTCCCTCGCCTTCCGTCGCTCCTCCTTCTCTACCCATCCTCCATATCGCGAACTGCTACCATCATCGATAACATTCTTCACATTTTTGAATGCCTCGGTTTCCCGAATTGGCCGCGTTCCCTTTTCTATGACACTCGCAGTGGCATTCACTGTCGTCCGTACCCCTTTCACAACAGGTGTTTCCCAGGTCCACGCAGCGCCTTTGCCAACAGCACCAGCTGTTGACTTTAGAACAGTCGCCGTTGTGGATGAAACAGCTCCTGTTGTCTGTTCGTATGCCTCCCGCGCTCGTCTTACCGACTCGCTCTCCGTGAACTGTTGGGCGCCAGCAGCTAAGGCTTTGGTAGACTCATTCCATTCCTTGGAAGCTTGAAATTCCTTCTGCAGCGTGTCGGTGAAGACTGCCCATGGTGACTTATCTCCATGCGGAGGAGGTGGTGGGGGAGCCTCTTTCTGCTCTTCTTTTTTACTTCCATCCTCAGAGTTAGGCTCCTCTTTCGATGCCTCTTCCTTAGATGCCTCTTCCTTCGATCCTGTCTCTGCCTCGGATGATGCGGATTTTTTTGTAGACTGTCCTTCTGCAGCTTCCTCTTTCGCAGCTTCGCTGGAAGGTTTGGCGTCCTTCTCCTGCTTTAGTCTTGCGCCATGGTGAAAACTTCGTGAGGTATGTGACGGCAAGCCGATTCGGATTTCGTCTGGTAGAAATTGAGAACGTAAAGGATTAGAGTATAATGTAATTGTTGATAATGAAGAAGTTGGCGTAAATGAGGGCGAGGCAGAAGTTTGATTCAGTTGAAGCAGTCTTCTGGGGGGCGATGCTCGAGTTGAAGGTCTTATGGCAGAGCTAAGATTTGCATTTGCAGGCGCCCTTGTCGCCGTACGTCGTAGACTGTTCATATTGACTATTAAAGAGAGAATATTGACCTATTGACCCAAATGGTTGCGGATCGGGTCAACTAATTTTGCACAGTTGGGCGTTGAGAGGAAATTTTGGTCGCGGAATCACCGCGGCGTTCTGGGACATTTTCGCCGAGATCGTTCTCGTCTGCGGTTGGCGACAGTGATAGGGGCCGCAAATATCGCGGTATCGTTATTCCAGCGCCGTCTTGGCATCAAGTTTTCGACTTCGACTCTCCCTGCGAACTTCGCGAATCTGGTGAACTTCGCGAAACTGGTGACATCGGACCTCCGAGATCACTGAAATCATGAGCAGGATACTTCCCAGGCGCCTGCTGGCGCAAGCCCGTCCTTTACTCTTCCCCGAACGAGCACAGCTATATAGATTGCCGGCACAATCGATCCGTCCTTTTTCAAACGCACCCAGCAGGAGAGCAGAGGACGATATCACCGCTCCTCCATCTCAGCAACCGCAAAACCCAACTCCACCTCCATCCTCAAAAACTGAAGATGATCTCCCAGCTGCGCGCTCGCCATCCTTAAATCCGAAAGCCGCGCCCATGGGTAACCTCATGGAGAGCTTCAGCAACATGCTCGACCAAAACAAAGCCTCCCGCCCAGCGAGAGGCAATTCTCTATACAACACCACATTCGCTTCTGATGGCAGCTTTTTGAACCAGACCTCGGCCGAACCTCATGTCGAACCACATCATTTCCATATCTATTCTACGAGACACAACACACATATCACGCTCACGGATCCGAAGCGGAACCCAATAATCTCCGTCTCGTGCGGGAATATAGGGTTCAGACACAGCGCGAGGAAGACATATGACGCTGCATTTCAATTGGCAAGTGTGGTGATGACTCGGATGCAGGATCGGGGTATCAATGCACAGATCAAGCAACTAGAAGTTGTGCTAAGGGGTTTTGGCCAGGGACGAGAGGCTGTTACAAAGGCATTGCTAGGAATGGAAGGGAAGAATGTAAGGCACAAGATTGTCAGGGTTGCAGATGCCACCAGACTGAAGTTTGGCGGGACGAGGAGTAAGAAGCCAAGACGCTTAGGTTGAGGTGGCATTTGAGGATATAGCATGGTGTATAAATAGAATAGCTGTACGAAAGTGCTATGTATTGTACAAAATTTTCCGTCTTATTTGGTATCACTTATGGAGCCTGAACGCCTGCAATAATAGAAACAATGCGCTTCAACGCCTACTATACCCCCAGAAACAAGCCGCTCACGTTGACGAATCAGGCCGTCTCTTCGTCTTGGTGGTGGGAGCCCTTTCTGAAGGAGGCACAATTCTTCCAGATGTATCCCTCGCAGGCGCCCTTCCTTTCCCCTTACCGTTTCCGCCTCTCCTCCTCTCCTCTTCACTGTCCCACTCATCCTCTTCCGCTACTCCCTCCCGATCGTCAAAACTGTATCTCTGATGGCTTGAATCCGCGTCCCTCAACATCCTAGACCGCTCATGCGAAGAGTCATGTTCGTCCTCATCCACCAATTCCCCATCTGCCGTCTCGAAATCCGGCGGCGCGATCCATTCCTTCGGTACCACACAAGGCAAAGCAACTCCAATACTCGCCGCGCGGTTCAGCCACGTAGGGCCAGGCCGACCCGTAAGTTTCTCGCAGAGATACGCGGTGAAATGATTGCAATTTTTCGTGAGTAGGTTATAGGAGGTTCCTTGGAACTCCTCGGACGCTTCTTTGATTCTGGCTTCTATCTCCTCCTGAGGAGATACCGTGAAGCCGTGTAAGATCTCGCACTTGAACGTCCCACCAGGAGGTTCTGCTTTTGGTCTTGTCCAGTACACGCCAGTCATGCCCCGCTTATCATGACCTCCATATGCGTATTCCTTGCCATTTATAACAATCCCCGAGTGTAAAAGCGACGCGCCTACCGTCCAAAGTACGGTGGCCAATCTGCCAGGCTAGAAGATGTATATTAGCTTAGGACTTTAGTCATTTGAAGCTGCGGCTGGAAATAAACGAAAGATTAAGAGCTGTCTCGGGCATACTAACAGGCAACAGATCGTAGACATTGATGATTATCTCGGTCTTCTGCAGGGAGAGGGTTGATCGATGGCCGCCACCGTAACTTCTTCGCGAGCTCTTTTTAGACATATTCTATTCGAGATGGCTTGGACGGACTGGTCTATAAGCTATCCCTTGGGTGCGTCCATAGAATGTATGAACAGCTCTGACGTGGTTGAGCGACAGCACTCTCGATATTCATAGCTCTTGAGCTTTGTCTTCCAGAGTGGACGTGAAACCATACCGTTCGTTATCAATGCTATCAGGGACCCGAGAACCCGGATCCGGAGTCTCGGCGCAGGCGCCTTTGGCGAGGCACGTGATTCCACTAGTCTTGAGAAAACTCGGCAAAGTCACGACTCAATTTAGCACATTAAGAAATTCTCTCACCAGACTATTCGTCGCACAACGTTTGCGAAGAGAGAGGTTCCAACCACTCTCTCACGCATAACGCTGTCGCCCACCATCATCACGACGTCCCCCCTCGGTGCTTCGCGCACTTTCTCTTCTCTCCCCTCCATTTTCACAAGGTCGGCGGCAAGAACTGCGACCTCACATACAAATCAGAGCCTGCTTAGCTGCACGGTTTTCATCACAACCTATCGGAGTTACGCAAAGAAGAGTAAGAGAATGGCTCCCAAAAAGGCGGTCAAAGAGGAGAAAATCTTGCTGGGCAGGCCCGGCAACAATTTGAAGAGCGGCATTGTACGTTCCTCCCCGCTGTTATCATCTTGGATTTCTGCTCACACATTCTTAGGTTGGTCTTGCAAATGTGGGCAAGTCTACACTCTTTCAAGCCATCACCAAATGTTCGCTTGGGAACCCTGCCGTAAGTGCCAGCGCATACTCTTGAAGCCAACCCCAGCTCATGATTATTTTAGAACTTCCCTTTCGCAACGATCGACCCAGAAGAATCTCGTGTCCTCGTTCCTGATGAGAGATACGACTGGCTTTGTGAAAAATATCAACCCAAATCCCGAGTCCCCGCACATCTTACCATCTATGACATTGCCGGCCTGACCAGAGGTGCTTCAACCGGTGCCGGTCTTGGAAATGCCTTCTTATCACATATCCGCGCCGTCGATGCCATCTTCCAGGTGGTACGATGCTTTGACGATGCGGAAATCATTCACATCGAAGGAGATGTTGATCCCGTTCGAGATCTGACCATCATCAGCGAAGAGCTGCGGATTAAAGATATCGAGTTCGTTGAGAAGGCGCTTGAGGCCTCCAAGAAGCTGACCCGAAGAGGCGGTCAAAGCCTTGAAATGAAGAAGCTGAAGGAGGAAGAGGCGTGCATTGAGAGAGTCTTGGACTTCCTTAAAGCAGGCGGTGATATCCGGAAAGGTGAATGGTCTCCGAAGGAGGTACGTGATATATATTCCATTCGTCACCCATCCTTTTCATGATGACAAAGGGCCATGAGGCCTGAATAATCCCAGCTCGTCGAATGCCTCAACATAAACGCAGAGTGCACCATGAGATACGAAACCCGTTCTGACACATATCTATTTCTACATTACTTTTTGAAGCAGTTACCCGTATAAATCACTGATAAAAGAATCATAGGTCGAATTCATCAACCCGCTATTTCTCCTGAGCGCCAAGCCGGTGATATATCTCATCAACTTGAGTGAGAAGGACTATGTCCGAAAGAAGAACAAGCATCTTCCCAGGGTTATGGAATGGATTAAGGAGAACGCCGCCGGTGACCCCGTCATGCCGATCTCCATCTGTCTCGAGGAGCGCCTCTCGCGCTTTGAGACCGAGGAGGAGGTCAAAAAGGAATTGGAGACTTTAGGTGTCCAGTCAGCCCTACCCAAAGCTATCACAACGATGCGAAAAGCATTGAACCTGGGAAGCTTCTTCACAACTGGCACTGATGAGGTCCGGCAGTGGACTATTAGGAACGGGACCAAGGCGCCACAAGCGGCCGGTGTCATCCATGGTGATTTTGAAAAGACCTTTATCCAGGCCATTGTGTACAATTTCTCTACCCTAAAGGAACTGGGCGATGAAAGTGAGCTGAAGGCCAAGGGCAAAATTATGACGAAAGGCAAAGAATATGTCGTTCAAGATGGCGATATTCTCTTGATTAAAGCCGGTGCTGCTAAAGCATAAATTAATAAACTGATAATAACACATTACTGCTCCATTTGTCTTCGCACCGTGTACGTCGTATAGCGCAAACCTCCTGAATCCAACCCCAGCCCAAGTATCATTAGCTCCTATCAGCCAGCTACATCGATCGCCTCCTTAGCCTACCTAGGTACTATACCAAATCTTCCTCGCAAGCAAAGATTCTCCAACAAGCACATTCTTAATTATCCTGGCGCCACCAAATTTACGGGTGTAAAAATCGTCTCTGCGAAATCGTCTTTGTTAGCCATTTGCGGGCCTGCTGTTAGATTGACCGCTACTAGAGGTCACTCGAGTAAACGTTGAAAACTAAAAATGATGAAATTGGCAAACAAGGAAGAGGGCGAAAGGCAATAGGCAACAGAGCTAAGCCCGTGAAAACAGAAGATGGAGAAGGCTGCAGCGCCATAATTAATAGATCAAACCCCCGAAAACCAAAGACCACGAAGATGGCGAGAATCGAAGACCGAAGATTTGGGGGGGGGCAGGTGGCCGTGCGTGCTACTGTCTACCCTTATTCCTTATCAACTCCTATTCTTCACCTCTCCCGATGTCGACCGTCATCATTGTCTCGCTCACCCCCGGCAGCCTGTCTTGTCTATCTTGTAATCCTTACAGTTCCCTAGTCGGGCTATGTAAAGACAGTTTAATTTTGGAATAAGGATCGAGGATGGTGATTAATGCGCCTAAAGGAGGTCAACTTTTAAGATACCGAATAGGAAAGAGTTTGCAATTCAAGGGCCTAGAACTTTCTTTGGCTAATAAGGGCACTGCACATTAGGTACCTCCTAATTCCCTAGAAAAAGAGAATATTGAAACGCCTCTTATATCGCTCAGATGGAGAGAAGGATATAAATGTACATGGATCCATCCCTAGAGCCTTTCAACCGCTTCCTAAAACGCTCTTGGTTGAGGCCTTAGGATAGTGAAAACAAACTTCAATGTATTCCCAGAGTAGCCGAACTGCCTCTATATATAACACAGTAGAGCTAGGAAACCAAGTATAGATCGTTTAACGGTAGGCTGGAAATATAAAAGACGAAAGGAAGTTTTAAATCTCGTCTTCAAGGCCGATTAATATACATAGCTATCTTTTCTAAATATGTCTCCCCTAGCAAAGTGTATTAAACATAGAGCTGGACTCCCCGCTATCCAACTGAATTAATCTACCGGATTCAAAACCTCTATATAGTTCAAAAGTCGGCTACCTGTTGTCCCGCGATTCATCTTCCCATCCGGAATATGACCACATACTAGCGACGTCAACAGCTCCCACCGAGAAACGTTTGCAGTTTAAAGCATTATAGTGAACAACACAGGAACACAAGAACACAGGCTAGACCTTACAAAAGTTCATATCTAAAAAGATGAAAGCTATCTGCACGTTGCAGTCCATTTTATACGCCAATGCTTACAAAAATACTAGTGTCATTCCCCCAGCAATGGAAAAAGGGGGTTAAGCGAGACACCCCCCTTATCCACGTACACCCGTATGTAAACACGACAATATGGAAAAGTACGTGTCGCCATTCACTCGCCAACAACGAGACTTAGAATTGAGTAAACAAACCCATATTTTCAGAGATCAAAGATAAGTAGACCGGGTCTTTCTACGTCTTTCCGCCGCCCTGAAAAGCGACAAGGTTGGTTTCTCTCTCCCCACTAGTCACTTGAAAATCAAACACGAATATTCACGAAATATTAGCTTTCTTTCAATGTTTATCTATCCTCACTTTGCTGGTTGCTTCTTCACAAAGTCAAGATAAAAGAAGACAAGCAAAACACGTCTAGCGGCCTAACGCAAGTCAACAACATTCAACCTGAGAGCCACACACACCCAAAGCGTCAACCAATAAACACAAATCTCCGCAATCATGGCTCCCTTAGCAACAGCTATAAATTACAAACCCTCAGCATCTCAAACCTCAACTCAACAACACGCCTTCCTCAGCAACGAGGTCAACAGACGCGCCCCTCTACCTTCAGTTCTTGCTCCAAACCCACTACCATCGATGGCTTGCCCCACAGCAACATCTCACCTCATTGAAATCCTCGGCCAGGGTGAAAATCAAAGCCTACCTCTTCTTCCACGTCCCGTGACAATAGTCCACTACGACGTCAATGGCGCGCCCATCATCTCGCCTCACCTACCGGGAATCGATGAGTTCATTCTGACTTCAGAGTATACGCTGCAGCGATTGGTGTTGCACATCCAGAACGTGCTGGATACGAAGATGGACTTTATGGAAGAGCAAGACCGGGGAAATGAGAGACTTGCGTTGGGGCAAGTGATTGGTGATGCCATAACGAAGGATATGATGGACGAGAAGGGGAAGCTACTTGTTAGCAGTATTGAGGTGAGAGGCGGTGGAGAGAGGTTCTTCAAGGAGTTCCCTGGAATTATGGGTGAGGTTGTTTGGGGTGGCCGTTTGAAAGGCGTGGCAAGTAGAAATGAAAATCCGAATGGGAAGTACGATGGCAGAGAGGCCGAGTATGTGATGTGGAACCGTGATGGTGGTGAGCTACAGATGTATTGGGATCATTATCGGATGGTGGTGATGAAAGGTATTATGCTTCAGGTTGAGAGGCCTATTTTGAAGGTCAGGACTGTCCGGAGAGTGGCAACGGAGGGGGCTGGACTGGTCGCTGGTGGACACGTCTTTACTCGAAGCTTTCCGCCAGACGAGGAAACGAGCGCCGATCTGTCCAAGGAGAGTGAGAAGGAAGAAGTTGCTGATGGAACCGAGGAACCTCTTCATCAGAGTATACCCGACCTATCATCTCTCGACGCCCCAGAATTCCAAGTTGTGATGCTCTTTCAGGAGGAGCTGAAGCACAATGACAATCCGGATCTGGAATACATCTACAACAGTTTCCTAGAACAAGGCGGCGAGCCAATGAAGGAGCTTGTTTTCAAAGACAAGGAAGGATACGGTAGAGTGGCCACATGGGTAGAGCCTGATGGCTTGATCCCAGACGACGGTTCAGATGTCGAGACTATCCGAGCAAACCAGAGCCCGCGAGAGCTAACCGTCGTCAGTTTGATATTGCCAACAACTTACGATCCCAAACTGAGGGCACAACTTGCGGAGGCCCTGGAAGCTGCAGTGAGTTTCGACCCGAAGGATGACGCTATCTTTTTCTCTTCAGGCCACAAACCACCAACAACTCGACCAAGAAAGAAATTCCAACCGAGACGAAGACAAAACACAATAATCAACCTGTTTCGAAACCGTGTCCAAGGAACTTTGGAGAATAATTCGGGAGGAGGCAGCCTGAACAGCCATGATATGGGCACACCTGGAAGCTCGAACTGGTGTTCCCCATCAGGACCAGGTTATCTTCCTATGGTCAACAGCCCTACTCCCTCAACACCTTCAAACATTGTACCATCCCTAAATATGCAATCGGCATCATCAACCCCAACGTTGGATTCAGGCAGCAGAGTCGAGGCCCGTCGCACTTCTCCTCTTAGACGATTAGCTACAACTAGTCAACTGAGGCCCGACTCTCCTATATTCAACTACCCCCAGGCAAAGACAATCTCTAACTTCAAGACAACTAGTTTGGATATGGATTTGCTGGGTTTATTCAATGGTAATAAGACCCCGAATGCTGTAAGCTCAGCGCCAGGATCTGATATGGGCCGTCAAACCCCGGTGACAAACCCAATGGTCACCTCTGCAGCACATACAAGCATCCATGGTTCCCAAAACGATCTAGGAACGGGCTTTAGTGCCACCATGACACAAACTCCATCCGGAGGGGCCGAGCCAAATGTGAACTTTCAATCCTCCCTTTCTAATCAAAATGCCACCCAGACAGAAAGCACAGACACCAGGGCAAGCTCGTACCAATTATATCCAGATCTGCAGCAAGGTCAGGGCAGTGGATTTAATCCTAGCATGGTTCATAATCCGTTCGTTTTTAATGACGACTTGTATGGCGGCTACGTAGGCGCAAGCCCAAACGCTGGAATGGCAGGGGATCACCTAGTTGATATGAACTTTGGAGCTGGAGGATATCCTTTCGACTTCTCCGATCCCTCCAACTTCATTTTCAACAACGCGAATTTTATGAATGGCTTTGGTGGCAGTATGTAACTTCGGCCTGCAGCAACTGGGAATCTCGAAGCGCTGGAGCTGGGAATGGTGGTGCGTTACTGCAGTACGGATCCTATGTTCCGATCGCGGAAGTCTCGACTGCTTTGAACAGGTGTCATGCAATGTTGCGAATTCAGAGGCTGATTCTCATTTGAAAAACCAGGCCACCGGACTGATTTGAAGGACCGTCATGGACTTCTCCAACATCCGATTGTCTGTATCTGAGAAATTCTAGCATATCTGCAAAGCACTTTGTGATAGATGCCTGATTTATTGATTTCCTTTCTGTCTCGCATACAACTCATATGGCATGTGGTGTGGAATTTTCTCGTTCTTTCCCTTCTTGACATTGACAATGGCACAATATTCTTTCAGCGTATGATGGATACTAAAAAGCCGAGTTATCTATTATGGACGCGTGTATTAGATAGTTCTCCGATTGTAGAGGTAAGAAGGGTAGAATTTCAATCCAATAAATCAAATGCAGCTAAGTGAAATTTGCAGGGAGCGGTTTGCATTTGAACGAGTTTTGCGTAGGTGATAGAATGGGTACTACGTAGATTCTACCTTTGGACTAATAGGCTTTGCTAACAACGTAAAACTTAATAATCGGTTCTCACACAGTGTTCTTTATTTATTGGAATATGACAGCCTATTAACATACCGTTTTCAGTGGCCAATTAAAACCCCTTTAAATGCAATAAATGAGAAACCGCAAACAACAACACTTAATTAATTAGCTAACTCGTTATAGGGGTGGTGCATAGGCTCTCAACGCGCCACTGGCAAACGATTTAAATGACTCGGTATGCTTCCTTACACACCTCAGGTAGGTAGGGCAGACGTAGGGGCTTGGATTCCAACTGATGAGGTAAAACATACCCAGAAGTACTACACAGAAACCAATACTTACCTAAATACGAACTCTAGAGGTGACAGTTGGATGGCGAATATATTGCTAGAAAGTCCAACTCCTCGTGCCCGCTCCTTTCTTGCTCAATTAAGAACTAACCAACAAGCCACTTGCCTCGGAATGCAGCATTTACCCATATCTACCATCTAAGAGCATGACACGTCATGTGTAAAAGAAAGTTTGGCATGCACCGACGCCACGCAGCCAAACCCCCATGATGCATGGGCCATCACTACTCTCGATCTGGAAGGACAAGCAGCACTTGGGAGCCGTCAGAAATATCCCGGTAGGCACTCATCGAATCAATTTCATCTGAACACTAAAAGGGCGCTCAAAGACGAACGAGGGGGGGTGCCAAATGAGGGGCAAACGAGGCGACGGAAAGGGGTGGTTCCACAGCCATGGGCCCGAATATTTTCGTGGCAGGGTCACTTTGCAGGGAACACAGCGACTTGCATGCGGCGTCAGCGTAGCAGCTCGACTAATAGCACTTCAACGTGTTTGTTCGCGCTCATCTCACAGCGAAGAGTAAGGTGTAAGTGGAAATGACATCGGCCACTTGACCTTCGGTAAATACGTTTGCATAAGCATGCCGTTCTTAGAGTAAACTTTAGTTGTCTATGCAGCTAATAATAGTCCATACGGAATGTATGCGAGCTTGCAATTGTAAGGTTTTTGCGGGGCTATATGATTCCACCTTGATGGGTGATATTTACTTGCAAGGGAACATGAATAATTTCAAACAGCTTGGCGTCTAAAAGTACGACGGGGAAAGGCCGGCCTATAAAGTGCAAAAGATACTTCCGTTAACACATCCACGAGAAGTATTATAGCCCATTACTTTTTACCACAAATGATGAATCCCGAGTATCAAGCACATAGCCTGCAACTCCCAGGGTCTTAGGCCCTGGGCTCTGATAGGTGGCACTGGCCATATCATAGGTACCCCCTGAGTGGGTTCAAGTTGGAACTTGTAATATGGAGACAGGCAGGAGTCGTGCCGGAGCTATCTCTGGTGGTTCTTACTTGCAGCAGCTTGAGGTCAGTTGACGACCAGGGACCAGGAAAAAGAAAGGAGGAAAATCGGTGTGCCAGATATTGCCAGATATGTCCCAGGGTCCTGGGCAAGCGAAAGGCCGTGGCTCCAGCCGCACAGCAGCCGGAACCCAGAAATGTGGACGTCCGCGTGCAGCATCATGAGTTCAAGTGCTGCCGCAGCATTGTGTTTCCAAAGGGCGGACGAGTCTCTGCAGTGGAAATGGAAGATCGTCCGGAAAACACACAACAAGAGAGGCGGGCGGCCACAGATGTGCAGTGCACAATACTGTAATTGCTGCCGCGAGGTGCTACTGTACGAACGAAGCACTGCTACCCGAGTACGCCGGTATGTACTGTTTCTAGTTGATGGGCATCCATCGTGACACGCCATGGTACATGTACCCGCCTGTTTGCTTCTTAATTACTCGCCCCTTACGCCGCCGTCACCGCCTTTCTCGATGGTCCTGGTCTGCATTGTAACCTTGGAGTTCGTGCCGTGCGAGTACCGGAGTATCTGCTCTGCTCTGCTCTGCTGCTGCTGCTGCTGCTATAGAGACTCCCTGTGTGGTGCTCGAGTGGTAGTGTTACCCTGGCCGCTGGTGCTGGGGATTTCTCACATCGCCCCTACCTCCAACCAACAGACCGCTGCTTAGCATCCCGCACCCGGGGATCTAAAGCCAGAAAACTATGAGTCCGGAGTGTAGTGTCTGGTATTCCATAGGGGTCCACTCGGCTCTCTAACAGCAGGCTAATGGTCTATAAATAAGATCACCCAAGTAGGTCTTGAGATGTTTTCTTTTGTCGTCACGTCTTGTCCAGAAATACCGCCACGATCGATTTCCCGCCTAGGAACCATGACTCTTGCACCCACAGAACCGCACCGGGCACTATGCAGGTCCATGGCCACTACCATGTTTCGATTCCCGGTAACTGTTTATCGGCGTTTTGTGGACCTACGAACCCGGCCACAAAAGCTCCTCAAAGTTCACTTTCTCATCCATCTGGATTAACAGAGCCTATGGTTGTTGCATGACACAAGAGCATTGTGTAACCCTACCAAACCCACGAATGCCTACAGGACGGGACCATTTGCAGCAGCTGATATCCACGACTAGGCCTAGATTCAACCGGAGACTGCCCTGGTGGAGGCTGGACCTGAACTGTCAGCGCCAGGCAGACGCGCGGACTTGTTGCGCTTCGATCTGCTGAGGCTGACTTTCTCTTCTCGCTGAAAGTCGTCGTGCCATTTTCGAGACCGGGCGAGCCGATATCCCGTTGAATGAAAGAATGAAAGCCTGCAGCCGGTTAGAGATTGAATAATCAAGAACGACAACTGAAGCGACAGAGCGCCAAAGGCGAAGAAGGCAAAAAAGTCAAAATACCTTCTTGTGACCACCCACCATTGAGGCTGCGAAGTAGGCAACGGCGTAGCCTAACAAAACTGCCGAGGATATCCTCTTCGAACCGAATCTGAATCGTCGTTAAATCAGGTATTTTATCCTTGTTTTGGTTTACTTGCGCTGCCCTAAGAAATATTTCGATCCGGACCGCTTGATATCGAAACCATCTCAGATCCTGAGTCATCGTGGAGTGGCTGTTTAATCTCGAATCTGCAACTGAAGCTAGCCGTTTGTCATATATGTATTATTTTGCTTGCTCTTGAATTTGTTTTGATTTGTTGAGTTGCGTGGCTATATGAAAGCGGTGCTGTCAGCCTTCCCAAAGTCGTCCGCGCCTTCCGCAGCCTTGTTTACCTCCCTCCCTCGTTCTCTCAGGAATTCAACAACCCACAAAGTCTTCTGTCATTGCCTAGTATTAAGCAAGGCTTTACTTGCATCACAAATTCTGACCACATCGCTCCTACAGATTTGGTATTGCAACGTCATATCACCGTATACTGGTCACCTGGTGCCCGGGCGCCTCTCTTGCCATTGACACAACGATGCCATCGCTCGCCCACGAATCCGTAAGCATCTCCTTGCTTCTTAATACCGAAGAGTATAATAGGACGAACCTATACTAGGAGCACTTTCTAGTAGCTTTGCTAACATGCATGCAGGTGTGGCTCGCCCTTACAATAACCCGCTACACATATCCCGTTGTGGTCTTATGCTATTTCATCCTTGCTCTCACCATTACCGTTTGCACTTTGCAGACACAAGCCCGCAGTGTCAGAGATGAACATGTCCGTCGCGATGTTATGCTGGCGCTGATAGTCACTATCGCTGCCACCTATGTAAGATTCCCTACAATCAGACGATTAAGACGCGCCGTCCTTCCTAGTTAGCTCTTTTCCCTTCAATAAAAGCCATCTACTAACGTCGGATGACAGCTTATAGAATCGGTTGCAATTCTAGTTGACAGTTTGAGCAGCTCCTCTGCCGCGTCCCTCGGCCAAGACCGGCTGGTAAGGAAAACTTCAACCCTCTTTTATGTTTTGCTACGAGCCAGGACAGAGCCTAGGATGCCAAGTTTAGATTGAAAGGCATGCTGACGTGTAAAAAGGTATATCTAATTGCCTCAACAATCGCTTTCGGGATCCAGGCTATGGCCTTGGCAGATAGCAAGTTTCCTGTATGGTATCCCTACTATGTCACCTGGTTGATGGGAATTATTGTGGAGAGTACCCTCCTCGTCGTTCCCAACAGTATCATCCCGCCTACTAAGACTTTCGAATTCATCGACATTGTTATACAAGCCTTGAGAATCTGCACGTTCCTTGTTTTAGTGTTCCTATACTTCGGGCTATACAATGGCCAAAAGGAGCATAGTAATGGGGATCCCGAACGCCAGTCACTTTTGGGGAAGAAGCTTGTAGGCTCTGAAGATTCCGCTAATGGAAAGGGATACGGTACGACGACGGACAACTCCACCTCAACTACCACAGATACCGACTCGTGGATCATAAGACAAAACAAGGCAGAAGAACTAATTCAAAAGCGTTTAAAGGAGGACGGCAATTGGTTTACATATGCTAAAGGATTTACTGTTGGTTTCCTCTAATTTGAAGCTGCGAAGGCCTTACTGACTGGTGCTTAAGGTTTTCTTCCAGTATGTCTGGCCGTTCCACAGCAAACGCCTTCAGCTTAGAGCGCTTCTCGTAGGAGTGTGTCTGCTCTCCTCAAACGCCTTGAATGTCCTAGTTCCGAATCAGATGGGCGTGATGGTAGACAGCCTGACAAAATATGTCCAAGGAGGTATACCACACATTTTATCATTAAGTGATCAGTCCACTAATGTCCTTAGACCACCAACACAATATCTGGCTACCAGTTGCAATATACACTGCCCTAAAGTTTGTAAACAGTGGCGCTTGTATTGGCTGGATTCAAAAATGGTTGTGGATGCCAGTCGAGCAGTTCTCGTACGATGCACTAAGTACGGCGTCCCACGCCCATATCATGAATCTGTCATCCGACTTCCATGACAGCAAGACTAGCTCGGACCTCATTCAAGCTGTAAATGGAGGTAGGTCGGTTGCAGACTTACTAGAAACCGTATGTTTCCAAGTCATACCCATGTTTATCGACCTTGCAGTTGCTTTTATCTATTTGTGGTCCCTTTTTGGTCCGTATATGGGCCTCATGATGGGCGCAACGGTCACTTCATACCTCTACATTACGACAAGGCTTGTTAGTCGTCGGTCCAACAAACGCCGTAATTATATTGCAGCGATGCGTAAAGAATGGAGCGTCGGGTATTCTTCACTTGATATGTGGAATACTGCAAGTGTAAGTAAATAAGTCCGCTTATGCCATTGTTTTACCCGCCTCTTTCTCCTCCAACTACTTTTGACGTCACTGATGCGCCTATAGTTGTTCAACATGATTCCATATGAGCAAGATAGATACTCACATGGTAAGATAGGTTGACCTTCCTCCATGATATTTGCTAAGTCTGTTCAAGCCATCAAAGACCACCTCAAAGTCAAGTATACATATGAGATGTCTTCGCACTCGATTAGTGCTGCTCAGGGTTTGATTATGACTATTGGATTACTAGGAGCGCTATGGCTAGGTGTTTATCAGGTCGCTTACGAGGGTCGGTCTGTTGGGAAATTTACTACTCTACTTATTTATTGGGCACAGCTGTCAGGTGAGATTGCCCAAAATAAAGTATGAAAATACTCGTGCTAACAGGATTCAGGGCCTCTGACATTCTTCAGTAGCATGTTCAAGAACATTTCCTACAGTTTGATGGATGCTGAGCGTTTACTCGAGTTATTCCTAACGAAGCCTACAATCATCGAGTCGCCGAATGCAAAACCACTGAAGTTTAGCAAGGGCCTCGTCAAATTCGACGGCGTCTCCTTTGCTTACGATGATCGGAAGCCTACTTTAAAGGACGTCACTTTTAGCGTGCCTTCGGGAAAGACGGTTGCATTAGTGGGCGAGACTGGAGGCGGTAAATCGACAATTCTTAAGCTAATTGAACGATTCTACGATGTCAAAGCCGGCACTATTTCAATAGACGGCCAAGACATTCGCGATGTAACATTGACTAGGTACTGTATTCATTGTCCCAGAATAGCCCGTCAAATACTAACGATGGCTCTCCAGTCTCCGAGAAAAGATCGGTGTTGTGCCTCAAGATCCGCAACTCTTCAATGAATCCATCATAGATAACATCCGCTACTCGCGGCTTTCAGCTACCGATGAAGAAGTACACGAGGCTTGCAAAGCAGGTGCCGTTCACGACAAGATTATGTCCTTCCCTGACGGTAGCCTCAACCACCTCAGCTCCAATGCAAATATTTTCTAATCTGATATCGCAGGCTATAATTCTAAGGTTGGCCATAATGGAGTGTAAGAAGTTTCTATTAACATAAAATTATTACGACCTTTTACTGACGTAGTTGGCAGTAAATTATCTGGAGGCGAAAAACAGCGCATTGCGATCGCTAGAGCCATTCTGAAGCAGCCGGAGATTATTCTTCTTGACGAAGCTACTAGTGCAGTCGATACTGAAACTGAACAAGTCATCCAGGACGGTTTTAACACTTTGTGTCGGGATCGAACGACCTTTATTGTTGCGTAAGTTATGAATTTTTGGATGATATTATGGATATTGATTTTTCTAGTCACCGTTTGTCAACAATCATGAAGGCGGATCATATTCTCGTTATCATGGATGGTGAGATCGTTGAACAAGGCAGCCATGACGATTTAATTCATTCCAAAGGAAAATACCATGAATTGTGGTCAAAACAAATTCTTGTCAAGCCAACCGACGAACAGCCCAGGTCCCAAAGCCCCACAACACAGGATACAAACATCGTCAACGACCTTGCACCCGATCTACAGAAGGTTGAGCTAGCCAAGGTTATGGAGAGTACTGCAGACCAACAAGGCACTAGGGATGCTGGCGGATCGAAGGACGGCGAGGGGAAGGGATCTGGGGGGGGTCACCAGCATGAAGTAAGTTCGGCCACCGTTTGATACTTCCTTCCATTCCGCTTGGGTAAGCTAGATTCAGAGACATGGATCTGATCTATTCCTGCGGCACCTTTAAATACTGCATTAAAAGTAAAACGGCAAGGCTTTGTTAAACATTTAGTTGCATCTGTGAGCTCAGAATCCGTTGCGGGGCATGAAGTTGTTTTTGATTACGTTACACTTGTTCCGCAACCATAATATATATTTTGTAATGCTCACCATACATGCAGGGCTTCAAATTGAAACCAGACGCACCGGAATTTGTTCCACTACGTTCGGATATCGGTCCACGCAGCTCCTCTGCAAAGATTTTCCAGAAAGATACGTTAAATATGCGGGAGGTGCAGGATAGCCTGCATAGAATTGGAAACCTGGGTACAAAAGCATGTAAGAACGGAGATTCCGACTATTCAGGTGGGCAATTCGCCATTTTACCTATCCCCCGTCCATTCTGATAAAGTAATAGTGCCGAAGCCTAGTGATAAAAATTATACCTTAGGGGGTGCGACCGGGCAACCTACTGAGACTGAGGCATCTCTGGTCAACAAGCCGAAGCCCAAGCATTCCAGACCTCCGAGAAGACATACCTCGACGAGCGATCTCGCCTCTAAACTCCAAGATCCATGTGATGGCGTTCAAGATTCGGATATGACAGCGGTCAGCTCTAGTGAAAGCCAACCGTTATTGCAGAGTTCTTCAAATGCAAGTGCTCTACAAAGGAATCCGAGTAGCTTTACTGATAGATTTCAGCAACACCATCGGGTCTCGAGTTCCAGTAATCCGCCTTCTAGTTCTCAAGACCTTCGGAGCACTCGTACCCGAAGGACCCGCCACTGGCGCTCAAGGAACAGGAGTGCAGATAATTCAGGATCTAGTGCGCCAGCTACTGCAGGTAGCTCTTACGAAACTCCTGCTAACGACACACGTGTACCCCCTGTGTCTATTGCAAGGCCAATCGAAGGCGCCAATCATACTTTGAGCACTCTCCTATCTCCTCGCGACCTTTAATCGCAATACATGTTCATTATCCTGTACGACACTTGTAAGTGCACCGGCGTCACCTCTCCAACTCTCTAAGCTGGTCACTAATAACGTTTTAGATGTGCCTCGCCTCAATTACTCATGTAAACCTTACGCCATATATGGTGGTTTCCTCCAGGGCAGTATACTTGATACCAGAAACCTTATGAATTATTGCCTCCGCCTTTTGCTCTGGTTCATCTCCGATTATTCGTTCTTGGCTTGCATTATCTGCTTTTTACTTTCCAGGCGTTTCGATATATAAAATTGCTGGGGCGACAAAATATGGGAGGAGTATAAGTGGTATTCTCGTGAGAAATGGACACGATGGATCCCTACACAACATGACTTGCGTTAATTCATCTTTATGGGTGTTTGATGATCAATAGAACGGTGAATACAGTCGCATTCAATAGCTGGCTTCTCATGGCGTGCTGGCGTGGGCATGTAATGTATCTTACCACGGGGATATAATGTCGTTCAATTGAATCGACTACCGTTCATTCTTTAGGGTACTATGATATCCTATGTCTTGCAGTTGTGACGATGAGAGTAAAACTTAAAATGCCCTAGTTGTTGAACAAGTGGTGATAGAAATGGTGAAGCCAAATACTTAGGCTTAATTTAATAGCCCACCTTTAGTCCACATTCCGAAGAAGAAACGTAGGAGCGGCAATACTTTTGGCGAAATATTAGTCGCTACCACTTCACACTGTAGTGAGACTATCGAAGGGAGGACATATCCAACAAATGGTCTCTGTATTGGTATCCTAACGTAATACTATATCCTAACGCACCATTGATGTGTCTCTATACATCCATTACTCACAGTATGGTAACTTTAAGCGTGTTTCTATGCGCCACGGCCAGCTCCAGCTCCACGGCCAGCTCCGGCACCCCCCATCATGTTTCTCGCCCTATGAGAGCATTAGAATTACCCTTGTAGATGAAAGAGAGAAGGGGGGGTTGATTTGTAAATGGAAAATGCAAGGGAAGGAAAAGCTTACATCTCAGCGATGCTAGGATCTTGCATCAAACTGGCCAGGTCTGGAGTTCCACCAGCATCACCGCCAGCGCCACCAGCACCGCCGGCACCTCCGAATTGGTTGGCCATCTCGCGCAAGCGCGGGTTGCTCATGATATTGTTCATCATATCCGGATTGCTCATGAGGTTCTGAGCCATGGATGCGAACATGGGGTTGCTCATAATCGAGCTGAGATCAGGCATACCACCTCCTCCACCTGCCCCACCACCGCCGAACATGCTTGCGAGCGAAGCCATATCTGGCATTCCTCCAGGGCCAGCCCCTCGGTCAGTCGTCTCGTCGGAATCCGCCGCCTCAAGCTCGACCTTCCTCTTCGCCGTCTCATAGCCCTTCTTCATTGCATCACTTCCCCCGTTACCCTCATACTCAATCCCCTTTGCATAAGCCTCCATGCTTCCCTTTGCATCACCCAGAGCGAAACGCGCAAAACCCAAACGGCTCCACGCCTTCGTGAAGCTCATGTCGGACGCCAGCGCCGCCTCAGCATCCGCGCAGGCAGACGCATGGTCCTTAGATGCCGAGTACGCCGCGGCACGATTGGAGAGGAAAATCGGGTTCCCTGGGACAAGAGCGAGGGCTTTGGTATATAGCTCTATGGCTTGTGGGTAGTCCTTTGAGGCCATTGCTGCATTTCCTTGACTCTTTAGTGCCTCGGCTTCCTTCTTCTGTGCCTCGGTGGGTTGTGTGGATGTGCTGCTCCCGCTGGTCGATTTCTCGGTCGCGGCACCACCAGCGGCGGAGGGCTTGCTTTTCAGCTTCTCATACACGCTGTAGATTTGCAGCAGGGTTTGCGAGTCTTTCGGCGTTGCGTCTGTGGGGTCGACTTTGTAGCATTCTGAGATGCAGTTTGTTGCTATTTCGATCGAGTCCCGGTCTTCTTCGCTAAGGCTACCATCGGTGAGGGAGGTGTTCAGGAAGTCGATTATGGAAAGCGCAAGGCGCTGCTTTGTCGTTGCCATGTTGGCGTTGAGTTGGCTGTATTGAGGTCGGAAACTTGTTGTTGTTGGAGAGGCTGAGAGGGGAAGAGGGTGGAGATTATTGAAGTTGCTACGGGGATAGGTATGGAAGCAAAAAGTGGAAGAAGCCAGCGAAATAAACCTCGCTTGTGAAGCTGAGGTCGGTGTCCCAACGCCGCTTGTTCTAGTGGGGCAGCAACGGCCCCTAAACTTCCCCTGCCGGGCTGCAACTTCAGGGCTTGGCCCATTGCCATTAGGCCCATCTAATAGCAGCGATCAGTACCTTAGGTTTGTAACTATCACATCACAGTTACAAAAGAGATGTCTTTTGTACTTGGGCTACCTGAAGCCGGAACACATCTTGTTAATCACCTAGATTCGAGAGTTTTACGAGATGTGGTGTTTACTTTCTTGTCCCTTACTCGTATCTGGCGCCTACATAAGTACCACAAAATTCAATTCAAGATCATAAGTCGTATGCTCTCAAGGTATCATGATATCTTCCTATACTCAACGCTGAAATCTTCCCACGACTAGTCGGTGCTCAATTTCCACAAACCGTCGCCCAAATAATGCGCATCCTCCACCACGGGACCCTTTCCCTTCTCCTTAACCTCCTTGGTACCCATACTCAACACGCCCACCGCACACGCCTCCTCCTTTCCTTCTGCACATATCACTACCGGCTCTCCTTCTTGTAATTCCCTTCCGCCGTACCAGCCGCCTCCCTCCCTCGGGCCGTCACCTACGACATCGTCTCGCGTCTCGCCATATACGCCCGTCTCCTCACTATCCCCGTTCGGTAATCTACCGTCCGTGGATGTTAATCCAGGAGCCATGAGCGTGGCTCCAGACAACACAAAGCGGATAGCTCCGCGGTCGATACGGAGGCTTGGGAAGCAAGTTGGGAACCGGTGGACGAGCTTGAGATGCGGGAGGATGGCGTCGGTCATGTGCTGGTAAAATAGGGGTGTTGGGCCGATGAGGTAGAGGGTTACCCTATCTGGACTATCCGCGAAACAAACTCGTCAGCATATTCTTTTCTAGGGTTGAAAGAATGTATTTGAGTTGGTTGTTCACCGCGGGAACAGAAGGTGGCGACAGGCAGTGACATATATGAAGCATACACACATTTTCATCGCATCTAGCTGCTCTTTCTTCGGGATGATCTCGTCGATATGGGGTGCTAGTAAAGGATATGTTGTTGTGATTTGGTTTCGGATCGCGCGTTGCACCGAGGATTTGACTTTAGATTTCGATCCAGGGGAGATGCTGTAGGTGCGGTTAGTTACAGCATTCGTTCGATAGAAGCCTTAGGTTGGGAGAGGAATTCCAGAGAACTTACTCCTTCTTAAACATCTTGAAGGTGTTGTGTGGGAATTGTCGCGTTGAAGAAGGGCTTATATATGAGGGGTTGCGTGAGGCACAAAGCATGAAGCAGACTCGAGAATTGTGGAGGGGCTGCCCCGCGTCCGGCAGCCTTCGCAGACCAGAGATGCATATTTATGGAGGGGTTGTGATCATGTGATTCTATAAACCCACAAGGCAGGAGATTGCGGATTCTAATAAATGGGTGGATATTAAGTAGGTGATTCTTTGTAAGGATGGGATATCTTATGTAGAAGATATACCCTAATGCAAGCTAAGTTCAAAACCTTAAAGGGATGGTTGTGGTGCTGAGACATTGAATCCGTCCACCAATTACTTCAAGCTGTCCACTTCCACTCTTCATTTGTCTGTTGAATGTCTTTTTACATCGTTGTATTGCTCGCAGTCATGGATGCAAGTAATGTGGATAATTAAAATATCATTCTCATAATACATAATACATGGGAAAATGCTCGTTACATCTCATCCATTTGATTATCTCGAGGCATCAGTTCCTCATTTCTACTGCTTATCAACGTGAGAAACAGTGCCATCTTCCTTCAAATGGACGTTCAATCTGGCAGTGTTAGTGACTTGATATTCCTCTACCCTGTTACAAAATGCTTACCGGTCGGGGTTAAAGTCCTTGGTAACCAGCTGTCCCGGCTCAATGACTCTTGTCTCCTTTGGGAGCTCTGCTCTTGCGAAAGTCTTCTCAAGTAATTAGTAAAGGTCCAAGAAAGGCTTGTAGGGCTTTTCACGTACAACCTCATCAGATCTCTCCCCCAATTTCTTGCCAACTAGTTTGTTGGCCCACTGATCTGTTACGGATCCGCCCTTATTGTTGTTGATTCCTGGAACGACGAGAGGCATTTTGAAAGTTTGGTGGTTTGTGGTTGTCAAAGACTTGTATTGAGTGTTTGGTCTTGTTGTTATCTGTGTGATGGAAGATTTGATGCGTTTTGAAATGAGGAAGAGCATGAAATATGAATGATTTAAATGCATAGCCTCCTGCCCTGCCCTGATTGTCCTTGAACGGAGTAGGAATAACAGGAATGACGTATGCATCCCACGTGATATCCGTTAACGTATCGGGGTTTACATCACGTGCGAGATACGTAGTACAGCCTCTATCTGACCATCGTAATGGGTACGTTCTTGGCCTAATCCCTACTATTGGAACAATCAGAAAACCATAGCCGCTGATTTATTAGCTCTTATATCATAGTAGTAAATAGTAATCGGCGTATTTAGAAGGAGGGAATGGTACGGGCTCCTGGTTCGACCTAAAGAGCTTAGATAAAGTCAAGCAAGGGATTTATACTTACGATACCCCAGCTGTTAAAAAGACACTTTATATACATTAGACGATAAGAGAACATTAAGACCTAAACATGTCGATTCAAATCAGCGACGGAAGGTGGCTAGCCGTTCTTTGACTACATACACCTAGTTTTGTTAAGTTCGGAGGCTGTAGCCATGATCGTATATTGACAAGGAACGGTCTGACTACGTAGGATATGTTAATGAGGCGAAGTCAAAAGGGCCTAGTGTTCGGATAACCCGTCCTTAAATTTAGGCAAGTTATTTTGAGCACTGTAGCTCGGCAACATATGTCACTTGCATCAATAAGGTCTTATGGAGGATGATGTACGCAAAGGTTGTAATTATTTTGAATATGATCATATCATTGCAATTAGTGTTGGCAATTGCCGATTAGTCACCGTAGAAGATGGGGACAAAGTAAATTCAAGGCGAGTCTGCTAGAGGATACGCAGTCATTTGGGCCTTCCGAATCTTCAAGCGGTGTTCTTTCTAGCAAGCCATGGATGCTTTAGCATTTCTGCCGCTGATTTTCTATCGTCTGGTTCAACAGCCAGCATGCCCTCCAAGAAATCAACAAAAATACGTACCTCAGTTTGCGGCATATCCTTTGGTCTCGAAGGACTTCATCCTTGCCATCCATTAATGAGATGAGAGAAGAGACGCGGGCGAAAGCTTTAGAATGCGAAGCAGATTCCCTGATAAAAGGTCAGCATGTCCGAATACGTTTCATTTCTCTCTCTAGTCATGCTATCCTAGAGAACTGATAATAATCGTGAAATATGTGGCTAAGGCGATGTGAAGTATGTTGAAGGGTAGATTGAGTTGCATACCTTCATCGTCAAAAAACTCGCGAGATCTGACACCTCTTTTAAGGAGAGCTTCGGGAAACGGTCCAAAAACTTCTATGAGTTGTGCGAGTCGGTCGTCCTCTGCTGTCCACGTCCCATTCTGGGATGCGGTTCCAGGAAATGGGAGATGTCCTTTGACAAACTCGATCATCTGCGGTTCAAATCAGCCACTTCAACCTCCTACTACACGTATTTTCGAACACTTTCTTTTTTGGAAAATTATAACATACGAGACTCCCTAAACTCCAGATATCCACACCCGTGCCCCACGGAGCGCCTAGCATCACTTCTGGCGCCCTAAGATGAGGTGACTGGATTCGGTCAGATAGATGCTGATTTACCCAAGACGCTGCAAATGAAAACTTAGCGAATTTCGCGAGCCTGGGAACATGATCAAGCAATAATGGCATAACCTACAGACTCCAAAATCGATAATCCTCACACGAATCTCATCCATTTCGGAGATCAATGGCGTGGTGATAACTTCACTCAATGGCATCGGCATTGGAGCCTCCTCGCTGCCCTTGTCGATATCTCCAAGCCTTGTACTCTGTCGCTGAGATATCCGTGCTGATGTCTGCTCCAAGTAGCTTGAAATGATAGCCTCGGGATCATCCAGTAGTATTATTTGAAGGCTTCAAATCTGTATTTTTATGATCAGTCATCGGTCAAATTCGGTAAGTGAAACCAAACCCGCTTAAATTCAAGAACTCGAAGTACCTGTGTGTATAATGCCGCATTCTCGGTGCAAGAAATCGAGCCCTTGGAGCAGTGCCGAGCTACTTCTTTCATCACCGCTACTGGTATACGCTGTTGCTCGAACTTTCCGGCTTGAAGTCCTAAATGATGTCCCAGAACGGGGAACACAAGGCAGACATGATTTCCATTTGCTCCTTCGTGGTGAAAGTGATCGAGGAGTTGAATGGCATGATTCCGTCCAGGATTAGTAGATAGATGCGATTTCTGCCGGATATGCTGCAGCATCTCGAGTTCGTAGGTGTCATGATTGCCATCATAACAATCTGATCTAAGAAATTTTACCGCCACGTGCGTTTGCGTCCTGGAAAAGTATAATTAACGGATCTATGATCCTATACAGCATTCTTAATAGAGTCTTACTTCAAGTCACGCGCCAGCCAAACTGTAGAATATTGGCCGTACCCTAGCTTCCGCAAAGCAATGTACCTCTCATCATTGAACTGGTCGCCTAGACTAACGCGACAGAATAACTCATAATCATGGTTTGTCCCTTCCTCGGGAACTTGAATTCTTGCGCTTGGTGCTCCTGGCAATACATCTGTTGCAAGCGCTCTAGATGGCGATGGCTTCTCCAGTGTTCGAGCCGCAACTGAAAGGCCTTGTGGCATTATGTGTACGTTAATAGGGAATATCCATTAACAGAGGTAGGAGCCTTGAGGATTTGGCAGCGAGTGCCCTCAAAAATAATAAGAAGAGACGAGATAGTATGGGGATGGTTGGCCGTGGACCACGTCGTGGTGAGTATCGGAACTACAGAGTAGCCGAGACCCCAAAGTGGAAATAAATTCCATTGTTTTACGAAGTCAAACGTCTCGAAACGAAATTGTCGAATTAAGCTCAAGAATTTCTCAGAGTACGTGAAATAATTAGAGCAAGTCGACTCTTTAAAATCTGGATAGGTTTAAGGAGGTAGATGTTCTGTTCAACCGAGACATTCGTGCGCCGCTTGTGTTTCTCCTTATCCTTGACTGCCAGAATTCTTTCCTAAACCCTTTTATTAGCTCTTTTCTATCCATGACAATAGCGTGGAGCATCGTACGTACTGACCATGCCACGTGTTGCTGTATTGGACCCTGCGAAATTGATGACATACCGAGGTGCCTAACATAGTAAGAAGGAGGTATTCATTGCGCCGTGTCAAAGCTCGCAATCGGGACTGATTCTGACCCTATTAATTATAACGAAGGACCCAACTAATGGAATGGAATGGAGAAAGTGGTCCCATAATGATGCTGGTAATTCAGAAGCCACATCTAGCTTATTTCAGGATGGTGGCTCTGTTCTCTCGTCTCGTCTGCCTTCAAATCCTCTGTCCGTTTTCTCGTTCTGCTGAGTCCACTCTTGCGCTCCGACTCTGACTTCAGCTCCCAACGCCCCCAGTCTCGGATCCATGCCACGTTTCTTGGCTTCAATTAAAGCCTCAGCCTCACCAAACGTGCCCTTCAAAAATGGGGAACAATATTTTGCGTGCTGGAAGCTCCAGCTTGCAGACAACTCGGTGTATTTTATCTTTAAAAATACCCACTCCGTACAGTTTCCCAACCATGATTTCCTTTTTAATAATACGGTGCTGGCCTCGAAGACATATTGCTTTTTTCTAAACCCGAAAATATGCAGAAAGCTGTGTTTGGCGGTCAGCCTAGGACACAGGCCAGCACTTAACTGGGTATGCGGATGGGCCTTTCTCAAGCCCCGTTGGCCCTTATTGGGCCACGCTCAGGTCTCAGGAAGCTTCGCCCCGGATTTTAAAATAAGCATTTGAAGGCGAGGCTGATTCGATGATCATTTATCTATGCGTTGTTTTCCTCTCTGCCCGACTTATCCGTTCATGTTCTTTTTGTTTTTGGTCTTGTGTTCTTGGAAAGAGGCTGGCTGCATTTCGGGCATCACTGTTGGATGAGCCAATTCGTTAATTCTTGTCTCACATTTCGCCATCATGCGCCTAAGCCTTGTCAATCTGCTGGCGGTAGCCTCGACAGTTTGTGCGATAGGGACCAGATGTGGGCCGGACGAGGTTGAGGGGGTTGTAGAGAGTATTTCTTGTGGCGACAGCGCGGTTATCTTGGAATGCCTTCGGAAACTTGGTGACATCCCCATGGTACTAGAGATTGAATCTTGCTTTGTTATTGGCGGCTGCACAAAGGAGGATGCGGCTTCTTTTTTCCAAGACTGCAATACACCGGAGTCGCGGCAGGGTTTGAAGAAGAGGAAAGAGAAAGAGGTCACTACTACAGAAGAGGAGGATAACGAGACCGACAAGCCTAAAGCAACGAAGAAACCCGCCGAAAAACCCACAAAAACCACTGAAGAACCTGCAAAAGCCACCGAAGAACCTACAAAAGCCACCGCAAAAACCACTGCAAAGCCCACCTCAAAAGTCGCCCCAAAAACCACACCGACTTCCAAGGAAACGTCAACTACGGAAGAATCCAAGACAAGTGCTTCTTCGACCACAGACTCGAGTTCGAGTCCTAGCTCAACCACACCAAGTACGACTCGTAGCACTCCCGGCACCACTGCAGCAGCGGCGACCACTACTGGGAAACTTGCTTGCTCGACAACAAAAACAATATCCACAACTGCCTGTTCCGTTTCCGGCGGCAAAACTGTCACCTGCTCACCAACGACCGTAGTGTCCGCGACCTGTGCGCCAGGCAATATCTGCTTCAGCAGTTCATCAGGCTCCGATGTCTGTATGAAGAGATATCCACCCCTAGCAACGTCGGGCATTGTTGCCACGGTGTTTTTGGGCCTCGGTCTCGTCTCCTCTATAGTTTTCATAATCGCCATGCGTGTAATGGCGAGCAAGAAGACGCGCCGGGACAGGGCGGCCAAGCTTGCAGGCGGCAAGCGACCGATGGATGATATTGAAGAGGCGAAGCCGTATAAAATCGGAGCCGGTGGTGATGGTGGCAATGATAACGTCCCGCTGATGCCAGCTGGTGGTAGAGGAAACGGTTATACCGGTCAGGACCAAGGATACTTCGGTCAGACAGGTGGACCCCCATCAAATCCCTTCGGTCCTAGTGGGCAACCAATACCACAGATACAACTGCATCAAGGCTTAGGGGCACTGGGGCAGGATGATACTCATTGGAGTCAGGATTATAATGCGAGGAGGTAGCGGTAACTATGTACTATGTGCTTATGGGTTGATGAGGACGGGGAGTTTGGAGTTCCGGATTAGATGCATATATGCTATATGGGGGAAGCCATAATGCTGATTCGACCTTTCTATTTTCCATTAGGAATTTGTACCTAAGTGTATTATTGCTGGAGGCCCAGTTCCCCTCCAGTAAGAGAGTCATTGATATAAATTAAATTTCGCTTATGAACAAAATGCACTTTCCAGAGGACCAGAATGCATGGCTTCGTTGACAATAACACTTCTTTCAACCAATCCCATATCACAGGCAACCCCACTATCTTCCTTTTTGCTGCCTTGGCTTTAAGCACTGTCAGCGTTTGAGCAGGTGCTGTTGGCGAGCTTTTGGGGTGTGGGTTTCCCGGAGACTTACTTGTCTTTGACTTACTTGTCTTTGTCGCGGTGTGATATTAGTTGAGAGATCAAAATAAGGGAGGATCGAAATACGGGGGTTGACACGGTTACCGTCGCCTCAACAGCACCGATTCCTGCAAATCGTTCACGGACCGACGATAATGCAAAACCATCGAAAGGGCCATGAAGTATTCGGCCCCTTAGTATTATACCCACATACACTTATGTTACTACCACACCACTTATACCTTTTCAAGATGCCCCAATGCTGTGTGCTGCGCTCCTCTGATGGTACTGGCGGAATCGAATAGGGACCCCCTTTAACCACCATTTAAGCGAGCTTTTACCATATCCGCGATCTTCGACAAAAGAAAAGGATATGCATGCTTTTGCAAATTAGGGTTGACAGAGTGATTTACTTCATGACATTCCTCGATCACAGGCACCATTGCATTATTCATGAGGTTGCATTAATCGTAGGAGCTGCTGCTTTTATCTGTCTTGTTTGTGTGGCACTGTTGGCCTCAAAGAATGCAATGCTGCGATCGCTTTAATTCACCGAGCATACCTATGCAATATCAAGCCTAACTAAGTAGCTAATGCTGTGCTGCGTAAGGTAGGCTAGTTCTATGATGATGATCTTTTGTCCATGGGAAACAAATATCTCGCAATATACTTGTGTCTTCCCTCCATTTGAGCAATGCAGTGGTTGCCATGTGAATGAACGGGGCAAGCGATCCCCCTTCCCCGCAAATATGTTCCCCGTCGGGGCAAGTAGCGCACTTTACATCGTGGCTTGCTGGTATCCGCATGAAAAAGAAATATAAAGTCAACGATTCCATCAGACCTATTCAGACTTGTTCCCATAGCCAATCTGATTGCCTCACCACCCCTTCCAGACTCCGCCCAGATGCAAATGAAAACGACTCCGACCCTATGCGAGCATATGTAAAAAGGGAACTCGTAAAACAGAAGCAAAGGATGATGCGTATGCGTTGCGATTAAGGGTCGTGGATTCAATTTACATGTCGAAATGCTCGCCGTTGAACATGTTGCTGTCCTCATTGGTGTTCGTCTTGACAATGCCGCTCATACGATCACCGCGCCTACCCTCCTCCGGGGCCCCAAAAGGATCTTCCCAGTCTTCTCGTTCTCGTTCGTCGTCATCATCCATATCATAATCATCTTTCGCCAGATGTTGCATGTGCTCCTGAAGAGAACTCTCGTCAACAAAGGTAAAGCCTTTGAAATTAGCCTGCATGCCCGGGGAAAGCGGGGTTGATGTATCCACACCCGCGGCGAGAAGTGCGGCCCGAGCATTGAGTGAGCCAGCTGCGTTCAACGCATTTGTGAACTCGGGATCGAAATTTTGGGTGTCGGTCTCAGACTTCAACTTAGGCTTGAAGGGAGGGGTAATCAATTTCTTGGCCAACGCATCCCAGTCGATATCGGCGAAAAACGGGTGGACCTTCAACTCCTCAGCATCATCCTGTGCACCAAGTCGATGCTTTGGATTTCGGTTAAGAAGGCCTTTGACAAAGTTGCGCCCTTCGGTGCTCAAAGTATCCTTTGGGAACCGGACCTTCCCGAAAGCAATATTCTTGTACATCTGTTGAGTGTCCTCGGCGTAAAACGGACTCCAGCCGCAGCACATCTCGAAGACAAGAACCCCCAAGGACCAAAAATCCACCATTTTTGTGTAACCTTGCTCATCCAGAAGGACTTCAGGAGCCAGGTACTCTGTTGTGCCGCAGAATGTATTAGTAGTGGCATTCTTGGTAAGATTCGCCTTCGACAGGCCAAAATCACATAGAGCAATGTGGCCATTGGCGTCAAGTAAGATATTCTCTGGCTTCAAATCCCGATAAACGATATCGTGCATATGGAGGTGTTGAAGAGCCAGGATAAGTTCGGCAATATAGAATTTGGCGCGTTTCTCATCGAAGCGGCCTTCCTTCTGCAGATGCCAGAACAACTCGCCCCCAGACATGAAGTCCGTGACAAGATATAAGTCCGTCGGTGTCTGGAACGAAAACTTCAGGCCAACAATGAACGGAGAATCCGCCATTGCCGTTCTGACCAGGATGTTGCGCTCTCCAACCGTGTGGGCGACTTCCTTCTTCTGGACAATCACCTTCTTTTGAAGGACTTTCATGGCGTATATTCGCTTCGTGTCGCGCTTCCTGACCTGATAAACCTGACCAAATGTACCCTTTCCAATCAACTTTAAGATCTGGAAATCCTCGGGTCCATAGTGTCGTTTCTCTATCCGCTGGAAAGTGATCTCGACGTAGATCTGACCGAAGAGACCCGTGTGATTATCATTTTTCCCGCAGAGTGGGAACCAACCAGCAAGCGGAGTGCTGTCGTTGGTAAGATTGACCTCGAGATCCACGTGACCCAGGAACTCCTCTGCGGCACTCCCTTGGTCATAGATAGTTAGATTGACGCGCGAATCCGAGTCAACCACATCGCTGGCAATCATTAGATTTTGTAAAGAAGGGGATTAATGGCACTCACAATACAGCCTCGGTATCCCATTTCGGGTTCGTGAACGATCGACGGCCTTTGGCCTTGAAATCACGCTTGTCGGACTGGCTCGTGTTGCTACTCTGTCGGCTCTTCATAGGAATCGCCATTGGACGGCCCGAATCACTTGCTGTACGCTGGATCGGAATCCCCCCCATTGGAATAGTCGACGTATCCTCAGGTTCATCATCGACCTCGGGTATGGGGCCCTTCGAAACCAGTTCGTTTCTCTGAAAGACGGCTACAACATACGGCTCTCTACTTTTCCGCAGACCTCGTGCCTCGGTGATCTTGACAGTGAGTTTTCCCTTTGGTGTTGGGGCAGGAGCGCCAGTCACCTCAACCGTTGCTAGAGTAGCCATGGCTTCAGCGGCCGGGGGCTTGCCGTTCTGGCTCAAACCGTTTTCGACAGTCTGCTTTTTCGGCTCCTTTTGCTCCTTCTGCTCGTTTCCGTTTTGGCCATTCTGAGCTTGCGCAGAGTCTGAGCCGCCGCTGGTATTTGACGTGTTGGTCTGGTTTGATAATGCACGTGGGGTTGGCGGGATACTCTTTTTGTGCCGAACATCATACGTTAGCTTCAATCGTTCACACGAGGCTGCTGACGACTCTTGAGACTGGGAAGGGATATGTGAGCAGGGAGGGGGTGTACTTGTGGGTACAGTGGCTAGATGGCAATTGCTGGGTTTCGAGAAATGAGCAGCATGAACATGTGAAATTGTTACAATGCCCGGGAGCGGTAACAGGGAAGTGGAGGAGGCTCTTGACGGAATAGGTCCCGAGATGCTTCTTTGATGTGTAGAAGCAGACTTGGAGGCTCTCTTGACGTGCAATTGACTAGCATCGTCGTCACTCGTGTCGCTCAACTTTAGCTTGTGGGGAGAAGACGGCTGGGAAACAGGCGGAGTTGGGTAGGGGTGAAGCAGATTGGGGTGCTGCGACTGCTCTGACGCACGAAGAAAACCCGCCTGCTCATTGGGGGGGAAATGACGGGATTTCTCCATGCTTGGGGTCAGACGTAGCGTGGGTTTCATGCTTGGGGGGCGGGGCAAGGGAAGAAAATCCCAAAAGAAAAATTCAAATGGAAAATCCCGGAGGGCTGACAACAGCCGGCCGGGGTTGAGCGAGTGCTTAATAATGGCAATATCAAGGAAGGCAGGTCGGAGGAGCGCAAGGCTGCAAGAGCGCAAAACTTGAATCTGAATCTGAAGCTGAACTTGAACCTACCTGGCCAAAGTAACTGTGCATAATGCCTGGCAGGCGCTTGTCCGAAAGATCTGGCTGAGGGGTTGCGACACCGGAGCGGGGGGTATCGGAATCAATGTGGTCATTGGCGTCATCGTCTCCTCTGTGTAAGCGGTTGTTAGCATGAGAATGAGAATGAGTCTGAGCTTGAGCTTGAGCATGAGCATGACAAGCGTCGTCAGCATCAGCATCATCACCATCACCATTAGCATTAGCATTAGCATCCGCAATAGCAGACGGAGCCAGCGCCGTGGTGGTGGAAAGCAAGAAGCTGCAGCGCAACAAAGCACATGCGCGCGAGAAAAACACCATGATTTTTTTTTTTGGTGAATTAATTAATTATCCTCCCCCGGAGCAAAGGAATAGCGGACATGAGCATAAATGGCTCAGAAGCCGAGATTTCTTCTTCCAGTTTTTTTTTGCGGTGGGGATGCAAATTAGGGAAAAGGCCATTCTAGGAAAGGAAGGACGCGCCCAGCCCAGGTTGTCGCCGAGTCGCCGGTGCCCGATCGCCCGACTGCCGCTTCAGTGGGAGTGAAAGTGCGACGCAGAGATGCAGACACAGACACAAGACACAGACACAGACACAAGGCACAAGACGCAGACACAAGACGCTGTGGCAGCCGTGGTGAACAGGCGATGTTGGGACCCCTCGTCAACTTTGACGTTACGTGGGCAGCCAACTGGAAAGCATGTGCAGGTGGGAAAAAAGGCTCCCCGCGAGATCTCTCACACATAGGCAGACAGACAGACAGCCAGCCAGCCGCAGAGAGTCGCAGCAGAACAGCAACATCAAAGGGAATCAAAGATGCAGATGCAGAGGACCAGAGGAGCAGAGAAGCCGGCTCTGGAGCAGGGATCTCCGTCAAGAGAGAACGAGGGCTGGCTGCGGAATTAACAGCAACAGCAGCATCACCTCATCCTAACCCCAGCACCAGCGCCAACTCAACTGCCCTCTCTCACGATGCGGTGCGTGGGGAAGCCCTCTCTTATCTCGATCTCCACCCGCCAGCGCCGATGATATAAGAAATATGTATTCCCGTACCTTGCCATCATTGCCTGTGTAGCTTGCTTAAGCAAGTCGCTCTCGTTTCCTGCCATCGCGAAAGGCTCTCAGAGCCTGCGCCGGGGAGTCGGGGTCGCGTCAGAGCAATTCGAAGGGGGTCCGTCGCGGAGGCTTTGTTTGTGTTGGTGGGGATCAGATCGGGGTGTTGCAACAAGGCGAAAGCTGAAGTTCTTCTCTGGTTTGTATCTGCCGAAGTACCTTGAAGGTGGGCAGCAGTCGAGCAACCGGCGCGGGGGGCGAAGATGCAACCGGCGCTTGGGGCAGATTTCTTGGAGATCTCGAGGGGAGCGATATATCTGTTTCGAGGCTCGGATGGGAAAGAGATTGGGTTTTGGTTTTGGTTTGGTTTGGTTATAGGCGTAAATGTGGGTGTATGTATGTGTGCGTGGTGGTGACGTGCAGGAGTGGAGGAAAGACTCGGAAAGATCTTGACCTGACCTCACTCAGCCTAGTAGTTTTAGTCGCCCGACGGTTGGCACCAGAGCTCGCTACTTGGAAATGAGCTACTTGGAAATGAAGGGCGGACGAAGTGTCATATGTAAGATGTCAAATATGTAAGGCAGGGCGATGTGTCCACCAGGATAGCGCGGGCAACAGAGAGGCCCGATGGATGAAGCAATAATGCACTACGGGTGCTAGTGCTCGACTTGGAGGTGATGCCGAAGGTGTTGCGGGCGGTTGCAGAGGCAAAGGCGGAGGCAAAGGGCAGAGGCCAAGGGAGAGGGAGAGAGGTAAGGATAATAAAAGCAAAGATGGAGGCAAAGGGGAAAACGGGCGTGAGGGTTCACGGGGAGAAGGATATGGTTGATGACCGTGACGATGTACTGCACTGTAAGGCCGAGTACTCCAGTCGTAGGTAGGTTACAAGTACCTTGGGTGTGCCGGGGGAGGTTGACAAGTCGTGTTGTAGGTAGTGCATTACACCGCAGCAGCCCAGGAATAGTGCAGCTGAGGGCCCGATCAGCGATTTAAAGTAGCGTTTAGCAGCTGGGCAATAATCATGGTCAATGGTCAATGAGCAATTACAGCAGCTTCCACTTCGTACTCGTAGCGCTGCGCAGGAGCTGGGACAGGCGGGCTGGCACAAGCACAAGCTGACTCGTGGAGTTGTGGGAGGCGGATTCGAATCGCGAATGGATCGTTACTCGAGTACGAAGGATGAGCGCCGGCGCTGCGTCTCCGGGAGTCCTATTCCAGCAATGGGAGGGCAATGAGCTCTATACATCTGTTGGGGGGGCCGACGATGCGCTCAATCACAGGGCATCATATATATTGGCGGGATCAGTGGCCGTCGAGGAGAGTGCTCGAGACCGACGGAGAAAGATGTATGGACTCTGGAGGTACGGAGTCGACACAAGGGATCATGGTCATGGTCGTCAATCGGCGAGAGCGCTAATTAGTTAAACGCCAGCAAGGACAGGGAAGCGTTTCTTGGTCGCCGCCTAATACTTCGTGGGTACGAGTACATGGAGGCCAGGTTAGTCAAGAAGGAAATCCCTCTCGTATTATTATAAAGGATCCTTCCTTGAGCACGGAGGCCATCATCATAGCTGTGCCAGTTGAACCGCTCTCAAAGCTCCACGGACTTATTATATTATTAGATGAGGCGCAGGAAAATAAAATGTTGCCGCCGTTCAGCATAGGAGGGCCGAGGCAAACGCCGTACGTCATATAGCCGGGTGGCCTCTTCATCTACTTGGTAATGTACTTGGTACTTTCGCACGTCCTGTAGCACTTGGTCTAGTCCTCTTATCGATATGTAATTGGGCGACGGCGACTTGGGAATTCGGCCACCCGGGAAATACTTGACTACTTTACCACGCGGCGGAGGGCCGCCGTCGACCCATCAGCCCAACAACCTTGTAACCCTGGGTCTCAAAGGGGCCCCAAGATATTTTGGATATTTCCCAATCCACAGGTTGGCCTTGGTTCAGAGACAACCCCCGAATCCCCCCGTTCTAATTATCAATTTTGAATCCCCAGGCTCCGTGAAGCAGAAGTCTTGAATATTGAACGGCAGACACGCCTCGTCTCACGACTCGTGTTCTTTTGAGCTGACTGTAATATTATGAATGCTTGCCGAAGGTGTTGAGGGAGGTACTTCGTAATGCTACGTATGAAATCCAGCTCCTCCTCTCCGGCCGTCAACCTTGGACCCCAGATAACAGCTGACATAAGACCCAGGCCTGCTGGAGTTGCTTCAAGTACCTTGCCTCTTGCAAGTTGCAACGCACTGGTACCACACACAGCCTGCGCTGGCTAATCGCCAGACCGCCAGACGCGTGTCACCATACTGTCTATAAAATAGGCAGTCAAGCTTGGAATCGATTGTGGCGAGAGCTGAAAAATAGCTAGTCTGTCGCATTCTTCCAAGGCCTGGTAATCTTCAAGCTGCATTCGCATGTGACGAACAACCTGGCCCTGCTGTTGTGTGGCGTGTCCTTGGATAGTGGAGAGACATGCCCTATGGTTTTTGTTCCAGAGGCCGTAGAACTTCAAGGTACCGTATCAAAATTGGAGCCGCTGTTTATTTGCTATTAGAGCTAGAACATAAGAAGCCATCATGGTGCTTGGTATTGAGAAGCCGCACTGCACAAATAGCAAGGACATGGTGTTATTTACCTTATGATATTGGTATTACTTGAGCCATGTTATTAGGACAGGCTCTGTTATTCAGCCTCATGGAGAGATTTATTCAACAAAAATAAACTATCTTCCCGGACATTAAATGGCCCTAGCTGTATCAGTGATATTCAAACAACATCTGTAACATACATGCTTAAGTACCTATATATACCTAACTAAGGTAGGGTAGCTGCTCTATTCTATCGTGGTCATAGGGATGTAGTCATGTGACTTCTCAGTCCTGTTGATGTAAGGCAGCAAGGCCGCAATCCAGACGCTGGCATGCTGGATTGTGAATTCGTGCGAAGTCGCGACTCTGGCACGTCTGGGCATCAACTTCCGTCGCGACGAATTCACCCACCTGCATTACAGTCGCAACGCCGGGACGCAACTGCCCAAGTTTGCTGAACAGTCCCACCGCGATGGGAAGGCGCCCAGGTCGAGCAGCTGCGAAAAATGCAGCTGCAGCATTAAGTAATTCAACCTTCAACAAACAAACCTCCACCGCATTCAACACTAACATGGATATGGCAGAAAACACCCCTCAATACAACGAGGCCGAGGATGAGCAGATGCCAGATGCGCCGACCTCCGATGTAGACAGCCCGCACGAAGACGCTGAGGAAGAGAATGCCGGAGATGACGATGAAGATGGCACCCCAGCGCAAGAATCTGAACCCGAAGCCGCATCCGTACCAACTACTCCTGCGCCAGAACCTGTTCGCAAACGCCGATTAGGGAGACCGCCAAAGAATCGACCGGCAGATTGGGATACGCAAGACCGTGATGGCGAGCGATCAGAAACCGGCACCCCAAGGCGCGGTAGAGGTAGAGGTAGAGGAGGGGCCGGACGCGGTGGTGGTCGATGGGCACGCCGTGGAGGGCCTTCACACGTTACACAGCAGCCAATTGATAAAGAGGGGAACATGATGGATGTAATCAACGATGAAGTCGAATTGCCAGAGGATCCCGAGGGCGAGGCCAAGGTCGATAAGATGGGTTACCTCCAAGGCGGACGCGAATACCGATGCAGGACATTCACAGTGTTGGGTCGGGGCGAACGGCTCTATATGTTGTCCACCGAGCCAGCAAGATGTGTGGGATTCCGCGACAGTTACCTGTTCTTCACCAAGCACAAGCGCCTGTTCAAGATTATCATCGATGATGACGAGAAACGTGATATGATCGAGCGCGAGATCATCCCACATTCCTACAAAGGTAGAGCTATTGGTATCGTCACAGCACGGTCAGTCTTCCGCGAATTCGGTGCTCAGATCATAGTCGGCGGCAAGAGAGTGATCGATGATTACGAAGTTGCGAAAGCCAGGGCCACGGGTGTTGTAGAGGGCGAATTGGCGGATCCAAATGATCAAATCAAGGAGGGCCAGGCCTACAACAAGAATCAGTATGTTGCATGGCATGGTGCCAGCTCTGTGTATCATTCTGGAGCGCCAACAGTACCAATGCAAGCCAAGGCTGCCGAAGGCAAGAAACGTCGGGTCAATATCAACGATGTTAATTGGATGTTGGAGCATGCTAGAGAAGCAAGGTACGTATCGATTCTCATGATTATTTGAACTATGCTGATACTTAGCAGTCAATTTAACGCAACCCTCGGTGCTATCCGTCGGGCAAATCTGAACGGCATCTACGATCCCAACACGAACACCATGCAATACCCAAAGATCATGCAACCCACCCATGCAAGATGGGAGCAAATCGACGACAATGAGATCGAAGCCAAGGGATATGTTCCAGATGATGATAACGATGGCGAAGCTCGCTCCATATTCCCGCCTGTCAAGCCCATCTACTCCCGCAACTTCATGATCGTTGATACATACTACGAGAGCCCTGCGGCAGCCAACCCCGGAGTCCCTGGCCCAGATGGTGATGTCTATGATCTCGGTCTCAATGGTCTATCCAGTATCTCGGATGATATCAAATCTGAACTTCCTCCCGAGTGCCTGAAGGCGTTGAATGAGGCTTTGGATCGGGAGTTGGAGTGGAAGGAGAAATGGGGATCTGAGGGTAGGGATGGCCATCGCAGGGCGCCGGTTATTGATAAGGGGACGATCATGTAGGACTAAAATGTAAATTTTATCTGGCGTTAGGAAGGGGGCGGCGTTATGCCGTCAATTGAAGAACGGCAGAACATGGCTCGACTAAGTTAGTTGAAGCAATTATAGAATTGCACTATCGAAATGAGATGAGTTGTTTTATTTATGTATGAATATTATACTCTACAGTATCAATTATCCGACAAAAGCGATTTAGTTATCCTACCAGAAAGCATAGGTAATCGAACGACGACGCCAAACCCCACGTTTATTCTACATATTTACCTACGTTAAATAATCTTCTAGGCCTCTAACATCGATTCCATGCCACACTTTTCATATCTCAGTCTTTCGCTACAAAAGATTCCGCTATTCTTGTGTATACCACTATTAATAGCCAAGTCAGTAGACACCTCTGTGATGGGATGCTACAACTAAACTTCTACACACGGAGGAGCTTCTATGTACAGTGCAATGCTATCTATATGAGAGATAGTTATGACTTTCTACGGTATCTAGGAGGGATTTAATATGAACTTTTCCATCCCTTTGTCTTTTTTTCGCATTTTTTATTTCTGAGGGCTGTAATTTATGGGCGGGGTAGGTTCCTACTGCTACAGCTGCTCAATGTAGATCCTGTATCAGATGATGATATCTAGACCGCGAAAAACATTTTAAGCTCCCACACGCGAACTTTCGAATAGGGGATAATATTGCCAGCGTAATAGGAAGTGAGCGATGGTACGAATGAGAGGAGGCGGTAACTTGTGTATAGGGTGTGTTAGTTGAATTACGAAGGCTTTTTTGTTGATAGCGAATGGGGTTTGCGGGGATAACTACTAGGATTTTGGATTTGGTTTAAAGGGGAGATTTGAGAGGGGGTTGGATTTAGATGTGATTCTAGCTTCACTTGCAACATTAGGTAGGCGTTGATGGAGGGAAATAGAGGAGGAACTGCTTGGTTGTCGAGGGTACTAGCTGCTCCTATGTTAGGTGTGGTGGGGGACGATGGGTGACTGATGGGCTTATAGAAACGTTATGGACAAGATTGGGAAAATATAGGGGGTCGGTTGCGATGGAGAAGCGAGTAGCCTACTTGGCGGTATTCTGACATGCTAACGATCTGATTGTATGCTACCTACCATAGTTTAGCTGGCTTTTACAGTTGTTTGCCTACCACCACCACGCACTAGAGGGGCTCAGCAGCAACATATGAACATTCACATCACGCACCATGTATGTAACTTACCAAATCAAAGTCAAGTGCATCTCAAGTGAACTGATCTCCGGGCGACAAAGTCTATTAATCTAAAGGCTTCCCATAAGCCACCCTCGACTCTCTAAAAGCGAGCCAGGGCCGGCCATTAAAGAAAAGCCGAGTCAAAGATTTGCTATTGTCAACCTCTTGAGGGAAAAAGAAAAAAAAGTACCCCGGGGTTTCCATCATAACTTCGTATCCCACTTTATCCAGCCAGGTAAAAAGCACCCCCGTGAGCAAATTCCAGGTGTAATAGAGAGCAAAGAAAAAGGTCGTTTTCCGACCCCCAACCACACTCCTTTCTTCATGCCATTCCGCGTTTGCGAACTGTGTGCTCTGCTCATGTTCCCCCGCCCCGAGTTATGTTGCCGAATTCATTGAGAAGAGAAGCCACCGGCAATCAAATGCTTAGCCCTGATCATCCATCCGAAGCTCGAAAAGTTGGAATCGAAGGAGTAGAAAAGTAGCCAAAAAGAATTTCCCATCCCATTCCCCATCCATTTTGTGCATGCCAGCCCCTTCCGATGAGAAAGCCAACGAAATCCAATACAGAACTCATGGTACAAGTTGAAGGGAAAAAAAGCTCAACGAATGCGATGCGGTGTCTTTCAAACAAATCGAAAGAGAAAAAAAAGACCCCCTAATTACAAATTTATGGGTGAGGCGATCGGAGAAGCCGATGGCCCAAATGTGGTTTTTTTGGGACCCGAGTGATCGAGCCGTGGAAGTCTAGTAAGAGATCATCGATGTGCAAGAAAAGCGAGAAAAAAAAGCAAAATTAAATCCACGCAGGCAAGTAGGAGCGCCTCTCCCTCAATCCCGTAACACCTGACCGGATTGCCATCCGGACCATGCCATCCTGTTTCAAAAACAAACGAAAAATCTAAGTTATTCGCTGATGCAACGCCGATGCCAAATATAAAATGAAGAAAGTCGTAAGATCGAGGCGGCCACCGAGATTAGAGGCGCAACGCAGCTCGAGATCGTTATGTGTGTGTGTGTGTGTTTCCGTATGCGATTGTGAGACCATCAAGCAACCCTTTGCTGCATGGTGGAGATCGGCCGGATCAATGACACGTCTGAACGTAATGCGCGCTAGAACGACGCTGAAAGGAAATAATGCAGAAGAACTTTTAAGCCGGTGCGCTAGGCATCGTGGGTATTTGAAGAACCAGATTTTCGAAAAAAGGTCGCTTTCCGAGATGCTGAAGATATGAGAGATCGGATCAAGCGACAACTTGCTGGGCACCATATCCATGACCCATGAAGTATGGTTGCTTGACGTGGGAACTGCAAGTTCCACAGGCGCAGTCAGCAGCCGTGTGGTCCCAGATATTTGCCCCGTATTGATGACCATAATGGTTCGCGAATGGCGTGTGGTAGGCCGCAACACGAGTGGGCACGTATGACGCGTGGTTCTGCTGATATCTTGAGAACTGGTTGAACAAAGCCCAATCAGTGTAACGACCACCTCCACCAGGCGCACCCATGTACTCCGGGGTATTAATACCAGAGTCAGGCGCAGAAGGAGGGGTGAGGTGAGGCGTAGGATATGAATGCATCCAGGAGTTTTGGTCGTAGGCGGGTTGGAAGCCAGCCTGAGGATGCTCTCGAGCAGGGGTCTTGGTGTAGCTGTTATAAGCTTGCGAGTATGGACGGTTCCTCTGGACGTTGGTATCGATCGGCGCAAGAGGAGCAAGGCGGTCGAGAGTGGCAGTGCGCTCGATGTTCTTGGCTTCGCGCCAGTCATTCCAGCTCTGCAGCCATGCCTTGAAGTCCTTGCTCTCGTCGAGATTGACGTACAAATTCCAGGTCATCGCCTCCAGCCATTCATGCTCCAAGGTGTTGAGCTCTGCCACCGAGATGCCGCTCACTTCGGACCACGACCGATTCTGAAAGGTGTTGTCATCCAAGAACTTGCTTCCGAGAAGAAGTCCAATGGTGAGCATACGCCAGACCTGGCCGTCACTGGCCTTGTACGGCGCGACGCCGTTGAGCATGTTCATCCGTCTAGCGAGGTAGTTCATGCCCAGGAGAATAGTGGTGCTCGGGAGCCTGGTGGAGGAGAGCAGGCCGGAGACGAACTTGCGAAAAGCCGGAGTCACTGGCGAACCAGGGTTGCATAGTCGCTGGGCCATTTCCGCAACATAGTCGGTCATCTGGGAAACTTCATAGTCCAAGACCGCGCACACACCGCCGGGAAGCATGCTGGGCAACGTTCGTGAGCCGACGGAGATTCAGGAGAATCTCGTCGGGTGACAAAGCAAGAAGAGCTTTCTTGCTTTTGCAGGATATGCGAGGTGAGAGCAGGCACCAGGTGCTAGCTAAACAAGAACGCGCGACCGATGGGAGCTTTAAGCAGAGGGAGGTGTGAGGAAGAAGCGCGCAAAGCACGAAGGGAGCGAAGAATTGCTGGGTTTACTTTCGTAGATCCGCCATAGATTGTATCCGGTTGTGTGTTGAGAACTTGCACGTATCCCGTAGGTAGAAAATTATCAACTGCGACCGACAGTGCAGAGACACCGATGCACGAGGTTCAGAATGATCCAACCATGCGGTGGGTGGTAGTATGCTTTGATCGGACTGTTGTGTTCTAGAGTCTTAGGAGATGGTCAGCAGATATTCAGCGAATTGATCGACGAGACGCGGTCGCTGCAAACAAAAAAGTATATTCGACCACGACACCGGTAGGGCAGGTAAACAAGCTTGGTGGTAGACGGTGTAGGAGTGGCGGCAGACGCAACCCAAAAATATTTTCCAAGGGCAAAATATGTTGTTGTCGGGTTATTGAATTGGAACGTGTGTCTCTCTTTAGGGTGTACTTCCACCGCCCAACCTGGAATGTCCAATCTCCGGTTGCTAGTATGGAGATGACGACGACGCGCCAGGCTGGTTCCTTTCTTCACGCAGGCGACTTTTTGGGGGGCGGGGAGGCGGTTCGAATCGATGATTGAGGATTGTTGACTTTGGGCGCCGGCCGGTTGGGGGTGGTCTTCAAGCCAACGAAAAAACACGAGGAAAACACTGGACTAACCTAGCTGCGAATGCGAACTCAGCTATAGGGAGTTGGACAGTTGAGCTGGTGGTTGCCCCGTGGAGGTTGTTGTCGGCAATGAGTTGGACGAGGTGGCTGATAGAACAGGACCTGCAAATCCAATGTCGACAAGCGGTCGCCGTGCACGCCGTCTTTCACAGTGAAGAGAAGACCGGTAGAGCAACGGACGGGGCGGTGGAGAGAGGTTTTGGGATGGTTGACGGGGGGGGTTTTTTTCTCACTCCAGGAAAAAAAAAAGGAGATAGAGAAGAGAGAGGAGAGGATGGAGAGAAGAGTGGAGGAGAGAGGGAGAGAGGGCGGAGGAGGAGGAGGAAAGGAGGAAGGAATTGTGGTAGTGTAGTGTAGTGTTGTGGTAGTGTAATATTAAGTCGAGGACGGGGAGAGAGACGAGGGCAAGGGGACCGGACCGGACTGAAGCGTGCACTGCGCTAAAGGCGAATGCGAGGGCGAGGGCAAAAGGCGGAAGGGAAGGGAAGGGAAGGGGCACACACACACACCCAACCCAAGCCAGCGTGCGCCAGGGCTCGAGTGAGTCTGCTTCTGCTCTGGCTCTGGTCTGCTCGCTCTTACGAACGCTGCGGTACTACGGCTACGGGCTACGGAGCCGTGTCAGGATTTGTTCCGGTGCCAGAGGCAGAGTCAGGGAGCGACCTGGGCTTGGAGACTTGGACTTTGTGTGGGGACCAGAATCGTAAGGGGGGGCGGTGGCTATTGGCTTGGGTTGGGTGGTTGCTGGGTCGGGGGAGGAGGTTGCTGTACTGTACATAGTACGTGGGCAGGTAGCCGTAGTAGCCGTCGCAGTTCGTAATGTACGGTAGCAGTGGGCACTCCGTAAAGCCGGTGGGTGAGTGGGTAAGAGGCTGGAGGGCAGTAGGCAGTGGGCAGTGGGCAGTGGGCAGTGGAGAGAGGGTGATGTGGGTGGTGGCCACAGCGTGTGCTGTTAGTGGAGGCTGCCGGCTGTGTAGTGGCGGTTGAGCAGAGCAGCATCATCATCATCATCATCTAGCATTGTTCGGGGTGTGCACCCACCAGAAACAGGGCCTATGGCGGCCGCGGGCTGCCACTGGCTGGGTGAGGGACAGACACGCTCCGGAGTTCCAGGAGCTGCAGGAGTCCCAGGCTGTCTGTCTAGGGGCTGCGGGCGTGTGCCTAGAGGGCGCTCCCTCGGCAACCCGCGGAGCCCGTTACTGAAGGTACAGGCAGTACTTTGCCCATGTACTGTACTGTTACAACCCCGTTGCGGTTACACTGCTCCGTCCGTACAGCAGCTTGATGTACAGTACCTACAGCACCTACAGCACCCTACAGCGCCCTACAGCAACTACAGCCTCCAGTTTTTACTCCGTACCGGCCTTGCCATCACCATCGCCGCAACCAGCAACCTTTGCGAAGTTACTGACTGACTGACTGACTAATGGCCAACCCTAATAACTCGGGAATATGGGGATGGGCTAATCGAATCACGAAGCTGAGTGCTCCGTAAAGCCGCTACGTAACCAGGTCCAGTACGACGACGACGACGACGACGAGTCGCCGCAGCATAGAGTAGCAGGTGATGAAAATCAACGATCAAGTCTCGAGGTACAGTACCAAGTGTCAACTCGGGCCAAACTGAACCCCAACCTCCCGAGTCAGAGTCACAGCGCAGAGTCATCTCTCACGCCTCAATAATCCCACTCACACGTCGCCAGAGTTTCTTCCTCGTACAGACCAACTCTAACTCGTACGAATCAAGGGCCGCCGCGCCATTTCATATCATCACACAACGGGCCAGCACTACTGCACGGCAGCCTCCCAAGTTCCAGCTGCTGCTTTGGGCTGCGAAGTTTCGATAATGCGCCATTCGTCAGAGCCGCCGCGGCCGATGCTCACTCACTACGGTACTGAGACTCATAACCTTTTTTTGCCTCTTTACGTGCAATCTATTGTCATACAGTGCCATCGTGACTCGGCCTTGCTCTGCTCGGCGCCGCTGCACCGGAACGAGAGCCACCTACGAAAGTATTATTATTAAAACCGTGGCCAGGTACAGTACTCATTACGACCCAGCCAGGCACACTCGTCATCCCACACTCATCGGTGGACTTCCAGGCGACCAACTCTGCACTTTCCCCTGCCCCGGGTTTTTGCCCTTTCCACAGTTCTGCTGACCTTGGAATAATGGGGTTCCTCTGCCTGCTACCTGCTTCATCCCAGGTGCCTAGCTATTTCCATTGCATTCCTCCCTCGGGTGCTTCAGTCTGCAGTCTGCAGTCTGCGTCTGCGTCTGCACCACTTTGCCCACGTTCTCCCTATCGACTCCCGGCTTGGCCTGACTTGACTTGGTTGGAATTGCGATGCGCGGAGGATGGGATGGAGACGATTGAATCTTGCCCACTCACGGCGATCGCTCCCATAGTACAGGTGCCAGTGCAGTGCTGAGTGGCAAAGATGGGCTGCCTGTTTGATTCCAGTATTACCCAACTGCTCATTCGACCTTGCGGACGCAGGACGACCACACCTCCCCCGTCCCAGTTCCCACACATCCAGCCCTTGGCCTCTGGCACATTCCTCCAATCTCTCCTGCTCCTACACCCTCCGCAACGTCAACACCCAGAAAAGGCGGTGCCCAAATGCCCTCCAATCTTACTGGCGACCGAGTGCGGCATCTTTACTCGCCAGCTGTTATCAGCCGCGCGCCGTTGGGATTATTCAGACCGCCCTGATGGAGAACTTGAGTCGTCGTACGCTCTCTATCGTTCGGAGCTCCTACCTATGTAGATGGATGGATGTGTGACCACACCTCTCGCCATGACTGGCGCCGAATAGTTCGCAAGTCGCCCTGAGACCTGAGACCTGACGCCAAAACCATGGCTGACGGTTACCTCTGTTACTGTAACAGACAACCATCCAAAGTGCTGCTACTCGTACTATTCAGACTGGTCGCCTCGGTAGGTATCCTTTTGTTAGGGACACGCCACTTCTCCTACTGTGGCTTTTCACTAGAGGATTGAAATTTTGAAAATCTCTCATCCAGTCACGAGCGCGAACCGCCACAGTCGAATTTAATAAATGTTCACCCCATTTTTAGCCCTTTGCCAGAGACACTAATATCATATTCGTCCCGAACCTCCGTCACCAAGTCCGAGGCACTTTCGCTGTCAGGCTCCAGCAATCCAATGGGTCGCGCGGCTATTATTGTTGTCCAATGGCCCGCCCAGCATCCCCAGGCGAGCCCTCAGTTGCTATGGAAATAAGTAAATGGCCGTTTTGTTCGAGATTCGAATATATACCGGAGCGAAAGCACGAGACCCACAGGTCGAGATTCAAGAGGTTGAGATTTCCTCGAGCTAGGGTTGCGGAGACCTGCAAATTCAGACCCCTTTTTATACTTCTAAAATCCGCCCAGTAGCAATGCGAGATGCAAGTAATACCAGATCCACCGCAGCAATTTCCAATTACATCCCTAGGTAGTTCCTGTACAGCACTGTATGTACATGTACTGGTAGACTTCAGAGAGGTCATGTTGTCAACTTGCATATTTCTCAGTGCCTGAAAAGTGCCTGAAGCGGCCCCGTCCTGCGCTTCACCTTGTGGTTAATCTGGCGTTCACAAATCAACATGTGCAGTCCCCCTTTCATCCCCTATCCCTTTTCCATTATCCCTTTTCGGGTCCCCATCTCGAACAATAATGGCACCCCAATAAAATACGAGCACTGCACGGCATTTACTCGGCACCGTACGGAGCACAGTATTTGAATGCCTATCAGTATTAAATTGATCCATTCTGGATGAAGAACCAGTGCGGGCCCTCTGCAGCTGGAACTCCTTTGGGCGCTCTGCAAGTTGCACTACTGCCCCGTACCTGGAAACATGACCATTCCCAACCATCGTGACCCCGCAGGGACTTTCCATCCAACAACATGTTTTCCCGGGAGTCTGCGTGTGGAACACCTGGCAACTCCGTTTTATCAAATCGTGGTGATCGGTCCGGCCGCTCAGCCGCGACTATGTAGGACTATCACGACGACTCAATAATGAGGCGTTGAACCAGTGCCCGCCTAGTCCCAGCCACTACCTAGTCAGACGCATGTTGGTAAACCCCTTCGTCGGCATCCACGGGATATCACCGCCTCGATTCCATATTCGAGTCATTTGGATGGTTCGATCGAGGCATACACGTGCAGCGGAATGTGTCCAGTGACTCCAATCATCATGGGGTTTTGGATCGGTTTATTAGGCATCTGGGACTTCCTCTGCTATCCACGAAGATCGTCGAAAACGAGGTTCCAGACCTTCCCATTTGTAATATGACATCTAGAACGGGAGGACGTAGTGCCGCAGTTCACGTTACCCAGCCCTCAACCTCCTGGCCCGGCCGGTGACGATGCATCAAGCCAGTGTGAGCTAAACAACGCTCTAGATCGACAGACCAGACGAAGAATCTTCTCTGGAGCGCTATCCGCCACCTCGGTGTACGCAGGTGTGGATGTCGATCGTGTGCTAGCTTGGCTTCATAATCTGAGAAACGTCGTTGGCTAGAAAACAAGCCTGAGGAAGAATTTTCTACGACGATGGCCCACAAGTTCCACAACATGGATGGGGGAAATACCAGACCAACTCCTCGATCGGACCCTGAATAACATGTCTCTGTTGGCTGTGAGCTCAATTCGTTCAGCAGAAGCGAATACAAACTGATGGCTCAGAAATGCAAGACCGCACCAACCCCCACAGTCGTTGTGTTTGAAGCAGGAATCGGATAGACTCACGGCCTGATGTCGGCGGTCAACCCCAACACTAACACCGATGCTTTCGGTCTACGAAGTATCATCAATGTACTCCTAAACCTCCCGGCCTCTTATTATTTGGATAACCGCCGCAATGACAAGCAGGCTGAACTCTGGTGTCTGCTCTCGACGCACGATTTGAGCGAACTCGGCATGCACCATGACGGTCACCTTCCACGGCTTACAGCGCTTCCTCCTGCAAAGCTCATAACTTACCCCCACAGCGAAATTCCACATGAAGACTTCGCCATCCGGGGTATTATTGATGGAGAATAAGTTTGCAGGAGCGCAACATGTCATCGCATTGGATTTGCCAAGTACTACTACATGATGAAATCCTTGCCCCTCTTGTGCTCCCAACGCCAGAGGTGGGGGACTTCAAGCCCAACACTGTTTTGAATGACAGCAGTCCACGGGCTTGTAAGCGGGACAAGTGCTGCAACTTTCCTGATCAGTGGTCGCCCCGACTACCAATACAGGGAAGTGGCTGAATGCGATACTCGCTATTGTATCGCCTCAAGATATCTGAGCAACCACTGACAAGCCATCCTCCCGCCATTTCCCCTCTTAAAAAAATAGCCGACGACGAGAAAAAATTACCTTCTAGCGAATGGCATTACGGAATAATGAGAGATTTTGTTGCCTCATGAGCAAAAAAATGCATCATGCAAGCAGATAAGGCTGCTCGTGCTGGGCAAAGAAGTGAGTGCTTTTGAAGGTCACAGTACATGTAGAACGCGGAGAGGAGCTACGCCACTTTCGCACTTCCCGACCATTTGGATAAAGCGGCCGGGAATCTGCGAGCCCGGGTACCGAGGACCATCTGAGTTTCCTCATCGACCCGGCTTGGGCTGTTGTGCCATGTGGGATGCCCTTTTTCATTTCGGTTACATTGGCCTTCCTTCCTTCCTCGACAAGGGTCGGGATACATCTCATGTTTCCAACCGTGAATATGCGAAACATGATCGCCACGTGATATTCTTGGTTTTTATCCCCTGAGAGGAACCTAGGTAGTTTTCCGTGTTAATTCTGTACTACTCTAGTGGAGTAAACGGGGCTTTAGTATTGTCCCAGCGAGAGCCTTACCTTCGGGGTTTATTTCAGCAGCCATAATATAAGTGTTGGGACTTAATATTGGGTTTCAAATGGCGATTGTTTCAAGAGGGTGTTAAGTACTTCAATCCAAGTCTGAGGGACTGTTACAAAATCCCCGTATATATGTTGATGCTATTTGTGTTTTTTTAATTATTTTTCGAGAAAGACAATTCTAGCCGACTACTACTAGTAGAAGATTTAGCATTTTAAGTTGGAAGAGCTAAATCATATCCTCTGCGGTCCAGCCAGAGTTCTATTTTCGAAGTCACATTTGAGATCACAGAGCAAGTGTTAGGGACATTTTCATTTGTTGAATACTCGTATTCATTGTAGTACATAGAGTAGAAAAGACGGTACAAACAAGGAAATTTCAATCCTAACAAGATAGTACAAACTCAGCCGCCAAGTCTAGCCAGTGTTCCGAAGCAAGGCATCGTGTATACCAAATACTTCATAAAGTTGCCGGGAAGGGGTGAAATCAGGCCTCCTGCATTCTCATGGAGGCACTATAGCCTATCATGGCCAAGATACGCTCGCCGAAGGAAACAATCTATCTTCTAGAGAATCGTCGGTCCATTTCTCTGGCACGTTCTTCCTCCTCTCGTCTGCTCCTGCCCCTACTGCTCGGGTAGTCCAAAGGATAGCGCGATGATTGTCCTCCCGGCCCTTCCGGAACGTATCTCATTGATACAGTCGCAGCTTCATATCGGATGGGAGGCATATGATCATATCTACCTCCGTACCATCCTCGAGGAGGCTGATTACCCGTCTGGTATTGACTGTCACGAGAGTATCCAGAACCTTGCCTAGCGGTTGGTTCTTGATGGGACGAGGAAGAATCCTCTTCAACATACGTGCCCTCATCGCTTCTCCATGAGTGCTCAGAAGCTGCGTCGTTCCCTCCTCCCCTGCGGTCTCGATCTAGATTTTCCCCACCAAAACCAGCATATCCCCGCCGAACTGTCTCTTCGCCGGGCTGGGTATTGACCCATTGGCCTGCCCGGCTCTGCCCGGTTCTGGCTTGCTCCATGTCGTCTAATATTTCTCGATATTGTGCGCTCGACATTCCTTGGAGCGAGTACATGGAGGGCGGCGGTGGATATCGGAGGGGTTCTCGATATTCTGCGCTCGACATTCCTTGGAGCGGGTACATGGAGGGCGGCGGTAGATATGGGAGGGATTCTCTGTCGGAACGTCTGCCACTCTCGCGACGACGGTCACGGTCGTCCCTTCTGCCTCCGTACATGTTGATAATTGCGGGTTGAGAAAGCGTGGATCTTTTTTTATTTTTAAGCAAATCTTGCAGCTCAGCTATACAGACGTTTGAGTCGATGATCTACTGCGAATATGATATGTGATGCAGATGTACTGAGGAAGGGAAGATATGCTGCTCACTGGCCTTGGAGGGGTTTAAAACGTTTCCGCCTTCCATTCGTGAAAGAGGACAATCTTCTTGTTACATGTCTATTCTATGAGGATCCAATATTATTTATTGTTTTAAAATGGCCGTCACTGATGTAATCGTGAGTCGTGCCTTTTCTTTGTTCTTTGTGCTTTATGATATTAAAACATATCTCGCCTAAAGTTTGTAGCCTTTACTTCCAAATTATGCTTTTGTCTATACTTCTATTTTGTGAAATTATTTTAAGGCTTGATTTCTGTGGATATGACGTTGCGACCTGCGATGGCCTTTATCGTTTTGCTGCCTTCGCCATAACAGGCATTGGGGCCCAATGCACCCCTTTCACAGGTGTCGCTTAGACATGACTCTCAACATTATCTACAGCGCACTGGTCAGCTGTCAACGTTGATAAAGGAGCCTCTTTCTATGGGGTAAAGTGACGTGGCGCACTTGCTCTGCACCTGGGGGTGTATCTCAAAAGGGGATCTAGATTACACCCCAGGCTGACAAGATAAGTTTCCGCACTAGATGGCTAGCCATGGTCTCAATATCACATTTCTTTTCGGACCTATACTCCAGGACGCGGGGGCAACTACATCAACGACGCAGAATTGTATTACTTAATCATAAATCTAGCACCATGTTCCTTTGTCTATCGTTGATATATTATTCAGAAATCCGGCTTCTAAAATTAGCTGGCTCAATTTACACGACTTATTCTTGACCTATCCTCTTGGTAATTAGTCTTGTCCTGCTACTAGATGAAAGGCCCCTTTGTTCGTAGAATAATTTCGGTTGAGTAAATAGTAGCCGTAAGCTGAAAACAAAGGAAGGTTGAAGAACAGTCAAAGGCCAGAACGTGATAAAACCTGTTAATCTTTAGGATAATCAGGCAGAGATCCTACTAATAGTGACAAATCATTAATAGGTTTGTTTAAATGACAATAGTGTTGTTATTTGTAACTAAAAATGGCTGAATAAACAGATAGTTTATCTACTAACAAAAGGGCTGTTCAAAACGGAAGTTGAAAAGGTTCTTAAGAAGCTGGCGTGCTACTCCCTATTTCTCTTCCTTCTCTTCACGCACAAACTTACCTTCACGCACACGCACATACTCAGACACACATACACACACACTACATAACAACCCCAGAAACACCACACAGCACCAAACACTGAACATCCAACACCTATCTATCAACATGGACTTCAGAGCACTTCTCAAGCTCAATGTAACCCACTACTCCGAACACCACGAATACTACATGGTCTGCTGCAAATGCAGAGTAAGCACTTCGGCCCAGCGGTTCCCATATCCACCATGCCAAAGCTGCAACCACGACCAGTGTAGGGAATGCGTTGAGCGCTATCCCCTTGGAACCAAGAGGACGATGGTCTGCTGCGAGTGCAGCACCCTCAAGGTCCTCGATAATGGAACAAAGCAACCGGTCTGCCGCTGTGGCCATGGCAAATGCGAGTGGTGCGATCAAGATGTCGAAAGGGAGGGTGTAAAGGCCAAGGATAAGGCGGAGAAGAAGAAGAAGTAATCTGAGTTGCGCTGCTGCTTATTTGGTCATTTTGATGATTTTGCTTGCTTCGCCTCTCGAGGGGGTCCGGCAACCACGCTTTTTTGGCTTTGCGATTCATCTTTGACTGCTTCGGAATTTCGGGGGACCCTCAAAGTCATCCTGATATTTCCTCAACGTACTAGGACGCCATAAGACAATACAACACTAAAAACATAGCTATTTCCTTGCCAACTAAGGCACATTATTGAGCTACTTGACGTGAAAATGTGACACGAGCCCAATGTCCATTAAGCATTGATCAAGCCGGCTAGGTGTTAGACTCTTGGGCAGCACAAGTAACCACTTGCCTCAACTTACTATTCCCAAACTGCTAAATACCTCGAAATCTACATTTCCTCTAACCCTTATAATAAATATATATGATTTATCATCCTTAGCATCACCTACCTACCTCTTGCGTTGTGTTATGTAAAAGAAAATGGTTTAGCGACCAAAAACCCCTCCTGTTGTATATAAGGCGAAATAAGCAGATATCTCCTAACGAAGTACAAGGGCGTGGCACTTGGCTAAGTGTGTTCAGGTCAAATTGTACTTTCGTTATCGCCAGGGACGACAGGAGAAAATGGGGAAACAACAACAAAAGCGACAACAAAAAAAAGCGACAACAAAAAAAAGCGACAACAAAAAAAAGCGACAACAAAAAAAAGCGACAAGAGATGTAGGCAATTCGACACCGGGCCGAACTCTTTTGCCATTTTAATCCTTTTTTTAATAAAAGTGAAAGAGGCAATATAGGATTAAATAAAATTAATTTTGGGATACCCTTTTTCTTTTTTTTTCGTGGGGTTCGAGTTGGCGAGGAGGCAGTTTGGTAGTCACCGCCTTGAAGGTGATAGTAGAGTGTGACGAATTACCAAATAGTACCTAGGTACGTATCGATGATGAGTGTTACGATTATAGACAAGTAATAGCTAAGTCTACTTCTTGGTCTTAGCTTATTAGGAGGGTGTCGCCTTGCCACCACTTGTTTCCTATTTAGAAAGTGAACTAGTTTTGAGGTCACTTGAGCATTGTGATAGGTTCTGCAACCCATCCTCAGATCCTTGTACGAGGAATGGACGAGGCTGGAAGTAAACTGACAATATATTTCATATCTGTACATCTATTTTCAGATCTACAATTTGCTTGCTCCACCAGCAACAGGCTTCATAAGGGCCCTCCCATTGCTCAGACACACCTTTCCGCCTTCGATCTTTGTCACAAATCTAATCTCCTCCCACCCATCCTTAATCTCCCCGGTCCTCCAGATTTCGGTGATGAGCTTGTCACCTGGCTTTACAGGGCTTGCAAATCTGGCTTGGAATTCCCTGATATTACTCGGATCGCTACCACCAATAGCCTGTAGAAGGCCGTGGCAAGCAAAATTCCAGCTTGACAATCCATGCATAATGGTACCTCCAAAACCCATTTGCTGTCCTGGCTTGGGATCGGCATGGAGGGGATTATAGTCTCCATTCAACCTATTTCAATTACCCTGTAAGCGTGGACCCTCTTACACAACCTTATTGATAATAAGATATTGAGAGGCTTTTTAACATACCGGTAAAGCAATGCCGAGTCACGAGTCGTCTGATGGCTCACAACAGCATCAGGCTTCTTCCCCTGAGGTGGGGGGAAGTTCTGTGTCGCCGGCCCCTTAGGTCCGCCCCAATTACCCTGTCCGACGAAGAACCCACTGCCTATCACGCGGGCGTATACCTCCTCTGTCGCTTTATCCACAATATCACTCTGGGTCTCTACCACACTCCCGGCCTTCCCCTTATCATACACACCGAGGACCTTTGTGCGTAGCTCGAATTTGCGGCCTTCTGAGGTAGGAGGGAAGGGCTTGAGGAAGGTCATAAGGCGTTGCCCATCTACTGCACGGCGGGAATCGAATTTCGGGATCCCAGGGATGGGCGTTTCGGCCTGGGAGGCGTAGAAATCGATCACTTCTTGTGAAGTCTTTTTGAATGCTAGGAAATAGTTAGAGAGGGCTTGAGAGAAGGTATAGGGAAGAAACGTACGGAGGAGGATGGGGTAGGTGGGGAAGACGGCGAAGTTGGGGTGCAATTCCTATAGAGGTTATTTATTAGCTGGATGTCAAACTGGGGATTTGGGAGTGAGGGGGAGGAGGGAGCCTACATAGAGGAAGTGCAGCTCGTCAGTTGTACAGCCAATGGTGTTTGCGAAAAGGAGGACATCTCTCTTCAACCAAGATACTTCCGTACGAGGATACTCGAAACCTACTCCTGGGCCGCTCATTTTGTATTACTTGTGGAATTGATTGTATGATTGTGTTTAAAGGTAGAAATATGAGATGTGGAAAGGTAAATGGAAATGGATTGAATCGAGGTAGAAGTACGAGGTAATGGAGGAGGTGTTGTCTACCTTGGTAGCTACCCCAGCATTCGGACATGCCGAGGCACAAAGCCGGCAAACCACTGGCCCCGCCACCACTGGCCCACAGGGCACTGGGGTTCATATACCTCATGTTTGTATTCCTTGACGTAGCGCAGTTTGCAGGATTATCTCCAAATGACTTTGCTGGATTATGTTATTATCCGATGCAGCTTGAACTGTGGTGTTGCATGTATACTGTTCCGCCACTACTCGAGTATAACAGACGTCCATGCTAGTGCATAGGTCTTCGTTGTGGCTAACTCAAAGTAAGCATTTCTGGATACCGAGGCAAAATGACTTTGGAGTACAGCGTGTACATAGGTATTTTGCAGGCATTAATTACTCAGTACTCGAAGGGAATAAGTGATCACTCTACAGAAGAAGGAAGACAAATACCACAGACTCGGACTCAAGCCTCGGAATACTCTCGACCCTTATCTTGTCCCAACACTTTTTTATCAGGGAGGATGCAGGAAATTAACATCTCACAGCACAGAGCCAACCTTCGCGGGTTTTTCACGCCGCGCATCACGCGTTTGCTACACCACCACCAAGAAATTGATGGAAAATTGAAATCCACCTACAGCTCCACTGCTACCTATTGATCCGTATGTTACCGAAATCGAAAATATACTCTCTGGCTATTGTATCCCTGACTTTGCTCCAGATCTCACCCACCCACCATGGCACCCACCTTGCCTAAGTGGAAGACAGACAAGATTGACCAACTCCTGTCGGCAGGCGCTTCTCACCGTGATTTTCGAGCTATTGCCGCCGAATATAAGACGACTTATAAGACTATATGCGAGCGCTATCGCAGGCTAGAGGCTTCGAAGGTTATTGGGAACACCTTAGCGCGTCCAAGGGGCCCGACTCCAGTGATTAATCATGAGATCCAGATGTTCTTGGTGGATATACTCGAAAGGGAGCCCAATCTATACCTCGACGAGATGGCCGACTATATCTATGCGGAATTCGAGATTAAGGTCACTATAACCCAAGTATCGAGGGCCGTTAAACGCCTAAAACAAACCAATAAATTGATTCCCGTGTCTGCTGGCCAGAGGAATCGGGAGCTTGTATTGGCATACCAGAGACGGATGGTTTTTTGGGATCCACGGCGTATTTGCTTTGTCGACGAATCAGCCTATAATGAGCGTACAGCTAGCAGGAGAAGGGAATGGGCTCCCTACGGGGCTCCAGCCAATATCAAGAGACTCTTAACGAGGTCGGATCGTTGGTCAATCCTGCCTGCGTATACTATTGATGGGTATATGGAGCAAATTATATACCAGGGATCAATAACAACGGAGATATTTGAGAACTGGTTAGCTAACTTGGTCTTACCAAAGTGTGTGGCGCGTGGGATCAATATCCTTATTATGGATAACGCGTCGATACATAGAAATGAGAGGGTAAAGGAACTCTGTACAGCATGGGGAGTCCAGCTAGAGTGTTTGCCTCCATATTGTCCGTTTTTGAACCCAATGGAGGAGAGCTTCGCCGATATAAAGAACTATCTCCGGAAGAATTGGAAGTGGTCGGAGCAGGGATATGAGGACTTTGAAGGCGCCCTAATTGAGGCTTTGAAGTCTGTAGGGAGAGGCCCTGAGGCTGCAAAGAGGGCAAGAGGCTACTTTAGGCACTCTGGATACGAAGGAGTGCCGACTAGTCCAAGCGAGCGTTCGTGAGCAGAAGCTTAGACTGATATCCGCAGCGTGAATTCTGCAACTATAGTTACGAGAGCTAACGCCCGACTTGCTCAGACCCAAGGATTTATTCGCCAAAAGTATTAAGAGCGTCCCTATGGCAATTCCTATTCTCACACTGCGGAAGCTGAGATTTTCCAAAGGTGATGATGATATTAATTTACGTCTATATATATATCGATTTTGGAAAGGTGGCCCCTCGACAAACCAACTTACCTCGACAAACAATTTCCAAATGACAACAATATAGTATTCTTTAGAACCTAGCCTAAGAAGGCGAATTAAGTAATGCCTACATTTTGAAGGATATAGTTGTGACTAGTCTTATTTGCTTTCTACAGGCCCCAACCGTCCGACCTGAATATTATTGTTGTACAAGTCCTCCCGTTCAACTTGGTACCAACTGATCCCACTTTAGGTTGACAAGTAGAGGACTTAGTACGTGATAGCTGAGAGAATGGTCAGATACCGAGGTTGCACCGCTTTAAGAGAGTCGGCTTTGTCATATACAAAAGTAGGTGCTATTCCTTTTAGTTCATCCGTCATGGCTAATTATACTTCTCAACTGTGATGGCTGAACTAAGTCCCAGTTATTTGTAAGGAACTTAGCTAGTTGTGAGGGTTGATACTTTTGCTAGGTAGTAAGTCTAGTAATCGCTCTACAATGACAGACTGCTGGGTTGATAAATGTGGAGTTGTTGGGGTATAAGTGTGTATTGATACAGCTATAGAGAGATTGATGTATGAGGGGAGAGAGGATAGAGGCGCGGGGTTACAGAGGTATGAGTTGAGGTAAATATACACGAAGTATAGGCGTGGCTGTTGCAAAGGCTATCTGGTAATGCCCAACGTCGGCATTGTTGAAGGTCCACTCTCTATGTTGGTATAAGCAAGCATTTCAGGCGAGGTTTCCATGGCGTGCGAAAGTGAGTCTCATAATGGGCCAGCACCGAGAAAGGTTGTCCAACAACATCACAGAGGAACGAATATTTGGGTGATATGCTTTGATTAGTTCTAGAGGCAAAAACTACTGCCATCTGATTATGATGACTCTTTTATTTAGAGTGCGTGCGTCGCTGTTTCCATTAGCCTTTAAATTAAAGTATGCCAATGTGTGCTTCGTCCTGCCATAAATCAAATGCACCAAAACCATTGCGCGAAAGCCCGGTTGATCGCAAATGAATCGCAGAGCAATTAGCAGCGACCTAAGCCGCGCCCCCGAGACACCCCAAAGCCAACTCAATCAGCGAATGGTATCACCCATTCAGCCGACTGGAAGATTCTCCATCTTGCCCTTGCCACCAGCAACCCACTCTGGCTCGATTAGTCTATCCTTTTCCTGATACAAGTATTTGTACGCAGTGCGAATAGTTCCGTCACTAACCCCAGCAACCAGTGAAATGTCTTTCGGCGACTTGGGCTTCCCACACAGGTAGGATGCCATGTAGATACAGGCGGCGGCAACTGAAAGAGGAGATCGACCGGCGAGATCACCGACGGTGGACATCTTGTCAGCGAGACCTTGAGAAACCTTAACAATTTGCTGGCTTTTGAGACCAAGTTGACTGCAGTAGCGCAGACAGAGATCTTTGGCATTAGTCGATGTAGTGGTCTGGTATGTGCCTGTTGCTTGGTTTCCTTAAGAAATAGTGTGTTAATATTTAGCGATACTGTTATAGCAATAACACGCCACTTACCAGCAACAGCAGCAGCCATCCCCTTCTTAGCCTCTGTTTCCGATGCGAAGAATTTCTCCAAAGCCTTGAAAGTTCGACCAATGTCCTTCTTCGAAACTCTTGTCAAAGCATAGATCTCTCGGAAAGTTCTGGGAACACCGCACTGGCGGCAGGCGATGAAGATACAACCAGCAATGATTGCTTCTTGCGACTTGCCCTTGAAAGCTTTTGCGTCATCGACGAGTTTGAAGAGATGCTTGGCGGTATCAGAGACGTTCTTGGGGATGTTGACGGCGTCACAATGAGCGCCGATTTCTTTATATGCTGCTAGTAGTTGCTTCGTAGCTTTGTCATTAGTGGTTTTGTTCTGAGCACGAACGAGATCGCGGCTTCGGCCGCCATCGCCAAACGCAATGCTCGTTTGAAGCTGAGAACCATTGAGGAGTGGATTGGCACCATCACCAACACGAGAGGGGTCATCATTGCCCGCGTCATCGTTGGAGAAGGTACGCCATTCAGAGCGAACATCGACAATACGATCACCAACAACCAGGCCGCAGGAGGCACAGACCATGTCGCCCGAGGAGAACTCCTCGACGAGATTTGGTGGGTATTCTTTGCAGTCCTTGCACATGAGAGTCAAGTTCAAGTTTTCGCTCCATTCTGGGTCCTTGTCGGGTGAGATTTGGGGGATCATCTTCGGTTTATATGCTTTGGGTCGATATATATTATCAAATTTGTCGAAGACTGGACGACGTTTCTTTCTGCGACGGACCTCTTTTCTCTTGTGCGATACGGCTGCGCGGGTTCTTAAGTCTCTGGTAGCTTTTGAGCAAAGTACGGTAGTGGAGAGCTTGATGAAGAGTTGAGAATGCAGTTTGGCGATGATGATCGAACGCTAGGGTTCAATGTGCAGTCGACTCGACGTCGACAGCCGCTGATCCTCACTCCACAGCCCGTTTCTGATCCAGGACCCTCGAAGCGCTATGTATGCGGTGCGATTGCTATCAGTTGTTCGCAACAATTCGAAGGCCGAGTTGCTCAGTTGTGGAGATGAGGACGAAGTTTCTGAAAGGATATCGCGATCAAAGGGAACGAATGGAGGCGAAAGTTGAAGATTTGGCACCCGGACGGTAGAATCTTCTCAGAACAAAAGGACCAGTGAAGGCGTCTGGGAAGGATTCAAAGTCGTTGAAGTTGCTACTGACGATCGCTGGAAAGATGGCCGGCAACTTTGGATGTGTTGAAAGCGATGTCGACGAAAACTTCGTGGTGGCGAGCGAGTGTGAAACGGAGATGGAGAAGAAAGGTGAACGGGGCCAGAGCCCGGGAAGAAGTAGTCGGGGAGTTAGAAATAGACTAGCGCCGGGGCGGTACTCGTAATCACGTGATAAAGATCGGATTACGGAGACGAAGCTGCCTACAAGCTCCAAATCGATTCAGAGCTTCCGCATCACCTATCAACTTCATTTTCGTCCTTCGAATTGCCTGATCGATTCTTTAAATTTTCCTAGTCAAGCCAAGCTCCTTCGTCAAGTCCTCAAAGCATACCACCTTCAACGATGTCTACTTTAGAGGATCTCGATGATCTTGAACGGGAGAACCAGGACAAGAAGGGCGATGGCGACAAGGACCAGGACAAAAAGCCGGATCAGAATCAAAATGGCGACGCTGAAATGAAAGATGCAGAGCCAGCAGAGAAGGAAGAGGACCCCATAGATGAGGAGATCTACAGCTTGAGCACACAAGATATTCTTACGCGGAGAAGGCTCCTAGAGAACGACTCACGGATCATGAAGAGCGAGTTTCAGCGTTTATCGCATGAGAAGTCTACGATGGGCGAGAAGATCAAGGACAACCTCGATAAGATTGAGAACAACAGGTATGCATATGCTACTATATAGTATGACTTGTTAGTATTCTAACTAACACGTTGGTAGGCAGTTGCCGTATCTCGTTGGCAATGTCGTCGAGCTTCTTGATCTCGACCCAACCGCCGAATCCCAGGAAGAGGGTGCCAACATAGATTTAGATGCCACGCGAGTGGGGAAATCCGCTGTAATCAAGACCTCAACCAGACAAACTATCTTCCTCCCTCTTATTGGTCTCGTCGACCCCGAACAACTGAAACCTGGAGATCTGATTGGAGTCAACAAGGATTCATATCTGGTATTGGACACGTTACCTGCTGAATATGATAGCAGAGTGAAGGCTATGGAGGTTGATGAGAAGCCAACGGAGAAGTACACTGATGTGGGAGGATTGGATAAACAGATTGAAGAGCTGGTGGAGGCAATAGTCTGGCCTATGAAAGAAGCAGAACGCTTCAAGAAGATCGGGATCAAGGCACCGAAAGGTACGCCTACGCTTCATGATGGCTTGTGATCTGGACTAACCCCTCTTAGGTGCACTGATGTATGGACCTCCTGGTACTGGCAAGACCCTACTTGCACGAGCCTGCGCTGCCCAAACCGATGCGACTTTCCTCAAGCTGGCTGGTCCCCAATTAGTACAGATGTTTATCGGTGATGGCGCTAAGTTGGTCCGCGACTGTTTTGCATTGGCCAAGGAAAAAGCACCTGCGATTATCTTCATCGACGAGTTGGATGCTGTGGGTACCAAGCGTTTCGACAGCGAGAAGAGTGGCGACAGAGAAGTCCAAAGAACTATGTTGGAGCTGCTCAACCAGCTTGATGGTTTTGCTTCTGATGACCGTATCAAGGTTCTTGCGGCTACTAACAGAGTCGACGTTCTTGATCCCGCTTTGCTACGCTCTGGCCGTCTCGACAGGAAAATTGAATTCCCTCTACCAAACGAAGAAGCCCGAGCTCAAATCCTGAAGATCCACAGCAGGAAAATGACAGTTGATGATGCGGTCAACTGGCCTGAGCTAGCACGGAGTACGGATGAGTTCGGCGGTGCTCAGCTCAAGGCTGTTTGTGTGGAGGCGGGCATGATTGCTCTAAGAATGGGGAAGAATAAGATCAGTCACGAGCATTATGTGGATGCGATTGCAGAGGTAAGAATTATTTACTACCCCTGTCATATGGGTGTGCTCGACACCATTTCAAGGTTTTTCTTCGGAGCGGTGTATTGGAAGTCCTACATCATGCTATCCACTCTCCACTTCTTAGAATCAACAAAGCTGACTCGAAATCTAGGTGCAAGCTAAGAAAAAAGATACTGTCAATTTCTACGCATAGAGGAACGCTTAACCGTGAGGAATTTGGCCATGGCTTGCATATTAAGCCTTGTAATCATAGACAATTCATGAATATTTCGCATGACAGACTCCGGTTCTCTACGAAGTATGTTTCAAAGTGCTTCAAAGTGAGAGTGGCAACTCGTAAGCTTTACCTTGGTAAAGAGACTCTGGGTGGTTTCTATATCGGGAGTTGTATACCTAGCCGGCCTTTTGAGTTCCCACCTCCTAACCAGAAAGAGTCCAATAGGAAACCCCCATGAAAGCTCACCACCTCACATTAGTAACTATAGCACCATGTTTACCCAAATCTTGAATTATTCCACCACGAAACCCTTCCACTCCTTGTAGAGTTCATTATAGTAGTTTTCCGACAAGGCAAAGCCTAGGGCTTTGCCGTATGATATCTGCCACGTAAATGCATCGACTCGGAAGGGAAGCTTTCGCTGAAGACGAACGGGGCAAGGGAAGGCCGAGGTAGGGGCTTATGGGTGTTGCTAAATATTAGGCATAAAGTCAGGCACCAATTTATAGATCACGTGCGAAAAGAACCTCGTTTCTCCAATTCAAAGTCCCGAACGGCATCAACGGCCTCACAACATTCCAATTGACGTCCCCCTCACCTCTCATCATGTTCACTCAAGCACTCCGAGCATCGGTATGTAGCCTTCACAGCTTATGCCCCAACCCAGCTAACGATTACAGCGCTCCTCGATTGCCCGCGTTGTACGGCAGCAAGCTGCCGGGACAGTTGCAAAGCGTACTTTCGTCTCGACTACCGTTCGTCAAGGTTCGTCTTGCCCATTGTATTTCATAGCGGCCGTCTCACGCCGCTTGGTTTTAGCCCATGGTGTCTACGAACTTGTAGACACTTGCGGGGGCTATCACAATCGCCTCCTCGGCAATGGCTAACCATCTCTTCACAGCGGATCTCGTCCAAGATCTCTACCTCCGCGAACTGAGAGCATATAAATCGCCTACCGTCAAGCCATCTGATGCAGAGGGCCACGTCCAAAACTTTGTTGCGCCAAAACCTCCCACGTCGCCCGAAGAATCCGACATCGCAAATGAGTTGAAGTCTTACGAAGCCTCGACTGTAGACATCGAGGGACAAGCAGAGGGTGGCGCGGTTGAGGCCCAAGAGTTTGATTGGTTTGAGGAGGAGCCTGAGGAGGAGGCACGCCATTAGAGACATGTACCACGTTTGTGGGATGGGAAGGGGATAGACCCGCCGTGTGTGCGGGGAGATCTTGTGTGTAAAGCATAACCGGAGAATAGAACAATGTACAGTTGGTGTGATCGATATCTATATATCCGGACTTTTGCGACTTCTACGTTTCATGATAATGCGATTTGGGTTCAGCATTTCTGTGGTAGTTGTCGGAGATGCCGAACAAAGCCGAAATCTACGGACAAGATATGACTATCGCCAAGTGGTGTCATCGTACAACAATCCTTAAAAGCTAATCAATTTCTGCTTAATTTTACACATTATTCCCATTTGTTTCGGCCCCGCGAGGCAAGTGCTTTCGCAGCTTCAAACCCATAAATCCATGCACAATACGCGCCCAGAAGCCTTTCAACATACCAACGAAGACGCCCCAAAACCAGGAGACAATTGTCATTCAAATCCATCGATACTCTCGTTCAGTCCCTTCCCTTCTTCCAAAATCTCCACCTCCCTCGCTCCTGCAATGCATTTTGCTCATTGTTGGTTCGGCGCACTTCGTCCAGTTCAAGGCGGGCGTTATTCAGAGCAGCTTGAATGCCCGAAATTTGAGCGAGAAGGTCTGTTTCCCTGGAAGTAGAGGCGCATTGCTGTACCTCCTGGGCTTTATGCGAATGCTTTAGCTCAAGTTGGGTGGTTTCAAGTGCACTTCGGCCGTCGGAAATCCTGGCTAGAAGAGCTTCCTGCGTGGTAGCCATGATAGACTTTTGGTCCTTGAGTGCTGTGGCAGTGTTCTTCAATTCAAGCTTAGTGCTATCAAGAACAGTTTGGGTGTCCAATTCCTGAGCTAGAAGTGCTTTCTCCCTGTTAGTGGCAACGACCTTTTGCTCATTAAGCGCTTTGCAGCTCTCTTCAAGCTCGGCCTGAGTGGCACTAAGAACCCTTTGGTTGTAGCAGAGTTGCGTATGTAACGCTTCCTCTTGTCCCTTTAACCTAATATATTCTCGATATAAACCCTTGATGCGTGCGTATGGTACTGCTGAATCCGATTGCAGGCCCTTTATTACTTGCTGGAGCACTACTTGGAGTTTTTCAACCTCGCATAGGGTGTCTTTCACCCTCTTCGAATTTTGGCGTTCGGTAGATAGCTCCGTTTGCATATATCCAATTTGTGCTAGTAGATCATCCTCAACTTCTCTTTTCTTGTCTAGTTCGCCTCTCAAAGAATTCGATGTCTGATGCTGAATTCCAAGTTGCGACTGCAATTCATCTACCTGAATTTTCAAGGCTTCAGTCTTTTTGGATGTCGCCATTTGAGCTTTCTGGCGTTGGGTTGATATTTGTCGGGCGTTGGCAACCTCAAACTGCAGCCTCTGCACTTCTTGGAGATGCTTTTTCCGAGCTGCACGAGCATTATTGTAGGCTTTTTTCCGAACACTCGCTGTATCTTGTGCTGCTCCCAGTTGGAAGCTCACTTCCTCAACCTCCTTACATTCTTGCCCTTCCTCTGCTACTTTCCACATGCCCTCAAGTCGTTTCCCCTCGCCGAGCTCCTTCTCGAATGTGGCCTTTAGTAGCCGGTTCAGCGCCTTGAGCGCTTCGACGACGCGATCGCCCTTCGTAGCGTTTTCAACCAAGGACGCCCAGTACTCTTCGACATTATTCGCTTGGTTGCTGCCATGATACTCGCAGAGACACAGCTTCGTGAGCTCCGTCAATCTTTTAAGCGCTTCTTCCGATGGCCTTGTCTCCAAAATATCCAAGACCGCGCGGGCTTTGTGAAGATTTTCGTTAGAAATGCGGAACTGACAGCCCGTGACAAATAGATTCGACCAGCGGACACATAACATGCTGGTGCTGTCAGAAGATGTGAGGGTTAGAATCCGATAAGGGTCCCATCTCTGAGGAGCCATCCTAATCGCAGCTAGATACTGATGATGAGTTTCGGTGAAGTTACAAGTGAAAGGATCGTGGATTTTTCAACTTTCCAAATTAATTATTATATTGCGATATATGGTGTGGTGGATATATATCACTGCTTCCCCACCTAGCGATCTCTGCGTAACCGCCGGCTAGAGCGGTCGCCATCGTGTACCACGTTTCCAACACTGCCCTCCGGGCCCCTATTAGGCCGCCAGTTACCGAATGTGCTCAACCAAGACATGTAAAGATTCAGAATTATGCAATGTACAGCCCGATAAACGGCGTGCCATTCCCATGAGACTTTAAGTGGCGAGGTTTTCGATGCAGGTACCGAAACAATGTTGTTTTGAAACATTCAATCGACATCTGCAGCATAGCTATATCAAGATGCACAAGGTCCGATCCACTTCATTGGAGATACGGCCTCACTTCGAGCAAGTGAAACTCAACATGGCCCTTGTGGGATTGCCGCTAGAAGATTGATGATCCATACGGGTCGTGATTCCAGCCGTAACTAAAACGCCGATGACCCTAGGCACCATCAACATACCGACCTTAACATTGACCACTCCATTAAATCTTAGAGATCTGAATCCAGGTATGGTTGAGGAGCATGATGGGTTCCAAGCTTGGTAGCTGATTGCTAAACTATGAACATCTGTCAAATTACAGCCGCTGTCTTTAATTGTAAGCAAGCGTTGATTCTTGGCTAGCAAACAGGTATTTTCCAAAATGAAACTTCTGACAGCCGTAAAGGCTTGCACAAAAAGTGTGGACAATGGCATGTGGGGATTTTGGTACGGGTGGTGGAATGGCTGCTTAATAGCGCAGGAGATCCAAGTTCCACCAAAGTATTCGAATATCTCCGTCAAACTAGGACATCCTCCTTTGCCCTTGAGGTTTTATCCTCCTCCCTTCTTTTGGATTATGTATTGTCTTGATACTCCAAAACAATGAATGGTTGCCATACCTCAACTACCGACTTGGGTTCGCCCTTCCATCTCAGCAACAGGCCATTCAAGTGATTCCTGCCACTCTTCACCAAGAACCTGACGGACAGCATCGATAACTTCTTTTCCCCAGCCCTTTAACCACAATTGGTCTCGCCGCCAGTGTAATAATACAGCGTAATGAGCCAAGATTATTAGAGCCAACGGTTCTCTCTCTTTGAGTACTCCCATAAACTCTATAGGGGCAAAGATAGGGAGCGGGAAGATAGCCCACTTTACGATTTGGGTTTCTTGCACCAGTAGGAAGCTCTGCCGGAGTAGCGCTATCATAGTTGCATATGTCCCACGCAACGACGCATCTATTGTTGTCTTCTCATTGCGAGTCGAAAGGTGCGCAAGGGAACTCTCGAGGCCAGGTGAGGTTAAAGTCGCTGATGGGTTGCTCGGCATGGGAAGTATGAAGGATGATATGGGACCCTTTTCTAGCCATTTAGCACCAGTTTTGACAACTACGCCGATACCCCGGAACAGCGTAAAGACTTCTTGGATTTCTAGAAGGGGACTGAAGTGTGACCCCGGGGTTTGGTGAATGCCAAAGGAGTAGACCGCGACAAGACATGAGAATGTGAAGAGCGCGGAGACATTGTCGGGATTGATGGCGGAAAGGTGCGGACGGAATAGTGCAATTGCTTTTGCGTAGTGGTGTAGAGCGGCGTTGTGGTGTACTTTGGAGGGATGAATGAGGGCGAGGTGGAGGGATGTGATTGCTAACAGGCCCGAGAGAAGAAAGTCATGTTCAAAAGCGAGCGCTGGGATAACATCTCGCCATATGGGGATTTGCTCATCTCCATCAGCTAGGAGCTTTCTTGTAGAGAGGCCATAGTAATGGATGAGTCGGAGGGTGTCGTTGCCGTCGTCCTTCAATGCATATCGGGAGGCCAAACTGATTTCAGGGTCGCTGCCATTCTCCGAATCTTGCGTGAGGGGTGTGGTAATCTCAGAAGGAACTTCCTTACTGTCACTTGAGCGCAACTGCGGACCAGAATAAGAAGATATAACAACGATAGGAGAGTGCGTGAAGGAACAAGTATCTCCCCTTTTGCCACATCTTAGGCAGACTGGTTTGGTCTCATCACACTGACAAAAATCAGCTGCTATTTGAGCACGACTGGGAGGCGAGTGCTCGCACCTTTGTCCTCCGCTGCTTACATTGCAGACAGCCTTTCCGAGACTTTGAATGATGGCGTCTCGACGACATTATCCGTCTCCCAGCCCTAGGTCGAATCCTTGTCGGCTTGGTGCCAACACTCGTCCTTGGATTTCATTCGGGCTAGATGTGTCTTGAGTTCTCGAAGCCAGAGATGGTCTAGTGAACGATGTACGACGAGAGGACGTGCGTGAGCATTGAAAGGGGGACGCGGCGTATGGACGGACATATCCATGTCTGTCTTCCCGAATAGGAATCTTATACGACGTACGGGGGGAAAACGTGTCAAATGTCTCCACCTGCAGGGCTGAGCGACTTATTAAATGCTTACACTTTATAAGTTACACGACTTCAAACAACTCTACGCAGCTCTGGAAGGCACAATCTGGAACATGCCGCTGGTATTTGCTATTAAACGCGTAACTAAGAAGGCATTTGAGCCATTCAGCCCTGCAAGCGCAGGCATTCGACACCTTTTCTAATTTTATGCGCCGTTTACTACGTAGGTACCTACCTACCTTGCGTCCCATTCGACTTGCCTCAACATCAGACAGAAGTATAATCAAATGAAACCCCGCTACGCGGGTGCGAATATCTAAAGTGACACGGCCATGACCATGATTGGCTTCACCCATCTCTAATCTCTGCTTTTATCGACCCCTACGATTCCCGTGGCTCTTCCAGTTTGCGAAGCATGACCCCTTCATCTTCTTTATATTATATTGTACGCTGACACCGCTACTACCCTATCTTACGATAAGGCCGCAGGATATATATCTGTACTTCGTATAGCAACCTTGGCGAAAGCTGCGTGCGGCGATGCTTGTGCGGTTAAATCTGTGAGGCGTCATGTCCCAATACGGTAATTTGTACGCGGTACGCAGAGCCTCGATTCATGGCGTCGCAGATGGGAAGAATAAAGTACGTATGTATATCCATATATATATGACTTGCTACTTGTTCCTCTACTGGCGCTTGAAAATTCAATGATTAGTTTCTTCTTTCTTCCTCATTTCATTCTCTGAGTATTTGCTCTGCCCAACTCCTTCGAAAACCTCACTCACTCACTGGTCTGGGAATTCCAATCCCCCCCACGCACATAGCAATGCACATCCCTACCAACAGCGTTTTCCAATTCTATCGTTACGAGCCCTCATTAACCGCATGCATTATATCCATCGCCCTCTTCTCTATAACGTCGATCATTCACATCTACCAACTCCTCCGCACACGAGCATGGTCACTAATTCCCCTAGCCCTCGGCGGGTGTAGTACGTTTCTTCTCACCCGGTTTCCTTTTCTCCCCATCATGCTCTAGCCTAACCAATTCATTCTAGGCGAGTGCCTAGGCTACATCCTCCGAATCTTCTCCAGCAGGGAAGCACCGAACTACAGCATCGGGCTCGCCATCGGGCAAGGCACACCGACGCTGCTCGCCCCAGCACTCATCGCGGCTTCGATTTACATGTGTCTCGGACGCATCATCCGGGCTACAGATGGCCAGCATTTATCTCTGATCCCCATAGCCTGGCTCACGAAGTTCTTCGTTGCGGGCGATGTTTTAGGTCTTATTATACAAGGCGTTGGTATGTACATATATCCTTCCCCCATGCCACACAAAACTCATGAAATCAAAAGCGAGAATATATCAACTAATAAACGGGATGTTCAAATAGGAGCCACGATAATGCCCCTACGTACCTTGCAAAACTACCTCACCGGCTCCAGAATCGTCATGGCCGGCCTCGGCCTCCTAGTCTTCTCTTTCAGCCTCTTCGTCCTAGTAGCCATATCCTACGACTACCGTCTGCGACACCATCCCACCCCCCTTTCCGCCACCACGAGCCTAAACTGGAAGCGTGAATTGCAAGTTCTCTACGCCAGCAGCGCACTTATCTTCATTCGCTCGGTGTACAGACTTGTGGAGTATGCACAGGGGAATTCGGGGTGGCTTAATCGGCATGAATTGACGTATTATATGTTCGATGCCCTGCTGATGTGGTTTGCGTTGATGTTGTTTAATTGGCGGCATCCTAGTCGTGTTGAGGCTGTTTTGAAGGGGGGCAGGTATTGTGATGGGGTGTTTGGGATAAAGGCTTTGGAGACTAAGGAGAATGGGGAGGAGATGACAAGGTTGGAAAGTAGCGCTTGAGTAAGTGTCGGCGTATAGCTGGGAGAGCTCGTGGATTCGGGATACCTGATTTTTATACGGAGAAATATTTTGGTAACCATAGGCTATTAGACGGAGTTTATAAGCGTTCGTGCGGAAATAGATACGACTTGTTTCATCCGATATTTGCAAGTACAGCTATTGTATTGTATTGTTGAAGTATTGACGAAACAATAGTTATAATCATCATCATCATTATCTAACGCTAACAAACTTCATCTCCACATGTTACCCTACGCGTTCCACCATTTCCTACTCTGCCACTACCCAATCCAGGTAGCACCTACCTTACGTCTTAACATCCGGCTGCGTCCGGCCAATATGTTCCTGGAACTTCAGCAAATCCGTAGCGAGCTGAATATCCGGCTTCAAGTAGTCCTGAGCATCTTGCTCATAGGTACTCTTGTCGCCGGTATGCTTCTCAATATAAAGCCGGATCGTAGCGCCCGAGCTACCGGTTCCGGATAGACGGAGGACAATACGTGAGCCGTCGGAGAACTTGACGTATAGGCCTTGGTTGGAGGACACACTGCCATCGAGGTCCGTGTAGGAGAAGTCTCCTGCATCTTTCACTGTGCGGTCTATTATCTTGTATTAGCAAAAAATCAAAGATTGGAATAGTGGGAATGGGAGGACATACCGCCGACTGTCGAATTAATAAACGATTTATCAGCAATCTTCTCCTGCAACCCCTTAACAACCTTCGCAGCGCCCTCGCTATCCACATTCTCATAATCATATCTCGTGAAGAACGTACGTCCGTACGTAGTCCAGAAATCATGCTGGATCTTGGAAATGCTGGGCGTCACGTCAGGATGAGCTTCACCAATACCCGCAATGATATTCAGCCATGCAACGACGGCCCAGAGTCCGTCCTTCTCGCGGATATGGTTGCTTCCGGTGCCGAAAGATTCTTCGCCGCAGATGGAGAGTTTATCGGCGTCGAAAAGAGCACAGAAGAATTTCCATCCGGTGGGGACTTCGTAGCAGCTCAGTCCTTGGGCTTTGGCGACGAGGTCGACCGCACCAGAGGTTGGCATGCTGCGGGCTAGGCCATAGACACCTTGCTTCTTGAAGTAGGGAATGAGTTTGGCGTGATGGGCGATGATAGCTAAGCTGTCTCCAGGAGAAACAAAAGCATTGGCACCATAGATCATGTTTCGATCTCCATCTCCGTCACTAGCAGCTCCGAAGTGGATGCCTCCCTTATCCACAGCCTCGACCAAGGAGTGGGCATAGGTGAGGTTAGGGTCGGGATGGCCGCCATTGAAGTCTGGCGAGGGAATGCAGTTTTGCGTGCTCGAACTTGGGAGACCAAGCTCCTGTTCGAAGATGGCCTTGCCGTATGGCCCGGTGACGCCATGGAGAGCATCGAACAAGACCTTGAAGTCTTTGTGGTGCTGGAAGAACTTCTTGATCAGGGCGAAGTCAAAGATATCCTTCAGCATCTCCATGTAGTCCGCAACCGAATCAATGATCTCGACCTCTAGGGAGCCATAGGTCTTTGTGCCAATGTTGGCGATGTCAATATCGGGAAGATCAGCAATCTTATAGGAGGTCAGCGTCTTGGATTTCTCAAACATGCTGTTCGTAACGGATTCAGGAGCTGGGCCACCATTCGAGAGGTTGTATTTGATGCCGAAATCTGCCTTAGGACCTATCACGCGGGGTTGGTTTTTAGCAGCAGCTCCAGATTATCGCATTGGAATACTCAGAACTCACCTCCAGCATTGTGGCTAGCAGTCAGCAGAATACCGCCAGTAGCCTTGCGCTTCCTAATAACATGGCTAGCTGCAGGCGTACTCAGGATACCATTCTGGCCGATTAGCAGCTTCTTGACCCCGTAGGCAGCTCCAATCTTGGCGATCAACTGAACGACCTCCGGATTCCAGTACCGTCCATCACCGCCAATGACCAAAAAGCTGCCTTGCACGCCTTCTGGGATCGAGAGGAGGATGCTTGTTACGAAGGATTCGCTGTAGTGAGGTTGCTGGAAGACAGTGACCTTTTTTCGTAGCCCGGAGCTGGGGGAGATGTTAGCTTGTTGGGAGTGACGTAGAACAATGGCGGGGTCATGGCAACATACGTTCCGGGCTTCTGGTCGGTGAAGGGCTTGAGGGTAACTTCTTTGACACTCATGGCTGTTTATCTTGTATGATGCTCCAGTGCAGTGTTGATTTGAGTTATAGGTGTTTTCTGGGGAGGAATTGAAAATAAGTGGAGGAATGTGTTGTCGATGCCGATTGAGGCACACGAAGGCGGTGATCAACGTGGGGCGAAACTGCCGTCGCAACAATTTATTTTGGGTTTTGGGTGCGAGTTGGGCCTTGCATTGATCCAATCATGACGCTGGAGTTGGCCAGCCACCATTCAATAGGTAAAAAAGTAAACACGCGGTGTACACATGTACTATTCGAGCAGGCACGCAGCGCTCGTGGGATATTGAGCAATTACTCTGGCTTTTTAATTGTCGTGTTTTTGAAAGATAACTTTCTTATAATACCTGGCCTCCTCAATACTCTCCAAAATATCATCCTTCGCCTTGTGCAGCGTCTTCTTCTTCGGCGCCCCCGCCAACACCCCAGGTTCACACCAACGCCTGGTTGCCTCCTTCAAACTACTAACGTCCAATATGCGATGGTTCAAATGATCGTGGACTTTCTTGTAAGGCCCTTGCCGCAGAAATGCCTTATCGGCATGCACTGTGTTACCTGCTAGCAAAGCGGCTTTTGGCTCTGGTACGAATTTTGTGATGTATGCGAGGAGGGAGGAGGAGGCTTCTTCAGGCGTGGTCGTGGAGGCCAGGACTGCTGCTGTGAGCCCGGATTCGCCGTGTGTTTGCGTGCACCATTCATCCTTTGCGCATTCCATCAGTGCTGTGTTTATTGGTGTTGGCAGGAGAGAGATTGGTGTTGCTCAAGTTACCATCTTGTCCATCGTCTCCTTCGATTGGTGGATTACTGCTCCCCAGCCTGCTTCGTCCAGCACATCCAGATTGCCATCCGTGATAACGCAGAAGATTTCGATAATTACGTCGTTGTCTATGTCAAGACCCGTCATCTATGTACAGAAGATCCATGAGCGTGGATTAAAGAAGGGTCTCGAGCCCGTCATACCTCACAATCAATCCATACTAGCGGACGGCTCATACTGGGCGATTCTGCTATTCCTTCAATTGATCGGGGTGAGGAAGGAAAGGCGCACTGGTGGACGAAGATGGGAGATGAAGACGAGGAAAACCCCAAGCCTCGTCCGAATTTCATCACCATCCACCAGCCTCGCCACAACCCCACAATCACAAGCCTCGCCTAAAGGATGTATAGCACTACCACCACCACAACAAACGAAGATACCGTAAATAGAAGCGGATTAATAGGTAGGGAGTTGCAGTGTTCAAGATGGCCTCATACGAGTCAGACTTCCGCAATCCCTACAAGGTAGACCATTGTCTTAATTCATTGCACCACAAATGTTGTTAGTTGTGAGGCACTCACTCACGCTCGCTCGAGTGAGCAAGAGAAGACAGTCTCTAATCTCACAATCTCATAAAATGGACAATATGATCTGAACGTTTTGAATTATTATACGTAACATGTGCACATAAACCATATCAGCCATAACCCTATTACTTCATTCCCCAAAGCGAGCCGTCCTGCGACCCCTTCTTCCGAATACCATCTAGGTACTGTATCTCACACCTCTGCGTCCCAACTCCTTTCTCCCCACACTCTCTTCAGGCCAAACCCATCCCCTCGCACGCTTCGCCTCTCTCTTCTCCGCAAGCTGGGGCTCGGGAATCCACTCATCCTTTGGCAAACACTTCCGTCTGGTACCCTCAGCTGGGGCGCCAATCTCGCTCTTCCAGCCCACCTGTCCAGGAAGGGTGTCATCCTTCGCAAGCATGTGCAAATACCACAGCGCCATCAGGGCAGTCATCTTTGGCTGTTTGGGCACGATGTTCTCCTCTCCAGCATCGATGAAACTGCCTTCCACCTCCTCAAAGGTGGAAGTCTGTGAATCATGAGCGTTGAGCTGGATGGTTTGCACCTCGAGGTATCCGAAATGAGGCACATTATCCCCACCATTGCGCACAACTACCAGCTCGATCTCGGTGATGATGAAGCCGTATCGGCAGCCGTGAGTGCGCATGTGCGTGTGCAAGTGTGAGAGACCACGGAGGTACTCGACCTTGCGGTGGTTGCCCTCTACGCGCATGCCGGTGTTCCAGCGGTCGAAGGACTTGACGAGTCCGACAACGCGCCCGAGACCGCGGCCGTAGATGAGTTGCGATGTGTCATCAGTGTAATTGGAGATGAAGGAGGGCTCGGTGGCAGTGTTGCCCTTGGAGGCGGAGGAGCGCATCATTAGGTGGCGAGGACCAAGTGACAGCGAAAGGGCTGCGTTGAGCTTGGTGGCGTAGAAGGAGCTGTAGATGTTCTGGAGCTCGAGCTCGGTGTCAGGCTGCAATGAGGTGCGTGGTGGGGTGGGGAAGGTCAAGGTTGGGAGATTGATACGCAAAAGGGCGTCGAGGCCTGGGATGGAGCTGATGACTGTGGGGTTGAACGACGTCCAGGGCCGGATTTGACGGACGTCCCACCAGAAGTGTTTGGCACTGCTGTCACGGAGGTGGATATTGAGTTGGCGCACCAGGGCGGGGGCGGGATTGGGGGAGGTGAGGTAAGACATGAGCGTCGTATTATGGCCATCATCAAGTGAGTTGAGGGACAGGTCATCCAGAACGATGCTGTGCTGGAGAGGCGAAGGCGTTCGCTGAGGGGTCATGTGTGTTTGATAGAAGTTCTGTGGCATGAAGGTCTCCGTCTGGGAGTTGGTTGCTGATGGGACGTAGGTTGGCAATTGGCGGTAGGTTGGGAAGCCATATTTTTCTAATGTTTGGCCATCAAGGCTTTCGCTGGATGCTCGCCTCTCATGGGAGGGTGCAAAGGTAACGGGCGAGCACAAAACAGACATTGAGCGAGTGTGGGAAGGAATGTTGTCATGCTGGGGGATGAAGGAGATGCTCTCGGGGTTGGTGTAGCTCCTGTTGTGGGATGGCTTGAAGGTCGCCGAGGGCCTGAGGGCGTTCTTCCTGGCCCTCTTTGGGGGAGAATGAATCTCTTGATCCTGTGGGCGGATCTTGGGCAGCAACAGCGGGCCATGCTGGCGGATGGGAGATCTTGCGGGCGTGGTGAGCCCGGTGTTGACGGGCTCCGGGGATGATTCCTGGGAGTACATGGAGACATGGGAGCTTGACCGGCTATGGCCCATCATGAACGAAGCATCGTTCAATGCCTCCTCAAAAGAGTATTGAGGCGGGGTGGACGGGCCAAAGGAGAACGAGTAGTCAAGAGACATATTTTCTGCTGCCAGACTGGGCCGGGGTTAACTATTGGCCATGGAGAGACTGCGAATGCCATCATGAGACTTACGCAGTGGGACAAGTGGTAATAATGATTGATTGGAGCGGGTGCCGACTTAGACACTAGCAATTATTGATTGATGAAGGAGGCCAGCTCCAGTCGTAGCGTACGTGTATAGTGTATAGAGATAAACGGGCAAGGGAAAGAAGATTCGTGAAGAGCACAAGTGTGACAATTCTGCCACGGTCTAATAATGAGACAAGGAAGCTTCAATAAGAGCGAGCTATGGAATGAACAAAAGCCAACAGACTCTGGAGGCAATTGGCAGTACTTATCCTTTCCGAAGCCTCTGCGATCACATCGCCCAATCCCCCCGTGGATCTCATGGGTCGTGGCCCGGCGCAGGGTGCGACGCCGTGGAAAACGTTGCGGTCGCCATGCGGGTGGCCGAGGATGTTTCTTGGTCGAGGCCCGACGACCCAATGGATCGTTCGCCAGCAGGCGCCTCAAGAATATGTCGCTCCAGGATTTCCAGGATCCCCAGGGTTGGCGATAGCGTTGAAGCGTCTGCAAGCCCATATGCAAGCGGCTCTGAGTCATAATTAGAATAGCTGTATTTTACCATACCATACAATAATTGCCTCTAGCTCCATTTGCTCGATGGCTGGCTTTCGTGGGGATATTCTCCGTCTGCTGCGCGTCAACGTCAACGCGTCCGGCAGTGTGTTTATTGATCACGACGGGGCGACTTGTGTACTGGACGACCATCGCGACGGGATCGCGCTGCAGCACGAGGAGGCGCTCGCGTCACTCGAGAGCGGCGATGGCAAGCAGCAAGCAGCACGTACTACGCACTTTTGCCCGTGGGTATGTGCTAGCTATTGCGCTGCACTACACTGCGCTGCACTGCACTGCACTGCTCATCTCCCTCCCTCCCTCCCTCCCTCCATCTCCTCAGGCTTCTCCCCCCAGACCAGACTTCCGGCGGGATTAGGGTATGTATTTTTGGAACGGGAGCTCAACTGGCAGCTGGCAGCTGGGCGATGGGCGATGGGCGGCTGCTTGATGAAACCCCGAGCTGATGGCGGGTCCTGGCTCCTGAGAGGCCTCGATGCCGCGGCTTTTAGCGCCGTAATCTCGCCCTTTGCCGACCTTGAAGCGCCGGCGAGAGAGAGAGAGAGAGAGAGCAGCAGAGATGATGACTTAGTCAGGGTGGGTGGGAAATCCCCCCAGCTCCCTCCCCCAGATGCCCCCGATTCTGCCCTGTTCTGCCCTGTTCTGCCCCCCTTTCATCTCATCCGCCCTCCGCCGCCCTGGTCGTCCCGGGCGCTTCTTGCTCGCGTCGGACTCGCGTCTAGCGAGAAGGGCCTTCCGGGAGGTGATTGGCTCGCCAGTACACGCCCATCTCGCTCCGCCTCCCTTGCTCGCTTCCCGACGCGCCGCATATTGCCCGCAGGACGAACAAAGGCGAACCCTCCCCCAAGAACCCACCAAGAACCACCACGAGCGAGCATCGCAAGAGTCATCGTGCGGTTGCGCCTTTTCACTGGCCGTCCGTTTCCTCCCATATGTTTCGAGTTTCACGACCGTCCGTTTCAGGAGCCTCTGACTCATTCTCGACTGTTCATGTCTCCACTTCCCCCATCTTTATTTATGCACATCGGATGAAGTGCAGGAGATGGATGCATGAGAGCTTCGAGAGAAGGTGTTTTCCCGATGCGGCAGAGGAAGAGCGTCGTGTATCCTACATATCACGATGGGCACACCGGAGACTTCCGATGGTCATCCGATCCAGAGACGGTCCGTACTCTGTGTGGGGCCATCAGAGAGTTCCAACTCCCCAGAAAAATAAAAATAAAAATGGAATCCAATTCTGAGAGTAGGAAAAAAGAGACAGAGACAGACTCACACTGAAACTGGAGCTGACGAAGAGCTTCCAACAGAGTGTGGCGTCGCTGTCTCACGTGAGTGCGGGTGGGCGAGGTCTGAAACACGTGACCTCCCAAGTAATGTCGAGACCGACCAGAGAGATCGACTCTGAAACTACCGTGGCAGTGCTCTGGTGAGGCCCGAAATCGAGGTCGGCATCGCGGCCTCAGCTGAAATTGAGGCTCGGAAACGTCATCAGATGTCTCGATATGCGCGGAGGTTGGGGCCTGGCTAATGTTGAAGCGCCCGGCAAGAAGAGAAAGCATCCCACCAGGCTCCGCATTCGCGTTCCAGAATGGCCCGCAAGGCAGTCTTCCTAAAATACAATCTGCTCGTATTTGCTTACTTCGTGCAATGCTTTCATTTCCTTTCCAGCGCCAATTTTCTTCTGCGTAAGGGAACCAGCGTTTAACTTGGTTGCTTCAAAACCCCTCGTGACACCCCTCTCTACCTAGGTACGCATGCCCTGCCTGTCTGTACCCGTCAAGAGCAGCAGCATTTTACCTTGTCTTCATCAAACCGCTCAAGAGCAACCATATTTTTAGGGTTTTGGGGCCTCGACACCCGCCCTCTAGCCACTTCGGAAACTGCTCTCAAAACATCGTCGGATATTCCAGGTGCCGTGCTGAAGCGCCGGAAACCTGCTTCTCGTCAAACACAGCCGGCCTTGTCCTATGCAACGACGGCCTCCTCGCTCGCTTTTGCCATGGACGAGAGGTGCAACAAGTGTGCCATCCGTGGTCTTGGAGAGCAGGACACCGCCAGGAACCGTGCCGTAGGCATAGCTCAGATTATCTCCTCAACCTTCTCAGTCTGCTCTTTGATGTCTTTTCGCCTGGCGGGAAACCACACATGTAGCAGCATATTATCTTCACCCCCCCTGTATCATAGCCTTTACACCCTATAGCTATGAGCTTTGGTGAGAACCTTGTTCCCCTTTAATTTAGAAACGGGGCAAGTTGGTCATAATCAAGCGGTTCCCCGATTTAGTAGAGAGTAACGGGCTATTCGAATCGCCATTTTGCAATGACAACGATAGCATTCGTAGATAACGAGTCTGGATTTTTGCAACACACTCATGCGAAATTGACAAGACACGAACCCTTCTATTTCCTCAGAGCGAAAGATTCGCTGAACTATAATTAAATGAAATCACAACAGCTAGCACAATCTTATGTGCTATCGTAGATCGAATAATATCGTTGTTTACCTTGTGTCATCCCCTGCTGCTGCTTAACTATAATAAAAAAGCTAAGTATATTAAAAGTATGTAAAATGACATGGAAATAACAAATGTATTTTAAATAATATGAAAATAAAGGTACGAATTAATTAGTAATGTTTCGATAAAACAATTGCCTATGAAGCATTCGAGGTGGTATAGATATATATTATTGGAAGTAAGATCAAACTAGGTGTAGGGATTAGTACGAATAGCTCCAACTTAAAAAAAAATACTCCAGGAAAAAGTTCTTTGGTTGGTTAATATCCAAAACCAAGGTAATATAATTAACTTACCTGGCAATGTAGTCCGTCTTAGTTTTCCCCATGATCAGTATGTCTAAGTCGGTCTAGGTTACACATTATAAAACCATATACCTTGTTATCCTTAGCTGATAAAAATCATATCGCACCTGTAATAATTCATGAGAAAAAAGACAGCGATGAAGTGAAAGTTGAAAATGTAACATCATTAGGTATCGTTATATTTATAGATTTCCCCCCGCCGAGTTTCATACAATAAATAACATCCCGTCATCATGTTGTTTTCCAGCCGCTGTGGCTAATCCAAAACTCCATTTAAAATGCACCAGCCCCCCGTCTACTTGCGTACCGCACGAACTCCATGCATATCATATACCAGTACATCCGCAACTCCGTCGTCCTATATCATCCCTCCATCTAAAGCACAATCAAAAGCCCTGTCCAGGCTGTCCTCCACCGTTGTTTCTCCTCGCCCTGAAATAATCATAACTCGTCGGATCTGTATCCGGTTCATCAATCGGATGTTGAGGTAATCCGCCATATCCCTGAGGCCCACCACCGAGGAACCCAGGGGCTCTCCGTTCCTGGCTTGCATCGCGAGGGTCGTGGTAGGCTCCTGGAGTGACCATGGGCATATCTGCCGCAGATTGTACCAGCCCACTCTGGCTGTCGTTGGGCTGCGTGTAGAACCGCGGGTTGCCACCAGCATATGATGCTCCAATGTCACCCTGGCCATCATAGGGACTGGGCATCGGAGGATAGTTGCTGAAATTCCTTCGTCCCGTCATACCACCGACAGGAGTCCCAGGTCGTGAATCACTGCCGAAACCAAGGGAGCTGGCGGGAGTATCAGATCTAATGATATCTTCAGCCTTGCCATAGATACCACCCGAACCTCCGTGTTCGTCGGCGAACTCGGAGCGGCCTTTGTAGTATGCGAAATCGAGACGGTTTTCGGGAACCATTTCGAAGCCTGGAATTCCCTGGGCTTTGCGTCCTGGTCGACCATCCTGCATGGCGTCCATTGCGTAGGTATCGGAGTAGCCAGACACAGATGCGGATTCCCCGGATCCTGGAGCGTTGCTATCCGTAAGTCGGCCACCGTAAACCCCTGCTAATTTATTCTGAGCGCTGGCATGCACCATGGGCGTAATAAGAGGGCGGTAAAGAGCCGGATGCCCGAATCGAGTCGAGAAACGATCCTTCTTATCGTTGAAATGTTTGCTTGGACTGGCTTCGGGGTCTTTGAGCATGTTTCGAGTGGTGTAGTAATGGATTTTGTCGTCGAAGGTGCGCTTGCAATAAACCTTAAAAGCGATCATCAGGACTGGTAATGGCGCCACACAATAGGCTTGTAGATGAGAATTATTCCCTTGCACCCAGACCGAGAGGAAGACAACCAGGTTCGCTAGAACGGTGGCGAAGACCATCCTGTTGTAGAACATGCGCCAGAACATTCCTCCGGACTCGATCTTGGTGATAAAGATGTACAATAACAGGTATTTCTTCAAATAGACATCTAGAGCAAAATATATGGCACAAGCTGGAAGCGCCAGTGGCTGAATGGTGCCATAGCACAAGGTAACTGTACTGTAGAAGAGGAAATAGTTGTAGTAAGAGGCATAATCGAATGCTTGTGGGGCTGTAAGTTCGATGATCTCTCGAGGAGTCGGGCTGGAAAACTTCCGGACGCAAAAACTCCACACCAATGTCCACAACTGAGCCAAATCTACAGCCGCGCCTAAATTCCGCTGAAGGAGCCACGTAATCCAAAATGGAGAAATATTGCACAAGGATGTAAATAGTCCTTTGCCAAATTGGGCCTCTTGAATAGCTTTCCAAGCGTCTTCACGGTTATTCGTCTTGACGATGATAGTGTAGACAAACGTCCAGGCGGTGCTGAAGATAGAGAATATAAGCAAGAAATTAAACACGAAGAAGGTATAGAGCTTTGCCGCAACGTGACGCTCTCGGCCTGTCTTCGTTTTATCTCCTGCCCTAATTGCGAGGCGGCGGAAAATAATGGGTAGGACCAAATATACCAACGAGGTAATGGCTGGTGAAGCAACACCCTGAACAATTGACCACCATGTTGTATGAGCCGCTAAGGACCGTTGGAATGCATCCCAGAGTTGGCCTAGATTGGATAAACTTATAAGGAAGACGGAAATCATGGCATTGGGTGCGACCCATAAGAGGGTGAGCAGAATGACCCAAAGATTGTTGACCATCCGTCTCCGACGCCGCTGCGCGGGACTTAAAGGCAGATTCTTCCAAATAATATCGTTCGGTCTGGGAGCCAAGACAATCGTCGTACCCTGCGGATGTTTCTTCTTCGAGGCAAAAGCGATACTGTGAGCTTCCTCTATTGCCTCATAGGTGGCAAATCCGTATGGCAATGGGTTTCTATTATCCACCGTGAGCCGGGCTTCTTTGATCTCGATCTCCAACTCCTTGATACGCCCGGTAAGATATTCAATCGCATCCAGTTTTTGTCCCCTTGGATATGAGCCATAAGAAGGGTCCTTTTTGGAAGGTTTACATTCTGGTCGTTTGGCGGGGAGATTGTTAGGATCCTTGAGATACCGCGCTAGGTACTTCTCGAGCTTCCGAACGGTTTGATTATGCTCCTCAATAAGTTCTGGCAGTTCTTTCACGTTCCGCGCAACTGCTGTCCGCGAAAAGGATGATGTCGGCACAACCTCGTCAATCAATCTCCCGATGCCCTCATCTGAGCGCAAGTTCTTGGGCATATCACTGATCTGCTGCCGATTAGCGCGTGCAAATAATCCTCTCAGAGAGGGCTTACCATGAGAGTGCGCGCATGCAGGCTGGTTTGATACTCAGGACTATCATAATATTGTCTCCGAAGCCTGAGAACCGCTCTGTAATTCCACCATAAAAACAACGCTACTATGATGTCGAATAGCCAAGCGCAAACTACCATGCCCCAGTTGTCCTTGTCGTACGTATTCATGGGCGTAAGTCTGCTGATAAAGTTCTGGTCCTCGAACTTTACCCCTTTGGAGAGATTGACTGGAATCAAAATGCCGCAACCCACTACCGCTATCGCCAGGAACATATTTCGACACATCCTCAGGATCCTGAGGAACACTGTCGCATCAAGACCTATCAGCGGCAATAAGTCTTGTTCTTTTGTCTTCAGAATCGGGCCCACCCATGCAAACACCCCTTTCCCCACCGGCGGCGGAGCATGTTTGTCGTCTGCAATTTTGAGCTTCGGCGCATAGACGTAAGAGTTAAAGGGTCGCAGAAGGGAGAACCCAATCGCAAGAAGGACGGTAAACCCCACTGAAGTACCTAAGCCTGCGATGACTGACCTTTGGGCGAGCTAAGTAATATCAAAAGGTTAGATCCGCAAACAATGGAGCCAACGCAAGGGAGAAGAGTACTGACTTGGGCTTGAAATGGGTTCTCCAACAATTTTAACAGCTTATCCGTGGGACTTTGTTCCTCCGCCCTTCTGGCGAGGGTATTGCCCATGGAACCCAGCGCATCCATGATCAGCGAAAACGAGCGACTATGGCACAACGGCCAGATAAGTTGGTATGTAGCTGTCGTATTCTATGCGACGTTGGAATTGCGATCTAGAGCCCACAAAGATAAGGTCATGTCTTGGCGGAAGAATGAGCGTAAAGATCGTGAGAAGGAGACGGTGCTCGTCACTGCTGGTATGGAAGGACAGCAGAAGGATTTGTACTTCGTAGTTTTGATCCCCTGAGGAGATGCGAAACAATCGCCGAATGATGGGGTTGCAGGGAATGACTGGCACGCTACCACCGAGGATAACGAGTGCAAGGTGTAGTTTGCAAGGCACTTGGTCACACGCCTCTCTGCTTCGTAAAGGACCTCGACGGCGTGGTTCAATTAGGGCGGTATGGTCGTAGAAGGAGCGTCAATAGTGAATAAAGGCGGAGGAGAAAATAAAGGGCAAAAAAAGAGTGGAATGAAGATGACGAGATACGATAAGAGGGGTGTACGAAGTACTTGCGCACGTACTGTAGGTACTGCGCTCTCTCCAACAGTCCAACAGGATACTGCGATCTCGATGGGCCGTGGATCCAACAAAACGCAGATCTTAGGCGATAAGGCATGAAAGCCGGGCGGCCGCAATAAGGGTGCTACCGTTGCGACTGTGATTGGCGCGTTTAGCCAACCGGTCTCGCCGGTGTCCGTTGGTCCGTTTGTCGTAGCGCATATCTATTTTGGGAATACCAGGAAGAGCTTTTTATGAACTACTGATTACTACTGTACCTTGGGGTATCTTAACTTGATAGAGAATTACTAGATCTAAAGAGACTGCTATACGAAGTACAAGTACGAGTATTAACAAGATTCGACGTGCTGAAGGGATTGCGGATTGCTATGCTTAGTGCTATGAACTTACGTAGGTGTCCAATAATAGGGCCCACTATTGACTCCTTTGTCTACTCTCTCAATTTCCGAATTCGAATCTCAGGAGTTTCCAAGGCTGTTCGTACGTACACTGGCAAGGACCACATTAAGCGTGAAGGTGGAAGAATCTTGTATAGCGCGAGATCGAGGTTTATATCAACGTAACCTCCGTCGCCTAGTGGTGCTCGAATTCTATGAAGTACAACTATTTCCACGACCCGAAACGGATATTCCTTACCTGCCTAGGTAGTATTCTTGACAACGTAAATGGACGAGAGTCGTACAAAGCTCTACAAAACGAGGGCTGATTCCTTGAGCCGAAAACCGCCAACTGTATTGCCTATCTAGGTTGTTGATGCTCTTCAATATTTGCACAGCAAAAATGTAATGCATCGCGATATCAAGCCAGAAAAGTTTCTGATCGAGCTTCACAGCAGCTGAAAGTGCAGATTTCCGGTATAGTGCCGATTCGACAAGTAATATAGGCGCGCTACTTTCTGTGAAGTGCTAGACTACTTGCCGCCCGAAATAATGACCCCGAGGAGGATAAACCTTCCTCGCGCTATTGACCTGTGGTCGTTTGAAGTGTTCGTTATGAGTTCCTCGCTGACAAGCACCACTCGAAGATACCCAAGCTATGACTCAGAGAACCATATGACGCTTCCATTGCCCTTCTTGTCACAAGGCACCCAAGACTTCGGATATTATAAGTGTCTCATTCTCCCCCATTCTCCCTCCTGAATAAATTGGGATTTCGTCTGTTCATGACAAGCGTTAATAAACCTTACCCGCCGTTAAATGATCATAGCAGCATCTCAAAGGCTCAACTACTCTGGCGAACATGTCCGCCCTCCACTTATCTTGCTTGTCCCCAATTATGTCACAATCCGGCGCATGGTGGTGCAAGCACCAAAGCACGGCGTCTGAATACTCGGGTCCAGACTCCTCGAGCACGTCTCGACACCATTGAATTGCAACAGCATAGTTGATCAGCTGTACCGCCTGCTCGTCGGGAGCAAGGAGATTTCTTCTGAGCTTGTGCTCTTCAATAGCTGTACCAAAACAAAGCTCTAGGAGCATAATCCCAAGGTTCCGTATGCTGTCTTGAAAGTCATGTGTGTTAGCACTAGACGTGCTTGGGATGTGGCCTTGGTTTGTTTGCTGTTGAAGAGGTTTTGAAAGGTTGCGCGAGATGTATGGTTGATCGATGCAAATATTGGCCTCTTCTTTAGCGTCGTAGAGGAAGAAAATGTCTTTCTTGGTCCATTTCAACTTTAGCCAAGGTGTCGAATGTAACTGTACATGAGAGGATGCAAGAATGAGTGCGATTTGGAGTCTTTGCCGGCGGGTTATGGTGATAGGAGACGAGCTACTGAGCAATGTCTCGAGGTTTATGTGACTTTGAGGTTCGTTGTCCGCCTTGCAAAGTGGCTGAACGGTATAGCGGCTTGAGTCTCCTTTTAAGGAACCGTATTCCGGCAGATCAGGAGGACAGCTTGCGATTTTCGTACATAGATTGGTGATGGAAGGACTTGCAGGTTCCTCAGTGACTTCATATTTGCAATCCTCCGCGAATGATACTTTGGATTGGGTTGTTTGGCGGGTGGGAGGAGTGTAAACAACAAGCTCTACAGTCCCAACACCACTCTGAGTCTTGAGAGCAGACGTCGAGCTCTTGATCTGCATGAATTTACTCACCAAAGACTTTCTACGTTGCTTGGGGATATCCTTGCAATGAGTACCCACCTGCTCGGCGAGCTTTGGAGTGGGGGATATCGATGTGGAATCTTGTCCGTTGGTGGCGGGATGAATGGTAGCCGGGTCATTAATTTTGATTGGTATTGGAGTCGACCGTTCCTCGAGCTCCTTGATATTCGCTGCTTGCCACGTCCACGGATACTGGCCCCCCGCTAATTGCATTTTGAACCAAAACACGACCCTAAAATTTGCGGTTGGGGAGACCCTATGTTGCAGTAGCAGATTGGCATGGTGGAGAGCTTGACACTTGCAAGACCATGCCTCAGCCAAAGCATTAAACAGAGAATTCCCATGCTTCCAAAATTTCCACAGGCCTGCATCAACCGTGTTCGTCTTCAACGCTCTTGCCCGCCTCAAGTCAGCAAGGCGATCTGAGGAACCTAGAATGTCGCGGAGCCTGGCATTGTGATCTCCGAAATTTTCAAATAGCTCTTGCCGTATATTTTTATTGAAGGCTAATTTGATCCTTTGCGCCTGCCATTCTATATTTGTAGTTAGGATGGTCAAGTGAGAGGACTTGGTTTTGCCTGGGACCGTGCTCGTTTCGCATCTCTGTAGAGCGGAATTAGTGGCCCATTTTTATTCCAACCTCCATAGGAAATATGCAGATATTAATAGGCATAGTCGTTCAACCGCTCCCTCATGATGGAATATTGAAGGTATTGCCACGTTAAATAAACACCTGACAGCAACTTGCAGAACATGGAAGATACAAATGGATGAACTCACATGTTCAATATCGACTTGGCTTTGAAATTGAGCCTTATTCATGCAAAGGGCGTCGTTGAGTTCTTGAACAACTTCCATCATCATCTCAATTGTGTCCAAATAAGACGAGTATGTCTTTGGCATTCTCTCTGTCAGCGCCACCTCCAAACGTGGATCCTTCCACTCAGGGCCGCCTGGGTCATTGATGAGTAGCTGGAGCTTTTCCTCGTCGGCAATTAATGGAAGAAGCAATTCCTCTAAGTTTTCCTCGAATGCGAGCTTGTGATATTTGAGATTCCGCATACACTTTCGGTATTCGGTTTTGACCTTCCACCATCCTTCAAGCACTTCGGCAGTCTTGCGATAGTGCTCAAGCGCTGAAATCATCAATGGGAAGGCGCCCAGCACGATGCCGGCGAGCTCCACCCCGCTCATTTTAAGCTGTTGACAATTCGATGAGTTTTCGTACGGTTCAGGACCGCATCGATAGCATCTGAAGGTGCAGCGTCCATGTCGTTACGATCTGGGTGATGCTCACGAACCCCAGTGGTGGCTGAGCGTCAACGTGCAGAAGCGAAACGACTCCGTCACATCGACAGCCTCGTTCGATGCTTCATCTCACCACGATTGAGCCGTGTCGAATTCTGCTTATTCCGAGTTTGCTATCAACTAATATACGCTGCAATCTCCCACCGCGGTCTCACCTCCTAGCGACCAGCAAAATCTCCTCAATACTGCTCTCGGGTTAGGCAACTTCATTGTGGAATAATACAGCGCGACTTCATGAGCACAAAACCACACAGTCCCAGCCTTGTGAGGATATATATTTTAAGAATCAAGATCTGAAGGAGTCTACTATCTCTGAATATCTCAAATATACTGAGGAACTTGTGGGGATATCTCAAAGGTTCTGGGACCCTGTTATAAAAGGATTTGGAGTGGGCCTCGTTTTTGGATGGCTTCTTCCCCACAGGCCCGTTCGCCGGTGATTACCGTTATTTCTTCGCCAGTAGCTTCCCAAGCAAAAATATGTTTGGAGCTGTTTGACCTGGTGGCCGAATTTCCATCAATCGGATCTGAAGCTGCCGATTGTTTTGGCCGCTTTAAACTCTGGGCTGGAAACCTTGGAGCTTTACATGGACTCGAAATCGAGAGCTCACTCGATTTTCGGCTGCGAAATACACCCAAAATTGCCACTCAGATTATTGACCTCCTTGAAGAGCTTACCGAATCTCTCGAAGAAGGTGAGTTTAAAATTTTATATATCTACAGGCCTTGAAATAAAAACTGTCACGTTTATCTCAAGGTTGTTTTCGGAGGTTTGCAAAGGGGGACAAGGGTCAAACGGTTGAATCTTGTTCTGGTCATCTAGACCTTTGGGACTTCTAAACGCCCGAGTCGCTACTAAAACGAGGTCATTGAAGCCTTATATTCCAGCTAATACGATGCCATTTTCCTACTCATCTGTTAAAGGAACTTGTCGTCCTAATGCCTTTAGCTTACTCAATTGCATCGAACACGAGGGCGAATCGCACAAGTTCTTTGATTGATGATGCCGACGTTTCGAGACCGGACGGCGATGAAGAAGTCTCCGAGATTAAGGAGATCTTCGCATCGATCACTGATGCTATCAACAATCTCTTTCGACTTTCAATGATCATCCGCAATAGCACAAGCAGAGACCGCTATTCAAAAGCTGCAGCTGCTGCAGCGGCGAGCTCTCCTTTTAATGACCAATTCGACATAAGCCATGTCAGACATAAATTCCCTACCCTCCATTCAAAAGGTAAGGACTGGTTAGCAATTCGGCTAGGTAAAGCAATCACTCAAAGACGGCAGTACCTTTGGTATTGCCGAGAACACCATGCCAGGACGCTGAGAGATCCACAATCGGTAACTTCGAAAGATCGTACTACTTTAAGACCCAGCTTTGCAGCGGGTATGGGCGCGGATGGACAAAGCGCCCATTTAAACACCGCCCTGAGCGGTATTGGACAAACCCAGGCTTCTACGTTGTTATTAACCTCTGATCTGATTCCCCACGAGGACCCTGCTGAGGAATTGCGGTCCGAAACATCGTATGCAACTTCCATAGACGAGGACAAGAGCAGCACCAAACTTACAGTTATACCATTGGATAATGTCTCCAAAGACCTGTCTCATTTTGAATGCCCATACTGCTGGCAAATACAGGGAACCAAGACTCAGAAAGCATGGAGGTAAGCAATTTATCGAGATACCCTTACATCAAAGTCTAACATGTGCGATTTAGGAAACATGTGCTCTCAGATCTCAAGCCATACGTTTGTACATTTGAGGCTTGCGAGCTTAAGATGTTTGCGGATCCCCATACTTGGTTTTTGCATGAGCTCCAAGACCATCGGAAAGAGTGGAAATGTTATTTCTGCTCCCACAGTTCCTTCACCTCTTCAGGTGATTATAAGAGCCATCTCAAACATCGACATTCTTCATCTTTCTTCGAAGATCAGATTCCTGTTCTCCTTGGGATGAGCCAACGACCAGCTATAACAGCCTCTCCAGCTGATTGCCCCTTTTGTGACGATTGGGAAACACGGCTTAGAAAAATCAACTTGCATATTCCGGCATCAGAGACGCTTGTAGTTACTTCCAATCAGTTTAAGCACCATGTGGGAGCTCATATGGAACAGCTGGCGTTGTTTGCAATCCCTCGAGGTTATACTGAAGAGGGCAGTGCAGATTCAAATATTGCTGAAGCACGCGTGGATTCTGAGAAGTCTTCTTTGATAGACAACGTACACCAATGGGACGTCGAGGAGCCCGGAAAATCCAGAGAATCATCGGCTACTGAAGCCGATATTCCCCGACTACCAACATTACAAGATGTCCTGTCCAATTCCGCTCCAGACCCATGGATTCTCGGGGCTTTTGAAGAGTGTATTTCCCGCAATAATGGCTTAGAGCTTTCCGAATTTTTAGAGGATGCGAGGAGGTATCTAAAGGTCTATCACAATATGACTAACGAAGAACCCATTTACGAACTGGTCTCTCAATATGCGTCTGACCAGACGTACATACGGATGATGTGGAAGAGCTTGCTAGACACTTATATTGTAGCAAACGCCCCTAAGGTAGTCGACATCCCCTCGTCGATTCGAGACCACTTGATATCACTTCATTACGCCTCAATGCCACCAGATCCGGCAGATCTCGACCTGATTATTAGTGTCATCTGTGTGCTCCTGGATGACTTTCCAATTGATTCATACGCTAATTTCATCAAATCGGAACGGGCCTATGGTTTGGATAGGTCCGCGGGCTTGGAATATGCCACAAATGAAAGAAAGTCTGAGCGGCTGGATTCGGAAAACAATTTGATTTCTGATGTGGACACCATTCATGGACCTACGATAGACGAGGTGTCCCCGGAGGAGGAGAGGAATTCCTACCACGTTTATACAATTAAGGCTGCGCCATTGAACGAGGGGGAAGACCCTAATTGGAGCACAGCTGCGTTTGTCAAGGAGCAACTAGCCGAAAGTGAAATCATAGAGCAAACCAAGAGGCTGAATGACCTTAACAGGCAGCCGGTGGCTGAAAAAAGGGCGTCTCTGATGTGTAACCAACAAGACCCGATATCAGATTTTTGCCTAGCATCCAACGAACTTGAAACAACCTTCGAATGGTCCCTAATCCAACTCGACAGCGAGGAACGGTTCATTATGCCTGAGATGAAGAAGACTTCAATGTTAACTGCATATATCATTCGTAGCCGGATGGGGGCCTTGGGGGATATGACCAGTGCCTCTTGGAATATCTGCGCCTATTGTGATAAGTAAGACCCCTGTTGAGGTTGGTATTGTAATATGCTGATTTCCCTGTTTTAGATTTCAGGGCAACAGCCAAAAGGACCAGCTCCGACGGCACATCCGCAATTATCATCACGTCGAGGACAGTGCTTCTTTCCAAGATGGCGATCAAATTTCTGAACTCTTATACTACTGCCACCATGATAGCTGTGATCTAGCGGGAAAGAATGGCTGGATGTCCGAGATCGATATGGTGAAGCATGTAAAGAAAGTCCACGGCTTTTCCAACTTTGGGCTTAATGGTTTTCGATTGGACGCAACCCGGCCGTTGGCCGCCCCCTCCCACACCACCTAAAGCCAACGAGTACATAGGCGAAAATGAACAGGAACCACGCAGAACGACCATAAACAATCAGGAGAGGTGGAATACAGGAAAGTATGCCAGTCAAGGAAGCAGATTCTTGGGCTGAGCGCACCGGAAACAGTTCATTCCATGTACGCCCTCGCGCGAGTGCTTTTGCGGCTAGGCAAGCACCCAGAAGCAAAGACAATATGCCGGCAGGTACTAAAGTTCAGGGAGCATGCTCTCAAAGCAGATGACCCCCTTATGTTCGATAGTAGAGATAAGCTCGTAGACGTGCTTGTGCCACAGCGGAAGTATGAGGAAGCAGACCAGACAATTCGGCAGGTGTTAGAGTGGAGAGAACAATCTTGGCCCAGAGCACCCGAATACTATATAAAGCCTTTCCCACACGTTTGTGGCGCTGGACAAGATTGAGGAGGCAGAGGGAACGCGCCAGCGCCAGCGGCTTTTCAAGCTAAAAGAGCGTGTTCTTGGTCTAGAGCACGAGGATACGATTGATAGTAAAGCCAGCCCTGACTCCGTGCTGCTGTGGCGGGAAGTTCTCGGAAAGTGAGAGTAAATAAGTTAGCAAGTCCTCTAGTTAAAAGAAATAGAATATAATATCTACCCCCCATGTACATGTACCTTGCTTACAAAATGGCACATAAAATCTAGCAGAAAGAAAGCCTATCGAGGTTGAATTAATGCCCATGGAGAACGAATACAAATCGGCCTAGAGGGGCCACGAACTGTTGCAACTATGCAAAAACAAAAGGAAACATTTAAGACGATAGTTAAAGTATTACATAGACTTACATAACAAAATAAACACCCTGTTATATAATGAATTGATGCAATAGCTAGCCACTTGTGTCTGTATACATAGCCTGGGAATAGCTTTCTATACTACCTACGCACGTTGCCATCTTGTTTTTTGGTTAGCTAAGCTTTAAGACATCGACAAAGCTGTTTCTTTGATTCGGTAATCACAGTATACTGATTTTTCTTAGTATAGCCGTCTGTTAAGTCGTAACTGCGCATTAATATTATTCGAGGTTCGCAAAGCACACCACAGCAAACTCTCACCCCACGATGACTTTCTCACATCCTGCAACATCGAAGAACTTGTCCATCGAGGCGGCTATCACGCTCATTTTTCCGTCATGAAAAACTTAAATTTAGATATATTCTTAGTATCGCTATCACAACGACCGGCTTCTCCATGCAACATACATGCACCGGCACCAAGAAGACAATATGATATCCTACACATGGAACTATAGTGCTACACGCACTTTCCACCACCGCCCCTTCCTCCAAAGTCCCAACTTCTTTGAAACATGTAAATCGTCCAACTCGTTAAGTAGACGTTATATTCATTATATGTGATAAATTCTTGACTATGAACGGCCGTCATCATCCTTCTCTAACTCATAAAATAGCATATAAACTTCTCGCTGCATGCCTAATACATCACTCGTCTTGCTCTCTTTGACTTTTTCGTCTGAGATTCGCCACCAGCGACTACTAGCGCGCTTGGCTTTACTCCCACCACGCAGTACATCGGCGACTGATGGTTTCGGAGCGGTTTCTTTAGCGTTATTAGTGTTGCTTTCGGAGCGATCTCTAGTACTTGTAGAGGAGGAGCGGTGGACTTTGGAGAGGGTTGATTTTGCGGAGCGGGCTAAAGAGCGGATACTGCTTGTTTCCGCGTCGTTGTTGGGAGAGGAGGTTGGGCCATTGGCTTTACTTGATTTGCCCGAGGACGTGGGAGGAGAATTTGAGATGGGCCGCCCGTTGATGTTAATGGTTGAGCTACTGGGTGACCCTACTCCGTTGAGAGGAGGGATGGAGGTGCCGGATACCGAGTCAGGAGAGCTCGACAGAAGTTCTGGCGTTGATATTGCCGGGCTGATATCTCCACTATAGTCATCTGGTTTGCGTAATGCGGTTATCTGAGGGGTTGATAGTAGCGAAGCATTCGGGGTTGGAGGCTTGGAGTACACGCCAGCGACGTGGAACGTATTCGGCGTGGAGAAGGGGGGTGACATATACTGCCGTCGGAATGACTCGTAGTGCCCTGAGTGATGACTGCCCTTATGACATACGACGCTGATAAGTCGGTACATCTTGCGGTCAAGCAGCCCTCCTAACCGTAACCGTTCGGGGAAAGAGACCTTGGCGGAATTTTTCATAGTGGAATTGATATCGAAAATAGACCGTGATAGATGGATGGCAAGAATTTTGGGGAATTTCGTGATCCGTACGTGCTTTGCTATTTTCCGCTTGGGAGCAAATTTTATATTTGGTAACTCGACATCGTTGAGCTCTTTTTCGGGATTCGTCTCTATGGCATCTTCTAGTTGACTTATAGCGTTTTCTATTTTCGTTTTATACTTCTCGGAATTCGATTTCGCGTACTCCTCCTTGAACATGGTCAGGGCATGAATGAGCCGGCACTTCTCGCATTTGAAATCTTCTATATATTCTGTTTTGAACATGCCGTCGAAGCATGAATTGAGTGTCGTTGAACTGACTTGCGGTACGCTTAGTGATAGCGTGCAGAATGTGGTTCCGGTGGGTTTGGGTTTAAATTTGCACGTCAAGCATTCAATTTGTTGTTCGGAGCCTCCTTCAAGAGGAAAGCCCTCCTCCGAGTTGTCCAGTAATCCGTTGGGGTGAGGTGATTCTGTGCCATCTCCAGCGCCGTTTGATATTGATTCCGTGTCCAATATTCTGCCACCATTAAGGAATCCATTATCGACTTCTATAGTCGGCTGGCTCGAGGAACCATCTGGAGGAGTGTTGTCTCGATCAAGGGTGGGGTTTTCGCCATTCAATGCCAGCTGGTTCGCACGTTCCCTTGCCCTCTGTCCTGCGTGGTACTCGTCGCATAACCGCTCCGCAACAATTTGCAGAAACTCCTGAGCGTCCTGTTGTTGGCGTGATATTCGTTGCCTAAAGGCTTGCTCCAGCACTGTAACGAACCCGGTCGCTGATATTGTCTTCCGGTATATTGGGCGCTCATTCAACGAATCCAAAATTTCTTTTAACCCATGTGTCACAGTCCCAGCTTGTAAGCCCTCTAGTTTCCATGCCGGAAGGCCTTTGCGCACTGGGTCGTCCACAACATGAGCGTATATCTGTGCGTCGTCCAATTTCCTTCTGTGTGTCTCCCTGATCAAATATATGCGCAAATCTCCCAAGCCTGCCAATGCTTGCAATACAGAATTTATGAAGCAATCATTGGCGGAATTCGATAAGCCAACTATCCCCCTCTTGCGCGAGCTGGCAGATGTTCCGGCAGAATCTCCGTCGATGAAGAAGGTAGGTTGGAAGACGTAGACCAGCGCTATTGCAGCGAGACCAGCCCCTGCGGCGTATGCGATGGTGACAGGCCTCTCTGGCATCGTTGGATTAAGCCAGGTTCTATGGCGGATTGCAGATGGACTATCTGGCAGAAACTTTCCATGCCAGATGATCTTCAAAGTGGAGGCTAGGTTTTGTGGAGTCGTAGGGTGGTTGCGACTTGACTGAATTTGCAAGTATTGCGACTGGGATTCGTAAGCCGGACTTTGGACTTGTGAAGCACTTGCGATTGCTCTTGAATGCCCAAAAAAGAAAAAAATACTGTTTGTCAATTTTATGTACAATCGAAGAATGCCGAAAATGCGTCACAACCTCCAGCAAACAAATAATCTCAACGATTCAGTGTTTGCCATCAGAGGTTCCATAATGACCATGGTGACCTAATCGGATGGATCGGGCCCCCCTGGTGGCCTCGGTCATATTGGGGTGTGTCTCCACTAAGGATGGCGTGAGCGCATCACAAAATTTCCACCTCGCTGCATCTCGAGCGTCTTGCATCGGGAGCTTGAAATTGGTCAAATCAATCGCAGAGTCGCAACCTCCACAATGGCATCGCCTCTGATAACGAGGTCTCCCCAATGCATCTCCTGTTTACGGCGCACAGTAGCCGGCCTAGGAGAGCGGCGTTTGTTCCCAGCTGGCCAGCAAATTAGAGGGAAAAAGTACGCTCCTAAAGGGACGAATAAGGTCAACGCTCTTCTTCTGAAAGATGTGAAGGGTTATGGCAAGAAGGGTAAGTCTCCCCTTGCACCAGATGGTTATCCTGTTGGGTAGATTCTAACTTTAATCCAAAGGAACTGTCATGTCGGTGGCCCCAGGCGTGATGCGAAATCAATGGTACCCAAGGAAACTGGCAGAATATGTAACGGATGCTAGACTGGCCGAGCTTGGGCTGAAGAAGGAAGATATAGTAGAACGAGGGAACATACAGACAGCTGAAGAAGCGGTGTCAAGCACGATGCAGGCTGAAGCTGATTCGGACGCCGGAACCACAGCCAACGATCCCCTGGCCACTCTGGATCCCATTCAAGAACCTGTGGAGCCCGTGGAGCCTGCTGCACCAGAACCTTTAACGGTCAGACTCGTGAACCCAAACTTACTGAATGAATGGTTGCTGAACTCTAATATAGCCCGAACAAGCCACGTCAATTTTGACGCGCCTCCTTGTCCCGACTGTCGAGTTTCATCGCACCCCAATCCCAACATCACACCTTGCCCCCAAGAAATTGTCACCGTCGCTCCCTGCTAATGCAGCCGTCTCAGGTTCTGGAAGAGGCGCGCAAATACCACAAAATGCTAGCATTTACGGTTCCGTTTCAACAGCCGATATTGCTGCGGATATCAACACCATACTCGCCGGAAATGAGGAGGGAGCCGGTATAATCCTGTCGCCTGAGGATATATCGTTCGTGAAAGAGGCAGAGGAAAAGGATCGTATCAAGCATTTGGGGACTTTTGAGATCGACATCAGGTTGAGGGGCGCCCCAAGTGCAATTCGAAGAACCATCAAGGTTAGCGCCCTAGCATAAACGGAGCATTTGAGGACATGTATCAAGAGCTAGCTGTGTAATACCACCAAATTTCTTCCCCATAGGAAGGCGAATGTGATTTCCAAGACGTGCTGGTTCTTGCAGATAGGTAAGTGCCAAGATACGAGGTATAGCTAACTGCAACTCTGCCTCCAAGCGTACGAGTTAGGTCAATTCAAACGGGATTCAATTCACAGGCCATCCTCTCTCACAAGTTGATCGATGCGATAAGGAGAGGCTTCGGCAGAAGTTTAATGATTTGGACTATAGTCTGTCCAGCCAACTCTTAAGAATTTCAGCGTTCATTTAGGATTCCGGGCAAGTATAGTCTTTCCAAGGTTGCCAAGTCAGGAATTCCAGTTCTCTTGAATGATTCAAGATATCCTTCTTTCGATTCAGTTCTATTGCATTCGAATGTGGCAATCATCTTGGCGGGAGTGCCACGCATCTGCCCAGCTTGGCAGCTCCTCGCCGTGTTCATTACTGTCATACATTTCTTCCAATTTTCCCTCAACATGTGGTGGGACGCCTTGTGTAGGTGTCACGCTCTTTGATTGGCAGGCGCCGAGAGAAGGTGTGGCTTGATCAGCTTCTGCTGTTGCAGGGCCAACTGCTAAGTGGCAGCTATTCGATTGTGTCTAAGCCGAAGGACGGCCGGCTTGCGGTATATAATAATAATGCCTCAGCTGGCAGCGGCTGGATGGCCACTATATCGTGGGGAAGAGCGCCTAGGTAGCCAACGGGATTGGGGCAGTACCGTTACCACCACCAGGCGGCCACCAGCGCGAGCTACATTATGATTGTGATAACGTCAGGCAGTACTGTAAAACAGACTTCTGGACCCAGAATAGCAACGAGAATGACTTCCGGCCCCTTGGGCAAGCTCCGGTTCTCGCCTTCTGGCCGGCGAACCATCGGCAGCTTGCAGTTAGCGGCGGTGGGAAAGCAAAAGAAGCGAGGGGAATGCCCCCGATCCACCCATGACGCGAGCAGCCAGCCAGCCCCCCCCCACCCGAGTTACATCTACATATCTACCCCACCAAGAAACTAAATCGAAAGACTTCTTCCTCTGCTTGCTCCCAGCTACACCTACACCTTTGCTCCTACATCCCCAGAACCCCTTGGATATTCCAATTCACTGGTAAGTTGTCTCTAGTAAAGTCTCGCTCCAGATGGCCGTGTATGGCTCTTCTTATCGCGCTCCCGCACTCCGGAGCATCCCCTCGATTATGCGGTAGCGGGGAACGAAACGAATACCGATCAGGCCTCAACAGCACCCTTTCTGTAGCGCAGAGAAGAGGACATTCCCTACTTAACGTACTCGTATCTTTCGACACCTAGCTAACAGCATCCGATCTTCCCAGAACTTTTTCAATTCCAACCCCAACACAACCAGCTTGCAAAGATGGGTGCCCTCGATGTCCTGAGCCGCAAGAGCGGTGTTATCGTTGGCGATGACGTCCTGAAGCTCTTCAACTATGCCCAGGAGCACAAGTTTGCCATCCCCGCTATCGTGAGTCATATAAACCCTCGTACCGATCTATAGAATCCGTCTAAAACCGCTCCAGAACGTCACCTCCTCCTCCACCGTCGTCGCTGCGCTTGAGGCTGCTCGCGATGCGAAGGCCCCTATCATCCTTCAAATGTCCCAGGGTGGCGCTGCCTACTTCGCAGGAAAGGTATGTAAACATGGCTCGATCTATTCGATAAACGATCCCATTCTGACTGTGAGCAAATTAGGGTGTTGCCAATGGTAACCAGGAGGCCTCAATTGCTGGTGGTATCGCAGGTGCCCAATACATCCGTGCTATTGCCCCTGCCTACAACATTCCAGTCATCCTGCACACCGATCACTGCGCCAAGAAGCTTCTCCCATGGTTGGATGGTCTTCTGGACGCTGATGAGAAATACTTCAAGGAGCATGGCGAGCCCCTCTTCTCCAGCCATATGATTGATTTGAGCGAGGAGGAGGTTGACTACAACATCAAGGTTACTGCTCAGTACCTGAAGCGTGCTGCGCCAATGAAGCAGTGGCTCGAGATGGTAGGTCTCGGATTCAAAAATATGGAATACACAGTCCGCTAACGCTCGTTTCTAGGAAATCGGCATTACTGGCGGTGAGGAGGACGGTGTCAACAACGAGGATGTCGACAACAACTCCCTCTACACTCAACCCGAGGATATCCTTGCCATCTACAAGGCTCTCCAGCCAATCTCACCATACTTCTCCATTGCCGCTGGCTTTGGTAACGTCCACGGCGTTTACAAGCCCGGCAATGTCAAGCTCCACCCGGAACTTCTCGGCAAGCACCAGAAGCACGTGAAGGATGCCATCGGAGCCAAGGAGGACAAGCCGGTCTTCTTGGTCTTCCACGGAGGATCTGGATCTTCAAAGCAGGAGTTCATCGATGCTATCGGATACGGAGTTGTCAAGGTTAACCTCGACACTGATCTGCAGTACGCCTATCTCACCGGCATCCGGGACTACGTCCTCAACAAGAAGGACTACCTGCTGAAGCAAGTCGGCAACCCTGATGGCGATGATAAGCCAAACAAGAAGTACTTCGATCCTCGCGTCTGGGTCCGGGAAGGAGAGAAAACCATGTCGCAGCGTGTTGCTGAAGGTCTGAAGGATTTCAACACCGCTGGCCAACTTTAGATTGTCTTAGCATGTGACCCATGATTGAGAGGCGAATTTGATAGTTATGGCCTGTAAAACAATTTATGAGGTACGAAGCCAACGCCTGCCATTTCTGCCAGTTCTACTGGAGTGATTTGCGTGATTAATTGCTACCAACCTACGGCCCTTCTCTTACTTCAAGCGCTAAAATAATACCTTGAACCATTCTGTTTGGAATCTAGAAATATAGACTTAGCTATGCAGATTATAATGAAACCCTCCGCAATTGTTGCTGGCTATGAGTCGACTTTGCCCGTCACTAGGGCCCCCCCTGTCCCCATTGGAAGCATAACAACCCCAACCGGCGAAAAGCTAGAAAGGGAATTTTTTAAATTCATGTTCAGACAGCTCTAGACATAATATTTGCAAATTAAAGCTTGGTTGTTGCAGTTAATAAAAACTCACGTGCAGGTGCTATCGCTTGGGCACTACATGCCAGGGTCCGGTTGGCCCAGGGATTGAGTAACTGGAATCTCGAGTAACCAACACAGCCTCCCCCGGATGACGTTTTGGCTACTCTAAGCGCATGCGATTCATCCCTCTTCTCGAGCACCGTGGGGCAACAAGTAGTCCCCTCTCCCACGAAGACTGATCCTCACCATCTTATCCTACACTCATTACCTCGATTTCTATGCACATACTCTGATAAGAGCCACTCACTCTGTTGATAATTGATAACACCAATCCCAACGCGACCGCCCCCCATTTCTGCAAATCCACCACGAAACCATGTCCTCCAGCGAGAAAGAAGGCGGTGGAGTCTCTGCGCAGAATAAAGGATCCTGGACTGCGTTCTTGAAATCTATCGCGTCGTTCAATGGGGATCTCGCATCATTGACTGCTCCCCCTTTCATCCTGTCATCGACATCGCTTGTCGAATTCTCGTCGTACTGGGCGGAACATCCCTCGATCTTTGTCGCACCGGCTGCTGAGAAAGACCCCCAGAAGCGCGCATTGCTGGTATTGAAGTGGTTCTTGAGCACGCTGAAGCAGCAGTATGCAAGCCGCAGCGACAAGTATGGTAATGAGAAGAAACCACTGAACCCGTTCTTGGGGGAGCTTTTCCTGGGTAAATGGGTTGACGACGCCGGCACGACTGAGTTGGTCTCCGAGCAAGTGAGGTGCGTATATTCAAGCCATCTGCAGGACATCCTCTGTAACTAACAATTACCTCAGTCACCACCCACCAGTTACTGCCTACCATATTTCGAACGACAAGCACGGCGTATCGCTGCAAGGCTACAATGCCCAAAAGGCATCATTTGCCCGCACGATCTATGTGAAACAAATTGGGCACGCTGTGTATTCTATACCCGCCTTCAACGAGACCTACCTCATCACGCTTCCAAACCTGCACATCGAAGGTCTAATTTTTGGCTCTCCATTTGTTGAGCTCAACGATAAGACATACATTACCAGCAGCTCAGGATATACAGCCAAGATTGACTACAGCGGTAAGGGGTGGTTATCGGGAAAGAAGAACAGTTTCACAGCCACTCTATACCCCACTGACAAGGAGAAAGAGATACTCTACACAATCAGTGGGCAGTGGAACAAGTCATTTGATATCACAGAAGGTGGCAAGAAGGGTGGCGTTATAGGGAGTTATGATGCTGAGACGCCCACCACGGCTCTAATAATTGCGCCACTCGAAGAGCAAGGTCCTCTAGAATCACGGAAAGCATGGGCCAAGGTTGCTGCTGGGATTGCTATAGGCGATATGGATGTCACTGGGGTTGAAAAGTCTAAGATCGAGGTTGCGCAGCGTGAATTGAGGCAGAAGGAGAGAGATGAAGGGAGGACGTGGGAGCGAAGATATTTCTCCTTGGTTGAGAACGACGAGGTCTTGGAAAAGCTGGCGCCTTCCATCCCGGGATTTCTTGCAGAGCCTGACAAGACCGGCGGAGTCTGGAGATTCGATGAGAAGAAGGCGAGCGCGATAGCAGAGAAAAAGAAAGCTGGCGCGAGTTGAGTAAATCTGAGAAATAAAAAGTCAAGTAAGGGGTCGAGTCGTATATGTATAGATGAGATTTGGGTGACGAAGAACAAGTCTTTTGAATAAGGATTAATTTCTTTTCAATTACTGTACTACGTACCACCGCTGGGTTATTTGTTCCACATAGAATGAATCAGCAAGTAAATCGATATACTTAAGCCCAAAATATTTCATTGCGAATGAAGCATTGTTGTTTTTTTTGTTCTCTTGGTCAAGTAACCTTGATTTGGATACATAAGCGGGCTTTGACGGGCTAGAAAACGCGACCTCGCATCGAGGCATCTCTATCTCCGACAATACATATGGTGTACCTACAACTCTAAATCGCCAATACATCACATTGCCACAACAATAACACCAAATCTTTGAGATTCGTTGTTTTCAATGAAATTCCATATCCTCCGGGCGTATTCCTAAATTTCTAAGCTCTCAAACCCCGACGATGAGAACCCTTCACTTAGAGCCATAACAAGCGCGACCATGGCTCACTTAGAGCGCGATGAAGCGCGCAATAACCACGACATCGACTCCGACCCTCCTTCTGATGGGAATCGCAAGCCCAGCAAATTTGCTTTGAAAGATCCCGCGTCGCGGCCGCCACTTTTTGTGGGCATGAAGCAACGGCAATATGGTGGGGGTCGCAGTGACGGTTCCGGCGCTTCAGGCATTCGAACATCCGAAGAAGTAATACGGGATCATAGGAGACAGAAGGAGGAGCGGAAGCAGCGAGCAGCTCTTCAGATTGGCCTGACAGAAGCTTACAGGAGAACGGATGAAAATGGTGGATTTATACCCAAGACAAGCACGTCTACAGTCGCGACGACGGATAATATGCGGGATATTGAGAGGAGTCCCAAGAGTCCGGAACGGGCGGCCGAGAGTCGCATTCCTAGATCGAGCGTATATTCTCCGCGTGGGAGGGCCAATGCTGAGAATCGAATATCATCTAGTCCCCCGAGGGCTAATGCGTATTCGAGACCACGATGGGAGAACAGAGATACCCCCGCCCCGGCGGATAGTGAGAGTGATTCTACAGGACCTAGGGAAGGGAGTCCAAGTCCCGCCCCTGGAATAAGGAACCGGAGGAGTAGAGAAGGAAGTGGCAGTCCTGCTGAGGGCCAGGGTATTTCGAACGAGCGGAGAACCTCAGCTCAGCTAGATCGAGACCATCCTTCAAGAACGATTGCCAATACGAACCCATTGTTTGTAAAAAACAAAACCCAGGAGACCACGTCGATTTTTGCGGCGCGAAGAGGGGTTGGCCCCAAAGTCGCAGAAACTACGAAGACGCTGGAGAAGAAAACGAGCATGAGCAGTCTTGACGATGCGCCTGAGCACGCAGCAAGGGAAACCGGTACTAGAGTCGCGGAGACGACGAGGACACTTGCGCGGAGGACAAGTACAAGCAGTTTTGAGGATACCCCAGAGCCTCCTATCAGGGTACCAAGAGCATGGGGCACAAGAGCAAAGAATACCTCTGGCGCTAAATGGATGGCCAAAATTTTGTCACCAGATCCGTCCATGGACATGAAAGATCTTCAGCTTGGTACAGGAGGATACCAATCCCAAACCCCCGACGCCCCTCTACCAACTATTGAAGATATTTCCTCGCTCCAGGAACCCACGCCACCGTCGTCTCGCCCAACTTCGGCACAGCCAAAAACTGGATCCCCAGAAAAGAGCAAATTGTGGGATGCTGACCTAGATTTTACGGCACACTCACTACAAATATCTACGAGTCCCCAGCTTCGAGTGAGGAACACTAAGCTGGACGAGATTCGCAATCGGGAAATACAGAGCTTAACAGCGCGAGCTCTAGCTTCTAACCGATTGGAAGAGATTAGAGAACGTAACTCCGAGGAGAGATCGATTCTCTCTGATACTTCCCGAATAAACGACGGAGAATCAGCTCCAGCCCCCAATCCGGGAGAGAACGAGGGAGCAGCAGGGGATTTCCATGAAAGGACTATTATTGAGGAAGAGGGCTATCCGATCCGCGGAACTCCCGTCACTGTATTCCCCAGTGGTTCGTATCGCCCTAGGAGTGGCAGTCGATCAGGAAGCAATGCGTCACTTCAGCGAGAAGATTCCCTCGACACCTTGAGAGCGTTATCGAGAGTACTCAGCGTCAGTCCTGCTCCGCCAGGTGCCGAGGAAGTCGAAAGAGCGAGTAGAAGTGATAAAAGATCTGCAAACCTGCACAGCGAAGATCTAAGGGAGAAGCAAATGGCGAAAGATGAATTCGAGGTAGAAAGGCCTTCTGACAAGCTGAAGGCAAAAGTCAGCGACGCATCAACAAAACCTTTATCAGAGACCAGATCGGGGAGGCCATTGGAAAGGAACTTGTCTGCTGGAAGATTATCAGATAGGGACGCTGTGAAAGCGAAAAGAAAATCGGTAGAAATTGCGGCAGAAAATCCTGGGCTTGATATAGACGTGGATATCAAGCGTCGGAGCAGAACAAATAGCCCTCCAAAATCTGACGCCGATCCTGAAGAACGGATCACGGCCGAGGCGATGCTTTTCGAACTTCAAGACAACAAATCCGAGAGAAACTCTATTCGCGCAGTATCCCCATCGCCTCCATCCTCAGATGATGGGAAGCTCGATGAGACACCAAGACCGAAGAAGGCAGACCCTCTATCCCGCCCCACGCCTAGGGTGACGGGTGCATACATTGAGACACCACTACCTACTGTGCGAAAAGTAAGGCACGTGCGTTCGAGCTCCCTTAGCAGCTCTCCTCTCGAAGAAGTCGACACTTCCGATTTTGCAACTCAGCCCTCAGAGTATAGACGCTCTCAAAGTACGTCTGGCATCTCTGATCCTTCAGATAAGGGCCGGGCTGGTCCAGCGGGAAGTGCATCATCGCGACAACACACTTCAAAGCCACCTCCGGCCGCAGTACCGGGGCCTAGACGACGTCTGATGAATTCCGCAAAGCCAACTACCGCTGCACAAGATCTTCGACGCCTCAAACAAGAAGGGAATTATGAAGATTCTACATTTGAAGATTTAGGGGCTGTGATCGATGCAGGGACTAAAGCCGCGCAAGCTTCACAGGCCAATGCAAACGCCCTTGGTACCCTGCCTGATCTGGACTACGACGAGAGAGGCCGTCCCTTGTCGGATAGTGAAAGGCAAAGAAGACTCCAAAGCTTAACCCTGGATAAAATGAACCAGCATTTAAGGAACACATCCTCTAGCATCCGGGACGCTAGACAGGGTATAGAACGCCTCGAACACCAGGTCTCTTCGACAACTTGGGAGATGTCCCGGGAGAAGGATGATAAACTCTATCTCAAGATTCCGATCCCCAGACTATGGGTCCGCAATCCCCCATCTAAAAGCCCCAACCAGCCAAAAGGCAAACGAAACTGGAAGCTCACGTGGTTCGGGTTTATCGTCCTTCTCTTCACTGGTTGGTATGTTGCTGAATCAGTAACGTGTAACATATACTGCCACCCCAAATATTCAACCCACAACAACTGGCACCCCTCCGATCCCTTCTTCCCATGGGCCATCCCAACCAAACTCGACGCCTGGACCGGCGAAATATTCAGTCAGACTGCACACAAAGCATTCAAGGGGATAGAAGACTTCCTCGGCCCGCCACAACCAAAGAGGAAAAAGTATAACATGCCACTAGGCGCTTCGGATTGGTGGCTGGGCAGAGACGGGCCTATTGAGATTATGGCAGATCCGGCAAGCGACGACCCGGGCTTTTTCAGCGATGAGATTTTGTAATTTATGATACCCTATTACGTACCTAGGTAGGTAGATAACGATGGCTTATGATTAATAGTATGGCGTTTTATTTGGGAACTGGGGTTTCGGTCTGGGTTAAGCTAGGTGGGAGCGGTGCTCTGTATTTAAGAAACACTACCTAGGTGTATCGACGGCATTTGAAAAATGTATTAAAAATTAATCAACTCTTGACTGATTCCATCGAATACGAGATGATTTGACTTGATGCATGTTGCTCCTTTACTCGGCGCTTAATCTGTCTTTACCTGTGTCGTGGATATGCTGCCGTGACATGTTGGGGATACGAGCAGTAGAACTTTGTTGGCTACGGTTTCAAGTAGTTGGCAAGGAGCTGAGAGAGGAGGGGATAGTCCTTCGAAAAGAGGGAACCCTAGGGAAGCTCCGAGGGAGAGAGGGGGGGCCAGGGGACAAAATAATTGTACAAACTCAACACCAAGAAAAGCTCCAGAGATGAGATACGTTTATAAGAGCTGTAACCACACAAGTTCGGTCACGAAAATCACCATGTAGCAGTGTAAACGAGTTCTCTCCACACACTTCATACTGATCACAGGGGTAGGTTCCCGTGCGAGCAGCCAGCAAGCCCTCGCTCTCAAAACTAAATAAGCTAAGCCTTTAATACACAAGTTCCCATCTCCCAACCCAGCTCAGCCGCCAAATTTCAATTTCAATTTCCATTTCCATTTCAATTCAAATTGCACTCTTTGCGTCCCCCAGTTGGTATCCATTTCTGATTGACCTGGTTCCATGGCAAGCTAAGTAAAGGACGTGGACCGAAAAACGAATACAGACAGAAACCCCGGTCCCCTCCAAATTCGCGCTTCAATTATTACATGGCAATTTTTTTGGGGGAAACACATCATGCATGCACACGGCATGGCTCAGGCCTTGACCGAGATGAGACGAGTAGAGAGCGGAGAACGAAAAGCATAAAACCTAATTGAAAACAAGAGTTAGGGTGCAGAGTAGCAACGAAATAACCCAGCATAACTACATAAAACAAATTACGGACTGAGCGGCGCAAGACCAACCAGCCCGCAAACGCGCGCGCAATCCATTATGTGATGAACGACCAGACCAGAGCAGACCAAATCCATGACCATGATTTTCAAATTTTGATCCGTTCCCCAAATTGCACGCAAGATGAATTGAGCTGTGAGGTAAAGCAGAAACAGTCGTTGGAGTATGTGGTAGTAACACAGTTTTGGTATGAATTTTCCATCTTCCGAAGGAACGGTAATCTACCAAGGACGTGCGGCTGCTTCACGAGGCCAATTAATGTCCGTAGTTACCGCCCCATCCACCACGTTGTTGGCTATTGCCATAATAATTGCCTCCGAAAGCTTGGTAGCCGCCGTATTGGCTGTTCTGGTGGCCTTGGCTTCCAGCTTGATGACCACCTGCTCCTCCTAGGCCGGCATATTGGCTGCCAGCCTGACTACCATGCAAGCCATGTCCATGCTGGAGGTGGGCTGGATAGCCTCCATAGCCAGGCTGTTGAGATTGGGGAGGAGGAAGCACCGATCCTGGAGTTGTGTTGGTTGCAGATCCGGGTCGGTTAGCTTGAGACAACGACGGGCTGGGTCCATTCGCAGTCTTGGAGTCACCAAAGGGCTTCAAGTCATCAGTCGCAGCTTGTTGGCTGCTCTGGTTGGCGGTGTAATGCTGTTGGGTTTGACCTTGATATGATGATCCCCGGCCGAATGCATCATGTGCAGCACCACTAAAAGCACCGCTACCTCCGAGGCCTTGAGGCGTCTGAGATGACTGGCCTGACACAGCACGGCCATACTCTCCCAATCCACCACCCAAGGCACTATCACGACCATGGAGGGAGGATGCCCCAAAACCACCAGCGGCAGGGGACGAGGCGTGTTCATAAGGAGCCCCTGGAGACATTGCATAACCCTGATATGGTTGGTGAAGCCCTCCCTTTGCGCCATATGGCCCGCCAGGGTAATTTCCAGCGCCATATTGCTGGTACTGGTTCATGTATGCGGAATAGTAAGGGCTGCTGTAGTACGGATGCCCATACGGGTAAGTGGCACCTTGTGGCTGCTGCGGATGGGTGGGTTGTGGCTGTCCAGCTTGGTTGGCGCCGGGTTGGGCTTGAGCAGTAGGGTTGGGGGTGGTGTGACCACTTGTTTGGCCCTCCCCTGCCGTAGCATACCGCGACTGACCCGGCTGAGCAGTGCTTTGTGGGAATTGGGATGATTCGGTCGCCTGAGGTCCGTTAAACCCACTGTAAGATCGCTGCTGAGACGAAGGCGCATCTTGCTGGCCTTGGGCACCTTGCTGCAGACCATATTGTTGGTTATAAAAGTTGTTGAAAGCAGTGCGCTGTTGAGGATCCGCTGTATAATAGTTCGATAACTCGTTGGGTGCGGAGGAGAAACCCCCCGATTGTTGATGAGGCTGGGATTGGGCCCCTTGGTTGGGATAGGCTTCGAACGAGCTTTGAGCTGATGGGGCTTGCTGGCTGAAAGCATCGTAGGATTTTTGAGGCAATGATGTTTGTTCCTGAGCGCCGGCTTGTCCATATCGGCCGTATTGGTTGAATGCTGCGTTGCTTTGAGGACCTTGTTGGGCTGTGCCTATTAAAAACGTTAGTTTACACGTTTGGCTGACGCTCTTGCGATAAGTACGTACTCTGAGCACCGGGTAGTTGCTGTGGGCTTGGGAGACCTGGGGCACCTTCCACAACGTCAGCTTTTGAATACATAGAGAATAGTGAGGAATCCTTACCGGTCGGTTGTGTCGCAGCTGGTAAACCAGCAGACTGCTTTGGTGTTGGGAAGCCTTCCGGAGCCGCTGCAGGTTGCTGGGCTGCAGGTGCGGGTGGGAGTGAGGCTCGGGGGGCGACTGGTGAGTGTTGCGGAGGTTGACCACGAGTCTCTGGCTCCTCGCGATCCCCATCAACATCCTCGTCTCCGGCTCCATTCAAATTGAAAGCACCAAATTGAACCGCTGCCCGGTCAACCTCCCGGTTTCCTGGCATACGAACCGCCTCCTCTTGATCGAGTACCCGCCGAGTATAACTTGGGGCGCGTCCACCGGATCCTGTCGCCTTCAAAGCAGAAGCTTGAAAGCCGCTAGTTGGAGGCCGAATTGCTTGTGGTGGTCCTTGCTGTAATGCCGCGTAGGTTGTGGAGCTGGTGGCAGGATTTCTAGCGTCCCAAGAGCTAGCCGTAGTACTCGCAGCGGTATCGGTTGGGGCATCACCGGAGGCATCAGGGAGTTGGTCGAGGTTGTCCTCGGTTAGTTGGTCTTTTGAAGGTGTGACAGTTGTTGATTCGAGTTCTGCAGCGACAGTGGTTGGGACAGGGGTTTCTTCGACAGGTTCAACGGGAGCAGGCTCTGAGACTGGAGGTTCGGGTTCTTTAGTAGGAGGTTCGGTAGGTTCTTCTGGCTTCACAGGCTCTACAGGTCTAGAAACATGGTTAGCAGCTTCGTGGGATTAGATCGTGGCAATACATACTTCTCAGCTGGTTCTGGGGCCTTCTTCAGAGCCGGTTTAGGTTGAAGAATGCTGGCCCAGCTCTTCTTGAGGCCATCCGGTATAATGCTGGAAGCAGCAGCAGCAGTTGCAGATGCAAGTCCAGAGCCGTGGGTGTCCTCGGAAGTCTTCTCGGCAGGTTTAGCGGTATCCCAGGCCGGGGCATCAGTCGCGGTCGCACCCCATGCATTTGACTCGGTTGTAGGGGTTGATACTTCGGTATTTTCCTTGCGTGTTCCATTTGTGTGTGCGACCGAAGCTCCACGGCCTTTTCCACCTCTGCCTCGATCTGCGCCGCGACCACGGCCTCCTCTGCCACTGTCAAAGCCAGCTCGGCCGCCGCGTGAGACCCGGGGTTGATTGGTCGAATCGCCAAATGCTGTAGCAGTAGCATCCTTCACCTTTGATCTAGATCGATCTTTCTTGCTCTTCGAAACCTCGCCCCATTGCGAGATGGTGCCTAGATCGCGAGGTCAGTAACTGGCAGTGGACTGATAGCAAACCCCATCTTCCGCTTCGGTGCTCGTAAATAAAATCCAGTCCAGGTACGGAGAGAGACATACCATCTGTTATGCGACCAACCGTGGCTTCGAGATCGCCGTCAGTCTCCTGCAGAGCAAACACGATATCTTCATCCGTCCAGTCGGGGAACATCTCCTTGATGGTATTGACCTTGCTGCCATACTGCCTCTTCAGTTGGCCTACTTCTCCGCTGTCTTCAATTGATGCAGTTGCTGTCTGGCCAGCTTTATCGCCGTTGGTAGCGTGACCTCTGCTACCGCGTCCTCTGGATGAGAAGCCTCCCCGGCCGCCACGAGCTGGGCCTCTACCGCGCGGGGCGGCAGGTCGAGATTGTACCTCAGACATTAGGCTGTGAGGGTATGGTGATGTAAGTCAATGAGGGCAGAAAGAAGGAGGATGTGGCTGTGTCTGTATATGTAGATGTAGAGGGGGGGAGTGAGGTTGGTTTGGGTTGGAGAAGTGATTGTTTGATGTTGCGAAAGGAATGACGCCCTGAATAACCTTTTCGGTTCGCGTACAGTTAGTACGGAGTACGGAGTAGCCAGTGCAGACTCAGAGCGGTGGCGTCACGTGCTCGCGTCTCGTCTCTTCTTGTATACCTTGCCTAAGGTACTTCGTAGGAGGTAGGTATTTGCAAGGGAGAGAGGCAGGGTATTGGAGCAAAACAGTGATTGGCCTGAAAGGGTGTGAATGGATGTGAATGGGGGCGAATTTGTATTGTGGATGGAAGAGCTGTTTGCAGTCTCTACTTCGTATCAAAACAGCTGGATATATAAATTCGCCACCGCGGCGATCGTTCTGGGGCGAAGGCGACGGCGGTGGCGGCATCTTGGGTGTGGCTGGGATGCACGTGCTAGTGATTACTGATGTGCACGTGATATTGCTGTCTGAGGCTTCAATCCGTCTCGGATGACACCCTCGCGAGCGTGTCGAACGATGAGATTGAGAATACAAGGCACTGCACATTATCCCTCCCTTACTACGTACCATATTCCAAATCCCTCAAAGAAACGAAGTACAGCTTCATTGATCGGCGTTTATCCCATTCCCTTGGACAGTGCGCCGATGCTACTCTACGTGCGTGTTAGCATCCGATTGCGCGCACAACTTTGATCCCCTCAATCCTGCCTTGAGCAACTGCGGTGCTCCCCAGGACAAGATGTTTCGTTCCTCACAGGTCCTGCTATCGCAATCTATAGCAACGCTGCTACACCCTCGTGTACCATTAAGTGCCCCCGAAGCTCGCAAACTCTTCAATGTTCTTACGACCTCGTTCCGATCACATCTCGACGCAGAACATGGGCAGGCAGTGTCTGAGCCAGGCTCAGAGGCTGATTCGGCTGGGCCTGCAACCTCTAAATCTGCCATTCAAAAGCGCACCAGAGCACAACCTCTACACAGAAGGGACAACCATGTGGACCGACATTTACAGTCGATACTCTCGAATCCTCTGTTCAATTCTGGGCATATCCGACCCACAGGTGTTCCAAGCCCAATGGCCATGTTTGAGCGAGCAGTTGCACATGGCATGATGGATATTGACAAAGCGGCTTATTGTCTACGCCATGAGAAGGAATACATTATCTCATCAAACCCTGCGAAGTCAAGGGATGGGATGAAGCAGTCGGGGGCTGGACTGAAGGTATTGAGGTGGCTCGCATCAAGTGAAGCTATAGATCATGGTGGACATCATTTGTTGTTCAACCCACACTTTTCCACTATCTTCATGCAATTTTTGATCGCCGAAGGTTTGCGCGATGCTGCTTGGACGTTAACAACGAAGGCTTTGGAGCTCCTTACCGTGCCTCTTCCTTCGTCAAAAATCACCGAGAGACGAACGAAAATGAGAACGTTGTTGGATAACCTCATCCGGGCAGAAATTTCCTATGGAGACGTTAGCCTAGATTCAGCGTATCTCTGCGCAGAGAAAGCGTGGTCCTATATGGAGGGCATGCCTCTGGACTTGAGGACAAGACGACTATTACTTGTGCCAGCGCTGAATTCTCTCATCGGACAGACACGGGAATCCTATGGAATTCGTTTACCGCCAAGCGAAGAAAGATTTGAGTCTTTCCTCAGCCTCGTAACAATAGTACAAGGCGATCGGAGCTTTAGATTCGCTTCAGCGCACCTACATCTTCTCCATCCAAGTCGTCCCAGCGCAGAACTGGCATTGAGAACGCTCCGCCGTTGGCCCCGCATGGTTCTCCAATCTAACCCCATAATTAAAGCGCCATTGGTGCGAAGACAGGCGATAGGGCTGGGTCTTAATACTACCAAGTTCTTGCTCGACAACGATCGTTATAGCGAGGCTGATTGGGTTATGCAGTTTCTACGCAGCAACTTCTCAGAAGATTTAGGGGAACATCAACACCAAGCCTTGAATGACCAAGTAGCGGAGGCATCGTCGCTTGAAATGCTTAGTACCATCGCTCTTGCCTGAGTGGGGAAATGCCATCAGAAATCACGGCAGCAGGAAGCGTATTATTCGAGTATGTTTCAGAGGCAAAGATCAAGCTAGCAGGGTGCAGGTTGATAGTGCATGTTTCTCGGAGTTGGGGGTTCATTAGCTGGTGTCAAGGTTAAGGGCTAGGAGGAAATCAAATTGTGGTGGTATGGACATATCAAGACGCAACGGGATGGAAACAGTATATACATTGATGTGCAGCCATATATCGCTTCGAATAATAGGGGAAGAGTGTCACACCCTTTGAATTAGTCTTCGTCGTTGATTTGTGGTATCTGAAATCAAGCCTTGAACGTCAACATTGAGCCTAGGTGTTAAGAGTATAATAAGGGCGACCCCTCTCCTCGCCGTGCCTATCCGCCAAAAGACGTTTAGATCGCATTATTTAGGTATATATCTAGTGATAGCAGACCCAATCTCTTGCTGCCATGGTCTTGAGGAGTCTCGACTTGGACGAAGTATCATGCTCCCAATTGCAGGCTAATTAACCCTTGGATGATACACCCCTGTCTTCCCCGCAATCTGGACTTCAGCTTTGCGTTTTTGCTACTATGGGGTATCGAATAACGTAGCTAGGTACCTTTGGTACATAACCTCACCTCCCGGGAACCTCGTACGGGCTACGAAGTATACCTAGGGATTTATACTTCGGAGAGGAGCAGATTCCTTATGAGTAACAATAGGGCGGTCAACAGCCTAGTCTTGGTGCCAAAGACACTCAAATCAGGCAATTCAGCTCGGGCGGAGGCCTATGATGCAAATAAGCTTCAGTCCAGCCACTCAGTTCAACAATTCCGTTATCGTCGATCCTCCTCCTCCCAAACCGGGAATGACGGGGATGAGTCCTTACTCAGCCTCACGTGAATAGGTACTGCTGATCAGGTACCTTGCCTCTTCTCCACAAGCTCCCCGTTCCAACCTCCAACCTCCCCGTTCGCAACGTCAGCTCTCCCTCTCCCTCCCTCTCCCGAGTAGTGCCTTGCTCCCTTTTCTGTCGCAACGCATCAATTATATCAGCGCAAACCATATAACCAGCATATCTGAATCGTGGACATCAATTATATCCAGCGACCCCATTATCTCCATTAGCCGCAGATTGCCCTTGAGCTCCGCTTTCGTACGTCATCGAAATGTCTGACCAGGTCCAGGAAGTTCCAGCGGGCGACAAAGGTATGAAACAGCTCTATGTCGGTGGCATTGAGATTTGAGCGCATGATACGCCTATTTCCAGAAGCTGAGGTGTAATAATTAACTATATATCCTTTCTTTTCTCATTTTGGGCTTCGATTTCCTTAAATCCGAAGACCCCCAAACCATCCAAAGCCACCTGGCGACTCGTCTCAACGCAATCGCGCTGACATGATGCCTTAGTATCCTGGGTTGCAGATGGATCCGATCCCACTGGAACCGCGGCGGCCAACCCCGATGGACTCCCAGTCACAGTCGTCGCAGCGCAGGCAGGCGACGAGTCCACCAAAAAGTCTAGCGATGAGCCCAGCTCTGTAGCTCATACTGAGACTAATGGTAACGATGTTGCGAAGCCCGCCGACGACCCGAAGCCTTCTGTTCCTGAACCCGATAAAAAGAACGGCGTCGCCCCTTCGGAAGAGCAGCAGCCTCTCAATGAGAATAAAGAAGAGCATAAAGAAGAAGAACAGGAACAAGCGCCAAAGGACCCCGAAGTCGGAAAAGTCAAGGAGAAGGAGGATGAAATTACACCGGCGCAGGCCGATCAAGGGGAACCTCAAGCCGGCGAAAAGAGAAAGGCAGATGAGAAAGCTGATGCAAGTGAACCTACAGACGTCGCGAACGGCAACGAAGTGAAGAAACAGAAGGTCGAGGCCAATGGTGCTGCCGCCCCCACCAATGGGGAAAAGAAGAAACCGGGTCGACCAAAGGGCAGCGGAAGTGGCTCGGCTAAGAAGGACAAAAAGATACCGGCCGTGGGCAGAGCGCAGAGGAGGACTAGGAGTCAAGCAACTACTGAGAACTGATTTATGGTGGATGGGTGGAGCATGATTAATGATGGGTCATGATGGGGAAGGCTGATTGGTTAGGTTGGCGCGATTGGTAGGTAAGATAGGTAGGTATGGTAGGTAGGTAAGGGAATCGGTTATCTATATGAAATGGATAGGCGCTTGGGTAGGGTTTCCATGTTATGAAGGTGGTGGATTGCTTTTTTATGGGCGGGGGACAAAAATGGCGGGTTGTACATATTTCATCGCTGGGCGACACGCATTGGTAAAAAACGGGTACTTTATCAGTATTTCCCACTATGTGAATGCCTCTGCCAATGCCAACTTTCATTGATTTAGAGCCACGTAGAATCTGCGAGTACACCGGTACATTACCTTCAAAATGCACCCTGCCGGAGCTTTGACCTGAGATTGGCAATTGACGCTAGCATCTAGGAAGTCAAGGCACTTTTATGGCGCTGAAATTCATCCTTCGATCCCATTATATGTATCGTTATCAAAACTGTTATTCCATTTAATCTGGCAGCCCTATTACAAGCACGGCATCACTCGGTTTGGCTTGGCTATTCATACGCAGGGATCACTCTTATTAGCTTCACACCCAATTGCAACTCCACGCGGGAGCTCTTGCGTCCAAGTCCAACATGGCAACAAAGGGACGCGCCATGCAATCCCGAATCTGATGAGGCTGCCTAAGGTATGGAGTGGTTGTTACGCGCTCTATCAAGTGATTGTCTCACAACTCACGGATGCAATCGCGTTAACATGATCGCGGATTGCCGCCCAATGCTCAAATGCACCCTCCTCCGACCATAGCCGTGATGAATGCGATGGATGATATCGTGACTAGGAGTGAGGGAAAATAGGTATGATAACAAAACCGGATTTAGCTATGCTATTGGGTTTACGATACCGATTTATACGACTGCTCCTTTCGCGTTGTGACCCCAACGAAAATCACAAACAAACTACGAGATTATGCAAATGTTGACATATCTCTATGAGTAGCCAGGAAGCTGGAAGCGGTGAACTTAGTAAGAAGATACGAACTTGATCTTTTCTGTCGAATGACAAGGATGTATACTAGCACAGCTCTAGAGATTCGAAGCCAAAAAACGCCATCGACTATATTGCTCTTGAGAATGACCCTCTACCCTATCTACTCAATTTAGAGTGCTATCTTCGCAATGATCTTCTCACACAACGCAAATAGGCTCGACGCATTGGTAATATCCAGGAGCGTCAGTTCCGCACCCAACTCTGCCCTGACCCAGTTTCGGAACTCAACCGCAGAAAGTGAATCCAGACCATACGTGGCTAACGACTTCGCAGGTTCCATCGGCGACTCCAGTCGCAGTGTCTTGACAAATTGCTTGTTGACGACTTCGACTGCAGAGGCAAGAACAACAGCGGGCTCGGCTCCTGACCGGTGAAGCAGCAGAAGCGCCTGGATGTCTTTTGCGCCATCGTTGCCTCCTTTTCCTGCTCCACTGCTGGAGTCGTCACCGATGAAAAGTCCGGCGAAGCGGGCGTCCCGAAGGAGCTCCGAGTCATTTGGCTGAGGAACCGGAATTCCAGTTATGAGCTGAGCAGAGGTAGCAGCATTGGCTGGGGATGTCTGTTGGAAAATGGAGTAAGACAGAATCTTGCGTAGGACGCTCTCATTGATATACGTCCATTGTCGCCTGTCGAAATGCTGTGCCATCCCACCTTGCTCTGCGACATACCCCACATCTTCAATTACACCAAGGTCGACCGAGTTTGCCGGAAGGTTTAGTCGTTGCCGATATCTGGCGAATGCGTCCAAGAAGGCATTGGCGGCAGCGTAGTTTGCCTGACCCTTCTGCCCGACTACCCCGGAAATACTGGATAGCAGGGTGAAAAAGTCCAGGTGCAAGTTGTGTTCTATTGCTGCCTTGTGGAGGTTCCATGTGCCCTGTACCTTATTGGAAATAGTGGTGTGGTACTCCTCCACGGTCATGACTTCGAACGGTTTATCCTAACAAAGTCAATGGTTGGTAAAATAATGAGTCGCGAGTGATACATACCCTCAGAACCATGGCGCCTTGCAATACGCCCCCAATGGGAACTGCTGCCTCTTTGAAGGCGCGTTGAACGTCGCTGACATTCGAGACGTCTGCCTTTGCCTCCTGAATTTGGCAGCCCAGTGCCGCACAGTTCCTGACTATGGCTTGCGATCGTTCATCGGAACAGCCACTGCGTGACATAGAAATGATATGCCTCGCACCATGTTGCGCCAAGTGGACGGCTAGACTCCCACAAAGGCCCTTAAGGCCGCCAACGATGAGGTATGAGACATCGCCTCTAAGAGTTAGCTGTCGACGAGCAGGGCGGATTGGTACTTTGACTTTTGCATTGATGCCACTCGTGACGACAATCTTCCCAATGTGTCGCCCGCTACGCATATACGCAAATGCAGCCGGTATATCATCGAAGGGGAAGATCTTGACTGGGTGGATAGGTCCGATGTGGCCGCCTCGAAGGAGATTGAAGGTCTGTTTCAACAACCTATCATATGTAAGTTATGGCTGTAGGCAACAAATTTAAATGAAGGAAAGACTTACTTATGGATCATAGGATCAGTGACTTGCTTGTGCGAGAAATCCACCGCCCTAAAGGAGCAATTTCGATCGAATGGTTCCATGGAGAGGTGATTCCTATCCACAATATCTTTCTTTCCGATTTCGACCATAGTGCCACCATCAGCACAGATTCTCCATGACTCATCAAGCAACTCGCCAGTCAATGAGTTGATGATAACGTCGATACCTCTCCCTTCCGTCGCTGCCAAGATTTCCGAGGCGAATTGTGTGGTACGGGATGAGAATATCCTCTCAGTTGGAATTTTAAACGTTTCCGAGAGGAACTTCCGCTTCTCATCAGTTCCGACGGTGACATATATCTAATGATGTTAGAATTAAACTCCCAGTGGCTCAGTGTTATTTAAGCATACCTCTGCCCCAACAAATTGAGCGAGTTGGATACAAGCGATTCCAATGCCCCCGGCGGCGGAGTGAATCAGTACAGACTAGAAGTGTCAGCTGCAATCTGGCCCGAGCATATGATAGGTTCCCTTACCTGGCCCTCCTTCAGATTTGCAGTGTTGAAAAGAGAATAAACTGATGTTAAGTAGACAAGGGGAATGGTAGCCGCGTCCTATGTTTTCGTTAGCGAGGGTAGAAACTGGAATCAATGCAGCGTACCTCAAACGACAGTGTATCTGGTATATGATGAGTCCGCTCAATCGGAACTTGTATCCTGTTTGCGAAGGTCCCATTTCTGAGTACAGCCACTCGATCGCCGACTCTATAGTCTCTTGCTCCTTTACCGACTCTTCTCACAACGCCAGCACCCTCAAGACCTAGGAGATACTCGTTCTCTGGCACGATGCCCATGGTTACGGCCACATCCTACCGTCCAATGTTACTACCTTATTCTTCACTCGGTTCAAGCGAGGTACGTACCTTGAAGTTCAAGCCAGCAGCGAATAGTTCAACTTCCACGTTGTTATCCTTAATCGCGACCTCCTTCTCGGTGGTTTGAGAATACTCGAGGGCGTCCAAGGTTCCTAATCTTTGAGCCCTTAGCATTGCCACTCCATCTATATCATGCAGTGACTGAACAACGGGATTTGCTCCATTAATCTCATCACTCTTGAGCTGATTGACAGCAACATCTGGCAAAATTCTATTAACATAGATGACACCCCTTCTTTCCACAAATTCGCTCTCCAGCCCGGTCTTTGGAAGTGGTGCGAGCAAAGATGCGAGGACATTCTGTACCGCGGCGCTGCTTGCTGGGATGCTGAGCGACTCGATATCCAGCGTCGTGATATGCAGGCTGCGGTCTTCCGCGCGGATCGTGCGGAACAGGCCATGTATGAGCGCATTATCTGGCGTTGTTACATCCAGTTGTGAACCTGATGTCAACCAGAGGATTTTGCTCCGCTGTGCGATGAGATGCTTGAGCGTCAGCCATTGCTTCTCGGAGATTGTTGCCAGAATAGGAGAGAAGAGTTCATCTAGGACAAGGACAGTGCTATTGGGTGGAAGGTCGGTAGAGTTGTGCGTGTGCGATGTGACTTGCCAACCGGACGTTTGGAGTGCTTTGCTTATAGCTGGGGGTATGTGTGTGCCCTCAGATAGATGCACAACGGAAAGACTACGAGTAGCATTGGCGGCATCTGAAATTTGGGGCTCCGCAACTGCCAAGAAGGCTGACTTGACTGAATCGCATGGAATTTGGAGAATCCCAGAAAGACCAGTCGCCTGCAGGCTGGCTGAGAGAGACTTCAGGTCTAGTGGTGGTGCCTTATTCACCACCACTATCCCGCTGTCATCGGAGTCCGACTCGGAACCTGAGCTTTGTTCCACAAAGAGCACTCTGCCTCCGTCGGATAGCAGAGAACGGACATTCTTTGCTATAATCAAAAGGTCGTCCTTAGAGAAAGAAGCTCGCTTGACAATGACGAGATCGATATCCGACTGGGACGCCACAAAGTCCGGCTTGGTAATTTCCAAGAGACTGAAGGAAGTGTTGCGTTGAAACTCAAATTCGGTCTGGACTGCAATCATGGCTTTTGGATCAGAGGAAGCAAAGGAGTATTGGTCATAAGCTGCTCTGAGCGACCGATCTCCTCCTTGGAACCAGAGTGTTGAAGTATCATCGGAGGAGTTGATCTCCATGACTTTCAACGTCGGCTTCTTGTGCGCTGCTAGATCAATTATCTGATTGATGGCGGAAGATCCATCGTATTTTAGGGATGGGAGTAATTCCGGGGATAGGAACGTCAAGTCGGGATTCCAGACAGAAGAATTGTACGTATGTGCAGCATGGCCTTCGATTCCGGTATCAAGCTTGTGATATCGCAAGCCGGTGAGCTCAAGTAGCAATGCACCGGTATCTGGGTCATAGACGGAACACGATGAGAAAAAGTTCTTGTGCTCCTCTTGACGGCCACGACCGGTGTATTCCGAAGTTGCAACAGATATGCCGATATCAGGTCGCGTCTTCTGTGGATTTATCACAAGGTTATCGATACCAGCGGGGACTAGGACAGCATTGATGGAGCTTCGATCCCCTGCCCACAAAGAGGGTGTCACGGTCTGGAAGCAACCATCAATGCAGGCAGGATGCATAGGATATAGAGACTGCGGGGACCATGCCGATGGAGGCTCTTTGAGAGAAACGAGGGCTCGGCTTTTTCGATGTCCTGAGACTGATTCCACCTCCAGCACTTTCTGGAACTCCGGTCCAAAACCATACCCTATGTTGGTCTGAGCTTTGTACCAAGAAGGTCCCTTTGATGGATATTGCAGTGGTGCTAAATCACTGCCGACCGCAACTATTTTATTGTTAGTTTTGAGCGATATGTCAGGGGGATGTTTCTCACTCTCTATAGGAACGTTCTCGAGACGAATTAAGCCAAGGCAATGGTCACTTCGGACTCCGTCTCTGGAAGACGATACCTTGAAGTCATACCACGAGTCCTTTGTTCCTGGATGTGCCGACAGAGTTAGGAAAATCTTCGCATCCTCGTTTTCCTCCAACACCAGTGCTTTGTCAAACTTAATGTTGCGTAGGCGATACCGACGCTGGTCTGCAGCCAACGGACCATCGACTTCATCCTGACTGGTCATCTGGCGGCACTGATGTAGCCCCTCGATGGCCATTGAAATATACCCAGATGCCGGGAAGAGGATATCAGATCCCATCTTGTGGTCCTTGAGCCATGGGACGTCCTTCAGATCCAAGCTCTTTTTGTACGTCGGAGTATGCCATGGCGCCCCCAGGATCTTGCTCCCGAGTAAATCGTGGTGTATGAATGGCCGGAAGCGCCAGTCCTTGCTGGCATCACTCTCATGCCAATACTTCGTCGCGTGGTTCCACGCATAATTTGGGAGATCGATAATCGTGGCAGGAGGCGAGGTTGCCTCATCTCCAGCGTTGTTGACGCGGGAGAAGTTGACGGAGCCGCCGGCAATGAAAAGTTGGCCTGCGATGTTGAACATGGGAAGAGCAGAATCTGGGCCGCGTTTTGCGGCTGCGAAGTACTGGGTCGTGGAGCCTGAGATATCTTTTATTATCTGGCCAACGGGCCCTGCCAGAGCGCCGCTAGGCCCAATTTCAATCAGGATGTCGATGCTGTCTTGTGCTAAAAGCAACTCGTGGCAAGCTTGGTCAAACCGTACGGGTGAGACCATGTTGCTTTTCCAGTATGCTGCGTCGGCGAACTGGTCCATCTCACGACCTGTGACGGAGGAAACCATGGAAGTGGATTTGCCTCCAGCCACTGGAGAAATACTCGACCTAAGCATCTCTTCGTAGTGTTCGCCAATCTTGAACATAAACTTGGAATGATATGCCAAATTGACTTGTAACAAGCGTGCAAAATGGCCATCGGCTTGCAGTCGAATCTTGACTTTCTCTAGCTCCGAGGTCTTTCCTGATAGCGTTATACTACTGGGACTGTTGTAGCAGGCAATTTGCACTTCGCCTGCTAAGTCCAAGATGTAGGCATGAACTTTGTCAGCTCCTAGACCAACAGCCAACATACCAACACTCTCCTGGGCGTCATCTTGCAGATCCTTCGCAGCTTGCCCTCTAAAGAAGGCTACTTTTATTGCTTCTTCTGGGGTTAAATAGCCAGCAGCATATGCGGCAGCTATCTCACCAGAGGAGTGCCCAACTACCTTTTGTGCATTTATTCCCCAGTTCCCGAAAACTTCAACGATTACAAGCTGCAATGCTGTAACCAGTGGTTGAGAGAATTCGGGCAGGCGGAGATGCTCGGGGCTGCGATTTTCGACGAGCTCGTCTACAACTGTTAGCTGTACTGAAGGTGGACTGGGGCTTCATAGGAAACATACTCAGGAGCGACCACTTGGGAGGGTTGGGCAGTGTCTGCAAGGCACGGTCGAGCCGCTGAAGGAGTTTTGTTGCAGATGGGAATAATTCCACTAAACTCTTTCCCATCTGTGACCACTGAGCGCCCTGACCAGTGAACACAAACCCAATTCTCGGCACATCCGTGCCTTTCTTACCATACACGATGGAACTTTCATCGATACTAGCTGATTTCGTGACCAAAAATCCCCGATTGAAAAGCCGGCTACGATGCTCTGACAACGTATGTGTGAGATCTGAAAGGGAAATATTCACACTGGGGTTCATGAGATGCTTTTTCAACACCTGGGTGTATGATTTGAGTGATTGCTCGTCATTGGCGGAGAATACCAGGATTTGCGGCCGTGTGGAAGTCTCTTCCTCATCAGCAAAAAAGTCATCCTCGTTAACCGCAAAGGAGGAGATGTGGTTTTTCGCAGACCCTGCGGCGAACGATTCGGCGTCCTGAATCACAGCATGTGCATTGGAACCTCCGTAGCCGAAGGAGTTGATACTCGCTATGCGGGATGGCATGTCAGGCCATGGGATTGCGGTCCTTGTTGCGCGGACTTTGAGGTCCTTGAAATCAACTGTGTTTGCGTCAATAACCTACTTTTATTTCATGGATTCCGCCTAATAAATTACTCACTTTTGGGGTTTGGGTCAATGAAGGTGGGGTTCCCAGGAATAATGCCCTTTTCGACGGCGAGAACAGCTTTGATGAGTCCATTAATGCCAGCAGCAGGCTCCGAATGGCCAATATTGCTCTTGATGGATCCAATAACCAACGGCTTCTCCGCTGACCGAGTTGGTCCGAATACAGACGCTGCTGCCGAAACCTCGATCGGATCTCCAGCCAGGGTTCCAGTCCCATGGCATTCGAGGTATCCAGTACCATTAAAATCGCTGATTCCAGCAGCCTCATAAGCAGCTCTGATCGCTATAGCTTGTGCCTCGGCAGCAGGACTTGCAATCCCGGGCGTCCAGCCGTCACTGTTTGTTGAAGTTCCCCGAATGATGGCCCGAATAGGGTCGCCATCTCTCAATGCATCATCGAGCCGTTTTAGGATAACTACATTGACTGCCTCAGCCTTGCAATACCCGTCGGCTTTGGCATCAAATGTATGACATTTCCCCGTTGCCGAGGATGTCACACGCATGGCACCCATATCCTGATTTTGGTCAGGGCTTAGGTACAGATTCGCGCCGGCTACAACTGCGCCATTGATTTGTCTGGTCTGCAGATAGCGGCATGCTACATCGACAGATACTAAACTACCTGAGCAGGCCGTATCGATGGTCATACTACATGCATCAAATTAGCTGAGGCCTTGTTACATAGCTTCAGGGGCGTTTGCATATTTACCTTGCTCCTTTCAAGTTGAAGAAGTGGCTAATTCTGTTACTCAGGATAGCCCGTCCCGCTCCGACAGTGATTCCAGTTGCTCGGTCCTCCGGATCTCGGAATTGCATATCTTGATAATCTGGCCGCGGTTATCAGCAAGAAATATACGCGAGATATGAAAAGGGGAAGTGCCTTACCAACTGCATACGAGCCAACAAAACAACCAAATAACGACCCGTGCATCTGCTCGAGAGTTAAGCCCGCATTCTCAAATCCCTCATACACCACCTCTAGCAGCTGTCGTTGCTGCGGGTCCATGGCAATTGCATCCGTTCTGTTGATATTGAAAAACTGAGCATCAAACTCAGCAGGATCAATGCTCTCAAGGAACATTGCTCCTGGAGTCCGGATTGTGTGCGGTTTCAGCGATTTATCATAATGGCCTTTGAGGCTGAACCGAGACTCTGGAGGGTCATTTCCAGCCACGCCGCCCCGTTCTAGGAAATCCCAGAGTTGACTTGGATTGTTGCTGTTGCCTGGAAGACGGTTGGCAAGACCAATGACTGCAATAGGATCTTGTTTGTAGTACTTTTTGGCCTGATCTATGGCTTCTGTCCGGACATTCTGGGCAGTGTAGGCATAAGCCCCATCGCCCCCATCGTTCATTACCATCTTGGAGATATGATGGAAAGTCAAAGAAGAGTTGGCGGCTTTCACTCCAGCTGTCTTGGTGGAATATTCTGAAGGTAATAAGGGAGATTAACGACTTCCTTCTAAGTTCCCCCCACCTCTAATAAGGATAGGATGCCGTGCTAGACCTTGGAAAGCCACATGTATTTGTATTCGCGTGTTCACAAAGAGGATGGGGGTCGGTGAGTGATTATTTTATTTTATTTTATTTTATTACCTCTCGAATTGAGTGCCCGCTCAGCCGCAGTAGATAAGAGGAGACAATTTGTGATCCTTTGACAAGGTTTACCGTGGATTACTTTCACTATATTTTATCTTGTGTTATCACGGCTCGGGATTGTATGGCTTGGGAGTAATAGTAACCAAGCCCAATGCACATTTAGCCGTGGCTTCGAAGTGGAGGAGTTTCTTGAGATACCAATCCTTCCCGCGGCCACATTCGCCATCGCTGCAGAGCTGATAATGAATAGCACGCCTTCTACTAATGAGGGGAGTGGCTTAAGGCAATTGATAACATGTGAAAGGAGCATGGACATGATGTCCATAGCCTAGGTGCTCCCAATGCGGAAGTTAGTAAGATCGTTCTCGCGTCTTGGACTTTCAAATTTGTTATCTCCGCATAGATAGTAACAGAAGGCTTGTTCAGATAGAGGGATGACAAGCTGCCGCTGGCTTATTGGCATGGGTTGCTTTGGCATGCAGAAAACGGAATTCGGGTTCCCTTTGGCTACTTCGTATATTGACATAATATTGTGCGATGCATGTACTGTGGTGCTAATCAAGTAACTTCAAACCATTCTCCCGATCCGCTAAATCCTTGTTATTTACTCTCTCTGCTAATATTTGGCGTATTTTGGTATTTACCATATCTCAAAATACTTGAAAAGCTTCATGGTGAATAGATAGTCTAGGCTAGGTAGTGAGTTAGAATAAGGTTGGGGTATGATGGTATTCCGTGACCAACGGAGTGCAGCTATGCTGTGCGACTGTAAACGTTGCTACTGCAGCAATACGGAATTCCTATCCTCAGCTTTGATTTGATCGCAAGCTGAGTAAAGTTCTAGTCGCTAGATTTATCATGTAATGCCATATTGTACATAGTGTGTACTTCGTACAATACGGACTTATAAAGCAAATAAATTAACAAATTGTTAATAAATTAATTTTATAGACTTGAATATCAGAACTCATAATCTCCAAGTACGTAGTAAGGCAGGAGCAAAAGGAGCCATGGCCGCCGCGTAGCACAGTATCCCGGCCATTACACTACAGTGCAGCGCCACGTTGTAATACCAGTGTTGCAGCGTTGGATATCGATCTTAACCCCTTGCCCACATAGATCTGCAGCGGTGGGCCTGGGTACCCTAGTTGGTGGGGGGCCTCACGCCAGCGTGCGCTAGCTTGCATGTCTTACTACGGCGCGGTGCGACCCGCCCTCCCAAGGATATCCTTCCGCCCTGCTCCGGTAAGATGCCTGTGGGAGGGAGCTACACGTTGAACCTGGAGACTTGCGTGCTTGCAAGCATGCAAATACATCATTCCATGAGGGCGGATGAAACATCCTCCGCAGAGGCTGACAAGGCTTTGCGCTCCTCTATCCAAGCCACTATCTTCAATGTTGATGATAGGAAGAACTGTAATGCTTGGCATGTAAGTCGTGACAACAATCAAGTAATTGGTAGGCTGTGGTTATATGACTGGATAGCAAGTATTTTCGCGAGTGACCACGATATCACTTCCGAGCTTTACCTTCAGTAAGCCACCTTCTTCAAGGCTTATCCAGCATGGCGTGAGAGCTAACAGTAATGTCGTCTCTGCGGAGGATTCGCGGCAGAGAATCTAGCTGGCGGGTTCATGACTCTTGGGGAAAATGGGAGGCACATTTACCCATGCAAAACGCATGGCATGGAGCGTTGTCTAGGGACCAAATACTCCGTACGTCCCATTTCCACCCTGGTCTTATCCACAGAAATCTACAGTCCTCCGGGCCCTGCGTGCGTCAGCTGAATGCACATGCAACCATTCCTTAAGTCCATCGGGACAATATACTTATGGCTGCGCAATTAATCGAAGTAGAATCAACCTAATTCAAATATAATAGGCGATTTAAAATGTCATTATCTCGAAATAGGCAACTGTGGTAGCCAAAGATAATAGTTTGAGTAAGCAGATTTCAATCCCCAGCAAACTCAAGCGGGTTCAGGCGGAATTACAGTATGAGATATCTGCCCCTTACAATGGACTGTCTAGATATGATAGAGAGATACGTAGAAGGTAATTTCTTTTGGAATAGTGTTGAGGATCAAACCTTAGACTGATTCTGTTGATCTCCGGCGAGCACGACCTTTTTGTCATATCACCATATACGTTGAGGGAACTTATTTCATTCTTCCCTAAAAGAATTGCCTTCCCTTTCCACCAACACCATGCCGATTATTCAAGAAGTGCAGTTTAGAACTGTTGACGGACTCACCCTCCATGGCAACCTCTATCCAGCCGAAGAGCGAGGCCCAGCCGTTGTTCTAACACCAGGGGTAAGAATCCGAGGTCTAACACCCTAGAAGAATGTTAATCAGCTAACAATAAGTTCCTAGTTTGCCTGCGTGAAAGAAATGTTTGTTCCCGATGTCGCTGAGGCCTTCCAAGCTGCCAACATCACAGCCTTGACCTACGACCCTCGCAACACAGGTGCTAGCGAAGGAGAACCAAGACAAGATATTGACCCTCTGGCCCAAGCATCAGACTATAGCGATGCCCTAACCTTCCTCTCCCAACAACCAACCGTTGATCCTAATCAGATCTCTTTTTGGGGGTTCTCTTTCGCGGGAATGGTATCCCTCACCGCCGCAGCACTCGATCGTCGAGCCCGGCAAGTCATCGCCGTATGTCCACTCACGGACTTCGGCTTCAGCGGTAAGAGAGAAAAGGTCCTAGCAAAGATTACCAAGGACCGCGAGTCACAGGTCGCTGGCAATGTGCCCTTTTGTGTGCCCGTTCTTACCTCCAAGGGAGAAAACCCCGCAGGCTTTGGAGGAAATCCCGAGGCAGAGGATTATGGCAAGATCTTGAATGCGCATCAAGTTGCACCGAGCTATAAAAATAGTACGACCTTGCAAACGTACTATAAAATTGCAAGATGGCAACCTTTTGGACTGGTTAAGAGCGTTGCACCCACTCCAGCGCTGATCGTGACAAGTGCGGATGATCGGATTTCGACGGCAAAGAATCAGGGGAAGTTGGTAGATAGTATTGATGGGCCAAAGAAGTGGCATGTTGAACCAAATAAAGGGCATATGGATATTTTATCTGGAGAGTCCTTCCCAAAGCTTATGAAGTTGCAGGTGGACTTCTTGAAAGGGGCCTAGCAAAGTGCTGTGGGCGGGTTTTCGAATTTGGTTTTGCTTAAGTGGTGTGTGCTTTAGAATAGTGCTATGGGCTTAATCAGAGAATTATGAAATTTCTAGTTTATCAGAAATAGTTTCTGCTATACGAAGTAATTAGGATATTCATGCATAGATTGGAGATCGCATCCCTGTATCATGTGATCTCCCCCCTTTTCTTTTCGCTTCGCAATCGGCCGCATTTGGCGATGCTCTCGAGTTGGGTCTGAGTACAAACGAAAAGTTTAGCCAAAAATCTAATTAATAAAATGCACTAGAGGACAACTCATGCATTGGATCGCGTGATATTAACAGCCTGGGCTAAAATGATCATTTCACGAAGTTTTGTCCCAATCGCTCTCCTAAATTAGGATCCGTACACAACATTTGCATACCTAAAATTGATATAACCCCTATTAGCATATTTGATAGTGGGAATTTACCGGTCAAATACTTCGGCATTTGTATGATCTTGCAATGGGGTTTCAAAGTGAGCATTAGGGTTCTCCACACTGGCACCAACTGTTGGCGACCAGCATGTTGGTGTTCCACCCCTTAGCTACCTTGCCGTCCACCAACACCACATACATGGTATGGATAAGCGACAGTAAGGGCCTGTAAGGCTGCATCACCCATGAGGCTGCCCATGTTCTCAAATTATGCCCGAAACTTGTTAGGTTATGCGGTGGTTAGTACCTTTTAATATTTTATAAGTAACCGGTGGCATGTCAGGGCAATTGTAAAGAGCACTTATTATAGAACGCTAGATTTGTTATAATATATTCTAGAGTATAGAGATAAGTCTATACTACAAAACGCATTACGCACCAACAGCAGCCACGGCGTTATTCCGATTCTTCACGGTTCTGATTGGTGGCCCTAGGCTTGCTACTACTGCTGCTACAGCGAGGGCAATACCAAGAGCAAATGTACCTTTTAGGCCAGTTAAGTATGCATGGTGAATACCAGGCAAGTCTTCGGATCGAAATCTTTCACGCAGCGAACTGGCTCCAGTTTGTAAGATATCGGCGGGGTTGACATTTGGCGGTAGATTTGTGAGCAAGAGGTTAGTGAAGATGCTCTGGCCGACGGACACGAAGACCGCACCTCCCATCATTTGAAAGACTAGTAGGTATATTAATACTATTGGAATTTGGAGAAACCAAAAAGGGGATGCTTACAGAGAACCATGGCTGTGACGGCGGGAATATCGCTGGCTTCGGAGAATGCTTGGCATATAATCACCGGGACCTGGATCGCCAGACCCTGGCCAATACCTAGAATGGCCTGATAACAGATGTATTTTGCAGATCCACTGCCGATGCCAAGTGTATAGATAAGACCCGATCCAACGGCAAAAAGACCGCTGCCAACTACTAGAAGAGGTGTGAAATACCCAATCCACACGATTAGAAATCCACTGGTAATAGCCATAAGCGCTACATTTTCTAGTTAGCTAAGAGATTTGAGGTTTGCATTAGATATTAAAGCGTACCGGATCCAACAATGAATGGTAATAATCGAATACCACTCTCAGCTGCTGATGCCCCATCTATCGCCTGGAAATAGATAGGGATGTAGTACGTGAAAACGAAGTTTCCCCCAGACTGACTTGTCACAGTTAGCAGTTGACCCTTCGGAGAGAAGTTATAAACTTACAAAAACACATAGAGGCAGCTAGCTGCAATAATTCTCTGTTTTATCAGCCGTGAAATCATCAAGGCCCTCTCTCCTTGCCAGATCTCATTACCAATAAAGGCCATTAGTAGAACCGTAAAAGTGACTAAGGTGCCAATCACTGTAGGTGAGCTCCAAGCCTTAGTCGCCCCTGCCCACTCTGTAACTAAGAGGAAGCAAATAAGAGCCGCCATAACAAGGAACGAGCCAGCCACATCTAGATTCAGGAGTTTTTCTCGTATTGTTGCAATTGCCGGGGTAGCAGCCTTGGGAGTCTTAAAATATATGAGGAGGAGTGCGAGGGATGCGCCACCAATTGGAAGATTGATATAGAAGCTGTGTATCCGCATTTAGAATCACATTAATTCGGAGATCATAATCGGGATATGCATACCACCAGCGCCAAGAAACATCATCTGCGAACACGCCTCCGAGAAGGGGTCCAGCAACACTTGCAACACCAAACACTCCTCCAATAATTCCAGTATAAGCCGGCACTTTCTTTGGTGGTGCAATGAATGCAATGATAATGTAACACCCACTAATAACACCGGCTGCTCCAAATCCAGTGATGGCTCTACCAACTATGAGAGTTGTGCTGTCTTTCGCCACCCCTTTGAGCGACAAATTAGTCTAACACCTCTGTTTACGGTTCGGATGCGCATATACTTACCGCAAATTAAGCTCCCCACTTCGAAGAATAATATCGAAATAAGAAAGATCCATTTCAAGGAAAAATATTTGTAGAGCTTTCCCCACGTCGATTGAAATGTAGCGAGTGTGAGGAAGAACGCCGACCCATACCACCCTACTTGGTCCAAACTGTGGAATTCAGCTGTAATTCGGGGAATGGCAGTTGTAACAATATTCTATTATTATCACTGCGTCAGATTTGTTTTATCAGAGGGTGTTGGTCAGGGACAAAGTGACAAGTCTCGAGCGCAAAGCATACCATATCCAAAGCCACCTGAAATAATGTCAGTCGGTGTTTCTAGCGTCAGCTAGGATTTGCAGACTAAAAACATGCTCAGAATGAGTGCAACAACCACGAAGACAAGTCTGATTCCATGAGGGTACTCATCCAAATCATCGGTGGAGGAGGACGAGTCATTCTCAACTCGTTCACCGGGGGCAATTGAAACTGTTTGCTCATGTTCAACACTTTGAAAGGGCTCTTTCAATCTCAGACTCTCAGTCTTAGGCGAAGACGATACCCCCATATCGGCGATGGGGATGACAATAGTGGTGGGCGTGATGTCAACGATCAACTGCAAACCAGTTTAGAAGTGAGTGAAAAGCCACATTAACCCCGTAACATTGCGATTCTTCCAGCTATTGGACTTGCGCAAAAGTGATGTCGTATTGGACGCAGCACTCATACTGGTAGCATGGTTTGATTTTGATAATTCTTGCGTGACTCGGTCGGCCGCTTTTGTTGCTGGTGGACTACGTCCTGTTGATTGATTCATCAGCAGTGAGAATTGTAATGCAAGGCAATCAGCGTCAGATCGCTCTAACGGGGCATTAGGCTTGATGTACGGGAAGGGGATGCTTACTACAGGGATTGGCGGCAGCCTGCAGCTTGCCTGGTCCCTGTTCCCTGTTCCCTGTCTCCACTGCCGCTCCCATCGTGGGTCCATGCGCCTGTCCTTGTCGTCAGCCTGGGCATTTATCTACTGTGGCTTTCTTCAGCAATTCCGATGATGTGCTCGTAGATACAGATCTCGAATGCAAGAGCTTATCTCGCATGAACTAAATATTACTATAGTTTCTTAATTACTGCGTTTTTGCCGTCTTTTCGTGTTTACTGAATTCCGGATCAAGTCTCACAACGAATAACGCTATTTTCATTCATTTTGATCCAAAATCTTATTTTTGTCCGGAGCGGTGTAGAAGTGTTTACAAACCTACCTAGAATTCTATGTCTCTAATAGCACGTGGAACTTACTAAACTATACATGTTCAACATATGTAGGTATTACGAGGTATCACAGTAGAGCCGAGCTAAATCCCGAGGCCTGCACAACGCAGGTCTCCTCCCGTTTGAATGGTAAGCCATTTATTATTAATGTTGTCAACTTTATTATAGCTGGGAAAGTACTTAACTGAACGAGGCCTGGTTTTGGTGAATCTTTCGGATCCCTTCACATGTATGTATTCCGACTTACTCCGTACTTGTACTCTCGACACGTCGTACAAGCGCAACGAGTACGACTCCACATGTGCATTACCAACGTAGCGTGTTCAATAGCGGGAGTTTGGTAGCATAAACAAAATGCCCACCATGCGCTACCTCTCTTTTTCTCTACGCCAAAGCCACAGCCGCTATTTGTCGGCAATCGAATGCCGCCGGACTTCTCTAATGGACGTATGATAATACCTGAGCGCTGCACACGCGGCCTGAAAAAGAGTAATCCCGAGGTAGGTAAGCTGAAAGGTGCCTCAAGCCACCGCTCAGCCTCTCCAACGGCACAGCATAGAACAAATCATAGTTCGAAGGATCCGGCCGATACCTCATGGAGACAGAAAGACAGATGACGTGAAAATCACTAAATCTACGAATTGAAAATGAGTTCCCGTTGGGTTCGGCCTCGCTTGCTGCCTTTCAAGCCGCGAGTAGGGAATATATAACAGTTTCATGGTAGTTTTTGTGAGTTTGATTTTTGTCCCACCACTTGCGTCTGCTCGGGTTTTGATTTATTAATTTTATCTCCCTCAATATATTTTAGACTAGTTTGACAACTAGCTATGAATTTCTTACGAAATTTGGTCTTTACGACATGCACCATTCTGATTTCATTTTCGACGTTATCCGACGCGGGTCCAACACAGAAACCTCACGGAGCTGACTGTCGAGTGCTTCCTGGAGATCCTGACTGGCCGAATGCAAACGAGTGGAATAAATTAAACAGAACAGTGGGCGGGCGATTAATTGCAACAGTCCCCGTAGCGGCACCATGCCATGATCCTCACTATGATGCCGCAAAATGCAACTCTCTGAAGCTGAATTGGGATTTTTCAGAGGTTCAGTAAGTCCACCGGTCCACACCCATATTTGCCACATGTAAGCCTTCAAGGACGCCAGAGGTTGATATCGTATAGTTTTGAGTCCCCATCATCGATCATGCAACCATGGTTCCAAAACGGAACTTGCGATCCATTCCGCCCCCAGTCCACACCATGCACGCTTGGGAACTTAGTCCAATATTCAATAAATGTCTCGTCAGCCGCAGATGTTGTTGCCGGTTTGAAGTTTGGGAGGGAGAAAAACGTCCGACTAGCAATCAAAAATACTGGGCATGAGTATGTTGAGTGTTCCAATAACCACTGGTCCACTAGTGAGATAGTCAAGCTTATACGCCTCTCTTAGATTCAGCGGTAAGAACACAGCAAAAGGTGGACTCGGGCTGTGGACGCACAACCTTAACAAAATCGAGATCAATACGAACTACAGCCGTCCTTCGTATAAAGGGCCCGCAATGAAAATGGGTGCGGGAACTCTGGCAGCTTCTGCCTATCAAGCAGCACATGCGTTGGGTTACCGGGTTATTGGCGGCAGCTGCCCAACCGTTGGCCTTGCAGGCGGCTATACACAAGGTGGAGGGCACTCTGTACTGAGTTCTATCTATGGTTTAGGAGCAGACAATGTTCTTGAATGGGAAGTCGTGACCGCCGATGGGCGACAACTTATAGCATCCCCCGAACAAAACGCTGACCTCTTCTGGGCACTCAGCGGTGGTGGACCAGCAACTTACGCCGTGGTAATCTCAATGACCACAAGAATGTATCTCGATGGCCCAACTTCAGGTGCAAGCCTGACTTTCAGTTCTTCAGGCATAGATCAAGCAACCTACTGGGCAGCTATCGAGAATTTCCAATCGAATCTCGCACCTCTGGTGGACGCTGGTGCCGTTGTCCTATACACTATAACGCCATCAAACTTCTTAATGTTTGCCTCCGCGCCAGCTATTGCGGCCTCCACATTCGACACCGGATTCGCCAGCGTCAAGAGCCATCTCACACAAGTCGGAATCGCACACAATCTCACCGTCACAGCGGATCTAACTTACTATGACCACTTCCAACGCTACTATGGACCTCTTCCCAACGGCATATGGGAAGTCTCCCACCTCATCGGCTCGCGTCTTATTCCTCGTTCAGTTGTCACTGCCCCCGCTGGCAACAAAGCACTGGTAGACGCATATGCCAACATAACCGCCAGCGGGGATTTCATAGTCGTCTCCATCGCCATGAATGCCTCGCGCCCAGCGACCCTTCCCGGAGGTAATTCAGTGCATCCCGCATGGCGATCTGCACTCCTCCACACCCTTGCCTACTGGCCCTGGGATTGGACTGCATCGCCCGCCACAATAACTGCGCGGGAGCGCACACTAACGGAGGACATTGAGCCACAGCTCGTACAATTGAGTCCAGGCAGCGGGACCTATCTCAATGAGGCGAATTTCAATATGAAGAATGCGCAGCAGGAGTTCTACGGGCCGAATTTGGCGAGATTGAGGAGTTTGAAAAAGAAGTGGGATAAACAGGGACTGCTTTGGGCAAGGACGGCCATTGGGAGCGAGGCTTGGGTTGAAGATGGAACTCAGAGGTTGTGCAAGTCCGGTAAAGACTTTTAGACAGTCTGCACAAGGTGAATTTTCCTTCCCATCGTGCGCGTATATGCAACGCGTGTCTGCTACATGTAAATGTTAGCTTTAACTCAAATACATATTTAAGGTATCATAGGCTCATAGCACATAATGATTTAACAAATATCATTAAAATTTTGATGGCTTGCAATATCCGATGTGTATGCTAAACTTCGGTGTTGCTAATCTACCTAAGGTACCTAGGTACGGAGGTTTCCACCGGGCCACGTCATGTGACCACCCCCCCTTTTTCTTTCGCTTCGCTAATCAGTAATAGCATTACTATGGCCAGCTACAAATTTGAGACTCAACTACTACATAAATATATAAGGATTGGTTTCTGATAAAAGGGATTATATATCGTGTATGATAGAGAGAAAGAATAGTCTAACTTGGTATTAAATATTTCACCAGCTAGCTTAGCCTAGCTATATGATATACGGGCTATGTAACACCAGACACCAAGTTCTGCATTCTCAATCGGCACTTCAATATAATAGCACAATGGCCCTACACGAAACATATCTATCTCTTGAAATCCATGGATTTGTTTACCATGGAATGGCCGTGCCGTCGTATGACAGGAACTTTCCAGAAGTCTCCTCTCGGGATGCCTTGTCAAGCTACATTCCTGTCAGCTACAGTGTAATTCAGGGGGTGGAATGGATAGTTACAATTCCAACAAGACCATCAACGCTCTCATCTAAGGTTACGTTGGCTTCAGGAAGACCAAAGAATCGAGCTGCAGCGTTGCCATTGTCGGTTTGCACAGCACTATCCGGTGCATCAGTATTTATAGTGAGGATGCGGATGGCAAGCAGTGCAACCCAAGCTTACTTACCCAGGATGAACAGCAATAGAGATCAAATCCTCATTCTCGAAATGGATACGACGAGTCAGGAAGTTAATCGCAGCTTTGGAAGAACCATACGAAGGAACATTGAATGGAATCTGATCCATCAAGCCGATAGTACCAACGATAGATGAGAGCGCCAAGAAGCGAGGGTTATCACCCTTTTTCAGCAGCGGCAAAACGGCCTGGAATAACCGCACTGTGCCAGCGGTGTTGACGTCAAAGTGCTCCAACAGGTCCTTTGTCTTTATCTCTGATACCTTAACAAAAGCATCGGTTCCATAGATCCCCGCATTGGCGATAGCAATGTCAAGCTTGTCAACTCCCTGCTTCTTGATGCTCTCGACGGCTTCTGCGGCATCGGTGTCGGATGTGTTCTCGATCTTGACGATAATCACCTTGCTACCATCTGCCTTGGGTAGCTCGGAAATGGCTTTGGCTTCCGGGGAGGTGGGGTTGCGGACGCCGGCGATGACGGTGGTGTTTGGCCGGTTGAGGTATTTCTTGACGAAGCCAAGGCCAATACCTAAGATGAGAAGCACGGGTTAGCTATTGAATATTTTCTTATTTTAACAATATCTTGTATCTAGCGGTGTGTGGTGGACCATTCACTCACCCTTGTTGGCTCCTGTAATGAGAACGGTAGACATGATAGTGATTTACGAGTGCTGTTTGGTCGATCCTGGAAGTGGCTTCTTTCTTCGCGTTCCTCTCCTTTATTACTTGCAGGTTGTGGATTTGTAGATGTGATGTATGAAAGGATATTGAATTCAGTCGGCAAGAGCGCAGTTACCCTATTTAATAAACTATTTTTCAAGGAGTAAGTGGAAGCATTCCTCCTGAATAAAGGCATGCGGCCCCCAAACCCGCAAGGTTAGGTTCTTTGGTCATTGCCTTTTCTTCCATGCGTAAGGTGATATTCCGTAAGCAAGGCTCCATAGTTCTACGGCAGATAGGTACACGGCAGTCGCTGTGTTATCAGGGACAATATCCATATAACGGTGTAGAGCGGCCGCCGGCCGCAATGAGAGTAGTCAGACAGGACATCTACTAGCCAAGGGAGATATGTCAGAAGAACCTGGAAAATAGAGCTATATCTTCAAGCCGGGCGGCCGTGTGTAAATTTAGACCGCTAGTCTACGTAATTTCGTATTGGTTTCCGAAAATGAGCGGCCGCATCGCAATTGAAAAATGAACAGTCGTTTGTAAGCTATGCGGCCGCATAGACACTTCCCGGCGGCCGCATGGTGTTGTTGGGTTTGTCAGCGGGAAGCCACCCGAGAGGGACGCACAGACTTCCGAACCGAAACCTAAACTTAACATTGAGCGAACATGGTAATAATTCGAAGTACCACCCGTCACATGGCAACATTGGAAACGATAGAAAGATGCACCCCCACGACGCTTTTCAGCCCCTATGTACGGGTACGAAGCCTGTTTTATGTTCCTGGTCCCTGTACATTGTCCTTGTCCTTGTCCTTGACTATATCCTTGTCCTTATCCTGGGCCCTGTCCCTGTCCCTGTCCATGTATTCTCTCCTTGCCATGCCATGCCATATCTCCCTTCTTCCCGATGTGGCATATTTAGAAGCTCATAAACTACATTTTCACGATATGGCTGGTTCCAAGATAAGTATGCAAGTGCCAGAAAGCCACTCAAATTCGTAATTATTGGAATCTTCAGCACAACACCAAGCAGCACTTGCAGAGCCATTCATCTCGTCACTAGCAACCATTTTTACGGATGGCTACAGAATCCTTTACATTGCGCGATAATTTATATTAGGCAAAACTTTGGAATTGCATCTTGGTCGGACGGGTCCGGCTCCATCTACTCCTTAAGAGTAATTGTAGCGACAGTGCTCATTGGATGAGTTCAGATCCAAGGATGCCTTATCTCGACGTGGATGCAAAGACATTCCGTGCTGACCATAATCTTGCATTGTTGGCGCTATTTGGAAAGAAATGTAGTTGAAGACGCCTTCAACTTGTGGTTGAAGGCGCTATCAGCTTGCCGTCGGTCCCGTTGCGCGACCTACGCTCTGGCGTATCGACCAATCTTTCACGAGAAATCATATTTTATCAACCCGCTCTCATATTCTTGTTGAACAAATAAGCACTTAGAAGGGCGAAGGGAGCCATCTCGATATTCCGTACAAGGTAATATCCATCACTCAAACTTGACAGTCTCCTGCTTCTTGATATTGCAGTATTGCTACTCTAGTGTTTGATATAACACAACACAATAAAACACGATGGGTTTAATTCAAGTTGTCCGCGATGAACTTCCCTCTTACTGGAACCTCACCATCCTCTCAACATTGGCCATCGCCATTGCTGGAATCTATGTCAGCAGTTTGGCCGTCTACCGACTGTATTTCAGCCCTATTGCAAACATCCCCGGCCCCAAGCTAGCGGCAGTGACCCAATGGTTTGAGACTTACTATGAGCTGGTTTCCGGAGGCGGGGGGAACTTCACCCGTGAGATCAAGAAGATGCACGAGAAATATGGTATGTTTCTCAAAAGCCCCATTTTCACAGTATTCTCATTCGTGGTGTGCAAGGCCCGATTGTCCGTATCAACCCCACCGAGGTTCACATTGATGATGTCGAGTACTACGAGACACTCTATGCTCCATCCATGCCTTATAGCAAACTGCAAATGTTTGAAAATCGCTTCAATATGCCTCGGGCTACCTTTGCAACAGCAAGTCACGATCTCCACAAGCCAAGGAGAGCAGCTCTAGCCCCTTTCTTCTCGACCCGGAGGATCCAAGGCCATGGCCGCCTAATGCAAGAACTGGTTGACCGGATCTGTGGACGACTTACAGAAGAGTACCAAGGTAAGGGAAAAGCTCTGATTCTCAATGATGTTTACGGTTGCTTGTCCGGAGATGTCATTACCAACCTTGCATTTGCCCGCTCGTATGATCTTCTCTCCACTGAACATTGGGAGTCACCGTTCACGATCGCTGTCAACAATCTCATCCGAGACTCTCATACGATGACCCACTTCAGTTGGATTATACCTTTCATGAATCTCTTTCCCGATAAGTTGATTATGGCGATATCCGATAACGCTAGACCAATCGTCCAATTTCGACAGGTAAGCTTTCACTCTAACACGTGGTCTACAGCACTTACTTGCTTTTTAGGAAATGGAGCAGCAAATCCGAGATATCCTTGCTGGAAAGAATGAGGACGCCAAATTAGCATCATACGACACCGTCTTTGCCGAACTATTGAATTCAAAACTCCCACCTCACGAACTCACCCAGGACCGCCTGCAAAATGAAGCCGTGAGTGTCATTGGAGCCGGCTTCGAGACGACTCGTTGGGCACTGACTGTCGCATCCTACCATATCCTTGCCAACCCAGCCATTACCGAACGCCTGCGCCAAGAACTTATCGAGGCAATTCCAGACCCGGACAACATCCTGTCTTGGGCAGACCTCCAAGCCTTGCCATATTTGACCGCTTGTATTGAAGAAGGTAGGCTCATCTCGCACCCCGAGCAAACAAAGCTCTAAGGAAAACCACCAAATAATTAACATTCCCTATTAGCTCTCCGGCTAAGCTATGGCATCGTCCAGCGTTCCCCACGGGTATCCCCCGAGATTGGGTTCCAATACAAAGATATCCACATCCCACCCGGCTTCCCCGTCTCTATGGATAACTGGCACATGCACCACAACGAGACCGTCTTTCCAGACAGCTACACCTACAAACCAGAACGCTGGCTGGGGAACCCCAAGGGTCCTGACGGCGTCAAGAATCTCTCGCGGTACATGGTGGCTTTCGGTCGTGGCAATCGTATGTGTCTCGGGATGCCAATGGCGTACTGTGAGATTTATATCGCGCTTGCGAGTTTGTTCCGCAGATTTGAGTTTCAGCTTTTTGAGACTGGAAGGGACAATGTAGATTTTGCACAAGACTATGTTACTCCGCAGCCTAAGAAGGGAAGTTTGGGGGTAAGGGTTTTGGTTAAGTAGGTTGTGGCGGAAATGGGTTTGGAATATACTGTGAGGGTGCGGAATGAATATTGGGAGTAGAAATTTAGTACCAGAATCATCTTGACTGTAGTAGTGATGGAATAAGACGAGTAAATTGTGAAGAAAGGACTAAACTCAGAGTACGAAATATAAATAACGAAATTTTGTTTCGCCACTGCTAGTCTACTCTTTTCTTCCAGATCTCAGTTTCTAGCCAAATTCCGTTACTATTGCAAATTCCAACTTCCTATCATTAAAAGGGGGGTTTATCACGTGATAGCGACTCGAAATATGCAACACCCGCACTGGGCTCTAGGCTACTTGCCTTGACTATTATATGGCCAAAATAGGTAAAAATAAAATGTGATTTGGTAAGATTCCTTGACAATGCCGTAGGTACAAGATAATGAGGAAATATATGTTGTGCGTATAAAATGAAAGTGCTTGCTTGTATTAAACCCCGAACTATTGGGTGATTATAGTACTGAGGCCATAGCTGTTATATGAGATAATTAAGAGTAAGGGTGGCGAGAGACGAGGGGGGAAATATATTGATAGTTTTCAATAATAAGGCTGCGTCCCTCGAGATTGAGAACGAGTTAGTATACCATATAAATAAGTGAAAGGAAGCAACCGAAAACTCAGAAGGGAATATATAATAACTCAATTATATGCTTACTTCTAGGTTTTTAAGATCAGGTTCAAAATATCCAGAGCCAGTATATTATTTTTATTTCGTCCGAGTCCTTCCTCTAAGCTTCCCAACAGCCGTTTCACTGATACGGATCAGGCAGCGTACCATTAGCAAAAGGCAATAAAGTGGTCAACGGCTGCGCATAAGCATTCCTCGCCTTCATATACTGTATCCCAAGCTTACAACGTGTCTGTTCCTCAGTAGTCATCGTCTCCATCGTAGTCTCGTTGTTGTGAAACAGCAATCGCTCTCTTCCCTTCAGTGTCCAAGGCGTCCATGCTGCCAGGCCAGGCATCCGGTGAGTATTCGGATCAAAAGTGCGAACAAAACTAATCCAATAGCTTTGCATAATCGGTACAATGCCAGCATTACCACCCTCTTCATTGGCTACGTAATAAGATGGCGGCGGGGAGCCATCCGTGTTGTTGGGGCCCCAGATGGCGTTAAGTTCCACGACATGGTAGACCCGGTCACCTCTGGACTCATCGCGGGGATCCAAGACGTCGTAGTGGTAATGCCAGTTTGCGGTGTTACCTGCAACGTCATGCATGTCGGATTGGAAATAGTTGACGCAGCGAGATGTATCCCCCATCATTGCTGCAAGACGCTGCCACTCGTTGCCGGCGCCTGGATAGGAGGCATTCAGGGCTATGCCGGAGAAGGTAACATCATTGAGGGATTCGGGATACATGGTTTTTAGTTCGTTGAGTTGCGTATCAGTGATCTTTCCTACGATGTTCCTTATGGCCGCGTCAAGTGTGGCGGTCGTAACCGTCTTGTCAACGTTCTTGGTGCCCTCATCGGTGCAGCTACCATAGATGACAGGTACCTGGCGAAATCTTCTTTGCTCATATAGTTGATAAAGCGGGGCAACGAGAATATCGTTGTCGATGACAGGGCTCCATCCATGGGCAGGGGATTTGGTCTGGAGCTCGGTGACATTGAGACCTCGAAGGCATGAAAGTGTATCGTTTGTGCTTCCGCACCCTGTTGCATTAACCAGGTCATGGTAATGAGGTTGAAGATCAACAACTTGAGCATCTCCACTAAAAGATGAGCTTTCAGCTGCTGCTGCATGGAAGTAACCCTGTAGCGAGAAGTTAGTCTATTGTTACCTGGGTCATTATTTAATTTTGGTTCTCTTACTGGGAGCCCTGTCCCATTGTGAGCTGCCATGAGATAGGTAATGATCATTGCCCCAACACTATCACCAGAGAGCACAACATGATGAATATCACCACCAAACTAGTAAAGTTGTTAGTAAGGATATAAGGTTCCAACCAGGAATGAGTACGAACCAGATCAGCTCGATCTTGTATCCACTGCAAAACATACATAACTACAAAAGGGTTAGTCTATATTTATTCAGGCTGGCATTCAAGCCCACTCACCATCTTTGAGACCATTATTTAAACTCCCTCCTTCCACCACTTCTTGGCCAGCCAGCAGTCCCAGCAACCCCACACGGTAATTCAATGTAATTACCATCATGTTCATCCCTGAATTCTCAACGAGCAAGCTGCCATTAAAGTTTCCATTGGAGTTGCTGCTCCAACCACCTCCTTGAATAAAAACCATGATAGGAAGATTGGAAGTAGCAGTAGCATTCGTGGGCGCCCAGACATCTAAAAACAAACAATCTTCGTCCATGGGTTGCCGGGCGCTTCCATATTGAAGTCCTGGACCTTGCTGGTTGGCTAAACAGAGGAATCCATGCTTGATTCTAGTTAGCAATCCCCTGTAATTATCAATTATAGTAGAGGAGGCACCTACTTTGTCTGCTTTTTGAATAGCAGTCGTGGTAAGTGGTGTTGTCGGAGCTGCAAAACGTAGGTTCCCAAGTGGAGGAGCCTGAGAGGAAACGTTAGCATACTAAACAATGGTACGCGGTCGAAGATGATAATACAGCATATCTTATTCCAAGCCATTGGGATACACCGTTTGGTAATTCGGTGCCTTCATACTTTGAATAGCTTAGATCGACCACGGGACTAACAGCCTCGATAGCCACAGTAGTGGAAAGAACAACAAGAATCCATGACACCTTCATTGTGAATATTCCTGTACGATGTAAGATATCTTCACCCTGAGATTGAATTAATATAACGTGGGATCGGAAGAAGGCCAAGTGCCTGTGCCTCGTTGACGCGCGGTTTGGGGGTTAGGTCGAGATATTTATTTGGTGATAAAAATCATAGAACCCCATGACTTGGCGCGGGGAATTCTGATGCAGAGAATAGGAGGACGTGAATACGGGGTTAGTAGTTGGCCGGGTGTATCCTAAAGTCTCGGCAAGTATAGAACTGTTGAGGCACAGTCTCAAGCACTAAGGAGCCAAAGCAACCCGTCATGTCAGTGTATTCTGACAATACCACCAAATGCCCCATCTGGGAGCTCCAATCAACGTCGTCAACTGTTTACTGATAATTAATCCTGGTGGCAGATGGTTAGATAGATAGTGCAATATTTTGAAGACACCGGAATCGTCGCGTTCCGTTCATTTGAGCTATTTCACATTTTGCCTATATATATGCCAGGGTCCACTTATTAGATTAAAAATCAATCAATTCAATACCTCCAGCTCTATAGTACAAGGACCAACTCTGAGGGCAAAGCGTAAAATTTGTAGAATAGAAATCACACAAACTAATTAAATAGTTAAACACTTGTGTAGATACAAGTAGAGGGATGGTAACTACCTTGTGTCAGTGATAATTATGATCCGCATGCCTTTCAATAGGCAAACTGTGGCCTTGGAGGAATAGCAGGAACATGCCAACCAGATTGAGAATCTCGTCGGACAAGGGATCTAACAAAACTCAATACGGCCCATATTTGAGCTTGCCCATAATCGTCACGTAGAACCCGGCCACCTACCGAAATCAGATTCTGGTCTTGCAGCAGATGCAACACAGTCTCAGGCTCTTCTAGCAGCTTCATTTCCTCATTATGAAGCTTCAATTAGTGTTCCGTAAAGGTTAAGGACAACCTTGCCAAGGAACAGCGACCGTTATCAACGAGTGTTGGAAAGAGAATATGTCGTTCTGGCCCTATGTACCGGAAACAAGAGAAAGAGGCTGCATCAAAATCGAGCTGTGAGGCCGGCTGCTTGTCGCCCCGCGCAGGGGATTTTTGAGTCGGGTGAGGCATTGATAATAGCTCAGAATATCATCACTCTCGCTAGAGTAATTAACTGATTCGGAATCGTCGAACGGAGCTTCTGGTATCCTCTCGTAGTCATTAGGGAGAGGAAGCATAGATGGCTTTATGCTGGAAGAAAATTTCTGATACTGTGGTCGATTGCCGGCCAATAATTCATATGGGGCGTTGTGCAGGTCTCGGACCATTGTATCTCATTCTTTCCCATAGCTGCCATATAGCCAACACTATTTCTCGCTTCCTAGGTTGGTGATATAGCTCTCCCCACTAATGGTATCTACTCACATGGACTTCGATCTAAAGCCTTTGTAGCTCTTTTCCCTTCCCATAACACTTCTTTTTGGTCAAGGAACCAGGTAAAAAAAGTGTTCATCAACAATGGGCCCTTCTTCGGATAACCACCAAGGGAACGAAACGTGGCCTTGGGGCTTTGCGGAAGGACACCTTTGGATTCCAAATCGGCCTTGTCGCAAATGCAGCCAAGCTTCTGGAAGGAAATGGATGCAAGATTTGCCTCCAAGTCCACAATCTGTGTAACAAGACTCAGCTGTGATCCTCTTGGCAAATGGCGCCATAAGTTCCATAACGGTTTGCCTCTAGCTTTCACCTCAATAATATATTCTACCCCAACGGGATTGAGTGAACATAACGAATTTGCGCGTATACATGGTACGGGCAAATTCGAAGCTTCTCGCAACTAAGGGATAGATATCAGTCGTTTAACTTGGCTCGCAGTGAAACCCGCTCGCGAAGTTTCGAGTAGCGACCTCGGATGCTGTTGTGTAGAATGGGGACCAAGCGTTTGGATTGGGAAACTTCGCCAGGACCTCCGCGCCACTATCCATCGTCATGAGGAATGTAAATTGGCCTTCGATGCGCTTCAGCAATTTTGTACCTATAATCGAAAGAGCATCAGTTAGTTTCTATTGCGCTGCAATTTTGGATCGACTTCACTAGTTGATTGGGAATAGTGGTCTTACATGATCTAGCTTCATTACCAGCAGCCTTGACTGCCACATCTAACGAGGCATCGAGGTTGGATTTGCGCTAACGTATAGCAAGTTGCTCGGGATCGTGTGATCTACAACCCGTCGAGTTGTAGTTTCATATCAAGGAGTTAGGACAATACAACCACCTGTACCGAGTGTATTGATATAGCTGAGATTCCTGATTCTGCTGTGGATGAGAACTGCAAGCGAAGACCACTTGGGGGTGTTCATATTCGGAATGTCACCTGAACCATCCTCGGTAACCTTTTGAAGCACTGGTGACGATGGGTGCTGTGGTAGGCATCACTCGGGATCTCTGCTGGTTGCATATAACAATTGTACATCGAATGCCTTGGAGTATAGAGCCCGATGCAAGCGGCCTGGGAGACTAAAAGCGCATCTTCAATGTATCTAGGTACTGTCATGACTAGACAAAGGTTGTAGAGTCGATGCGCTCATTGCGCTCTTTAGACTGGCCAAAGAAATGGCGGACGCATTGTTGATTGATGCCACATATGCCAATGTAGGCCCAATTGCTGCCCTAACTGTACCGTCTCTCGATAATATCTGCTCACGACTCACGACAGTAAGACCTCAAGCGTAGGCGTCGTTTGATGGAAGATAGCATACGGGGCCGCTCGACCTTCGGCAGACACTTTGTTTCTGCATCTTCCTTCGAAAGTTGGGCGATTCGACCTCTGTTAATGATGGGTGTTGCTCTCGACCTCAATACGTGTGTTCGACGACGTCGATAGCTCGATTATTAGTAGCACTCGTACCTACGTAATGGTGACAGCGTCAGTGCCGTTATGTGTATGTGTCTGTGGCTTCGTGGAGTTGCGACATCTTTCAGCCACCCATCAAGAGCTTGGTTTCTGCGGTGCAACATACGAGTAGTGTAGTGCAGCCCACGAAGTAATGAACGGGAGATAGCAGTTGTAGATGTAGTGGCATGAAAATGTAACGACGGTACTTTTTCATCCCATCCACTGGGGCGAGCCCGGTACTTCGAAGCCAACGCGAACAGGGGGCAGACGCGCGGATTCACGTAAATAGACGGGCTTTACGTCAACCAGCCCCCGTGACGAATCTGCAACCTGCAAGGTGTATTATTTATGCATCCCGACTATCGCAGATTGCTGATTACTGAAAGCTCAGACCGAGGTGCCTCGGGGCCTCCATCTCGAATTCTCATCGCAAACGGGAAGGAAACGGGCGTAAGGTTAAAATGCCTGGACTTTTGGGGTTGCAATTCCCGAGGATTGAGCTCAATCGGAAGGAGAACACTGGTAGTAGATACGAGTGCAGCTCAATGTCCGTCCCGCCTAAAGATGCGTCTTGAGAGGATAAGCAAGGATGGAAGAGAGAGTGCATTCGCCAGCGATAACGATTAAAAAGCGCCAATTACGGAGTAATCCCAATAGCTCAGGATACCTACTGTATTCTAGAGTCTACATTATTATGATCATGGGTGAGAAGTACATGTACATGTACCTTAGCTAGCTTATTAACTGAAGAGAAGAAGCTTCGTTTCTATTTCGGGAACTGGCCCGAGTGCTGGTGGAATGCCAATGTCAATGTCAATGTCAACGTCAACGTCAACTTCAAGCAAAACACCAAAAAAGTGCAGGCAATTGAGGAACATAAAATTGGCCATCATTGGCTATTGGCCATTGGCCATTGGCCATTCCAATATGACCGACATCCTTGAGGAGTTTTTTGCACAGGATGACACTGACCAACTGGTCACTGGTCACTGGCCCAACCGGCACTGGAGTGCGTATGATTACCAAGGGCTGGCAATCGCCCTCTTGCAAATTAAAAGGGCGGGGGTAGCACCGCATAAGCCGCGCCATAGCTCGTTACGTAGGACTTCGTACTTACGAGTGCTGGAGCACCGTTGGACGGGCGAAAGAATGTCGCGTACGTACTCCGTAGGGTTCTGTCTGGGTGACAGTTTCAGCTCAGCCTCAACGGCCACCCCCGAGGCCACCAAACGGACACTGCATTGCATGTGCACTCGTCCTCTGCTTCTGCTTGGGTCTTTGCCGCTTGAGCCTATTCCCGATCGTCTCTCCTCCTTCCGAGTCCTCCTCCCTACGTAGCCGGTTGATGTCCCGGCCTCTTGGCGCCGGGTACAGTATGTAGCAGCGCCAGAGCCATCCTAACTTTAGATAACGAACTCGCGTCCTGATCGACGAGCCATTTCGGGCGCGTACGACTGCGTGACGTGTTGCAGGGTGGCTGGTAAGTGCGTATGGAGGGAGGCCGGTCTGCCAATGCCAATGCCAATGCGATGCAACGGATAGCGGCTTGCTCGATCGATCTGCAACAGTATCTTCGCATTGCAATGAGGGGCACAGAGAGGTGAGGTGTACCGTCTAGAGTATATAGTTGTTATCATCGTCCACCCTCTCCATCCCAATTAGCTCCATTCCATTCCATCCCATTCACAATATTTCATAACATCAACCTGCTGTTTACCACTGACTCCCACCCACCCCTACCCGACACTCTCACACTCCTCCATCCCTCCACTCCTCTATCCTCCACCGCAACAATGTTTTCCAACGACGACTTCGTCCACATTTCAACCAGCCCAGGTCCTCAGCCCAAGTCCGGCTGGGGCGTTGGCGGCAAATTTTTCGATAGCTGCAAAGGACAGCGATGGTTCACAGAGGCCGTCATAGTAGATGCGATCTCACTAAGCTTCCCCCGACATCATCTCACAGTCAGCCCGTCGGACTCTTGCGATCTGCTTGCTTTCGCAGATGCACGTGACGATGCACATTACTCCCTCCTCGACGAGGACTCGCTCGTGGAGCGGAAGTTCCAACTTCCTCTACGACGATACAACGACCAAATTGGAGGATCTTTCGGTGAGAAGGTTGTCCTGGGAAAGTTCGATTATGAGTTTCAAGGAAATGAGTTCCTCCTGTATGTCGTTGAGGGATCCGACGGCCTGGTCGCAAAGACACGCAACAACTATATTCTCGTTGCACCTGAGCAAGAAGGGAAATATATGACGCCTGAGGAGAAGGCGTCCGCACAAAAGAAAACAGATGAATTGATCGCTGCATGCTCCAGGTGGATGGAAGAGCTCCACAGCGAGGTCCTAGTATTCGATCAAGGATTCTGGCAAAAGAACACAGAATTATGGCAGAACATCCAGAAATCGGCGTGGGACGACGTCATATTAGAGAAGGACAAGAAAGACGCTATCATTGACGATGTGCTTGGATTTTTCGATGGAGAGGAACGATATACGGAATTTGGCGTCCCTTGGAAGAGAGGGGTCATTTTCCATGGTCCACCTGGTGTAAGAATCCCATGCTGCCTTTTCAAACGAATTCAATAACTGATCTGGCAATCTAGAATGGCAAAACAATATCTACCAAAGCTCTCATGCACGACATATCCAAGCGCAAAAACCCAAAGGTCGAGTCGCTTTATGTAAAATCATTCAACAGCTATGCAGGACCAGAGTTCGGCATCCGTCAAATATTCCTTAAGGCTCGCCAAATGGCCCCATGTATCCTAATCTTCGAGGATATCGATTCCCTCGTCAACGTCGCCGTGCGCAGCTACTTCCTCAATGAGGTCGATGGGCTAGAATCCAACCATGGAATCCTCATGATTGGCAGTACCAACCATATAGAACGATTAGACCCAGGCATCGCCAAACGACCAAGCCGCTTTGACAGGAAATACTTCTTCGATGTGCCCAACCGGGACGAGCGGGTCCAATATTCCGAATACTGGCGCCACAAGCTACGGAATAACGACAAGGTCGATTTTCCTAAGGAAATGTGTACCCGAGTCGCAGACATCACCGGCGATTTCAGCTTTGCCTATATGAAGGAGGCGTTCGTCGCTGCCCTTCAGGTTCTCGCTGGGCGGCAAGACGAGAAGAGGAAGTGCAGATCTCGAGAGAGCGACCTGCGGGACAATGCTCTGTGGATAGAGTTAAAAAAGCAGATCGAGGCGCTAAGGAAGGAAATCAACGGAGAGGCTGAGAGTACCAGCCCTAGCACGACGAGCCAGGTGGTTGCGGACAACGAATATCCTGATCTCAACATGGAGAGCGATCTCTGGCCAGTTATGAGTCGGAACGAGCTAAGGATGCAGATCGAGGCGTTAAGGAAGGAGATCGGCCGCGATACTGAGAACAGAACGGGGAGCGGGTTCCGGCCAGTCAGGAGTGATGCCCTTGATGGTAGTGATGCCATGGGGACATATCCCATCCATATCAGAAACCCGGTCATGCCACGATATATGTAGTTTTAGCATTGCCAGCGCCTGTTTTTATAAATAGCGAGCGTTTGATTTTATGAATAATGATATTATGAATTACATTACTAGATGTCCAAGTATAATGCTATATAAATAAGCGGTGCTGCAAAAAGGGTATCTTGAAAAAGCAAAAGCGTATCATCATCTCTCACTCATCATCTAGTATACTACTAGCCAGCCTTCCAAAGAGCGGCACTTCACATCGATCTAGTGTATCCGCTACACAATTCCTATTAGCAAATGGCCTATCCATGTCGCAGACGAGACTTACCATCTTGGTATGCCCTCAACGTCAAGTATCCGATCAGCCCCAAATCCGCTATAAATATAATCCACGAAAGGAACGTCGACCACGAGAATATCAGATGTAGCACGAACATGGCCGTGAACAGCAACGAGGATTGCCATGCATGGAATCTATACACCACCATTAGCCTCATCTCCACATAGCGCAACAGTTCCCCTCCATTTCTGTCTCAGACACTTCACCATAGTATATCAAGTACATACCGCACATAATCACTCTTCCGCTCCAAAATAAGCAACAGCACACCCCCAGCAGGCGGTAATAGCAAATACGCCAAACACGCCTCGTAATCCAATCTAATTGGCAAACTCGTCTCGAACTCATTCAATCTATCCGTCCTCCCGCTCTCTACATCATCGTTTCCGAACGCCGTCGCGGAGGAAGGCGCCCATGGATTCGCAGTGGGCGGTGTGGGATTCGTGGGTGATGCGAGAGCTGGGGAGAAGGAACGCCGGCCGTTGGGCGGGGAGAAGGAGCGTCGCGGTTGGGACTCGGGGGGTGGTGAGAGCGCTCGCGATGTTTCGGGGGATTGGTCTTGGTAGGGGGCGAAATCCATTGTTCTTCTGGGGTTGGGGATATGGGGATTATGTGGATGCCCGAGAAGAGTTATGTGAGGCTGGAGATGGAGATGGAGGTGCAGGAGCAGTAGGAGTAGTGGTGTAATATAAAGGTAAGTGGTGGGATGCCTCGCTGATTGGAAGTTCCACATCGGGACGCACGAACAGCGTTCGTGCCCACCTGCCCATTTGCCCACCTGCGCAGCCTCGGCGTCCAGGCTGCGTACGAGGTCATCACACATTACGCAGGGTCGCTGCTGCGGCTTCACGACGACACTACGAGGAATTGCCTTTGTTAACATATGTTTGTTACTGTTAATCCTAGATAGATATTTATGTAGCAGGAATATACTAATAATGTGTCCGCGATTTTCACACGGACACCCTACCAAGTACATAATGCACAAGGTTGAACGCTTAAACCAAATATCACACGATGAACTCCTTCTTGATGCCTGAAGACTCAAGTGCCCAGCCCATATGCATTCGCATTCGTGGCTTTAATACCGCGCCCGTTTATCACACGATCCTTTATCCCAAGAAGGTGATTGTTCAAGGCCCATTACTCGTTCCATCAGCCTAATTCACCACCCCCGCTATCATCATTCGTTACTCATCGAAATTCCATCGCAGCAAAGCATCCCCGATCTTCGACGTGTTTCAGCTCTAGCTGTTGGAATCTGCGCTCGGTATTAGCAAAAGCCTCCCTGGTATATCACTTGGTGGCGGATTTGGCTTACTTCTCGCTCTTGGCGTGAAAATATATTCCACTTACGGTCCCTTGAACCTGATTGAAACAGATATAATAGAACCCTTCGAAACTGGCGCCAGTAATCGTTCTTACTCGGTGGTCAGGGACTAAAAAGTGCTCCTTCCACCTCATGAATATGTTCTCTCGTTGTGCGAGGTGTGGGATATGGAAATGACCCTTCTTGGCCGCCTTCTGGAATGGTCTGAAGGCCGTGAACTTCGCCCAGTGCTGTAGATCCACCTTATCATTCGAGCCCCAATCTTCGTGCTGGGTGAGGAAAGTGTATTTGGAGCCAATAATTTCGCCTTCGAAGTAGGTCGTGAGGGTCGGGTGGTCTTCCGTTAATCCTAGGAAAGCACGCACATCAGTCTCCGCTCTCCGCTCCCGGAGGATGTGACAGATCGGAAACTACATACCTTGGATACGAAGATAGCCACAGAGGAACGACTCGCGCATATCAACGTGTTTGATCTCGACTTGTACATCGTAAACTTGACGTTCGGATTGCTGAGTGCCATGGAATTTGCTACCGGCGCGAAGAAATGAGGATGGGGAGGATGGTATGAGCTGGGAAGGGGAATCAGTATTTCGCATACATATCAACATGCCATCGCTATCCTGTGAGGGGAACACGTACTCTAATGTTGGAGAAGTCGTATCCCATGGATGGTGAACCAAGATCGGTATTGGCCAATGCATGTATATCGGTATCATCTTGTTTGTCTGCCTCGGCACTCATGGGAGATAGCATGTCGTGGGCGACATTGTCTTCCTCAATGTCCATTCGTTTAACCTCTGGTTGCTCAGTGATGCGCGTTTCCGTTGAACCGGCGGCTCGAGAGCCCGATGCAGGAGGGGTCGGCTGTTGAAGCACTTCAGCTGCGGCTAGAATTGTTTCCTCTGGGGTATCATCCATCTCGACACTCCTCCAGCTCGATCTGTCATCGTCGGGGGGGCATGAGGTGTGGGACGACGGGGTTGCAGCGATGCGGTCGTGGCTCGAAGGGGTGGGCATTTGGTCTGCGCCCGCGCCGGCCAGGCTTTCAAATATGGAAGGCGATACTAATGATACAGGCAGAGAAGTGAAAGGAGCGGAGCGCCGGTCAATCAAATGCACATGGTCACCGTTGTGTTGGGTGATGCACTTTTAGGAGATCGTGATAGAGAGATATGGGATATGGATCTGGAGCACGGAGGCAAGCAAGCATGCCTTGACAGGCTAAGCGAAGAGAAATCCTGGCAAGCCGGGGTTTTCGTGGGGTCACGGCGGTAGAGCAGCAAAAGTCGGAGTCGCAGAAGGGCTCGAGTCTCGAGTCCGAGTCACGTCCTTGACAGACTGAATGTTACGGTGTTGCAGGTAACATTCAACTCCACAATAAAATATTCAGTCGCCACCCAAGTAGAAACAGACCGTGTATTACTTCTCAGAGTAATCCGGCCTAAGTACGAAGTAGGTAGTTGTGAAATTGCTAAAATCCAAGTCCCGCTAGTTAATGTGAACATCATTGGGATCCAGACTCTAGAGTCTCAGTCAAGTCGACTATTCACTGCATCGACCGGTTTATCCAGCCAGTCATGGCATCCAGGAATACCAGGGTTTGCCAGATACAAGGCGAATCTAGGCAGTCGCATCGTGAATGGCTTTCCTCCCTGGTATATTTTTTATTCATTCCCTCAAATCTGCCAACGCCTGACGCCTTGACTCGATAACCTTCCAGAACCGCGCCTCTCATATCGGCTTAATCTTGAAATGCAGAGCGATCAGGGAGAAGACTAAGGCTTTCAAATCTTGGACCAGGTAGTAGAAGACACGGAGACCCTCGGGGTCTTGCGATTCGGTAACGTCGACGAGAGACCCGATCTTGGCCGTCTAAAATATCCTCATCAGTGCTGCAACGAGATAGAACAAGCAATCTCCGTACCTCAAATGATATATGCTCGCCTCCAAGGCGTATCTCCAACTCTTGTCGCCCATCCTTATTTTTCTGCGGCCAATTCTTATCATCTTCCCTATTTCAATATAAGCCACGTTTCGAACGGCTACATCATTGACTTTGACCCACTTCATGATTTCACTTGTCTTGATAATGCGCTTGATCTCGTCGACAAGGAGAGAGCTGACACACACTATTGGAAGTCTCCGGTCAGTCTAGCCCGAGGACGATATGGCACCCTATACGCACTCTCTTTTCGGATGAGGGAATCATTGCGGTAGTTGGAGTTGTTGGCATAACGAGCAGAGGCGCTTCTCCCATCCCCTAATACTCGGAAGTCGAATTCTGTTTTCTATAATCAGAGCCAGCGCCGAGTAACCGCATAGAGTAGGAATTTACCAAGAAATTCATGTCCGTGTCGACCTTGATGCCCCGAGCTTGCGATATTTGATTAGCATGGTCCAGCTCTAACAAGAGGGATCAACTCACTAGTAGCGGATGTAAAATGGCTCGTTAGATGCAGCCATGGTGATCGTCCAGAGGGAATAATAATTGCGACGTTGTTGAACTTGATTGAGAAGGCTGAAGCTTTTGATTAGTCGCGCCTCGAAACGGTTGGCGGGGGGTGTTCGTGCCTTGTGGCTGGGATCAGGCTCACACACACGCTAAATTCGAATTGAACAGCAAGCATCACAGAAAGCTACAACTACCACTTCCCGCCATATGATAATGAACCTCTGATGCGCCCTTACCACCTTTTCCCTCCCTGCGCGAAGGATTATCATCAACTCTCTCGAATCTGACCGTTTGCCCCCGAGTTGGATTCTGTCCGCTGCGACCCAGAATCACGAACTACGAACAGCGCCATCCCTCCTATACTCCACGGGAAGACGAGTAACCAACGCAATTAGCTGCGAAGCACCTCTCAAATTCGGCCAAGATGGCGTCCTTCTTGGAGCAGTCGTACAGTTTGGTACACCAGGATAATGCAGCGGATGTACCTACAATGTCCGAGCTGCGCACGCAGCTGGAAAAGGGGACCGATGAAAGCAAGGTGGACACAATGAAGCGCATCCTCACAATTATGTTGAACGGGGATTCAATGCCTCAACTACTCATGCATATTATTCGATTTGTTATGCCCTCGAAGCACAAGGCTCTAAAGAAGCTGCTCTATTTCTACTACGAAATATGTCCAAAACTCGATGCCAGCGGTAAGCTGAAGCAGGAGATGATTCTGGTCTGGTAGGTCACTTTATGCTATAATACCAGAAGGGGCACATGCTAAATTCCTGTTAGCAACGGCATTAGAAATGATTTACAACATCCGAATGAATATATCCGGGGGAATACGCTGCGCTTCTTGTGTAAGCTTCGCGAAGCCGAGCTGATCGAACCCCTTTTATCTTCTGCCCGCTCGTGTCTTGAGCATCGCCATGCATACGTCCGGAAAAACGCCGTCTTTGCCGTGGCATCCATCTACCAACACTCTCCAAGTCTGATCCCTGATGCTGCTGAGCTTATTGCTACATTCTTGGAAACTGAGAGCGATCATACATGCAAGCGCAACGCATTCGCGGCGCTGGCTAGCATCAACCATGATGGTGCATTGGCGTATCTTAGCAGCGTGTTTGATGGCATTCCTAACGCAGATGAACTTTTGCAGCTGGTTCAATTGGAGTTCATCCGCACGGATGCCATCCAAAACCCAAACAATAAGGTATGAAACTCTCGCCGTGCTATACAACAACTACTAATGACCCCAGGCTCGTTATCTACGACTCATCTTCGACCTTCTCGAGGCGGGCGCCAGCACGGTTGTCTACGAGGCGGCATCCTCACTTACTGCCTTAACCAACAACCCCGTTGCCGTGAAAGCTGCAGCCTCAAAGTTCATCGAGCTCAGCATCAAAGAGGCAGACAACAACGTCAAGCTGATTGTGCTTGACCGCGTGGATCAACTACGACAGAAAAATGAGGGTGTTCTAGATGATTTAACGATGGAGATTCTCCGAGTTCTATCGAGCCCCGATATTGATGTTCGGAGGAAGGCTCTGAGTCTTGCGTTAGAGATGGTCTCTAGCAAAAATGTCGAAGAAGTCGTACTGCTATTGAAGAAAGAGCTGACAAAGACGGTTGACCAAGAATACGAGAAGAACAACGAATACCGGCAATTGCTCATTCATTCGATACATCAATGCGCTATCAAATTTTCAGAGGTCGCAGCCAGCGTCGTCGACCTCTTGATGGACTTCATTGCGGATTTCAACAACACTTCCGCGGTTGACGTTATCTCGTTCGTAAAGGAGGTCGTGGAGAAATTCCCAAAACTCCGCCCATCGATCGTTGAGCGCCTAGTCTCTACCCTCAGTGAAGTCCGTGCGGGTAAGGTATATAGGGGGGCACTCTGGATTGTGGGAGAGTACTCGCTCGAGGCAAAGGATATCAGAGATGCCTGGAAGCGGATACGAGCAAGTTTGGGCGAAATCCCGATTTTGGCATCAGAGCAGCGTCTCTTAGATGAAGTTGCAGATGGACAGGATGCAACCAAAGAACCTGAGCAGGTTAACGGGCATCCAAAGGCGGCGCCCACCGGGTCCCGCAGAGTGCTTGCTGATGGTACATACGCAACTGAAAGTGCCCTTACAAGTCAGTCTGCAGCCGCGGCCAAATTAGAAGCTGTCAAGGCCGCCCAAAAGCCTCCCCTTCGACAACTTATCCTCGACGGTGATTACTACTTGGCGTCGGTGCTCTCATCCACCCTCACAAAGCTTGTCATGCGACATTCAGAAATCTCACAAGATAATGCACGCACAAACGCTCTACGCGCCGAGGCCATGCTCATCATGATCTCTATCATTCGAGTAGGCCAATCACAATTCGTCAAAGCACCAATTGATGAAGACTCCGTCGATAGAATCATGTCATGCGTGAGATCTCTTGCCGAATACCCCCAGAATAAAGGTCTCGAGAAAGTCTTCTTGGATGATACACGCAAGGCCTTCCGTGCCATGGTGCAAGTGGAAGAGGGGAAACGTGCAGCAAAAGAAGCTGTTGAGAAAGCCAAAACTGCCGTTCAAGTAGACGATGTTGTCTCAATCAGGCAGCTGGCAAAGAAGAATGCCACCGATGGGGCCGACGAGATTGGACTTGATCTGGAGAGGGCCACTGGTGGCGATTCAGCGGTTGAGGACCTGTCGTCAAAGCTCAGTCGAGTTGTGCAATTAACAGGATTCTCGGATCCAGTTTACGCAGAAGCATATGTCAAAGTACATCAATTTGATATCGTGCTCGACGTCCTTCTAGTCAATCAGACTACGGAAACTCTCCAAAATCTCTCGGTAGAGTTCGCCACGCTGGGTGATCTCAAGGTTGTCGAGCGCCCGACGACGCAAAATCTTGGACCACATGACTTCCTGAACGTTCAATCCACAATCAAGGTTTCCTCGACGGATACCGGTGTCATCTTTGGCAACGTTGTTTACGATGGCGCCAGTTCGACTGAAAACAACGTAGTCATCCTAAACGATGTGCACGTCGACATTATGGATTACATCCACCCTGCAGTCTGCACAGAAACCGAATTCCGAACCATGTGGACCGAATTCGAATGGGAGAACAAGGTTAACATCAACTCCAAAGCCAAGTCATTACGAGAATTCCTCACACAATTGATGGCCTGCACAAATATGAGTTGCTTGACGCCAGAGGCATCACTCAAGGGCGACTGTCAATTTTTGAGTGCAAACTTATACGCGCGAAGCGTTTTCGGTAAGCTCTTAGATTTGCATGTTTGGAGAAGGCGCTATTCTAACATTCATTTTAGGTGAGGATGCACTTGCAAACCTGAGCATCGAGAAAGAAGGCGACGATGGACCAGTTACAGGATTCGTCCGAATTCGAAGCAGATCACAAGGTCTAGCGCTCAGCCTTGGGTCGCTCAAAGGCTTAAACAAGGTTGGAGAAGTTGCTTGATCGCAGAATGCATCATAGCTGCGAATCAGTTGGTGTTGCCTAATCCTTTGCAAGAATTGTCGAACAGGCACGCTTCTTAATGAAGTATGAGGAGAGGTAGGGCGCTGCGGATTGACAGGATAGAACCTCCTATCGGTGCCAGATTTTTGAGTGGGTTGTTAGCGAGAACGCGGCGCTTTGATGGAGATAAAATCGTCATGAATGCTGCTGAAGCAATATGGAGTTACCTAGATCAGGGACATTATTGTGAACAAAATTTTGAATCTCCTGATATTGTACGGCCACGCGTCTATTGATGGTGACTAACAGTCTAGGACCCTATTGTGTACTGCGTACCTGTTCCTACATTACTCGTACCTTAATTAGTGAGCACTGGCTTGTGGCGGCACGCCAATGGCTGGATAGCCCAAAGCCAAAGCCAAAGCTCAGCATCAAATCACCGTGGCATCCGACGTTGCACTGTAGTAACTGCACTCTCCAATTCCAGGTACCGAGCTCGTAAACTTCCATTGTTAATTAAAGGGCCTTTCCCAACTTGTCGTCGTCTGACTCCGGTGGTCCCGGAGAACACTTCCCGCAGGGGGCAGGTCACACCTCGGTACGAAGTACAGGGAATCAGCTGCCGTTGCTGATTGACGCGGCTTTTCAAGCTTTGGCCACCACAAGCCTAGAAGGCGAGAAGCTCGGCATTATTGACTCTCTGAGCCACTCGGTCCGACACCCTCTTATTGTATTGAGGGCCACCACCGCCCAGCAACGACCCAAAACTTGCCAACTAGCCAGCAGCGACAGCGACAACGATGATGCTCGAGGTGTCGAAGGGCAATTCATTATAAAATCAACAACAGCATCAATGGCCACCGACAATCCCTTTGTCGACCCTAACCCTTCGTTTGAGGACCATGGCCGCACCAGTTCGTCTCCGGCAGACGCCACCCTCGCCCTGGGGCGCAATGTAACTTTATCGCTGGGAACAGACTCTTTGATCGTGCTAGGTTGGTTGTGGATGGATATGGAGCGCGGTCGACATTGCTAAGGGTGTGGCAGATGAATCGTTCGAGAACAGCGGGCGGAGTAACTGTTGCAACCTCTGGCCGTCTGGTATTTGCCGCCTCCTCCATATCCCGTTCATCATATACTAAACATAACTTCATAGGCATTGCGAACACACGGGCGATCCCTTTCTATAATATCCTTTGGGCCGAGCTCCTAGATTCCGAGCTCACCATACAATTTGCCTCCCAAGCAGCGAAAAAACGGGTTCAAGCTGCCACTCTGAGCTACCCCGTTGAGTACCAAATGGTGGAGCTGGTGAACCAGTGGGTTGCACGGCTATTAGACAGGTCCTACGGCGAATCGCAAAAGAGGAAAAGAGTTAAGGCCCTGGTCAACCCGCATAGTGGAAAAGGGAGCGCGGAGAAATGGTACTATCGGGATGTAGAGCCTCTCCTGAAGGCTGCGCAATCGACCATCGAGATGGTCAAGACGAGACACCAAGGCGAAGCTGTTGAGATCGCTGAGAAGATGGATATTGAAGCGTATGATGTCGTAGTTACGTGTTCTGGGGATGGTCTTGCTCATGAAGTGTTCAACGGGCTCGGAAAGAGGGCGGATGCCAGGAAAGCGTTATCTAAGATTGCAGTGGCCCATGTTCCCTGTGGAAGCGGCAATGCTATGAGCTGCAACTTGAACGGAACGGATAGTGCAAGCGTAGCCACGTTGGCCATTATCAAAGGCATTCCTACGCCTTTGGACCTGATATCCGTAACGCAAGGGGATACCAGGACGCTCAGTTTTCTGTCACAGTCGGTTGGAATCGTGGCGGAGACCGATCTCGCGACGGAGCATCTGCGCTGGATGGGTCCCATGCGATTCAACTACGGCTTTTTAATACGGCTAGCAAGAAAAATGGTCTACCCTTGCGATATTGCGGTCAAGGTAGCCATCGACGACAAGCCATCGATTAGGGAGCACTATAGGAGGGAGAAGAGTAATGATGAGCCTGCGAGTGAGCGAAGGGGATACAAAAATCTTTTAGACGATGATGCATCAGCAAGCAGTGGCTCTGACGATGGGCTGCCGGCTCTGAGATACGGAACCATCAATGATAAATTGCCTGCTGGCTGGGAACTGATTCCGCACGATAAAATGGGGAACTTCTATTGTGGCAATGTAAGCATATGGTATATCACCCCGTAAATCCCGGGCTAACCGTTTCAGATGGCATATATGACAGGAGACGCAAATTTCTTTCCAGCGGCCCTACCAAATGACGGGTATATGGACCTCGTCTGTATCAATGGTGACATCAGTCGCCTCACCGCGGTACAAATGATGCTCAACGTCGAGAGCAACAAATTCTTCGACATGCCCGGAGTCTGGTACCGCAAAATTCTCGGATATCGGATTATACCTAAAGACCAAGAGGATGGCTACATTAGCATAGATGGCGAGCGAGTTCCTTTTCAACCATTCCAAACAGAAGTACATAAGGGGCTTGGAACGGTGCTTTCAAAAACAGGGCATATGTACGAGGCCCCGGGGCCGGTTTGATGGGTTTGAAGATTTACAGAGGCGTTGGTGATATTATCGGCAAATTCGAGGGCCTACACCCGACATAAGATACCCCAGAGGTGGTCCGCCGCGGGACAGGATTTGAAATAGTCTCAAGAGTTATGATCTGTAAATTCCAATCAATATTGCACCTTTTTCTCTTGACCTGAACGCCATGCCAATAATGCGATGACCCTCCTTGCTAGTACGCCGACCAAACAACAGTGAACCCGATTTATGATCCCAATTTTCACTCCTCAATTCCACCCCATTCATTGTCTTCATTCTCGTCCCCCTTCTCCCCGTCCTCGCCATCCAGCTCGTCTTTCGTTGCATTTCCAGGTAAACGCTCATCAGCCAACGCCTCCTTAGCCTTAGATCTGACAGTCTTCGTCGGACTTTTCGCCGCTAACCTCCTCAATGGCTCAAGCAACACATCCAGCGGCACATTCTTAGCCTCTTCCTCGTCATTTCCCAAAGCCCCGGCCCTCTCCAACTCATCCACATAGATATCAATAACGTGAAATCTCAATCCCATCGGGATACGCATATCCTCCACATTAAGCGGCACCTCCGCCATAACATCCAGCACCTCCCCTATCCTCCCCTCATCCCACCCACTCTCCTTAAGCACCTCGAAAGAAGCGCAAAGATATCTTCTAACCAACAGCAAAAACTTCTCCATGCGCAGCACATCAACCAAATTCCATTCCCTTTGCATTGTCTGCCAGAACGCTCTCAAAAACGGAACTACTGTTTCAGCGGGGAGAACGGAGACGAGGGATGCAAGAGCTGTGGCAAGTTTTTGTTGCGGGATTGGGCGATCGCACATCCACAGGGAGTAGAAGAGGCCCTTGTGGAGTTTGAGGAGTTCTATGTGTGGGAGGGTTCGTCGGCCTGAGAGATAGGTGCGCAGGGAGAGGAGGGCTTTGTCGCGGGTTGGTCGGTCTAGAAGGGTGTGTTAGTTGGTGCATTGATTGATGGGGATGCGCGGAATGGAGGGAATGGAAGAGGCGTACCATTTGCAGCAAGCTGCTTGACGAAGGGCGCCTGTTGTATATCCTCGGTGGTAGCCATCGTGAGTTTAGATGTTGTGATTGAAGTGCTGTGGAGGGGTTATTTCGTTCCCTGCGATAAGAGGTGGTGAATTTTGGTGAGCAGAAATTATTTTTGAGGCTGTGGCCTGTGCGCAAGGCTGTAGAGTACCTACTACTGTGGGAGGCGTTGTTCAGCCTCGGGTAGGATTACAACAAGGACTTGTAGGGTGGCTTTTACAGGATACTTATGAAAATTTTCAGAAACCTATATCAGGTACTCCAATGGCAGTTAATTGCAGTGACGACGAGGGTACAGATCGAAAGTTAGGCGCAGGACTCAGTCTCACTGTGGTATGCAAGTTAACTCCATACTTGCCATAGTATCAGGAGTGATAGTAAACGGTATTCCCATCATAAGTGCCTTGCGCATCAGGCATTAGCAAGAAACGCATCAAGTTTGCTTCTTCCACCAATGTTCCATTTTCTTCCCACTGGAACTCGATATTTGAAAGTTATTCGCACTCTCTGGTCCTACTACCGCCGGGCTGTCACCATCGCAATTTACTATGCCTAGCATGTGGCCTCAAGGAGTCTTTGCCACTATATTATGTGGGAATTGCTTCCTGCCGCCACACTTTCCGCATCTGACCTAGTATCAAGCGGAGAGTTAATTAAACATGTTGTATATACCGCTCGTGATAATCTGTAAATAGCCTCAACTTAATCCTGAATGCAGACAAATTGGAAGGTTTTGATCGAGTGCGCTGCTTGGCTGGTGCGGATGGCACGGGAATACCCGACCCAGAGAGAGCGGGCGGTGTTAGCCAAATAGCTGACCTCGCTTAAGCCCCCTATTCTAACCTCCGCTGGCCAACCTACCTTTATAGAATACACCTTGATTCAACAGAACGTCTCAACATGTTGAGAGAGAGAGAGATGCGGATGATCTGTTTCAGCGTGATTTAACGAGTGATAGGTTAAGGATCTACATAACAGATCTGCCTTGTACCATTTCCATAACTTGACTCGGCAAGTATTAAAACTCCCTTCGAGAACAAAGTAAAACAACCTCCTAACAACAAATCTGACCTAAATCACAAATATATCTAACTGGCAATAGTATTGGAAAAGAATAATAACTTGTTTCCCTCTTCTATTCTAGGACAAGAGCTGCGGTGAATCTGTTTTGGGAGCCTGGGGCTTCTTTCGGGAGAGTGATAATCCTTGCTAATTTTTTGTTGCCGATGGCGTTATGGTGGTTTGTAAGAGCAATAACTTTGCCGTTGATATTGTCGCTGCCAACGAACCGTTCAAACCGTGTGGTGGCCGCTGCGTCTCCTCGTTCCCAGACGGCCATTTGGTTGGTTGGAATGCCGGCCTCCTTGTAATTTCGATCAGCGATACTCCAGAAGCCTTTGTTTTGAATGTCCATGAGGAAGATGACTTTGAGGTTCTTCGTTCGACTAGCTTGTGCACCTTTTGATTCCTTGGCAACACTTGCAAAAGCTTGCCAAGCGATTTCATGTACTGGAACGCGTTGTTGGCCAGCTGGTGTCTTGTCGTTGGCCTTGAAGCCACCTTGAGCTATGATGTATCTTCCCTCGCGGTCATATCCGCCTTGGCTAATGAAATCCGTCGGGGGGGGGTTGTTTTGCGATGGGTTGCTGGTGCCTTTCGTTGAGTCCTCTATTTTAGGCTTGATGGTGATCTGCTTCATTTGTTTGATGCTGCTGGGATCTAAGCCAAGGTGTTCCGCCTTAAAGGCAGTCAGCTCACGAAGATCGGCTCCTCTCATACCCCTATCGTCCCCAAATTCGAAGTAGGCTTTGTTCTTAAAAATGTTCAAGTACGATTCTTGAAGCCCGGGTTCCTCGACCTTGACTTGTGAGGCATCATCCACAACCCTGGTATCAGGTCTATTTGCTGAAACCGCGGCTTCGTAACCAGAAATTCTCTCGCTGCCCTTTATTCGATATTCCTCCATGGATTTAGCATTCCCAATGCCAAGGCCCGATCCGAGTCGGGGAACTTCCGCTGCCCCTCCAGGATGCCCAGCGGGCTTGCCCCCTACCGGGTCTGGCGGTTTAGAACCGGCATGTGGTACGGGCACTGGCTTATCAGGTACGACCGGTCGTGGGATACCACCACGAGGCAGGAGATCTTCAAATGGGTCCGGCGTTGTGCCAACTGGAACCCCGGATGATAGTTGTTGCAAGCCAAGGATGGCTGCAAGGAGCAGAGCACCTTTTCCAGCAAAAGCTTTCATTTTCCAAGACAGAGATAAAGCGAGGGGGAGAGGAGAGAGAGATCGAGCAAGGAGGTGCAGACTGTGAACTAAGTTTGTAACGGAATGATGCTGCGACGGCAGAGAGGCCGAGTAGGGATGACTGCGGTGATGATGATTGAGAGAATTCCGCACAAGACAGAACCATGAACCCCTTTAAATATCGTATTCCTCCACGGAAGACCGATAAATCAAAAGAACATATCTGTTCTATCTGCCAATACAGGTTTAGAAGCATGACATCTAAGCTGAATCCTTCTAGCTCGAACGCCGCACAGCCGAAGGGTTGTTGGCCGATACCATACTAAGGTATCTGGCTATTGCATTGCTTTCCCAGCCATCATTATGACGGGAAAAGGCCATGCGGATAAGCAACTGTTGGTAGAGCAATAGGCCTGATTGTTGGTAGAGTCTCAGCCAGCCTATTGAATTAGATAAAGGCACATAAAGCAATCCCCCTTGGGGGTTGGATGGCATTGCGCAGCATGAATACCCTACACAGCAGGGCTATTTTTCTTCGCACTTGCGATCCTTCTCGTCTACTATAGTACTCAAAGATTGAATTGTTGGTGTTTCGGAGCGATCAGCAGGAATGATACCGAAGTATCACCATCAGGATGAGCATGATCTGAGGCATAGTGCAGGCTGTTGAGCAGCAGCCCTCGCATGTCCTGAAACAAAACCTCTTTCTAGCGAGGTATGTGGGTGGTACAGTATGAGTAAGTACTAAAAAAGTAGGTTGTGGGTACAAGCTTCTTGATGAAAAACAGATGTAAGAAGTATAGTATTGGGCAAGTTCAGTTCGTGCGAAGCAGAGGTGGTCTAGGTACCTAGGTACCGAGTACTTTAAGGGGCTACATAACACGCTGAGGCCTGAGGTCAATAACATGTCTTCTTCGGTAGGCGTGAACTAGTTCGCGGGAGAGCCCGCCCTATGCCCCACAGAATCCTTCTTATGAAGCATTCCGTACACCAACAAACTTACAAGTTGCGATCTTTGGATCTCCGGCATCCATGTTATAATCCTCCTACCTTACCTTGCTTCGCCGCGCCCGCTGACGTAGCTCAGTTCATCCTTCTTGCGTAACAAAACGTGCACCCGTGTGCAGGGGGAGGAGGCGAAGGACCAACACTCCTTCCGTAGCCTGGAGTCGGGCGAGATGAACCTCGACACCGCCTTTGTTGGTGGCGTTTGTTACATTCTATTCTTCTTGGGACTCGTGCAATCCACTCTATTTATTACTATGTCCCGTGAGTCCGTGCACAGATGTTGGTTCAGCTAGGCGGCGCATCAATTATGTTTCGCTCACCCCCCTCACCTACGTGTAGGATCCCATCGTCGTGTATCTCCCTCGTCGCTCTCCAGGTCACCCCACAGAAATACACAGCAATACACAGCACCTTAAACTCTAAGGCAGTCTATGGCGTTCGTATGCTACGTGACAAATTCATCCCGTCTCACAACTTCGTGTCAATTGACTCAATTCTCGTCCAGCTCTGCAACATCAATTCTGACAACTTCCAACTTCCAACTTTTACCGTTCTCCTCGAGGCAATCTGAGCCAAAAACGATGAACCTACTCTCCTTTCCTGACGATGTATTTATTTTGATCGTTGAGCGTTTGGTAGCTACTATTGGCATCTGCAAGGCTGTTCAACTTCGATCGGTAAACAGTAAGTTCCCTTCACTTAAGAGGGGAAAGCAGAAGAGTCCCATGGCATTCTTGGATGTAGCAAAATCTGACGCAACCATCACTTTAGGATCCTTCAACTCTACTGTAATGCTCGCTATCTGCGGCAGTCAAGTTATCGACATTAATGACCCAGCTACACCATATTTATCTCGGCACATGACGCCACCACTAAAAGGAAAGATCCTTTTAGCAAAATCACGTTCCAGTGAGGTGACGGAGGATGATCGTCTATCCGTTATCGCCAGTGTCAATCAGGCACTAGATGGTCTGACCCATGCAAGTGAGGAGCGCCGGCTTGAACAGCACCAGATGATTGCCGAGGCGGTTGCTCACAAGTATCGGGGCTCTCCATTTGAAAGAGAGAACGCAAACCGAGATATCAGTGTCGATATCGAGGCACAAAATCTCTTATGCGGTGCTATCGTACTCGGCAATATGCGTTTAGTCAATTATCTGCTACAACAGAGGCCCTGTGCTTTGGCCGCTGTTAATACAGAAAGCCCCTATTTTGGTCAACCGTTGCAACTTGCTGCTGCCTGGGATCACATTGACGTCGTCCGCTATCTCTTAGCCTGCGGTGCTGATCCTCACAGGACCAGCGAGGATAGCGAGGATGGCACTAACTGGGTACCAGACATGAAACTAGGTATGGCGTGGGGATCTGTGTATCGAAACCCAAGCGGAAGCGCGTTGCGGGCTGCTGTCCTTACAGGCCATAATGATATTGCCCACTTGCTTCTAGAGCCTCAGTATCGATTATCTCATGTCAAAGTCGAGTACTTTCGAGCGGTTCTAACTGCAGCCCAAACGGGCAATCTTCATCTTATCGAGCTCCTTATCAAGATGACGGGTAAAACCCTGTCCAACTTTTCCGGGTTAGGACAGGAAATGCTGTATGTAGCGGCCTACTATGGCCAGCAAGAAGTGGTGCGGATGCTTCTAGAGAGTGGTGTTAGCGGAGTGGACGTCAGTGAAATTCCATCTAAAGACGTAGGCCACGAAGGTGCGCTAAGTTTGGCTGCCCAACGAGGAAATGCTACTATGGTAAGTTTCCTACTCGCTCATGGAGCAGAAGTGAACTTTTCACTTTACAACCAATCTCGTCACGACCCTATTCACGCTGCTGCCATCCGTGGACACCAAGAAGTAGTTGAAATTCTGCTTGAACATGGAGATAGCTCTGAGAGAGCGCTCCGAAATGCCGCGGATGGAGGACAGCTACATCTAGTAAAGTGGCTATTGAACAAAGATCCGAAGTTGCCCAGGAAGACATGGCCTGATGGACGCGAAGTTGGAAAGGAGGCACTACAACGAGCCATTGTAGTAAAGAGTCCAGAAGTAATCACCCTTTTAGTCAATAGTGGCGTTCCGCTCAACGATGGTTATGAGGACTGGGAAATCCCAATAGTCTGGGCAAAACAGCTTGCGGCGGATTGGATAGTTAATCTTCTGCTCGCTCTTGGTGCAGAGAACAGAGATGTCGATGAAGATACCCCGGAGGATGTTCCCCAGAATCATTGGGAAGGAATGCGGAGAGGAGGGGTGCGGTTAACTCAGCGGACGTGGGAATGGGCGAGCAAGTATTGACGCCAGAGTGTTCTATAAAGCCAAGCAGAGTTTGATCTACGATCAATGTAGTTTAGCATTCAGTCTACATCTTCCTCCACATTTGGCATTCCTAAGGTCTTTACACATCGATCCCAATTGTATGTTATCGCTTCTAATTATCTTTAGGGGTTTGGTTTCGTAGGAGAAGAGAGGAGGCATCAAAGGCCAACCGGTAGGCAAACCCTGCTCTTCGCCGATCAGCAGTCTGCTTGAATCCATAAATACCGTTGTATTTCTCCGACCCCTAAGTTGGAGATTAGGTATATACCTGTACCCCTATCAAAACACCGATATGACAGACCAATTCCCTATGATCCGTGCTGCGCCTTGCCGCCACCAACACCACTCGCCTTTCTTGACAATCGCATTCGTCTCACTTCTCCGTCTCCTTCTCACAGCTTTTTCTTCTCAACTACGAAGTATGGGCCTAGCGAAAATGGCATCTTACTCGTCCAACAAAATCCCCGTTCTATCCCTGTCAGACGTCACCATCATCAGGGCTTGACTCTCTATTCCTATTCTCGCTTTCAAAGCCAACTTATCTTCCATATCCTAATTTTAGCATTCCACGCCGAATCAGGATGTAGAAACAACTGCCGAACAAACAGCCCTAAATTGTACTATCTCACTTCGGTAGTAATACACCAACTAGGCGGAAGCCGAGACAGTACGAGGTTTACTGCAGTGCGCACGATGACTGAGGCGCGACGCATGAAGAAGCACCAGAAATACGACTGTGTTTCCATTGTTGGGCTATGCACCAGATGCAGACTCTGTGTTCCCACCAACATGGCAACATCTGCAACGCGGATGCTCCGGCTGGGCATACAGGCACACTTAAACACACACTTTCTGCTATTACATTGCTGCCAGATTCAACATCCTATCAAATACATGCCGTATCGGAGGTTGTACTGAAGGATGAAGGATCACTTGAATCCCACTGCACACCATTTATCTGGCAGTCTCACACTTGAAACACCGTTTGCTACCATCCAACATGTTATCACGATAGCAGTACTGGGGTTAGATTGTGGAATAGGACCCCACCGAGTCACCAAGTTACCACTTTCGCTTTGTGCCTGTGCAATTTAGTAACATGTTCGCCGCCAGGATCCTAGGTATGTCCCGTTTTTATAATTCCAACAAGACGATCCTCCAAACTACGCTCCTGAGGTGACTTTGACAGTGTTGGTATTATATGTGCCTAGTCAAACAGGTAAGTAATGTATAGTTAGACAAGTTGGTCTTTTGGCCTCAACTCATCTAAGAGACATCTGTCCCTTTGCACTGCCGCAACTCGTGCTCAAGATTTCAAGCTCAAGCTCAAGCGATATGCTTCAGCGTGTATATAAGGAAAGGCAGATGGTCGCCAAAAGTATGATATTGATCAAACAATCCCAAGATCACCTCATCTCTCCTCCAAAGTTCCTGTCCTCGGTGACTTCTATCTCACAGCTATTTTTGATATATTCCATCTTCTCTCGTCACTGCCTTTGCCACTACTACCATCTCATCTTCCTCGCCTTACAAAAGCACCATGGCCAGCGCTCTGGGATTCATCCTCAACGCAGCGGGTCTGTTCGTTCCCATAGCTCTCGAGGCCGAATATGCGAAGCTGAAGCCAAAGGAGTCTACCAGCGTCCAAATCATCGTCGGCTCAGGCGACAGCACAACTGGTGGCACTGTTCCTCACGTTGCGCTCTGGGACGATGATGGCAGTCGTATCGGACAGTATTCCCCAGGCGCCAAGGATACGATCGGTGAAGGCGATGTGAAAACCATCATAGTGGAACATTCCCAGACCGTTCCCAAATACAAGCAGGCTGATCCATATTACGTCATGTTGAGTAACCAGGAAAACAATGCCATCTGCATTGCTGCCATCACGGTTGCCAATCAGAAGATTTCAGGCACATTCTATGGAGACACTGGTTATACATGTGGACAGTCATGGTTTCTCAGTCAAAACAGGATTGGCTCAAACTTTGAAAAGCCAAGATGTGTCTGGCTCGATGCCGACCACACAAACAAGATCAACGCCCGAGCTCTCAGCTTCCACTTAAACGACATGGCTTCCTCACAAAGCAAATTGGACGAGTATGCAGATAACAAGGACACCCTCTGCAAGAGCACCCCTCGCTTCTCTATCTGGGGTAATCTACTCCCTAACGGCGTCATTCCGTTTTTCAATCCAAAGCTTGAATACCTCGATGACGGTACCAGTGAAGGCGCAGACAAAGACCCCCAAAGGGTCATTGACAAGAATAACCAGTATGACAAGAGTGTCTACCTCCACCTGGGCGAAAATCACCACAACGCTCGCCAATCCCGTCGCTCCATCAGTGCCACCAGCGCCAACCATAATCCTGAGCACCTCATCATTACCGACCACGCGGAAGACAACGTCAGAGAGCTTTGCGAACATCCCAACTCGTATGGTTGGGACATTGTGTCTACCTCCCAAGGGCTGTTCTGTGATATGGAGCACAAGCAACTGTATCCCTTGTGCTCAGCCACTATCAAGGATAACTGCTTCGATTTGAACAAAAAGGTCATCATTTCCAAGGATGGTTTGGGAGCGAGAGACGAATTCCCGGCCTACGTTCCTTTGAAGAATTATACTTCTCACCAGCATTGGAAGAACTGAATGGACCCTTTTCTTTTTTCCCTTTTTCACGCTTTTCGGCTCTTCAAGTGGTCCTTTTCGGCGTGGCGATTATCGATTCTTAGCTAGTAACAGAGTTGTCTGTCGTCTTTGGAGTGTTCACATGTAGCATATTAGAGCGACTCTTTTGGTGCAACATGTTTCATAGGAGTCAACATCTTGATAGGTAGTGGTTTAAGGGATATATACCCAACTCAATACAGTCATTTGTTCGTTCTTAACACGTTTTCTTCACGGATATCGGCATATCTTTTATTGGTCTATATCAAAGCTAGGTCGTACAGCGGTAGTCAAGGGTCGTAGAGTTCGTAAGATAAATGGAATAGTAATAGTATTTCATGAAAGTATAAGAAATAGAGAGAATGGGGAAATATTAACTTCAAGTAGAAGGTTAACCTTATTATATAGGCTGGCTCAGGGGGTTTGCTTCCCCTATTCGCCCGTCATGTGACTAACCACGACTGCTTATATTAAGTAGTGTACTAATTCATTGTTTTTACGTTTTAGGACTTTAAAGGTGACTAGGCCCTAGGACTCCAAGTCATCGATTAAAAAATATAGGGGCCCGTAACCTTCTGTAATCGAGACCAGGAATTTGCAGGCCTGTACGTCGATCTGGTAGAGTGCGCTTATTGCCTAATGCGCAAGGCGTTAATAATAGGACTGCCGAGCCGCCAACCGGGATAAAGTTCTTCCAGACCGACATTCAACATGGGCAAAGTCACGAGACAAGTTCAGGAGGCATCGTCCAAAAGTGCCGCTGCCAAAGGAAGCTCTTCTAAATCCGTAACTGTCCCACCGCCACTCGCTGTGCCCCATATCAACATCGAAATGAGAGAAAGATTCCACCGGCACTTCTATTTTCATGGCAAGGACAATCAACCCGTAAGTTCACTGTTGATGTGAATTTCATGCCTTTGAGAGGATCTGCCTACAACAAACATAAACGCCAATCTTGCTAACCGTATCTCCCAGGAGCTTGAGGCTGAGAGAAAGGCTTGCCACTGGTGTCAAATTATCTCCTTTACTACAGCTAAATTGGCACCTATCTCCATCGTGAACCCGGTCGACGATGAATGTCTTCCTAAAGACTTCGTCTTTATCCAGCACTGTGTACCAGGCGAGGGGATCTACCTTCCAGATGCTGAATTCCTCAGCGGTTGCGATTGCAAGAAAACCTCTAGCTGCAAATATGCCAAATGCCACTGTTTGCAGGATATGACCATCCTGGATAAGAGGCGCCCGGAGGTTTACGTCTACAAGTCTGTCAATGGCGGTGAATATTTGAGGGAGGAGTACTTGGATACTCGAGAACCGATTTATGAATGCAATTCCAAGTGCTCCTGCGATGATGGTTGCCCAAATCGGGTTGTTGAGAAAGGCCGCACGGTACCATTGCAGGTCTTTAGAACTAGCGACAACCGCGGCTGGGGTAAAGTGACCTTGAGCAAGCGTCTAAATCAATACTAACTAGCTATTACATAGGAGTTCGTTGCCTTCGGGACGTCAAAAAGGGCCAGTTCATAGACAGATATGTCGGTGAACTCATCACTACCGAGGAGACCGAGATGCGGCGCCAACAATCGGTCATTTCACAGAAGAAAGACGTATATCTATTCGAGCTCGACAAATTCAAAGGCGACTCTGACCGTGATCCTTCCTTGGCCAATACTGTCTTCGTCGATGGCGAATTCAAATCCGGCCCCAGCCGGTTCATCAATCACTCATGTGACCCGAACCTTCGCATCTTCGCTCGAGTCAGCGACCATGCTCTCAAGCGTTTCCATGACCTAGCATTCTTCGCCATTAAGGACATTCCCGCTAATACCGAGCTAACGTTCGATTATGTCGATGGAGAAGATGAGAAGCTTGAGGAGGAGAAAAAGGACCCGGGACATAGGAAGGAGATGACCCGTTGTCTTTGCAAGGCTAAAAACTGCCGCGGATACCTTTGGTAAACGTCTCGGTCTTTTCCATGGCTGGAGTTTGGGAATCTTAGCATATTCGGTCGTTATTGGAGTTAGGAATTTTCTGCGTGACACCTGAGCTTGGTTTGACGATGGAGTTTGGCGATGATACCCAATGCATCTGAACTATAGAAGTATTAGATGCTTAAGCAATCCGAGTTTTACCGCGAATTAATGTGTGAGTTCTCTGCGTGGTTGATGGTTGATGGTTAATGGTTGATGGTTAATTGCCGGCTTTCTTTTATAGTTCGGGATAGTTTTCGTTCATCCTATACTTTCCAACATTGTATGGCTGTTAACCAGTTCATTCATCTCGCCATATCGGAATGTTGGAATGTTGGTTTATTTAGCAGACATTCTTCGATTGAGCGTGGCATTATATGACTTGCTATCCTTGTTATTCTTCCTTGATTGAGAGAAAGTTGCCCTACATAATCACAAGTATAAATGAAAAATCTGGGGCCGTGATAATCACCGTGCGTTATATCTCTAAATAATTGGCCCAATTTTGATGGATTGCAAGATTGTTTCTCTATCCCTACAATCCTATTTTCATTGTTGGTTTACCTCTGCAGTGGCTTTTATTCGTCGTCGCATTCATATGCAGCCAGGGTCAATAGGCACCAGCATCTGGATCACACGTAACAAACAATCTGGATTTAATGCGCGTATTCAGCCGGCTGCGTCCGAGGCAGTAAACTGCATGCTCAATATTCCTTAAAGGGCAGCATGCTCGCTGTTCAGCCATCCATCTCTACAACTTGAAATTTATTTCCTTGCTTCACGTCTTAGGCAACATCAGGAGTGGATTTTGTCTCCGCATTGTTTAGAAGCTCCATTTATATATTCGGGATGGCCCCGGTCGCTGAGAACTGGACAATTCTCTCGGTTGCGTCTGGGATTGTTTGTTGCGTAAGTTGTAATGCCATTCAAAGCTGACACCGCAGAGGTTTATCAGCCTTCACTCGCCAACCCAGCTCCTCAATTGATGAAAGCATCATTTACTAACCCAATAACCATAGACTGTACTCTATATCCTTATCCTATCCTTCTACAGAATCTACTTCCATCCCTTATCCAAATATCCCGGACCCGCTCTCTGGGCGGCCAGCAGGTTTCCCAGTGCCTACTACCTAACGAAAGGAGTTATACCGTACAAAACCCTCGAGCTCCACAACCGATACGGACCAGTGGTTCGACTCTCCCCCAACGAGTTATCCTTTATTCTCGATGCTGCCTGGCAGGATATCTACGGGAAGCCCGCTGCACGAAATACCCAGTTGATGAAAGATCAAAACCAGTTCTTGACGCATGAAAATGGTGTCCATGGTTTGTTGGGAGAGCCAGATGATTCTAAGCATGCGAGAATGAGGTAAGGTCTTGTTAAAATCCCGCTATCTAGTAGATTTGTGCTCATTAGTGGTTATTTTCTAGGCGAAATTTGTCCCACGGGTTCTCCGAGAAGGCACTGAGAGATCAAGAACCCATCATCAAGAGCTATGTGGATCTATTAATACAGAGACTCCACGAAAACTCCAAAGAACCAGTTGACGTAGTCAAATGGTTCAATTTCATAACATTTGATATCATTGGCGATCTAACCTTTGGGGAATCATTTGAATGTCTCAAAACGTCGCAAGTTCATGTACGTATGCCACCATGTCCCCAAAACAAGCTAATTTTATATTAAACAGTTCTGGGTGCAATCCATATTCCTTCATTTAAAGAACTTGGTATTTATGGGCCTCTTGAGCAGTTATGGACTAGTCCCGATAGTCCTTTTTTTCCTCCCTCAAAGCATCAAGGCAAAAGAGCAGCGACATAAGGACTTTACAAAAGCGGTATTAAAGAAAAGGCTCGAGACATCGACTTCTCGTCCAGATTTGTGAGTGTCTACGAATACTAGTCCAGCAAACTCCAAACTAATTCATCCAGTCTCTCGCTTGCACAAAAGCAACTCAACCAACCCCAAGGAATTACATTTGACGAACTCGTCCCCACAACGGGACCCCTAATATTTGCGGGCTCGGAAACAACAGCAACGCTCCTCAGCGGAGTAACATACTACCTAACCACGCACCCTTCAATATACGCCAAACTCACTGAAGAAATACGAACAGCTTTTAAAACCGAAGACGAAATAAACATTGTCAGTGTCAACAACCTAACCTATATGCTCGCAGTTCTCAGCGAAACCCTACGCATTTACCCTCCCGCGCCAGCAAGCTTCAACCGTGTCACCCCCCCAGAAGGCTGCATGGTTGCCGGTCACTTCGTTCCAGGCAATGCCATTGTCGCCGTGAACCAATGGAGCGCGAATCATTCAACTCTTAACTTCACTCGCCCTTGGGATTTTGTGCCTGAGCGGTGGTTAGGTGATGCCGAATTCAAGGATGACAAGGGGAAGGTGGTCCAGCCATTTAGTGTGGGACCTAGAAACTGTATTGGAAGGAATCTGGCGTTTGCTGAGATGAGATTGATCCTCGCGCGGCTGGTGTGGAATTTTGATCTCGTGCTGGAGGAAAAGAGTAAGGGGTGGGTGGAGAATCAGGATGTTATGATGGTGTATCTGAAGCCGCCTTTGATGGTTAAGCTTAATCCTGTTGTGAGGGGTTAAGCTATTGCTGATCTTGAGAAGTATGGAAATCAGTACTGGGGGTTTTTGCTGCCCTTATAACACTCCATTCCAGCTTGCTAATCTATATTCTCCTTATGCTTAATAGGTTCTTCGCGCAGTTGAATAAAATATGTCATAAAGCATCCCTATCAATCTTTTGTATATCGCTTGACTATTTTAGTATATCAATCGAGCAAGATGCTGCTTGCGATCCACCTGAATTTAGAAAAAATTACCTTTTCTCCTTGTAAGTCTCCCAGTTCGTAGTATGTAGGTCTTGGCATTAGCTCAGGAGAAGGGGTTGCTTGTAGTCCCTTCCTAATCACCATCCTTGAAACGCTTATCTCCACCATTTGAGAGCTCATCATTGGCGTCTTCAATCAATTCGATCACCTACTCAATCCCAATGCACTCGGAATGGGAAGTACTTCTGAAATATCAACATCGCCCCCGAAATTCAAATCCCCACTGCCCCCTCAAAAGCTGCAACACCAGCTCTGAACCCCTGTTCCCACTCCCACTTCAACGGGCCCCTCCTTCCAGACTCCAAAAACCTCTTCTTAACCCAGATCTCCAAGCAGCCAATCTTATCCCCTCCCTCCCCTCTAACACTCTCCCCTAACGCCCCCTGACTCCTCATAGTAAAGAACGCCATAGCATCTGAAAAGCCGATTTCCCACCCTCCACCATAAAGCCAATGCTCAAAATACTGGCCGGGAGACGTCTGGTTCCAGTACCCCTCATGATTTCCTTTCGCAGCGGCGCCGAGTTCTGCTCTGCTATTCTGCGCATGGCTTGCACGGGCGGGGATTTCGTGGGCTGGAAGAGTTAAGTGGCCAGGAATGTAGATGTTTCCCTTTTTGGTCTGCTCTACGAAGCCCCATTCCCCGCCATCCATCCAGTCCATTTTCCACGTCCAGAAATATGATCCACCTGCTTTCTGCGCCCATTTCTGGCTTTGGGCATGGCCGAATTGCGTGACGAGGTGGTCTTTTTCTTCGGGTTGGACCCGCGACCATGTTTGCCCGTCTAGGACACAGCTCCTGTTGATTTATTAATAACTGAAAAGTATACGATGGTAAACGGGGTCAAGATGGAAATATAAGTACCATTCCCCAACAATGACTTGGGCTTCCCCTCTATCTGACAGACTCCCCGCCTTCCCATCCAACTCCCCCAATTCACCACCAATAGTCCCGATAATCTCCTGTGGGCTCTTGCTCCTATCTTCATCGCTGAAGGTATAGTACCGATGCGTATCAATCACAATCGGATTCGTAGGCTTCCCATGACCAGACCACAGATTCCTTCCCGTGACCCAATTCAAAGCGTCACCGAGATTCCACGCATCACTAACATAAACCGGGATGTTCTGGTCCACTTCAGCAATGGTGTTGATAGCATGCTCATAGAACTCGTGCATGCCGTGCGGGTTATGGCATGCTTCGTTCAAGATCTGGATCCCGACCACGTTATCTAGGCCCCGGATTTCAATTGCAATAAAGCGTAGAGCGTCTAGTGCCCGTGATAGATGCTTCTTATGGCCCCAGAGCGAGGCTTTTCCCTTGCTGGTGCCGGAATGCTCCTCGCCGTTTGCACCGCCGGGGAGGCCGTGCAAGTCAATGAGGATACCAATGCCGTGGTGTCGAGCTTGGGCTATGAGAGCTTTGGCTGCCGTCTATAGATTTATTGATCAGCACACTCTCTCGATATTATTCAGTAATTGTGAATGTTTCAGGCCTCTCAACTTGTATACCGACCAGACTTCAGCATCCTCTTCCCCTCCCCAGGGCAATACTCCAAGGGCAGTTTTCAAAAATTCCACAGAGAAATATCAAAATTGGTTACTCACCCAAGCACCCGAATAAACACTCTCCAACCCCTCCCACTCGCTGCCTTTACACATCTCTCTCAAATCTCCCATCATCCACCACCCAACAGGCAATCTAATACTGGTACCCCTCCCTTCTTTGACCAGGAACTCCCAATCCCCCTCATTCACAAAACCCCTCCAATGCTCTTCCCACTTCCTTCTCGTCTCCTCTACTCCATGTTCCTTAATTGACGCGGTGACAGCGTCGAGTTCACTACCGCCTTTGGCAGAGCCGGGAAACATGGACCCAGTAAGCCATCTCTCAAGCACAAAAGCGCTGCCGAGGTTGACACCGTGGTGGTATCTGTACCGAAAGACATCCGTAGGTGTAGGAGCTTGAAGTGTGGATGGCTGGTGGGATTCCTGAGGCGGAGGGTGAGAAGAGTGAGACTGGCCGGGGAAGAGATCCGAATCTGTAAGTTTGGAGAAGAACTTCTTCATTTTTGGAGCTTGGGGATTACAATAATGCTAAAACGTGAGCAAAATAGAAATCAATCAAAGTACGGTGAACTAGGGTGGAATGCAGAATTGTGGAAGAGGCATGCGTCGTCATCAGATTTTATTTGCCAAGGTAGTTGATGTAAGAGAATCTGTATGGGAAATCGGCCAAGCCAGCCTTGCATATTCAGTGCAACATATATTGTAGGTAATAGGTTGGCATGTAAATAACTATCAGGTCATCGGCTTCGTCATTGCACTAGCACTTACTGCTGTTTAAGTAGCGTTAGCCCTACCCGCTTATCCGCACAATGACCTGCACTCATCATGTTTCACTACCTATTTCAAGCTTTAATGTGGGGCTATGAACAGCAGTCTAATATAACGAACCTTTCAATTATTTTGCGGCATTATGAATCAGAGCAAATTACGACAAATACAGCAATTATTCCGCCTTCCACCTCCCCCCAGGTTCAGATTACTCCTAGATACCAAGACACTTGCAACCAAACGCCAAAATAATCCGCCTCCAGTCGGCTTTTTGAACCATTATCTCTATACCTCATGTGCTCAGTAAATCCTTGACACTTATTCCCCCTCTTGCACTGATACTTTCTCGAGTTCCCCTTCTATCAGTGTTGAGCATTAGTAAGGCAGCAGTGGCTTCCTGATCAAGATCCCTCTGCGGCAACAAAGCAGGACTCGGCAACGCCGAACCCACCGACGTAATGCTTCTCGAATAATCATACGCGGACGGGCCAAGAGCCGGGGATGTCGTCGAGGATGCGCTGAAGCTATAGTGGCGATGGTCCGTCGATGTAGACGAGTATGAGTCCTGGCGATGTCGGGAGTCCTGCGGAATAAGGGCCGGGGAAACCGATGGGCGAGTCGAGTTTACCATGGGAGTGGGATATGTCGGTGACGGCCCCCCCGAGCCACCCATCTCCACATCACCATCGTCAGTATATTGTCGGGGCGTGCTAATGGATTCACGCCTGGCGGGAGGAGGGAGGCTGCACTGGTCATTGACTGGTGTGGAATTTGTTCGATTATTCTCGGCCTTCAGCTTGGCCACACAGTCTTCTAGGTACCGAACGTAGTCGATAGATGCCTAGATAGGGTACGTCAGCGTTTGCTAACAATGATCCTAGCCATGGCAATAACTAACCTGCAGAATAGCCAGCTTGTGCATCTCCCCTGTACATGCAGGAATCATATCCTTCAAGACCCCAAATTCTTCATTCATTTTGGATCGTCTTCGTCGCTCGATCAGGCTATGTGCCGTCTTCCTCGCTATTTTTCGGCCCGCAACGCTCGTCGACGATGGCTGTTTTTTCTTCGAGCCTGATGTCGCCTTGGAGGGGGCATCTCTCGTGGTATCCTTAACGGACTCTGCTGCTTCTTGCGGTTGGCCTCGAGGCTTCACCTGTATTATTTTCCGAGACCTCGTTGGTGGTGGAGGGAGGGCGAAGGAGTCTTTGTTCGGCGGCTGCACCGCGGAGGAGCGTCGACGGGTCTTGACCGTCTCGCTCGCAGGAATCGCAGGAGGGTGATAAGACGAAGCGGACGATGCCTTGGACGAGGTGCTTGATGACGACGGCTGGGACTCCATTCTTGTGCCCGCGGCTGGCACCGCGGGCGGGGGAAGTTCGAAGGACATCTGGAGGGACCCGAACCGCGAACCATCCTGCCCCTTGATTTCCACCGAGGAAGCAGGCGTTAGAGGAAGCTGCGGGTGAGGCATTTTATCGTGTGTCTGGTAGGCGTGGGCAGAGGTAGAGGCTACTGGTATGGGGGTTTCGTTCTGAGTTGCTGCGGTAGGTAGTCTTGAGTGTCTGCTCAATTGAGGGCACATTGACCTTCACGTACGACGAGGCTAACCAATTGAGAAATTATAAGGTTAGATACCTAGGTAGACACCGACGCCCAGCAGAGTAGGAAGAGACGAAGATATGGGGTATGTAGCAAACTGAAACAGATGAAGACGACAAAACGGAAGAGGGGAGGAACCACTTGAGACCAGACTGAGGGATCTGCCCGAGGACATTGCGACTGAGACTCGCGGTCGCCCAGCACACCACGGGTCCCGGTTGAAACTTAACTTGCGTCGTCTGGTCGAGTGCGTGCTGCGATAGCACGGAGCAGCAATAATCGCGAGCTCGCTGGTGATAACAGAACACCGCTGAGGCCGTTGCGCTGTCGCGTGCTCCGTTTGATTGGAGCTGAGGGCCTGGCGACTTGGACAGAGACAGATGGAAGATTGGCCAGTCGTAGCAAAACGTGCCCGAAGCCCGAGTTTGGGGCAGTTGGTGGGGTATTGCCGGGGTTCACCGCTTGTGGCTGTGGTGGCTGTGGTGGCTGTGGCTAATAACTGTTAACTACACCAAGGTACGAAGTACGAAGTAGGAGTATACAACTCGCGCTACGAAACCATCCCCGGGAAGGTGGACGAAACCGTGGGTCACAGTCGTCAGTAGGCATTCCCCGCTGCGTGTCTCCAAGGCCAATCCCAACGAGGACAGCACGAAGTATTACAATGATTATATTCAAGTTATTCAACTATCTAGCCCGTCTCAAAGTGAGACTATTCCTAGAACCAGCCCCCCAATGTCTAGCCCAAATTGAGGTATTCAAGTCGCCCGAATATCTCAATTGCGGTGAGATATTCAAATGAGAGACGTCATTACAAGTTTTCCATGTTGCGTAGTGGAAGTGTCGTCTGGCGCGGCAGCAGGCGATTGCCCGAACTCACGAAAGAGATGAAGCCATACGCATCATCCCCATCTGGCAACATGGTCCAAACCTCTAACGGCATGGAAACCAGCAGAATGAGGGCCGAGTTCGTATCGAAAACCCCCTCGGTGGATATCTGGGTTTTCGAGATATTGGATGGCAAGTTGCTCGTTAACCAGCCAGTCCACTGTCCAATATCTGGCGTAGTAACGCCGTTGTGGTCTGACAGGCGAACCTGAATAAGGACGCGTTCATCCTTTGGCTGCAAAGGCCCAATAATAGTTGGGTTTTCAAACGTAGAAGCCCCGAGTTTTGACAGGGCTATGCTGTCTCTGCCACCCTTTGCGACATGCAGTGGGCATGCCGTGGCCTCGGCGGATGGTTTCGTGTTGCGATGGATCTCCGCATAAATCGATGCCGCCGATGCTGGATTGCCGTTGAGTCGTTTGAGTTCGGTAATCAGAAGCTTCGAGAACGACGTGGGGGGAGCGCCTCCTGTAGCAAAATGCCATGGTAACGTGGAGGGCGCGCCTCCTGCAACGGTATGCCATGTTGATGCGGCGATGACCTCTGGGCCGGTGGTATTTTCCACAGCAGTGGACGAAGCATAGCAAGTGTCCGAAATGAGGAGGGCGTCCGCATAAGTGTCTCTAATGTAAGCAGTAGCATCTTCATCCCAATCTATAGTTGGTTTGGAGAGGCTCCAGTTGATGTCGATATCACTATATTCACCACTAGAAGCCGTTAGTAACGTCGCTATAGAAGAAATAACTAAAATGAAATGCGTCGGGTCATTGGAGATTGGACTTACGCGAGGACACGTTCACCACGGGGATTTATATAAGCAGCGTGCCCAGAGTACACCACAATGAGCAGATTCCCTGGTTGGTCGTAATCGTCTGAAAATCTTTCCATTCGTTTGCGGAGCTGCTTGCGAGTGTCATACTGCCGAATCGTGGCGTCGATAAGATACTTTTCCACAGTGTATCCGTACACTGAGGTGAAGATTTGGCACAATTCGTCCTCTAATGGAGCAACCCCTGTCTTGTCGTTTGACCAATGCATAGCCAATACGAAAACGCCATTGTAGGGTTTGATGTTCGGCGGCAAGCTCCTGTTCGCGGCGTTTTGGAGTTCGGTCGCGAATTGCTGCATGCTTTTTCTATACGTCTTCTTGTCATATCCATGAATTGGCTTCAGCCCCACGTTGTTCGCCATGATGGCTGAGTGATTCATATTTGGCGTGGATAGTTGGAGTAGTGAGCTGGAAAAGATTTCAGGATAGAAGATGAGGGTGGAAGGAGTGAGTAGACGATGGAAAGTGAGTGGATGATGGAAAGTGAGTGAGACAATGGAAAGTGAGTTGGAGTATAGAAAGCGAGTTGGAGGATAGAACACCTCTTAAATAACTTGGCAGTTTGAGTCATTAATGAAATTCACTACTAGACGGGTCCTATACAACAACTAGGTTTCCCGTCATAACTCGCGATTAATTCATCATCCTGACCACAATAACAATCATATAGCAGTACCGTAACCTGGTAGGCAAACAGGGGTAGCAAACCTCTTACATCTCATAGCTTTAATACCTATATAATGACATAATCATGACTATAATTATAATCATAATCGCACACTAAGAGTTGGTACCCGGTTGGCACTTCTCTGGAAGCGTTAAGTTAAACCTACCCGTTGGGCCGTTGGCCTTAGGTCTCCCGCTCTTACCCCACAAACACAACACACAAAACACTTTTAATAGAGTCATATAAGGGGATGTGTTAATTAGGTGGATGGGAAGTATGCCTAGTTCTGACCTAAAGGATAGATGCGGTAGGGAACAGGTAGGTAGTACATATAAAAAAAGCTATGCTCGACTATATATCAAGTTTGTTAAGCGGTTACTTATATTATATATAGTAGTACAACTAATTAGATATATGTCTTTTTAGCTGCCAATAGTACTGTATAATCGTACAACTAAAGAAGACTTCGTCGTGTGATTATCACGTGACATATACTATTCGCCCTACTACTTATTGTCAATACCTGGTTCCTTCCTCACGATGCTGTTCTCTAATAGGATCTAAAATAGATTTTGCGGGGGTTTATCCCGTGCATACCAGTACTATCATTTCGCACAGCGCTGAAGAGGAGAGACAATTGCTAGGCTATATACTCCGTGCAATATAACATACCTTTCCGGCACCTAGACCTGAACATCGTAGAAGAGAATTTCATAATATTCATTATTATCATATCAATTTATCCTTCCTTTGCAACTCAAAAGTTCCTATCCCTTTTAATGCAAATTTTCCAACCCCCTTCCCTCTTATCTCCCAAAATCCATACCACCCTTCACCATCCTCCCCAGAATCCACAGATCCCTCAAACCTCATTACTGGGATACTCCACCTTGGTCGTGGAAACAAACTCCTCCTTAATACTCCTCATGCTCACAAACCTAGCCAGCAAATTCGGGCTCCCCGCCTTATCATTCGTGCCACTAGCTCTCGCGCCGCCAAACGGCTGCTGTCCAACAACAGCACCGGTGCTCTTGCAATTGATATAAAAGTTCCCAGCAGAGTTCCGTAGCGCGTCCTCGGCGAAGCGGATAGCTGCGCGGTCGGTGGCGAAGATGGAGCCCGTGAGGCCGTACTCGGAGGTGCTGTCGACGAGCTCGCAGGCGGCAGAGAAGGCTTCCACGGGGGAGGTGGTGTCGTCGTAGACGTGCACGGTGAGGATAGGTCCGAAGAGTTCTGTGGAGAGGAGGTGGTGTTGTGGGTTGTTTGTGGCGTAGATGGTGGGGTGGATATAGTATCCCTTGGAATTGTCATGCTTGCCTCCAACCAGCAATTCGAGCTCCTTGTCCTCTTTCGCTGCGTCGATGACGCCAGACAGCTTCTTGAAAGATGCTGCATGGATGACTGGGCCGATGAAGTTCTTGTAATCTGTGGGCTCTCCAATTGATAGTGCGGAGGCCTCCTTGACTAATATTTCCTTGAATTGCGGCCAGATTGACTTGGGAACGTAGGCTCGGGATGTGGCGCTGCACTTCTGGCCTTGGTATTCGAAAGCCCCGCGAACGGTGTTCAAGGCTGCGTTCTCAACATCCGCCGATGAATGGATGAGATGGAAATTCTTCCCTCCAGTCTCACCTACTATGCGTGGATAGCCTTGATATCTGCCTTCAGCAACGCCGGAGGCAATGGAACCATAAAGTTTGCGGAACACAGCGGTGCTGCCGGTATAGTGAAGCGCTGCGAGCTTCTTATGCGCCAAAACGACCTTCGTAACCTCCTCGGGGTTTCCAGGGACGAACTGGATGACATTCTTTGGGAGACCGGCCTCCAGGAAAATGTTATACAGCAGCCAGTTGGATGCAATAGCAGAATCCGATGGCTTCCATACAACAACATTCCCCATCAACGCCGGCGCACCAGGTAAATTGCCTGCGATGGCTGTGAAATTAAATGGTGAAACAGCATAAACAAATCCCTCCAAAGGACGGTACTCAACCCGGTTCCATACCCCAGCGGAGTGGTGCGCTGGCTGCTGTGCGTATAACTCCTCAGCATACTGCACGTTGAATCTCAGAAAATCAACCAGCTCGGCAGCGGAATCGATTTCGGCTTGCCATGCATTCTTCCCCTGGCCAAGCATCGTCGCAGCCATAATTTCGTATCTGTATTTGCCAGCAACCAAATCTGCGGCCTTCAAGAAAATCGCAGCTCGGTCCGAGAAGGGGAGAGACTCCCATGCTGGCTTCGCAGCGAGCGCCGCATCGATGGCCGCGGAGACATCGGAAGGTGAGGCATTGGAGTATGAGGCGATTGTGGAGGAGTGATTAGATGGGTTTTGCTGTGTCAAGATCGTCGAGGTTTTAATCTAAATGGACTGTTAGAGCCCATACTTTCATCATAATGATGAATAAATGGAGCTTGCACTGACCTCCTTGCCTCCGATAACTAGTGGAACCTCTAAGGGAGCTTTCTTTTGAAAGCTCTCAAGGGCCGCTGTGAGGCCAGCTCTTTGGGCGGATCCTTTGGCATAGTGGTGCTACTTCCAGTTAGCACCTCCCCCCCAATAATCAAATGCACTTAGATGAATGAATCCTCCGTCTCACTTACGTTTGGCTCATTCAGAATCTTCGGGATCTTAAAAGAAGCAATGGTCGACATCTTGGAGCCGTGAATGCGGGGAATGCGGGGGTTGGTGGCGGGATTAGCTTGCAAGCGACGATTCAAGTATTGAAGGCTCCTGAGGTTCAAATTGGAATTTTTAGCGGCCATAGGCAGAAGCTTCGAAGGGCTTCTAATTTGTTAATCCGCAACGAGGATGATGGAATGTTGCAGTGAAGATAGAATGGATGTTTGCACCTGAATTGTCTGTTGCTTTTGTATTGATGAGGAAGCTCCCTGGAGCTCAGCGTGCTCGCTTTGCGGCGGCATAAGAGAGGGGCAGCGCTAGTCAAGGAAGCTCGAACCCCCTTGTTGCCTGCTTGTCTTGCGTCCTTTATCGGAGGTGTCGGTCGACGATAGATGATCATTACGCAAAAAAAGTGTAATCCTCCGAAGTACGCAGTATCAATGCTCCCTTAAGCCACAAAAATGATAAGAAGTGGGAAGATCCCGGATGTCTTGGCTAGGATGACAACATCTACAGCCAAAAAAAATAATGGAATCAGTTGCGTTATATAAATTCAATTGGGTGCAGGCATACCGTGTTTTTTGCTCCCCAAGAACTCCTCAATCCAATCTTCAATCTCCAATGACATAGCGACGTATCGCAATACTTTCAAACTCACTGCTGCACTATCAATCGTCTGCGATGCAAAGCGAATGCTGGAGTTATCAATAAGTTTTGTATTCTGTGGTTTTCTATTTTAGAGAGAAGCACTACACAACCAGACCAGAGAGCCCATTACTCCCCGCAAATCCTCCAGTCCTCCCTCCATAGTCGACGCAAAATGCCGCTGAAGTCCAACTCATGGTCATTGATCGACACATGATTCGCATTCGCATCCCTCCTTATCCAATCCCATTACGCCAGACCTGGCCGAAGCCAAGCTCATAAATAAATCATTGCCTCCTGATACCTCGTGTTGCTGATAGGGTATATGCTGTTCCCCCCCCTCCCCCATATGTCATGAACATTAACAAATGACACTGTAAATGCCATCTTGATTACATTAAGTGAGTGTCGTGCCGTGTCCGGCAATGCTAGCAAGCGCTGAACATGCGAGCAAAATAAAAAAGAATATTGTTACAGATGATGGAAGCAAGAAGCGCAGCCGCCTGGTATAGATAAAGATGAACAAATCCGAAAAAACTCCGAAAACAATGCTTCTATTGCTTCTCTGAAAAGTCTGCTGGAGTGCTGTTCGAAAATTGGAAGGTCTTCTGCTTGTTCATTGAAGGCGAAGTCGACATCGCCATGGAATACTGGCCCTGGGAGTCCGGAAAGGAGTACTCCGAGTTACTCTGTGTTGAGAATGCGTACTGCGGAGACTCATCCAGGTACTGAGGCGATTCCTGGCTAAAGATCAGATCAGGGTTATTGAACTGACCGAAGGCCGGCGTGACAGGTTGACTTAAATTCGCGAGATATGTTGGTTGAGGCATGTGCAATTCCCGAGGGAATATTTCTTGGGCAGGCGTAAACAGAGCCTCGTCGGGCGCCTCGTAACCCCATCGCTTCTCATGGTACTCGGCGGTATTGGGCCATGCATTGCCTGTTTGCACAACCATCTGGGCCTGTGGTGTCTCAGGAGGCGACGCCAAATTCTGGTCGCCTTCCATCGATGTGAAGCAACCGGGCACAGCCGTGTTAAATACAAAGTTCATGCTTCCGTCCAGTGGCGATGCAGTCGACCTTGTGCCCTCCTTGACGAGTGTCATTTCCCTATCTCGTGGAGACATCGGAGTGGGCGGGGCCAGACTGCTATTGAGGGATGAGAGCGCCGTTAATGAGGGCGGGTTCCGGATGCTGTGGAGGTTGTGTTCCATGAAAGTGTCGGCATCAGCAAAACCACCCAGATTTATGGGCGACCGTTGCGCGGACTCAATGCCGCCGGACTTGCAAATCCGACCAGACATGATGTTCCGGTTAACTCCCGCCGACACAATACGGCGCATTGGCGAGGAAATTGGACTTTCCCCCGGCCGACGGAAGCCATCTGGATGAGATACTGTCCTTGGTCCAACGGATGGGCGACTTCGCAGCGTCTCGGCGGTCAGCGCAGCGGGTTTAACCGCATTTTTACGGCGCGAGGCGATATCTGTTGGTGGAGGTGGTGCTTTGAACTGGGTTGAAGGATCGGGCAGGCAGTCGGAGGATTCGTCAGATTCCGCGACATCGTACGTAAAGTCAATTGCATGGTTTGCTCCATTGGCCTCTTCGGGACTTTGATCATTCCCCGCGTCGTTGGAGAGAGCAAGGCCATGGTGGTTCGCGGCAAGCAACTGGGATGGGAATGTGGCCATCATATGCGAACCGTTGGTGTCCGACCCGGACGACGTCGGATACGCATTAAAGGCGGCGTGGGTTTCAGCATTTCGGTCTGCCGGGGACGCTCCAACGTCGTTGTTCGATGGAGGCGAGGTATAAATATTGTTGGAGAATGTGGGTGGGTATGAGTAGCTCTGACCTCCATCAAATTGGGCCATGGAACTTTCCGAAGCAGGGAATTGAGCCCGGTCTTCGTTCGAGGAATCGTGAACAAGGCAATCGTCAAATGCCGCCAAATCACCCTGCTCAAAAAAGCCATCCTGAAAGTCCTGGTGCGAGGCGGCTTGCGCGGCAGCCATTGTCCGATGAAGGGATTGGATCGTCGCGGTTGGGGGATCTCTGTATTGAGGGTTATACGAGGCAGCTGGCGGTGGTGGGCCCGTTATTACGGGGAAAGATGCCGATTGTTGCTGCATGGGCAGCCGCTGACCATCGTTCAGGAACCCATTGCCGCCGAAGAATTCTGGGGATGAGGCCGCGTCCGAGTACGCCAATGCTGCCTCCCCAGCCTGTGCAGCTTCGTAGGCCGCCTGCTTCTTTTCTTGCTTCCGCTTTGCGCGGCGGTTCTGGAACCAATTCTGTGTATTATTTAGCAAGCAAACTCTATGGCAACCGCTCCTCATGAACATACGTTGATCCGTGCTAACTCTACCCCCATGTCTTCGGCAAACCCACGTTTCGTCTGGGTCGTGGGCTTGGGGTTCTTCTGAAATTCACGCTCCAGGATGTCCACCTCATCCTTGCCTAGACGGGGTTTTGTCTCGTTCTTCGTCGCCGAAGGAGCCATCCCCATCATTGAGGCGGACTGGTGCGCCATGGCGTAGTTATTTATATGTTGGGCGTCGGGGTACGCGGGAAGTGCTTGCGAATAGCGCTGGAAAGATGGATCGAAATAATCCATATGCGGAATCATTCTGAACCGAAACTCGAACTCGAGGTGCTAGAGATTCCCCCGCGCTCTGAAGACCGAATTATCCCCTTTTGGTGAACAGGTGCCGATCCGATTGAGGTGTTGGTTGAAGTTGACGACCGCGAATAATCCGAGTTATCACGATCGAGAAGTGTTTTGGTCAAGTGTCGCTGAGAGCGAGTCGAGTGGGATCCGAAGGAAGGGAAGTCGAGCGAGAGGCTCGCGCGAATAGAGAACAAGAGCAACGTAGAATGAGCGTGGGTAATTTAACAAAGCAGCATGTAAATCGATGCGTGGACGAGCCAAACCAAAAGTCCTCCCGCAGCCAGACGAATGAATGGAGGTGGAGGTGGAGGTAGGATTGCTGGTGGAGGGGAAGCTCAATTGTAGATGCGGCGTTGTAAACAACCCGAAGCAAGGAGGGCAAGGGAAGGCCAAGATCCTGCGCGAGAGTCAAAAAATGGGGTTCTAGGGAGGAAGGTGGGTTCGGAGCGGTGTTTAAAGGAAATGATTGACATACGGAGGAACTGGCAGCGCTTAGAGGTGCTGGCGGGAGATCTGTGGCTGTTGCTTTTCTGGCACCCAAGCGCTCTCACTCACTCACAACACAACACAACACGGGGCGCAGGAGGAGTACTTGTCCGGAGTTGGTCCCGCGTAATTTGTACTTGGAGGAGGGCGAGCGAGCGCGGCGCCAATGGTGGAGCTTCTAGGACGGGGCGGACTCGGGGCGAATGTGGATGAGGATGAAGATGCGGATGCGGATGAGGATGAGGGTGTAGATGAGAGGGAGAGCAAAAGGAGGAGGAGGAGAGGTCCGAACAAGAGGAAGGCCGTGTATGTGTATGTATGGGGAGGAGGAGGAGCCAGCAGGAGAGCGAGCGAGCGAGCGAGAGAGAGAGAGAGAGATCGCAAATCTTGGAGCATTCCGGTAGGGTGGTCTTTGCTTTACAGTAAGTAAGTAGTAAGTGCACAGTAGTGGACCGTGGACTGTGGTGGACTGTGGAGGGTCGTCGTGGTGTCAAGGGCCGGCCACCGCTGTCGTGGCTTGGAGCCAGGGGGGAGGGTTTCGAAGCACCGGGGGGATGTTGCTTTGGGGGCCTGAGGG